TTTGATGCATACATCTTTACTTGAACATGTTTAACAAGATTTATTGCATTCTAAACAGTTATTGTTTTTATCAATATAATATGAATTTTCTGTATTGCACTTTTAACATTTGCCATTTAAAAAGCTTAAACCTTGAGTACATTCTTTGCAATTTGATTCTGAGGTTCCATCACATTATTTGCAAGTAGAATGACATTTCTCGCATTCATTCTAGCTATTTACAAAGAATCCATTATTAGTATTACAGATTTTGCATTTACGGTCATATTTATCTATTTTTAACTAGTCAATACAAGTCTTGCAAGATATTTCTTTTTCATCAGAACATGTTTAGCATGTATCGTGGCATTTTAAACAGAAGTTATTCCCATCAATGAAATATTTATCCTAAGTTGGGCATATTATACATTTTTTATCTTACTAAAAGCTAAATGTATCTATGCATTACGTGCATTTCTCTATTTCTACTCCAGTACAAGATTTACAATTTTAAGCACAATCAAAACATTATCTACCATTTTGGAAAACTCCATCTCTTGAGCAGGCTTCACATTTTCCCTTATAACTAAATTATTTTGAATCTTTGCATTCTAAACAATCATTTTATGTCATTCCTTAACATTTGGAGCAAGAGACATCACATAATTAGCATGTATCGCTTTATTAAAATTATCCTTAGCTATTACAAGGTATGCATGAAGCTCCGCCATTAAACAGATAAAAATTTTATGAGCACTTTTTACATTTATTTTGATCTGCACAGATTTAGCAATTTTCAGTGCATTTAAAGCAATTTTTTCCATTTTAAAAATATCCTTCGCCACAGGAAATACAGTTATCTTAATTAAAAAGGTAGAGGCCACTTTAGCATTCAGTACATTTCAAATCATTATTACATTTTTGGCACTTCTTCTCCTGTGGGCATTTATTGCAAAATTAAATTGATTTATCTATGTAGTATCCATCTTATTTGCACTAAGAGCAAGATTTATTATCTTCTAAGACATAAAAGCCAGAAATACATTTTTAGCATTCAGATTTGTTATTGCATATGTCACAATTTTAAATGCAATTGTCACAAATGTTTAAACTTTAATTGATAAAATAGCCATTTTATTTGCAATCAGTGCATTTTTTTCCATCTTGTAGGTATTTTTCAGGTTTGTTTGCATAGCATTAAGTACATTATGTCTCAGGTGAACACTTTTAACATTTTAAATCAGCTTAGCATTCAACACAATTTTTATCCTTAATATAATAGCCATCTTAATTACATAAAACGCAATTTTAAGATTTATCTTATTTGTAAGGAGAAACACAATCGTTAGGATTTTAATTGTTATATTTGCAACTTCCATCTTCATATTTTTTAGCTCCATCAATACACTATAAACAATCACTATCAGATGGTCCTTTGCATGTCTTACAAATCAGATTACATCTTTTGCAAAATTATCCATCAATATAATATCCTTAGTCTAACTAACATGGTTCGCATGTGTTTCTTTCAACATTAAGCTAATTATTAATACTATCTTTACAGGAAATGCAATATTTATAACTACTATCACAGTTGCATGTAACTGAACAACCTTTACATTTATTATCAGGTTTCCAAGTTTATCCTGAGGGACAAAAATCACAAAACCCATCTGCAAGTTAATCGTATCTCTCATTTTTGCCTGGTTATTATTAACAATCTTTACACTTTTTATATTCTGTACAACCTTTGCAACGAGGGTGGCAATTTTCACAGCTCTAATAAATAGGATGAAAAAATTATTATTCACCACATGTTGATAGTAGCCTTAGAAAAGAAGAGTTAATATTTTGTAAAGAAATAGATTGCTTTATTTAATAATTTTTTATATTTATGAACAGCCTATTTTAATTAAAATAGAATTTATAAAAATTGAAATAAGTTTAAAAGATATTTGGATGATATTCCATTTATAAAAAATGATTTACTTTAATCCTTTGATTTTAAGCTATTTCCAGATTATTTCTTCTTTTGTATAAGAAAATATAGTGTAAATTAAGTAAGGCTAGTCAAGTATTTACTCTATAGTGAAACTATATACTGATTAACTTAGAGTTAAATGTAAAATTCTTTAAGATTAGTCTTAAATTATAAAAGATATATTCCTAATTATATTTAGATATCGTAAAATTTATTAAATTTTAATTTAAATATAGTTTTACCTAGGCGATGAGATATTAAGTTCAAATTTAGCTTGGTATGTAGCTCCTACATAACTTATCAAATCTTTTGACTCTACTTTGATTGAATAGGTATAATTTGATATATTTTCGCTAATTAGTAAAGGATTTAGTTCTTTTAGATTGCTACCTTAATCATGAAAATTATAGTAAACTTGATAAGTAGCAAATATTCTTTAAATTATAGAATAGATTATAGTTAAAAAGAAAAGGAAATATTTGTTAGATTTCATTATTCTTACTTTTTTGTTATTCTTTTATTTTTAATTAGATTATAGGCATGAAAAGAAATTGTAAATTATCTAAAGATTATCAAAAAATTAATCTTCTGATGGATAAAAATCAATTAATAATAATTAAAGTTTAGAAATATATTAATCTTCTATCATCACATTAGATATCTTAAACTACAGTCAACACTAATAATTTGATAGAAAGCAATTTTCTTTTATCAAAAAATGTAAAAATTAATTGAAGTAAGATTTTTATTTTTTAAATTAATTACATTTTTAAATTTATAATTATTGTTAAATACATAACATTCATAAATAGCATTTTACTTTTTAAATCTTACTCAAATAAGTTATTTTAAACAACATTAATTAGTGTTTTATTAAGTGAGGATAGCTAAATAACTATAAAAATATAAAAAAGAAGATTATTATCTTGTGGATAGAACATAATAAAAAGTTGAATGATAATTAAGTATTTATTTTTAAAATAACTAAAAATTATCATACTTTTATTAATTTACTTGCTTACCTTCTTTCCTCTATTACTTTGTAAAGAGTATAAAAGAAATTGCATTCATGTGTAGAAAAAATAAATTAATTAAGGATATTACGTCATAAATAATTTTAATAAAATCTAATATACTTTACTTAACATTTCGAAATATATAAGAATGACATTACATTAAATTTAAAAATACAAAATAAATTAGAAGTTGGATTTCGCTCTATAAATTAAAAGACAATAGTTTGGTATTTTTCTAATATTCATTATCATCACTAATTTAAATATAGTCTTCTTTTTTTTTTGATATTCAAATATAAAAAAAATGTCTTCATATTAAAATTACACAAAAATATATTTTTATCTATTAAATAATTAATACACTAACCACATTTCATTTTTTTATTTGCTTTTTTAGATTTTTTATCATCTTTACTCATTTCTAATACCTAAAAAGTTTTCATTTGAGTTAGATATTTGATGCATTATTACATCATATATCAATTATACCTATGCATGTATACAATTAATATCATTACCAAAATTTATAAATAAAATTATAAATAAAGCTATTTAAAATCTTATTTCTATCACAAATAAAAATAAAATTTTATAAAGTGACATGAATATTTTAAACTTATCTAATAATTTTGGAAATAAAAACTAAATTTTATTCAAAATAATCTATTTTTATCACTTTTCTCATTAAAAAATGTAATCCTAATATACTCTAAATAAATCAATATTTACAATCTGAATAGCTATTCAAATTAATCTCATAATCAATTAATTAATTTTCCTTTCAAAAATTATATTTCCATTTCAGAAAACAATTAATATTAATAATTTCATCCATTAACCTTTTAATAGATTTAACTTTAAAAATCCTATTTTAAACTAAAATTTATTAAAAATATGAAATCGTTATTTTTTAGAGCATTTTGCCAAATAAAGTATGTAGAAGTTTAAATTCTTTATAAAAAACATTGTAATATTATATAAAAATAAATTAAATTACAATTTATAAATATAAAATTGCTTCATTAATAACATTTCCATTTTTATTATTTACAAATCTATTTTTTAAACAATCTACCGTTAGTTTCCTATATTAAATTTGCTAATAAAAATAGTTATTTTTTAAAAATATAATCCTTTAGCCAAAATAGCTTGATAACATCACTGTATAAATATTATTATTTTTTAATTAATCAGGGTGAATGAAAATGAAAGTAAATTTCAAACCACAATTTATTTTACTTTCAACTCATTTTTAAAAATAGTTTAGATAAAAACTAAAAGAATATTAAAATATGGAAATTATATGATAATCAAGCTAATTAATACATATTTTTATTCGTTTAACTTAGAATATCTCTGATAAAATCTTTATAAATCTTAATTTCTTTATAGAAATTTAATTTGCTTATAATTAAGACTATTTAAAATTTGAGAAGAAGTTGATCTAAGCTTTATAAAATATCTAAAATATATTTCTAAATAATATTTAAATATTTTAAGTATCTTGCTAAAATATGTATGAATATAAAAATTAGGTATCAATGATTTATATTTATCACTTCCCTATTATTTTTTGTGCTAACACAATAAATATATTTATATTAAAGAAAATCGAGATCTAAAAATATTAAGATAAATTAGAAAAGAAAGAATTAAAGAGATTTTTATTGAAAAACAGTTCAGTGATTTATTTAACACAAATATTATCAAATATATATTAAGTAAACATTTTTAAGATGTTAGTAAAATATTTTATAAAACATTAAGAAATTTAATTAATTTTTTTAAAATATTAAACTTTTTATACAAATAAGTGATTTATATCAAGTATTAAGCAAATAAAGTGGAAGAAAATTTAAAAATATTTTTATTAAAACAAAATTATTAAAAACTCTCAAAAAATCAAAGTAATGTTTTTAAAAATTTAAAGTAAATTAAGTTATTAGCTTAAATAAAAACTTTATTTTAAATATTACAAATAAATATTAAATAAAATTATTATATTAGAATTAATTTATTATTTATCATCCCGTTTTTTATTTATAAAATTATGGCATGCATTAATCACATTTAGAGTATGATCTACAGCTACTACATCCAATTTTACATTATCTACAATATTTACTTTCTATGTAATATCCTTATTCACATTTATCGCATTTTCCATCCTTTTAAATAAATTTACCTGGTTCACAAGATTCACAAGAGTTTTCATTTATGCAAGTTAAGCAGTTCATCTAAGGTGGGCATTACTGACATAAGTTTCCTTTTAAGAAATATCCCTAAGAGCATTAAGTACATTATGTCTCAGGTGAACACTTTTAACATTTTAAATCAGCTTAACACTCAACACAATTTTTATCCTTAGCATATTATCCATCTTAATTACATAAAACGCAATTTGAAGATTTATCTTATTTGTAAGGAGAAATGCAATCATTAGGATTTTAATTGTTATATTTACAACTTCCATCTTCATATTTTTTAGCTCCATCAATACACTATAAACAATCATTATCAGATGGTCCTTTGCATGTCTTACAAATATTATTACATCTTTTGCAAAATTATCCTTCAATGTAATATCCTTATTCTAACTAACATGGATCACAATTTTTAGTGATTATATTTTAGAAAAAGCCATCTTAACACTTTCCACAACTTTTATCAGGTTTTAAAAAATCACCTGGGAAACATTTGTCACATGCATTAAAACTAGAGCAAGTTTAACATTTAAAAGTTTCTTAGCATTTTTTACAAAATTTACCTTCGACAAAATAACCTTAAATACAAGGAGAACATCTTAAATCTTCTTGAATTTTGTCATCGCCTTTACAAGTTTCACAAGAATTTCCATTTGAACATGTTAAACAATTTAACTTTTGATCACAGTTTTTGCATTATTTTCCTTCTTTATACTATCCATTTTAATCACATTTGACACATGTTTTATATTAATCCAAATAATATCCTTCTAAGCAGCTATCACAAGAGTCTATTTTAGAGCAAGTAGCACAAAATAAAGATGTTTAATTACATTTTTTACAATTATCACCTTCAATAAAGTATCCATCATCACATGGTTTACATGAATTATCATCATGTAAAAAACTACCACTTGAGCAACTAATACAATCATTTATATTTTCACATGCTTTACAATTCTTTAATTCGTTACATTTCATGCATTAATTCGTTGTTTTTTCAATAAAAATACCATCTCCTTTACAATCTTAACATTTATTTTAGAAATCTATAAAAAGATTCTCATGACACGACGAACAACTATTTCCATTTTCACATGTTTTGCAATTAAAATCTGGTTTGCATGGTTTACAAAGTCCTAAATCAGAATATTAACCTTACAAGCATTACCCACAAGTTTTATCTTTTTACAAATTATCAGGAGGATAACAAGTTAAGCATTCAGATTTATTTATGCAAGTTTTACATTTTGCTAAAGGGTTACACTTTTTACAATATTTATCTTAAACAAAGTATCCATCTTCCTTGCATATAGCACAACTACCATCTTCTTGAATATATTCATTTGTTTATTTGCAACTTAAGCATTTATCTTCTTCACATGATAAGCAGTTCAATTCTTATTTACACTCTAAGCACTGCATTTCTTTTTTATAAAAGCCGCTTTCTGTACAAGGAACACAAATATTATTTTTATTTTTAAAGAATGAATCTTAACATTCGTTGCATGATAAATCATTAGAGCAAGTCTTACAATTAAATTTAGGATCACATTACAAACAATTTTTAGTTTAGCACTTACATTTACCGTTTAAAAAGATTAAATTTTGAATGCACTCTTTGCAATTTGTGTCAGAAGGTCCATCACATTATTTGCAAGTAGAATGACATTTCTCGCATTCATTCTAACTATTTACAAAGAATCCATTATTAGTATTACATATTTTGCATTTGCGGTCATATTTATCTAGAATTAAATTATCAATACAATTCTTGCAGGATATTTCTTTTTCATCAGAACATGTTTAACATGTATCGTGACACTTTAAACAGAAGTTATTACCATCAATAAAATATTTCTCCTAGGTTGGGCATATTATACATTTTTTATCTTACTAAAAGCTAAATGTATCTATGCATTACGTGCATTTCTCTATTTCTACTCCAGTACAAGATTTACAATTTTAAGCACAATCAAAACATTATCTACCACTTTGGAAAACTCCATCTCTTGAGCAGGCTTCACATTTTCCATAATAACTAAATTACGTTGAGTCTTTGCATTCTAAACAATCATTTTATGTCATTCCTTAACATTTAGAGCAAGAGGCATCGCATAATTAGCATGTATCGCTTTATTAAAATTATCCTTAACTATTACAAGGTATGCAAGAAGCTCCGTTATTGAACAGATAAAAATTTTATGAGCACTTTTTACATTTATTTTGATCTGCACAGATTTAGCAATTTTCAGTGCATTTAAAGCAATTTTTTCCATTTTAAAAATATCCTTCGCCACAGGAAATACAGTTATCTGAATTATAAAGGTAGAGGCCACTTTAGCATTCAGTACATTTCAAATCATTATTACATTTTTTGCACTTCTTCTCCTGTGGGCATTTATTGCAAAATTAATTTGATTTATCTATGTAGTATCCATCTTATTTGCACTAAGAGCAAGTTTTATTATCTTCTAAGACATAAAAGCCAGAAATACATTTTTAGCATTCAGATTTGTTATTGCATATGTCACAATTCTAAATGCAATTGTCACAAATGCTTAAACTTTAATTGATAAAGTAGCCATTTTATTTACAATCAGTGCATTTTTTTCCATCTTGTAGGTATTTTTCAGGTTTATTTGTATAGCATTAAGTACACTATGTCTCAGGTGAACACTTTTAACATTTTAAATCAGCTTAACATTCAACACAATTTTTACCCTTAGCATACTAGCCATCTTCATTACATAAAACGCAATTTGAAGATTTATCTTATTTGTAAGGAGAAACGCAATCATTAGGATTTTAATTGCTATATTTGCAACTTCCATCATCATATTTTTTAACTCCATCAATACATTATAAACAATCACTATCAGATGGTCCTTTGCATGTCTTACAAATAAGATTACATTATTTGCAAAATTATCCATCTATGTAATATCCTTAGTCTAACTAACATGGCTCGCATGTGTTTCTTTCGACATTAAGCTAATTTTTACTTTTATCTTTACATGAAAGGCATTATTTTTTACTATTATCACAGTTGCATGTATCTGAACAACCATTACATATATTATTAGGTTTCCAAGTTTATCCTGATGGACAAAAACCACAAAATCCATCTGCAAGCTAATCATATCTCGACATTTAATTAGGTTGTTTTGAACAATCTTTGCACTTCCTGTATTCTGTGCAACCTTGGCAATTAGGGTGGCAATTTTCACAGCGCTAATAAATAGGATGAAAAAATTATGATGAATTACATGTTTATAGCATTCTTAAAAGGAAGAGTTAATATTTTAATAAGAAATATTTTATTTGAGCTAATAATTATTTATATTTATGAAGAGCCTATTTTAATTAAAATAGAATTTATAAAAATTAAATAAGTTTAAAAGATATTTGATGATATCCCATTTATAAAAAATGTTTTACTTTAATCCTTTGATTTTAAGCTAGTTCAAAACACTTTCTTCTTTTGTATAAGAAAATATAGTGTAAATTAAGTAAGGCTAGTCAAGTATTTATTCTATAGTGAAGCTATAAATTGATTAATTTAGAGTTAAGTGTAAAACTCTTTAATATTAGTCTTAAATTATAAAAGATATATTCCTAATTATATTTAGTTTCTTAAAATTTACTTAAATTTTAATTTAAATATGGTTTTACCTAGGCGAAGTGATACTAAGTTCAAATTTAGCTTGGTATGTAGCCCCTAAATAACTTATCAAATCGTTTGATTCTACTTTGATTGAATAGGTTTAATTTGATATATTTTCACTTTATAGTAAAGGACTTAGTTCTTTAAGATAGCTACGTTAATCATGAAAGTTATAGTAAACTTGATAAGTAGCAAATACTCTTTAAATTATAGAATATATTATAGTTAAAAAGAAAAGGAAGTATTTTTTAGATTTCATAATTCTTACTTTTTTGTTATTCTTTTATTTTTAATTAGATTATAAGAAAGAAAAGAAATAATTGTAAATTATCTAAAGGTAAGCAAAATTAATCTCCTGATGGATAAAAATATATTAATAATTATTAAAGTTTAAAAAAATATTAATCTTCTATCATTACATAAGATATCTTAAACTACAGTAAACACTAATAATTTGATAGAAAGTAATTTTCTTTTATAAAAAAATGTAAAAAATAATTGAAGGATTATTATTTTTTTATAAATTATTATTATTGTTAAATACATTAAATTAATATGTAATATTTTAGTTTTTAAATTTTATTCAAATAAGTTATTTTAAACAGCGTTAAGTAGTATTTTAAAATGAGAATAGTTGAATGACTAAAAAAATATAACAAAGTAGATTATTATATTATGGTTAGAACATAATAAAAAGTTGAATGATAATCAAGTTTTTATTTTTAAACAAACTAAGATTTATGGATCTTTTATTAATTTACTTGCTTACCTATAAAATAAATTGCATTCATGTGTAGAAAAAAGAAATTAATAAAGGATATTACATCTAAATAATTTTAATAAAATCTATGCTTTACTTAACTTTTTAAAATTTATAAGAATGAAATAAAATTAGTAGTTTGATTTTCCTCAAAAAATAAAAAGACAATAGCTTAATAGCTTGGTATTTTACTAGTAATAATATCACCACTAATTTAAATATAGTCTTCTTTTTTTTGATATTCAAATATGAAAAAAAAAACAAAAAGACTTTAATTGGCTTTTAATTTCAAAAAGCGCTTAAAGCATTTAAATGCTTCCATATTTAAATTTACTCAAAAATATATTCTTATTTATTTATTTATTTATTTATTTATTAAATAATTAATACACCAACCACATTTCATTTTTTTTTGCTTTTTTAGATTTTTTATTATATTTAGAAATTGAAAAAATAAAATTCTCCTCCAAAAAAATTGATGTTGAGTCAGGTCTCTAAAAATCTAATATATGAAATAAAAAAATGTTTTGAAACATTTTTTAAACCAGTGAAAATTAAATGGGATAAAAATTAATGGTCACACATTTATAGAGTCTTTTATTATTTAACAGGATTTTAATTTTAATTCATCTATGTGTTAAAGATAAAATAGTTTTCAAAAATATTATTTAAATAATTCTTTCTTTTTCCTTTTAATTATATCAGCCTCTATATAAAGTAGTAAATTACCTTGACTAATAATAATTAATTAAGTAAATGGAATTTATGGCTATATCCTTTATTCCTCATACCCTCTTAGCCTTTTTAATTATCATTTAATTACAACGAAATAGTCTGATAGTTAGATTGTGACTCTTTTAGAAATCAAGTGAAATATTTAATAGAGGATTTAAATTTCTTCGATGTTATGGTCAAAGAAGGCAGATTAATAGTAACAGATACTTTTAAGTCTTTTTAATTTTTAGATATAACATAAACATAAAAAGATAAATATGAATTAATGAAGATATTATAAAAAAGGTTACATTCATAATCTAATAAATGATTAATAATATTATCTTCTGAAAGATAAACCTTTACTCCTACCAGCCAGAATATTTTAATTGAAAGTTATGAAAATAAATTTCAAACCACAACTTATTTTACTTTAAACTCATTTTTATAAATAGTGTAGATATAAACTAAAAGAATATTAAAATTTCGAAAATATATGATAACCAAGTTCATTAATATATGTATATTTTAATTCGTTTTGCTTAGAATTTCTATTTTAAATTCTTTATAAATCTTGGTTTATTTATAGAAATTTAACTTTCTTAAATTAAGACTATTTTATACTTGAGTTGATCTAAGCTTTATTAAATAACCAAAATATTTTACTAAAATTATATTAAAATATCATAAATATTTAACTAAAATATGGATGAATATAAAAAATTGGTATCATTTGTGTATATTTCTATTGTTTTTAGTGATAACACAATAGAAATGTTTAATGAAAATGGAGAACTAAAAATAATTAAGATAAATTAGAAAAGAAAGAATTTAAATTTTATGTCTCAATTGTAATTAAAAAATAGATATATTTATTGAAAATTAATTTAGCGATATATTAAGCACAAATATTATCAAATATATTTAATGAAAACATTTTTAAGATGTTAGCATATATTTTATAATATTTTAGGAAATTTAATTACTTTTTAAGATATTAACATTTAAGTGTTAAATTAAAATATGATTTTGATTTTATACAAAGAGGTGCTTAATATCAAAAATTAAACAAAAAAAATGGAATAAAATTTAGAAATATTTTTATTAAAAAATTTATTTTAGAAAATTTCCAAAAAACAAATATATAATGTTTCTAAATATTAATATTACAAATAAATGTTAAATAAAATTATTAAATTAGAATTAGTTTATTAGTAATCATACAGTTTTTAATTTATAAAACTAGGGCATGCATTAATCACATTTAAAGTATGAAGTACAGATACTACATCCAATTTTACATTATCTACAATATTTATTTTCTATGTAATATCCTTATTCACATTTATCGCATTTTCCATCCTTTTAAATAAATTTACCTGGTTCACAAGATTCGCAAGAGTTTTCATTTATACAAGTTAAGCAGTTCATTTAAGGAGTACATTACTTACACACATTTCCTTTTAAAAAATATCCTTAAGAGCATTAAATACATTAAGATACTGATGAGCACTTTTAACAATTATCTGAACATTTTTTACAAAATTAATTTTCAATAAAATACCCTTCTCTACAAAAATCACATTAACCATCAGGATTTATATATTTATCTTTAGTGCAAGATGTACAAGAAAGTTAATCTGAGCAAGTTAAGCAATTTAATGAAGGATTGCAAGCTTCACAGTTACCAGATTTAAGAAAATATCGATTGGTACATTAACTACAAGCATCTTTAGAGCTACATTTTAAACAATTTTGTTTACAATTTTTACATAATATACCATCTATTTAATATTCTTCTTTGCAAGTATCACAAGTATTATTAGAGTAAAAATATTCACCACTATTACAACTGGTACAAGTTATTTCATCTGAGCAAGTTTTGCATTTTAGATCCTTAGGACATAAAGTACAAATTCCATTTTTGGAAAAAAATCCATCAGCACACTTTTCACAATTATTCAAATCTTTGCATTTATAACAATTTTCTTTACAGCGCTTGCAATAATTACCTGATATAAAAAAACCATCCTAACAAATATCACATCCATTATTTATATCAGATTAAATAAATAATCCAGAATTACACTTAGTGCAAGATATACTGTTATTACATTTTTAGCAATTTAATTCAGGATTGCAAGGTAAACATTTGGATCCCTCAATATAAAATCCATCTTAATCACATTTTAATTCGCATCTTCCATCATCATGTTTCAATAATCTATCTCTACAAGTAATGCAATCATTAGGATTTGGTCCTTTACATGATAAACATTGATATGGGCACCTTCTACAATACTTATCACTTATATACCACCCGTTATTAGTGTCACATTTTTAACAAGTTGCCAATTCTTCGTTAATAAATAGACTACTATCTTTGCAACTCTTACATACTCTACCATCATCTGAAATATCTTTACATTTATTTGACTTTCCTTAACATTTATTAGTTACTATTGAAAAACTTACAAATAATCCATCATTACAGGTACCACAAGTTTTGTCATATAAATATTCATATCTACGAATATTTTCTTTTTTGATACAATCATTACACTAGTAATAGTTTGTACAACCTTCACAATATTATCCACATTACATACATTCTTAGTATATAATTTCATAATAAGTATTACCAGTACAAGATTTTTATAACAATCTTTTTTGATTCTAGCTCTTTGTATAATTTAAGCATTGAGTTCTGAATTTTTAAAATTTTTATTAATTTAAATTTATTTAAAAAAAGAAAGAACAGATTTACTTGTATTGAAGAATAGGTTATTAATTTTATAAATATTAATTGTTGTAAGATAAAATGACTCTAATTTTAATATCTTTGTACTTTTGAATTCTTATAAAATCTAACTACACTTTAGTTTCTTCTAAAATAATTCTTTAAACTTCAACATTTTCAGGTTAAATACTTGTAAATTTATACCTTATTTATTTAATATATTAATTCAAAACTATTAAAAAAAACTTTAAATTTACTATTGGTTATAATATTTGCTTGCAAATTATATTTAAATAGAGCATAAAGTATCTTAAAAAGAGAACAATTATTATTTTATTATTATTTCCTATTCTTTATAAAAGGTCTAATCACGAAATATGAAAGTTCTAGATGCTTATGAAAAAATAAATAGATGTTAAAATAAAGAAAATATTTAAAATTATAAAATGAATTACCTATCTTTTAAGTTAATATGATTATTAAAAAGATTGAAGTATTAAATCTAAAAGTTAGCATTTTTATTCCTCTTTTTAACATTTAAACAGAAAACAAAAAATGAGTAAATTTTCTAAAAAATTAATTATTAAATTTTCTGGCTGAAAGACAATATTTACCTTAAATTGGTATATTTATTCAAATCAAATAAATAATTATCATTTAAATAAAGATAAGTAATTATTGTGATTCCTCAAATTATAAAATTTTATTTAATTTAATTAATTTTATAAAGAGAATTACCTTAACTATGGATAAATATTAAAAATTATTTTGGATGAATATTAATTAATGAGGATTTACAGTTTATAACTAAAAAACGGAATCTCAACTTAATAAACCTAAAACATTAACTTAATAAATTCTTTAAATTTGAAAAACAATCTAAAGAATAAAAAATAATAACATATATTTAAATTTAATTATTATTAACTTAAAAATTTTACTTGCCATAATTACTATTACCTCTTATTCCTTAAGATACCCAAAAAAAATGATTTAATATAAATTTGTAATTGGTTCTTGTAATTTGATTTTGTTCTATTAGGATCTAAGAAAGAAAGTATTACTAAATTATTTTTATTTCCTGTAAAATTAAATATTAATAATAATAAAGCTTATTATACTCAGAGTAAGAGATCTATTTTAATTTTATATGTTGTTATAGATATAAAAGTATATATTATCCATTAAGAAAAATATTTAATTAAATAATAATAAGCTTATTATTTTTTTATTATTATCAATAAAAATAAGAATAAAATTTTACAGTTTCAAGTCAAACAAATTTTATTTATAAAATTAATCTATTTTAATAATTATTACAATTATTATTTATTATTTTGAGTATATAACATTTAAACGTTAAACTTACTGAAATAATTAGAAATTTACTAATATTTTTTTCTAAATAAATAAGAATTAATTATTTTATTAAAAATTAATAAAATTAATTGTAAAACAAGCTCTCAATAATTTAACAAATTTTCGTATTTAGTTTTAAAATTAAGTAATAAAATATTAACAATTGAATTAAATAAATTAAAATATATTTTTTTGATTAATTTTTAGCTTTTAATCTTCAAATAATTAATGTGGTTTCTTTTAAATAAAATTGAATTCAATTATTATCTCTAAATTTTATACAAACATTTTTTAAATAATATTCTTTTATCTATCTTTTCTAGACATTATTTTGGTAAAGAGGATTTATGGTAAATAACTAAATAAAGAATCTGAAATTAATAAACCTAAAATATTAATAAGCTCTTTAAATTTAAAAACTATTAAAAAAGAAAAAAAATAAATACATATATTTGAATGTAATTATCATTAATTTAAAGATTTTCCTTGCCTCTATTACTCTTTGCTTTTTTTCCTTAAAATACCCAATAAAATGAATAAATATAGATTTGTAATTAGTTCTAATAATTTGATTTTGTTTTATAAAGATCTAAAAAAGAAAGTATTACTAAATTCTTTTTATTTCTTGTAAAACTAAATATTACTTTTGGTATAGCTTATTATACTCAGATAAAAAGATATCTTAATTGTATAATGTTGCTATAAATAGAAAATCTAATTTCCAAAAAATATGTTTTTAAATAATAAGCTTATTAAAAGTATTTACCTAATCTATAAAAAAAGAAGAAAATTTCATAGCTTCAAATCAAACAATTTTATTAATAAAATTAATCTATTTTAATGATTGATTAAAATTATTGCAATTATTCTTTATCATATTTTAGTTGATATCATTTTAAATGTTATTAGAATTAATTAATTAATTTAAATTTTATAAATTTAATTTAATCATAAAACAAACTAGAAATAATTTAAAAATTTTTCAGATTGAGTTTTTAAAATTAAGAAATAAAAAATAAACGATTAAATAAATAATTAAAATATATTTTATTAATTTAAAGCTTTTAATCTCCAAATAATTAATGTGGTTTCTTTTTAATTAATACGAATTCATTGATATCCTAAAACTTTTTCAAAAGAATTCTTTTAATAAAGAAAATACATTAATTAAGGTCAATTTCTATGAATTTATTAAAAAAAATTAAATAAGGTAGATTAAATAATAAAAAATTTGGAAATTCATAGGCTAAAATAAAATGAACATCTAAATTAAAAAATTATTTAAAAGGAAAGTTAAAATTAAAAATAAATGAACTATTTTTACTTTTCACTTAAAAAAGATTAAAAAGGTAATTAATAAGTTGCACATAAATATATTTAGGTATTTTAAAAATAATAATGAAATCATTTTTGAATTTTTGGTAGAGCTATCTCTCTCACTTTAAGAGGATTTATTTACCATTTAATAGATAATTCATTTATGCAATCAGATTTTTCTTCAAAATTCTTTGAAGAAATGCTACTAAATTAACTAATGTCAGCACTTTAATTAAGTATTTCCTTCACTGATAGAGGGATTGGTGCATTTTTTTTGGAAACGATATATCTTTTTAACTTAAAATTGTTTCTTATTTGCTTCCATTTAATTGAAACATCAGTTTCTTAAGTTCTTGATACTATAAATCTCACTTTGAAGTATTTGATATATATAACTCTGCATAAGCTATAAATCGTATAAATTAAAACTATTAAGTTAATGAGCATAAGATTTACTAAAATCCCCCAACTTATTATCTTAGAGTTGGTAAAAAACAGAGAACAAAGCAATAAACTATTCGTACAATTCAGAATTTCAAGAACAAAGTAATACTATAACTAACTTTTAACTTCAAATGGCTTTGTTAACCAATAAAAAATCAAAAAAGAAAAGTTAATTATCAAAATGAGCAAGGTAGATATTTCAGTTAGAGGAACACAAAATTATAAGAGTAAAATAATCACTTTTCTGAACTCAAAAATAAACCAAAAATATTTATTGAAAGGCAAATCAGTGGCTATTCCTTCTATAAAAAATAGCTAATATTTAAGTTAGTCTTCATCATACACTTTTTTACTGAAATTTCTTACTTTTCTAAATAGTATAAATCCAAAAGTACAATAAAATATTATGTAGACAGCCTAAAAAGCTATTCCTAACCAGTTTATTAAGCTCATAGAAGAAAAATTAATGAAAGAATAAGAATAGAGCACGCTTGTAAAAATGAAGTTGGAGAATATTTGTTGCATTTGAATAATAAATTTGAATCTATTACTATAGATTTGACTCATCAACTCATACTTATTTCTAAAAAAATATACTATTACATAGAATAGTACTATCAATAGGAAAATAAAACTATACATTATTATGGTTTCTACAAATATGCTACTCAATTCTTAAGAGCGGATATCTCTTAGATTATTTTAAATTAATGAATTTTCTTCAAGCTCTCTTTTCTCTTACAACAAATTCCTTAGCGGATTAGAATTAATCTATTAATTTTATATTTCATTTTTTAAAAGCTTCACTGAATTGCTCGTTATATTTTAACTACTGTTATAAATACCTTGATTAGTTTATTAATACGCTTATTCTTTTAATGATGTGTTACTTTATAGATATTTGCTTTCTAAATTTTAATCTAATTTGAAAGATTATAAACTATTAATACTCTACTTAGGATAAAAATATAAGTCATAGGCTGAAATATACCTAAAGGGATTTGGTATCATGTTGATTAAATTTTATTAGAAATTTTACTAATAAAAAGTAGGCCCTAAACTTAGGCTTTTTAAAGAGTCTTTTAGCAAATAACTATTACCTATTTATTATTGAATTTGTATTGAGTAAGACATAACTGAAGTGGATCTTAGGATAAAAAAAGAAATAGCTTGAATAGAATAAGTTGCTATTATAGATTATTTCATTCCAAAATCAATTTTGTCTATCAATTACATCTCTTTTTCACAGCTATCATCTAGTTTATTTAAGTCAGTGCATTCATAGAAGTTGTAGCGATCATCATACTTACATGTATTGTTTTCATTAAGAAAATACTTGTAAGAGCACTTAGTGCAATGATTTTCATTGCAAGTTAAGCAATTTAAAAACTCGCACTTCTTACATACATTTTTGCTGCTAATATACTCATCTTACTCACATTTTCTACAAGCTTCTTACTTTTCGCTTACAAAATGATAATCTTTTATGCATGATGTACATTTTGTGAGAGATTGGCATTCTGAGCAATTATTTTAGCAATCGTTGCAAATGTAAGTTTGAGGATCTAAAAACTAATTTTTGTTGCAATCTACCACACATGTTTTAGATTTACTTATTTAGTTTATAATATATTTGCACTTTTAGCATCTATTTGTTTTGTCATTCTTAATGTATCCAGAAACACATTAACTTACACAAAAATTATCTTAATCAAAAAATTTGGCAGGATCTGAACACTCGATACAAGCTTATCTGCCTTGATTAAAGCAAGTTTTACAATCGCTATCACATTCAATGCATTTTTTAAGTTTTTTATCTGTTTTTAAAAAAAATATAAATTTATAATTTAATCAAAATAGGTGAGGGTTTTAAATTAAAGTAATTTGTATTAAGTTTATTTATTTATTTAATTAAAATTACAATAGAGAAAATAGACTTAGAAATTTAATACTATTTATGATTTTAATAATCAAAAGATGAAATTTTTAAAAAGAAAAATTTGCAAAAAGTAAAAAATTACCTAAATATTAGTGACTCAAGCATTTATAACACTACCCTTCGAATAAAGTATATTCTTCATCACATGCTATACATTTATTTTGATTTTCACAAACTTTGCAGTTTTTTTCACAATTTGTACATTTAACTTCTTTAGGATCAGATTCATCGAAAAACATTCTTTCTGGACATTTTCTTTAACAAGAAAAATCATTCTAAAGTATCATCTTATTACACTTCATGCATTAGTTGCTCTATTCTCCAAAGCACTAACTACAATTCTAATGGCATTTCAAGCATTTCTTTTCACATTATTTTTTTTATTAATAATTCTTAGCAAAATAGTTCAAATCATTTTAATTGCATTCGTATTTAGTAGCATCTACACATGACGTGCATTAATCAAAATCATTACCAGGCCCTGAGCATGTTTTACAATCTCTATGACAATCATAGCACTATATATTATCATAATATTAATTAGGATCGCATTTACCACATTGCTTAGTATCTGTCCTTATTCTTAAAGCTCCATCTTAACATTACAAACACTCATTATTTTAACTGCCTTTGCAACTTAAGCAAGTTTCATGACATGGCATACATTTGTTGGTAGCTTTGTCAGCATATTCATTTTTCTCACATTCTCCACATTTACCATTTTATTTTATATGAGCATTGTTTCCACATTCTTAACATGTTTTATTATCAACACACTTTAAGCAGTTATCTGAGCAATTTTAACAATGATTTTCTTCTAGATATTAATTAGATAAACATAAACCACAAGTCTTATCTAACCTTATATGATAACCAGGTTACTTACATTCTATACAATCTGTTTATTATTCTCCATTACATTTTTAGCAGTCTTTATGACAATTCTTGCATATGTTTTTATCATTTTTAAACGAATAAACTTCCCTGCAAATTAGGCAATTGTTTTGTTGTTCATCAATACAAGTTTTACAATCTTAATGACACGATAAGCATAATTGACTGAAATTTCCTGTTGGTTCTTTCTTCATAAAATAACCGTCTTAAATATCACAAGACTTACAAAGTTTACTAGTTGGATAGTAAAAAAGATAAGTTTGGCATTCAGTGCAACCTGTTGCTAATTAAGAGCTACACTATTTACAAGAATCATGACATTTAATACATTTAAGGTTATCTACGTAATATCCTTCTGACGGGCATGTAATGCAATTGTTATCCTCATCAAATGTTAGCTTATCTCTACAAGATAAGCATTAATTTACTCCACTACCTTTACAGGTTTAGCAAGTATCATGGCATTTTAGGCATTTATTTGTTAATTACTCAATATAGTATTTGTTTTATATATCACAAATTTTGCATAATCCATCAAGAAAACTTAGTTAATCTGCACATTTAGTACAATTTATATCTTCACCACCATTGCATGTTTTACATGAACTATGGCATTTAAAACACCTGGAATTAGTATCTAAATAAAATCCTTAGTCCTAATTACAAGGCTAGCACTCCTATGTATTCTCAATAAAGAATTTATTTGTTCTACAGGTAAGACACTCATTTTTTTCAGTGCTACTACAAGTTTTGCAGTTTTCTGAACATTTTAAACAAAATTTATCTTTGATAAAAAAACCATCACTAACATCACATTATTAACATATTCCATCTCTAAAATAAAGTCCATTCTTGCATTCAGTACACTATTTAGCATCTATGCCAGAACATTTTTTGCATGACTCATGACATTTTTAACATTTTTGTTTTCCAACATCTGCTCCATTAATAACCCATCCATTATCTTAATCACAAATCTCACACTTTTATTTTACTATTGAAGTATCAGATGGGTCAACATAATCTTTAAAATATAAATTATTCTTGCAGGTCAAACAACCGAATTCAGTATCATCTTTACAAGTCTAACAGGAATAGTTACACTTCTAACAATCTTTATTATTTTATATAAAGTGACCATTTTAAGTATCACATTCCTTACATTTATTACTGTCATTTAAGTCAAAGTAATTATTTTCATGGCATTCAGTACAATTCAAAGCACTATCCCCTTAGCACTTTTTGCAAGATGGATCACATTTTAAACATTTACCAACATTTACAAAAAAGCCAAACTCTGGGCAAATTTAGCATGTACCATCGTCCATAAAAGTTCCTCCTTATTTGCATTTTAAGCATTGTTTAGGCAATCCAGGTTTACAAGTTTAGCATGAACCATCGCATTTTAAACAATCTTTTTTATTAAGATCTATATAGTATAATTCTGAGGGGCATTGCATACATTTATTTTTAGTATTATCGTCTTCTTGGAAAAAATAAAGATCATCTATACATTATAAACAGTTTGTATTACTTTCTCCGTTACAGATTTTGCAGCTTTTATCACAATCATAGCAAATGTCATTATTCAAAAACTATCCATTATCTGTCCTACAGTTTATACATTTTGACTTATCTTTGTTGAATTTAAGTAATCCAGCACACTAAATGCAATCTGTTTCTTAAGACCCTTTGCAAGTTTAACAGTTCTAATGGCAAGCTAAGCATAAATCTCCTTATGCAAAATAAGATCCTGTACATTCTAGACATTAGCCTTCACTTTAATTATTTTTATCTTTGAAATATTTCCCTTCTACACATTTTTTGCATTGTGATTAATCTCCTCCAGAACACTCTAAACAGCTTGAATGACAAGGTTTGCAATATGATCCATCAACGTAATGCGCAATCTTTTCTTAGCACTTTACACAAATCTAATCTCCGTTTTAATCTTTCCAAAATGTTAATCCAGTTGCACAAATTTTGCATTATTTTTAATTTTCGCCTTCACACTCTTCACAAGTGTTATGACATACTTTGCAAAACTCTCCTTCTAAGAAATACCCCTTTTGTGGGCATTTTTAGCAGGTCTTATCTGGCAGCTTACTAAGATTATCTTCACATTTATCACAACCCTTAGGACTCTCATCTTTACATGTTTTACACGTGCTATCACATTGAAGGCATCTATCTCCTTTAATAAAAACTTTTTTATCTGTTTCACATTTTTCACATTTGTCTGAATCATTTTTATAAAGATCTTTTTTACATATTAGGCATTTGTCATCTCCAAATTATGAGCATGTTAGACAATTAGGAGAGCATTACTTGCACATATTAATTTGATTTATTTTTTCTGAATAGTACTCCTCATTAGGACATTTCTTACAGGTTCCATCTTCAAATAAAAATAATCCATCTTAACAAGACTTACATTTATTTTCTTATTCATCATCGCAAGTTAAACAGCTACTATGGCACTTTAAGCACTAGTCTCCTTTAACAAAATAACCGTTATTTATTTAGCAATTCTTGCAATACTTTACTTCTTAAATAATTCCACCTTAATTGATTTTTTCTGTATGGAATTTAGCATCATTTTTGCACTTTAAACAATCAGTTTCTTAGTCACTACTACACAATTCACAAGATTAATGACAAGCAATACACTTATTATTTGTTAGATCTGCATAATAATTAGACTTTGGGCATGAATCACATAAATTACCAAGCCACATGAAAGGAGTTTAACATTTAGTACAATTTTCTTTATTATTTCCATTACAGGTTTAGCAAGAATAGTGACAATCATAGCAAATATTATCCTCTTTTGATATCCAGAAATTATCTTTGTTGCAATCTCTGCAAATATTATCTTTATAATATATATTTAAACCGTCCTTACAAGATAAACACTAGTTAGATTAAGGACCTTTACATGTTTTACAATCTGCAAAGCATTCCAAACATCTGTCTTTATCAATATAAAAATTTTCAGAAGGGCATTCTTAGCAAATTTTATCTGTTCTAAATTTTAAATTGCCTATGCACACATCACAGCCAGTGGAGTCTTAAGAGTGACACTTAAGACATGTATCATGGCACTTAACACATTCCATATCTTTCACGAAATAGCCTTCATTAGGACATTCCTAGCATTGTTTTTGGGAAATAGAATCTTTTTCATCTATTTTTTTAAGATATTAATTATCTTTGCAGGTTATACAATCAAATTAAGATGGTCCAGAACACTCCCTACAAGAAGAGTGGCATTTTATACAGTTAGAGTCTTAAATAAAATAACCATCAGATAGCTTACATTCAGTGCATACTCCTTCTTTGAGTTTCAAATTACCTATGCATTTCTTACAGCCATCTTTATCACATGTTTGACAGCCGCCATCACTGCATGCTATGCAGTTTTTATCTTAAATATAAAAGCCATTTGACGTATCACAAATTTTACATTTTTTATCTTAGTGCATCAGATATTATCCATCACAAGTAATGCATTCTGTTTCAGAAGCACCACTACATGTTAAGCACGTAGCATCGCAATCCAAACACATATCTTCTTTTTCAAATTATTTATTATTAACTTAGCATAAAATGCACTTTTTCTAAGTAGAATCTTTATTGTGATAGAATTTTCTGTTTCCTGAGCAGGTTAAACAATCATTTTCAGATGATGTAGAGCAAGTTTAGCAAGTTAAATCGCATTTTTTACATATATTATCAGCTTTATCTACAAACATGCCACTGTTTAAATCACATTTTTTACAAGTTAAATCAACTTGCTTGTATAAATTCGCATCGCAATCTAAGCAACCAATTTCTGAGCTATCTTTACAAGTTTTACACGAATTATGACAAGGTAAGCACAATTTATCTTAAATAAAATATTTATTATTTATTTGACAGTCATTACAGTTCCCTTCAGGATATAGTTTTTATTCACCATTACATAATAAACAATCATTTTGACCTTATTATTTGCACTGCTTGCAACTAGAGTGACATTTTTTACACTTTTTACCTTCTTTAAAATAACCATCTTGGGGGCACTCTAATTAGCAAGACCCGTCTTCAAATTCATAATCAGTATCCCAGCATTTAGTACAACTAGTTTTATTAGAATCTTTACACTCTAAGCAAGAAGAATCACATCTCATACAATTATTTCCATTTTGATAAAATGATTAAGTAGATAGACAATCAACACAAGTTTGTTTTCCATTCTCAGTTAATAAAAATTTGTTAACTGGACAGCTCAGACATTAGTCTTAACCTTATCCAAAGCAGGTTTAGCATTCTTAATTACAAGGTAAACAAAATATTCCACTCTTGAAAAATTTGTTGTTTATATCACATTCCTTACAGGTATTATCTGAAAATAAATATTTATTTTCTTAACAAGTTTTACATTAGTTACTTTATCCTCCATAACAAGTCTTGCAACTTGATTCACATTTTTCACAGCTAATTTTGTCATCTTTAATGTAAAATCCTTCAGACTCCTCGCACTTTTGGCAAAGACCATCTCTAAAATACAATTTTATAGGATTTTCTGCACATTCAGTACATGATTTAGCATCTTAATTTTTGCATTTCTTGCAAGAATCATCACATTTCTTGCAATAAACTCCATCTTAGAAATATTTATTTTCAGTTTAGCAAGCTTAACAAATTTTTGTATCAGAATCAATCAAAAAATTTAAATTTAAACAGGAATCACAATCAGTGTTATTCTATCCATGGCAAGTTTTGCACGATGAGTCACATCTCTTACAAACTTTGATATCGTTCTCATAAGCAATAAAGAACCCATTTTCTGTTTAACATTATTTACATGTGCTATTTTCATGGAGAGCCAAATCATTTGCACAACTCAAGCAATTATTATCTGAACTACCATTACAGGTAAGACAAGAATCATGACATTTCTTACAATATTTATAATCAGTTATATAAAATTTTTCACTTGGACATTTTATACATACCATCTAGTCATTAAAATATAAACCCTCTGCACAGAGTTTACATTATCCGTTTCCAGGTCCGGTGCAGGTTTTACACTAGACATCACAATTTTAGCAATAATTATTGTCATCTATGTACTTCTTATCTGCTTCCAAATTACATGTTTCGCAAGAATTATCTTTTGGGTTGATAAAAAATTATTCTTTACACTAAATGCAATCTTAAATGTTTGGTCCTTTGCATCCTTTGCAATTCATATGGCAGTTTTAACAAATATTTAAGCCATTTGGATCTTTTACATACATATTATCTAAGTCACAGTTAATACATAACTTTGATGTTTAGTCAGAAGGAAAACTCAAACCAGCTTTACACTTGATGCATACATCTTTACTTGAACATGTTTGACAAGATTTATCGCATTCTAAACAATTATTATTGTTATCAGTATAATATGAATTTTCTGTATTACAGTTTTAACATTTACCGTTTAAAAAGCTTAAACCTTAAATGCATTCTTTGCAATTTGTGTCCGAAAGTCCATCACATTACTTGCAAGTAGAATGACATTTCTCGCATTCATTCAAACTATTTACAAAGAAACCATTACTAGTATTACAAATTTTGCATTTGCGGTCATATTTATCTATTATTAAATTGTCTATACAAGTACTGCATGATATTTCCTTTTCATCAGAACATGTTTAACATGTATCATGGCATTTTAAACAGTAGTTATTCCCATCAATAAAATATTTCTACTAAGTTGGGCATATTAAACATTTTTTATCATACTAAAAGCTAAATGTATCTATGCATTATGTGCATTTCTCTATTTCTACTCCAGTACAAGATTTACAATTTTAAGCACAATCAAAACATTATCTACCACTTTTGAAAACTCCATCTCTTGAGCAGGCTTCACATTTTCCCTTATAACTAAATTACGTTGAGTCTTTGCATTCTAAACAATCATTTTATGTCATTCCTTAACATTTGGAGCAAGAGGCATCACATAATTAGCATGTATCGCTTTATTAAAATTATCCTTAACTATTACAAGGTATGCATGAAGCTCCGCCATTAAACAAATAAAAATTTTATGAGCACTTTTTACATTTATTTTGATCTGCACAGATTTAACAATTTTCAGTGCATTTAAAGCAATTTTTTCCATTTTAAAAATAACCTTCGCCACAGGAAATACAATTATCTGAATTAAAAAGGTAGAAGCCACTTTAGCATTCAGTACATTTCAAATCATTATTACATTTTTGACACTTCTTCTCCTGTGGGCATTTATTACAAAATTAATTTGATTTATCTATAAAGTATCCATCTTATAAGCACTAAGAGCAAGATTTATTATCTTCTAAGATATAAAAGCCAGAACTACATTTTTAGCATTCAGATTTGTTATTGCATGTATCACAGTTCGAAATGCAATTATCACAAATGTTTTAACTTTAATTGATAAAGTATCCATTTTATATACAATTAGTGCATTTTTTTCCATCTTGTAGGTATTTTTCAGGTTTGTTAGCATAGCATTAAGTACATTATGTCTCAGGTGAACACTTTTAACATTTTAAATCAGCTTAGCATTCAACACAGTTTTTATCCTTAAGATAATAGCCATCTTAATTACATACGCAATTTGAAGATTTATCTTATTTGTAAGGAAAAATGCAATCGTTAGAATTTTAATTGTTATATTTACAACTTCCATCTTCGTATTTTTTAGCGCCATCAATACATTATAAACAATCACTATCAGATGGTCCTTAGCATGTCTTACAAATAAGATTACATCGTTTGCAAAATTATCCATCAATATAATATCCTTAATCTAACTAACATGGCTCGCATGTGTTTCTTTAGATATTAAGATAATTTTTACTATCTTTACATAAAATGCATTATTTATTACTACTATCACAGTAACAAGTATCTGAACAGCCGTTACATATATTATTAGGTCTCCAAGTTTATCCTGATGGACAAATACTACAAAACCCATCTGCAAGTTAATCGTACCTCTAAAGTTTGCCAGGTTATTTTTAACAATCTTTACACTTTTAATATTCTGTACAGCCTTTGCAATTAGGGTGGCAACTTTCACAGCGCTAATAAATAGGATGAAAAAATTATGATGAATCACATGTTTATAGTATTCTTAGAAATGAAGAATTAAAATTTTAATAAGAAATATTTTATTTTAGCTAAGAATTATTTATATTTATGAACAGCCTATTTTAATTAAAATATAATTTATAAAAAATTGAAATAATTTTAAAATATATTTGATGATAATCTATTATAAAAAAATTTACTTTAATCCATTGATTTTAATCTAGTTCAAAACATTTTCTTCATTTATATAAGAAAATATAGTGTAAATTAAGTAAGGCTAGTCAAGTATTTACTCTATAGTGAAGCTTTATATTGATTAACTTAGAGTTAACAGTAAAATTCTTTAAGATTAGTCTTATATTATAAAAGATATATTCCTAATTATATTTAATTTTCGTTAAATTTACTTAAATTTTAATTCAAATGTAGTTTTACCTAGGTGAAGAGATAATAAGTTCAAATTTAGCTTGGTATTTAGCTCCTACATAACTTATCAAATCGTTTGACTCTACTTTTATTGAATAGGTTTAATTTGATATATTTTCACTGATTAGTAAAGGACTTAGTTCTTTTAGATTGCTACCTTAATCATGAAAGTTATAGTAAACTTGAGCAAGTACTCTTTAAACTATATAATAGATAATATTTAAAAAGAAAAGGAATTATTTGTTAGTTTTCATTATTCTTACTTTTTTGTAATTCTTTTATCTTTAATTGGATTATAGGCATGAAATGAAATTGTATATTATCTAAAGGTTACCAAAAAATTAATATTCTGATGGATAAAAATCAATTAATAATAATTCAAGTTTAGAAATATATTAATCTTGTAACATTACATTAGATATCTTAAATTTCAGTCAACAATAAAAATTTGATAGAATACATATTAGATTGTATTAAAATTATTTATGACGTAATATCCTTAATTAATTTATTTTTTCTACACATGATTGCAATTTGTTTTATATCCTTTACAAAGTAATAGAGAAGAGAATGTAAATAAGTAAATGAATAAAAGTATGATGTATTTTAGTTAATTTTTTAATAAATACTTTATTATCATTCAACTTTTTATTATCTTCTAGCCATAAGCTAATTATCTTCTTTGTTATATTTTTAGTCATTTACCTATCCTCACTTAACCGAATACTAATTAATGCTTTTTAGAAGAAGTTATTTGAATAAAATTTAAAAAGTAAAAAAAATAAAAATTATAGTTCAATTACTTACACATTTTTTTATTAACATTTCGAAATCTATAAAAATTAGATTACATTAAATTTATTCCTAAAAAGTAAATTAGAAGTTGGATTAGCTCTATAAATTAAAAGAAAATAGTTTTGTATTTTTTTAATATGCTTTATCATCAATAATTTAAATATAGTCAACTTTTTTTTTGATATCCACATAAAAATAACAAAAAGACTTTAATTGACTTTTAATTACAAAAATTGCTTGAAAAAATATAATAAAATGTTTCAATATCAAAATATAATCAAATATGTTTTCTTATATATTAAATAATTAATACTCAAACCGCATTTTCATTTTTAGATTTTTTATTATCTTTAGATTAGAATTAAAAATTTAAAATATATTCATTTTTATAATCTATAAAGTTTTGAGTTAGATATTTGATGCTATATTACATCATATATAAAGGATATCTACGCATTTATACAAAATATATTTTTACCTTAATTTAAAAATACAATTATAAATAAAGCTATTTAAAATTCTTATTTTTACCACAAAAATAAATAATTATGTTTAATGAGACATGAATATTTTAAATTTATCTAATAATCTTGAAAATATAAACCTAATTTTATTGTCAAAATAATCTATTTTTCTCATTAAAAAATGTAATCATAAATAATTCTATATCAACCAATATTTACGATCTAAATAGCTACTCTAATTAATCACATAATTAATTAATTTTCTTTTAAAATCAGCCATTAATTTTTTAATAGGTTAAACTTTAAAAATCCTTATTTAGTCTAAAATCTGAAATTATAATTTTTTAGAACATTTTGTCAATTAAAGTGTGTAGAAATTTAAAATTCTTTATAAAAAGAATACATAAATATTATATAATTATTAAATTATAATTAAAATAATAAATTGCTTCATTATAATATATATAATGGTGAATGGTAAACTATAGGAAATATACCTAATTTAAAAGAAAAAAAACTATTGTGAATAGCTGTATATATATTTATAAGCATTTTATTTTTTTTTAAAGAAGAATATAAAATTTTTTAAATGGAAATTGAATAAAAATGAATATATTTTTTATAGAGACTCTAAAAAAGATAATTAATTATATTGAAGAGAAGAAATATCTTACATAGATAATTAATTATAGGAGAGTATTGTAAATTGTAAAAGAATACTAAAAAGGAAAGATAATGAACTGATCACATTTGTAAGAATTGGAAAAAAAATAGTGAACTAAGCAACAAACTATTCAAGCAATTCAGAATTTCAAGAAGAAAATAATACCATAACTAAGTTTTTACTTCAAACTGCTTCGTTAACAAATAAAAAATAAAAAAAGAAATGTTAATTATCAAAATGAGCAAGGCAGATATTTCAGTCAGAGGAACAATAAATTTTAAGAGTAAAATAATCACTTTTTTGAACTCAAAAATAAACCAAAAATATTTATTGAAAGGCAAATAAGATGCTATTCCTTCTATAAAAAAAGCTAATATTTAAGCTAATCTTCATCATACCTTTTTTTACTGAAATTTCTTACTTTTCTAAATAGTATAAATCCAAAAGTATAATAAAATATTATGTGAACAGCCTAAAAAGCTATTCCTAACAGGTTTACTAAGCTCATAGAAGAGAAATTCATGAAAGAATAAGAATAGAGCATACTTGTAAAAATGAAAGTAAGAATATTTATTGCATTTGAATAATAAACTTGAATCTATTACTATAGATTTGACCCATCAACTCATACTTATTTCTAAAAAAATATACTATCACATAGAATAGTATTATCAAAAGGAAAATAAAACGATACATTATTACGGTTTCTACAAATAGGCTACTCGATTCTTAATAGTAGATATCTCTTAGATTAATTTTTATTAAAGAACTTTCGTCAAGCACTCTTTTCTCTTGCAACAAATTCCTTCGTGGATTAGAATTAATCTATTAATTTTATATTTCTTTTTTAAAAGCTCCACTGAATTATTACTGGTTATATTTTAGCTACTACTATTAATACCTTGATTTGTTTATTCTTTTTCTGAAGTATTATTTTTCAAATATTTGATTTCTAAACTCTAAAATTATAATTTAATCAAAATAAAATTTAAATTTAAAATAAAAATCTTCAAATTAAAAATAAATTTGAAGAAATTATAACATTTTTATTAAAGCAAAATACTTTATTTAAATTTATTATTTGTACATTATATTATAATATAAATTAATAAAATATAAATATTTTTTTAGTGCAATAAATAGAACTGTAATAAATGGTTGCTCATATAAATGTATGATATGTTTATAATTATTTATCTAAAGTCACATAGCTATGGTTGGGATAGAATGCAGATCTTAAATTTTTTTTAACCTTAAATCATTTATATAAATACAGGGTGTTTGAAAAAAAATGCACCATAATATTAATTTGATATATATATATATATATATATATATATCTTAAATTTAGGATGCAATTTTTATTTTTTGTTTGTAAAATATAAAAAAAAATTGTATTACGCATTATTGAAAACATCAATAATTTTTTAATTAACATTTTATAAATTCTATTATAAAATTATTTAAAAAGATATTTTTTTTAAAAAAAAACCTAGCCTAATTAACATCTAGAGGTTGCCATACCACTAGATTTTAATTAGGCGTTTAGCTATAATATAACAAAAAATTTTAGTAAATTTATACAGAAGATAACTAAATTGATATGTCAAGAAATTTATTTTTCTTATTAATTCCATATTTGATTGACCTTTTTGTTTGATTACTATCTAACAAATTAAACTTTTAAATAAATTCTCTAATATTTTAAAAAATAATATATTTTTTTTATTAAGTCAAATTTTTATTTTTTCTTAATTATTTTGAAAAAACTGTAATAATATGAATTGTTTTAATTTTTATTATAATACTTTCTAACTTCATAAACATGTAAATTTTTTGTAAATTTTGTAGAAGATCGATTGAATAGAAATTAATATATTGCTATACGATAATGCATTAATAAAGGTTAATTTTTTGTCCTTATGAAAAAAAATTGATTAAGGCAGATTATTCAATAAAGAATTTGGAAATTCATTATCTTTAACATCATATATTAAATGATGATTTTTAAGGAAAGTTAAAATTAAAAAAAGGAATTTTTCTTTTCACTTATAAAGTATTAAATAGAAAATTATACAAATAATTAGCTATATTAAAAATAATAACGAAATCATTTTTTAATTTTTGGAAGAACTATCTCTCTCACTTTAAAGGGATTTATTTACCATTTGATAGATAATTCATTTATACAATCAGATTTTTCTTCAAAACACTTTTAAGAATTACTATTAAATTGGCTAGAATAAATACTTTAATTAAGTATTTCATTTACTGATAGAGGAATTAATGTACTTCTTTTGGAAGGGATATATCTTTTTAACTTGAAAGTGTTTCTTATTTCCTTCCATTTAATTGAAACTTCAGTTTCTTAAACTTTTGATACTATAAATCTCACTTTGAAGTATTTGATATATATGCCTCTGCATAAGCTATAAATAGTATAAATTAACACTATTAAATTAATGAGCATAATGTTTACTAAAATCCACCAACTTATTATTTTAGAGTTTGAAAAAAACAGAGAACAAAGCAATAAACTATTCATACAATTCATAATTTCAAGAACAAAGTAGTACCATAGCTAACTTTTAACTTCAAATGGCTTTGTTAACCAATAAAAAATCAAAAAAGTAAAGTTAATTATCAAAATAAGCAAGGAAGATATTTCAGCCAGAGGAACCAAAAATTGTAAGAAAAAAATAATCACTTTTCTGAACTCTAAAATGAACCAAAAATATTTATTGAAAGGCAAATCAGTGGCTATTCCTTCTATAAAAAATAGTTAATATTTAAGTTAGTCTTCATCATACACTTTTTTACTGAAATTTCTTACTTTTCTAAATAGTATAAATCCAAAAGTACAATAAAATACTATGTAAACAATCTAAAAAGCTATTCCTAACCAGTTTATTAAGCTCATAGAGGAAAAATTCATAAATGAATAAGAATAGAGCATACTAGTAAAAATGAAGTTGGATAGTATTTGTTGCATTTAAATAATGAACTTAAGTCTGCTAGTGTAGATTTGACCCATCAACTCATATTTATTTCTCAAAAAATATACTATCATATAGAATAGTACTATCAAAAGGAAAATAAAACTATACATTATTATGGTTTCTATAAATAAACTACTCAATTCTTAAGAGCGGATATCTCTTAGATTGTTTTAAATTAATGAATTTTCGTTAAGCGTTCTTTTCTCTTGCAACAAATTCCTTAGCACGTTAGAATTAATTTATTCATTTTCTATTTAGTGATTTAAAAGCTTCACTGAATTACTGGTTATATTTTAACTACTATTGTAAATACCTTGGTTTGTTTATTAATATGTTTATTCTTTTTCTGAGATTTTATTTTCCAAATATTTGCTTTCTAAACTTTAATCTAATTTGAAAGATTATAAATTGTTAATACTCTACTTAGGATAGAAATATGAGTCATAGGCTGAAATATACCTAAAGGGATTTGGTATCATGTTGATTAAATTTTATTAGAAGTTTTGCTCATAAAAAGTAGGTCCTAAACTTAGGCTTTTCAAAGAATCTTTTAGCAAATAGCTATTACCTATTTACTATTAAATTTGCATTGAGTAGGACATAGCTGAAGTGGATCTTAGGATTAAAAAAGAAATAACTTGTATAGAATAAGTTGCAATTATAGATTATTTCATACCAAAGTCAATTTTGTCTATCAACTGCATCTCTTTTTCACAGCTATCATCTAGCTTATTTAAGTCTGTGCATTCATAGAAATTGTAGCGATCATCATACTTGCATGTATTATTTTCATTAAGAAAATACTTGTATGAGCACTTAGTGCAATGATTTTCATTGCAAGTTAAGCAATTTAAAAACTCGCATTTCCTACATATATTTTTGCTGCTAATATATTCATCTTACTCACACTTTCTACAAGCTTCTTACTTTTCGCTTACAAAATGATAATCTTAAATGCATGATGTACATTTTGTGAGAGATTGGCATTCTGCGCAATTATTTTAACAATCGTTGCAAATGTAAGTTTGAGGATCTAAAAACTAGTTTTTTTTGCAATCTACGACGCATGTCTTAGATTTATTTTTTTAGTCTATAATATATATGCAATTTTAGCATCTATTTATTTTGTCATTCTTAATGTATTCAGTAGCACACTAACTTACGCAAAAATTATGTTAATCAAAAAATTTGGCAGGATCTGAACACTCTATACAAGCTTATTTGCCTTGATTAAAGCAAGTTTTACAATCACTATCGCATTCAATGCATTTTTTAAGATTTTTATCTATTTTATACGAAAAAAAAATATTTTATAAAAATTAAAATAAATGATGTGAGGGTTTTAATTTAAAAATTATTTGAATTAATCATATTTATTAAAATTTACAATAGCCATATAAAGACTTAGAAATATTATACTATTTACAATTTTAATAATTGAGTGATAAAACCTTTTTAAAGAAAAATTTTCAAAAAGAAAAAAATTACCTAAATATTAGCTACTCAAGCATCTATAACACTGTCGTTCTAATAAAGTGTATTCTTCATCACATAGTAAGCATTTATGTTAGTTTTCACAAATTTTGCAGTTTTTTTCACAATTTGTACATTTAACTTCTTTAGGATCAGATTCATCGAAAAACATACTTTCTGGGCATTTCCTTTCACAAGAAAAATCATTCTAAAGTATCATTCTATTGCATTTCATGCATTAGTTGATCTATTCACCAAAGCATTAACTACAATTCTAATGGCATTTCAAGCATTTCTTTTCACATTATTCTTTTTGTTTGTAATTCTAAGCAAAATAGTTCAAATCATTTTAATTGCATTCATATTTATCTACATCTATACATGAAATGCATTAATCTATATCATTACCAGGCCCTGAACATGTTTTACAATCTCTATGACAATTATAGCACTAGATATTATCATAGTATTAATTAGGATCACATTTCCCACATTGCTTAGTATCTGTCCTAATTCTTAAAGCTCCATCTAAACATTATAAACACTCATTATTTTAGCTACCTTTGCAACTTAAGCAAGTTTCATTGCATTGCATGCATTTGTTGGTATCTTTGTCAACATACTCATTTTGTTCACATTCTCCACATTTACCATTTTGTTTTATATGAGTGTTGTTTCCACATTCTTAGCATGTTTTATAATCGTCACACTTTAAGCAGTTATCAGAGCAATTTTAACAATGATTGTCTTCTAGATATTAATTAGATAAACATACACCACAAGTATTATCTAACCTTATGTGATAACAAGGCTACTTACATTCTATACAATCAGTTTGCTATTCTCCATTACATTTTTTACAGTCTATATGGCAATTTTTGCATATGTTTTTATCATTTTTAAATGAATAAACTTCTCTGCAAATTAAGCAATTATTTTGTTGTTCATTTATACAAGTTTTACAATCTTAATGACACGGTAAGCATAACTGACTGAAATTTCTACTGGCATGTTCTTCATAAAATAACCATCTTAAATATTGCAAGCCTCACAAAGTTTACTAATTGGAAAGTAAAAAAGATAAGTTTGGCATTTAGTGCAACCTGTTGCTAATTAAGAGCTACATTATTTACAAGAATCATGACATTTTAAGCACCTAAAGCTATCTACATAATATCCTTCAGACGGGCAGGTAATGCAGTTATTATTCACATCAAATGAAAGATTATCTTTACATGACAAGCACTAATTTACCCCACTCCCTTTACAGGTTTAGCAAGTATCATGGCATTTTAGACAATTATTTGTTGATTCTTAAATATAATATTTATTTTTTACATCACAAATTTTGCACAATCCATCAAGAAAACTAAGCTAATCTGCACATTTAGTACAATTTTTATCTTCACCACCATTACAAGTTTTGCACGAGCTATGGCATTGAAAACACCTGGAATTAATATCTAAATAAAATCCTTAGTCCTAATTACAAGACTAGCACTCCTATGTATTCTCAATAAAGTATTTATTTGTCCTACAGATAAGACACTCATTTTTTTCACTACCACTACAAGTTTTGCAGTTTTCTGAGCATTTTAAACAAGATTTATCTCTGATAAAAAAGCCATCATTAACATCACATTATTAACATATTCCATCTCTAAAATAAAATCCATTCTTGCATCCAGTACATTATTTAGCATCTATACCAGAGCATGTTTTACAAGTATCATGACATTTTTTACATTGTTATTATCCAACTTCAGTACCATTAATAATCCATCCATTATCTTAATCACAATTTTCACATCTTTATTTTATTTTTGATCTGTCTGATGAATCAACATAATCTTTAAAGAATAAATCTTTCTTACAAGTTAAACAACCAAATTCAGTTTCATCTTTGCAAGTCTAACACGAATCGTTACACTTCTAACAATTTTTGGTATTCTATATGAAGTGGCCATTTTAAGTATCACATTCCTTACACTTATTACTGTCATTTAAGTCAAAGTAATTATTTTAATGGCATTCAGTACAATTCAAAGCACTGTCTTAGCACTTTTTGCAAGAAGAATCACATTTCAAACATTTACCATCATTTACAAAAAAGCCAAACTCTGGGCAAATTTAGCATGTACCATCATCCATAAAAGTTCCCCCTTATTTGCATTTTAAGCATTATTTTGGCAATCCAGGTTTGCAAGTTTAGCATGAATCATCGCATTTTAAACAATCTCTATTATTAAGATCTATATAGTATAATTCTGAGGGACATTGTTTACATTTATTTTTAGTATTATTGTCTTCTTAGAAAAAATATAGATCATCTATACATTATAAACAGTTTGTATTACTTTCTCCGTTACAGATTTTGCAGCTTTTATCACAATCATAGCAAATATCATTCTTCAAAAACTACCCGTTATCAGTCCTACAGTTTATACATTTTGATAAATCTTTGTTGAATTTAAGTAATCCAGCACACTAAATGCAATCTGTTTCTTAAGACCCTTTGCAAGTTTAACAGTTCTAATGGCAAGCTAAGCATAAATCTCCTTACACAAAATTAGATCCTGTACATTCTAGACATTAACCTTCACCTTAATTATTTTTATTTTTGAAATATTTCCCTTCTGCACATTTCTTGCATTGTGATTAGTCTCCTCCAGAGCACTCTATACAGCTAGAGTGGCAAGGTTTGCAATATAATCCATCAACATAGTGGGTAATTTTGTCTTAGCACTTTACACAAATCTAATCTCCGTTTTAATCTATCCAAAATGTTAATCCAGTTGCACAAATTTTGCATTTTTTTTAATTTCCCCCTTCACACTCTTCACAAGTATTATGACAAACTTTGCAAAACTCTCCTTCTAAGAAATACCCCTTTTGTGGGCATTTTTAGCAGGTATTATCTGGAAATTTACTAAGGTTATCTTCACATTTATCACAATCCTTAGGACTCTCATCTTTACAAGTTTTACATGTGCTATCACAGTGAAGACATCTATCTCCTTTAATAAAAACTTTTTTATCTATTTCACATTTTTCGCACTTGTCTGAATCATTTTTATAAAGATCTGTTTTACAAGTTAGACATTTGTCATCTCCAAATTATGAGCATGTTAGACAATTATGAGAGCATTAAATGCACATATTAATTTCATTTCTTTTTTCTGAAAAGTACTCTTCATTAGGACATTTCTTGCATGTTCCATCTTCAAATAAAAATAATCCTTCTTGACAAGACTTACATTTATTTTCTTATTCATCATCGCAAGTTAAACAGCTACTAGCGCACTTTAAGCACTAGTCTCCTTTAACAAAATAACCATTATTTATTTAGCAATTGTTGCAATACTTTACTTCTTTAATAATTCCACCTTAATTTATTTTTTCTGTATGGAATTTCAAGTCATTTTTGCACTTTAAACAATCAGTTTCTTAGCCACCACTACATAATTCACAGGATTAATGACAAGCTATACACTTATTATTTGTCAGATCTGCATAATGATTAGACTTTGGACATGAATCACATAAATTACTAAGCCACATGAAAGGAGGTTAACATTTAGTGCAATTTTCTTTATTATTTCCATTACAGGTTTAACAAGAATAGTGACAATCATAGCAAATATTATCTTCTTTTGATATCCAGAAGTTATCTTTGTTGCAATCTCTGCAAATATTATCTTTGTAATATATATTCAAACTGTCCTTACAAGATAGACATTAGTTAGATTAAGGACCATTACATGTTTTACAATCCGCAAAGCATTCCAAACATCTGTCTTTATCTGCAAAAAAATTTTCAGAAGGGCATTCTTAGCAAGTCTTATCTGTTCTAAATTTTAAATTGCCTATGCATACATCACAGCCAGTAGAGTCTTAAGAATGACACTTAAGGCATGTATCATGGCACTTAACACATTCTTTGTCTTTCAGAAAAAAGCCTTCATTAGGACATTCCTAACATTGTTTTTGGGAATTTGAATATTTCTCATCAACTTTTTTAAGATATTAATTATCTTTGCATGTTATACAATCAAATTAAGATGGTCCTGAACACTCTTTACAAGAAGAGTGGCATTTTATACAGTTAGAGTCTTGAATAAAATAACCATCAGATAACTTACATTCAGTGCATACTCCTTCTTTTAGTTTCAAATTACCTATGCATTTCTTACAGCCATCTTTATCACATATTTGACAGCCATCACTGCATGCTATGCAGTTTTTATCTTCAATATAAAAGCCATTTAATGTATCACAAATTTTACACTTTTTATCTTAGTGCATTAAATATTATCCTTCACAAGTAATACATTCTGTTTCAGAAGCACCACTACATGTTAAACATGTAGCATCGCAATCCAAACACATATCTTCCTTTTCAAATTATTTATTATTAACTTAACATAAAATGCACTTTTTCTAAATAGAATTTTTATCGTGATAGAATTTTCTGTTTCCTTAACAGGTTAAACAATCATTTTCAGACAATGCAGAACAAGTTTTGCAAGTTAAATCGCATTTTTTACATATATTATCAGCTTTATCTACAAACATACCATTGTTAAAGTCACATTTTTTGCAAGTTTAATCAACTTGTTTGTATAAATTAACGTCACAGTCTAAACAGCCAGTTTCTGAGCTATCTTTACAAGTTTTACACGAATTATGACAAGATATGCAAAATTTATCTTAAATAAAATATTTATTATTTATTTGACAGTCATTACAGTTCCATTCAGGATATAGTTTTTATCCTCCATTACATAATAAACAATCATTTTGACCTTATCCTTTGCACTGCTTGCAACTAGAGTGACATTTTTTACACTTTTTACCTTCTTTAAAATAACCATCTTGGGGGCACTCTAATTAGCAAGACCCGTCTTCGAATTCGTAATCAGTATCCCTACATTTAGTGCAACTAGTTTTATTAGAATCTTTACACTCTAAGCAAGATGAATCGCATCTCATACAATTATTTCCATTTTAATAATATGATTAAGTAGATAGACAATCAACACAAGTTTGTTTTCCATTCTCAATTAATAAAAATTTATTAACTGGGCAGCTTAGACATTGGTCTTAACCATATCCAAAGCAGGTTTAGCATTCTTAATTGCAAGACAAACAAAATATTCCATTCTTAAAAAATTTGTTGTTTATATCACATTCCTTACAGGTATTATCTGAAAATAAAAATTTATTGTCGTAGCAAGTTTTACACTAGTTACTTTATCCTCCATAACAAGTCTTACAACTCGATTCACATTTTTCACAGCTAATTTTGTCATCTTTGATATAAAATCCTTCAGACTCCTCACACTTTTGGCAAAGACCATCTCTAAAATACAATTTTAAAGGATATTCTGAGCATTCAATACATGATTTAGCATCTTAATTTTTGCATTTCTTGCAAGAATCATCACATTTCTTGCAATAAACTCCATCTTAGAAATATTTATTTTCAGTTTAGCAAGCTTAACAAATTTTTGTTTCAGAGTCAATCAAAAAATTTAAATTAAAACACGAATCACAATCAGTGTTGTTCTAGCCATGACAAATTTTGCACGAAGAGTCACATCGCTTACAAACTTTGATACTTTTCTGGTTATCAACAAAGAACCCATTTTATGTTTAGCATTATTTACATGTGCTATTTTCTTGGAGAGCCAAATCATTTGCGCAACTCAAGCAATTATTATCTGAACTACCATTACAGGTAAAACAAGAATCATCGCATTTCTTACAATATTTATAATCAGTTATATAAAATTTCTCACTTGGGCATTTTATACATACCTTCTAATCATTAAAATATAAGCTCTCCGCACAGAGTTTACACTTTCCGTTTCCAGGTCCGGTGCAGGTTTTACACGAAACATCACAATTTTAACAGTATTTATTGCCATCTATATACTTCTTATCTGCTTCTAAATTGCATGTTTCACAAGAATTATCTTTTGGGTTGAAATAAAATTAATCTTTACACTAAATGCAATCTTAAATGTTAGGTCCTTTGCATCCTTTGCAATTCATATGGCAGTTTTAACAAATATTTAAGCTGTTTGGATCTTTTACATACATACTACCTAAGTCACAGTTAATACATAACTTTGATGTCTAGTCAGAAGGAAAACTCAAACCAGCTTTACACTTGATGCATACATCTTTACTTGAACATGTTTAACAAGATTTATCGCATTCTAAACAGTTATTGTTTTTATCAATATAATATGAATTTTCTGTATTGCACTTTTAACACTTGCCATTTAAAAAGCTTAAACCTTCAGTACATTCTTTACAATTTGTTTCAGACAATCCATTGCATTATTTGCAAGTAGAATGACATTTCTCGCATTCATTTTAACTATTTATGAAGAAACCATTACTAGTATTACAAATTTTGCATTTGCGGTCATATTTATCTAATTTTAAATTGTCGATACAAGTCTTGCAAGATATTTCTTTTTCATCAGAACATGTTTAACATGTATCATGACATTTTATACAGAAATTATTTTCATCAATAAAATATTTCTACTTAGTTGGGCATATTACACATTTTTTATCTTACTAAAAGCTAAATGTATCCATGCATTATATGCATTTCTCTATTTCTACTCCAATACAAGATTTACAATTTTAAGTGCAATTAAAACATTACCTACCACTTTGGAAAACTCCATCTCTAGAACAGGCTTCACACTTTCCTTTATAATTAAATTACATTGAATCTTTGCATTCTAAACAGTCGTTTTATGTTTTTCCTTTACATTTGGAGCAAGAGGCATCACATAATTAGCATGTATCGTTTTATTTAAATTATCCTTAGCTAGTACAAGGTATGCATGAAGTTCCGTCATTAAACAGATAAAAATTTTATAAGCACTTTTTGCATTTATTTTAATCTGCACAGATTTAGCAATTTTCTGTGCATTTAAAGCAATTTTTTCCATTTTAAAAATATCCTTCACCACAGGAAATACAGTTATCTTAATTAAAAAGATAGAGGCCACTTTAGCATTCAGTACATTTCAAATCATTATTACAATTTTGGCACTTCTTCTCCTGTGGACATTTATTGCAAAATTAATTTGATTTATCTATATAGTATCCATCTTATTTGCACTAAGAACAATATTTATTATCTTCTAATACATAAAAACCAGAACTGCATTTTTAGCATTCAAATTTGTTATTGCATATGTCACAATTCTAAATGCAATTATCGCAAATGTTTTAACCTTAATTGATAAAATAGCCATTTTATTTACAATCAGTGCATTTTTTTGCATCTTGTAGGTATTTTTCAGGTTTATTTGTATAGCATTAAGTACACTATGTCTCAGGTGAACAATTTTAACAATTTAAATCAGCTTAACATTCAACACAATTTTTATCCTTAGCATATTAGCCATCTTAATTACATAAAACACAATTTGAAGATTTATCTTATTTGTAAGGAGAAACACAATCATTAGGATTTTAATTGTTATATTTGCAACTTCCATCTTAATATTTTTTAGCACCATCAATACATTATAAACAATCACTGCCAGATGGTCCTTTGCATGTCTTACAAATAAGATTGCATTTTTTACAAAACTATCCATCAACATAGTATCCTTAGTCTAACTAACATGGTTCACATGTATTATTTTGAACATTAATATAATTTCCACTACTTTAACAGGAAATGCATGACTTTTAATCATCACAATTACAAGTATCTGGGCAACCATTACATATATTATTAGGTCTCCAAGTTTATCCTGAGGGACAAAAATCGCAAAACCCATCTGCAAATTAGTCATACCTCTCATTTGAATCAGGTTTTTTTTAACAATCTTTGCACTTTTTGTATTCTGTACAACCATTGCAACGAGGGTGGCAATTTTCACAGCGCTAATAAATAGGATGAAAAAATTATTATCCATCACATGCTTATAGCAGTCTTAGAAAGGAAGAGTTAATATTTTGATAAGAAATATTTTATTTTAGCTAATAATTATTTATATTTATGAATAGCCTATTTTAATCAAATAGAATTTATAAAATAAATTTAAATAAGTTTAAAAGATATTTGGATGATATTAAATTTATAATAATTATTTACCTTAATCCTTTGATTTTAAACTAATCCAAAACATTTTCTTCTTTTCCATAAGAAAATATAGTGTAAATTAAGTAAGGTTAGTCAACTACTTACTATATAGTGATGCTATTTATTGACTAACTTAGCGTTAAGTGTAAAATTCTCTCAGATTAGTCTTAAATTATTAAAGATATATTCCTAATTATATTTAAATTTCGTAAGATTAGCTTAAATTTTAATTCAAATATAGTTTTACCTAAGTGAAGAGATACTAAGTTCAAATTTAGCTTGATATGTAGCTCCTACATGATTTATCAAAACTTCTGATTCTAATTTGATCTAATAGGTTTAATTTGATATATTTTCACTGATTAATAAAGGACTTAGTTCTTTTAGATTGCTACCTTAATCATGAAAGTTATAGTAAACTTGAGAAAGTACTCTTTAAATTATAGAATAGATTATAGTTAAAAAGAAAAGGAAATATTTGTTGGATTTCATTTTTCTTACTTTTTTATTATTTTTTTATTTTTAAATTAGATTATAAGAACGAAAAGAAATTGTAAATTATCAAAAGGTTACCAAAAAATTAATCTTTTTGTGGATAAAATTCAATTAATAAGTAATAAAATATAGAAATATATTAATCTTCTCTTTACATTCTATATCTTAATCTACAGTCAACATTAATAATTTGATAGAAAACAAATTCTTTTATCAATAAATGTAACAAGTAATTGAACTAGGATTTTCATTTTATAAAGTAGTTTCTTTAAAATTATAATTGTTGTTAAGTACATCATATTTTTAAATAGTATTTAAATTTTTACATTTTATTCAAATAGGTTATTCTAAACCGTATTAATAAACATAATATTAAGTTAAGGTAACAAAATAACTAAATAAACAAAGAAGATTACTAATCTTACGACTAGAACAAATTAAAAGTAGAATGATAGTTAAGTATTTATTTATAACTTAACTAGAATTTATCGTACTCTTATTAGTTTATTTGCTTACCTGAAATTGTATTCTAAGTAGAAAAATTAAATTAATGAAGCATATTACGTCATAAATAACTTTAATAAAATCTAATATTCTTTATTTAACATTTCAAAGTCTCTTAGAAAGTTATTGCATTAAATTTATTACGAAAATAGTAGTTGGATTTCACTCTATTTATTAAAAAAGTAATAGCTTGTTATTTTTGTAACGTAATTAATCATTGTTATTACAATTATTTTCTACTTTTTTAGTATTTGAAAATGAAAAAAAAGGACTTTGATTGGTCTTTTAATTACAAAAAGCGCTTGAATTTTTAAAAATGTTACAATTTTTAAAATTACTCAAAAATGTATTCTTATCTATTAAATTATTAATGCACCACATTTCATATATTTTTTTTATTAGTATTTTATATAACCTATAGGTCTGTAAGGATTCTTATTTTATTTAAAAGATATTTTTGCTTTTTCTTTTGATAATTTATTTTATTTTAGCATAAAATTCTTAGCATATGGATACTATTTTCAAATAACTTTACAGTAAAAGACTCATAATTTATCAATCATTATGACAAATTTCCATATTTAAAAAAAGGGAGAGTAAATACATAATTGTCAAATTTTTAATTTTTATTATTTTAAATGCAAAAAATAATCCTATTTCCTAATATTTATAATTTTAAAGTATGTTGATCTCACCTTTAAAATAATAATTTATTTTAAAATATTTAAAGATGATTTTTATGATTAATTATTAATTGATAAAAAATGATAAATAAGAACAGTTGTTTTAGATTTGTAATATAAAAATTATAAATGCTATTTATATTTTTTAGATTAAATTAGCAAATACAAAAATGTAAATAAAAATAAAAAAATAACAAAATTGAAAATAAATCACTTTTAAAGTTATGAAAGAGCTATTTCTCTTACTTTCAGAGGATTCATTTGCCATTTGATAGATAATTCATTTATTCCATCAGATTTTTCTTCAAGATATTATGACGAACTATTACTAAAGTAACTACTATCAACGCTACGATTAAGAATTTCATTCACATTTATAGGGAAAGAGGTGTTCTTTTTGGAAATTCTATACCTTTTTAGTTTGAAGCTATTTTTAATTTACTTCCATTTTATTGAAATATCAGTTTCTTAAGACCTTGCTACAATAAATCTCACTTTAAAAAATCTGATATAGATTCCTCTGCATAAGCTAAAAATAGTTTAGATTAACACTACCAAGTTAAGAATTATCAGATTGAGTAAAATACACCAGCTTATTATCTTAGAATTATAAAAGAATAAAGAACAAAGCAAGAAGCTATTAAAACAATTCAAAATTTCTAGAACAAAGTAATACCAAAGCTAATACTTAACTTCAAATGGCTTTCTTAACCAATAAAAGATCAAAAAAGATATGTTAATTACTAAGATAAGTAAAGCAGATACTTCAATCAAAGGTAAAAAAAATTGTATGAGCAGGATTATTACTTTTCTGAACTCAAAAATAAACCAAAAGTATTTGTTTAAAGGTATCTCAGTGACTATTCCTTCTATAAAAAATAGCTAATACTTTAGCTAATCTTCATCATACACTTTTTTACTGAAGTTTCTTACTTTTCTAAAGAGGATAATTGCAAAAGTACAGTAAAAAATTAAATAAATAACTTAGAATGCTATCCCTAACCAATTTATTAAGCTCATAGAGGAGAAATTCAAAAAAGTGTAAGAATAGAGTATGCTAGTAAAAATAAAGTTAGAAAATATTAATTGTGTTTGAATTATAAACTTGAATCTGTTGCTATATATTTGACCCATCAACTCGTACTGATTTCTGAATAAATATACTATTGAGTAGAAAAATATAATGATAAGGTATATTAGACTATACATTATAATGGCTTCTACAAAATGAAGACTCAATGCTTAAGAATGAACTTCTCTTAGATTATGTTGAATTAGCTCATTTTCACTAAGCAGTCTTTTTTATAATAACAAATTCAAATTTCTGCTATATGTCTAACTAAATTTATCTAAACTAGTAGACATATTTTAATTGTTTTAACCATCACAAAAAGTTTATTCTTATTATCCATATTGTGTTGTGGTATATTTCAGACCTTTATTTTCATTGATTTTGTCTACTTGGAAAGATTAAACATCATTGATATCCTACTTAGGGTGAAAATATTACTCATAAGCTGGAATATAATTAAAGGGATTTGGTATCATGTTAATGATGTTTTACTAGAAACTTTATTCATAAAAAGTAGACCCTAAACTTAAGGTTTTTAAAGAGTCTTCAATTAAATAACTATTACCTATTTACTATTAAATTTGCATTGAGTAAGACGTTACAGAAGACGATCTTAAAACAAACAAAGAAACAGCTTGCAAAGCATATGTTGCAATGGTAGATTACTTCATACCGAAATCTAACCTATCTATAAACTATATCTCTTTTTCACAACTATCATCTAGTTTATTTAAGTCAGTGCATTCATAAAAATCGTAGCGTTTATCGTACTCACATACATTATTTGAATTTAGGAAATATTTATATTAGCATTTTGTGCAATTATTTTAATTGCACATCAAGCAATTTTAAAAATCACATTTCTTACAAATATTTTTACTATTTATATACTCGTCTAACTCGCATATTTTACAAGCTTCTTACTTTTCGCTGACAAAATGATAGTCCTAAATACAAGATGTGCATTTTGTGAGAGATAAACATTCTGAGCAATTATTTTAGCAATCATTGCAAATGTCAGTTTAAGTATCTAAGAACTAATTTTATTTGCAATCTACCACACATGTTGTAGATTTATTTTTTTAATCTATTATATACTTGCACTTTTAACATCTATTTGTTTTGCCATTTTTAATGTATCCATGAGCACAATTACTTACACAAAAGTTATCTTAATCAAAGAATTTTGCAGGATCTAAGCATTCCAAGCAACTTTATTTCCCTTCATTAAAGCAAGATTTACAATCATTATCACATTCAACACATTTTTTAAGTTTTTTATCTAAATTTTGATAAAAAATAAATAAATAAAAATAGATTTTTTTGAATAATAATAAAATAAAACAAATATTTATTGTAATTTTAAGATTTATTTTTTATTAAATTTTGTTGAATTTTAAAATAAAATGATAGAGGTTGAAATTGTAAAAGATTTTATTTTTTTTATAAAAGAAGTATGAATTATAAATTTATTGTTTTGTTTATTTTCGCTTAGAGCCAATATAATTTAAAAAATTTCTTTTACTTATTTTAGCATATTTTTATTAATTTAAAACAAATTTAAAGTTTTTTTATCTGAAGAAAATTAAGAAAAGGGGGAATAATTAAAATTTTATTAACTTTTATGAATATTGATTAATACTTTTAATTTTAAGAATAAACTTTAAAAATAATTTTTACTGATTCCTTTTACCCCAACAATCAACAAAAAATAATTTTTTCTCAAAAATATTAAGATTCTTTATTTCCTCAAAAAATTATTGTTCAAAATTAAAAAAAAATTCTATTTATTTCTAAAAATACTAAAAGTTTTTTTATAATTTTGTAAAAAAGTATTAAAATTACCTAAATATTAATGGCTCAAGCATTTGTAACATTTTCCTTCTAATAAAGTAAATTCTTCATCACATGCTAAACACTTATTTTAATTTTCACAGATTTTGCAATTTCTATCGCAATTTGTACATTTTACTTCTTTAGGATCAGATTCATCAAAAAACATTCTTTCTGGACATTTTCTCTAACAAGAAAAATCTGTTTAAAGGATCATTCTCTTACATTTCATACATTAGTTACTCTTTTCTCCAAAACACTAACTGCAATTTACATGACATTTCAAGCATTTTTTTTCACATGTCACTTTTTAATAATTTTAAGCAAAATAATTCAAATCATTTTAACTGCATTCATATTTAGTTATATCTGCACATAATGTGCATTAATCTATATCATTTCCAGGTCCTGAACATGTTTTACAATCTTTATGACAATCATAGCACTAAATATTATCATAGTATTAATTAGAATCACACTTTCCACATTGTTTAGTATCTGTTCTTATTCTCAAACCTCCATCTTTACATTAAAAACAATCACTATTTTAACTACCTTTGCAGCTTAAGCAAGTTTCATGACATGCCATACATTTATTGGTAGATTTGTCAAGATACTCATTTTTATCACATTCTCCACACTTACCATTTGATTTTATATGAGTGTTGTTTCCACATTCTAAGCATGTTTTAAAATCGTTACACTTCATGCAATTATCTGAGCAGTTTAAACAATGATTATTTTCGAGATACTAATTAGATAAACACACACCACAAGTCTTATCTAACCTTATGTGATAACCAGGCTACATGCATTCAATACAATCAGTTTATAATTCTCCATTACACAGTTTGCAGTCACTGTGGCATTTCCTGCATATATTTTTATCATTTTTAAATGAATAAACTTCTTTGCAAATTAAGCAACTACTTTGTTTTTCATCTGTGCATGTTTTACAATCTTAATGACATTATAAACACAATTAGCTAAAATTACCTGTTGATTGTTTTTTCACAAAATAACCATCTTAAATATCACAAGCCTTACAAATCTTACTAGTTGGCCAGTAAAAAAGATTAGATTGACATTCAGTACAACCTGTTTCTAATTAGGAGCTACACTACTTACAAGAATTATGGCATTTAATGCATCTAAAGTTATCTACGTAATATCCTTCAGATGGGCAGGTTATGCAATTGCTATTCTCATCAAATGAAAGTTTGTCTTTACATTACAAGCATTAATTTACCCCGCTTCCCTTGCAGGTTTAACAAGTATCATGGCATTTTAAACATTTATTTTCCGATTCTTCAATATAATATTTGTTTTTTACATCACAAATTTTGCACAATCCATCAAGAAAACTTAATTTATCTGCACATTTAGTACAGTTTTTATCTTCACCACCATTGCATGTTTTACAAGAACTATGGCATTTAAAACACCTAGAATTAGTATCTAAGTAAAATCCTTAATTTTAATCACAATACTAGCATTCTTAGGTATTTTCAACAAAAAATTTATCTATTCTACATGTATTGCACTCGTTTTTTTCTGAACCACTACAAGTTTTGCAATTTTCTGAGCATTTTAAGCAAGATTTATCTTTGATAAAAAAGCCATCACTAATATCACATTACTAACATATTCCATCTCTAAAATAAAGTCCATTCTTACATTCAGTACATTACTTTGAATCTGTGCCAGAGCATGTTTTGCATGACTCATGACATTTTTAACATTATTGTTTTCCAAAATCTGCTCCACTAATAACCCATCCATTATTTTAATCACAAGTCTCACACTTTTATTTTACTTTTGAAGTATCAGATGGGTCAACATAATCTTTAAAATATAAATTATTCTTGCAGGTCAAACAACCGAATTCAGTATCATCTTTGCAAGTCTAGCAAGAATCATTACACTTCTAACAATTTTTGTTATTCTATATAAAGTGACCATTTAAAGTATCACATTCCTTACACTTATTACTGTCATTTAAGTCAAAGTAATTATTTTCATGGCATTCAGTACAATTCAAAGCACTGTCTTAGCACTTTTTGCATGAAGAATCACATTTCAAACATTTATCGTTTTTTACATAATAGCCTTACTCAGGACAAACTTAGCATGTACCATCATCCATAAAAGTTCCTCCTTATTTGCATTTTAAACATTATTTTGGCAATCCAGGTTTGCAAGTTTAGCATGAATCATGACATTTCAAGCAATCCTTTTTCTCAGTAGGTTCAATGTAATATTGTTCAGGGGGACATTGTTTACATTTGTTTTTAGTATTATCATCTTCTTAGAAAAAATATAAATCATCTATACATTATAAACAACTAGTATTACTTTCTCCGTTACAGGTTTTACAACTCGTATCACAGTTATAACAAATGTCATTATTTAAAAATTATCCATTATCAGTTGCACAGTTAATGCATTTTGATTTGTCTTTATTGAATTTAAGAGAACCAGAGCATGAAATACAATCAGTTTCTTAAGATCCTTTACAAGTTTAGCAGTTCTAATGGCAAAGTAAGCATAAATCTTGTTATGTAAAAAAAGATCCTGTACATTCTAGACATTAGCCTTCACCTTAACTATTTTTACTTTTGAAATATTTTCCTTCTACACATTTCTTGCATTGAGATTAGTCTCCCCCAGAGCACTCTAAACAGCTTGAATGGCAAGGTTTGCAATACGATCCATCAACGTAATGGGCAATCTTTTCTTAGCACTTTATACAAATCTAATCTCCGTTTTAATCTTTCCAAAATGTTAATCCAGTTGCACAAATTTTGCATTATTTTTAATTTTCCCCTTCACACTCTTCACAAGTGTTATGACAAACTTTGCAAAATTCTCCTTCTTAGAAATACCCCTTTTTTGGGCATTTTTAGCAGGTCTTATCTGGCAGCTTACTAAGATTATCTTCACATTTATCACAACCCTAAGGACTCTCATCTTTACATGTTTTACATGTGCTATCACAGTGAAGGCATCTATCTCCTTTAATAAAAACTTTTTAATCAGTTTCACATTTTTCGCACTTGTCTGAATCATTTTTGTAAAGATCTTTTTTACAAGTTAGACATTTGTCATCTCCAAATTATGAACATGTTAGACAATTAGGAGAGCATTATTTACACATATTAATTTAGTTTACTTTTTATTTAAAGTATTCCTAATCAGGACATTTTTTACAAGTGCCATCTTCAAATAAAAATAAACCTTCTTAACAAGACAAACATTTATTTTCTGATTCGTCAACACAAGTTAAACAGCTACTATGACACTTTAGACACTAGTCTCCTTTTACAAAATATCCATTACTTGTTTAGCACTCTCTACAGTATTTTATTTCCTTAGTATTTCCATTTTCTGTGACTTGTTCTGTGTGAAATTTATTTTAATTTTTACACTTTATACAGTCAGTTTCTTTATCGCCATTGCATAATTCGCAAGATTAATGACAAGGAGTACACTTTTTGGTCACTTAATCAGCGTAATAATTAGATTCTGGACAAGAATCGCAAATATTTCCAAGCCACATGAAAGGAGGTAGACACTTTATACAATTTTCTTTATCATTTCCATTACAAGTCTAACAGGAACTATGGCAATCATAACATTTATTATCATCCTTTGATATCCAGAAATGGTCTTAATTGCAGTCTCTGCAAATATTATCTTTGTAATATATATTCAAACCATCCTTACAAGTTAGACATTAGTTAGATTAGGAACCATTACATGTTTTGCAGTCTTTAAAACACTCTAAACAGGTATCTTTTTTGTCTAAATAAAAATTTTCAGCAGGGCATTCTTAGCATGTCTTATCAATTCTAAATTTTAAATTACCTTTGCAAACATCGCAATCAATAGCATCTTATGAATGACACTTTAAGCAAGTATCATGACATTTAATACATTCCTTATCTTTTACGAAGAAACCTTCATCAGGACATTCTTGGCATAATTTTTGAGAATTTATATCTTTTTCATCTACTTTTTTTAAATACTAATTATCTTTACAGGTTATGCAATCAAATTAAGATGGTCCTGAGCATTCTTTACAAGATGAGTGGCATTTTATACAATTTAAGCCTTAAACAAAATAGCCATCTGATAACTTACATTCAGTGCAGACTCCTTCTTTAAGTTTCAAAGTACCTGTGCATTCCTTACAGCCATCTTTATCACATATCTTACAACCATCACTGCATTTAATGCAATTCTTGTCTTAGGCATAAAAACTATTAGAAGTATCACAAATTTTACATTTTTTGTCTTAGTGTTTAAGATATTTACTATCACAATCAATGCATTCTGTTTCAGAACCACCGCTGCAAGTTTAGCAAGTAGCATCACAATCTAAACACATATCTTCCTTTATATATTACTTATTATCAATTTAGCATGATATGCATTTTTTCTGGCCAGTAGTTTTATCTTGATAAAATTTATTGTCTCCAATACAACTTAAACAATCATTTTCAGAAGATCCAGAGCAAGTTTTGCAAGTTTAATGGCATTTTTTACAAGTATTATCAGTTTTGTCTACAAACATGCCATTCTTTAAATCGCATATTTTGCATGTTTAATCAACTTGCCTATTAAGATTAGCTTCACAATCTTAGCAACCAGTTTCAGAGTTATCTTTACAAGTTTTACACGAACTATGACAAGGTAAGCAATATTTATCTGAGATATAATATTTATCATTTATTAGGCAATCACTACAATTTCCCTCTGGGTATAATTTTTATTCGCCTTTACATAATATACAGTCATTTTTTTCTGATCCTTTACATTACTTGCAGCTAGAATCACATTTTTTGCACATTTTATCTTCTTTAAAATATCCTTCCTATGGACATTCTGGTTTGCAAGTCCCATCTTCAAATAAATAATCTGAGTCTTTACATTTAGTGCAGCTAGTATTACTTGAATCCTTACACTCTTAGCAAGAACTATCACATCTCATACATATTTTTCCATTTTAATAAAAAGATTAAGAAGGCAAACAATCAATACATGTTTATTTTCCACTTTCTGATAATAAAAATTTACTATTTGGGCAAGTTAAACACTGGTCTTAGCCTTATCCACTACAAGTTTAACATTCATCATTGCATGGTAAACACTCTTTTCCATTTTTGAAGAATTTATTGTTTGTATCACATTCCTTGCATGTATTATCTCTAAATAAGTATTTATCATCTTAGCATGTTTTACACTAGTTTTTTTATCCTCCAAAGCATGTTTTGCAACTTGAATCACATTTTCCACAGCTATACTTATCATCTTTAATATAAAATCCTTCTGATTCTTCACATTTTTAGCAAAGACCATCTCGAAAGTATAATTAAATAGGAGATTATGAACATTCAACACACTATGTGGCATCTTAATTTTTGCATTTTTTGCAAGTATCATGACATTTTTTACAATAAAACCCATCTTGGAAATATTTATTTTCAGTTATGCAAGTTTAACAAATTTTTGTATCAAAGTCTATTAAAAAACTGTCATTCATACATGAATCACAGTCAGTATTATTCTATTCATGACAAGTTTTGCATGATGAGTCACATCGCTTACAAACTTTGATACCCTTTTGATTTGCAATAAAGAACCCGTTTTCTGTCTTACATTTTTAACATCTGTTATCTTCATTAAGAGCAAAATCTTCTGTGCAACTCAAGCAATTATTATCTGATATTCCATTGCAAGTTAGACAAGAATCATGGCATTTCTTACAATAATTAAAATCAGTTATGTAAAATTTCTCCCTAGGGCATTTTTCACATACCTTATCATCATTAAAATACAAACCCTCAGCACAGAGTTTGCAATTTCGATTTCCAGGTCCTGTGCATGTTTTGCATGTAACATCACACTTATTACAGTAATTATTTTCATCAATATACTTTCCATCTGCTATATTACATGTTTCACAAGATTTATCGTTTGGATTGAAAGAAAACTAATCTTTACACTAAATACAATCTTAAATATTTGGTCCATTGCATCCTTTACAATTAATATGGCAGTTTTAACAAATATTTAAACCATTTGGATCTTTAACATACATGGAATCTAAGTCACATTTGGCACATAACTTTGTAGCCTAGTTAGAATTAAAACTCAAGCCATCTTTGCATTTTATGCAAATATCTTTGCTTGAACATGTTTTACAAGATTTATCGCATTCTAAACATTAATTATTTATGTCTATATAATAAGAATTTTCTGTTTCGCATTTTTGACATTTACCGTTTAAAAAGCTTAAATCTTGATTACATACTTTACAATTTGAATCAGAAGGTCCATCACATTATTTACAAGTAGGATGACATTTTTCGCATTCGTCATGGTTATTTACAAAGTAGCCGTTGTCAGTATTGCAAGCTTTGCATTTACGGTCCAATTTATCTATTTTTAAATTACTAATACATGTTTAACAAGATGTATCTTTACTATCATTGCAGGTTTAGCAAGAATCATGGCATTTTTAACAATTTTGACTAATATCGATGTAGTATTTATCATTTATTGGGCAAATTCCGCATTTTCTATCAGGCATAAAGTTATATCCATCCTTGCATTAATTACATTTTTCTATTTCTATTCCTGTACAAGATTTGCAGTTTTAAGCACAATCAAGGCACTATTTTCCGCTTTGGAAAACTCCATCTCGTGTACAAGGCTCACATTTTCCCTTATAATTAAATTAGTTAGGATCTTTACATTCTAAACAATCATTTTCCGTTTTTTCTTTACACTTAGAGCAAGAATTATCACATAATTAACATGTGTCATTTTATTTAAATTATCCTTAGCTTTCACAAGGTATGCATTAAGCTCTATTATTAAAAAGATAATAATTTTGTAGGCATTTTTAACAATTTTTTTCATCTGAACAGGTTTAGCAATTTTCAATGCATTTAAAGCAATTTTTTCCACTTTTAAAATATCCATCTTAGCAAATAATACAGTTATCTGAGTTAAAAAGAAAGAAACCACTCTGACATTCAGTACATTTCAGATCACTGTTACATTTTTTACAATTCTTTTCCTGAGGGCATTTATAGCAAAATTAATTAGATTTATCTATGTAATATCCATCTTATTTGCATTGAGAGCAAGTTTAATTATCTTCTAAGATATAATAACCAGGACTACATTTTTTGCATGAAGATTTATTATCACATTAATCGCAATTCGATATGCATTTATCGCAAATATTTGAATTGATAAAGTAACCATTTTATTTGCAGTCAGTGCATTTTTTTCTATCTTATAAATATTTTTCAGGCTAGTTATCATAGCATTAAGTACATTATGTCTCAGGTGAACATTTTTAGCATTTTAAATCAGCTTAGCATTCAACACAATTTTTACCTTTCACATATTAACCATCTTAATCGCATAAAACGCAATTTTTATTTTTGTCTAATTTATATGGAGAAATGCAGTCGTTTGGATTCAAGTTGTTATACTTACAAGTTCCATCTTAATATTTTATAGCTTTATCAATGCAGTCTAAACAATCAGTTTCATTAGGTCCTTTACAAGTCTAACAGGAAATATGGCATCTAAGACATCTTTATCCTTCAATGTAATACCCTTAACTTGTCTAGCAGGGCTCACATGTGTTTTTTTCAGTATTTAATTTATTATTTACTTTATCTTTACAAGATATACATTAATCTTAGTAATTACAAGAGCAAGTTGTTGAACAACCATAACATTAATTATTAGAATCATAATTTTATCCATTTGGGCAATCTCCACAAGATCCATCTGCAAGCTAATCATACCTATAAATAAGATTTCTCTTCTAACAATCTTTACACTTTTAATATGATGTACAGCCATTACAATATTAGTGACATTTTTGGCAACTTTAATAAATAGGATGGAAGTAGTATTAAGCACTACATGACTATAGCAATCTTAAAAAGCTTTTACTAGTACTAATTTACATATCATAAGTATTATTTATTTAAATAAATAGCCTATTTAATCAATATAAAATACAAAAAAATAAATAAATAATTTGCAAAGTAGAATTAATTTACCTTATAGTCCTTATACTTAAATTATCTAATACATCTTATGTAAAAAAAGTGTAATTTAAATAGGAATGCTAAATTAAAGATTATGTGATGTACTTATTATTATATTAATTTAGAATAAGTTATGATATCCTTTAAGACTAATCCAAAAAATTAAGTGTTAGATTCCTTTCCATATTCAAATTAAAAAAATAAATTTAAGCCTATCTTTTAAATATTAATTTTACTTATGTGAAGAAATATTAAATTCAATAACAACTTAGCAAAAATAGCCTTTGTAGTTTAATAATTCCTCTGATTATATCTTGATTTGGTGCTGATTATTTGATGTATTTTGATTGATAAGTAACTACTAAATCTCTTTTAAATTGTTATTTTCCTAGCCTTAATTCAAATAATCTTCATCTGGGTTCAAATCAACTTCTTTTCCGTGCAGTTACTTAATTATAAACTAGATTAAAGCTAAATATAAAAGGAAAATTTAATTAGCTTTCATTTCTTCTACTTTTGTTTTTGTTCTATTTTTAATCAAATTAACAATTATATGAAAAGAGACCTAATTTTAATGAAGTACAATTAATATTTTTTTATGAATAAAATCAAACAAAAATTAGAAGAGTTTCTTGTTATATAAGTCTTCTAAGTTCAACTTTAAATGAAAAGAAAATTAATTTACAGTTATTAAAGAAGTTTGATATATAAATTTTTTCTTTTATTATTCAAAGCTATTAACAATTTCAATTAAAAATATCAAAATTATAATTTAAAAAAGCATTGATTATCGATAATTAAATAATAAATACAACATAACATTTATTAAATATCGATTCTAAGTAAAAAAGTATTTATAAACAATATTTCGATTTTAATTCGCTACTGTAACAAAATTAAGTAACAAATTATTAAAATTGTTTGTATTACTTAGAACTCTTAGTATTTATAAAATAATCAAGCTTGAAAACGCTAGACCAATAATAATGTAATGGTAAATAACTATTTTATGCTTATGTAATTAGTAAAAATTAGAAATTAATCATGTATTTATATTTAGATATATAAAAATAAGAAATTCATTTAAAACTACATGTATGTATGAGTTTTCATGTCTATTTTTTTTTTAAAAGGTACAGATTAATTTACATTCATAAGATAGAAAAATATAATTCATGTAGCTATTTGCGTCATTTATTTTTAATTAAAATCAATCTAATTTTCTTAATAGGTTAATATTCATGAGAAAAATATTACACATTAATTATATTTTATATTTCATCATAATTTACATATATCCCAATAAATTTTAAATTAAATGATAGTCATTGATTTTTTAATGTATTTTTTCTTCTCATATTTATCTTTACTATTTTTGATTCTATCATATATTTTCTTTATTCAAAATATCGTAAAAATTGCATGACTTTAAGTAATTCTTTGACATAAATAGATAGTCAAATACTAAAAATAAATTGCAACTAAGAAAAGCTTGCTTAATTTTATTTTTTTACCATTCATATAAATTATTATTTACTTTCTATTTACCATTTAATTTTTAAATATTTAGATCATTATATACTAAATTCTCGTATAATACCACTATCCCCACCTTAACCAATTTTAAGTTGAATTAGGTCTTAATTAAAATAAATTAAATAATCTTTGCTTCAAAAATATTTGTCCAAATAAATTTATTTTATGTTATATTTATTAGGATATTTAAAAAACATATTTATTTATTAATTCATTTAATATATTTTTAATCAATTTATTATCAAAATCTATTAATATACATAAAATGTTTGTTCAAAAATACTAATACTTAATATTACTAAAATAGTAAAATACTTGATATAACTTTAATTTTAAAGATTTATAAATTAGAAAATTTAAATTTACCTAATTTTATTACTTATAAATATGGAATTTCTTTTTTTGTAAATTAATTCAAGTTTATTTTTTTTGATGAATAATAAATAACCAAATTTAGATTTTAAAAAATTATTTCTAAAATATTTTTATAATTTATTAAGGTCAATAAAATTATAGATTTAAAAATATAATATCAGGAATTTTAATTTCACATTTAAAAATGGAAGCAAATTTAATTTGAAGAATTTTTAAAAATATTACAATCATACTAAATTAAAAAGTAGAAGTCCTAAAATTTTTAGTTTAAGCAATCAATAAGTATCCTATGTTAAGTATATAAAATATTTATTAATTATTAAGAATACAGGAATTAATCTTACATAAAAAACTAATTAATTTATTAGATTATTTGATTAGAAGATTTGGCTTATTTTGGTTAAAAAATAACATAATAAAGAAGTAATAGTTTTAGATAACATTTTTCATTAAAATGGTTATAATAAATACTATTTAAGTATAATAAATTTTGCATAATCAATCTTCTTTTTTAAATAAATAAGTTTTAAAAGTTATTTATTAACATATATTATTTCAATCAATATTTTTAATGAGTTTTACAATAATTAATAGAATCTGAAATGTCTGATGATTATGATAACTAATCAATAAAAAACCTCTCTGAAATGGGTTCTTCTATATTATTTCTTGATATTTTAAATAAGCGAAATTAGAAAAAAATAAGCAAAACCTTTACAAATATTTTTTTTGTCTTTAATATTTAAAAAGCTTTAAGATAAATAAATATTTGACTTTTTCTTTTACTTATTATTATTATTATTTCTACTTAAAAGATTGATCTTGATTAAAATATAAATATCTGTATTTAATATAAAACCAGCAAAAACAATTTCTTTATTCTAAAAAAATATATTTATCTAAATTCTAAATATCTTATCCATTTATTTAAATAATCTTTTTTATTTTAATTCATATCGTATAATATTTTAAATTATAAAAAAGAAAACTACTGAAACTACCTAAGATTATTAATCAATATTAAATAACATAGTATTTACTTTTACAACCTTAAATTTTTGAATTATAAAATTTTCTAACTAAAAATTATGGATCTAATAGAAATAAATTATTTTATTATCTATAAATAACAAGTATAAAAGAAAACGCAAGGTATATTAATTTAATGTTTATTATAAAATGTTATTTTTTAAACATTTAAAAAAAAAAAACTATTTAGCTTGAGAAATCATAACTTAATTTATTCAAGTATTTTAATAAAATTACAAATATGATACTTTAACAATATATTATATACACAACATCTATTATTCTGTGTATTTCAAAATTATAAGATTAGAATAGATGAAAAAAAAAGAGAATGTACATTCCTAGAAGTCAATTTTACAAAAATTATTGTATTCATTGGAAGTAGTGGCCAAAAAAATGTTGAAATAAGAGTTATTTTAAAATATTAAAATACACTAATAAGCTTATTTTATTGTTAAAATTACTTTATGTAAAAGTATTCAGAAATTATTAGATATAATTTTAATACATATTTTTAACCAGATAAATTAAATAGAAATAAGTAAGGAATATTAAAAAGCAGAGTAAATTAAATGAATTTTTATTTCAATTACTAATTTTGGGATAAAAAAATTAATTCATAATTCATTAACAATAAATGGTTATGATAAAAAGATTGCATACATAATTAAAAATAAATTTTAAAAGCTCTTGATAATAGGCAGCTAGATAATTTATCAAATTTAAATAAAAATTTCAATAGAATAATAGAATAGAAAAGTGAGATGTTTTTAAATTCTAAATTATTATCATTGAAATTGTGCTTTTTAAATAAAATGATATTTGAGAAATATATAAATTTTATTAAAATACATAGAAGGTTTTTCTTAAACAAGTTAAGATAATTATTTTTATCAAATAATTTGTATGTCTACTATTAAGTACTTATATATTAGTGTATATTTTGTTAACACTAATATTTTTCAAAAACATAACACAAATTCTGTTAAAATTTATTCATATTACATTCAAGTATGTTATTCTGCTTATTAAAAAAATTCATAAAACTTATAAATTATTCAATCATTAAATTTCAAATAAGTGGTTTTTACAAATGCTTTACTTTTATTATTAATTTATAATTCACCTGTTAAAAGCAAAAAAGTTTTAGTTACTTTACCAACTCTTTGACTCTATGACGTTATCAAACATAAACCAATATCATATCCTTCTTAAATTTAAAAGCAAATTCCATATATTTAATACTTTTTTACTGAGTTTCAGATTATTATTTAAATAATTTATCAATCAATTTTAAATATTTTAATAGAATTTTAATATGAAATTTTAAGCTTCAAAAATGAAATTAGATTCTGATAAAATATAAATCATTTAATAATTTAATATTACTTCATTTAAACGTCATGAATTTTATCTTTAAGTTATTTTGATATTAATTATATAATTAGCAACTTATGACTAGATTAATTTTACTTTATTTACTTTTTAATAATCAAATAGTTATTAAGTTTTTCTCAATACTCTTTTATTTTTGATTTTTAGTTATGATACTTTTTTTCACTCATTCAAAGTTGAGAATTTAATTATTTATACATGTAACTTTATAATAGAAGCTTTTTTTTTATTGAATAAATAATTTTTAACACAAAAATTTCATAATCTCAAGCAATTTATAGATTCTTAAAAAATACAAATAAAAAATAAAGCTAACAAAAAATACATAGCAAAAAAGAAAAATAATCTTAAAAAATACTTGTCATTAAAAGCTAGATTATCATGATTCAGAAGTCTTTTAAAACAGTACTGATTCTTGGATGCATCTTTTTTGTTTGGATAAAAGTTACGGCTTCGTTTGCTATTAAAGAAATTTATGTGCCAACGATATTTAAGAACTTCGAATCAACATCTAATTAACAATATTTTAAGTAGATTGCGGTTGCTAAAAAAGCAGGGTTAATTTATTTTAAGCAAGGCTTAAGTACTATTAACATTTATGATGAGAATGATAACTTTAATTAGCTGTGCACTTATTAACCTCAAGGCTAATTAAAAGACAGTTTCTTAGTATCTGATGATGGTAAATTCTTAATTGTTGTCCTTTAGAATTTCTTAAATATATTAGAATTTGATCATAAAACAAAAACCCTCTCTATTTTGTTTACAGATGTTTAATAATCTCAATTTAACATTCTATCTCTCAACTAGTAGCAAAATAAAATTTACTTAATTAGAGATTAAGTTAATTTTTAGATTATTTCGCTAGTAGACTTTAGCATAGCTAAAGGAACTCTTAATAACTAATGGTAAGTTTTGGATATGCATATTTCTAATGATGAGAAATGGCTGAGTGTAAGCGCTAATACATAAGGTCTATTTTTTTATTAGATTAATAAATCTGATAACTCTACAATTTAATTTACATAAGTTTCCTCAAATTCAAATGTCAATTTTTACCAGTTCATCCTATTCAAAAACGACAAATACATAATAGGCTTAGATTATTGGTAGGGAATAAGTATATTTGATCTAACAACTTTTGCTTAGGAGCTTAACTAGGGAAACACAAACATTTAGCTAAATACCCCAGTTATAAACTGGTGGATGGTATAGGGTGGGTTTCCTTATTCATCTACTATTGAAATTAACCAAGAATAGTCTTTGATATATGTAGGAGCGAGATCATCAGGCATATACGCTGTAGACATTACTAATATTTTAAATCCAGTAGTGTTCTAACTTATTTAGATTTAAGATGATATATTTTAGTTAATCCTATCCTACAACCTCTCTTACCTATACTTATCAACAAAAAAGAGTGTTTTAGTATATGAAAAAGATCAGGTTAATCTATAGATGAGTTATCCTAATTTGTATAATAAGCATTAATCCACTCTTTCTTCTATCTTAAATACTCCATATGGTTGGAGAAGTCTTTTACTAAAAGATGATATAACGCTAATAGTAACATGCTCTAACTATGGAGTTGTCATCGCATAATTCAACTAAACTAGTATATAATTACCATTATAGGTACTCAGTACAATTTCCTACCCTTTTTTAACATATACTGACAACATAATGCTATTTAGAAACGAAACATTCCTCTTAGTTCCTGTATAAGATCCTAGTGGATATATCATAGATGTCTATGATATTTCTAACAAAACTTCTCCAAAAGTTGTACAACGTATAGCTTCTTCAACATCTGCTTATATCTATTCTATGTCTAAAAAATAAGATGAAACACTTTTTGGCTGCCAAAACCTAAATTAATTGGTCTTTTATAATATCTCTGGTAACATCTCATTTAAATTGATCTCTTCATTTAGTATCCCATAAGCTCTTTCAACAGTTCAAACCAACGATATGGCTATTTTGAATGGTTTTCCATACGTTATTTTACTTTTTAGAGCATTAACAATAGCAGCTTTAGATATTTCAGATGTCTAAAAACCTTTTATTGCAAGTAATATTGATTCTCTCGGAGCTGAACAAGTAATTTAAGGTACATATTAAAGAAATTATTGTTTTGTTGCAGATGGTTTGTAAGGAATTTCTGTTATTGACTTAACCTAACTCCCTAAAATAGTAATAATTTCAAATGTTTAAATTAGTGGGTATACCAATTTTTTGAATCCTATTGTGAAAGAATAATTTATAATTACAAGCCAGCTAAGTGGAGGAGAATCATCCTTAGTAAGTATGAGCTCAATAAAATCTCCTCAATTTCTTAGTTAACTTTAATACAAAAGTGAATTTGCAGCTGCTTCATCCTTAACAAGCGACTTAAGTTACTTATTTGCTATAAATGCTGGTGGTGTTAGGATAATTCCAATAAAAGCTAATATCTTTATTCATTATGAGTTTTCATAGGTTGTTAAAGATAGTACAGGTGTTATAAATCTAATAAGATTAAAGCAAGTAGACTAAATTCTGTCTGTAGGGCAAACTATTTAGATCACTTTAAATCCACTATATCCTATATCTGGATCATAAATAACAAGTGCTTATTTTGTAAGAGATGGTATTTTATATGATTTACCTTCTTGGATGGTATTTGATATCTATTAAAGCACACTAACTTTGAGTATTACCAAGGATTCGCTTAATGTAATTAAAGCAAACAGCTTAAACAATAATGATATTACAAAGCAAACCGTTGTATTTGTAACTAAATTACCTCTTACCTAAAATTCATTTGCTTTTACAAATGAACTTACAGGGAATGTTACAATTAGCCAAAATATGAGTTAACAAATTTTTATTGCCTATAAGAATATGGGCACCATAAATCATTTGAACTAAGTTTCAGATTCATTTGCTGAAGATGAAACTTTTACTCCTCCTACGATTACTGGATTAAATTTAACTGATGATGCAATCTTGAAAATCAAAAAAGTGCTATAGATGAGCATAACATATTCTCCAGTTGATCTACTATTGCAAAAATCATTAATAATAGATTTCACATAAGATAATAATTATATTTAATCATATTCTCCATCTGTTAGTATTTTATTTACTATTAATTAAAAAGATGGTAAATTTGTTAATAGACTATATTCTAGTGTTGTAACTTCTTTAACAGAGAAGTAGGATTAAATCTAATTACAAGGAAATATTAAAAGCTTAAATTAACTCCTTTAGCAATAAATTTAAATATACCTCTATGATAAAAGCAGTAGAAATATTAACATTCAAATTTAAGTAAGCGATGGAATAAATAATGACTATATAGACACCTATACATTTGATTAACTATCTAAAATATTGTAAATAAAAAAAGATCTTTCTATTAGTCCAGAAAATAAATTATAAAACTAAATTAATAATTAATATCCAGGATCTCAAATTTAAATAGATAGTTAAGTTGATATAGAGTTTTCTTTGAATACATTTAACTACGCGAACTTTAATGAGTTACAATTTTAAGCCTTTTACTTTGATAATGATCAATACATACCTTTAACTAATTAGCAAAATGAAATTTAATTCACTCCTTAATAGTTTAAATTTTATATTAAAACATCAACTTCAGACTTTGGAAGAAAGTACTGCTTAGCTATCAATGCAACAGATTCTTATTCTTGGGCTATGGACTCATTTTGCGTAACAGCATCTGTCATTTCATTTCTTGTGTTTTTGAATATATTTGTATAAGTGCTTGGACCTTTATTGTTTTTCTTAGGTGTATTCAAGTATTGGAATTCGCTTTTTAATATGTTCTTTAACAAATAAAATTTGTTAGGAAAAAAGTAGATTGAAGAAAACAAATAATTTGTGCTAAAATTTATTGTAGTTAATGATTCTTATTTGATAGGTTAAAAACTTTTCAATGAATATGTAAAAAATATACCAGAAAAAACAATAGCTCAAAAATTAATTTAAAGGTGTTAATCACCCCACAATAGTTCGCTATTAAAGAGTGACATTCTAAAATTAACTTTAAAAAAAGATGAAATATTATAATAAAATTCAAGCGATGATAAACAAGAAATGTAAATTAATGATTTTGCATTTACAAAAGAATAAAATGATAAAGCTAGATAGGTTCTTCAAAAAACTACAAGAATTTTAAATAGTAAAAGTTTCATGAATAAAGAGATTAATTACTAGAAATTTTCTATCTACTTAACCAATAATTAAACTATTGATATAAAAACATTTATTACTGATTTATATACTTCAAACAAGCCAATTAATTATGAAGGAAAGGTTATTTATCCTAAGTAGCTATAAAATGAGCTTAATGATTCTGGAAGCGTTCTCTATAACTGCTTGTCTGGACTTCTTATTTAATAATTTTTAAAATTAAATAAACGCACATTTGTTGTTTATTAATTAATAAAATAAATCGCTTAATTATGCAATAAAAATTCATAAAAATAATGGACTGAATTTTTAACTGAGTCTTTTCCAATATTAAAGTAAAAGAAGTATAATGAAGAATAAATAATTCCTTATATATAAATAAAAGATGAAAATCTATTGAAAATATTTAACATTTTGCTGTTAAGTATGAAAAAGAATGTTCTATTAAATTCTTATGAACTAAATGCAGTAAATATAAAATAACTATTGGGAGTAGACTTAGGATTAATAATTGACAATATCATTACAGATGCTATTGGTATAGTTAAACCAACAAACAGTTCACTATATCCTAATAGTGGAGAGAGTATACACCTCTTAGAACACAAAATTAAAAAAGTGTAAGCATATATGAAATCTAAGAACTCTAAAACATTTTGTCTAAAGAAGTTTTTAAATATGGAGTATTAGCCTTTATTTTCTCACAAAAATTAATAATTACCTAGTTGGCTAAAAATTAAAATAGAAAAATAACTAATAACTCTTTATGGAATTGCTCCATAAAGCCAAAATTATAATAAGTTAAAGATTTGTATTTTCGACAATAATGAATGCATAGTTAGAGAAGTCATATTAGAAATACTAAGCAACAAAAATAATTAAAAATCTTAGCTTAACATATCAGATGATATTTCTATTCTTGAATCAGAATAAGCTTTGCCTCTTAATAAATATGGTTATAGTGAAGTAAGAGATAAATAATCACCAACAAAATTAAAACTACTTGAAAATATGTAAAGCGAAGGTAATTAGACTAAGCAAACAGAAAATTAACCAATTTTATCTAAAAATAACTTTAGAGTTATCTCATTTGAATAATATTGCTCAGAAAGCTAGTTTAGTGTTAAAGCCCAAAGCTCGCTATATAAAAGTAATGTTTTATAGCTAAATAGAACTATCACAAAATCAATAAATCCTTTGTTAATTAATAACAATGTTGATACTTTAGAATGAATATAAAAATTAATATTTCTTTGTATTTTTTTATTTTATGTCTCTATAAATAGTTAATTCTTATAAGCTAACAATTTGTTTATAAAATTTATTTCAAAAAAAATAGGAATAATATCTCTTAAACAATAGGAATATTCTTGTCTGATAATTTAAAAGACCTTCTTGCAAAAAGTTAATTAATTTTTTTATTTAAAATAAATCAAAATATCACTGGGTGATTTTATCATTTAAGTGCTTAATTTAATTAAAATGGGGCATTACACATTTAAATTGAAAGTATAATATTCATTTTTATTAGATCAAAGATTAATTAGTTTTTATTTAAAAAATTTTATAATTAAACCACAAGTAAATGATTTATTAATTTTACATTTTATTTCTAATTTTTTGAAGTGGTATTCAGAATTATAAAGATATAAAATTAATTATGTAATTTTGATAAGTAATTTTAAAGTATATTAAAAGTACATTGGTATTTTAATCAATCTTATTTAATTGTCAATTAGCGATTGAATTTATCATGTAGGAATGCTTAAATAATTTACACACATATACTAATAAATTCTTATTTAAAAAATGTAATTATCAATCTATTTTTCTAAAGAAACAAACTTCTTCTACTTACTTTAATAGAAAAAGTTAAGTTATTAAAAATTGAGAATTTATTTGATCAATTTGATTAATTTTTTTTTTTAGATTTTTTTTGAAGCAGTAAAAACTAATTATCAAGGCTCATAACATAAATTAAGAAAAAAACACCAATCAAAAATTTTCAAAATAATGAAAAATAAATTTTTTGGATTTTTGCTAAATATTGTGTAAATATAATTTTTTATTTCAGGTTGCTCATCTTATTAATTAACTGAAATTTATTCATCAAGCATTTACAAATAATTTTAGGCGGAATCTTCTTCTTTATACTTTGAAGATATTCAATTAGCCAAAGATGTAGGACTATTGATTGTAAGATAAGGAAATAGATAACTCTATATTATGGATGAAAATAATTAGCATCTTAATATTTTCACTTACAAATTTGATGAGGATGTACTGGGTTCAACCTTGGTTTCAAGAGATTCAAAATATTTTATTTTCAATGTCTCTAATAAATTAACCATTTTCACATTTGATATTCATCAAAAATAATTAGCCTAAATTTACTAGGATAACAGTTCTTAATAATAAATAAATGTAGTTACTTTAAATTAAAAATAAAGCAAAGTCTATGTTATAAAAGATTCAATTGATCTATATATTATTTCCCTTAAAGATTTTGCTATTTAAAAAGGTTAACTAGATTAACAATAAGTTGTTATTTCCTTTTTTGTTTCTTCTGATGACTCTTGGATTTGTTTAAGCTAAGATGCAGTCGGTATAATGTTTTACTAAATTATCTCTTTAGGCTAGAATTAAATTTTTTTGAGACTTGCTTGCACAAATACATTGATTAATTCATACAACTATTTGCTAATTAAAAATGATTCAATACTAATTACTATAGACTATTGGATTGGTATTTCAATTTTCGACATAACTGAATTAGCTAAATCAATTGATTCAGGATAAAGTAACATTCAAATGAAGGCTCTACTTTTAAATTGGTGGATTGATTCTACTTATGCTCCTTATTCTAATGCTCTTGAAATAAATTTAGAAGAAACATTCCTTTTTGTAGCTTTCAGATCAGTTGGATTTTATATATTTGACATATAAAATCCTTCATAGCCTTAGATAGTTTAGCTCATTTAGATATAAAAAGATATAATTTAAATTATACAATCTTATAAAAATCCCTATGTTTATATTTAAACTAAAAAAAGGATTCTAGTCTATAAAAAAGTAAAAGCTAATTTTCAAAACAACTACCCAAATTTGTTTAACAAACATGCATCTATTTTATCAACTTTGATTGACACATCTCAAACCAAACAAATAAAATTACTTCCAGATAATTCACATATGATAGTTTGTTGCTCAAGTAATGGTTTGAATATATTAAAGTTAAAGTTAAATTCTATACTTTAACCTTTAGAAATTGTAAGTTAGATTAATTATTCTAGTAAATTGGACAGTTTTTTGATATTTTCGAATGGTTAATTATTAATTTTATCTGTTCAAGATCCAAATAGTTTTTATTTTGATATCTACGATCTAGGTAATTTAATTTCTCCTCAAAGAGTGCAAAGAATTATTTTGGACTATAAGGACATAAATTCAATAACTTTAAGTAAAGATGAAACACTATTTGTATTTTAAAGTGGTAATAACTTAGTGTTCTATGAAGTATCTAGCATATAATTTAAATATCTGAATACATTCAATATTAATTCTTCTCCTATTGTACAATAGAGTTCAATTGTTATTTTGAATGAATTCCCTTACATTTTAGTTTTAATTTAAGAGTAGTCAATAACAGCCATACAAATTAGTAATTTGAATGAACCTTAAATTAGTAGTGTATAAGAGTCACTTGGCGCTGTCTATGGTATATAAGGAACATATTAAAGCCATTTCTGTTTTATAGCTGATGGTTAATAAGGTATTTCAATCATTGATCTTCGCGAATTACCAAATATTGTAATTATGACAAAGATATCTTTAAACGGATATTAGGTTAATTTAATCCTTTTATAAAATGATAACTATATTATTTCTAGCTAACAAAGTGGAGGTTAAATAGAATTGATTAATATATTTAATATAAATGAGCCTTATATTATGAGCTAAACTTAATTTGAAAATGAATCATCTGTAGCTACTGAAATCAGCTAAGATTTAAATTATTTATTTATATTGAGTTCCAAAGGAATTAGGATATTACCTATTAAAACTAGCTTTCTTATAAATTTTGAATTTTCTTTATTACAAGATACAAACTCTGGTTAATAATAATAAACAATGCAAGGTACGGAAAATCTTATCTTAGAAGTAGGCTAAAATTTAATAGTTACCTTAACTTCTATCTATCCTCAAAAAAATGCAGCAATTACAAACGCATATTTTGTCCAATAATATAAATTGCAAACTCTTCCTTCTTGGCTTTCTTTTGATAACCATTTAAATTAGCTACAGATAAATGTAACTAAAGAAAGTTTAACTGGGTTAATTCAAAATAATAATACAAATATATAGATAAACTTTAATAATGTTGTTTTTGTTACTAAAGTATAGCTTACAGAAACATCATTTATATATTAAGATAATAATACTGGCTCTTACATAATTACTGATGTATAAAGTAAATAAATTTTTTAGTATTTCAAAAATTACAACATACTAAATGGCTAAAATTAAATTTCAGATTAATTTTGCTAAAATGAATCATTTGATTTACCATCCCTCAGTAAGATGACCATTTCTAATGAAGGATATATTGTTATAAGAAATATTTTACAGAGTAGTGTTGTTTATTCCCCTCTAAAGTTATTGCTTTAGAATTCATTGATTGTAAACTTTAAAAATCCTTTTTAAATTATTAGTTCTGTATCAAAAATAGCAAGCATGTCAATTTAAATCGACAAAATAAGTGGAAAATTTGTTTTAAAAAATTATCCTGGAGTAATCACCTTATTTTCGAAAGATTAAGATATGCTACAATTAGAAGGTGAAATTATTTATTTAAATCAGATTCTAACTCAATAGATTTTGGTTTATTTTTATAGCAATACATACACTAAAAGCAATGTAGAAGTAATTTTAGATGATAAAATAAACTATTAATATGACTAATTTTTTTTGTATTAAGATATACAAAATATATTCTAGATAAAAAAAAACATTTAGATTTAAAGCACTTAATCTTTTTAAGCTTAAGTAAATAGAATTTTCTCTGATTCTATCATCTACATTGATACTTTAAATACAATCTAATTTTCTTTCAACACATATGAATATACAGATTTTAAAGACCTCACTTTTTAAGCCTTTGAAATTAAAGGAGGTAATTTAAAATCTCTAAGTGCTTAAATAGATGAAATAAGTTTCTTTCCTTAATAATTAATGTTTATAATTAAGCCTCAAATATCTGACTATAGTAGTTCATTTTGCTTTATTGTGAATGCTACAAATTCATACTCTTGGGTTCAAGATCAATTTTGTGTTAAAGCAAAAGGTATATCTATGATATTATTTTTAAACTGGATGTTTAAATATTTAGGATCTACTTTATTCTTTATAGGATTATTAAAATACTGGTATCTTCTTTTTAATTTAATATTTGCAAAGAAAAATAAGTACAAAGAAGTTTAGCTATCTTCAGGTTAAGAATTTACTTAAAAAATAATCTTAGTAAATGATAGTTATATAATTTGCAAAAAGCTTTTCAATAAATTCAAACAATAGCTTAAAACCTAAAAAAAATAGTAAGACTATATTTAAAATTCTTAAAAAGATAATATTTTATGTTAATCATAGCTAAATAGAGAAACAGATTATTCAAAAGATAAAGAATTTTTATCATTTTAAAATATTAACTCAAAAAAGTTATCAAATTTAATCATAAATGTAAATAAGAAGTTAGATAAATGTATAAAAAGCAAATACAAAGGAAGCTATGAAGAATTTGATTAGTATATTAATCATCAAAACTGTATTGATAAGTAAAAGTTTTTTGCTGATTTTGAGAAATCAAACTTACAAATATCCTACAACAAAAAAAAGTTATCTCCATAATAATTTAAAAAAGATTTAGAAGATGAAGATAGCATTATATATAATTGCATATATGGTATTCTTTTAAAAGAAATACTTAATAAGAATTAATTTTGTTAAATAATTTATCAATATATTAAAGAGTTTTGCAACATAATCTAAAAAACTAATACTTTTTAAATTTTTTTGGTTTTAACCAAGATCAAATTTAATATCTAGAAAAAATAGCATAAAAATTAAACAATAATTCCTGAAGTTCAAGTTAACCTTTAGTTATTAAATGCAATAATTCATAAGCTATTAAAAGATAATAAAAATAAAAGCTAACTTTAATTTTTATTAGATATAAATTTAATTACCTAAAACATTATTTCAGATACGATCGGCCTCTCAAATCCTCCATAGAGTAATCTCTTTCCAAATAATGGATAATCTATACATTTATTAGATTAGGATATAAAAAAAATTGAATTATTTGTAAAAAAAAAATATGTAAAAAATTAAATTTGCAAACAGTAATACGTGTCTTTACTTTCAAGAAAAAATTAAAACCTACCAATTTGGTTAAATATGAATATTAGCAGACAATTGATCACTTTAAATGGAAAAATCCCAAAATCAAATCATTATGAAGAAATAAAAATTTGCATTTTTAACAATAAAAATTGTATCGTAAGAGAGCATATAATATAGATAGAATAAAATAAAGAGTAAAATCATTTATAGTAGGAATGAAAATTTGAGGAAACTTAAATTTAAAATTAAATATAACTTAATCATAAAGGTGAGAGTCAATTATTAAAATAATCTAGTTTCAAAGAAAAGCAAACATCTAAAAATACATGGATTTAAATATAATAAAATAAAAATAGTTTAAAGAACTCTAATTTCCTAAACTAAAACAATTAAAACATAATGTAATCCCAAGAATAAATTACATAACTTACTGATTCAGATTAAATGACAGATAGATAATTAATTTAAATAAAGAGATTAATTTTAGTTAAATAAAATAAATTATAGGATTTGACTCAAAATAAATGATATATTATTTTGTCTTCTTCATTTATATTTACTATGTGGTTTTTGTTCGAATTCATAATAAAATTAAATAAATTTCTATTAAATTACATTTTCTTATCAACAAACAAGTTAAGAAAGAAAATAATAGAGATGAGCAGTTTTAGCCCAGTTAACATAAAATTCACTTTTATAATATTTTAAATTTCTTTGTTTTATATGTGAAATGGGTGCATCTGAAAAAAAAATTTGGGTGAGGTGTCTTCTTAAAGACTATTATAATGTTAAGGTTTAAAACTTAAAAAAAAAATTAAAGTCAAAAACTTTATAATTTAAAGCAAACAACAGATTAAAAAGCATTAAGAATAAAGGCAATAATAGATAATTAGCTAAAAGAAAAAAATTTAAAAAATAATTGTAATTAACATTAATAGTTATTAATTCTTATGGTTCAGAAATCTTTAAAAACAGTACTGATTCTTGCATTAGCCTTATTTGTGTTGATAAAAACAACAGTTTCATTGGCTATAAAAGAAATTTATGTGTCAACTATATTTAAGAATTTCGAATCAACATCTAATTAACAATATTTTAAGTAGATTGCGGTCGCTAAAAAAGCAGGGTTAATTTATTTTAAATAAGGCTAAAGTACGATTAACATTTATGATGAGAATAATAACTTTAATTAGCTGTGCTCTTATTAACCTCAAGGCTAATTAAAAGACAATTTCTTAGTATCTGATGATGGTAAATTCTTAATTGTTGTTCTTGAGAATTTCTTAAAAATATTAGAATTTAATCTTAAAACAAAAATCCTCTCAATTTTGTTTACAGATGTTTAATAATCTCAATTTAACATTCTATCTCTCAACTAGTAGCAAAATAAAATTTACTTAATTAGAGATTAAGTTAATTTTTAGATTATTTCGCTAGTAGACTTTAGCATAGCTAAAGGAATTCTTAATAACTAATGGTAAGTTTTGGATATGCATATTTCTAATGATGAGAAATGGCTGAGTGTAAGCGCTAATACATAAGGTCTATTTTTTTATTAGATTAATAAATCTGATAACTCTACAATTTAATTTTCATAAGTATCTTCAAATTCAAATGTCAACTTTTACCAGTTCATCCTATTCAAAAACGACAAATACATAATAGGTTTAGATTATTGGTAGGGAATAAGTATTTTCGATCTAACAACTTTTGCTTAGGAGCTTAACTAGGGAAACACAAACATTTAGCTAAATACCCCAGTTATAAACTGGTGGATGGTATAGGGTGGGTTTCCTTATTCATCTACTATTGAAATTAACCAAGAATAGTCTTTGATATATGTTGGAGCGAGATCATCAGGCATTTACGCTGTAGACATTACTAATATTTTAAATCCAGTAGTATTCTAACTTATTCAAATTTAAGAAGATATATTTTAATTAATCCTATCCTACAACCTCTCTTACCTATACTTATCAACAAAAAAGAGTGTTGTAGTATATTAAAAGGATCAAGTTAATCTTTAGATGAGTTATCCTAATTTGTATAATAAGCATTAATCCACTCTTTCTTCTATCTTAAATACTCCATATGGTTGGAGAAGTCTTTTGCTAAAAGATGAAAAAACGCTAATAGTAACATGCTCTAAATATGGAGTTGTCATTGCTTAATTCAACTAAACTAGTATATAAATACCATTATAGGTACTCAGTACCATTTCTTACCCTTTTTTAACATATTCTGACAACATTATGTTGTTCAGAGAAGAAACATTCCTCTTAGTTCCTGTATAAGATCCTAGTGGATACATCATAGATGTCTATGATATTTCTAACAAAACATCTCCAAAAGTTGTGCAACGTATACCTTCTTAGACATCTGCTTACATTTATTCGATGTCAAAAAAATAAGATGAAACACTTTTTGGTTGCCAAAACCTAAATTAATTGGCTTTTTATATTGTCTCTGGTAACATCTCATTTAACTTGATCTCTTCATTTAGTATTCCATAATCTCTTTCAACAGTTTAAACCAATGATATGGTTATTTTGAATGGCTTTCCATATGTAATTTTACTATTTAGAGCATTAACAATAGCAGCTTTAGATATTTCAGATGTCTAAAAACCTTTTATTGCAAGTAATATTGATTCTCTAGGAGCTGAACAAATAATTTAAGGTACATATTAAAGAAATTATTGTTTTATTGCAGATGGTTTGTAAGGGATTTCTGTTATTGACTTAACTTAACTTCCTAAAATAGTAATTATTTCAAATGTTTAAATTAGTGGGTATACCAATTTTTTGAATCTTATTGTGAAAGAATAATTTATAATTACAAGTCAGCTAAGTGGAGGAGAATTGTCGTTAGTAAGTATGAGCGCTATAAAATCTCCTCAATTTATTAGCTAACTTTAATACAAAAATGAATTTGCAGCTGCTTCATCCTTAACAAGCGATTCAAGTTATTTATTTACTATAAATGCTGGCGGTGTTAGGATAATTCCAATAAAAGCTAATATCTTTATCCATTACGAATTTTCATAGGTTGTTAAAGATAGCACAGGTATTTTAAATCTAATAAGATTAAAGCAAGTAGACTAAATTCTTTCAATCCACTATATCCCATATCTGGATCACAAATAACAAATGCTTATTTTGTCAGAGATGGTATTTTATATGATTTACCTTCTTGGATGGTATTTGATATCTATAAAAGCACACTGACTTTGAGTATTACCAAGGATTCGCTTAATGTAATTAAGGCAAATAACTTAGACAATAATGATATTACAAAGCAAACTGTTGTATTTGTAACTAAATTGCCTCTTACATAAAATTCGTTTGCTTTTACAAATGAACTTACAGGGAATGTAGCAATTAGCCAAAATATGAGTTAACAAATTTTTATTGCCTATAAGAATATGGGCATAATAAATCATTTGAACTAAGTTTCAGATTCATTTGCTGAAGATGAAACTTTTACTCCTCCAATGATTACTGGATTAAATCTAACAGATGATGCAATCTTGAAAATAAAAAAAGTATTATAGATGAGTTTAACATATTCTCCAGTTGATCTACTTTTGCAAAAATCATTAATAATCGATTTTATGTAAGACAATAATTATATTTAATCATGTTCTCCATCTGTGAGTATTTTATTTACTGTTAATTAAAAAGATGGTAAATTTGTTAATAGGCTATATTCTAGTGTGGTAACTTCATTAACTGAGAAGTAGGATTAACTTTAATTGTAAGGAAATATTAAAAGCTTAAATTAACTCCTTTAGTAATAAATTTAAATATACCTCTATGATAAAAACAGTACAAATGTTAACATTCAAATTTAAGTGAGCGATGGAATAAATAATGACTTTGTAGATACCTACACATTTGATTAACTCTCTAAAATATTATAAATAAAAAAAGATCTTTCTATTAGTCTAGAAAACAAATTATAAAACTAAATTAATAATTAATATCCTGGATCTCATATTTAAATAGGTAGCTAAGTTGATATAGAATTTTCTTTGAATACATTCAATGATGCGAATTTTAATGATCTGTAATTTTAAGCCTTTTAATTTTATAATGATCAATACATACCTTTGACTAATTAGCAAAATGAAATTTAATTCATTCCTTAATAGTTTAAATTTAATATTAAAACATCAATTTCAGACTTTGGAAGAAAATATTGCTTAGCTGTTAATGTAACAGATTCTTATTCTTGGGTTATAGACTCGTTTTGCGCAACAGCATCTGTCATTTCATTTATTGTGTTTTTGAATATATTTTTACAAGTATTCGGACCTTTATTGTTTTTCTTAGGTATCCTAAAGTATTGGAATTTACTTTTTAATATGTTCTTTAATAAAGAAAATTTATTCAAAAAGTAAATTGAAGAAAACAAATAATTTGTGCTAAAATTTATAATAGTTAACGATTCTTATTTGATAGGTTAAAAACTTTTCAATGAATATGTAAAAAATATACCATAAAGTAGAATATCTCAAAAATCAATTTAGGTATATTAATCTCCTCACAATAGCTCATTATTAAAGAATTACATTCTAAAATTAAATTTAAAAAATGATGAAATTTTATAAAAAAACTCAAATATTGATTAATAAGAATTGTAAATTAATGATTTTGAATTTACAAAGGAATAAAAGGATAAAGCTAAATAGATTCTTCGAAGAGCTACAAGAATTTTAAATAGCAAACGTTTCAGTAATAATGAGATAAATTATTAAAAATTTTCAACCTATATAACCAATAATTAAACAATAGACATAAAAACATTTATCACTGATTTATATAATTCAAATAAACCAATTAATTATGGAGGAAAGGTAATTTATCCTAGGTAACTATAAAATGAGCTTAATGACTCTGGAAGTGTTCTCTACAATTGTTTGTCTGGACTTCTTATTAAATCATTATTAAAATTAAATAAACGCACATTTGTTGTTTATTAACTAATAAAATAAATTGCTTAAATATGCTATCAAAAATCTTAAAAATAATGGACTGAATTCCTCACTGAGTCTTTTCCAATATTAATGTAGAAGAAGTATAATCAAGAATAAATAATTCCTTATATATAAATAAAAGATAAAATTTTATTGAAAATATTTAACATTATACTTTTAAGTATGAAAAAAAGTGCTCTATAAAACTCTAATGAACTAAATGCAGTAAATATAAAATAACTATTGGGAATAGACTTAGGATTAATAATTGACAACATCATTACAGATGCAATTGGTATAGTAAATCCAACAAACAGTTCACTATATCCTAATAGCGGAGAAAGTATACACCTCCTAGAACACAAAATTAAAAAAGTGTAAGCATTTATGAAATCTAAGAACTCTAAAACATTTTGTTTAAAGAAGTTATTAAATATGGAGTATTAGCCTTTATTTTCTCACAAAAATTAACAATTACCGAGCTGGCTAAAAATTAAAATAGAAAATTAACTAATTACTCTTTATGGAATTGTTCCTTAGATGCAAAACTATGGTAAATTAAAGATTTGTATTTTCGACTGCAATGAATGCATAATTAGAGAAGTCATATTAGAAATGAAAAACAATAATAGTAAATAAAAATCTTAGCTAAACATAACAAATGATATTTCTATTATTGAATCAGAATAAGCATCACCTCTTAATATATATGGTTATAGTGAAGTAAGAGATAAATTATCACACAAAAAGTTAAAACTATTTGAAACTATGTAATAACCAATTTTATAAAATAATAACATTAAAGTTTTTACATTTGAACAACTTTGCTCAGATAACTAATTAAATGTTAAAACCCAAAACAAGATATAAAAAAGTAATGTCTAATAGCTAAATAGAACTATCATAAAATCAATAAATCCGTTATTAATTGACAACAATGTTGGTATTTTAGAATGAATATTAAACATTTAATTTCTTTTTAATATTTGATTTATGTCTCTATATTTTTCACTACTTATAATTAAACAATTTATTTATAAAATTAATTTCAAAAATAATTGAAATAGTATCTTTTAAACATTAAGAATATTCTATTTTTGATAATTTAAAAGCTTTTTTTATTTAACATAAATCAAATTATTATTATGTGATTGTATCATTAAGTGATTAATTTAACTAAAAGGTACATTTAACTTTAAATTGAAAGTATAATATTCATTTTTGTTTGGCCAAAGATTAATTAGTAATAATTTTTGAAAATTTTATAATTAAATAATATCACATAAATATATGAATATTTATTTTACATATTATATTTAATTTTCTGAAATAATATTCAAAATTATTAAGAAATAAAAATAATTATGTAGTTTTTATTAGTGTTTCAATAGTATTTAAATTTATCTTGATATTTTAATTTAAAATAGCCAGCAATTGAATTTATCATGTAGCAACGCATAAAAAATTTACACATATGCAATTTTGAATTCTTATTTTAAAAATGTAATTATCAATCTACTTTTCTAAAAAAACAAACTTCTTCTACTTATTTTAAAAGAAAAAGTTAAAGTCTTTAAATAGCGAAAATATATTTAAAGATTAGTTAAGACTAATTTGTTTATTTTTTTATTGATTTAAAATCATAAAAAACTAATTATCAATAGTTCATAATATAAATTAAGAAAATAAAATCAATTAAACGTTTTAAAAATGATGAAAAATACATTTTTTGGATATTTGCTAAATATTGTGTTAATATAATTTTTTATTTAAGGTGGTTGCTCATCTTATTAATTAACTGAAATTTATTCATCAAGTATTTACAAATAATTTTAGGCGGAATCTTCTTCTTTATACTTTGAAGATATTCAATTAGCCAAAGATGTAGGACTATTGATTGTAAGATAAGGAAATAGATAACTTTATATTATGGATGAAAATAATTAACATCTTATTATTTTCTCTTAAAAATTTGATTAGGATGTATTGGGTTCAACTTTGGTTTCTAGAGACGCAAAATATTTGATTTTTAATATTTCTAATAAATTAACCATTTTCACATTTGATATTCATCAAATGTAATTAAGTTAAATTTACTAGGATAGCAACTCTTAACAATAAATAAATATAGCAACTTTAAATTAAAAGTAAAACAAAGTATATATGATAAAAGATTCAATTGATCTATATATTATTTCCCTTAAAGATTTTGCTATTTAAAAAGGTTAACTAGATTAGCAATAAGTTGTTATTTCCTTTTTTGTTTCTTCTGATGACTCTTGGATTTGTTTAAACTAAGATGCAGTCGGTATAATATTTTACTAAATTATCTCTTTAGGCTAGAATTAAATTTCGTTGAGACTTGCTTGCACAAATACGTTGGTTAATTACTATAATTATTTACTAATTAAAAATGGTTCTATACTTATTACTATAAACTATTGGATTGGTTTTTCAATTTTTGACATAACTGAATTAGCTAAATAAATAGATTCAGGATAAAGTAACATTGAAATGACTTCTCTACTTTAAAATTGGTGGATTGATTCTACTTATGCTCCTTATTCTAATGCTCTTGAAATAAATTAAGAAGAAACATTCCTTTTTGTAGCTTTTAGATCAGTTGGATTTTATATTTTTGACATATAAAATCCTTCATAACCTTAAGTAGTTTAGCTCATTTAGATATAAGAAGATATAATTTAAATTATATAATCTTATAAAAATCCCTATGTTTATATTTAAACTAAAAAAAGGATTCTGGTCTATAAAAAAGTAAAAGCTAATTTTCAAAACAAATACCCAAATTTGTTTAACAAGCATGCATCAATTTTATCAACTGTAATTGATACATCTCAAACCAAACAAATAAAATTACTTCCAGATAATTCACATATGATAGTTTGTTGCTCAAGTTATGGGTTGAATGTATTAAAGTTAAATTTAAATTCTATACTTTAACCTTTAGAAATTGTAAGTTAGATTAATTATTCTAATAAATTTGATAGTTTTTTGATATTTTCGAATGGTTAATTGTTAATTTTATCTGTTCAAGATCCAAATGGTTTTTATTTTGATATCTACAATCTAAGTAATTTAATTTCTCCTCAAAGAGTGGATAGAATTCTTTTGGACTATAAGGACATAAATTCAATAACCTTAAGTAAAGACGAAACACTGTTTATATTTTAAAGTGGTAATAACATAGTGTTCTATGAAGTATCTAGCATATAATTTAAATATCTGAATACATTCAATATTAATTCCTCTCCTATCGTAAAATAGAGTTCAATTGTTATTTTAAATGGATTCCCTTATATTTTAGTTTTAATTTAAGAGTAGTCAATAACAGCCATACAAATTAGTAATTTTAATAAACCTTAAATTAGTAGTGTATAAGAGTCACTCGGTGCTGTCTATGGTATATAAGGAACATATTAAAGCCATTTCTGTTTTATAGCTGATGGTTAATAAGGTATTTCAATTATTGATCTTCGCGAATTACCAAATATTGTAATTATGACAAAGATATCTTTAAATGGATATTAGGTGAATTTAAGCCTTTTATAAAATGATAATTATATTATTTCTAGCTAACAAAGTGGAGGTTAAATATAATTGATTAATATATTTAATATAAATGAGCCTTATATTATGAGCTAAACTTAATTTGAAAATGAATCATCTATAGCTACTGAAATCAGCCAAGATTTAAATCATTTATTAATATTAAACTCCCAAGGAATTAGGATATTACCTATTAAAACTAGCTTTCTTATAAATTTTGAATTTTCTTTATTACAAAATACAAACTCTGGTTAATAACAATAAACAATGTAAAGTACTGAGAATCTTATCTTAGAAGTAGGCTAAAATTTAATTGTTACCTTGACTTCTATCTATCCTCAAAAAAATGCAACAATTACAAACGCATATTTTGCCCAAAAAAATAAATTGTAAACTCTTCCTTCTTGGCTTTCTTTTGATAACCATTTAAATTAGCTATAGATAAATGTAACAAAAGAAAGTTTAACTGGGTTAATTCAAAATAATAATACAAATATATAGATAAAATTTAATAATGTTGTTTTTGTTACTAAAGTATAGCTTACAGAAACATCATTTATATATTAAGATAATAATACTGGCTCTTACATAATTACTGATGTATAAAGTAAATAAATTTTTTAGTATTTCAAAAATTACAACATACTAAATGGCTAAAATTAAATTTCAGATTAATTTTGCTAAAATGAATCATTTGATTTACCATCCCTCAGTAAGTTGACCATTTCTAACGAAGGATATGTTTTTATAAAAAATATTTTACAGAGTAGCGTTGTTTATTCACCTCTAAAGTTATTGCTTTAAAATTCTTTGAATGTAAACTTTAAAAATCCTTTTTAAATTATTAGTTCTGTATCAAAAATAGCAAGCATGTCAATTTAAATCGACAAAATGAGTGGAAAATTTGTTTTAAAAAATTATCCTGGAGTAATAACCTTATTTTCGAAAGAATAAGATATGCTACAATTGCAAGGTGACATTACTTATTTAAATCAGATTCTAACTCAATAGATTTAGGTTTATTTTTATAGCAATACATACACTAAAAGCAAAGTAGAAGTAATTTTAGATGATAAAATAAACTATTAATATGACTAAATTTTTTTGTATTAAGATATACAAAATATATTCTATATAAAAAAAAACATTTAGATTTAAAGCACTTAATCTCTTTAAGCTTAAGTAAATAGAATTTTCTCTGATTCTATCATCTACATTGATACTTTAAATACAATCTAATTTTCTTTCAACACATATGAATATACAGATTTTAAAGACCTCACTTTTTAAGCCTTTGAAATTAAAGGAGATAATTTAGTACCTGTAAGTGCTTAAACAGATCAAATAAGTTTCTTTCCTTAACAATTAATGTTTGTAATTAAACCTCAAATATCTGACTATAGTAATTAATTTTGCTTTATTGTGAATACTACAGATTCATACTCATGGGTTCATGATCAATTTTGTGTTAAAGCAAATGGTATATCTATGGTACTATTTTTAAACTGGGTGTTTAAATATTTAGGATCTACTTTATTCTTTTTAGGATTGTTAAAATACTGGTATCTTCTTTTCAACTTAATATTTGCTAAGAAAAATAAGTACAAAGAAGTTTAACTAGCTTCAGGCTAAGAATTTATTTAAAAAATAATCTTAGTAAATGATAGTTATATAATTTGCAAAAAGCTTTTCAATAAATTCAAACAATTCCTTAAAACCTAAAAAAAATAGTAAAAATATATTTAAAATTCTTAAAAGGAAAATATTTTATTTTAATCATAGCTAAATAGAGAAACAGATTATTCAAAAGATTAAGAATTTTTATCATTTTAAAATATTAACTCAAAAAAGGTATCAAGTCTAATCATAAATGTAAATAAAAAGTTAGATAAATGTATAAAGAGTAAATATAAAGGTGACTATGAAGAATTCAATTAATATGTTAATCCTCAAAACTTGATTAATATATCACAATTTTTTGCTGATTTTGAGAAATCAAACTTACCAATTTCCTACAATAAAAAGAAATTATTTCCAAAGTAATTTAAAAAAGATTTTGAAGATGAAGACAGCATTATGTATAATTGTATGTATGGTATTCTTTTAAAAGAAATACTTAATAAGAATTAATACTGTTAAATAATTTATCAATATATTAAAGAGTTTTGTAACATAATCTAAAAGACTAACTCTTTTTCAACTTTTTTAGTTTTAACCAGTATCAAATTTAATATCTAGAAAAAAAAATATAATAATGAAACTATAATTCCTGAAGTTCAAGTTAATCATTAGTTATTAAATGCAATAATTTATAAGCTATTTAAAGAAAATAAAAATAAAAGTTAACTTTAATTTCTAGTTGATGTAAATTTAATTACCTAAAACATTATTTCAGATTCGATTGGCCTCTCAAATCCTCCATAGAGTAATCTCTTTCCAAATAGTGGAGAATCCATACATTTATTAGATTAGGATATTAAAAAAATTGAATTATTTACAAAAAAAAAATATGTAAAAAATTAAATTTGCATAAAGAAATACGTGCCTTTACTTTCAAGAAAAAATTAGAACCTACCAATTTGGTTAAATATGAATATTAGTAGACAATTAATCACTCTGAATGGAAAAATTCCTAAATCAAATCATTATGAAGAAATAAAAATTTGCATTATTAACAATAATAATTGTATTATTAGAGAGCATACATTATAAATAAAATAAAATAAAGAATAAAATCTTTTATAGTAGGATGAAAATTTAGAGGAAACTGAAATTTAAAATTAAATCTAATTTAATCATAAAGGAGAGAGTCAATAATTAAAATACTCTAGTTTCAAAGATAAACAAAAATCTTAAAGTACACGATTTTAAAAATAAAAAAATAAAAATAATTTTAAAAATTCTAATTTGCTAAACTAACAGAATTCAATCTAAATTTTATCTCAAGAAAAACTTATTGATTCAGATTAAATGACTAATAAATAATTATTTTAAATAAATAGATCAATTTTAGTAAAATAAAATAAATTATCTCATCATAATTAAAATGTATGATTTTGTCATTTTAATTAATATTTACCTTATTTAAAACATAAATTATTTCCTCTTTTATACCTATTGTTTATTAAAAATATAAAATAAATAAGCGATGAATATTTTAAATTAATTGAATCCTAAAAAAATAAGTGGAAAAAATGGAGTTATTAGAGTAGAAAAAATATTAAAGCCTATTTCATACTTCTAATCTATTAATTTAGTTAATTATTAATTATATTTTTATTTATTTAATTAATTAAGATGATTAAATAATTATTTAATTAATTTTATCTATTATTTAAAATTTTGGAGGATTAAATTTTGAGTTTTAAAAATGGATGTTTATATAAAAGAGAGAGCGTCAATGTATGATAAACATGATAATAAAATTTTATTTAATTTAATTGATTAAGTAAATGCATAGTCCTCTTAATATCGAATTGATAATTTAAGAAATAATAAAAAATATATATATAATTTATATTCATTTTACATAGAGTTTTCTTTTAAATTTCCATTCAAATTTAAATTATATACAGCGCTCATTTTGGATTTAACAAATAATTTAAACGCTTTTTTTTGAACAATCATTAACAATAAGATCATAAAATAATCATTTAATTACAAATAAAAAGCAAAAAGAAAAACAAAATTAAAAAAAAAAGATAACAATTTAAGTAGAATTAAAAAAACTTATTATTTATTATGGTTTAGATAAACAAAAAAAGTATATTTACTTTAATCTTAATTACAAATTATTAGCTTTACTTCACAGTTTCTTAGGTTACTTAAGAAATTTATGTCCCTACTGTATTTAGGAGTTTCGATTCAAATTCGAATGAATTATACTTTAAACAAATTGCAATAGCTAAAAAAGTAGGTTTAATTTATTTTAAATAGGGTTTAAATACAATAAATGTTTTGGATGAAAATAATAACTTCAATTAAGTGTGCACTTACTAATCTATGTATTCTCTAAATGATAACTTCTTAGTAACTAATGATGGTCAATATCTAGTTGTTGTGCTTAATAATACTCTAACTATCCTAAGTTTTAATTTCTAAGCAAAATCATTTTAAATTGTTTATTAAGATGCTCATTAATCTCAATTTAACATTCTATCTCTTAACTATAAACAAGATAAAATCTATTTGATAAGAGATTAAGTAAATTTTTAGATTATTTCACTAGTAGACTTAAGTATTGCTTAAGGAATACTTAATAATTCATGGTAAATTTTGGATATGCATATTTCTTAAGACGAAAAATGGTTATGTATAAGCGCTAATTCTCAGGGCTTATTTTTTTACTCGTTTAACAAATTTAATAGCAATACGATTTAATTTTAAATGGTTTCTTCATGTGCTAAGGTCAATTTTTATCAGTTTATTCTTTTCAAAAATGACACCTATATAATTGGTTAAGACTATTTAAAAGGGATAAGTATATTTGATCTTACTAATTTCAATGATTAACTTGAGTAGGGAAAAACAAATATACTGCTAAATCCTTCTCTTTTAAATTGGTCGATGGTACAGGGTGGATTTCAATATTCATCTACTATAGAGATTAACCTAGAATAAACTTTAATCTATGTTGGAGCAAGATCATCAGGCATTTATGTGATTGATATTACTAATACTTTAAGTCCTGTAGTGTTCTAATTCATACAAATCTAAGATGACATATTTTAGTTAATCCTATCCTACAACCTCTCTTACTTATACTTATCAACTAAAATGAGTGTTTTTGTGTATTAGAAGGATCAGGCTAATTTATAGATGAACTATCCTAATATGTATAATAAGCATTAATCCACTCTATCTTCTATCTTAAATACACCATATGGTTGGAGAAGTCTTTTACTAAAAGACGATAAAACTCTAATTGTAACATGCAATAATTATGGAGTTGTTATTGCTTAATTTAACTAAACTAGTATTTAACAACCTTTATAAGTGTTAAGTACTATTTCTTATCCTTTTCTAACATATACTGATAATATCATGCTGTTCAGAAACGAAACATACCTATTAGTCCCTGTTTAAGATCCTGCTGGATATATTCTAGATGTATATGATATTTCTAACAAAGCTTCTCCATAAGTTGTACAGCGTATAGCATCTTAAACTTCTGCTTATATCTATTCTATGTCCAAAAATTATGATGAAACACTTTTTGCCTGCTAAATTTTAAATTAATTAGCTTTTTATCAAATTTCTGGTAATATTTTATTTAGCTTAATTTCTTCATATGAAATTCCTTTGTCTTTATCTAATAACTAATCTAATGATATGGTTATTTTAAACGGTTTTCCATATATAATATTGCTGTTTAGGGCAATATCAATATGTTCTTTAGATATTACCGACCTTATAAACCCTTTTATTGCTAGTAAAATTGTTTCTTTAGGAGCTGAATAAATAGTTTAAGGAACTTATTTAAAAAATTTTTGTTTTATTGCAGATGGTTTGCAAGGAATATCTGTGATTGATTTAGCTTAGCTGCCTAATTTAGTAATTATTTCAAATGTTTAAATTAGCGGATATACTAACTATTTAAACCTCATTATGAATGAGCAGTTTTTAATTACTAGCCAGCTTAGCGGAGGAGAATCAGCTTCAGTATCTCTTAGTCCTATTTAATCTCCTCAATTAATTAGTCAGCTTTAATATAAAAATGAATTCGCTGCTGCTTCCTCTGTTACAAGTAACTCTACTTTTTTATTTGCTATAAATGCTGGTGGTGTTAGGATAATTCCAATAAAGGCAAATATTTTTATTCACTATGAATTTTCATAGATTGTCAAAGATAATACAGGTGTTGTAAATCTAATAAGATTAAAGCAAATAGACTAAATTCTTTCTGTAGGTTAAACAATTTAGATAACTCTTAATCCGCTTTATCCTATCTAAGGATCACAAGTAACAAATGCTTACTTTGTTAGTAATGGTATTTTATACGATTTACCATCCTGGATGGTATTTGACATTTATTAAAGTACTCTAACTTTGAGTATTACCAAAGATTCGCTTACAATAATCAGCGCAGATAGCTAAAAAAAGAGTGATATTACAAAGTAGACAGTTGTATTTGTAACTAAATTACCTCTCTCGCAAAATTCATTTATTTTTAATAGTGAAATTACAGATAACATAGTAATTAACCAAAATATGAGTGAATAAATTTTTTTAGCATATAAAAATATAGGAGTAATAAATCATATGAACTAAGTATCTGACCAATTTGCTGAAGATGAGACTTTTACTCCTCCAAATATTGATGGACTTAATTTAACTGATGAAGCATTAGTGAAAATTTAAAGAGTTTTGTAGATGAGCTTAACTTATTCTCCAGTGGATCTACTTTTATAAAAATCATTAAAAGTAGATTTCACATTAGAAAATAATTATATTTAATCATATTCGCCAACTGCAAGCATTTTATTTATTATTAACTAAACAGATGGAAAATTTGTTAATAGATTATATTCAAGTGTGGTAACTTCTTTATCTGAGAAGTAGGATTAAATTTAATTATCAGGAAATATTAAAAGCTTAAATCAACTCTTATAGCAATAAATTTAAATATATTTATATGATTAAAAAAATACTAACATAAAGATTAATATTTAGATCAGTGATGGAATAAATAATGACTTTAGCAGTGAATATTAACTTGATTAACTCTCTAAAATACTTTAAGTTAAAAAAATTATTTCCATCAGCCCTGAAAATAAGCTCTAAATATAAGTTAATAACTAATATCCTGAATCTCAGATTGATATAGATAGCTAAGTAGATATACAGTTTTCTTTTAATACCTACAATGATGCTAGTTTCAATGAATTATAATTTTAAGCTTACTATATAATAAATGATAAATAATAAGTATTAACTATTTAGTAAAGCGAAATATAATTCGCTCCTCAGTAGTTTAAGTTTAATATAAAAACATCTACTTAAGACTTTGGAAGAGAGTATTGCTTAGGTGTAAATGCAACAGATTCTTATTCTTGGGTATTTGATTCCTTTTGTGTTACAGCTACTGTCATTTCATTCGAGGTGTTTTTAAATATATTTATACAAGTATTAGGACCTTTACTTTTTTTCTTAGGAATTTTTAAGTATTGGAATTAATTTTTCAATATGCTATTTAACAACAAAAATTAATTAGGCTAAAAGAAAGTTGTAGAAAATAAATAATTTGTCTTAAAATTCATAGTAGTAGATGACTGCTATACCATAGGTCAAAAGCTTTTCAACGAATTTATAAAAAACCTCAAATAAAAAAAAATTCCATAAAATTTAACAATAAATCAATAATCTACTATAAATAGTTGTTAATTAAAGAGTAACATCCTCAAATATAGCTTGAAAAAATTTGAAACATAAGAAAATAGCATTTATTTGAATAATGAAACAGATATCAGTGATCTTTTCCCATTGAAAAGACAGAATGTCTAAGCTCAGTCAATAATTAAGAGAACAGTAAGAATTTTAAACTAAAAAAGTTTTCGTATTAGAGAAATAAACTATAAAAACTTTTAAAATTATATCACAAATAACTAAGAAATAGATGTTAAATCTTTTATAAACGATTTACTTATTTCTAATAAACCTATTAGTTAATAGGGTATAACAATTCATCCTAAATAGCTATAGAATGAATTAAATGATTCTGGGAGCATTCTATATAATTGCTTATCTGGGCTTCTTTTTAAATAAATTCTAAAATTAGACAAACGTTCATTTATTGTTTACTAATTCATAAAGTTAATAGCATAAATATGTAATAAAAAGTCTTCAAACTAGTGGACTTAATTTGTTTCAGAATCTAATCCAGTCTTAAAGTAGAATCATAATCAACAAGAAGAAATCATCCCTTAAATTTAAATAAAAACATAAAATTTAATCAAAATTATTAATATTTTACTAAAAAGTATGAAAAAAAACATATTAATTAATTTCTATGAACTAAACTAGTAAACTATTTTTAATGAATTGGGAATAAATATATCCTTAATTTTAGATAACATCATCTCAGACGCTATTGGAGTAGCAAGTCCAACAAACAGTTCTCTCTATCCCAATAGTGGAGAGAGTATTCATCTTTAAGAACACTAAATTAAAAAAGTATAAGCCTATGTAAAATCTAAGAATTCTAAATTTTTGTGTCTAAAGAGGTTACTTAAATTGGACTATCAACCCCTCTTCTCACGCAAAAATTAATAATTACCATCTTGGTTAAAAATTAAAATTGAAAAATAATTAATTACTCTTTATGGAACAGTACCTTCCAGAAAATGTAATAAAAAAATAAAAATTTGCATTTTCGATAATAACAATTGCATTATTCGTTAAGTTAACTTGAAAATAATAAAACAGTATGATGAAAATTTACAGTAGAGAGCTTAACGTGATATATAAATATCTGACTCAGAATAAATATAGCCAATATTTAAAAATACTGAAAATGATACTTTGGATAAGTTGTCTCCAACCATATTTGAAAGCAATGAAACAGAAGGTAATTTAAATAAAAAATAAAATGAAAAACATAAATTTAAACTGATATCATATGGCCAATATAGAAATATAGCTGATTCACCCAAAGAAATTCATTAATGTAAAATTAAAAATAACAATATTTAATAACTAAATAGAAAAATCTAAAAATCAGTAAATCCATTATTATATCAAACTGAAGATTATATTATTTGATTTTATTGAAACTTGCCACTATATTTATTAATATATCTAACTATTTTAATAAATACAGATAAAATCTATTTTATTTAATCATTTAAAATAATTAAATAGTATATTCATTTATTTTATTAGTTTGTAATTTGATAAAATATTTATTTTTAAATGGTTATATATGTGTACTTTACTAAGAATAATTTGCATTTAAATCAAGAGTAAATCATATAAATTTATCTTAATGAATAAAATTAGAAAAAATGCAGAATATTTTTAGTAGATAACTTTCTTAAGTAATTTTAATTATTGCAAAAATTTTCCTAAAAGCTTGAATCATATTAAAAATTATATATTATTAAAATTATTTATTTATTAAGTTTATAGAAAATTAAAAAAATTATTTTGACATTTTAAAATGAATTAAAAAATTATTTTACATGATTTATGTTATTTTTTGACAAATAATTTAAAAATTTAAAATTTATACATTATTACAATAAATTAAAAAACATTTTATTCAATTTTAAAAAAAAAAATAAACATTTTTACATACATTAATTATCAAAAAATTATTATTGTTCTACTAAATATTTATTTCCTACTACAGAAATAATTATCAAAGAATAGCAATAGTATAGTATATTTCTATATGTTTGCGGGCTAGATTAAAATAATCTAAAAATATACCATAGAATATCAGTTAATTCGAAATCCGCTAAGTTGCAAATTTTACGTAAAATTTTTGCGAGATATCCAAATAAATTAAAATTTTTATTATTACTTTGGTTAACAATATCATTAAGTATAAATTACAGAAAATATTATTTAGAAGTAGTTTAAAATTTAATAGTTACCTTGGCTTTTTCTATCTATCCTCAGTAAAATGCTGCAATTAAAAATAGATATTTTACAAAAATATAAATTACAAACTTTTTTCATGGCTTTATTTTGATAGCCATTTAAATTAGCTCCAACTAAATGTAATTAAAGAGAGTTTAACAGGGTTAATTCAAAAAAATAATTCAAACATATTGATAAACTTTAATAATGTTATTTTTTTAACTAAAGTATAGCTTACAGAAACATCATTTATATACTAAAATAAGATAATATTCTGGTTTTTATATTATAACTGATGTATAAAGTTAATAAATTTTTTAGTATTTGAAAGATTACAACATACTAAATGGCTTAAATTAAACTTCATATTAATTTTGCTAAAATGAATCATTTAATTTACTATCCTTCAGAAAAGTGATCATTTCTAACGAAGGATATATTTTTATAAAAAATATTTTACAGAGTAGTGTTGTTTATTCCACTCTAAAGTTATTAATTTAATATTCTTTAATCCTAAACTTTAAAAATCCTTTTTAAGTTATTAGTCCTGTATCAAAAATAGAAAGCATTTCAATTTAAATCAACAAAATGAGTAGAAAATTTGTTTTTAAAAGTTATCCTGTATTTAATCCTATTATTTTTAAAAGAATAAGACATGATTCAATTGTAAAGTGATTTATTTATTTAAATTAGATTATAGCTCAATAGATTTAGGTTCATTTTTATAGTAAAACACACTAAAAGCAAAGTAGAAGTAATTTTAGATGATTAATTAATTACTAACATGACTAAATTTTTTAGTATTGAGATATAAAAATAAATATTCTAAATAAAAAAAAACATTAAGATATAAAGCACTTAATCTCTTTAAATTTAGGTAAATAAAATTTTTTCTCTCTCTACCAACTAACTATATTGATGCTTAAAATATAATCTGATTTTATTTCAACACATATGAGTACACAAATTTCAAAGACTTCAACTTTTAAGATTTTAAAATTAAAGGAGGTAATTTTAAACCTGTAAGTGCTTTAACAGATCAAATAAGTTTCTTTCATTAAAAGTTAACGTTTGTAATTAAGCCTCAAATATATGACTATAGTAATATATTTTGCTTTGTTGTAAAGGCTATATAGATTCATACTCATGGGTTCAAGATCAATTTTGTGTGAAAGCAAAAGGTATATCTATAATACTATTTTTAAACTGGATATTTAAATATTTAGGATCATCTACTTTATTCTTTTTAGGGTTATTAAAATAATGGTATCTTCTTTTCAATTTAATTTTATAAAGATAAATAAGTACAAGAAAGTTATACTATATTCATTTTAAGAATTTATTTAAAAAATAATCTAAGCTAATGATAGTTATGTAATTTACAAAATACTTTTTAGTAAATTAAAGCAATGTAATTTACAAAATACTTTTTAGTAAATTAAAGCAACTCCTTAAGATCTAAAAAAAATATTAAAATTATGTTTAAAATTCTTAAAAGGAATGTATTTTATGTTAATAAATACTAAATAGAGAAATAGATTATTCATAAGATTAAGATTTTTTATCTTTTTAAAATATTAACTCAGAAAAGTTATCAAATCTAATTAGAAATGTAAATAAAAATTTAGATAAATACATATAAATTCTTTATAAAAGAGACTATGAAGAATTTAATTTATATGGTAATCATCAAAATTGGATTGATAAGCACATTTTTTTTACTGATTTAGACAAATCAAACTAATTACCTACAACATAAAAAAGTTATTTCCAAATTAAACTATAAAAGACTTTTAAGATGAAAATAACATTATGAATGTATTATTGTATGTATGGTATTCTTTGAAAAGAAATACTTAATAAGAATTAATATTGTTAAGTAATTTATCGATATATTAAAGAGTTTTGCAAAATAATCTAAAAGGCTAATTCTATTTCAATTTTTATGGTTCAGACAAACATAAAATTTAATATCTAGAAAAGTAAGTATAATAATAAAAAATAATTCCAGAAATGTAAGTTAACCTTAAATTATTAAATGCAATTTAAATAAAATAATAATAAGAGCTAAATTTAATTTTTAGTAGATATATATTTAATTATCTAAGACATTATTTCAGATTCAATTAGCCTCTCAAATCCTTTTCAGAGTAATACATTTCCAAACAGCCGAGAACTTATACATTTATTAAATTATGATATTAAAAAAATTAAATTTTTTCCAAAAAAATACATAAAAAATTTAATTTGCAAATAATAACGTCTTACTATCAAGAAAATATTAGAACCTACCAATTAGGTTAAAAATGAATATTAACAGACATTTGAAGTAATTTAAATTTAAAATTAAATCTAATCTAATCATAAAAGAAAAGATCAATAATTAAAATATTCTACTTTCAAAGATAAGCAAAAATCTAAAAGTACTTTTTTAATTAAAAACAAAAATAATTTTAAAAATTCTAATTTGTTAAACTAAAACAATTATAACATAAATTAATCCCAAGAATAACTTATATAACTTACTGATTCAAATTATACGAGTAGTAGATAATTATTTTAAATAAATAGATCAATCAATTTTAACTAAATAAAATAAATAATTGCATATGAATTAAATTTAGTGATATATTAATTTTACTTTCTTAAGTTTTATTTACTATTTTTTTTTATTAAAATTCATAATAAAAATAAATAAGTTTCTATTAAAATAATAATAATAATAATAATATTTGATAAAATATCTAGTTATTTTTTAGATTGATAAATATTTTTAATTAAATATTAAAATAGTTTTCTTTTTTATTCTTATTATTTATTTAACGTATAAAATAAATAATTAAATAATTAAGCAGTAAAACTCACAAAATTTTAATAATAATCATAAATTAATAATTTTTTCATTTAAAAATTTCCTTATAAAAGATAGTTTCTAATGTACAAAGGGCTACAGGAAATAATAAACATGAGCAGTATAAACCCAGTAAACAGAAAAATCATTCTATATTTAAAAGTTACTATTAAATTGGTGATTAAGGTACTTTAGGCTTAAGTTCTGCTTTAGCAAATTGCACTAATTTCTCAATAATTAAATCCATCGCTAATTAATAACAATATTTATACATTAAAATGAATGAATTTAAAACATTTTTATTTCATTTTAATTTTTTATTTATATGTCATATTTTTAAATTCTTCTTAGTAAAGAATTTATTTAAAAAATATATTTCAAAGATAATTGAAATTATATCTCTTAAACATTAACTATATTCTTCTTTAACGGTTTAAAAGAAATTCTTTGAAAAAATTAATTAATTTTTTTATTTATTTATTAACAGAGATTAAAATATTACTTTATTTGATTAAAGATTAATTATTTTTAACTTAAATAAAAAATTTTTATTTAATAAAATCACATATATTTAATTCATTTATTTGTTTTCATTTTATTTTTAATTTTTTGAAATAGTATTTAGAAATTTTAATAAATAAAACTAACAATTTAACTTTGATTAGTCATACAATAATATTTTAAAAGCACACTATATTTTAATTAATTTTATTTAAAAGAATTAGTTATTGAATTTATAGTTTAGCAACACTTAAAAAATATACACTTATCTACTATTGAATTCAAATTTTAATAATGTAATTATCATTCTAAATTTCTATGAAACAAACTTCTTCTACTTATTTAAATAGAAAAAGTTAAAGTCTCTTAATAGCAAAAATATACTTGATGATTAGTATAGATCAATTTGTATATTTTTTTTATTGATTTTAAATAATAAAAAAACTAATTAATAATAGCTCTAGCATAAATTAAGAAAAAAAACCACCAATCAAAAATTTACAAAATGATGAAAAATACATTTTTTGGATTTTTGCTAAATATTGTGTCAATATAATTTTTTATTTTAGGTGGTTGCTCATCTTAATAATTAACTGAAATTTATTCATCAAGTATTTACAAATAATTTTAGGCAGAATCTTCTTCTTTATACTTTGAAGATATTCAATTAGCCAAAGATGTAGGACTATTGATTGTAAGATAAGGAAATAGATAACTCTATATTATGGATGAAAATAATTAGCATCATATTATTTTCACTTACAAATTTGATGAGGATGTACTGGGTTCAGCTTTAGTTTTAAGAGATGCAAAATATTTGATTTTTAATATTTCTAATAAATTAACCATTTTCACATTTGATATTAATCAAAAATAATTAGCTTAAATTTACTAGGATAGCAACTCTTAACAATAAATAAATATAGCAACTTTAAATTAATAATAAAACAGAGTCTATATGATAAAAGATTCAATTGATCTAATTATTATTTCACTTAATGATTTTGCTATTTAAAAAGGTTAGCTAGATTAACAATAAGATGTTATTTCCTTTTTTGTTTCTTATGATGACTCTTGGATTTGTTTAAGCTAAGATGGAATTGGTATATTTTTTTACTAAATTATCTCTTTATACTAGAATTAAATTTCGTTGAAACTTGCATGCACAAATACATTGGTTAATTAATATAATTATTTACTAATTAAAAATAATTCTATACTAATTACTATAAACTATTGGATTGGTTTTTCAATTTTAGACATAACTGAATTAGATAAATTAAAAGATTCAGGATAAAGTAACATTCAAATTAATACTCTACTTTTAAATTGGTGGACTGATTAAACTTACGCTCCTTATTCTATAGCTCTTGAAATAAATTAAGAAGAAACATTCCTTTTTGTAGCTTTTAGATCAGTTGGATTTTATATATTTGACATATAAAATCCTTCATAGCCTTAGATAGTTTAGCTCATTTAGATATAAGAGGATATAATTTAAATTATAGAATCTTATAAAAACCCCTATGTTTATATTTAAACTAAAGAAAGGATTTTAGTCTATAGAAAAGTAAAAGCAAATTTTCAAAACAACTACCCAAATTTGTTTAACAAACACGCATCTATTTTATCAACTGTGATTGATACATCTCAAACCAAACAAATAAAATTACTTCCAGATAATTCACATATGATAGTTTGTTGCTCAAGTTATGGGTTGAATGTATTAAAGTTAAATTTAAATTCTATACTTTAACCTTTAGAAATTGTAAGTTAGATTAATTATTCTAATAAATTTGATAGTTTTTTGATATTTTCGAATGGTTAATTGTTAATTTTATCTGTTCAAGATCCAAATGGTTTTTATTTTGATATCTACAATCTAAGTAATTTAATTTCTCCTCAAAGAGTGGATAGAATTCTTTTGGACTATAAGGACATAAATTCAATAACCTTAAGTAAAGACGAAACACTGTTTATATTTTAAAGTGGTAATAACATAGTGTTCTATGAAGTATCTAGCATATAATTTAAATATCTGAATACATTCAATATTAATTCCTCTCCTATCGTAAAATAGAGTTCAATTGTTATTTTAAATGGATTCCCTTACATTTTAGTTTTAATTTAAGAGTAGTCAATAACAGCCATACAAATTAGTAATTTGAATCAACCTTAAATTAGTAGTGTATAAGAGTCACTTGGCGCTGTCTATGGTATATAAGGAACATATTAAAGCCATTTCTGCTTTATAGCTGATGGTTAATAAGGTATTTCAATCATTGATCTTCGTTAATTACCAAATATTGTAATTATGACAAAGATATCTTTAAATGGATATTAGGTTAATTTAAGCCTTTTATAAAATGATAATTATATCATTTCTAGCTAACAAAGTGGAGGTTAAATAGAATTGATTAATATATTTAATATAAATGAGCCTTATATTATGGGCTAAACTTAATTTGAAAATGAATCATCTGTAGCCACTGAAATCAGCCAAGATTTAAATTATTTATTTATATTAAACTCCCAAGGAATTAGGATATTCCCTATTAAAACTAATATTCTTATAAATTTTGAATTTTTTTTATTACAAAATACAGGCTCTGGTTAATAACAATAAACAATCTAAAGTATGGAAAATCTTATCTTAAAAGTAGGCTAAAATTTAATAGTTACCTTAAATTCTATTTACCCTCAAGAAAATGCAAGAATTACTAACATATATTTTGCCAAATATAATAAATTGTTAACTATTCCTTCATGGCTTTCTTATGATAACCATTTAAATTAGCTACATATAAATGTAACTAAAGAGAGTTTAACTGGGTTAATTCAATAAAATAATACAGATATATAGGTAAACTTTAATAATGTTGTTTTTGTTACTAAAGTATAGCTTACAGAAACATCATTTATATATTAAGATAATAATACTGGCTCTTACATTATAACTGATGTTTAAAGTAAATAAATTTTTTAGTATTTAAAAAATTACGACATACTAAATATATATAATTAAATTTCAGATGAATTTTGCTAAAATGAATCATTTGATTTACCATCCCTCAGTAAGATGACCATTTCTAACGAAGGATATGTTTTTATAAAAAATATTTTACAGAGTAGTGTTGTTTATTCACCTCTAAAGTTATTGCTTTAGAATTCTTTGATTGTAAACTTTAAAAATCCTTTTTAAATTATTAGCTCTGTATCAAAAATAGCAAGCATATCAATTTAAATCGACAAAATGAGTGGAAAATTTGTTTTAAAAAATTATCCTGGAGTAATCACCGTATTTTCTAAAGAATAAGATGTTATACAAATGCAAGGTGACATTACTTATTTAAATGAGATTCTAGCTCAATAGATTTAGGTTTATTTTTATAGCAATACATACACTAAAAGCAAAGTATAAGTAATTTTAGATGACAAAATAAACTACTAATATGATTAAATTTTTTTGTATTAAGATATACAAAATATATTCTAAATAAAAAAAAGCATTTAGATTTAAAGCACTTAATCTCTTTAAGCTTAAGTCAATAGAATGTTCTCAGATTCTATAATCTACATTGATGCTTTAAATACAATCTAATTTTCTTTTAAAACATATGAATATACAGAATTCAAAGACCTCACTATTTAAGCCTTTGAAATTAAAGGAGGTAATTTAATATCAGTAAAATCTTAAATAGATGAAATAAGTTTCTTTCCTTAACAATTTATGTTTGTAATTAAGCCTCAAATATCTGACTATACAAATTCATTTTGCTTTGTTTTGAATGCTACAGATTCATACTCATGGGTTCAAGATCAATTCTGTGTGAAAGCAAATGGAATATCTATGATGCTATTTTTAAATTGGATGTTTAAATATTTAGGATCTACTTTATTCTTTTTAGGATTGTTAAAATACTGGTATATTTTTTTCAACTTAATATTTGCAAAGAAAAATAAGTGCAAATAAGTTTAACTAACTTCAGGTTAAGAGTTTATTTAAAAAATAATTTTAGTAAATGATAGTTATATAATTTGCAAAAAGTTATTCAATAAACTCAAAATACACCTTAAAATCTAAAAAATATAGTAAAACTATTTTAAAAATTCTTCAATAGATAATATTTTATTTTAATCAATACAAACAGATTATTCAAAAGATTAAGAATTTTTATCATTTTATAATATTAACTCAAAAAAGTTATCAAATCTAATCATAAATGTAAATAAGAAGTTAGATAAATTATTATCAAGCAAATATAAAAGAAATTATGAAGAATTCGATTAATATGTTAATCATCAAAATTTGATTGATAAGTAAAAATTTTTTGCTAATTTAAAGTAATTTAACTTACCAATTTCCTACAACAAAAAGAAATTATTTCCACAGTAATTTAAAAAAGACTTTGAAGATGAAGACAGCATTATGTACAATTGCATGTATGGTATTCTTTTAAAAGAAATACTTAATAAGAATTAATACTGTTAAATAATTTATCAATATATTAAAGAGTTTTGTAACATAATCTAAAAGACTAATTCATTTCCAATTTTTTTTGTTTTAACCAACACCAAATTTAATATCTAGAAAAAAAAGTGTAATAATAAAACAATACTTCCTGAAGTTCAAGTTAATCATTAGTTATTAAATGCAATAATTCATAATCTATTTAAAGAAAATAAAAATAAAAGTTAACTTCAATTTCTAGTAGATGTAAATTTAATTACCTAAAACATTATTTCAGATTCGATTGGCCTCTCAAATCCTCCATAGAGTAATCTCTTTCCAAATAGTGGAGAATCGATACATTTATTTGATTAGGATATTAAAAAAATTGAATTATTTACAAAAAAAAAATATGTAAAAAATTAAATTTGCATAAAGAAATACGTGCATTTACTTTCAAGAAAAAATTAGAAGATACCAATTTGGTTAAATATGGATATTAGTAGATAATTAATCACTATCTATGGAAAAATTCCTAAATCTAATCATTATGAAGAAATAAAAATTTGCTTTAAAAATAATAATAATTGTATAATTAGAGAGCATTCATTTTAGATAAAATAAAATAAAGAATAAAATCTTTAATAGTAGGATGAAAAATTTGATGAAACTTAAATTTAAAATGAAATGTAATTTATTCATAAAGGAGAGAGTCAATAATTAAAATACTCTAGTTTCAAAGATAAACAAAAATCTTAAAGTACACAATTTTAAAAATAAAAAAATAAAAATAATTTTAAAAATTCTAATTTGCTAAACTAACAGAATTCAATCTAAATTTTTTCTCAAGAAAAACTTATTGATACAGATTCAATGACTAATAAATAATTATTTTAAATAAATAGATCAATTTTAGTAAAATAAAATAAACTATCTCATAATGATTAAAATTAATGATTTTGTTATTTTAATTTATATTTAGCATGTTTTTTTGTTTTTATTGATATTATAAATATAAAATCTCTCCTATTCGTAAGATCGATGCATATTATAATTTAAAAATCAAAATTATTTCCTTTTTTGATCTATAATTTATTAAAAATATAAGATAAATAATAAAGAAGTATAACTCACAAAATTTTAATAAAAATCATCACAAATAAAATAAATTAAGAATTTTCTAAATTATAAATATTTTTAGAATAAAAAATTATGGAAAATTATTTTTTTCAAAATACTGTAAATGCTCATTAATTAAGGCATTCCTTAAGTATCTTTTTTGCTCAAAAAAAAGTGCCCTAAATGAAAACCCCCAAAAATTTGAAAAAATATTGATTATGTTTTTGGATATTTTTTATACTATATATTTATATATTATATTCAATGTATAAATTTTATTCCTTTACATTCTTTTTCAAAAAATACTTTAATATACTTTTTTCATTTTAAATTAAGCATAATCCATATAATAAAAGATAATATCACCCTTTTCTTCATATTTTAATACATGTTTAGCAATATTCGTTTTACATAAAGTTTTTTTTAAATTTTCATTCAAATTTAAATTATACACAGCGCTCCTTTAGGATTTAGTTTCCAGTACAACTTTAGTTTATTATTTAAATGTGTAAACATTTAATTTAAACGCATTTATTTTTAAAAATCATTGATTAAAAAGATCATAAAATAATCATTTAATTTGATAAAATAATAACAAAAAGAAAAACAAAATTAAAAAAAAGATAATAATTTAAGTAGAATTAAAAAGACTTATTATTTAGTATGGTTTAGATAAACAAAAAAAGTATATTTCATATAATATTAATTGCAAATTATTTGCTTTACTTCACAATTTCTTAGGTTACTTAAGAAATTTATGTCCCAACTGTATTTAAGAGTTTCAATTCAACTTCGAAAGAATTATACTTTAAATAAATTGCGATAGCTAAAAAAGTAGGTTTAATTTATTTTAAATAAGGTGAAAATACAATAAATGTTTTGGATGAAAATAATAACTTCAATTAAGTGTGCACTTACTAATCTATGTATTCTCTAAATGATAACTTCTTAGTAACTAATGATGGTCAATATCTAGTTGTTGTGCTTAATAATACTCTAACTATCTTAAGTTTTAATTTCTAAGCAAAAGCATTTTAAATTGTTTATTAAGATGCTCATTAATCTCAATTTAACATTCTATCACTTAACTATAAACAAGATAAAATCTATTTGATAAGAGATTAAGTTAATTTTTAGATCATTTCACTAGTAGACTTAAGTATTGCTTAAGGAATACTTAATAATTCATGGTAAATTTTGGATATGCATATTTCTTAAGACGAAAAATGGTTATGTATAAGCGCTAATTCTCAGGGCTTATTTATTTACTAGTTTAACAAATTTAACAGCAACACGATTTAATTTTAAATGGTTTCTTCATGTGCTGAGGTCAATTTTTATCAGTTTATTCTTTTTAAAAATGACAGCTATATAATTGGTTAAGACTATTTAAAAGGGATAAGTATATTTGATCTTACTAATTTCAATGATTAACTTGAGTAGGGAAAAACAAATATACTGCTAAATCCTTCTCTTTTAAATTGGTCGATGGTACAGGGTGGATTTCAATATTCCTCTACTATAGAGATTAACCTAGAATAAACTTTAATCTATGTTGGAGCAAGATCATCAGGCATTTATGTGATCGATATTACTAATACTTTAAGTCCTGTAGTGTTCTAATTCATACAAATCTAAGATGACATATTTTAGTTAATCCTATCCTACAACCTCTCTTACTTATACTTATCAACTAAAATGAGTGTTTTTGTGTATTAAAAGGAACAGGCTAATTTATAGATGAACTATCCTAATATGTATAATAAGCATTAATCCACTCTATCTTCTATCTTAAATACACCATATGGTTGGAGAAGTCTTTTACTAAAAGATGATAAAACTCTAATTGTAGCATGCAATAATTAAGGAGTTGTTATTGCTTAATTCAACTAAACTAGTATTTAACAACCTTTATATGTGTTAAGTACTATTTCTTATCCTTTTAATTCAGCTGCCGACAATATCTTGCTGCTCAGAAACGAAACATTCCTAATAGTCCCTGTTTAAGATCCTGCTGGATATATTCTAGATGTATATGATATTTCTAACAAAACTTTTCCATAAGTTGTGCAGCGTATAGCATCTTAAACTTCTGCTTATATCTATCCTATGTCCATAAAATAAGATGAAACACTTTTTGCATGTTAAATTTTAAATTAATTAGCTTTTTATCAAATTTCTGGTAATATTTTATTTAGCTTAATTTCTTTATATGAAATTCCTTTGTCTTTATCTAATAATCAATCCGTTGATATAACTGATATGGTTATTTTAAATGGTTATCCATATATAATATTGATGTTTAGGGCAATATCAATATGTGCTTTAGATATTACGGACCTTATAAACCCTTTTGTTACTAGTAAAATTGCTTCTTTAGGAGCTGAAAAATTAGTTTAAGGAACTTATAAAAAAAATTTTGGGTTCATTGCAGATGGTTTGCAAGGAATTTCTGTGATTGATTTAGATTAGCTCCCTAATTTAGTAATTATTTCAAATGTTTAAATTAGAGGATATACTAACTTTTTAAATCTTATTATGAATGAGCAATTTCTAATTACTAGCTAGCTTAGCGGAGGAGAATCAGCTTTAGTATCTCTTAGTCCTATTTAATCACCACAATTAATTAGTTAACTTTAATATAAAAATGAATTTGCTGCAGTTTCTTCTGTTACAAGTAGCTGTAATTTTTTATTTGCTATAAATGCTGGTGGTGTTAGGGTATTTCCGATAAAAGAAAATATTTTAATTCACTATGAGTTTTCATAGATTGTTAAATATAATACAGGTGTTGTAAGTCTAATAAGATTAAAGCAAAAAGATCAAATTCTTTCTGTAGGTCAAACTATTTAGATAACTCTTAATCCGCTTTATCCTATCTAAGGATCACAAGTAACAAATGCTTATTTAGTTAGTGATGGTATTTTATATGATTTACCATCCTGGATGGTATTTGACATTTATTAAAGCACTCTAACTTTGAGTATTACCAAAGATTCGCTTACAAGTATTAGCACATAAAAATAAACAAAGAGCGATATTACACAATAGACTGTTGTATTTGTAACTAAATTAGCTCTCTCTCAAAGTTCATTTATTTATAATAGTGAAATTACAGATAGTATAGTAATTAATGAAAATATGAGTGAATAAATTTTTTTAGCATATAAAAATATAGGAGTAATAAATAATAAGAACCAAGTATCTGACCAATTTGCTGAAGATGAGACTTTTACTCCTCCAAATATTGATGGACTTAATTTAACTGATGAAGCATTAATGAAAATTTAAAGAGTTTTGTAGATGAGCTTAACTTATTCTCCAGTTGATCTACTTTTATAAAAATCATTAAAAGTAGATTTCACATTAGAAAATAATTATATTTAATCATATTCACAAACCGCAAGCATTTTATTTATTATTAACTAATAAGATGGAAAATTTGTTAATAGATTATATTCAAGTGTGGTAACTTCTTTATCTTAAAAGTAGGATTAAATTTAATTATAAGGAAATATATTAAGCTTAAATCAACTATTGAAGCAATAAATTTAAATATATTTATATGATTAAAAAAATACTAACATAAAGATTAATATTTAGATCAGTGATGGAATAAATAATGACTTTAGCTGTGAATATTAATTCGATTAACTCTCAAAAATACTTTAAGTTAAAAAAATTATTTCTATCAGTCCTGAAAATAAGCTCTAAGTATAAGTTAATAACTAATATCATGAATCTCAGATTGCTATAAATAGATAAGTAGATATATAGTTTTCTTTTAATACCTATAACGATGCTAATTTCAATGAATTATAGTTTTAAGCTTACTATATAATAAATGATAAATAATAAGAATTAACTTTTTAGCAAAGCGAGATATAATTCGATCCTCAGTAGTTTAAGTTTAATATAAAAACATCTACTTAAGATTTTGGAAGAGAATATTGCTTAGGTGTAAATGCAACAGATACTTATTCTTGGGTATTTGATTCCTTTTGTGTTACAGCTACTGTCATATCATTCGAGGTGTTTTTAAATATATTTTTTTAAGTGTTAGGACCTTTACTTTTTTTCTTAGGAATTTTTAAGTATTGGAATTCATTTTTCAATTTGTTATTTAGCAACAAAAATTAATTAGGCAAAAAGTATGTTGTATAAAATAAATAATTAGTTTTAAAATTCATAGTTGTAGATGACAGCTATATCATAGGTCAAAAGCTTTTCAATGAATTTATAAAAGGTCTAAAATAAAATTAAATTTCATAAAATTTAACAATAAATCAATAATCAACTGTAAACAGTTGTTAATTAAAGAGTAATATTCTCAAATATAGCTTGAAAAAATTTGAAACATAAGAAAATAGCATTGGTTAGAATAGTGATACAGATATCATTGATATTTTCCCTTTGAAAAAATAGTATATCTAAGCTCAATCAATAATTAAGAGAACAGTAAGAGTTTTAAACTCAAAAAATTTTCTTATCAGAGAAATAAACTATTAAAACTTTAAAAATTATATCACAAATAACTAAGAAATAGATGCTAAAGCTTTTATTAAAGATTTACTTACTTCTAATCAACCTATTAATTAATAGGGTAAGGTAATTTATCCAAAATAACTATAAAATGAGTTAAATGATTCTGGGAGCATTCTATATAATTGTTTATCTGGGCTTCTTTTTAAATAAATTCTAAAATTAGACAAACGTTCATTTATTGTTTACTAATTCATAAAGTTAATAGCATAAATATGTAATAAAAAGTCTTCAAACTAGTGGACTTAATTTGTTTCAGAATCTTATCCAGTCTTGAAGTAGAATCATAATCAGAAAGAAGAAATAATCCCTTAAATTTAAATAAAAACATAAAATTTAATGAAAATTATTAATATTTTACTAAAAAGCATGAAAAAAAATATTTTAATTAATTTCTATGAACTAAACTAGTAAACTATTTTTAATGAATTGGGAATAAATATATCCTTAATTTTAGATAACATCATCTCAGACGCTATTGGAATAGCAAATCCGACAAACAGTTCACTATATCCCAATAGTGGAGAGAGTATTCATCTTTAAGAACACTAAATTCAAAAAGTATAGGCTTATGTCAAATCTAACAATTCTAAATTATTGTGTCTAAAGAAGTTACTTAAATTGGACTATTAACCCATTTTTTCACACCAAAATTAATAACTACTATCTTGGTTAAAAGTTAAAATAGAAAAATAATTAATTACTCTTTATGGAACAGTGCCTTCCAGAAAATGTAATAAAAAAATAAAAGTTTGCATTTTTGATAACAACAATTGTATGATTCGTTAAGTTAAATTGAAAATAATAAAATAGTATGATGAAAATATACAGTAGAAAGCTTTATGTGATATATAAATCACTGATTTAGAATAAATATAGTCTATATCTAAAAATACTGAAAATGATACAATCGAAAAGTTTTCTCCAATTTTATTTGAAAGCTGTGAATCAGAAGGTAATTCAAATAAAGTATTCCACTAAAACTAAGAATAAAATGAAAAACATAAATTTAAACTGATATTATATGACCAATACATAAATGGAGCTGATCCCTAAGAAATTAATTAATGTAAACTTATAAATAGCAATATTTAATAACTAAATAGAAAAATCTAAAAATCGGTAAATCCATTTCAAAATCAAACTGAAGATTATATTATTTGATTTTATTGAAATTTGCCAATATATTTATTAATATATCTAACTATTTTAAAAATTAAATAGTATACTTATTTGTAATTAAATATTAATCTTATTAGTTTATAATTTAATAAAATATTTTTTTTAAATGGCTATATATGTGTACTTTACAAAGAATAATTTACTTTTATATCAATAGTAAATCATATAAACTTATCTTAATGAATAAAATTAGAAAAAATACAGCTTATTTTTTAGTATTTTGCTTTCTTAAGTAATTTTAATTAGGAAAGAAATTAGAATGGTATTAGTTTTTCTTATGAGCACAAGTATGCTAGCCAAATTTTATTATAACTTCTTTTGCAAAAAATTTCTTAAATTCTTGAACCATATTTAAAATTATATATTATTAAAATTATTTATTAAGTTATGAGAAAATTAAAAAAATTATTTTGACATTTTAAAATGAATTTAAAAATTATTATACATAATTTATCTTATTTATTATATTTATCATTTAAAAATATAAAATTTATGGATTATTATAAAGAATTTAAAACAATTTTGTTAATTTTTTTTTATAGAAAATTTAAAATATTTACATTCATTACTTATTAAAAAACAAACTTCATTTATTTTAAAATGTAAAGTAAAAGAATGAATAAATATATATTCATTCAGATAATTTTTACTAAAAGTAATAAATTTTAGATTATTTTTCTTTCTAAAAATTAATACTGGTTTGATTTGACAAAAAGTGAATTTATCTTTAGTTTTACATCAGTAAAATTTTTATATTAAGCACATTCAAGATAGTAAAATATTAAAGCTAAAAAGTACTGACAATCTGTAAAATTATAAGTTAGATCAAACCAGTAATTATAAAATCAATTTTCCGCATTTTTAAATTATTTGGAATAACTTATCATTTAATTTATACATTATTATAGAAATTTAGATAACATAATATGCAAATCAATCCAAAAAAAAAAAATTAAAATAGTTAGAATTGCTATTTTAAATTGAATTTTAAATTAGTTAAGTTTTTTTAAAAAAATTTATCAAAAAACAAGTAAAATATTTTTTATTTTAATTAAAAATAAATTAACATAAAAATTATTAGGTAAATGGGCAATTTAAAAACGTCATCAGACATTTTAACACTACTAAAATATGAGTTATTTAGATAATAATCAGTATGTAAAAAGGTTAGGGTCGAATATATTTATTATATATTGGAGCAATAGAAATTAAATCTATAGGACTATCCAATAATAAGTAATACTGAATAAATAGTAATGAAGATCATACAATCAAAATGGTTTTAGATATCTTACATATTTTTTGTTAATAATTATCTATTTATTATAACTATATTTAAATTATTTAAAAATTTAAGAGAAAAAAATTATAATAAAAAAAATAGCGAAACGAAAAATTATATTGAAATTTCCAAAAAATATATCTAACTCAACAAAATAATAAAAAATTTAATAAAAAAATATTTGAATATCAATAAGTTAGAATGGATTCTGAATAAAAAGTAGTTCTAAAACCTAAAAGTTTAGAAAGAGTGTCAGACGATGCTTTTAAATTACATTTTAGTAATGATGAGGAATTTCTCCAACAATTAGATGAAGCTCTTAGTTTAGTAGAGAAATATACAATCCATTACTAAGAAGATATTGAAAAGTTCAACAAAAATTTAAATCTAAAGCTGAAATCAGTTCACACTATATCAAAATTAGACCTCTATGCACATAAGTATTTTGCTGTAGGCAATATGAGAGTCGCTTATGAAAAAGTAGGAAAAAATTACCCTTTCCATGTTGTTGTAAGATGCGATGGTAATTCATTTTTTAGATCTTTCCTTTTAGCTTATCTACTTAATTTGTTCTATGATAAAAATGCAAATTAATTGATTAAATTTATTCAAAGGATTCTAAATGTCTAGAATATGAACTTTATTCACAATAAAATCAAAAGTAAAAAAAATAAAAGCCAAATTGACCTTGTGAGAAGTTTCTTAGTATCTTTTGTTTTTGAATTAATTATTAAAATATTCAACAATGAAGAATTAGACTTAGAAAATTTAATTAAGCAATTCAATTCATAGCCTATAATAGACTTTGCAGCAATAGTATTCACTAAACACTTAGTGCTAGAAACATACCATGGTCTCTTGAAAGATACAAATAATTCTTAAGCCTTCGATTAATCAAAAAAGTAGATTATTGAAGAAGTCCTCTAAAAATTTAACAGTGAAGTTATTGAAGAAATTATTCCTTTTGTAGGAATTACTTTCTAAGTAGAAATAATTATTTAAAATTTATTCAGAGTTTCTCCAAAAAAGATTTCTACATCTTAGCTTTGCTATTCACTTCCTAACAGCTAAAAGGCTATGAATAAAATAGTCTTGTGCAATTTATAAGATTAATATAACATACTTTTTTCTAATGAATTGTATGAAAAATTCCTCAAGTAGTATGATGAAATTATCAATTTCTAACATTTTGATAGATCAAAATCTTTGCAAAAAGAATAACAAGAGGATTAAGGAAACGATGAAGAAGAGGTTAAATTAGATGAAAATGATGAGGATAATGAAAATTAAGAATAGAAAGAGGAAGACATTGATGATGATGATTTATTACTAGATGAAGAAGATAATATTGACGTAGAAGCTTAAAACTTATAAAAGTAAGAAGCTTAAAGATAAGAAGAAAATAATCCAGAATATGAAGGCTAAGACATTTAACCTTCAGATGATGAAGAGCTACCAATACAATTAATTTCTCTTGATATTAAACCTACTGAAGAGGAAGTAAAACAAAAAAGATTAGCTGAAGAAAAAGCTGAGCAAGAAAGATTAGCAAAAGAAGCTGAAGAAAAAAGATTGGCAGAGGAAAAAGCTGAGTAGGAAAGACTTACTAAAGAAGCTGAGGAAAAAAGATTAGCTGAAGAAAAGAGGTTAGCAGAAGAAAAAGCTGAATAAGAAAGACTTGCTAAAGAAGCAGAAGAAAAAAGATTAGCTGAGGAAAAGGCTGAATAGGAAAGATTAGCTAAAGAAGCTGAAGAAAAAAGGTTAGCTGAAGAAAAGAGGTTAGCAGAGGAGAAAGCTGAATAGGAAAGATTAGCTAAAGAAGCTGAAGAAAAAAGGTTAGCTGAAGAAAAGAGGTTAGCAGAGGAGAAAGCTGAATAGGAAAGATTAGCTAAAGAAGCTGAGGAAAAAAGATTAGCTGAAGAAAAAAGGCTAGCAGAAGAAAAAGCTGAATAAGAAAGACTTGCTAAAGAAGCAGAAGAAAAAAGATTAGCTGAGGAAAAGGCTGAATAAGAAAGATTAGCTAAAGAGGCTGAGGAAAAAAGACTAGCAGAAGAAAAAGCTGAATAAGAAAGGCTAGCTAAAGAAGCTGAGGAAAAAAGATTAGCTGAGGAAAAGGCTGAATAAGAAAGATTAGCAAAAGAAGCTGAAGAAAAAAGGTTAGCTGAAGAAAAGAGGTTAGCAGAGGAAAAAGCTGAATAAGAAAGGCTAGCTAAAGAAGCTGAGGAAAAAAGATTAGCTGAAGAAAAAGCTGAAAAAGAAAGACTTGCTAAAGAAGCAGAAGAAAAAAGATTAGCTGAGGAAAAGGCTGAATAAGAAAGATTAGCTAAAGAGGCTGAGGAAAAAAGACTAGCAGAAGAAAAAGCTGAATAAGAAAGGCTAGCTAAAGAAGCTGAGGAAAAAAGATTAGCTGAAGAAAAAGCTGAAAAAGAAAGACTTGCTAAAGAAGCAGAAGAAAAAAGATTAGCTGAGGAAAAGGCTGAGTAGGAAAGATTAGCTAAAGAAGCTGAAGAAAAAAGGTTAGCTGAAGAAAAGAGGTTAGCAGAGGAGAAAGCTGAATAGGAAAGATTAGCTAAAGAAGCTGAGGAAAAAAGATTAGCTGAGGAAAAAGCTGAATAAGAAAGATTAGCAAAAGAAGCAGAGGAAAAAAGATTAGCAGAAGAAAAAGCTGAATAAGAAAGGCTAGCTAAAGAAGCTGAGGAAAAAAGATTAGCTGAAGAAAAAGCTGAAAAAGAAAGACTTGCTAAAGAAGCAGAAGAAAAAAGATTAGCTGAGGAAAAGGCTGAATAAGAAAGATTAGCTAAAGAGGCTGAAGAAAAAAGATTAGCCGAAGAAAAGAGGTTAGCAGAGGAAAAAGCTGAATAGGAAAGATTAGCTAATGAGGCTGAAGAAAAAAGATTAGCTGAAGAAAAGAGGTTAGCAGAGGAAAAAGCTGAATAAGAAAGGCTTGCTAAAGAAGCAGAAGAAAAAAGATTAGCTGAGGAAAAGGCTGAATAAGAAAGATTAGCAAAAGAAGCAGAGGAAAAGAGGTTAGCAGAAGAAAAAGCTGAATTGGAAAGACTAGCTAAAGAAGCTGAAGAAAAAAGATTAGCAGAAGAAAAGGCTGAGTAAGAGAGATTAGCTAGAGAAGCAGAAGAAAAAAGATTAGCTGAAGAGAAGAGACTTGAAGAAGAAAAAGCAGAAAAATTAAGGCTTGCTAAAGAAGCTGAAGAAAAGAGATTAGCAGAAGAAAAAGCTTAGTAAGAAAAGTTAGCCAAAGAAGCTGAGGAAAGGAGACTAGCTGAGGAAAAAGCTGAAAAAGAAAGACTGGCTAAAGAAGCTGAAGAAAAAAGATTAGCTAGAGAGGCTGAAGAGAAGAAAATAGCTGAAGAAAAAAAATTAGCTGAGTAAAAAGCTGAGTAAGATAGACTTGCCAAAGAAGCAGAAGAAAAAAAGCTAGCTGAATAAAAGGCAGAGAAGGAAAGGTTAGCTTAAGAGGCTGAGGAAAAAGCAAAGTAATAAAAATTGGCAAAGGAAGCTGAAGAGAAAAGATAAGCAGAAGAAAATGCTGAAAAAGAAAGGCTAGCTAGAATAGCTGAATTAAAAAGAGTTGAAGAAGAAAAAGCTGAACAAGAAAGAAAAGCTAAAGAAAGAGCTGAATAAGAAAGATTATAGAGAGAAGCAGAATAATCTAATGAAGTAAATTATGTTGAAGAAGAAGAAGAATTTTATAATGTTGATAACAAGGAAAGCAAACTTCATAACTAAGGAAAGGAACATTAAGAAGTTTACTTAGAGCACAAATAGTAGTCTCTTTCTTAAGTTGAAAATTTTGGAAGCAAAGATGAAGATCCAATTTAAGGAATTGAAGAATAACCTCAACAAGTTTAGAATTAAGGTATTTAAGAAGACCACAATAATAAAGCATAAAATAAATCTGAACGCTAAAAGAATATTCAAAATATTTAAATGTCAGATACTTAAAAAAATATTTTGAGAACTTAAGATAAAAAGATGGTTGGAGCTTTGGATTAAAGTTCATAAAAATCTTAAACCAAAACTTAAAACGAAACAACACAATTTGAAGACTACACCTATACTGAAGAAGAATTATAAAAAAATACTAGTCGTGAAGATATAGTTAATGCAAATTTAGAAAATTCAACATTACTTGAGAAGCTTATTAAAGATGAAGAAAGGAACCAAGATCCTAATAAGCCTAGCTAAAAATAAAAATCTGAAACACCAAAATCTAACTTAAATAATACAAGCCAACTAAATACTACTACAAATAAAATGGTTTAAGGAGACTAAATTTCACATTAAAATAATACTACTAATAACAGTTACAGTAAATAAATAAACCTCACCAGCAATCCATAAAAATAACCAATCAAATAAAAGAAAAAGAAAATTTGCTGTGAGTGGCTCCGTAAGTATTGTTGCTGTTGCTGCCCATGCTGGTGTGAAGAAGAAGTAGAAGAGTGATTTATTTAATTAATAAATCAAATCATCAAAAAAAAAATATTTAATTGACTAAAATTTTAATCATATAAATAAATATTTTAATAAAAAAATTGAAAAAACTTTTTGTATGTTAGTTTATATTTCAGTTTGAAGATACAAAAAATTTGTTTTAATTATTAGTTAAAAAATAATGAATTTTGTTTATTAAAAATCTTTTAGATTTAATTTTTAGATTAATTAATTAATAAAATATTTGAATCAGATCAATTATTTATTTATAAAGAAGTTAAAAAACATTTTAACTATTTATTTTAATATCTAAATATTATTTATTCAAAATCTAAGTAAAAAAAATAATCAATTATAAATATTAATTATTAAAACAAGAATAATTTTTTTTAAAAAAAATCTTTTAAATATATATTTATTAAAATAATAATTTTATTTAAAAAGAATTTTAAAGATAATAAGAATAAATAAAATTTTAAAAAACCATTTAAATAAAAATATTAAAGAAATACATTTATTAGAAATTAAATTAATAAAAAAAACAAAAAAAATTTCATAGAATTTATTCTAAAATTAAAGCATTTTTATTCATGGTCTAATGAGAGGAATATACTTAAAGGATGTTAAAAAAGTGATTAAAACAAATAAACCTCCTATTACGACCATTTTAGAAGTTGTCACTTTTTCTGAGGCACTTTTACATACTCCATTTTCTAAGTAACCGTTTTCACATTTTTATTCTACAACTACAGCTAATTTAGCATCACATACTTCACACGGCTTTTCTTTAATTTTTGGACACTTAGCCAAACAATTTTCTTTACAAATATGACAAATATTAAACTCATCATGACACTAATCCTATTCGCATTAGCTGCAGGAAGCTTTGTCTACTGTGAGTTTATATGGTTTTTCGCATAGAGTGCACTCTTTGGCATTTTAGCACTTTATGCAGTTTTATTAAACACAGTCAAAACAACGATATCCATCATTGTATTAATTTGATCTACATTTTTCGCAAAGTTTAGTTTCTTATTAAATATATAATCCTTCTTTAAGGCATTTAATACACTGAGTATTTAAAGATCCTGTACATTAAGAGCAGTCATCATGGCAACGACTACATATATTGTTCTCATCAAAAAAGCTATATTTTATTCTACATGTTAAACATTGGTTTTGTTAATCACCTTTACATGTTTCGCAATCATGATGGCATGGAAGACAAATTCCAGTGTTTTAAACTGGGTTTTTAACTGTTAAATAATTATACAAATAGCAATCAAGGCAATCAGATTAAAGAGTTCCTGAGCAGTGTCTACATGTTTCGTGACATTTATAACATTTGTTAGTAGATTCATCTAGGTAATAACCCTCTGTCGGACAAACTTTACATTAACCATCTTCAAAGAGTGATAGACCTTTTAAACACTCTGTACAACCCGTTTTTGAACCATCTTTACACTTTAAGCAAGTTGCAAAACACTTTAAACATTAGTTTTACTTATTGTCAATGTAATAAGTTAACTAAGGACATGGTTTACATATCTTTTATGAATCTCCTTATATAAAATACTTACCTTATATGCATGTATTGCAGTCAGTATAAATAGGCCCAAAGCAAGTTTGACAATCAGAATTACAACTATTGCATATTTTGTTTGAATAAAAGAATTTTTCATAGCAAGTATTACAACTATTTTCGTTGGAACATGTTTTGCAATTATACTATTTAGTACAAGGTTTACACCTTTATAAATCTTACGTTATATAAAAGTTTTCTGATGGGCAATTATCGCATTTACCTTCATCAAAAATGTATTAATTCTTTTAGCATTTAGTACAAGTGTTAAAATCTTTGCAAGCTACACAATTTAATTATGTATTACAATTTTTACATCTATTACCATCTAAATACTCTCCTTCCTTTAAACACATTCTACAAATTTACTTTCCTTATATTGTCGGATGATCAGCAAAATATGTTCCATCTTTGCAAATCGTGCAGTCTGTATTATTTACATCATTACATTGCTTACAACTTGAATCACATTTGAAGCACTACCCATTTACAGATACTAAGCTATCCTCAGGTTTACAATCACGGCATATTCCATTGTCAAGTAAATAATTATCTTAGCATTAAGTGCAGACATTAGATGATGTACATTATTTACATTAATATCCACAAGGTAAGCACAACTCACCCTACTAAAAAAATCCATTACTAGTTTGACATACTTTGCATAAGCCATCTGGATGTTTACTTAAACCAGCAGCGCATTTTTTACAACCTTAATTTGATTCATTAATACAAGTTTAACAAGATTAATCACATTACTTGCAATATATCCCAGAAATAAAATAATTATTATCAATATCGCAGGTATTACATTTGTTTTCTTTGTCAAAATAAAAATTAGTTTTACAAGTAGAACACTAATTATCAGCTTCTCCAAAGCAAGTTTGACAATTAGATGAGCAATCTTTGCAAATTTTATCAGTGTCAATAAACTGTGAATTCTATGTTAAACATTTGACACATAAATTACTTTTGTTAAAATTAAATTGGTCAATACATGTTTAGCAATCATTTTAAGTCTCACCTTTGCAGGTTTTGCAAGAAGAGTGACATTACTTGCAGTATTTATTATTTTAAATAAAGTAATATTCTGAAGGACATATCTAACATTTTTAATTTAAAAAATATAAGTTACTAACACAAGCAGTACAACCTAAATCTGTTTAATCAATACAATTTTTGCACGAAATATGGCAGCTCTTACATTTAATTTTATCAATAAAATAGTTTTCCGTTGGACATATTCCGCATGTTCCATCTTCAAGTAAATAATATCCATCAAAGCAATTTGTACAATCATTCTTTAAACCATTAGTGCATTCCCTGCATGTAGAATCACAATTCATACATAAAGTAGGATTCTTTGGATCAATATAAACTTAATTTACTGATAAGCAATCTCCACAAGTTCCATCTTATCTGAGATAATCTCCACTTTTACATGACTTGCAATTGTTATTTAGAGGGCCATTACATTAGTAACAAGTTTTATCACAAGGTAAGCATCTTTTTATACCTATCTACTCCTCATAATAAGTATCATCACAAGTCTTTTTACATGTTTTATCTTGCTATAGAATTAAATTGTCCTTGCATGTCTCACAAGTACTTCCATTTAAGCAAGTATAGCATCCTATTGCCTAATTACAAATTTTACAATATAAATTATCCTCAACATACTAACCGTCTTAATTACAAGGAACACAAATTTAGCTATCGTCTAAATAATAATTTTCTTAGCAAGTAATACAAGTAGAATTATTTTTACAAGTCTTACAATTTAGCTTTGGATTACATTAATAGCAATGTATTTAATCAGTATCTATATAAAATCCATCATTACAAAACTAGCATGTGCTATCTATATGGAGATAAAATGTTGGTTTGCATGAATTACATGTGCTAAAGTCAGAACAAGTCATACAATTTATTGAATCATTACACTTTTTGCACTTAGTTTTATCTTAAATAAAAAACCCATCTAAGCAAGTTTAGCAGTGGCCATCATCATAGAGGAAATTATTACTACTACATGTGTCACATTTAGTACCTATACTACAAGTTTTGCAATTCAAACTACTTGGACAAAGTAGACAGTTAGTTCCATCAATATATTATCCATCTAAATTGCAACTAACACATTTCTGAGAACCATCTAGATAAAAATTATCTAAACAAGTATCACATGTGTTTATATTTGAGCAAGTCTTGCAATTGATTGAACTGTTGCACTTAAAGCATTTTTCATTTTAAACAAATGAACCTGGTTTGCATTCATCGCATGTTTAATTTTCTAAAAGTTTAAGATTATCTGGACATGATAAACAACTAGAATAATTATTACATGTTAAGCAATTAATAGTGCTATTACACTTTTTACATAACTTAGAATTTTCAATATAGTACCCATCAATACAATTATCACATTTACCTACATCATATAAGTAAAGTTAATCTTTACATGTTTTACATGAATTAAAGTCATCACATGTTTAGCAGTTCAGTTAATCATTGCAATCTAAACATTTTGTATTATCAATAAATACCCCATCTTGGTTGCATTATATACATTACTAATTCTTGTATAAATAATACCCAATATTACATGTTAAGCAAGATATTCCATTTAAACAAGTACTACAGTTTATTTTTTAATTACATTTTCTACAAAAAATTCCATCTACATAATTTCCATCTAAGCATTCTCCACATTTTAATGTTGTCTCGTCAATATAATGGTTTTTCAATTAGCAGCTTGAACAGCTGTTTCCATTTTAACATGTCATACAGTTAAATAAAGGATTGCATTATAAACAATTAGGAGAAGATTAATAAACACCATTTTCTACACACAAATCACATTTACCACTTTGATAAAGAAAATCATCTTAATTGCAAGTGAGACATTAATTTGCTTAAGAGCATGTTTTACAATTATAAACAGCAGTACATTTTAAACATTGTTTGCCACTTATGTAGAAGCCCTCCTCTTTGCACTATTCGCAGTGCCCATCTTCATATAAAAATAAACCATCAGGACAAGTTTGACATGACTTATTATCTAAGCAGGTTTTGCATTTTAGACTTTCAGTGCATGGAACACATTTTTCTTAAAATTTAAAAACTCCATCCTCAGTACAAACATCACACTTAGCACTTTTAATGTAAAAAAACTTGTCCTTGTAACAAGTTAAGCATTAATCTTAATTAATGCATGTCTTGCAATTTAAAACTGGGTTGCAGTATAGGCAGTTTAAACCATCTCTATATTATAAGTCTTAATCACAGTTAACACAAGTCTAATTTTTTGAGTCTAGATAGTAATTATTTTAACATGTCAAACACTTAGTTCCATTTTCACATGTAAGGCAATTTATTTAATCATTACATTTCAGGCATTGCCTTTGATCTATATAATATCCATCTACGCACTACCCACATTATCCGGTTTAATATAAATAATCAGAATCGCTGCAAGTTTTGCATCTTATACCATTATTACATGTTTTACAATTTAACTCCTTAGTGCATGATCTGCAATTTATTTGATCTGGATCAATGTAAAAACCATCTTCTGAACAATTTCCGCAATGTCCATCAGGATATAAAAAGAGACCATTAGGACATGTGTCACATTTGGTATATAGAGAGCATTTTTAACATTTTAAATTTGCGTTACAAGGCAAACAATATTTATTTTCAGAAACAAAAAATCCATCATCTGTACAATTAACACAAGAAGTGTTGTTAATAAGATATTAAGAAGGATTACAAGTATCGCAAGCAGAGAATTTACTACAAGTTTTGCAATTCAAAGAACTATTACAATCCAAGCAATTGCTTTTATCAATAAACTAACCGTCTAAATTACATTTCACACATTTATTATTTTTATCTAGGAAGTAGGTATCTGTGCAAGTTAAACAATCTGTGGAATTAGAACATTTCTTACAATGCCTATCTGTTTCGCATTAAATACAATTTCCTGAACTTACATAAAATCCATCTATACAAATATCACACCTTTTATCTTCTTATATATAAAGATATAAGCTATTAGTTTAATCACAAGCAGAGCATGAATTTCCATCCTGACACTTTAAGCATTTCAAGGATGGTTTACATTAGTAGCAATTTAATCCACTTTTATATAACCCATCTTAATTGCAATCGACACACTTGCTATTAATATCCAAAAAAAAGTTAGTCAAACAAGTTAGGCACTTGTTAGCTTCCACACAAGTCTTGCAATTATAACCTGGAGTGCAAGGCAAGCAATTTAGATTGCTAATATATTGCCCTTCTTAATTGCATTTAACGCAAACATTTGTTTGATCTAAATAGTAGCTATTTATACAAGTTTTACATGATTAAAAGTTATCACATGTTTTACAATTCAAACTACTGTTACAAGTTTTACAATCAGTATTTGAAATAAAATATCCATCAATGCATTAATCACACTTTGCTTGTTAAGGATAAAGATACTAACCAGAATTACAGGAGTTGCATGTTATTGAATCGGAACAACTTTTACAGTTTAAGGTGGGATTGCAATATTTACAATTTACAGATTCTATAAATTATCCATCAATATTACATTTTACACAAGTTTATGCTTTCGAATCAAGATAGAAATTGGTTTGGCAAGTTAAGCATTATGCTGCATTTTAGCAAGTTGCACAATTCAAAGAAGAAGTGCAATATTAACAGTTTAATCCATCAATAAATTATCCATCAATATTGCATTTTACACATGCTTAATTCTTAGCATCTAAATAAAAGGAGGGTTGGCATGTTAAACATTAAGTTGAGTTTTAGCATGTTGCACAATTCAAGGAGGGTGTACATACTTTACATTAAATATTATTGAAGATAAATTAGCCAGGTAGATTGCACTTTACACAAACATTAGTTGAATCTAAATAATAGCTTGGTTAGCAAGTCAAGCAAGTGTTAAAATCACCACATGTTTTACAATTTAAAGAACTATTGCATACCTTACAGTCTGTGCCCTATATAAAATATCCATCAACACAAGTATCACACTTAGCCTTCAAAGGATATAGATATTAACCAGTGTTGCAAGTATTACAAGTAGTGCTATTAGAACATGTCTTACAATTTAAAGAAGCATTACAATAATTACAGTTAGTAGTGTCAATAAATTGACCATCAAGATTACATTTTATACAAGTTTATGTTTTAATATCAAGATAAAACGTGGGTTAGCATGTTAAGCATTAAGTTCCATTTTAACAAGTAGTGCAATTCAAGGAGGGTGTACATACTTTACATTAAATATTATTGAAGATAAATTAGCCAGGTAGATTGCACTTTACACAAACATTACTTGAATCTAAATAATAGCTTGGTTAGCAAGTCAAGCAAGTGTTAAAATCACCACATGTTTTACAATTTAAAGAACTATTGCATACCTTACAGTCTGTGCCCTATATAAAATATCCATCAACGCAAGTATCACACTTAGCCTTCAAAGGATATAGATATTAACCAGTGTTGCAAGTATTACAAGTAGTGCTATTAGAACATGTCTTACAATTTAAAGAAGCATTACAATAATTACAGTTAGTAGTGTCAATAAATTGACCATCAAGATTACATTTTATACAAGTTTATGTTTTAATATCAAGATAAAACGTGGGTTAGCATGTTAAGCATTAAGTTCCATTTTAACAAGTAGTGCAATTCAAAGAAGGTGTACAGACTTTACATGAGGTATTTTCCTTATATTAACCTGGTTGATCACATTTCACACAAATTTTACTTTAATCTAAGTAATAATTTGATTAGCATGTTAAGCAAGTAATAAAATCTCCACAAGTTGAACAATTTAAACTATTATTACACAATTTACAATCTGTTCCTTGAATAAAATATCCATTTACACAAAAATCACATTTAGATTAAGAGGGATATAAGTATTTTCCAGAATTACAAGTACTGCAAGTTGTTCCATTTAAGCACGTTTTACAATTTAAAGAAGGATTACAATAATTACACTAAGATCCGCTTATGTATTATCCATCTTAATCGCATTTAACACATGCTTTACTAATAGAGTCTAAGTAATATCCAGATATACATGCTAAGCATTAAGTAGAATTAGAGCAAGTCGAGCAATTTATGGCAGAGTTACAAGCTTTGCAATTAATATTTGAAATATAATATCCATCACCACACAAATCACATTTTCCAGAATCGTAAATATATTAATTTGGCTTTTTACATTATGTACATGTATTTATATTACTACATTTCTAGCAATTAAGACTAGGATTGCAATCAACACATGTATTATTTGATGTATCAATAAAAACTCCATCATTTGTGCAAGGAACACATGTATTGGTTGGCTGATAAAGATAGTTACCACTATTACAACTTGTACAATTAGTACTATTATTAATGCAAGTTTTACAATTGTTATCGCAAATTAGGCATTACTAATTTTTTATAAAATACCCACTAACACAACTTTTACATGTATTTTAACCTAGATAAAAATAAAAATTTGGTTAGCAAACAGTGCACGAAACTGAATCTAAGCATTCACTGCAATTTAAGGAAGCATTACATTGCTTACATTGTTTTTTGCTAATATCTTTGTAATATCCTTTTTCTTTGCATTGCCCGCAGGTCTTATTGTCGTAAAAATAATAACTAGCTATGCAAGTTACGCATTCCGTTGCTGAATTACAAGTATCACAATTATTTTCACAAGGTTTACATTAGGTCCCACTTTAATAGTATTATGAATCACATTTTTATTGATACTTACAAGAGTTATTATCTACATAAAAAAGTAGATCTTGTTTACAGGATGTGCAATTTGTAGAACTTTTACCACTACATTTCAGGCATGAATAATCACATCTATAGCAATTTTTTCCTGAAGAATAGTATCCCACAACATCATTACAACCTGCACATACATTTTTTTCATCATAAATTTTTTCAGAAGAATTTTTACAAGAGTCGCAGGTTTTTGTAAAAACTCCAGAACAATTACAAGTACTACCACACCCAGAGCACGTATTCGGTGAAAATAAACTAGTACTTTATCCAGACCTACAACTAGGCTCACAAGTATTATCAGGCATATATTTTTATCCGCTGGAGCAAGTATCGCATGTATTTTTTGATGAACATTCATCACATCCAGGAATACAACTCCTACATTCGTTATTATATAATGGGTCTTTCCATTTACCATTTGGGCACCCTCCAGCTAAAACTCTTTTTTTATTTTTCTTTTCAATTAATACTTCATTGCAGTATATTCTATTTAAATAAATAAATTGAACTAATGGTTATTTATTTCCTAAATTTAACACAAATTTACTATTAAACGGTGGCTGAAGATATAATGTTTTTATATTCATCGCTCTCAAGCATTTAAAACCCTATTATTGCTTCTTAGTTTTTGTTATCCCTTAAAATAAAACCTATTTGATCTTAACCTTTAGTATTTCTGATTATATAATCATCTTCATTGATGTATATTTCATTATTCCTTTTTTATTGAAACCAAATGAAATTAAATTAATAGAATTAAATTATTAATAAAGTACTCTGTTAATACTTCATTTTAATTTTTAATAATGAGAATGGCTTTTAAAACACATTTATAATTTCCAGTTTTCAGTCTGAAATTATCCTGATTTATTCCTATATACTGTTAAAATGTATCATAATCTCTTTAGTTGAATTTATCATCACAATAGCATACTAGATTATTTACAAAAAAAGGATTTATAATTTATATTTTATTAATAATCTACCTATTAAAAAGTATAAAAAAGTCATTGCCTATTTCATCAAAGTTTAAACCATTTTACAATCTACCCAAAAATAACTTTATTTCTACACTTTATTGAAATTAATTCAAAGAAGATATTAATTATTATCTATTAAATAGCAAAGTTTATTTTTACAATTATTATTGTTGTTTCTTTTACAGTCTTTGAATAACAATTATTTACTATTAATTTACACCAATAAGAAATACACTTAATTTACAATTTGTTAAAAATAAAAGAATTAAGTAAAAATAAACTTAAAAACCATTTATCATCAAAAAAATCAAACAAAAAATAATTAAAATTTATGAAAATCTTTAATTAATAATTAATTATGATTACATATATACTTGATATAAAGAGATACTTATCATCTTAAAATTAAAAAATGTAATCAAAATTGAACCAGAGTATTTACATAGGTTAAGTCTATAAATTAGAACAAAACAAAATGAAAATTTTTAAATTAAAATGATTAAAAATTTATTTAAATTACCTTAAAAATCTATAAAAAGAATTGGTAATAATTTTAGTAAATTCATTACTTGATATATACATATTTTTAAAATCAAAATTTAGTAAATGTTAATGTCTAGTTTTTTAAATGCATTTTTTATTTTCTTTAGGTTAATAGAATAAATGATCTATTTTTATATAATTAAACAAAAGATTTTATCCTTATTTAATTCAGTCAAATGTCTGTGATTTCATAATTATTTTATTCAGAGTATTACTATTACTATTGCTAAATTTAGTTTTTTATTCTTGAATATACATTTGCTCTATTTATTTATATTAAATGTTTATTTTAGTAACTATTAGGTTATTATCCATGATTATTTTGCATACAAGTTGAGTTCATAGGCTATTTTTATTAGAAATCGTTTTCCTAGTTAGGAGATTTTAATATACTATTTGATGTGCTTCTATCTTCTCTTTTTAATTAAGGGGATTCTGTAGCTAAATGAGAAGATTATTAATGACTCATTTATTTTTCTTATATTTTTTATGCAGTTAAGTTGTTTCTATTCGCATTTGTAGATCTACTTGTATTTATTCTTGGAGAATAGGTTTCCTAACCTTCTGTATTTTAAACAGATTAAGAATGGATATTTTGAGGAAGAGGAATTTTACCTACTTATTAAGATAAAGATGCTCCTCCTTATTTTTATTTATTTATATTGTTTTAATAATGACTAAGGTGTTATTAGTTAATTAGCTACTAGATAGAAAAGGATTTAGCCATCTTTTATTAGGTATTTTTTTGATTATGAGAAATATTTTTTTATTCATCATTATTAAGCTATACTCTTTCATTTACAAAGGAGCTTGAAATTTAAGCTTAAATTTAATTTTGAATTAAGTTTGTTTTGGATGTTTGATTAATTTTACTTTATATTAAGTTATTTGAATTTTAATCTTAAATTTAAGTTTTATTTGTTGATGCTATTAAAAGGGAATTAGAACTTGAATTTGTATTAATGGTGTTGTAAAATGAGTGTTGTTCTTGTGAGTTTATTCCTTTCTTTTTTTTTTGTTAAAGATATTTATTAATTGCTTTGTAGTTGCTGTCTCTGTAATTATTCTGAGTTTAATTTATTTAAGGTGAAAGGTATTCTTTTATCATTTCATGTTAAAATAAGTTAGCATCCATGCAGTTACCTGAAGAGTTTAACTCCTTTTTAGAATAATTCCTTACAATATATTTTGATTAACTATTGTTATTATTTATGGTAGATTGGTTGCATTTTGAACCCATTTTACTCTTAGAGTTACTACTTTCCCTATGAGACAATGGACTATTATAATCTTCACAGCTCTTATTATGCGAAAGATTCTAATTAGAATTCAGTTGAGAAGGGTAGTGTCTATGGGAAATATTTTATTATAAATAGTGGTTTCTTTTAGTTGTCTAAGTAGAATAAGAATATAACTATTACTTTTATGCTTCTTAGGCTTATCCTAATTCCAACTAAAATTATTTTTATTATTACTTTTAGCTATTGCTAATAAAAGAGTTTTCTTATTCTGTTTTTATTTGGTTATTATCTGTGCTTTTGTTAGTTGATCTAATTATTTAGCTTTTACTATTACTTGTATTTCCTTAAATTGAAAAGCTATTTTTTGTGATCTAACTTTTTTAATCTTCTTATTTAACTTGATTATCTAATTAATATTTTTATTGTTTATAAGCAGATTTATTTTAAGTGGCAATTTATTACCTATCCCTACTCTATTGAGGGCTTTAGTCAGTACCCCTAGGTGATAATATTTTAGATTAATTATTTTAAAGATTTTAAATTTGTTAATTTATCTATTCTTTGAATTTTACATTTTATTCTTAGCTTAATGCTTATTTCTACAAAACTTTCTAAAGATCATTAAAGGACAATGAATTATTGTTTTAAATTGAATTATTTGCAGTTTTATTTTGATTGGTTAATTAGCTTTAGTTATTTACTTGTTAGTTTTGATTGCTAGTTGATTTGTAAAGCTTCACTGCACTTTAATGATTCAAAAAATGGCTATTAATTTCATTTTATTCATTTATATTTAACTTATTTTGAATATCATTTTATTACATATTTTATAATTAAGAATTTTAGTATGAAGATTTGGCTTCCTACTGCTTATTTTGAGCATCAAAGAAAGCAGTAAGCTCTTTATATTTATTGCTTAGTTCTAAAAAAGAATCTTTTTCTACCTATAATTTCTAGTTTTCTTTTTCTAGCTATTAAATTCTATTAAATTAATTTTCGTTAGATATTTTTAAATCTAAAATCAATTGTTAATCCTATTTAATTTTACTTTCTAAGGATGCTATCTACTTTTAACAATTTTCATTTACTAAATCTAGTTAACACTAAAACTTTTCCTCATAAGCTTCTAATAATTCTTCATTGTTTTTTTTAAGGTCTTCATACTTTTAAAATCCTTCTGCTTTATTTTTAACTATCTCTTACTATAGCTGCTTGTTTTCTTTTTAAAGCTATTCATTATTTTACCTAAGCTAAATTAATTCTATGGCTTGTTTTGAAATAGTCTACTCGTAATCTCTTATAGTAATCCCATCCCTCAAGCCAGAAGTGCTTTTTTTCATTTCCTAAATTGTATGCTCTTTTTCATTAAGTTGAACATTCATCTTTTCATTTTCAGACTGAAGTATAATTAATTACTTTTTTAAAAATTCCAAAGTCTCTGTTTACGTTTTTTCCAACATACAAGTCATCATATTTGTACTTTAAGTCTCATCATGGGTTGTACTACTTTTTAAATTTGACTGGCTATTGTTGTTCATCATTAAATTATTAGTTGCTCCATTATAATTCTATTTGTTATCTTTATTTTGAATTTTTTCAATATTATTATTATAAGTATTTATTATACTAGAATTACTTTTTTAGTTTGTCGTTTAAGTTAAATTGTTATTGGAATTTATTTCATAGTCAGGTTACTTTTTTATATTAATTTTTTATTATTCTTCTTACAATTTATCCAAGCTCACTACATACTGTTTATAATTCTTAAAAGAAGATTTATTTAATCCATTATTTACAATAACCTTTTATTAATTTAACTCTTAGCAAGTAGGTAGGTCTTTACCAAAAGTTATTTGAGTTTAGTGATGAGTTTTTGATTCTTACGTGGAGGGTTATTCATGTATACTAGAAATGTTATGTTTTTCAAAAATATTTTCTTGCTCGTTGATAAACTGTTAAAATTTTTACTGAGGTAAAGATTAATCGCTAATACAATCTATGTTGTAAATTATATCATTTTAATCGCTTTGATTTATGGCAATATTTTCAGAGTCATCCGTCAAAGTAAAACTTATATTTAGCTTGTCCAGATCCCCATTTTAATGCTTTTTGGTGCTCATAAAGTTTAATACACTTTGAAAGTATATATTTTGAAAGGTAAATATAAATGTATATAGATTGTATTGATTTAGTTATTGCTTTATTGTTTAATTTTAAATAGAATAAATAAATAAAGATAAATTATCTTTTTTTGAATTAAATAGTAATGATTAAGAAAAACTAAAATCAATAATAAATAATATTCAAATTATTTATCAATCAATCAAAAATCATCTTTAAATATTTGTTTGAATTAGCAAATTATAAATATATTTTTTTGAATTTTAACTTTAATAATGCAATCAAGTTCTAAAAAGGATATATCATAACTATCAAAAGGTTGTTTTTTAAATTGAAAAATTTAAGATATTACCCTCATTCTATAGTTAAAATAAAAATATAGCACTGTTTTTTAATGCTTATAATTAATATTTGATATATGATTGATAAATAAGAAGCTAATTAATTGTTATTGTTTATTTAATTAATTACTTCTTTTCATGAAATTAGCTTTAAATATTCACAAAGTTTAAAACTATTCTATGAAATTCACTCGATCTTGATTAAAAAATGAAGGTAATAAATTATTTTGGGATTAAATGTTTATTTTAAAACTTATTAAAAAATATTTTAATTATTAATTAGTAAAAACAAGTTTATTTAAATAAAATTTTTTAACTTTATTAAATTTTCATATTTTTTTAAAATATTCTTTAAATCCTCTAATTTGAGTAATTTAAGGAATAAAAAAAAGTTATTTTTAAAGTTAAATAAATAAAATTTAGGTGGGAATAGCAAAATTATTTTTATCTGTGAATTAATTAAGAACAAAAAATATGAGAAAATTAGACAAACAAAGTTATATTTTAGTGTATTATTTTATTTTATAAAGGAATAATCTCTAGAAAAATTTGGACCTATGATCAAATATCTATATTTTTTAACTAAGAAAGGAATGAAGTAATCTTGATAAAAGTTCATAGTTAGCCTTTACCTAAAATTAGTAAACATACAATTATATCTAAATAATATTGCTAAATTTATTATATATGATTATATTTATTTTTAATTGATGGATATTTCAGATTAATGTTTTGATTCAAAAATATTAATATGCTCTTTTTATAATAAATATTAAAAAATAAATCTATCATTTAATTTAATTTTTAATGTATTTAGAAATTCAGTTTTACTTTATTTCCTTAAATGCCCAATCATCATCATGATATTAGCTTTAATGAATATCATAATACTTATTTTTATACTATTTTTATAAAATAAGAGTTTTCTAATTAATTTAATTCATAAATCAATTAAAATATTATTAAAATTCATGCTTAAAAAAATATTTTATTTTTTAATGAATTTAACCTGAAAATAGTAGATTGGAAGAATTAAGTTTAATAAAATTCCAACCCTTTTTAAAAATAGATTGAAAATTTAGTAATCAGATTATTTTTAATTTGAAATATTTGAATAAAAAAATAAAATTATTTCTAAAAATAAATTTATGTTTTTATAAAATAGATAAAATCACCAAAAATATTTATTATTCATAAATCAAATAAAAATTGTAAAACTAAACATATAAAATGAGTTTTAACTGCTTTTCCTGTTTCCGCTTTTCTTATTTTAATGCATGCAGTATATATTTATAAATTTTAAATCTATAATAAAAATATAATAGAATATGTAACAAAATATTTTTAAATAAAAAAATAATATTATTAGTAAAATAATATAAATTTTAATATTTAAAATTTATAGCCTACTGATGTATGTAAATCCTCTTCTTTATTTATATATGCTTGAAAACATTTATTCAAACTGCATAATCGTGATGATAAAAATTATTTAAAAATAATACCTGTATTATGTTAGTAATGATTAAACAGTATCATATTTATTAACTGAAATAGTTTATCTTTTTAAAAACAAGGGTTAGTTAGTTTTTTCATTTACTGACTTTGTTTTTTTTAAAAAAATTCTGACATAAAATTATAAAAATTATAATTCTTAACTTTAAATTAGTCATTTAAATAGTCATAAACTAATTAATCTTGACTGATTGATTTTATTAATTTTCTAATACATAAAACTTTTTGGTTATCATCAAAAAGTGAGTTGTAACTAAAATGAAAAAGTGCGATTGTTGATTTTTACAAAAGAATTATTCATCAAGTTAAAGAAAAAAATTTTACATCAAATAAACTAACTCTTCATTTAATAAATATTAGAATTAAATAGTATATTTTTTGCATGTTATTTGTTCTATCATTTAAAAATGTTATTGTATTTTTAAACTTTTTAGTTTGAAATGGTTTGATACTAACCAGTATTTTTAAAATATTTCTATGTTTAATAAAAAGAAAATATTAAATTTAGTACATAAATTAATTTTATTGTGTTTTTTTTATAATAAATGTAAATTTAAAATACTCCATATTAGCTATTAATCCTCTATCCTTCAAAACAATTTTTTAAACTGAGTAAATGGCAATAATAAATAAATAGTCGCAATAAATTATAATAACAAAATCAATCTGCTCAATATCTGAGAACTAATCAAATGAGATTTTGACTGGCTATGCTTTATATCAGTAACTTATTAATATAATTGACATAAATTTATAAACTATTAAGTTCTAATACATCAGGAAGACCTCACTCTAATCATAAATAAATTTCATATTACAACAAGGAAATGCTACAAGTTTCATTTATTTTACTTTCTTTAGTAATATTTTTTACATTAACTTTACTTAATATAGTTATATTTAAATATTTTCTACATACTTCATTTACTTTAAAAATCGCTTAGTTTGGTTCTGAAAATAATATTCATTAAAAAGTTAGCAAAATAGAGGTGTACATTTTTTGAATAGAACCCAGCTGATAATTAAACTAATATCGTCAGAATTTCAAAATGTAAACTAAGTCAGTTAACACAAGCGTCTGGTTTTATTACTTCTTTTTATAAAAATTAGCTTAAAAGTTTATTTTCAAAATTGTAAATTTTGAGGAACTAAATAAGAAAAAAAATAGAACAATTTGTTAAGACAAAGTTAGTAAGAACAAAGATTTCATTTAATTTATTGTAACATAAAAGATGTTTTAATTAAATTGAATTTGTATTAATTATATCACATTTATTATTTGTATTAGAAAACTTTTTCATAAAAAAGGTTAATTATTATGCTTCAAGTATTTAAATCTGATAACTAATGTTGGATTTCAGTAGCTGAGTTACTAGATTAAATTCATTATGAAGATTTGTTTTCTATATTTGTTTATTTTTATGATATTTTCTATTATATTTTTTTTATAATTTGTGAAATAAAAATACATATTCAGTGTATTAAATTAATTAATAGGCTATCATGCATTAAATCATAAGATGTATTAGCAGTATTTAATTTGAATGTATAGGTAATGTAGTAAGCAGAAAATATGAATCTGAATAGCTTAAAAAGCAGTTCTCTTTAGAATTCATTACTCAATCAATCAATATAAAAAAAAATCTAAACACATAAAATACGTCTAACCAAATTAAATTTATAAATCATAGTTAAATTGAGTCTTAATTATATTGTTTAAAGCTGCCTTAATAAATTAATACATTCAAAAGCTGCTGGCTAGCTAATTTTTCCCCAAGCATCGAACGATTCTAAAATTTTTGATTTTTCTTTGTTAGCTGTGTTTATAAAATAATGATAAAGTTTGCAATCTTTTGTATGATTTTAATGACAAATTAACTTAACTTGTAAAATTCATACCATAAAGAAAATTATGTTTGTTGCAAATGTTTTGTAAAAATGTAAATATTTAAATATATTTTTCATAGATAACAATTAACAAGCTAAGAATTTAAATTAAATTTGTTATTTTTTGCAAAAAATGAGTCTTGTTTTCACCTACCTTCTTATTTTCAAAACCTTATTAAAGGAATGTAAAAATTAACTTTGAGTGTATTTTTGCAATAATCATCCAAATAATGTAATTTGTAAACAACAAATTGCAAATTAACAAAGAATGATTTATCTGGAATTAGCTTTTATTGATAATTAATGTATAAACTATTAATTTAAAAAAGAATAGAAAAAAATAAAAACCATGAAAACAGCATATTATAGAAATGTTAGTGAATCTAACTCTTCTGATTCTCCCAAGCAATAAGTGACTCTAATTTATAGCAGATGTAATATAAAAATGATCGATAATGATCTCATTGAAGAGAAAAAAGAAAGTGCTTTAGAGCAATACTCTCATTATGTGGATAATTTTGATAAATACAGAATATTTTTACCAAAAAATTATCACATTCACATCTAACATAAAAAATTTCCATACTTCTTAAATGTACAACAATCTTAGGAAAATTAAGAGCATATTGATTAAGTATTGCAATTTTTATGTAAAACGAAAATAAACATATATAAGAATATATTGTACGCATTTTAAAGGCACATATAAACTTGCTCTAATGAGAAGCTGGTTGAATTATATTAAGCAATGACAAAAGACAAGTGGGATTTCTAAAGAATTTAATTTAGAGTGTGCTAAAACCTTAAAAAATGCTCAAGAGTTAACTTAAAACTAAAAAATCTCAGTACAAATGAAAATTTAAAAAATATTTTTTTTTATTTTCTGAAAAATGCAAATGAGCTATGGCTGGATGGGTCTAAGATTGTTGATAAATAAAAAATTGAAGAGTCTATATAAATAATACTAAAGGCTAATGAGCTTAATATGCTTAGTGATAATATCTCGTTTTATAAAAAAAGTTCAAAATGAGAGTTTAATTATATTTTATAATACACATACACAAAATTAATTTTTTATAATAAAATCAATATATTTCCAATTTATTTATTAAACATAAGTTTTTCTTATGTTTCTTTTTACTTGTTTGCTTGTTTGTTCCAATTTAAAAAATTATGTATTATAGCTGATTAATATTTATTAATTACGATTAAGAATAATCAAAATTTGTTTCCAATTATTTAATTACCAAATATACACATTATCTCAATTTATAACTTCTAAGGCAATATTACAATTAAAATAAAAAAAATATTATTTCTCTCCACATTTAAATAATGTTTATTCAATTAATGATTATTATTTTAAGATCAAATTTCTTTTATTAGTAATTATTGAATTAATTTTTTTAATTTAATCAGTAAAAACCTTCTTTAATTATTATTAATTTTCAATTAAAAGGTTTTTGTTCATCAAATTCTTCGTTATCAGAATCTTCTTCATTGTAGTCGCTATCATCATCGTCTTCTTCAGGCTCTTCTTCCTCAACTTCTTTAGTGGGCTACTCTTTTAATCTTTAGAAGAACTGTCTACCTGTTAACTTAGTTTCATCATCCTTTGGATTTTTAGATTTAAGCTTGGCCATGTCTTCCTCAAATCTGGCCTTCCACTTCAAGAAGTTCTCTAATGTACAAGGAGTATAAGTATCGAAAGTAGGTCTATGATAAATAATTTTTGCCTTTTCCTAAGCTTTATTCTTCTCTTCAAGTATTAAATCGATGATGTTGCATTGTATCCAATCCTGTAATATTATAAATAATTTATTAATTAGATTTAATGTAAAAGAGCAATACTTATGCTAAAATCAATGAAGTATTATTTAATATAAAAATCAAGCCAAATTTTTTATTAATTTAATTTGGGCAAAGGATTCAAATAATTAACAAACTCTTCATAATAAAATTCTTATTCATAACATCAAAAATGAATGTTTTTTTGCAATAAACGCAATAAAAAATATCTGCACAAAATATTTCATTTAAAAACTTGAATTACAAAATGTTAAAATAATTTTATAAAAAATAATTTACTCTAACGCTTTCAACAATCTCAAAAACGATTGGCAAACCAGTATTTCTAGCTAAAATCTTAGTAGTCAATTATTCTATTTCGGCAATATGATCTTGTGTAATGTCGCTTATAGGCTCGTAAGAGACTCTGGGCTTTCCTTCTATAGGATAGCTTTTGACAAAATCAATTACTACTTTAAGGTTATATGATTTTTCGCTAACCTCAGAGCCAATTGTGAAGGGTTTGCAAATAACTTCGAGCTTAAAAGGATAAGAACTTTTTAATAATTTCATATCATTTAGATAAATTGATTCGAGCACATCAACTTCTTCCTTTTATATTTGCACAGGTTCCATAACTTCGGTTGTCATTTTATTTAAATTTATCTTTTAAAATATTTTTCTCTTCTATAAATTAATTAATTATTTAATCCTATTTCAAATTCGCTTGTTTGCTTATAATAAAATGAAATCCTTATTTAAACTAATTTCTATTAATATTCTTTTAACAATTTGGATATAAATCGTATCTTAAGCTCCTTGCTTCTTCTTTTTAATTATTATCAAGATATTTATATATGCATATATTTCTATGTCTTTTAATTTCACTCTTAATATAATATTAAAAATTTGCTTGTCTCCAAACAATCAAAAATCCAACATAATTTTAATTCAAGTTTCAACATACAAAATTATTTTAAATTCTAAAATTTATTCTTCCATTTTTAAAAATAAAAATTATTTTTAGAAGAAAAATCATTTTTTGAGCATTAAAATTTTTTTTAAAAATATTTTTTTTGCAATATAAAACGTGTAATTTCCCTATTTTTTAAATAAAGAAATAATTTTTATTTATTTTTTAATTTTAATTATAAAAAACAAATTAAAGCATGTTTAATTTTTTTGAAAAGATAAAGAATTAATTTAAAACAAAAATAATTGTTTAACATATCAATAAAATAGAAGAGATATATCAAATTTTAAAATATTAAAGAAGTAGTGATATTAATCAAAAGCTAAGTAATTCATACAAGTAATCAACAATTTAATAACAAATTTTATGAAAAAAAAAATGAATAATTAATATTATTTTTATTGTTTATACAAAAAATTATATTTTTAATGTAAGTAGGAAGTACTTGAATAATTAATTAATTAATTAATACAACTATCGCGATCAATAGTTTTTATTAATAGGATTTCTTTGGTTAAAGTTTTATAATTTTTGATTAGCAGTTTGGTTGATCAAGGACCAGAGTTTCTATTACTTTTCTAAACATTCTAATTCTAACTTAGATACAGTTGTCATGACTTCGTAGTATTATCTTGCCTTTTATTCCTATGATTTAATTATTTAAATTAATTAATTGTTTAATTAAATCATATACGATTATTTAATATTTCATTAAATAATTATTTACCTTGTATTTTTCGATTTCAATCATACCAATAATTCCAATTATTATCTCGTTTAATTCATTATTTGCAACTATTTCTTGTTCCAACTTTAAAAAAATAATTGTTAATTTAATTTAAAAATGCTTTATATATAATTTTACATTAGCAATATCATTTTTCAAGATTTCTTTTTATGTTTCAGGGTCTTTCTTTGTGAAGATGTTACGTAAAGTCTTTTTACCATTCATCAAGTCAGAAAGCTGGGATTTCTTTTCGTTTAAAGTAGTTTCAAGATTTTTCTTTCTAAGTACATAGAAGTCCTTAGTTTCGAGTGTATCTAAGAAGGCCTATTATAAATAAGCAAGTAAGTATATAATTAAGAGAATTCTAGTTTTTAATTATTTGATAAATTTACTTAAGTGTCTTTTAATTCAAAGTTAATCAAATCATAAAGTAAAGTGAATGGTTCTATTTCAATGACTTCTCCCTTTATATTTATAAAAAATAATTAATAAAAATCCAATAAATGAATTATTTAAATTACGAAGCTATCAATTTATTTTTAGATATCTGTACTTTCATTATCATTGATGTATATCATATCACTCTTTCTACCAAGAGTGTACTCACTTAAAATATCTCTTTCATATCTTTAAATTGTGAATTTTTAAAATTTTCTTAGAGCCAAGTCAGTATTCTTTCTGCTTTATGTTAACTCTTCAATGGTAGTTCTTTAATCCTAATTTATTTTAATTATTATTTAATGAAAACTCAATAATATATCTTAAAACTCTACCCTAAGGATTTCTTTTGAGGTTTTCAAAAATTGCTAGAATTTTTAAATGCTGTTTTATAATTCTGGTGTGACTTCTTACTATTAAATTTTTAAAAATTGTGAAGAAATTTTGAAAAGCCTCATGATTATTTTACTCCTGCCAATTAAAAAAATTGTCCTTTGAATTTTTCAATGATTGTAACTACAGAGATATCTTCTAAAGTCTATAATTTCTAATATATAAGTATATTAAGATTAGCATTTATTTAATTAAATGTTCTACCTTAGAGATTTCTTCTTTACTCTTGTGACGAATAAAAAGTTAGAATTCGGCAGAGTAATAGAGATAGCCTAACTTTGCAATTCTGTTACAGAAAGTGTGCAAATACTTCTTTCTTTCATTCAAAAAACCAGATTCTGTATTACCCTAATAAAGAAAAAATATATAATTTTAACTTAAAAATTATTAAAACTAAAATATTGTTTAACGTTAAAATATTAATTTTTATATTATTATTTATCAAAAATAATGATTTTATTAATTAAGATAAGCTATTTTAATTGTATTTTTTTGAAATTCTTCTTTCAAGTAGATATATTTTATTATGTTTCAGTAATAGCTTATATAGAGCGATTTTAACTGTGAAGTTATAAACTTTTGAAGGAAAAAATATGTTGCTTAAAATTATAAGAGTTTTAACCACATCAAATTAGCTTAAATACTTTGTTTTTTTAACTAAATGTTTTTATTTAATATCTTACAATAGCTTTTTTAGAAGGAAGAGGAGGAATAAAACAACCAGGCCATCTTTTAAGCATCAATTTTCTTAACTAATCGAAATCGCTATATCTACGTTCTATCTCAAAGTCTCCATTTCTATCTTTTCCTGATACAGTAAACATAGCATACTTAGAAATACTTGAGTCTAAAAGCTTGTATCCTGTTACTTCAATTAATATCTGTTAAAGTTTATTTTATATAAATATTTTTATTTTTATTTTAAAAACAAATTTTCGTAAAAATGGAGTTAAAGGAATTTAAATCTAAGAGGAGAAAGTGAATAACTATTCTAATTGCATAGTTAAAATTCATTACATTCATATCAGCAGCAAAATTTTAGAGGAAAGGGTTTTCTTAATCAATTCTTGAAATTTTTCTAGCCCTTTAATAAGTGCTAGATACTACATCGTTTTAGTATGAAGCTTGACTTTAAGATATTTAAGAACTTTAATTAGCAGAATCGGGATTTTAAGTTGCATGTTGCTCCTCCTGATTTTCATTGAGGTTGATATTATTGTAGTTATCACTATCCATTTTTTAGCAGTTGCTCTATATTTATTTGCTTTTTTAATGACTTTCGTAAATTTTGTAATTCTTATATTTTATTTATAATTAATTTCGTAATTTACCTCTTTGTATTTGTGATGTAGATTTTAATGTCTAATTTTTAATGCAATTAGAAATAATTAATTGATCATAAAATCTTGATATTGATGTATTTATTATTCAATCAATGCACATTTCTTTATTTAATTTATTTGATTAGCTTTTAATATCAGGTTTGTATCTTTGGTCAGCAGATTTTGCGAAGGTTACTTTATTTTTGGAATAGATGTATAAAACAAAATCTTTTTAACAAAATTTACTCAATAAATCACATTGTATTTTTTCTTTACATACATTTTGTAAATTAAGTAATTGGCAAAATACTTTGATGAACAAAACAAATTATTTACTAAATAAATTATTTGTTCTTCATTCAGGCAACATCGTTTAGTCTTAATGCTCAAAGTAATAATTTTTTGGTTTTATAATTACTTGTTGATGTAGCAAAATATTTTGCTAATTTGAAAAGTATATTTTAATATCCTATTATAAATTTAATGTAAGTTGTTCAATTTCAATAAAAGTATGAAAAAATTATTAAAATCTATGAATATTTGATTATTAATGATTACAAATATATGAATAATACATATACTCTAGTTAAAAAATTCCCAAATAATTAATTTCATAGATAATTAAATCCTTTTTAATTTACAAATTTACAGAACATAAAAACACCAAAGTCAAAATCTTTTATGCCTCTAGGACAAAATTAATTAAAATTTAAAGAAATTGAAAGAATATGTAGTTTATTAATTGGTTAAATATTTTTATCAATCGAAATCAAATAAATCATAGATGACCAGTTTAGGATTAATAACTAAGTAGTGCTCCTGATGTTTAAAGAAGGCCATAATTGAAAGCTTTGTAGGAGTTGATTATAATATATGCTATATTATTGAAGACTCCATTTCTTAATTATTGAGTCTGCCAAGAAGAATCTTTATATCTGAGACAATAATTGAAGGATTCATGAAAACAAGATTTTTGAAAATGCTAACTATTGCTCTCCTTCTTTCATGTAGATCATAGATATTTTCTTTAATGTCAACTGATGCATAATTATTGTAAGAAAGAAAGATTTCTATTGCTTTTGGGACATATTTTTTCATTGTAAATTGTATATGCTGATCTTAGATAATTATTTTAAACTTGCTTTCTTGCTTTAAGTAGAAGTTTTAGTATTTTACATCTGGAACTTTAGAAAGAAACTCTTTGTTATTTATAAAGAATTTATTGTAGGGAATTAGATTTTCATCTATTATAATTTTATCAGAAGCTTAATCTATTTCTCTGTTGAATTCCAATTTAACTTTTTAGTAAATTTGAGGATCAGTAACTTTTAATTTAGTATTTTAGCTTACTAATTGCATAAATACATTCAATTTAGATTTGTTTTTCATAAAGAGCCAAGTATTTATACAAAATAGAATGAAATTATATGCTAAGAATGCCGAAAGATAGACAAAAATGAATAAAAAGAGAGCTGATTTTTATTCATTTTAATAATTTGAATATGACTATTACAGTACAAAGGAATTTATAGCAATCTTAAATAACTAAGCAAAAGTCTACATAACACCGTAATATTATTTTATTAGTTCTCTGTTTTCAAGAGCCTGATAAAAAATCGAATTTGAACTCATAGAAATAAAGGCATCATAAAAAGTTTTTATAAAAATCCTTAAAATAAGAGAGCGATGTTTTTTTGAAATAGATTTCTTTTTAGGATAAATAGAAAATTATTTTTTATACTAATGATTTGTGATTCTTACATTCAACTTATTGAGCTATATAACAGTATTTATAAGAGCAAACATTGCATAATAAATTATTGATGAAAAAATATTTTAATTAACAATAAAGTTAGAAAAGAGCCTAGAACTACATTAGAATATCTAATCAAAAATAGTGTAAATATTAAATATCCATTTTTGATTTAGGATAGAAAACTTTATTTTGAGATATAGAGCAAAAATTAGTCCTACTAACACAAAATAATAGGAGCACATTAAACCAGCTATATAAGCAGGTATGTTCAAGTAAAAGTAAGTATAAAATATAAAGTAACCTTTCAAAATCATATGAAGAACCTTCATAGTGACAATTTTAGAGATCGTAGTATCTCTTTCTACAAGTAAAGTCTTAGGATTGTCTTACTAAAGGAATTAATAAAACATATCATTCTTTTCTCTATCTAAGGATAATGAAGTACTCAAAATGTCAATATCACTAACAAAGCTTGCAATTATCTAAAATAATTTAATTACTTTATTGTTATTATAAAACTGATAATTTAAAATCAATTTTATGAGCTTTTCAGTGGCAAAGAAGCATATCTATATCAATATGGTACTATCAAAGCCAGTTATTGCCCTCCAAAGCAAATACGCAATGTAAAAGTGGTTTTCAATAAGCATCATATAAAAAATATATTAGGATTTTTCAGTATTTATAATACCAATAATGTTTCTCTCTATAAGTCTACCTCTAATCATACTTTTGAATTTATAATACTAATAATTTTTAATGGATGTCTTTCCTATTAGCTAGACTTTCTTGTTTTTATATTATACTGTTTTTGCTTTTTTTTAATTTTTAAAAAATTAATAATAATTAGAAAATGAAATAGCTTGAAAGTGCAGTTTTTAATCTCAAAAAATAGATTTAATAATTTACACAAATAAAGCAAACAAACATTATAATCTATATTCATGATAAAATCTTAGAACTTTATCATATCCTCAATATCCAAAGAATAGAATATATAACCATAAAGAGTAAATCATCGCAAAGAAAATATCACTTACTTATAATTAAACACTAAGGATGAAACATTGATTGAAGATTCTACAAAAATTTATTTCTAGAATTTTTCTGATTGCTCAAGCAGTAAATTAGTCAAAATAATATAAAAATTCCTTTAGCAAATATTTTTTTTAAAAAACTTTCAATATAGATCATTCAATCATTTTGTATTTCTCTGATTAGCTTAACTAAGTTTTTTAAAACATTAATTTACAAAAAACTTCATATTTTTTTAATTATAGTTTGAAGGTATTTTATCCACACATTTTTAGAAAGCAAATAATATTGGTAAATCACCAAGTAATTTCACGAAAATATACGAACATAATTTGAATTTTTATTGTTGAAATAATTATTCAAAAAAATGAATTACTGTATATATTTCATATTTAAACTTTAATCAGCTAGAATACTCCAATAATTACAGCCAATAACCAACAATATATAATCCAAAATATATTTTTTTTTTGTCAAATACCTATTAGTTTATGTGAAATGTAATAAAACTCCTTTTAAATTATTGTACATTTTGAAAAAATCTAAGTTTATTAAGTTAATTATAATAGAATTTAAATTATTAATAATTCATGTATTAAAGTTCAATTTAATTTTATATGTGCAGCATAAATAATTTAAGAAATTAATTTATTTAGACTTTACAATTATTTTTCCTTCCTAATTATAATTTGAAATTGTGAAAATAAATACAAATTTTTTATACCATTTTTAAAAAAAATTTAGATGTTTATAATAAAAATAATAATTGCAATTTTATCAATTTTACCAATACAAAATTAATTTTAAATAAATATCTATCTTATTTTATTATTTTTTTTACATTTTGTTAACATAAAAATCCAAAATATTTTAATTTTCTAAATTCATTTGTTTGAAATCGATAAATCATCAAAAAAGGGTTTCAACTTTTTGTGATGATTATTTTATTGATAGTTATTAGATTACACAATTTACTATTAAGCTGAGACAATTTCAATTAATATGTAATTTTCTTAAAAAAATAATAAAAAATAAACCTAATTTCCTTTCAATAAATGATGAAATAGATTTTACTTAACTTTTAATAAAAATATAGAATGAAAATAATAATTAATAATTACCAACCTATTATTACTTTATTTAATTTAATTTAATTTTGTAATCTTTACATTATTCAGATTATTTTACAATAAATAAATTTCATTTATTTTTAATTTTTTATTATAAAAATAAATAAAATATTTCCTTATTATTAATTACCTAAATATTTTTGCAATTCAAATTTTAAGAGATTTTAAAGATATTTTAAATTACTTTAAAATTTTTGTTTATTATAAAATTTAATTTTATTAATTTTTATTATTATTTTATTTTTTTAAATTAATTAATTTTAAGTTTTTTATGGCTTAAAATTTAACAATTGAAGTTTAAAACATTTTAAATTTCTCTTTCTCTTTTTTGTTTTGTATATTTATGATTTCTCATCAGAAAACTTTTAATTTATCTATATTATTTTTTAATTGATATTTAATTACTGAAGAATTAAGATATTACTTTATTTTTTATTTAGGATAAATGGTTGATAAAAGTATATTTTTTTTAAGTCCTGACAGATTCCCTTAAATCCCAAACGAAATTGTTTTGGGTACATATAAAGACATTGAGATGTGGGAAAAGTAATTCTAACTTAACCGCTTTCTAAAGATATTAAAATATGAAATTAAATAAAATTATTAATGAAATAGAACAGTTAATTTCAAATTAAGTGGATTAGATCTTTAAATAACTACACATAGATTGCTAGCAACATCTAGGGCAAATAAAGCGTTAGGTTTTGCCATAAATCTAGAAAATGTTATTGAGTAGAAGGATATTGTAACCATAATAATAAAACGCATAAACAAAATATTATTAATTATTATTTCATTTATTAATAAATCAGAAAGAGGGATTAGTATTTAAGAAGTTAGTAGCATTCAAAGTTAAATATAAAAATTAAACCAAAATTGAATTCAAAATTCCCAAAGGTATTGAAGACGCAATAGCTTAAGTGAAGGGTTCTTTGAACAAAAAAGAATGGCTGTAATTTTGCATTTAAAAAAATAAATTAATATAAATGAGCATAATATGTTTATTTGCAAAATGTTTTCTCTAAATTAATGTAATATTTTTTCTAATAGCAAGGTAGTTCCAGTAAAAAAGGAAGAATAAATTTTTCAAGCATAGAATATGTATACAGGAATAAGTAAGCTTTCAAAATATATAAAAATAACCTGAATAACTATTTTTATTTTTTAAAAGAGGATATGTAAAAAAAAGAAGAGCAAAAATAATAAGAATAATAAAAAATAGTGCAGTCTTCTTTTTAAAAAGGAGATATTTCATCATTATTCCAAAATGCAAGAGAGTTGAAAGAGATAAGTCAATACTTAAAAGGAAATCTTTCAAAAGTTGATAAACAACATGAACAAAGCGATTTAGATAAAATTCTTTCTGATTTGGGATACTTCAATGTTATCACAAAGTAAATTTTATATTTATATTTTAATATGGAAAGTTATTAAATTCAAATCTAATTCAATATATCAAAAGTTATGTATTTATTAATCATCAATTCAAAAATATCATTTTTATTATATGAATAATATATCAAAGTTTATGAGATTTGTGTATATTCAGTCAAAAGATATTATTTAAGGCTTAAATATATTTAATTTAATTTTAAGTTTCAATAAATCATTTCATTATTGAAAAAAACACTATTTTTGTTTAACTAGAAGAAATTCAATTTTTATTTTTTTATTTATTAAGAATTTTCTTTTTTATTGAATTTTTAACAATGGTTATATAGTTTAGAGGATAAATGTTATTTTAATAAAATAATAATTTTAGAGAAGAAGCAGGAAATTCATATTTAGACTAGCTTTCACATTAAATTTACAGTATTTGCAACGAACTTTTCCCAAAACTAGGAGGAATAATTACTTTGCTTGATGTCTTTTACTTTGTTAATAAAAAAAGATAAACCTGCTTACTTAACCCTTAAGAAGTTTTAGATGCTTGCTCTAAATTTTAAGCTTTAGGATTAAACGCTATTGTGACTGAATATGGAAACGTTAAGGTTGTTGAGTAGAGTAAAATATTTAATATATAAATAATAAAATAAATCAATAATTGAATTTTATTTTTATTCATTTAACTGAAATTTTTATTTTTAAAAATTAAAAAAGCTACTTTTGATACTGAAAAAGATTTTTAAGAAAATATTGGTAAATATATAACCCATAGTGTAGGAATTACTGCAGAATAATTAGGAAGGAAATTAAATATATCCCCTGTTATATGTAGGATTAAGCTAAATGTAAGATTTTTTTTATTATTAAATTTTATAATTATTTTAAAATTTGTAAATAGAAAGCTCTTAAAACCGGTAAATTGGTTATCGATGACAGTATTGAAGGATAAGTTTATTACAAGAATTTTATACTGGATTTTAAAATATGAAGCAATATGATGGATTGATGAATACAATAATAAATAATAGATTTATTACATTTCCTTTTAATTAATTATTTATTTACTTTCTTATTAAATTAGATCTAGATATCTTTCTTGATCTATCTATCTATCGATCATTTATAAATATTTCATAAAAAGTATTAAAACAATTCTCAAAACATAGCAGCTTTTTCCTCCTTTTCCTTTATGATTTAAACATATTCATTTATTTTTTAGTTAAGCCATGAGCTATAAATAAGCTGGCCTTTGATATTCTTTGCTTAAAATGATAAATCATCAGTGTTACTTCCTAGTTTATTTAATTAAATAATTTTATTATTTGTTTAAAGATTTTTCTTACCTCTTTCCAAATACTTCACCAAAGCAATTCCAACATTACCTTTGTTATCTTTTTAATAATTAGTCAGTCTTATAGTTTATATATAATTTAAAATTACATAAAATTTTTCCAACTTCATTTGAGTTTTTATCAAGCATTGACTCACCTTCAAGAGACTCATTAAAGTTTGGGTCATACATATTAACTCCTGATGGATTTATCACTAAAATATTTTTATTTAAATAAATGATGACCTCTCAATTTAAATTACCATTGTTTTATAATTAATGTTTTTAATTATCACCCAATACGAATGGGACTACTCTTCTTCTCACAATCTAAAAAATAAATGATATTATTTAGAATTTAAATATCAGTTTAATTTATGTTTTACTCCTGTATGGTATGTTCTTGCTGTCAACTCTTGACCAACATAGCAACCTTTTTAAAATATATTTATGATTAATTACATATTAGAATTTCATTTAGTAATACCTTTAGTGAAGCTTACACCATTTAAGAAGTCTAAATTAACCTTGAAAAGAAAGAATTACAATATTATTTTTATATTTACTATAATTATGTAATTACTGTGAAGGGTAATCTATCAGCAACTTCAGATCCCTTTATTTAATAGAAAAATTCTTTATTAAATTTCCAATACAAAATTAGCAAGTTACTTATGCTATTCCCAAAACAAGTCTTTAAGCGTCATAAATATCCTATGATTTCTCTTCAATTGTTTTGTCTAATTGCAATTGATCTATATTGATACGAAACAAATAAATTCGTTATTTTCTAATTTATATTTAGTTACCCTAAGAAGGTACTATGCATCTCATACCAAGATTTGAGCATCTTGGGTCTGTATAGCATACTTATGTGTAAATCTCATCTTATGTTTTTTCATAAATTGAAGCATCTAAATGATTCCAATAATCTCCTTCTTATTCTTTTTGCTACATGATCAAATCACTCTAAAATATATTTTTTACAAAATATGTAATTAATTTAGCATTTTCAATTTTTATAGATTTATAAGCTATAATTATAAAACAATCTGTCATTTACATAAACTGTAACAACATTGACTTTGTTAGTGAAATCTGCTAAAGAAACCCTCTTTCTCAAACAATATTTTTTTATATGCTTTATAAAATCAGCTCCTTATTTTGATTCTAAATCTATCCAATATTCATCCTCTTTAGTTTTTAATTCTCCTTAAATTACTCTTTGTGATGAATTTTTACAAAATATTATTTCCATAATCTCTCCCATTATTGATTATTCAAAAATTTTACACTTAAGGTCTGATAATCAAAGCATCGAAGATAATTCTACCTTGAGGATTGAGAAATTAAGTATATAAAGCAGCTTTATTACTCTATTAACTGAAAAGATTCATATCATTAGTTTAAATTCCCTATAATATACTTTAAAACTTTTTGATTATTTGTGTAAATAATTTTATTAAATTAAATCAAGGAATAAACAAAAAATATCAATGCCATAATAGCATTAACCCTTTAGTTGCGTTAATTGAATCTTAAGAATGACTTTTTTAAGATAAGTGTTTACCTCTTAGCATCTTTTCCACTTAAACTGATGATTTTTCTGTTTTGCAATTTAGAATAATATGAAATTTAATATGCTAGTTCATTTTACAAACATCTAGTTTTTAATAATTGCTTACACTATTTCAACAAATTCATTTTTATTTATTTAATAATAATTGAAGACTAAGATAGATATTATTTACTTTACAAAATTTTATAAAAATTAAACTAAAAAAGATATTCAATATTCTTAATAAAAATAAGAAATTTCTTAATTATATGGCAAATTGTAAATTTTATTTGTAAATAGAATCTTCTAATTTGTTGTTTTTCATAAAATAGCTTTAAAAAATTTACCGACAAAAATCTACAAAATATTAACTACTCTCTATTATTAATTCTATTACTAAAAGCTAACCCATATTACTCCTAATTTAAAAGTAATAATTATTTTTATATTTTATACAGATAAAAATATAGTAAGCCTTTAGATTAAATTAACTGTTTTTAAGAAAATCATAAAAATAGATTTCAAAAAAGCTATTAAAATGAAAAATTATGTAGGCTTATATTTATTTTAAAATAATCCATTTCAATTAAAGATAATTACCTTCCACTAAAATTTATCTATTATCTAATATTTATACAAAATATACTGTAATATATTTTAAGTAAATCAGTATATATTACTTCAATACTTCAGCAACTAAACTTTATAAAAACAATAATTTTTAAAAAAATATTATGAAAAAAAGAAATAATGAAGTAAATTTTGCAGTAATTTTAATTTTTTTTATATATTTTTAAAATAATATATTTAATATTTATATTTAGTTTTTTTTATGATAAAATATTTGACACTCTGTATTAACTTAAAAGCTATTTTTTATTTATTTATTGTATTTCTTTTAAAAGTTGATTGGTTGAAAATCAATATCTGTTTGTATTTAGATTTATAGTTACTGTAATTAAATAAGGATACATATATATGTGTTTATTAATATATTAATAAATAAGACTAATTATATTAACTATTTAAATTATTATAAAATATAAGTTTCAAAGTCAAATTAAAAAAATTTAGTTTGTTTGATTATTTAAGTTTCTCATAACTATAAATTTGATGAATTATTTTTTAATTAGTGATTAATTAAGAATCTTGCTTTTAATTGTATAATCATTAGTAAATTAAGAATATATAACGTGAAAAGAGTTAGTATTAGTCAGCACAAAACAATAATTTAGCTTTAAATATATCATTATCTTACAGGCTAACTCAATAGTCTTAAAACTTATGTCAATGGAGGATAGCATTAAAGTATTTTTCCTTAATTTTGTCAATTTTAATTATCTAAACTATTTTAAAATATTATAAAAAGTTACCAAAGCTTAGTAGCAAGCCAAGCTCAGCAGTATTTAATTCATAATATTATTAGTTATTAGGATTGAACAATCATTTAAAATTCTAAAGCAATTTCTTACAAATAAAACAATATAAAATGAAATTAATTTAAGCTATTTTCTATGCAAAAAGGCTTCACATAGAAATAAAAGCGACATGGCAGGAAATATGAAAAATGATCTACAAAGTCCCTTTTAATTACCTGGAGATGATGATATTATGATGTACGCGTAAATTGAGCAATAGCGCAGAAATGATTAAATGAATTCAACTCAAAAATAAAAAATATGGGATAAATTTACAGCGAGCACTCGCTAGCCCTTGAAGCATTACAAAGATTTTTAAGCTGAAATAGATGATAAGCACTAACCAAAAATGGCATATAATAATGATTAAAAATCTACATTAATTGAAGCTCAAAGAATAATAAAAGAAAGATAAAAAAAAAGGAATGAAGGAGCTTTTCGCAGAGAGTCTGCTGTGGAAGTAAAAGAATAGAAAAAAGAAATGTTTCTTGTATCTATGGCCTACGGAATTATATAAAAAGAGGTATAAGATATATCCTTTCTTCAAAAAAATTAGCAAATTTCAAATATATATTTTGAATTGCTCTTCACTGATTTAGAATATATTAACTGCTAAACAAATTAAGTGAAAATATTTTTTATTTATTATAGATAGAGAGACTTAAAACCAAAGCTTAGGATAAAGATTAAGCATTGATATAGAGTGAGAAGCAACTAAAGCAAGATCATGAAAATTTTACTAAGTACCTTGAATAAAATAAACAATAAAAACAAGATGCTGAATCGAAAGCTGATGCAGTAATGAAAGAAAAAAAACACAAAGAAGCTGAGCACAAATAATTAAATTTAAAATTGGCTACTATAAAATCAGAAAAAATCAGAATGGAGGAATAATTACAAACATACAAAGAGCACAAAGAATTCCTTGATAAAATAACTCCTAAAGAATGGAATGAAGCAAAAGAGAAAAAGAGATAAGAACTTATCGAAAAAGTAAAAAAAGAATGGATAAATAACAAATTAAGTAATTAATTAATTAATAAATAAAATAATAAATTAAATAAAATATATTTAAATTAGATGAGTCTCTAGAGAGAGATAACAAATTTGGAAATAAAAAGAATCCAAAGGGTGGCAAAACCGTTTTAACTGAAAAAGACAAAGCTTCATTAGAGGAGTAGTTTTATTCAAAATTAGAAAAAGGAGAAATAGAAAAGATTGAATGTAATTAATAAATTAATTATTTAAAAAACTTTTATAAAACATATTAAAAAGTTTAACAAATTCCTAACGATTATTTTTTATAATAGAATTTGAAGATAATTACTCCATGTATTTTACAAATCCTTCATAGCTAATAACAATTTTCGACAATTTGGAGTAAAAAAATTTGTTTCTCATCTAGCTGAAATAAGAAGATCAATAGGATGTCGAAGAAGTCAATTTAGAATTAAAACTTGAAAGAGATGTAATCATTTTATTTTAGTAACTGTATCAATAAATTATTTTAAATAAAAGGATTACTACTAAAAATCTAAAATTTTAAGGGAATAAAAAGCTCTTTTGTAGAAATAAATTGATGAATAAATAAATCAAATTAAGTCCTTATAGCATAAAAGTGACGACAATAAAATAAGTATAAATAATGATCATCCTGAATTGAGAAGAAAGGTTAGAGCTTATTTAAATTTTATTATTTTTATAATTCTAAAAATTATATTTGCTCATATGAAATATAGTTTAAGAAATAACAATTCCTTAAATTCTATTTTTTAATAAAAAGATTATGGAGCTTTACTAAGAATTTGGTAATGAAATTAATTTGCACGATGTTGATTCAAAATAGACCTTGGATGTTTTAGCAGTAAAAATAAATACTTTGTTCATTCATTAAAATAAAATAAAACCTAAATAAATTAAAATAAAAGCAAGTTGAAATATTCTTAGAGAGGTAGCTTGATAAGATTGCTAGTATTTAAGATAAATATTTAGTTGAAAGCAAAGTAATTTTTGTTTTTATTTTAAGAAATTAATTATGATAAAATTTTTTAGAGGAAACAAGCTGAAAAATTAAGAAAAAATGCTTAAAAAGAATCCAAAAAAATAGAAAAGTAAATTGAGCAAGAAAAGAAAAATGAAAAGAATTATCTTAAGATGACATAACCCTCTAAAAAGAAGTAAATTTAATTTTTAATTATGGAAATACTTTTAAAGATAAATAATTCAAATATAGGGAAGGAAGAATAGACATGAAGAGGACAACTGTTTAAGTAAAATAAAAAAAGAAACCAGATACAGAAAAGAAAACAGACGAAGAAGAGGACATGAAATATTTAAGAGAAAGCTTTTTCTTAGGAGTTCCTAATAAAAAATGAAAAAAGCAAAAAAAATTAATAAAATTAAAAGTTAATCAATAAATTGAATGGAATGGAATAATTTTGTTTAAAAGAGAGATTAAAATGTAAATAAATAGGATAAAACATTATTTCAATAATCACTAATTTAAAGAATTAATACACAAACTAACACACACATACACAAATGCATATAATTTTCACTTTATATTTATATATAGTAACCACCAAAATCTTTCAAGATGAAAATTATTCTTTTTACTTATTCATGGTTAAATTTTAAATAATTATTTACTTTTTATTAAATTCTTTTGAGTGATTAATTGATTTTAAATGTTTTACAGGTGATTTTAAATGTTTAATAATGATTTTAAATTTAATAAAATTTATTTATTTCAAATAATTAAACACTTTTATGATCCAATTAAATTGTTATAAATTTCAAATATTTTTTTTCAAAGTATTTAAAATGTGCTATTTTTAATTTCAAGATTATGATTATTGATTAAAGGTAAAGATGAATAGATTTTCTTACATAGCTACATGATTTTTTGCTTGTAGTGTTTAATTATTTCAGTTATAAGAAAAGATGATTTATTTATTTATTAATTTATTAATAAAATAAAACGAATCATTTAACTAAAGATAATAATTAGATATAATCCAACAATTTATTATTAAATAAACAAATAAGCATAGACTTACAAACTCAATCACTCAATAAATTTGAATTTAACAAGATAAATAGATTTTATAATTAGAATTAGATAAAATGCACAATTATAATGTTGATAGAAAATATTAATATAACTGCCGTATCGGTAATTGGAGCGAAGAATGGGAGTTAGATGAATACAAGTATTTTTATTTAATAGCTAAATTATTAGATTATAAATATCATAAAGAGATTGTTTGCTATTTTTAAACTAACCAAATTTTATCAAAGTTAAATGCAACTATTTTTTTTAATAGGATGAAAGAATACTTAAAAAACAAGGAAAAGCAAAAATTGGTCTCAACTGATAAAGAGGACAGATTAAAGAGAAGCTTAGGAGGCGTAATGATTTATTTTGTTTCAATATTTATATTTGCGAATGATAATTAAATTTATAAATTTAAAAGGTTAATTTGTCTTACGCTAATGAAGGGCTAGTTAAATTTGGATATACTGTTATGATTGAGAGTGATTTTATGAATGCAGTAGTAGGTAATCCTTATTTTTTTATTTTAAATTCAAATTTTATAGGTTCCATTGTTAAAAAGCTTCAAATATTTGGGATAAGATCACTGGAACAGAAGAAGCTTACGGTGTAACAGTCACTAGTTAGAAAGAGCCTATTGTAAGAACAGCATTCTAATTATTAAGGTTTTATATTTTTTTTCTACTCTAAAATAATAATAAAATAAATTTTTTTGTCTATGTTTTTATTAGATATGAATAGGATTAATACTAAGATGATGTTATTCACTATGGATAAAATTTCAAAATTGCTGTTATTAGTCGTCTCTCTGAAAAGCCTGTAAATAATTATTTTAACATAAAATTCTCAATTATATTTTATTGATTAAAAAAAATTTTAAATAAAAGTTTTAAAAAAATATTTTTTAAATTTTTAATTGTTTCCTCATTTAAAAACATTAAAAGCAAATAAATTAATAAATTAGCTTTGTCAATTTTTATTGTTGCAAAATCAGAATGACTTTGTTAAAAAAATAATTTTTTTAAATTATAAAAGTTATATTTGACTAGCTCTCATATTACTCCTTAAAAGTGTGCAAAGTTCTCTCGTAAATAAGAAGTTTCAATTTCAACAAACGAGGGCATTAATTCTGCTTGGTGCTTCGAGTATATGGATCCTAAGTTAAGATATGAAATGAAAGGCTAGCCAGTACGTTCAGGTGAACCAGTTTTAATTAAGCACATTCCTACTTGTTAATGGCTTGCAACTGATAACGTTTAATACAATAATGAATTTGGATAAGAATTCGAAGTATTTTGTAACTCTTATTAATGCCACAATAAAACTTAGAATTTAATAGCTGAAAAAGTTGGTCGTAAGACAATCGAAACTCCTATGAGAAACTAAACAAATTAAAACACATTCAGAATTGTTACTGCTTTGTACCCTTCATAAGAAACTCAATAAAACTTCGAAGCTTCTTATAGCTAAACTCTACCTCGTAGAAGAGTTGAAATTAACAAAGCTGATTTACTTAATAAATTACGTAGAGCTTTGATTAATAAAAATGGATCAAATGGACTTTTGTTCTTCAAAAATGAATTATTAAAATAAGATAAAGATAATTCAGGTTATCTCCCTTAACAATAATTCAAATAAACAGTCTAATGCCACGGAATTAATTTCAGTGATTTAGTAATTAATTATCATTAATTGTTATACTTTAAACAATTTCAAATAATCAGAAATTTTTATTTTAATTTTGGGATGGCATCAAAGAAATATAGCAGCAAAAATAAATTATAAATTATTTACTGTAGAGGCTGTAACACTAGATAAATTACAGTTTTTTGTTTGAATAAAAAGCCAATTTGATTATAAATTGTTGCTAGTCAAAAATTACAATTAAAGCTATAATATATAAAAATTAATTAACTATTTTGAGAGATAAAAAATGCAAACATTTCAATTGATTAGTAAAAAAATTGACTATTAATAGAAATGTAATTAAATCTGCTTAAAATCTCGTTTGAGTTTTAATTAAAAAGATTAACTTTTTCTATCTATTCCAAAATTAAAAAAACTTTGGTATGTTCGAAAGTGGTCTTTAAAATTTAAAAAATACTTAGATTAAAATAGAAGAATTCAAATTAATCAATTGTATTTACACAAATCAAAATTAAAATAATGTGAATAATTAAAATGATAAAAGACCTATTATACTATATTAAAATTTATTAATGAGAGTTAAAACTTAGTTGAGTTATTCTAAAAGAAATTAATTTTCACATTTTGATATTGTATTAAAACATATGTTTTTTTTATCAATAGGATATTAAAGAGGTTATACAATCATTCTAAGAATTAGACAATAAGATTAATTACAGTGAACTTCTCATTTAATTAAAGGTAACTATTTATTTATTTTCTTTTTTTTATCTTTTTATTCTTTCAATATCTTTTGTTGATATATTTATTGCACACCACATTAAATTTAGTAAATTTTCATTATTCTCGAATTTCAAATCATTTGTTGATATTTTATTTGTGTATATGATTATTTTCATTTAAAATTGCTTTAACATAATAATTAATCTTACTTACGCTTTAATTTAATTATTGAAGGGAACCTTAAGTGAAAAAAGAAGAAATTTGATTAATCTAGCTTATGATGTTTTGGCAGAAAAGCTTGGTTAAAATGTCACTTTAAGTGGAATTTTCAGTGCTTTTAATAAGATAAGACATCCTGATGTTGTTAAAAAGTATGGAACTGATAAGGAAATCTTCAACAATTTTGTTTTGAGCTGGGGAAATTTGAATCCTCACATTGCTATTTCTCGCGAATAATTTGAATCTTATTATCACGTATAGCGATTTACTTATTAATTTTATTGGAAAATATTTAACACTATTGATTTAATTTATTACTTTACTTCTAAAATATCTTGAATCATATTACGCTTTTCTAGATATTTACATTAATTTGCAGCTTGATTGCTTATTTTATAATTTATTATTTTATTATTAGGATTTCAGTGCTTGCGTAGACAAAGAAGACTATTTCGAAGTCGTACTAAAGAATAGTTGGGATATACCCAATTGATAATTGTAGTACTAGCATTCAAGTGACAAAATATTCTTGATAAGAGGATTTTAATTATCATGAAATATATATAAAAAATTGATTATAAAGAAATAAAAATATAATAATTAGATTTTATAAGACAATAATTAATAAGTAAATATTGAGTGTGCTATGCTTTTATTCTAGTTTGTATTTTTTCTATTTTAAAAATATCATAATTGTGTAGAAACATTATTTTTTTGTTACTGCATCATTAAAAGACAATTACTTTAGTATGTATTTGGTTGTCTGAAGTGTTTTACATTTAATGGTTAAATTTTCACAAAAATGTGTTCGCAAACAATTCGATTAATATTTTCGAATGCAGTACAAGAAGTAACCTTAAAGATTTATTCAATCTATAATTTTTAATAGAAAAGGGTTGCTATACTATTTATAATCACTAGAAGCGAAATCATTAAACAAAAGAAACAAATAGAAGAATTATTTCAGACTTAACTAATATCCTATTTATTTATTTACTTTACAATTAAATATAACACAATTTATTTATCATAATCAATTTGTATTAATATTTATTAAAATCCAATTAATTTTTTACAAATAACAAAAAAAAATTGCAATTAAAAAAAATCAAACAAACCACTCGAAATAATCAATCAATCAATAAATTATTTCATGAAAAACATGTAAAAATTAAATAGCATTGACTCTTAGAATGTGTCTGACACGTAAAGATAAGATGTCTCTCCAGAAAATAGACTAGACTTAGCTTATAATATGAAATAACACTCTTTTAAATTACCTCAAAGCTACAGTTAAATTACAGAATCAAATCAAGTAAACGGAACTCAAAAGTAGATTTTTTGCTCTTGCATAACTCTTTTTGTTATCTTTTGATTATTTGTTTTTATGAATTGATTTGATAATTTCTTTATTTGATAACTACATACCCACTAACTAAATAACTTATTATGATTTTAATCTTATAGTAAAAAAATGAGCAAATCAAAGCAATCTATTTCTTTCATAAAGAGCTAACCAAAGACAATAGAAGATGATGATTTAATCTAATTAGAAGATGATTCCATTTTATCCCAGAGCTCTGAAGATGAAAAATGCCCTAAAGAAAATAATTTAAATAAAATTAGCTTTAAAATCCCAAAATAAAAATCAGATCTTGATTGGACTAATAAATTGTAGTAATAAAATAATTATTAAATCATCATCAAGTCAACATTTGAAGAAGATGCTTTAGAAAAAATGGGCAAGCAAGATTCAGATTTAGATAATATTCCTTTGCATTAACATCTAAATACAAGAGCTGACAGTAATTAGTCTTCTGATTAGGACAATCATACTCCAGGTTAAAGAAAGTGGAGTAAAGTCAGAAATGTCTTAAAGGGAGTTCAATTATTTTCATAGCTTGAAGTAGAGACGATATCCAAGCCTGTAAATACTTAGAATTTTTACAAAAATAAATAAATACATAATAAAAATATTATTTATATTTTAAAAAGAGTGATATTGATGCCCATTTAAGTTCATCATCAAGATCTAATTCACCCAATAGGGATTTGTCTCCTGAAAATAGAAAAATTGAAGAAGAATAAAATGCAAGTGCAATGCTAAAAAATTTATAGCTGGAGGCAAAATAAAATGTGAATATATTTTTAAATTAGTTAAAGCTTTTTATTAAAAATTATTAAAAAGTTTCTTTTAATTAAAATATTTAATTTATAAATTGATTAGTAAGTTTTTTTTAATATTTTTTTGTAATGATCATCAAAAAGGCAGTAAGAGAATAATGGAAGTTAATAGATGATTTTAAATATCGTAAAAAGTTTTTCCAAGCTATAGAAACTGGGTCACCGGAGGACATTCAATACATTGAAGAATATCTCAAAGACGATCCCAAAAGGTGTTTATTTTTATTCATTATTTCAATTTTTCAAAGAAAATAGAAAAATCGAAAGAACTAACTAAAAGTTGTTTCCAAATATTTATTAAAATTTGCTCATTGATTTATTCCTTTACTCTATTAAATAAATAAATTATTTATTCTCAGTAATTTTGAATTAGATTACATTTTTCTAAAAGCTTATTGTGATTGTTTATTTATTTATTATAAATTTTTATCCTAAAAATACTGATCTAAATTTTTTTTGCATCTCATTAAATGTGAAAAATAGATTATTTTAGAAAGAGATAAGCAAAATCAGCTAAAGAATTTTTAAATAAATTTCAGAATTTAATTTGTAAGCAATATCTTTATTGCCAAACAACAAATCATTCTATTAATTTTTTAGATTAATATTTAGTAGCAAATTTTTGGTTAATTATAAAAACCTACAAATTTGTAGAGAGAAAAATATTCTTAATTTATTTATTAATAAAGATATTTGATTGTTGAAGAAAGCAGTGAAAGAAGAATGAATAAAGCTGATTCATTTGGTTAAACTCCCTTATATTGTGCTGCAAAAAATGGGAACCTAGAAGTAAATTTAAATTTATTTTTAACACATTTCATTCAATATTAAATATTTTAGAGATCAATAATTATTAATTTCATTTTTTATTCTTAATAGGTTATAAAAATACTTGCAAAATATAAAGCCAATCACAAATTAATAACCTATCTAAATAATGATTAGAGTGCTTCAGATACAGCCATTAATGTAGCAGCAAGGTAAAATTTTTAATTTACACAGGAGTAATATAATAGATTAAAATTTTTTTATCTAAATAGATGGGGACATGTAAAAGTAGTAGAATATCTTTTAGATACTTTTTTATGGGATAAAAACGATTTAAAAACTGCAAGTAAATCAGCCACTAATAAAGAAATTAAAAAATTAATTAGTAAAAAACAATGAAATAACAGATATTAAATTAATATAAAATGATTATATAAACACCTAAAACAATTAATTCATTTATAAATCTACAAATAAAAGAATGAAATCTACTCATTCTCAACTAACCAATTAATCAACCAACCAACCAATTAACTAACAACCAAATTTAAATAAAGTACTTATTCAATTAAAATATAAAAATTAACCATTTAAACAAATAATTATAACATATAAATTTATAATTAAAACTAACATATTTTAAATGTATATAAATAAATAATTTAATTTTATTTAAAATAATTAAATAAAATAAAAAATTAATTTATTGAGTTTCTTAACTATCTTAATATTAAAACAAACTGGATACTTCAAAATAAATTTTCAAATGTTCATAAAACAAAAAAATTTGACTAATTACCTTATTTATTGAATGTTTAAGTTGATAATTATTATCTATTTGTTGGAAATTTATTTATAATACAAAATATACTGAGAAAGATTTTTTTAAGAATTATATTCTTCAAAAACTATTATAAATTAAAAATTATTTAAATTATATTTTTTTTGTAATTCTAAATTTTTTTTATATTAATATCATCTAAAATTCAATGTAATAAAATAAAAAGAGATAAAATTTATAAGGAAAAAATTTTTCAAAATAAAAAGAATATCAAAATTTAAAATAGATAATTTAAAATTGTTAATGAATTTATAATCATTTAACAAATTAATGTAAAATACAATAATTGTAAATACTACTTTTTATATCAAGTGAAGAACTTTATTTTTAATTGTTTTACCTCTTAACTATTTTTAGTTCTATTTGTTTAATTAATTTTGGAATCAAAATTAATTATTTGGATGATATTTTTTAAAGATTTTATTCTTTATTAAAATATATTTCACCAATTTGTTTCTGTTTTAATTAATTTATATTAATTTTATCTTACTTAACAAATTTTCATTAATATTTGTATAAAAAATTGTGATCATACTTTTTAAATAGAAATGTTTATATAACATTTTGATTTATGTTACATAAACTATAATTAGTCATTATAATTCATTTGTAATATCTTAATATAACATAAATAATTATGGTCAATGTGATGATTATTCTATAAGTTATAGAAAGAAAAGTCTATAATATTTTTTATTAGATCAGATTAAAAGCAAATAAATATTTCAGGAAGAATTGGAGTTTTTTAGTCTAGCTGTGATATCAAATGGACTAGAATCAACACTCGTAATTAAATTTGAAGAAATGAAGGAAATATCAATTGGTTAATATAAAATTCAAAATTGTTATTATATTTACTGATAACTGTAATGTAAGTAAATGATATTTTTTGTTTTGTATAGAGGTCTATTAGACCTAACAAAAAATAGAATTCAAGCAAAAACCTAGCAAATGAATAAATAAATTATAAGTAGCGAGTTATTCTTAATTAATTGTACTATTTTTTGTATTAGTTTGATAAGATCTTAATACATTTATTCATTCATTTTAAAAGATAATTTTATTAAAGAGGGTTTTATTAAAAACTGAATGAAAATCTACATACTTGAAAAATGAAATCAAAACCTCAATCAAATTTTACTTCTTTGTCTATATATGAGTCAACCAAGAGTTAAGCTAACAATTCTTCAATTGTGAATAATAATCTCAACTATAGCATGAAAAATGATGAACTAGAAAAGGGATAACCTTTGGCCCAATCTAATTTATCTTAGTCATTTTAATATGATTATTAGAATGCACCTGTAAACCAAAAAGATAGAAATTCTTTGGATCCAAGCTAGCTTTTTCCTAATTTGAAAGGAAGTAGAATTCAAGAATTGCTTGATAATGAAAAGAATGAAAACAATTTAAGTTCTTCCAACAATAATATTTCTTACCAAGAAGCTATGGTAGTAAAAACAACTTCATCTTCTGTATCAAAGCATTCACCAGATAAGAGTTTTAGTGGTAAGAAAAACTAGTCTCTTGGTCCATAAAATATGGCTAACAATAACTCGAATATAGAATTTTCAAGCTAAAATCAGCAAATTATGAATTTCCCTAGCCTTTAAAAAGAAAATAATGACAAACAAACTTTGGTTTTATAGAAGATCAAAACAAACAATTCTAAAAAAGGAAATAACTTTCGCATAAAAAAAAGTGCTTATTTATTCTCATAAAATAATATGCCTTCTCCTCTTCAGGGTTATCAGTAGTAATTTTAAGCGAACTAATAATAAATTTTGCAGATGGCTAATTAAAATAGAGAGTCTTTTAATTTCTAGATGCAGTAACAGCAAATTCTTCAACAAATTTAGGCTTAGTAGCAAATTCTTTAATAAATTTAAGCAAAAGTACCTCAACAATAAGGTTTAAACGCGTTATAAGCTAATGCTAAAGGCAGTTAAATTATTTAATAACTTAAAAAGAGTTATTTAAATTAATTCAATAAGCAATCTGAAAAGTAAAGTTTCAAAAGTAAATTCATTGGAGATGAATATGGATTGCAGGGTTTTTAAGGGTCTATTAAAACTAACGGTTTGTATATTGATAATAGAAATTAAATAAATAAAAAAATAAATGCATCTTATAATAATAATATCAATAATTTCAATAATTAATATATATCAGTATCACCTCCTTAAAATGATACAGATAGGCAGTAGCAATCATAAGAGTAGTAATAATAAATTTCAGTGCAACAATACAACACAATAGCTTCACAGTAAGTTAGATCTATTTCTTAAAATTAAAGACCCACGAACATGCTGAGAAATTAAAAAAGTCTTAAAGATTTAAATGAGCGCAGTGTCAATGAATTCGATGGATTAATTAATACAAAAGAGTTTTTTTCTACTAAATAAAAGAAAGATAATTATTAGCTTTAACACTAAAAGTTAGAAGCATCATCAATTAATTAGATTAACTAAGATTAAGGCAAAGAAACATAAACTTCACTTTAATAACATAAATTCTTGCAAGTTATTTCTAACATGAATAGCAAAGGGCTGAAAAATTCAGATAAACTGCAAAGTATTATAGGATCTGCATCAGACAGAAGAAATACTTCCCATTCAATATCTAAAGCAATTAAAAATAGCACAAGTAATAGAAGAATAAGCAATTTAGCAAACAGCAGTAAAAATAAAATTAACTTAAGTCAAAAAGATTCTATGGATGATAAATAACAAGATGATTAGTTGTCAATAGTTTCAGGTTAGACAACTAAAAATGAGATAGAAGAAGATTTATTAAATACTAAAACAGAAATTTAAAGCTAACTTAAAATAGAAAGTGATCAAACTTATCATTTAATTAACCAGCTGAGATGTGTAGAACTGAAGCCTTTATATGCTAAATAAAGACAGTAGTTCCATAAAAGAGTTCTAGTTATTCACTTTGAATCTGTTTTTCTAACTCAAAGCAATTAATATTTCTGGGAAAACTGGTCAACCTTTGCTAATTAAAATTCTGGTGAAAGTGGAAATGCAAACCAAAATAGCATGGGATTAAATGGTAATTCAGCATAGAGTTAATTAGCTTAAGAAAACTTTTTTGCTAAATTTAGAACTGACCTAAAACGATTTATGAAAAATCTTTGCAAAAAATACACAGTAATTTTGATATTCTAAGGAAGGAAAAGATCGAAAGATTTATTTCATTATCTATTAAGAATGAATTATTTATTTGATGGAGCATATCAGATGGAAGAACTGGATTGCTCCAAATAAGATATAACTAGATCTCCTGCATTAGCAATAAACTATAATTAAATAATATCAGATTTTTATAAATAAAAAAAACCTAATACCTTTACTGTGATAGATTGTGTTTCAAGCGAATTTATATTGCCTAATTCACAACTTTTCATAGATTCTCAAACTCAACAATCGACTGCATATGTTGAAAAAAGCAACATGCACCACTTTACATATAAAATTCCTAAAGTTAAAATCAGTTAACAGAAAATTAGAGTAATTTTGATGAAAAACAGACAATATTCACCAAAATATCCAGATTGTAGCCATTTGATGGAAGTAATCAACTCAGGAGAGAAAAAAGAACTTTTGAAAAACAACCAAATTGTTTCCTATGCACTCAAAATGAATAAAATAATACAATAAAATATATCAAACTTGCAACAGAAAAATAGCATCAATAACTATTTTAATGAAGTAGAAAAAATCAAGATGAAAAATAAAGTCAATTGTAGGATAAAAAATGAAGTAGAATCCGATAAAAAACTAGAATCATTTAGAAACCTGATGGTAGAATATATTAAATCATTCAAAAATTCTGATAAAATTTTGCACTTACACTCCTTAATTGGTGATATTTTAGTAAGAAACAGAGATATTTTTAGGCTTTACTACAAAGAAAGCTTCTATTCAAAACCTTATCATGGAGCTAACATACAATAAATTAAGTAAAATCTACCAAAAAAATTTACTATTGATTAATCAAATTCATAAAATTATCCCCATTAAAACGATCCTTTTACATCAATGCCAGACATACTAAACTACTTCCAAGAAGCTCCTAAAAACTCAACTAACTTAGAACAAAATAAGTAAATATAAACAACTAACGACCTTTTGAATTTAGAAGAAGTAGACCAAGCCTAATCAATAAAATCAGGAGTATCTAAGAATTGCCTATAAAATTTTAATATTTGCATATTCTTTGTTCTTTCCTGTGAAATTTGGAAGTGCTGATTGATTAATTTATTAAAATGAATTAATTACTAAATAACAAACTAACTAACTATTTTCGTATACAATAAAATTATATTAATTATTTTAATGTTAAATAAATTGTAATAAAGTAAATTTATTATTTCAAATTAAAAGATTTTGTTAAAAATTTAACTTATTATTTTTTTAATTATTAAATTAATTAATTAAAAATAAAATTTTGCACGCAAATAATATATAATGCTCTTATTATAAGATTATTTATCTTTCATTTATAATTTAAATGAGCTATTATTTATTAAATAAATAAATAAATATATACCATAAAAGTTCTAAAGTAAGGAGATTTTTTAAATAAATAAAAAAAAATCCTCCTTGCTTTAGAATTTTCAATAAAGATATTCATGATTGATTTTAAATGGGAATAAAATTCAAAAGTTATATTATATTATCATTTAAAAATGTTTGAATAAGTTGTGCAAAGAAAAAATATTTTTAATTGATTTCTCAATATTTAAGCCATATATTCTTAAAATGATTCAGCTCTATCGTTAATTAGCTGAATATTTATAAAATTAGCAACAAAATAGAAAACTTTGGAGATTAAGCAGAAAAACCACATTTTTGGACATTAATTTTAAAACTTTAATTAATTTTAATAGATTTTTAATTAATTTCTTTTAAATCAATTAAATTTTATTAAGGTATTAAAAGCAAACAATAATAGTATAAAAAATTCAAAATAAAAATCACTAAATAAATTTTGAATTAACTTCAACAAAAGCATTGTCAACTCTTAATTGTTAAATATCAGGAGAATTATTAAATTTAATTTACTATTATTGCAGTATAAAATCATGAGAAGTATGATTTTGCATTCCTGTTTATGGAGTATTTTATCCTTAGGTTTCACTGATGGAGTTTACTAGGGGTGATCTTTTTACAACAGGAACATTTTTTTTTTTGTGAATAAAATGTTTAGTGTTTAGGTGGTGTTTTTATTAGATGGCTTTATTTACATCTGTTTGCCCAAATAAATTATATATATTTGGTTATTATTATAACGGAATCACTTTGTTATCACTTTTTTCAGTTTTTTTACATTAAAAGCAACTTACTATTAAGGGTATGACTTCGATGAGGATATTCACTGTTGTGGTAATTATTGTTGTCAAATTTTATCTAAATATTTAATTATCTGTAAAGTCTCTAAGATTCTAAAAGTCTTGCATATAAACATCTAATGTAGGACTATTGCTACAAACTTCATCAAGAGCCTTTTTGTAGCTTATTGATTATATAAAAGCTACTATTGCTATCGCCATGGATGCTGACATTACCAAAAAGCTACTAGCTGATTTGCATAGTTTAAAAATAAAAAAATTTTAATTATTTGGCTGATCTTTGTAGGCATTTAAAGCTAAGATGTAATACATATTAACGTAAAAAGTAATATATCCTAAAGTAAGACCATGAACAATAATAGCTATTTTCATTATATTTAAAAAAGATTCAATATTTAAAAGTATATTAACCAAATTGTAAACTTCGTCTCTATTTTAAATAGCCCAAGGAATAAATGGTTTATAATAAGTAGTGTATATTTCTGGTGAAGTATTTAGATTAAAACCAGTTAGGTTAGATATTTCTTAGAATTAATCAGAATCTAAGTTGTATTAGTACAACTGCTTTTCAGTAATACTTAGGCTTGACTTTGTAAAGTATGTGTCTGTATCGCAGCTAGGCCTATTCCAATTCTATAAGATGTACTCTTATCCATATTTAGTTTACTAATAAGTACTATCTTTACAAGGACCTGGTCCAGAAGTCGTTACTATTTATGAAATAGGTAAATCATTAGCGCTAGTACCTTTTTAATCATAGTAAAAGTAAAGGTTTTTGTTAATTTTGATGAAACTCCAACCATTAGCACTTAGCTGAGGCTAAATAGAAGTAGTTATTTAAAAGCTATAAATAGGACAAGGATCTGTTGAAGCAACACATATTATTGTTTCAGGTTTATTTGGATTTCCGCAGGTTTTTTGTGACTAAGAGCATGTCCCTTTTTAACTACCTATAATTTGATAAAACTAGTTATTACCACTAGCTCTTTATGCACATATTCCAACAACATTTTTATTATCATCTTATGCAAATAAGAAAAAACTATGCCTTTGCTTGAAAATAGGCATAATTTGTTTACAGTCTGTTGTACTAATATGAAGATTCCAGCAACTATCTCCATACATTTATTTTTTAACATTCGGATTATTTGATTGAGTGCAATCGCATCCATAGTGAATGCCTTCCCAAGGAACATCAAATAAAGATTATGCACACTGACTGCTATTTATTGAAAAATTAATCAAATATGGCTGCTAGAAATTATCTACAATTTTAATTGATTGATCAAGAGTATTTTATGTCTTAACAAAAGTTATAATACTTAATATAAATGTTGCTACTGATAACAAAGATTGAAAGATATAAGTCATAGTCTCAACTTTAATCTTATTTTTAGAGTACCACTCTTTAGCTTCTTTAAATTTTGTTTTCATTCAGCTATTTAGTTTTTAAATTAACTTAAATGTTTATTTATTGCTTACTTTTTTACTTATTTCTTAATTCTCAAGAAAAGTTTTCAAGCTGAAATTGATCAATATTTATTTTTTATTACATAAAACCCAAGCAGCTCAACCACTCTTAAATTTCCTTTTTTTATTTGATATTTTCTTCTATAACTATAACAAATAAACATATTTTTTTATAATCTTTAATGCTTTATTTTATTTATGTGATCTTCTATTTTAAATATTATATTTAAACACTTTTTATTCTACTCATTTAAATTGGAAAATTTATTTAATTTAAATATATTTTTACTCACTCAGATAACAAAAGATTTTTAAATTTATATCTTACTGTCAATTTGGGAACTGAATAAATATTTTTAAATATCACAACTCTTTTAGAGGAAAGAAATATTGAATTAAGAAAAAAAAATAGAATATGATTTTATGAAAAACTTAAAATAGCCAATGTGAATGTCTATTTTAAATGGTTTTCTATTTCAATTAAATGAAAATTGTGAAATGATTTAATTAAATAGTTGTTTATTTGTATTTTTTAACGTTTCAAAAACAGAACAAGAGTTTTGATATAAAAAGGATCAATTAATAATCTATCAAAATACAAACTACAATTTCGAACCATAATGATACTTATTTTTAAATAGTAAAAATCTTGTTTGATTATTTTAAATTTCAATAACAGACAAACTTCATATTACATTTTAGTATTAAAATATCGTATTTAATTTAAGATAAAATAATAATTAATGAATTCTCATTATAAATTTTACCATATATAGAAATAAAAAAATTTGTTACGTTATTTAAATTGTCTAATTTATTTATTAGCTTTTAAAAATTCTTTATTTACATAATATAAACAGTTGCAAATATTTAGTTAGATGTTTTTCAACTGTAGTTTGGCAGAGCGTTACTTAAGAAAATAGCTAAGACTATGCCAAGATCAATACCTAAGGTCATAGTAAAATTACTAAAAAAGTTAACTTTATCCCTAATATAAGGATCAGTTATTTTTCTTGGAGATAAATGAGTTAAGCTTGTAGTAATAAACCCATTAGTTATAGAAAAAAGGAATATCATACACATAATAAAGTAGTCATTTTATAAGATTGAACTTCCTTCATTTAAGGCCATCAAAATAAATATTGGTACAAAAGAAATTCTTAGAATTACCAGCCCATAAATCCAATAGAGACGATGTAGTTATTTAATATAACCTATATACTTCCCAATAAAATCTCCAAGGTTAAAAGCTGTCATCATAACTTATCTATTAATAAAATTAATATTATTATTATTTAAATAATCTATTTTTTCAATAACTTAAAATATGTATTTTTTATAATTTAAATAAACAATTTCATTAAAATACAATTTTCTTGTAAATTATTTTTTATTTTTGTTATTTAAATTCTATTTTATCTCATTTTTAAAAAAAGTTTATTAGATATAACAATCCAAAATCATATTTTTTTATTAATTTGATTATTGCTTTTACTGCTTTGTTTAGATGCAGTATTTTGATTATATTTTAATTTGTAAAAAATTGTTTTAATACAATTTAGATCTAACATAAAAAAGAAATTAAATTTTACGCAGCCCATGCAAATTCTAAGAACTTGAATTCAGGTTTTCTGAAAACGCAAACTCCAGGAAAAAGCAAGAATGTTTCAAAGAAAGAAATGAAAAGGTATAATGAAAGGAATCCTGTGTGCTTAGTTATAAAAATAAACTCTTTTAAATAATTAATAGCAGCCCAAAACATTTTAGAAATTCCTTTGTGTTAGATAGTGCTGCTAATTTACTCGGTTTGGTTTTTAATAAAATATAATTCTTTTTCTAATTAGATCTTTTGCTATTTTAGGGCATCAATTTACAATGAAGTTTTGTAGTAATTTGACTTGATAAAAATGGCAAAACAAATAATTGCAATTATAAATATTATAGCACAGGCTATAAAATAAAGCAAAGTACCATAGTTAGCATTGCTATCAAGATCATCTCCAAATATCCCTAATACAATAAATCTTAATGCATTCATTATTAAGCCAGAAAATGCAGTGTATGTCCAAAAAAGATTATTTAATTAAGGATGAACACTCCCTGCAATAACTACAAAAGTGTTTGTTTTTACATTATCAGCCCAGCCATCAATAAATAATAAAACCATTGATATCCAAAAACCATTAATATTATTATAGCACATAGCAACTATACAAAGACTAATAATAACAATTACTTCTACAGTAACAGTATACATAAATCTTGATTTCACTGAAAAATACTTTGCTTAAGCTACAAAAGTGACTCCACTTAATAAATCACCCACCATAACTCCAAAAGGGAAATAAAATGTAACATCTGGAATAGTTTCTTTAGGGTAACGCACAGAAAAATAATCAAAAGCAGTAATTACTGCATTCCATCCAGCAAAGGCTAAAATACCAAACATCATGAAACAAAATTTAAAGAAATTAGTAACAGGTGGAAGTACTTCATACATTTAATCTATTTATTTTGAAATATCATCTATCTTTTTTTAAGTCTCTTCAGCGTTTTATGCAGATAAAAATGAATTTAGTTAAGAATCTTATTTAATTGAAATATCATTTAAGTTTTATCTTTTATCTTCTTCATTTTCTTTTAAATTTAGTACAGATGAAAGAGGAGGACTATAATTATGTTGATCAGGTTACATATTTAAGGAAGCGTTCTATTATATCATACAATATTTCAGATTTCAATTTCTGAAAAAGATACAATTTCTTGTAGAATTTAATTTGGCCTTTTGGCTATTTTGCTTGTATTTGGATATTAATTGAAAATTATAAGCTTATTCTAAAAATGCGAAGTGTAAATCCTTAGACTTAATATTCTTAATTAATTATTTTTTGATTAACTCTACAATTTTACTTTCAAATTAATAATGCACTAAAAGCTATATTTAATATGTTTTATACTAAAATTGTTCTAGACAAATAAGGAGAAAAAGAAAAACTAAGCATAAAAATGGATGGTTTACTCATAAACTTAAATGAATTTAATACTTTTATGAAAATATTACATATATTTTTATATCTAAGTAATTTAAGAGATTAATTAGTATGACATTATTTAATTTATATTTTTAATTTTACAAAATTTATGCATAAAGACAAAGAAGAATTCAAATGAAACTAAATATTTAAGAAATGAATAAATTAATAAAATATAGTTTATAAAACAACCAGCAATATAATAAGAATTTATTATAAGATATTATAAGTAGGAAAAGAATATATTTCAACCATAGGTAGGTAGAGCATTACCTAAGAATATTGCCAAAACAATACCAAGATCAATACCCAAGGTCATGGTAAAGTTACTGAAAAAGTTTACTTTATCTCTAATATAAGGATCTGTAATTTTTCTAGGAGACAAGTGAGCAAGACTTGTAGTAATAAAACCGTTAGTAATTGAAAATAGGAAAATCATGCACATAATAAAATAGTCATCTTGCAAGACTGCACTACCTTCGTCTTTTGCCATTAAGATAAAAACTGGTATGAAAGAAATTCTAAGAATAACCAGTCCATAAATCCAATAGAGACGGTGCAAACATTTAATGTAACCTATATATTTCCCAATAAAATCTCCAAGGTTAAAAGCTGTCATCATAACTTATCTATTTAAGTTAATTAAAATGATTAGTTTAAATTATTATTTGCAATTTTCAAAAACGTTTTAACCAACTTTAATTAGATTTTTTTTAAAATAGAATTTTATATTTTAAAAAATTTTGTCAATAGAACTAATTTTCCTTTGCATTTTGAAAGATAGATTGTAATTGTATAGATTAATTTACTTTAAAATTAAAAATTCTTTTATATGCTTTACTTTAGAGTAAGTAATAAGCTAATTAGATATAAATAATTTACATGTTTTAAGATTTAAAAAAATTTGTATCTAAAAAATCTTAATTTTACAGAAATCATTCATTATATTTTTTATTTGTAAATCTTCAAAAAAGCTGGGGAATAAGCAAAAAAAAAAATAAAAGTTAAAGTAAAATTTTACGCAGCCCAAGCAAATTCTAAGAAAGTGAATTGAGGTTTCCTGAAAACACAAACTCCTGGGAAAAGTAAGAAGGTTTCGAAGAATGAGAGGAAAAGATAGAATGAGAGAAAACCTGTGTGTTTAGTGATAAAAATAAATTCTTTTAAATAGTTGAAAGCACCCCAGAATATTTTAGAAAATCCTTAGAGCTCAACATTATTTTATCTTTGCTAGTCTTGATTTTTAATAAAGTACAATTCTTCTTCGAGTTTGATCTTTTGTTGCTTCAAGGAATCAATTTTTAAAGATATTTTGTAGTAATTTGACTTAATAAAAATAGCAAAGCAAATGATTGTAATGATAAAGATAACTGCACAAGTACAGAAATATATCAAAGTACCGTAATTTGCATTACTATCAAGGTCATCACCAAATATTGCCAAGACTATAAATCTCAAAGCATTCATAATTAAACCAGAGAAAGCAGTGTATGTCCAGAAAAGGTTATTTAATTGTGGGTGAACACTACCTGCTATAACGACAAATGTATTGGTTTTTACATTATCAGCCCAACCATCAATAAACAATAAGAACATAGAAATCCAGAAGCCACTCATATTATTATAGTACATAGCAACAATGCAAAGACTAATAATAACTATAACTTCAATAACTACTGTATACATAAATCTAGATTTAACTGAAAAATACTTAGCTTAAGCAACGAATGTAACACCACTTATTATATCACCAATCATAACACCAAATGGGAAATAAAATGTGACATCTGGAATTTCTTCTTTAGGATAACGTACAGAAAAGTAATCAAAAGCAGTAATAACAGCGTTCCATCCTGCGAAGGCTAAAATACCGAACATCATGAAACAGAATTTTAAGAAATTATTGACAGGAGGGAGAACATCGTATGTTTGTTCAATTTGCTTTGTAATTTCTTCTACTTATTATTACTTTTCTAACACAGTTTGTGAAGAGAGTGAGTCCTTCGATTAAGATCCTTGCTTCAACTAGAGATTATTTAAATCGTTTTCTGTTCCTTAACCTAGGGTTTGAAGCTCAAAAAGAGAAGAGCGGGGCAACTTGTTGTCAGGCTGCTAGTACTAATCGTTTTAGGAAACCTGTTTTTATAACATTCTTTCTAATAAACTCGTTTCTAAATTTAATTGTTTGAATATTTTTATTAAGAATATTGCAGCTTGTAGAATTTGAAGTACTGCTTTTAGTTATATTTATTAATCAAATTATTAGCCTTTTTTATTTTAATTTTTGACAAATCTTCAATTAATTTAAAAAATTTTGCTTAACTTCTTATTTTGCAATTAATAACATCACTTATCCTTTTATTACTTAATTACATTTTTTATCATCAATTAGCTACCTTACTTCTGGAATATTATAACTCAAAATTGATGACTAACTAACAAATTTAGATATTTATAATTTTTTACTCATAGAATACAATTAAATAGACAATTTAATTAATTTCATAATAATTATATTTACACTCTTGCATTTTTATACATTTAACAGTTCTAGTTCAATTCCTTACAACTCTTTTCAATGTTTAAACAAAAAATTTGTCTTATAAAATACATCTAAATATACTTTTAATACTCATTTAAAAATCATAAGAATATTTTTTACAGCTTAAAAATATTTATTTATTTTTGATTAGTTTAAACTTATTTTGTTTTAGCTATTTCCAAAATATTTAATTATAGTTTGTAATGTAAATTAGTTCATTTAATTTATTTTTCAAAAAATAGTAACTAATCTTCCAAGAAAAAAATGCTTAGTACTATTTTTGTATCAAATCTCTATTATTAATTATTAAATTAATTTACATAATTACAACACAAAATATGAAAAATATAAAAAAGCATATTTTGTTTTTTTATTTTTTAATTTTGCTGTTTTAATTCCCATTTAATATAGTCTTCTAATATTATATATCCTTAAATATTAAAGCTCTAGTTTACATAAATCATTTGATTCGAATATGAGATTCTGTGTTAAGCTCTTCTAAAAGGTATTTTTTCTTATTTGATTGATAATAGTTTAAGTTATGCATTTTATAACTTATTAAAATATTCAATTTTGATTAATTTATTTATTTTTAATTTCTATTATTAAAATATTTTTTGAAATGTATTATTGATAATATTAACTAAGCTCAATTCTAAGTATGTTAAAAGAATTATTCTACTTAATTCTTTTATCCTAAACTTTGAAATATTGTTCCTTTAATTTTTATGCTAGAGAATCATTCGGTTTTAGTGAGTATTTAAAATAAACTATTAAAGTGAATTTATTATGTAATAACTAAAATAAATTTTAAATACACGACTACATATTACTTTACAAAATTAATGTAGAAAACTAAATTTCATTTAAAAATATGATAATCATATCTCATATTCTTATCATTTGAGTTAAAAATGATATCACTATCAATTTTTATAGCTAATAGTTTTTATCTAAAGATAAATCTAATATATCGAAGCTGCTTTAGTATAATTTAAATACCTGCAATCCCAAGTCAAGAAGTTATGAATATTATTTTAGTCTGCTAGATAGAATTATAAACTGAGCATATTCTTTAAATAATTTATTATTTTTAAAATATTAGTGATATAATATAGTCTTATGTAACACAAAACATTCTAAAAATGGAAAACCAGATGTGTTTAAATATTACAGCTTGTAAATAAATTAAGTAAATAGGTAATTATTTATGAAATTAACTTCAAAATTACAATTATAAAGAGCATTTTTTTAAATATAATTGCTATTATAGAGTATTATATAACACAAAATATTCTAAAAAATAGAAAACCGGATATTATTGATTAAATATTACAACTTGTAAAAAATTTCAAATGCATTTTAGGTGAAGAAGCATTTTTAATCTAATTACAAAGAAAAGCTCCTCAAATAAAAATAATAATTAAAATTTAAAACCTTTGAATAAAGAATATTAAATGATTAATTTAATTTATATTCAAAATAGATTTTATCTATTAAAAAAATAAGATTTTAATTTTGGACATTTTTAATTTCATGTTTTTAGAAATAATGTTTTTATTAAATAAAATTCATTTAAGATATAAAATGATGATTAGGTCTTTATTTGTGTTTCTTTGATAATAAATATTATTTGTAAATTTAAAAAAATATATTTAACAAATAAATAAATTGAATAATTTTTAAATATTTTTAAACAAAATAATTTTTTTATGATTATTTTGAAATAATTTTGCAATTTTATCACCCAAATTTAATCATTTTTTTATTAATTATTCTAATTCAAAATTATAATTCTTAAAGTTTTTTTCAAACTTATATTATTTAATTATTCTTTGAAGTTAAACAGAAGAGCTAGTAAATAAAATTACTAAAAATATAATACATTTATTAATTTAAATACTCTCTTTTTTATATAAATTAGTAAAATTTTAAAATAAATTTAGATTTTCAGAATGAATGCTTACTCAACCCATGATCTTTTTAGCCTAATATAGGGAATAAGGAAACTATAAAGTTAGATACTAGAGCGATTATAAAAACAATGCTTAGGAAAGTATATTCAGGAGAGTCAGTTAATAAAAGTAGAATTACTTAGGTGCAAGTATTAGAAATAGCAAAAACGAGTCTTTAAGCTTAAAATACTTCAATAAATCCTTTATAGTCATTGTTGCAGATAACTTATGAAATATTATTAATATAACAATCAATAAAGCCAAATATTGAACTTATCAAGAAGCAAATTGCATATATTTTTGTTAATAGGCCAATAAAACTTAATAACAATCCTAAGAGGATTGCCAAAGTGCTGATGGTAGCTAGATAGTATACATTAATCCTATTTATCAAATATCCAGAAATGACACCGCCCAAATATTCGAAAATACCAAAAGTGATAAGAACAAATGATAAACTCTATGAAACTATTCTCTCATCTCCTTCAACTGATTCCTTGACTAAATTTCTTAAAAAGCCACTAGAAAAAGCTTATGCCACTCCAGAAAGGAGATTTAAGAAGAGGAAAGGTTAAAATTTAAGACTCTTCATTAATCTCAAAACTCTTGAAACCTATTCTTTTAAAGGTAATTCTTATCTTATAATCTAAGTACTTTCTTATAGAAGCTATTGCTTGATTTCATGATGGGATCGCTTGGGTTTTTCTATGGTAGCAATAAAGTAAAACATGCCAGAAGCAGTAAGAGCTATAATACCCATATAAATAAAAAAATATATATTGTTATCTATAGTATTTAGAATAATCATAGCAGAGACATTTCCTATTAAGTGGCTTGATTAACGTATTGACCAAAATACTCCTGAAATAGTACCTTTGTTATGCTTGATTAAAGCAAACACGCATTCCATATAGCCTCCTTAGCCTACCCATAGAGTTCCAGAGCAAATTCCACATAAACTAGAACAAAGAATAACAATAAAATAGATCATAAAGGGAGAACAACTGCCTTCATTTTAGTTATCATTAGAACAAGAGCAAACCCAAATACCACTCAATACAAAAGAAGTATAACCCAAGGAGCTTAAAGGAAATATGTGCTTGTAAGAATATTTTCCAATCAATGTTTTTGCAAACAAAGAGGAAATAGCGAAAAAGAAGTAAATAAAAAACAAACTTATAAGGCCTAAATATTAAAAACCCTACTGCTTAAACAATGTAGAGACTAAATTCTATGTAGAATTAAATGCTACGAAAAGAGCCAAATAACAAAAAGCTAAATACCTCACATTTTTCTTTTGCTACTCAAAGACTCTTGATTCATTCTCTTAGTCGTCATCAAAAGCAGATTAAGTCTGTAATTGTTCTATTTAATGTGACTTCATTTATTTGGAACTCTTTTAAGAATTTTCTTTTATCATTTAAGTCTAGCAAGTATAAAACTTATTAAATAATTTCAAATCTTAATCTAAATATTTTTATGTGTATAATAAATGATAGATAGATAAATAAATAGATTCTTTTCTAAAAACCTTTGAGAAGCTTAAAAGGATTTATTACAGAATATTAATATTGGATATTAACCAAAAATTAGTAATATCTTGTATTTGTTCTATAAGATTTCTTAGTTTTTATTTAATGTTTAACCGATGTAAATTTAATTATTTTTGTGATCAATTATCTTCATTTTTTATTAATTAATATTAATTTATTGCATTATTCCATTATTGGTTTGCATAAGTGAAAATCTACCAAAACATTACCTTTAAAATTCAATTATTATTCTTTTATATTTAAACATAATCATATACTTATTATCAAAAATTTTCTTATCAAAATTTATCAATTTGTTGTTTTCAAACCTAACAGAAAGGCATTTAAAATCTCCATATAAAATATTTTTTATTTATTTTTTAGATATCAAAGAGTTCAATACAAAATTTATAATATTTACAAAATTAATTAATTTATTTATTTATGTATAACCAAAAGCTATTTAAAATTTAGTGGATTTAATACCATTAATTAATTCTTGTTTTTGAAAATTTTTATGAATTGCTTAAATTTAAAGATTAAATATTATAACAGATGTCTAATTAGTAATTCAATTTTTTAATTATTATATATAATAATAACTTATTTTTTTTTTTAATTTGAATTTCATAATTTAATATTTGGGTAATTTATTTTTAAATTTCTTGAAATTTTAAAAATTGATATTAATATAAAGGGTTATTAATATATTAGAATTTACATTATTAGTATTTTAGTTTTTTATTGTATTAATCAATAATAGTAATTATATAATTATGATATTATTCTTAGGTAAATCATTAAACATGTCTATGTTTTATCTTTTAATTTTATACTAATTTCAAATTAGGATATTTTATTGTCTATCTTAATTCTAATCAATTACAATTTTCTTATTAGTTAATTATTATCAGCTCTTTTTAATATGGGAGAAAGCTAATTTGGTATCTAATTAAATAAAAGTTGTTTGTAAGGGATCAGGCTCAATTTTCTTTTATTAATTTAATTAATTTTATTTGCTAAATGTTTAGAGTAGAAAAGTAAATATAGTATATCTAATCAATCAACTAAAAGATATTTATCAGGGGGAAAATTAAAACATTAAGGTTTTAATATTTTGATTGGTAAACCCATTAAACCTATGAAAAAAATGCTTATTAAAAAAGCTAAAAAGTAATTAATTAAAATATAATTCAATTTAGACAAAATAAAAGAGTGAATACATAAATGAACAATTAATAAGAAAGAATAATATAAATATAACTTATATTTGTTAAAAATAATAAGCTTTTTCTATTATTTTTTTCTCTGAATAGCTTAATAGCTTTGACTGGTGCTATTATATCTTTTATATCATCGACAAGCTTAAAAAATGATTAAATATTAAATGATATACAAGTAGGAGTATTTGTTACAGGCTCATTAGTAATCCTATCTTCTTTATTGAATACCTTTATATGGAACTATTATAAAGCTAAAAGGATACATTAAACTCTAATCTTTATTCTACTCATAATGACTTGTGGTTTTTTCATTGGTACCATAATAGTAAATGTAATCCAATCTCAATAATCTAATTTTTGTGGTACTAAATTTAAATATAAGTTTTTATTTTACGCATTTAATTAAATAATTAAATTTATCCTTTTTTATTTTGAGTAAACCTTGCCAAAAAGGAATGGGTATAGTTTAAAAAAAATTTTTAAAAATATAATTTTTTACTTTTTATATAAAAAAACTTATTTTTAAAAATTTAATTGATTAAAAAAAATTTCCTCTCTTAAACTTAAACTTTAATATCTAATTAAATTTAATTGATTAATAGATGTACATATACAACATAATAAACCAATAAATGGTGAGAATATTGCAAAAATATTGAAATATGGTTCTAAAACTTGCTCTTAGATAAGTGACTCTCAGTTATCTATTACCGAAGAAATATTTAATTTAAGTGTAAAGGTTATTAAAGAATAATGTAAACCTTAGGATTTAGAATGTTAATCTTTAGATTCGTTAAAAGTAGAAAAATGGATTGATCTCTATTTACTTTAAATCATCTCTGCTGTATTGGTTTTTTTATATTACTTTAATAACATAATCTTTTCTTATCATATACATATAAGATATAAAAAAATTTTTAGAGAAAATAGTTAGCTTGTTAATTAAAATGTTTGATGTATTGCTAAAAAATGTATTTATTGTATTTAAATAGATTAGTTTAAAACAATTTTTTATTTTTTCTAAACAAAGTTGAATTATTTAAAGAATTTAATTAAAAGAAATATTTAAGAAACTTCTCTTATACAAATGATTGATTAATTATTGTTTGTTTATTCATATTTTTTTCTTATAAAATTATTTATTTTACTCGTTTTTAATGTGCAAAATGTAAAATTAAATTTAACTTAAATATCATTTTTGTAATACAAACATTCTTTTAAAGTAGATTTTATGTTTATGTTAAGAAAAAGTAATTTGAATTTAAAAAATATAAATATTTATGATATTTCTTGCTAAGTTTTATTTATAAATTAGTTAGTTTTTCTGATGAAACCTCTCTTTTCAATTTAACATCAAGTTTTTTATAATGACTATCTCAAAATCTTCCTTTTTTCATCAAAAAATAGGAAAGACCACCAAAAACTATTCCTCCTAAATGTCCTTAGTGACTAACACTTCCATTATCGCCATAAAATACTACACTTTATAGCAGTATTAAAATACCTAAAACCCAAGCAGGCATAGGAATGAAGAAAAAATATACAGTTAAGCGTGGGAAGTTTAATGTAAAATTAGTAACTATAGCACTAATACTTGCACTAGCTCCAATATGAATTTAATTGCTTCTCTTTTTATAAAGATCTAATAGAATAAATATTCCTCCTAGTAAAGCGCCTCCAAAGTAGAGTTTAGCTAAAGCTCTGGAACCAAATTAGTTTTCAATAAACTTACCAAAAAAGTATAAACCTATCATATTAGCTCCTAAATGCATTAAATTAGTATGAGCAAAGCTATATGTAGCTAGAGTATGGTATCTGTGTTAGTTAATTTACTTTTATCCTAAAGTAAAATTATCAATAAAAGTACTTGGCTTTATAACCCTAAACTAATAAAGGCCAAACACTAATAAATTTGCTCCTAATAGCGAGTATGTAACTGGATTGTTCATTCTATAAAAAAATTAGTTAACTCTATTATAATTAAACTATGGCTTCATTCCTTGAAAGAAATTGCTTGGCTGATTGCTCTACAAAAGCTTTCTTCCTTTAAAAACACTAGTAACAGAATTAAGAAATTTATTTTTGAACTGGAACATTCTTTGCTTGCTTTAATTCTTAAATTTAATATTTTTTTTGAGTAATATATACTATTAGTTTTTGATGAAAAAAGATTTAATATAATAATTATTTCTGTTCTTATCAAAAATTTGCTTTCAACTAAATAATTAAATAAATGCTTATTGCTTATCTGAATATTTCTAGCTAGCAAAAGTATGACTTAATTTTTAAAATAAAATGTTGAAAATAGAGAAAAATAATTTCACTCTGAACTAATTTCATGAGCTGCCCGCCTAGCTCAGTCGGTAGAGCGCAAGACTCTTAATCTTGTGGTCGTGGGTTCGAGCCCCACGGCGGGCTAACTTTTTTATTAATTTTATTTTTAAAGATTTTTAAATTATTTTGTTTTTAAACTAATAAAATTGTTGATATTTTTTTAAAGATAGCTAATTAACTAAAAAGAGGCCTATCAATATATGATAAAAAAAATATTTTAAGTTGAGTTTTCCTATTTTGATTTTAAAAAAACATAATTCTTAGTTTCCTTAGCTTTCTAAAATCTTTTGATTGTATTTTACATTTGAGTGTGAATCTAAATTTTGATATTTATAAATTTTAAAACATATTTATAAAATCAAATCGAAAAAAGTTAGAACTTTTTTTTAGTTTAAAACCAATCTAAATGCCTATATTATTTAAAACAAACATAAATAACTTCAACAAAAATTAGTGGCATTATTATTAATTAAAAATCATAAATGATTTATTTAAGATAAAATTAGGCTTAAAGAAAACAAAAGTAATTGTAAATCTATTAAATTATATGAGCTGCCCGCCTAGCTCAGTCGGTAGAGCGCAAGACTCTTAATCTTGTGGTCGTGGGTTCGAGCCCCACGGCGGGCTAACTTTTTTATTATATTTATTAAAAAATAAACTAATTTTTTTTCTAAATAAGTAAATAAATAAAATAAAAAATAATATTTATATGAATTTAATAAAAATTATTTTTATTTCAACAAATAAATTTTACTAACCTTTAAATATTTTAAATATTTAATTCTAATTAAATATAAAAAAGTAATTACTGCAAATTAACATTTATGAAGAAAAGGTAAGCATAATTAAATAAATCAAAATATTTTTTGAAAATTCCAATATTTTAGCATCAAAATTTTTAAAATTAAATTATTACAAAACAAAAAAGATGTGTTAGATGTAATCAAATATATATAATATCATGCTAGATTTTATTTTAAAAAACCCTAATAACACAGACAGATGTATTAATACAAAATTTTTTTCATTTATTTTTAAAAATGTAAGATCTGAGAATCATACATTAATAACTATTTTTAATATCTTTGATTTCTTAACTGCAAAATACTTAAAATTAACCATCAGATTAAAAATCTTGTCAAATAAAATATAAAATGGTGATTTTAGAAAATACTTTCTACTATTTTTTAAAATATACCAAACAAAATATAATATTTGATAAAACTCTTTAGTGAAGCATTTCTAAAAGAAATATAATTTTTTAATTCCACCTTAATATAAAATCAAATTATTAAGTGATATATGTAAAGATACAGATGGTAAATAATTGCTTTTTTTGATTAGTTTACTTCATATTAAAATATTAATTATATTAAATTTTTTTTAAATAAAAAATCTAAATATATTTTTTATCTTAATAATTGTTAAAGACAGACAGTTAATATATTTATGATCATAGACTTAAAAGAGTTAATAAAAGATTAAATAAACAAAATATATATCTCTCAATTTATTTTGTATCTTCATAATTGTTACAGATAGTTAAAAAATTTATGATCATACACTGAAAAGAGTTTAATAGCACTAAAAAATTAAATATTTCTTAGATATTTTTATGTTTTGAATATTAGTAAAAAATATCTCAATATTTTTTGTATTTTCATATTTATTCAAGATAGTATAAAAAATTTATAATCATACTCTTACTAGAGTTTAATTAGGTTAAATAAATATGTTATTTTCATGTAATTTCCTATTAAAAAATAAATTTTCTTATTCACTTAATCATTTAATAACAGATCAGTATATATTAAACTCCATTTTAAATATAAGCAATATATATATATATAAATTTAATATAAGTGTTTAATAAAAGAAAATTCTTTTCTAAAAATCACTTCATACAATTAAGGGAAAATTATAAAAATACAAAAATCATATCAAATAATATTTAGTTTTGAAATTGACAAAGTAAAAACTAATTGACTTTATATCCTTGATATGATTGAAATTTATTAATAATCTATGTATAAACATAGAAAATTTGGAATAAAATAAGCCTATTAATGTAAAAATAATATAAATATATATTAATTTTGATAAATCATAAAATATAATGAATGCAAATACTAATAATTCATTCTTTATTATTTTCTTTTTTAATTTGAAAAACTTCCTATTCTTAACTCAGCTTAAGAAATTTGTTTTTTTAATTGATATTATACAAATTACGGGTATTAGATAAAAATTAATTGAAAACTTTATGCAAGTGTACTAAGTAATATTAATTATGATTTATTACCACAATTAATTTTATCTTTCGATATTAATAATCATGGATTCTCAAAATTTTTTTTGTAAAAGAAGTATTCTACTTTTTTTGATATCAAACGATTTTAAATAGTTTGTTTAAAATAATTAAATTATAATTAAATAAATAATAAACCTATATAATTTCTGAAGAAAAAAATAATTCAAAAGATAATGAAAATTGCTTTCTTAATTATTTCAGTAATATCTTTAGTAAGTATTTTTGCTGTAAGTACTTTTAGAACAAATCAAAACCTAAAAGCAAATGAACCTATTTGCTATGTTTCTAATTTAGATTTTGTTAATACTGAGATGACCATAACTAATACATGTGAGTAAAACATGACATTCACATTCTCTCAAATCTTTGATGGCTCAAAAGGAGAATTCGAATTCTAAACCTAATGTCTAAAGAATGGTGAATCAGAAGTTATTGAAATTGTTGATAAAAGCTATGGTTCATTCAGAATAACATCTAGCAGAGGAGAAAAATGTTGATCTCATTAAATACGATGACTAAATATGAATTTTATATAAAACTGTGATAGATAGATATGTTTTTTTATTCTTATCTTAAAAATAGCAAAGTTATTATTAATAAAAATATTGAATAAACATTTTGAAATAAATTTTAATATTAAATAATTTAAAAAAACCTATTATATACTAACAATCATTCAAGCATCTAACCTTATCAATAAATTAAATTATAACATTTTTAATAATAAGTTTAATTTTATTTTCATATTTTTAAAGAATTTATTTTGAAACTTGACAAAAAAAATGAATCAAATTTTTTAAATCTATTTTAAAAAATAAAAATAATTAATTGACCTATTAAACATTCAAACCTGAAAAGCCCAAATTTATTCTGATATCATGATTATTAAACTATAAAATAAATAGATAATTTATACTATTTGTTTGTTTTCTTAATAAAGTAAAAATATTAAAATTATTTTAATTTATATTTTTTGATACAAATAAAGAAAAAACAGGTTTATTAATAGTATTGAAGATAAAAAACCTCTTTAAATATACTCTAAATCCTTCTTATTTAACTTATTAATGAACATTATTTCTTAAAAAATATTTTTTTTGGATTTTCAAATTATTGAAGAAAACAGTGCTTTATCTAGTATGAGATAGAATAAAGGAAATATGGTAATTAATATGATACAAATAACAGTAAACTTCTGCATACTAATTGATTCTAATTAAATAATTTCAAATTATTGAAGAAAACAGTCTTTTATCTAGCTCTGTTTATTATTTTTCACTTTAAAATCTATTTAAAAATGTTTTGAGTTTTTATAATTTTAACTATTCAGATTGTTGAACTAGATACTATTCTTCAAAATGGCTTAAAAAGTTCTTTTATTCTTTAAAACAAAAATTTTAAATCAATTAATTGATTTTATAAAAATAATATTACTTAATGCAAATATTCTCTCTTAATCAATATTTTATTTATTCAAGTCTAAATAATTAGACGAACAGCCTATAAGATCTATAACAGCTAATTGATCAGAATCAAATAACATCATAATAGCTTTCTTCATAAAAAGAACATCCTTATATAATTCAAATATATTTAAATCCTTAACAATTTATTCTTCCATAGAGATTCTCTACAATTTGTTTAGGACTTAAGATTTAATTTAATCTAATATTTTAGTGTTCCTGTTTTATTTTTTATATAAATTGTTTATAAAAATAAGATATTTTATTTTATAAAAAATTTTACCTAAACCCAAATAAATTTTGATATAATTTATTTTAAAATCTTTTATTATGAATGGCTTGCAGCTTTTCTAAATTTGATTTAGACAGCTCTTCGTCTTTTAAATGGGTGTTTTTTTCAATTTTTTTAAGCTAGTTATTTATTAAAATCAAACTTTAACTATTATTGCATTATTAAGTGTTAAATTATTCTGATTTTATTTTATCATAGCAGTTAACACTCACTATATTTTGTATTGATTGAATAGACTAATTCAAGTTGAATTCTTTGTATTTTGTATTATTTTGAGCGTTTTGTGCAACAAGTAGATTTTTTTATGGTTTTACTTCATTATTTGATAGTTTTTTTTTCTATTTTTCATTATCTATTTTTTATTTAAATAAGGAATTATGTGAAAAAATGATTTATTCACTATTCATTGGATGAAATAATTCAAAATTATTTGATTTCATAATATCGAGGGATTGCTTAGACTTAAAATCTAATTGGGGTACAAATATAGACTAACCATTTTCATTTTCTAAGAATTTTAAATCCTACTCTTAAATTTTATCCTGATCTAGTCTCTTATGTTCTTATGTATCTTCTTTATTATAATTGCTGGTATCTTTGTTTAATTAATTTAGTTCTAGATGCGGTACTTCTTTTTGATCTAATAAATTTGAAATCTTTAACATTTGATAATATTTTCCTTAATAAATATTTTTCAAGAAGAGAAAGAAAAAATCATTTCTTATCGATTTTTAAGAGATTTTTCTTCCTATGTATCCTAATAGCATTAAGAGGGAGAGAATACTATTTGCAAGAGCTAAGATTTATGGTATGGAAGGATATTGAATTTAAACTAATTCAACTGTTTCATCTATATTTATCCCTACCTAGCCGTAACCACTTTAATTTACTTTCTGCATAGAATACTTTCTATTATAACTTTAATTTTGCAATTCGTATTAAATAGGAGAAGAGTAAGTAGACTCAGATTAAATAAACAATCCTTATTTTATAAAGCAATTTATTTTTAAGTCTTGATTGTAGAAATAATATTCTAGTCAGCTGTGTAAATTAAAAACATGTTCCTGTAATTCACTTAAGCTTCTTTAGATGTAGTATTATATTACGAAGTGAATAATTTTAATCGAAAGCTTGCATTACCTCCGTCTATAATATTATCAATTTCATCCTAGCTAGCGCAATTATTTGGAATGAATTTTTTATTAAAGTCCAAATCTAAGCAACCATAAGTGTAAATTTGTATATTTGAAAAGATATTATCTTTTGTGTTCGTGCTTAATGTATAATTCTAAACTTTAGAAAAATCTAGGCAGTAGTAGCCTAGTAGTTAAGGACTTGTGCATTTAATTACATCTAGTTAAACAGTTTTAAATATGTGTTCATTAATGTAATAAAAATATGCCATAAAAACTAGATATGTCTTATTTTATTGGGCTTCTAAAATCTGAATATCTTTATTCATTTCATATTCGTATCTAAATCCCACTAAGTCCTAGCTTAAATTAATGTCAATGCTTTCTTCAGTGATAAAGTTTTGCGATCTATAATTAGGAGCTATCTGATTATTAACATACTAATAAACAAGCATTGATAGATATCCAAATGAGAAAAAAATAACAAAAAAAGATAATATGACTCCAGATATCGTGCCCTTTCTAATATTTTAATTCAACAAATTAAAAGAGAACTCTGATGAAAATAAATCTAAATTTAAAAGACTCATGTTTTTCTTTTAGTAAAAAAAAAAGTTATTTAGCTGCTTTCTTATCAATAATTATGTTTTTTTAATTTGTTATTATCTAATTTACATTAAAATTGCATATGGTTCTAGTCTAAATAATAGTAAAGCAGAATACATTCAATCTGCAATTTTGTATAATCTAGATGTAATAATAACAAACCTACAAATTAAATAATTGTAAGTTAAAATCATAAATATTTTATATACAAAATATCGTTTTTAATTCAAGCTTTGTAGACTTGATTTGATTTTAATAGTTAGATGTTTAATAAAAATGGTTAAAAATATATATAGCAATTCCAGGTATTAAATTCTTATGGAAGTGGCGAATTAAGAATTTAATTCCTGTATTTGCTATCAAAATTTTAAAAAAGATTTCTGTATTTTGATTAATTTTTGTAAGCATTTTGAAATCAAATATAAAGAAAATAATTAAGATTTAGAAAAAAAAAAAATTCATAATCAATATAAAAATTATTTGAAATTTCACAAATTATTATATCATAGTTCGTTACATTTCAAATGCAGGAACATATAGACTTATTTGATATTTAATTAGATAAGGATAAGTAGGATCATTTATTTGATTTATTTTCTGAAAAGCTAGAAACATCTAAAGTTTTACTACTAGAAATTAATTATTAAAATGTTGTTTATTTTTAAGTTGTTGATTACTTTAGGTTTATTTTTAGTTATGAATCTTTCAATATTAGGAATACTGTGATGAAATATTACTGATATTAATATTCTCATTTCCTTTTTCTTTTTTTAATTTTTGTCCTTATTTTTAAAGCTAACTCAAACTTTCTTCTAAAATTTTGATAATAGAAGCTGATTATTTAAATGTTATTCCTTATTAATTAAGCTGATTATTTTAGATTTGCTTTTCATTTACTATATTGAGGTCAATATTTACAGCTTTTAAATGATCGTTTTATAAATTTTGATTATATTTTAATTATAAATATTATTCGTAATACTTCATAAAGTTTTTTTTTTCCTATTCACATTTCTTTTATTACTTCAAATCAAGAATAAGATAGCTTAATTTATTTTCAGCTATTATATATTTATAATAACCAAATTTTTGATAATCTTCTTTTTCAATAAATTAGATTTCATTCTACAAATTATTTAGATATTCTACTAAATTTGTTTAGTCCATATATTTTTGTGAAGTAATGTTAAAGACTTCATTATAGATTTCTTCAATTTTATTTAATATATGATCTATATATGTTTTTTTTACATTATCGCAATTTTCAGCATCTTAGGGATTTAAATTTAAGTATTCTTTTTTATAATATGCTATCAGAAAACAGTAATATCCATACTGATCATAGTTTTCTTCTTCCAAAATTCTTATACTTTTTTCTAACTATTTTAAAGCTTGTTGAATCTATCTTTAAAAGCATTCTTCTTCTTCAAATGAATGATTTTTAACAAGCTAATTTATAGTATTAATTATTTTTCTTATTTTTTCTGATTTATCAATAAATCTCTCAGAAATCAATTTTTAATAGTGATCATATAAGCTTTTATCTTCATTCTTAATTAGTTCTACCTCATCCTTTAACTTATTTAGGCACTATTGAATTAGTTAGTTATTTGAAGGTTACTAAGAACTGAGTTGGTTTAATTCAATTTCAGTATTCTTAATTTTTTCTATAACAAACTCTTTATATGTTGATAATTGTTCTGAAAATGTTTCTTTCTCATTTTTATTTAGATTTAGATATTTTATACTTTAGTTTGCAATGAAATATTTGTAGAAGCAATACATATCATAGTCTTCATCTTCTATCTATTATATTTCCCTATCCAACTGCTTTAAAATGGAGTAAATCTTTTATCTTCTATCCTCCAAACTTTCATTGGATTAGTTTAAAATGAGTGAATTATACTTATCAAGCGTTTTCTATACTTTTTCCATTTAAAAATAGTATATTCTACAGTATTATTTATTATTATTTTTTATTTTAATTTATTTTTTAAAACTTTTTGAGATGCGTTATGCCTTTTTCTATCTATAAAATACTTAATTCTAATTAATTAAATATTCTAAAAAGAACAAACAATTTTTACCATTGAATTTAAATATCAACTTTTTTAAATCCGATTCAATTAATGTTTTATAATTTCAATTTTTATGGTTATTAATATAAATCATTATAAAAAATTCATTTCTTTCCATTATTAAAATATTTCGTCATTGTTTTTAAATCAAAAAAAAATAAATAGAAGAGTTAACAAATAAACGTTTACAAAATACCCTATTGCTTTAAAGCTATACTTAAATTAAATTTAAAAAAGATACATAAATTTTTTTAAAAGATGTACCATTTTGATTTATTTTGTCAAGGAAATTTGCCTTTATTTCTTCATTATATCTGATATCTTTTATTTGAAAAGCAACAAAAATACTAAAAAAGGCAATAACATTCTAAAAAAGATTATCTTTTATATTTTAAGAAATCCCCTATCCTAATCTGATTTTGACTTAATTTTATTAAGATTGAAGCAATTTATTTAAAAATAATGATCTCTAAATCAAATGGTCAAAATATCTATCCATTACAAAGATACAGTTTTTATTTAGTGACATATATATTTTAATTTATTGCATAATTAAAAATTAAAAGCCTTTTATTTAACATTTTATTAAAGTTAAAAGATGAATGGATGTAGAGCTAAATTTGAAGTATATAGTATTTGTCTTTTTAAAAATAATAATTTCATTATTTTCTTCTAATAAAAATACAGAAAAAGTTAAAATCCCCAATTAGATTTAAAATAAGATTGCTATCTAAAAGATTACATTTTTATGAAAAAAAACTGAAAATTGATTTAGAATAATGATGTCATATATTTAAAAAATTAATAAAAAATGATCATACAATATAAAAATAATTGATATTAAATAGGTTTTTATAATCACCTTGAGATTGGTGTTATCAACTTTTATTGGATTCATACAAATTTTAAAATCTTTGGGATTTAAATTTAAATCTATAATATGATATTAAAAAATATAAAGACTTTTAAGTTATCTCTATAATTCTTTCATATTATCAAAAATAAGCTAACTATTTTTTTTTATTTATCAGAGAATAATTATTGAGAAATAAGTTTTTAAAAATAAATATACAAATTTTAATCTTCATCCTTAATTAGCTTGACTTCTATCTTTGAAGTATTTGTTTATTATTGAATAAGTTATCCATATTTTTTTAACAAAGAATTGAGTTTGCTTAATTCATTTTTTCATTCTTAGTTTTTTTTTAAATTACTTAGCTCTTTGTATGTAGATAAATATTCTAAATATACTTCTATCTAATTTTGAATTAAACTAAGGTATTTTAAACTTTAATTTGCTATCAAATTTTATGCAATATATATAAAAACAATATAATTATTAATTTCTAAATTTGACTAAATCTGTTGTGTACTATCTACCAAATTAAATGTATTATCGAATATATGCGATAGTTTAGTGGGATTATGCGCCAGGTTACCTATTTTACAATATATAGTATAAAACAAAAAGAATAAGCTAAAAATAAAAATGAAGAAAAACTTATTTAGATTATAGATAATAAAAAACTCACTGGTTTAAAGGTTTCTTATTTTTCTTAGGAAACTCCTTAATTTTTGTGTGAACCACTAGAACATAACTCTAAAATTCAAACAAAAATTCTCAAATTTGAAAATCTTCTTGATGAATTCTTTGGATTAAAAGTTTTAAACAAAATAAACAATTGCTACAACTGTAAAAAATGTGGCTAGTCATATAAAACTATTTAAAATATTTATAAGAATTAATTCTATTCGTTTAATTATAGAAAAAGCTATGAAGAAATTCTACTTATATAAAACCCCATATATCCTCACTTTAGTCTTAAAGAAATTAGCCTAAGATGAAAACAATGGGTTAGAAAAAGTCAAATTCTATGTTGATATTCCAGCCAGAAATTATAAATGCTGATCCATAAACTTAGTAAAATTATGATTTAATGGAATTTAAAATTTTTTAATAACTTTTCGTTATTTAACATCAACAATATTATTAATTAAGTGAAGGATATAATCATACATTTAGAAAAAAATCTAAACTATGAGCTTTATAATACTGTTCTCTTAGTTTGGGCGATTATCTGTCTTATATCATGCATTTTATAAATTATTATAATTTTTAGTAAAAAATACTAACTAATTATTAGTATTTAAAATTGAGAACCTGATTTATTTTACAAAAAGGATTAAGAATATTATGAAACAAGCTAGTATAATGTGAAAGGATGCAAATCATATATACTTATTTATAAAAAATATCATCAAACTGAAGCATTTAAACGATAAGTTTTATTTAATAAAATATTTAATTCTCTATTATTCAACATAAAAAATATTTTACAAATTCTAAATTAAAATTTATTAACAAATTAAAAGACTTTATTTTTTTTTAATTTTACTTTATGTAAATATATTAAAATTAAATATATTAGATAACACCTTTAGTGAATATAAAAAATATTTTTATCCCTATTTATTAATAATATTTTTAGATAATCTTATTTTTGTTAAATTTATTTAGGTTTTGTTCAAAAAATCAAAAAAGTATCATCCAAAAATTTTTTTCAAATCAACTATTGATTAAAAGAAATTTCTTAATCTCATATCTATTTCGTCATTAATATCAAATTCATTTTTAGTTTTATTTTTAATTTTTTCAACAAAGTCTTTGAAATTATTTGATTTATCTGCTACTTAGTATAAATCGATTGAATATTCAACTTCAGCATCAATAACTTCTGTATCATTCATAAAACTTAAACTAGGTTTATCCTATCCTTTAAGCTTTAACAAATACCTGCTTGTAACAAATTTATCGCTTGTAATTAATATGTTTATGGAATTTATTAATTCATTGTCATCTTAAAATTAAAAAAATTAACTATTAAAATTATTTTCAGGTTTTACTTCAAAACAATTATTTTTTTTGGAAATTTCGCTTATGGTGTCTTACTTAAAAATGTATTAGCTTTTTTAATGAACTAAATTACAATAGCCTTAGAAAGTTATGGGATAACGATCACACTTTCTCAAAGCTCCATTTCCAAATTCTTTTTGTTCTTCATAATTATAATCAGTATTTTCTATATGTTTAATAAACTTTTTTAAAGATAATTGATATGTTTCAAGTGCTTATGAAAAATTTTAATCATCATTCAAACAATTTCTTTAAACATTCTTTTCTTTTTTAAATTAATCATTTTTTTTATTTAAAATTTCTTTTAACTCATTTTAATTTTATTAAATATTATTAAGAAGATTTTTAGTATAAAAACTTTTATAAAAAGTATTAATTGTTTTTTCATTTCGTTCTAGTAATTTTTAAATAACTTTTAAATATTTAATAGGATCTTAATCTTAAAATTACTCAATTTCAGAATAAAAATGTTTTGATATGATATTCTTAACAATATACTTAGAAATTTCATCTTATAATCTACAAGGATACTCACTTTAATTGAATAGTTTTAGTAGAAATTTATTCTATTCTCCTGATTCATAATTTTTTTTTTCTAGTTATCTGAACATTTCATATGCATCTTTTGATTAAGTTTAACTGTAATTTGTAATTTTGTGTTGTTTTAAAAATTATGATTTCTAAAAATAAAGTAAAATTTAATTGGGATGGTTATCATCAATAATAGTTTTTAAAACTAAACCCAATGTTTCATCAAATGTTTGAAAAGATGTATATTTGTATGCAGATATTCCATATCCTATTAATCCTATAGCACCTGCAATTCCCCCAGCTAACCAACCAATACCTGGGACAGTCAAGGCAACTACAGATAAACTAAAACTGGCTGCATTATATGATGTGTTTAAAAACATCTAATTACCACATATGTATCCTTTTGAATAAAACCATAAATCGATACCAAAGCTTAAAGCAGATAAGATGAAACCTTCCCACATGGAAACAAAATTTACGGTTTTTGCTAATTTTTACGCTTAAAGAGTAGCTTCACTGATATTGCTAAAATAAGTGGCAAATCTAAAAATTTATGCTCCAGTCCCTAATGCAGTATTCATTCCAGAAAAAAATACTTATATCTAATGATTAATTTGTTCTGGAGTATAATCATATTGATTCTCAATTATTTTAGATTAGATATGAGAATGAACAGTTAATTCCTATAGAATTTTAATTTTTGCTAATTATTCTAAGATTTTTTTATGTTTTTGATCATCTCTCAAAAAAGGGCTTAATTAATGAGTAAATGACCAGAAATATAATAACTTTCTAGATAAGAAAATATTATTAGGATTTTATTATGCTTCAAATAGATATTGCGTATAACTTGCTTTTAAAAAGTGCTTTTGTATGGAATTTAAGATCCTATTTTTAATTTCATTTTGATGATTTTATTAGTTATTACTTTGCATTTGATACAGAAATTATCTCTATATATAATTTTTCATTTCTTAGGTGTTTTAAAAATCTCCTATAACAATATAAGTAATATTGTTCAAGTCTTTTATTATTTTAATTCTTTGATTATTCAAATCCTCAGATATAATTTAGTTAACCTACTTTCTAGAATTAATTTAATCCAAAATATTGTTGTATTATTAATACAGTTACAGTAATTTACTGAAAGCAATCATGAAATCACTCAGATTGTTTATTAATTTACAATTAATTATTTTTTTTATTTTCGTATATATTTTTTCATCAACACATATTGGCTCTATCTAATTTACTCCTTCAAATAAAGTATTTTTTTACAAGATATCATCTGTTTAATTTATTTGAATAAGTTTTCTATCAAAAGAATAGAAATTACTTTAGAATTCTATACTCTTATTATTAAATATATTCATATAAATTAATCCTTCATGCTTTCTTTCTTGAACTCGTTCTATAGTTAATATTTTATTTGCTATTGAATTTAATTAGTGATTTATAAAACCTTATTAATTATTAGTTTAAGAAGCTTGAATAGTAATTAGTTCTCTCAAATATGCTGAATCTATAAAAGAAGAATCTTAATCAAACATTTCCTAAATAAAAATAAATAGTTTATTTAAGACTGCTGGCATACCATTTCTTACCTCTTTATCAGCATCACGCATATAAAGAACTTTAAATTCTGAAATTCTGTTTCTCCTTAAAAAATCAGAAATTACTTTTAAGCTATGATATTGACTTTAATTAGATTCTGTTCCTTCAAATCCTGGTGTATCAATGAAAAAGTATTTCACTTTATTGTACTCTACTAGGAAAATTTAACATAAGCTTGTTTTTGACTATTCTCCTGATCCTCTTAATCCTGAAATTTATTTTAATTACTCAATTAAAGACGATTTACCTACTTAAGATCCACCAATTAGAAGTAGATATTAGATTTATTCTCCTTAATTCCAGGTATGTACCTCTTCCCATTATTAAATAATTTTTTTGATTTTATTAAATAAGTGATACTCTTAATTTTAAATATATTCTCTATATGCTAGTAAATCATTACAATTTTCTCTTTTGTTTGACCATATTTGTTATTTTAAAAAATCAACTTAATAATCATTAAAAATTTTTAAGTTCTCTTTATGAGTTTTGTCAAAACATGTTTTAACAATAATATGAAGATTTTAGGCATATTGAATATAATTTAAAGCTTAATCTTTGTTTTTGAATATTTCTACTCTTTTTTCAGTATAACAGTCTTATAAAGAGTGGAATCCAGCTTCTTACCAATTGAGAAGACAAGTTGATTAGTAGTATTCATTGACTAGCTTTTCCACATCTCTAAATTTAATTTAATCACCAAACAACTCATAAAGAAAGTAGGTGTATGAAATTTCTTAAAGATATTTTAGATGATTGTTTAAATCTTTATTAGAAACACATATAATAAATAGGTCTTAAAATCTATATTTTTCTTATTTTAGATATTTCACAATATTCAGTAATATATTGTATTTATTTTCATTTGTATCATTTATACCAGGAGAATCTATAAAATTTAATTCATCTTTGATAAAGGCTCTACAATTTTATGTATGTGAGTTTCCTTAATGACCTATCTCCGCTCTTGGATCACCAGTTAAATATTAAACAAAACTACTTTTTCCTACTCCGGTTTCTCCCATAATCAAATATACTTTTTAAGTTACAGATTCATCTTTTTAACTTTAAGATGAAATCTTATTAATATTTTCTCTAGCAATTTCATGAATAGACTTATTTGATATTTAATTAGATAACTATAACTATTATTTGTTTGATTCATTTTCTGATAAGCTAGAAATATCTGAAGTTTTACAACTTGAAATTAATTATTAAATTGTTGTTTATTTTGAAGTAGGCTGATTGCTTTATATTTAATTTTAGTTCTGAATATTGGCATATTAGAAATTCTGTGATGAAATATTACTGATATTAATATTCTCATTTCCTTTTTCTTATTTTTAAAGCTAACTCAAATTTTCTTCTAAACTTTTGATAATAGAAGTTGATTATTTAAATGCTGTTTCTTATTAATTAAGCTGATTATTTAAGATTTACTTTTAATTTATAATGTTGGGAACAATATTTACGGCTTTTAAATGATGGTTTTCCAAATTTTCATTATATTGTAATGATAAGTATTATTCGTAATACTTCATAAAGTTTTTTTTTTCCTATTCACATTTCTTTTATTACTTCAAATCAAGATTAAGATAGTTTAATTTATTTTCAGCTATTATATATTTATAATAACCAAATTTTTGATAATCTTCTTTTTCAATAAATTAGATTTCATTCTACAAATTATTTAGATATTCTTGAAAATTTGTTTAGTCTATAGATTTCATTTTAGAGGTAATGTTTAAGACTTCATTATAGATTTCTTCAATTTTATTTAATATATGATCTCTATATGAATTTTTTACATTCTCGCAATTCTCAGCATCTTTGGGATTTAAATTTAAGTATTCTTTTCTATAATATGCTATCAGAAAACAGTAATATCCATATTGATCGTAGTCATCTTCTTCCAAAGTTCTTGTACTTTCTTCTAACTATTTTAAAGCTTGTTAAATCTATTTTTAAAAGCATTCTTCTTCTTCTTCTTCAAATGAATGATTTTTAACAAGCTAACTTAAAGTATTCAGTATTTTTTTTATTTTTTCTTATTTATCAACAAATCTCTCAAAAATCAGTTTTTAATAGTGATCATAGAAGCTTTTATCTTCTTCTTTAATTAGTTCTACTTCATCTTTTAACTTATTTAGGTATTATTGAATAAGTTAGTTATTTGAAGGTTACTAAAAAGTAAGTTGGTTTAATTCCATTTCAGTATTCTTAATTTTTACTATTACTTACTCTTTGTATGTTGATAAATGTTCTAAAAAAGTTTCTTTCTCATTTTTATTTAGATTTAGATATTTTATACTTTAGTTTGCAATGAAATATTTGTAGAAGCAATAAATATCATAGTTTTCGTCTTCTATCTATTATATATCCTTATCCAACTGCTTTAAAATGGAGTAAATCTTTTATCTTCTCTCATCCAAACTGTCATTAGATTAGTTTAAAATGATTGAATTATACTTATCAAGCGTTTTCAATACTTTTTCCATTTAAAAATAGTATATTCTACAGTATTATTTTTTATTTTAATTTATTTTTTAAAACTTTTTGAGATGTATAATGCCTTTTTCTATCTATAAAATACTTTATTCTAATTAATTAAATATTCTAATACGAACAAACAATTTTTACCATTGAATTTAAATATCAACTTTTTTAAATCCGATTCAATTAATGTTTTATAATTTCTATTTTTGTGGTTATTAATATAAATCATTATAAAAAACAAATTTCTTTCCTTTATTAAAATATTTCGTCATTGTTTTTAAATCAAAAAAGAAAAATAGAAGAGTTAGCAAATAAATTTTTATAAAATACTCTATTGCTTTAAAAAGCTATGCTTAAATTAAATTTAAAAAAAGATACAGAAATTTTTTTAAAAGATGTACCATTTTGATTTATTTTGTCAAAGAAATTTGCTTTTATTTCTTCATCATATCGGATATCTTTTATTTGAAAGTAACTAAAAATACTAAAAAGAGTAATAATATTCTAAAAAGATTTTCTTTTATATTTTAAGAATTCCCCTAACCTAATCTGATTTTGACTTAACTTTGTTAATAATCTATTTAAAAATCAGGATCAATAAATCAAATAATTAAAATATACATCCATTTCAAAGATATAGTTTTAATTAAGTGAAATATATATTTTAATCTATTTAATAATGCAAAATTAAAAGTATTTTATTTAAAATTATATTTTAGTTTAAAGAAGAATTAGTATTGAGCTAAACTTGGAGTATGTTTAAGTCTTTCTAAAAATAATAATTTTATTATTTACTTTTAATATAAATGTAGAAAGATTTAAAATTCCTATTAGATTGAAAATGAGATTGCTATCTAAAAGATTACATTTTTATGAAAAAAAACCAAAGATTTATTTAGAATAATGATGTCATATATTTAAATAATTAATAAAAAATGATCATACAATGTACAAATAAATTAAATTAAATTCGTTTTAATAATCACAATGAGATTGGTGTTATCAAGTTAATTTAAATTTTACAAAACGTAATTGAAATATCTTTCATAATGTAGTAGAAATATTTTTAATAATATTTCATATCAGTTATTCACAAAATAACCAAATATATTTTCGTTTATAGAGAATGAAAATAATTTAATGCTATTTTGATTTATTTTTAGCTAATACTCAAGATAATCATTAAAGCTAATATTATACTTCCGCAAATAAAATAAGTATATGGTATTAAAGAAGATAAAGACTATTGAGTTATCTCAATAATTCTTTTGCTATAAAAAATTAATATGAAATTTGATTTTATTTATTCAAAAAGCAACAAAAAATAATAAAAAAATGCAATAATATTCTAAAAAGATTTTCTTTTATATTTTAAAAATTCCCCTAACCTAAATTTGACTTAATTTTATTAAGATTGAAGTATATATATGTATACTACTCTAGGGTACTGCCTTTTTCAAGGCTATACATCGAAATTTTAGATATTAAGGTAATTAGCTCAAAATTTATCAATATATTATTTTCATTCTGTATATTTGAAAATGATAATAATATTATTTTGTGGGTGCTTTATATTAAATAATATTAGAATTTAAAGCTAAAATTTACTTGATAACACCAATCTCAAGATGATTATAAAAACTTATTTAATATAAGTGATTTGTGCATTATTCATACATGATCATTTTTTATTAATTATTTAAATATATGACATCATTATTCGAAACAAATCTTTGGTTTTTTTTTCTTCAAATCACAAATATCAGAGATATAATCTTTTAGGTAGCAATCTTATATTAAATATAATCAGGAATTACTTTTTCTGCATTTTATTATAAGCAAATAGTAAAATGATTATTTTTAGAAAGAAATCAGCTTTTACTTCAGGTTTAGCTTAACATTCAACTTTAAACTTAAATAGAATGTTAAAAAAAATAGTTTTAATTCTGCATTATAAAATAGACTAAAATATATATGTTATTTAATTAAAACTATATCTTTGGAATGGATATTTTGATTAAGATAAATAGATTGTTTCAATCTTTGTAAAATTAATTTAGGGTCAGATTAGGTTGGGGAAATTCTTAAAATATAAAAGATATTTTTAAAAATATGTTATTGCTTTTTTTATTTTTATTTTTTATTGTTTTCAAATAAAAGATATCTAATACGAAGAGGAGATAAAAGCAAATTTCCTTTACAATTAGAATTAAAATGACATATCTTTAAACAAATATCTCCATCTGTTTTTAAATTTAATTTAAGCATAGCTTTAAAGCAATAAAATTTTTTATAAATGTTTATTAGCTATATCTTCTATTAGTTTTTGAGTAAATATTATTAATAATTTAAAAATAATTACGTAATATTTTAATAATGGAAATAAATATGTTTTTTGTAATCAAATCTATTAATAACCGCAAAAATTTAAATTATAAAACATCAACTGAATCAGATTTAAACAAGCTGATATTTAAATTAATTGGTTAATATTGTTTGTTGGTTTTAGAATATTTAATTAATTAGAATTAAGTATACAATAGATTTTAATAGGCATTATACATCCTCAAAAAGTATAAATAATAAAACAAAATAAAAAATTATAAAAAAATAAAACCATAGAATATAATATTTTGAAATGGAAGAAGTAAAGGAAGCACATGATAAGTATAATTTATTCATTTTAAACTAATAAAATAATGATAGTTTCGAGGACAAAAAATTAATGTTTTAACTCTTTTTAAAGCACATTGAAAATGATATTAAATGTATAGAAGATGAAGACTATGATATGTATTGTTTCTACAAATATTTAATTGCAAATTAAAGTATAAAATACCTTAATCTAAACGAAAATTAGAAAAAAATATTTTTATACCATTTAAAAACATACAAAGTGTCAGTAATAAAAAAAATTAAGAATACTGAAATTGAATTAAATCAACTCAGTTCTTAGTTACCTACAAATAACTAACTTATTCAATAATGCCAAAATAAGTTAAAGGCTGAAGTAGAACTAATTAAGAATGAAGATAAAAGCCTGTATGATAAATATTAAAAACTGATGTCTGAGAGATTTGATGATAAATCAGTAAAAATAAAAAAAATATTGAATGATATAATTGAGCTTATTTCATATAGCTCATTTTAAGAAGACTTTTAAAAATAAATTTTACAAGCTCTTAAATTATTAGAAGAAAGAATAATAATTTTGGAAGAAGAAGAAGAAGAAGAAGAATAAGAAGGCTTTGATCGATATGGATATTATTGTTTTCTGTTAGCATATTATATATAAGAAAACTAAAATTTAAATTCCAAAAATGCTGAAAATTGTGAGAATATAAAAAAAAAATATTTAGATAATATTTTAAATAAAATTGAAAAAATCTATAATAATATCTTAAACATTACCTCTAAATAATCTATAGACTAAGCAAATTTTTAAAAATATCTAAATAGTTTGCAGATTGAAATCTAATTTCTTGAAAAAGAAAATTTTCAAAAATTTGGTTATTATAAATACATAATAGCTGAAAATAAATTAAGCTATCTTAAGCTTAATGAAAAGTAAAAAAAGAAATGTGAATAGGAAAAAAAAATTTTTATGGATTATTACGAATAATAATTATCATTAAAGAGTAAAGAAAATTTTTAAAACGAGAATTTAAAAACCAGAAATATTGACCTCAATATTATAAATTAAAAGTAAATCTAATATAATCAGCTTGATTAATCAACTCCAACTTTAGACGTAAATTTGAGTTAGCATTAAAATTAAGAACAAAAATAAGAAGAAGAAGCAAGAAATTAGAATATAAATACTAGTAATATTTCATCACAGAATTCTTAATATTCCTAAATTCAGAGCTAAATTTAAATCTAAAGTAATCATCTTTTTTAAAAATAAACAACAGTATAATAATCTATTTCTAGTAGTGATAATTTAGATATTTCTAGTTTATCAGAAAATGAATCAGTGATATTATCTTAATTTTAGTATTATGAATAAGAATATAAATAAAAATTAGAAGAAGGAAATGAGAATATAAATACCAGTAATATTTCGTCATAGATTCCCTAATATTCCAAAATTCAGAACTAAATTCAAGTTTTAAGTAATCAAGCTTCTTAAAAATAAACAACAATGTAATAATCAATTTATATTAGTTAAACTTTAGGTATTTCTAACTTATAATAAGATGAATCAAGCATATAATCTTAATTATTCTTATCTAATTAAATATTAAATAAGTCTATTTATGAAAATTAAATTTAAGAAAAAGAAAAATGGAAAAATTAGATTCTTTTCGAATTTTCCAAAAATAATACTGTAGCAAATATTAATACAATTATATCTTAAAGCCAAAAAGACGCATTTGAAACTTAAAAAGTATATTTGATTATGGGAGAAACAGGAGTAGGAAAAAGCAGTTTTGTTTAATATTTAACTGGTGATCCTAGAGCGGAGATAGGTCATTTAGGAAACTCACATACATAAAAATGTAGAACCTTTAAAAAAAACGAATTAAAATTTATAGATTCTCCTGGTATAAATGATACATAGGATGATAGATACTAAATATTACTGAATATTGTGAAATATCTAAAATAATATAAATATAGATTCTAAGATTTATTTATTATTTGCGTATCTAATAAAGATATTAACAACCATCTAAAACATATTTAAGAATTTTCATATACCTACTTTCTTTATGATTTGTTTGGAGATTAAATTAAATTTAAGGATGTGGAATAGCTAGTCGACGAATACTTCTAATCAACTTGCCTTCTCAATTGGCAAGAAGCTGGATTCCACTACTTATAAGACTAATATACTGGAAAAAGAGTAGAAATATTCAAAAAAAAAGATTAAGCTTTAAATTATATTCAATATGCTTAAAATCTTCATATTGTTGTTAAAACATGCTTTGACAAAACTCATCAAGAAAACTTAAAAATATTTAATAATTATAAAGTTGATTTTTTAAAATAACAAATATGGTCAAATAAAAAAGAAAATATTAATGATTTACTAGCATACAAAGAATATATTTAAAGCTAAGAGGTTCATTTATTTAATAAAATTAAAAAAATCATTTAATTCTGGGACGAGGTATAAATTTGGAATTAAGGAGAATAAATCTAACATCTACTTTTAATTGGTGGGTCTTAAGTCGGAAAATCGTCTTTAATTGAGTAATTAAAATAAATTTCAGGACTAAGAGGATCAGGAACAACATCAATAACAAGTTTTTGTTAAATTTTCCTAGTAGAGTATAATAAAGTGAAATACTTTTTCATTGACACACCAGGATTTGAAGGAACAGAAGCTAATTAAAATTAATATCATAATTTAAAAATAATTTCTGATTTTTTAAGGAGAAATAGAATTACAGAATTTAAAGTTCTTTATATGCGTGATGCTGAGAGAGATGTAAGAGACGGAATGCCATAAGTCTTAAATAAACTCTTTTTTTTTATTTAGGAAATGTTTGATTAAGATTCTTCATTTATAGATTCATTATATTTAAGAGAACTAATGACATTTCAATTTTCTTAAACTAATAATTAATCTGATTATATAAAATATTAATTAAATTTAATAGAAAAAAAAATATTAACTATAGAAAGAGTTGAAAAAAGAAATAATAAAGGATTAGTTTACATGAATAAATTTAATAAATAGAGTGTTGAATTCCAAAGTAATTTCTTTACTGAATATGGAAAATTTATTCAAGTTGATATTATAGAAGATGATTTGTAAAAAAAAACTCTATTTGAAGGAGTAAATTAGATAGAACCAATATGTGTTGATGAAAAAATATTTATGAAAATAAAAAAAACAATTAATAGTAAAATAATAAATAATCTGGATGATTATATGACTGCTTTCAAAAAAGTACTTGAATTGTATTAATAATACAACAATATTTTTAATTTAATTAATATTGGAAGGTAGAATAAATAAAATATTTCTAAGGATTTGAATGATTAAAGAATTAAGATAGCCGAAAAATTGAGCAATATTATTTATATTGTTATCGGAGATTTTTAAAATACCCCAGAAATGAAAAATTATATTTCGAAATTATTTCTTAATAAAATATCAAGCAATAACGAATAAAATCATCAAAATGAATTAAACAATAAGGTTTTAAATTCTATACAAAAGCACTTTTTAAAAGCATCATATACACCCTTTCTATTTGAAGCATAATAGAATCCTAATAATATTTTCCTATCTCGAAAGTAGTTATATTACTCGTCATTAGCACATTAATTAAGCCCTTTTTTGAGAAAAAGCAGACCAGACCATTAAAAAATCATAGAAAAACTTTCAATAATTAAAATTCTATAGGAATTAACTTTTCAATCTCATGTTTAATCTAAATAAATAGAATTAGAAATTAATAGCGCTCCAGAAAAAATTATAGATAAGATAGATGCATTTATTTCTGGAATAAATAATATATTTGGGAGTGGAGGATAATTTTTTAGATAATTTTACTTAATTAACAATGTCGTTGAAGATATCTTTAAATTCAAACAAGTATTTAATGTTGCTGCAAAATGGCAAAATTATTTCTTATCTACTATAAGCTTTGGATTTGATGCATATTCATATTCAAAAGGAAAAATATGTAGAAGATAGATGGAATTAATGACCTACTTTAATATAGCCAATACAATTTTACCTTATTGCCTTTCTGTCTCAGGTATTGGGTGGTTAGGTCTATTTGCTTTAGGATTCATAGCTGAAAGATATTTAACTTAAAGTTTTACATCTAGTTAAATATTTGATAAAACATTGGGTTTAGTTTTAAAAACTATTATAGATGATTAGCATCCTAATTAGGTTTTACTTTACTTTTAAAAATCAGAATTTTTAAAACAACACAAAATCACCAATTATTCTTAAACTTAATCAAAAGAGGCGTATGAAATGTTCAGATAACTAGAAGAAAAAAATTATAAATCAGGAGAATAGAATAAATTTCTCCTAAAGCTATTCAATTAAAGTGAGTAACCTAAAAGATTAAAAGATGAAATTTCTAAGCATATAGTTAAGAATATCATATCAAAACATTTTTAATTTGAATTTGAGTAAATTTAAGGTTAAAATCTCATTTAAGGTATAGAAAAATAGCTAAAAAGTAATAAGTAAATAATTGATACTTTTTATCAAAGATTTAATTTTAACAATCTACTTAAAAATATTAAATAGGATTAAAAAAAATTAAAAGAAACTTTGCATTAAAATGAAAAACAAACTAATATTTGCTTACATGACGATACAGATTTTTTATAAAAGCTAAATACCTATCAATAATCTTTAAATGTATTTATTAAACATATAGAAAATACTAGTTATAATTATAAAGAACAAAAAGAATTTTGTGAAAAGATACCTTTAAGTAAGTGTCAGTATTATCCCATAACTTTTAAAGGTTATTGTAATTTAGTTCATTAAAAAAGCTAATACATTTTTATGTAAGATACCATAAGCGAAATTTTCAAAAACAATAATTGTTTTGAGGTGAAACCTGAAAATAATTTTAACCATGAATTTTTTTAATTTTAAAATGACGATGAATTAACATATTACCTCAACTTGTTAATTTTAAGCGATAAATTTATTACAAGTAGGTATATATTAAAAGTTAAAGGTAATAAATAACCTTATTTAAGTTTTATGAATGGTACAGAAGTTATTGATGCTGAAGTTGAATATTCAATCGATTTATTCCAAAAAGCAAATGAATCATTTAATTTGAAAGACTTTGTTGAAATAATAAAAATTGAAACTAAGAATTAATTTAATATTGATAAAGAAATATATTTGAGATTAAAAAACTTCTTTGAATCAATAGGTAATTTGAAGTAAATTTTTGGATGACACTCTGTTAACTTTTAGAATAAAACTCAAATAAATTTAATAAAAATGAGATAGTCTAAAAATACTAATAAATAAGGTTTAAATTTATTTTTTTAACACTAAAGTTGTTATCCGTTATTTGTAGAGTGTAAAATTAATTTTAGATATAAGGTATTTAATGTATATAATCTTACCAAATAAATAAAATACATATATTATTGTAGGGCTCTTCAAATACTAATAGAATCACCCTTTTTTTAAATTATATGAAGAATTCTTAACAAATTAAAATACTTTATTTTTTTTAATTTTATTTTAATGTAAATATATTACTATATATATATATATATATTAGATAATAACTTTAGTTTAAATAAAATATATTTTAATCATTATTTATTAATAATATTTTTAGATTATCTTATTTTTTTAAATTAATTTGAAGTCCAAAAAATAAAAAAAAATTATCGAAAATTTTTTTCAACTAGAAACTCAATCCTAATGAATTAAATATTCTAAAATCTACAAACAGTTTTTACCATTTAATTTAAATATAAGCTTGTTTGAATCTGATTCAGTTGATTTTTTTAATTTAAATTTTTGTGGTTATTAAAATAAGTGATTATAAAACACATTTTTTTCCATAATTAATTCATTATTCTGTCATTTTTTTAAATAATTAATAATATTTACTCAAAAACAAATAAACATAATTAAAATAATTTATTGTTTTAACGCTAAGCTTAAATTAAATTTAATTTAAAAAAAGGATGAATATTATTTTTTAAAAAAGGTTTACTTTTTTAATCTTTTAAAAGAAATTTGCTTTTATTTGCTAATTATATCAGATGTCTTTTATTAGAAAAGCAACAAAAAATACTAAAAAAGATAATAACAAACTAATCAGATTTTTTATATATATTTTAAGATTCCCTTACCTAATCTGAATCTGACTTAATTTTATTAAAATTGAAGCAGCCTATTTATCTAAATAAAATAATCAAAATATCCATCCATTCCAAAGATATAGTTTTAATTAAATAACATATATTTTTTAATCTATTTTATAATACAAAATTAAAAGTATTTTGTTTAACATTCTGTTGAAGTTTAAAGATGAATGTTAAGCTAAACCTGCAGTATATATTTATGTCTTTTTAAAAATAATAATTTTCTTTTTGCTTATAATAAAAATGCAGAAAAGTTTTTATTCCCAATAAAATAAGATTGCTACCTAAAAGATTACATTTTGAATACTTAAGTTTTGAGAAAAATACCAAAGATTTGTAGAATACATCATATATTTAAATGCTTAATAAAAAATAATCATGCAATAATAATGCATAAATAATTTAAATCACATATTGATATTGACGTTATCACTTAATTTAAGTAATTATAATTGCAATATTATTTCATAATATAGTAGAAAATTTTATTGCACCTTTATTTTTTTGTTATGATAACAAAATTGGTAATTAATCTATTTTTTCATTTATCAATTTTCTTTATTAATTTTCATTTATATTTGATTAATTTCACTATACTTCATAGCTAAGCGCTTCATCTCACATCTAGGTTTTGCCCCATATAGCGAACTTCCTCACCTGTGAAATTTATTTATTTTTTTAATGTTTTTTCAACAACCTAAGAAATAAGGTGATTGAGAGTCAATTCTGGTGATTAATAGCAGCTACTGATAGGATATTTGGGGTTTACAGGGGTAAATTTGAAAAATCCTGTTTTAGTAGGAGCAAGAGGGAATTTTTAAAGAAATTATGGGGAGATAAAATCAACTTACAATATATTCAAAGATAAATTTTTTTTAATAAAGTATTATCTGTCTCAAATTTTAACTCTTCTAAAAAACTTTACTTATTAAATTATTAATCATAATATAATAGAGCTAATACTAAATACTCAAAAAAAAATTATAACAATTAAATAAATAAAATTTCCAATGCTATTTATACTAACTTAAGGGAAAATTTTAAACCTTAACCATTTGAAAAAAAATTACAAGTGAAAAGAAAACCTATAAAGGAGTGTTCCACTTAACTTTAATTATTTATTTTATAGCATAGCTTATATTTGATTAAGTTAAATGATTAAAAGCATTTAAAAATAAAAGCTATTTTGATTGAATTTTATTTAAAAAATTGTGCATAATTTAGATAATTTTAATTATGAAAGTTAATTTAATTTATTTATAGACAAAATAAAAAATAATTAATTAATTACATTAAAATTTAGATAATTATTAATTATATTAAAATAAAATATTTTATAATCATTATCTTGTAAGTAAGAAGTTGAAAAGCTAAAGAACAAGAGGGATAAAGTTCTAATGTTTCGACTTACATATAACTTTACAAGAAGTATCGCTTACATAGCTAATTTCTATACAAAATATAAAATCTTCTCCAGTTTTACAAGAAAAGAAGAAAGTTCCTAAATTATTAATATTAATAATTATTATTCTTAAAAAAATGTTTTTAAAATTGTTCTAAATTAAAAAATGAATAACTCAATTGATTAATTAATTAATTACCTTGTCCTGAAGGAGATGGACGAGTTGCAACATGGAATATATTATTTCTTTTCAAATGAGCTTTAATTACATTTTCTTGATAATAGTTTTTATTGAAATTGTTTTTTACTTCAAAAGATAATTCTGGTTAGCCCATCCAAAACTTTTTGAAATCTTCTTTAGTTAATTCGCCATCTGGCAACTTTTTTAGTAAAAATTATATTTATTTAAGTTAATTAAAAATTATTTTTAAGTAGTTACCATAAAAATGTGATATAAACATGGGACTTAGAATAAGAAAACATCCAAACTACATTTTAATCCAACTGTAAAAAGAAGTGGAATAGAAGGAGGATTTGGATCTTTATTTCCTGAATTGTTAATTTTTATTTTAAAAGCTTAAGTTGTTAGAGGATTTAATGAAACATTAGGGAAGGCTTCTGGCTTAAATCCAAAGTAGTTTTATCTCATTTACAATAGGAAATTGCTTATTGCAACTTGTGTATGATTTGTGATAACTAAATTTAAGTAAACTGTATTATTTTCATTTATAAAGTTAGCCTTTACGCTTAATCCACTCTAACCAGCATTACCCTTCACGTCTTATTTGAGTACTTCCTAATATTTTTAAAAATAGCATAATATGCTTTCATATTTAACTAATTAAAAAAATCTACTTCTGCAGGTACTTCAGTAAATGATTCAATTTATGGTTGTTAAGAAGGAATGATAGGATCTCCAAACATATCAACTTCAACTGATTATCCACCTAGAGGTTAAATTTAAATAGGTGGAGCAGGTTGAGAAGTGATAGTAGTTGTAGGTTGTTAAAACTAAATTCCAGACATGTTGTATAAATCTAATCCACTTTATTATTATGTTGGACTGCTTATTTAATTTGGAATTTGTTAAACAGGAGCAACATTGTCATTTGCATCAATTAAATCAATCAAATCTTATGTTTTAGAAGTTTTTAATTCAGGCTAAGCAATTTCAGGAGTTGTTTATGGTTGATGATCACCTACATCTAAAAGATCAATATTTCCTTAAGAGCTTGGAGCTTTTGCTTCATTGCTTTTTTCTGATGAAATACTGCTTGTATTATTCTTTTAACTTATTTCTTTCTTGAGATTTTCAATGTTGATAATAATAGGTCTAATTTTTTATCATTTGAATAAATTTTAACAAATATTTTTGAGATTAAATAAATTTTTTACTTTCTTCTCATTATCGATTCATGCTTGAACATTTCTTCTGGCACTTTAGAGAAAATTGAACTTACACAACCTAAAGTTAAAATCATTTTTTCAATGAATTCAGGATCAGTAACAATCTTTAGTTCTTCTATTTTAGGCTTGTTGCATAAAACAGTGTCTTAGGTCTTCTTAGGATCTGTAGCTAACATTCTCCAGTACATGTAAGCTCTTTTTAAATGAGAAAATTATTAGAAAAAGAAAGAAAAAAAAATAAAAATAAACCTATCTCTAACATCAGGATTTTAATTGTCTTCAGCTGCTACTTAAAGAAGATGAATGATAAGTTATTAAGAATCTTATGGATATTTAACAAAAATTTTAACTGATGCAGTCAAAATTTCTAACTAGACGAGTCTTTCTTCTTAAGAAAAGCTAATTTTTATTAGAAAGAAAAAAATAAATAATGAAATTTGAAAAAAATATGCTTTATTAAGAAAATATTAAATAAGAATTTCTCTTTAAAGAGATTAACCAGAGATAAAATATATTTTGTTTACTTTTCTGCCATCTTTTAAATAATTTAAAGAGAGTCATCGATATACTCTGCATATTCTCCAACTATCCATGCAGCTGAAGCCTTAGATCTTGGATCATAAGTCTCACTGATTAAAGGTGTTATGAGTTTCATCGTATCTCTATTTTTAGGATTTATGACTCTATATTTACGGAAGATCTTCTGAAGAGTAATAAAAATTTCTTGAATATATTCAGAGCAAGAGTGTACATTTTAACTTGATTGGATGTTTTTAATGACTTCTACAATAATTTAGAATGCCCTTTGAATAATAATAATTTATTAAGCTATTAATAAATTAACTTATTTTACTTATCACAAGCTTAATCATATCTAACTGCAATACTTCCAAGAGCTTTAATAGATCTTTTAACGAATTCAGTATCAGATTCTGCAACATAGGCACTTAATTCATTCAATAAATCATCTAAATTCTTCTCATTACATATTTTGACTAATACTTCCAATTTCTCGTTTTTCACATAGTAAGGTTCATTGAAAAAGCAGAAAAAGGATTTCAACTTTTGATCCATAATATTAGGTCTCTTTTGGAGAATGTGCAAAATGGATTTTAGAATAACATATTTGACTTCGGGCTTATCCCAATTCAAAAGGGAAACTTTTATTGTTTTTGTTGTAATTAATTATATTTAAAAGTAATTAAATCAATAAATACCTAAAGATGGAGAGAGTTTCTTTAAAATACTGTCAACTAATTCATTTTTAGTGATATATTCAAGGAATCTTAAAACAACCTTGATAGTGCTTAAAACTACTGCAGGATTAATATGATTTAATCTTGGAAGAACTCTTTCTATAATCCTTGAAAAAATGAATAAATTAGAATGAATTTATTTATAAAAAATAAATGTACAATTCTGCTTCTTGGTCATTTGCTGCTTAGTAGTCTGCAAGCTAATCTAAAATAGATATCTAACCCCATTCTATTTAAAAATTATAATAAATTAATTATAAATTTAGAAAGAAAATTCTATTTTTTTTAATTTGCATAATTTTTAGATATTTCGATTATTTTGCTTGCATATCTTTTCTTATTCTACATAATAATTAATACTTTATTGATAAAATATCTTTCAACAATTATTTGAAAAATTGCATAATTTAATACCTGCGCATTCATTAATAGCAACAAGCAGCTTCTTCAAATTATCTGAGTTTATTGTTGGTATTAACTGTCCCCTAATGTTGTAATAATCAACATAAATATTTAATATATCGCTTTTTTATTTGAATTTATCAAATTACTTCATATATGATATTTCTTATAATGACAATAGAAGATTTGCTAAAACTAAACCATTTGATTCTGTATTTAACAATTATTGCATCATAGCTATTAACCCAGCTTCTTCTATTAACTAAGGGGAAACTTCATAGACTTTAGGTACACACAAAGCAGCTGTTTTTCTGACATAGGGTTCTACATCTTCTAAACAATTTTTGAGAGGAGAAACTAAATATTCATTTAATTTGTGCACTCTCAAACAACCAATAGTCCTAACTGCTAATGCTCTTAACAAAGGATTTCCTGATTTTATATTGAAAAATAATATTACTTTTCTGTATTAATTCCTTAAAAATTTTTTGAATTTTATGCTAGTTGATATTTGCTCATCCAAACCGACTATCTAACTAACTAAATTAATCAATAAATTCATCTCATATCTTTTATAATAAAAATTTATAAACAAATAACCTTTATTTTCCATATCTTTTCTAAAAAGATTGACAACCATAATTGAATCATCAGGCTTGTCACGAGAGTAATTGATAATATACAAATAGACCAATTTTTTTAACTAGATATCAGGGTATTAAAGGCATTTTAAGACAGATTGGAATAGAGGTGAAACATCTTTTCCGACTGTCATATTTGCTATAATTTTCTTGACGGCATACAATTTTGTTTCAAATTCATCAGAATTTAATTCCTGCTCCAAATCGTATAGCTCTCCTTTGCTTGTTTAATTATCGAAATAGGCCATTTTTATTAATTGCTTGATATTTTTGTTTGCTTTTGATCAATTTTATATGCAAATTACTACCTAATTATTTTTTTTTTGATACTAACCAGATTAATTATTTCAATATACAAATTTTTTTTGATTAATGATATTGAAAATTTTTGTTCAATTTTTATTGTTTTTGGATATAAATCTAAATTTTTTATTTATTTATTTGCTTTCTTGCTTGCTTGCTTGTTTGTTTCCTTTCTCTTTATTTAGATTCTCTTTCAAACATGCGCACATTTATTCACCAGCATCCATTTGGTTATTTACTAATTTTGAAAAAATATCAATTCTTTTAATTTCTTATGAGGCATAGTGTTAAATTTAAATTCATATAAATAACCTTTTAGAAAAATATTCATTACCAATAAGCAATTACTGTCTTTTAGTGTTTATTTTCAAAATTAATCTAATCATCCACATGATATTAAAATTGATAATTAAATAGAGCTATGCATAAATATTTAAAATAAAATGCCATTTAAAAATTAATTTTTAAAGTAAAATAAAAGCAGAGTTACAACTTTTCTCTTAAAAATTTTTAAAAGCTATTACTGAAAAATATTTCTGTTTTAATTTTCAATTTCTTTAAGAAGAATAGTATAAATAGTAATAATAAATATAAATAGAATACAGCAAAAGCTATTTGAGGTATTTTTTACATAATTATTTTTAAATAGAACAAAGATTTAGTTTCTTCAACATCTTTTTAATATCTTAATCGTCTTTTAGGATAGGTTACCAAGTTAAAATATTCATTAATATTCCAAAAAAATTTATGAGATTTTATTAATTTTACCAATTAAACTCAAAATCAGCTAAAAATTGAATGTAAAAACTAAAAAGTAAAAATTTATTTTATTTGAAAAATTAATTTTCATTGATATTAGTTATCATTTAAGTAAATTTATGGCATTAGAAATATAATTTTTATTGAGATTCATAAACATTTTAGTAATATTTTTATATAAAAAGTGTGTTATATTAAAACAAACTAAAAGTTTACTAAATTTAAGCTAAATGCTTGGCGTTTCTCTTTTTTTTAACTAATTGATTATACAAAGCAAAATTTAGCAAGATTTAATTAGAGATTTCGCGGTAGAGATTAGCAACAAATAAATCTTAGCTTTAAATTATCAAAGAATTTGAATTCAAAACAAAAAATTTTATAAATATTAAAAAATATCCAAAAATAATATCAAAAAATCTAATATCATTCATTCCTTTGCTATTAATTACGAAATGAGCCACTAAAGAAAAACTCAAAAGAAGAAGACTAACCAAAAAGAAAAGCCTGTTAAACCTGAAGGACCTTTCTTTTTATTCAAGAATGAAGTATTAAGTGATATCTAGAAAGATTTACCTGATGAATCTCTCTCTAAAATCAATGAAAAGATTTCAGAATAATGGAATGGCTTATCAGAAAAAAAAAAGAAAAAGTATGAGGACGAACACTTGAAGCTTCTCGAGGAGTATGAACATCACTTAAAAGAGTGGAATGAGTAGCATGCTCCTGCTGATAATGAAGAATAAAATAAAGAAGAAGAAACTGATAAAGTAAAAGAAATGGAAGCTGATAGTCATCCTACTCCTAATCGTAAAGGTATTAAAAAGTCAAAATCAACTACTAGTGGTTCCAGATCAAATGCAAGGGCCTCTTAAAAGAAGGCTTCAGCTAGTAAAAGCAAGGACGCAAAGAAGGCAACAAATAGAAGTGGATCTAAGAACAAATCTAACAATAAGAGTAGAGGAAGCTCATCAAGCTCTTCTAAAAGAAATTCTTCTAACTCTAAATCTAAAGACCAAAAGAAAGCCAACAATGAAAGAAGTTAATCTAAGAATAATAGAAATTCCAGAAAATAGAATCACACTGATGAAAAGCATACTGACAACACTAAAGTTATGGAAGCTGAAAAATCATCAAGCAAGTCAAGAAAAAATTCCAAATCTAAAGAACCTTCTAAGTAGAAAGAAAGAAATTCAACTTCTAAATCAAAAGGAAATTAATCTAGAAGTAACTCAAAATCAAAGCAAGTAGGAAAAGTCGTAAAGATGCCTAGAAAATCAAATAAAATGGAAGCTGAAAATACATCTAGAAATAGTTCTAAATCCAAATCTAGAGGAAGAAATAACTCCTCAAAAAAAAGATAGTCAAATTCAAAGTCTAAGACAAGACAGGAATAATCTCAAAAAAAGAGAAATTAAATGAGTGTTGAGAAATCAGCCACTAAGCCAAGAGGAAGGTCTTAAGTTAAAAAATCTATGGAAACTGAACACAATGTCTAGAGAAGTTCTTCAAAGTCTAAATCCAAATCCTCTAAGAAGCACTCAAAAGCAAAAGAAGGTTCTAAATCTAGAAAAAACTCTCAATCAAAGCAAAGAAGCAGCTCTAAATCTAGAAATATTTCATAATAAAAATCAAGAAACAACTCAAAAGCAAAATCAAGAAATAACTCTAAGTCGAAATCAAGAAATAATTCTAAGTCAAAATCAAGAAGAGATTCAAAATAAGCTCAATCTAAGTCTAAACATGCAGGTGATTCAAAATCAAAATCCAGAAACAATTCAAAGGCAAAATCTAGAAATAACTCTAAATCTAAATCTAGAAACAATTCTAAGTCAAAATCTAGAAACAACTCTAAGTCAAAATCAAGAAATAACTCTAAATCTAAAAGAAGAAGCTCTAAGTAAATGCATGCAGAAACTAGTTCTACTAGAAAAAGATCTGTATCTAAAGGTAGAAGTAGTTCTAAATCAAAAAAAGAATCCTAATCAAAATCTAGAAATGGTTCTAAATCTAAATCAAAAGTGAATGAAAGTAAAAGCAAGGATGAACATGCTTCAATTTCAAATTAAAAATCATCTAAAAAGGAATAACATTAGAATCATGATGGCTAAGATGAAGTCTAAGAACATAAAAATAACCATAATTCTTCTAAATCTTCAAAAATGAGCAACCATGTCGTTTCAAGATAGGCATCAAATCTCAATGACAAAGTTTAATCTGAAGATCAAAAGTTAATAAATTAACAATCCGACATGGTTAGTTCTTAAAAATCTAATAAAGTGAATGTTTCTTTGAGTTCTTCTTAAGTTAAAAATACCCATCAACATGCTGATATTGCAACTATCCAACCTGATTCTTAAAAGAATTCTAAATAAAAGGTTGCTTCCATTCATAATAGCTAAGTTTAAGATACTCATGCTGTTTAAAATGCTGATAATGGCTTACAATAAATGAATGCTGAACAATGAAAGATAACATAAAAAAATAAATGAGGAATAAAGAAAATATTTGTAACTAAAAACCTATTTGAAATATAAATATAAATAAAATAACAACACACATTTTTGAGATTTCACAAATTAAAAATATAAAAGAAAACTACAAAACAAACTAAATAACTATCTACCTATCTATATTTTTCCACTAATTACCCAAACAAACTTTATAAATTTTCTTTAAACTAAGATAAATTGATTAGAAATTAAATTTTAAGATTTTATCTTATTAGTATAATTCATATTTATTTATAAAATTAAAATATTTATCATTTTTTTGTTTTCTTTTATAAAAACTAACTCTCATATTTTTGCATGCAATTAGATTTATTTCTGTTTATATTATATTAATTTCTATAGTTTTAATATAAATTTTATTTAATAAATAAAAAATTTACTAAATTAATTATTATTTTATCATATCAATAAACAGATTGATCATGTTAAATTTTTATTTAATGTTAAATTTTTATTTTAAATTCAAAATTTAATAAAACTAATCATAAAACTTTCCTTTCACTTAAATATGGCTTTTACATTTTTAAAAAATTCATATTTTTGTTGTTTTAATTCTAAACTTTTATAAAATACTAAATACTTTTAAATAAAATTATTAGTTTTTTAACAATTTTTTTACTATTTATAATTTAATTGTTATATTATCATTAAAATAATAATTGATTCTATTTGGTATTAAGGTTGTTTATATTATTAAATAAAAATTTAGAAATTAGAATTGTGGCAGATTGGATTTTTTTAACATACATTTTATTTGTTTTGAAAATTAAAAATAGATTCTAATAAGTAAATGACTGACTGATAGGATAGTTATTAGAATACTTAAAACTTCAAAGAAAATATATAAGAAATATATATATTGTCACAAATTAAAATAATCTAAAAAATTTATTATCAATTAAAATATCTTCAAAATAATAAATAAGAAAGGGCAGCAATCATAATAGATAAAAAGAAATCAAGTTGTTTAGAAGAGGTAGAACTAGTTTCTTTTGGCTTTGCATCATCACAATATTGAGAAGTAGCTTTAAGATCAATATGTTTATCAGTATTGTAATTTGTTTTAATGATGTAGATATCAACTATGTCATTGCCTATTTTAACGTTTTAAATCTTTTGAGTAAGAGTTTATTCTTATTACATGAAGAATCCATTTTAGTATTAAGTTTGAAGAGGTCCATTGTTAGTAAACAAAGATTCTAAAACTGCATTAGACTAGAATGCTTAAAACTTATCAATCTTTAAAGTAATGTGAGGACATTTGTTGGCAATATTAATTGAAGGAGCGGGGAAAACGGGTGTGCACATAATAGCTCCAGGAACATAGACAAATGTAGAAGATTGGAGAGTGTAAGTTTTACCAGGTACAAATTGCTTATAGTATTCTGATTCCATGTTTTTAGGATCATAACCAAGATAGAAAACTGTAGTGTGGAAGTCAGCTGGGTTTTACCAGGGTAAGGTTGGATTAGCAGTAGACAAAGATTTCATGTCTTAGTCGATCAAAGCAGCAGCTTCTGGGTATTTTTGTTTTAAGTTAGCCATTTATTATACGATGAAATCTTAAACTTATGCACTTGCAATTTTAGTGTCAGCTACTAAAGCTAAATATTAAGGTACTGACTAAGATGCATTATTATCACAGACAGTAAATCCTACATTAAGTACCAAAAAGAAAAGGCAAATAGCTTGTAATTTTACCATTTTTGTCTTTTTATTTAATTATTTTAAGTTTAGAGAAGTTTATTAATATTTAATATTTAAATTATTTATTATATTTATTTATGTAAGATATTTATGATCCATATTTAAATAAAAAAATGAATTAAAGATATAGCATACATAAATAGGATGACAAAAATTTTTTAAATATTTCAAATATTTATTAATTAGCTGAACTAGAACTTTTAAAATTAAGCATTTAATTAATAACCTTATTCTTTTTTATTTCTTCTTGAATATTTGGGGTCCCTTCTTTATATATACTTACTTCTAGTGATATATTACCATTTTTCTAACTAAAATTAAATCGTATTAAGCAAGCTCATATACGTAGGCTAAACTTTAATTAAGTTTGTGATCTACCATTAAAAATATGATTAAAATTAATATCAATTATATTTGATAGTAAAATTACATTTTTTACAAATTTAAATTTATTAATTAAATTTACGTTCAAGCTGAAATAAAATTATTTTTCTTTTTAAATTTCTTAAGAGGAAGTTAAAAACAAAGCAAAAATAAAAAGTTAAAAAATTTTGTAGATGTATTAAGAATGATCAAATAATCAAATTATAAAATTTATAATGAGTAAAAAATGTTAAGCTACGTTAAGCATATTAATATAACTAAAATAATCTTTGCAGTCAAATGCAATTTGAAGTCTTTATTTACTAGTAATATAACTAATATGTACCAATTATTATTTATTTGCAAAATAAATTCTATTAATTTATTCATATTTTTATAGATTATTTAACATATTTATTTATTAAAGGTTAAGCATGCTTTCATATTCTCATTTTATAATTATTTAATAACTTAGATATTTATCATGCCTTACAAAAAATTATACAAAGTTGTGACTTAAAATTTCAGAATTAATACTATTTTTCTAGTAAGAAATTCAATAATGTACCATTAAGCTTTTGTTTAGTAAATACTATTTTTAATAATCTATTTATTTAAGATAATATTTTATAAATATCGATTGGATTATATTAATGATTATTTTTATAAATGTTTTTTTCATTGAATATTTTTATAATAAATTTTTTGTAACTTTTAAAATAATTTATAAAATATTTTTAAAATTTGTTTTTCACTCTTTCTTCACTTTAGTTTTTCTTATTATATGGAAAAAATAAATTTAACTTTAATGAAAAGAATCTATTATCAGTTTATTATTTATTAATATTTACTAAATTAAATTAAAAAATAAATAAATAAATTTAAATATAATTTTATAAATTAAAAAAATGATAAAATTTTAATGTCTTCAAATAAAAACATTATTATAAAAAAATTAGTTTCTAAAATTTAAAATACAGAAAAAAGTTATAAAGCTTCATAAATGTCAATTTAAAAACTTAATATATATTCTAATTTATTTAGTCTTTGTATTAATTTATTTGTTTAATATTAACCAAATTACTAAATTATTTTATTAAATTTTATTGATTTTATTAGAAAATCATTTTTCATTTCAATAAATTAAATTTAATACAATTTAGATTTAGAAGTTAGTAAATCCACCCACCATATGTAGATCAATTTCTAATATAAAATATTAATCCTACTAATATCCAAAGAAAACTTTTATTAGCAATATAAATAAATAAAAGAAACTTAAATTTGGCTAAAAATATTGAAAATAGATTCTTATGGATTGGGAAAAAGTTTTATTTACTGATGAAAGTAGTTTTCGCCCACATAATTCTGATGGGTGAATAAAAACTTGGAAAAAGCCTGAAGAACCATTCTATGAAGAAAATTATCAATATTCAGTGGTTAATCATAGTCTCTCTTAGTTTGGGGAGCTTTGTATATACAGGATGCAGGGCTTTTAGTCTAAGCACATAGGATTCTAGATGCTAATAGTTACTTAGATTTGTTTCGCTATCGGCTAAGGAGCTAATATCCTGGTCTTTATTATGGTCATTAGATTTTCTAAGACGATAATGCTCCAATTCATAAAGCTAATATTGTCTAAGAATGATTTAATTCATATAGAATTTTCAACACTAGATTGGTCTCCAAATAGCCCGTATATAAATATTATTGAAAATTTGTGGGGCTATTTGAATGTCTAATTAAAAGGATATAATTTTTTAGAATAAAGAAGACCTTTAGAAAGAATTTCATTTTTAATGGAAAATAATCTTATTTGAAATAGTTATCAATTTATATGAAAGCCGACCTAATAGGATTTATAGTATAATATAATCTAGAGGAGGGAACACTAAATATTGATTTAATGATAACTATACATATATTCAATCATAAAACAATAACTTTTTTAGCAAAATATTTTTTTTTTTAATTTAGGATTTTATAAAATTTTATACTTCTTTTTAATTCTTTTAGAAAAGAGTATTTATTTTGTAATAAAACTAAACCAAATTATAGAGTTTTATAAGGACTATCCAATACACCATTATTCATTATAAAAATCATCTTCATTCATTTAATATTACATTTTATATAGAACTTTATCAAACACACTTTATTATTAAAGAAAAAAATGATTAAAATGAATAAATACTTTATTTACTATTATTTTATATTTATTCTAATTTCCAGATTTTTTTTTTAATTTAATATTTCCATCTTATTTATTAACCTTTATTACTCATACCATTAAATGTATAACAAAATTAATGTAAAATAAAGTTAAAATATTTTTTAAAGAAAATTCATTTTTCAGAAGTTTAAATATTTTTAAATTATTTTGTGAAAACTTGTGTTCAATTTCATTTACTTTTTAATTTGGATATCATAAAATTAATTTTATACATTTAAATTTCAATAATTATAATAACTCATATTTCTTAGAATTTATTTTCTGTTCTTGATTTATTCTTTAAATTACTTCATGTATTTCAGATGAATACGCAGACTCTCTATTGTTAAGCAGAATTGATATTTTCTCTCTTGGCTTTGTAAATCCTGAACAAATATGAATATTTCTGCTAGGAGAAAATACACATTTAGTCTGTCTGGCTTCCTATCACGTTATCGATGCTTCTTAAGGAAAGAACTATAAATTGAGGAGGTCATTTAATGAGACCAATTAAGTTCTATTATTTCATTTAAGAAAGTTTAGATAGCTCTTTCAAGCTATTATTTTTCTTTATTATTTTATTTAGTAGGAATAAGCTTGACTTCATTTAATTTTTCATCTATCAATCTCTTCAAAATATATAAATCTTCCTTCAACAACTGAAAAGATTGAAGCTCTTCCTCCACCTACTAATTCTTTTTAATTACCTTAATTTGAAAAAAGATATGATTTCTAGAAAGCAATTAATTTAGTAAGGTAAGTACCTTTAGTTGAGATCAGTTGCAGCTCTCATAAAGTCTATCAAATCTTAAAAGATGACTTGAGCAGAAGGTTCTACTGGAAAAACTATGAGGCATACCAATTATCTAACACTAAAGTTTGAAAGCCATTATGTAAAGAAAAAGGGTCTGATTGTGAGCAATATATTTATTTAGTCCAATATGAAAATGAAATAGAATAAAATTCGATTGTTCAAAATTAAATATTTTTTAAAAAGAAAATTTGACTTTGATATTAGAATATTAGTAAATTAGAATATTAAATCTTTATAAAATACCTTCTCAAAAAAGTACTATTAATTTAAATATAATAATTAGTTTTTTATCAAAGAAATTAAAGAAAAAAAATTAAATAAAATACTGTAATAGTGCAGATGCAGAATATCATTTAAAGTTTATTGTATAAAAGTAATCAAACATTACTAGAATAACTAGGTTAGGGATAAATGATATATTAATAGTTTATGACTGAAGTTATTGATTATCTTTAAAACCATTTAGAATCTTTACAAAAAAGCAAGCTTCGTTAGCTTTTTAGTTCTAATTCAAGTAGAGCCAAACAAATTTAGTAAGAAATCGAAAAAATGCAAATAAAAGCTAAATAAAATTACAAAAATTTCACTTTAGAGATTAAAAAGTTAGCAGAAAACTAAATTGATTATATATAATAACACATTATGAAGGAAATAGAATAAATGAAAAAATGTAACACTTATACACAATAATAAATTGATGACTTAAAAGACATTCTTAATTAAATTGTGAAATTAATAAGCAAAACTTTTGTTCAAGAACATGGTGAGTATAACTCAAAATTAGTAAATTATCATTTTTTTGCGAATGCTGTATTATAAATTGGATCAATTGGAGTTTATTATTTATTTGGACTTTCAGCTTGTGCATTAGTGGGTTCACTGACTGCTTTAATTGGTGTTTTTTAAATGGAACATTTAGATGAGAAATATAGAAATAAAATATAATCTTGTATTGATGATGTTAAGTAAATGAAAAAAAAATAAAAAGTTGAAGCAGATAATGAACTTAATTTGGTAAAAGAACAGCTATAGCAAGAAACAAATAAAATAATTATGAAGGTTGCTTCTAGTTTTTAGTCTGAGGAATGTATATTATGGTTAGATCAGAATATATCTAGCAGTGAGAATAGACAATATTGCTAAAAAATTCAAGATTCTTTTCCAAATAAGATATTTTGCTTCACACATAATAAAGAAGAATTCATATAGCATTTAAAATAGAGCTCTGTTGCATATATAATCATATCAGGTTCATATGGGAAATAGATGATGAAGGATCTTCTCTTATATTCAGGGATAAAAACAATAATAGTATTCTGTTATGATATAGAAATACACAAATGGGCTATGGACTATTAGATAGTTGCCAAAGTAGTTAACGTATTTCAGGATGTTATTTAAGTATTGAGTGATTTAGTGAACTAACATACCCTAATAGGAGCTTGTCAACTGAGGTAATTTCCAAATTTCTTAAAGAAAAATAGTATTTACTATTTAAGTAAGGAGTTTTCAGAAAAAGGGTTAAGCTAAAAAACCTCAGTGGATGCTTTGTCAATAGTTAATGACTCTCTTAAATAATATCCTGAAAGGATTAAATAAAAGTATTTTTAATTTCTTACTTCAAAAGAATTAAAAATTCTTGAAAATCAGATTAAGTTTGCTTTATAAAATAATTAAGAAGTTAATGATTAAATTTAAATTTAAAAACGAATAAAAGAAATAATTAAGCTCTATACTTATGAAGGACCCTTTTACAAAATGTTAAATACTATTTTAAATATTTTGAACCAAGAATAGATTGATACGTACTCTTAAGTAATAAAATTAATGAGATATGCTTTATTTAACTATAATGACAGATAAAAAGAAATATTCAGTGACAAATAATTCAGATTGTATAGGGGTATCAATTTTGATCCAAGTCTTTTTAAGAAATAAAATAGAATAAATGAAGTTTTTATCTTCCCTGCATTCACATCGACTACTCCTGATTTTGAAATTGCAAAACAATTTTCTCAACAAAATAAACTTGTCATTGAAATTAGTTTTGATGAAAAACTATTTGGAAAAGACTTTAATATGTTGAGACCCAAAAAAATTCTTGCAGAGGATTCATACTATCCAAGCGAAAATGAATTTTTATTTCCTTGCTTTTCTGCATTTTTAATACTGGGTTATATTGAAAAAAATGGTTACACAATAGCATAAACAAGGTTTATAGATTTAAGTGAAACTAATGAATGAAGCGCTTATTAAATCTACTTATTTAGACTATAATAAAAAAATTATTTGCATTTGATAATTAATTAATTATATATTAAGATACACACATCAAATAAGAAATATATTAATAATTAATTGATATTTTAATATTTTTGAATTCACAAATAAATATTAATATGAATTAAATTATAAAATATTGTTAAAATTAATAATAATTGATTGTATTAATGAATAACTACACATTTTATATATTATATAGAACTAATTTTTTATTTTTATTGACCTTAAAATAAATAAACTCATTAGTTTTAGATTAAAATAATTAGCTATATTTTAAATCTTATTTTAATTTTAAGTAAAAAATTTTACTCATTATCAATTTAATTTACTACTTTGCCTTAACAAAATTAATTAAACTTTATATTTTCAAATAGTGGCGTAAAAGTAGTAAATTTATTAATAAAATAAATGATAAAATTAATAGAATGGGCCATCAATAGCTTTTACACAAATTCGATAGAGAAGGTTTTGAATACCCTAAAAATAAATGATAGTCTCAAAAAAAATATGAAATGCAAACATTTTGATTCATTTAAACAGATTTTTGTTGAAGAATCTGAAACAAAACAGATAAAATAATTATTTAATTTATATAGTAAAACATAATGATTATTCATAAAATCTTATAATACATTATTTATTCAAAGATTGCTGAATGAGTAATATTTTATTTTAACTCATATAAAAATTTACATTTTTCTCTTTTTGATTTTATTTAGTTAATAGATATAATAGACTAATTATTTTAGATAAAGATGTGTGATATTAAGTTTAATAAATTGTACTATCGTTGTTTATATATGATTTATATATATATATGCTTCGAAAGTATCAATCTATTATTTTCAGTATCTATAAAAATTGTTAATTTGATAAATTAAAGAAATTATTATAGGTTTTACATGTCTTATATTTTTATTTTTTGCTCTTAATGCTAATATATTATGATTATGAAACAAATTTTTTTAACTTTTTTAAGTAAATAAGAACAAAAGAAACATATAATATATTTAAGTAAAATTGAAAATTGAAATATTTTTAAATATTATGATATTTCTATTTTTTATTAGAAAGCTATATGTTACTAAAATTTAAATTTATTTTAAGTAGAATTGAATGCAACTGTGGTTTTAAAAAAAATTATTATAAAATGAAAATGAGTTAATAGTTGATAGATAAAAATTTTAAAATGAAGATTGAGAATAGGAATAGTTTGAGAGTATTTAAAAAAGGAAATTAAATTCTTAAAGATAGTTCAGAATTACTTGTGATGCAATTATAAATTAGCCAGCTAGCTATTACATTTAAATGAATTTTGATATTTTTCTGTTTAAGGGCACTAACTTATTAATAAAAATAGAATAGAAAATAAAAATAAACTAAAAATGAGGTGAAATTAATAAAAATAATGAAATCAATCAATTATATAATTAAGAAAAACACATTAAATTTAATCTTTTATTTATTTATTTATTTACAAAATTCTCAGAGTAACTTAATAATTCAAATAATTCGAACTAATCATAGAAAATAGTTTCACCATAAATGACAAAAATCAATATCCTTGTTATCAAATTTCATTTCCTTATAAATTTATTTTTTTAAATTTTTGCATTCAAAAAATGAAAATTTTATGACTTCAAAATCAGCCTAGCAAGCAGAACTATCAAATAAATGAATTTTATTTATTATCAATAGTTATTTAAGATATTTTATCATTTCTCTTTTCTTTAAAAAAAACCCCTTTCAGATAATATTTTTTAAATTGATAAAAAATATAGTAAGATTTGTAAAATAACTGAATTTATTTGCCTTAAAGAAGAGGGTAATGAGTGATTCTTAATTTAAGAGAATATCTTACTGAATCAAAATAGAGCGTCTTAAATACTAAACAGCTTTTCTTTTTAGTGATTAAATTATTAAATATTCATACATCAAATAATTCCATTTATTTTTGACGTATTTGATTACTTAAAAAATTTTAATTATGATAAATAACTCCATTTAAGATATTATTTTCAGTTATTATCAAATCAGATAAGATTGGATGTTTAAAAAGGATCTTTTGAGTATTTTTTCACAATAGAAAATAAATATTTACTCAAATAAAAATTTATCAGAAATAATAAGTATTCAAATACAAACAAACAAATCAAAGTATTTTACAATTTATTTTTTAAATTTTTCTGTCTATAACATAGAAGTTTCGTAAGTATAATCTAATGTTAATCTGTGTAAATTTTATTGAGAAAAGCATAAAAATGAACTTAACTAAATGTCTATCATTTTTCAATTTAAACCTTTAATACTGAATTAATATTTTGAAGAGACGAATTTAAATCTTTGATAATTACCTATAACCTGTTAAAGTAAATACAATTTTGAATTAAATTTAGATTAATGGGTAAATTTTTATGAGATAAGAATGTATAAAAGTGCCTAAGATTAAGTTATCAATGATAATTTTTGTCTGCTAATAAAAAAATATAGAAAATAGATTGGGTTTTAAAATAAAAAAATGTAATAAAAATGCAATAAAAGAGAACCAAAGTTTTTGCGGATACAAAAATGATATAAATTCTATTTAAATTAAATACTTAATTATTTTATCAAAAAAGGAGCCTAAAATATTTAATATCTAAAATACCAAATGAATAGGTTTTATGAAAAAAGATCAATATAATTTATATTAATTTGATTATTACTATTGATATTTTACAAAAATTATATAATTATAAAGACAATTTTATTAAAATATTTTTGTTAATTTTATTTTATTTTATATACCTAAATATAAATTCTATTGATTTATTTCAATTAATATGTTACTGCAACTAAATATTCAAGACAAATAAAAACTTAACAAAATAGTGTTATTAATCATTTATTTATTTATGAACAGATAAGATTTTATGCAGAATCGATTTCTGAAGAAGTATAAAAATTAGGGTGATTCTTTATAAATATGCATATATATTGAATGTTCGTAATTTATCATCCAAGAAATTTGGCTAATTTGACCTTAAAATAAAAGATAAATTTTTATATTTTTACCCTAAAATATATGACCATGTTTAATTTTATGTCATATTTTAGCAATTTGTATTTTAAGGAAAATAAAAAAAATATTTCCAATTTAGTTTTAAAATGCTTATAAAAATAATCTCTTAAAGTAATATAAATTTAATTTAATTTAATATCTTTCATTCACAAATTTTTAATTTAGCTTTTTTTCTTATTTTTTTAGTCAAATATCTTTTTTGAGGGTTTGGTTTAAATCTATTTTATACTGGAGCTATAAAATATAACTATTTGAATAAAATTCATATTTTTTTTAAAGAATAAATGCAACTGAAATTTTTTTTATTTAATTCGAGAAGATTAATCTACTCAGAGTAATGAGTAGATATGACTAACTGTTAATTAGACGCTATTAAATGAAATAAGTTATTAATTAAAATTGTAGCTATTATAAATAATTAATAAACGGAAGAAATATTCTTACTTTAGTGAATAAATATAGATACTCGAAACTTGAATAATTTAAACTGAGTGTGATTGTATTCTTCTATTTTAATTAATTAATTAATTTTTTACATCTTCATTCAAAATATAATGAGAAAAATGTGAATTGAAATAATATTCAACCAATAAAATATTGATTAATTAATACTGATTGATTGTTCTTATTAAAATAGAAATTAATTTTAAACAGGCGTTATGATATTATTTGATGCAGCTAAAGTTGAGAGTTTTTTCACTGGATGAAACTTGATATTTTATACTGCATTTTCATGCTTTGAATGGTAGCCTTATTTACTATCGCTAATATACTTAATTTGAGTATGGTAAAATTATATTTTAAATAGGTTTGACAATCGATGATGAATGAGATAAGTACGATAGAAAATAACTTTGCAAAAAACATTGATTTCTTTGCTGGCTTATTTTCCTTTTCTGACCAAGCATTAAAAATATAATAATTAGCTATATAGTTTTAAACACTGAAAGAATAGTGAAACAGTGAGTTTATTGTATTTAATAATGCAAATACTCATGAATTACAATAGTCAGATAAAAATTAATTTGTAAGGAAGGATCTATTTAAATTTATGTATTCTCAAAGTTTTGAGCAAAGAATGTGTAATATCAATGAAAATGATGCAATGTAATCAATAAAGTCAGCAAGCAAGCAATCATAACATTATCAAATTTAAAATATGTGAATAACATAATAAAGTACTTAAAAATGATTAATTAATTCAAAATAAGTGAATGGAAAAAAATTAAAAAACCTTAAGAAAATAAATAAAGTTAGAATTATTTGTTAATTAATTAATATATATATTTATTTATTCATTCATTCATTCAGCTTTAAAAATCTCCTTATGTTTGAATCTTGAATTCTCGCGTTTGTATAATCTTTTAAAAAGGGAATAGAAGATTAAAAAGGTATTTGCAAGCTATAACTTTACTTTATATATATTTTAATTTAAGAAAAATAAATTATCTCATAAAAAAAATAAGAGTGAAAGAGAAACAAGCAAACAAACAAACAAACAAATAATTAATAAATTAAAAATATCTATTTCACGATTACTAAGAGTCAATACATAAATCAATCATTGTTAATACCTTAATAATTTAAAATTCCTTCTTTTTTTGATAAAAAAAGAAATATAATAGCAAGCAAACAAACAAACAAGCAATCTAATAAGAATACATAAAAGAGTCAGAAAAACTTCTTTCTAAAGACTTATCATAGTATTAAACTAAATTTAACTTAATTTATTTTAAGTAAAAAACACAAAGCCTCGTTTTTCTTGCTTACCGCTAAATTTTAGTAGAGCTGAAATCTCACAAAAACCATTTTAGTATAAGATTAAATTAAATTCAAAATGATTTATTCAGTAGAATTATAAGAAAAGTAACGCTAGTTATTACTCTAAAAGTAGAAAGGCGCAGCTACTGGCGAGCTCTCATTCAATTAATTGAATGTGAAAGTTATTGATGCTAAAAATGTCAACCCATAAAATCTGAATGCTTACGATTACTAGGGAATTTCATGGGCTTAGGTAGCTGGTATTCATAGAAATCTTTATATAGAAGATCGTAAATAAAACTACTAACCCTATCGCTAATATCAAAATTAATTAATTAAGCACAAGCAACCTAATAGAGTTGCCGATGGAAAGTATTTCTAAATATAAAAATATTACTAAGGTCTTAAACCTAAAAACACTCACTTTTAATTGAAAGATTGTGTTCAAGCAGTGTCTCATCACGATGTCTACTTTATGGGAAATGAACGTCTTAATCATTTGAGTACCTTAAGAGAAAATATTAGATACTTCGATCTCTTGAATGACTCTAATATTTAGGACTGGGAGTCTTTAAGATAATTTAGATATGCATGTTTTAGTGTAGATGATGAATGTTTTGCTCTTGGAGGATTCAAGGGTGGTTTATACTTTCATAATATCACCACTAAAAAAGGCTAATACCTCAAAAATATTACTAAAAATTACACAGACCCCGAGGGAGATACAATCAATTTTTTGAAAATCTACAAAGAAGGCAATAATAAGAAGTTAATATCAGCTTAGAACGATAGATATGTCAATATTTACGATTTAGAGTGTCTTTATTAGCCAAAGCAATCAGTTAAATGTACTAACTCAGTGAATGTAGCTAAATTAAACCCAATCGAATCTGATCTATTGGCAATCTTTGCAGATCAACAAAACCCTGAACTCATTGACTTGAGATCTAACGAAGTAATTGCTTCTCTTCAAGTAAATTCACATTTCATTTATTCATAAATTAAAAATACTTTTCACTTATCTCCAAAAATTGTTTTTAGATTTTGAATAGATTTGATTAATTTACGTTTAAAAGAGAAATTTAAACTAAAATTAAGCTTATTAAAATAAAATCTTCTAACTTAATTACTTACTTACTATTTTTGTTCCGATCTGTCAGATAGATTTAGGAATTTTAGATTTTATTTGATAATATTTTAACAATTAATTGTCTTAATAGAACAAAAACTAATCAATATTTAATTATTAAAATAGGGTCATTCAGATTTTGGATTAACTCTTGATTGGAACCCTAATGGAGTTACTCTTTGTACAGGTAATTAAGATGGAACTGCCCTTATCTGGGACATTAGAAATTTATCTCAACAAGTACACACCCTTTAAGGTAACATGGGCAACATTTCTTAAGTAAAGTTTGATCCCACTGGCTCTTACTTAGTTTCCATGGAATGCAGTGACTATCTTAACATCTACGATATTTATTCTAATTATTAAAATTTCTAAGTCATTAACTATATTGGAGCATCAACTGGATTTGATATTTATCAAGATAAAATATTTGTTGGTATCCATATTAATGACTATAACGGAATAATGGAAATTCAGAAGACTAAACCCATCAGCGAACATCAATCAAGATTTGAGCAATTTTCTATCTGAGAGAGCGTTTCTACAAAATAATTTCAAATATTTTAAAAACAAAACCAAACCATTTTTCAAATCACCACTATATTAATATGTAAAAATAACAACAAAAACTTCTATAATAAACTCATCCACCTATCAAACATTCTTTCTCAACGATCAAAATAAATCCATGGTTTGATGGATGAGAATTCGAATCTTTTATTAAAATATCTTACTGAACCTTTAAATTAAAATCAAAAATTTTCTCTGGCTGGATTTACATAGTAATATTTAAAAGATTACTATGAAAAACTAGACAGACAGATTGATAGTTAAATAGACAGACAAATTAACATGCAGAAAGATAATTAAAACAATCGCTAATTTCAATATCTAATTTCTTCCTCTTTTTTTAAAATAGAAGGAAAAATTAAAAAAAAAACAAATAGACAGAAAAAAGAATTTATTAAACAAATATAAACCATAATCAATATATAAATAAATATCTTTCTTTATAAAAATATATATAAAATACGTTGAAAATAATTAACAACGCCATGATTGCAATTGCAACCTATGCTTATTTATTCAAAACCACACATAATATATATATTATATATGTCAATATATTACAATTCTTCAAACCTCTCAATAAATTACTTTCTATCTTTTCACCATTTAATTATTTTGCAATTACATTCATCCTTATTTGTAACAAGAGCTTATTTGCTATACATTAATCATAATATTAAATTTTTCTATCTTAAACAAAATGTAATCTACTTAATTTTATTCATTCAATTTTTAAATTGTCTTTGTATGATTGATTTTATCATTCTTGCATAATTAGTAATAACTAAAATTTTTTGATTCAAACATTGTCTTTTTAACTAAAAACACAAAGGAAGTCGAATTATTTTAAAATCTCATGGAAAACAAATAGTTGAATTTTACTTTGTAAACTTTTCAAATAAAATCTTGGCAAATATCTTATTAGCATAATCTTTTTGTGAAATTAATTGATTTAAATTAAGATAATTTTATATCTTATCTGTTACTCTCAAATTCTTTTTTTTTGTGCAATTTGAAATTTTCCGAGCTGTGAATCTAATACCATAAAAAGTGTAAGTATTTTATTAAAATGATTCATACATTAACTAATCAATTTTTACCTGTGTTTGATATGCGAAATTACTGTAAGCGATTCTATTTTTATGATAAAATATTTAAATATTAAAAGTAAATCTTTATTGTAATTTATAATTTTTTAACAAGCAGCTAATAAATTAAACTCAAAAAAAAACATAAATTTAAAGCTAATTTCATCTAATCTTTTAGATTTTCTAAATAAAAAGACTAAATCCTCTTATAAATATATTTTTTTATAATATAAATTGCTCTTATTTGATAGAATTAAAGTTCACAATTTAGTTTTATTAATTTATCTCAAAAACATTACACTGATTTGACAATCTTAAAAACTAATTAATTAATATATATTTTTATATGCTTAAGTGAATTTTATCAAAATAAATATAAGCAAGGTCTACGTTGATTTATATTAATTTTTTATACTTTAAATTTAGGGTTATTTTGAAAATAAAAAGATACTTAAATTTTGAAACTGCGAAGGAAAAATATAGTCCAGAATTTCAATTTGTATTTTTGAGAAAAAGTGGATGAAACATTAAAAATTTCTTTTAAATAATATAGATAATCAAATATTTATTAATTGATTGGTTCACCTTAAATTCATTAAGTTATGAAGATAAATTTCGAGGTTATTTAAATCAAAGCAAAGTTTAAGCTCATGTTATTATTTTTTAATTAAATTGAATAATTAAAACATAATTAGCATCCTACAATAAATAAATATGATAATTCAAAGGATATCTTCTTAGTCTTCCATACATTCTTAATACTCTGAAAATGTTAGTGCCTTCAGTGTAACTAATGCTTAAATACAAAATTATATTTTTAATTTTATCTAATTTCTTATAATTTGAAAAATACAATAAAACTTAAATAGTATAGTTCTAACAACTCTTTACAGAATACAATAAACCAAAAGCTGATGGACACAAAGCACAATATTGATTAATTATAAAAGAAGTACTTGGCTGATTCAAACAAACAATCGCTTTTTAAATAGAAAGAGGACTAAGTTAAAATGATGAAATATCAAGATAGATGTGCAAAAATAATTTAGAGATACTTTAGGAAGTACAAAAGCTAGAAGAGCATTCACAAATTAGAAACTTAGAGCGTTGATGATTAAAAGTATTTATAAAGAATCAGTTATTAAAATAATATATCTGACTCAAAGCTCTAAGATGATATAAAATCTCTGAAAATGGAGCTCTTTAAAAATCTAAACTAGCTTAAAGGGTTAAAATAAAATGATAGGACTAACGCATAAGTTGTCTCACATTCTGCTCAGCCATAATATTAATCTGAGCATTAACGAAAAGCTCAAATAATTTAGTAGTTTTGGAGGAAAAAAAAGCAAAGTCTATAAAACAAGAAGCAATTCAAAGAAATAAACATGAAAAAAATGGAGGATCTCAAGATAAAATAGTAAAAAGATACATAAAATATTTAATTTTAAGGCATATTCTCATAATTTATAAAATAAACTACATAGAATTTATTTTTACAGATTTTTAATCAAAATTAGTCAGAAAAAAACACTCTTTTATTTTTTTAACGGATATAAAGCAATTAGATTTTAGAAGAAAGTCTCCTCTAATAAAAGCTTTAGTTTAAGCAAGTTCTTAATTCATACTTGTTGTTCATAGAAAAGCTTATGCAAGACAAAAAGCAGATAGGCGAGGAATGCAAAAAATATCATGAGCTCCAATAGAAACTTGTCAGCGAGAATTCAAAAGTAATAATTAATAGCTTCTATTTAGAAATTTATTCAAAATAATTTCAAATAATCACTAGTTAGAAAAGACAAAAGAAGAATTAAATAAGAAAATAGGAGATCTATATGTGGAGTAGAGTTTAACGGAAAAAGAAAATAAGCAATTAAAAAACAAAATTGAAGAGCTAGAAACCTAGCTAAGGAATTTAAATGAGAAAAATACTTCAAAGTAAGAGCAAAATATGAAGGAATTAATGGTAGTAAAAAAGTAATTGGAAGAAGAAAAATGCAGTTTATTGAAGGAAAAAGATTAAATAATGAAAGAACAACAGTAACTTCAAAAGTTAATTTCAACATATTAAGGGTTGAGAAGAAGAGATAAATCGAGAGAAAACAGCGTAGATAAATAAAGTTCAGATTCTTTGGAAGTTCAAATATAATATTTAAAGAGTAAAGTATAAACTGCTGAGTTAGAAAAGTTATAAACAGAAGTTAAAATGCAACAAATTTTATAATAAAATGAAAGATTTATTGAAGAAAAGTAAATTTTGTTGTAAGAGCAGCATAATTTCTTACAAAAAGAGCACAAAATATTGGAAGTAATTAATATCAATAAATAAATGAGACAAAGATATAAACAGCTGAAAGAAGAGAATGAACATCTCAAAAGCATTATAGATCAAAACTAATTCTTAAATAAGAATTCTTACAATAACAACTTCTCTAACATAAGTTATAGAAAGTAGAGTAATTAAGGTAAGGAAATTAATATGATTTATTATCTTAATAAAATAATTATTTATTTATTTATTTATTATTTAATTTTTTTAAAAGATGAAAATATGTATTCGATAATTGATAATGATTTGATTGAAAAGTACAGTAAATATAGCAGAAATTCATCTCCACAACAATCATATAATTATAACACTAATACTATATTAAGTGATGTTAAAAATAATTTGGCTTAAGTTATCAAAGTAACTTCATTAAAATTTTAATTATTAACTCGAAAATGAAATGGCTAATTTAAAAAAAAATAGGAGGAAAGAATAAAAACTTTGGAAGCAATGAAAATTCTGAAAAATAATATGTCAGGTTAAGTGAGCAGAGAAAATAGCCCTCTTAAAAGAAAGTGAATGATAAAATATGCAAAAAAAAATTCAAATTGAAGATTAATTAATTAATAGAGTTATTTATATTTATCCAATATTTTAATTATTTAAACTTATTTATTATTTTATTTTGGTTGGTATGTTAAATAAATTTATTTATTTATTAGAATATTTTAGTTCTGGCTCATGCTTAAAAATTCATCAATTATATTTTATTGATCTATTTTAGATCTAATTTATTTGTATGTCATAAAATAAGCTAATAAATTTTAATCAGTTTTTATAATTTCTATTATTTATTTTGTAGTTATTTGTTTAATTCATTTAAATTTACTCTAAAAAAAATATATTTTTCTCTTTTCTAAATATTATGTTGATCAAAAGAATTCATTTAAAACTTAGAATATTCAATACAATCTTTTGGTTGGTGCTAAAGTTCAACAAATTTACTTTCAAAATTTTAAACAAATCATTCAATATTAATCTAGATTTATAACATTAGATAAATAAATTATTTAATTTTCAATAAATAAGTTTAATGTTTTTATTCTCAATTTAACTAATTTTTAAAATCTAATAACAATTTTTTTTTTTATTTTCTAATTCTTTTATGATTCATATTTTAGAAAAATTCTTATTGTCAAAAATACTTTAAAATTTTCGATAATTTTTATTTGAAATAAATTTATTTAAATTTTATCTAATTAAAATGCAAATTTATTTGAAAAAAGATCTCACCTCTTATCAGTTTGCTTTAATAAGTATTTAAACACAAGAAATTATCAACAAATAATCTAAGAAGGTAAAAAATAGAAGTAATAATTGAAGGTTTTTAAAAGACTGAATAATATATAATATATTTATATACAGACAAAATTACCAAAGAGTTAGTAATTCGTTAATAATATCTTACTTACTTAATTAGTTAAATTGATTGATTGATAAAAGAGGTAAAAATATACACCATATAAATAAAATAATTAGATAGATATCTTTGAATGTTTAGGATTTTATATTATTATTATTATTGTTTGAAATTAGTATTAATTATTTTGAAAATTGTAGAAAATATGTCATTTAAATAACTAAATTTATTTATTTATTAATTATTCTAAGAACAAAAGAACAAGATTAATTAATCTTTTTTGTCTTAGATATTTATCATACGTTCTTCATCCAAGGCTTTACTGATTTTTTTACTGTATTACTTGAAGTTAATGATGAAATATTTGAAGTTGAAGAGACAGAACTTGCTAAATTGGGAAGGATTTCTGAATTGTTTGAAGGTATTATTTCAGAAGCTGTTTAAAGTAAAACTGGGGGATTTAATTCTACAGTTTATAATTGTGCTGAATTTTCATTTTCAACAGTTTAAGCTGCAGGAATGACAATATTGTTGTTATTGTTTATATTTAATATAAAAGCATTGCTATTATTACTGAAATTAGTTTCTGTAGTTATTTCAGCTTTGGGTTCTTTATGGTTCCAGAATTCTTCGGATCTTAGTTAAGTTTATTAGATGAAGTTCTTTTCTTTGTTTATAACATCATCGAAAGCTTCTTAAAGATTATCAGTCTAATTATTATTAAAAATGAACATTAATTGAATGAATATGTATATAAATTATAAAAGAAAAATAATGACAAATTTATAAATTTGTCTAAAATTTTTACTAATATCAAAATTATTAAAGAAATATTCCAAATTAATTTAATCTATTTTGCAATTTAGATTTATTTCTAAAAAAATTTAATTAATCTATTTTAAATAATTTATTTACCTTAATTACATTTTCTTTAGTTTCAACTATTTCTGCAGTAGAGTTTTCTTTTTATAAGTTGTTGAATTCTAAAACACATTCCTTTTCTTCTTCTTCTAACTCTTCGTTCAAAGCGGAGTCTAAATTATCTATTATTTCAGCCTTTTCAGAATTCATGTTAATATGAATCATAGCATCATTCTCTTTATCTTAGGCTATTTAATTATCATAGATGATTGGACCTAACTCATTATCAAAATTGTTAAGGTTGCCTTGTTCAAGTTTCATTTAATTCATTCTCTAACGTAGTTTATATTAAGCGAAGTAGAAGCCCAATAAAGCTAATAATTTATTTAATAATAAAAATTAATTGAGCAAAGAGTAGAAAAAATTTAATTTTTTTTTGCTATTTTAAGTATTTAAAATTTATCTAATCCACTTTAATTGCTCATTTTTTTATGTGTTATGTATGCAAAGGAGTTAGAAGCAAAATATGAAATAATAAACTAAACTAAATGATAAATTACCTAATCCCGATAAAATTCTAACTACAAATAGTACCTTGCCTAAAACTCTTTTAGCAAGACTCAATTTTTCAACTTTTCCAGCTGCATGTAATGTCTTTGTAAATTGCTTTTCCAATTCTGCATGAGTAATCCAGTTGTAAAGCTTCTTTAAGTAAGCAATACCAAGTATTTTATATGTTAAGTTAGAGAAACCATGATAAATAAAAACAAGAGCCTTCTTTGCTATCTGAACAAATGTTGTTCCGTATCCTAACATAGCTACACCAGCTCCCATAATATTTAGCATTGAGTTAAATCCCATTAAAACTCCTTGGTATTCATCTCTGAACCCAGGCTGTTGTTGTTGTTGTTGTTGTTATTGTTAAAGATTTTATTAGCCCATCATACCATTTCCCATAGTAGAGTAACCTCCCATCATTCCAGAGCCATACATTCCACCATAGGAACCTCCAAAACCACCGTATGATGAATAAGCACTATTATACATGGAAGATCCGTATCCGCCATATCCACTTGTAGTACCAAATCTATTCATAGTGTTCATATTACTAAGTGTATTGTTGTTTAAATTATTTGTAGACTAGGTTTGTAAATCAGCTATTTTTTTAAATAAATTATTTAGAATACGATTAATTTTATTTTATTTTCATTTATATATTTTTTTATAATTTATTTTCCATTAAATATTCCAAAGAAGCCCTTTTAAATATGCTTTTTTATTCTTTATACTGTAAATATTACATTTTAAAAATAGATTGTAATCAAAAATATAAAATTGTTGATAATTACATTTATCAGATTATGAATTGAAACTAGACTGAAGAGTGTCTGAAGTGGGTAATTGTTGAGAGTTAGAAATATTTATATCGTTTTTGTTGGCAGGTAAACTCATTATATAATCTTTTATCTAGATATTTTTGTAATTATTGAAAATATTTTTTGAAATAGTATTATCCGATTAGAGCTGTTTTAAAGAATTTGAATCTATCTTAACAGAGTTATTATGAGATAAATGTGCTAGGTATTGCTTTGGAAAATACTTTGGATTATTCCTGAAGAAGGATATCTGCGATCTTAAATAATTATAAAATTTTTCTTGTTTAAATAGACAAACGCTTCTCTTTTCTTTTTTTTTATTATCAATAAATTATGAATCTATTTAATTACTACTTGTATGCTAATTAAAAGTAAATATTTTCTTGTTAATTAGCTTAGACAGACAATCAAAAGCGATTAGAGTTAATACTTTACATTTACAGTTGAATGGAACTATGACTTAATAATATATTTGCTAGCTTGCTTGTATGCATCCATACAAAAGGTATACCCATATTGATATTTCTAGTTATTATTTATTATAACATATGCGAATATAATACTTTTGATGAAATTTGTAAATAAGATAGCCAAAAAACTTATAGCGTAATAAGATTATTATTTTTCTTTCTTATTATCTTATTTTTTTACTATTATTCCATTGCTTCTTCTCTTGCATCTCTTTATTTAAAGTTATTTTCAATTCTTCCTCAAATTGATATGCTATTAAACGCAAGTGACGCAACACCAAAGTGACACAAGAATCATCTTATGCTTCTAAATCTTATTAGAAATTTAAAGTTGACTAAGTTTTTATTCCATAAAAAGATTACTGCACAAATCTCCTTTACTTAAATGAAAAATTACGACCTATTTGTACCTAAAAATATTTAATGTTAAATTTATTCATTTCCATTAAGTATCATTTAAATATTTACCAGTCTATTAAAAAAAATGTAAATAAGTGATAATAATGTTAAACATCTCTAATTCAATTCCTCTTGAAAATTAACAAAAGGCTTCTCTCTCAAACTTTAACTTTAAAATATAAATTTATTACCAAAAAAAATAAAAATTTCTTTTATCTTTCAATATAAAAATGATTTATTTTTGAATGATGAATTAAAAATGTATTATTAATAATTCTAATATGAATAAAAAATGCAAAAGTAAATGAAAAATAAAAAGAATTTTCAAAAGACGATTTTGGTTCTGCAATTAAATTACAAATCTAAATTATAAATGATGCTTTTTATCAGTAAATACAATTATAATTTATTTTGGTCCATCAATTTTATTTACAATTTTATTTTACACTCAATTTAAATTTAAGTATAAATTTCAATCATTTGAAATCAGATAATAGTTTATAGCAAATATTGTATGTATTTTAGAAACAAGCTGATACAATAAAAATTATTAACTCAATTTTTTAAAATACTTACTATATATAGACTAGTATTAATATGAGTGATAAACATTTTTTGGATTTACCAATCAAATTTTTATTATTTTAAAAAATGAGTTTAATATACTTCTTTTTAAAATTATACATTAGTACATATTAACTAATTAATTAATTATTTATTTAAATTTATATTATGTATATGTAGAAATAATTTTATTAAATATTTCAAAAAAATTAACTTATAGAAAAAATTTTTAAAATTAAAATTAAATTAAATTCTTAAAATGAATGTAATTAGCTAGCTTCAAAAATAAATATTTATTTTTGAAAAGAAATTATTTATTTTATTTATGGAGAAACTTTTAATAATAAAATGAAATTTACCACAATTTAATAAAATATAATTTATAAAATGACTTCAAAAACAAAAAAAATTAATATTTGTGTTTTAAGTTGAATTAATTTTTTCTGAAAATTTATTCTTTTTTTGAGTTTTATCTATTTATTTAATTAACATCAATTGAATCTATAGATTTTTGTTGACCTATTTGAGTCATTCGAAAATTTCTCTAATTATTCATCTGAAAGTTCCTAATTAGACTCAATAGTATTCTAATTTAATTTTTCATCTATAGATTTTTGTTGACCTATTTGAGTCATTCGAAAATTTCTCTAATTATTCATCTGAAAGTTCCTCATTAGACTCAATAGTATTCTAATTTAATTTTTCTTCAGATCTTTCTTCAGATTTTTCTTGAGCTTCTTCTTCTTTTGCTAAAGCCTATTCAGATTCTTATTTTTTTTTCTCAACCATTTAAACTAATTTTGACTTCAAGGAATTGAAAGTTTGCAAATATTATAGAAGACATTTGCCTAATTTATGTAATTGCCTTGCCATAGATTTACTAGACCTTCTATTTCTGACATCTAAAATCCCTTACAAGAAATGAATTTTTTTAATTCTTTTTTCAAATCTGTCCATATCGTCTTCTAATTGATCTTCTATTTCCTCCAACCTCTCTTCAGAAATTTGAGCTTAACAATACTCATATATTTAAGTATACTACTAGATAGTTGTACATTTACCTCTACCAAGGGCAAATACCGTTTCTCCTTCATTCTCTACATAACACTACTCCTATATATTATCAAGTTTATACTTTTGTATTAAAGCCAATACCTTTTAATTTGAATCTGGCTTATACACATCTGTCATATCACTATATGATTGATATCTGTTCGAAATAATTCTTTAACTTAGTTTATCTAAATTATTGTTGCTCTTTTTATCATTTTCTTAAAAATTTAACCAATTTATAAGAATATCTTTTTCTGACATACCATTCATATACAAAAGTAAATGAGCATATGAAATAGAAAACCTGTTTACGCAACTAATTACCTTCTAGTTTAAACTATATTAAGGGTTACAAAAGGGAATAACTCCTAAAGTTACTTTAGCTTCTCCGAAATTAGGGTTTAGCTTAAAATCAGAATTATAGCTTATCAAAATATCTTCTGGTCTAACATGGCTTACAAATCTAGTAGAATTTGGGTGCTCAGGACCTATCGATAAATAATTGATGGCTACGAAAAGTTAATAGGCATATCTATTAAAACAGTAAGGTGATTCTGAGTTGTATTTAATGTTAACCTGCTTAATAAAATCTGAAAGGTTGCATCTACATTCTTCTGTTACTGTGTAGTGAAAATCATTAGTTTCGAAACTTTCAATGTAGGATAAGATGAATGGATTATTGTAAAATTTTAAGTTGTCAGGTAGCTCTCTATTTTTTTCTACCATGTTAATTTCACCATTTTCTGTAATTATTCTATTAAATCTTGCTTTGATAGCAAATCTAACTCTTCCTTTGTTTGCTGAAAAAACGAAGCCATTCTTACACTTTGAAATAAATTTGATGATTCTGTATCCATATTTAGAGATTTCTTAGTTCACCTATTCAACATTTTTTTGCAAGATAGTAGGAAAGGTTTGAATGAAATCTTGTATCTTCTCTTCTTAAGGTGGTTTCAATAATTTAATGCCAAGTGCTGCAAATCTTTCTCCAAACACTTCTTTTTTTAAGGAATACATTTACATATCTAACTATTTTTATGCTTTTCTGCTTTATTTTAAATATCGTTATTTAATTGTAAAATAATTAATTATCTGTTTATTCTTATTTCAGATGTTGATAATCACACAATTAATTAAGTTTTATCTAGAGAAGGATACTTAAGATATTGCACAAATAATTTAATATAGAAGAAAAGTAATCTAATAATTTTGCTGACAAAAAAGATTGCTTTAAAGTTAGTCAAAGATGTAAAGAATAAAATCTATAAGATACATTTTATTTATTTTCTAATTTCATAAAATAATTTATCCATTTAAACCAAGTTTATTAGTTAAATTATATTTAATAAATATATCATCAGCATTTTCTAAGTATCAAAATTTATTTATATAGATTTCAAAATAAATATATCTCTTGATATTTATCTTTTAGCTATTTATCAATGCAAAGCAACATAGAAACGAAATAATGATATTAATAACCTAATAGATACCTTTTATAAGCTTTCAATTATTTATTATGTTAATTAATTACTTTACTAAAAAATAAAAATTTTTTGTTTAATCCCATAAAATTTACTTAAATTGTGGTAACTAGCTAACTATCTACTCTTATTTTTCTCTCTTTAATTTATTAGAATAAAGTTAATTTAAGAAAAAAGATATTAGATAGTTCTGTTTGTATCTTATCTTTTACCTTTTTAGGTGAATGAAATACACATTCTCGCAAACCTCAAGGTTTTTAAAAAAAGTGAAAAACCAATTTTTTGGTTTACCTCATTAGTCCAAACAACATAATTAATTAATGAATATACAGAAAATAAATTAAATATATGCAAATTTTACTTTTTTTAGTAAAATATTTTTATTTGAGCAACAAATCTGATTGAAATTTAAGAAATCAATTTTTATTCAACATTCAAAATTTTTTGACTAAATAAAAATCAATCCCTAATTTTGGTATTTTATTATGAAAATATTAAATATTTATAAAATATATTCCACTTAAATAAATTTAGATAGGTTAATTATGCATTAGCTATCTATCCTTAATACATATCTTTTGATAATTTTAGAAGTTAATTCAAATATAATAGCTATAAATTTTAAAAATAAATTAGTCTAAAGTAAAAATAAAACTAATAAATAATCAACAAAAGTATTTTTGAAGATTTTTATACTAAAAATAATTCTAAAAAACGAGTTTGTTTAATGCATTTATGATTAAAAATATACAGTAGTGAATATTAACTAAAAAAAATTTAATTATTTTAATTTATTTTTTGTATTTGAAATTTTTTTTAACAAATTAAATTACTAATCTAAAAAAATTTATTGTAATTAAAATTAAATTAAATTCTTAAAATGTAATTAATTAGCTTTAAAATCAAAAATATTAATTATTTATTTTAATTATTAAGAAACTTCTCATAACAAAATGAAATTTGCCACAATTTAAAAAAACAAAATTTAGAAAATGGCTTAAAAAACAAAAAAAATAAATAATTTTATTCATAATATTTAAATAAATTGAATTAATTAATTTTTTTCTGAAAGTCGATTATTTTTTAATTCATTTATTTTGAGTTTTATCTACTATTTATTTTCTTAACATCAATTGAATATTGCTAACTTATGAAAGTTAGCTGAAATTTCCTCTATTTATTCTTGTGTAAGTTAATTAGGATCATTAGTATTTTAATTTAGTTTTTTTTCAGATTTTTATAAAGCTTCTTCTTCTATTTGTTTAGCTATTTCTTTTAATTCTTAATCTTCTTCTTCTTCTTTTTCTTTTTTAGATTCTTAATTTTTACTCTCAACCTTTTAAACTAGCTTTGATTTTAAGGAATTGAAAGCTTTGATATACTTTATAAGATTTCTGCCTAGTTTTATTAATTGCCTATGCATCTATTTACTAGACCTCCTTTTTTTAACTTCTAATATATCATACAAATAACGTATTCTTTTACGTTTTTTTTCGATTCTGAGAACTTCTTCTGATAGTTCATTATCTATTTCATCCTCTCTCTCTTAAGAAATTTGAATTTAGCAATACTCATATATTTAAGTATACTACTATATAGTAATACATTTACCTTTTCCAAGGGCAAAGACTGTTTCTCCTTCATTCTCTGTATAAAGCTATTACTATATATTATCAAGTTTATATTTTTGTGTTTTGGGTAATCCCCTATAAGTTAGATCGGCTGATGGCTAAAATACATCAATTAAATTATCATAAGAAGTTTATCTGTCAGAAATAATACTTTAACTTAAACTGTCTATATTATTGTTGCTTTATTCTTCACTTTCTTATAGATCATACCAATTTATAAGAATATCTTTTTCTGACATACCATTCATATACAAAAGTAAATGGGCATATGAAATAGAAAATCTATCTACACAACTAACTACCTTCTAGTTTACACTGTAGAATGAATTGCAAAAAGGAACTACTCCTAAATTTACTTTAGTTTCTCCAAAGTTAGGATTTAGCTTAAAATCAGAATTATAGCTTATCAAAACATCTTCTGGTCTAATATGGCTTACAAATCTAGTAGAATTTGGGTGCTCAGGACCTATAGATAAATAAGTAAGGGCTGAGAAAAGTTAATAGGCATATCTATCAAAACAGTAATGTACACCTGAGCTTTATTTAATGTTTACCTGCTTAATAAAATCTGAAAGGTTGCATCGACATTCTTCTGTTACTGTGTAGTGGAAATCATTAGTTTCGAAACTTTCAATGTAGGATAAGATGAATGGATTATTGTAAAATTTTAAGTTGTCAGGTAGCTCTCTATTTTTTTCGACCATGTTGGTTTCACCATTTTCTGTAACTATTCTATTAAACCTTGCTTTGATTGCAAATCTGACTCTTCCTTTATTTGCTGAAAAAACAAAACCATTTTTACACTTCGAAATAAATTTGATGATTCTGTATCCATATTTAAAGATTTCTTAGTTAACCTATTAAGCACTTTTTTGTAAAATGGTTGGAAAGGTTTAAATAAAATTTTGTATTTTCTCTTCCTAAGGTGGTTTCAATAATTTAATGCCATACGATGCGAACCTTTCGCCAAACACTTCTTTTGTTAAGGAATACATTTACATATAAAACTATGATTAGGCTTTTCTGCTTTACTTTAAATATCGTTTTTTAGCAGTAAAACAATTAATTAATTATTAGTTTATTCTCTTTTCATATGTTGATAATTACATAATTAATTATATTTTTATATATGAAGGATAATAAATAAATAAAGAAATAAATTAAAACAGAATGCCTAATTATTTGCATAAATAACTAAAAATAGAAGAAAATTAATTTGAAAATTTTGTTGACTGATTAATTTAAAATTAGTCAGTCACAATTGGATTAATTCAAAACAACTTTCTAATTAAATTTATTAAAACAGTAAAATAAACTTTAAACAAATAATTTTGAGATTTAAACAATAAGATTCATAAGATACATTTTATTTATTTTTATAATTTCCTAAATAAAATTTATTTATTTAAATAAAACTTTTTAGTTAAAATTAAATTTAATTATCAGCAGCACCCTCAAAGCATAAAAATTTATTTATTAGATAGAATTCAAAACATAAAAAATCTCTTGATATTTGTTTAATATCTACCAATATAAAAACAATATAGAAGTGAAATGATTCATTTATAACCTAATAATTTTTAACAGAAATATCGCTGTTTTTTTACAGGTTTAATTAATACTTACCAAAATATTAAAAATTAGGGGTTAAGATATAGGGTTGGTCTTATTTATTAAGAAAATATATTAAAATTAATAAAAATGTAAATATTTGTTTGGAATAAAAAATGTATTAAACTTACTTTAATAAAAATAATTAGTTAAATTACAAATAATATTTATTTATTATTTCATATTTTATCAATCTTTATAAGCTTTCATTTCAATAATAGGTAGAGGATTTAATTTAGGAGCATTTAATGCTTCAACGCTATTTTATTTAAGAAAAACTAGTTATGGTTATTTACTTAATGTCTCTTCTAAATTTTATTCATCTTCTCCTCCATCATTAACAACAGCTTATTTTAGCTATCTATTTTTCTTTTCTACAAATTAAGCTAATTTTTATTACATAGAAAAGAAGCTTTTTAAAAGATTAATAAGCTTTTACTTTAATCTTTCTATGTCTCTTTGTGTAGAAGATCTTCTAGATCTTTAACTTTGACCAGCATTTAAAATCTCTTAAACAAAAAGAATTCTTCTATATTTCTTTTCAATCCTATTCATTTCTTCATCTAATTATTCTCCTATTTATTCTTTCTATTCTTCAGAACATTAAACTTAGGATAGCTCATATAATTAATTATATTATTATGCAGTGATGCACTTTCCTTTACCAAGAGCATAAACTGTTTCTCCTTAGTTATCTACGTAGTACTATTCACATATCCTATCTAAGTTCTACTTTAGCCTTAAAACAAGAGTTTAATTGCCTTAATCAGAATCTGGTTTGTAAACATCTTTTAATTATTCGTAATTTTCTTGCTTGTTTGAAATTATTCTTGAACTAACTGAGTCGAGTCCATCACTTCTATAACCCATCCTATATGATGATTATTTTAACCAATTAGTTAAAATATCTTTTTCTTGCATACCATTAATGTACAAAAGTAAATGAGCATATGAAACAGAAAATCTATTTATACAACTAACATTCATTTAGTTTGAGCTAAACTGAGAATTACAAAAAGGGATAATTCCTAGTGTTACTTAGCTTTCTCCAAAATTAGGATTTAATCTAATTTCTGAGTTGTAATTTATCAAGATATCTTCTGGCCTTATATGACTCACAAATCTACTTGAATTTGGATGTTCGGGTCCTGTTTATAGCTGTTTTAATGCAATCAAAAGCTAAAAGGCATATCTGTTGAAACAGAGAGGTGTATCTTCATTGTATTTAATATTCACCTATTTAATGAAGTCAGAAAGGTTGCATCTGCATTCTTCTGTGACTGTGTAATGGAAATCAACTGTCTCAAAGCTATCTATGTAAGAGAGAATATATGGGTTATTGTAAAATTTTAAGTTGTCAGGAAGTTCCCTATTTTTTAATAGCATGTTAATTTCTCCGTCATCAGTTTCTACTCTGTTTAGCTATGCTTTAATAGCAAATCTCACCCTACCTTTGTTTGCTGCAAAAACAAATCCATTTCTACATTTGGAAATAAACTTTATGATCCTGTATCCATATACGGAGATTTCTGAGCTAATCTATTCTGCCCTTTAGCGTAGCCTAAGTGGAAATGTTTGAATGAAATTTTCTATTTTCTCTTCTTAAAGAGGCTTGATTAATTTGATACCTACTGCAGCAAAGATTTCAGCTTATTTTTCGATTGTTAAGGCTTTCATATTTGTGTATTTATTTATATCTTTCTCTAACTATAATTTTTTAATTATTTTTTTAAAATAAAAATTTTTGGTTATATTTTTATATTATGTTCTGATGTTGATAAGCAATATGTTTTACTTATAGAAGCATAATTCAGGTGATAATTTCAATCATTTAAATTAGATTTTACACTCAATATTTAAAAAATAAATATAAATCACTCAATCTATTACATATGAATTTCTTACTAAAAATCTAGTTTATTCTATTTGCAAATATCATTTTTAATCATCTTAGTGAAAATAATTTTAAAAACATGATTGATTGCATTCTATTTTGACTTAAAACCAAAAATAGCTTTAAACCTCTATTGCATTTTTTTTTAAATATCTACCTATCTATTTTATCTATCTATCTATCTGTCTATTTTACATATTTAATTATCTGTTTTTTTCCAATTATGTAAATGAATTATCAACTTTTCTATATTTTATGATTTAGCATTAAGTTATTTAAGGATTTAGAGTAAAATAGAACTCTAATTCTTAATAAACATGTTTATTCGTAAATTATTTGTAATATTTAAATTTTGAATAAAAAACAAAGATCGAAGAGTATTTTATTATATGATTTAACTTAAACAATATATCCTATAAAAAAAAGTTTTAATCGTTTTTCAATATAGATCAGGCATATGTCATAAAATAGAAAAAAATATAATTTTGATTAAATTGATTTATTTCAACTTGTATTTTTTTCATGATTCAATTAAATTAGATTTTTTCATAAATTTGTTGATTAAAATTGATTAATTTATAATTTATCGATTAAAAATTGAATACTTTTCAACATTTATTTTTATTCTATTTTTGTAAAAATAACATAACGAAAATAAAAAAGGTTAAAAATAATAAACCAAAATCAATTTTTTTACTTTTTCAAGGATTTTTTTACTAAAAAATTATTTTCAGTCACCTCTGCTAAAATAAAATTGTAAATTAATTTATGGTTAACTTTTTTTATTTATTTTTAATAATGTTTTGGATAAAAAAGGTAAAAATAAAATAAATAACAATCAAATAATTATAAATCTAATGAAAATATAAAAGTTGTAAAAATAAATATTTTGAAAGTTTTTTTGTTTGATATAAAATGATATCGTTTCTTTAAATTAAATTTTTTGTGTCTGCGTCTTAAATTGAATACTTTTTATTAAATCGACTTTTAATGATTTGTTAATTATTATTGTTATTACTACATATTTTTATTTTATTTGGAATTTACAGTTTTTAATTATTTTTTTTGATTTGTAAGATAGAATCTAAAGAATTATGAATTAATTTTTTTTAATAAAAAATTGGGATAATATTTATAATTTCTTATCAAAATACCTCTACAATTTTTAAAAAGCATTTATAAAACTGGTTTAAAAGGTTATAATATTATAGGCGAAAGTAAGCTAAAATGATAATAAAAAGAAATAAATATATTTTGCTGATCTATTCAATAGGAGCACTATTGATTTAGCAGGGTAATATCTATTTTTGGATATATATTTGTATAATTTTTTTTATAAAAAGTATATTCTTAGATCTAAAATTGTAAAACACTCGACCCAAATAATCCATAGTTATGTATTTAATGTGAAAATGATTATTTGGTTTAACTATAAAAACTATGTGTAAAATCATGCGAAGACTATTAGTATAGTGATAAAACTTCCTGCATATGTAATTGATTAATTTATCTGTCTTAATTAATACAAAAAGTTTAGCTCTCCATAATATTTTATGCATAATAATTATTTTAAATATACAATAAATAAATATTTAAATAAAGCTTGCAGTTCATCAATAGCAAACTGCTGGAAATGCACATATTCTAATAGCATAGTTAGTTGCTCAACATGTTTGAATAATTATTAACTTTCTTAAAATTCCTTATAATGTAAAATTTATTTGCTTCATTCTTTTTATAAATTTCTATCTAAATTAAAGGAAAATTTTAATAATAAAAAACAATATGAATTTTAACTAATTAATTAAAAAAGGTTATTAGGTTATAAATAACTGCTAATAATATTCTTCGGACTACTCGAAATGTTAACAATGTGCAGCAAATTTTACTCTCTCTAATAACGGTTTAAGTTGTTTATCACCATGTGATGCAAATACTCCAGGGTATGTTTAGATTGGAGCTTCATGTGTTTAATGCTCTACTACTTGCTAAACTTGTTCAAAAACAGCAACGAATTGTACTTCTTGTTAGTCTAAAACTTTGTACCTTGATTTGAATTTAAACCCTGCTTTTTAAGGAGAATACACTTGTTAAACACTTTGCAACAATCCTCTTACTTCATATGTAGACTAAAATCAGACATGTTAACGTAAAATTTTAAGAATTAAAAACCTTACAATCATACATAATACATACCTTGTTACATATAATAAAAAGTATTAGAAGTTAAATATTATTTTTATTTAATAAATTAGCATGCAATTCAAGTTGCTTAAGCTGTGTTAATAACGCATACTACTGCACTTCATGCTATAAAGACAAATTTTTGTAGATGATTTCTGGGTAAAATTTTGGAATATGCTAAAGCACATGTAATACAGGATATTTTTAAAATTAACAAACAAACACCTGTGATAGTTGTAGTAGTAACTGCAATTAATGTTTCAACAGCTAATAATGCACTTCTTGTTAATCAGGATTTACTCTGTTAATAGCCTCCAGTTCCTAGTCTTAGTGCGTTTAATAAGGCACATCTGTTGATGGTTACTATTTTGACAAGACTTCCTAATAATACTTAAGTAAAATTAAATATGTATTTCATCAAATTTACTTTTATAATTTTTTTATTTTAAAATTTTAGAGTGCTCAAATTCTTGCTTAACTTGCAAAGATAGCTCATAGTTCTGCACTAGTTGTCAACCATCTCTTCTCCTTGATATTTAAGGTGGATTATGTTTGTCAAAATGTCCTATAAACAAGCTTCAAACTGGTTAACAATGTCAAAGTAAGATTTTAATAATAGTTAGAATAAAATTTATTTTATAAATTAAAATGATAGATCGCAAATTTTATTATTATTTAGCAAGATGTATTTTAAATAAAAAAAAGGCTGTTCAGATCTTGGTGTTCCTAACTGTAACTAATGCCAAAGAAATGGATCAAATGTTATTGTGTGTTCTAGCTGTTAGTTAGGATATTACTTGAATAGTGGTAGCTGCTCAAAATGTGATAGCTCTTGTAAAGATTGTTTTGGTTCGGCAACCAGCTGTACTCTCTGCTTTTATCCTTATGTTCTAGATAAAAATAGCTGTTAAAAAACTTGCTCCTCAGGAGAATATGTTGATACAAACAACGTTTGCTAATGTAAATTAACATTATTAATTTTAGATGAGTGTTGATTAAAAATTATATTTCTTTAATTTAATTAAAGAATGCAATCATGAATGTAGTTCATGCTTTGGTTAATCATATAATTGTACTAGTTGTGCAAATAAAAGCTAATTTATAGATTTGATAAGTCCAACTATACCAGGGAAGTATACATGTAAAAATAGTTGCAACAACCCAATTACAACTTATCGAGATGCTAACAACTATTGCTAGCCATGTAGCTCTAGCTGCTATCAATGTAGTGGTTCAGCAAATAACTGTCTATCTTGCTTAGGAAATTTATTCTTATAGACTTCAGTTGATGCAAATAATAATCCTATTCAAATATGTACATAAAATTGTCAAATTACAAGCTATTAGGATCCTACTTCAGGTTCGTGCAAGCGTAAATTATTTATTATCAAATAAATTTTCAATTAAATTCCTGTTCAAAATGTGTTGTAAGTGATATTCTATTCTTAAAAAAAAAATCATTTTATGACTATAAAATAATTAAATTGTAATGAAAATTAATTTTAATTATTAGCTTGCGACAATACCTGTTACAGTTGCTCTAGTAGCTTAGCAACAAACTGTACTTCGTGTAAAAGCCCTAATATTTTAACAATAAATTTATTGCAGACTTTCTAATGTTCTTAAAGCTGCAATTTAGCCAATGGTTATTTTATGAGCTATAGAAATTTTACAATTAATAATACTTTGCAGAGAGTTCCAACTTGTGAATGTAAATAAATAAAAGTGAATAAACTTATTTTTACTATTTTTTACTTTATAAAAAGAATGCAGTACATCATGCTTATTATGCTAAGACAGTCCTTCTAATTGCATTAAATGCCCAAGTGCTCAAAGTTTGTATTAAAACACATGTATTGCTACGTGTCCAGCAGGATATTATAAGTAAATGTCAATTGATGGGAAGAGTAGTGTGTGCTAATGTAATTTATAAAATAAAATATAAATCATAAATTTAATAAAGATTATTGATAGAATGTTATAGTACTTGCAAAACTTGTTCGGATGCCACATAAATTTGCTCAACTTGTATCGACGAATATTATAAAGGATAGGATGGTAAATGCTATCCATGTGAATTTCCTTGCTAAAACTGCATAAATAACAATACAACTTGCACGAGTTGTTTTGATATAATGTACCTTCTACCTTCCACTAATCAATGTGTTTACACATGTGATTTTAGTAACGGATATTACACTCAAATAAATACAAATATTTGCTTAAGTAACATTTTAATCTAATTAGTTTATATTTAGCAATAAAATAAACAACTTTAAAATATAGAGTGTGATTCTTCTTGCCTGACTTGCCAGAATTATCCAACTCAATGTATTGTTTGCGCAAATGGCTTACTACTTTAACACTATCCAGACCCAAAATAAAATAAATGTGTTTACTCATGCGATGTCGGATACTATAAAGATAACATTTCAAACTCAAATTGCTATTGTAAATATTTTATTTCGATCTATTTTAGATCATTTTAAAAATTATTTGCATTATATAGAGTGTAATTCAGTCTGTTATACTTGCTCTGATTAGTACACTTGCACAACTTGCCCTGGTTCACAATATCTTCAATAATTTTATAGAAACCCTAGCTGCACTACTTAGGGTTGTCCATTATAAATAACTTGCGTGAATACATGCTACACAGGCTTCTACCCCTCAGGAAATTCTTGCATATGTAAAATACAAATTTTAATTTATGTTATCTTTAAAATGGGTATATTATAAAACAGAATGTGATCCAAAATGTACTTAATGTACTTCATTATATTAATGCTAAGCCTGTGTTAACACTCCTTCAGCTAAATACTATTTATAATATGATACATATACAGGATATACTCTTTGCCAGTCTAGTTGCAATTCAGGATACATACCAGATATTAACAATATCTGCTAATGTAAAAAATATTTTTATTTATTATAAATTAATAATTTTAATATGAAAATGTAGTATGTACCAGTAATTGTATAACATGTGCTAATTCAAGCTAATGTTTAATATGTGATTCAGCAAATAATTATGCATTAGATCCTCCTACAGGAAGGTGCATATGTGCTCCCGGGTATATTTCAAACGGTTCTGTTTGCACATGTAATTATATTATTATTAATATTAATATTTTGTTTAAAAATTATATTTTTAGAATATTAAAGTAGATAAAATTTCATATTTGCTTTCAATAAAAATAAAATATATTTATTACCAATATTTTTGTTTTAAATCGACTTACTCAAATTAAAATTTTAAAGGTCAAAAGAAGAATAAAAAAATTAATTTATTTTTAAATTTTATTTTGATATTTTTATTCACAGTTAAAAAAATTAAACCTAAAATTCCAAAAATTTTTTGTTACCAATCAATTTTAATTTAAAATAGTAGTTATTCAATAATATGAAATTATTAAATATATTAATTTTTTTACTTACTTAGAAAACTGATTTTATTTTTTATCATAAATTATATTTGTGTTTTTGAAAAAAACAAAAAGCTAAGCATTTAAAATGTTGGAAAACAAATAGAATAATTAGAAAATTTAAAATAAAAAAGTAATTAAAAATGAAAAATATATTTTTATAAATAAGAAATTTTATAATCTATCTTCTTTTTTCAAATTAAATTTTTAATTATTAATATCACTTTTTACTTTTAAAATTTAGATTGTTATGTATAGCCATAAGACGGCAGTTTTACAGTAATTAATCCTAATTGCAAAACATGTGTAACAGACTCTTTTTTTGTGTATAATTGCGATACATGTAGTGATAGTTATTTTTTATCACCTTAAATATATACAATTTATGTCCCATTGGGATGTAGTTATCCTGATGATGATGATTGTACACCAGTATATTATTATTATAATAAATGTGAAATTTGTAATAAAGGTTCTTTATATAATGCAAAAACATGTAAATAAAACGCTTTGACGTACATAATTTATGCACTTACTTGCTAAGATGGATATTATTTGTATTCTGATACTTATTATATTGGTATTTGCTTGCAATGTAACACAAATTGTTTAACATGTTCTTCATATACTGCTTGCTTAAGTTGTTAACCAGGTTACTTTCTAGATGAAAACAATATTTGTAGATAGTATTGCTTTGATAAATCACCGTCTATAAAGTATGTTCCTTTGAAGAATTAGAATTCTCAAAACTCCTGTTTTTATAGCGAGTAAGATATATAAGACAAAGATAATTGCATAAGAGCAAGCTAGTGCCTTACTATTTAAAACGGTTTTTGTACTTCAAAGATGTGTTCGATGTGTAAAATCGGATACTTTTTAGATTATCGCACGGGATTATGCTACTAACAATGCCCCACAGGGTATGCAAAATAAACTTAGTCAGGAAATTTTTAATGTATCCCTATTACAAATTGCAAGTTATATGACTAATATGGAAACAATTGTATTTAATGTATGCCCTCTTACTATCTTTAAAATTAATAAGGTGCTACAATATGTGTCAATAAGTGCCCTGATGGATACTACTCTAAAACTGATATCACTTTAGGAGATAAATGCTATTGTAAATTTCCTTTATTATTTTTCATAAATATTTCTTTTTTTCTTATAGCCTTTTTATCTTTTTTTACATTTCATTCAAAAAATAAAATTGATTTTTTATTTAAATAATTCACCAATACAAAAATATATTTAAAATCAAGCTAGTTTTTGTGTTCTTTTTTTTTAAATTTTTATTTTATTTTTTTTTGTTATAATTTTAATAAAATTAATTCAGTTAAACAAACATTCTATTTAATTAAAAAAAATTTTTGAAAGAATGCAGCTCAAACTGTAAGACATGCTAGTACCAATCCAACCATTGCTTAACTTGTAATCAAAATAGCAGCTTTAAATGTAAATTTAAAACTTATTTAAAAAATTTCATTAATTCATTTTAAAAATTAAAAAATTAAGATATTATGATTACTCCTCATACTCTAACGGTTGGAGGCATATAATTTAGCAAATAAATTTGTGTCAATACCTGTCCTGCTAACAGTAATGTTAATTAAAACACTCAAACTTGCTTTAGTAAAATATTTTACTTTTTTTTTTTTTAATTTTTAATTTATGTTTATTGATTTTAAGCTTGTAGTTCACTTTGTTCCTCGTGCTAAGACGATCCTAATAAATGCACTGGCTGTAAAGATGGCACATTAATCTTTCCACTTATATATTAAGATCCAAATATCATTAAATCTCCTTACCTTAATGATGCAAGTTTGAAAGGAAACTCTTTTTAATTATGTTTAAAATCATGTTCCTAAAGCGAATTAAATTCCTTAGGAATAACTACAGTAAAATCTTACTATGCTAATAATTAGTAGCCTATTAGAGTATGCTAAAGTAATTTATTATAATAGTTTTTATTTTTTCTAACTTTTTTAATATAGCTTGTCCATTGGGTTGTTTACAATGTAATCCGTCAGCTGCTTCTGTAGCTTCAAATAATCTATAAGATATTTTAAATTATTAATGCAGCTAATGTGACAAAAGCTTAAATTACTTTAGTAATAATTATGGAGGATGCAAGTTAGCTGTGTGTGGAGATGGATTTAGAGATGCAAATGAATAGTGTGATGATGGAAATAACGCTAACTATGACGGTTGCAATTCCTAATGCTAAATTGAATCTGGTTGGAGCTGTACGAATGATTAAGGAAAAAGCTCATTGTGCAACACAATTTGTGGAGATTCTTCAATTATTAACTACAAAATTGGAGGAAAAGAAACATGTGATGCTGGTTCAAATTAAGGTAAAATAGCAGGGTGCTCTTCTTAATGCACTGCTATGCCTGGTTATTTTTGCGCAATCCCACAAAACAGGTAAAAACAAACATTTTTGAATTCTAAAAAACTAATAAAATTCATTTAAAAATACAGTGCTAAAACTTAGTGTGGTCTTCCTTGTTTAGGAAGCTGCAAAAAATGTTAAGTCAATCAAGATGGTGTCACAAGTTGTGTATAATGTGCAAATCCAAATTCATTTATAAATGGTCTTGGGTGTGTTGATCAATGCCCTTAAGGATCATTAAGAAATCCTATAACACAAAGCTGCCAACAATCATGCCCTTCTTTATACTCCTCTATAGATTATGTGGCTAACATGTGTGTATCTTATTGTCCTTAGAATTTATTTTCAATTAATAAACAGACATACTTCGAATGCAGATAGGATTGTCCAGCAGGTTATTTTAAAGATTATTACGAAAGCATTTAAATATGTAGCTAATGCCATCAGTCCTGCTCTACATGTTAAAGCTCTCTTCCAACTGACTGCATGACCTGTTCTGGTAACCTTCTCTATCATGTTCATGACTTCTATAATGTATGTAAACCAACTTGTGATCCAGGTAATCAAGAAAAACATTTTTTTAACCTATTTTGATCTATTTTTTGATAAAAAATAATTTCAAATCATCTTTTATCAATTTTTTATGAAAAAATTTAATCTTTCCTCTTAAACGTAAATAAATAAATACTGTCTGTGTATTCTCATCAATTAAAGACAATTTACAAAATTAATTTTTTTTCAAAAAAATGTTATCTAAATGCTGAAATATTTTTATTTTTTGAAAAATTCCTTAATTAATGAGGATATTCAATAAGTAAATAAATAGATTGTATAAATCATAACTAAAATACAACTAATTACCTGAATTTATGTTATATTTATTAATTTAAATTAATATTTTAATATTTACTAAAGGATTTTAGTTGGGAGTGATAAACAATTAAAGTGTGTGTGTTCCTTGCTTAAAATAGTGTACTGCTTGTGCTCCAAATTTATACTTATTTAATGGCACTTGTTCACCTACTTGTGACGTCCCAAACACCTCTAAAGATAGCTCAACTTGGACTTGTTATTACAATTCAATACCTAGTGTTTCCATTTAGCAAGAAAACACTTCAGGTGTATATGGATTTGTAAATGACTACAAACTTTTCTCTGTCATAGATTAAATATATCAAGTTTAGTCGTATTTATGGACTCTCCCTGAAGAAACTAGTACAGTCTCTACTCAGTTCTTCTATGGGGTTACTTAAAATCAATCTACCTTAGTAATAAAAGGAGCTAATTTGATTAGCAATAAAGTTTATAAAATTTAATTGCAAGCTACCATTAATAATTCTTAATATGTTGCTACTATTTAAATAGCTACAATGCAAAATCCGATTAGTAATTTATTTTTTAAAAAGCAAAAATAATAATTTAATTTTAATAATTAGTTTAACTTTTTGTTACACCAACTAAAGGCTACTACTTGACAACCGTATTTTAGTTCAAAACTTTGGGTTGGCCTTCGTACATGAATAAAACTTATTAATATACTTTGGTTGGTTTATCTTCAATAAACACTGCCAACAACATTCAAATTCTAAGTGGGTATAGCTAATCTGACATTTCTAAATCTTTTGTATTTCCTCTGCAGAGTTAAGACCAAATTTACACTATTTAACTTAACATTTTTACATAAGATTTTTCAATCGTGCCTGTGACATAAATTTATGTTTAACAAAATAAAATGTCAATAGCAAACATTACTTAATATATAATGTCTCAAAAGTTTACTTCTGTCTTAGATATCTAATCAGCTGCTCTTTCTTTCAATTATGCAACTTAAGATGCTATAAATAGTATATCATCAAACTTCAACAAACAGCAGTTATTATACCAAAATATTACAAGTAAATAAAGGATTCATTTATTAATAAGAGCTTTTAATTATTTATTTATTTAATTTAACTGATTTTGAGATGAATTTCTAATTTATATTTTAATTAGATGATTCAACTTGTACCGCATAAGACAACTGTAGTGGTAACGGCAAATGCATGATTATTTCTAGCTAGATATAATGCAATTGCAATTCAAAATATTCTGGGTAATACTGCTAATACACTTCAGATGAACTAGCATAGATTTAGAATGTAAATTTTAAAATACTGAGTGAATTAGAAAGGTACGGAGTAGATTCTACAAATTCATACGAATATGCTACATCTCTAGATTCACTAACTTCCCTTACAGATGCATTTAATAGAACTACAATTAATAGTTTGAGGTAAAATTTTAGATCATTATTGTAGCTTGGTTCAGTGAGTAGCAATGCTTTGCCAGTTGCTTTGGATGGTTTGATGGGATATTTATAAATTTGCTAATATTCTTACAGACAAAATTATCTTCTTAAAGAATATTTATATGGTGGTGAATAAGACTATGTCCATTCCGATTTACTACTTATCGGTAATAATTACAATTAAATTATAGATAAAGGTATGTAAGATGCTTAGTTCTATAACCAAGATGGTAATGCTATCATAGACAATTTGATTGCGAACTAAGCACTATATTCTCTTCCTTAAGACGATGGTCACTATTTTGGAAAATCAGGAGGTTCTAAAATTTCTATAAACAACTACCAGATAAGTAACATATAAAACCTAATGAAGTATAATCTAAGTCAACTTGTTAGGCTATTAGAAGAATCCTCACAAGATAACAATTCAAGTAAATTCAATCAATAAATCTATTTCAATTAACAAATTGAAAATTATTAAAATTTCTAAATTGATTTTCATAATAAACTAAAATATTTTTAAGAAACTTCAAGATAAATCAAGAATTAAATTTTATTAATTTGAATGAGATAAATTCAAATTAAAAAAATAAAAGTTTATTTTATTCACAAAAAATGCTTTGATTACTTTTATTGATTGTATAAAGATAGATAACAAGATTAATTTAAATGATTTATTTATAATTAAAATAATTTTTCATTTTTATTATAATAAAAAAGAAGAAGAATAAGATAGAAATTTACAAACTTCAAAGTCAAACACTGTTTCTCTTGTTGATTTTAGTTCAAATTTTTTAAGTGATTTATAGAAATACTTGAGCTAATAGAATATAAATAGCATTTCATTGACATAAATTGAATATACAAACACAAACCCATTCATAGAAAGTTCTCAGCTTATCTATTCTTCAGTTCTAAAAATTGGTATCGTAAATGTAACTAATAACCAAATAAGCACAAATTTCCAATCGCAATCAGGTTCTAACTATTTAGCTTACTTGTAGAAGACAGCTGTATCTCTGGGTGAAAATGCAGTGTGTGCTGTGTATAATTAGACTAGTTAATAATATGAAGATAATAAATTGTGTACTCTACAGAATTAGAATAATGCCTTCTACTATATCTGCTAATGCTCTACATTTGGCTATATAACTATTAAAGAGCTTGGGGAATTATCTAATTAATTCTAAAATGTTTCATAGAAGTCCTTCTTTTAAAGAATTTTATCTAATTTCGGGTTTATGTTTAGCATATCAAATATAATTCTCTTGCTTGTTTTAATGCTTATTCTACTGATATTTAAAAAGGATAAAGACATTCTTAAGGAAGATTATAAGGCTCTACATCCTCTATATTCCATCCTATTCATCAACGATATTTTAAATCCAAGAGAAATAAGATTAATGCTTTTCTTCTTAACTATAGCTTAGTAAGCCTTTTTCGAAGCACTATTGTTTTAGAGTGATGATATCTAAAACCTTGGAGCTTCTGCAATACCTGTAGTAGGTATTTGTGGAGTACTAATATCTTCGGTACTAAACTACATGACAGGTCTTGTTCACTTCTTTACTGTATTCAAAGAAACTGTATACTTCAAGAAATGGCTACCATTTTTTTTAATTTTCTTCATAGAATTAAGTAAAATAAATTAATATTTATAAAATTTTTATTTTTAATTTAAATTATATCAAAATAAATTTAATAATTTACTATTAAAATTTGATCAATAGATGTTGAAATTTGGCATTTATTTGTATTTTTTTAATTATTTTCAATTAATTTTAATTAAAATCCCAAAAGTTGGTTATTACGTTGGATTCACAAAGATCGCAGATAATCTTACAAATCAAATTATGCCAACCTGGCTCTCTACATTTTTTACAGGATTTTTGTTGGACATACTCATTTTGGACATGATATTTATGGCTTTGTCTATTAAAGTCAAGTATATCAGAAATTTGGTCTAAGTAAGAGGCTTTTTCTCAGGTAAAATTATCACTCTTGATGAACTCAAGAAAGAAAAAATTTAAGTTCACATTGACAATATCTAAAAAAGACTGAAATAAATATAAGAATAAAAATTTATATAATTCATTGATGATAAATAAGTATGATTGATTGAATTATTCAATCTATTTTATATCATTCAATATTTTATATTCCTCTCAAAAACAAAAAATAAATACATCTATCTATATTTGTACTTGATTCATTTTCTAGATATTTTAAACATTTTTATTATAGCTTACTCTTAATTCAAAAATACAAACTCTCATTAATTAATTAATTACACCTTACTCAATTTTTTAGCCAAAGAAATTTATTTTCATTATTTGTTTATATAATTCAATTATTATTAAGAATATATTTTTATCTATTTATTTTTTATATTATATTAATTGTTTTATTTAACTATTTATTTATTAAATTGTAGATAGATATAATAATTTCTAAAATAAGTAGATATTCTTTAATAAAAATATTCTTTTTAATTCAATTTAATTATGTGTTAAACACAATTTATGAATATTTATTAATTTTTTAGTTAAATAAAGCATTTATTAAATATAATTTTTTTTGAAATATGATCATTTTTACATAATTTTTATTCAAAAATATTAAATCTCATTAATTAATTATTCTGTTTTGATAAAAGCATATTTACACATTAATAATCTTTTTTAACCAAAAAAATTTCTTTATTTATTTTTTTTATCTCCCTCAATTATTATTAAGAATATATTTTTATTTTTTTATATTAATTGTTTTATTAAATCATTTATTTATTAAATTGTAGATATAATAATTTCTAAAATAAGTAGATATTCTTTAATAAAAATATTCCTTTTAATTCAATTTAATTATGTATTAAACACAATTTGTAAATATTTATTAGTTTTTTAGTTAAATAAAGCATTAATTTTTTTAGAAATATGATCATTTATTTTTACATAATTTTAAAGATAAATAAATAAATAAGTTTTTAACATTTATTAAAAAATAATTTTGTATATATAATATTTGTACAAATATTACAAGCTTAGAATTATTTATGAGTTTATTTCTAAACACATATAATATATGTATGTATATATTTACAATGAGATTTTCTAGAAAATTGATAAAGTCTGCTTTCATAATTAATAATTTACTGAAAATAATCAATAATAAAACTTTGTTTTAGTTTCATCACTTCTTGCTTCCAGCATCAGTTTAATCAAGGTTAATGATAAGTTCATTTCCTTCGTATTCTCTAATAATTTTAGACTAAAAAAATATTAAATATTAAGGAATTTCAATATTATTTTATTTACTTTCATGTACTTTGTAAGAGAAAGGTTGTCAAATTAGAGATCATCCTTAATGTGCTTATATTACAGACCATAAGCGTCTTGAACTTCTTAGAAGGCTCTAGCTTTAGATTCACCATCATATTTAATTGATTAGGCATCACCCTTTGCAAGATTCTAAAATATAAGTTTAGTTAGATTTAATTATATATTTTTATAAAGTAAAAATTATTTACTTTAACTACAGTGGCTTGATATTCCGCTTCCATTAATTTAGTAGAGAGTTCAACTTCTATTTTTTACTTTTGAGCTTAGGCTTTTGAAATTGATTGCTTTTAAACTTCTGTTTCCTAAATTGAATGTTCGAATTTATCTGGTAAATCAACTTTTCTCAGTTAGAAAAATTCTACAATAGAGCAGAATTCTTTTTAGAAATATTCATTCAGTTTATTTTACATTTCAGTTCCTATGTTAAATCTATCTGTGAAAAAATCTGATGCTGTGTATTTAGTAGCCTAATTAATTTTATTTTGATCTTTAACATTTTAAAACAGTAAGTTCAAATAAATAAAATTCAAATATTCTTAATGAGTTTTAAATTATCTCCATCTTTATTTGTTTGCTTTTTAGAAAGTGTTTTGGAAAATCTTAATTTTAAGAAAATCGTTTTTGATTTGAAAAATCTTAATAAGATTTCTTAAATTAATTGATTGTATCTTGCTGTAATAACTAACTAATTAACAAACAAACAAACTAAATAATTGATATTCATTTTTTCATTTGTTGTTATTTTATTTTTATTTAATCGTTGTTGTAATAGAAGTATATCTTCTTTTCAAAATGAAATAAAACCTTACCATTTCCTACAGGATATCAATAGATTAATATACAAATACTTGTTCATATTTTAAACCAAATCTTGTGTAGAGGTTATAGAGGTCCTTTACGAGAAGTCTTTATTTAAAATAGAAATTATTTAATAAATAGATTAAACTTTATTAATTTTTATGAGATATTTTACTTGTATTAAAATGATATTTCTAAGTTAACTTAAAGACCATCTTAAGTTCTTCCCATAATCATACCAGCACTTGCTCCACGCTCATTACTGAATTCGATATTGATAACTGTTTTTGGGAATACAAGGAAATGATGTCCAATACCTAAAAAGTGAACACCTGCTTCAAAAGGAGTTTAGCTAATCTTTAATCATACATATATAAGTTAAACTACAAAAATCAAAGAGTAAAAGTCCTTTAAGAGGCCTTGAAAATTTTATAAAGAATAATAATATTACAGTCTTAGAAATAGAGCTATAATCTAAACCATATTCATTTACTTGCAGAGAGGAAAATGAACAAATAATAACAAAAATTAAACAAATTAAAGTTGTTATAACACACCCTATTTTATATTATAGAATAAAAAATTGTTAGCTACGAATCAATCTATCTGCTTTTAAACTATTTCTTTTAATATGTTTATAAATTACCTAATATTACACCGAATTCCATTTTAAATAAAATCCTTCTATATCTATGTTATTTCAATTAATTATTTTATAACTAAGTATTTCTTATTAATTAATTTATTTGATTGTTATTCTGTTTGTTTGTTTGTTTGTTTATTTATTTATTTTTTACCTTCTTAACTCCCCCCAATCTTATCTAATTAAATTTAAAAACTAAGATATCTTTAAAGGCTATCATATAAAACCCATTAGAATTATTTATTATTCTACAAAAAACTAAAATATTAAAAATTCATTATACATAAATAAGATTTTATATTTCAATATATATTTTCTAACTAAAAAATAAATATTCACTCGCTTTTCAAATATTTTTATTTAAAATAATAAACAAGATTCTTCTAAAACAAAATTTGTAGTAGGCATGGTAGCAGCAAAGCAAGACATATTATAGATATTTAGTTCTTTCATTTATAAATTAAAAAAAGTAAAATAATTCCTTTCTAAAACAAACTAAAATTTATAAATTAAAAATTTGGAATATCCTTCTTGCGTAACTATTTTAATTTTCTGTTTTTAGTAGGTTGATTTGTTTTTATTTATTCTTCTTTTCAAATTTTTTAATTTTTTTATTCATTTTTTAAAGGTTTTTTTATTTTTTTATGGTGTTTTAAATATATTTTAATTTTTTTATAGTTTTTTTTATTTTTATAGATTTTTAATATTTTTTTAAGATGTTTTGACAATAAATTATTGATTAATAAACAATTTTAAAATATTTTTTCATTAAATTAGTAAAAATTAATTTCCTCATCAAATCTTTAAGTTAGTTTCTAATTAAAAAAATTATTCCTCATTTCTTATTTTTTGATAAATTTTAAATTCATTTTTTTATTGGTTGTTTTTATTTTGATTTGAAAGATTTTATTTTGTTTGATTAGGTTTTGCATATTGTACTGAAGCGAGCTAGATTCTAATAATAAACGGGCTTTATTATTATATCCATGCATGTTGGTGCATTTATCATCAAAGCATTCTGTGCAGAGCTTTCTCAAGCTTTATGTTGGGTGGCTAGTCCAATACAATAAAGCATAATTTTACATGATAGGCATCTGCACATATTCTTCAATGATTTTAAAAACTAGCACATTAACTCTCCACTTCTGACATCATAAGCAAATGTCTATGAATGATAATTTGGGTTTCTGTGACCATCGAGTTCCATTCTTGATTGATTATTTATATGGCCTTTATCTTGCGATAAAGGACAAGGACTAAAGAGTAATAGATAAATTCATTTCTCATAGGCTTTAATATGGGTGGCTAGTCCATTTAGAAAAGCAATTTAATTTATGATCCACTTATCTCTCTATTACTCAATAAGTCTAGGTAAAAACTAGCTCAAGAACTTCTCTCTTCTCACAAGAATACCTAGCAAAAGCTTCAGTCAAAATTAGATGTATTTCCTCTCTTGCCTTGTTGATATTGATTCTTTTTTTTGCTTTCTGAAAAATCATTTTAACATGATTATCAAGCGATTTAAAGTATTATGAGTTAACATATCACATGGTGCTTAATCCTGGGTGGCTAATCCAATAGATTAAGCGATGAAAATGTATTGCTACATTTAAATCGGTATGATCAACATTAAGCATCATAATACTAAAAATATTCGATTAAAAACTTAGCATAAGAAACTTTCTCCTTCCAGCTTGATTAGATTTACATCCATTTTGAAATAGACTTTACGCATAGATATGATTATCATTTAATCAAACTTTTTCTTATTCTTTGATTAAAAATTATTATACAATTTTTTTATCTTTGTTAACGGTCATCAAAAAGTTTCCATTCCAATAAATAAGAAAATTATCTAACAGTTTATTTCTTAATTAAATTTCATGACACTTCAAATAGCTTTAGTAATATTAAAAGAATAAGTGGGTAAATAATAATTTATTTATCTTTATTTAATTAATTTTTTCCCACATGAAGTAAAATTAAAAAATATAATTTTTTAATTAAATCTATTTCTTTTTTGTCAGAATTTTTCAAAATTTAAATTTAATTAAATAGTGGGAAAATTAATTTTTGTAAAGGAGAAAAACTTAATCAATTTTATCAAATAAATAAAAAAATTAACTTTGTTTTCCTTATAATAAATTGATAAAAGAAAAAAACCTTAAAACAAAAAATTAAACTAAGTTTCAAAATAAAATAAAGTAAAAGCAAATGAAAAGTTTTTAAATTCGTAAATAATCCATAAGCCTTCTTATTGTTTTGAGTTAATCATGGCTAATGATAAAAACTCACATTAAACGAAGCAGGACCTTCAACACCAAGTTTTTAAAATAAGCACTCATTAAAAACATTCGCCTTTACTTATTTTATCTTTGTCACAAAAATAATCTTTTTTAAGATTTGGCAATTTCAAAAAAACTCTAAAATTAAATTCTCTTTAGATTATACAAATAATCGAATTCTCTCTTAGTAGATTTAATTTATAATTAGTATTTTTTAAAAGAAAACTAGGCCTCCTCTAAGAAAGATCAGCATTGAGAATAAGCTCGGTTTCATCTCTCATAAAAAGAATAAAAAAGAAAAAGATTAAAAGATAAATTAAAAAAGACAAAAAAGAAAATAAATAAACTAAAAACCCATAAAAATAAAAAAATTAAAGAAAGAAATAAGAAGAAAATAATTAAACAAATTAACTAAATAAATAATTTAAATAATACAATTAATGAATAAAATAAAAACATAAATTAAAAACAAAACAAAATAAATATAAATTAAAATGTAATGATAAAGCATGCCTCCATTTGCTATTATTTTGATGCCATTTTTTATATTTATATTTAAAATTGAAAGAAAGAATAAAATTTTTTTTAAAAAACATTTAAAAATGAATTAATTATGTAAAAATAGAATTTATTTCCATTCTCAATAAAAGACATTAAATTTTTTTTCAAAATAAACTCGATCAAAGCAAAATCAAAACAAAAAAAAATCTCCATACAAATTTTAAAAGAAAGTAAATTTAATAATGTAAACAATCGAATTAGTTTTTTACTCTTATCGTTTTTACTCCATTTTATTTAAAAAAATGATATTTATTCAAATATTTGTTGTATTTTTACACTTTTTTAAAAAATAAATGAAAATAAAATTAAATATTTTTTTAAAAAACTGAAGTAGTTATTTAAAAAGTAAAATTTTTAAATTGAATATAAGCTTAAGCAATCAATAAAAGCAATTTATTTTTTTAATCAAAATGTGATTTTTTTATAAATGAAAAGAGATTTTTAGCTAATATTTCAAAATAGAAATAATTGTACTTGCAAATGCATCTTGAATTTAAAGAATAACATATAAACTTTTTGATATTTCATTATTTTAAATACTTGTTTTGTATTTAATCAACAGTTGTTAAAATTCTTGCTGGAATCATAAATATGCTTCTTTATAATAACAAATATATCTTGAGTTTAAACAATTAAAAACAATATAATTTGAGAAATCCACAATTTTTTAATTTACATTTTTTGATTGAAGATTTTTTAAATTTATATAAAAGTTAATACTTAACTTGAATGATCTATTACCATACAAAAAATTTATTACAATTTGTTAATATAATTATTAAGAGAGTCAATTTCGCTCTTTACTTCTCATTTGCAAACTCCGTATGCTTAGCAAGCTGAAGTTACTGCAGGGCAAGACCAGTTTCCAGGACCTCCTACACCTCCAGTGCAATCAGTGCATGTTGTTCCACAGTTTCTAGCTTGAGGAGCAGCTGCATCGCAAGTTTCGTCAGAAAGAGCAGCCCAGAAAAGAATACCCTTTATGGGTTAACCATCTTTCTTGAATTAAAGAGTTGGGGCCATAGCACTTGCGCTATCACAAACGTTAACTAGATTACGAGCTACAGTCATTTAGTTACCAGGGAATTTGTGTTAAGACCAGTACATGTTGTTATCGCTTGGATCGTCTGATGCGTTAACCATAACATTAACCCAATTTAAGTTATTTAAGTTGTTCAAGGCAACTTATTCAACATTTGGGAAAGCTCCTGGAGAGGCGCCAGTGTCCATAGTCAAAACAGAATACCAGTTAACTCCGTCGTTAGGTATAATGGCACGATATGCAGAAATGAATTAGTTCATCCAACTCATAGCACCATCTGATTCGCAATCAAGTTCAATACCAACATTATACTTTTTAGCAATTGAAGCTGCATTTTTTGCTACAGTTTATGGGTTTGTTTGGACGAAACGGTTCTAGAAATCCCAACCACCAATTGAGAACATAATGTTTAAAATTGAAGAATCTTTAGCCTCAGCGAGTGAATCAAGGAATCTTTAAGGAGGTACATCGGATTTTTCTAGTTCTACAGGATCTAAGAAGGAGAGAATTGCAATATTTGATCCATTGTTGCGAACCCATTTAGGTATACCAGCTTATAATGGGTTGGGGTTTTGTTCATAAATACCATCATAGATGAATACATAAGGTCCAAAAAGTGTAGTTGGAATACCAGTTGATTTCATTCTGTATTTCAAATAGTCTTCACCTTGATGAGTGTGGTGTGATTTATGATGATGGCGGTGATGATCATTGTGTTTCTTTTAAAATCTTTGAGATTCTAAAACAGATTGACCAGCAAATAAACTGACCCCTACTAGAAGAGTGACTCCTATAGCCAAGAAGATTGCAGTTTTAGAAAGCATTTAATAAATCTATCAAGAAAAGATATTAATTAATTTTTTTTTGATTTTTCAGAATTATTCGCAAATATTTGTCCAATTTTCTTGCATATAAACCCATTTATATAAATTTCTATTTACTTGATAAAAATTTTGCATTTATGATAAACCTAATTCTCATTGTAAAGAAGTTTATTCCTCCATTTAATATTGATTCCTTACTCAAAAAAAGCAGGTATGATGATTGAAAAATTATATGTAAATAAACTAACAAACTAGATTACACTATTTTAAAAATATTATAATCAATTATTTAAATTATTATCTTTGTAATTACATTCAGAGATAAATTTCAATTTCTAAAAACTCAAGCTATCATACTTTGCATTTTTATCTCTAATTAAGATTAGTCTCGCCAATTATAACAAAATAAACCCAAATTATATAAATTATTGCCAGCTTATGAATTAAAAAAAGGCAAAAATATGTATTATAAATTGTTTAAAATCATAAAAATCAATTAAAATGAAATTGTTTTTTTAATAAAATAATTTTGCAATTAGTTTAATTTATAAAATATGAATAAAAATTCTTTTGTTAATAAAAATGTCAATTTAAATATTTTTAACATTAATCTATATTTTATTCCAAAAACTTGCAAAAAAATTCTAAAACAAAATTATTAAAAAATCAATTTATTTTATTTGCAGTTTTTAGTTAATATTTTAGAAATATTCTTATTCAAAAAACATGAATAAAATAAATAAGCAATTATTAAGTTTGAGGAGGATACCATCAATAAAACTCGTATTTTCCTAACTACTATTAATTATTATAAAATTTAAAATAATTTTTATCATGGTTAATCAATCTTATGATTTGGTAATAACCTCATTTAATAAAAGCTAAAAATAAATATGATCTTTTAAATAAAAATTAATATAATTTTGTGTAAGTTTTTATATTTTATTTATTAAGCAAATCTTTCTTAAATATATTAAATTTAATACTTAAAACATATATTATATACTCTATCTAATATCCATTAATAAATTAGTTTAATTTGTTTGTTATCTTTGCTTATTCTACTTAATTTTTTAACAAATAAATTTAAATTTTAATAGCATGTTAAATTATCTTGATTTAGACTTCTAGTTTCTTCAGTGCTTTTTTCCATACGAATAAAATTGATTAATAATTAATATAATTATCTCATCATACTTTAAATAAATTTATTAATAATTTATCTTATTAAAATAGTTATAAATCATCTTATTTTAAATAAAAATAAATCAATATTATTTATAATTTCCATTTCTTAAGCATATAAATAAACCACTACAAAATAATATTATAGCACTTTGAGGTATTTATAATTATTTAATTTAAATACACTTTGATCATTTAAAGGACATCTAATTTTATTGCTAAATTAATTCAAGCATATTTAAAATTAATTAAATATCGAGAGTAAGAATAAACATTTATTTAATAATTTTAAAATAATATAACTAATTAGTTTTTTCTTATAGAACTAAACACGGTTATATTCTTTGAATTAAAGTGATTAATTTACATTTTAAATTTGTTATCATTTTTACAACTTAAATGAAATATATATAAATAAATACATAGGAGCTATTTTTTAATTTATACATTTATTGATTGTGATAATCTATTTTATTATTTAGATAATTTCATTTGATTATTTAAAATATTTAAATGATTAAATAATAAACTTATTAATTATATTTTATCAAATTTATGTTTAAAATTACACTTGATTTCATTTAAGGCTTTGGTAGATTATAATTTGCAGCAAATTAAAATTGAATGAAAGGTATATAGGTAGGTAGGTATTATGGATTCTTATAAATAAGTAAGAAAGAATCAAGAAAGCATTTCACTAGAAAATTGTGGCTAAGCTACCAACAACTACAAGTATTGATCCTAGTATGCTAGTTAGGAATATTTTTTCATTGAATACGAAGACATCTATGCCGAAAGATAGAACTATTTCAGTGTATTAAAGAGGAGAAATGATTGAGGCTTCTTCAAAGGCAAATGAACGTGAAAAGAAAAATTCAGCTAGATACCCACAAACAGATATAATAAAAGTATAAAAAAAGTAATCAAAGCTAGGAACAAATTAAGTAGGAGACTGCACTAGACAAAGAGATGCAACAACTACTGTAGCATAAAAACTATAAATTAATTAGGCTGCAGAAGGGCATTTATACTAATCTTAAAGCTTTCTCATAATTACTGTGATGAATGAAATCAATACACTACCAACTAAACCTAGAGCGCATCCTAGTGACTAATTTCTTTCTAAATTACTTGGAAGGTTTAAAGATTTTATATCAGTAGGCTCAAAAAGAAAGGAAGGTCTAACCACTAAAATGATGCCTAAAAAGCTAACAAAAGAAGACACAAGCTTTCTGAGAGTAATTTTCTCTTGTAGAAAATAGCTTGCAAGAAATGTAGTCCAAATAGGATTTGTGTTAGAAATAATAAAACCATCAGAAATATTAAGATACTTATAACTCAAAAACAAGCAAACTGTTTTTATAGCAACTAAAATTCCAGATATTATAAGCAGTCTAAACACTGTCTTATTGGTGTAAAATATTTTAATATCGAATGATTTGCATTAGCTTAATGTAATTAAGTAGCCAATTACGCATCTCCCAAGAATGACTTGGTACATAGAATAGGAAGTTCTTAAAATACCAACACAAGTATACATTGTGATAAAGAAGAACTAGCTTATTAATGCATATATAATTGCTGTTCTTCTCTTATTCCCATTTTCAAATGACTAACACCTTTGAACTAAAAAATCACCTACACTCATTTAATTATTTTTTAAATTATTTTTAGCTTTTAATTAAAAAATTATGCATAATCTTACAATAAATATCCAAATTTTAATTTACTATCTTTCAATCATATTACGCAAGTATTAGTAATTGAATAATCTTTTAGACTGATTAATCACCAATAAAACTCTAATTGATTAATTTAATAAATCACATTTATATTTTAGTTTATTTAAATATCCAAATTGTTATTTTATTTACTTGTAAGCTCTATGCAAAATAAATTAGCTTTTTTATAAGCCTTTTAAATATTAAAAATAGATTAAATATTGCTTTTATTAAACAAATTTTTATTTTTTAATGAATTTATCAATTTAAACATAAAAATCAAATAATTAAATGAGCAAATAAATATAAAAATATTAAATCCAAATATTCTAGTAAAAATATATTGTTTACCGCAAATGTTGGAAACCAAAGAGGTAGGTATTTTTCTATTATTTTATTATTATTCTCCATAGGTAAAACATTTTTCAAAACATTTTATTAATAAACATAGAAAACTATTTTAAAATTTATATCCTTGCATAAATATAAGTTGTATATTTAAATTTCTCACTATTGAATTGAATATATTTTCATATGCTAAATAACATTACTAAAGGTACAAAAATATATTTTTTAAATAAATTTTAATAGTAATTTTTTAATGAAAAATAATAAATTGAATTTAGTTAAATTATTTATTTCTTTTTAATTTAATAAAAAATATATTTTTAACTAGAAATGTGACATCAATGCTAAAATATCTCTTAGTAATATTTTAGTGTAAGTATGCACTTTAGATGATAATAATGCTACAAGTATTTTTTTGAATATTCAAATATTTTCATATACCCTGAAATGATCAAAAAGAATAAAGTAGGTTTGCTGATTGTTACATCTTTGAAATTATTTTAAGGATTATAAACAATAAATTTTTATTTATTAGAATTTCTCATTTCTTTCATTAAGTGCTTAAATTTTGCATTAATTAAATTATCTTTGTTTTAAAGTAATCAAGCATCGATTCCAAAATTAGAACTGATTAATTTGGATTTAAGTGATTATAAATTTTTTATTTAATTTTTGACAACAAAATATTTCATACAACTCAATTATTTATTATTTAAATGTTGAAATTAAAAAACAATATTTTTTTATAAAAAAAACTAATAGATAAAATAAAAATTAAATTTGTAATTTAATATGAAAAGTGATAATTATTCTTCAACTCAATCATAAAACAATAAAGAAATTAATTATTTAACAGAATAATTTTACCTTTCTAGCGATTTAAGTGAAAAATTACCTTAGCAAAATGTCTAATATTCCTCAAATGAGCTTGATTATAAGAAGTAGTTAGTTTTTAATACATTTTAGTATATTCAAAACAAATAATTTTAAGAAGCTAGCTAAGATGAAGGAGATAAGTTAAAGTATTTGAATTATGTGATAAATTTAATTATTTCTTTTGTTTAGCTTGCTCTAACTTTACTAACACTACCTCTTCTTTGTTTGATTATCTTAATAACATTCGTAATAAATTGCTTAAGCTTACAGGACTTTTTGAATATTCTATGGATCTTAATTAGCACAATTTCTATAAATTATAATATTATTAATTTCTTCTTTTTCAGAGATTTTCAGATATTTGCTGTCGAGTAAATTTTGTAGGACACTGTCTTTTTCATATTCACTTGCTTTTTAGTTATTTTATTTTTAAAAGTAAATATTGAGTAGAATCACTCTCCTTTAACTATGATTTGCAATCCAGGATAATATTTACCTAAATGCTAGGCTACATTAGTTTAGGTAATTGAAAAAGAAAAATAAATCATTGGATATTTTTTAGATTACTAAGAATTGAGTTAAATTCCTTAAACTCATTATTTGCCAACACCATCATCTTATTTTAGACTCTTTGATAGTTCTCAGTTTATTCCAATAAATAAACTTTTAAATGGGTTTGGTGAATAAATTTAAATAGAATTTTAAAAATTCTTCCTACTTAGTTGTGTTGTTATTTTAAAACTTCTTCTAGTTTTCTATTATTTATACATTCACTAGCTGATGGAAATACGTACAAGAGACATAATAGATCTAAGTATTTCTATTTTCACTTACCTTTACATTACGTATCTTCTGTGTAGAACTCTAGGAAATTTTGATCTAATAAGAAAAATAAAATCCTTTGAATAACTCAAAGAGTATATTAATTTTAATGAGCAAAATTTTTATAACAACAAATCATACAAAAATAAGTTAGATATTTTGTGCCCAAGCAGTTTAGAAGCTTGGGATAACTCTAGAAAGTTATTATTGCAGCACGAAAAAAGTTTGCTGATTGATTTGGAGGTTGCATATATCTGCTTAACTTTTTAATACTTATTTGTGACTGTTATTTCAGCATCAGGTTTATATGAATTCTATTGGATAATTCCAAAATAGTCTATTTTACTAAGCGATTCAGTTGTAATAATGAGCACACTTAACTTTGTTTTCCTTTCTATATTTTTCTTATATAGATTCTATAAAGGTACTCAATTTAATGAATGCTTTGATAACCTTTAGTTATCTACAGTCGAACTGCTAGACGTTGTATTAGATTTAAAAACTTAATATGAAGATTATTTTTTGATTAAAAGAGATTCCTTAATGAAAGTAAATTAAGATTCTGTATATGCAATCATAATTAAAAAGATAAAAAAGATGAGTAAAAATATAATCAAATCTTAGAATTCTTATTTGGGTTAAACTTATGCTATTGAATAAAAGTAATTATTGAGAAAAAATATTATTAAAAATACTGAGTAGTGTCTAATGAAAATTATTTAATCAATTTAAATTGATAAATAAAAACACAGCTACAAGTTTCTTAACATTGTTGATATAAGGTTTAGAGAATTTCTTTTAACTGTTTTGTTTTTAGCTCTAACCACCTTGCCTTAAATTATTCCAAAATTTATAAATTTCTATAAAAAATGAAAATTAATTATTTGTTTTATATTCTATTCTCATTAATTATGTTTGTTTGTTTTTATTAGCTTTTAAAAACCCAAATTTAGAATTAATTAAGAATTTTTTTTACATAAAAGAGCAATTTATTAAAAATAAATTATTTTTAATGATATAAATGCCTTTCCAAAATATAATGATATGCTATAACTATTTTCTAGAAAGTCCTTTATTTTTTAATTATTTTTTTTTAGGGTGAAAACTTCTAATAAACCTAAAATTTTTAGCTCTAAAATCCTATCCAGAAGAAACTAGCCAATCTTAATATTTAATAAATATATAAGAGACACATTTGAAATTGACTAATACTAAAAATTAAATAAGAAAAATAAAAGAAAGTGTTTCAAATATTGAAATAATTAAAGCTTATTTAAAATTTTTAATTACTTAAGATCATACTGTATTCATAAAATATTATATTATCTAAATTTCTACTAATATCAATTGAAATCAAACTAACAAATTTATTTTTTAAAACAACAAAATCTGATTCTATTAATGATAAAATTATTATAATCTTTGAGAAATTTATTAGGCTAAATCTTTTAGCATTTATTAAAATAATTAAAACTAATAAATTTCTTAATAATAATAAATATGATAAGAAAATTTCTGATAAAATAGGTTTCTTAACTTTAAATTTTTTTGATTAATCTTTTATTTTCTCATTAAAATAAATAAGCTCTAATATAAACAAACTTCTCAATAATAATTAGTTTTCTGTGAATATAATAAATATAAGATATTATGTGGGTGATAAATATATCCTATTTCTTAAAAAACTAAAAATGATAGATAATTAAATTAATTAAAAAAAAAATTTAAGAAAAAAATAAATAGATAATAAATAGTTAAAAAGATGGATAATGCAATTAATTAAAATTAAAACACTAAGATAGAAGAAATATAGGTTGAGCAAATAGCTTTAGATGGGGTACCATCATCAAATAATTAAAATATTAAAGACGATTCTCATCAGAGCAAAAAAAATCAGCTTGGCTAATTTAAAAAATATGAAATATAAAATGATTCTAATAAATTTCATGCTTTTTATAAGGCTATTTGCATATTTTTAACATTTATTATGTTACTATCTGTGAATTTAACATTTGGTATTCTGTTTTTTATAGCTTAAAACAATGAAGATAAAAGCGATTATTGTTAAAATGACAGTCTTAAAAAGTGGGCTCTTACTGCAAGTATACTTTGTTTTGTTTCTTCAGGTTTGCTTTTTCTTTTGTATTTAAGCTATATATTTGTAGATAAGCTAAGGGATGAAAGCTGTCTTTAATGTATATTATTATTAATATATTATTTATCAACATATTTGAGCTCGTTTGTTTAAACTGGTTTATTTGTTTGCTTCATTGGACTCTAAGTAACCAATTCTAGTGATTGTGGTACCCTTTATAAAGTTACTTAAGCATATTGCATACTTAACTTTATAGAAATAGGAATAGTTGGATTACTTCTTGTCATTTGTATTATTGCAATGATTGTTAAATGATGCCAAAAATGTTCTAGATTTTGATGAAAACTATTTAGTCATAGCAAATAAATAGATAGATTTATTTATTTGAGGCACTAAAAATTTTAGGCAGATTACTACAAAAAAAATATTTGACTTACTTAATTCTTAGTTTATTCTATCTTTATTTGTTTATTTTTTGATATTCTCTCGTTTTAAAAAAACGATTTATTTTTATAAAATTAAAAACTTTAATTTGGTTTTTATTTTGATTAAATAATTTTTTTATTTTTTATTTTTAATAAAATTAAAATAACAAAATAAACAAGATTTATTTAGAAAGTTAACAAAAAAGTAAAAATATCTTTAGAATAGCACTTTGCAATTAATAAATAATCATCCATATTTATTAGCAATAATTTAAATAATATTTCGAAATAAAAATAATTAAATTAAAGGCTATATTAAAAAAATTTATTTTCATATTTATTTTTATATATTAAACTAAAAATAATAAATTAATTTAATAAATTTTTGAAAAAAAAAATTTGCATCTTAATATAATTTTATTAATCATAATTAATAGTATTTATTTTTAAATGAAAGTTAAGTACTTTTTATCAGATAATGTCTAATTAGGTTACCTGCTGGTATGCTGATCAAAAACACTTATCATTTTGTAAAAAAATATAAAAAATTAATGATCTGATAAATTACAAGTATTAATAAGAATTAATAGTATTTATTTAAATAAAAGTTAAGTAGATTCTATCAGATAATTTCTAATTAGCTTACCTCTTATGCTGTTCAAAAATATTTTTCATTTTGTAAAAAAAATATTTAATGATCTGATAAATTTCAAAGCCATTAAAAAAGAGAAGGCAAGTAAAAAGATGAATTCTGTTTAAAATGAAAGCTCTGAATTAGAGGAAAAACTAGATGAAAATGAACATTTAACTGAAAAAAAAACAAAACTTGCTTGCAATTTCTCTTCTGAATGTAGATATTATGTTTGCTTGTTGTTAGTTTAAATTATTGCGATATCTGTGAGCTTAACTTTTGGTATTCTATTTTATATAACACAAAAAGATGGAGATAAAAACGATTACTGCGAAAATGAAAGTCTTAAAAAATGGGCTCATGCAACAAGCATACTCTTTTTTATCAGTCTTGGTTAAATTTTTATTTTATACACATCCGCTTTATTATAAGTCAAATTTAATTTGGACTATTTTGGAACAATTTTAGTTGGATTTATATTCTATATATCTCCAGCTCTTTTTTCTTTAATTGAAACTGGTTAATTTGTTTGCTTGATAGGACTCTAAATAAATAACTCTAGCGATTGTGGTATCCTTTATAAAGTTACTTTAGCATATTGTATAATTTCCTATATTTTAATTGGATTAGCTGGTCTGATAACTTTTATTTAATATATAAAAAAATGAGCTAAAAACAAAATTACTATTATATAGTAATAATTACTATAATATTATCTTCCTCGCCATAAATAATATATTACTAATAAAAGCAAACATTTTGAAGTGTTCAAATATTTATATAAGAATAATTTATAACTTTTATTTTTTAATTTATTAAAAATGAACTTTTTTTATTCACTATTTATTTTATTTTTGTTTTTTATTGATATCGAATGAGGTAATATCAAATTAAAGTTAATTAAAATCAAATTAAATTTTTAAATGGTTTACTTAATTAATAAATCTAATTTATAAAATAAATTCTTTTAAATTAGAGAAGTTCGTTGTTCTAATATTCGGATTTTTAAAAATTGATTTTCCTTTTATTAAAAATAATAAGAAAATTGAATTAGATGAATTCATTTAAAAGATAATTTTTCAGCTTTTTATTGAAAGAGTTTTTAAACGAATTTATTTATTCATTAATTGGTTTTTTTCATATTAAGGTATGCTTTAATTCAATAGAATCTTTGATTTTAATTTATTTAAAAAATATTAAAGCTTGAAGTTTGCTTAATTTAACATTGACAGAAATTTTCTTATGAAATAAATAAACATAGAAAAGTATTTGTTAATTTCTTAATCAGAATCATATATTATATAGAAAAGTCATTAAAATAGATTGATAAATCCTATTTATTAATTTTAGTCTTAAGAATTTTAAAATATTTCAAGAATATTTTAATTTACTTTGGTATCACAAATTTCTCAAATATTAATTTTGATAAATCATAAAAAAAAAAATCAGAAAAAAATAAACAACTAAGTCATAAATAAATAAATAAAAACATGGATTGCTAAAAAAAGGAAAACAGCAACATTTAATTAGAAGAAATTAAGACTGATTACAAAGCTATAGCTGAAAAAAATTCATAATTTTCTTAAGGTTTAAACTAATATAGTAAGTATTAAGCTGATATTTCTGATTAAATGAAATGGAAAAGTAACAAAAAAGTGTATTCTATTGAGAAATAAAATACAGACAATAATTTACAAGAAATTATTTAGGAAGCTAAAATTTATTAAAATTAACAAATTCCTCAAACTTAAAATAGAAATTTTATTACAAGAAATTATCACTTTAATACTTCAAATTCACTCAATAACTAAAATTAACAAAGTAGGAATTAAAAAAATTCTTTTATTGATTCCATTAATAAATATATTTTTCTTTTTATCTTCTTAACTATTATTATCAGTTTAGACTTATCATTTGGTATTCTATTTTAAAAATCATTAAATGATGGAGAAAATTATGATAATTGCGAAAATAAAACTCTTTTAAAATGGGCTCTTTATACTTATTTACTCTCTTTTACAAGAGCTGGTTTATTATTTGTTTTAGGTTTATATTATCTTTCTTAATTCAAAATGAGAAACTAAAATTGTGGAATAGGATTTCAATTTATTTTTCTACTTTGTTATTTTTTATTTTCTTTGGCTTCAACTGGTTTATACTATTGTTTCTAAGGACTCTAATATTCTAATTCGAGTGATTGTGGATAATTATATAAAGTAACTAAAGCATATATTATAGCCATTTATACATTATCAGGAATAATTATTTTAATTTTAGGTATATTTTGTTTATATTTTCTTGCATTAAAATTAAGAAGATGAATAATAAATAAATAAATAACTAATAAATTAGGTCTGATATCATTTATTTAATTTCTTACAAACCATTGTATTTTATATAATATATTCATGTTAAAGTTATTATCATTACATTTAATCAAATTCTAAATATTATTTATATTTGCTACCATTTTACTAATTAATTAAAAATTAAAATATATACAATTTATGGATAAATGAAATATAAGCTTTAATTCAATAATAGGATGCGTTTAATAATTTTAATAGGTAATCAGAAAAGTAGTATTTTAATTATCATTTAAGCCATTTAATTAATAAAAAATATTGTTTTAGAGCTTGTTTAATTTTTATTTAAACCATAATTTATATTAAAATGATAATTAATTTTTATTTTTTATGTATTTTTTTTATTTTTAAGAATTAAAAGAGTTAATGAATATCATAAATTTTCTTTTCTTTTGATTTTGAAATAATAAAAATAAATAGAATTTCTTTTTCATAATTATTAAAAAATTGAAATTAAATTATGATTTTAAATCTTATTATTTAAACAAAAACATTAATTCATAGTATGTATATATTACTTAGTCAAAAAAAATTATCTATCTATTTATATTTAACAATTAAATATCGAATGTGTATTTCATTATTAACTTATATTTTAAAAGAATATATTATTTCAATCTTTTTATAATCTTAGTTTTTAACAAATATTTTTGACGCAATCTTTCAAAATAAAAAATGATTTTATATTATAAAAATTTATTTTGATTTAATAATTTAGCTTTACTTTTTTAGAAGTTATTTACAACTTTGAATAAAATTAAAAAAATAACATAATCAGAATAAAAATCAAATAAAAAATAAATTAAATTAAAATAATTATATTGTTTTAAACTCATTATAAATTAAAAAATATCGCAAAACATATAAAATAAATTTTTACTGTATATTAATTGCTAATTTCAAGAGATTGCTTAATGCACTTTACTAAAGCAGAAATAACCTAATCTATTGAAAGATAATTTCTTAATTATTTAAAATAAAAAATATGAAGTAATTAGAGATTAATATGTTGAAAATTTAATAATAAGATAAATTTAGAAGAAGAAAAAAAGCACAATAAAATCAAAGTAGCAAACAAATAAAATAAATAAATAAAAATTTTTTTAATGTATTAATTTCATTTTTAAAAATATCTCAATCCAAATCACATAAACTGCTTTTATTCAATATCAGGTGCTAAATTTGAGAGATTAGTACAATTTACTAAAGCACAGCCTAATCCTGATACACCATTTTTATTAATTTAAATAAGAATTATTATTATTTTATTTATTTATTTATTTATTTATACTAGTTAAATAAAAATCCCATAATTAACAAGGTTATTTTCTAAAAATAAATTTAAGAAATCTTTAGTTAATTTATTTTTTTATCTAATTAAACTATTTTTGCAAAGTAATAATTCTTTTCAAAAATTTTTCTTTTAATTTTATCTATGTTAATTGTTAGTAGTAGAATTAAGGAAAAAATTTATATTTAAAAACTATATTTTATAAAATGGAGGAGTTAAGTTTTTTTGTAAAAATAGTAAAACACCGACTAAGGGTTTTTATTTAAAAATTCATTGATAGAAATTTAGTTAAAAATTTTTATTTTATCCCTCTCACTTAAAAAAATGTGTCAAGTTTATTTTATACTTTAAAAAAATTTAAATTATAATGCTTGAACATCATCAAAATAATTGGAAATTTAAGAGAAAATAGATAGATATTTTTATTTGAATTCAATACATAAAAATTATATTTATACTTTAGTTTCATATCCCTAATTATAAATAAAATTAAAATAATATTATTATTTATTTGTTGATAAAGTTTGTGATTTTACCACTTTTCTTAAAAATAAAGCTACATAAATTTACAATAATAATTTAGATTTCAAAAAGAATGAATGAAAACTTTTTATTTGAAATTTTCATTATTTGGAGTTATATTTACTTAAAAAATTATTATAATCTTAAAGAAATTTGCTACTCATTTCATTATTATTTTTATTTGTTTCTGTTTAATTTGTTTAATTGATCTATTTAACTTAATTTTTAATTTATATTTCAGATTCGATTACTTATATTTTCTATTAGTTTTAAGAAGATTCGCCTTCTGAATTTTTACCTATTAAGCCATTAACTTTTCTAATTTTTTATTATTTAACAAAATTTAAATAAAATTTGATTTAATAAATTTACACTAAACGTTTTAGCTTCTTCTCTACTTCCTAAAGCTTAGATTCGAGAACACCCTTTATATTCATCAAAAATGCTTTTCTAAATTATTTAAAAAAAATAAATATATTTTTTGCCTGATGAAAAAGTAAGTGAATTAGTTAATAAATTACTTTTCAAAGTTATCTATATTTTAGTTGTATTCTTTCTAAAGAGTTTATAAATCATTTTATATTTACAATTTTTCGCTTAAAAGTTTATATTTTTCTTTATCTATTTCTTGAGAAACTTGCTTTAAAGCAGATTTTAATTACTTATTATCTTCAAAATTAACAGCCTCAGAACCATCTGAAGAATAACCATCAAGATCTCTTAAGTTTAATTTTTAATTAGTGCTATTTTTGATTTTTGTGTTATTAGTTTTATAGAAATTGAGAGCTTCTTCTTTTTCCAAATTAATTTCTTGCTCATCCAACTCATCAATTTGCTATTTAAGTTGAGTAATTATTTTATCTTTATCTTAAATTTCATCAATAAGCTGCTTTTCTTTTTCTGTGTATTCTATCAGTTTCTTTTTTGAGTCTATATTATCTTTAATTTGTTTTTGCTACTGTCTGATTTCCTCATTTTCCCTTTATATTTTCTTACATTCATCAGTCTATTTAAATTAAATTAAATTTCAACTTAATCAATTATTTTTTCTTAGTTTTTCTTAAACTATTTTACCAGAATGTTGAGTTCATTTTAAAGCTTTATAATAATTTCTTGAGATATTTTTTCTTTTTCCATTTTCATTTACTGCTCAGAATTAAACAAATCTCTAATTTTCTAATTGTTTTTTGGATGAAATTTAAAATAAAATGAATTTTTTTTAATAATATTATTATTTAATTTAATTACCTTCTCTTCATTTTGAATTTACTTTTCAAAGTTAGCTTTGAAGGTTAAATATTCTTCTAAGGCCTTTTATTCAATTTTGTTTTTTTCAATTTCTAATTCTTATTCTTTCTTTTCTTTTTCTCTTTGCCATTGCATTTCAACCTGTTTTATCTCTGCTTCCAATTTCTTTTCAAATTCTTATTTCTTTTGATTTTCATACTCTTTCAGTTTTTAAAGAATATTAAGTTTTTCTAGTTCAAATTTATTCTCAATTTCGCTTTGCAGTCCCTAATTTTTTATTTATTTTTAGAATAATTTATTAAAAATATTTATTAAAAATAATAAATACTCTTAGCTTTTCTTACAACTCTTCTTCTAAATCTTTTTTGTAAGTTTCTTCATCAAAATCTTACTTTAATTTAGTTTCTTTTTACACACTAGAATAAAGCTCATCTAACCTTTTTTAATGTTTTTCCATCTCCTTTTCTTTGAATTACCTTAATTATTCTTAGTACTTTCTCTTAACGTTTTCCTTGTCTCTATTGAATTTCTCTTCTTATTCATGTAAGAATTTTTGCTTCAAATTTTCAAGTTCTTCATGCTCGTTAAATTCAATAAACCTAGAGTCATTTTTAAGGTCTTGCTCCTCTTTTTCTAAATCCTTGAATTTTCTGTCATAATCTTGCTTAATTTCTTCTTTCTTCCTTTATAAAAGATCTTCATATTGCTAATGGATAGTTTGCTTGTAGTTTTAGAGTCTTTTAATTTATAGAGCATAAATAATTTTACAATTAATAATTAACTTTACCTCATTTCATAATCCTTTTTTTCTGCATCGATTCGTGTTTTATTAGTTTTTTTAAGCTCTTCTCGTATTTCATTTTCATACCTTTCAAGCTCTTCTTTAAATCCAGACTCGTCATCGTTTTTCAATTCTTCGAGCTACTTTTATAGCTCTTCTTCTTCCTCTTGCTTTTTATGTTCATAATCTTCCTTTATTTATTCTAACTTTTATTGATGCTACTCCTCAAGTTGTTTGAATTTCTTTTTATAAATTTCATCTATTTCCTTCTTTCTTTCCTAAAGCTTTTATTTTTACTGATTTCTATATTCGTTAAGTTTTTTCTCTTGTGTAATCTTTATCAAAGGGTCATTCTTTTTAGAAAATATGTCATGTTTAGGCAAAACTGCAGGCAAACTCTTTTTTTATTGAGATTTTCCAATAGAATTATACTCATCTTCATTATTAGTAGCACCTCTTATCTGCTTTATTTTTTGCTCTGCCTATCTCATCATCTTTTTTTCTTTCTCTTTTCTAAATAACTCCTAATAGTATGAATCGCATGGGTGATCAATTTAAGCCTCTCTAGTTTCTAAATTTAAATAAAATATCTCCCCCGAAGGATGCTTAACAGGTCTCCATGGTTCAGGTAGAGGAGCCTTTAAACCTTCTCTCGCAATATAAAATAAATCTTTATCCTGAACTAAATCCATTCCCAAGTATTTTGCATATTCAATAACCTCTAAATATGATATAAAAAATCATATTATTATGAAATAAATCTATAAATGAAATAGAAATCCAAAACAAAAATATTCCCTTAATCATTCATTTTTCAATAAAATTAATATTTAAAGTCCAAATACCTTCTTATGTAGGTTCATAATTTTCATCTATGTCCTCTTGCATAATCATAGAGTTAGTGATTTAATCTAAATCGATATCAATTACTCCTTCTTCTTGTTAATCATACCATTAATCTTAATTCATCATTTACATTTATTAATTTTAGAGTTGCATCATTTACTTCTGCTGGGCTAAGCTTAAGCCCATATGTTATCCAAACTTATTCATATTTGATTTAATACTCTTATAGCAAATACTGAATTCTCAAATACTTTTATTATATTTTATGATTTCAATGCAACGATTTGATAATTTTTTCAATTAATTTTGCAAAGCTTTTATTTGTATATTCTTTACTAAAGAAATTATTTAATCAAATATAAAACCAGCGATATTTATTTAGATAAATTAAATAAAATCCACTAAAATTTGATATAATAATAACAATAACATTTTTGAATTTAAGTGATTTAAAAAAGATAAACGAAATTCAACTTCATTTTTTAAATTAATTATCATTCCTGATTAATAAACAAAAATAAATAGCAAAAAAACATAAAATCTTTAAATAAAATTTGAATAAATCACAAAAATTCTATTAATATCATACACCATACCAATATCTAAAACGAACGAACGAAAAAATTAGATTATTTTTATAATAGTTAAATTTATTTTAATTCTTATTAAAAGTTAATTTGCTTATCGGTGTAGTAAAATATTATTTATATTGTTAACAATATTATTTTGTTATTGTTTTTATCATTTAAAATTAAGAATAATTAATTATTTGATATTGTTTTATTATAAATTCTTCTTTCAGAATTATTAATAAAACTATTTTATTTTTATCTAATTAGATAAGAAAACAACTTAATCAATTATATAAGTTCTTATTTGATAATATTTTGCTGTAATTATTAGAAAAATTAGAGCTAAAATTCTAAAATCTACTTTAACTAACAAGAGAACCCATTTATTATCTATTGTTAGTTAATGATTCTTTTGAGAAATTTAATGAGATATTTTCTTCTGTTTTGATATCATAAAGCTTTTTTTATACGATTTTGTTTTATTAAAATATATTTTTATATATTTATGTAATAATTAATACTGGATTTTTGGCTGACAATGTAGACTCTTATCTTAATCTGGCTATATTTGATTTGGCTTCATCTCTTTACATTTTTAGTTATTTCTAAGCATTATAAATCAAATAAGTGATCATTTTAGAATATTAAATGTTTTACAATATCGTTTGAAATAGATTATCTTTTTTGGGATATTTCAGTAGCTAAATCTAGCTTTTTCATATTCAGAATAGGAGAAACATACTACATTTATTAATTTTATATTTCTCTTTTACTTTGTTCTATAATTCCTGTTCTTTTTAAGTAATCTCTTACACATAATATTTGTTCTTTAACGTTTCTCTCAGCTTGATATCTTATAAGACTCCTTTAGTTTTTAAAAGTTAGTAAATTTAAAATTACTCATCTTTTAAGATGCAATTACATTCTACCTTCTATCGTATTCATCTAATGTCTACTTAATTTCTTATTAAATCTAAGTCTCTAAACCTTCGAATCTAGTTTAAGATAAACTTTTAAAATATCTAAAAAAAATGGAATAAAATACCTTTTATTGTCTTCTTTTTCATCTTGCGTTAGATGTGTTTATTGTTTTAGTTTTCTTTTATAATAAAATATTTTTTAATTAACATTTTATATTATATTAAATACTCCAAGCATTCAGATATTATGCTTTGTCTCGTTTTATGTCTGTTCAATTTATTTTAAAATTCTACTTCTTTCATATCCTTTCTGAAAAATTATTAATTAGATCCTATAAAAAAAATGAAAAAAATATAACATTTCTTATTATATTTCCTGCATTTTAAGGTATTTTTTGACATTATAGCTCATTTATGTTACTTTATTTAATATTTGTTTCTACTTAAACTTAAAAATATGAAAATTATCTTTATATTATTTTACAGCATTAATTAATTTTCAAATATTTTTTATTCATAAATCTCAAATCTTAGATTTAAAAAAAATCAAGTTTGAGGCTAATAAGAAAATTGATTACATTTTTCAATCTAATAAAAAACACAGAAATGATAAAATACTTTCTACATATTAATTTTTATATAAATTATTTTCATTTATGGAAACGAGAATTTATTTGAGTTGCAAAACACTTTGAAAGCAAAACTAATTCAGGAATAGCAGCAGTAAATAAGTATCTTCCGTGTAACTATAAAATAAATCGAATTAAAATATTTTTTTAAATAATAAATAAGTATTTAAGAAAAACAAATTAAAATTTTTTTTAAATATTAAAAATATGAATTAATTAATTGATAAAAAAGTTCTCATAAAATAAAATTAAAAAAATAGATTAAAATTACCTAGAAATTTTAATGGATATGCTTAGCAGTTTCTAACATTCTTAGAGATTTGTAATAATGATTTACATTATATTCAGGAAAACTTGGCTCCCACTTGTAGAAGTTAATTTTATCTGGTTTTTCTGTAATTCCAGTTTATTCTCCCAACTCCTTTAAACCTTCTTTTATAAAAACTTCTGAAGGAGAGTTAATATCAATCTTGTTGCCAAACATTAGTGAAATTCTAGTTGTATCTTTGGGTCCTAAAGTAGGATAAGAGCAGCTATCAAATACAACTCCAATTAAACTTTTATCTGAAATTGAAGGAATCAGATAACCAAAGGAGTATAACTATAATTATGATATATCATTAAGATTTACATAGTGTCAATATTAATTTACATCTTTAGGGATGACTGGCTTGTTATAGCCTAAATTAATAGAAACCATAGGCAAAAATTTGATTGAACTTAAATCAGTCTTTAATTGATTTATCTTTATATTTATTTATTTTTATTTAAAATAATAATCTTCAATTTAACAAAGTAATTTTTTTAATGTTTAATTTACTCTTTATTGGTTGCCTTGTGAGTTGTCAAGGATCTATTTTATTTGAGGTGCATTCAATGTAGAAATCACATAATCAAATTCTTCAACTTTATTATTGCTTCCACTTTAAACCTTAAAAATGCAATTAATTAACAATTAGCTATTTTAACTAAAATTTAATTACAAGAATCTTTTTGTCCTTAAATATCAATTACTAAACTGGTGAATTTAGTTCTATTTATGTAGATGTCTTATTTTCTAAATGCTTTGCAACTTCGAAAAGAAAAGTTTAAATCCCTCCTTAAAAATTAATAGATCCACCTAAAAATAAATTTATTTATTTATTTAATTTTTTATAAAAAAACTTGTTTATTTTATGTTCAAATTTAATATTTTAATTTACTTTTTTTAATCTTACTCTAGATAAACTATTACAAATTATCAGAGTATTTTGGATGCTTGAACTCAGTTGGGTCTATATAATCATGTATATAATCCTTTATATGTATCTTTTTAAGACACAATTCTGAAGAAAGATCAGAAGATTCTGCTCTGTAAACACCTAATTTCATTCATTTTTTTTTTTATCATTTCATATTATCTACTAATAATATATAAATTTATTTATTTATTAAATACCTTTTGCGAATGAATTAACGAAATGTGTATTTATAAAATCTGATAATCCAGTAAATTAAAAACCAGCAAATCTTAGTTTATTTTATACAAATTGTTCCATGTTGCAATCACCCCTAAATTATTTTGAAATAAAATGTTAATTTTCGTATCTTATTTTTTATTAAAAGTAACATAGAATTTTCTTTTTAAAAAAAGGATTTATTATATAAATAGTTTTTACTTGTAACTTGATGATTTTGCACGATTTATTCTGAATGCTGAAGAAACTAGTTTGGGATTATCTTTAATAAAATTAAATAAAGGTCCTGCGGCCATCTTTCTTGGTAGTTATCTCAGTTGACCATCATAATAAACATATGCATTATCAAAATTATCACTAGGGACAACTAATTATTCAAATTGATAAATCATAAACTTTAAACTTAAAGATTGAATTTTGTTTTACTGAGATCTAAGGCTCCTATGTCTTCGCATATTTTAAGTACCTCAAAAATAGTATTTCCATTTCTTATTGAGCGAGGACCTTGTTCGAAAAAGAATCCTCCATCGTTTTTTGTTTAGAGAGCTCCACTTACTCGATTTGAAGCCTCAAAAATTTTAATGTCACACTTTTTCAACATTTTATGCAAGTAATAAGACTGTGACAAGCCTGAAACACCGCCTCCTAAAATTGCTATTTTTGGAACTATTTAACTCATAATGTAATATAAGTAATTTAAAGTAGCTTTTATTTGGAATTGAGCTGTATAAGTTTATAAAAAAGGTAATTTGTTGCGTTAAAGCAGTAAAAAATACTTTGATTAAATTAAAATTATCAATTTTTATTTTACTGATAACTGATATAACAAAGATATGTAAATTGAAAGATACAATCAACATAAATTTTGATGAGAAATAAAATTAATTTAAGAATCATGAATGCAGTTAGTTGTTACCATTAAATTAAATATTAAACTTTTAATGAATGATTAATTTGCATTTATCAATATTGTTTTTATTTAAAAATAATTATTTTACTATTTAAGATTAATTATTTGCAAATCTCTTCGTTTTATTTAAGCAAATTATAAAATTAAAAATTAGATTTAAATGTTTTAAAATGAATTTACAATGATTTTAATTTAGACATAATTTTTCCATATTTCAAAATAAATTAAATTAAAATATTATAAATTGAATTTTAGTTATTTATTTATTAATTTATTTTGTTATAAATTTAATTTCGAAGTTGGGTTTAAAATATTATAAAGAAAAAAGTGAATTTATAGCCCTAGATAAGAATTTAATTTGTGTATAATAATGAATGAAGAAAATATAAGAATGCATTTAAATAATAATGCACAAAAACCTATATATTTATTTTACAAATAAGAAAGTACATTTATTTATATTGATTTACTAAATTGGTAGAGTGACATGAAATTATTTATTTATATATCTTATTAACTTATAATGTTTTTAATTAAGATGAAAGGATATATTGTATGCTAAGTAGATGATAAATAATATAAGTAATCATCATATCTTAGATAAAATCAATGTATTAAAAATATTCATCTAAAAAGAATACAAAAGAAAATTTAAGAATATTGATTGACTTTTGATTTCATATAAAAAAGAAGTAAAAAAGCATAAATTAAATTTGAATTAGATGAATTTTAACTTAATGTAGGTTTCTTTAGTACATGTCGTTAAGAGAGGTCTTATGACTATGTCAAAATCTGGCAGATAATTTGCTAGAGATAAGCCCTTAGAAGAATTCATTCCTAAGGGTTTGGAAAAGTTAAAATAAAAGGAATAGGTTACTATAAATACCAAGTAATATTAAATTGCAACATTCATTATTAGATTCGCTTCTGAAATTAAGCAAATTTGCTTTAAATTAAATGGAAATAAATTAGAAAATATCATTTTTAATTATGAAAATCCTCTGTTGATTAAATAAATTACAATTCTTATCATTTATGAAATATTAAGCTAGCTATTTCAAAGAAGCCTTAAAAATTAATTTAAATTAAGATGATTAATAAATTATTTTTAAAAAGCTATAAAGCAGGATTTACTAGTGAAGAATTAGAACCTTATAACGAAATGGTTAAGAGAGCATTAAAATTAAATAATGCTTCTCCATTTGAAATTACTCAATTTAAAGTTCAACAAGCTATTTAAAAATTCAAGGTTTCTCCTAGAGATACTGGTTCTGCCGCTATACAAGGTAAGAAATACTTAAATTATAATAAATGCTTTAAAAATATAAAAATCTAATTAATAAATAAATAAATTGCAAAAATATTCTCTAGCTTTATTAAATAATTTATTAGATATTTAAAATAAATTCAATTAAAATGTTTTACTAATATGATCATTTTAGTGCTTTTTTGACTTTATAATATTAAATTAGTGTAAGCATTTTCTAATTTTAAATTTTTATATAAAGTTGCTGTTAGAACTGAAAAGTTAATTAAAATGATTAAGCACTGCCAAGAAAACAGATAAGATAAATATGCAGGAAGAGCTTTAGTTAGATTATTAGAACAAAGAAGAAAGTGGTTGGACTATTTAAGATTCACTGACTACCACCGTTACAAGTGGATCTGTGAAGAATTCTGTATTCCTGATCAACCTCCTCTTAATGGTCATCATAAGGCTAACTTTAGAGGTGAACCTAATAGACAAGTTAAAACTATTTGAATAAGGTCTAATTAGTAAAACAATAATAGAAAATATTAGTAGATTAATAAATAATTGCACATATTTTTATATTTAATAGTCAATCATATTAAATAACTGCAAATAAATTAATATAAATTGAATCAATAATTATAATCTTAAATATTTTACCAAATTCATCAAAACAAACAAAATTGAAAGTTTTTTCTTTAATAAAAGGTCTTTATAAACTAATCCTTGTATATTAAAAAATCTTTTTGTCATTTTTCAAGTAAAAATAAAAGTTTGCAACAAAATTATTTCAATTTTTTCTAAACCTCAAAAAAAATATTTTTTTAATGGATTAAGATAATAAAAAGTAATAAATAAATGAAACCTTTAAATCATCATTTTTTGCATAAAATATGAATTAATAACAACTAAAAATAAATTTAATAATTATCTAATAAAATTAGAATTATAATAAGTTTAAATATTTTATATCGAATTCATCAAATAAAAACAAACAAACTAAAAGATTTTTAAAAGATCTTTATAAACAAATCTTAATATTTTATTAACTTTATTTTTCATTTTTAAAATAAAAATAAATATTTTTTTAATGGATTAGGATAATTTTTAGAATAAATAAATTTAAAGTTTAAATCTTTTTTTTTGTATCAAATACAAATAAATTTTTGTGAAAAATAAATTTATTTATTTATTATCAAGTAAAATTAGAATTAATATAGGTTTGAATATTTTATATGAAATTCATCAAAAAAAAAACAAACAAGCTAAAAAATTTTTAAAAGGTTTTTATAAGCAAATCCAAATATATTATTAAATTTATTTTTCATTTTTAATATAAAAATGAATGTTTATTTCATGGATTAAGATAATTTTAGAAATAAATAAATTGTTTAAATCAATATTTTTTTGTTTCAGATACTAATATATAATAGCGAAAGATTAGAATTAAGTAAAGAAAATATATAGTTTTCAGATATTTTAGAAAATAATCTCTTTATTTTAAAATATTTCATTAATTTTTTAATAAATAAATTATAGTTTTATAAAAATAACTCATTTAAATTTTATAATATTTTTCTTTTTAAATTGGATATCATTACATAAATTTATATATTAAAAATGCATCTTTTTTAATGTTAGATACTATTTTAGAAAATTTTAAATTGTTATTTATTAGCATGAAAGAGTGTTTTTAAATAATTTTGCTAGTATTTCATTAAAATAAATTAATATACTTTGATATTATTTAACAGATGGTTTATAGTTTTCTAGAACCAAGATTATTCTATAGAGTTTCAGATTAGGTAATTTACATAGATTTATTTAGACTTACATTTAATCTTTAAATAAAGATTATTTTTTTATTGATACAATAAATTTATTAAATTAAGATATTTATTCTGAAAAATCAAATTACTTTAAAAAAAATTAGTACAAAAAAAGATATGTGCACTTTCACAATAAATAGAATTGGTATGTTGAAAAAATTAATCTTACTATCTTGGTTTTAATAAAATAAAGATAAATGAAGATCAAACTGTAACTTTTTTCAACCATTTTTATTATAATTTATTATTTTAATTATTTAAATAAGATGTAATTATATTTAGGAATTTATAATATTTATTAAGAAAAAAATTTATTGTTAAAATTGTAAGTTATAGAGACTTTTCATAATTTTTTTACGATGAAATTTCCAAAAAAAAACATCAAAGCTAAAATTACAGTTCAAAATTGTTAAGAAAACAAGAAGAAAAAAATTATTCTAACTTTAAATGACTTTAATTTATATTTGATTTTTTTAAAAGAATAAATATATTTAACATATATTTGGCTGATATTATATAAATTAAGGTATATAATTTCTTTAATTAATTTAAAGAAGCTATTCTAAAATTAGCATGAAAACTATTATGGGATTTTTAAAAATTTATTATGACTATTTTGATTATCGAGGAAGTAACATTTAAAGAAGATATATCTATAATTACCTCAAATTTATGAAAAAAATTAATAATTATAAATTATTTATTGTCAGAAATTAATTGGAAAAGTTGATTTTATGAGCTATATTTTTACCACAAGTATTGTGAATTTAATATAATTTAATTTAATTTTTTTTACGATAAAACTTCTTTTTTTAATTTCATACAATTAATTAATTATTTGTTTATTAAGGTTTTTTTTAGGAAGAAACAAAAAAGATAATATTTTCTTTCATCTTATTAGGAGTTTGTTATTTGCTAACTTAAAGCTTTTTTTGAACTAATTACAAATTAATAATAAAAAAATGAATAATAATAAATGGACAAATATTTTTTAAATTTTTCAATTTTCTAATAGATTTTATTTTAAATCATTTTCATTTTGTTTATTTTATTTAACATAAAATGATTCATGTAAATTGTGCTCGATGTCTTAATAGAGATCTTAAATGTCGTTAAAGTTAAGCCATTTAGTTTCTACAATATATTTTACAGAGAAAAGGAAACCAAATAGTGCAAATGTTCCATAAATAATGTGGTTAATATATTGCTGAGGATTGATGAGTAACATGATAGAGAGGAATACTCCGACCCAGTTCATCATAATACTGTAACTAAATCCTCTGTCCTTAAGAATATCAGATGTTAGGATAACAGTGACTGGACCTACAGTGAAGTTATATGATGCATAAAAGAAAAATACAAACATCAAAAAGACGAATTAGAGAGTTGTATTGGTCTTTAAGTCATTTGTAAAATAACTTATAATTGCAAGGATAATCTAAAAAACAGCACACAATAAGAAACCACCAACTAAATATTTCTTACGGGCTAGTTTACGATTGAAGCCTACACCAAGAGTAGCAACGAAAAAGAGGAATAAATAAGTTCCTAAGATCATACATTTTTTTGTTTCGTAGTCATCAGTGATTAGACCAATTACATTTGGAGAAAGACCTATCATAGCAGTACAGCCTGACATTTATTAGCACAAATTTACTACTAAACCTACACGCAAACGATTGTGATAAGAATGTTCCTATTAATTAGTGATCATTTTTAATCTATCATCAACAATATTATCTTCTGAAGATGCACTTACCCTTTCTTCTGTTTAATTGCGCTATTTGATTTCAGGAACATCAACTGAACCTGGTCCAAGAAGTTGCTACTCAAATTTTTTCACAAATCTCTATTGGTAAATTTATTCTAAAGCTTTTCTACCTTTCTCATGCTAACGATTTCTGTAGTAGTAATATGGAGTGTCTTCTTTGTAAAATATCAATAGTGAAATAAGACGCTGAATTGAGAATACAGCAGGTAGAATGAATACCCAACGCCAATCATTGCCAATAGTTTAATCGTTGGAGACAAAGTCTTATACAGGAATAGACATTAAGAAACCAGCAATAACTCCAACAAATATATTGGCTTGGAAGAGAGATCCAGTCTTAGCAGCCATATTATCAGGGGAAACTTCACGAATGTAAAGTGGAGTTATCATAAGATCTATACCGCAAGAAACACCCATAAGCAAACGAGCAACCATAAATAGCTCCCATGCAGGTAATTGAGTGAAGACTGTAGCAATCAGGAAGACAATATCTGATATCATCATGCATTAACGTCTTTCGAGCTTTGTAGTGTAGTGAGGAGTAAAATATGTAGTAAGCATACCAGCAATACAAAGGATAGGTCCTATGAGAATAGTCATCAAACGAGATTACTCTGTTTGAGGCTTGTCTGATTCAGACATATTGAAAATTTCGAAACCATACTTACTTAAGATGTAATTGCCAGTGAAAAGCATTTCAGTCAAAGTATAACCTTAATAAATGGCTCCTGTGCAAACACTTTAAACTCTCAAAAAGAGAGATAAAGAAGATTTATGCTAATAATTTCTTCCAGGCATGAGCTACCTTTTTATTTTATAAATTAAATGTCTGAATAAAAAGAGGCAAAGTTTTTTTTTGCAATCTTCTTAGTGATTATCTATATTTTTTGCTTGATTAAAATTATTGTTGAATAATTTTTAAGATTTTAATTATCAAATCTGCTGCTTGCTATCCAGAGTTAGCTATGTATCAAATTAAAAAAAGAAAAAATATAATATTTAGATTTTTATCTAAGAAAAGAGTGGACAAACAAGTCTTTAGACAGGTAGATGTATTTTGCGAAATAATTAATTAATTAGTTAAAATAATTACTTACTTGCATCATTAATACAGTAACTAAAATTTTTATTAACTTTATCCCAATATTTTATTTTTATTTTCTATCAAGAAAATAAATTAATAATTTTACACAGAATGTGAGGCATCTTTAAAAAAAGATTTAGTTTACTTACTTACAACAAATTCGTATAAATCTGATACTAAGTAACAAATATTTTTTTTATAATTTGAATTAAATTATTGACAAAAATATATACAAATTTAATTGATTTACTAAATATAGAAATATTTATAATATTTATTATAATCATTATAATCTTTAGTCATAAACGCAAAAATTGTTTGAATCAACACAAATTTAATAAAAGAATTTTTTATTTTTTTAGATTGTCTAATTGAGTTTTAAGGATTTAATTAAGTTTTAATCTAAATTTTTATTTGCAGTGTTTGTTACACAAAATTTTAGCATCAATGCGAAGATTTTTACTTTAATTGAAAATAAAAATACTTGTTTAATTTTTTAGTAATTAGGATATAGCTTAAGCTAGTAATTTTCTCTTAATATTTATATTACATAAGCATGTTGATTTACTCTATTTATAAAAAAGTTATGTAACTATTATTTAGTTCTTTCTTTTATTCTGCTTTTAAAGGAAAATATTTAGATTTTTTTAATCTATTTTATTTATTTTAACAAGCTGAAAAATATATTTTTTAAAATATAATTTATTTAAATAAATAAATCGAAATAGTAATTATTTATTTTTTTAATCTTTTTTCACAATGGCTGGACAAATTGATAGATATGTGCTTAAATTTCTTTACATTTTTCAAATATTATATAAAAATATTTGTAGAATAAAAACCAACAAAAATTTAAATTTTGCAATATTTTATAAATTTTCGCAATTGGTTTTTTTTTATTGAAAGAATTCATTTGAGTTTTTTTGCTATATCTTAGATATAAATTCTTTGTAATTACCAAAATATAAATAAATTATCCAATTCACTATTGCTTGTAGAATTTTCATATTTTCAAACATTAAACGCTTATAAAATGAAAAGCTTATTCAAGCCAGATCCTTCAAAGCAAAATAAAGAATAGGATGCCCAAATTAAAGAAATTAATATCTCATGTGAGTAATTAATTTGCTTTTTAGAAACTTTTATGATTTAAATTTCATTAACTAAAGTTGGAATACTAAAATGAAATCTTTTTTAATAAACAATAGCTAAAGAAGAGAAAGATGATAGTCAATAAAAATAGGATTAAAGGTTAAAGAAAAGGACTGGCACTGGATTGTCTCTTTTTGCTAAAGAAAGTAAAAAACAGTAAGAAGACATGGGCAAAGATGATAAATAAAAAGATTAAAAAAGTAAGGATTCTCAAAAGAAGGCAAAATAAACAATTAAATTAGAAGACTTGCGTTTCATACTTTCAAAAGATAGGTCTCTTGTTTCATCTCTTGGAAATCAGTTTAAATCATACATAAAGAACTAGCAAATATACATTTAAAAAGAACTCAAAAATATAAATTTTTGCAGATAAAAAATTATCGCTGTAGAAGAAATAGAGACTACTAAGCTTACTTTTGAGAAGTACTGTAATGCTTAAGAGTTATCTCTCAAATAGTTAAGTGAATTTGTAAACTAATTTAGCAGAAAATTAAGTTAAAGAAATTTTTAATATAAATTAGATTAGCTTTTTATAGAATTCAGCTATTCCATCAGTGAATTATTTGCTAGAGTAGGTTAGGATTCTAGAATTTTTAATCAATGATTTTGAAATACAGCTAAAAGAATTGTTTACAATGGATGAGAATATATAAAAATTTAGCTAAGAAGAAGGCAAGCAAAATGAAATTTTGTAGCTTTAGTAGGCTTAAGAAAAATTAGCAATTAATGCCGAATACTCAGGTACTAAGTTAAAAAATAAGCTTTAAATATATGTCAAGGATAGAAACGATGAAGTAAGAGTAAGCATCAACCATTCATTTTTAGGAATTTCGATTTAAATCATTTTGTGTTATAAAATAAAAAGGAGTTGGTCTTGCATCTAAATAAATGCAAAGTTAATTATCATGGTTAAAGTTTGACTTTCTTCAGTACATTTTTCTTTGATATTCTGATGTATGATTAGATTGAAGAAGTTTAAGATTAAAAGCTATTAAAAGAGAAGCTATAATAAAAATAGCAAAAGGCTCCAGTAAAATCTTATAAAAAGCAATGCAAGGTTGGTTATATTTTTGTTTGTACAAAACTCAAAATGATAATTAATTATTTTTAAAAACTTCAATAAATAGAAAATCCTAAAAGAATATCTAAAGGAAAAAAATGTTGACAAATATATCCCTGATAGTGACGAAGAAGAATTTGACATGAGAATTGATACAGCAAATGAGCCATAAAAAGAAATTTAAGTTTCTGATGACGATTAATCTGTAAATAATGATCAAAATGGAGAAAATTAATTTGAAAATTAAGAAAATAAACCCTCTATTGCTGAAGATAAATTGGATCCAATTATTGAAAAAATGAATTTAGATCATTAAATTGAAAAAACTAAGGAAGTTCCAAAGGTTAAATCAGTACTGAGATTATCAAAGCTTCAATTATGAAGGAAGAGTGGACATTTTTCTAACTTATTTAATTTAAGAATAGATAAATCATTCATTCCTAATATTATGCTTTCAATCAATGAAATAGAAAAAATATTAATTTAATTTTTCTAAATCATTTAAAAAATAAATATTAGCTAAATTTTTTCTAAATCATTTGTATATGTCACTTTATTCCTACTTTTAATAAAATGGCTATATTGTTTGTTATCATTTTTTCAATTTCAATAAAAGGACTGATTTTCAAAGTAGTATTTTAAAACATTTTAATCTCAATATTTATTAAATATTTGTTTATTTAGTTTAATCTTGATGTAAAATTTTTTGTATCTGTTATTTTTTTTATCTAATTTTCTATATGGATTTAATTTTATTCTCTAAAATAAAAATATTTACTATTTTTATTCTGTTTAAATTTTTATTGACGATGACTTTCTTTATATATCCCTTATTTTTCATTAAGTTTTTAATTCTTTGATTGTATTTTATTAATTTATTTCTATTTTTAATTGTCTAATTTTATTATTAAAGTGCCTTTTTATTAAAAAAAAAATTGAAGCAATCTAATTAATTAATAAATGTAATTTTTTATGTAAATATTTTTTGATGACTATAATAAATTTGTATTTAACTTTTTAATTAAATAATTGAACTTTTTTTATATTAGATTGATAAACAATGCCTATTTATTTTACTACTTTAGAATAATAACATAAGAATAATTTTTATTTGAGGATATTTATTTTATTTTTTAAAAAATAAATTTTATTTGAATGAAATTTCAAATTCAAATTTACATAAAATAAATTAGATTAAATTTACTCAAAAGATTGAAAAAATTAAGAAATATATCTGTTTTTCAATGAATATCGAGCAATGTATCTTTATCTATTTATTTTCAAAGAAAGATAAATATCATAGGAGCAAAAAAATATGGAGAAGTAAGACAATAATTTGCTTTTATTCAATAAGACTAAGTAAACTGTTTGAATAATTTGCAAACTTAGTTTAGTGCTATGATTAATTGTAAAGAGAAGGCTTATTATATTGATTCGATTAAAGGATTTTCATAATATAATTTATAACGTATATATGGATTTTGTACGATTATAATTAAATTACTGAAAAAAACTAAGAGAGTTTGCTTTAAAATTATCAAATTTCATTTAATTCGTCTTGTGATAGAACTGAGAATAATCAAATAGATTAAAGAAGCAAATAATTAATATATATTCCTTAGTACAAATATCATTTTTAACATTTAGTTTTTATTATCGCTACTTTATTAAGCTACAATCAGCCAAATTAGACATTAATCAGCTTACTAGAATTTGAATAGTATAGTTTTTATTTATTTATTGGTTGTTTGCAGATGGGTTCAGGATGCTCGCTGGGTTTTAGACAAACTAAAAATCCGGTTTCGAAGCATAAGGGTCAATAATTTGACAATTAATCTCAAAATCCTGAAAAAGGTAAATTAAAAACAAACAATTTTTCTCTAGATTGATATAGTGAAATGATGCAATATTCAGTTTATTTACTACTATTAAACAGATAAAAATGGTCATTACAATGAAAGCCAAAAAAGCAATCACCAAACTCATTTAACGAATCCACTTTCTACTGATAATTATGGAGCGAATGAAGAATTTATACAGTAGGTTCATGAATTTGAAAAGGTGAATTAGATAGGAAGGTATTTCTTAGAAAGCGAAATGAATAGAGCAATTAATGCAAAAGCTATTCAGAAATGGGACAAATTTTTAAGTGAAGGCTATAAAAAATACATAAAAATGAAGAAAAGTAATCAGTGTCGCCACATTTTTACAAAATAAAATGAATCGTTTCTCTTTAAAAATAAGGAATTATATTTGACAGTTATTTATTATGATGGAAAGGAAAAAGAATTAAGCTAGTTTATTGAAAGGGGATTAGTTCCCTAGAGTGATAGATGGAGTGCTTGGAAAGCAAAATTAAATGTGTAAAAATACTTCATTAAAGGACTTTATGAAGGACTTCTTAGGAAGTAAAGTAAATATGTAAAGGATATAAAGAGAGATATTGGAAGGGGTCTTAATCACCCCTTCTTCAAGCAAGAAGATTAAATTCATTCACCCTTTAAATCAGAGTTGAAGTAGTAGCAATAGCAGTAAGAGGAGGAAGAGTTATCAAATAAAAAACAATACATTTTTACACAAAAGGAAGTTCTAAATACAAAGTAGAGCATAAAGGAGTACAATGCTGCAGTTTAAAATTCTCCTAATTTTTCTAAAAAAAATTTTGATTAGCTTTCTTAGCAATAATTAGACTAGCTAAATACCTACAATTATGCTAAAAAATCAGTTACTTTACAAAAAAATTCATAGATAAATCAAAATGAAGAATTTGATGATGATAGACTTAGCAGACATTTCTCAGTCAAAAATAAAAAGACATCAACAATATAAAATGAAATGAATGAATAAATAAAGGAGCAGTTTTCTAAAATCAACTTGGATAAGCCAGACAATGAAGAAGTCCACGAGAGGTTTTAAACTTAAATTTCCAACTCAAAAAATCCTTACTATACAGCTCATAGAAAATTAATCTAAAACAATTAGAAAAAAAATCATCTATTCGATTATGAATCCATCTAAAATTAATTTAAGTGTATTGGATAAGAGTCTTTAAGTAAAGTACTGAGAGCTATATCAAACTATTTTCCTAACATTGGGTATACTTAAGGCATGAATATAGTTGTAGGATTTCTTCTATTAGTTAATGGTGGAAATGAAGAAGAAGCTTTTTGGATGTTTGTTTCTCTTGCTCGTTCTGAAAATTTTTTATTTATGGGTTTGTATGAAAAAGATTTACCTATTATGAATTTAATGGCGTATGTTTTAGATGACAAATTAAGATCTTTGTATCCAAGGCTTCATCATTAAATCTTAAAAGAACTAGAAGTAAATTACTAAGAGTGGTTTACTTGGTGGTCATTAAGCATTTTTTTAGAGAAGTTTCCTTTATATGCCTGCTTAAGATTTTGGGATTTCATAATAAGCCAAGGTAGCTTATTTTCAATTGTATCGATTATAATTGCTCTGCTTAAGCAATTCGATTAATAAATAATAGGACAAGATGATCGTGGTATGTTCTAGGAGTTGTTAGACAGTTTTATGAAAGGAAGTGTGACTGATCAAATCGTTGAATCCGTTCTATTAAATGCAAAAAAAATATAAATGACTAAATCATACATTTCACAAATATCTATTTAATATTTGAATTCTACTTTTTGTATCTCTAAAATCACTGAAAAACATAATATCTACACAGACTATCTCACTCAATTAAATAAAAGTTCCCAAATGCAGCAGTAAGCCTTATTCATTTTAACAAAAGAAATAGAAAAAAAAGTTTGTTAAGAAATCGTTAATCCTCTTTCGGAAGAAGGAAACAAATAAGGGACTGAAAGAAATGATATTAAAGATAATCAAGCTTCTAAGCATTAAGACTAAAATAGTGAGCTAAGTGAAAGATAAGTAGTTTAATAACCTCAAATAGATTATATGAGTTCTGATATTGATTACAATAACCGTCGTCTAAAAAATTCACCAGATAAAAGTACAAAGCTCTAGAGTAAACTGCCTCCAATCAAATAAAAAAAGAAAGATGTTTAGCTAATTTAGCCTGATGACAGTAACGAACCAGCGAAGAACAAATTACTCGCTATAAAAAATTCTAATAATAAAAGCAAAGATGAATAAATAAATAAAAATTTATTTTAAGGCAGCAATGAGACAGAAGAAAAACAAAAATCTAATTTACCTTTAATTCATCTCTAATCTATTTAATCAAACGAAATATTCTCTCAACAACAACAACAAAGATAATCATTTACAAATTAATAATAATAATTAAATCAAAAGAATAATTCCCTCAAAAATACCAAAAATTCTATCCATAAGAGGCGTTCGAGCTTTTAAGATGTGCATGTGATGAGTTTAGATTAAATTGAGCCTATTTAAGACCAGAATAATCAAAATTAACACTAAGATTTAATTACAAATTAAAAAAATCACTTTAATAAGCTTTAAAATTTAATTTTAAAGACAACAGGAGAATCCACTCCACATTCTAAATATTTTTTCAATTCTCCAAATAAAAATAAAATTCCTAAAAGACCTCTTTCTTCTTACTAAGATACATCTAAAAAATTCAACAGCAGCCACAATCTTTATCAAAATAAGAGAAATCAAGTTGATGAAATGAATGAAATAAAAAATGCTCAGAGCATTTTAAAAGAGGATTAAGAAAATCAAATATTTAAAAACCCTAAAGAAATAATAAGCTCTTCTTAAATCGATCAAAAGTAATAAATTTTAAATTAGCAAATGGGAGAAAAAGATAAAGAAATGCAAAAATCTCTAAGCCAAGTTGGTTCATCAGCAAAGTAGAAGAATTTTTCTAGCTAAAATTCGATAATCTAATCTAGCTAGAATGAGAAACCATCAACGAAACTCCCCTCTATTTATCTATAACCAGAGAAAATAAGCTAATAACTGTTTAATTAAGGTTAAAATGTTTTAAATAAATAAGAACAATTACCTGAAAAAAATGAAAATGTAATAGACACTAATTAATAGCATGAAGAAAGCAACAGCTAAACTTAATCTCATGGAATAGATAATGATGATGATTTTAATATAGAATAAAACGTTCCTCAAAAAAAACCTTTGTCTCATCAAACTACAAACTCCATTCCTAATTCTTCACATAAAATTAACAAATATCACAACGTTTAGCTTGATAGTATAGAAAATAAAACAAAAAATTAATAAAATTTTAAAACTTCTAATTATTCATCAAGACCTAGTTCTCATTATTCTTCTAAGTACGAGCATGAAAAAAGAATGTAAAAGCAATAAGCAGCAGCTGCTGCTGCTAGCATGATCCAGCCAAATCATTAACAAAATCTATCAAATTTTTCTACGCCCTCAGTAAAGCAAAGACAACTTCCTTCACTGTCTTTCTAAAAAGCAACCTAGGCTTTCAATCATATTGAGGATACAACATAGCCAGATAATTAATTTTAAGCAAATACATCTATAAATTAGCCTCCACTATTACAAGTTAGAGATAGAAACAAGCAAAGAAAATTCAGGCCATTTTCAAATACCATGAATTAGCCAGCTGAAAATAATCAAAAATATTATTCTAGTAAATAAGTTGAAGAGTCGTAATAAGAAAAAAATTAAAGCTATGAAAAAAACATCTCTAAAAAGAGTACCATAAAAACTCCTCAAGAAAAACAACAACTAAACGAAAGTGAAGTACTCAAAAATTAATAAAATGAGAAGCCTCAAAGCAGATAAAATCTTGAAATAAATAAAGAAAATTATATAAATAAACCAGAGCAGACAAGCCAAAATTATGAAACATAAAATTTAAATGTAAACAGCTCCTCAAAAACATAAGATATAAATAGGTTACATAATAATGAAGAGACTTAATCACAAGAACCTGAGAATAAATTATAAAAAAATGATTAAAGCTTCTTAAATCAATTGAATAATCCTTCTTATTAGCTTGAAGAAACAAAATAAAACGAAATTAAATTTTAAAATCCAAATCAAAACAAAGACCATTATGATTAATATGAAAGTGTAGAAAAAATAGCAAATAATATCCAGCAAGATAAATATAATCAAGCTTAATTATATTAAGAAACAGAGCAGAGTAAAAATTCTAAAGAAAGCTACTAAGAACAATTAGATTAATATCCAATAAGTAAAGAGTAATATAAAATAAGTTAAGAATAATATCCAATAAGCTAAGAATAGTATCAAATAAGTTAAGAATAAATTCAAATTAATAAAGAATAATATCAAATAAATTAACAATAATATCCAATAGGATAAGAATAATATCAAGTAAGAGATGAACAATATCCTATAAAATAGAAAGATGAATATTAAATAAGTGAAGAAGGAGAAAAAATTTATGAGCAATATTAAGCTAAGTAAGAAGAGTATTAAACAAATATAGAGCATTAATATTAAATAAGCAATCAGCATTATTAAATAAGTAAAGAGCAATATTAGATCGAACCTTTGAAAATTGATTTAGGAGAGTAGAAGATAAATTTAGTGCAATAAAAGAGTGAGAATAAAGATTCTGAGATAGATGTAAATAATTAATAGAATTAGCAGTTTCAAAATATAAACTATGATCCTAATAATAACAACAATCAGTAGCTTTATCATAAAGACAGCCTTAATAGCTAGGTAAAAAAAGAAGATATTGCTTTTAATAGTAATCTACAAAATGATATGAGCGCTTATATGAATGAATTTCAATAGCATAATTACAGTGGGTTTAGCATTAATCTTACTTAAGGAGGAGCTCATAATTTTTAAAACAGTATACATAATTCAAACATTTAATAGAATTAAGCTAAAATTTTTTCAGTGAATTAAATTCCTTCTCTCAATAATAGCAGAATTAATGATGATAATAGGAGCTAAATTTCTGAGTATGGGTTTTAGAATCAAGGAGGCATATCTGATTAATAATAGAAAATTTCTTTTTCAAATATTCCTGATTAAGTCAATAACGAAATTACATATTCAGCTGATGAAAACAAATAAAGAGAATTAAAAGAAAAGAGCTTAAGAGTTTAGCAGCAGTCTACACTCGAACATTTAAGAGATTCCGATATTAATCAAATATCTGCTGAAGATAAAAATTCAGATTAGTTAAAGAAAACATTAGAATAAGCAGATTTAGAAGGTAAATTATAATTCCAATCTAGTTCATTTACTTAAACAAAACCTGTAGATACAACTAATAAATAATTTTAAATTTAATCTAATGAAACTGCTTAAAGCAGTCCATTTTCTCAGCCTCGCCCACAGTTTACACCAAAAACAGAAAGATATGAATCATCTTTTAACGTAATACCAACTTAATCTCCATTTAATTCCTAGATTATCCTAAGTCAGCAACAAGTATAAAAAAACTACTAAAAAAGTAATAGTCTAAATTAGCTTGGCAGTGTTGCTTCTTAAAACGTACTCCACTCAGTATCTTAAATTAGTTAAAATAATATAGCAAACTAAAATGGTAAATTTAAAAACCTTGGTAGCTCTTAAGGTTATATTCCATCAAATGGATACGATAAAATTAATAATTTTATACCTAACCATCTTCCTTACTCCAGCTCAAACTATTATTTATAGGAAATAAAAGAAGAAAATTATGGTGAAAGAAACATGAAGTAAAAATAGAATAAGGATTAACAATAGTCTTAGCTTTAAATAAGCTACGAAGAAGAACACCAAACATATGAATAAAGTAAGTTAAATAATAGCAGCTTATCACATAAGACTTAAATGAGTAATAAAGAACGTTTGTAAAATTTTGCTGAAAATTAAAATGATATTTTAGATGAAGTGAGTAGTTCTTAATTCAATTCAAATGTTTCTGCTGCTTCAAAACCACCTTAGCCTTCTTCTCATCATAGAAAGTCTAGCTTTACGATTTAAAGTTAAATGTAATAATAATTGCAAAAGCAGGCTCTATAATAGTAAAATTAATAATTACAATAGCAATAGCAGTAAGAATTTACTCCTCAGAGAATAATTAGCTCTGCAGCCCAAAAGAATATTATATTAACCTAACAAACAAATACTATTACTGAAAGCAACTCTTTGGGTTAATTAAATGTGATCTAAAATAAGTAACTAAATAACGAGTAAATAGTAAACATGAAAAGAGCATCTATAAAAATAAACAAAGACTATTAGACTCCTAAAATGCACAGAAACAGCATATAAAATGATTAAAGCAAGAGTTATTCTAACATAACTAGCTAGGGTAAACCTAATTTTACTCCTTAAATTTCTTAAAATGATAATTAAGAAGCCACACTTGACAAATAAAATTCAAAGAGGTTAAATCCATTAGCTCAGTCTGTAGATGAAAAACCTGAGTAATTAAAATCAATTCATAGCAACACAGATTTCTTCTAAAATTTCTCTGCATAAAAAGAGTTTTTCTAAAATAGCTCTGCCTAAAAAAATTTTAACAAACAGCTACAAGATGAAAGCTCAAATTTATCCTCATCAATTGTATCCTTTCCAATTCCTAAACATTTAATAACCATAAGCCCATCAACAACTCATCTTTAACAAATAGATTAGAACCAAGAGATAAATGAATACAATTAAAGCAATTAAAACATTAGTCCTCTAAAAAATGAAAGAAAAAATCATTCAGAAAATGAAATCCCTTTTAGCAATGATAACGAACAACAAAACGTATAAAACATTCATAATTAAATGGATAATATAAATTAGAATGAAAAAAACGATGAAAACTAAAATAAAACAGAATAATTCCAAGAAAATCAATAAATTCCAAATAATTCTTTTAATAACTTAGAAGAAAAATAATAAAAACCTTAAACATAAAATGCAAGAAAGTAAAGCTAGCACAAAAGTATCGATAATCCAAGTATAGACTTTCTTAAGTACAATTTTTCTGCTTCAATAAACAACTTAAACAACCAAATATGACTAAAAAATCTTTAGTCTGGTTTACCTTTTCAATCACAATTAAATGTTGATATATATATAAAGCTAAATCTCAAATAATGAACCCTTTTACAGTCAATTGATATAACTGTTTTATATTAAAAATGATTTTTCAAATTACCAAACTTTTATCAATTATAATAATCATTAAAGTATAACAATGAATAAATATAAAACAAGCATAAATATTTTCTATCTATCTTAGAATCTATAATCTTTAAACATCTTAAATATTATAATTAATTATTGACACTTCCTAAATAAAGTATTAATTATATAACAAACAAATCTCTTATGGAATAAATTACCAACAAACAAAATAATCATATAAACAGATATTACCTTTTCAAATTATAATCTTAATTAAACCTTCTTACAATTTCTCTATAATAAATAAATAAATAAATAAATAAATAAATAAATAAATAAATAAGTTTTATCTTTACACTATATTTTTTCTAGTAAATTAATTTCATTTTCTAATATTTTTTAATTATTTAATTTTATTATCGCTTGCTTTACTTGCTGTCTGAATGAGAAAAACAAAATCATCCATTTATATTTATTTTTTTTAAATTTATCAAATTTAATGTAAAGTAATTTAGAAAGTTAATTCTTGAACAATTATAATTTTCATTTTAATTGGAAATTTTTGAATTTTTTTGAATTTATTTTCTATTAAAGTTAAATTAAAATTTTTATTTAAATTATTGTTAACTCAAACAAGATTATTTTTGTTATCATGAATCAAAAAATGTATAGAAAGTTGATAAAAATAATTATTTATTCTTAAAATTACTTTAATTTTATTTGAAATCTATAAATGATTAATTGACATATTTAAAATATTATTTTTTTAATTTTTATTAAATTAATTAGAATTAGTTTTGGTTTGCTTTTTTGTAAATATTTTATTCAAAATTTTTGTTTAATTTAAATTTTATTTTGTTATTCAGACACTAGCAAACATTTTCAAATATTTTTGTTAAAAATAAATAAATTTCAATTATTTTATTAAGTTAAATCTGTGCTTAAAATTAATGATATATCATTAATTAATTATTCTATATACAATTTAAATCAAAAACTGCTGATAAACTTACAAAATTTGATTAAAGAATCTATAGAAAGCAAAATAGCATTTTAGCTTAGCACTTAAATAATAAATGAGGAATATTATTGATTTCCTACTTAAAATGAAAATACTCCTCTTTGCAGTATTTATTCAAAAATTATAATCATAAAATTGTCCAGTTGAATATTTTGGATAAATTTAAGGATATTCTTGTTTAACAAGTATCTAATCGCATCTTTTCCTAAAATCTAATCCTAGTCTATCTAGCGAAGATATAATTTACACATCAAACTATAATGTTTTAACATAGATTAATTTAATGACTTCAAAGACAATACAAACAATAAGCACTAATAATAACGCAAATATTATTTACATGACAAACCAAGACTCTCTTGACAGAAGTGTCCTAATTATAGCAGATACAAGCGGATGTATTATTGAAATTGATGTAGAATTAAATGCTGAAATATAAAGATATTAACTAAACCCTAATATATACACGTTTGATTCGACAATAAATATTGATTATGAATCCTAAACAATCATTACTTACAAAGGCACAACCGTAATTTTTTTAAAATAATTTCATTTTTTTCCTAATGAGTAAGAAAAACGTAAAATAATATAAATAATTCAATTCAAATTTTATACATATTTGATATAACTTTGCTGTATATTTTGAAAATCAAAAATTTAGAGATTACTAATATACTTATGAGTAACTAACTCTAAACATAATACCTCTAGAAGCTACTCATTTAGACTTTAAATCCTTTTTTTATTTAAATTTACTTTTTATACACTTCCAATCCTTCAAAACCTTTCAATCTAATTTTTGAAAAATCTTCTTTCAAATATGGTTTTATTGATTGATAATAATGAAAATAAAAAATTATTTTAAGTTAAAAAGTTATAAAATTTACATTAACTAATTAATGATAATCGTGAAATATTTTTCTAAAAATAATAATTAAAAAGAAGATTATTTAAATTAATAATAACTGCATGATAATCAATCGATATATATAATTTTATGTTTTTAGATACTAAATATTACTGAAAAAATAATTTACTTCTCTCATTAATTCTTCTTGGCTATGTTAATGATTATTTTTATAAAATAAATAAGGTGTTCTTTATTAACTATAATACACAATCAGTGTTTTAGCCTAACATAGTTGGAAATAAGTATGTCAATTCAATTCTAATATAAGGTGTGAGTAGCATCCTTCTAAATATGAGTTCTAAGGCATATATTTGCGATTTAATAAAAAACACTTGTAAGAGTTTGTCTTTACCTAATATAAGTGCTATTTATTTTTTTAATTAGAATGGAAACTTTTTTGCAGTTTATGCTACAGGTTCTTAAGGTAATTCAATCACTCTATTTACAATTAATAAAACTCAAATGACTACATCTCGTACTTCCTACATGACTATACCTATAAGCATAAACAACATGGTTTTAGATGTGTCAAATCCATAAGTATAGTATGCTATAACGATTGGTTAATTTGACTGTAGAGTTTTTAACTTTAACACAAAGCAAATGCAAGTTTAAATAAATTTAATGTCTAATTAAATAGATGTTAAGGATACAACTAATCCTATGACATTAGCAAGCGCTTAAGCTGCTTTGCTTCAAACCTAATTTAACAATATTTACTTAAGTGGGAGTAATTTGGTAATTACATCTAATAATTTTGTCATTTTAATTAACTACCTTACACCTCAATAGCCTACAGTTACATCTATAAAATACATCAATTTAATTAACAATTTATACCAAAACGTTTACATCCTTCCTGCCAGCAGTAACAATAATATTGTACTTGTTGGTGATAAAACATTAGTTTATCTCTACAATCCATCACTATAAATTTATATTTTGAATTCCTGTATATCTACTTATTCTCTAGACAGCTAAATCTAAAGTTAATTAATTCAAGACGATGCCCAAAATTCGTAAAACAAAAAATATTTATTTCACCACTTAAATAAAACATTATTTTCCTAATAGTTTATTAAGCTTAAATAGTCAAGGAATTTCATATTAATGGAATAAATTAAATGGAAAAGTAATTTATCAAATTGCAACCTTGCCACCTGGATCTCTCTTTAAATTAAGCATTGCCCTAAGCAAAGTAAAATATTTTTATTTTTAATTGTTAATTGAATACAAACAATTTTTTTTTGTTGTAAAAATGCTTATCATTTATCTATCTGTTTATCATAATTAATTAGATAGTCTATTACAACTTCTAAGGGTTCTCTATTTATGATAATGTAACTAAGTAACTATTAGTGAGCAATATAATTAATACTGTGTAAGATGTTTAGTTTGATGAAACTAATTTCTTCATTTATCTGGCAGCTGGAAACAATCTAATTTTATATCCTGTAAACAGCTCAACGTTAATTTTAGGCAATTCTGTTTAGTAGACAGGAACATCTTAAATTAATTAAATGTTTGTTAATCCTCCAAATAGCTAAATTTTGGTTGTTAGATCTTCTTAAGCTATTCTCTACAATGTAACTGCAACTAAGATAGCAGTTAATACTACTATAGTTGATAATTTCATTTAGCAGTTATATGATATTAATCTCAATATACTAATAGCATACACATAGACAGCATCTAATTTCTACATAAAAGTAACATTTTATTGATTGCCTTATCTTATTTAAATTACATTTATAAAATAATAATTTAAAAATATTTTTCATATTTAAATTACTAATTTAAGATTTTGACTATTTAATTTAATTTAAGAATAAATTCAAATAAGTATTAAAAAATTGTTAAATAAATAAATAAATATTTTATTCTTAGACTTATGCATTCCCAAGTTCAACAATGGTTTAATTTGTAAATGATCCCACTTTGACTTACTCAATGCTAAGGAATAACCCAAGTACTTAAATAATAACAATGTATATCAAAAGTAAAAATTAAATAATTGGTTGGAGTTATAATTAAGCTACTCCTAGTAATGCTTAGTTATTCATGATTAAGGGACTAATTAACTAAATACAGTTTTATTTTATTGATACTGTTGGTGCTAATAACTTTTTAGTATTAATAACAGTTAATGGATTAGTTTTGGTTTATAATGCTGACACTTAGGATATTAAGTATCAGTACACAGTTCATAACTAATTAGCACCATTAAATTATTATCCTGATTAAATTAACAAGTTTGTGATCACATATGCATAAGATAATAGATTAGTTAAGTATGATTATGCTAATGGAAGGCTTGTTAAGCAATGGATGCTATCCTCCGTACCAATAGGTTTTACAGCTGATTATAAAAATTCTATGATTTTTGTTGGATAAAAGAATCAAGTAAAATTTTTTAATTTCCTAAAAATTCATTCTTATTCTTAAATTTTTTTCTTTTTTTTTTTTAAATCTTTTATTTAGCAGCTAATAGTTTTCTTGTGAATTTTTACTAGTAATTTTTCTTAATAGATGATTTTTAATTTTCAAGAAGTGTTCTCCATCTATTTAATTTAAATCATCTTAGATAAATAAATAGTGAGGGATATAAATTAATTTTTGAATTTCAAAATATGCAACAGAATTTAAAAAAAACATTCACAAATCTAAAAATTTTTAATGTTTAAAAATCAAAACAATTCCTTCCCAAAACAATATAGCTAAATAATAAAAGATGTTATTATAATTTCAAAATTTATTGATTTATCAGATATATATTAAGATAAATAAAATTTATCTGTTTTAAATATTTTAAAATTAATTTGAAAATTAAAAATCATAAATTAATTTTATTTTAATAATTTGTAGATTTACAGTCTTTCATATTAAGGTCAGGATATGCTGTAACAAATAGTGGGTTTTTAGAGTAGTACAGTACCAGGAATACTTAATTAATAAATTGGTTAATTTGTTTCTACAAATAATAATCTTGTGAGAGTGTATAGTATTTACACATTTTAATAAGTTGCATAGCTTGCATAAGTTCATACTCAACCTATTCTGTATATGTCTTTTGCAAGCAGCTTAAATTTAATCATACTATGCTCCTAAGATTAAACTTGTAGTGTTTGGAGTTCCATAAACTTTTAAATTGTATAAACTCTGTAATTAAACTAAAGCACTCCTGTATAATTTACTTGCAATGTTCCAACTGGTTTAGTTTTTTAATAAAATAATATTTACATAATGTGTTAAACAGGGATAGTTATTTAGTGGGTAATTAATGCTAATACTAATTTATTTTAATTTTAAGCATTCTTTACTTTCTCTACAAATCCAATTTAATCTACTCAGTCCTATCAAGAGCAAGGCCTCCTAATATCACTTGACACTAATTCACAAGGAAGCGTTCAATATATTAATAGCTAAACAATTGCTTTCACAGTCTAAGGAGATAAGTCATTGATAGACAAAACAAATTAATTATTCATTACATTCGGTGTAATTTTTTAATTTATCAACAAATAAATAATAATTTTTTTTTTAATTTATTGATATAAATAATTATCTTTTAGAATTCATAATTAATTAATTAAAAATTAGCAAATTTATCTCACTCAACTTAAAATATTTTTTTTCCTAGTTTTTGTTATTTTCTTTTTTAATAAATTAATTTAAAATATTTTATTGTTAATTTCTTATAAATAAAATTTTTCAATATTTAACAAAAATTTTTATAGAAAAAAGGAATAGTCTTATAATACAATTTATAAGGTAGCTTAGTATTTAACTATACAGTTCATAATGGAAATATAAATCAAGTTTTTATCGATGCTCCAGGATAGCAATTAATATCTATTGGGTAAAATATATACATACATATCTAATTTTAAAGAAATTTTAAAAAAATTTTTTATAAAAAAGTGATGACAACAACCTAAATTTGTACAGCAATTATGCCAAAGCATCTTTTTCAATACTGTAATTTTAATAAAATTTATAACTTATTTTTTTATTAAGTGTTTACCAATTTTAGTGAGACTAAAAGAAAATAAATTTCAATAACAAAAAAAGTTAATGTTATTAGCTTATCAAATTAATTTAATTACTAAAATTACAAATAAAATGTAATAAATAAATAAATAATATATTTTCTAAATTACCTTTATAGGTTTTGAAATAAAAAATCTTTTTTTACTTTTAAATATTTATTTATTAAAATCCTTTTTTTCAATAATTTTAATTTTATCTTACGTAGGCAATCTTATACTCATACAGCCCCGCTTAAAACAGGTATTTTTGATAGCTAGGCTAACTTGATAGTAGTTGGAGATAGCTTAGGTTCAATTTTATTCTTTAATTATCCGTTACTTGGGTTGAAACAGATAATATACTAAGCACATTAGTCTTAAATAATAAATCTAATTCTAAATAGAATTACAAATACACTTATTTCTTTTGGAAGTGATAATAATGTCAGCTTATGGAATTATTATGCATACTTTAAAACTGATTTTAGGATAATGATTTTCTAAGAAGGATGTAATTAATTAAAAGTTATCTATTTGTTGATTAATTTTATTAATATTTTTTTAATAAAGCTATATAAGATGGATTTTTATCAAATTAGTAAGCAATTACTATACAATAAAATGGAATGCTCAAGATGTGGGATTTTAATCTTTAGTATCAAATGTACATGCAAAAGCTGCAATAAGGATAATAAGATTATAATTTTAAATTAACAAATTTACCTTAATTAGGTAAAATTTTAGTGAATTCTATAGCCTAGGTTTATTTGCTGAGTAATAAAACTTACTAAATTATTAACTAAGTTTAAAATACTTGTAATAGTATAAAGACAACTACAAACACAAATAATTTATTCATGATATTTTGTATAAATAAAAACTAAATTAATGTCTTCGGAGAGAATCTGTAACTTACAAGCAGTTAGCCTACGCACAGCATCACTTCAATTTTCATTTTTACAGGAAGTTAGATCAATGAAGTTCTGAATGAGTTTGCTGCATATACTTCTAATTCTTAAATTGTTATTTGGAAATTTACAAGCCTGGGTGTATTTTCTTCTTCTCCTCTAATTATAAACATAACTCCCACTTCACAGATATATGCTATGTTTTACATATAAATTAGTAGCACATAATACAACATTCTAGCTTGTACGTACATCGGAAATATTTTAGTGTTTAGTTATGATACAGTTAACACTCCTTAGTTTTAATTAGAATTAGATCAAGCTAATAATCAAAGATAAATAGTTTTGATTCAATAAGTTGGAAATCAGGTAATAAATTAATTATTAATTTTTTATAAATTTATTAAATAACAAGCAAACAATATTTATTTTTTAGGTCTTTTTTAAAAGATTTGGGTTGCCTTTTGTTTAGGTGTATTCGACTACTAATTGGAGTAATACAGGATTTTTAGTAACTCCATGTATAGGTTACTAAAATAGATTAGATTATGACATTGCATCTGATTTAATATGCTTGACTTGCTTTGGATAATACAACGTTTATACGTTTAGCTCTTTGACTTTAATTGGCAATTTAAGAATAATATCTGAATTCTCTTTGTATGGAGATTAAAGCACTTCTAATAATGATGATTTGCGTATAGTTAATGGTTAATATATAATACATGCTCGTTTGTTGTACATCTTTATTTTTCAAGTCAATCGGAGCCAAAATACAATCACATATTTAGGAAAAATACAATAAGTGTATTAATTCTCAAAGGTTCTTTCTTTTACAGTAAATTAGCAGCCAACTTATACTGAGGTTGAATATGTGTTTGTAGGCACTAAGGTTAGCAAATTGCAATTTTTACTTTAGGGGAGTACAGCTTGCAAATAATCTACAAATATTTAAAATTTGAAGCAAACATTTGTAAGCTTAGTAGACATAACAAATCGCCTTAGTACATTCTTTGTTATGACAAACTTTTAGTTTTACGTTTCACTCAACAATAACTAAGCTCTGCCATAACTACCTTAGTTTCCTTTTGCTTCTTAATCTAGCTTATACATCAATTATAATAACAGCTAAGTCATATAAACCAGCAGCTTTCACAAATTTTATTCTTCGGTTAATGGGTTTATATCGGTAAATTTAATGAATTTGAATCTCACTTTCGAGAAATAAATTGGTCAAACAGGAGTTTAATAATTGCCATTTTTCAACATCACATCTGTCTCAATTATTAACTGCTCATTTTAGAATTTGAGTGGAGTGATCTTTTCGTTTTAGTAAGTTAGCAATATCGAGCTTAGTAATATTTTAATCTATAATTAAACAATTCAAAGCGTTGTTAATCCTACATCAAGCAGTATCAGCTAATACTTTTTTTCAATTACGAATGCAACTAGTATCAAAATATCAAACTTAAATATAACTAACTCTTAATTTATTTCATCTGCTCTTCTGAGTATTAACAACTTTGGTTATATTCAAAACCAAGCTAGCTAAATAGCAAATCAGGGATTAGTTACAGTTAATGGTTTATATTTGCAAAACAATACAATCTAATTCAGTAATTTAGCATCATTTATTGATATGCTTTTTATGAGTTAGGTAGTGATAAAAGATCTAATCTTCATTGGAAATAATAACACAGCATCATCTATTCCTTTTATGATTCCTTTATTGCTAAATTTATAGCTCTGCAATCTAAAATAGCTTCAAAACATTCAATTTATTTCGAATAAAGATTTCTTATTGCTAGGAGATAATAATTATTTTAATAATAAAATGGTAGGAACGAACACAACATAGTATTATGCCTCGTAAATCGATGACTATTTATAAGTTAATATTATAAATATTACATAAAATATATTTACAGATCTTTCTTCAAATAGCAATTAATATTCAAATCTTATTTAGTCTTTTTCAGATAATATAAGCTTAATAGGAATGATTGCAATAAAAAACACCTGCACTCTTCCATGCTTTGTTAACTCTATTCTTGATATTGAGAGCTCTAAAAATTCCTCACTATCAGGACTTCAATCATTTAAGAACATAGGATTTAAACAAGCAGTTATAGTTATTAATAATAGTACAATGTAAGGCTCTTAGTGGTCTTCCAATTAAAATAATTGCTCATAAAGTGGTTCTTTCTTACTTTAAAATTCTAATGGAACCATTACTGTAGGATAATTTACAGGAAATAAGTGCTCAGCTGATAATTGTGGTGCAGCAATATTTTTAAATAAGTATTCAAACTTAATTTTAAACTAAGTAAATTTTATTGAGAATCATTCCTTGCAATATGGAGGAGCAATATCATAAATAGTCTCATGCTCGCTATAAATTATACAAGCAGTATTTGACAGCAATAATTCGATTTAAGAAGGAGGAGCTATCTTCTCTTACTAAAGTGCTTTAAATATATCAAAAGCTAATTTCACAAATAACAAGAGTGGATTAAATGGAGGTGCTATTTATTTAGAGATGGGGTCACTAATCTTGTAGCAATGCTACTTTATAAAGAACTCTGCATAGAATTCTGGAGGAGGAGCGTACATTCTAAACACTAATTCTGCTTAATTAACTATTATAAATGCAAATTAAAATTCTGCTCAATCGTCAGGAGGTTGTTTATTTGTGTAAAGAAGTCATTTAAATCTGGATGATTCAGATATTGAAAACAATGTTAGCATGGAAGGAGGTGCTCTCTAAGTTAATAGTCTACTTTAAGGATCAAAAATCAGTTCTACTAAATTTATAAAAAACAAAGTTAATGGGTAAATTTTAATTAATTTTTTGACATAATATTTGATGATTTAGTTAAATTAAATTTGATAATATTTTATGAAAAAAATAAACACATTTCTTATTTTTTTAATTTTTTTGTTTGTGGTTTGTTTGGTTTTAAGTTCATTTTTTTAATAGTTATTTAAAAAAACTAATTAACATAGGAGTGGAGGAGCTATAAGAATGGATAATAGTGATTGTTAGGTATAGAATTGTATTTTTCAAGGAAATATTGCTGGAGCAGGTGGAGCAATCAGATATACTACTTTGAAACCTTAATTTATGCTTCCTTTAAATGGGAATTCCAAATTAGATTCATGCAATTCTTTTGGCTAGAATACCTGTCAAAATAATTAAGCTATTTGTTTTGGAGCAAACATTTGTAGCTATCCCAACTCTATCAAACTTCTACCTGGATAAAGCAAATTGTAAGTCGTATAAGCTAATTAATCTAACTCTTACTACCAGATTTAAAACATATAAAGCGGAGTTGATTCAGTAAATATTTAATACCAACTGCTTGATGAATTTGGAGATCCAATTAAGTTCTAAGATATTAATATACCTACTTTGTCACAAAACTCTCTGAGAAATTTAAAGGATTTCGAATTATAAAATAGTAAAATATCTTCATTTAAATTTTCTTTTGTTATTTAAATCATTTTATTAAAAGGGATGACTGAGCTTCTTGACTCTTAAAAAATAAGTTAAAGTTTATTCTTGGAATTAGACTCATATAAAAGCTTCATTTAAACCGATTAACCATCAAACATAGAATAAAAAAATTTATTAATTCTAAGAGATTATATTACAAGATATTAAGATAGTTAGTTCGTTATTGAAGGAATAGATATTATTGGATCACCATTAAAAACAGCTACTTTTAAGCTGATTTTTTAAGGAATAAACACATTTCATAACGATAAAACTTTATAATCCATGAAAGAAGTAGATATATAAATTTCCTTTAGAGGATGCAAGTAAGGTGAAGCTTATACTAAATATTGTGATACATGTAAATTAGGTTATTGTCAACCTTGCTAATCAGGTAGTTACATATTAGATCCTCCTTCCTCAACTACACCTCAAAACTGTACAGTTTGTAATAAACCATTTGCTGCATCATGCTCTAAGTCTACTATTCATTTACTTCCTGGATATTGGTACTTCAATTTTATAAATTTTAGAAATTTTGCTTAATAATTTTTTAGATTCTTTATAAAATAAATCAATCCTCATCCTAAATTATTACTGAAAAATTTTTATAAAAGTAATTTCGTATTAATAAAGATGAAGGGTAAATAATTGAAATCAAATAATAAATCAAAATCATAATAAAAATTGAAAATAATTTAAAATAAAGCAAAAAAAGTTAAATTAAATTATCAAAAATTAAATAGTTAAATGAGAATTTCATAATATTTTTCTTTCAAAATAAAGAATGATAAAATTTTTAATTAAAATTATTATTCATTTATTTATTAATTTAGGAGAGAGAATAATATGACTGACGTAGTTGCTGAATGTAATTAGAAGTTTGGTCTTTGTATTGGCAACGATAGATATGGATATTGCAAATAAGGATACACAGGTCCAATTTGTGAAACATGTGATCAATTTGCAGAAATTTGGGGTAAATCTTATGGAAATTATGACATTCTTGAAATGAAACTTTGCATGACATGTGATAATTTAAAGTAATATATACCTGGGTCTGTGATTTATGGTATTATAATTTGTTGCTTGATTGTTGTTTTAATGAACGATGCGAATTCTAAAATGATTAATAGCATCTAATCAAAACTTTTAAGTAGATCTAATATCCTGCATTTAGGAATTACTTCTTTTACAGGAAAGACGCTAATTATTTTTAAAATATGCATATTCTACATGCAAATTCTCACAGCTTTAGTGAAATTTGACATTATCTTTGAAAATTCTTTGAAAATTGCTAAGTTTATCCCAATTTACTTATTTTCTCCTATTATCAGTATGGAGTTTTGGTTTGACTGTGTTTTATCTAATATAGATATTGGAGTAAGTATTTAGTACATGAGATTAATATGGAGCTTAATTTTATATTTGATGATCTTTACATTCAGTATGATCATATACATTGTGTTTGCAGCAATAATCTATAAGAACTACAAGTATGAGCAAAAGATATACGTGACAATAAAATACTTCTCAATAAACTTTTTTATTTTTGCATGGATTTACTTTTTTTACATAATGCAACATAGTTTATTGTAAAATTTTATGAAAATACTTTCTTGCAAATAAATTGCAAATACAGAATATATTGTAGGATAGCTAAACAAAGTTTGCAATGATTTTGAGCACAGTATGTGGTAAATATTGTTTATAATTCCTGTTTTTACTATTGTTGGATATGTAATACCTTTCTGTTTATTCTACCACATACACTTAAATAAATTCAACCTATACAAACCGACTAAAATATTCTTTATAAGAAAATATGGATTTTTATACTTTGAATATAAGCCTAAATACTGGTATTGGGAGCTCTTAAAATTACAATTAAGAACCTTAATAGTAATTTTCTTAAATGCATATGAAGAAGATATAAAAAAGAAAGGATGCTTCATTCTAGTAATATTAATTATATATTCTCTTTTAGCATAAAAGAATCAACCCTACTAATTGCCTCAAATGAATAGTTTAGATAAAAGATCGAGTATTATATCAGCTTTTCTGGTATGGCTTGCCCTAGTATCTAACAATAACAGTGATGAGGGTTAAACTAACTTCTTCTTAACAATTATGGCTATTGCAATTATTTTATTTATAATTAATTTTATCCTCTAAATTCTCAAAGATTTTTACAATAGAAACGAGTATTTCATTGCAAAAAGTAGACCAGTTTAGTTTTTTGTTTATTATGCAGGATATTTCCTTCCTTAAAATATATTCTATGCAAGAAATAAACTTCTAATAAAATTATTTCCATAACTATACAGAATCATTCATTGCTAGCACTTGATTGGCTTCGACCATATATAAAGGTAAAAAATAATTATTTATTGATTTTATTATTTATTTATTTATATTTATTTTTCCATCCATTCATTCATTTGCTGGTTGGATAATTGATTATTTGATTGAGTCTTAAATTCTTTTCACTCAGTTTTTTAATATTTTATTAGATGGAGATTTTTAAGAACATATATTATGGATTTTGGACGAAGAAGAAGGAGAGATTAATATGCATAGTTTTATGTTTATTTAAATAAATCAACATAGGCTTCTAGTAATAATTAATCAAGTTAGAATTTAAGCTCTAAATAAAAATTGATATAAGATGATTAAAAAATTAATGATATAACTAAGATGAAGAGCATTTAAAAGAAAGACTAAATAAGAAATTCAAAGAAATCGTAAAAGGGTGAAGACCCAAATTTAAATAGAAAAAATTCAAGTAAATTCTAAATTGAATCTAAAAAGAGCATTAAAAATGATGAATAAGGCTAAATAATAGAAATTTCAAGTAATTCCCCCAAATAACAATAGTTAATTCTTAAAAAAGCTACATCTATTGGTGAAGAAATAAAAGAAAAGTAAGATAACCTAACAAAAGTAGGTATTATTGAAAAAACTTAAGATTTTGAATAAATTGATGATGACGATAGAGATGATATCATAAAAAAGATTTATCCTATTAAAAGACCAATAATGTGCTTGTCAAATGCTTATTCAGGAATGAAAATTGATAACTATAAAGATGCATAGATAAAAGATTTATGCGAAAACCCCTTTTACTATCATGATTACTCAGTCAAATACAAATTCGATAAAGAATAAAATAAATAAATTACTGCATAAGGAGAAGAAGAAATAAAAGATCTTCGATACAAAATTTGTTTAAACAACCAAGGCAATAAATAAGAAAACGGTAATAAAAATATTTAATTAATATATAAAATAAATTAAATGTCATTTTTTTATCAAAATAAATAATAATAATTAGCATTTTAGCAAAATCAAGACAATGCATAGATTTATAGATTATAAGTTGAAAACCAACAAATCCAAGGATAACAAAATGTATAGGAGACTCCATAGGAGTATGAAGTGTCTATGCAGGACTTATCAGATATTATGAGTGAAGGTAAATAAAATTAAATAATTTAATATAAAATTAACATTGATTGATTATATTTTAATTTAATTTAGACTATAACACAAGATAAATCTAAGAATTTTAAAAGAAACCTATTAAAGAGAGTGAGCTTATCAATTTTTCATAAGACAGAAATCTAGAAATGATTTATTCTCCTAATTCAAATTCTATCGACTATGGTTAATCTGATTTTAGGCTTCAATCACCTCATAGTTAATAGAATTGAAATTCCACAAAAATATAATTGAAACAAAATAAATATTGTCTTTTATTTAATTCTGCTAAAAACAGAAAAAGATGTTTATATATAAATAAATAAATATATTTTATGTAAATTATAGCTTTTTAAGATAATTATATATTTATTTAATGGCTTCTAAATATAAAATAGCAAAAAAAAAGAATTAATAAAAATCGTATTTTTTTAAAATTATTAAAGCTAATAAGTAGAAATATTTATAAAAGAATTCTGAATAATGTGGAAAGGTTTTCTTTCTATTTTTTAATGATAATATAAAAAAATAAATGAATAAATCAAAATTAGTTGTGAATATTTTGTTAAAAAATAGAATAGATATTAATAAATAATAATATACCTAATATATTTTTAATACATTTATTTATTTATTTAATTTTTTATGTTGTTTGTTCTCAATACACAAACTTAGAAGTGTTTGAAAAGTCTTTTTTAAAAGTAAATTTAGCAAAATCGAAGGAATCATATCTTGGGTTCTTTTATTCTATTCTCTCAGTCTTTTTTAATAGAACTCTTTTTAATTATTTAGAAAAGATTAATTGTTGTAAGTGAAATACTATTTTTATTACTTATTGGTCTCAGTTGCACCGAGCTGGCTTTCAATTTTAATTGCTTTGAACAGAAGTTCTTTAGCATTAGGCAAATCTCCACTATATATTTTTTTGTTTGCTTGATAATACAAATCCTTGATCCTTTTGTTTGCTTAATCACTTTCAGGCTTGACCCAATAAAATTTATTTAAATTAAATCTGAAATCGTCCCATGTTAGATAATTTGGTGGTTCTTTATAATCCTTATCACCTGGTTACAAAATTGTATCTCTTTCAGGTTATATTTTTTGAATGAATTCTTCCACACTGCAATCAGGAACTTTACCTACAAATCCTTTATCAGCCATAATCAATTCGTAAAGTTCACCCAATTTATCTAGAGGAATTTATGCCTTTTTATCTAAATTCATAAAATTAAGAGATTTCAAAACTTTTTAGAAATATACCTTTATCAAATTGCTTAAAGAGCGACTTCAGTCTACTCTTATCCCATTCAGTTATTATACTTAATGGTTCTTCTTATTTTCTTCTTTCCATTTCCTGCTTTTCTTTGCTTATTGGAACTTTAGTTGTGTCGAAAACAATATTCTATGCCTTTTATTTTGAATGAAACGATAAAAAACATAATTGATTATTTTAAACAAAATTAAATACTGTCCTCATTAATATTGTTTATTCTTCTAGCCTTTATGTTTCCTCAAATCTTTTCTTTTTAATAAAAGTAGCTTCTTTATACAAATCTTTCTCATTTTGAGAGAACATAGCAGATGGAGGTATTTTAATAACCTTTTTTTCATCCTTTTTACTTCTAATTTAATTATAGTCAGTTTCCATAAATTTCTTTGCTTTATTTCTCTCTTCTTAAGTTACAACTTTCAGTTATTATTTTTAGTTAGTATTAGAAATAAAAAAATACTAAAAATGAATGATAAATTTAATAATAAAATAATATTTACCATGACGATCAAAAACTTTAACTGAAGGCATAGCATAAATAACACGCAATCTATAGTGAGGTTCATCTGCAAGAGGATTATCAAATAAATCTTTGATAAACAAATATTTTTATTAATCATTCATAATATTTTTTCAATTAAATCATAAATCTCTACCTAATTATTTTAAGCTTGTTAGATGTTGCATCTTTGATAAATTTAAATCCAAATCTCTCAATTCATTTTTATACAATACAAGCGTCTCTAAGTGATTTAAAAACTACAGACTTCCATCAAGTGTTTTCAATTTATTGTTAAAAAGATACAAATGCTTAATTCTGAAATTACTATCAAGTCCTTCTAATCTTTCCATCTTAATTATGATAAAATAAAATAATATTTTTCAACTGAATCTCGAATTAATTGCTAAATTAAATTTATTATTTTCATTTTGTCAATTTAAAATAATTTATTTTTATTCTACTTTATTATCGTTCAAATATAAAACTTCTAAATTTGGGAAATCTTCAAAATTTTTTATTGTTTCTAAGCCTCTTTAACCAAGATGAATTTCTTCAGTATCACGCGCCTGTTTTCTATTTTTTATAGGAATAACCTCCCAAGGATCCCCTATTTTGCTTTGCTCTTAGGCATTACTTCTTGCTAATAATCTATTAAAAGTTAAATCCATTTTGCAGTTTCTTAGTAAAATATTTGATAGATAATAATTTAATAACTTATTGATGCTGATTAAATTATAATCCACTGATTGAAATTAAATTATTAAGATTATTTTACAAACAAATTATTTAGATAACACCTCAACTAACATTTTAAGAATATGGCAAATCAACCAAATATTATTAGAACTTACTTCTTAGTAGAATATTTCGCATAAATAAAAATTATTTATGCAAAAACATTTTTTTAATTTAATTAAAGCATTATTGTATAAAATATTTTTGCTTTAATCTAATTATAAATAAATGTATCACAAAATTTGATATTCTCTTGAGTTTGCTAACAAATACTAGAGTATACTATTAGATAAAGTGTTTATATGTTTAAATTATTTTTAATAATATTTAAATTTTGAAAAACTTTACTATTGAAAAATGATTTAAACTCTATCAGTATCATTTATATTAAAGTAAATCTACTGATTAATTTAATAGGTAGAAAAGCTTTTGATTTATCAAAAAAAAAAAAAGAATTATCAGTATTCTTAAATACTTTATAAATAATTTGAAATAAAAAAAATAAGGAAAGAAATACTTTGCTTGCACAAAAAAGATATTTTATGAATATTATTGTAAACTTGAAAGGCTTTGAATACATTCATGTTAAATTAATTGACAAAATAATACGTAAAGAGATAAAAAATAATCTAATTAAGAAAAATATTGAAAACAAAAATCACAAACAAAAAAACAAACAAACTAAGACTAATAGTTGAATTCTTGAAATGTTAGAACACAAAAGATATGGAAAAATTTTCACATACTGCGAATTATTTATGATTATTCTGAAATTCGCTTTGTTTATTCTACTAACAGGAGCTATTATAGCTATTTCAATTTACACTTAAGAATCCTAAAACTTGGTAAAAGTTATACAATCTGCTAAATTTAGAACTTACAACTCTGTAGTACATTACAGTCATAATGATGAAAAAAATAAATTTTAAAACTTAATTAAAGAAAATACCAAAACTATTGATAATGATTAAATTCTAAAGTAGCATATTTTTAATATTCTTAAAAAGTAAATTAGTTAAAATTAGTATTTAGAAAAAAGCAGTAGTAATAAATCCTAGAAATTTCATTACGTAGAACTTAAGAAATTGAGAGTTGATGTTGATTTTAGTTTAAATTAAATAAGAAACAAATAATTGGAATAAATAATTTTAAGCAGCATTTAAGATATTTAGATGTAATTCAATTATTATATAAGCTACGATAATGTTAAGCACATAAATCATTTTCAAAAATTCTAAAAATTTATTTAATGTAATAAAAAATAATTGAAAATTCATACTGGTGAAGCTTATTAATTACAATTATAGTAGAGAGTACTTATCTTCGTTGTTTATAATTCTACTTAAATTAAAAATTAAAATTTTTATTACTAAACTTAAGCTTGTTTGAATAATGCTCATTCTAATTTTCCACAAATAGGATTATTTTATATAAATATTGATGAAATCCAAAGGAATTACAACAGCTAAAAATTTTAAATCCTTTACAAATTTGTATAGCTTTCTTATACAGATTTTATAATTCCTGTTGGCTCAAAGATAAAATCAGAAAATGCTTTTTAAAATTAAAAAATATTTGATTTAACAGATCACTTTCGAAATATAAAAAAACCAAATTTATCAATTTAATAAATAAAAAAACCTTTAGCAAGTTAAATTAAATAATTTTTATTTTAGGATTAAAAAATTTAAAATTTATTTAATTTATTATTTAAATCTTAAACTTTAAAAAGTAAAGAATATGTTAAGCAAAAACAAAATTAAAATTAAATAGATCTAAAATGTTCATCTAATAATATTGGGCTTATCTCTTCAGGCTTTTATGTTTACGATTGCTAATACTAAATACAAAATTCTATATGCATTTAATTAAAATATTAAACAACGTAAATTCAAACAGCTTAATGCTTAAAATATTAATGTGAAACATTTTTAAATATCCCTAAAATTAAAATATTTTTTGAAGATAAGGAAATTTTGTGCTTTCAAAGTTCATAAAGCTTCATTATTAATAATGAAAAAATAGTTTTTTGCCCTTAAAATATAGATATACTCTGTTGAATTAATATATTATTTAAAAAGTTATAAATTATATTTTATATTTTGTAAATACTCCAAGTTGCTTAAATTCATATGTCTAATCGATCTTTTGATTAATATACTTAAATTTAATTTATTTTTCATAATATAACAAGAAAAATTTAATCATAGCCAAAATAAAGCAGAGTGAATGAATATAGATCAAAAACAAATTACTGATAATCTTGAATCTCTGAAAGTGTTTTTGATTCATAAAATAATTATCATTATTGAGTCAAAGAAATTTATTTTTAAATTATCTTATAAATGTCAAAATAAATATTTTTTAAATAAGTTTTTCAACCATTATAGTTCAACTTATGTAAAATTATTACAGTAGATATACTGGCCTCAAAAAATACATAAATAGATAGCCTTGATAAATATTTAATTGAATAAAACCTAAATATTTAGCAGAAAAAAATTGAAAATATTTAATAAATTAAAATATATTTTTGCATTTCTAATTTTTGCTGATAAAAAACCTATTTATATTTAACTTTAAGTTAATAATTTTTAAATTTTCCATGTTTGTAATTTTATTTATTTTAAAAATAAAAAATCGATTTCATAAGAAAATTAGATGTTTTAAAATTTACTAAATGACTGGAATTAAAAATAAACATTTCATATAAAATAAATAAATAAAAATAAACTTCAATTAAATTCATTATCTTCATCTTAAAATTATTCTTCTCCTAAAAAGTCGTAATCTTATTGTTCTTATTATCCTTAATACTATTCTTCTTCTTCTTATTACTCTCTTTAATATTATTCATTTTATTTTTTTTAGCTATTGTCTTCAGATTGAGAAGATTCCATCAAGTTTTTTATTTCATTCTAATCTTGAAGCTATAAAAGCTGTCTATCTGCTTCTTCTAACTCTTGGTATATTTTATCTACTGAAGATTAATGTTTTTATTTCTAATTAGAAGAATTGTCTGATCTAGGATTTTATTTTTATTCTTAATTTATATAATAAGGACTTTTATTTATATTAGCAGATTCTTGCTGCTAAAGTTCCTAAATAGTTGAAATTGGCTTTTTATATGAGTTATTCTATGAAGCTTTTGAAGCTGAATAGCCTGCTGGATTATTATTAGAGGAAAAAAGATTATCATCTAATAGGTTATCTTAGCTTTTTTATTTTTCAGGAGTGGCTTCTAATTCAAGTTGCTATTATAACTTTCTTAGGAAAGGATTATCTTATTAGCCAGTTTTAACTTATTTTAATCTCTATGAATTGAGTTCATTCAATAAATCCTGATTATTTTTTTGTTGAATACTAGTTACTAAATTTTTGTATTTATTATCACTTGATAAAAGTAGAGACTCATTATCATTTTAAATCATCATCATATTATTATTGGCAAGAGTGCTTAATCCCATAAAACCATTTTTATTAGCAAAGGTATCAAGTTAAAATTTAGAATTAGACTAAATCTCATTCTCTTAATTTTATGTAGATAATTGATTTTATTTTTATATATTTTTTAAAGAAGAGGATTATCCTATACCCAATTTACCTGTTGAATTTAAGTTGTTCTGATAATTAGCATTTTTACTGTTTAATTGTGCTTTCTATTAAGACTGAGAAATAATTTGGTGGTTTTTAGAATTTAAAATATTCTTATAATTTTCACTTTCTAGCTTTAGTTATTTGATTTATTTATTCAGCTATTCAATCTCTTCATCCTTATTTTAATTAGCATAATAGCTTTCTATTATTTATTCTATCTTTAATTAAATATCTTTATCTAATTCTTCTCCACTGAAAGCCTTATTAATATAAATTGTTTCTTCCTTCTTAGTCAACGTTTTGATTCTTTCTAAAATATCTTTTTATTCATCTTTTAATTCTTCAGCATATTATTCCAAATCATTCACTTAATCATTTAATTCCTATCTCCTTTCTTCCAAGATTGTGTTATCATCAATCTAATTTTGTAAAAAAAATTAATAAAACAATAAATTTATTTAAAAATGTTAATTTTATTAAATTTAATATTTAAATTATTCATTATTTTATATTACAATTTTATTTTTACAAATTAGAAATTTCAAATTTGTTTGAAAAAAATTGGATCAAATTCATTTAAATTATGATTAAAATTGATTTTTTAGTTTATCTTCAATTAAGAATTTAATTATTTTTTAAAGGAAACTATTTAAAAAATAAAAATAAAAAATATATTTTTCTAAGAAAAAAATGTATTTATTTTTTGATCTTTTTTTAATAAATAGATTGTTAGGTCTGAAGAATTGAAGAAGATTTTACTAGTTTAGATTGGATGCTTGACAATTCTTGTAATCTATTAGCAAGAAGGTTTTATTCTTCGGACATGCTATCTACTTGTTGATTTAAAATTTTCAACTAATGCTCTCTCTCATTAGAGGAGCTTATTAAATTTTACAGGTTATCTTATTTTTATTTTTCGGTGTTTTCGAGCTATTCTCTTTTTTTGCTTAGATTATAATATTGTTGCTCTCTTTCTTCAATTGTTTCTCTAAGCTGTTAAAGAGTATTGTGATTTTCTTCCATTAAGGACTTAAATTTCTTTTCATCCAATTAATATGTTTGTCTAATTTCCTGAAGTTCTTTTTGCTTTACTTCATATTCTTATTTAACATGCTCAAGCTTCAAACTAATACTTTAAAGTTCTAGGTCTTTATCATGCACCTGCTTTTCTAAGATTTGCAAATCTTTTCTCTTTTCTGTTCTTGATTTTTCAATTTTATTCATCTCTTCTATATAATATTATTATTATCCATCAAGTTTTTAGATTTTAAGCTCAGCATCAAGCAATTGCTACTAAATGTCACTGTACTATTTAGTTTAATTTATAAAACTCATTAAGTGATAACAAAAATAATTATGAAGAATACTTGCTTTTCTAATGAAATAACTTCTTGCTGCTTCTGCTTAGACAAAGAACTAAGACTCTCAAGATGCTTTTTTAGGGAAGTTAGTTAATTTTACTGCATTTTAATTTTCATTTCATTTTCGTCTAGTTTTATTTTACCTTCTTCAATTTATTTTTCTAAATTCAAGCTTTCCATTTTAATTTGTTTGTATTTTTCTTTTGTATTTTCATATTCCTCTAAAAGGCTATCAACTCTGTTAATATTTATCTCCTTGTCATTTAAAGTTTACTCTATAGAATATAAAATTTTTCTTTTTTCTTGAATGCTGCTTTCAAGTTCTTTCAGCTTTTGTTTGTAAATTGTTTCCTCTCCCTCAAACTTTTAGATTATTCTAATAAAAAGTTAGACTATCTGATTGATTTTTTATAAAATATATTTTACATTTTCATATCGACTTCAAATTTTTAAACTTCTGATTGCAATTCTTGCTTTTAAGCTTATAGTTATTAATTAATATTTTAAAGTCTTTCATTTTCTTAGTTAAGTTTGTTTATGCTTTCTTCAAAGACATGCTGTATTTTGTGCTACTTTTCTTTAGACTCATTCTAGCTCTTTAAAAAATAATTTAAATCAATTAAAAAAGTTAGAATTTAAATATTACTAAAACTTTCTCTGTCTCCTTTTAAATTTACTGAAGTATTCTTTAAAGATCTTTCTCTGCTACACTTCTTTTAGCTTCTGTTTCATCAGAAGCACTCTAAAGACGAGTTAAATGAGATTTAAGTTAATAAATTTCCATTTCTAAATTCTATTTAAGCTATCTTTAATCTTCAACATCTTTGATAACAGTAAATTTATCGTTTTCCTCTTTTTCTTTATTTTTTTGTTGACTTAAAAAGTAATTTTCTTACTCTTCATAAAATCTTTAACGATCATTTTTGATAGCTTCTCTCTCTGATTTGACCTTCTCATATTCTTGTTCTAATTACCTATTTTTTTTAATTGCAATTATTATTTGAAGTAATTAATAATTATTACTAATATAGCTATTCTCTTTCTTTATTTATCTTAGACTTATGTTCTAATTTTTTTGACTCAAATTCTCTCCATTTTTGTGATAACTCTTAAGTCTCTTTTTCAAACTCGTCTAAGAATTTTTATTTGACTTCATTAAAATTCTTAATTGTTAACTCGTTTTTTTCTACATTTTTCATTAGTTTTTAAATAATTTTAAAGACTTATTGCATGTCTTCAAAGCTTTCAAATTTCTCTGGAAAATTATACTCATCTTATCCTGATTTGTATTTTTTCTTTTTAGCAGCGTTATTAACTTGATCATAAATATATTCTTTATATAAAGTGTTGATTTGATCAAAGCACCTTTACTTATCTTATTGGTAATCATCAATTTATTGTTGTAAGTGATAAAATTCTTTGCGCTTTTAGTTTGTTTACTCATCAAAAATAACGCCTTGTTCAATTTTATAGTCATCCATTTCCTCAAAGATAAACCTTATAGCACCACTCAAGTCAGCTAAGCACTAAGAAAAATTGTCAATCTAAGGGTCAGCAGCAACTGAGTTAACTTATTACTCTATTTTATTAATAATAGATAATTTTTTATTTAAAACCTTTGGAGCCTTAGTCTTAAGCACGTGAACAATATTTTAAAGGTTATTAGCAGCATTATTTAACTAGTTTTAAACAGTCTTTTTGAAACTGTTGCTTAAATTATTGACAAATGTGCTTGCTTTAAAGTTATTTTAAATTTATTATTTCTGTGATTCCAAAATATCAATTTCAGATTAATTTTTTTACAGTAAAATATGAAATTCTTTTAAGACTTTTTAATTATCTTCTAATTTTTCCTTCATTAAATTAATTTCATTTTAGAAAAACGTTATGTTATTGCTTAGTTCCTTAAGTTTTTCATTATCTAATCCAACACTTTCAGATTCGTTTGTTTTTACTGTCTTCTAAGGTTTTAAGTAGCTCTCTTACCTTTACTTTTTTAAATCCTCAATCTCAGAGCTTAAAAAATTAACCTAGAAATTATTAAATTAATTTAAAATTATTATTTTAATACAAATTTAAATAAAAATACTTCATTATTAATAGATGTAATTAAATGAATTATTTCATTATTCTTTTCTTACTAAGAAGTTAATTTTTGATAAAGAGAATTTATTTTCTTATCTAAAAGAACTCTCTCATCCTCAACCTCACTAGAAGTACTTTCTCCATCATTAATAGCATCTAATTTATTAATCAAAATTCTAGTCTTATCTATTTTTTCCCTTGTCAAATCAATTTCTCTCTAAAGTTCACTATTAGCAAATCTTAGCTTTTCATTCTTATTATATTTAAATAAAATTTTTAAAAATTTTTGAATATTGATTGATGAATTAACTAAAGCTTGCTTGTTGAATAATTCAACTCTTTATTTTATAAATTTAAATTTAAAAGCATTCTTAATTTTATTTCTAATGTTTATTTTATTCTTAAATATTAATTTAATTATAAATGATAAAATGCTTATTGAAAAATTTTAACAAAAAATAAAAAACAATGATTTGTACTTCATTGTAATGAAAGGCAAGTTTTGCTTCCTTTTATTTGATAAGGATTTCTAAGTCATCTGAGTCAGGCATGAATGAGTCTTTCATAAACTTAACATTGCTATTCATTCTAATTTGATTCTTCATCTGAAAGTAAGATTCAGCTGCTTAGTTCATTTCTTTTTCTCTTTCTATGATTCTTTCTTTTAACCTTTCACACTAGGCTTCTAAATTTCTTTCGTTAGAAATACAATAAGTTTAAATTTTAGGATCAATAATTTTACTCTATTTTAAATAGGTATTCTTCTCTTTTTTCGTGGAGATCTTTTGATTTTTATTCTAGCTTATTGAAATATTAATTGTCAAATTCTACTAAATTTTAAGTATTCTAAATATCCATTAACTTATTTAGATCAAAGTTTCTCGTATCTTTAAAAGATTAAAATAAGTCATCAATTTTGTAATTTTAAAGCTCTGCCTCTAATTTAGCAATTCTACATTATATAAAAAAATTGTTAGAATATGAATAGGAGATTTTTAAGCTACTTTTCACTAAAAGCAGAATTTTCCCTTAATTTAATCTAAAATCTTTCATTTAAGCCCTCAATTTACTAATTTAACTAATCTCTCTCTTCTTTTAAGTATTAATTTTCATATGATAATTAGTCTCTTTGCTGATTAGCTTACTCAATTTGCTTTTTTATCATGCTTACATCATCACGAGCACTACTTTAAGGATTATTTCCTTAATTCTTTCCCTATTTATTCTACAAGCCGCTAGAGAATAAAAACAAAGCATTCTTCCTTTAGTCTTCATCTATTTTTTTAGAATCTAAAACCTATAATAAAACATATTTGTTTTAAAAGCACTGAAAAAAAGTATTATTTTAAAAAATTAATATTTGAATTTTAATACAATTAAAGAAATTTGATGCTTATTTATTTTACCTTCAAGCTAGTCATGGCATAAATGCAAAATTCTTGATATGTTATAGATTTACAGAATGGATTTTCGCTTATGGAAAGACTTTCGAGACTACTCAACACACTTAAATTTTAAACCTATCCTAACTCTTTAACTTTATTTCTTGTCAACTTTAACACTCTTAACCTTTATAAATTTTTTAGGATATCTATTGGTAACTCAACTATACTATTTCCATTAAGATTTATATTTTCTATATTCTTAAGCATCTCCTAATTGCATATTAGTTAAAGACATTAATTATCATTATATTGAAATATATTGTTTGCAGATAAATAAATATAAAATTGTTTACTAGGCCTTCTAATCTTGATATATTATTTTCCGCTAAATTGAGTTCTCTCAGATTTTGCAAACGAGCCAAATTCTCAATTTTTTAAATGCTATTATAACTAAGGTTAAGCTCTTATAAATTAACTAGATCATCCAATCCTTCTAGTCTCTATTATATTATAATTTTATTTTGATAAATTCAATACCATTTGCTAATGTATTTATTTATTTATTTACTTATATTTTTGAATTATTATTCAATCTAATATGAAAATTAAGTGCTTTGATCTATGAGAAATCACTTTGATTTGTAACTTATTTAATGAGAGCCTCATTTATCCTAATGACTCCTGCCTTTTAATCGCTTTCAGAGTCTCTTTTTCTTTTTTCACTATTGTTTCTGCTCAAAGTTTTCATAAATTATTTAATGTCTTGATTGATTCTCTACTAACCTTGTGCAATATAATAACTTAAATGAAATTTAAAGATATGGTTTAATTAATAAGTATTTTTTGAACTTTATTTTTCAATCAATATCTCTTTCTTTTTGAATTTTAAAAGAATAAAAAAATAAAATTACTGCTCAATGTAAAATACATAAAAAAACAAGCACAATTTGCAATTCAAATCAAATCAATCAATCAAGTTTTTTATTGCTCACAATAAATTCAAATTTTATTGATAATTTCAAAATTTTTTATAGCCATTAATTTAAAAACTAAAGTGTATCTACATACTCTTATTAAATTGAAGAATTGACATTATAAATAGATTCATAAAAGAATAAACTTTTTAGATGTAAACAAAAAGAATTTATACATAAATAATTAAATTAGTTAATAAGCTTTAATCATTTTGAAATATTTTCAAGATCTTATTTAACCTTGTTGACATCATCACTTCTATCGCCTGATTTTTCTAAGATCTGCAAAGATTAGGCTAAATACTTTCTGGCTTCTTCTTTATTTCCTAAAGCAGAAGTAGCCAAACCCATAATACGAAGGCAATCACCACAGTTTGCATCATCTTTTCTCAACTTAGAGATGTAATCGTAAGATTCTTTAGCGAGTTCAAAAGACTTTTAAAATTATTATTCACGAAGCAGCAAAATGTGAGCAAGTTATGTTTAGAGGATGGCTTTGTAAATATTAAATTCAGCATTTTCTAGAATTTTTAACCCTTCTTAAATTTATTCTTTAGCCTAATCAAATTATTCAAGTTAAATAAGTAAAAATCCTTTATGACCCTTGATCATAGGAAGGAGAGATTAATTATTTTTTTAGAAATCTTTAGTGGCATTTTCTAATTTATCAAACATTTCAACAGCTTCTCTGAATCTCCCTAAATTATTGTAAGATTTAGCACATCCCAACATCAAACTGAGATATTCATGAGGTTGAATTCTATTTTAATGGGTATCAACAATTCTTAGAGCCCTTTAATAAATTTTTAAAGCATCATCTTCCCTTCTAAAAGATTAATATAAAATGGCTAAATTAGTGAGAGTTCCTACGAGTATAGGATCTTCAGGTCCAAATTATTATCCATAAATTCCTAAAGCAGTCTAAAGGTCTTCTAGTGATTCTTAAAAGTTTCCTACTTATAACTTTAAGCTACCTAAGGCGTCACAAGCCAAGCCTATTTTTTAAATAATATTTTATAGCATTAAAAAGCCAACTTTTTCATTTCTGGTTATAACTTATTTAAAGTTATTGTATGTTTTCATTAATTAATAAACTTTAACTTAATTTTTAAGGTGGTTTAAATAAAAGAAACAATTTGTTTTATAAATTTTTATTTTCAAAATATTTTCTTTATGTTAGAGAAACATAGGTATGCTATTTAATTATTTATTTGCTCTTTTGGTTAGGATTTTAAAAACCCTTTTTAGAAAAGCAATATCGTTTAAACTCTACAATAAAATATTAATTTACCTTTGTTTCTGCTGAATTCAAAGACAGTATTTTAATCTAATTTGTCATTTTCAAGTAGTTTGCTGTATATATTTTTGGCTTCATCATAAACTTAAATGGCTTTGTTTCCATCTTAATTTTTAACTAAACTTTCACCTAAATTAAGTAAGCCCATACCTACATCTTGATGAACTTCTCCTTTGACTTCCTTAAGAAGAGCAATAGATTCTTCAAAATACCCAACAGCTTATTAGTAGTTTTCAGTAAGATAATATATGCCAGCGATATCGGCGAGAGATAGAGCTTAAATTTCTTTTGATTCTAATTTAATTGATAATTTTAATGCTTATTCATATGCATTCAAAGCTTCTTAGCCTTTACCTAAATGTTAATTTATTTCACCAAGCATTCTTTTAATAGATATATTTAAATTTAACAACTTTTACCATCAGATTAAAAAATTACCTATAATCATTCAAAAGAGAACTATTAGGAGAGGAAACTTTAAGTTTAATCTTCTCTTCAAGGAATTGAATACTTTTTTCATAATTTTTATTGTGAATAGCTTCCTAGAATTGCTTTTCGACTTCTTAAATTTGCTTGAAAGCTTCATATCCAGATGAAGAACTGAATTAAAAACATGATTTATTAAATAATTCAAACTTTTTGAATTAATTGCAGTTAAATCCTAATTTAGATATGTAAGATGTTCTATTATTAATCAAAGGTGATTTTGCTAATAAAAATAATGCTCTCTTCATCCTAATTGCTACCAAATTTTATTTCTATTTCGAGAAAAATCTTTTGACTTTAATTTCAATTTTTATGGTTTTTTTAATTTTTTTTAAGTGATTAAAAAATATTAATTAATAAAAAGATATTTTTAACAAAATTATCTGATATCAATAAATTTCTATTAGAACTAAATAATTCTTAAAAATTAAATAAAAAAGTTAATCTTGTAAGTTGCTTATTACATAAATTCTTAATAAAATTTTAGCAATCAAAATTGTTATTAATAAAACATTATCAGTTTAAAATATCTTTTTAACAATATCCAATTATTAAAAATACATTTCTAAAAAGTGAATAAGAATATTTACAAAAATATTTGTTTACATTTTTATAATATTACTTTAATCAATTTAAATATATTTAATATAATAAATTTAATAAAAAGTTATTTTATGATTCCTTATTTATCCTAAATTATTCTAAGAATCTTTACTATTTTTAAATACAAATAATAAACATTTTTAAAATAAAAATAAATTTGAATCAACTAATTTCAATTATTTTAATTAAATTTATTTTCATTAAACTCAAAAGTTAATTTAAAAACCAATTCATCAATAATTTATTTCTAATAAGCTATATTTAATTAAACACATATTTTACATTTTTTGTTGATTATTAAAATTTTTTGAAAATATTTTATAATTTAATAGTTTTTTAATTTGTCTAAATTTTTATCTATGAACTTATTCCCAATAAAAATATTCTCTAAATTTTCAAAATCTTTTTAAAGGATTGATAAATTCACAAAACAATTTTTAAAGGAATAAAGAGAGTAAAAATAGCAAAAACAAATTTGTTTTCAATAACTTTTGTAAACTTTTTTCTAAATCTCATTTAATCAATTTAAGTATATATTATATCATTAAAAATAAAACAATATACAATATCTTATTTGATTAGAATTAACTCAAACAATATTTATATATTTTTAAATATAAATAATATATATTTTTAAAACGAAAATAAATTTTAATTAATTTTTTTAGATTATTTAAAAGCAATCTGTAATTTAATTCTAATGAGCTATATTTAATCAAATATTTAACATTTTTTGGAGATTATTTAATATTTTATTTTAATAGATTTAATTTAATAGTTTTTTAATTTAATTGTTTAAATTTTTATGCATTAATTTATTCCCAATAAATTCTCTATTCAAATTCATTCACTCAGATTTCTAAAACCCTTATGAAAGGATTGACAAATTCACCAAAACCTTTTTGAACGGAGACTTGCTTAATCTAAAAAAAAAATAAAATAAAAATTGTATTTTTAAATTAATTTTTCTTACTTAATTTATTGCATCAATTAATTTATCAGAAAAATTTTTATGTTCTTTTATTTTTTACTAGAGAAAATCATTTTACTTTTAATATTACTCCAGCTATTTTTTTTCATTCTTATTATCAAATACCTTTAATATAAAATATTTTATTGAGTATAAAATTAATTTATTTGATTAATATAATACAGTTCTTGCAGCTTTTTCATTTTCTAGTTTCAATTAAGAATTTTCAACTTTTAGTTTTCTTATTTCTTCTTTTAATTATTTATACGATTCTTCCCATTGCTATTTTTACTTTTATCTAATATTTTCTTTTTAACTCATTGTGTCATTTAGTTTTTTAACTTATTCTTCTAATGTAAAATCCTTTTCGATCAATTTTTGCTTTTAAATTGATGAAATAAAATGAGTTATTAAAAAAATACAATTAAAAAAAAAACACAAAATCAATAAATTAACAAAATAAAATGACTTACTTTAAGCATTTCTAAGTCATGTTTTAATTAAGATTTTTACTCTTTTTTCGCTTCATGAAGAGAGTTTTCTAAGGAATTAATTTCTTAACTCTGCTTTTATATATTAAGTTCATATTTTTTACACTCCTTTTTGAGATTGAGTATTTCTTCTTTAAGTTACTACCTCTCTTTATCTTGTTTAACCATATTTTCTTTTAGATTAGAATTTTCTTATTTCAAAAAACTTATTTGTTAAACCATTTTAGAATTTTTTTCATGAAAATCTTGATCATTTGGATATTTTAATGACTGTTCTTATATTCTTTTCAGCCCAGCTAAAATTTCGTTTTCTTATTCTATTCTTTCTAGTTACTTTTTTTATTCTTAAACTTGTTTCTCAAGGTCCTTTATTTATTTTTCATAATCTTATATATTCACCTCATATTATTTAGTTTATTTATTTAGTGTTGTTTTAGTTTATTCATCATAATATTAGATCTAATTAAATACATCAGACAACGTTTGTAATCTTCTTTTATCAATTTTTCTGAACTCTTAACTCAAATCATTAACATACCTATAAGTTTTATACTTAGTAAAAGAACATTTCAACAAAAAGTTACTTAATTTTATAGGAAGAAGTAGCATCTATAATTTCTATTGCTTTTGCTCTTAATTAATTCCAAAACATGTCATAAGTCTAAAGTATTTGTATTAAATTGCTTGATATTTTGTTATTTTATATATTCTATGTTGAGTTTCTGAATGTTTCTTTAAACCTGTAGCTTGACTGTTCTTCATAAAGCACCATATCATTTGTTTCCCTTGTTTAATTTGCTAATGAAGCAATAGTCTGTTACTATTATTCAAAGCCATTCTTTAAATCTAACTAAAACCCTCTCCTTTCATTCAAATATTTATTTAAGATGAAGCCTTAGTCAAAACTTTTATTCAAAGTCTTTTTGTTTTAATTTGAAATAGAAGGAGAAGTCTCGTCTAAAAGTAATCTGGAATGATTGGAAAAGGAATCATCTTGAAGATTGCTTTTGTTGATAAATGAATTGGCTAAATGAAATTTATTTAGCTTAGCAAATCCTTTCTGTTGACCTTTCTAATTTGTTTGGCCATTTGTAAAAGATTAATTGATTTGTGAAAGAAATGTATTCTCTTTATTAGACTCATCGCAAAAACTAAGATCGTTTTTGTTATCAATAGTTGTAGTATTCAATTGAGAGTAAGAAGTAATCAATTAATTATCACTTCTGTGATTAGAAGAGCGCGAATGACTCCTTCTTATCTATTAAAAAAGTTATTGTAGAACTTTATTTTATTTTATCAATTTGATTTCGTTACTTATTAAAATGATTGTCTAGTTTTTCTTTGCAAATAGGTAAAGATAGATTCATTCTACATTTTAAAAGCATGAAAAATTTAGCCAAAAATAATATTTTACAATTTTACTCTCTTCCGTCCAGGATCAGCAATTGTCTCATTTATGTTTTCTTCATCGCTAATCATTTGTATTTAATATTTACTTTTAGAATAGTGTAAAAATAGCTTATGTCTAATTCAAAACAGATTTTTGATTTAATTATTTGAAAAAGTTCAATCAATAATTTTGATTACTAAAAATTAACGATAAAAAATAATCAAAATTAATAAATTGATTGCATACTATTTTTAAAATTGAAAAAAAAACATTTATCTATAAAAGTGAAAGATAAATCATTAAAATCAATCTATTAAAAATCAATTCAAAATTATTTATTTCTCAACAAATTATTTTTTAAATAAAAGAAAAATATTCTCTTAACTCAAAATAAAATTGTTTTAGCTTTATTAATAAAGCAAATGATTTAAATGGTTTAATTTAAAGCAAATTTTGATTTATAAAAATAAATAAAATCATTAAAATGCAGAAATATTCATTCATTTATTTATATTTAAATAAAAAATAATTGAATATTTTTATAATAGGTTAGTAAAAAATTAAATAAGTAAACATATTTATTTTTATATTTGTAAAAAAGTAAGTATACTCTTTCTATATATTTTAATTAGGATTATTGAATTAATATAAGGTTTAGTGGGAAAAAAAGCATTCTTTCTATTTCAATTTAAATAAAATTTAATTGAACATATTGAGGATAAATTAGTAATATAAACAATTAATGAATTTATAAAAGTATTTGTAAAAAAGGAAGAATATTTTTTAAATATTTTAATTAGGATTGTTGAATAATAGAAGTTTTTATCAAATAAAAAAAGAAAATTTTTTTCTTAACTCGAAATAAAATGGTTTTATTTAGTTTAAAGGCAAAGCTCTTTTATGGTTTAACGAAAAATAAATTTTGATTTAAAATAAACAAATAAATAAAATAACTAAAATATACAAGCATTCATCATTCATTGTATTTCAGGAACTAATTGAACATATTGAGAATAAATTAGTAAGGTAAACATAATTAATGTACTTATTTTAATATTTATAAAAAAGGAAGAAAACATTTTCTAAATATTTAATTAGGATTATTGAAATGATTAAAGTTTTATTGGGAGGGATTGGTAATTACTTTATTACTAGAGACACTTATTTATTTATTTGTAATAAGGAGGAAGAGAAATTAATTAATATAAATGATAGGTTAGTTTGATTTATTGATTCATTGAATCAATTGCTGTTTTTTTAGAATTAGCTTTTGATTATTTGAATAGATGTTTTTTGTTATTATTAAATCCTTTTTTTCTCTAACACTCACTTAATGTTTGTTTATTGTTAATATATTTTGTTTATAAAATCTATAAAGTAATATAGGAAAGGGTTTTATTTATCAGATTTGCTTGCAATCAGATAAATAAATTAAATGTGATTTAAGTTTGCGAAAATAATCAAGGCAAGATACCATTTTGCATTAATTAAAATTTATCATATTAATTGGTGCTCCATTTATCGCAGCTTCCTTTAATTAATTCATCTACATAGTCAATAAACTAATTTATATTCAAGCAAGAAATATTAAATATATAGAAACTGAATTTATATTAATTACCTCTTTGTCTGTGAAATTTTCTTTAAATCTTCCTCTAAATTGTATCATGTCGAACTCATCAAAGCAGGGTAGATTTGATTAGTCGCACATTATTTAAACTAGATTACAAATTGTATTAACATGCTTTTTGATTTCTATAAATGCTCTAACTAGTAGAGATTTATAGTACCCAAATTAATCAGAGTTTCTACCTCCCATTAAAGCTACATATTCCTAAACATTTTAAATAAGTATTTTGTTGATAACAGAAAATTAATAAAAATATTTTATTTACATTTGTAAGCTTGAAGTGAGCAGTTTCGAATTTGATTCCACCTGGGGCAATAGACAAAGTAAAACCAAAATCTATATGAATGATATGACCTTGATTGTCAATCAAAATGTTACCATTGTGTCTGTCCTTGATTTATAATAAATAGCAAATTAAAGAATAACCAGCTAAACTTTCTATGAAATTCTTTTGTGCTTCTTCAAAATAGTCATTAAAAGTTCTACGATAGAACTCATATAAATTAGTAAACTTAGGGTATTTCTTTTTTAAAGCATCGATACTCAAAGTATTTGGTAAAAATTCTATTTTTTTACAAAAAATTATATTAAAATTGCCAAAATTATTTGAATGTTGATTTACCTATAAAGCCTGAGCTTTCTGAAGCTACAATAATTTCGTATGGCCTTAAATATAAAGGAACTCCTCCTTATTTAAAGATTTCATGGAATTTTTAGATAAGCTACATAATCAATAGCTCCTATCTTAAATCGTCACCTCCCTTGATAATAAAAGGTCTCAATTTATAACTTTTAAGGATTCTGAAGGGAGATTATTCTTTAATCACTTACTATTTATCTTCCCATAACTCTCCCCAAGGACCAAAAACACGAGGGAATTGTATTTCCTTTAGATCTTAATCAGGATTTTGAGTGTATACTGTTTGTTCAATGACATCGTAATGCAAATATTTGTAAATTTTATTGATAAATTAATATTTATTTTAGTAATTTTGTTTGAGAAATCTAAATAAATCAATAGCATCTTTTATTTTTAAATCCCTAATTGATTTTCTGCGTTATTTAATCTTAGCTCCTTCAATATGAACTGGGTTGTAACAAATTGTAGCAAGAGAATTTCTGCGATTAACATTTTACTTTTAAGGAAAATTTTTGTTAAAGACTTTAATATTTGCTTCAAATTTTTATAGACGGTCTGGATCCATAGAAGTCTGCTTAACGACCTAATGAACCTTTTTAGGAGAAGAATTTCTCAAAGTACCTTGCTAAACTTATAACACTAATGTATCTAATTTGTGGATAGTATAATGCTCCACTTCAATATTATCATTTTTCTATACATTTAACAGCTTTTATATAATGCTTTTTTTCTATTTTGATTACTCCTCTTTTTTCATGATTTCTGCCCATTTTGCCAATCCTCTAAATTTTTCTTTATCTACTTCATCTATTTTATCAGCTTTAACCTATTATAATTCCTCCATTTCGTCAGATTCTACAGAATTCTTTCTATTTAATTTCTCAAAATAATACATATGCTCTTTCATCTCATCCATGCTATTAAATATAATAAAAACGATGAATTAATTTTTGTTTTTATAAATTAAATTTGTTAAAATTTTGCTATTTAATTCTTCAGTTAATAATTAATTTTTAGAATAATATGATAAAAAATGAACACCATCTTAATGAACAATTGCTAAAAAATTTTTGAATTTAAAGTTTATTTTTGAGTAAAATTAATTTAATTACTCAACTGTTTCAAATACAATTTTATAAGGAGCTCTCTTTTTAGTGTTGAAGCACATAAACTCATCTTCGACTATATTAACTACCTATTTAATTATTTTTTATTATTTTTATCCTTTAAATTAAATATTTTAATATTGTTGCAATCAGAATTCTATTTAATTTTATAGCTAAAAGTTTTTTTACCAAGTTAGAGTGAAAGACTTCTCCTTATTGCTTAGAGAAAGGTATAAGTATTCCCTAAAAGTATATAATTCCCCTAATTTAGAAAATGTTTTAGTGAAATGTTTTGTCCTTAAATTTAAATGATACTTTTGATTTATCCTATTTTGATGCAAAAAATTGTTTAATTTTTCAATATATTCTCTAAGTCTCTATTTCCTTTCATTTTCTTAATACTGCTTTAGATAAATAGATATTTTGATAATGTTGCTAATAAATTTGTTGAGAGTGCTATTGTAATTTGAACGGTGTTCCTTATCTTTAAACTTTTCTAGGATTACTTTTATTTATTTTAGATAAAATTAAATAAGTTTTATTTTATAAATTTAATAGTTTGTTTGTTTTTAAAGCATAAAAATATTCTCTTTTAAATTTACATTATGTTTCTTCCTCGGTGATGTTTTCTTTTTAGGCCTACATAAGCAAATCATTGTTCACTGCACTATTGACCATGCCCATTTCAATTAACTTTTATTTTTATTAATATTAAATTAAGTGTAAGCGTTAAGTATCAAGTAATAAAAAAAATTCTTATTAACATATTTGTTTATCTAATTAATTAATTTTTATAACTCTCTCTCTCTTTACACTATAATATTATTATATTAACGCAATCATTTTAAAGTAAACTTTAAATAGATTTCTCTTAAATAAACTTTTTAACTAAGAAATAAGTAAAAACTAAAACTTCAAAGTAATAATAATTTTATTTACTCTTTCCAATTTTTCCATACGCTCTTGCCAACCTTTAAATGATTTCAACTTGCAACTATCACTGTAGGCTTGAAGGATCCAAAGCATCTTTATATTAAAATTGAAAGAATAAACCAAAATATTTTACAATAATATTAAAATATCTTGAAGTGATAATAAATCAGTGGCCATTTATTTATTTAAATTAATTTGAATAAACAAAATTTCACTTCAAATATATTTATTAATTAATTAGTGTTGAACTTATTTTGTTGCATTTTATTTATATACCTTTAGATAAAAGGAGAGGTTCTATTATGAGAGACTTGCTAAAAATTATTCTAAATAAACAGATGGTCTGGTAATAACTAAATATCTATTTTGATAATTTTTTATTTAAGTAAATCATTTTCTGTTTCAATCAAATACTAACTAAGAAATATTTGCAAAGATTTCGTTTCAATTTTTAAAATTGTTTTGGTAAATTAATTATCATTCATTTTTGCAATATATTTGCTCTATTTGTGAATAATAGAAATAAATTATTTACACTATGAAACTTATGTAGAAATCCATTTCGTAGTGAGGTACAGCATATAACTTGTTAACTAAATATTCATGCACGCCTGGTGTTTCAAATTTTTTATAAAGATACTCAATTAAATACTCAGTTGTAAACAATTCTGCATTAAACATCTATAATAAACTTTGTTCTTTAGGAGGAAAGTTTTAAGGTATTGGGATCTGCTATTAAACCCTTTCTAACGAAAAAATATAATCGTGTTGATTCAATTCTTTTTAATCTCCAAGATTGTTAGAACTTGAAATGGGGCTTTTACCGTTTCTTGAATGTGAATTCCTATCCATCAAAAATGCTTTATTTTTATATTTATTTTAAGCTTTTTTTATTTAGTTTACAATCACTATTTATTTTTTGTTTATTTTTTCGCAAATTTTAGTTAATATTTTAATAATTTTTTCTTCTTATTTTTCTTATTTTTTTGTTAAAAACTTAATTAATTATTTGGATTAACTCTCATTACACAAAAATTGCGAATCAAATCATAACATCAAGGCTACATTACGCATGTAGGATTGAATGATAACTATTTGTCAATTCAATCAACTCTCAAAAATATCCTTAAAATCTTAGCTCGGTTATGATTTTTATTGATTTATGTAATATGATCAAAATTTTCAAATTTAATGATGGCAAATAAAATCTTATGGCATCTCTTTTAAATTTATAAATAAATAGAGTCATATTAATTACACCTAATGCAATAAAAACACTTTTTTTCCCCTAATGTACTTCCTAATATAGAATTCATTTCTGCCAAAAATCTTAAGTTATTTATTTTCTTCTCCTCTACTCCTTCCTTACATTTATAGTTACTCAACTATCTTACAATTTTTATTTTTATCCTAAAATCTAAATTTATTTTATGAACCAAATTTATTCTGATATGTTTTTTAATAAATTTATTCTTGAAATTTGCTTTCCAATATAATAAGAAATCAAAATAATAATAATAATAATCATTTGTATTAAAAAATCAAAATCAAACTTTAATATAGTATCAAAAATTTAATAGTTAGTTCCTTTCACAAATTATTTATTTATTTGATAAGAAATTACTATTTAATAATGTTAAAACGTCATTAATTTTGTTTTTTTCAGCAAAATTAATTAATAATACAATGTTAAATAGTTTTCTTAGAACAAAAGCAAGCAATAAAAAGTAAGTAAAACTTTCATGAAATAATGATAGGATAATACGCTCAGCATAATATTTTTTATAACTCTGAAGATTGAATTAAGTGAATTTATTTACTATTTAATCAAAAATTTAAAATAAATTGTTGAAAAATATAGAATAGATTTAAAAAATAAATTTCGTTTTCTAAAATTATTTAAGATAAGTTTGATCATATAATTAATAAATTAAATATTATTAATTCTCTTACAATCATGAAAATTAATCAATTTAAAAAGCTTAATTTTAAAATTTAAATATGATAAAAAGAGGAATATGTTAAATAACTTTTTGTAGTAAAGTTTAACTAAAAATTTGTTATTTTATAAATTAATAATTCAAATAAATACCTTGTTTAATATCATCAAAAATAATAAAGTAAGACATATAGAAAAAATTTTCTTTAATAGCTTATAATATCTTACAAAAATAGATCAAAAATAAATATCAATTTATTGAAATAAAGAATTTTGAGTAGGTTTATATGTATTTTATAAATATTTATAATAGGTAGATTAGATGCTCATGAAAATTTAATGAGATTAAAACTAAATAATTATATGAATTCATAATAGATTTCATCAATTTCATTCTTTCACTGTCTATATATATATTTACTTATCTACTAAACTCTTCTAAACTCTTTGTAGAAAAATTTTTTATCTAACAATTTATTAAAGGTTATAGATATTTACTTGGTATTAAGTTCTTTGAATTATCAAAAATAATGATAATTTGCTATTTAAAATTGAATTGTTTGAACAAAATTGGATTAAAATTAAATTTATTTATTTATTTTGAAATATTTTTACAATAACAAAATATAAATCTAAATTTTTATTATATAAATAATAATGACTAATAAATAAATCATTTTTAAATAAAATATTAAGTATGCAAAAAATTTTAAAAAAATGTTTTTTAATAAAATAATTTACTTTAAAGTTCTATCAAAACAGTTTAGAAAAATTTAATTTATAAAATTTTTTCCAAATAATATTTGCTTTTAAATAAGTTTTAGAGGAAAATAATACAATTACAAATTATATTTTAAATTAGTTTATGAAATAAATTTAATTTTATTTGTTAATAATTGAGCCACGAATACCTGAAATTCTTGTTACTAATTAGAAATTTCAAATTTTCTAAATTAAAATATTTTCAAAAATTTAAATAGAAGTTTATGTGCTTAGCCAATAAAAATTTGAAAAAAAGTAATTTATAAACAAAATTTTGCTTTTTAATATGTAAAACTTAATAGTAAAAAGAATCTTAGAAAAAGTTACATAACTTTAACATAAACAATGAGTACATTAATTTTTTTAATAGTAAAAGTTAGAAACTTTGTTTGGTGAAGTATATGAATATAAGATTTTATGTGTGATCGGATGGATTGATAATTTATTAGCATTCAATTATAAATTTTAATTGATATATTCTATATAGCTTTTATAGAGTTGATTGAACATTTATTTGTTTATTATAAAAATAATCATCTAAAAATTTAACTCTTTCAATCTGCAGTGTTGTAGTCTTCGAGCTTTTTAAGAAGAGTTTATTCGTAGCCTGGAGAGTAGAATTAGATAATTTCTTGAGGATAGAGTTAGTTTATAGTATCGATGTATTAACGAAGCTTAGATCCAGGAGCGGCTTTAATTTCTTAAATCTTCTTTAATCCTTCTGATAAAACGAAGTTTTTCTTGGCTTAGTTGTCGTGAGGAAGGGTTTTAGCAAATTGATGTAAGACGTATTATAAAATATCATCAGGTGATTCAGAGATGAGGGGTTCAAGAGCGCTTAAGAAGCTGCACATTTGGAGAATGCTCTTTAAGGCCTTCTTGCACTTCTTCTTAAGATCTTCGCTGCTATCCTTGAATTTATAAACAGTTAAAAGAGTGCTTGGAATATCGGCTTCAGCCATAGCTCTAGCATGATCAGGACTGTGGCCACCAATTTATCCAAGAGTCCAAGCAGCTGAGGCTTAAACTAAATCTGACTTTTCGTTAATCAAAGCATCCTTAAGAGGAGCAATACCTTTTGTTTTAAAAATTAAATTTACAATATGAAAATAAGAATTTTAACAAAAATTCTTTTTTATAATTAAAATGCAATAATTTTTTTAGTTACCTTTAGCAGAAATAACACTCATGGCAAGTGATTCATCGAAAGCTGAAATGTAACCCAAAGTGATGATACCAGGAAGTCTAGCTTAATCTCTAGCTTCATTAATGTAGTCAACGATGGCAACTGCACCACCAGCATTGCAAATGAGCTTAGAGAGATCTTAAGATTACTTAGCAATTTCACGAATACAAGTAGCAGCAAACTTTCTTACAAGAGGGTCTTAATCCTTTAATCTGTATAAAATTTTAGGGAAGATTTCAGCTTCAACAACGTTTTCGGCTAAATCAATAGTGTGTCTTGCAATATAACCTAAGCAATTGCAAACTTGTCTCTTTAAAGGAGCATCGTGGTGAGGAATTAAAGCACTCAAGAAAGGAACAGCACCTATTTGATATAAATAAATTATTAAAATTATTAGCTAAAATCAATCGCATATTATGTTGAAGCAAATATTTTAAATTAAATATTAATGCATTCATTCATTTACATTCGAATTATTTCTTTTATGCTTTTTTTAAGTCTATTTTTTTAATTTTAATTTTTGATTGAATTTAAATTCTTTCTTTCATTAATTCAATTTTGCTTTTTGATTGTTTCAAATGCTTTTATTATTTTATTCCATTTGTTTATCTATTTATTTTGCGTTTAAAGGTGTTGACAAACCCATTTTGTTTTCTTGTAATAAAAAAGCAACTTACAATAAATAAACCCTTTAAATTTCATCTCAAATCTTTAAAATTTATTAATAAAAGGAAAAAAAAATGTTTGTTTCAAATAATTTATTCTATTTTATAAATGCTTGTTAGTTATTTGCTTTTAAAAAACTGATGTTAATCTCATTTTTGCCATGTTATTTCAAAAATATACCTGCATCAACAACGTGTTAGGCAAGTTCCTATGAATGTCTGCATATTTCACCAAGAGCACCGGCTGATACTCTCTTAAGAGCAGTTTCGGGTTCTTAGATACAAAGGACTAAGAGTGGAACAGCACCAACATCAACAACACTTTGGGCAAGCTCAGCAGAGTGCTTGGCAATATTTGAAAGAGCCCAGGCAGCAGCTTCCTTGACTGAAGGATCAAATTCTTCTAAACAAACTACTAATGCATCAAGAGCACCTGAATCAACTACATTTTATGCAAGTGAAACTGAATGTTTGGCAACTGCTCTCAAGACAAAAGCTGCAGCCTTTTTATAGAATCTGTTTTATTCTGAAAGAGATAAAACTAGCTAATTCAAAATATCTGCAGAAACTACTGCTTCAGCTAGATCTTCAGAATAATTTGCTAAACGACCTAATGCAAGTGCGGCACTTTATTAAATTGATGGTACATTATCTAATAACAGAGGTTTCAACAAAGCCATAACTCCTGCTGCTTGAAGAGCTTCAATATTTTGAGGCTTTCTAGCTAAGACTGCTACAGTCTAAACGAATTATACTCTTGACTTTTAATACTCTTCAAATGGTTGCAAAACGGCTCTACTCATCTTTTTTAACTCTTATTTTCTTTTTATAATTGTTATTCTTGTTGTTTTGATAATTATCTAAATATTTTTTACTAATCAAAATGCAGTTGCTTTCTTTTTTATATTTAACAAAAAGTCTTAAGATTTTTCTTCTCTCAAGCTATTTATAATCAAATCCCCTTTCTATGATGATTTACTTAGAGTATAATTTATTTTGATTATTAATTATTCTTCGTTATAATTTATATTTATTTATTGCTGTTTTATTTTTAACAATCAAACAATCAATGGATTAAATGAATGAACTATGTTTTTCTGTTTCTTTTTTTTATTTATTCAATCAATCAGTCAAGTATACATCATTAAATAATATTAAAATAATAAACTTGTTACATTAAATTTATTTTATTTCCAAATTAATTTCAAAGTTACTTTTAACAAAAATTATTAGAAGCCAATTCACATATTTTTGAATTCAAATTTTTGTCAAACAAAAGTATCAAATGCTTGACTTCTAATTATTCTAAATGAATACAAGAATTCCTTTTGAATTCCAAACATTCAAATTAAAACCAAACAAATTTAAAACCCCTCTCTTTTTAAAATGCTTTGTTAATTTTAATTATATCTTTAAAATTACTATTTTGTAATATCTAACATTATATTTAATTCTATTTATTATAAAAAATTAATCAATCAAATAAAAAAATAATAATTAATTAATTTCAATCACCATTAATTAGATTGTATTTGATGCTTAATTTTTTTAAAATATCAAACTCAATTAAATATATTTTAGCAATTAATCAAATTAAATTAAAAATACTTTTTGATTTTGCAAAATTTCATCTTTTTAATTTAATCATTACTGAAAATTCAATGAAAAAATATTCAAGGAAAAAAAAAAAATAGATTCGCTAAATAAAATTTTCTTTTTCAAATAAACATTTAAATATTTTTTGGAAAATTTAAAAGGAAATAATTTCAAAAATAAATAGCTAAATTTTTATTATTAAGTAAATTTTAAACTGTTACTATATATTTAAAAGTATCTTTAAAATAATTAATTATATGTAGAGTGTTTTAGTGTTAAATCTATTCAATCCAGTTTGATTTTGTTTTGTAGCATTAATAATTTCAAAAATTTTTGCAAAATTATAAAAGAAAGCAAAAAGAATCTTTATTTCAATTTTTAAAATAACAATTTGATTATCTTGAAGATATTCCACTAATTTTAATTTAATTTTTATTATTTAAAAAATACAATTTAGAGATAATAATAATTATTATTGTATAAATAGCTATTTGAAGATAATCAATAAGTTAGTAAGTAATATATAAAAATTTAGTTGGCTAGTTAATCATTTATTTAGCTACTTGAGCAAGCCAAGCAAATAAATTAGCAAAATTAATAGGCATAAAATGAATGGAAATATATTTAGTGAAAAGTACATAAAAGAAAAATTGAATCGCTTGGAGCAGGTATTTTCCATTTAAATTAGTTAAATAAAAATTTGAGTTGATATACTGATACTATCAAAATTAATATCTTTAATATGTAAACAGATTAATTCGTAAAAGAGACTCAAGGTGCAGTAAGCAACGATATCTAAAAAACCTTAAATGTCTCGAAGTGATTATGAAAAATATAAAAAAATCCTCTTTGAATAGAATAAAAAATAAAACTAAACTATTGAAGAGAAATTTAATGATGCTATTCCTACTTAAGATATTTCAAACTAAAAAGAGTAAGGAACTAAATCTTTACAAAATAAATAAGGAAGCGAAAACATTAAAATGAATAAATCTTTAGAAAGGAATAAATCACCAAAAGCTGGAGAAATTGTTTTCAAAACATCCAAGAGAAGTATAAAAATTATCATTTATAATAATATCATTTTCTTTAATAAGTTTAAAAATATTAATTTAGATTGTAGCAAGACTCCAAAAAATAATTTAAATCATTCTGAGATTTTGCAAAAATCCCCTTCACAAGTGCTCTCTCCTAAGCAATTGCAAGCAAACCCTTTCAATCAATAATAAAAGTTAAAATAATCAAAAAGTTTGATGAAGCTATCAAATACTGCAAAACCTGCTGAAATGAGCGAGTCTTAATTGAGTATATCTTTTTTGAATTTGTTTTTTAAATCATCAAATTAAAAATATTGATTGATTGAATTAACATTTCATATTTTAATTAATTATTTTAATATTTATTTTATCTAAAAAATAGCTTAGGAAATACCCAATTCTTCAAGGACTCAGAATGTGCTTTAGAATATGAAGAGTATTTTATCTATTGCAAGTCCAAATGCATATTTTTCTAACGCTACTAGCACTATGGAAGATCCTAATTTATTAGAATAAACCCAGTAACAAAATAATATTCATAGATTTAATTAGAGATAAAATTTTTAGAACAACTAATTTTAATACACTCCTCAACCAATAAGCCCAAGCAGTCATACCATGATACCGATGATGGCACAACAAAATGATAACGAAAATATATTTGTATAAGGAATTTATCCAACTTATTAAACTCAGCAAAGTATAGAATTTATAAATACAAATAATCCAGAATTTATTTAAATGGTGAATAATCAAAATATGGCAATGAAAAATAGCTAATTCAGTAATTAAAATGAGGATAACTATCTAAATATATACAATAAATAATAAAATAATGAGTATTCTTACTAACAAAATCCTGCTTTCTTCTAGCAAAAACCTATCTTTTAAAAAAACTTTTAACCTCAACAATAAATTCAGTAAAATTTGAATTATGACACCTTCGAATAAAATAATTATGCTCAGGCATCAATCAACTTCACATCTCCAAGAACAAATAATTTTCAAAAGTAAAATGAAGAAATCTAAGATAGAAATTATAACTAAAATGGACCCTCATTTAATATATCTAGTAAAAGACAGTATTCATAACCTAATTTTGATTAAAGCTCTCTTGAAAATTAATAATATTAATTAGCCAATTAACAGTAGTTCCCTATGTATGAAAGAAAACATTCGTTAACATCATATTATGAAAACAATAATAATAATAATATTAATCAATCAGGCATACAAATGCAGCAGCAATACTATAATCATTAAACTAGAAACTCTCAAGTAGATTTTGATAAATATTTTTTGGAGGAACAATAGTACCTTTAATAGCTAAGCCATTTAGGAATTTAGGATGATTTAAATGAATCTGAACATTTCATTCACTAATTAAAGCACAACTAAACACTTCTTAAATAGGAAAAAGAGTAACTAGAGAGAGAATTAGCAGAGCTAGAAGTACAAACAAAGCACATCAAAAACTCTCATGTAAGACAATAAAGTCACTCTTATAATGATTAGCCTTCAGAATAAACTAGAACGGTTTTCCTTGAAGCTTCATTCAAAAAATAAAATCCTATCTCAGAATAAAACCATTTTGCACATGATAATCTCCAACAGCAGGTACTTACTTACTTAATTAAATTCATTTTTTTATTTCTTCATCTACTCTTAATAATATTTTCTTCTCTTTGATACTTTTTTGTTCTTACAATAGATAAATAAATAAAAAAGTATTTAGTTAATTTTAGAGAATAATAAAAAGAGAATATTATTTTTTTTAATTTATTCATTTTTGATTCGATTAAAAATATTTAAAGTTGAGATTTGAAGAAAAATGGGAAATGATTGAAAGAGAGGAAGAAGAAACAGAGAAAAGCTTTATGATTATCTCAGAGTATTTAAATATGTAAAGCGATCAAACAAAAAGAAAAACTAAATCTAGATAAAATAGTTAATTTAAAGAGGAAAACACTAGCAAAAGTAATATCATAACACCTTCAGTAGTTTATGGTAAAAAGAGCGATGAATTTGAAAAGAAACCATCTAGAAAGAGTAGTGATTAAATTGAAAGATCTCAATAGAATATTCAAAAGAAAGGTGAAAGAGATGAAGAAGACATGGAATGGCTTGATGGGATTGAGGAATCGTTTTGTGAGTTAAAATGCATTAATAAAAACGAATTGATGCCTTATTACACAGAATTATAATCTAAAAAGAAATCTTATCTCGATAGATATTCCCCTAATAGCAAGTCTCGCTTGGTAGATGCGGCTGAAGAAGATGCTTACACAAAACTTAAAAATTAAATTATTGGTAAAACAAATATATCGAATTCTCTAAAAATTCTTGATTTTAAATTGGGAATCAAATAAAACAGTAAATAAAAGGATTTAATTTTATTCAATTTCTTTATTTTGCATTCAAATATTTACTGATTTTTATTGAATTCAACTAAAACAACAAATTATTTATTTATTTCATTATTTATAAAATATAGCTGACTCTTAGGTCAAAACTAATTAGAGGGCGTTATCTTCTGCTAAGTTATAGAATATTGTTAATGAGATTTCTAGCTAAGAAGTTCACAGCAAAAAGGAAATATTTTAAGAATCTGGTACTAAGGGAACAAAAAGCCCATAATTTGGTGCTAGTGGTAAAAACCCTTAGCTATTTAGCTACTTAAATGAATAAAATAATAAAGATAATACAGAATTAGCATTTAAAGATGCTAATTTCTTCAAATAAAAATTAACTTCACCTAGTTCTTAAAGTACTATTGTAAATACTTACGGCTAGTATTCTGACCGTTTCGAATAACCAAGTGCTCAATTAAAGTAAGATTTGAGAAGACAACCTGATAATTTTTCAAATAGTTAAATTGATTAGGAACAAGGCTTCGTTAAAAGTAGTAGTTGCAATAACTTAATTAAAAATTTTTATGATGACATAAACTAAATTTAAAAGAAAAACAGTGAGAAGTTCTTAAAACAAGACTAAGCTTTGTATTAAACTGATAGAAATATTTAAAAATCAAATGAAATCTTGGAGAAAATCAATTAAAAGTATCCAAATTCTCATTTAAATTTCTCTAAGTCTGGTAACTCTAAGAGAATGTCACAAGAGTATTAAATGGAATAATAATAACCTTAAGAAAATATGATTGATGATGAAGAATATAGATAGTAATAATATATCATGAGAAAACTCAAAGAAATGGAAGCTGAAAATAACAGTTAGACCTCATCTATTAGAGATAAGGAGTTGCAATACTCTTAGACTGTAAGTAGTTATTTGGCATAGGGTGATAGTTAATTTAAAAGATCATAATCTCCTTTGTATAGTAATTTAAATGAAGAAAAAGAGCATAAACTTCTACAAAATAGATAGTAAGAAAGTTAAAGCTTGCATAAATTGCTTTAAAACAGAAGAAATGAGCAATAATAAAATAAAGGAGATCAAATTAATGAAGAATTGTAGGTAGCTGATTTACACAATTACAGTAGCTTTAGGAATGAATTACAACAGAGTGAGTAATAGCATAACGAATATTATGAAGACCAATATTTCAAATTCTCTAATAATAAAAATAGTAGCTTTGAAAAAGAGTTATAATAGATTCAGATAGATCAAAATGATATCAATTAACTGTAATAGAAGTCTCAATCCATTCAAAACTAGAAGAAAAATTTATTTTAATCACTCATGAAAAATGTTTAATAAGAACTGGGAAATAAAAATAGCTTAGCAAGAGACTCTTTGTTATAATAAAATAAAGCTGAACCTACTTCTAAATTTTAACAAAAACTTGATAGTAGGATGGAGTCATTCTATTAGTAATACGAAGAAGGATAAAAGTAAGATGATAAATCTTTAAAATCTGGCTAAGAAAAGAGTAATATTTAGAACTAACTTAACAAAGTTTTTAAGGGTAATGTTCAAAGTGATGATGATAGTAACAGCAGTGGAGACGAGCTAGAAGAAACTATACTTTAGAAATTATAAAAATTAAAAAAGAAAAGAGATAGTGAGTAAAAAGAGAAATCTCCTTTATTGTAGAATTCTCATATAATTAGTGAGCAAAAAAATAGACCTCTGACTGCTAGTAAAAGAGGTTCATAAGACAGTAGTAGTAGCTATGAATAAGTCAATAAAGAAAATACTTAAAATAATTTACAAATGATTAAGAACAATTAATTAAATGAATCAGCTGGTGCTAAAATGAAGTTGGATGAGCTGTTTAACAAAAATAAATTGAAAGATTCTTCAAGTCAACTAGAAAATAATTAACAAAACTCTTCAAGTAAATAAAACTCTACAAGAGAAAAAATATCAAGTATCCAGCAGAAATTAAACAACCTATTTGAAAAGAAGAATGTCTAGTCTCCATAACAGCAACAATTAGAAAATGTAGAGATAAATAGCAGTAATAAATATGAAACCGATAACTATAACTAAGCATAAAAACAAAGTAAATAGATTCAATAAAATAATTAAGAAGGTGAGCCTAGGATCGATAGAAAAGTGATAGACAGTTTGGCAGAAGAAGTAGAAATGCTAATGAAAATGCAAAATTTAGAAAACTAATTCAAAGAAAAAGACAACTAAAACAAACAATTAAAACAAGAATATTTCTAACACGAAAGACATATATATGGAGAGGATATAGACGCACTCCAACACGAAGAAAGTGACTAATTTGGCGGCGAATATAATAACCAAACAGATTCATAAAAAAATTTCTTCAAAACTAAGCAATAGTTGCCTCTATATGAAATAGAGGAAGAGCACTCAGTAGATAATTCGATAGTAGACTAAAATTTCCAAATGAGAAACTAATATTAATGAAGAGCAACAAAAACAAACAAAGAAACAAATTAATGAATAAGTGAAAAAAAATTTTGTATCTATTACTAAATAAAAAAATTGATTAAAAAATATAATATATTTATCAATATCAATCAATCTATTAATTAATTAATTGATTGTATTCTATACTTAAATTAATGTAATTTTGTTTATATAACTAAATTAGATAAATAAAATAATGAAAATACAATATTGTTTTGTAAAAGCTGTTATTAATACTTATAATCTAATATACATTAAAAGAATAATTCTTAGTTATATAAGCACAATTAATTCTTATAATTTTTACATTATTTTCAAATTTAATAAAATTTTTAAGGGCTACAAATTAATTTGCCATAGAGCTAACTCTCACTTAGATTTAGAATTAAATTTGTGTTCGCAAGAATAACAATACCAATTTTTTCTAATTTTGTCTACTTTACATCCTGCCAAAAATACTTCTTTTCTGTTTGCTTAATCAATTAAAACTTTTGCAGGTTTTCCATAAACTACATCAACTACTTATGCATCAGATTTGCATTTATGGCAGTTAGGCTTTGAATCTTATTTTTTAATAGCCTTTTGCTTCTATGGCAATTTATCATGTTATTTTGCTTTAGTTGTTTTGTCTTTCATTTAATTAAAATTATCAAATAAATTGTCTTTTACTTTTTAATTTGCAGCTACCTTCAATTTTTTAAAAAATATTAAGTATAAAAACTTTCTTATATCAAAGAATTTTTCTTCCTTACTACTAAATCATTTATTAACCCTAAATTATTTAAAGTAACCAACATGTTTTTTTCCAATAATTTTTCATTTAATTTTGTAAAATAGTGGTTTATGTAAGCTAATAAATAAACATATTTCATAAATTCCTATTTATTTCAATTGTATTTTTGAAGTAAGTTATTAAATAATCAATTATTATTCCACACATCTTAATTCAATTTATTTTAAGGAAAGCTAAAGGTTTTTATCTTGAATAAATATATTTTGGCTGTATTTGGTTATACTAATGATATTTTAAATAATCTAACTATTATCTAAATAACAAAAGAATAATTAATGGCTTATAATATTTATAAAATACTCTTTTTCTATTTATAAAATTAGTTTCCTTTAAATTAAATTAAATTAAATTCAAAGATAGAAAATAAAAAGTTGTAAACAAAAATTGTTAATGTATTTAGATATTATGTTTTTATAATAATAAATTTCAAATTGCTTTGTGGTATCTAACTAAAAATAACAATGAACTAATAGGATTGATTGATCAATTAAAAAAAATTTGAATGAATACTCCAAGAAATTTTTATTTAATTAATTCAAGTATAAAAAATAGAAAGATTTAGGATGAATTTGGTTTTTACTGATTAATTTTTTAATATATGTTTTTATCAAGTAAACGCATTTTTTTTTTAAGTGAATGATCTGAATATTATGAAGAAGAACTTTTTAAAAATAAAATTCTTAAAATTTAGTTGTTTTAAAGATAAAAATAGGAGAGATTTAGGTAATTGTTGAGGAGAGTAGAGTTTTTTAATTTTAATATTAGAAAAAACTAATAAAAAAAAAATCTCAAATTAAAAAAATGATTTCTATAAAAATTCAAAATAAAATCAATAATTTTTTAATACAAAATATATATATTTATTTTTATAGGGTGCGTGAATATCTATGAGTTCTTTTAAATTATAAATATTATCAAGTTACGAAAAGACTAGCTCAAAGAAGAAATATAAACCCTAATTTTTTGAATAAAAATAGGGAATTTACATATACAATCTAAGAAACTCAAAGTAAAAAAAAACAAACAATTTTTTCTTTTGTTTTTCTTCTAAAAATAAATGATGATAAAGAGTTCAATAGATTAATATCTCTAACCTTGGATTAAAATTTACCCTTTGTAAAAATATCAAATAACTTACTATTAATTAAAAAGTGACAAATAATTAATAATCATCCAAAAAAAATAAATAAGCTAAAAAAAATTAAAAAAATTTAAAGTAATAGAAATGTCTTTTTTATTGTGCTTTACGCAAAAGAAAAATCAAACTTTAAAAGAAAACGAGTTGGAAATTCCCTTTAGCTTGAAGCTATATCGCTTCAACTTCAAGTAGATAAAAAAAATTGCTCAAAAACTGTAGCCTGAATTAAAAAAAAAAATTAAATCTGTTTAAAGTCAGATAGAAAAAGTGTTGTAATAAAGTGAAAGGACTGTTTTTTGGATGAAATTAATTCAGAAGTTTAATATTTTGCTTGTTGTTGCTATGATTTTTGGTATTTATTACATGACTCTCTAAGGAGAGGACACAAGTTAAAATACTTTCTAAGTGGGAGTTTATATTTTAGCTGCTACTGGTTTGCTGATAATTCTACTTCAAGTATTATGCATATTTTTATGGCACTACTCTTTCAGCTAAATATCCCATGAAGTTTCTCTGATTTTGCTGAATGAAACTTAAAGATGTGGAAATTAAGTTTTTTGGAGGCTATCTAGTGATTATACTTCAATTATATTTAGCTATTCAACAGCAGCATTACTTACAAACTCATAAATTTATCAGAATAATGAAGCATCAAGTAAAAGCATCTTTTAACAGTCTCATGATAACTTTACTAAAAAGTAACCTAATGCGAGTCGTTTTATGAAAGAGAAAAAGTAAGCTGAGCAAAAAGTTAATATTTATTCTCATCAAGACGAAGAAAAGATCATGGTGAAAAATATTGGAGTTATAACTGAAGGTAATGAATAAGAAATAATCAGTGCAGCAAGAATTAATGATGATATTCATATAGAAAATGATAAATATAGTGATGGCTAATAAAATACAAACTAATATACAATAAACTTACTTGCTAAAAAGGAAAACTCAAATTCAGCTAAGGAAATAAATTTATAAGATGATTAAGTGGTAATAGAAATGGGTGCTATAAATCATACTAAACAACCCTCTAGCATCTCTCATAAATCAAAATCTTCTATAAATTAAGATGGAAAAGCTAAAAAGTAAAGTAAAATACCTTCTAAAACAAAAATAGAAGAAGTTATTAAGTTCAATAGCGACAACGAAGATGAAGATGAAGAAAACTTTTAACAAGATTTGTGTTCTGAAAAATAAAGCAATGAATAATAGGTACTTAATTTGGTCAATATAAGTGGATTGACTAAAACGTAGTAACTTAGTAATTAAAAATTAGTACTACCTTTAATTCTTGAATAATAGAACAGTAACTCGAATAGAAACTTAATATTATTTAACTAAACCTCAAATAACCAAACTGAGTATGAGCTTAATTCTGCAAATAACCTTAAGGTTCTTAATTCTGACAATACACAATCGCCTTAGAGTATTAAGCCAAACAATTCAGATGAGTCTGCAAAAGAAGCTAAATATAAATAATCAAACTTTAGGAATTACTTAAACAATGGAGATGATGGAGTGGATAATATGGAGCTAGATGATATTGATAATGATGGCGGAGAATAAAACTAAGATTATTCTAGTATGCAAAATAATAGACTCAAGGCATTAAAATTAGAATTAAATTACCAAGACTCTCCCTTATAAAGTAAGAATAATTTTTTAACTCCTGAGCAAAATAATATCATTAATAAAGACTTTAACTTTTCTCCTCTGAAGGATCCTGAATTGTTAAGTATCGAATCGAAAAGAGAAAATTCTAATAAATTGATTACAAATCAGAGCTAAATTTAATTAGAGCAAGACAATCAATAGTAAAATCTCATATAAAAATGAGTAAAAAAGTATAAATTTGATTTTTCCATAAAATATATCTAAATAAAAACTAATAAATTCCCTCATTAAACCTTAATCTTCTTATTTTAAAATTTATGTTTGTAAATGAACTCAAAGATTTGTTAAAATTTCAAAAAAATCATATAATTTTTAAATGATTAAAATTCAAAAAATCAGACAAAATCAATATTTTAATAATTTTTTTTCATTACTTAAAATTTTTAAAATCTATCTGAAAATAAAAATTAAATGCAAATTGGTGTTTTAAACCTATCTAATTTAGCGTATCCATTACAAAAATATATGATAAAAATATCTTTTCTAAGATTTTATTTAATAATTAAGATTAAATTGTATGTGAGAAATGATTTAACTTATTTTTTATTTTAAGAGAAGATTTATTTTTCAATCATAATGAATTAAATTATTTGTGTAAATCGTTTTAGGAAAATGATTATTTGTAATTATGAAAAATAATACTTAAATTAATAAAGATATTGAAATAAATTGATTTCAGGTTTGTAAATAAACACCACTTTTAAGTATTTTTATATTTTCATTAAATCAATTAAATAATATTTTTTAGTAGATAAACAGAAAATCTTTATTCTAAGGATAAATAGATAGATAGGCAAATAAAAGATAGATAGAAAGATAATACTTGAGAAAAGATGATCCGTATGAAAAGATTTATCGCTAGTGCCTATGGAATTTCTAGCATAGAGAAGCTCACTGATGTTGTATTTAGTTTTGATGAATTTCAGGATTTAGATGATGAAGAGTTCAACTTTTAGGATAAAGATATTACAGAATTTATTGATAAGTTTTTAGAAGCTATCTCTACAAATAAGAATTTGAATTCATTGATAATTGATGATAAAAAGCTTTTGTTTGACGCTTGCATAGTTTTTAAAAACAGAAATTTTAAACACATAAAGGAGTTCACTTTAATCACAAATGATGACATATTTCTAAAACAATCATCTCACTAAGATATTCCTAAATTTATTGAATCATTAGAATAAATTGTTAGCTTAAAACTTAGCTTCAATAAAACTGATTTTCCATAGCAACTACTAATAGAAATTGCTTAGTCTATAGGAAAGTTAAATCATATCAAAAAGTTAAGCTTGTCTTTCAAGCACTCTAAGAAGTTTAATGATGAAGTTTTAAAAGAATTTTGCAAAAATTTAGAAAAATTGAATTAATTATAAGAACTACACTTAGATTTAGATAATTCCAATATAAGCAATGAAGGTTTTATTGAATTAGGTAGTACAATATCTAAGATAAAAACTTTAAGAAAAATATTTATAAATGTTCAAAGAAACCCAAATATTAATGAATAAGGTTCATCACAATATTTTAATCATTTACTTTCGCATCCTAATTGCATTAATTTTTAAACCTAAATGCTATTTTAATTCGAAGATAAAGAACTAAATCCTAACTTTAAACCTCTTGTAGAATTTTAAGATAAAGTAAAATCCTTAACCTAGAAACTAAAAGCTCGCTATTCCACAAATGCTACTCCAAATTATTTAAATAAAACATTTTAGTAAAATTAATTATTTTTAGGATCATCATATTAATTTTAAAAATTGACTCCATTAAAAAGCATCTAACAATAAACTATTTTCAAAATAATTCCTAAAATTATTAATCTTATTAAAAAATGAAACAATAATTCTCAACATAAAATAATATTTTTTGTTAGATTAAAATTCTTTAATTTAAACATGTAATTCTATTTATTACTTTCTCTATTTGTCCTCCTAAAAAAAATGAAAAAATATCCTTAAAATATCAATAAATTTTAGACTATCAATCTATTTTTAAAATACTTTCCATTATAATATCTTACTCACTTTACTAGATGTATTAAAGTTTATTAAGGCAAACAAATATTAAAATATTCCTGTTTTATTTATCTATTACACAAATAAACAGAAATAATTAATCATAAATTAAAATTCATTAAAATATTTTTGAATTATTTTTATATAAATCTTTATTCAATGATTTTTCATAAAATATTATCATAAATAGAGATATTTTAATTTACTTAATTTTTGACAAAACAAAGTATGAACTTTTATTTAAGCTAAATTATTTTAAATGCTTCAATTAATTCGCCAGTTTATATTTATTTCAACAAAATGTATTTTTAAATATTTTGTTTGAATAAAAAAAATTAGAATCAAATTTTTTTATTTCTATCAATTTTAAAATAAAAATATATTTCATTTCTGCATATTTCTGCATGGTTTATTTACATTTTTACTATTGATTGTTAAATTTAATGATCCTTTATAATATTTATTTTCTTTAATATACAGAATAAAGATATATTTTAGCTCGGTTATTTGTTTCTAAAATAAAATAAATATATTTTAAGTTTTATTTAAGCTAGACTATTTTAAATGCTTAAATGATTTCACTTAAATTTTATTCATTTTCATACATTTTTTATAGATTTACTAAAAAAAATATTTATATTCTTCCAAAAATTTAATCTTCAAAAGCAATAATTTAATTTAATAAAAATCTAACTTTATATCTCATTTAACTAACTCTAATATAGCTTGTAATTAATTACCTATTTTTTATCTTGAAAATATTCACTAAAGAATTATTTTAAAAAATTAAAGTAAATTTTTAATTTAATTTTGGCTTGAGTAAAAAATATAAATCTTAATATTTAACAAAATATATTTTGTTATGTGAAAAGTTTGATTGCTTTTAAAGAAAATATTAAATTTAATAATTTAATTTGATGTAAAAAGTTTTGAAATGCATTATTAACAATAAGGTTTTCTAAAAAGTAGAAGTATCAAAAACTCTATATTTTTCTATTATGCATCGTTTGTATAGTTTTGTATCCCATAAGTTATAATTTGGATTATTTTTGTAACTGGTTCCACTATGATTAGTAAGTTTACTCATATTTATTGTACCTATCTTTTGAATTTGTTTAATAAAGAAAATTGAATTTTTTTCATTTTGATGCTTTTTAATGCCTACTAAAATTAATAATTATTTATTTGTAGTGAGGAAGGTTCCAAATATAACTCAGCCAGCAAATGCAGATTTTGTTATTTCTAAGTTTTTACATATTTTTTTAAAAAGATAGTTCTGAAAAAATTCTAGAAGTCAATTAATCAAATTATATGACAGAAATTACTTAAGATTTTAAATGCATATCTCATTAAAAATAAATATTTGAATGAAGATTGATTGTATAATAAAATTTTACAATTACAATAAGCAATTAAAAGCATAAGAAAAGTTGCAGCTAATCAATCAATCATTAATTAATAAATAGTGAAAATAAAGAAAAATATAAGATAATATAAATAATTAACAAGAAAAAGATATTTATTTATTGAATCCCTACAAATACTATTAGCATCATCTACCTACTATATATCATTCTAAATAACAAACAAATTACTCACATAAAACAAAATAAAAACAAAAAACGTAAATAGAAATGGCTTCTAGCAACTTCAACCAAAATTTTACTCCCTTCTGTTTCAAGTGGGACTAGGCCTTCGTTAGCAATTACAACAAGTTCGAATAGGAGATTAATAGCATCGAAAAAAAACTTGAACATAAGAAGTTGAGCTCACGTTATCCCTTCTTCTTTTAGAGATCAATTATAAATTTGGAATTGAATAAGCAAATGCTTCAAATAGGATAAATTTTTGATGAAGAATACGAAAGATACGAAAAATTCAACTAAAATATAAGAACTGACTTTAAATCTGTATTTTAATCCAAGTTTTAACCTCCTTTCCTCGGTATTGCAGTCAGTGCAGGCCTCTTTGGTATTTTTGCTTTTGTCCCTTATTTCAAGAAAATAAGCTCCATCAAGTACTCTGTATTGGCTTTCCCACCTGTTATTGAATATCTTTACGATCATGCTAATACAGGAGCTCAATTCAGAACTAAGGAATTCTTGAATTGGGTTCTCGCTTTCAGAGAGGGCTAATCTAGACTTGAGTATGAAGGCAAACTCTTATTCGAACAAAATCCTCGTCTCTTAAAAAGATTCAGACACTTCACACTAAACAGAACTTCTCCTTATGATATTTATGAAAAGATGGTTCTCTTGATAAGAGAAGAATACCCTGAAAACGATACTGGTAACATTACCTCATTTGTATGATATCTCTTAGCCTTCTAAGGCAAATTTTTATGCTCTATTTGTGCAATACAAACTTTTAAAATTCACTCATAGATAGATAAATTCACTAAAAATTAAAATGCTTTAAATTAAAAATAGTATGTGATCGATTGATTGATTCCAACAATATTAATATCAAAATTAAATATATAATAAACTAGCTGTTCATCGATAATATTGCATGTATATTCAACTAATGTATAAATAAATTAATACCTTTTTACACTTTTTAATAAAATATATTTCACAATCAGTTATTTTCATTCATCAAAAAATATTTTATTATCATTTTTTTTTAATTAAATTTTATTAAAAATTGTAAAACTAAGAATGTAAGTAACAGCCTTAAAAAATATTTGAGCTTTTTTTCTATTTTTATTTTAAGTAAAGCTTAAAATTAAACCAGTATTTTTTAAAAAAACTATGTTTAACACGACAATATTTACTAATAGAAAAAACAAAATTAAATTGTATAAAAACTATTATTTTTTTTTATTTTTATAATTTAAGAAAGTAAGTATCTAATTTATTTTAATTCAATTTTTTTTTAAAAGTGATAAATTTATTTTTAAAAATAATTTTGGTTATTAAGAAATTATAGCAAGTTTATATATTTGAACTGTAATTTTTTACATTAAAATTACCATTTTAATGTTGATATTTCTCCTCTCTATTAATAAAAAACAATTTGGGTAAAAATATATTACATTAAAACTTTTCAATAAAAACTGTTTTTAAAACTCATAGAGCAATTTTGGATGAATTCATTAAATTTTGAGTGCTACTAAGATATATTAAAAAAATTAGCATAATGTATGGACACTTTACATAATAAATAAGCAAAAATATAAATTATTTTATAAATATATACATGACTCTATTAATTCAGTCTTTCATAATTTCTTATTGTTTTTTTTTTTTCGTTATTGAAGATTAAGTCCAAGGCCTTGTAAGTTCTTGCATAATAGTATATTTTTTGAAAAAATCAGCTTAAAATTATTTTAAATGTTACTTATAATTCTCTTATTTTAAATCTAAAATATTAAATTTTCTTTTAAAATACATTACTAAGACTAAGAGCATTCTATGAAGGTTCTTATTCTCAATGAATGAAATTAAAATAAATGAAGTTATTATTAATAGTATCTTTTAATTATTACATATCTTCATTTGTTTATTTGGATGATATCTTGTTAGACTTGTAATTGAATACCAAAACATTTAAATTCCCTCATAGTTCATAATCATTTTTAATAAAATTCATTTTCTCAGAAATATTTTAAAAATTCTAAGATTCATATATTCACCAGCTACTTTTTACTTTGTATAAATTTAATTACTAATCATTTATTTTATATTTGAGCTCTAATTTATTTTTAATAAAGTGAGGCAACAACCATTAAAATTTCACTAATATCAGTTTACGTATTGTTATGTGATCAGAGAATACTAAATCATACTAAATATTCTAAATTCAATATTCTAAATTATTAAAATTATCTAGATTCTGAATACTAACAAAATTCAAGTTTTAATTTCTCAATATTCTAAGAAAATAAACTTCAGGTACAATTTCAATAATAAATAAATTTATATAAAAAAAGTAAAAACAAACTATCTAAATTTCGTTAATATCCGTTTATGTATTTTCTTTGATCAGATAATACTAAATCATCCTAAATATTCTAAATTCTAAATATTCTAAATACTATATATTCTAAATTATTATTATCTTGATTCTGGATACTAACTAAATTCAAACTTCAATTTCTCAAAACTCTAATAAAATAATCTTCAGGTAAATTCAATAATAAATAATTAAATATAAAATAGCAAAATAAATATTTACAAGGAGAAAAAAAATATTTAATGTCAGAAATAGCTGCAGTTGCCAAGGCTGGGTTAGGTATTGGCAGAGTTATCACCATATTAATTCCCTCTCTTGCAGGAGTCACTTACTATTGTTTAAGATTTAGTTAAACATCTAATGACTCCTAATTGTTCTCAAATATTGAGGATCCAGAGTAACTCAATTTTTTTAATTCTGAAGAGACAGATAATATTCCTTTAGAGCTTTACTTAGACGGAAAGAGAGTATTAAATAATCCTATTCGAGAGCTTAATAGACTTCTATAAGGTCAGTAAGTCACAAAAATAAAAAGGATGGCTTAGAGTTTATGGAGATATTTTCCTTCAGGTATTGCCTCTATTTTTACTTAAGCTTTGTTTAATTAATGTGTTAGACATGAATACATTTTAGTTCACACATAAGACTTCATAATCTCTGCAGAGATTTCAAAGACAAAAGACTGCAAAAATAATGGATGCTTTCATTAAAATTTAAATCTTGACTAAGCTGCATATAAGGATAGTTGCGATGTTTGCAATCAATAAAACTAAATTAAGAGCGATGGAGCTTGCTTTTAAGTGATGATTTGGAAAGTAAGGAATAAAGATCAAATTGCACACATTAAATAAGAATATAAAAAACGTTCGTTTTCAAGAATTTTAAAAAAATTCTCTTTGAAACATTAAAACATTGATGATAATTTCTAAATTAATAAATTACTTTTATTATGGACAATTATAATCAAAGTGTATCAAATTAGCAGCCAAGATACCTCGATGACTGGAAAATTCTACAATATTTTTACAAAGAATTGTAAAACTTTTGCTAGAGCAAACTTATACTTCTTACAAAAAAAATTAGATGTACAAAAGGTTTTTGAATCCATTTTTGGGTTATTTTGTGATAAACCTGGATATATATTTTTTGATTATATTTCTGCAGGAGTTTAAGCATCAGTCGAACTTGGATTATAAAATTGGAATGAAAATTTTTAAACAAATAAGAAAAAATTAGAAGATATACTTAAATAAATAAGAAATATGACAATCAATTATTGAAAGATATCTTCATTTATCTCTTAATTTTTTTTATTAAGTTAGAATTTAAAGAGATATTCTATTAGTTGTAACTTTAATATTTTATAAAACTATACATATTGTTTGCATAAACAAATTAAATATAAATTTCTAAATACTACTTATATAAGGGTAAATTTTTTACCAAAAAATCATCTATCAAATGTCTGAAATACATTAATTCAATTTTATTATTAAAATAATATTTAAATGAGCTAAATGTGTAACTAACTATTCAATCAAATTAATAAATTAATTAGTTCTATGATGTTTCAATTTTATTCCTCACATGAATAGCTTTTTTGATTAGGTAAATCAAAATATCAATATAATTTATTTTTAATAAATAGTATTTTTTAAATTAGTAATTTAAATATCTATAAATTGATCAATTCAAGATTAAATTATTTATTTATTTTAATACACCTAATTTATGCAATAGAATATTATATAAAATAATTAATCTTAATAAATAAAGTAAATCTCTCTTTATATTTAATAAAAAAAACAAAATAGCTAATGAATCTTTGATTTAATTTAATATTTGACTATATTATTTATATAGTAAGTATTAAATTTTATACCTTTACCTAATTTATTCATAAAAATTATAGTAGTTGAGCTAGAATCAAGGAGGATTTTTTTATTTTATTCTTTAAAAAAATTCCTTACCTTAGAACTTTTACAGTATTAATATTTTAAAAATAGAATATCAAATCTCGATTTGTCCAAAATTTGATTATCTAAACAAAATAAGTGATTAAAAAACCTAAATAAATATAGATCGATATTGATATTTTAAAAATCTTATATTAAATTTCTATGGTATATTGACTCAACTCTGTTAAAAATTCATTGATAACTTAATTCAAAAATAAAAAAAAACTGTTTGTTAAATTTATATGATATAGTAAAAACATAATTATTCCATAAATCATTAAAAAAATAATTATGAATTTCAAATAAAAACAATTATTTTAATAAAAAATAAACTTTTATAAAATTAATATTAAATCTAAAATAAAATTTTTATTTATTTATTTAATATAATTTTTTAAATTAGGTTTTAATTAACAAAAGCAAAAGCAAAAGATAAATTTCTGATGGATAACTAAAAATGGTTTAATAAAAAATATTCCCTAAAAGAAATTTTAGTTTGATTAGATCAGAAGATTTAACTATGTATTGGAAGAAATTGTTTGAGAGTGATCAAAAAGATCAAATATGATTACGAAACAAGCGAAGTATCTATATATCTATAAATGCATGCAATTATATTTTTTATCTGTTTTTGAGATCAAGAAAAGCATTTAAATAAATTATAAGTAGAGGATCTTTCTCATTATAAGAATATATAAGTATTATGGTGAGAATAAAATAAAATAAACAATAATGTCTAATGAAAATTTACTTGTTATATATAGATACATATCTTTCATTATGCAAAGATAGGAAATTATTTAAGGCTGGCTTATCCATTTAAAGAAAATAAATAAAAGATTCAATAGTTCATAGAAAAAAGAATAGAACTGAAGTTAATTAAAGGCGTCTTCTTGGCAAACAATAAATTAAAAAAAAAAAGATTTATCATCTTATCAGAAAGCAAAGTGATTTCATTAAATAAACTATATTAGAAAGAAATCTTATTAAAAAGTAAATTGATTCACAACAAAAATTATATTAGATTATACAGAGAAATGTCTGATTACGAATACGAAGATGATGCCTACGATGGAGGAGATTATGATGATGGTGGATATGATGATCATCAAGAAGACGACCCAGAAGTTGAATTAGAAAATCAGTATTATACTGCAGAAGGTATATACATACACAAATAAACACATTCTTTTTTCCATTTAAGATTAAGCAATTGCTCAATTTTGCATACTTGCTTGATGAGCACAAAATTTCATATTATTAGCTTAAAATTTTAAATAAAATAAAAATTTGCTTTGCCTAACATATACTTTAAATTAAAAAGGTGAAATTACTGATGATCCTACAAGTGCTATCACTATTTTCCAAAAGATTATTGAAACCGAATAGTAAAAAGATGTTTCAAAAAGAAAATGGACATTTAAATCTCTCTAATATATTATAGTTATCTCAGTTAAGCAAAACTAAACTTAAGATTTAATTAAAAATATCAATTTAATATTACAAAATATGGAGAGTGTCAGTCGTAACGATGCCACCGATGGTATCACTTAAATTATTGAAAGCGTAATTAAATATAATCAATCAATTAATTATTTGTTTATTTTTAATTATGATAAATTGGATTTTATATTAGTAAAAAATCACTTTGAGTGAAATGAAATATGAAGCATTAATTAGAAACTGCAGACAAGCTTCTTTCAAATAAAAATTTATCAATTTATGTTTTATAAAATTAGTTTATGCTTTTGCAAGATTTGAGCATAAGACAAAAGGCCTTTGAGATTATATTACACTACTTGAAAGAAAAGCAAATGATTTAGTTATGGTTTAATGCATCATTGAAATTGGCTAAAATCTACTTTGAATCTGGAGACTTTTAAAATCTCAATGACGTTACATCTCAAATTAAAGCTTCTTGCACCTTGCCTGACGGTTCAGATGATCCCAAGAAATCTGAATACTTATTAGAAGTTTACTCTATCGAAATTCGTGTCCTCATCAATCAAAAGAGAAAGAAAGAATTAAAAGAAGTTTACTCAAAGACCAAGCGTCTTTCTTCAACAATCAACGACCCTAAGATTATGGCTGTCATTAAAGAAACAAGTGGTAAAATGCTTATGTTTGAAAAGAATTACAAGCTTGCTGAATAAGAATTATTAGAATCTTTCAAGTATTATTAAGATATTGGTAACACAAATGCTAAGTTACTTCTTAAATACGTCGTCCTTGCTTCCATTTTGAGCGGTTCTACCATCAACCCCTTCGATAACAAGGAAGCCAAGGTCTACAAGGAAGACAGAGAAATTATTGCTATGTAAAATCTCCGTTATGCTTATGAAACCAAGAACATTAACCTTTTCAACATGACAATTGTTGACAGAACTTCAAAAATTTTAGAAGTAATTTTATTAAGCTCAAACAGTTTAGCAAACTAAAATTCTATAAAAATAAAACATTTATTTCCATGAATTACTTTGATTTTCTATGCAAAAATTAACATGAATTATTTTATTTAATAGGATGAATTTATGAAAGATTTTATAGATGAGTTAAAGAGAGTTATCAGTTTAGAAAAGATCACTAGAATGATTATTCCTTACGAAAGAATTAAAATTAGCTACATTAGCAAATAGTTACAAGTCACAGAAGCTGTTGTTGAGATATATTTAATGCAATTAATTCTTGAAAAGAAAATTAATGGATATATTGATAGCGAAGAAGGTAGTTTAAAAATATATCATTCATTTTTTAATAATTTTTTATAAAATCTAAAGGTTACTTTGAAAATTCTAACTATCTTAAGGATCCTCTAGAAAAATCAAAGGAAGAATCAATTGAAAAATGGATTTTAAGTATTAAAAATAATTGATAAAACTATAAAAAATATAATTCAATAAAATAATTTCCATTTATTTTTGTACGGTAATTTAGCCTTGTTTGATGAAATTCATTTTTAAATTATTAATTAAAATCAAATTCTATTTTTATTTGAAATAATTCATTCAAATCTTAATAATAAAGAAAATACTGCAAAAAAATTTTTTTGACTTTAAGTAAACCCTTATTAACTGCTTAAATTTGTTATTTAAGATTATTCACAAAAATTAGTTTTTAGGAATTGATTTGTTAATATAAAAAGGCATATAATTTTTTTAAAATATCAAATTTTATATTAAAAAAGTACTTAATTTAAAAAGGGGAAAAAAGATATATTTTAATTTTTTATAACTAACAAACAATTATTTATTTATGTTTCACTTCAAAGTTGAATCGTATGGTTAACAATCATACTCAATACGAAAATATTCTAAATACTCTATAAATTATATATTATAAGCAATAGATTATAACTAAATTGATTTATTTTGATAGGGAAATTTTCAACAAACAATAACTAACTTTATTTATCAACAATAAGATTTTATAGTTATTTTAAGTATAATTGACTACTTTAAAAATTCTATCAAAATTTTAAATTCACTCGAGACTTTAAGTTAATCGATCTCAGCTAGACATCTTTCCATAAATTCTGATTTAATGCTTTGAGTCGTTTTTTGGTTTATTTAATTCATAAAATTGAGTAACTCTTAAATATATTGCTATTATAAAAAAAAATTAATTTTGTTAATGTTTAATTAAAATTACTTTTAAGAAAATAAAATCTGCAGCTGTAATCCCATAGAGATCGTATTGTTTGCATATTTCTCCATCATTACTCCTAAAAATTTTTTTCATGCTTTCCACTTAAAATTAATTGAAAAATTTAAAGATTGTTTGATTAATTAATTTAATTTACCATTGAATTTTACTCTACGAATATTTTCGATTCTCTGATTAAACATCATTTTTGTTTTTGTTAAAAACTGCTTTTGGATTTGGTCTGCATAAAATGATTAACCTATTTCTTCGAGTGTACTTTCTGTGATGCATTCAACATTAGATTAACTTTAACAGATTGACTGCTTCTGGATAGCATCAATTTCTGACTTAAATTCTAAAAAATAAATTAAATTAAATATAATTTATAAATGAAATTTACAGCTCAATTTCTCAAAGAATGATATAATTTTTTCTTAGCTTTAAAGTGTTGATTTTTCTAACTCTGCTTGCTACTAAGCATCTGACTTTAAATATTTTTCAATAGTAATTTGAGTATTTGAATCACCAATTAAACTTAGCAAGTTATTGACAAAATTTAAATAACTTTTTTAAGTCTCTTATAATTTATTTGATATTTCACTGTTTAATTCTTCTTATTTTACTAATTTAAGATGGATTTCATTTTCTTATTAATTTGACATATGAGATTATTTTTATATTGGAATTTGGCTATTATTTATGCACAAAGAGGTTGGATTGTTTCCAAATGAAAATGTTAAAATTCTATTAAATATTTGAGCCTTAGATTTGCTGTCAGGTTTCTTTTTATATTGATTATAAACAGTATTTTATTTGTTATTTATCTACTATTCTAGATCAAATTCTTCATCTCCTAAAGTTTCAAGTAAGTTTTCATATTAGCTTATTTAATCATTGCTTTCATTTAAGTTATTTGTTTCTAGAAAAGATCCTGTTTAGTTCAGCTTATGTTGACTGTTAAAAATTTAGCTGCATTGAATATTTTCATTTAATTTTGAATCATAATCATATTCAATATTCATTTACTTTTATTACTCTTCTTATTATTACTCTAATTCTGTTAATGATTTCTCTTATAATTTTGAATCTTCAACAAAATTTGTGTTGTAATTTTTGTTGAGTGAATTTTCTTCATTCTTTTTTACTGTTTATAAAAAATAAATAACTTTAAAATTTAATTTTTTTAAATTTTTTTAATTTAAATTTACCACTAAAACAGTCTTGCTTAGATTAGAATTAAGGATTAAACTAATTTTAATAATTTAAGTTTTTATCTAAAAAATTGTTTTGTTTTAAGTTGCTTTCAATTTCTTAGATATTTGTAAATTGGTCTTAATTGTTGAAAATTTCTGAGTCTTAAAAAAGGTTTTCTGTATTTCTAGACGTATTTATTATTGTGCAATTTGGATCTCCTAAATATTCACTGCTTTTGTTCAAATTAGATTCTTCATTATTAAAGTGATGACTTAAGTTAGAGTTCTAAGTAAACTCTGTGTAGGAAATAAATTTAAAACTCTCTTCTTAATTTTATTTTTTTTGAGATATGTTTTATAATTTATTTGCTTCTTCTATAATTTCAAGTACCTAGCTATTTACTTAATCTGCGAACTTTTTTATTTCTGCCATTTGATCATTAATTAAAATTTTAAGGTAATCAACAATTGCTTAGATTTCTTGCAGACACGATATTATTTATTAATTTTAAAAGGCTGCTTAAGACTCGTTTATTGTGTCTGATAAAAATTATATTTTTTCAGTCAACTTCTTCAGCATTTTTTCTAGGTGTTTTTTGCTTTCAAAGTATTCACAGTCAATGCTTTTTGAATACATTTATTCTTAATCTTTTTGTGAACTAATGCTATGTTAGTATTTTTCACATTCTCTCCAAGTTTTTCTTTTTGGATTCTAATTTTCAATAAATCTTTCCTCATTTTTCGGGATTCTACCCTATTAATTTTATTTTTACTGAGAATCAAAATCTTGTTAAAATTCTCTTCGTTCTGTTTGAGTTTCAATTTCTTTGCTGATTAAATCTGTTTAAGTTGATTTATTTTAACAATTTTTATTAAAAATTTGCTTCTTAAGTGCCTCATTTTGTTGTTCTAAATCTTATTTCTGTTATATTAAATTTTAATTTTAATTGAAATAATCAACTAAATCTTAGTTATATCTCTAAATAATAGATTTAAGCGAGTTGTTAGTTTATTCTAACTCTATCTGATTCTAAATCATAGCATTTATTTATTTTTGTTTTACTGTTTCTATTGATTAGCTTTGAAAACTCTGACAAAGATTCGTGCATGTTAGCACGGAGTTTTGCTCTTACATTTGAAGTTTGAAGGTATTCTCACTATAACTTTTTTTAAAGATATTTTGTATTAAATTTAATTTATTATAAAAATAAGGTTAGAAAATTTTTTTTTAACAACTAAATATCTCGTCTCATAACTTTTAAAAAAAATTTTTATTAAATTTTGAAAATTTTCTTCTAAAAATATCAAAGAAGATTTCGTTTTGCTGAAAAATTTGAGTTCTCTGTAAAGTCACTTTTAATTTTATAAAATATTTAGGTAGAATAAATTAAATTTAAACAATAAAATAAATATTGGAAATAATCAACAAAATAAGAACAAAGAGCAATTAATTTTATTGATGCTTTTACTTAGGAAAAAACTAAGACAAACTTTTGGCAGACTTAGAAGGTTTAAAAGAATTCTTTAGAGAATGAATGTACTATTTATTAAATAATAAATAATAAAGAAAATTCAAATAATTTACCTTTTATTATTTTCAATTAATTATCTGATTAATTATTAATTTGGCAGACAAAAAATTACGCGGAAATTTTTTTAATCTGCTTTATTTATTAAGAATTGTTAATATTTTGATCATTCATAAATACAATAAAATAATACTAAACAGAATCAGATTCTTTTTAAACTTTAATCAGTTTGAATGAATTTTTATGAATTTAGTTTAGAATTTTCAGATATTTTGACATTTCTACCACCAATTCATCACAATTTTAGAAAAGATATCTTCGAATTTATGTTGTTTTTTTTACGATATCAACTTATTTTGATCCATATTGGAAAGTTTCATAGTGTAAGTAACATGTTTTAATTTTGAATTCAGATAAAATGAAATGTAAGTTAGAAGGAAGGAAGGAATAGTTAAAAAATGAATGATATTTTAATGAATGCAAACACAAACAAAGCATTTATAATTAAAAGATGTACAATTAAAAAGAATATATTAAGCTTTTTATTATTAATGATAATTTTGTAAATAAGAATAGAGTATATTATAATATGTTTTATGTATGATAAATCAATCTTTCAAGAAATAATGGCATCATTAGTTGCTTCATTCAGACTTAGCTTCTTCCTTCTTGGGTTCTTCTTCCTTTTTAGGTTCTTCTTCCTTCTTTTCAGAAACAAGAGAGGCATTGTGAGCTCTAGATTCTTCGAAGACCTTTTGGAATCTGTTGAATTCTTCAGCAGAGATGAAACGACCGCAGAGCTTTTCCAAAAGAAGTTCGCAATCAGAGAAATCGTAGCAGCTCCAAATCCAAGACTTGTCGTTGGTTTTTAAGGGGAGGAGCTTGCAAAGAGGGTCCTTGTGAGAAATGTTGAAGTTAGCAACAATTTTATGGGTCTTATCTTGTCTCATCAAGATTCTAATTTTCTAGGTTTACTTGTGCTTGAGGAATTTCAAATCACCAGCACCTCTTTCCTTGAATTGTTCATCTCTCCATCTATATAACTTGGTTCTGAATTTATCAACAACTTCTTCATCTTCTTCACCAGTAACTATTGCAACATCCTTTAATTCCTAAACAGGCTTGAAGTCACCAGTAACTTCGGCTTCGGGGTCGTAGTTATCATCAACAACTTCTTCAGCGTAATCCTTATTGTCAGCCATTCTTAATTCCTGTATGTAATAATAATTATTTTCTTTTTCTTTTTATCAAAGAATCTTAATTTTTTTGTTTTTTATTAATTTATTTTTTTATATTTTTTAATTTATCTTTTTCAATACAGATATTTTCGCGTTTTATCTCTTTCCCGTTTATACTACTTGTCTCTCTTAACAAATTCACATTTTATCAAAAGAATTTATTTTGATGATTGATCGATCGATCTATTACTTGCTGTGTCTTTATCAATTTGATTGACAGTATGTGCTAAATAAACTAATCCATTATATTTACCTTATGAATTATTATTGATTTTTGAATATGTATTGTTGTGAATTTGATTCATAAATTAGTATAGCTTTTCTAATTTATTTAAAATCAAATTTAATTTAGTTTGCTAACCAAACAAACAAACAAAGATAAAAACAAAATACAGAAGATAGAATTGAATTGAACTGCTAGATCAGTTAAAAATAATATGATGGATTAAATATTATTTTTTAACAATATTTTAAAAACAAAATGTATCAAGCAAAATGTTATTATTTTTTTCATTAGATAAATAAAATGATATTTTTTCATATCAAACAAGTGTATCTGTGTATATATAATAAGCAATTAATTTCAAATTAGTATTAAAACTCTGAAAAAATAATCATAATAAAGCTTCTAATGAAATAAATTTTTTAAGAAAGGGAGCTGAGACAAATTTGTAGTGCTTCAAAAAGTTGACTGAATATAAGCAAAAAATAAAACTTTCTATTATATTTATAAATAGATTTTTCTGATCAAACTAAATCATACAAAATAGTAAAAAATCAAAGTAGAATAAATACAATTATTTAGTTTATCTAAAAAAAAGCAAAAAATAAAATGCAACTAATCATAGACACAAATTTAGAGATTTGAAAAGCAATTTAGAAAATTATATAATGAAAATTTAATAAATCTTTTGAATAATTATTAACTTTAAAAATATTTTTTTAAACATGCTGAATTTTATAAAAAGTTTGATAATATTAGCTTAAATATAAATTTAATTATTTTTAATCTTTGATTTTATACCAACTTGGAAAAAATTTACATTATATTATTCAAAATGTGTTAAAAATAATATGGTTTAAAATTTTTTTTAATTTAAGATAAAATCTTATTTAAACTAATTCTTTAAATATTGTCTAATTATTACATTTTAATATAATGAATATGTTTTAGTGCAAGAAATATATCCTAGAAAAATAATTTAAAATAAAAATAACAATAAATATAAGGTAAAAATGTGCTTCAATAAATGTAAAAATAGTATAAATTTATGATATATTTTTACTATTTTAATGTAAATTTACACTTTTTCTATAAAAATTATAAATTATTCTAATTAATAAATAAATTGTTTGTTAATGCCAACTAAACTAATAGTTATAATAGACAGAGTTTTTAAAAAGACAAATTGTTTCATATTTCCATTCGCTTACTGTAGACAGCAGAAAGAATGAGAAAGAAACACACCAAAAAAATAATTACAAAATCATTAACTAATCTTATAGACACAAAATAAGTTTATTTTTAGATATTTTTAATAATTAATTAATTTATTTATTTATTGCTTACTGATTAAATTTTGATTAGAAAAAATAATACTTTCATAATTTCATACTCAAAGATTAATTTTTAATATATTTTTAACTGATTCAAATGATAGATAAAATAGTAAATTTTCCTTTCTCAATATTTAATTATTCATTAAATTAATTTACAATTTTTGAATTTATAAAAATTTTGATAATTTAATATTTATTTTTTATTTTAATAAATAAATAAAATAATTTTGATATCAATTTTAGAGTTTATGAAATTAATTAGCTAATGCTTTATAAAAAATTCAATAGCCAAATTTTTTGCTCATATGTTCATTATAAATTTCATTATATTCTTCCATGGTTTGCATGTATGTTAAATCTACACATGCTTCTTGCTCTTTATTTGCTTTTAGGTTTCTACTTTGAGGCTTTTAAGCTACTTAATAAATTTTTTTATTTTAATTTGTACCAACTAAAGTAGGAGCATCCTCTCCATCTGCTCCAAACTCTTCATTATATTTCTACAGTTCTTCCATTTCTTCACTTTTATCATATTTGGACTACTATTTAAGTTTCTATTCATATGCTTTAATGACATCTTCTTCGCTAGCCTCTTTATTTTCTCCTTCTAATATTTTCTATTACTCTATTTTTTTTTGCTTTAGTTCTCTAAGTTTTGCTAACTCTATGCTAACTTTATCTTGTTGCTTCTATTTTTTTTCTTCTTTCAATATTGAATTCTTTTTAACTAACCCTTCATCCTCTTCATCATCTTCATCATCGTGATTACCAAAAATTTGCTTTTCCAATCCTTTTTCAAATTATTCATAGTCTATTTCAGTGTCAGGTTTAATATACTTAAGCATGTCAGATATCCTAAATTAAAAAAATAATTTTTTAGATAAAAAATTAATGTTCTCTTTCTAAATCTTAAAATGATAAACTAAAAAATCTAATTAAAATTAAATTAAATGGCTTTTTCTTTAAATAAAAAATATTCAAAATTTAGAATCTATTTTTTAAACAAAGAAATAATGTCTTACAAATCTATTTCGTTATTAAGCTCTCTAATTTTAGAGAAAAGCTTTTCTCTGTTTTCCTTCAACAAAGTTTCGTTAGTTTTTTTCATGTATGCTTCTAACTCATCCTCATCATCATCTCCTTCTTAATTATCTCTCTTTTTAATGTTATCGCTGTTTAGATCCAAAACCTATTTGTTGTATTCATATCTCTCAGTAATTAACTTTTCTAACTTTTTTTTAAGTCCCCAGAAATTCTCAGTAGTATTTTCTATTTTGCTCATGATTAATTTCTTTCTCTCATCATGATCAATTTATACTTTTTTACTGGCTTTTGTTCTATCGAAAAAATCATCATCTTCATCATCAAATAATCTACTTTCCTCAAACTTAGAAAATGTCCTTTTTTTTTCTAATTAATAAATAAATTATTAGAATAGCTATAAATAAATAAATTTACTTTATTCATCAGTATCTTCGGTTTCATTAAATAACGAATGTCTCACATTTGCTTCAGCTTGATCTAGACTTGATTATAATTCAAGCATTTTAGCTTATAATTTTTCCTTTTTTACTTTTAATTTTTCTTCCAAGCCATATTCTTTTCTTTCTTTAGATACTAATTCTTCCAATTCCTACTCTGCATTTCTATATTTATTTAACCTTTCTTCATATTTCTCTATTTTTTCTACTTATTTTTCATTTAAATTTGGCAGTCTTTTAAGTAAATCTGGTATTAATGCTATCTGACTTTCATCTTAATAATCATAAACTTCTTATTCATCGCCAATACCCCAAGTAATACCACCATCGTTTTCACTGTCATTCTTATTTTAATCAGTAGGGCCACCTAATTTATAAGCAAATAAATAAATTAATGAATTTGAAAATGAATTTTTTTACCTGTGAGTTTATGCTTTTTGTTCTGCTACTTATAATATGGATCATTATCTCTCAAATTCAAATAAAATTCTTTAAGTTCTTTAGGAGTTCTTATCCTTTCATCCTTCATTAATGATTCTTTTTATCCTTCTTCTGGTTTTAATTCCTAATTAGTTTTCTCTTCATTTTCTTATTGCTATTAATCCTCTTATTATTCTTATTCTTCCAGCTATATGCACCTTAAAATGTATATTCTTGTAGAACTAGCAAACCTTATGGAATCAAAAGGATGTAATTTGTGATAAATCTTGCTAGGAAGCCTTTTATTATTCACAAATGTTCCATGCGAACTGCCTAAATCATAGATAAAAATCTCACCATTTGCTTTATGCTATACAATTGCATGCTTTCTTGATATAGTCGGATGTTCTAAGACGAAATCGCATAAATCTTAATACTTTCCTAAAAGCAAGAATGGCTTATAAGAGATATCTTTTTCTTCAATTGGCACTCCATTCTTAATTACTTCAAAACTGATTATTTAAAAATAAACATTTTACTTAATTCTAAAAACATGAAAAATTCTAAAATTTTACAAATATTTATAAGGAGACTTTGCACTCCACTGAGGCACAGTGTAATCTTCTCCAACATTAAAACTATGAACTTAATTAGCCATTAATATTAATTAATTATCCTAATTTATTAAATTAAATTACTAAATTATTTATAAATGATTTTTGTCTAATAAATTATTATTTAAAGTTTGATTATTGTTACTTTAAATAGAATAAAAAAAAAAACAAACAAATAAGATATGATACCATTTAATTTAAATAATTTAATAAAACATGATAAAAGCATTTCATTACATTTAACAACTCTAAAATAAGTATTTAAACTTTCTTTTCATAAAATAATTGCATAAAATATATTCTAAAATGCTATTTTTAAAGAAAAAAAACTAATTTTAAAAAATTAACATTATTAAATTAATTATAAAACTTTTTATTAAAAAAATTGATTATTTGGATAGGAATCATATCATATTATATTATTAAAATTTTCTTACTCATCAAATAATTAAAAATGTTTTAAATATTTTGAAAATAAAAACATATAAAAATAATTTTTATCAATAAAAAAAAATTAAGTAGAAGATATTAATTTTAGCATATGTTAAATTTTAAAATAAATAATTAAGAATGAAGAATATAATATATGTAGTAAGCTATCTATTATTTTAAATGGCTATTTATTTTCAAATATATTGAAATCTATTTAGCTGCTGTTGCTGTGCAATTTTTAATTATGAAAATAACTTAGTATTTTATATGAATTAACTTTGCTTTATAATGTATTAGGAAAAGCTATTTATTTCAAATTTGAAAGATTTTAAATAAAATGAATCAATTCAATTTGTGGTTTGCTATAATTTTGCGAATTTAAAAAGAAAATATTAATTTATTTGAATCTTAATAGAATTTTTTGAAAAGCTTATTTATAAAATAGAGAGGCGATAATATAATAAATTGATAGATAAATAGATTAGAGTTTTTAAAAATGGATCAAAGTTTAACATCTGAAAAGCTCAATTTTTTACATTCGTTATTGGATAAAGAGTTGGAAGGATTGAAGGAGAGCTCTCTTTCAAATAGTGGAATGAAACAAGCAAACTAAATTGACAATCAGTCAAAATATTAATAGAATTAGAGATTTGCAATAAATTAAATGTAGAATCAACAAGAAAAATCAGTAAAATCGTAATCTTCGAGTATTCACTTGAATAGCTCTTTGAATAATTAAAGAGATCCTTTGCCATTAACTCCTTTAGAATCTTCATTAAATATCTCTCGCTAAAATCATCAAAGATCTAATAGCTAAACACCAATAAAAGATGAATAAAGTATGCTTTATAAGTAGTACAATAGCCATTAAGGAATATAAAATAATGCAGATTTTAGAAGCAAAAATAACTTACAGATTTATCATGATACTAATTAAAACAATAATGAAAAAAATACTTAGATTAAATTTAATTCTAACTAATAAGACATATCAAAAAATATTAGAATGAGCCATGATTTATAAGAACTTCAAAATAAAATAATGAACTTAGAAAAGAAAATCACTTGTATAAATAATCCTCAATTCGAAGATAAAGAAAATTCATATTTTTTCCAAGTAAATAACTTTTTTAAAATAGAATTCTCAACAATTTAATTTATACCTTAATTCATCTCTTACTTAATTTATGTTTCAAACAAATTTTTGTCAAAAATTTTTAAAAACTAAATAATATGGGAATTTTCATAATCTAGTTAATTTTTTGAAGACTTTAGAGAGGAATTATAGTATTCATTTTTTTTTGAAATTAATCAATTAAAGATAATATCTTATATTAGTAGATTTTTGAATTGTATTTAATTTTTGTTCTTAATGTTATTTAATTTTTAAAATTATTTAAAATTTAGCTTTAATCCTTAAAATTAAAATATTAAGTTAATAAAAATGTTTATTATAAATAGGAAAACGAAATAGAAAAGAAATAAATTGATTAAAGAGAATTAATTGAACATAGTTTTTCTAAAAATAAAATTCCTACTTATGACCGTCACGAAACGACTATGGAAGATGACTATAATTACAGAGAGAAAAATGAACAATAAAATAAGAATAATATGTTCCATACATTTAACAATTATATCAACAGTAATCCTCATAATTAAGCTTAAACAGATGAAAGTCATAATAATAAAAAAGTTGTAAGATATAGTAGTACCAACAATTATGAGGAAAGTTAGGAATTAGATTGCTCAAATGAAAGTTATAAATAATCCTAAAAAGTATTAAAAAAAAATAAATAAGAAAAGCTAAAGAGTCATGAGCATCACAGTGAAGTTGATAGAAATGAACAGGATGCAGAAATAGAAGAAGATACTCCTATGAAAAGAAAATATAAGAATAAATAAAAGAAAAGAGATCCATCAAACGAATATAATTCTTCTAGATTTAACACTGAAACAAGTGAAGGCTAATATGAAAATAAAACTAAATCGATGAAGAGATAGCATTCTTCCTCAGCCTCTTAATTAGCTAATGGAGCAAAAAATTAAAGTAAACGGGAAAATTCTAAGGGAAGAACAAATAAATTTTAGCTGGAGAAAAAAATACAAGAAGCTGAAACTGTGCTTAACAATTCTAAAAACTCTATAAAAAGGTCATTAAGCAAGAATAACTCAATAAATCGTAACAATTCTTTGAAAAACATAGCCAATAATGGAAGTTAGGTGAGCTTATAAAATGCAACTCATAGCGCATCTAAAAGAAACAACAGTAATAGCATAAATAAAAGTTAAAAAAATATTGATTAAGTGATTAGCAATCATAACGAAGTCTAAGTCTTAAACAAAAAAATAATGCAGCTAAAAAAGCAATCTGAGCAAGATAAGTAGCTTATAATCAAAGAAAGACTTCGAAACAACGAACTATAAGAAGAAATAGAGAAACTAAATAGAAAAATGAAGAAAATGGCTAATTAGATTGAGAAATCTAATGCTCTTGAAGAGGATTATAAAAAGTTAATGCAATCCTTTGAAAAATCAGAGTATATTAGACAATAATAAAAACAATTAATTACAAATTTAAAAAATGAGTTAGATCATTTTAAAAAGCATCAACATAATTCACATTAACAATCATAAGATTCTAATATAAATGAAAAAAAGAGACCTAGTTCAAAAAATAAATAAATTATTTGATTATTTTGTTTGTCTTAAATTCATCTTTTTATATAAAATTTCTTTGGAAAATAAATTTATTATTATTCTTAAATATTGGAAATTTGATAAGCCAAATGATATTAGAAATAGAATAGTCCTCTAAAGTACTTATTATTAAGTTAATAAATATTTTTTAAATGAAATAACAATAAAAAAATGTATTTCATCTTTAATTAGCTCTTTATATCTAATTTTTAATTTAAAGAATCCAAATTTTCGTTTTTTGAGTATTATGTACTTTATTGTTAAAGAAATAATTGGTTTTAAGCAAATAGGATTTGATTTTGATAAAAGTATTTAATAAACATTTAGAAATTTTAATGATAATTATATTCAATTAATTTAAATTAGATATATTTTCAATATCATCATGTGTTTAGTTATTTTATTTAAATTTTATGCTTTTAGATTAAGTTTATTTTTAAAAATTAATAAACTAATTTATGAAAAAAGAAGTTTGTCATAAACCCTTTTTCAATCTCCATAAGATTTTAATGTGGTTTTATATTTTAGAAAAAAAGTAGGAATTTAAATGAGATTTTTGAGATATAAAATTTATTTTCATTCTAATATCAAAAATAAGCAAATAAAGATAAAGAGACAATTATTTCTTGTAATAAATCAATTTAATTTTCAAAAGAATTTATTTTGAGCTCAATATTTATTTATCAAAAAAATAAGAGTAAAAAATATTTTATTTGTAGGTCTTCAAATAATTTTAAAGTTTAATAAAATTTAAATTAGTTATTGAAACAGGCATATTTATACTTGCAAATATTTATTTTCAGAATAATTTAAGTTATTTTATTAATTTTGGCTTAAATCAATTTATTCTTATTAATATAAAACAAATTGGAAATAGATACATAGCTAGCTAGCTAATTATACTTTTAATCTATTCAAAATTTATTAATTTTATTTTTGTTTTTAAGTAAAAAAATATATCTATTTTATTTTTTATTATCAAAGATGAAAAATTAGAAAATTTAAATAATAGTTTTCTAATAATTTTGACATTTAAATATTTTTTTAATTATTTTACTAAAATAAATTTCAGATGAATATTTTAAATTTAAGAAGTGATTTGATATGCTTAGTTTTTTATCTGCTGTTATTATTATTATTATTTTAAATAAATATTTTATTATTTTTCTAGTTTTTACTTTTGATCTAGCTAGAGTAAATAATTTTTGAAATATTTAGTTGATAGATTCATACAAAAAATTTAATATTTCTCCTTCATATTCAATTCAATTACTTCTTTTGAATTACTTAGAAAACTTAGGAATCTTGATTTTGTTAACTACAAGTTAAATGTTAAAGTATGTAGTATATCTTATGAATCATCCTTGATATAGATATCGCTATATTGAAGATTACAATGCCAAGTCTTCTTCTTTTTTTATTTTGGTGGAAAAAATTTTATTTCTAGTCCTAAAGTTACTTTCTATTTGAATTTAAGCTAATAAATATTTTTAACTAATGAATTAAAGTAGAATATTTTAGATTATTATATAAATTTCTGTGACTAATTCTATTAAAATTTGTTCTTTTTTTTCCTAATTTTTTTAAGCAAAAATATAAAAAATTTTAAAAGATATTTAACTTAAAATATTGAAATATTCAAAGCCATTTCAAATGAAAGCTTTGAGGATCAAAATCCTTTTGTTTACTTAATAAAAAAAGGAGTTTGTAAATTCAAATTATTTGATCTCAATTTTGTTAGTATTTCTTAATTTTTTTTAGATTATTTAAATTCGTATTGTTATTAATTAAATAAAAAGCTGTTTTCTACTTAAATATGTATAAACAATAGTATCTTTTTATATCTTGAGTAATATAATTTTTTTTTTTTAATTTTCATTAAATATAAAAAAAAATTTTTTCTTTTTGCAAAAATATATTCAACAGTTTTAAAAAAAATATTTTTTTGCAAAGAAATTTTATAATTTTCTACAATTTTCTCATTTATTGTGGATTATATATCTCAATTAAAAGTTACAGCTCTATTAAAATTAACAAATATAAAATAATATATTAAATCTTGATATAAATATGTAATATTAAATATCTTTATGAAGAATAAATAAAACAATCATTAATATTTATTTATTTTTGATTAAATTCAAAGATATTGATAAAATATTCAGAAAATTTATTTAATTACATATTTTATCTGCTTTGTTACTTTTATTAAAATAATGAGATATTAGTATATTGTAAAAAAAAGTCTTTAAATATTAACAAATGTTCATAAATAAACAATTGCATCTATATGATCAAAATACTTTCTTATAAAAGAATTTTTTTAAAAAAACAATCAAAAATTTAGGAATACAAAATTTTTAATTGAAAAACACTCTCTCTTACTCTTAATCATATTGAGATTTGAAAATAAAATATATTTTTTTAAGTTATCTATTTTATTTATTTTAATAAAAGAAATTTATGGATTTAAACATTCAAATTTATAAAAACAAGCCAAATTAATTAATTATTTCTCATATTATAGGATTCTTTTCCTTTTAGTATAAGTAATCTTCAAAGTAGAAAAATTAATCAGTAAAGCATAGTAATAACAAAAAGTGTTTATTTTAATCAACTCAAATAAGTAAAAATCAAAAGTAATATATTCTATTTTTACAATTACTTTGAGATGCTAGGAAAAAATTGATTAAATAAATTTAACCTTTAAAACTAAATTATAAAAATATTTTAAAATATTAACATTTAAAAGTAGAAATAATTAATCAAATAAAATTAAATTTTATATGCTATATTTTAACAAATAAATATTAAAAGATTACTATTTACTCATTTTCACAACAAATTAATCAAAATCTTTTTACTTTTTTACCTCTCAATAGCTTTTATATTCCTTTCTTTACTTTACCAACGTAAAAATAGCGACTTTCGAGTTCATCATTTTAACTTTTATTAATTTTATTTTTCAAATATTCTGAAATTTAGCTTTCTGCAATCTTGAGACATTCGATTGTTATTTAACCAAAGATAGATTTCAAACGATTAACTTTTACTATATCAATAAAATTTGCATTTTGAAATTCTTAAACATCTAACTTAAATACTTTAAGATGTAAGTCCTGGTTTATAAAATTGCGCTTTGATTCATAACAATTTATTTCATTACACTTTAAGAATAATAAATTATAGTGTAAATTTGAATAGTAATAATACCTTCCTTTAAAAGGACGAAATTTTACTGAATTTTGTCTTACTCTTAATATTATTTCAATTAATTATTTTTTTTCATATTGGCTAAGATCAAAACAATCCAAGATTTTAGGGCAAACTAACTAAGTGATAATATTCATAAGGCTATTTTTGAAATTGTGGTATTCGCTCTGCTTTTGAGCTTTAGATTTATTTTTTTGTTCATTATTATTCCTATTATTTTTTTTTGATTAAAAAATATTTGATTAGAAATTTTTTTATGAAAAATTGAATTTACTTAGACTGTTTTTTGTTTTTATTATTCTAAAAAGAACTTAAAATTTTACTCTTGTTTTTTAGCTTTACAATTGCTGCTATATAAAACTTCCTAAAAATTTAGTAAACAAATGTTTCAAGAGAATTTTAGCAATCTTCCTTAACATTCAACATAATAGCTTCATCTGAGTAACTTGAAAATAAATTCAAGAATTACGGTTTTATTGAATGTAAATAGTCTGTCATAGTATCTAGCAATTATTAATTAGTAAATGAATCATTTCGTAATGTCATCTCAGTTTATTATGATGATGATTAGGTAGTTCTTTATTCTTTTTTAATGGTTTTACACTACATTTTTTTTGCAGTACCATGCTAGTTTTAGTATTAAGCTTAAACCCAATTTTAGTTATAAATGTTTTTAATGAATTAATTAGAATAGAATTCTTTAGTATATTAAGTAAATTGTGATGACTAATTATTTTAAATGCTATTATTTATTTAGCGGATTGAGCATTGTTTTTATTTACTTTGTTACTAAGTACATACTTATATACCTGAGTCATGAGAGTTAATATAGCGATAAAAGCATTACTTTTATGGTTTTTAAAAAGTCTTTGAAGAAATATTTGGATTGATTTAGGATGTTATTTTAATTTAGTTAGATAATTTTTATTATCCTTCTTCTAATTTGATCATTAAGATTATCAAAGTTGAGCTAAGCACTACTGTTATTTATATTATTTATTTAGTTGTTAAATTGTTGTTTATTATTATTTTATTTTATTCACTTCTATGTTCTTGAAACAAAGTCACTTAATAATGTATAGCTTATAAAAAAAACTTTAATTGTTAAGAAAAAGAAAAAAAATCATATTGTTCATTTTTAAAAAACATAATTTTTATTGCAACTCAAAGAATTCAACCAAAACACAAATATGACATAATAATTTTGTAATACATAGAAAAACTATTCATTAATCATTTAATAATAATAAATAAAAATTTTAAAAAAGCTTATTTTTGAGTTCTATTTATTTGTGAAAAATATATTATTTTTACAGATATTTTTTAATTTTCTTCACAAACAATTTAAGATATCTCAAAACAAATTAAAACAAAAACCTTTAAAAAATCTATTTTATTTAAATAAAATATTGAAATCAAAGCACATTAAAAAAAATATTTAGTTTTTAATAAATTACAAAAATTATTTAATTTTTAGTTTTAATAAAAGGAACTACTTACTTCTAATAAATTACTAAAAATTTTTTAATATATTTATTATTATTTTAATGAATAAAATAATATTATTTAATGGCAAATTTTTAAATTTATAAAATAGAATAATTAATCATAATCACTTAATTAAATTGTATTTTCAATTTATTGTTTTCATATCAAAAGGAAATATAATTTTATATCTTAGATATTTTATAAAGTTAAATCAAATATTTCTGTTAGTAAATATTTAAAAAAATATATTCTTTTCTTTAAATTTAAAATGTATTGATAAAATTTAACAGAAAAATAAAGCTCGATATAAAATAGATATTAGTATTGTGAACTTAGTAAAATAAAAAAATTTAATTTTTATTAGGGAAAAAAAAAATGAAGACCGCACCCGGCTGTGACCCCCCCCCCATTAAAATATATTTATTTTATCTTTAATCAGCACTTTATATCTAATTTTTAATTAAAAGAATCCAAGTTTTGCTTTTTTGAGTATTATGTGTTTTGTTCGTTAAGAAGTAATTGGTTTTAAGCAAATAGGATTTATTTTGATAAAAGTATATAAAAAAAATTTAGAAATTTAATAGCAAATTGGATTTAATTAATTAAAAATATATTTGAGTTAGATATATTTCCAATATCAGAATATATTTTGTTATTTTATTTAAATTTTATTCATTTAGATTGAGTAAATTTGTTATTTTTTTTAACAATTAACAACATATTATTCGAAAAAGGAAGTTCCTAATAAACCCCTTTTCAAACTTCATGAGATTATTAATTAGGTGGATTTATATTTTAGGAAAAAAAGTAGAACTTTATAATATGAGAATTTAGAGATATAAAATTTATATTCATACTAATATTAAAAATATGCAAAAAAGATGAAGAGATAATTATTTATTAAGATAAATTTAATTTAAAAATAATTTATTTTAAACTGACTATTTATTTTATCAAACAAAAAAATAAGTGTAATTAGTATTTTTATTTTAAGGTCTTTAAATTATTTTAAAGTTTAATATAATTTAAATCAGCTATTGAAACAGGTAAATTTATTCTTTTGCAAATATTTATATTCAGAATCATTTAAATTATATTTTTAATCTTATGCTTAAATCATATTATTCTTTTTAAAATAAAGCAAAATAGAAATAGTCCATTTTGTTTTTAATCAATTTAAAATTTATTTTTACTATTTTTGCTTTTGAGACAAAAAATATTTTTATTTTGTTTTTGATAATCAAAGAAAAAAAAAGGAATAGAAAATGAAAACAATATTTTTCAAATAAATAAGATAATAGAAATATTTTTTAGTAATTTTATTAAAATAAATTGAAGGTGAATATTTTAAATATATGAAATCATCGATACACTTAGTTTTTACCTGTTATTATTTTAAATAAATATTTTACTACTTTTTTTATTCTATACTTTTTATCTAGCTGCATTAAAAAATCTTTGAAATATTTAGTTGTTTGTTTGGTACTAAACGTTTTGCTATTCTCCTTCATTTTCAATTCGATTACTTCATCTGATTTACTTAGAAAACATTTGTATCAAGATTCTGTTGACTACAAGTAGTATGTCATAGTATTTGGTAAATCTTTGTTTTCTAAGAATCATTCATGAATTCTTTATCGCTCATATTGAAGATTATAACACCGAGCTTCTTCTTTTTTATGCAAGCGAAATAATTTTATTCCAATTTCTAATGTTACTTTCTATTTGATTTTAAGCTAGGTATAATGATAAATATTTTTGAATAATGAAATAAAATAGAATATCTTAGCATATTATATAAATTGCTGTGACTAATTATATTAAAATTGGTTCTTTATCGTTCCTAATTTTTTTAAGCTGAATTATTTTTAATTTCCAAATTTATTTAACTTAAAATATTGAAATATTCAAAGCCATTTTAAATGAAAGCTTTAAGGATCAAATTCCTTATGTTACTGAATAAAAAAAGGATTATGTAAATTCAATATATTTGCTTATTTTTTAATTTTCTTTAGAGTATTTAAATTTCTATACTATTAATTAAAATAAAAGCTGTTTTAAACAATAGTATCTTTTTATATAAAAAGCAATACGATCTTTTATATAAATATATTCAATAAATATAATAAATAATTTTTTGTTTATGCAAAAATATATTCAACCTTTTGAATATAAATATTTTTTTGCAAAGAAATTTGATTACTTTTTGCAATTTATTTTCTCATTTACAGTGAATTATCTAAATTAAAAGTTGTAGCTATTCTAAAATTAATAAATAGATACATATTAAAAATTATTAAAATTTCAAGATAAAGATAGATAAATATATTGATATATTGAACAAATAAATATAGATACGTTGAAAATAAATAGAAAAAATAGATAGATAGAAATATTGATATAAAATCAATAATAGGAGGTTTGTATTAAATCAATCTATACTTAATATTCAGTATCTTTATCAATTTTTATAAAAAATAAATAAATAAAATTTATATTTTTGATCAAAGATATTGATAAAATATTCTGAAAATTAATTTAATTACATAATTTTATTACTTAGCATATTTTAATCTGCTTTGTTATTTATGATAAATCTGAGAAGTTAGTATATTATAAAAAATAGAAGTTTGTTAAATATTAACAAATTTTCATAAATAAACATTGCATCTATTGATAAAAATACTTCTTATGGCTAAATTTTTTTAAAAAAGCAATATAAAATTTAGAGATAAAATAATATTTAATTGAGAAACTCTCATTCTTAGTAGTTTATCATATTTTGATTTGAAAATAAATCATATTTTTTAAGTGGTCTAATTCTCATTTTTCTTAAATAAAAGAAATTTATGGATTGATTAAAAAATTCAAAATTAATAGAAACTAATATTATTAATTAAATGATCAGATTATAGGATTTTTTTAATTTTAAAAAAAAGTAATCTTTACATTTCAAAAATCAATCAGTAATAACATAATAATAACAAAAAATGCTAATTTTAATCATCTAAAATAGAAAATATCACAATTAATATTTTTCATAAAATAGGTATTTTTACAATTATTTTGAATAGTATGAAAAAAATTGATATAATGATGTTCTCAATAGTAACATTTAAAAGTAGAAATAATTAATCAATCAAACTTAAATTTTATATACTATATTTAATAAATGAATATTATATGATTATTATTTTAGCATCTTCACTACAAATTGATCAAAACCTTATTACTTTTTTACCTCTCAATAGTTTTTATATTCCTTTCTTTACTTTACCAATGTAAAAATAGCGACTTTTGAGTTAGTCATTTTAACTTATATTAATTTTATTTTTGGAGTTTCCTGAAATTTAGTTTTCTGCGATATTGAGACATTCATTTATTATTTAACCAAAGATAGATTTCAAGCGATTAATTTTTATTATATCAGTAAAATTTACATTATGTAATTCTTAAATATCTAACTTAAATACTTTAAGATATAAGTCCTGAATCATAAAATTGTGCTTAAATTCATAGAAATTATATTTATTATACTTTAAGAATAGTAAATTATAGTGTAAATTTGAATAATAATAGTACTTTCCTTTAAAAGGACGAAATTTTACTGAATTTTGTCTTACTCTTAATATTATTTCAATTAATTACTCTTTTTCATATTGGCTGAGATCAAAACAATCCAAAATTTAAGGGCAAACTAACTAAATGATAATCTTCATAAGGCTGTTTTTGAAATTGTGATATTCGCTCTGCTTTTGAGCTTTCAATTTATTTTACTCTTCATTATTATTCCTATTATTTTTTTTGAAAACTTTGATTAGAAAATTTTTAATTAGAAATTTAATTTACTAAGACTGTTTTTTGTTTTTATTATTTTAAAAAGAGCTTAAAATTTTACACTTGTTTTTTAGCTTTTCTATTGCTGCTGTATAAAACTTCTAAAAAATTTAGTAAACAATTGTATCTAAAGAATTTTAGCAATCTTTCTTAACTCTCAACATGATAGCTTCATCTGAGTAGATTGAAAATAAATTGAGGAACTGCGGTTTTATTGAATATAAATAGTCTGTCATAGTATTTAGTAATTATTAATTAGTAAATTAATTGTTTCTTGATGTCATCTCAGTTTTATATGATGATGATTATGTAGTTGTTTCTACTTATTTTATTGCTTTATACAACATTTTTTTTGCAGTACCATGTTAGTTTTACTATTAAATCTAGACCAAATTTTAGTTATAAAAGTTTTTAATGAATTAGTTAGAATAGAATTCTTAAGTAAATTATGTAAATTATGATGACTAATTATTTTAAATGTTATTATTTATTAAGCGGATTGAGCATTGTTTTTATTTACTTTGTTACTAAGTACATACTTATATACCTAAGTCATGAGAGTTAATATAGCGATAAAAGCATTACTTTTGAGGTTTTTAAAAAGTCTTTGAAGAAATATTTGGATTGATTTAGCATTTTATTTTAACTTAGTTAGATAATTTTTGTTATCCTTCTTCTAATTTGGTCATTAAGATTATCTAGGTTCAATTAAGCACTATTGTTATTATTTATTTAGTTGTTAAATTGTTGTTTATTATTATTTTATTTTAATTTACTTCTATGGTTTTGAAAACAAAGTCATTTAAAAATGTATAGCTTTAAATGAAAAATGTAATAGTTAAGAAGAAGAAAAATTTCTTTTTTAAACAACATCAATTTTTTTGCAACTCAAAAATTCAACCAAATATTGCATAGTGATTTAGAAATGCATAGAAAATCAATTGATTTATCATTTAATAATAACAATTTCAAAATTTTAAAAAAGCTTATTTTTAGAGTTCTATTAATTTGTAAAAAATATATATTTTGTACAACTTTTTTCTAATTTTCTTCACAATTTTCAATATCTCAAAACAAATTAAATCTTACAGAGTTAAATCAAATATTTCTGTTAGTAAATATTTTTAAAAAAATATTTTTATCTTTAAAATATATTTATAAAATTAAGCAGAAAATTAAAGTTAGATTTATTTTTATTTCAGATTTTTAATAAAATGTTTAAAATAGAAGATATATATTATCTTCTTTTAATCAGCTTTAAAATTAAAATATTTCTATTAGATACCTAATTATAATAATAACATTTTAAAATTATTAAGCTTATTCAATTGCATACTCTTTAAACCTAAATTCTATTTAACTAAATATATAAGATATATTATTATAGTTTAAAAGAAAGCATTAATTTTATATTTTATAATACTATTAAAAAATAAATAAAAAAATACATAAACTCTAAATACTATTTAGAAAAGAGCAAAATAAGCGAAAAAGGAATTAAAAAAATAACAATCCTTATAATATAAATGCAAAATAACAACAAAAAGGAAAAAAAATTATCGGCTAAAACTAACTAAATTTTTTTTTTTTTGAAAATAAAAATTAGCTAAAATTAAAAGTTATTTTCAAAATTTTATATAATTTTACATTATGGAAATCATGAAAAAAAATTTTATTTGTAAAAATATAATAAGCAAAAAATAAATGCAATTAAAATAAATCTTTGACCTCTAATTAAATAGAAAAAATTATCATAAATGAAAGGCTGTAATATAAAATATTTTAAGCAATTTATGTTGCATATGCTTTCAAAATAATCAACTCTTCTTATAATTATTATACGATTAACCCTTAATATTTTTATTCCTTTAAAAAATATGTAAAAAAATTAAAATAAACTAAATTTTAAAAAGGAAATTGATTCACTCTAATATTCTATAATTTCTCTAATTATATGGCCATTAAAGAATATTATTTTATCATTTTAACTTCCTTCAGTATGAAGTCAAAAATTTTAAAAATAATTGAGATAACTGACTACAATCAAATCTTTTTATTTCGATTTATAATAAGCAAAATAAATTTAGTGTTTTGATTTAATTAAAATAATTTAAAAGTTTTTTGGGGATTATTTAAATTGTTTCTTTTGAAATTTTGCCAATTTTCTAAGTATTTAATTACTTAACTTCATTCGTGAGTAAATGAAATATTAATAAATTTGCAGTAAAAAAAAAATTTCAAAGATTTTATAAAATTATCAAAAACAAACTAATTAACACTTTAAAAATTTAATTTAACTTTTTTTTAATACTGTACTCTAAATTTTTTTTAATTAATTAGCATAGCCTATTCAAGATTAAAAAGGTATTTACTTTGGCATGAAGCCTAAATTGATATCACAATACCATTTAATAATTTATTACTATTTGATTAGCCTTTCAATATTTAATTTTTATAGAGAATTAATAAAAATCGTACGAAGGCATCTAAATAATATGGGGGTTTTCATAATCTAGTTAATTTTTTGAAGCCTTTAGAGTGGAATTATAGTATTTTTTTTGTTTGAAATTAATCAATGAAAGATAATATCTTAAATTATTAATTTTTAAAAATAGTAGAGTTTTCAATTTTTTTTCATTTTTGGCCGTTATATTATTTAATTCTTAGAATTTATTTAAAATTTAGTTTTAAGCCTTCAAATTAAAATATTAAATTAATAAAAATGCTTATAATAAATAGGAAAACGAAATAGAAAAGAAATAAATTGATTAAAGAGAATTAATTGAACATAGTTTTTCTAAAAATAAAATTCTTACGTATGACCGTCACGAAACTACTATGGAAGAAGACTATAATTACAGAGAGAAAAATGAACAATAAAAAAAAGATTAATATGTTCCATACATTTAACAATTATATAAACAGTAATCCTCATAATTAAGCTTAAACAGATGAAAGTCATAATAATAAAAAAGTTGTAAGATATATTAGTACCAACAATTATGAGGAAAGTTAAGAATTAGATTGCTCAAATGAAAGTTATAAATAATCTTATAAAGTATTAAAAAAAAATAAATAAAAAAGCTAAAGAGTCATGAGCATCACAGTGAAGTTGCTAGAAATGAACATGATGCAGAAATAGAAGAAGATACTCCTATGAAAAGAAAATATAAGAATAAATAAAAGAAAAGATTTCCATCAAATGAATATAAACTGAAACAAGTGAATGCTAATATGAAAATAAATCTAAATCTATGAAGAGATAGCATTCTTCCTCAGCCTCTTAATTAGCTAATGGAGCAAAAAATTAAAGTAAACGGGAAAATTCTAAGGGAAGAACAAATAAATTTTAGCTGAGAAAAAAATACAAGAAGCTGAAACTGTGCTCAACAATTCTAAAAATTCTATAAAAAAGTCATTAAGCAAGAATAACTCAATAAATCTTAATAATTCTTTGAAAAACATAGCCAATAATGGAAGTTAGGTGAGCTTATAAAATGCAACTTATAGTGCATCTAAAAGAAACAACAGTAATAGCATAAATAAAAGTTAAAAAAATATTGATTAAGTGATTAACAATCATAACGAAGTCTAAGTCTTAAACAAAAAAATAATGCAACTAAAAAAGCAATCTGAGCAAGATAAGTAGCTTATAATCAAAAAAAGACTTCGAAACAACGAACTATAAGAAAAATAGAGAAACTAAAAAGAAAAATGAAGAAAATGGCTAATTAAATTGAGAAATCTAATGCTCTTGAAGAAGATTATAAAAAGTTAATGCATTCTTTTGAAAAATCAGAGTATATTAGACAATAATAAAAACAATTAATTAAAAATTTAAGAAATGAATTAGATCATTTTAAAAAGCATCAACATTAATTCACACTAACAATCATAAGATTATAATATAAATGAAAAAAAGAGACCTAGTTCAAAAAATAAATAAATTATTTGATTATTTTGTTAGTCTTAAATTCATCGTTTTATATAAAGTTTCTTTGGAAAATAAATTTATTATTCTTAAATTTTGAAAATTTGATAAGCCAAATGATATTAGAAAAAGAATAGTCCTGTAAAATTATAAAAAGTACTTTTTATTAAGTTAATAAATATTTTTTAAATGAAATAACTATAAAAATATTTATTTCATCTTTAATTAGCTCTTTATATCTACTTTTTAATTTAAATAATCCAAGTTTTCCATTTTTGAGTATTATATACTTTATTGTTAAAGAAATAATTGGTTTTAAGCAAGTAGGATTAGATAAATAAAAGTATTTAATAAAAATTTAGAAATTTTAATGGATAAATATATTCAATTAATTTAAATTAGATATATTTTCAATATCAGCTTGTGTTTAGTTATTTTATTTAAATTTTATGCTTTTAGATTGGGTTTATTTTTAAAAATTAATAAACTATTATATGAAAAAAGAAGTTTGTCATAAACCCTTTTTCAAACAAACTCCATAAGATTTTAATGTAGTTTTATATTTTAGAAAAAAAAAAGGACTTTATATGAGAGATATTATATTCATACTCATATGAAAAATAAGCAAATAAAGATAAAGAGACAATTATTTCTTGAAATAAATAAATAAATTTAATTTTAAAAAGAATTTATTTTGAGTTAACTATTTATTTATCAAAAAAAATAAGAGTAAAAAATATTTTCTTTTTAAGTCTTCAAATAATTCTTAAGTTTAATAAAATTTAAATTAGTTATTGAAACAGGCAAATTTATTCTTGCAAATATTTATTTTCAGAATAATTTAATTTATTTTATTAATTTTGTCTTAAATCAATTTATTCTTATTAATATAAAACAAATTCGAAATAGATAGATATTCTTAAATCCCATACATTTTTTACAAGCCTATCATTAAATGCTTAAGGAATTGTAAATCAAAAAATAACAGCATTTAATTGATTAAAAAATATTCTGGAATTGTTCTATTAATCAAAGAATTTTAATTTTACAAAATTTGATAAGGAAACCTCACTTTTCAAATCAATATCTTAATTTTTATTTTTTATTAATCGAACAATTCTAGAATATTTTTAAATCAATTAAATGCTGTTATTTCTTCATTTACAATTCTTAAGCATTTAATAGCTGGGCTTGTAAAAAAGGAGTGGGATTAAAGTATAGCTAGCTAGCTCATTATACTTATAATCTATTCAAAATCGATTTATTTTATTTTTATTTTGAAATAAAAATAATTATCTATTATATTTTTTATTATCAAAGATGAAAGAAAAATTATAAAATTTAAATAATAGCTTTCTAATAATTTTGGCATTTAAATATTTTTTAAAATTTTTTTACTAAAATAAATTTCAGATGAATATTTTAAGCTAAAGAAGTGATTGGATATGCTTAGTTATTTATCTGTTGTTATTATTATCATTTTAAATAAATATTTTATTACATTTCTTGTTCTATACTTTTGATCTATCTAGAGTAAAAAATTTTTGAAATATTTTGTTGATAGATTCATACAAAAAATTTTATTTTTTTCCTTCATATTCAATTCGATTACTTCATTTGATTTACTTAGAAAATTTAGGAATCTTGATTTTGTTAACTACAAGTAAAATGTTAAAGTATATAGTAAATCTTTATTTTCAAAGAATCATCCCTGATATAGATATCGCTTTTTTGAAGATTATTATGTAAGTCTTCTTGTTTTTTTATTTTGGTGGAAATATTTTTATTTATTGTCATAAAGTTATTTTCTATTTGAATTTCAGCTAATTTTTAGTGATAAATATTTTTAACTAATGAATTAAAGTAGAATATTTTAGATTATTATATAAATTTTTGTGACTAATTTCTTTTTTTTCCTAATTTTTTTAAGCTAAAATATAAACAATTTTAAAAGATATTTAACTTAAAATATTGAAATATTCAAAGCCATTTCTTTCAAATGAAAGCTTTGAGGATAAAATCCTTTTGTTTACTTAATAAAAAAAGGATTTTGCAAATTCAAATTATTTGATCTCAATTTTGTTAGTAATTCTTAATTTTTTTTAGATTATTTAAATTTCTATTGTTATTAGTTAAATAAAAAGCTGTTTTCTACTTAAATATGTATAAACAATAGCATCTTTTTACATTATTAGTAATATAATTTTTTTTTTGATTTTCATTAAATATAAAAAAAATTTTTTCTTTTTGCAAAAATATATTCAACAGTTTTAAAAAAAATATTTTTTTGCAAAGAAAATGTATAGTTTTCAACTATTTTCTCATTTATCTTGGATTATCTATCTCACTTAAAAGTTACAGCTATACTAAAATTAACAAATATTAAACAATATATTAAAATTTGATATAAATATGTAATATTAAATATCTTTTTCAAGAATAAATAAAATAATCATTAAAATTTATTTTTTTGAGTAAATTCGCAGATATACATAAAATATTGAGATAATTTATTTAATTACATATTTTTATCAGCTTTGTTACTTTATTAAAATAATGAGATATTAGTATATAGTAAAACAAAAAAGTCTTTAAATATTAACAAATATTCATAAATAAAAAATTGCATCTTATTGATCAAAATACTACTTATAAAATAATTTTTTTAAAAAAACAATCTAAAATTTAGGAATACAAAATTTTTAATAAAAAAACACTATCTCTTAATATTATTGAGATTTAAAATTAAAATATTTTTTTTAAGTTATCTATTTTCTTTTTTTTAATAAAAGAAATTCATGGATTTTAACATTTAAATTTATAAAAAAGCAAGCCAAATTAATTAATTATTTCACATATGATAGGATTCTTTTCCTTTTAGTATAAGTAATCTTTAAAGTAGAAAAATTAAACTGTAAAACATAGTATAACAAAAAGTGTTTATTTTAATAAACTCAAATAAGTAAAAATCAAAAAGTAACATATTCGATTTTTACAATTACTTTGAGAAAAAATTGATTAAATAAATTTAACCTTTAAAACTAAATTATAAAATATTTTAAAATATTAACATTTAAAAGTAAAAATAATTAATAAAATAAAATAAAATTTTATATGCTATATTTTTATAAATAAATAAATAAATACTATATGATTACTATTTAGATATTTTCACAACAAATTAATCAAAATCTTTTTACTTTTTTACCTCTCAATAACTTTTATATTCCTTTCTTTACTTTACCAATGTAAAAATAGCGACTTTCTAGTTCCTCATTTTAAATTTTATTAATTTTATTTTTAGAATTTCCAGAAATCTAGTTTTCTGCAATCTTGAGACATTCGATTATTATTTAACCAAAGATAGATTTCAAACGATTAACTTTTACTATATCAATAAAATTTGCATTTTGAAATTCTTAAACATCTAACTTAAATACTTTTAGATGTAAGTCCTGGTTTATAAAATTGCGCTTTGATTCATAACAATTATCATTATACTTTAAGAACAGTAGGTTATAGTGTAAATTTGAATAGTAATAATACTTACCTTTAGAAGGTCTAAATCTTACTGAATTTTCTCTTACTCTTAATATTACTTCAATTAATTATTTTTTTTCATATTGGCTAAGATCAAAACAATCCAAGATTTTAGGGCAAACTAATTAAGTGATAATATTCATAAGGCTATTTTTGAAATTGTGGTATTCGCTCTGCTTTTGAGCTTTAGATCTATTTTTCTGTTCATTATTGTTCCTATTATTTTTTTATATTCAAAATATTTGATTATAAATTTTTTTATTAAAAATTCAATATACTTAAACTGTTTTTTGTTTTTATTATTCTAAAAAGAACTTAAAATTTTACTCTTGCCTTTTAGCTTTATAATTGCTGCTATATAAAATTTCCTAAAAAGTTATTAAACAAATGTTTCAAGAGAATTTTAGCAACCTTCCTTAACATTCAACATAATAGCTTCATCTGAGTAGCTTGAAAATAAATTCAAGAATTGCGGTTTTATTGAATGTAAATAGTCTGTCATAGTACGTACCAATTATTAATTAGTAAATTAACCATTTCGTAATGTCATCTCAGTTTATTATGATGATGATGATTAGGTAGTTCTTTTTTCTTTTTTTATGGTTTTAGACAACATCTTTTTCTAGGCCAGGTTTTAGTTATTAAAGTTTTTAATGAATTCATTAGAATAGAATTCTTTAGTATATTAAGTAAATTGTGATGATTAGTCATTTTATATGCTATTATTTATTTAGCGGATTAAGCACTTTTTTTATTTACTTTGTTACTAAGTAGGTATTTATATACCTGAGTCATGAGAGTTAATATAGCGATAAAAGCATTACTTTTAAATTTTTGAAAAAGTATTTGGAGAAATATTTGGATTGACTTAGCATATTATTTTAATTTAGTTAGATAGTTTCTATTATCCTTCTTCTTATATCATTAAGATTATAAAGGTTCAGCTAAGCACTACTGTTATTTGTATTATTTATTTAATTGTTAAATAGTTGTTTATTATTTTTTTATTTTATTCACTTCTCTATTCTTGAAAACAAAATAACTTAAAACGTATAGCTTTATAAAACAAATTATAATTATTATAAAAAAAATCATAATGTTATTTTTTAAACCACATAATTTTTTGCAACTCAAAGAACTCAACTAAAACACAAATATAAAATAGTAACTTTGAAATAAATAGTAAATAATTTCATTAATCACTTAATAATAATAATAAATAAACATTCTAAAAAAGCTTATTTTTGAGTTCTATTAATTTGTAAAAAATGTACTATTTTTTAATTTTCTTCACAAACAATTTAAGATATCTCAAAACAAATTTAAACAAAAGCTTTTAAAAAATCTATTTTTATTAAATGAAACATTGAAATCAAAGCACAAAAAAAAAATTATTTAGTTTTTAATATGAGTTTTAATAACAGGAAGTACTTCTAATTTTTTACTAAATTATTGAAAAATTTGTTTAGATATTTATAATAATCAATAAAATAAAATTATTTGATGGTAAATTATTAAACTTATAAAATAAATTAATTAACCATAATCACTTAATTAAATTATGTATTTTTAATTCATGGTTTTCATATAAAAAGGAAATATAGTTTTTTCTTTTAGATATTACAGAGTTAAACCAAATATTTCTGTTAGTGAATATTTTAAAAAATATATTCTTATCTTTAGATTTAAGAGTATTTATAAAATTTAGAAGAAAAATAAACCTCGGTATATAATAGATATTGACAATGCGAACTTAGTGGAATAAAATAATTCTTTGACCTATTTTAGGTATTTTTTTTGTATCAAAATTTTTAAAAATGTGACCTATAGTCCCTCTGGGATAGAGTTATTATTTTATAATATATGAAATATCAAAGAATTTCAATTTTTTGCAAAATTTGAAAGGGAAAACTCCCTTTTCAGATTAACATCTTAATTTTTATTTTTGATTTATCAAAAAAAAAAAGCAAAGCTCCCTTTTTTATTATTTTGATAAATAGAACAATTCCAGAATTTTTTTAATCAATTTAATGTTTTTCCTTTTTAATTTTAAATTCTTTAAGTATTAAATGGCTAGAAATGTAAAAAATGCTCGGAATTATGTATAATATGAGAGTTTTCATAATATGGATTATTTTTGAAGCTTTTAGAGAGGAATAATTCTTAAATTGTTAATTATTAAAATTAGTTGACTTTTCAATAATATTTCATTTTTGGTTTTTATGTTATTTTATTTTTAAAATTAATTTATTTAAAATTTAGTTTTAACCTTTAAAATTAAACTATAAATTTAATAAAATGTTTATTATAAATAGGGAAATGAAGTCGAAAAGAAATAAATTGATTAAAGTGAATTAATTGAACATAGTTTTTCTAAAAATAAAATTCCTACTTATGACCGTCATGAAACTGCTAAGGAAGATGAATATAATTGCAGAAAAAAAAAAGAACAATAAAATAAGAATAATATGTTCCATACATTTAACAATTATAACAACAGTAACCTCTTAATTAAGCTTAAATAATTAAAAGTCATTATAATAAAAAAATTGTAAGATATGGTAATACCAACAATTATTAGGAAAGTTAAGAACTATATTGCTCCAAGAAAAATTATAAATAATCTTAAAGAGTATAAGAAATAAATAAATAAGAAAAACTAAAGAGTCATGAGCATCACATTGAAGTTGATAGAAACGAACAGGATACAGAAAAAGGCGAAGATACTTATATGAAAAGAAAATAAAAACAAGTAAATTTTAGCTGGAGAAAAAAATACAAGAAACAGAAACTATGCTCAATAATTCAAAAAAATCTATTAAAAGGTCATTACTCAAGAATAGCTCAATAAATTGTAACAATTCTTTGAAAAATATAGTCAATAATGGAAGTTAGGTGAGCTTATAAAATGTAACTCATAATGAATATAAAAGAAGCAACAGCAATAATAGCATAAATAAAAGTTAAAAAATATTTGATTAAGTGACTAGCAATCATAAAGAAGCCTAAGTCTTAAACAAAAAATTAATGCAGCTAAAAAGCAATATGAGCAAGATAAGTCGCTTATAATCAAACAAAGGCTTTGAAATAATGAATTATAAGAAGAAATAGAGAAACTTAATAGAAAAATGAAGAAAATGGCTAATTAGAGTGAGAAATCTAATGATCTTGAAGAGGATTATAAAAATTTAATGGAATCCTTTGAAATATATAGTATATTAGACAATAATAAAAACAATTAATTACAAATTTAAAAAATGAATTAGATCATTTTAAAAAGCATCAACATAATTCACATTAGTAATCTTAAGATTCCAATAAAAATGAAAAAATGAGACCTAGATTAAAAAAAATAAATTATTTGATCATTTTCTTAATCTTAAGTTCATGTTTTTTTTTCAAATTTCTTATGAAAATAAATTTATTTACATTTTAAATTTTGAAAATTTGATAAACCAAATGAAATTAATTAGAAAAATAATTTTTAAAGTTTTTTATAAAAATAAAAAGTGTTTTAATTTTAAGTCAATAAATATTTTTTAAATGAAATAGCATTAAAAATAGATTTATTTCGTCTTTCATCCGCTCTTTATAACTAATTATTTATTTAAAGAGTCCAAATTTTCCTTTTTTGAGTATTTTATGTTTATTGTAAAAGAAATAATTCGTTTTGAGAAAATTAGATTAGATTTTGATAAATGTATTTAATGAAAATTAGAAATTCTAATAGATAATTAGATTAAATTAATTAAAAATATATTTAAATTAGATATATTCTCAAATATCAGCATATTTTTAGTTATTTTATTTAAATTCTATGCTTTTAGATTGAGTAAATATTTTTAGTTATTTTATTAAATTCTATGCTTTTAGATTGAGTAAATTTATTATTTATCATTAATAATTACCAAACTATTAATTGAAAAAGGAAGTTTCTCATCAACCCCTTTTTCAAATTTAATGAGAGCTTAGTGTGGCTTAATATTTTAGGAAAAAGTAGGAACTTATTATTATGAGAATTTACAAATATAAAATTTTTTTCCCTTCTAATATGAAAAATATGTAAATAAACATGAAGAGATAATTATTTATTGAAATAAATTTAATTTTAAAAAGAATTTATTTGAAGCTGAATATTTATTTTATCAAAAAAATAATTTTAATTAGTATTTTATTTTATGGTCTTTAAATTATTAATAATATTTAAATTAGTTATTGAAATAGGCAAATTTATTCTTACAAATATTTTTTTTTTCAGAATAATGTAAGTTATTTTATATTTTTAGGTTTAAATCAAATTATTGTTAGTAATATAAAACAAAATGGAATTTAACAGATAGCTCATTATGCTATTGATCAATTTAAAATTTATTTTTATTATTTTGAATTTTGAAATAAAAAAATATTTTATACTATTGTTGATAATTACTGATGAAAAATGAATAGAAAATTAAAATAATTGCTTTCTAATAATTTTGACAAATAAAATATTTTTTTAGTAATTTTATTAAAATAAATTGAAAATAAATATTTTAATTTTAAGAAGTGATTGATATATTTAACTTTTTATCTGCTATTATTATTATTTTAAATAAATATTTTACTACTTTTCTTATTCTATAATTTTGATATAGCTGAAGTAAATAATTGAAATATTTTGTTGATAGATTCATACATAAAGTTTCACTACTCTCCTTCACTTAAAATTTGATTAATTCATCTGATTTACTTAGAGAGGATAGGAATTGTGATTTTATTGAATAAAAGTAACATACCTATATATTTAGTAAATCTTTGTTTTCTAAGAAATATTCCTGATATTGTTATCACTTCTTTTGAAAATTATAATGCCTAGTATTCTTTCTTTTTTTTATACAGGGAAATACTTTTATTTCTATTACTAAAGTTATTTTTTATTTAAATTTAAGCTAAATTATAATTATAAGTATTTTTTACTAATGAAGTAAAGTAGAATTTTTTTAGAGTATTGAAACATTCAAAATCATTTTAAATGAAAGTTTTGAGGATCAAACTCCTTGTAAATTCTGTATATTTGTAAAAAAAATTTCAAATTTGTTTGTATTTCTTAATTTTCCTTAGATTATTTAATTTCTAAACTATAAATTAAAATGAAAGCTGTTTTTAACTTAAATATGAATAAACGATAGTTTCTTTTTATATTATAAGGAATATTATAATTTATATAAATATAATCAATAAATATGATATAAATTTTTTTCTTTTTGCAAAAATATATTCAACCATTTGAATAAAAATAAATTATTAAAAGAAATTTTATTACTTTTTGCAATTTTCTCATTTAACTTGAATTATTTCATTAAAACAAACTTATAATAATTTTAAGATAAAGATAGATAAATGTATTAATAGATTGAACAAAGAAAAAAGGATACATACATAGATAGAAATATCTATTTGAATATAAATATTATATTATAAAGAAATTTGATTACTTTTTGCAATTTTCTCATTTATCTTGAACTATTTCAATGAAATTTACAGCTATAATAAAATTAAAAAATTATAATGATTTCAAGGTAAAGATAGATAAATGTATTAATAGATTGAAGAAATAAATATAGATATGTAGATAGATAGAAATATCGATAAAAAATTTAGAATAGAAGGTTTGGATTAAATCAATCAATATTTAATTTTAAGTATCTATATCAATTATAATTAAAAATAAATAAAATAAATCAATAAAATTTATTTTTTTGATTAAATTCAAAGATATTGATAAAATATTTCTAAAATAAATTAATTTAATCACTATCTTTATTTCTTAGCTATTTTTTATCTGCTTAGTTACTTTATTAAAATTATGAGATATTACAATATTGTAAAAAAGAGAAGTTTTTAAATGTTAGCAAATATTCATAAATAAAAAAAAGCATCTTTTTTTGATCAAAAAACCTATTTATATTTTAATATATCAAAGATATACCAAAATTCTCCACCCTCCTCTTAAATTCCAAAAATAATCTATTGCTTATTGCATGCTAAAATAAAGTATTTAAATTAAAAAAATATTAATTAAATTTAGGATTTTATCAAAAACGAAAAATATTTTTATTTTTAGTATTTAAAATTATTATATAAAAAATTGTTATTTTTGTTATAATATTGAAAAAAATTAAATGATCTATTTAACTAATTAAATTTTCTTATTTTCATTTTATCTTCTTAAATGGGAATTTTACAAAGAAAAAATATAGTAAATTAAGGAGCTGATTACTCATTTTTTTAATTATTTCAGTTTGAAATAAAAATGGAAAAGTATACACTTTCTAAATTCACAAAATAATATTTATTTTTTATCAGTTAATTTAAATATACTGAAGGTAATTATGAAATGATTTACTTGAAAAAAATAAAATAAAATTATTTTTAAAAATGATTTAAAGTCCTGATGTTGTTACAAAATAACAAAAATAAACTCTTAAAACTTAATTAAAATATCTTTGAGTAAAAAAAACTCAAAAAATGGCAATATTTATCTAAGAAGTATTTTTCAATCAAATTATTTGTTTAAATGAAAGTTATAAAGCTCCTAAAAAATAAATATAGCATGAATAAAAGTTAATACAATATCAGTTGAGTAGAAATAAAAAGAAGATGGAAAATTAATAAAGAAATTTAATCTTTGAATAATTCCCTTGAAGAAGATAATATAAATCTAAATCTATCATTAATATTAAAAATCTAAGTATATTAGACATTAATAAAATTAATTAATTAACAATAACAAATATAATAATGATATATAAATCAATATATCAAAAACAAAACAAAATTAAAAAAATTAAGAGTCTAAAATAAATGAAGAATAACAAAATTAAAAAAGCATAATATTTGATGGTAATTATAGGTTTCTATTTTTATATTATATTATTTAAGAAAAATAACTTAAATAGGAATAAATAATTAATAAAAACGTTAAGTCCTTATTTAATATTAGCATACCTCAAAATAAATATGATTAAAGAAGTTTTTTTGATGTTTTCTTCAAATCTGAAATAGATTAAAAAATAAAAAATTCTTATAATTAAAATCAAGGTTTTAAAACTCTAATGTTAATTTTACTTTTTGATCTAAAAAATAATAAAATTTTCTTTTTTTATTTGATAACACATATGATATGTTTATAAATCTTAACATAATTATGAATTACTTGATTGTAAGCTAGCTTTAAATTTGATAAAACAATTTTTAAAAATTCAAAGCTGGTTTTTTGATTTCATTAGAAAATGTTTTAAATTTATTTTGATGGATAACAACATACTAATATTATTATTATTATTATAATCATACTTTGTTTTCATTTAGAATAGATAATTTTACAGTAAGAAAATCATTAATTCAAATAAATATTCGCTTTATAAATCTAACAAAAAATTTTACAAATATTTATTATATCGACTCAATAAGATGATAGTAATTAATTATTATACTTGGTAATATTTGAATAATTTATTTAAAAAAATAAAAAGGAATATAAATAATTTTTCCTCTTAAATTTTTGATTTGCTTTTGATATTGGTACTACTATTTTTGATTAACAATTATTCCCTTTAAGATAATGTATTTAATTTTTTGTAAAAAAGTAAGCAGAAAATCAATATTTGTAAAAATTAGCCAAATTATATTTTAATAAATCGAACAAATTACTAAATTTAAAAGAAAATATAATTTAAGGATTATCTTATAAATCTATTTACATAAAATAAATAAATGTAAAAACATTTTTTTCCTAAAACATATGAATTTAATCTAAGATATTTAAATTTTTATATGATTTCAATAATTTATTTGGATTGATAATCTATAAATAAAAACTTTTGTTGAATTACTTCTATGAAGATAAATAAATATTTTAATTTATTATATAAGATCTACTATAATTTATTAAGCATGCCAATCAAAATCCCTTAGCTTTTTTTCCAATCATTAATTTTTATATCCCTTTTTTTACTTTATTAATGTAAAAATAGCGATTATTTTGCAAATCATGATCACATGCATTACTTTTACATTTTATTTTTACTTATTATTAGCTCTCAGCTATTTGCAAACATTAAATAATTATCTATCCAAAGAGAGATTTAAAATTATTGCATCTTAATATTTCAGAATATGTCAAATTTTTGAACTCTGAGACATCCAACTAATAAATTTTACATTCGAATGCTGAAATTTTAGAATTTCTGTTGAGTTTATAAAAATCAGTTTCATAGTGCTTAAGAAATAAAGCAGTGTAATGTATTTTTGTGTAGTGCTGATACTTAATTTATTGAGCGCGAAATTTTACTGAGTTTTCTTTTAGTCTTTTGATTATTTCGATTAAGCTATTTTTTTGGTATTCGCTAAGGTTGAAGCAATCTAAAATATTTGGGCAAATCAATTGAGTGACCAATCTCATAAAACTATTTTTAAAGTTATGAAGATCAACGGCATATTTATTTTTCAGAATTTTCTTTCCTTATTTTTTGTTACTATTTTTTATTAAAATTTTGATAAGAAAATAATTTAATAACTAATAATTAGAGATACATATAATTTGTTTTTTACTTAAAATATTATTAGCTAATAATTTAAATTTTTTGTTTGCTTTCCTTATTTTTTTCTTTTGACAAAAATTTTTGAAATAAACAACAGACATAGTTTTTTAGGATATCTTGGCAACAATCCTTCACATCAAGTGTGACAATTTCATCAATTTAATATGAGAACACCTTAAAGAATCGCGGTTTAATTTTCTAAAGATAGGTAGTAACTTAATTAAGTAAACCCTGATTTATAAGTTAATGATTCGTTCTTATCATCATTGTTTATGGTGATGCTAAATGGTTACTTTCTTCTTCTTTTATATTACTGAATACACTCTTCATTCTTGTTATGCAGTTTCTATCAAGTTGAATTTAAGAATTATTGTAGCGTGATATTATTTTGAAGAATAAATCATAGTAAAATGTCTTTGAATATTAACTAAACTGCTGTGATTAATTTTATCGAACATTATTATTAATCAATCTTATTTAGCATTGCTTTTATGTAATTTCTGATTGAGAGCATACTACAGTCACTTAGTTAGGAAATTACTAAAAGCGATAAAAGCATTACTTAGTATGTCTTTCTAGATACTTTTCATCCTAATTTTAATCAATCTTATTCATAATATGATCTTAGCTTTACAGTAATAAATTTAATTACTCTTCTTCTATTTTTAACATCAAACCTGTTTTATATTAAAGTATAATAATTGTTTTATTGTTGAATTATTATTAATAATTAGATTAACCACCAAAAAGGGACAATAATTTAAATAATTAAGTACATTTTAAAGTGAATATAGTAAATTAATACAAATAAAAATATGAATTAACTGCCTTTTAATGAAATTTATAATAAAACAATAATTTTTAAATTGAAAGTAAATTTTCAAGTTGTTTTAATTATTAAATTTTACAAAGTAACCTTAGCAGAAATGCAAAGAAATTAAATTAATCAAGCCGATTTATTTAATGACAAGACAAAAAAATAGAAAGTAAAAATCATTTACAACTAATATTTATTTTTCTAATATTATATGATTGATATTGTAAAAAAATATCATTTATTTCTTAAAAATGTTACTTATTTATTCAATTTAAATTATGACAAACATTCAGATAAACATTATTATTTTAGGAGAATTTTACTTGTTTTACTAAAATAAAAATTATAAAAAAATATCATCTTAGTAAATCATAATAAAAACAAATTTTTGATTTCATTTGAAAATTAAAGGAATAAATAAATTAATAATTACAAAGAAATGCTTATTTAATTTACAAAAGGTGAAATATAATATATCTTATTTTAAATAATATACACTTTGTATTCTTATAACATTTCATTTTTTTTTAAAAAATAAATTTTTAAAAAGAAAATAATTTAAATAAATTTTTTTATGTTCAAAATAGAAATTATTTTTAATTGTTAAATACAAACTTTAATATATAATATATAAAAATAAATTAATTTCTAATCTTTTATCAAATATAATTTACTAAAAATCAAAACAAAATATAACAAAATCATAATAAAATAAATTTTTTTATAAAGAAAATAAAATAAAAAATTACAATTTTATAAACGAAAAGTAGTAAATTAGAGTTATAATATTTTTCTAAATACTATAACTTCATAAAAATATTTTAAATTTATAAAAAAATAGCATTATTTGGTACATGTTTTATTAGTAGATAATTAGAAAGAAAGTATATAATATAAAGAGTAATTGGAAGTAAATAAAAAAAGGATATGCTTGCTATTCAATAAGGAATTCGAATTATTTTATAAAAATATTTTTTTATACATGTATATGAAAAGACAATTAATTGACTAGCTTCTTAAATGGTTTGAAATAGAAGATTAAGATAAAGACATTTTAAAATTTTTGCAAAAACATAGTAGTTTGAATAATTGATTAAGATTTTGCTTTTCTATGAAACTTACACTTTTATTTTTAACTTTTTTAAAGAAAAACAAAGTAACTCTTTTATTTCTTGGATTGCGTAATGTATAATTGAAAGCACGTAATTAAAATAGCCATTATTATCAATTTTATGACTTACAAATTTGAATGCTCATTTGAATTAATAAAAATCAATCGAAAAATATGAAAATAAAATAAAGTATATGACTAATAATAGAAGTGAAGTAAAGTAAAGAAAAACAAAGAAAATTTAAAAAAATTTATAAGAATTTAAATATAAAGAGAAAAATAATATAAGAAATTAATTGGTATTCTGCTATGATTATCTAATGAAAGTTTGAAAAAATAAATAAATAGGTAAAGCAAATAATCTACCTGATTTTTAAATTAGATCTATTTGGTTTTTAATTTTCAAATAAAGTAAACTGTAACATAAATGACATTACATAAATTTTAATTGATCTAGTAATTAATCTGAAATTTTAAAAAATTTTCTTGTGTTTACTCTTTTTATTATTGTTTTAATTATATATAATTTAATATACCGTAAAAGTTCTAACTTAAGGATGTTTTTAAAGAATAAAATAAAACAAAATCCTCCTTGTTAATACGTGTAAATTTGACAAAATGGGTTTATATTCTACTGGGTTGGCATTCTTATTATCCTTTATATCTTTAATTCATAGAAGTTAATTTTGTTACATTTAAAAACAATTTGATGGAGAATATATTTGATTAATAATAAATTTTTCTTTTAAATGACAATATTTTTTTAATGAGTTTTTTCTTACTCTCGTTATTATTTTAATTAAATTGTCTTAAACAAATTGCTTTTAAATAAAAAGGATTAATAAATAATTTAGTAAAATTAAATAAATAAATAGAAAGTTTTAATTTTTAAAATTATTTACAGTTTGAATTTATTTAAATAATTTTAAATCATTTATTTTATTTATATTTTTTACATATTTTTCAAATAATTTAAATTATACTTAATTTTAAGTAATAATAAATAAAGAGATATTAGATCTATTAATTTTTTTTATTTAATTTAACTTAACCAACAAATCAATTTGATTTTTTTCCTTTTATTGGTTTTTATATCCCTTTTCTTACTTTACTTATATTAAAAGTAGTGTTTGTTTTGTTTATCATTTTCGCATATAATAATTTGATATTTATATTAGCTTATATTTCTCTTTAATCTAATTATAAACAATAAATCATTCTCTATCCAAATAGATATTTAAAATAATTGAATCTCATAACTTCAGAATTTTTCATTTTTGCAATTAAAAGAAAATTTCTACAAAAATTTTCAATTAATTTTTACTTGATTTTTTAGAAAATTCGTTGTTCCAATTATTTTTAATCTAATACTATACAAAACATATCTTATTTTTACATGTTAATATTCTTAAAAAATAAGATGAAAAATCGTTTTAAATAAAAGTCAATATTATTTTCTAAAAACTACACTTTTTATGAAAAAAATGAAAAAGAAATTAAAATATAATATTTTGGTTTTAAAATTATTCAGAGGGAATAATAAATACATATAGAAAATAAATGTCATGTAGAAGAAATTAATCATAAAATTACTTAAAAATGCGCATTCATTAATACTATTTTTAGTAAGATAATAAGTACGATTTGTGCAATAACTATAAAAAGAGTTTTAAAATAATCTTAAGCATTAATACAGTTCAATTTATTTATGAATTTAAATTTGCTTCTGATAGATAGATAGATGACACTTAAATAAAATTCTAAATTGATAATATTCTTCCAAATCAGTATTATTTTTTGATTAAATATAAATAAAGTAAATTGAAATAAAATTCTTTACACATTTTTGTAAAATGGAGTTTTAAAAATCGATTTGATTATGATATTTTTTTTGATTTTATAATTATAAAATAATAAAGAGAAACAAAAATATTTTTTATTTAAAAATGATGAAATATCTAAAATAATAAAGATGATTGTACTTGCTATTTTATTTAACTATAAATTTATTTTAAAAAATCTTTTCATGAAAATTTTGAAAAATTTTATTGTTAGAAATGTCCTCGGTTATTGTGAAATACCTTTATGAAAAATTATAGTTTATTTTAAATTTATTGAATATAAACAAATATTTTAAACTTATAAAAACTCCAATCTAAAACTTTAAAAATATTTTAATCAATTCAAACATAGATTGATTAAAAAATTTATTAAAGGATGATTGACAAAAACATAGATAATCAGACAAATGAGATATTAAAATGAAAGGAAATCAAATGGAATCAAGGATTATTAAAAAACTAATTAATTTTTTAGTTTGTTAAAAATGATTAAATAGAAAATAAATTAAGAAAATAGAATTCAAATTTAGATTTAAAAAATATTATCTTGTTAGATTAGTGATAATTATTTACCAGACTATCCTTAAACAATAATAATTATAATTTATCTATAATTTAAATAAAAATAATTAAACAAATAATATTAATACTCTAATTACTGATTGTTAAATTGAAAGAAAATTATGATAATTAATATTCATGAAAATTGTATTTTACTGCTTAAAAATTTCATTTTTCATTTAATTTTCAGATATTAATAAAATATTGGAACTGAGTTAATAATAAATATGGTTAAAAACAGAAGTAAGTAAATAAATTAATTAATTAAAGTAAATGTGTATTTCTACGAATTAGAAAGATAGAAAGGATTGTATTTTATAAAATTGATTGGTAAATCTGTTGTGTTTAGCTATTAAAAAAGGATAAAATTAAAAATAAAAAACAAAATAATTTGATTCTAACATCAAATTAATTTGTAAAGCAATTTTTAAATAAAGTAAATTGTAACATAATACAAGATTTTAAAAATAAATCATTTTGATCTTAAAACTAATATAAAACTCTAAAAAATTTTTGTTCACACCTTTTTTCATATATATTTGACAAATAATTAATTAATATTCGTGAAAGAATTTTATATAAATAAAACCACGTCATCAATTCTAGGAAATATTTGTATTTCTAGTTAATTTTTCATCTAATCTTATATGAATATATAATTGAAAATGTAAATTACATTGATATCTTTTTTTATTAATTTGTTTGTTTCCTGATTTACTATATTTATATATGATAACTAACTAACTAAAGCCATCTACTAAATTTAGTTCTTCCTTATTAGGTTAACAAGTCTTTCAAATTTAATATTTTAAAAAATAAAATAAATTTAAATACTATTATGATTATGTTATTCATTACACATTAAAAATGTTTGCTGTTAAGTATGACAATAAGAATTAAATAAAAGAAATTCAAAGAAAATTTACAAAAATCTTCTTTAAATTAATTTGATGATTTATTTTTTTTCTTTCAGTCAATTTCCAATATAATTAGTTACTAAATTATTAATCTTAGAAGGTTACAGATTGATTTTGCAAAGTAAATTATGTAAAAAAAGCAAAACATCCATAAAAACAATAGTATCTATCAAAATAACTCTTAAAACACAACTTTACAAAAAAAGTAACTTGAAAATTTTAGGATTATAAAATAATTATTTAAAAAATTCATTTTATTGTTATTAAATTTGAAAATTTGGTAATCTATCTAATTTTCCTTTATATTTAATAAAAGAAATTTAAAGATTTATGGATTTAAAAAAATCCGAAATTTCTATGAACTAATCTAATTAATTATAAGCTTAGCTCATAGAATTTTTTAATTGTTAATTAATTTTAGCAATCTTCTAATTTTTTGAAAAGTAATTCATTTAAATGCAACTTGATAACAAAAAACACTTATTTTAATCAATTCAATTCAGCAAATATATCTGTAATCTAAAAGCTATTTTTTTTTTCATAAAATAGAAATTATTACAAATACTTAGAAAAAATGGTAAAAATTTGTTAAATTTTGCTTTTTTAAAGTATGTCATGGCATAATTTTATAAAATATAGAGAAAAAATCTATAAATTAACAAACAAACAGAAATGAATATTTAAATTTGAGTATATTTTTTATATAATAATGAATAAAAATTAGTTAATATATATTTTCGCAATTCAATGAAAGATCCATCAAAATCTATTTGCCTTTTTACCTTTTAATAGCTTTTGTATTCCTTTCTTTACTTTACCAATGTAGAAATAGCGACTTTTTAGATAATCACTTTAACTTATATTACTTATATTATTAGAATTTCCTGAAAATTAGCTTTCAGCAATCTCGAGACATTTAATTATTATTTAGCCAAACAAATATTTCAAATGATTGGCTTTTATTATTTCATTAAAATTTACTTTTTAAAATTCTTAAGTATCTAATTTAAATACTTTAAAATGTAAATCCTGAATTATAGAACTGCGCTTTAAATGCTAGTAACTCGTTTCATAATAGTTAAAGAATAATAAATTATAGTGTATATTTGAGTAATAATGGTATTTTCCCTTTAAAGGACGAAATTTTACTGAAATTTCTCTTAATCTTTCTACTGTTTCGATTAAGCTGTTTTTTGTATATTGGCTGAGATCAAAACAATCCAAAATCTGAGGGCAAACCAGCTAAGTGATAATATTCATGAAACTGTTTTTGAAATTATGGTATTCGCTTTGACTTTTAGCTTTCATAATATTTCTCCCCTCATTTTTACTCCTATTTATTTATTTGGATTCATAAAAAAACTTTGATTAGAAATTTATTAATTAGTAATTGAATTTACTTAATATTTCTTTTGCTATTATTATTTTAACTTAATAATATGTGTTTGTTTTTTACTTTTATTATTGCTGCAGTATAAAACTTCTGAAAAATTTAATTAACAAATGCATCCAGAGAGCTTTAGCTGCCTTCCTTAACTTTCAACATGATAGCTTCATCAGAGTAACTTGAAAATATATCCAGGAATCGTGGTTTTATTGATTGTAAATAGTCTGTCATGGTATTTAGTAAATCTTAACTGGTTAAGTAATCCTGACTTGATATCATCTTAGTTTACAATAATGATGATTAATGAGTCCCTTCTTCTTTTTTTATGCATCTATACTAGATGTTGTTTATAGTACAATGACTGTTTAGCTGCTAATCCAAAACCCAATTTTAGTTATAAATGTTTTTGATGAATTAGTTAATATAGAATTCTTTTGTATACTATGTATATTGTGATGACTAATCAGTTTAAATTTTATTATTTATGTAGCGAATTGAACAATGTTTATTATTAATTTCTTATTAAGTGCACACTACTGTAACTGATTTAGGATTGCTTACATAGCGGTAATAGCATTACTTTGAAGGTATTTGAAATTTTTTTGAACAAACGTTTGAAGTGAGTTGACATAGATTTTGAGTTTAGTTAGAAAATTTTTATTATTCTTCCTCTAATTTGATCATCAAGATTTCCAATTTTCTGTTAAGCACTATTATTGTTTGTTTATTACTAAATTATTGTTTGTTGAACTATTTTATTATTAGTAGAATATACTTATGTATTTATGAGAACTAAACATTTAAAAAATTAGACTTGATTGAATAAACTTAAACAGTAAACAATTTAAAAAAGTTATCACATTTTATCTTTATTACCAAATTTTTTTTGTGCAAAGGAAGGAATTCAGCCAAAGTACCTATATAACATCAAAATTGCAAAGTAATTTGAAAAGAAAAGAAAAACAATTAAATTTAGTGCCTTTAAAGAGTTTGGAATAACAGATAATTTTTTTAAAAAGTTTTTTTGAGCTAGATGAATTTTAAAAAGTTCTTTGAGTTGTATAATTTTTAAAAAATGTATTATTTTTGTAAGTATCTATCTGTATGTATGTGAGTTTTCTTTTAACTTAAATATGTCAAAATAAATAAAATAAAAAGTTTGAATGATATATTATCGCATTTAAAAGAGTTTTTAAATCAAATATTATAAATTATTGGATTTTTAATTTCGATAGCAACGACTTCTAAAAAATAACTAAAAAAGATTAATTCATTTTTGAAATTACTTATTTTTTATTGAATTAATCAAATAAATTCATTTCATCATAAGTAATTTCTGATATAAAATAAATACAAATTAAAAACATATTTAGATTTTAAAAAGCCTGGCAATTTTCTCAAAATAGCTATTTTTTAATTCCAACAAGTAAAATCATTTCAATAATAAAACTTAAAAATTTTGAAAAAATCAACTGGTTTATTTTATTTAATTATGAAATATGCTTAGAGAAATCATTTTTAATTTAATTTTATGATAATTTATTTTCTTTATTTTGTTAACTTTTTACATTTTTAAAGAAAGAATAGGATTGATATAACTAATAACCTCAAATAAGTATTTTAAATTTGATTATTGTTAAATTCAAAAGTTGCTTTATTTTTAATTAGCATTAATATAAAAGCATTAAGTAAGCAAGCATATCTATCTTAAAAAAGTATTAAAAATGACTGAATTTATGCCAATTGGTAGACAGATTTTAATAGATAAGAGGGGATACTAACGCAAATTTTTCCATAGTCCTCTAGGCATTATAAATCCTCTGCATTTGACTCGTTAAAAGTTTTTAGAACAATTTAAACATAATGTATTTCCACCATCAATTCCAGCAAAAGATAAAGCATGTGATCTTGATTTGATTGGTTTTAAGAGTAAAATCCACAAGTATTCTTTGTTTACCTAATTAAGATTAAGGTTAATGCAATTTTGATTACTATATATAGGGATGACCCAAACCAAATCTTTCAAGAATTCAATCTGAAAGATATTTTACCTCAACATATAGCTAGGCCATATATTTACATAACAAAGGTGAATAAAAGATTAACTCCGAAGGAAAAAGGAACTATGAAAGAAGGTAAATATCTATCCAAAATAAACAAAGAAATTATTTGAAACTTAAAATAAGTAAATTAATATAATTTTTTGTTCAAGAGGATTTAAAAAAGTATAATTACTCTCATAACAACGATTGGAATAAAAGCACTAACTTGTGCTCTCATAAAATTACAAAAAATTCAAACTAAAATAAAGTAGAGTTATAATAAAATATTGAATGCTAATCAAAAGAAGAAAGAGAAGAGTTTTATGAAATATCCTAAGTAACTTAATAAACATTTTTTATTACCTTCCTCAGTATTTAAAATTAATTTATTTATTTATTAATTTAAATGTAGAAGCAAACTTAGTTTATATTTGAATTTTACAAGTTACTTAAACATATGCTTTTAAAAAATGGTAAAAAAAAAAATGAATTAAAGTGTTGTCTTTAAGAATACATCAAAAAAAATAATAAACTAGTTGATACTGATCAAATTTAATGTAATATTTTATTTTCAACTTTATTTTAAATAATATTTTAATTTAATGAAAATAATTATTATTTTATCTTGCTTAACTCTTCACACTCCTCCCTTTAGTCTGTTTTTTAAAAGAAAATTTATTAATCTAATTTTATAAAATTTAATAAGTGGGTTATAAATAAAAATAAGTATCAAGTAAATAGAATTTTTAAAATAATTTTTTCTTTATGAAAAGAATTTAAAATTTATTAAATTGGATAAAGTAGAAATCAATAAATAAATTCTTTATTAAAGATATTTGAAAATTAAAAATATACTGTCAAATAAATTTTTTGTAAAATTGAATTATTTAAAGTTAATAAATAGGAAATAAAAGATTTTTTAAGCAGCTTTAAACATTAGTTTACAAACGAGAAAATAGATTCTATCTTAAATAACTTTTTTTCTAGCGTTTACGATGAAAAAATATGTTTAAACAAAATTTCAATGAGAGCTCTTGTATATAATTTTAATAGATATTATGAAAGTAAAGAGAAAATAGAATAAAAATTTAGTTTAGCAAAAGCAAAAAAATTAAATGCCCAAATACATTATGATGCATGCTATTGGACAGTAATTAATTTTGAAATCAATGAAATTGTAAATAAATTGTGTTTTTTTTTTAGTTTAATTATAAAAAGCTACTAACTAATTTAAAATAAATTGAAGATAAGGAATAGTCTTCATTAGATAGAGTTTTAAGTTTATATGGTGAGAAACTTCATGCTTAATATAAAAAAATAATTGAAGATAGAAATAAATATATGAAAATGCGAATTATACTTGCAAAATTCTTCAAAAATTCTCTTTAGGTTAAATAAATACTTGAAATAGAAATAATTGCAAAAGCTTTTATCTAATTAATACTACATAAATCTCATGAAATAGCACTTTTTTAAGATTTTATTTCAAGCTATTTTTCTGATAATGAAACTAGAAAAGTTTAATAAGTTCTTAAAAAAGAAGATCTTGCTGAGTATTTAATAAAATCTTCATATAAAAAAGACGAAGCTGATGTTATTATAAAAAGAGTTGTTGGCCTTTATAAATATGCTCAAGAAGAAAAAAAAGAGAATTCTCAGATAATTGTGCAACAAGTAATTTAAAAGAATTGAATAGAATTAACATAAGTTAGAATTTTTTACTTTAAAGAAAACTTTCATTTTGCTTGAATCTAAATTATTTTTTGAATCGTATAATTTATAATATAACTTTTGATAACCTACTTTCTAATCAGATGAAATATTTAATTATTATATTACTATCAAATATAAATAGCTTGTTTGATATATTGAAATAATATATATCTTAATCAATTACAAGTAGTTATTAGAAAAGCATTAATTTTTATTGAAATAAATTTTGAGAATTTATAAAAGTAAATTGATAAAAAATGAATGAAAATAATAGGTTGACAAAGAGACATTTTTAGAATATTTGAAAATAAGTATGAAAAAGCAAGATAAAAAAATGAGTATTTTTGTGAGAATGATGGATGAAATACAAAAATACTTTGAAGATGAAGTAGAAATTAGAGAAATTAAAGAAAAAAGTGCAAAAAAATATGAAATGAATATGATTGCTAATTTTATCTTAAAATATTTACAGAAAATTGATCGAAAATTTTTGAAATGCTAATGGAAAATAATGAGCATTTTAAAGCTTTTTGAAGAAAATACTATCACTTAGCAAAAATTAGAATCAATATTAAATTCGCATGGAGTGCCTTCATCATTTACACTAAAATTTCTTTTTTCAACTCAAGTTTACTAAAAAAAATCTAATTTTCTTTGTCAAGAAAGGTAGTTAGCGTAATGGAAAATCGATCTATAAAAAGCATTAGGGATATACAAAGAAGAGTTATCAAAAATGAAAAACTTCTTCGAAGACTATGGAAACATGCAATATGAAGATGAGGAAGAATAAGATGATAAAAATGTAGAAGAAGTTTAATAAAACGTAGAAGATATAAAGCCTGAAGTATTAAATGTAAATTTGTTTATTCAAATTGATTTTTAAAGTTTCTTTAATTAATTTTATTTATTTAAATTATTCAGTAGAAAGTCTAAGAAGTAGCGGAAACAGCAAACTAATAGAAAAAAGAATAATTTGATTCTGTAAGCTTCTAAGAAAGTAGAAGAAATTCAATAAAAACTGAATTACAGATTGAAAATACAAAATCAAATATAAACTCTAAGAAAAGGATCAGTAATCAATAAAAATTTTTGAACCAATTTGAAAATATTTGCAATTTTTTATTTTAAAATGCTAAAAAAAAGGTTTTGCAGAATTACCTAACGAAAAAAGTAAGAGATCTTCAATGAAATCAAGTATGTTATTTAATTAATTTAATTATTAAAATGTATAATTACTTAATTAATAATAATAAAGTCCCTAGAGATTATGAAGAAGAAGAAGACTCTCTATCTAAAATTTCAACTGATATGGATTACTTATCATTATGCGAATCTCTAATCTCACAGTAATTAATAATTATACATTTTTGTTTTATTTTAAATTAAAAATGTTTTTAGGATAAAAGTAGAGAATCATTTAGTTTGAGAAAGATATAAATAATTATACAAATTAAAAGTAGAGATCAAAATAAAATTTTATAACAAATAAATTGAATTTGTATTAACCATAAATTATTTTTATTAGTAAACATAATTTTTCTAAATTTTGTACTTAATAAAGCAAACAAGTCATAGAAATTATTTTAAAAAGTTGTTGATAAATAACAATTTTATTTTTATAGTTGCAAAAAAGATTAATAATATTTTATAATAAGTATTTTGTCAAATAAATATATAATGATGTTTTCAACTGAAATTTGAACTAAAAATGTTAGATATATATGATTATAACCAGTAAATTTAAAGCAGTTTATTTGCATCAATAGAATTAGTTTTTAAAAAATTAGAACAGCTCAATAAGAATTAATTAACTGGTTTTTAATTGAGCTATTATTTTATTATTGCAAGCAAAATCATTAGCTAGTTTGTGAATTATTATTTCAATCTAAATTTAAATTATTAATTTACCAAAAATGTCAAAACATTTTCTTTGAATTTTTTTAAAAATAGAAATGGAAATCCAATATTTTTTAAAATTCAAACTTGCAAATATCTAATGTATAATTTTTGTTACTTATTGAAAAGAGTTAATATTTTTAAAAGCTTCCCACAGTTAATTAAAAAGTCATTTATGATTTCACAAAATTTTCTATGGTAAAAATTGAATTAACTATTCCAATGGAATTAATTTTTTCTTGATAAATAAATTAATCAATCCTTTTGCTTTAGTTCATTTTAACTTAAAAATTATAAATGAATGAACGATCTTAATTGGCTCGATAATTAATGGTTCCATAATAATTGATAGATTTGAATTTTAAAACAAATTAACTTAATAAAACTTTATAACACCACCGCTGGTATCAGTTTAAATAACAAAAAATGGAAACAGTATTCATTTTAAGGTAAATTAGAAAGTGAATTTGTAAATAAAATTGATTATACAATTAAGAATCTATAATGCAGTCAGTACAAAAAAAAATAAATGTAATAATGTTAGATTCCAAAAGAAATTATGCTTTTTAATTTTTAAATTTTGTATTACAAATCAACTGATATTTTTTAACCAGTAAAATAAAATATGCTTTGAGCTTATCCATACGTTCATTCAATAACAATTTAATTATTATTTTTTCAAATAACTAATCTTTAAATTTTGATTAAAATTTGTGAGTACTTTTAAAGTTTTAGATATCATAATAGATTCAATACTATTTCAAACATTCATTTTAAAAAAAGTTTGAAGATAAAAATAAAAAGCTTAAATTTTAAATAACAAATGTAGTTTAGCCTTATTAAATGAGATTTATCCATCATAAGAAACAAAAATCAAATTTAGAAAAAACTAATTTATGATTTTAAAGCATTTAAAAATTATTTTGAGTATTTATTTTTATATGAGGCTTTAAGTATTCCAAAAAAGAGATACTAAATATCCCTATTTAAGTTTAGTAATTAACCTTTATTAATTTCATCCTTTTATAGGTTTTTATTTTAAAATTTTCAAAATTTTATAGCCAAAAATATCTAAATGCTAAATTAATATAAAGATATAATAATAATTTATTTTAAAAATAGCACTGTTCAATGAGCATATATAAGTATTTTCATTATAAATATAATAAATAATAGAAACATTTTGATGCAATTAGCTAATTTAGTTATAAATATAATTAATTAACAAATATATCATTACAATTTATTAATTCATTTATTTACTATAATTATGGCTAGTATAAAAATATGGCTTTAAAAATTTTGTAATTGTTATTAAAAATAAACAAAGCAAACATTTAGCTCTTAAAATATTGAGTTTGTTAATTAGAATTTGTGCTAGTAAAGAAAACATGCTTTTTCATAATTAATAAATTAATTAAATATATAATAAATTAGCAATATAAGCTTATCGATTGTCTACTTTAAAATCCGCTGGTCTATTATTTGATTAATTGATATTGGTTAGAAAGAGTTGTACTAATAATTAGTAAATAATGTTTTATGAAGAAATTTTTTATTTAACTTGTATAAAAATTATAAATTTTAAGCAGTGGTTTTCTGGCCACAACTTTATTGACATATTTAGCTAAGTCTTCTTTTTAAGTCAGTAAGTCATTGAAAGAGAGAGAGAGTAATAGAGTGTATGAAAAATTATACTCTAAAAAGAATAATAGTGAGTGAAATAATGTTTTTTTTTTCTTTTCAAAACCTTATAGCATGCTTAGCTCTCTGAAGCTTTTATATTCCCTTTTTTACTTTGCTGATGTAATTGAAACGACTACTGTCTAGATAGTTTTAATTATTTTTTATATCGATTTCATTTAATAAAATATCTTCTGCATTTTGTAATGTAAATAGGACAATTTACCCAATAAATATTTTATAGAAATTGCATTTAATTACTTCAAAATCACTTTCTTTTTAGCAGTTTGAAAGATCCTCATTAAAAAAGACTTTATGATATTGAATATAATGTGCGCATTATTGAATTTCTGTTAGAGTGTTTTTATTTAACTTAAGAAATAGAGTAGAATAATGTATATTTGAGTAGTATTGATATCTTCCTTTAACAGGTCTGTATTTAAATGAATAATTTTTCATTCTTTCCAAAACCTCAGAAGAATAATTCAGATAAGAAATGGGAAGTTCAAAGCAGCTTAACACTTCTTTTGTAAAAATTTGAATTATTAAGTGCATAAAGCTGTTTTTTAAGTTGTGGTACTTAGATTACTATGAGCTCATATTCTGTTATGGAGAAGAAATTGAATTTTTTCTTATTTTTTCTAACAATTTTTATTAGCTTTCATTCTTTTGTTCTTCATTTGCCTATTTAAATTATTAATTTGTTTGTGAACAAGCTTATTTGATTAAAATTTATGTCTTTACTTAGCTATTTTCAGTATTTTAAAACTAGAAGTTGCTTTCGTTATCTGTAATATTTTTGGGCACGACTGTATTGCTGATTGCAGTGGATAGATAGCTTTTATTTATCTGATAACCAGCAGCTGATTGTTTATTGCAGTGCAATTCATCTAAATTAACTTAATCTTAATTATAAGATTTTTCAAAATTTATTTAAAAGCGCATTCGCTTATTTGTGGATAATTAATTAATTTTATCATCAGAGTTATTAACTTGGCAACTTTCTTTTTCATTTATATACTATTCACTATCTTCATCATCTTAATCTTCGTCATTGTCTGAAGCACATGAGTCGATATTTTTTCTTATTTTTTCCTTTAATAGTTATATCTATTTGATTTTTTCAGATTCTAATGCTGTAAGATCTTCTCTAGCCTAAGTATTGCTTTGAGATGTGCTACTGCTCTGTCTTCTCTCTCTACCTCTAAGTATAAAGCTATTAAATATTTTAATTATATGATCTTTAAATTTATTTTATTTGTCTTATTTTAACTAAATTGGAGGCATAAAAGACTCAAAACCCTTGTTTAAATACATTTAAGGATTTAAGATCTATTCATCAATAATACCTAATTTGTTGTTATAAAGGCTATTAGCTTTAGCCTAATCTTAATTAATATGATTATCGGTAAAAGAAAATTAATATTTGAAATTCTATTTAATCTGATCAAGATAATTAAACATAGTTTGTATAACTAATTCGTACTGAGTCTCTTCTGAGTTCTTTCTTTTACCAAAATAGCCATCATCACTATTATTGAGATTGCTTGCTTAACTTCTAAGGTTTGTCTTTGTATTGCTCAAGTAAGATTATTCTTCTATTTCACAAGAAATAGAAGATTAGTAGTTCAAATCCACAATTTATTACTGAACCATTTAGTGAATATTTGACTCTTAATATTAGCCCAACGAGCTGGGTTTTTTTTAGGATTCTTATTGCTCAAATTTGATGCATTAGGTTATTCTATCTTAATCAGTTTATTTTTTAGAAAATGCACTAGTATTAGATTTAAATGTTTGAGCAATTTCATGAGATTCTCTTTAATCATGCTTAGAAAAATTTAAAGTCTTAAAGTTCTTCAGAAAAGTTTTCTCAAACGTTGTTTCAAAAAAGCTTGAAACATAATCATCGATGCTTTTTGTTTTTAGTTGAAATTTCTTCAAAGAAATATATCTGAATTTGCACCTAACTTCATTGCTTGTAAGCAGATATCTTTTTCCTATTGTTTAAATTATTTTTATTCCCTCATATTTAGCATTTTTTCTTATTCTTTTGAAACAGCAATTCTTTATTTACTGTTTGTTTTTGTTATTATCTTTATCGTAGGACACGCTTTCATTCAAGATTATAGCTTTCTTTTAACCAATAGAATAGCCTTGAGTCTTAAATTTATTCTAGTAACCTTCTACATCCATGCTTTATCGAGTGATAATGAATTAAAAAGTACTTTGTTTGAATATATTTTTTATAATCTCTTCCTTAATTGTCAATTTTATAAATAGCTGCTTAAGGAAGATAAATAGAGACTAGATTTCAAGTATTTTTTAATTATTAGATGATATTTAATTATCAAACTATTTAAAAAATGAACTTTTTTAGTAAAAAAATAATTACTTATTATTTTAAATATTAATTTAATTAGTCAGCTAGTAAGTAAGTATCAAAGAAAAATCATAAAGATTAGACAAACAATTAATTTATTAATTAATCAGTCAATCAATTATTATTCTTTGTTAATTAATTTCTTTATTGCATAATTTAATTATTTTCGCAGAAAATTGAAATAATTAGTTTAAATAAATTAAAATGAATGATAACAGGTTGTAAATACATTTTCTATTTGTATATTTTATCAAGTAATTACATCTTTTTAATTAGCTATAAATATTTAAAAATATCCATAGCTTAATCAGTAATATTTCAAAGTATTCTTAAAAACTATTTGCTAAATAAATTTCAGCTAAGTAATATTTAATTTTTCACATATATCACTCAGTCACTATCCGCTCACTATTGTATCCAAATTTATTTTAAACAAATTAATTTTCTAGATAGATGGCTGATTTTTCAAATCATATTATGATAAAACTGAATTCCCATTTAATCAATCAAAATAAATTTTAATACTTTGTAAATATTGAAATTTCTATTTATTTGTTTATTTATTTATTTAATTATGCAATTCTAGCTTATCTAAAACTCCAATTCATCTAATTAACTATTGCTTCTTTTATAGATATTTTTTCAAAAACGCTTGATTTCCTTATTATTTATTGCACATAAAGTTTCAATTTTCATTGTTTTATCTAGCTTAAATTAGGGAAATCTAAAAAATCATATTGTAGAGTTAGGAAAATATAAATTTCGTTTATATAAAATACAAAATCTATTATTTTAAAATTTTAGTTTTCCACTAGCTAGTTACACTGCAATTCTTAAATTTTTAAAAATCATGAATTAATTAACTCATTAGCTTCATCAAAAAAATCAATAAATATATGAATTACTTTTTTTCAAATAAAATCATAAAGTTTCTATCGATAAAAAATTTGTTAAACTTATTCAGAGGAAATCATTTTTAATCTTTATTGGGTAATCTTTCATTTTTTATTTTAAAAAGAAGATATTTACTATTAAACAATAGGGAAAATACAGTTATGCCAAATTTAAATTTCAAATAATGGTGATAAAGTAGTCAAATAAAAATCATACAGCTGATGAACCAAAATAATTTCTTTTACAGTAAATTTAATAGGGCTTGCTCTTAATTCTACAATTAATTGATTCGACGTTCTTACTTTTGACCATTAAAAAAATGTACTGATGTATCTTGTGATTTTAACTATTAAGGCTGAGCATTATTTAAAAAAATATTCAAGCACTTCATAAAATTAAATTTTGTACTTTTCTAACTTTAACTTTTTTAGTGCCTTTAAAGCAATTATTTTTGAATTTTACTTATATTTTTATAAAACAATAATAAATTTAAAATATGTAATTTCTAATTATTTTAATCACAATTATTTTATTTTTAATAATTTTTAATTTTTTGTTAACAAGCTTATTTTTTTTGTTTTTAATTAATAAATATTGTATTATAATGAGAGATTTATTTTTGGTCAATTAGATCAAAAAGTATTTAAAATATTTACTATGAATTGCATAACATAACAGACAAATAATTAATTGTTATAATAGCAAGCAGTTTTTTAAAACTTTTGATTATCCTATTTAAAAATTAAAAATGTTTTTATAAAAAAAATTAGATGTTAAAAGCATCTAAATAATAATTTTGAAAAATTGACATTTTAAATTATGAAAATTTTTTAATTTTATGATCGATCATAATTAAGATGATTAAATTATTGATTGTTAATCAATTAATGAATTAGTAATTAAATAATGTGTGATTAATAGATACGGAAACAAAAGAGAGATTTTTACATCAATCAAAATACTATGACTTTTAGTAAATACACACATAAAAATAGTAAAAATTTTAATAAAAAAAAAATTTGTAAATTTTTTAAATAATTTTTTCATATATTTTCCACAGATATCTACATTAATCATCAAATATGCAAGCATTTATCCTTCAAATTTTTAAATTCAATATATACCTATAATTTTGCAAAATATTCAGATTTTCTTATTAAATAATAGTAAAAAAGTCTTTTAGCCACATAAATTTAATTGAATTATTATTTGACTAAAAATATTTTATTATTATTTTCAAAATTTAATATTCTTCTTTATGCATTGTTTTGTGAATATAAAAAATAAATTTCATCAATTAATATGTTTGAAATATCGTACTATATTTTGAATTAACTTAAATAAATTTTATTAAAATCCAATAAATAAAAATAATTTTAATGAATTATTCAAAATTTATTGTTATTGTTATTATAATAAGGATAATCTAAAACATGTATAATATTTATAATTACAAATAGATGAATATCAATTTTATCTAATTAAATTTATAGCTTTAAAAATAATTAAAATAACTTTTTAAAAACTTTTAATTCTTTAATTATGTCATTATTTTTCTTACCTAATTAATTTTTTTAATACATTTATATGAATTAAATATAAATCTACTTCACTAAGATAATAAATACATCATGAAAAATTCCAAAAATTAGTTAAAAATATTGCTTTTAATAAAATAATTACATTATTAATTTGTTTAATAAATTTATTAAATGTATATATTTGTTATAACTATAAGATAAAAAGAGATATATATAATTTTTATTCTAAGTATTGTTTTTGTGTTCGTATTTATATTTCTGTGCTAAGTGCATAGATTAATTTTTTAATTAACTAAATACATCAAATTATTTATTAATAAATATCTTCACTCTTTTGATTCTTTAACTATTCTAAACTACTATTAATTAGCTAATTCTAATATAAGATAAATGTATATCATCTACTTCAGAAAAGATAATATACCAAGGAATTAATATACTTTATTTCAAAAATCAGTTATAAATATTGCTTTTAATTATTTAATTATGTTGCTATTTTTATTATAAAACTAAATTTTTTAATACATTTGTGAAAATCTATTTTACAAAAGTTTATATATTAAACATATAAATAGAATTTCCTTAAAATTAAATCTCTCAAAATAAAGATAATTTTAAAATGGGATATCTTCAGAATATGAAATTAAAATGAATTATTGAAGATTTTAAAATATATTAGATTTTTGATAAGTTTAATTAATATTTAGAGCTAAAAAACACAATGAATAAATAATCTATCCCTGAATATTATAATTAAAATATATAAAATTTTATGAGCTAAAGATTAACTAAAAATATCATTAATAGATATCTTAAATAATAGTAATTGGTTTACTCGCTTTTATTATGAAATGTTTATTAAAATTTTTAAAAATAAGAGTCTATTATTGAAAATAAAAGATTTAAAAATATATTATCAGTCATATTAATAGATATGATTCTTATTGTTTTTGTCTACAAGAGTTAATTTCATATACTTAACTAAATAAAATAAATGATCAATTCAAAGGAACTTAACAATAGTTTTTTTATTATTAATTTTTATAATGATGTAATCAATTTAGAACATTTAGATATAGAAAAATGATTAAAATTTAATGGGAAGTAAATAAAATTAATTTCTAACATTTTTAATTTTAAAAGCTATTTTCTTTACAGTCTTATTATTTTTAAAAAATTTGATCTCTTAATTAAAACCCACCATTCAACTTAGCGTCATCGAGTGAAATATTTTGTAATATTTTATATTTAATTTTTGTATAAATTCAGCTTTATTAATTTTTAGTTGCTTCTCTTAAAATTGATTTACTACGTAATTAACTTTTTCGTATTAAATGATGTCATAAACCCCCCATTCAAGAGGCAAAAGCACAAATGAACATTTTATTTATCTCAGTTTTTTCTTCAGTTTACTATCTTCAAAATGTAGACCTACTCCGAAAAATCCAAATATGTGAATAAAAATTAACTATATTTTATATCTTAATGTGTAAAAAGTAGATTTTATTTCAATTTGCTTATAAAAATGGATTAAAGAAATCAAATTAATTTATTCTTCGTAATCAAAGATATTTATTTGATTTCTATTTTTTTTATACTGAATTTCAAAAATCTGGCTACTTATGCTGAGTAAAGGTGAACAAAAAAGTATATAATTTAATCATATTGAAAATAAATTATTTACATAAAGAAGATAGTTAGCCTTCAAAGCAAATAGAAGAAAGTTAAAAGTTAATTCTCTACAAAGAATTTCTGATAGGTTTGTGAATATAAATTCATCACTAAAAAAAATTAAGTTTATTTTTAATAGATAAATTAATTGCAACAAAAATCATTAGCATTTTAATTTATTAATGGGCGTATAATTTGAATAACCCTCTAATTTACCAACAATGATCAAGAATTTTTGCTTATAGTTTACTAAAATATATTGTGCTTTTTTAGTAGTCATCATCATTTCTATAGGATAAATGGCTTTGATGGAAATGCAGATAAAAGACCCTCTATAACGTCCTCATCAAATAAAATACACTGATTATACAGATATTTTAAACTATCCTACTTAAGAGTACAATATAACTACTGAAGATGGTTATATCATTAATATTATAAGAATACAAGCTAAAAATACTACCATTTAAGAGCATGGAAAGCCTCCTGTTTTGATGTATTTCGGTCTTAATTGTGCTATTGAGGTTTTCAGTATGAATAATGAAGAATAATCTCCTACTTTTTTTGTTGCTAATCAAGGCTATGATGTTTGGATGATCGCTAATAGAGGCACATTATACTCAAGTGGACACGTTAACTTAACATAAAATGACCCAGAATACTGGTAATTTTCATGGTAGGAAATGGCAGAATATGATTTCAGGAGTGCATTCGATTTTATTTATGAAAAAGTAGGCAGAAAAAAAATATCTACCATAGGATTTTCTTAAGGCACAACTATATTATTAGCTGCTTTAGCTGATTATCCAAATTATTAATAGAAAATAACACAAATGATTTTAATGGGCCCAACTGCTAACATAATAAATTAGAATTCACCTGCTTTCACCTTAGGTATAAACATTGGAGGTGCTCCTTTGCTAAAGAAATTGGGCATAAACAAGCTTGTAGATGAATATAAATTGCTTTATTATGGCACAAAATATCTTTCTACTTTTGCTCACTTTGTTTTGAGTTAAATAACTGATTCTGACGTTACAGTTTTGAACTAAGAAAGATTCTAGTACTTTATGGCAACATATCCAGGAGGCACTTCAGTGTAAGTTTATGACCATTGGTAATAATTAGCCAGTGAAACAGATTAATTTAGAAAATATGACTATAGAAACGTCACTAAAAATATTATAAAATACGGCAGTGAGGTCCCTCCTACTTACAATTTATAAAATATTAAAGTGCCTACACATTTGTTTGTTGGCAGATATGATAGGTTGGGCAGTCCTGAAGATGCACAAATACTTTACGAAAGTCTTAAACTCTCCTCTGTAAATGCAACTATGTAATTATATGATGGAGGACATCTCTACTTCGCTATAGGACGCGAAACTCCTTTTCTTTAAAAGCTTTAATAAATGTTGATTGACTAGCATAAAGCTGATGATTGACATTTATTTATTTATACCATACCCCGAATTATTATTTATTATTGATCTTATCAAAACCAAAATAGGTTTATGATTATTTTCTCTTCAAAAAAGTTAAATTAATTTTAAAGTATTTAATTAGCATTTTATGTTCATAAAATTACATTTAAATAATAAATTATTTTAGTTTTTATCAATTAATCCTATCAAATATTTATTTATCTATTTAAATATTCACATAAAAAATAAGTTGTTATTTTTGACAAATTGGCTTAAAAAAATAATTAAAAATTTTATCTTTATTTAAATTGATTTTCCTTTAAATTAAACTCTGTAAGATAAAAATATTTTGAAAAAGGTTCTTTTTTTAATTAAAAATACTAACTAACTTACATTAAGAAAAAATAGATAATATTTTTAGATTTTTAATAATAACCACTTATTTAAAAAAATAAATATCCTATTAAATATATCTAACTAGTTTTTTTGTCAAATTTTTAACAAAAAAATTTTGTATAAAATAATAAAGATAATTATAAAATTAATATTTTAGATATTTTCTAGTGTAAAAGTAAAGTAAATTATAAAAAAAAAAAATTAATTTTAGATTTAATAAAACTCAAAAAAAATTATATTTCAAATTTGATTGTCAAATATTATTCTTAAACATAAAATTATGTTTTAATGAGAAAATATTTTTATTTAATTAGTAATTATCATGAAAAAAATTAAGCTAATTAAAATAATTGAATAATTTATTAAATTAAAATAAACATTATCAATTTTAAATAAAAAGTTTGTTTTAAAAATAACAATATTGTTTATAATATGCTTTAAAAAATTTAGAATTCTTTTAGATAGATCTTATTTTTTTATTAATAGAGAAATAACTTAATAAATAAATAATTAAAGGAATTCATCTAATTTTATATTTAAAAATGTATAATTGAAACAATTAAATTAAGAAATGAATAAATCGAATTTTTAGCAAATATTTAATCCCTTGAATTTCTATGATTTTAAAATAAATAAAATATACACATTTATTTTTCGATTATTAGAATTTTATTTGCAAGTTAATTAAAAAATAATATTTTTAATCAAAATATCTAACTTAATTTTTCATTCTTGTAGTGCAATAAAATTTCGTCAAATGAATGCTTAAGATAGAAATCTAAGTGATCATGTAACTTACTTTCTTAGTTGTCTGCTTCAATGTCTTTCTTAAATTCTACTTGGGTTGATTTTATTTATTTCTTTTTTTGAGAAAGGTAGCAAAAGAGGTTATCCTAATATTTTAAATTTTTATTTTAATATCAAAAAATTTTTAATAAATTAAAGAATTAAATTTATTTTATATTTTAATTATCGAATTCATTTTAGATCCTTTTGTTTAAGAAAATAAATCCATTTTTAAAAAAGTATCTAAATATTATTTATTAGAGTAATTCTATTTATTTCAAAGAATTTTAATTTCAAATAATTAAAATCATTTTTTTTAAATTGAAAACTCTAATAATAATAATAATAATAATTCAGATTAAAACTATTTATTTTTGCTGAAAATTTATTTTCTTAAAATTTAACATAATTAATTGATGAATGAATATCTTTTGAAAATTTTTTGGATTTTAAAATATAAATTTTTGTTTGGGTTTAATTTTTATTATTGAGGGAATAATTAAAAAAAAAATTACTTTGAAATAAGTTTCTTATTTTTCTATGTAGTTTTCAAAGCTCTTACTATCTTAATTAATAATAGCTGCAAATGAGCTATCAGAAACAGCTGTTGCAATAGATATTCTCTTTTTATAGTAATATTCTTTTTGTTCCAAGCCAATTTAGATTGCTAATTATCCAGTTAAACCATAACCCATTACAGCATAGAAATCTACAAACTAAGTAATATCTTAATCAAGTGTATTGTCTATGATTTCTTCTATTAGATTGTCTAATTCACTAGCTGTTAACATCTCTTTGAAATAGGGTATGGAAAGCAAGAAAGCTTAATCAAAATACTTCTCCACTTACTTAGTTAGGAATACATCATCTTATGTATATCTGTAGTCATTAAGTAAGAAAATGAAAGGGTATTTTTTTAATTTGAATTCTTCTTTTTTATTTTATTCTATTTCCTAAGTTTTATTTTAGGTTGTGGTGGAATTTGTTTATGCTTTCTTCTTTGCTTCTTCAATGGCTACTTACTATCTTAAAAGCTGATCTTTAAAACTTTAAGGAGTTTCTGGAGTGTGCAATATATACATGTTATGTTGCATTCCTTTTAAAATTTACAGATTCATATTTGGCTTTTGCTAGATGCAGAAATGATTGATTGCTGACTACTAACCATCGCAGGATGTTTAACATTTCTTGTTGGTCAAATACTCTTAATCATAGCAACTGTAGCAAGTATGAGTAAACTAAGAGCATTGAAGGCACAATTCATTGCATTCTTAGCATTTACCATTAAAGAATGACTCTCTTTCTCCATCGCATTTATACTCCTTAACTAAATCTTCAAAGCTAAGTTTTGGAACCTTTTAGTCTTATTATTTGACTTCAATATTTTATAACTTCTCTTAAATTTATAAAATTTGGCATTAGTTTTAACACTCAATATTAATATAACTATTAAACAATCTTGTTTTTTCTTAAGAAACTTGAATAGAAAAGTCGAAAAATGGATCTTCTGCTATATCTGATTAACAAGTTGCTTCTTCTCTTCTGTCTTATAAATGCTTAGTTTATTTCCAAAATTCATTTTAAAAGTACACATCAAGTGGATAGCTACTTGAAGAATATAGTAAAACTGGTTTATTTTAAACTTATTTATTCTATTGCTGATCACGATAGCTAGTTGTAAAGCCTCTTGAAATCATGAAATAATAAAGAATACTCATAAACACAACAATAATTACAAATCCTATCCAGTATGTAATAGTATTGCTAAAATCATATTCCTCTCTCTTCCTTCTATTTTCTTCATTAAAATCATCATAATCGTAATCATAATCATCGTCGTCGTCTTCATCATCGTCATCATCATTTTCTTCATTTTCATCTGCATCTAACTTTGTTGATTTTTTTTTCTTTTTATTCTTTTCTAACTCTCTCTTTCTCTCATCAGAAAGTCTCTACCTGATTTCTTTTTCTTCTTTAAGTCTATTAGTCTTTTATTGGTAATTAACCTCATCAATTTCCTCTTCTTCTTCTTCCTCTTCGTGATTATTCTGCTATTAAAAATCTTCATCATCTTCTACTAATTTAACATGTTTCTACTAACCCTTGATATTTTATGCAATTTTGCTTATTGCTGGTTTTGGTGGTGCTTTCTTCTAAACTTGAATTTAATTTTAATTTCTATTGAGTTGATTCTGTCCCTATTAAGCAGCAACCAATCTTTTATCATCCCTTTTTTATGCATTTGGATTATATTCTACATCGTCTTCCTCTTCTTCATCTGAGCTATTCTAATACTATTAACTTTTTTGTTCTCTCTAATTAACGAGTTAAGATTTTTAATCTTTCATTTAGTTAAGAGACCTAGTGTTTAAACTTTGATTTGCTGTTCTTTGTTAATTATAATTTTAACTTGGTATTTCATCTTCCTCATCACTATCATTATAATTATTCTTTTACTATTATTTTTATCTTTCATTTCCATAGTTTTAATTCTATTTGAGATCTGCCATCTAAATTGTTTTAGCATTTGCAGATTAGCCCTATTTATTTTAAATTCCTCTTACATTCTCTTAACCTTTAGCTAATTTTTATTTATCCTTATTGCTTTTACTGTAGTTATTATTATTATCTTCATCATCATTAGAATCTTCAGGAGCGCTTCCCATGTTAGCAGAATTTTTATCACTGGATGAATCATCAAAATTTGAATTATTGGACATATTTTGTTCTTCATCATTGCTATCAAATTCTTAATATCCCTTTTTCTAATTCTGTTTATTAGTTCTCATCTTACTAAATTCTATTGTTGAAAAGTTAAATCTTTTTGTAATCGAATTAAATAAGTTCTTTTATTCAAATATTGATTAATTAATGTTTTTTTTTATTTTTTAAAAATAAGAATTCAATTAGGTTGCTTTATTATTTGATTAAATTTCTATGTTCTATTCAAATGTTAAATGGGAATTGAATTAAATTAAAACAGTGTTTAGATTTTGATGAAATTTAAATTTAATTAGACATATTTGAACGAAATCAACTATGAAAATTAATTTATTCAAAAAAAAATATTTTATTTTTTTATCTTTGAAAAAAATTCACTTCATTTATATTTTATAAAAATTAAATAGATGTTTTTTAAAAAGTTAAAAGAAATGATTAAATTTTCTGAAAATAATTTAAAGGAAATAATTTTTTTTAATTTAGATATCAAACATATTAATATTTTTTACAATTTATTACAATAGATTTAATTTTTTTTCATTTTGAAATTATTTTTAATAATTGATAATGTTAAATAAAATAGCCGTTGAAAATATTATCTTCTTCAAGATAAAATTGTAAGTTAATTAAAGTTAAAAATAAGAATAAAAAAATAGCCAATTTAATAAATAAAATTATTATTTAACTTTTTTTTTTTAAAATAAACTTAGTTTAAATATTTATTTTAAAGATAAATAGCACAACTTTTAAATCTATTTTTTTTACCAAAAATTTTATATTTTAATTTTACTCTTTTTGTTTTAATTTTATTAAAAACCAATCCAAAAAATATTTTCTGCTCAAAGCAGAACAGGTTCATTTTGTAGTAAAAAATTTTTAAAATATTTAAACTAATTAAAAACTTAAGTCAAAAGCTATTTTAATTTAAAATTTTTATATTTTATTTATTTCTGCATGCTAAAAATGAATATTTATTTAACTAAAAATTAATATGATTTTCTAGGTGTTCTAAATATCTTGTTTAAATTTATTTGGAAATATTTATTCTATTTTATATTTTGATGGAATTTTAAAAAAATAAAATTACGTTTTAGGTTTGAGGAAGATTTTTAGTTTTCATTTAATAAAAAACGTATTTGATTGTTTGTTTGTTGGTTTATTTGTTAAAGTGATTTTTTGCTTGCTTGCTTTATTATTTTTTTAATATAAAAAACTTTGTTGAATTTAAAAAATAAAAAATATGTACAAACACTACAAGTTAATGATCAAATAAATGATGTGATTTTAAAAATCAAATTATTTAATGTTTTGTGGGAATCAGAAAACAACACTTGGAAACACAACAATATTTTTAGTTCAACTCAAAATAAAATAGTAATTAATTTAATATACAAAATAAGAAATGCTTTGAGGATTAAGTAATTTGAAAATAAAGAAACATAAAAAAAAAAAGATAATTAAATTTTTAGCGGAATGTGTGCACTTAGAATACATCATACATTCTTTTTTTTTTACTTAAATTTATAAAATTCATCAAAAAAATAGTTTTGTTTGGCTTTCTTTCTTGTATGCTTGTTTTTTTCTTTCTAAAAGTTAAATCTCAAGCTTCACAAAAATTAACAAAAAATAATTATAAATTAAATTAGTTAAACATATATCTTAAGCATCTAAAGCGAACAAGCTCTATATATATATAAAAATAAATAAGTTAATAGATCTAGTGAGGAAATGACAGAGCCAGTAAGTTAACAAATATTTTTGGGTTTCATTACAATAGCTTATTTTTATTAAAGATGATAGACCCTGAAGAAAGAGACTAAATTTTCTTAGACCTAAAGAAGAACCCTGCTAATAATGTAAATATGTTTTTCAGCAATACTTTTGCTATTTCTTTAATTTTTAGAATGAAGATTAACTTATGAAAAAAATTTTAAAATTAGAGATGTGCTGATTGCAATAGAAAGAATCCAAATTGGGCAAGTTGTTATTTTGGTAAATATTTTTATACATTATTGAAATTGCTTTTTAAAGTATATTTTTATAATGCTAATATAAACTTGAAAAAATTAAAAGGTATTTTGATATGCTACGATTGTTCTGCAAGACATAGAAGCTACACTCCTACTTACAGTTTTGTGAGGTATAATTTAGATCAAATTATTATCATATTATTTAGATAAGATTTCTCTCATAAGAGTCTTCTAAATAGCTCTTTTTTTTATAAATAAATAGATCTATCGATTTAGATTAATGGAATAGAAAGCAAATTCTTTGTATGTAAAACGGTGGCAATGATAAAGCTCTCGAATTCTTTAAAAAGAACGGATTAATTAGTGATTCTAACAAAAATTGCGATTATAAATCTAATGTTGCATAACGTTACAAAAATGACTTAGTTAAGAAAGTAATAAATAACTTTTTTATCATTTATTTTTCTAAAACACTCTACTAAGCTTGAAAAATTTTGATAATTTTGCATGTCTACTTTAACTTACGCATTGTTTTAAATTTATAGGTTGAAGGTATAATGGCTAAAAATGCACCTGCTTAAACTAAAACAAACCAAGCAAGTAGCAGCGCTTCTGAATAAAAGAATCCTTTAGATGACATTTTCGGGAACATTGCTTCCAAAAAAGAACCCGAAGTCGCTGAATAAAAAAAGGTTGAACCAGAAGAACAAAAAGTTGAATAAAAATAAGAAGTTGTGAATAACAATATTCATAATGTTGGCTAAGTAATTGAAAAGAAAGTAGTATTTACAAGGTAAATTTATATTTGTTTTTTTAGCTAAATTGTAAATTAGTTAATGAAAGAGTTAATATATATTAATAAAGCAGTTAAAAAGATATGGATTGAATTTAATTAATTTATTAATTAATTAATTAGCAAAAAGGATGGAAAAACTACAAAAAAGGGAGTGAAGGCATAAAAAGTAGATGATTTTGATTTTGATAGTTTAGTTATTGACGATGGCTCCTCTGCCGCAAAAAAAGAATCCCCTAAAAAATCAAACTAAGCATACGATTTCAAGCTTTATGAAGAAGAGCAAGAAGAAAAGCAAAAGAGAGAACAATAGCAATAATAAAATTCGAGCAGTACAAATTACTCAAGCTTTGGAAATGATTAAAAAGAAGCTCAAGACAAACTTAATAAACTCAAGCAAAACAATAATGTTAAAGCTATTTCTAGTGATTTCTTTAAGCATTAAGACCAGTAATAAATAATTTAAAAAATATTTTACTAAAATTATTTTTTAAATTTTATAGAAATTCAAATGAAAACTTTTAAAAATTTAATGGAGCAAAATCTATTTCTAGCAGAGCATTTTATGGAGAAGAAGAAATACCAGATGATGATCAATAAGGCTCAGGTAATAAATATATTATTTTAATAATTAAATAATTAAATATCAAATATATTATAAAAAAGATAAGTTAGAAACTGTTAAAAATATGATATTCAAAGCTAAAGATAACTTAGATGTCCTTAAAAATAAGGCTAAGGATTATTTCAATAATTGGAGGTGATCCAATTAGATAAATAGGAATCAAAACTATTTAAATTTATTTAAAATTATATTAAATTTTTCATCATTATTCTGTTCATATAATTTATGTATCTTTCATTCATTTATTATCCAGTTAAACAATTAACTTATTCTCAAAAAATAAATAAATAAATAAATAAATAAATAAATAAATAAATAAATAAATAAATAAAGAGTTTTTATTTCAAATTTAATTTATTTAAATTCAAGATAATCAATAATATGTTTATTAATTAAAATTTGTGTAAATAATCAAATATGGTTTGAAGTAAGTAAGTATCTATCTATCCTTTGTACTTCCTATAATCTTAAATGAATTTAAAATTTGAAAGTATTGCTAATACCAACACTGATACTAAATAAAAAAATGAATAACTAATATTCTATACAAAATAACATTAATAAGCAATATACATAAATAGCAATTTATTTTGATTTTTTGCAATTTAAAAATATTTTCCAAACTGATTTATCTTAATATTATTTTTTTTAAATTAAATAGAGATACTTTAGTTTACTAGATTTCTAGTTACTTCTAAATAATTTTGAATATTTAGAAAATAAGGAGAATAAAATTTTATTTGAAATTAGATAAAAAAACATTTATTTAAAATTTTAATATTAATTGAAAAAGCTTTACATCAATCAACATATATATATCCTTAAAAAATAAAAGATTATTTACTTTTTTTGGTGAAAAAACAAGAATTATAACTTTATGATACAGAATAAAAAATATTTTCAGATATTGACATGTTGGGTGATGGATAAAAGGTGGATTAATGAAGGAAAATTAAAATATTGAATTTTAAATAATTCAAAGCAACATAAGAATTTAAAAATAATTTAATTTAATTCAACATATTAAATTAAGAAATTTTAAATATTTTTTTATAATAAAATTTTTCTTTTTAAAAAATAATTAGATTTATTTGATATTTTGATATTAATTTTTTGAAACTGTTTATTATATACATTATATATTTTTCTTCATATGTATTACATCCTATCAAGATTTGAAAAAGAAGTTTTAGAACCACTTTGAGTCATTGGTCTTTTATAATTAGACATTTAAGTACTATTTCTAGATTCAGATAAATCATGAGTTGATCTTAACTCATTAAATGCTGTTAATTATTTAATTTATTTAAATTATTATTAAAGCTTTATATTAATAAAAATCATACATTTTCTTGTTGCAGAATAGCGAGAATCGTAGAAGTTTGTTTAAGATTTGCTAAAAGATCTTGCATTTGTATAATCAACTAAAACTCCTCTTCCTAATTTAAATAAATTTTTTACTCAAATAAGGCATTAAAGATTTGATTTTTACTTGCATTTTATGAAATTTTGGATGACATATATATATCTTTATTTTTATGTTTTTCCCAATTCTTTTAACTATAATTAGATTGTACTGTGCTCATCCTCTAATAAATATACTTTTAAAAAATGTTTTTTTATCAACAAATTTATTTTAATTAAAATAATTGATGACATTAAATCACATTAAATATTTAACTTAAATAAATTTTAATATTTTTATCTATCTATCAATGCTATTAATTTGTAATCAAAATATTTATTTACATCATTTTCTTCTTAAACCTTTCTGAGGAAGTTAGCTCTTTAAATTGATTCTGGAGCGACGTGCCCACTTCTATATTCGCTGTATAATATATCAGCATTTAATTTCTTTGATGGATTTCTTTCTATCTGCAGCATTTTGGTGAGAAGAATTTAGTTATTTTTATAAAGATCCTAAAGTTATTCTAAATAATTTTATTAAAAAAATAAATAAGATTCTGCATTAATAATAATGGCAATATTTACCTTATTTTATCTATTTTTATTTGGATTTGCTTTTAATAAAAGAAGGACAGTAAGGCTATTTGTTGTTAAGTGTTGTTTTAACACAACTTAAAGTATTTCTATGTTTTTAATGTTCCTATTATTTAACAAAAATGTATTAATTTCTAAGAAATCTAAAGATATTTTTAAAATATTTCATATAAATCCTAACTAAGTACATTAAATTTTATTCTCTATTCTAGTAGTTTATTTGTTGAAATTGTATTCCACATCTATCTAAGAGTATATTTATAATAATTAAAGCAATAATTGAATATGATTGAATTCTATTAACTTATTTATTTATTGATTTATTTGCTTAATTGTTTATTACCAGCTAATATTTTACAAATTAATAAAGTTATATCCTTTTTATCTAATTTACCATAAAATAAATATTGGTTGGTAATAACAACAAGATTAAATAATAATTCTGTAGGATAACAAAAATATATTTATAAATTTGCGATCTAAAGCACATATTTATTGCCAACTAAAATAATTAAAAACAAAATTTCTATTATTTTATAATACTGAATTCATATTAATAAACACTATTTATTTATTAAACGTTTAATTTATCTTTTTGATACAAAGATTTTAAAATTATTCGACCTCAATTAAATAATTTCAAATTTTATGTTTTAACACAATGAAGTTGTTCTCAACATTAAATTTAGAATAATTTGATTAATTCATTTGAGCAAAAAGATAATAATAAAATAATATTTTATTAAATTTTAAACGTCTTTAAATTGTAAAATTAAATTAGCATTTGCAAAAGTATACAGAGCAAATAATATTAAAAATTAAATTGATGCAATTTTATAATTAGCTTAATCAAATTTAATTTTAAAATTTATAGAAAAATAATTTAACATAATTAATTATAAAATTTTAATTAAACTGAATTTAATAATTAAATAATATTAGATAAATATCATAGCTAATCTGAAGTGGAATTCTAAGTGAATAATCAACAAGATATTAAAATAGTGAATATAACATTATTTTCGTGATTTAAACTATATTAATAAAAACATAAATAAACACTTTTAAATGAGTTAAGTTATAACTAAAAATCTATGTAAATAATAGCGTTGAGTTTATTTTATTGCTTTTCAAATAAAATTGATTCTTAAAAGGAAAAATTTTTATGCGAAAATAATTTGTATTTTTCAAGTTTTTTGAGTGTAAAGTTACATTAATATTTTTATTGAAAATAAATTTATTTTATTTATTAGTTAGCTCAATAAAATTATATTTAAAACAATAGCTTTAAAAATTTAATTTATTTAAAATTTATTTAATTAAAAAAATATATTTAATAATTATTATTAATTTCTTGAAAAATAATTAACAATTAATGTTTAATTTATTTTCTTTAATAATTGAAAGATTAATTTATATGTTACAAATAAATAAAATAACTTTAATTTATTATTTTGTCTTATTTTTTTATCAATAGAGTTAATAGTTAAATTTTTTGTTAAAAAAATAATTTGGAAATACTTAACGAACTAAACAAGTAAGTTTTAAAAATAAATATGAAAAATTAAAATATTTTAATTTAAATTAAAATAGAGTTGCAAATTAAAAAATTTAAAAATATGAAGCTAGCTAGCTGTTCATAAATTAAAAAGATCTGTATTTATGTATATATATATATATATATATGTATTTATAAATAAATTGACTAGATTAGAAGAACAATGATGAATCGGCAGTTTTTCGGATAAAATCGAAGATCAGAATGATATTTTATTTAAAGATAATATGATATTTACAAGAAGATATGATCTTGTTATTTTTTTTCCTTTTTTAAATTTAGAAGTATGTTTTGAATATTGAATGAATGAATGATTGATTGAAATATGCATTAACAAATGAGATAATATCTTATCTTAAAAAAAGCAAACAAAAAATAAAAAATTTATAAATAAAAAACGAAAGGAATAAAAGATTTCTAAAGTAATAAATAATATTAAATCAAATAAATAGCAAATGTCATCAAATATCAATTTATACGATACCGATTGTTCCACCTGGTCTACTAACGGAAAGCTCCTTTAGGTAGTTTTTATAAAAGCACATTTAATTTTAAGACTATTTTCTAATAGCATGATTGAGCATTTTTGCTTCGTGCAGTCAACATTCGTTGTTTGTGAGTTTTTGCATTTTCAATATTAATCAAATGCTTAAAAATTTACAAACAAGAAGGAACTTTTTTGAATATTTAATGAAAAAAAATTGATAAAATTATTGTTAAATAAAGGTTGATTATGCCACTAAAGCTATTGATCAAGGTTCTATTACAATAGGTTTAAGATCTCAAAAGTTTGCAGTAATTTTCAATCATAATAAATAACTTATTAGCTAGTGGATATTTTACTGATTAATCTATACAAAAGGTTTTAGTTGCATAGAAGAGATCTAACAGTAAGTTATCAGGTTACTAAGAAAAGATTTTCTAAGTTGATGATAAAATTGGTATGGGTGTTGCAGGTATTACTGCTGATGCAAGTAAACTTCAAAATATATTTAATATCAAGAGGTAGGTTTAAATTAAATTGAAATTGTAATAATAATAATAGGAGTCATTTGCAAATATATGAGAACTGAGTGTCTTAACCACAAATATGTATATGGAAGCTAACACCCTGCATAGAGATTAGTCATTAAAATTTCTGAAAGTAAATAAATAAATAAATACCTTTTTAATGTTTGGGATTTTATTGATTAAGAAAGTAGTCTATCTGCATAGCTAATTAACAGCATACAATAAATATAAAAATCTAAGCAAATAATTAAGCAATTAATTATACATAGCAAGCATAATTTACTTGTTAAAATTTAAAAAAATAACAAATGATAAATATTAAATGAAAGTAGAAGAAGATATTTTAAATAAAATTATAAGCTGCATAAATTTAATCAATTAATCTTAGACTATTTTTATTATTAAATTGCTAATAAAATTTTATATTAATTTAAAGAATCATAACATAAGACTTAAACCTATGGCAAGAGACCTTATGGTGTTGGTACTTTGATTATTGCTTAAGAGGTAAATATTAAATATAAAATTTAGATATTTCAATTTAAATAAATTATTTATTAATAGTCAGACGGTCCTAAATTATTCTAGACTTTACCCAGTGGTGACTTCTATGAATTCTATGTAAGAATAATTTGATAATGATAAGCATCATAATTAATAAATTATAATTATTTAGGGTTAATCTATTGGATCTCGTTCATAAGCTGCTAAAACCTATTTAGAAAATAACTTAGAATTATTTAAGGACTGCAATGATCTCAATACCCTTATTTTACATGGTTTGTCTGCTCTTAAGAAAGCCAACTAAGGTGAAGAAGAGTAAATTATATTTATATTAAAAAAGATCATGAAAGAGAAGTTTCTAAAATAATTTTTATTTAATTAGATTATTGCCTTAAAGTGTTGATATTGCCTTCGTTGGACTTGAATCTAACTTCACTCTTTTATCTGAAGATAGAGTTCTCTCATACTTATAACAATTAGATACAGTAATATTTAAAAATTTATTAGTTATAAATAATAAAATATTCTAATGTAAAAAATAGTTTGCCCCTGCTAATTAGATGGAAGTCGAAAATTGAAGTTAAATAAAGCATTTTTAATTTAAATAATCAAATACTTTAATATAAAAAATTTAAATTTAATAGTAAAAACCAATATTTATGTTTATTCATAAATTTTTTTTATTTTTCCATCACATATTCCATCAATAATCTATCAATTTATTTATTTATTTATATTTCATTTATTTAAATTATTTAATTTTTTCTAGCAAACAAAATTTTAATGATTGTTGATTTTTTAATAAAAAAATCTAATTTTAAATTTGAATTAATAATAAAAATGTAAATAAAAAAATTACAAATTTAATATTTTTTAAAATGATAATTATTTAATTAATAATATTTATGAATTGTTAAAAATATTAATCTATAACTTATTCATATTATCATGTTTTATTTAATTAAAAAGCAAACAAATTTATTAATTTATTATTTATAAAATAAATTTTAATGTAAAATAAACTTATAATAATAAAATTGTAAAAAAAATAATTACTTATAAATAAAAGAAATTAAAATTTTAATAATTAATATTTAATTAATAATATTTATGAATTTTTAAAAATATTAATCTATAACTTATTAATATTATCTTGTTTTATATAAAAAGATATTATTTTAAATTTTATTCATGAAAATATAAATAAAATATTTATTAATTAAAACAAAAATTTAAAATTTAATTAAAAAGCAAACAAATTTATTTTTTTATTATTTATAAAATATTTTTTAATGTAAAATAAACTAATAATAATAAAATTGTAAAAAAAATATTTACTTATAATGAAAAAAATTAAAATTTTAATGATAAATATTTAATCAATAATATTTATGAATTGTTAAAAATATTAATCTATAACTTATTAATATTATCTTGTTTTATATAAAAAAATATTTTTTTAAATTTTATTATATAAACAAAATATTTATTAATTAAAACAAAAATTTAAAATTCATTATTAATTAATAATTTATTAATAGATTGTTAAAAATATTAATTTAGTAACTTATTAATTTTCATTAAGTGTAATAGTTTGTTTGTAAAATATTTTTTGATTTTAAATTTATTAAATGTAGTATTTAATATTAAAGCTCTAATACTTAAATTTATAGACTAATGTTATTTACAATTAATTTTAATATATACAATTAGATATTATACTATATTTATATTATTTACATTATTTATTTAATTAATTAATTATTTAATGCTTGAAGATTCTTATAAAGTTGATTTAAATATGAAGAATCTTTTTTTTAATTTTTTTAAACTAAAGTTTTTGATTTGAATACTGGAGAAATTATTTGTTTTTTTTATATTCGCAGTTATTTATTTATTTATTAATTTCATTTTGCAAAATCGATTTCTTAAAGAAGCTTTTAGCTTTTATTTTCTAGAGTAAATTCACATTTTTTATATTTTAAGCATTTTTTTAGATTTTCTTTAGAATTGGAGAAAAGACTTTATTAAAGTTAGCAACGAGCTAGCCAATGGTAAGAATGATGCAAAATATAATGATGGTCTACAGGAATAAACTCAGCTATTTTATCGAGGATTTTTCCTGACTGATAAACCATATTAAAATCTTACTATAGACAACCAGATACAATTCTGAGGAATATTGTACTACCAAAATCTATTGCTTTTTGAGAGTTGTTTTTTAAAATATTCTTATAAAATATATCTTAAATGCTACTATACTCAGATTCATAATAAAATTATATTTCCTCCACCATTTTATTAAGCATATCTTCTCTTAATTTTGTAATTTCTTTAACAAAATACAATATTTCATATTTTATAAGTTATTTATTTTATCTGTTGATATATTTTGCACAAAGTTTGGATATATCTTCATCAACTCCTGTTTTATGGTCTTAATTTTTCTATTTATTTTAAATAAAATTAAATTTATATTTTAAATTTCATATGTTAATTATTTATCAACAAAAAAAAATATTTACTGCAATTGATTTATAAATATTACCCTAAAAATTGTTGAGAAAAATAAAAATAGAAAAATGTAAAGGATTAGGAATATTATTTAAACATTAATTGAAATTTTATTAACAAGTTAATAATTACAGTATATTAAAAAAATTTTAAAATGGAAATGTTAAAGTTAATAAATTACCTTGATAAGATATTAGGTCATAAGAAACCATAAATCCATATTATCAATAAGTCCTTAGTTTTCATAGCAGCATGCAACTAAAGCCACTAAGCAGCATTTATGTGGGAGAATAATCTTGTGCTTTTGCTTAAATTTATTTTTAGCTTCTTCAATAAATTGCATCATTAATTTTGGGGCTTCAGGTAACTTCTTTTGATGGGCGAGACTACTGAATAGATCCATATCAAAATTATCTACGTCTATAGCCATAACCACTATTTCTTAAAAGAGATCAAGAGCTTATTTCCAATCAAATTACGAAACATTATACCAGCCTTTTTCAAATTTTAGGTAAAAGGAAATTTAACCTAGTTCTTCACCACAATTCCATAAACTCTTATTTATTAAACTTAGAGCGTCGTCAGGCTTAATTTAATAAAAAATAAATTTAAAAAACTATTTTTTTTACTTTTAAAGTTAAAAATGTAAATTGATTCAATAATTTACTTTGGTATATCTCCATGAAAGCAAAGAAGCCATCCAATAGAATAATGGACATTAAGGTAAGGTTTTTATCATTTTTTTAATTAGTATAATAGATTTTTCAACATTTGGGTTCAGTTCTATGTATTCTATGCACAAAAGAAGTGAGGCATAAGAAGAACGGATTGACTGTAATTCTATGCACTTTTCTAAGCATTCGTATCCATATTATTTATTAGGTTGTATTCCAATTAAGCTAAGAATCTTTAAGAAATAACTTGGAATCATGGAGAGTCCGATGTTGAAGAGCCCAGATATGAAGTAAAATCTACTCTTTGTATAAATATCACATTCTTTCTTTAGATATTCATGAATGGATGAATTTTTAGGAACAGAAGATTCTATTTTTTGCTTTACTTTCTAAAATGTTTAGTAAGCATTTTTAAATTAAATAAAAGATTAGAATTTGTTATTTAAAAATGCTTGGAGCAAACCTCTAACAAGGTATGTTTCTGATTTAATAAGGTCAATCATCATTTAAGAAATACCCGAAAGACATTTAATGGTAGATTTATCTCCCTTTTTTTAAACATCTTTCTAACAAGCTATAAGATACTCATAAAATTCTGCAAATTTTTACTCAGTTGTAGCAATTAAATCTTTTTTTCCTGTAACAATAATTTTAAGAAGATTGTGCTCTAGCAAAGCATATTCGAAATTAATATTTTCTTCTCTATGGATTTTAAAAATTTCATGTGAGTTAGCAAATTAAAAGCTCCACAAATAGTAATATCCATCAGAGTAACATTTTTCAACAGAGATTTATTTGTTAACATTTTTTGAGTGTTAATCTTATTAATAATTTAAGTAAGGTATCACATCTTCCATCTTAGGAACAATATATCCAATAATATTTTTCTTATTATAAAACTCCTTTTTGTCCTTTATTTGAGGTTCTTTGTGAGTATTTTAAGTGTACTAATAAATAAATAAAATAATTATTAAATTAAAAAAAACTAAAATGATTAATTATTTTTACCTCAATGTTGCACTTATCAGTATCAATAGTGACATTCGATAAACTTCTCTTTGAATTCGATGCATTCTATCTGAATCCAGTAGTAGATTTTGTATGCATGTGATTATTCATTCTTTTTTAGTTTTTTTTATCACTATTTTCTTTTTTAACCTAATTTTCTTAAGATATCATTGTACTTAAGTCAGTTTTCTTTACATAATTATTCCCATTAGCATTAAAAAGTCCAGTATTTTTTTCATTGTAATTCTATTCTTTATATTTTTCAATGATATAAGTGACATTATTAGCAATAGCTGGATTAGTATCATCATCTTCATCCAAATAATTGCCTGCATCTTCATCTACTTACTAATCTCTATAAATTAAATCTTATAATTAATTATCTTATCTCTCAATTTAAACTCCTGCTGTACTTGATTCAACATATCTCAAATTAGTTTTTGCCTGAAGGTTTTTCATATATAAAGGATTCTTTTATTATTGGTTCTAGTCTTCATGTATTTTTTGCTAGTTTTTTTATTATGCTAAATGCTAATTTATTAAACTGGCTGATTTACTGTGTAGATTTTCACTTGCTCTTTTACTTTATTTAGCTTTTCTTTAATTTTCTTCTTCATTTTAAATGATATCTATAGCACTTTTTTGAAAATTACCTTCAACTTAATCAAAAAGATCAGTATCACTCATTGTTTTGTTATCAAACGAATAATTTGAAATCACTCCGATACGACTATTTCTTTGAGATTGCTGAGGTAAGGCGCTAGACGAAAACCCATCTTCCATAAACATCTTTGAAGCACCTGCATAGAATACTTGTTATTTAATAAAAAACTAAGTTGATGGTACTATTTCTTCATCATCTGAAGAAATATTTTCTTATTCACTGAGATCATGCACATCACTTAAATTTGCATGGTCTTTTACTAATTTTTATTTTTATTATAAGAATCTTTGATTTGTACTGTTATTAGCCGCATCTTAAAAGTTGGTATTTGTATCAACTTTATGAGAAAAAAAAGATCCTTGAGGAGACTCCGTGTAATACTTCTAACTTTCTGGGAAAAATATATTCTAAAGAGTACTTGAACTTAAATTACAAGGACCTAATTAAATGTTTCTATTATGATCTACTTAATGATTCTACAAATTTTGCATATTATTCAAAGAATTAGAGTATCTTAATTATTTCATCTAGGGTGAAATAACATTTTAAGTTGCTTAAGTTGAGCATGTTGGATTACCTGAAAGTTACTTGCTTGAAGGAACATTACTCATATTTGAAGTACCAAAGAAAAATCCATTATTATTCTAGTTGTTGTAATTAATATTATTATTGTTGTTTTTGTTGATATTTATATTGTTGTTATTGGTGGTGGTTATGATGATGTTTTCTGCTTCATTGTTTTCTTAAAAAAGTTTTGTGCTAACTTAATTTAATAATTATTAATTGATTTTGTAGTTTTTATTAATATTAGTTTAGTTAAATATGCTACTATTTTATAAATTATGCCCTATTAAGTATCCTTTGTTTGCATTAGGGGAAAGGCTTTCATATTTCAGTCTAACTGATTCAAGTTTTTCATTCTTATTCTGAGAATACTCTTCGTCACTTGAGAATTTCAAATCAGCATCAATATCAAGATAATTTGAATGATCATTTGGTTTTATTATTGCACTTATATCCTTATCAATAATGGCTTATACGTTTTGACTATTATCTTATAAAGAATTTATTTTAAAGTTTCCAGGACTAGAGATGAAATTTCCACTTTCGACAATAGGATTAGGAGAAAAATTGTTATCCATGTTTTTAAAAATCTAGCTTATTGTATTACCATTAAATTTTTCATAGCTAATGTTCTGTTTATTATCCACACTCATATTTGCTTAATTTGTAAACATATTATTTTAACTCATCTACCCAAGTGTAACTAAGTATTCATTATTTTACTAATTGAGATTATTTTAGTTTTGTAAATTACCTTAATTCCCTTATAATTAATTAAAATTTGGAGATATTATGCTTCTTCTCAATTGCTGGTAAACCTAAAGCTATTCTTCTTCACATATTCTTTAATTTTATTAGTCTGCTTTATCGTTCAAGCTTCTCTAAGTAACCTAAAATTTTACAAACTACTTTTGCTGAATCAAATTTGTATAACATTATTCCCTTTGTGAATTTTAGTTTGCCATTTAATTTATTTTTGAGAATTCTATTTATTCTTCACCAGCATTTACAGTTTTTTATTTTTCTTAGAGAGTGCTTTGCTTTGAAAGTTAATTTTCAGTTTGAGATATTTCTTATTGCTTTTAAATTTATTCTATCTCTATCTATTTTAATTCACACTATTTCTACTGTTAGAATTTATCTTCAGCAGTTTATATTTAAAATCCTATAGTTTATGGTTCTAGTTATCTCATTTGGCTGTAATAGCTCATATTGATATTATTTTTTATATTTTCTGAACTGCATTCCTCTTCGTAAGCTTAGTTGCCATTCAGAAATCTATTTACCTAAGTTTGTAATTTTCCAATTTAAATAGTTTCTTAATTATATTGTTAAGAACTTCTGTTAATATGAGTATTCTATATAGAAACTTGATTTGCAGTAGTGAAAGCTATTTATAGATGTGAAGAATATGCTGATGTTAGTTTCTCCTACTTGGAGAGAGGATCAATTAGCAACTGCTAAATAACTTAATCGTTATTGAATTTACCTTCGCTAACAAATTTTATGTATCTTTCAAGTAAAGGTAGCTCATCATTTGAAATAGGATGTAGCCAAAATGTTTTCTTGTTATCAGAAGTAACTACTTTAATAGATTAATTTATCTTTTTTATTTTTGAAGTATCTCTTGAATATGAGCAACTTGCTAAGCTAAAAGAGCTGATAGATTTTTCGCACTTAGAATTTTTATAATACAACAAAAACTCATTCTGTAACACGTAATATCTAGTTATCTTAAACTTGCTGACTTTTCCATATTTGACAAGGACTCTTCTTTATGTTTTAAAAGAAATAACAGCCCGTTCATAAACGTCAGTATTAAATGTCGAATTTTCTATCATACTAAAGAACTTTTGTCCTCTCTAACTGACTCTATAGATTTACTTTCAATTACGAACGAAGTGAACAAAGTTTATTTATGATTACTGAAACTAAAAAATATATTTAACAAATCGACTTAATTTCTTGTTATTTATTGATCTATCTTTGTTATTGTTTATATTTAAGTCAGATAATTTTCTAAACCAAAATCAATTAATTGTTGGTTTATTTTTTGAACAAGCAAATTATAAATTAAAAGTCTTAGTTTTTCCTAAGAAATTTAATTTATCTGTTTTTAAATGTTTTCTTGCTTTTTTTTTTGATTTCGCTAGCATTTGCAAATACTTCTTAATTAATTTATAAACCAAATTTAATACAATCTTATACAAAATCAAAAATTAACTAAGAAAACAAACAATCTTTTTCTTAACAGATTAAATTGTTTTTTACATTTAGAATTACTTGCCAATATTTATATTCTTTCTATCACTTTGATTTGATTTAATTTATTTTAGTAATGGTTTTCAATTTACTAAATTAGAAATTAGCTATTTCAGTATTTATATTTTTACCATAAAAAAAAAATTATAAATTTTTAAAAATATATTCTAAGTCAATTTAAATAAAAAAACAAACAAATTAATTTCAAATAATCAACTCGCTTGAAAATAATTTTTAGGATATATTTTTGCTCAATAAATTTAATCTTTGACACAGTTTAATTACTAAAATATATTTCTAAATGCGAATGGATATTTAAACTATATTCATATGAGTAACTAAAAGTTTACTTTTAATAAAAATTAGAAATAGGCACATTAATCGAGTGTTGAATCAAAATTATAATTTAAAACATTTTTAAGTATATTAAAAAAAATATTTGATAATCAGGGTTATTGATAAAGTTATTAAAAACATTAAAAGTTTTTATTGCAAATTTATAACTGGGATTTTTTTAGAATTTTAAGACTTTGATGATAGAAGATCACTTAAAAATAATTTTTTTGTTTTGATTTTTCACTTTTATTGATGAAAGAGATTGGTCAATTTTAAAAATCCAATAATATTTTACTTTAAATTTTTAAGATGTGAAGTTTTATAATAAAATTGAGTGTGAGAAATTCTCAAATGTAAAGATGTTTGCAATTTAATCATAAAAAACATTTAGTTTGTTTCAACAAGTAAAAATTAATATACATTCATCAAAATATTTATAAATATATTGCAAAGTAGTATTACTATACCTATAATTATTTAAGGCACATGCGAAATTTTGTTATTTTGTTTGTATTATAGTGATAAAAAATACTCAAGAAAATTGAGGGATATAAATAACAAAAAAACAATATACTTCAATAAAAAATTACTTGATTACACTATTTTAAAAGAAATTAGATAATTGAAAAAATGTCATCAAAAATATCTTATTTGTTGGAAAAGCTTTATGATATGGACAGAAAGCTTGGTGGAAAAGAATATATCGATGAAAAAAAGAAGAATTATGATGAATTCACTGGTCTCAAGGATGTAGTTATCTAATTATTTTTCGATATTTAGAAAAAAATCGACTAAAAATAATTATTTCAAACAAGAAATACTGAGTTAATCAAATTGGAATTTGAAATTAAGAATAAAATGGTAGTATGCAACCAAAATATAGTTAAGATGAATGATTATTTGAAGAAAAATAGATCAAAAGATGAAAACTTATTCTAAAAAAGATAGAAAATTTATGACAATCTCCACCAGCAATACATCACCCTAAATAATTTATTATTTAAAAATGATAATGATATATCTTCATATGATGATAACAACACTATCAATGATTCTTCAGCTAAAATTGGATTCCAATCTAGATAAAAAGGAGCTAGGAGAGATTTAACAGATCTAGAAAAAAATTAAATGAGAGAAATAGAAGAATAGGATTAATTGTAGGAAAAAATTCTAGATTAACTAAATGATGGAGTCCTTAATCTAAAAGCAAAAGCAGAAAAAATAGGAGAATCTATATAGCATACTATTGATCAATGTAAATAGCTTGAAGCTGAAATGACTAAAACAGAAACTGTTCTTATCAACTCAAATGATAAATTGAAAAGTATTGTAAAAGCATATAGATCTCCTTCTAAATGTTGTCTTGACTTTGTTTTGATAATTATTTTAATAGGTCTCGGAGTCGCTATTTATTATTAACTTAAATGAATTAAATTTCGTATTTTATTAGCCATTCTCTTTATTATATATATTTCAAATATATGGTTGCTAAACTAATTAATATTATTATTTTAAGATATCTTAATATTCATAATAATAATTAATATTTGTTTTTGATATCATTAAGTAGCTAGCATACTCTTAAATCTAACAAAATTATTTACATTCAATTTATTAAAAAATATGTTTGTGTAACAAAAATATTATTCCATTAAATAAATAAAAAATAAGAAATAAGAAATAATTTTACTATTAACAAAACATTGAAATATATTAAATTAGCATTTAACAATAAATTAATTTATTTAATTTTATATTTTGAAAATTTGCAAAATTAGTCAATTTTTAAACTCTTAGAAATTTTCATGGAAATATTAGTAAAATGCTTGGCAATCTTGGATAATTCAACCCCAAAGAATATCAAAATCATAGTCATCAGATAAAAGATTTTTGTGAGTCAATATCAATGAGTCAGCTTTTAATTAATAAAAAAATTTTAAATAAGAATTTTATAATTAAATTGCTATTCTCATACCCATTATAGAGCAGATTCCTGCTATTTTTAATAGTGGGTTTTGGTAGTCTTTAATTTTTTTACTCTTTGAGTCGAAAGCTAATTCAAGAATATTCAATTAATTAACTACTGTAGGGCTCAAACTCTCAAAATAAATGTTATCATAGTTGTATAAAAGCTTCTTAAGAGATCTTTTTTATATTTTAATTCAATTTAAAAATCATTAATAAAGATTAAATTTAAATTAAAATAAATATAATAATAAATAAGATAAATGAATGAATGAATAAATAAATAAATGAATGAAAAAAATAAATTAAATAAATAAATGAATGAATGAAAGAAAGAAAGAAATAAATTAAATAAATGAATGAAAGAAAGAAAGAAATTAAATAAATACTCATTCCATTCATAGAAGTAGGCTTTAATGTTTTCTAGATTATACTTTTTTTGGTTTTGCTGGTTTGGAAAACCTATTTGTGATGGTTACTTTGATAAAATATATGAAAAAATTAGAATAAAGTTTTCAGCTTCTTTGCTGAAATTAAAAAGCTATTCTGTCATGGAATAAAGAATTCTAAAGGCTCTTATAAAGTATCTTGGCTATTCGTAATTAATATATATTTTACAAAGCTCTAATTTCATTGCCATATTTAAAGAACCGATATAAAAAAGTCTTTTCTACTCTTTGACAATTAGTTTTTTTACATACTTATCTTTGTATTCAAATATTTTATACCACTTTAGAATGGCATCTTTCTCAAAGAAAACTCTTAAGTAGGTATCTGGGTTATCTGTATTTAACAGACTTTTTGGTTCCATATTACCTTCTCCCAGGAAGATAAAATTTATACTCATAACAACTACTTTGAATCTTTAGTCGTAGTCTGTGATAAATTTCAAGTATATTCTTTCACCTTCATCAAATATTTTGGCTAATTAAAATCTTATTCCATCACTATTTTAATCTTTCAGTATGTTTTCTATAGTAAGTACAGGTTTTATTCTTTCCTTTTTAATTATTTTTATTTTAGTTAAGTTTATTGAATGATAAATAAACATTTTACTGATTCTGTAAAAAATCCTATCACAACTAGATTAGATTCATTATTCAACCACAATACGTAAGTTAGCAATAAATCATAGAAGATATTTTGAGCCTAAATTTCATTAGGGCCTCTAATTACAATATCTTAACAAAAATTCCATTCGATATAAGGTCTCTTTGTGATTTATGAGTGTTAAAATAGATTATAAGTAGAAACAGCGATAAAATTATCAAGTTGATAGGCTTCTGGAACTCTCCTTTTCAAAGGAGTTTTGGATATATCAAGCCAGCCTTTCAAAAATTTATATCTCATTGACATCTCATCGAATGCTGTATAAGCTAGAGCATCTTTTAGTCCATAAACTGGGTTTAATTTTTCTAAGCTCATTTTCTAACTTCCTGAATTAAAAAATAATTTTGAATTAAAAGATATTTTTAAATAAAATATTATCATACTATATTAATACACATTTGGTGTTGCATTCTTGATTACAGAAGAATCTACCTAATCACTTTCATCAAATTCTCTTAAAACTGTCTCAGCTATCTATTTTATATAAGAATGAAAATTAATTATTGCTTAAAATACAGAAAATAATTTTAAATTTAAATCACATTTAACTATATAAAGTATCCTAAATGCTAAAAAAATCCTCAAATTATTAAAATTTATCATTTTAAAGAGATAAAAAAAAATAATAAATATAATTAAAAAATAATCTAGAATCCTTAAAAAAACTAAAAATTTTATAATTTATTAAATATATTTGAGAAAATATCTAAGTATAGGCTAAATAATCTCAACTAAACTATAAAATTTATTTGTATTTAAATAAAATTTTTTTAAAAAAATAATTTTTAAAATTATTATAAAATAAATAAAAAAAGAAAGAATTACTTTGGTTCCTTTGACTTCAAAAATTTAATATTTTAAAGCCTTAGCTTCTACTTTTAGTATAACAGAAGGAATAGGGTTTGGTAATTGTTGACCAAAAAATATTTCTCTTAGGATGACATATAAAGTATCGTATACATCATATTTATCAAAATAAGTTAATATTAGCTTATCTTCAATATCTTATGTTTATAAATCTCTTCCTTGTGCTGATCTTTTAAATTCTAGGACATCAGATTTAACATCAAGCACTTTGTAAATTTACTTTTTTTCCAAAAACTAATCATAAGTTATAAACGTGTCTTCGTTCTCACTTATAAACTTTCTTTTTTTCAGTGTTTAGTTGATGTAATCAGGTACATTTTTAACTAGAGATCCAACTTGTTGGAGATTTCCTTAGCCAGTGTATTTTGTTACTGTGTGTAGAGTTTTCAATACAAGCGTTGTTTTCTTTGAGAAATTCATTTCTCCATGCTCATCTTCTATTTCCTTAAACAATAAATAAACAAATTCTCTATTTCTCAGAATATCACTATTTGAAGCTTTGGCATAGATAGAAAGCAGTTTCTATTTATATACTTTATAAGATGAAATTATAATAGATTTGAGGTTGTTAGTTGATGTATCATTATAAAGTTCCATGATTGCTCTAATTATCTAGTTTGACTTAGAGAGAGCAACAAGACCAGATAAATCCGAACTCAAAATCTAAATTATGCTATCAACCAAATTTCTTCTTAAATCATCATCTTGCACTGCTAAAGCCATATAAAGTAATTCCCAACTACAAGCCATAATATTTTGATCTTACCAATATTTGTAAACTAAACGAAGCTAGCTATCAACAAATTTACCAAAATCCTTTGAATTAAAATAGCTTTGTGTAGGTTGATAGAAGAATTTTGCATAATCGACACAAGCTATTTTAAATTAAAATTTATGAATAAAAAATATTAAAGTAAAATTTTATCATTTTAATTAATTTAATGAATCAGAATTATTTATTTTATTTTATAAATAAATTAACTTACCTTCCTAACTAACAAAAACACCTTTAAGTAAACTACCTATTTATTTTATTATTGAATTTAAATTACAGCATTACTAAAAAAATTTTACCTAGAGGTTAAGCACCGAAGCTAAATATTTCCTGCTTATTAAATTAGTTTTTTGTGAAATGCAAATTGTAACTTTTGTAAACTTCTATGTACTGGTATAAATTTTTATTCAAAGAGGTATTATTCCTCCTTCCTCTTGTTTCACCATGCCTCTCGAGCATACTATTTGAGGCTGGCCTTGAGAGATATGCACTAGTGTTGTCTTACTCGTCTCCCTGTAAACGATCTCCATCTTCAAATCTTATAACTTTCATATATCCTTTGAAATATATTTATTATTGGTTTTAGACATATCTCTTAATATCAGACATAAATGAGTTTTAGTCAGTGATGATGTCTTAAATTTCCCAACTTTTTTATTTATACTTTACTTGAACTTACTTTGTCAAACAAATAAATTAGTTTATTACCCCTTTTTTTCATATTTCTTAGAGGCCTCTTAATTATAAGAATAGAATACAAACTCTTTGATGATATGTTAATTCTACTAATCACAAATGCTTATTATATCTTACAAAATCTAATTTTTTTAAAATTATGTTATTAGCTTTTCTCTTTTTTGACTTTTTACAAAGAAAAAATAATTTCATTAAGCTTTTTTAAATTTTATATTTGTGGTTAGAATATTGTACGAATTTTGCATAGGAATCTATAGCTTGTTCTACTGATCCACAAGTGATGAAAACTTCACAAAAGATCTCCAAATCTTTTGAATGAGAACTTGCATAAGGAAATAACTCGCTTTTAAAGATAAGTCCTCCACTAATGCTATTAGATATATTTATAACAACATTATTGCTATCTATTTTATAGTCTGGTAGTAAGTCATCTATCGCATCAAAAAATAATGAAAATCTTGGCATATCTATGAGCTCTAGAATATGTTTCAAACCATATATTTTGGTTGTATTTTAAAAGCTCACAGATGTCAATTTATATGGTCCTTCTTTAGCCACTGGGTTTTTTCTGAACAGCTTAGCTAAATTTTCAAAATTAGCAACTAAATCGCTTTTTAAGTTGGAAGCAATCAAAGATCTACTCATGCTGCAATATGGATTTTTTGGGATTAGATCGTCTTTAATCGTTGATTTTAAAGCATTTAATAATATTCCCTCCATTTTGGTTTTAGACAGATACTCATAAATAAGCTTTTTCAAAAAATTTAATTAATCAATTCCCTCTTTTCAATCATTTTTATAAATTATAAAATGGATTTTTAAAGTCATAATATTTGTAATAAATGTTAAATTTTAATAGTTTTAGTAGTTACAGCTTCGTGCAGTGATTTTTAATTGAGATTAACGTTATTGTTATCTTCATCTTGAGTAATTCTTAAACCTTCTATTTATTTTGAGGATGCTGATAAATTTCTTTAGCTTTTTTTACTTTAAACAACTGTAAATTTTTTAGATAAATTCTTTTGATTGCTCATTTTCAATTTTATAAAACCAAATAATTTATTAATTAATTATTAATCCTTATATATTCCCAAATTAATCTTAAGTTATTGGTTAAATACCACTTTTTAACCTATTATTTATTGTAATAAAACATTTTATATCTTATTTAAAATTAAATATAAAAAACTATTGAAAAAAAAAATTTATTTAAGTGCCTCCTATCCATTGTTAAAAAAAAATTGAAGTAATTAAAGACTGAAAAAGAAAGAGAATTTATATTATCAATAATTTTAAAACAGATAAATAAACACTTACAAAATTTAAAAATATTAAAATTTCTAATTAAAAAATATAAAGAGAATAAAATGGGAAACTAAAACAAAAGAATATTAGAATTGAGTACAAAATGCTCAAATAAATTGAGTTAAGAGCAATTTAAATAAATATTTTAAAAATTAAGCAAAGAAGGTTATAACATTGAAAGATAAATTGGCGAAGGGAATTTTGGAGTAGTTTATGAAGCTAGCGTTTAATAGGATTCTATTAAGAATCAATAGCTAATCGAAAAGGATTTGAAAAAAGTTGCAGTGAAGTTAATGAAAATTGAGAACGAATATACTAAAATACAAGTGCTTAATGAGATTGAAATACAAAAAAAAATATAATTAAAAGGTTACGCTTTACAAATTTATTAAGTAGTTTAAACAACTAATGTTATTGCAATTGTGATGGAGTTAGCTTAATGCTCTTTGAAATAATTTTTAAATGAAAAACAATATATTTAGGTGATAATAGATTTAATGCTTTAATTATTAGAAGGAATAAAAACGCTTGAAGAAAATAGGATAATTCACTTCGACATTAGGCCTGATAACATTCTTTTAGATTGTAATCTTAAAGCAAAATTTTCTGACTTTAACCTTTCAACTTTATTAGATGTAGATAAATCTTACATATCATAATGCAATGGAGGAACTTTCAAATACATTTCTCCAGAATCTCTCTTAAGTGATAGAAATGTGCATAAAATCACGAATAAAACTGATATTTATTCATTAGGAATAGTCTTTCTTGAATTACTAGGAATTTAAATTAGCTTTGATGAAGCTTCTGATTATAGGAGAAATAGATAAAAAAAGTTGGATTTGTCTTTTTTTAATAAAGATATTCTAAGATACTAATTATACGATTTAATTATTAATAATATGATAAATTCTAATCCTGATTAAAGGAATATAAATTAAGTTTATGAATTTATTATCAAAAAATATAGCAAAGACTTTAAAATTTAAAATTTTATTTTTTCATAATAATAATTAAGCTCTTTAAAAAAAAAATAGAACAGTTTTAATTTGTTGTTTATAGGACCTCCTATGGCAGGTAAGTCTTTATTTATCATGAAAGTGAGTAAAAAGGAAGACTTTTAATATTATGCATTTACGTCTCAGAATATTTAAGATATTGAGTTTTAATTTTGTTTACATGATACTCTTTCAATTGAATATGCTTTTCCAATAACCAAAATGTTATTGAAAAATTCTTCACATCAGGCTGTTTTAGTATTTAATAACAATTATAATGATTTAAAAGACCTCGAGATGTATCTTTAATTATCAAAAAATAGCTTACAAAATGAAAAAAATAAAAATTAATAAATTATATTATTGTGTTACGGGACAAATCAAAAAGTATTAATGGAAGATTAAATTAATTTTGCTGAAACAAATAAGCTAATTTTGGTCAAATCAAACTATGAATAAGAAGAAATTATGGAAGCCTTCTATTAAATTTGTAAAATATGTATTTATTACAATATTAAAATAGAAGAAAATAATTCGATAAAATGATTGAGTTAAATAAATAAAACCAACTAGCTACTAACTCAGATAAAAATGATTTTAAGTTAATTATATTTTAGTTCCCAAATATTAATAATTTTAATTTGTACATTAAAGTAATAAATTATGTATGATAATCAATAATTTGCTCTCTGCTTTGGTATTTTTAATACGAGTAAAAATAAACATTTTTAATAAAAAATATTATGAAAGTAAACAACTTATTATTTATTATAAATAAATCATTATTATAAAAAAAGGAAATTAATATTTTTCATTACTAACTATGTAAAGACTTAAAAAATAAATATAGATTTTTTTGTCAATCCTAACGATTAAATATTGATAATAGGCAAGTGATTTAACTAAAGATAAAAATTTTAATTTCCATAAAACCAGATAAACTTGTAAATAGTAAGAGGAACTTTATAAAAATTATTGAGGTTTTATTTTTAACAAAATATACCTCGGAATCAATCATAAGAAACACTTAACAAGTTTTTAGAGTTTTTATTAATTAATTAATAATTTTAGAATTTTCATCAAAAAATAAAAATAATTTAGGCTTTTATTTTGTATCTCAATCATAGTTTATTCAAGCCATTCTACTTTTTAATTTATGAATGAATATACATTTAAATTGATAATATTATATTAACTCTCATTCTTTTGTTATTAAGTGTATTTTAAAAAATGAAGATAAAATTCTTATCTAAACTTTGAAAAATATTTTAAATTTAATTAGGCCAATTTAATTATTTATAATTCAATTTGAATAGAATTATGAAAAATTTACTAAATACCTAGTAACTTGTAGAAATTTCTGAATTATCTTTACAGTAGTTTAGTTTCATTACATTTAAAATAATTTAATTTACAAGTCTTCATTAATTGAAAAATTTTTCTTAAAGCATTTGATAGATAGATAAATACAAAAAATGATTGATTTAAAATATAACAAGCACTTAATAATTAATTTTTTGTTTTGTTATCCAACACTCAGATCTAATTGGTTTTAATAATAACCTTTTATTTATTAAGATAATGAATAGCTTGTAAAAGAGATGCAAAATAAAAAGTTATATAAAAAATAATTATACTTTTATTTACTGATAATTGTTCTTATAACTATTACAAATAATTGGATTATGATATAAATAAAACAGTTTTATTTAAATAATATTTTAATTAACTGCAAGTTAGTTATTTTATTTATTTAGTATGCATATTTAATTGAAATATTTTAAAGCATTTTAGATGTATTATTTTTATTATTAAATATTTATTTAATTTTATTTTTTTGCTTTCAGTTATACTAATTTTAATTTTATGTGTTGTTGCTGTTGTATAAAATAATTGAGGAAGATTAGTTCATTGAAGTATTTGTTATAGGTAAGGAAGATGGAATACTTCCACTACTATAGTTTCTGTTATGTTAAAAGTAAGGTAGTTGCTTTTAATTACTATTTAAATTAATTTAATGTTGTTATTATTTTTATATGTCATAAACTACTTATTGTTTATTGGAATTACTATTTTAAGGAGATTTAATATTTGATGAAGACGTAATAATCCTTTCAGTGCTATTAGGACTCTAGTTTAACATAAAATTGCTGATATTATTTATATTTGGTATAGAAGTATTTTATTTATTTTAGAAATCTCTTTGTTTAGGACTGCTGCTACCTCCAAAAGTTATACATTTTCCTTTACTGCTCAAGCTTAGATCTTCAACTTTATCATTACTTTCAATTTAGTTTAAGCTAAATCCTTAATAAATTATATTATTCATAGACTGAGCTTACTAATTTAAATTAGTTGGTGTTATTATTTAGCTTTTAAAAGCATTTATATTAGACAACTAACTGTTTTAATTGCGATTTTAACTAGGGATGATTTGTGATTAGGAGGTTTTAGGTTTATTTTTTTCTTGATCATTTTGAGCTTAAATTTAATTTTATTGGGCTTTTAATAAATTTTAGTTTACTCTGCCCTTTTAGCTTGTAAGTTAGTCTTTTTTATTGTTGTTATTCGTTTGAGAATTTTGTTATTTTGATTATTCATCATTTTTGTTTACTAGATTTTTGATTATTTCATGCTTTACATTATGTTGCTCTTATATTTTTTTCATAGGACTCTTACTTTTACTTAAATTTAGCAGGTTTGATGCATGAAAGTTTTTTTGAACCTGGTTTTATTGCTACTAATTTTGATTAAATTAAGTCTTCTACTTTTTGTTTTGGTTCAGGTTATTTGTTTTTTAAGCTTAATTTGCAATATTTTAGTAAAATTACAATGCTGCTATATATTTTTAAGGTTAACATCCATATATCAACTAAAATGGATATTAATACAAATTCTTTTTGAAAATTCTGTCGAGTGTACCAAGTAATAATTTACATTTTACAACAAACATTGAGCTTTCTGTATAAATAAGTTTTTTATCTCCTAAGAAAAATTAACAAATTTAATATATTTATTATTGAAAAATGAAATAAAAATTACTTTTATCCTAAACGTATTATTCAGCTCTTTCTTTAATTTGAAGTAGCGCTGTTCTTTTTTAGTTTTATAGTTTCTTTTACAACAGAGTTTTAAGGAAAATGCAAAATATTTATTTTTATGATTTCTAATTTTTTTTAAGCTAGAGTTTATCTTAAATTAGATATTTTAATCTAGCAAAGCAGACTTTCTACTTTTTCTTTGTTAATTCATCTTAAAATTTTTACAAAACTGATAATCCCTTGCATATTTTTTGCTTTTATCTGCAATTTTGTAATATTTTTCTAATTAAAAACAAATAAAATTATTTTCACATTAAAATTAATTAATTTACCTGAAAGCTGTTTTTTGCAAATTATATTGAATTTTTTAGTGCGCATGAGAGAATCCTTTGATGAGTGATTCAATTTTAACTTTCTGCAAGTTGTTTTTCAAATTTTTTAAAGTCTATTTTATGCTCTCATGTTCGCTATTTAACAAATCGATTGTTGAGCAAGATTAACTACTTATTTTTCTTTTAGTTAAATTAAAAAACTGGATGGACTTAAAGGCATAAAGTAAATTTTAGCTAATTTTTCCTTACAAAATTTAACCCATCAATAATAAACTCTTAATTCCCGTCTTAATAAATTAAACGTGGTTTTTGTTTTCATAAACTCTCTTATAAAATAAATGAAAGTATTTGTGTTACTCCTTTATAATTTTAGATTTTATTAAATTTTATAAGACAGATTCCCTATGCTTCTTAAATGTATATAGGTTAACAATTTTTTCAAATGCTATTTATTTTTATTCTTTTTTCTTATTTTCTACATGGATTAGAACTTGTAATAAGATATTTTTCAAAAACTTTTCTTTGTTTGTAGATATTAAAGAATTCAACTAAATCTTTTTATATGCCAGCTAAATTGAAGTTTAAATATTTTATTTAAAGATGTTAGACAAGTTAGACAGTGCAGTGAATTTATCAAAGTGACTTGACTTATGATAAAGTTGCATTCTCCATCTTTCTAAGTATTTAGATAAAAGCTAGTTTTTAAACCTTCTATAATTGAATAAAACAGGTTATAAAGCAAATTCTCTTCTTTTCTTTAAGGCGAAGACCTATTTTAATTTATCTAAAAATCTTTAATTCACCTTTTACTTAAATATTCTATTCATAGTATTAATTAGCTTTGTTTTGTTAATTGTTTATTTTTTTAGTTATTAAAGAGACCAAATAATATTATCTTACTAAGCATTAGAAACTATTTGTATCACCGAATGCAAACTATATCTCATTTATTATTCAAAAATCGCTTTTCTTTAAATTGAATTTATCTTTAAATTCAAGAAAGCTTGTCTCATGAAACTATTTTTTAACCTTTCTAGAGTTTGAGAAAGTTAGATTATTTTAACTCTAAAATTTTGAGCATCTTCATGATAATTAGTTTTTTTAAGGATATCAAATGCATCTCTTAATTGATTTTAAGAACAAATTTAAATATCATTTGCTAAATTGTTTATTTTATTTTAATTTTCTTTGATTTTTAAACTATTTTTCCAACAATTAAATGCCTATTTTAACTTAAAATATAAAAAAATATTTAAAATTTTAGTAATTTAGAATTAAATTAATTAATTAAGTACTTAGTTTTGTAATTTAGATGAAATTATGCTCAATCCCCAGAACTGTTTGATGCCGTTATCATTAGAATCTATCTCAGTAACAATTTCAGTATGCTATTTTAATATAAATAATCATTAACTATTTATCAATTGTATTATTAAGTTACCATAACATTTTACATGTTCTAAGATGGCTATTGGATCGTAGTATTTTGTGAATTATTTACATTACTCTCAATAATGGATGAATGAGTGATATGTTAAGAGGAAGCATTTTAGATTTAATTTTAAGTAAATTATAATGAATTGAATACTGTGACTTTATTCATTTCTAAATTAAATTATTCTAAGCTCTTTGAGTCATAAAGACTTCTTGAGTCGAGTAACTTACTGGCATTAATTGATTGTGGTTAATGAATATCGCTGCAAGTTTCGTTTTATTATTCATATATTGTGCTAAATTAGCTCTAATAGTAATAAGGTATATTCTAAATCTGAGCTACTCTTTAAGCCTGAAGCTGATCGTTTTAAAGCTGCTACTGTAATAATTATTATTAATATGCACTCATTAAATAGCTTTTTAATTAAGAATAAATCACTATCGATATAAAACTCTCTCTCACATTCTTCATCTGAATAGCCTTCAAAATAGTTTACATCTTCAAGCTAAACTCAAACACTTTTAAACCTAATCCACCTTAAACTATCTCTTTGTCTATGATAGGACTGCTTTCAGCATTAGAATGCATAGGATATTAATTAATAGGGTTATTCTTTTTTTGTCTAGGAGGAGTAAATTCATTTGCTTCAAACAAAATTTACTCATCATCAAATAAATCTACCTATTAATTTTAAGCAGCTTCATTTAAATCGTTAAAATATATTTTTTGTTTGAATTTTTCAAGACCCTCTTCTTTTTATTTTAGTTAATTTGCTCTTAAACATTCTTATGATAAGGAATTACCTTAAATGATTTAAGTTATAATCATTAAGTTTGCATCATTATTTTGATCATTGCTATCATTGCTCTATGTGAGATGATGGTTACTGTCCATAAATAATTACTTTTTAGTTTCCCCAAAATGCCTTTAACTATTGTCTTCCTAATATGCTTTTTTGGTATTTTCAAAATATTACTTTTTATTAGATTCTTCAACTAAATGGTGTTAATTTTAATCAAAGCTAATATCGTTAAAATCTTAAACCTCATTTTTATTAAAATTGTGACCACTTGAAGAGTATGGGAAGGATTAAGCAATGAGAATATTATCATGTTAGTTATTTAGATTGTGCTGCTACAAATTAATTTAACTATTTGTAACAGTATTTAGCAGCTCTTCATTATTACTGTTAAAAATACTCATGTTATTTCTATCATTTTTATCTATAAAAATGCTAAAGTTGCTTTTGTTGTTTTTCTCTATAATGCTAATGTCTTCGTTTGTTGTTTGGTTATTTTAATTAAACAAAATCTGTTCCAAATGATGTTAAGATTAAAATTCGTCCAGAGTATTTTTTAATTCAAAACTAAATCTGCTGCTCTCTTCATCACCTTCTTCTCCCTCTATATTTTACTGTTATTGCTACATAAACTTATTTGAAGCATTTTGTTATACTGCCTTCAAATTTAAATTTTCTTAATTTTAATTTAAATGATTATTTATTTAATTATCTGGACTATTTTATTGCAAAAAGATTTCATTTTAATTTCCATCTACTTCTTCATCTGATTGCTATCTTGCAAAGTAAGAAAGTGGTTTCTTAGAATTATCTAGTTAAGGCACATCTTCATTATTTCGAGGAGTTGAGTCTACACTTAATCTCCCAAACGATCCATTAAATTGAACATTTTCCTTTCTCTATAATTGTGAAATATTTTATTAAATGTTATCAAAATGTTATTCATTTTAAATATTTTAATTTTCTTATATTATTTCAATTTATTCATCTTGTAAGTTCAGTTAGCGCTTTTAGGATGTATTTTGATTTGAATGTGCTTAATTTTGATTGGGAGACTAAATTAAATCTTGCTGCATGTTTAATTTTTACTTAAGATTATTTTCGCTCTCTCTTAAGCTTAGATTGAAATCAAACGAATGAACAGTTTTATCGAAAATTAGATCATCCTATAAAATAAATAATAAAAGTAATAATTATAAAAGATAATTTATTATTAAGTTTTTAACAAAATACCTTGAAATTTGATTATTCTGCAACTACATTTTAATTTTTTGTGCTTAGTTATTGAATAGTAATATCTTGCTATTTGATCAAATCTTCATCATAGCAAGAAAAGCTTTTTACTTCTTCTTAGTTAAGAAGGTTTTCAACAATAAAAGCACTAGTATTATTTCTAGCAGAAATACAGCTCCTTTCATCTTGCTATCCTCTTTATACGATAGATAACTATTATTATTTAATAAGCTATGCTTAAAATTAATCTTATATTTTTTATTTGATATTATTTTATTCACTATTTTGATTTGCTATTTGTTGATTTTAATCAGTAGAATTATTAATATTGTTATTTCTATTTAAGATATTATTTTAATTATAAATATTGTGGTTATTCTATTCTTCATTTTCGTTATTAAAAGAGACTCTATTAGACCTAAAGTTATTAAAAAATATATTTTATTTTCATAAAATACAAAAATAAATTTTTTCTATCAGCCTATTTCTTTTAAGTGTTTTTTATTTATTTACAAAAATTAAAATGTATTCTTTACAATATCAATTATTAAACAAATTAGCTTATGCCAATCATTTTAAACTAAAAAGTTAAAAATGATATTTATTTAAAAAAATTATTTGCTCAAAAAATATTTTCTTTGCTTTGAAAAATTTAAAATAAAATTCCTTATTTCTAAATTAAAAAATTGTTTCTCTAATTTTAAGTAAAAATTATATCAAAAAAATATAATTTTTAAGATAAAAACGGTTTCAATCATAGAAAACTATTTAAGCTTATTAGATGTTAAATCTTATAGGTTGGTTGCTTGATTAATTTTATTTAAATCTATTTATGAAAAATATTTTAATTAAATCAATAACCATATTTTTTTGCTTTTTTCAATAGATTTATATAGGCAATTAAAGAAATCTAAAAAAAAATCAAATAAAACTTACGTAGATTAAACTATTTTCTATTGTTCTTCTTTTTTGAAACTTGATGATTTTACTTCGTTTTAGAAAGAAGATTTTATTATTTCATTAAATTCTTATTTTAACTTTTATATTGATGAAACTTTCATTTCATCTTCTTCTTCACATTCTATAAGACTTCCTCCCTTTTTAGCATTTTTGTGAGGGAGATCATCGAATATGCAATCTAAGCTGTCTTATTTTTAATTTTTGAAGGATCTTCTGTTTTCTATTTCTTGTCTAAGCTAATTATTAATGCTTTTCTAAAATGAGCTAGTTAATTAAATATCACTTGTTTACTCACTTTCTCTGTATGATCCTCTGTTTGTGTACGTGTTAGCAAAATTATAGTTGTTAGATTCATTTGTGTTAATTCTTACGCTTAAAAGATCTCCGTTATTATTAGTTGGATTTCTTGTGCCATTTGTACTCATTCTAAAAAAACTTTACTCTGTGAGACAGTTTTCATAGAGCTTATCTTAATTTTGAGATTAGTTTTATATTTAATTATGAATGTTATGCTAACTGTTTGATGAATCTTCATTTATATTTTGCTTGAAAAAGGAAGTTTGAAAGTAAGAATTAAGATGCTGAGAAGAATGAGATTGTCTTTATAAAGGTTTTTGACTTGAATCGAGAAATGATTTTGGAATAGAAACATTATTTTGTATGTATCCGCCAGTGCTTTTTCTTTATGGACTTGGTCTTAAATACTAATTATCTGTGGTGTTACTGCTATTATTTTGCTTTTAAAAACCTGAGCTCGTCTTGTGAGAGAATAAAGAATTATTTTCGTTGTTTATTTTAACATTTTGTTAAACTTAATGACCTCCTTTATTGTTATTTGATTTAAATTGCTGGATCATCTTTGAAAATGTTGAATTATTTGTATTTCTCTCTTAAGAATTACATTATGTGCTATTTATTAATTAGATTTTTTCTGAACTTTTTTATCTTCTAAATCCATTTTCAAAGCTGTTATCTACTAAAATCATTTTATTCTCATGACTGCTCGCTCTTCTTAAGTTAGATTCTAAATTATTAAAGCTGTTCGACAATTATTAAAAGTATTGCTAATTTTAATTTTATTAGTAATTATTGCTAACACCAAACTAGCCACTAGGAGAGCAATTAAAATTATTATTTTGACTCATAGAAAAATGAAAGCTGCTACTCGAATAATTATTATTGTTGTTATTTTATATTGTATTACTATTATTGTTCGTAATAATTGATGAGACATTTCTGTTTCTAGTAGAAATTTAAGATGAAGTTGTATTTTAGTGGCTTAATCTATCACATGGACTTATATGGCGATATAAAGGCTTAGAATTCTATAGATTTATTTAAATACTGAGTTTTCTATCATTAATTTTAAGGTTATCTGATTAGTATTGAGAATTATTTTGACTTTATTATGACTTATTTTTAGAATTTGTGAAATTTATTTCATTTAATTAATTTTATGATTGTTATTGGATGATATTTTAGCTGTTTGAATGTTATTTTCTATCGCTCAAGCAAATATCCTATTCAAATTTTTTTTGAAGATGAGATAATGATGAGGAGTTCTACAACTAATTTGTTTTATTGTTAACAATTTTTAATTTCAAATCTTTATCACTTTTCTCAGCATTATTTTGTATTGCTTATTATTTAAAATATTCCTGATTTGATGCTTTGTTTATATTTGGATTGTTAAAGCTGTTTCTATTTTTATTTTTCTAAGAGTATTCATAAATATCATTGAAAGATTTGTAGCATACTTTAACCAATCTATCAATAATGAGTTTAGCTGCGTCTATTTGGAACCTTCGAAGCTTTATTTCTTACAGTTTATTTCCAAAAAAACCTCCTGCTTTTTATGCATGTTGATTTTTAGTAAACGATTCATTAGAACTTGACTAAGACTAAGATGGTGTGAAACTTCTTCATTGATATATTAATTTATTTAAAAATGATTTTATTAATTTATTAGGAAAAATATAGTGAAAATATTTAGAAAAAGTTAATTAATTTGAAAATATTAATCAAATTTTCTAAAAAAACATACTTGAAATTTAAATTAATTAATTAATTAATTAATTAAAAATACCTTCTTCTAGATTCATCTTCTTCAAAAAAGAGAGCATTTTTTTCTCTCATACTAATTAGTGATTATTCCTCTTCATTTTCGCTTCTAATTGATCCTCTTATTTAAGCTTTTTATTTCCTTTCCATATTTACTTGTGTGCCGAGGTATGATTTTTGTTGTGGCTAAATAAAATTATTAGAGTTTGACTTAGATTAATAAAGTGGATTCTAAAGCAAGTTGATATTATTTATATTTTAATTCTATGAAGTATAAGACTGGCTTGATAAAGAAGAATGCTGAATATTAAATAAATTTATGCTATTGTCGTCGTATTTGTTATTCTAAGAAGGTATGCTTTATAATTTGCTTTTAATATTTCTTATTCTTTCATCTTTTAAATTTTAATGCTTAGGGGTTTCTTCTAAGAATGAAGTCCTATACTATGAAGAAGACGAAGATAATCCGCTGCTTAAAGAACTTCTTGGCTCATTACTATGCTAAAAAAAATTCATTTTCAACTACTTCTTCAAGAATTATTAATGATTTTGCTATATAAAATCAGCAAGTGATATATGATTAATCCACTATAATAATTATATTAATATTTAAAATATTCTTGTTGGTAGCTAAGATTGATCAAAACAATTAAAATTTGTTTATTTGATTATTATTATTATTATAAATTTAATAGCATTTCTTTTATCATACAAACAAAAACCCTACACATCAAATTTTATAATCAAATTAGCTGGATATTTCATTTATTTGTTATTAAAAAATTTCAATTAAATTTCTGAAAAAAAAAAATTCTGCATTTACTATCTTTTGAATTTAAAAAATTGTCATATAAATTATAAAAAGAAACTCATTTGTGCGAATTATCTTTCTTTTCTTTAATCAATCAATTAAAAAATCAATTCATTCTTTTCATTTTATAATTTTATAAGGAAATCTAAAAAGATATTTCATTCTTTAAAAAGTTAAAATAAATATAAACAAATCTTAAAAATCAAACGCTTTATTTCATCAATCAAAATATTTAAAAAAATCAAAATAATCCTTTTTCTACTAAAATTTGTTATCATTATAAAATAATTATGAGTTTTTAAAAAATGTTTAGAATTTTTTTTGAAAAAATATTAAAACAAAATAAAATAATATCAAAATAAAATTTATAAACAAAATAGAATTTTTAATAAATTTAAATAAAATGATAAATAGAAGCATCTAATTTTGAATATTTCCTTGCTTGTTTTCTTGATTAATATTTATTTATTTATCTATTTCAGTATTTTAGCTGTTGAAATAATTACTACTAAAACATAAATTTATTAAAAAAGAAGTCTTTAAAAACTCTTTATCTTATTATTTCTTAGAATTTTCTTAAAGATATTGCAAATAATGAACAAATAAAAGATTGATTGATCAGAATTATTTAATCATAAAAAATAAATTTGTTTAATAAGTTTAAAGTTATAATTTAAAATTATTTTGAAAAAAAAGCTAGCTAAAATGCTTTCATTTTTAGGAGAAACTTTCCTTAACAAGGAATAGGAAGTAGGCAGTTCTGTACTCGAGAATATTGAATTAATTGGACTTTATTTTAGTGCTGTTTGGTGTGGACCTTGCAGATTATTCACTCCTAGATTAAATAAATTTTATCAAGATATCAATTAAGATAGTAAAAAAATGGAAGTATTCTTTGTTAGCAAAGATAAAAATAAAGAAGAGTTTTTATACTATTATAAACACATGCCATTCTTAGCAATGCCTTTTGATGATTAACAACGCATAAAACATCTTTATAGCTTTTATAGAGTCATGGGCATTCCAACTCTTGTAATATTAGATAACAAAGGCAGATACATAACGAAAGAAGGAAAATAATATATAGAAACAATGGGAACAGAAGCATATGATACATTTATATAAATGAGAGATGAAATGTATTCTGATATCAAGGAAGAGTGATAGGGTTTTATCACTCTCTTTTTTTATCATTTCATATTTTAAATAGTAAAAACTTGTTTAATCTTAAAAATATTAATATTTCATATATACACTATATTTAATAATATAAAAAATATCAATTAATTTGATTGTAAATCATATAAATTTTATACAATAATTATATTATTTATTAAAATCATATTTTTGAAAAATTATTTTAACATAATATAGAAATTAAATATGAGAAAATTATTTTTTTGATATTATTTACTTTAAAATTTAATTAATGCTAATAACTTACTGAATTTAAAAATATCAACAGATAAATGAATTACCAAGTAATTATTATGATTTGATTTAAATTTCCCATAAAATAAATTGCTATAAAAGCAAATATTTCACTCATATTAAAAAATTTATAGAGTAAATATTACTTTCTTATTTTTGTGACAATAAAATGGTATCTATCTTTAAAGTAAATGAGTTAGTTTATTTAAATACTTTAATCTTCATTTTAATAATACTAAACCTATGTGTAATATTTGAAATAAAAAGTTTTTATTTTAGCAAATTTAGGTATTAAATTCTTATGGATGTGGAGAATTAAGAATTTAATTCCTGGATTTGCTATAAAATAGATTAATTATTTAATTTAATAATTTTATTTTGCTTTTTATTAAAAAATATTTATTTTATAATTTTTTAATATTATCAACATGCTTAATTATTTTAAAAGAAAATATTAATTAATTTTGGAAAAAAAGATCCATTCCTCAGTATTCCAGTAAGTAGGAGGGCTTTTTGAGGTATTACGGTATGAAAAATAAGGTTAAATATGTAAATAATGATATTTATTTTTATATGAATACTTCAACATTTAATTTTATTGAAACATTTTTTAACATGTAAACAAATTTTTACAAACAAGGAAAATTAATGAAATAAAATTTTAAATTCAAAACTTTGAATTATTCTACTGATGACAAAATTTACCACCAATACTTTATATTTAATAAATTCTGAGAAAAAACATAACAAGAATATTAATGATTTTTCTAAATAAATATTAATAGAAATTCCACTGATTAAAAAATATCCTTAGGGAAATTCCAAAAATCTATAAAAGCTTTATTTGAAATAAAAAAAATTATGTTTTCCTTTTATTTGATAAATGAATAAATATGTCAAGTAAAGTTAATTTATTTTCAATCTTTTAATTTATTGAAAAATATTTATCTATTTTATTAATGAATATTTTATTTTTATGCTATTAAAAAAAATTCAATACATAAAATTGTTTTTTAAATAAAGTTTATTTGAAATATTAAAACTCATCTAAATTATGATCTATCTTAAATAATCACTATAGATTAAAATTAATTATTATTTGATCTTAAAAATTACAAAGAAACTCACAACTTTTCTAAATAATTTAAACTTGTAAAATTTGATTATTTTTATGAATACTTTTTCTGTTTCAATAAGACTTTTTAAATACCAAAAACGAAAATGATTTGCTATTCTTTTAACATCTTCAATATTATACAAATTAATTTATGCAATTTTAGTGTGTAGAACCATGTTAAAGCTAAAAATAGAACAATTTTATGCTAAAATGTATAGAAAAAAATACAAAACTCCTAAATATTACCAGTTATTAAAAGATTTTGGTATAGAAAAATTTTATTTACTGCTAAGATAGAGAAAGTATCATTTTCTTTTCTAAATGTACTACTAAAATGTATGAGCAAAACTTATCTTTAAGTTTAATATAAGGTGATTGTTAAAAACAAATTCTCTTGAATAAATGAAGTAAAATAGTACCAAATTTCTTAAGATACTTAAGTGATTTAACTTTGAATTTGAGTGGCTTTCGAGCTCTTTCAAAGTGTTAGTTTCGAAGTTTATTTGTTATTGAGATAAATTTCAATCTATTTTATGCAATTTTAATGAATAAAATAGATGATTATATTGAGAAATAAGCACGAAATTTAATCTAATTTCTAAGCTACTTAATTAGCATTTGCATTAAATTGTAGATAATATCGTTGTAGAAGCATAATAAAGCAATTAATTAAATTATTAAATTTTATATTTCGAATAAGTTAAATGGATAAATAAAACAGAATGATTAAATAACTTTTCTGCATATTAGGCTTATTAGTCGCAGCATCTATTGCTGGGTCACCCAACAGAATTCTTTTTGGACCCCACACTGTCACTTATACCATTACAAATAATGTTTTGCAAGTCTAAATCTAAGCAAACAATAATGGTTGGGTTGCATTTGGTAAGCGATAAATATTGTTTTAAATCTAAAATGATATATTTATTATTAAATAGGATGGGGAGATTCAATGATAAACTCTGATATTGTTGTGGTAAGAAACGATGGAACTTTAAAAGTTGAAGACAGGTAATAAATTTAGTTAATTTTAAGATGAAACTTATTGATTACTAATAAAAATAGATTCTCTACTGTCAGAGGAGTAGCTCCTCTTTTGGATGTTGCCTAAGGAGGTACTTAAGACTGGACTCTAGTGACAGGCGGTTTCTAAAATGGTTCTTGGGATATAACAATTTAGAGAACACTCACTACATCTGACAATAAGGATTACTAATTAATAAATGGTAAAAGATACGATACTCTTTTTGCTATTGGTAATGAAATGTCTTTCACCTAAAAACATAAATTCTTTTGGGAGTATGAAGACATTAAATATAGTGATGAATAGCTTGGTGATTAAGATGGTGCAGGCTCTAAATTAACTGCAATTTTCACTATAGTTTTCACTATTATTTTCTATGTAATCATGTGATATATCTTAGTTTATATATTTTGTAAAGGCTTTCAGCTTTATTAAAATAATTGTAGTTCATTTATTATTAACTAAAATTATTTATTTAATTTATACATATTTATTCATCATAATCTATCTCATACATTTAGTGCCATTAATAATGTGATCTTTTTATTTTAAATACTTGAAATACTAGATTTGTTTTTTTTATTTGATTTGTTACTTACATAGGTTTTGATATAATATTTTTAAAGCCCATCATTTAAATCATTAGTTTTACTAAAATATTAAATAATCTAAGTTACCTCTCTAATTAAATCATATAGGTTTAATAATATTAATTAACTCTAGTACACAAAAATTTAGCTAAATTATAATTTTGAAAAATATTTACTTAAAAAAAAATGTAGAATTTTTCAAAATTAAAAATTTATTTGTTTAATTAGTTTTCATTTTAAAAATTTTTTGTAGATATTTTCATTTAATTTCCAATTTTTAGTAATTAAATATTTAAATTAAAAAATACGTTTTTAATTAATTAAAAAAATATTCTCGTTATTCATTTTTCTATCGAATCTTAAAAAATTTGATTTTTTAAAAATTTACATTTTTTAATTTAAATTAGAATATCATGGATAATTACTATCTTGCTTTATTATCAATGCTATAAAATTTTAACTTTCGATTAGTTAATTTTTCTCTGCATATTTACTTAAACAATAGAGAAAAGTACCATTTTTTTTCCCAATCTGTAGTAAGTAAATACATAATATTTTGAAATAATCAACTCCCACCAAAAAAATAAGACAATGGAGAATAATCGGGAACGAATAACTAACTACTCAGATTTAATAAAATAAAGAGTTAGTAATTATAAATATTTATTTATCTTTTCTTAGATATTAAATTCTGAATCAACGAAAAATGTACACATATTTGTTAAAAAATCAGTAGGAATTGTGCATTTTAGGAAGTAAAAAGAAAATAGAGAGTCTTTAGATATTAATAATTAATTATCAAAATTTTTTTTTGAAAAAAAAGATTGGTGATATTTTTATATTATTTAAAAAAAGAAAAATTAATATTTTAAGGAACTAAAGAGAATCCATAATTATAATTTAGATTAATGAGGATATTTAGCGTAGTTGAATGCACTATATACTTGATTTTTATAGCATATTTAGTTTACGAATACAGTTCCAAAAAGGTTCCCTATTATGTCAAAATCATTACCTATATTTCATGGGTTATTTCATTTGGGTTTGTATTTGTTCTTCCTCTTGATATTTATTATGTAAAAATCGTTTTTTAGAAATTGAAACATTTTATTTATTAAAGATGATAGCTTGAAACTCATCGAACTTTTTTAGCAATCGAATAAAAAATTACTTAAAGCAATAGCAATTTATTTTAAAATTTAATAGACTTAGCATAATCTTTCGTTAAAGAGGCATAATTTAGATCCTAAGCTTTTAGATACATACGAAATTAAGTATATAGAACTTACTTGGTCAGTTATTTATTGGATTAACTTTTTGTTGATATGGTAAATACGATTGCTATTAACTTTCAAACTAATAAAATATATTAAAAGGTTTATCTTACCGATATTGCAAGAATTTGAAGACGCAGGTGAATTTACTATTAAAGATAAGCTAAAAAGATCCCTTTATAATAACGCACTATTGTATGGTATATTTGTTCTACTTGGTGGGTTGTTTATGATTTACTTATCTTACTATGGTAAAATGACAATGTAAGCATTTGAAAACCAATTTAGATAATTAATCATCTTTTTAATATAATAAGGTCGGCTATGATGGAGTTTTTTGCAGGGCTATCAAATTGCTTGTAAATATAAAAAATCGCTATTGTTTCACATAAAAAATTTTGATTATATTTCAAAAAATAATTAACAGTGGTACATTTTTAGTTATTTTATTGATGGGACATGGACTGGTAGCGATACCTAAAAAGTATATTAATGAAAGAACTCAAGAGCTCAATTTAAAGTAATTTAGATTTAGCTTAAAACAATAAGAGCTTTGTTTAATAAATAGATAGAACTATTTTTTATGTTATATCTAATTTACATTTAAATAATTAGGTACTATTAGGGTATAGCAAAGAAATCAGAGTAAACTAAAGTGAATGCAAAATATTAAATGGAGAGATTGATAAAGATAGTTTATTTAATGAAAGAATAGTATTCTGATAAACATGTAGGATAATATTGCACTAAAATCTTGGAAGAAGTAAGCAATAAAATACTTCAAATTAATCATTTTACTTTATAAAATTAATTGCACATTTTTAATTAATCATTTTAGTTTAAAAAGTGCATGATAAATAAATAAATAAATTGAAATAACAAATAAATTTAGGTAAATCCGTAAATTATGAATGATGTAATTAAGGACTTGAGATACACTAATTTAGAAGATTTAAGCAGAGATCTTACTGATATCAATATGAATAAAATAGTTTCATTAAATAGATAGGTTAAAAAAAGTATTGCAGATTATTTGAGAGCAGAAACTAAGTGGTAGATTTTACTGGATAACGCTTTCTTAGTTGAAGATATCCTCGAAAATTAGTTTTCTATTCACTATAAAATTAGAAGCACATTTTGGGTAGAAAGAAGTGGCTATGTTGGGGATATTCTTGATAAAATTTAATGGTTTTGGTATGTTAAGGTAATATCTTATTGAGCTAGTTAACTTTTTTAAATTAAATTAAATAAATATTAATTAAAATTAGATAAAATCTATCTTAAAACTAGTTCTAGGAGTTATTTTTAGCATTTTTAGTTTGATAATAATTTATGGAGAATTATCAATGTTCTTAGATTTAGATATTAGCATTTTCAAAATATTTAGTTAAAGCGATGAATATTTCAAAACATAAATCCTAATCTTAATCCCTCTTTTATACATTTCATTTTGCTCTTATTATGGGCTCTTCCATATATAATTTTCTGGGTTTTATTGTTTCTTTAAACACCACAACACTGATGCACCATCTCTCCTTTTTGGCTCTATGTAATACAATTTTCAAAAATGTATTTATTTAAACTTTTATATTTTATTTAAGAAATTTTTCGAGAGTGAGTGCTCCATTGTGTTATAATTTCTTATAAATGATGAGAATATAAAACACTAGCTGCGAATAAGTTATTGGTAAATTCGACACAAGTGTTTTTGGATCTTTTTCAGCAGTTTTCTTTCCTGTAGTCCTTATCATTTTTACTCTATTTAATTTTTTTGATATCTACGATTTAATTGTTGAAAAATTCAATCTTCAATAACTTGAATTCTCCCATTAACCTATTTAATCAGACATAGATGAAGGTAAAAAGATTCTATACAAAGGTATATTTATTTTACATTAAACTAGATTCATATTTATTTTAATGTATTCTATTTTTATTTGTTTATTAGCTCGCTTGCATAGAGAACGTAAATTCCTAACAAAATAATCAACCGATTTAAGAAATTTTAATGGATATTCAATCAACTAATTTGTAAATAAATTAATTTAATTAAAAGTTATTTAATTTTAAATTTTTATAAAGAGCACAAGAATTTCAATGTATAATGATGATGAAAACAGAAACATAATACCTTATGAAAATTAATAAAATAAACAAAGAAGTTTTTCGACTTCTTCATTGTTAACTAATTCAAGAAATAGCAATTTTTATAAAGATATTCTCAAAATTTGAATTATTTAAAAATAAAAGTTATTTTACTCAAATTAATCTAAAGCAAATTCATTTATAAACTAAAAAAAATTATTTCAAACTAATAATAAAAAATTTGTTTTTTATTGATAATTAAAATTGTTTTCAAAAATATTTATCTTCTCTTAAATTTGAATTAAAAATTACAAAACTTTTGTATAAAAATATTAAATAAATGATAAATATGTAATTTCTATTAAGAAAAAAAGCACAATCCAACTTTATTATTTTTTATTGCTTTTAATTATAACCATATATTCTAAATTAATTTACTACTTAAGACCACAAATTATATATTTATTAGATAACATAAAAAACTGCTTTTATATAACACTTCCAGTATTAAATTCTTATGGATGTGATGAACTAAGAATTTAATTTATGGATTTGCTATTCATTAGATAAATTAATTAATTTTATTTTAATTTTTATTATAAAATATTTATTTTATGTTTCTTTATTATTAATAAATTCCATATATTAAATTTTTTATTTTATATATTATATGCTTAATTATTTTAAAAGAAAATATTGATTATTTAATAGTCGAATAATTTCCAAAAAAGCTAAATTTGCAAATTATTAGGCAAATTATTTTATTACAATGAGTTAACATTCTAATTATCTTTTATATCAAATCTATGGTTCCAACTATATTTTAAAGTACGCATTTTAAAAAGAAATATTAAGATTTAATAATGAATTTTATCCTAAATTTTATGTGATTTCTTTGATGAAAAGCAAATTTATAAAATCATATAATTTATATGTTCCTTTTATCCACTGTTTATTAATTAAATTTCCATAAATTGCTATTCAATATTTTTTATCAAAAAAATAAATGATATAATAGATTAAATACTACAGCGAATTAAAAGAAGTAATTATTTATTTTTTTTATCAAAATACTTTAAATTTATATTTACTAATATTAAAAGTTTTTAAATTCTTCAATTTAATCTGACTAGGCGGCTCTCAATATTAATATGTATAGTTAATTTATAAATTTATTATTTTTATTATTAATATTTTCAAACTATTTATTTAACTTTCAGTTTATTTAAAATTTATTTTACCAATACAAATTATCACTTATGTTCATTCATTTTAAAAATGCAAATTTTTTTTCGTTTTTAAAACTTAATTTTTACTTTAAATTTTAAATTCATTACTTTATTTTTTATTGATTTTTTCCTTCTAAAACTTGTAATTGATAAAAACAATTATTTTGTTTTGGATTGTGATATTTTATTTCCTAAAATCAATTAATTTAAAGCAAAAAACCCTTTTAATTTGTTGAAATGCTTTTTATTTTGTTTATTTTTGTTTTTTATTGTACTTTTTTTTCTTCTTCAATTTCTTAATTGTACTCATTTTTTTATTTTCAACATTTGCTTTTATTATTTATTTATTTCTTATTATTTCATATTTTTTCATCATTTTTTCCTTCTAAATAACTATTTAATTATATATTTTTTCTTCAATATTTTAAAAGGTAGAGTTAAATTGGTGATTAAGGTTCAAAAGACTAAAGTTCTGCATTAGCAAATTACACTAATCTATAAAATTTGACACTTAGTCTTAGGTAAAAATAGTTTATTTGTTTTTGATTGTGATACTTTAAGTTATAAAAATGAATTTAAAACAATATAATTATTTTAATTTGTTTATTAGCTTTTTATTTAATTTATTTTTCTTTTACTTTTTTATTTTACTAGTGTTTTTTACTTTTCTTCTATCTTTCTTAATTTAACTCATTTTTTTATTTTTAAAATTTGCTTTTATTATTAATAAATTCATTATTTAACAAGATAATAATATACTTTTCTTCAATATTTAAAAAGATGTAATTAAATTGGTGATTAAGGTACATAAGACATAAGTTCTGCCTTAGCAAATTACACTAATCTCTAAAATTTGACACTTGATCTTGAGTAAAAACAGTTTATTTGTTTTGGATTGTGATACTTTTAGTTAAAAAAAATGAATTTAAAATAATTTAATTATTTTAATTAGTTTATTAGCTTTTTATTTAATTAATTTTTCTTTTACTTTCTTATTTTATTTGTGTTTTTTATTTTTCTTCTATCTTTCTTAATTTAACTCATTTTTTTTATTTTTAAAATTTGCTTTTATTATTTATAAATTCATTTCTTTAACTAGTTAATAATATACTTTTCTTCAATATTTAAAAAGGTCTAATTAAATTGGTGATTAAGGTATATAATACTTAAGTTCTGCTTTAGCAAATTACACTAATCTCTAAAATTTGACACTTAATCTTAGGTAAAAACAGTTTAATTGTTTTTGATTGTGATACTTTTAGTTAAAAAAAATGAATTTAAAACAATATAATTATTTTAATTTATTTATTAGCTTTCTATTTAATTTATTTTTATTTTACTTGTGTTTTTTATTTTTCTTCTATCTTTCTTAATTTAACTCATTTTTTTTATTTTTAAAATTTGTTTTTATTGTTCATAAATTCATTTCTTTAACAAGATAATAATATACTTTTCTTCAATATTTAAAAAGGTGTAATTAAATTGGTGATTAAGGTATACAATACTTAAGTTCTGCCTTAGCAAATTACACTAATCTCTAAAATTTGGAACTTAATTTTTGGTAAAAACAGTTTATTTTTTTTGATTTGTGATACTTTTTGTTATAAAAGTGAATTTAAAACAAAATAATTATTTTAATTTGTTTATTAGCTTTTTATTTAATTAATTTTTCTTTTACTTTCTTATTTTATTTGTGTTTTTTATTTTTCTTCTATCTTTCTTAATTTAACTCATTTTTTTTATTTTTAAAATTTGCTTTTATTATTCATAAATTCATTTCTTTAACTAGTTAATAATATACTTTTCTTCAATATTTAAAAAGGTCTAATTACATTGGTGATTATGGTATATAATACTTAAGTTCTGCTTTAGCAAATTGCACTAATCTCTAAAATTTGGAACTTAATCTTTGGTAAAAACAGTTTATTTGTTTTGAGTTGTGATAATATTTATAAATTCATTTCTTTAACTAATTAATTATTTATTTTTTCTTTTCTTCAATCTTCAAAATAGCTAATTGGTTTTTTATTTTTTCTTCAATATTTAAAAAGGCTTAATTAAATTGGTGATTAAGGTATATAATACTTAAGTTCTGCTTTAGCAAATTGCACTAATCTCTAAAATTTGAAACTTAATCTTTGGTAAAAACTCTTTTAATTTGTTTATTAGCTTTTTATTTAATTTATTTTTCTTTTACTTTTTTATTTTAATTGTGTTTTTTTTTCTTATATCTTTTTTAATTTTAATTTTTTTTTCCTACATTTATTTGCTTTAATTATTTGTTAATTCATTTCTTATTATTTCATATTTTTTCTTCATTTTTTCCTTCTAAATAACTTATTAATTAAATATTTTTTGTTCAATATTTTAAAAGTAAAACTTCAATTGGTGCAGTTTGTGCATTAAACTTATGTTCTGCTTTAGCAAATTGCACTAATATCTCAAATTTAGTACTTGATCTTGGGTAAAAACGGTTTATTTGTTATGGATTGTTTAATTTTTAGTAATAAAAATGTATTTAAAATAATATAACACTTTTAATTTGTATAGTAGTTTTTAATTTAATTTATTTTTCTTTTTCTTTTAAATTGTACTTGTATTTTTTTTCTTCTATCTTTCTTAATTTAACTCTTTTTTATTGTCAACATATGCTTTTATTTTTTATTTATTAATTCAATTATTATTATTTTATATTTTTTCTTCATTTTTTCCTTTTTTATTATTTATTTATTAACTCATTTCTTATTATTTCATATTATTCCTTACTAATTAATCATATATTATTTCTTCAATATTTAAAAAGTGAAAATTAAATTGATGCAACAGGTGCATAAGGCATAGGTTCTAATTTAGCAAATTTGACTAATCTCTCATATTTGGTACTTACTCTTAAGTAAAAAGAGTTTATTTATTTTGGATTATGATATTTTTAGTTATAAAAATTAAATTAAAACAATATAATTCTTTTCTTTGTTTATTAGCTTTTTATTTAAATTATTTTTCTTTTTTATTGTACTTGTGTTTTTTTCATTATATCTTTCATAGTTTAACTCATTTTTTTATTTATAACATTTGCTTTTATTATTTATTAATTCATTTTTTATATTTTTTCATTCTAATAACTAATTAATAATATTTTTTTTCTTCAATATTTAATAAGGTTCAATTAAATTGGTGATGAAGGTGCATTAGGATTATGTACTGCTTTAGCAAATTGCACTAATCTTTAAACTTTAGCACTTAATCTTGCGTAAAAAGAGTTTATTTGTATTGGATCGTGATATTTTAGTTTTAAAAAGGAATTTGAAATAAAATAACTCTTTTACTTTGTTTATTAGTTTTTTATTTTATTTATTTTTCTTTTTATTTTACTTGTGCTTTTTTCTTAAATCTTTCTTAATTTAACTCAATTTTTTATTTTCAATATTAGCTTTTATTATTTATTAATTCATTTCTTATTATTTCAATTTATTTCTTCATTTTTTCCTTCTAAATAACTAATTAATTAATTATATATTTTTTCTTCAATATTTAAAAAGGAAAAATAGAATTGGTAATTAAGGAGTATTAGGATTAGGTTCTGTTTTAGCAAATTGCACTAATCTCTCTATTTTGGAACTTAATCTTATGTAAGAAGAGTTTATTTGTTTTTGATTATGATATTTTTATTTTAAAAAGGAATTTAAAACAATATAACACTTTTAATTTTTTTATTGGCTTTTTATTTTATTTATTTTTCTTTTTATTTTACTTGTATTTTTTTAATATATTTTTGTTAATTTAGCTCACTTTTTTATTTTCAATATTTTTTTTATTTATTAATTCATTTCTAATTATTTCATATTATTTCTTCATATTTTCCTTCTAAATAACTAATTAATTATATATTTTCTCTTCAATATTTAAAAAGGGGAAATTAAATTGATGATACAGGTGCTTCAGCATTAGCTTCTGCTTTAGCAAATTGCACTAATCTCTAAAGTTTAGCACTTGACCTAGCGTAAAAATAGTTTATTTGTTTTGAATTGTGATATTTTTAATTATAAATATTAATTTAAAATAATATAACTCTTTTAATTTATTTATTAGCTTTTTATTAAATTTATTTTCTTTTTCTTTTTTACTCTGCTAATATTTTTTTTTATTAATTTTAAACATTATTTTTAATTAAAAAATTTTCTTCTATTTAATTTTTTTAGATTTTATTTTAATTTAATATAAAAGTTATAACTAAATGAGTGATTCATAATATTTAAAAGTACTAATCAAGTGCCTTAAATTAAAGAGATTAGTTGACTTAATTAAAATATATTATTGATGATAAAATAGTGGTGAAAAAGGGATGAATAAATATTAAATATTTGAATAACAGAAAATAAAATCTTTTATTATTTAATATTTTGTATAGGATAATTTAACCTAAAACATACATACATAGATAGATAGATTTATTATTTTTTTTATATTTATGAATATAAAATTTATTTTTGTAAGTTAATAAATAGCTTATTAAATAAATGAAAATTACAAATTAAATTTACTTAAATAAATGAATTTCTCACAAACCATCCTTCATCTTAACAAAAAAATCAAAGCTTTTAAACTTAAATATTAACCTATATCATATTAAGGAATTTGAGGGATTACAAATTGTAACCCCTAAATTTGTATTTATTATTTACTTATTAAATAATATTGATCGATATGTAAGAAAGATGGTGAAAATTTTATGCTGGTGAGAATTTATGGTATATTTAAAAAATATTCATGAATTCAAGATTTTTTAAGCATATATATATCTAAAAAATTAACTCTAAACAAAGTTTTTATATAAAATTTTTAATTTATCTTTTTATTTTTTTTGCTCTTCATTTTGAAAGCTGATGGTTGGTATAACTTAAGTAATAGTATGTCTACTTTTAAAATAAGAAATAAAAATATTGCTAATTTTTAATTATTAATGTTAAACGATGATTAAGTTACCTTTAGTTTTTAATACGTAAGGGTTTAATTAATATCTGATTAAAATAAGTAAACAATAGGTACACTAATTTTAATATAATATAGATTAAAATAAATCCATAATATATTAATAAATAAAAGTAAAAAAAGTGAAAGTAAAATAGAACAAAAAAAAAAATAAATGGAAGGAGCGAAGAGTTTTTTGATAAAAATAGATAGTTTTGGAAAAACAATAAATATCTACTATAAGAACTAATAAGTTTACAGAACTTTATTTGGAGGAATTATGACTCTTATCATATGGGCTTTTTGTGGAGTGTTATGCTATTTTTTTGGAAACTAGCTTATTAACAAATAGAATCCACAAGTTATTACTACTGAGCGTTATGTTTAATAAGCTAAAAGAATAAATGTTACAAGAGACAATCTTATATTTATGTTCGGGTTGGATAACATTAATTCTACTTTTTTTCTAGATCCAACACTATTTTAGTTTAGAGCTGTTTAGTTAGTAAAACAGACATCCATAAATAACTAAACAGGTGAGCCTGTAATAACTTTGGTCCCATATAATCTGACTATGAAGGTATGTGATATGGGTGATGTAGGAATACCTTCTGCATATAATTATTTTGATTCACTAGATGTTAGTCTTTTGTATTGTTTTAGTCAAGGTTAGGATATCTACATGGAAGGTGATTTTGACTCTGATAACTTTGCTTAGATTTATGTTTATATAGATAAATGTCAGAACAGCACTAGTAGCAATACTATATGCTAACCTAAAGAGATAATAAACCAACAGCTTTCACAAACGTATTTAAGCTTTTATTTTACTAATCTTTTAGTAGATCCTAATAACTACGAATAACCATTCTAACATTAAGGAATGAATTTATATACTTCTACTTCTTCAAGTTTTCCAAAAGAATTTTAACTCTATTTTACCAATTAATATCTTCAAGATGATGTTGGGATATTATTCAGTGAGATTGTTGAACAGCATAGCATTATTTACACAAATTATTAAGAAACAACATTCTTTGGTGATGACCAAACACTTGTGCGCATTTTATTAAGAATTTAAAAGTAGAAGGAAAATTTAATGCAGAGAAGGTATTAAAAAATATAAGATGTATTACCACAAATTATTGGGTTCTTAAAATTGATGACTTTTGGCTTATCTCTTATCGTAAACCCTATAATTAATCTAAAGATGTATTAAGACCTCGGAGAAAATATTTTTGTAAATGAGCAACCAAAAAAATTATCTATGAATCATGCAAAACTTTTAAAAAAAGCAAAATAGAAATATGAGAAAAACTACAATAAGTAAATTAGTTAAAATTGTGATGAAAACGATGAACCTTAATTTCAAATGAGTCCTGTAATTTATCTAGCAAATTCCTCTTCTGTTAAAAATAAATTAGGAAACGATTCAGAACATAAATTAAATCGATTAAGTTTTAAAAAAAAAAATTCATACTTTTTTTCAAATTTTGATGATTAAAGAGGTTTATTTTCCCCAAAATTAGAACTCAATAAAACTGCCTAAGCTGATAATTTTGATGACGTTGATGAAGAAAAGCAATCATAAATTAGTCCAGTAATTAGTTAAAAGCAGTTATCTATAAATAGAAATAAGTTAAGATTGTAATAAAAATTATAATCACCTCAACACAGGTATAATAAAAAAACATCATATTATGATTCAAGTTTTTTGGGGGAATAAGCAAATAGACCTCATTTTTCTCCATAAGCTAAATTTAAAAAAGATGTTGATATATCAAATTTTATATATTCACCATAATCACCATAATCAATTGATCAGAAAATCTAAAATGATTAAGAAAATTACCAAAATACAAATACTTTTATCGCAGAGTAACAGCCATATTTAAAGAATAATTTTAAAATTAAAATTAACGAAATAGAAAACAATAAATTAGTAGAAAGTCAATTTTAGGATATAAATCCAATTACAATACAAACAGATGCAATTGAATAGTAAAAACCTTAGAATCGCATTTAAAAAAAGCAGAAGTTTTCGTTCAGTTTAAAACACTATATTATGATGGTTTTTTGTAATAAAAAAATGAAAAATGAAAGTGCAGCTAAAATGAAATATGGAATTAAATCAATTCAAAAGCAATTAGATATAATTTACATAATAAGTAAATTACAAGAAATAGATAAATTGAAATCAGTTATTTTGGATGAAGATTAACTCAAACTATTTAATAATATTTCTAAACCCATTCTTTCAGGCAAGCAGAAGCAATAAGAAACAGATTCGAATTAATAAAATGTTTAAAAACCTAATATTTATGAAAGCACAGTTTTGATAAATAGTATTTATCAATTTACAAAAGAATACAAATAATATAACCAAAAAAAAATTGATGAAAAAAAGTAGCAATCCGAAAACTTATAAGCTCTTTAAAATATACTTGAAAAGCAAAAATTTTCTTAAATTGATAAAAGACTTATAGAGTTAAATTATGAAAATCTAAATATTGATAACATGCAGGTTCAATTAGAGTGATTCCTCTGAAATTAAGCTCATCATTTCACATAAAATTTTTACAATTATCAGTATCATTATATCTGGTAATTTTATAAAAGCAGGAAGCTAAAAATAATTTTTATAAATAAACTAAAATATTTTTAAATAATAATTTTTGTGCTTTTATTTACTAGATGATAAAATAACCATCATTAAAGTATTAATTGATTTTGAATTTTATTTTTTATTTCCTATTTTTAAAATAGTAGGTTATTATATTAGATTTTTTACTTATTACTTTATATAAATTAATTTGACTTGCTCTACATATAGCTTACTTATTTGAAATTTTATAAATCAATCATATTAAGGAAAAGCAATCTATTTTTTTTGTTAGAATTTTATGATGTGTATATGCTATTTTAATGTTTTAAAGTATACTTAATTATAATAATTGGTGTAGGGATAGGATTAAATTAATTATATTAAAATTTTGTAATTACTTTAAAGCAAAATAAATTGTTTATTTATTGTTTTAATACAAAATTATTAATCAATTTTAAATAATGATAGTAATTATTCTCTTTCTAAATTTCTTTATAATCCATTTTTCACTAATCAATTTTTGATGAAGAATTTTTTATTGGAGATTCTTTGTAAAATCAGAGCCTATTTAAGTCAATAGAAAAAAGAATAAAAAGCAACAAAATTTTCGCGAAATAAGGATTTTGATAATTTATATTATTTAAATAAGATTAGGTTTAAAGTACTTATAAAATTTATTAAAAGAAGCTATTAGCAAAAAGTTTGAAGGTTATTTGAACGAGTATAGAAAAAATTGTAAAAATGGGAAATTCAGGCTCAAGTTCTTCAAATTTAGATCAAAAAAGTAGCAACGATCTTCCTGAGTTTGAAGACTTAGAAGAAATTTAGCGTTAGAAGTAATAAGATTTGCAAAGAAGGGAAAGGTTAGCCATGCTGGAAAGATAATAATATGATGAAGGATATTAGTCACCCCAAAAATAAAAAAAGCCTGATTTTGATAGCCTTTGCCCTGAAGAATAAATAAGCCATATTTTAGAATAACTTTTATAAGTATCTATTGTAGAAGAATAGGGAAATCAATTCTTTTCGCTTAAGGAAATAGAAAACGATTTGATTGATCCAAAATTGAAGAAGCCGCTATTAAACAAGTAAAATGTGTAGGATTTTGTTATTTATGAAGTCTTACAGAGCAAAATTGGAATATTTTTTGAAAATCATGAAGAAAGAGTGAAATATTTATTTTCAGTCATTAAAAAATGTGCTAATAATAAAAATATTATTTTACAAAAAAACAATTTTGCTTAAAGTGATAGTGAAAAGAAGGTTTAATAGTAGCAGTTATTAATTTCTGCTGATGACTATGATGAAATTATAGAATCAAGCTTTAATTATATGATTACTTTGCTAACTTAATATGAGTCTTTTGATCTAGAAGGTATTTAGGATGAGAAGCATAATAACATCTTTGATATCAGTAATATATTATTAGATGCATTTTACAATAACTTCAATAGATATAGCGCAATTACTTTTAATGAAGTTATGGACAGACTCAGTAAGCATGATGAATTCCATAATATTATGAATTCAGTATTCAAACGTATTTACAATAACATAAGAGAAAAGGGAAGCATTGAGAATATGGACCCTTTTTCTAATTCAATTGATAGAATGAAATAACTTTTTACTAAGGATTACATTCTTGATTATTTTTTAAATAGTTCTCCTTTATTCTATTCTGAAAGTCTTAAGTATGGTCTTTATTTAGAAGGCAATACGATATTTGGGCTAATGCTTTCTCTAACTACTTTCCCTGACTAATGGGAAAAATTTATGGAAGTTTTTAAGTAAGTTAATTTAAGGTTTAGTAAAGAAGTATAAAAACTTATTCAAGAAGATACTAAAATTATAAGAAAAAAAATTAATGAATTTCATAAGCTCTTCTACTAATTGCTAAACATAATAGCCAAAAAAAGAAAAGATAGACTCATATTTTGGATTGAAAAAATTTTAGATATGAATAAGGGTATTCTCAAGACATATCATTCTCATGAACATTGTTCAAGTCCTGGATTTTTATACAATTTCTTAAGGATACTCCTGCACTTTACTTAATCCCTAACATTAGATTTTAATACAATGAATGAAGTTATAAACAATCTTGATTTAAATATCATTACTGAGCCCACTGGCTTCTATAAATTTTTTGATCACATTCAAATTTTTGACAAAGAAAAATATGAAAAAGAAATATTGAAAATATAAATGTAAAAAAGTGGAGAAGATTCATAGCCTAATTAATAACCATAAGAAGGGGAAAAAAAGGGAATAGTAGGAGAAAATTAAGAAGAAGAGTAAAAGTAATCTAATCATCCACAAAGCAAAACATCATTAAGCTAAGATTAAACACAAAACATTTAATTTATTTCTCAGATTTATCGTTTTGTAATGGCAGCCATTCATTTGAATCTTCCATTTTTCAAAACCTTAAAGTCATTTTAGGAAAAACTACATTAAGGTATTTAATTAATCAATTTATTTATAATTATTCATTTAATGTTAATTTATTATTTAAATATATCAGCAAGCCACTTCAACTAGCACAACGTTGTTGAAATCAATAATTTTTTGATAAAGTAAAAAGAAAAATTATCATATAATATTCTAATAGAAGATCCCTATATCAACTCTATGTTAATTAAATTCTTTGAACTTTAAGTGTTGTATTGTTGGAAATTAAACAATCAGTAGTATGATGAAAAAGGAATTATAAACTAGCTCTAGACTGAATACACTCAAAAATATGCTCAATTACCTTTCTTTTTCATCGAAGACATAAATGAGTTTACATCTCTTGTCCTTATCTTATTTCCTAAAATTATTTAAGAATTTTAGGTAATTTATTTATTGTTTATATTTTTTTTTAATTGAACTAAAAGAGGTGAGTATATAAGATATAAATAATAATTTAATTTTCGCCATAATTTAAAAATAAAATAATTTTTACTTTTTATTGGAAACATTTTAGAGCTCATTCTAGAAAATCATAGACTGCTAAATAATAATGATGGGTAATAAACAATGGTGCAATAACCCACACTTTAGACAAAAGATTATAGAGATTTTTTCAATGATTATTGGCTTCGATAGAAATAATGCACTTAAAGAGTCCTCTCCTTCTTTTTTACTCAACTAAGGATAAGTTTGTCAAGAGTATATGATACCTGGGCTGTTAAAAGTGTTTATAGAAATCGAAAAATCGACTGATGGTCATCATCACTAACACCAATTAAATGAGAAATTTATCTTTAGATACCACTTTTGCAAAATTTTTACATACCTCTTAGAAAATTAAGAAAAGAAAAAATAAGATCAAGAAGAAGAATAGGCAAACAAAATTGCTTTAAGAGTAAACTAAGAAATGAAAATAAACAAAATTTGTTCAAACTAGCTTATTAAAATATCTCAATAAAATAAAATTATGTTTTTAGAGTTTGCAAATCTTTACTTTAATGATTTGATATTTTTATTAGATATAATTTCGAATTATATGTGCAAATTCTTTCACTTTTAAACTTTAAACAGAAATCAAGTAAACCATTTTGTTTACCATTAAAAGGAAAGTGAAGCGAAATAGAGCTAACAGCATGTAAAAAAGTATTATTAGTATTTAGCAGCTTACTATAAGAATATAGAAACTCTTTCTCTTTATAGTGAAGACATATTTCTCCAAGATGAGATCAAACTCAAACTTACAAATTTTATAAACATTTCTTTTATGAAAATATTAACATATCACCATCTCGATTAGTAATATAATTTATTTATTTATTTATTCTTTTATCTAATAACAAAATGTTGTTTTATATTTTTAGATTGAATGAGAAGGCATAAAAAGAGTTAGGCTTTGACTTAAAAACAGTAGTATTGTGTATAGTTAAATTGTACATTTAATACTCCTAATATGATAAATTCGTTTAAACACTTGTTGAAGATGAGAGAATTTTTGACATAGAAGCCTTTAAGAAATCTGTTTCAAAGCTATAAACTCTCAATATATTATCAGAAAGCATCTAAAATGAATTTAACTCATTCTAAAGTAGGGTCATTGAGATGTATGAAGAGAAGTAAAGAACTGAGGCACTCCTTTATGCCGAAGTTCCTGAAAAATATTTAGATCCACTGCTTAATCAAATCATGACTGACCCAGTCAAGCTACCAAAGAGTGAAGTTATTATTGATAGAGTAACTATTGTAAAGCACCTTCTCAATGACAAAACTGATCCTTTTACCAGAGACCAACTTTAAGAATCTGATTTGATTCCAATGCTAGAGCTAAAATAAGAAATATCAGAATTTATTAATTAGCAATTATAAAAAAATAAATTGAAAAAGTAAGCTAAAAATATTGAGACTGAAGAATAAAAAGATAACGAAGAAGCCATATCAACTTCTTCCTTTTTAAGTGAAATGGTTACAAAGGATGGCAATGAAGGATCAGTAACAAACTAAGCATTTAACTTAAATGAAATTAGAAGTGATATGGAATTGTAAAGTAGCAACAATATTGGTGACGATGTTCTATCAAATGATTAACAAAATGAATAATGAATGAGCTTTTTATTAGATTTTATCTCATTTTATTTTTAAATAAATCTAAAAAACATAATTTTTGTATTTATATTTTGTTTTTTGGTTGCAAAGAGTTCAAATTTGTAAAATTTAAGAGTTTTATTCAGGGAAGCAGGGGTCAATAATACAAACAAGTAAAATGTTTAGCTTAATCTAGATTTATAATTAATTAATTCTTTATCGATTTAACAAAATATTTTAATCAAAAAATAATAACAAGAATTAGGAATTTTTATGGTTTTTATTCTTTTTTTTTTAGTTGCTTTACTTTTTTTTACATTTAAAAAAAATAATGTTTAGAGTATTATTTTTGAAAAAATAGAATCTACAATTTCAATACTTTTCATATTAAATAAACTAACAATTCAAGAAATAATGAATAATTGATACTGTAGTTCCTCATATATATTTGAAGGTTCATTTCCCTCCCTATTTTTGACCTATGCACAATAAAATGGGCTTTAATGCATACATTTTTTAAAATTTGATGAATTGGACCTGAATAATTGAAAAATTAATAGGTGAATTAAGTTATCAAATTTAATTTTTTTACTTGAAATATTAATAAATAAAAGTCTAAATATATAAAGATAGAGGGTAATATGATTAAAAAATTACTTTCTCATAGCTTTAATGTATATTAGGAAAATAGAATTGTTTTAAATAGTAAAAAAAATTATAATTTGTTAGTTAGTTATTTTTTAATACAGATTTTAATTAGTTAGTTAATTTATAGAAAATTTATAGAAGATAAGTAAGATACAAAATTAAAATCTTTCATTATTCATTTCTTTTATTAAATTTGTTTAGTTACTTTTTTATTTAAAATCCTTTTCTTTTTGAATTATTCTTTTTGAAGATAAAAGTTTTTGCTATATTTTATATAATATTCACGTAGTACTTTATCTACGTTATTGTGTAAAAAATAATATTTAAATATCTTAAGGGTATCCATTTCATAAGTCTCATGAAATGGTGAGTCGTTATTAGTAGCATTATTCGTAGCTTTTTTATCAAGCAAGTTTTCTATGTATTGTTGCTTGTATTAATTGATTGATGTATGCTTTAAGACATATTAATTAAAATCGTTATCAACTTGTATTGATTTTAAAAACTACTATTCATTACTTATTGATAGTCTCTAGACTTCTTTATTTTAGATAGTCTAGATTTATTTAAATTCACTAAGAAATTGATTAAACAAGCTTTACATTTATTATTATAGTTCATTGTTAATAATATTATTCTAAAACTAAGCAACTTGCATTACGTTTTATATAGATTCTCTTCTTTTTTCTTATACATGATTTTTGTTTTGCTACTAATTTTATTAAAGCAAAAACGATGCTTAAATATCTTCACTTCTTATTTTAGACTGCCTTCTATTTTTAATAATTAGTTCTTGCTATTTATCTTTGAATTCACCATATAAATTGTTATTACCATTTATATTTATACTACTTTTTCTATGATAACCTTGATTGAGCAAAGAATGCTAAGAGTTATATTCATCATTTTTTTATATTGATGGTTTTCTTTTAAATCCCCCTAATTCAGATAATCTTTCTCTTTATTATTCCAAATTGAAGTTAATTTCTTTTTCAGAATCTAAACAGCGTTACGAGGTATCTTATTATTAAAGGACACAATCATTATTTACTTTAATAAGCGTGTTTTAGTTTATCTCTTATATGTTACCACTAGACTTTTGCTTTTATTCTAAATTATTAGTAGATTCAAGTTACTCAGAATTATTCCTGCTTTTTTAAGCTACAAGTATTTCGTTTTAAGATTATAAAAAGCTTAAATTAACTTAAGAGTCTTCATCGTCTAACAAATTTTCTATTAAACTTTCAGCTTATTTTTATAAATCATTTAGCTAACTTAAAGTTTAAAAAGTTTTTGTTGCTTTTCTTTTAAAAGCTTTTTAAAAATCTTTCGACTACTTACAGAATTAGTAAATGACCTTATTTAAATTAGGTTTATACATGAGGTATGGACAATTATCAACTAAATGGCTACTACTTTTACAAGAGTAGCAGTAAACTTTGATATCTTAGACCTTCCCATAAAGCTATACTCTATCCTTTACATAGCAAAATTTTTCTTTCTCATTTGGAAATTCTTCTAAAACCTAAATTAAATCCTCCATAAGCAAAGTTTAAACAGTTGTTATACTATGATTAAAATAAAAAATCATAAAACAAACATCTTTGAATTTTATATTTTTTGAAAACAAACAACTTTAAATTTTTTTATAAAATAAAAAATTATTTTAAATAAATCTAAAGGATTTTCTTTTCTACAAACTTTTTGATTAATTGTAAAATAAATAAAAAAATACCCAGAAGAGATGTAGGTAAAATGACTTTCTAAGGAGGAAGAAAAAAATTAATATTCTCCAAAAATGTTGCTTGGTTTGAGCTATTTAAATTATTTGTTATAGACTTAGAACTAATCTTTCAGATAGATGGTAACTTCTCCTTTTGTTATGTAGTACAAAGTAGGCTTTTGAATTTCATTCTAGTCAACAATTGTTTCTCCTATGCCATATGACCTTTCGTTTATTTTTAGTGCAACTTTCTCAAGACACTCGTTGGAAAATATTGTATATAGAAATGGTATGTTTTTAAGAGATCTTAAATTAATTTCTTTTTTTATTTGTAGCTACAAGTTTGATGAAAGCTTGGAGAGGGCTTAGTCACTATGACTGTTAAAATTCTCTGACTCTGAATAGATATATTCAAAGTATTTTCTGACTTTACTTTACAACAATTTGTTTACATCTCTTTCTTTCATGTATTTGTTTATGGTAGCTATATTTTATCTGTATTAAACTTTTATTTCATTATACTCTTAAATGATGAGTCCAATTTAATTCATTGCATAACCAAAATTAGCACAGCAAATAAACGCCATAATTACAATAAATGTTTTTTCAATATATGATTTTGGAGTTATGTCTCCATATCCAACTGTTGTAATAGTAACCGAAGCATAATAAATAGCATTAATATAGAGTGTCTGGTTGCTCGAATCGCTCAGTTGGTCCAGCCAAGATTACTCTCCTTGGTTTTAAGAAAATCTACCTATCTTATAAAAAAAGCAAGCAAAAAGATGACAAAGATAAATAATTTTTGTCATCAATAAGATTAAATTGGTAAGCGAAGAATATTTATCATCTATTTGAAAAAACTCTCTATTTTTCTCTATCAAATCTCCTACTTTTATCATTTTAAATAAAAAAAGCATTTTTAGCAAAGGGGAGTTAAAGGGATTATCAAAGAAAAGACAAAGCAAACAAATGATATCTTAAAATAAATATTTTCTAAAATATCCCTTAATTACTTATTTCCTCACCTGAACAAGTTCGCCTAAATTTTATTTATTAATATGATTTGCATGAAATGTAAATTAAAAAATGCAAATTACCTTTAACATAATTGCTTGTATTCATACTGACAAAAATATCTAATATATAGATGATATAGCTGATTCTCTATAAAAAACTAGTCATATCCTATGCTTCTACTTGACCAATGAAACAAATGTAATAAGGGATAAACACCAGATTGAAAATAGAAAGTAAAATAACAATAAAATCCCAAATCATCATAAAAAAGCTGAAAGGATTAATTAGAGGAATCACCCTATCGAGCTGTAAAATAAAATTATAAACTCTTTCTACAACGTTTTCAATTGGCACGATTATGCATTTTATTTTCTTTTTTGATTATATATAATAATTTCTAAGCTTCTTTTGAAGTTTTGACCTCTTTATTGGTTAATATTTCTTCATATTATGCTATTACTAGCTTTTAACCTCTTTAAATGTTTGTGCAGATTTGTCATTTATTGCTTGGAGCTAATTCTCTGTAAGATTATATGGTCTAAAAAAAAGTAGAACTTTTTTGACTGAAAATCTAAGATGATTGGTTAAATACAACAGCTTAAAGAATTTCTTCCTCCAAATGACTGGAATAGTATATTTATCAATTCGGCTATCTTCTAAATTCAAATTTTACTTATCGTAATGGTTTGTTGGAAATTAATGATCAAAATAGTTAAATTGGCTGATATCATCTTTACATAAAGTTACAAATTATGTTTATTGATTATTAATATGAATAGTATTCTGAGTTTTGCTACTTAAAGGTTTCATTTTTTAATCTCTATTCTATGGAGTTTCAAATGTTTTTTAACTAAAAGGAATCTAAATTTCATTATTCAAAGTCTCATCAAAACAAATTTATAAATCCCTAGATTAAAATGAATGTTCGTTCTTCCCTCTCCTTGAAACAATATTTTTTGAAAGAATACTATCATTATCATTTTATTGAGTTTAAGAATTTTGCTATTAAGAAAAGTCTGCTTAAAAAAATTGATAATTTTCCTGCTCGCCATCTAACTATTTGCATTATCCGCTATCTGATACTCTAAATATTTTTTTTGTAAAGTCTTAATAGCAAATAGAGCCATCCTCATCTTCTTTAGTAGTTATCATTTTTGATTATAAATTAATTATTTCTACTAATAAAACTCTAAATATAAACTTAATAAAATTAAACAAAAAAAAGCAATTTGTTTTCTATGCATAAATTTTTATAAAGAGACTAACATCCAAAATTTATTAGGCAATGCAAGAAATCTTATTAAAAAACAAGTACATTCATTCATTCATTCACACATTTAATTACTCATATTAATTTTTTTTAAATACGAACTAATTCAAAGCTAGACAATCAATTAAATTTTATATTTCACATTTATTTAATTATTTATTTAGATATTTAACTATTTAATAAAAAATTTATACTATATTAAAGGCAATAAACGTAATTTAACAAGTTTTGAATGTAATCTATTGATTTATTCATTAAACAAACAACAATTTAATAATTATTTTCATTTTATATATATTTATTTTACACATTTTAATTTATCAATATTTATGACCATGTATTATACATTAAAACTATATTTATATATTTTAGATATTATCCATTTTAAGACATTTGATTTGCTTTTGGTTTTTTCTTCTTGTTTTAATTAATTTTTTGTGGGTTTACTTTTTTTCACCTTGTTTTTGATGTTTACTTATTTATTTTTTATTTGTTACAATTTTTTTAATTTACATATCTTAAATTTTATAGAAATAGCAAATAAAAATTAAATTGTAATTTTAATTTTTTTATAATTTAATAGTTGATGAATTTTTTATTAAAGTTATTTTAATATTAAATATTTCATATTTAAGACTAAAACTGGGAATTGTAATTAGTATGTATTTTTGTTAATTAATACTTGAAAATATTTCATTTCTTTATAATTTAAAGGCCTTCTTCTTTAGGGTTTTTAGTATTTTTTTTGTTGTTTACAAATACAATTTTTTTATTTCTTTCTATATTTTAGTATCTTTATTTTTAAATATTTGTTGGATCTATTGAAATTTTTGTTTTCTTTTTTAGATTTTTTTATGCCATTTATTTTTATATTTTATCTTTAGCTAATTTTGAAATAGGAGAAGTTGAGCAAATAGTTTCGTATGCAGCTTATGCAATATCTGGAATAGAGCAAATTATTGCAACACATATAGAAAGAGAAATTGCTAAAAAGCTTTTTCCAAAATTTGACATCTCACCAACAGAATTAGTTCCTAACATATCTGATATATATTATGAGCAGAAAGCATAAATAAATCCAATATATATGAAGTAATCAACTACAAGCAAGATTCTATTTTTAAAAATATTATTTCTTAAAAATTATTTTAAACAAAATGATTAAAATAAACTCATTAATATTAAGAAACATTTTTAATATCACAAAAGAGGATAAATAAAATAATAAGAAATCATTAATTATTATACATAGATAAGGATAATTGTGCAGAACGAATTACTGTCTTGATCTTTTAATAGTTATAAAAAGTGATAAAGGCTGTTAAAGATATCAATTAATGGCTATAAATTTTTCCTGATGAATCTATTGGTTCCTTCATAATCTAGTTATATTTATGGGAAATGCTTAGAAAAGCAGAGTTTAATAAATATTTAAATTTACTTCAGTGATTATGAAGATGATAGCAAGAGCTTAGTAAAAAGATCTCAAAAAAGATTTCAATATTGATTTAAATGAGGTATTTTCATCAAATTAACTCTGCAAGTAGCAAATAGGATATCTATATTAGTCGGAAATTGATAAATCAAAGTTAAACATGAGATATATCGAATTACCAAAGCTAAAAAAGATCTCAAGAAGTAAATAATATTTATAGCAAAAAAAACTTTATGTAGCAAATCCAGCATAGAATCTATATAGAATTTCTATAAATACGTAGGTAAAGTTTCTTTCAATTATTTATTTAGCAATTATTGCTGTTTTATTGAAATGTTATCTCCCATAGCTTAAAACCAGCAGTTCTAAATCTTTTATATCTTCAATTATAAAATCCGAATAATTTATAATATCTGGGTAAAAAGTTTGTTCAAATTGCTTATCATTTAAGTAAACACTAACTTAACTTGGCCCCAATATTGAAATATCTTAATCGTTTAATCCAATACCCATGAAATTCACTTAAACATTTAATACATTTTTTACCATTAACAAAAACTAATTTTTATCAAATTAGGATAAATTCCAAACAATAGTTCTCTTTGCATAAAGCATCATAGTATAGTATTTTATTAATGCCTTTTAAGTTTATTCTTGCTAAAATTTATTTGTTGGATCATCTTAACTAATAAGAACATTAAAAGTTAAGTTATCAGATTCTATATTAAATGGAAGACTGTACTTGATTATTTATTTGAGAATAGGATCTTCTAGTTTCTTTAATCGCTTTTAAGAGTTAAAAATAATAAAATTTAAATAAAAGTGGCTATCGTAAACTGTATTATATATATATATATTTTTGATCATTAATTTTTTTAATTTTAATAAAAAATATCACTAAAAAATTTTTATTTCTTGAAGGAGATTTATACAATTATTTCGAGGAAATACATTATTAAATTAAAATTAATTTGGTTTTGTTTGTTTTTTTTTTAAGAGAATTTAAATTATGTAAATAAATTACCAAATCATCAAAGGTTTTATCTATATTTTGAATTAACTCATCTTTATTTTAACAGAAAAATGAATATGTAGGGATTTCTGATTCAAAAAACGAACTATTAATCTTAGTTTAAGATGTCAAGTACCAACTTCGAATCCCTGATTTTTACAAGTGTTTAAGACTTTCTTCAAACTCATACTCAAAAGATGTCATGCATTTGAATGTCAAATTTTATGTAAATTTAGATAATATTTCATTTACTTCATGAAAATTAGTAGAAAAAGCTGAAGCTATCTATACTAGCTCATGCTAATCTATGGACTTTGATGCTAAGATATAACATTATAGTGAGCTAAATTATGGAGACTCAATTAAATTTTAAATATAAACTAAATCATCTTAGCATTTTAACTTATGAACCATACTTCTGGCTAATCCTCTCACAAATATTCTATAAGACCCATTTTAAGATTCAAAAATATTAACTTACATATCAGAAAGCTCATGCTAATATAAAAGTTTATAAGATTTAAAATTTGATTCTTTTGCAATGACAGTACTCTTTACATTACTCATATCATCAGTAATATCTTCAAAACTTAATTGATTACCTTCAAATGCTTTAATAAATGCCTCATCTAATTTATTCCTCTATATCTAATTGCATGACAATATTCCAACTTATAATATCTCAACTAATTTCTGTTTTAGCTTTTCATTTTCTTAATCATTGCTTTCAATAATTTTCTTTATTAATACAATGAGTATTGATTAGATAAAGTTAAAATTATTCAATAAATAAATAGATAAATTACTCTTATGTTTTGTGCTTCAATTATTATATTTTCAAAAGAAATAGCAGAACATTTTATGGATTTAATCAAAATTTAATCTATTTCTGAAACAGTTACTTGAATGTCACCTAGATGTTATATTTTTTATGCATCTAAAATTTATATTCCTTCTTTTTTCTTATAATTTGAATCTTCTTTAATTACTTAAACCATATATTAAGGTTTTTTTTACTATTTATCTTCAGAAGATGATTAATCTGATGATATTTCATCAGGATTGTTGTTGATTTTTACGATTTCGCATTTTTGTATTAGCTTTTTTTGAATAAGATCCACTAAAGAGAGTGCAATAAATAAGGTTAAAGGAAAGAAAGCAAGCAAAATACCCTAAATAAATGAATAAATATGTTTAATTAATTAGTTAATTAATTAATTTAATTATATTTTTTTATGTTAAAAGTGATAAAAAAACTAAATTCACACAATAATGAAATAAGTTAATTAAATAATGCTTTTTTTTAAAGAAAATTGAATTTAATTACTAAAATATTTAGCATGTATTTCTCAAAAAAGTAAGTTGTATATGCAGTTCCTAATGCTACTTCAAATAGGCCAAGTCTGAATAGAATGACAACTAACAATAAACAGAATTTAATAATTTAAATAATAACATCATAATATCTATAAAAAGGAGAGTTAAACACTTCTTTTTCATATGTAATTCCATTGTTTGTAGAATAAATTCCTGTTAGAACAACTATTCCATACACAAAATCTTCACTTTTCAAAATAGAATTTCTTGAAGCGATATGTTCTTCAGAAACATAAAAACTATTTAAACTCTCTATCTTTACTAATGCCTTCCATCCCTTTGAAGAACCAGTGTAAAAAGTACTAGGCATGTCTTTAATCTATCCATTCAAAACAGATAAATTAATAGCTTCGCAGCTTGGAAAATTGTTTTTTAATTCTAAAGGAACTATTTTAGTCTTAATCTTTTTTATAAAACAATTTTTAATAAATTAAAAAATTGAATCAATTAATATTATTTGTTTTACTTTTTCAAAATCCTAAACAATCAAAGTGCTTTTAGATGAGTTAGTGCAAAGTAATAAAGTATCAGCTGGAAATCTACTATTTTTATAAATTTTAACAATGTCTCCTTAGTAGAGATTTCCTCTTTAAACATTGATAAATTAATTCGATTTATAGCAGTACTTAATGCATTCTTATCCATCAATTTTAAATTAAAATTAGATTCTTTGCTTGACAAAATATTCTAGCAATAATTATACAAAGAAATAGAAAAAAATTGTTAAGATCTAAGTCCCTATTTAACTGTGTGAATCATTAAGTAAAATCATAATAATATATCCAAATAGTAATATAATGTTTATGTATTTATATACAATTTTTAAAAGCAGATAAAGAATAAAATGCAAAATTGAGGGCTGTGGGCTCATATTATTCTTTTTTTCATTTTTTTTCTTTCTTTTTCCAATAAAAAAAGTTTAATTTTTAACTGGAGGACGAAACTAAATGGAAGTCAAAGGCATAAAGGACTTAAAGCTAAATCCATCTCTAAAAAGTTTTGTATTTTATTCAGAATCCATGAAAAATACATGATAAAAAGATTTTTTAGAATTAATATTTTTCTCAAGTTCAGGCTGTTCTGTACTTTACAATTTGGCTAATTTTTCATAATAATTGTCAGTGTTCTAAGAAGTTTATTTATTTAAATTGTATTTTTCATCAATTTAAATCATACTCGTATTATTTACAGTTCTATCCAGATCAATTTTACTTATTTGAAATTAAGAAGCATCTTTTTCCAAAACCCTTATAAATTGACTTTTTACCCTTGACTAATTAGCATCTAATGCTAAGGAAGTATTCAAAATTTAATCCTGAGTAGCTGGTTCTAATTAATTATGAAAAAAAAGCTCAAATTTCATACTTCTTTAAAAAAATTCTTTTAAAAGTAAAATTAATGTCTTTCTCTTTAAAATTAATTTATTTTTTCTCTAAATAAATTTTATGATTTCTTAAACACAATTTTTTTATTGAAAAACTAAATTTAAAATTTATTAATTTAATTTTAGCATTAATTTTTATTTGCCTTTTTTAAAAATTAATAATTCATTTTATCAAATAATTTTTTGCTTTTACATTTAAAATTCTAAATTTTCCTAGAAAAATAAATATTTACATTCATTGTGATAATAGTTATTATTTTTTTCTAAGACTGAGTCCAATCTATGTAAAACGCTATAAAACCCTTTATCTTAGTTTTTATTTTGATCCAACTTTTCTCTTTGATCTTCATAAGGTGTCATCTAAAATGTTTTTTGGTTTTACAAAATTTCTTCAATATTAGAAATTTTTGATGGGAATTCTTGCTTTTCTTTCATTTTTTATACTGTTTGTTAAAATTATTTATAAAATTTAATATAAATTTATTTTTTTAATATTTACTGTGATCTTTAATTTACAATGTATTTCCTTCTTCATTTAAAATTTCTTCTATTTTAGATATTTATTATGGAAATTTCTTTTATTTTTCATATTAGACAACTTCATTTGCTCCTATTAGCCTCTTTTATTTTCCTTTTAATATTTTTTTAAGAAACATCTTTTTTTAAAAAAATATTACTTCTTTTCAAAACATCATTAAAAGTAGAAACTTTCTCTATACTCTCATTAACTTTTTATTAGTTTTCTAATTCAATTTAACTAGGTATTTTCTCCTAAGACTATCGTCTACTTGATGCTTTAATAATATTTTTAAATATAATTATAATATATTAAAAATTTACACTTAAAACATTTTAAGATTTACTTATTTGCTCAATTATATCATTTTAATTTTCTAAGATTTTGCTTAATTTGAATATGTTATCCCCAAATTATTCTAATTATTTTTATTACTCTTCATGATTTTGTTTATTTTAATCTCCTTCATTTTATTGAACTTTTAAAAATTTAAATATTATAAAAATGGAATGATTCAATAAATAAATTTTACTTATTTCTTCTTCATCAATAGCTAAAAGCTCATTTAACTTCCTTAAATTGATTTAAAATTCATCTTTTTTTTCCATTAAACCTGCAGTTATAAAAGATTATTTAACAAAGTTTAATTAAAACCACACAAATAAAATATAAACTCTTAAATATCTGTGTAAATTTTGTTTACTTTTTGATTAATTTAGAAAGATAATAATTACTTTAGTCTTTTCCGCTTGAATAACCTCTATCTATTAGGTACTCTAGTCTCGAACTGTTCTGCTTGTTTAAAATGCTTGTATCTTAATCCCTTGATTCATTAAGGTCTCTTGTCAAATTAAAGTCATCTAAATCAATTCTTTTCTATTAAAATATATCAGCTTCTGAACTTGGAGTATTCATCCTTTATGTGTTAAGCTATTTCGTATTTCTTCTTGAAGTTGTAGGGTACATTGATTAAAGTAGGATTTAATCATTTGTTTTATTTAAATCGTTTCCGGCAATACTCTCTTTATGTTATAAAGATGTATCTAAAGATTATTTGTAATTTTATTAAGCTCCATATTAAATTCCAATGTCTTAATCATAAAGATGATCATCTAAATATCTATTTATGTAGTCTTAAAAATTAATAATTTAATAAATGCTTAGCACAAATAAATTTGATCAAAAAACTAAATCATTACCTTAATCTTTATCATCGTTATTTTTTTATTCTTCCTAGCTCATCTCATTATGATTTAATAGTCTTTTCTTCTTATTTTTTTTACTCAAAAACTAATTTTAGATAGTGTTGGAAACCTTTTATACTTCTCCATCTTTTTCTGAATATTTTTAATGAGGATTTTTAAAGAAATATTAAATGATCTACTTTCAATATATAAGTTATCCAGGTCTTCGATTTACTCATCATTCTAATATAAAAAATTTTATTAAGTTATTTATTCATTTAGATTAATGTTAGTACTTGCTTAAGCATTTTTGCTTGTAGTAGTTTACTTAGTATATAGAGTAGAATCTATTTATTTAATTGTTATTTTGTTAAAGTTAATTTAATAAATATATATGTAAATATAATTACTATTTACTTTTTGTATATATCTTAATTACAATTAATTTTATGATTAGCTTAATCACATTTCAAACAATAATTATCTTTGATAGATAAATATTAAAATTTTCAAGTTTACTTAAAACATAAGTAATAATTCAATGAAAAAATCATAAATATTTATTTTTTTTATATTAAATAAATTATTCCACATATTAAATCAACCATTACAGATAAACCAGGCGAAGTTAAAGAAATAAATTCTTGTTACACTTACAAGTATGAATAAATTAAAATTCATGACTGCTCAAATTTTAAATTGATATTAGCATTTAAAATATAAAAAAAGTACAGTATAAACTGCAATAAATTTATAATATTAGCATCAAATATATTTTGATTTTATAAAAATCACCTGTTGCATAGAACTAAAATTTCTTAATTTATTTTAAGACACTTTTCAAAAAGAAGAAAAGAAAAAAAATTCAAAGCATATTTAATGAGTTTTGATCCTAAAATATTAAAAGAATAATTTGCTTATATCACAATGCCTATTTAATTTATTGATAGACAAACTTTAAAAAATTTAACTTTATTTTTTCTTTTTATCTCGTTTAGACTCCATAAATTTTAATAAATTAAACTTTCATAAGTTAAATTAAATATTAATTTAAGTAGTTTAATTATTCATAATAAATTTATGTATTAAAATAAAATAATTAACAAAAAAGTTATAGCTAAAATAATTTAAATCTATAAATAGTATTGAGAAAAAATTAATAATTTATTGGTAGAACTAAAGTTTATTTTTATCAATTTTTGTTTTTTTATTATTTTGTGCTAGTCATGTAAAAAGAAAATTGAAAATTTTAATATTTTTTGTTAGTACTAAATAAATACTTTTTTATAATATAAATATTTTTAGAAAAATCTCTAATTTTTTTAATTTAAAACTACTCTCAATATAAATTAATCTATAAGTTTTCTAATTTTAGCCAAAGATACTTTAATAAAAAATCATTATTAATTTAATAAAAATAAAACTCATTATTTGTTCAATTAAGTCCAATTTAATCTATATAATGAAAACCACATTTTTTCATTTAATCTTTTTGAAATAAGGTTTTTTATTAGAAATGGTATACAAAGCTTGTATGTAGATTTTTAGATTTACTTTCAATGCTAAAAAAGATGATTTAAAAAAAATCTATTATTAGATTTGAAATATTTTCAATATAAATTGAATTATTTAGCTTTTATAATATTCTAAATTATTTTGTTCTTCTTAGAGCTTTCTATCAACTTGTTCTCAAATTACTAATCTAAGAAAATAAAAGACTAAAAGATAATTTTATTTAAAATAATTTGAAAAAGAAAATAATTTCCAGAAATATTTAAAATTTTTTATTTTCATTTACAAAAATTAAAATAAAAATAAATAAAATAAATTGATAGTTTTTAGTTAAAATAAAAAAATAAATTTTTTTTTAATTTATTTATTTTTTGTCATTAGTAAATAAATACAAATAATAATATATAACTATTCCTATATATTTTATTTTAATTACTAGAATTTTAAAGTGTTATTAATTTATTTATGAATTAAAAAAAAAATAATTTAAAAAAGCAAAGGTTATTTTTAAAAAAGTTTAAGTATTTAATTAATTAGAAAGTAAATGAAAAGTTTAACCTAAATATTTTTATTTTAATAAAAGAATAAATTAAAAAATTTAGAGTTGATAAAAAGTAAACTAGTTATAATATCTATAGGGATATATATATAAAGAAAGAAAGTTAATTAATACTATATACTTATATTATATACACAAAATAATAAGTTAAATTAATAAATAATATAGATTAGATTTAGTATTCATTTCTTTTTCTATTTTTAAAATCTTATTATAGATTGATTGATAGATAGTGTTTATATTCAAATATGCATTCGCTCGTGTATTTAGTTAGGAAATTGAAAATGAAGCAAAAGAGAATTGATCTATTAAGACTTTTTCATTTATCAAATCAAAGCATTATAAAAAATTACTTATAGCTTGCTTGCTGCTTTTTTCTTTTAGAACTAATTCAATTGCTTTTATATAGTAAAGTTGTAAGCAAGAAAAATTTATTTATCGAGAGATAATTAATTAAATTAGCGAACCAAAATTTTTATTTGTTTTATAAACATTAGCTATGCACCGAAAGAAACATACTGGAATTCTACTTATATTACTTATAATACTAAAGTACGTGAGTTCAATTAAGATTATGGTTGTTATGGTTTTAATTATAATATATTTTGTTTATTTTCAACTTTTGTTGAGCTTTTAGTAAGTAGGAAAAGATGTTAGTTAGTTAGTTAGCAAAGGCTACATTTCCTTTGTTTTTATTATTAATTTTCAGTTCAGGTTTTAAATTCAATCAAAGAGGAATTATTTTTTTCCGAGCTGTTGGTGACAGATAGTGCATTAATGAACAGCATCTTAGAAGTCTTCATTGCAGCATGGGATTAAGCAGCATCCAGCCCAACATCCAAGTAGGCCTATCACTAGACCTGATACCCATGCTCCCTTTCCAGCTTAAAATTCTACTAGCGATGGGACAACTCTTTAGCAATTAGAGCAATACAAGGGCTGACTATATCTAGAAGTAGGTTCTAATTTATATAAATAGTTAATTAAAAAAGGTAAAAATGATTTGAAATTAATTACATTATGGGGTTGCAGGATATAAAAATATTGGTTTTTGCTATTGTTGCTATTATATGAGAGGGAACTATTGCTGGATCATTTAAGGATGTTGCATCATCATCATTTGTTAATGTTAGTATTAGTTAGGCAACTATTATTAATTCATCATCTAAGGAGCGTACATTTAATTCTAAGTATGTGGAATGTGATGCATCATTTATGGGTTGACCATTTGAATGCTCATGTCAGTATTATTTTAGTTTGTTGCAAGAGGGATGTTATTGAAACTTTAGTTATCCATTGTAAATAGTTTGCCTTTAATTAATTAATAGAGTTTTTTTAGTAATTTTAACTTAAAATTTGTTTGTTTGCTTCTTTTTTCTTTTTTGGTTGTTAAATTTTGTATTATTTCTAAATTGATTATTTGGGATCGAAGTGAATATTTTTCAATTTATTTCTTAATTAATTCTTTTTAGAAATTTAATACTTCAGTTTTCAAAATATATCAGTCAGTTTTTGTTTTAGAGAGTGCGCACATGAATAATTCTCTAGGAAATAGAGTACATTATTAAATAAATATAAATGAATGCGTATATACGCTAAGTAAATTTCTGATTACAAACAAACAAATAGCTATTTATTTTTAAAACCAAAAAAAATATAATACCTTGAATGTGTGTATGTATCATAGTCAAGATGCCCACCCTTTAATTCATCTTATAAAACAAATGAATAAATAAAATAGAAATAAAAGCTACAAATAAATATTTGATTCTATCGTACTATAAATTTTTTATGTTCGTTCAACTAAATACTTGTAACAAATTTAAAAAATATAAAATAAGCAACAAATAATTCAAAGTAAAGATTTTGAACTTTAACTAGAGTCATTCTTTTGATAGTAAACATCTATTTTAATATTTTTAAATGTTAAATTTCAAATACACGAAAGCATCTTGTTTTTTTAATGTTATCTAATCAAATCTGATATAATAAATTTTGATTATAATTAATGTAAAAATAGAAACACATATTAAACTAGGTGAATCAGTATTTTAATATCTATATTATAAATACAATTTTATGATAATAGAAGGTATTATTTAAGTTTTATTATTTTATCACTTTTTATCGAAGAAGAGAAAGAATAAGAATATATCAGTTAGTAAATATCATAAATTGAATACAAATCAAATGCCAAGGTTGCTTTTTTTATTTACAGAAAATTAAATTTTGATAAAATTCTTTGTGAGAGATTATAAACGTGCATAAAAATTAGTTCACATTCTATTTTTTTCTTAAATAATTTACGTACTAACAAAGAAACAGAATAAGTATATTATGCGTGTGTATCTATATATAAATTTATTGTGTGAATGTTTTTTGCAACAAACCAATTTTTTATAATTTAATAATATTGTTTAAAATCACTGGATTCATTTTAATCTAGAATTTTTTAACCTATTATCATTAAATGCTTTCAGAAATGTGATTTATTAAAATGTAGATAATTATAACCAAATTAAATTATCTTATTACACAATTATCCTTTTAAAAGACTTTAGGTATTTATAAAATAAATAAAATAAGCTTTTTGTCAACTCTAAGAATGTTGAATGAACTCTTTATAAAATCAAATAAAAACACCCCTTTTATAATCAAATACTAAAAAGATAAAGATAATAATAGTAACTTTTAAATATTAAGTAGATGATATTAAATTCTTTTTATATTATTCACAGAATACTTTATTAGCATGATCAAAGTATACATGGTGATTCTTGGTGTCTTATCTAAAAAATGTTAATAAGAAACAAATTCAAATTTATCTAGTAAATTGTCTTTCACACTAAGTTAAATTTCTTTTTCAAATACTTAATTAGTGAGATTAGATATACCTGGTATTAAATCTACATTGGAAGATATTAAAATTTTTAGTATGTGCTTCTGTTAATTCAGAAAAATAAATCTGTGTGGGGTAAAGCAAATATAATTCAACTACTGGAAACTCTCAGAATATATTAATACAATAAATAAAAACAGATTAATATAAATATTTATATAAATTAAAATAACATCTATCAAATAATTTAACCTATAATAAATCAATATTTAAGAAGAATATACAATCTCTCAAAGAGAATATCAATTGATGGATCTCAAAGAATATATCTCCTTAATAATTAATTTATAGTAGACTGAATGATAATACAATTCATACCAATTTATTAGGTTTAGATATGTTGTGTATATATAATATAAAAAAGTGAAAATAATTTCAAAAATCATTCATCAAATAATTTTTTAAAGTTAAATTGTTTTTGTTAATTTTTATAATTAATTTTAATTTTATTGGATAATCATTTTCATTATAAAATTTTTATATTGTGCATTTATTTTGTCAGTAGACTGTTTTTGAAAAGATATGCTTTAAAATTTTAATTGAGATTCAATATTATTAAGTAAATTAAAAAAGATATGTTTTAGATAGTAAAAAGATTAGTTCCATTTAACATCACACTTAGAAGCAAATTCCAACTTAAGCTACGCAAAGACCTTTTTAATTCTTATAAGGCTTAGTTTTGCTCATCTTAGGATAAAAACTTTTAAGATTAAAAACAGACATAAAATAATAGCGAGCAATCTTCTGAGAATAAAGATGAATCTAATGTTTATGAGTAGAATATTCAATAATTGAAAGAAATTTCTAAAGAAATATTTACAAAATTAGACAAATATAGCACAAAAAGAAAATATGAAATATTTTTAACTTATTCTAATTATCGCTTGATTGATCACAACACTTACAACATTATTGAAAAAGATTTCATTAAAAATTTAAATGGATTTACTTCTGAATAATTAATAAATATTCTTGAAGGGTTAGTTAAGATTTAAATGGGCTCTCCCAAGCTTTAGATGCTAATGGAATAATATTTCTTAAAGAATATTCACAATTTGAATATTAAAGAATGTGTCAAGTTAACTAAAGTTTTGCCTAAAGCATTTACTTTCAGGGAAGATGCCTCTCCTTCTACTAGCAAAAGACTGTCAGAATCTCTTCATCTGTACTTTATGAACAAACTCAACGATTTTGATAATCTCTAAAAAATGTAAATGATTGTTGGTTTGCTCTAACTTTTGAAGTCTAACAGAAACATTTACATGGAATCCCTTGAACTTGTTTTTGAAAGACTTTCTCATAAAGTAAGCAATTTTAATAAATAGGAAATTGTTTTATTCGGTCATCTTTTCTTTTCTCATTTTCTCATACAAAGAGAAGCTTAGTTGTCTAAAAGAGAAAAGGCACTTGATAGTGTAAATTAGATCATGTATGGAAGAATCGAATTAACTGAAAACTCTCTCAATCAAACATCTTCTCAAGTTTTAAACTAATAAGAAAATAACTAAAAAATTATAAATTAACAAGACAGTGAGAAACCTTTATTGCAAAAGTCAAAGCAACTATTCGATTAGCAAACTAATTTTAGAACTATCTTAAAATCTTACAATGCCTGTATATTGAAGAATATTGATGAGTTCCAAGCAAAAGACTACTAAAAAATCCTAGAAATATTTGAGCTGTAAGAAGTTTAAGTGGATAATTAAATTAAGCAACATTTTGATCAATTTGTGAAATAAAACTACTTAGACTTTTCACCAAAAGAGCTTTATTCTTTATCTCCATATATAGATATAAGGTTTATTTAGCTCTATTTAGAGCACTATAAATAAGATCTAGAATATATTGATCTACTTAATTTTTTCAAGAGTGTCAAAATGCAATCCTTACCAAGTAAATTATTAATTTTAAAAACCTTTAATTTTGAGTCTTTAAACTAAATGAATATTTTTTAGAGTAAATTAAATAGTATTTTATTTTAATATTTAGGCTATGAGTAGGCATTGAGAGTAGTCGATAGCAGAATCTATCAAATTAAAGATAAGTGGGATTTAGATGAAGTTGTTTACATTTTATGTGCCAGAGAAGATTAGCAAATAGCATTTAAAAACTAAAAGCTATTCTAAAAAGAAAGAGAGATTTTCCTAAAGGAAATGATGATATGTATCAACAAAGAATTAAAAATTCGTAATAAAAATCCATTTAAAGTATATTATACTATCTGGAAACTTTTATTTAGGTCATAGCTTAAGCTAGATTAAGTATATATATTAGATTTACTCTAAAATATGAGATAAAACATAACTTTATCAAGCTTTGATTAATTTATGAGAACTGTAGAAATACTTAATCACGTAGCTACTGTATATCCAGAATTTGAAGAACCTATTAAGCAAACAATAGCCAGTATAGAAGATAGATATACAATTAATGTGGATGAAAACGAAACAAAAAAAATAGATGCAGAAAATACTAAAAAAATCGGATAGTGAACTCAAAACATTTTTAATTTAAACAAGTAAAAAATAATAAATAAAAATGTTGCATTAATAATTTTTATTTATTTATTTCATTAAAACTTCTTTATTTATTATATATCTTTCTACTACTTTTGAATGAAATGTCAAAGTAAATCATTTAAAATAAAATAAGATTTTGTATTATTTTATAATATAGAACAAAGATTCTTTAAATTATTTAAACCAAATTTTATTTTAATTTAAAAAAAACAACTAAATTTTAATCCATATTGTTTCAATTGTTTCAAATTTTTAGCAAAGCTATAAATTTTAAACAAAAAAACAAATTAATAAATTATTTATTTGAATAATTAAATTATTTACCTTACCTTCATTATTTTAAATCATACAAAAGTAACTTAATAAATAAATTAATTAATAGTTAATAAGTAAGCAATCAAATTAATAAATAAGTTGCTTTTGGACTAAATAGTCAAGGTATTGTGTGAACTCACATTTAAGATAATTAAAATCTAAAATAGAAGTATTTTGTCAAGAATTTGTTTTCTTGTTTTTATTTAAAAATTGTGAATCAGGAAACTTTTTCCATTTTTTTATAAATTAGAAAATAATTTAATGTGGTTTACTTTGATAAACACTTTTTTTAAATAAATAGCAATAAATACTTAATAAATTTAAATAAAATAAATAATTAAATAGAATATCTTTTTTTAAATTATTATGAAATTAATTGAATAAAAGATTTATTAAAATTTTAAACTATAAATAATAAAATATAAGAGGTTATTTCAAACTATATTTTATTTGAATAAGATAGATTAAGTATTTTATTTTATATCAATCAACAAAAAGCAACTTTTGAAGGTTTACATTTCTGTTGATTTTTATATCTCCCTAATACTCTTCTTCATCTATTATATCTTTATTTTCAGGAATTACTGCTTTACTTTATATATTACTTTGGTTATTTAATACTAGCTTTGAGTCATGCATATTTTCTTTTTAAAATATGAACTTTGATGAAGACATATTACTTGCATTATCGTTAAAGCTGTTATTTGTTGATTTATTTTTTGAGGGATACAAATTTTCATGGTTGTATCTTGAAGGAACTTTTCCTGTAACTATGTAGTTCTTTTTTATAACTTGTCTTGTAGCATAATTTCCATTTCCAGTAAGATGACTGATATCCGATTCTGCAAATGAATAATTATGGCTGATTTCACTTAGCTCTTTTTCAACATTTGAATTATTTGAGGAGACGTTTGACTTTCTTTTAGTGATATTAACTTTTTACTTTTCTTATTCTTTGTGGAGCTGCTCTATTTCAGCTTATTCTAGTTTTTCAAGAGTTTATTTTATAGCTTATTCTATTTGCTGCTATTACTGTTCCACCTTTGCAATTACATTTTTATCTAAAACCTTTTCTACTCTCTTTTTGCTTGGGTTAGTAGGAGAAGATTAATTTGAAGATTAATCTCTTAGTTATTTGACAATTTTGCTTCGTGAATCGTGTGTATTACTTGAATCAGCACTTTTTTATCTAGATTTGGATTCTTTTATCTTTTACAGATTTTCGTTAGATTTTCCAGAAAAATTTCTAAACTCTTTCCTATTGTTTTTTGAAGATTCTTCTCCATTTTTTTTAGATACAACTGAAAAATTATCACTCATGATTTCACTTTCATTGATTTCAATCCCATCATTATTTTTTATTCTCCTACTTTTTTTAGGCTCAGCTTTATTTTGTTCAAATTAAATTTCAATTAGTTTTTTTTTTGGCTGTTCATTCTACAATTTTACATTTTCATTTAAGTTGTTTTTTTCAAAGTCAAAATTATTTTATTATTTTTTTTCTTCATTATTTTATTCATCTTCTTCACATTCTTCTAAGAATTTTTTCATTATCATTTTTTTTCTCTCTTCTTTATTTAAGGCTATTTGTTATTCTTTGGTTATTTGATTTTGTTTATTTTATTGTTCTTTCTGAATATTTTGTTCTTTGCTTTCTGCTTATTAATTAATAGTTTCATCATCATTGTTTTATTCTGGTTGAACTTTAAGAGATTGTCTTTCTTAATCTAATTCTCTTTTTTATTTATGACTAATGTTTTTGCTTTAGATTTATTCATTTTTACCTTACTTTTCTTCATTAAATCCTTATGGTGAATTTTTATCATCAGAAAATTTTTGGGAAGGAGTGTTTTCATAGCTTTTTTCTATTGATTTTTGAACTGATTTCCACCATTATTTAAGATCTTCCTTATCCTGCTCTACAACTTGATGGTTTAATTAAGGAAGTTCTTGTTAAACTTACTTTTTTTTATTTAAAGATCTGCTTGATTCTTATCTATTTGGCCTGGAAGCACTCTCTGATTGTTAAACACTAACATTTTATATTATTTACCTTTCTTAACTATCATTATCAATCTGTTATTTTTAAATTTAATTATGAGAAACAATCTAATTTTATTCTTTTATTTGTTTTTATTTCATTTTAGGAGTTACATCTTGTTAATCTTCTTCTGAAAAAAATTCAGGGAATTTTTTCTTCAGCTCCATTTCTTTATTTTTTATTTGCATAACTTTATCTTTTGAGTCAATATTTTTCTTTTGTGTTATTATGTTATTTTATCCTTCATTTTAATTTTTTTAAATTGGGACAGTAACAATTGAAGATTAATTAGAACTTTGTCTAGACTAATTTTTTGACCTCTAAATTTAAGAATTTGTTGTGTTTTATTTTTATATTTCAATTCTTGATTTATCTTGCAAAGGTTCAATGCTTTGAATATGATTTTAATTAATTTTAGGCAGTTTGTCTTAAAAGTTAGAATGAGATTAAGAATTTTAATTCTATTAATTAAAATGAGGAGGGATAACTGCCAAAGAGTTAAATTAACTATTAGTTATACTCGTTTTATTAGATACAGGTCTATTTCCCAAGAGTTCTTTTTAATTCGAAACAGAAGAGATATGTGAAATGTTTAGCTTTGATTGCTTGTGGTTCTATTGAATAGGAGTAAAAAATTTTTACTTCTCTTCTTCAAGATAGTCTTTATCAAGAGATGTTATATCAACAGTAAATGGATTTTACTGCAGCATCTATGGATTGTTTAAAATTTCTTTTCTCAACTAAGGGTGCTTTGGCTTTAAAGACTGCTCTATTTCAGCTGTCATAAGAGTGATTCTATTTTTTTAATTAGAGAGCTAGTTATCTAAATTCATCAAAGAAGCTTCTATATCATCTTCGTTTTCTATTTCTATAATAATTTAAATTTAAAAAAATAACTTTGACTATATTTAAAAGAATGAGTACCTGAAATAGGATTGATTTAATTTATTGCATTTTTATGTCCACCATGATCTTTGTGAGTTGTAGTTTTATTTGTCTTTGTTGTTTTTTGTGTTACTGCTGATTTGTTTGATGTGGCTGTATTTATTCTTGACTTACTTTTATTTTCTATCATTTATGAAATGTTTTGAGATGTGTTAATTTAATTCTTTTCTTCAACATCTTTGACTTTTTCTAAATTATCTAAATGAATTTTTAAAATTTCCTTTTAGAGTTTTACTTCTTGTTCATTTATTTTTTACCATTCTTCCAATTCTTTCTTTAAAAAATATAGTCAAATAATCCAAATTATTTATTTAAAAAATATTTACTTTTTTTTCTGCTTTTTCTGGGGATATATTTTATTTCTCTTCGTTGTTCAGCTGCTTATCAATATTTATGTTATTTTAAAGCTTAGATTTAAATTTACTAATTGCTGTAAAAGTAGCTTTTTCTTCAATAGACTAATTCAAGAAATCCTCGTTTGTTTTTCTTTCCCAAAATTTTCTTCTTTCTTTTTAATTTTTTGAATAAGAAGGTTTTTCAGCTGGTGGCTATGGCTTCATAGAAAATTTGCTTACATCTTTCAAATAATTAGTGCGTTTTACAACTTTACCACTGTTGTTCATTTAAGACTATTTAGACATTAATTCATTGTCGAAATCTGCCTATTCAAGCAAGTATTCATCTTATTCAGGCTATGGAGATTTTATTTAAGGTTGCTAATCATATCTCTGGTTCTTCTTATTGTCAATTTTATTTCCTTTTTGTTGAGTCTCTTACTCTGCATTATTTTCATTAGTAGTTGTTTGTAAATTTGATTTCGAAGATTAATTAGTAATTTATCTGTGATAGTTGTACTGCTTTTTCAAATCATTAAATTAATTTTTGAATTCCTTCAAAATTTATTCTTTGTTTTCTTAGTTTGAGTCTTAGTTTTTAGTATCTTATTTGTAAAATTACGACAAATATTGTTGCTTTTGTTTGTCCATTTCTGATTCTTTTTATTTTTGTTCCTTCTTTTACTTAATAAGTTGCTCTTACTTTTGTTTAAGAAGCTCCATTTCTTTCTAATCTAACTACCTCTTTATTTCTGATTAGTTACTTTGTTTATCTTAAATTTAGTTTTTCACTCCACTGCCAGATTAGGACGTGCTGGGCTTATTTTAGATATTTTAAAAAACCTATGACCTATCATTTTTTTAACCAATCTCGACTTCTTGCACTTCTTCCTCTTCTTCTTGCCCATCTAACTCAAACTAAATTTTCTAAAAGTTTTTGGACAGAGCAACTTCTTTGTGATGATTTGTCATGCCATTTGGTAATACTTTTTAAACAAATGGCTCTTTTTCCTACTTATTATCAAAACTATTTCCTTCATCAAATTTCCATTCCCCATAATTATCTGATTTTTTTTAATCTTTTTATTTTATGGCATTTTATTCTTTCTTCTATTTATTATTTTATGAAGGACTGTTTTCTTTTTTACCTTAGCTATTTTATTTTTCTTTGTTTTTACTTTACTAGCTCTCTTGATTCTTTTTAGCATTTTGCTCGCTTTAAATTTTAGCCTTATAATTCTGGTTATAAACTTCAAACCCAAGCATGTCTGGAGTTTTAGTTCTATCTCCTCCATTGATATCATACTTATCCTGAACAATAGATATCTCTTGATTATAAAGGTAATCTTCTTTGTTATTTTTATTTTTCTTTTTATAATCAGCTGCTACATATGAAGGGGAATTTTCTTTTAACTAAGATGATTCATTTTTTTTCATTTTCTTCCTTACTTGAGACTCGTTTTCTGAGTCTACGTATAAATTAGATTATCCTACTCCTGAAAAAGACCCACTCTAATAATTGTATTCATCCTCTTCATTGATATTTTCTTGATCTTAATTTGAATTCCTTTTTTGATTTTTTGGTTTTGGCAAATTTTTATACATGTCCAACATTTTTTTTTCTTCTAAAAGCTAAACTAACTCCATTTATTTCATTTAGTTCTCGTAGAGTTCTTACTCAATCTTTTGTTATTTTAAATGTTTTTCTGCATCTTCTAAAGGCACTGGTCTAGGAACCCATTATTTCAACATTTTTTTATTATCATTATCTTCTTATAATTTATTAGCGTTTTCCACTCCATTAATTATATCAATACTCTTGTAAATATTAACAGCAGGTTTTTATTTTTGATAATTTATATCATTTTAACGAATGTTTGTCTTCAAATACTTTTCATATTATTCTTTCTTTTCTTTCTTTAATTTTTCAAGTATTTCTTGTTATTCTTTGTCTGCTTTTTCCTATTCATTTTTTTCTTTCAGTGTATTTTCCCTAAAAATATAAAAAGTAGATTAAATAATGAATTAGCAAAATATATAATCAATTATCATTATCATTATCTATGGCGACGCTATGATTTAAGTGTTAATATTTTGATAAAACTAAATTTGAAAAACTAAATAATTGAATATACTTCATTCTTTTTTAATTTTGTTCCATCATTTTTCTATGTTTTTCCATTTCATTTCTATGCCAAATATCCATCTTTTTGTTACTTGGGCCATGACTTGAGCCTCTTTTATTTTTAGAAACTGGGTTCTTTACATTATTTTTTTTTTGATCTTAATCTAAATCTTATCCTGAAGCAGAGTCATTAGTCTTATCTTATCTCTTGCCCTAAGAACTCATAATTAATAACTAATAGCTCCCACCCTTCAAAAAAAAGTTTCTTTTTTATTTTTAAAAATATCAAAACAACGTTTTATAGATGCCTACTTCTTTCTTTTTTTAAACTTTGCCTAAAAACCAACCTTTAATATCTATCTGACTGTTGAAATTATTAATTAAAAAAATATCAATCAAAATTATATTCTTTAAAAACTTAAAAAATACTGAATTTATTTAATTTACAAAGATTAATTGTGACAAATTATATCCAAGTAGTACAATATATAATAAACTCTCTAAGAATATTTTTTTACTTTATATCCTAAAAGTTTCAAAAATTAATAACTTTTTAAACACACAAGTTAAACTAAACAATCATCTTAAGAGCATTCAACAAAATAAAAATGAAATAACATTAAATAATTAAAGCACTTTATCTAAAATGTTATTTACCAAAAGCGTGGAATTGTCCTTAAAATATTTTAAATGGCTATATAAAAGTTATTTAACTATTGCATATTTTCTTTATACCAATTAGATCTATAGAAAAAATATATCGATTGATTGATTCAATATTAAAACAAATTTAAAAAAAAATATTATTATTTGAAATATACAAAGAATAAATATGCATCAGCTACTTTATTTAAACTTAAATATAATTATTTTTCATTTTTTCTTTTCTGGGTCTCTGTCTAATAAAAATTTTCCTAAAAACTATATTGGATTTTCTGGCCTATTAATTATTTTATTTGTAAATTATGTCTTAACAGAATTAAGATTAAATCTTACCTCTTAGCACCTAACTCTCTTAACCCTTCGAGTAATACTTAAGTGACAGAACTCTCATAATAATCTCTTAAAGGAAGTTGCTAAAACTTACTTCCACCTCCTCCTTGCTAATTAGAAGCTCCTGTTAGCAATCCATCATCTTAATCTTGGTTTTAATTCTATTCATCATCTTCATCAGCAATATTTTGTAATCCTTAAGATGATCCTTTCGATTATTGCTATTTTTTCTTCTCTAGATATTTTATAAATATTTTTTTCTAAATTTGCTAAAATACAATTTATTACCAGCCATTTATCTTTCTTTGCTTTCTTCTAATAATTAAATATTGAAAAGAATTATGTTAATAAATAAATAAACAAATCAATTAATTAATTATTATAAATGTTATTCAAGTTTCTGTATTAAATATCAGAAATCTATCTAAAAATATTAATCAATTATTTTCTTCTAAAAACTGAATTGAATATTGTGTACAAAATGCAAAGAAAATAAGATTGATTAATTGATTGATAGATAGATAATACTATTTTAAGATATTTTTCATTTTTTTTATGGAATAAAGTACTGAATACAAATGATTTAAAATAATTAATGAATGATCAATAAATTATTTATATTTTATTTAATTAAAAATACTAATTTATCTTTCTTGTTATATTATCAACACTATAAATTCATAATAAAAACCAGAATTAATAATAGTAGTAGCAGTAGTGATAGATAGATTTAAATCAAATGAGTTCAGCGGCAGGTAAATAAGCTTTTTTTTATGGTATTTTAATATAAAAACAATAATATTTTTTCTTTAGATTTAAGCGAATAGGCATCTGATAGAGATTTGGAAGAAGATGATGCAGATAAGACAGAAAATTAAAATGATAACGATGAAGATTAAGAAAAAAATGATGATGATGATGACAATGAAGAAATCAATTAAGAAGTCACAGGATAAAAAAGAGTAACTTTCAAAGATAACTAACCAGATACAATTAAGCAAGTTTAAATGGAAGTAAATGATATATCAAAAGGCATTGACTCCTTTTTGATGAACTTGCATAAGCTGCCTTAAAATTAATACAATGATAGAAACAGTTAATTTAGATCTTAACTTCAGCAATCTTAACAAGGACCTATTTACCCTAACTATTCCTAATTAATGCAGACTGAAAAAGCTTATTAAAGAGATTTGCTGCCTTAACTGTAGGATAATCTTAATCAGTATAAGTAAGAGCATAACAAATTCTTTTATTCAAAATAAGACATGGCATCTGGGAGATAAATTTAAAATAACTAAGAAAAATACGTAAGCAGAAATAGAGATATACCCTCATAAGTTATTAATGATAAGAGCTATTCTTAAATGAATACTTCGAAATATAATTATTATGGTTAATATAGACATCAGTCTGATAGATTTGGTCTTCCATCTTAAAATAACTTGAGACTCTCACATTCTTAGCAACCTCAAAACATAAATTAAAGTACTTATTAATAATATCAATAATAGCAGCAGTAATAATATTCACTGTCAAAAAGATCAACTATCAATGATTTAAACTATCAAAACACCTCGTAGAGAAATGTTGAGTAATAGTAAAAATAATAAAATGGAAGCTCTTATAACTTTAGTCGTAATATAGAAGACATTAATTCATAAGTTGGCTAGCTTGCTAAATCTATCTATTAAGATACTCCAACAAATAGATAAAATCCTTCTCAGTATATTCCTTCATATTAGAATAGCTTATCTAAACCTCCATAAAATTAACAAAGAAACTTTGAATATGACAGTATAAATCAAAGATAAGATTATTCTAACTATTAGAGTATAAATATTGCTAAACAAAAAGATGAATTAGGAGAATATTCTAACAAATCTTCAAACTAAAATTCATTTAATTTTTCTAAAAACTAAACTGTTAGAGACCTTTATAAATATCGTCCTAAAAGAGGTAAATCCTAATTAAAATTCAAAATAATAATCATGTATTTATAAATATATTTATTCTTAGTAATTGATGAGTCAGAGCTTTATGGTGAAATTCAGTAAACGTTTATCCCCAATAAAACAAGTAAAATATTTTGATGAAAATATCAATCAAATTGTATACATATTTCCTTTTAAAACAATAGGTGTCTTAAGGAGTAATTATTGAATATATATATATATTAACAGATATTTTAATCAAACATATAGTTAAGTTTTTTATATTTAAAAAATTATTTTTAATATTGTATTTATATCTATCTAAAATATAGCAAGTTATACATTCATTCATTCAAATATAAATTATAAATAAATTTAAAAGTAATAGTTTTTATTTTATTAGGATTTCATTCATAATGCTAATAAGTTTCTTCAAAAATGTTTATTACCATTTATTTTAAATTCTATATATTTAATTTTCTAATTAAACTACTAATTTAAAATAAAATATTTTTACTTTTAATTACATCTGAAATATAACAGACTCTCTAATTAAGATGCCCACCCAAAATAATTTTATTGAAAGTTTATATAGGAGTATAAACATTTTTTAAATACCATGCAAAAAAGTCCTTAATTAACGAGAATCTACAGTATTTAATATCCAAATTAATTTGAAATAAAATTCAATCAATTTTTTGATACACTTATAAAATTAATTAAATTTCGACAAATTGCTACTAAATAGTTTTTGAAAAAAAAAAGTAAAATGAAATAATAGTAAAATTGTTTCTACGATATAAAAGAAGTTATTATTTATTTTTTTATTAATACTCTTTAAATTTATTTTTATAAATAAAAAAGTTTTTAAACTCTTCATTTTAATCTCATTAGGTTCTCCATATTACTCTGAATTATATTTCATTTTTTAATGTTTTTTATTTTATATTCAAGTTATTTAAAATATTATTTTTCTAATAAAATTCTCACTTCCATTATTTTTATTAATAAAGATTTTTTTAAATTATTTTAACTTAATTTGCATTTTCAATTTATATTCTGACTATTAATTAATTATTCATATTTTATTATTTGAAATTTTTTCTTCATTTTTTCCTTCTGACTAATGATTTATTTATTTTTTTTCTTCGATATTTATAAAGTGATAATGAAATCAGTGATAATGATGTGCCATGCTTAGGTTTTGGTTTAGCAAAGTGCAGTAATCTTACAGATTTGACACTTGATCTTAGGTAAAAACAGATTATTGGTTTTAAATTGTGATTTTTTTTTAATATAAAAGTGAATCTAAAATAATATAACTAACTCTTTTAATATATTTATTTCTTTTAATTTTATTTATTTTTCATTTTTTTTCTTTATTATCTTTGTTTTATTTTGTTAATTTAACTCATTTTTTTCACTTTCAACTTTTTTCTTTATTTTAAATGAATTAATTTCATTTTATTTAATATTTTATCCTTCTACATAATTAATGAATAACTGTTTTTTCTTCAATATTTAAAAAGCTACAATAAAATCTATGCAATTGGTGCATTAGGCTTATGTTCTGATTTAGTAAATTGCACTAATCTCTCTAATTTGAATCTTAATCTAAAGTAAATACTATTTGTATTGGATTGTGATATTTTTTAATTTTCATTTTTCATTTTTTCTGTGTAATAACTAATTAATTTTTCTTCAGTATTTAAAAAGCTTCAATTAAATTGGTGCAACTGGGGTATCAGGATTAGGTACTGATTTAGCAAAGTGCACTAATCTCTCAACTTTGAAACTTTAGCTTTGGTAAAAACAGTTTAGCATAGAGATATTTTTGAATATTAAAAAGAATTCAAAACAATTTTACAAACAAACTCTTTTAATTAGTTTATTTTTCATTTTCTTCTTTAATGTGCTTGTTTTTTTTTCTTTTATATTTATTTAACTCTTTTTTTTTTTTTTAAATTTTTATTTTATAATTAGTTAATTTCTTATTATATCATATTTTTTCTTCATTTTTTTCCTAACTAACTAATTAATTATATATTTTTCTTCAAAATTTAAAAAGTTAAAATAAAATTGGTGATGTAGGTGTATCAGGCTTAGGTTTTGCTTTAGCAAAATGCACTAATCTCTCAAATTTAGCACTTGATTTTTAGTAAAAAAATAGTTTATTTGTGATTATTATATTTTTTAATAAAAAATGAACTCAAACAATTTAACTCTAATAATTTATTTATTCGATTTTTATTGAATTTTTTTTATTTTATTTATTTTGTTTGTGTTTTTTTTTATTTGATAATTTAACTCATTTTTTTTTCTTTTTTTCTTTTTAACTTTTTATTTTTATTTATTTATTCATTTCTTATTATTTAATATTTTTTCACCATTTTTTCTTTTAAAAAAACTAATTAATTTTATATTTTTCTTCAAAAAGTCACAATTAAATTGGTGACTAAGGTGATCAGGCTTAGGTTCTGGTTTAGCAAATTGCACTAAACTATAAAATTTGACAATAGATTTTTAGTAAAAAAACAATTTATTTGTTTTGAATTGTGATATTTTTTTTTTTTTAAATAATTAAAAAGCTTCAATTAAATTGGTGTAGAATAGAATAGAATAGAAATACTCGCACATAAATATGCACTCAGAATAACTCTTAAATATAATATTATAATAGATTTAAAAATATTCATTTATTTAATTTTTGTTGTATTTATTATGTTTTTAGATACCTATATTTTTATAATTTTTCATACTATAGTACTTTTATTTTATTTTTCTATATGTTGTTTAACTAGACTAGTAAGTTAGCTATCTAGGTAAGGTAAAGTGCAATGTTAAAAGGATTAAGATGTTGTTACTTAAGCTTTTAGCATTTAAGGGCTTATAGTTATCTTAGGAGTTGTTTCCTAATTAGGATATAAGCTCTTTTCTTTAGTTAGTAGATATCTAATTAGGAGTTAGTTATTAAGAGAATAAAGCAGATTTATTGGGTTAGTGTGTAATTATTTTGAGTTTGTTTGTTTATTTATTGCACTTTACTGAACAAATTTAGCCGATAAGTCATGAGAACCCCCCTTATTTTAAATTTTCTTAAAATACTTTAGCCTTTTATTTAATTTATTTTTCTTAAGAGCAGAGGTTTTTTTAGAATTGTTTTAAATAAAAAATTTTTATTTGATTTATATTATTAATGATTAAAAATTAAATAGTCTTAAAATTGTCATAAAAAAATAAAATTAAAGCTTTTCAAATTTTTAATTTAATTTGAAAAATTAAAAAAATAATTTAATTATTTTTGCATTTTATTTGATGAAATTTATATTAAAACAAATCGACACAATAAATAAATAAATTAATAAATTAAGAAATAAATAAAAATAAATTTTTTATTTTTTGGAATATAAAATAATTAGCAATAAATTTTTAAAATTTTATATTAATTTGAAGTCTAATAAATAGCAAGCCTTTTTAAAACAAAACTCATATTTACAAATAATAAAAATATAATTCAATAATAATTTAACAAGAACAATTTTTATGAAGTAAATACATAGATAAAAATAAAATGTTATTAATATAAATTTATTGATTTTATAGTTGTTGCTAATTAAAAGTGATTGATTGATTGATGGATTCAAATTTGACAATTAAGAAAATTGCTAAATGAGATTTTAACAAATTATTTTATTTTGCATTGTAAATTATATGAAAGAAATAAAATCAAGAGTTTTTTAGACTTATTAAATAAGCTATAGTTAGATAGAAAGAATGAGTGAAAAATCTACTAAGTGATAGATATGCAAAAGATAAGGAAAAAATACTCATATAGTATAGTAAGAATCAGGAAACTTTCAATGCTTGACAACTCTCCATACTTTATTGTTAACAGATTTTGTAGATTGAGACTAAGGAATATCTATTAATTCTTATTCTTAAATTTATTTGTTTTCATCTTACTCTTCAGAATATTTATTATTAGATTTATCAAATTAGTTTAGCTATTTTTTCTTTTTTTCCAAATTGGTGACGCTGCTACTTACTACTATTCTATTTTTATTTAATCCTTCATCTTAGAATAGGAGATTACTACTGATATCTAATTTTCTTCCTCCTCTTAGCAAGTTGTTTTTTACTGATTTAGAATATTCCATTCTTTTACTGATAATTTGTAATATAAAATTTATTTAAAATTTAAAAAATTTGTAAGCATTTATTTTACTTGTAGAGGTCTTTACGATTTTCTATAATCTTAATTTCTCTATCACGATTTATTTTGTTTTCTTCTAACAACTTTTTAAAATCATTATTGTTTTTGTTTTTCATAAAATTGGGAAGGGGAGCTCCATCTAGTTATTCACCTTTTTATAAGTTTCTAATTTGTTAGAGGCCTAGCTTTTATGCATCTAATTCTGGAGTTTAGTAAGGTCCAAACTTATATTCGCTATCTATTTAGTTTACTTAACTCAAGTAATTATCAGTAGCTTTTCCAGGTCCAATTTAATGTAATTCTTTAACAAAATTCTTAGAGGCGACAAGAAGTTGTTGCTGCTCAGCTTTTTTAGTGTCATTTTGCTACTTTTTATGTAAAAGTTTTTATCTCTTTTCTAAAATAATTTTCTCATGGAGAGTCTCATTTTATTGTCTTCTAAGTTCAACTCTAATATAATAATTAATTAATATTTAGTAAGATTTTAATTAAATTTTTTTTTGCTTCATTTTCAAAATTATTTAAATAAAATTAATATCAGAAAAGAAAAAAAAATTCATTAAACTGTTATTTGATAATTTTTGAATGTTAAAAAATTTAATTGATAACTTCATGCTTGCTCATTTTTAGTTTAATTTATATTTAATCAATATTTACTTATTAAATGTTTTTTTTTACAAATTAATAAAAATTAATGAGCAATATATTAGGATTAAGAGTGGATTCTGCTAATTAGTTTATATCAACTCTTTATATAAAATTTGAATAGAATTTTAATAAGAAATTAAAAATTTTTTAGATTCAAATGAGAAGTAATAAATAAAAAACCACTTCAAATCAAATAACTTTTATTTCTTTTATTATTTCATTAATATTCTAAATTTAATATTTCAAAAGTATTTTTAAATAATTAAGTTTTGTTTAAAATTTTTTGATTTGTATTAGAATAAATTAATTCTTTTTAGTAATTTTAGGTTTAAATTAAATTTTGTTGGTTGATAATTTTTTCTTTAAGCAAGTAAATAATTATTATTGGTTTGTAATTATTTTTAATTAAAATTTTAGTAATTTATTTTAAATAATTTAATATTTTTAAGCTTTTATTTAAAAATTAAATTAATTACTCTTTGTAAATTTAGTTGTTTACTTGTTGGAATTCTTGCTCTCTTTTTTGTCTCTTAAACTCTTTTTCTTTTTTGTACTTTTACACAATTGAAACAGCATTTTAATTTGCAACTTAATCTTCTGCAATTTTAATCATCTCTTTGATTTAATTATTTTTTTTTATTGGAGGAAGAATTCTACCTGAGTTCTTTTGGCTTTCAATGCTACTGTAAAGGTGATTGTTTTAAGATCTTTAATTTTCATCTTAGACAGATTTTATATGCAAATTATTAATTGCTAAGCTCTCATAATCTGGATCAGAGTTTCTAATGACTTAAATTTCTCTATTTATTTGAGCTAGCATGGTTTCAAGTTCTCTCTTTCTTTTATTAGCTTCTCTGATTTTTATTTCCTTAGACAACTCTTATGCAATAAATTTATTATGAGGTATATTTCCTTTTTCTTTTCTAATTAGCTCATTTTTAGCTGATTTGGCAGTTAGGTATTCAAGCTTTCTCTACAATGCAAATTCCTATTAAAAAAATTATTTATTAATTATAAGAATAAATGCATTTATTTTTGCTGATTCTGCTAATTTTCTGCTTCTAAAATAACTAAAATCTAATAAAAAATTGATTACGTCTCTTCTCTCATTCTTTTATTTCTTGTCTAATGACTTTTCTGGAGATTATTAATTGCTATTTAAGTTAATGTTTAAAATCTCTTGTTTCTGCAAATTCTAAATTTAATCAAATTCTTATTTAGCTTTTTAATTGTCATCATCGTCTACTTATTTTTAATGAGGCTCTTTTTACTAAATATTTACTTCTAAAACTTATTCTTCTTAATTATTATTTTTATCAGTTTGTTATTGTTGTTTTTAGGAAGGGTGAATGACTTTTCTGAAATTCTATTTATTTTCTTCAAGAAAAATATGCTTCTTTTGTTGTGATTTGTTACGTTGAGCATTCTTCACTGGATGATCTGCCTTAAATTAAATATTAATAGTTTAAATTGTATAATATAAGATAGAATCATTACCTCTTATTCTTTATAATCCATCAAGTTCTTTTTCTTTTTTTGTCTTTAAAGCCTAGCTTCTTCGCTTTCATCTTCTGCTCCTTCTTCGTGCTGATTATCGCCTTCTTCATTTTATATTAAGTTATTTTACTCATTTTTTTACTGCTCATTTTATTCATGAATGTGTAGGCCTTAAGAAAATGTAGATTTTCTTCTTGAATTTCTCTTTACTTGTATTTAATCGCTTAACTCAAGAATTTCATTCAAGGCATTATTCTTTATCTGCTTATTTTCTTATTGTTCTTCTTATTTTTATTCTAAATCTTCATCTCTAATAACTGGAATTGAAAAAGTAGATTTCCTTTTAAGGTCTCTTTTATGCTAAATAACATTGTTTAACTCTATTATTTCGTTTAGGGCATTAGGCTTCTTTTTGGCCATTTCCTATGTGTCGTCCAAATGGTGTGATTCCTCAGTAATTTTAGAATTATCGTCTTTCTTTTCATTTTTATCTCCTTCTTCTTCTTCTTCATCTGGAATATGAGGAACAGAAAATGTTGATTTTCTTGTCAAAGATCTCTTGGATTGTATTTAGTTGTTCAGGCTCAGTATTTCTTAATAAGCACTTGGCTTTTTTTAACCAGAGCCATTCTCTTATTGATCTTCTACTTCAGCATCTTTTCCAGCGTTTTCATTTATATTTTACTACAAAGATGTAGAGGATGGCTGACTTTACATATCATCATTATCATTGTTATTATCTTCTGACTTCTTATCTTAATTTTCTTAGTCTTTGCCCTCTTCCTCATCATCTAAATGAACTGGTAGTGAAAAAGTTGATTTTCTTGTTAGTTGTCTTTTTACTTAAATATCACTGTTTAATTTTAAAATTTCCACAAACGCATTAGGCTTTTTTCCACCTTGAATCTAATGTTATTCATCTTCCTTTTAATCATTGTTGTTCTGACTTTCATTTTCTTCATTATCTCCTTTTTCTTCAATTGAAGGCTGTTCTTTGATTTTACTGATTTCGTTTTCTTCAGGTAATTTAACTGACTTTGGTTTATCTTTAGATTCACTTTATTCGTCATCATCATCTTAGATAACTGGTAAAGAGAAAGTAGATTTTCTCTTCAGACTGCTTTTAAAATGTATTTCGTTATTTAGCTTGATTATTTCGTTAAATGCATTTTGCTTTTTTTCTTTACCAGGAGATACATTTGAATGGTGCTATTCAGCTTGATCACTTGATTATTATTATTATTATTATTAGTCATTGTCTTATTTATCACCCTTGTTATTATCATTATCTTCTTCGTCATCATCATGTTTGATATTAGTCATTGAAAAAGTGGATTTTCTTTTGAGATCTCTCTTAACTTAAATTTAACTGCTCAGCTTTATAACTTCATTCAAAGCATTTGGCTTTTATTTCGCTTCTTCCTATAATTCAGAAATAGACTTTTATTAAGTGTGTTCCTCATTTTCTTTTAATAACTGATTTTGATCTTCTCCTTCTTAGTCTGCATTATTTTCTAATTTTTTTTCTTTTTCGTGCAAGTCATTTAGGCTTTAAATCTAATTTTGATCATTTTCTTCACCTTCTTCACGCTTATTTGAAGCAACTTAAGTGTTTTGGTTATTTTCATTCTCATCTTATTTTTTATTAGCGTTATCTTACAACTGACTAGCAATTTCTTATAAATGAGAAAGATTCTCTTCTTAAAATCTCGAGGCTCTCCTAACACTCCTTCTCTAGACTATATGTTCATTGAATTCTTTGATGTCATCTTGCACATTATGCTATGGTTTAACAGGTAGTTATAATTCAGCACTCTTATTATTTACATCAGATGAAGCATCATTTTAATCTTATTTTAAATTATTTTAATTTGCTTTGTCCTACATAGATTATTAGAGGGTATTGATTTCATTAGAATCTAAATTACCATTGTTTTTTTCTTAATCTTAGCTGTGCTTACTGATTAACTCTCCTAAATTCATTTCTTCGTGATTACTAAAAACTGATTTTCTTTATGAATTTCTTTTTTTTTAAATAGCTTGACTTAATTCAGCAATGTCATCCTGCACAGTGTGCTTTGGCTGTTAAGGAACAGTTAAATGATTTTATTAAGGATTCTCGTTGTGATTATTTTGCTAAATGCTTTGCTAGTCAACGCCTTCCTTGTCAGCCAAAATGTTGATTTTATTTTCTTGATTATTTTCTGACATATTCCTATCTTAATAAATAAATCACTTTAAATAATTTGTATTTATTTTATTATGATAAATAATATAACTTTATAAATAAATTACTTTTTTTTTTTTTGCTAACAATAATAGATTATATTTAATCAACAAACATCAGATTTTAAATAATCAATTATATAATACTAAAAACTTCTATTACATTGTGAACTATCAGTAATAATGTCATCACGCACTCAATAAAACTACAAAGTTTTTAGTTAGAAAATGCAATTTCATATCAACAGTAATCATTTTTTTAAAAATTACAAAAAATACTTATTTTAAACAGCAGTTTGACTAAGTTTCTATAAAAAATTCTGTTAGTGGAAGCATACTAGTTCGATTTAAAAAAATTTGATTGCAGAATAATTAATTTAAAATTGGAATTATGTTGCACACTTTTGATGGATTTGTGTTGAGTTAGTTAAAATTGAATTTACTCACTAAAATACTACTAAATTTGATTTAATAATAAAAAAAGTGAGGATATTTCTAAAAAGAATAGAAAAGAAATTAATTTATGCTCTCTCAATCAATATTGAATTTGTTAAACAATAAATCAAATGAATTATTCATACTCTAGCAAAAAATAAAAATAGATGTGATATTTTTAAAGCACTTAGCTTACCTTGAAATATATTACGATTTTCTTTGAAGAAAATTTTTTATTTATTTATCTAATTACTGTATAAAAATAAAAAAAAATGATTAAATTAGCAAATGAATGAATGAATGATAGATATCCTAATTAAGTTAATTATTTACTACTTAGTAGTTTTTCTTTTCATCTTATCAAATAATTTCGTTTATATATTAAGCTTTTATAAATAATTTCTTTTTTAATTCACGTATTCATAACTTTAGTAAAGGAACCAGCGAATCAGTCAATGAACTTATAAATTAAATTAATTAATTAATAAATTTATGAATGAAAGTCTTTGCTTTGAAGAATTTGCCAATTATTTTTTTTTATTAATACATATTAAGCCAGTTAATAGCATTAGTTTTAAAGAGAATAATACCAATAACTAAATTTTAATAGGGAATAAATTTTATAAACAAATAAAACAATTTGAGAGCCTAACTGAATCTTTAGAATAAGCTGAAAAAATTGTTTTAAGAAAGTTGATTAGGCAATTAAAAAAATTATGAATTAAAATCTCTAGTAGCAAGATTAGCAATATACTATGTATGATTTTAGAGGTGGAATTGAGGAATATGATAATTTAGTTAAATTAGGTCAGGGATCTTATGGAGTAGTTTATAAAGGAAGAAAAAAATCAGATGGAAAAACATATGTTATTAAGGAAATTAATATGAAGTTTATGGATTAAAAGCAGAAATAGGATGCGGTCAATGAAGGAAACTTACTAAAGCATTTAGAAAGCCCTTATGTAGTCAAATATTATGATATGTTTATAGAATAAAATGATCTCTACATTGTTATGGAATTTTGTGAGAATGGAGATCTTTTGCAATATATTAAAAAGCAAAAAAATCAGTTCATAAATGAAAATAAAATATGGCTTTTCTTTCTACAAATGCTTCTTGGTTTGCATAGCATTCACCAGCAAAAAGTGCTTCATAGAGACTTCAAAACGATGAATATATTCTTAACTAAAAATAGTACTGAAATACGTATTGGAGATTTGGGTGTTGCCAAATACCTTGGCGATACCAACAACTTAGCCAAAACTATGGTTGGTACTCCTTATTATCTTTCACCAGAAATATGCGAAGAAAAACCATACAACGAAAAAAGCGATATTTGGTCTTTAGGTTGCATTTTGTATGAGCTTTGTACTTTCAAGCACCCCTTTGAAGCTTCTAATTAAGGAGCACTGGTTATAAAAATTTTAAAAAATAAAGTAGAACCACTACCTAGCATGTACAGTAGAGAATTATAATCAATAATTAGTCTTTTACTAACTAAAGATCATCAAAAAAGACCTGACACGACTACTCTTTTGTCAAACTCAAGTAATATTTTATTGCAAAAAAATTAAAACCATCAAGTAAATTTAATATCTAAAGAATTAAGAATTTACCTGAAAAAAACATTTAGATTTCTAAATCGAAATAAATAATCTACAATAAAAAAGTATCTAAAAGCAAGATAAATCAAATATAATATTCCAAAATAAAATTTATCGAACTATTTGTTTAATAAATAATCTACTGGATTTAGTATAAATTCCAATTGTTAAAGAAAAATTTTAAGATTATCTTATTTTAATTTATTAGCATGTCATTTTTAATTTACCTTTATTAATTTAATTTCCAACCATCCATCCAAACAAATATATATATTAAACTCCCAAGATATTTCTTTTATATTAAAGTTCTTTTGCTTATTATTACAAATAGTAATCGTTGATAAATTAAATCTTCTAAAACTACCTTATCCTTTAGACGCTGATAAGAAGCATAAGAGAGTATCATCTATGAGTATTGAAGTACCAAGTAAATCAAAAATAATTCATTTTTTTTATTTAAATGCTTCATATTTTCCACTTTTGTGCTTATGAATTAAATTTGCTCTAAAAATTGTGTTTAAATATTAAAATAAACAACTTATTATTTAAACTAAAATTGATATTCATTTGTTGAAAAGCAAAAATGATATATTAAAAAATATATTATATTTCAACAAACTGAGAATTTAAATTACCTTTAAAAAATTAAGAATCTAAAGAGACATTTAGTTAAGCTAAATAAGAGAAGGCAAGCAGATCTCCAAATGGAAGAAGAATGAATAATTAAATACATGCAACTAACCATAGCATAGATTAAAATGCTAGAGTAGGAAGCATCAGCAATTTAAATGAGAATAAAGAAGAGAAACATATTATTAGCTTACAATTTTAGAGTACTTTACCAAGTAATGTAGACAAATAATTTATGTAAGAAATATTTAAAAAACGCAGTTAAGGCATTATTTAGGCAAAGGGAGCTAGAAATAAATCAGAAAAGAGTGACAAACATCAAAATAATTAGGCAGCAGTACCTGATAAATATAATTCTCCATCTATCCCTCACAAAGTCTTTTAACTTAGTAATAAAAATTCAGATTATGACCAGAATAGTATAGAAAATGCGAAATAATCTTCATTTTAGAACCTTTCAAACCCAAAGAACTTAGCTAAAGAGTAACAAGCAAAATTAGAATCTATTATCTAGAACTAAAGGAATATTTTTTTCTAACCACTGTAAAGTGATGATGATAATCTTAAGCTACCATAAAATCAGAAAATGATTAAAAAAAATAGCAGCATGTTCACAAACTATTCATAAAAAAAGGAAAAGTATATTAGTGAAAAATCGCCATCTCCCTAAGCAAATAGAGAAGATAAAGATAAAAAAAGTTAAATATAAAGTGTAAATGACTATTTAGATTAAATCATTCTTTAGAATTAAAGATCTGGCATTTACAACGATTAAGTTATTTATAATTCTAAGCAAAATCAAAATTTTTCATCTGCAAATAGCAATAATAGCAATAACAATAATAATAATAATAATTCGCCAAACTAGTTTATGGGAAAGAAATATTTTACTCCAAAGATAAAAAGTGTGAGACAAACTTCAATTAATTAACATGAACAATTAGATAAATTGTAAAACGAATAAATTATTTAAAAAAATAATTCTATAAGTTATCAATCCTAGTCTTCAAAGAATATCAACTTACCTAACGTAAATTAATCCAAATAGAGTAATTTTAATTATACTTTAAATAAAAAGCCATCACCTGTTAATGCAAGAGGCAAAAAAAATTTAAACTTAATAGACAAGTTATAAAACGAAAAGCTTTTCGATCCTTCTAACTAAGAACAAATGAAATAGATCAATATTTTTGCATAGAATAATCAGAGTAATTTTAAAATTTTAAGTTTTTCTAAATTTAAAATAAAAAAATATTTAATTTATTTCATAAAAATAAAATTAATGTTTATAAATATTTATTTTAATCATATTTTATATTTTAAATTTTTAAATAAAAATTAAAAATTTTCAAATAGATCATAAATTTTTTCATTAGAACTTGAGAATTATTTTTTTACAAAAAAATTTTAAAAATAATAAATAATTTTTTGCTTGATTAAAATATTGTTTGAATAATTAATATAGTTAATTAAATTGGAGGAATAGATCACAATTAAATATAATACATATAAGATAAGCTTAGTGAAAGCTAAACTTATTTTAATAATTTATAAAACTATAATACAAAACTTCCAGAAATTCAATCAACATCTAACTTATCTACTCGTCCTAAAAGTAATGTTAATATCATGGATGTATTTTCTCAGAAAAATAATTAAAATTTTTAACTATTTGCTAGAAATAAAATATCTCAATAGCTGCAGGTCTAACCTTCAGCTTAGTTTTAATTTTAATAGCAATACACTTCTCGTAAAAACAGCAGCAAGAATTCAAATTAGCAAAATAACTTTAATAATAGTATTTTCACAAATTCTAGTTGCATTTAGTTGAATAACTAATACTAAACAATGAATAACTAGCAGTAAAAGAATACAATATATTTAGATTCTCCAGGTATGATTAAAGGAGATCCTGCAATTCAATAGTAAATGCATCAAAAATAATTAGATTTTAAGATGTAAGAAGATTAAATTTTTTAGCTACCTTCTAATCCTGTAAACCTAAAGAAAAGCTAAAGAAATATTGATTAAGAAAATATATCTAGCTCTTAATTTGAAAAACCGAAAAGGAAAACTCACAGAACACATACTGTTTCTGAGAGTAAACAAAAAAAGAACAATAAATCATTTTAATTTGATGAAAATATTCAAGTTTCAACTTATTCACCGTAAGAAAATGTTTAAATTATGCAGTCTTAACATTAGATAAAAGATTTCGAAAAAAATTAATATAACTCCAACCCTAACAGATACTCTAAATATTCAATGATTGAGACAACGATAGACACATAGATGAGCATGAAAGAATTAAATGAAGAAATGGCTGACATGTAATAAAAGTATTTCAAAGATAGATATAGCTTAGAGTAAAAGCTGCAAAAAAAGAATATTTTTATGAGCTCTACAACAAAAAGCAGTCAAAACAGTACACAGATTGGTACTGATGAAAAGCAATTAAATAGATTAAATGGAGATTATAAAAGGCAAGAAGGTCCTGCATTAAACTAATACAATTCAATAGATTCTGCTCCTGGATTTTTCAAATCAGACGAAGACTAAATGAATGATAATTATAGTTCTATATATTCAGATAAAAAGTAATATAACGGACTAAGTACAATGCTTAATTAAAATGAAATTAAAAAATATTAAAACACGCCTACTTTACCAAAGATAAAACAGTAATTACCCATTTCTAGAAATCAATACTCATAAAATATAAATTTATAGAATATGAATAATTATAACCAACACATATAAAGTTATTAAACAAGTAATACAAATAGCAGTCTTATAGGCAGTCAGAAAAATCAATATAATAATAAATTTTATAACAAAGACATACTCGAGTTAAATTAAATGTTCGAATAAGAATCTAATAAAATTAATTCACAGTTAAACTCATAGTAAAACATAAACCTAAGAGAATAAATATATAATCATCCTTAAAATAACAACAATATAAATTATAACAATGAAATGTAACAAAATTTAATAAAACAATATGATATAAGTTAAAATAATAGAAAGAGGGGAACCTCTTCTGCAGCAAAAAGACTAGAAGTGCTTGAGAGTGAAATTATTGATTTATAATCTTAAATTGCAAATAGATAAAAAATGCTTAATCAGCAATTAGGAATCAATTAATTTTCTGATTTGTACCAAATTCTTAAATAAAAAATCAAAGTAAATTAATTATTAATCGAGCAAAGTATACAATTTTTAAATTTATTTAAAACAGAATATTTAGGACTTGGAGCAGTGCAACATGAAAGAAATAGATTCTATAATAAATAGTTGCATACAAAACTGCAACTCAAAGGTAAATCTTACTAAAAAAAAAAAAATAAAATTTTTTAAATTATTTTTTAATAAAATTTCAAAAAAAAGACGATGAGCAACATTTATTCACTTTTAAAGCTCCACATAAAGCTAGAAAAAGCTCAGTAAGAATATGATACCTTAAAGTGGCCAAAAAATTATTGAAAAAATGTGATATCCATCCAACCTACCATCACTCTATCTATCTAACAAATTTTATAATTAGAAAATAAACAATTAATTTAAAAATAAATTTTATATCTGACTTTAAAATAATTATGTTACAAAAGTAATATGTAAATAAATAAATAAGTTAACAACAATACTACACAATACTTTTATTGTAAATATATGTAAAATATATATAAATATAAATCTTTTAATCAATTTATCTCTTATATCTAATAATTACTTAAATCTTATGATCTATCTATATAATTTTCAACTAAAAGAACATCTTTTTAGTATTTAGAATATTTAAAATTTATTTATTATGAATTTATCACCCAAATTTAAATTTAAGCACACTTTTATTTTTCTCCTCGATTTAAATTAGAATCTTTCTCAACAATGTTTTTCTGCTTAATTTATAAATGAGTTCATTATAAATATAAATATACTTAAAATATATAAAAAATGTACTCATTTTATTAAGTATATATTGCAAATTTATGATTACTTTTTGACAAAAAAATAAGTAAAAAAACTATAAATATGTTTATTTCTTTATTACAGATTTAGATTCTTTTTATTGCGAATGCAACTTATTTATAATTTATTTATAAATTAAAAAAAATAATATATTTGTATAAAATTGTTTTGTATTTTAAAAATTTTTTTATTAAGATATATTTAATATAAATATAAAATTTAAAAAAAAATAATCAACTGATTTACAAAGCATAAATCAATTAGTATTTATAATAGTATAATTAATTTAAAAATATAGATATCTATTATAGCTTTAAAATACTATTAAATTAAATTTTTCATTATTTTTATTTATAATTTAGAAAATAAATTAATTTTTTCTCATTTTATCTTATTTTTTTAATTTATTATTTTCGTTTATTTGCTTTAATTTTACATTATTATAAATAGATTTATTAAACTATTGGCAATCTACTTATTTCTTAATTAAAATAAAAAAATTATTCTGGTTATTTTAATTTCGAATGCAATTTATTTATTATTTACCTATCCTATCATTCATTTATAAAATAAGAAAAAAAATAAATAATATCTTTTTTAGTAAATTATTTTTTATTTTGAATACTTTTTAACTAAGATATATTAAATATAAATATATATTGAGTGTAGATAATTTTTATAGTTTTTAAAATATAATCTTTAAACCAATTTAATTTTTTATTATATATTATGTTATAGCTACTAAACCAATATTAAACTTACTTTATTTATATTTTTAACTTTTTTATTTATAATTTAAAAAATAAACTCATACTCTTTTTCATCTTTTTTTAGATTATTTTTTATTTGTTTACTTTCATTTTACGTTGTTGTATATATTCATTTTAAAACTATTTGTTTTCTGCTAGATTATATTATCTAATATTCCTTATTTAAACCTCTCTAGCTTTTTTTAACTCTATGTTGGATATTTATAATTTAACTTATTAGATTATGTTTATTGAGGTGGTAATATTTATTATTAAAGTTATTTTTATTACTCCTAAAGGTTCTTTTTCATCTTATAAATATCTGAGTATCCTAAATTTTCACTTAAAATAATAATCAATTTTTATTCATAATAAACAATTTTTATATTACTTGCTTTATTTAATTGGTGATTTTGACCTTGTGTTGCTCCTTTTAATTGGAGAAACAGATCTTTGCTTTACTTAAACTTAATTCTTATTTTATTTCTAACCCTAAACATATTAACCATGATTCATTATATTGCTACTAAATCTTCTGTTTGATACTTTAGTTTATCAAATAATAACTTTTGATAAATAAAATTAATAATAAATTTGTTACTCTGATTTATTTCTTTTTTGATTTCGGATTACAAATTTGTTTGATATTACTACTACTTAAATCCTTTCTTCTATTCAATTTATTCTTATGTTTTATACTACGGAGTATTTTGTGGCTCATCAATAGTGATTGTACAGATTTTCTTAGGTGATATTCTAAGGTTGTGCTATGATACAGCTGCTTCAGATTATTTTTGGTTATAAGAAGGCTCTTTATTCTCTTTTTAGTCTGATTTAATTACTTTGACACTTTGTTTAAAGTTTTTCAATTCTCCATCAATCAACTTTATATCATCGCTTTATTTTTTACAAAATATAAATAAAATCTTTTCAATAGATATAAAATTATTTACTCAAATACTAAGTTATAAAGATATTGTTTAAAAGATTTATCATTCTTGGTAAGAATATGTTATAAGATTGTTTTTTCGAAATCCTTTTTTGATATTCTTTGACATTATGTTTCTTCATGATATTTATTAAACATGCTCATAAAATCCATTCTTTCTGCATTTGAAAATTGTCTCAACTGTAATGGCTATATTTAAAATTAAGAAATTACCAATAAAAAAAAAGAAATCACTTATTTGTTCTTTAAAAAACTTACTATTTAATTCAAATCTAGCTCATCACTGCTTGAATTAGGTACAAACTTTCGAAACAAAAGGTCGCATTTTTTTTAAAGAAGTACTTGAAGCTATTTCTCTACTTAGCTAATAATTTTTAAGTATTATTCTTGCTGCATATTTAAATTAGTCTTTTGTTTAAGCCAATTTGTTTAACTTTTAAAATTTAGTCTTTTGACAGCAAATTTTTATGGCTTTAGATATATAGTTAAGCTGAGATTATGTTTTTATTAATCTTATTTTATTACTTCAAAATAGATTTTGATGAATACTATCACTAATTTTTATAATATATTCGTTAAACGGTCTTTATTGAAATCACCATTCAATTATGGAATATATTTAAAAATATAATTATATTTCATTTTTATTCATTCATTTTTTGTATTAAAATTATAATTTTCATTTTTTTTAGAAAAATATAATCCAAAAAAATAAATATTTAAAATTATTAATTAGTAAATCCAAATATTTGAAAATATTTTAAATATAAAATAATAAAAGACAATATAAAAATAGTTTATTTATTTTATTTTTAAAAATATTTAATAAAAATTAAAATATTTTTCAATATTGCTTAATATTTATTATTTTAAAATCTACAAAATACATTTATTTTTTTAGATATTTTAGTTAAATTTTTTTTTTTGGCAATTTTAAAAATATTTTATAGAAAAATTTGAATATTTTTCATTTTTTTAGATATTTTATGGTAATTTTTTAAGAATTGAACTATTGATTATTATAAATGCTATTTTAATTAATTTTACACAATGATAAATAAAATTTAAAATAAAATATAAATAATAAAAATCAATGTTTAAAATACCACGAATAGTAAGTAATACAAGTAAAAATATTTACTTTAAAAATAATATTTATTGAATGAATATCAAATATGAAATAAAATAGAAGAAATTTAAAAAACAGATTATTGATAATTTTGGTTAATTAATTAGTAAATTGATTAACTACTCTCAAAATAAATTGCAAATAAATATGTATTTATGTATGTATGTATCTATGAATTTAACTAAAATAATTTTTTATATTAAGCTGAATTAAATTATATTAATAAAATTATATTTAATTATTTATTTATTAATAAAATGCTATTCAATCAATATGATCTAATTGAATATTTATCAAGATTTTATTCACTTCCATTCATTTCTTCTTTGATCGAAGCAACCATTTTGAATTTTTATGGCTTTCCTGTAATTGTAAGAGGGAATGAATCAACAAATTTAACATACTTTGGCACTTTATAGTGAGCAATTTAACCTTTACAGAATTCAGCTATATCTAAGGGTTTAACTTCTTGATTTTATTTTAATCTAATAAGGGCAAATGTTTCTTCACCGAATTTTTGGTTTGGAACACCTACAACTTAAACATCCATAATGCTTGGATGTGTTCTTAAAAATTCTTCTATTTCCCTGTTTATTTTTAAATAATGAGAATCTTTGATAAAAATAAAATAAATATATTATTTACTTTGGATAAATATTTTCACCACCACGAATGATCATTTCTTTGATTCTTCCTACGATTTTAACATAACCTCTATCATCCATAACTGCTACATCACCAGTCTTCAACCAACCATTTGTATCTATAGTTTTGTTAGTATTTCTAATATCTGCCCAATACTTTTACATAACTGGGTATCCTCTGATACATAACTCACCAGACTATCCTCTTTCGAGTATTTTTCCTTTGCTGTTTATGATCTTTGCTTCAGTATGAGGGAAGATTTTACCAACTGTGCCACATTTATCTTCTAAGTTGTCAGAAGATTCAGTTTAGAATGATATAGGAGAGGTTTCAGTCATACCATATGCTATTTGTAAATCTGTCATTTTCCATTCGTTAATTAATTTGCTCATCAAAGACTATTTTAAAGTTAAACTAAATAAAATGATTAAAACTAGAAATATATTACTTGAGGACATAAAGCACCTGCCATAATACCTTTTCTGAGAGTAGAAATGTTGTACAATTTTGGATTATGTTCATATTCTTTAATATATTCATAAAACATAGTAGGTACACCGTACATTGTTGTTATTTAATATTCTCCAACACTTTGCATAGAATGCTAAGGATTGAATCCTTCACTGGGTAAAACAATAGTAGATCCATAATTTAGAGCAGCTAAGTTACCCATAACCATACCAAAGCAATGATAGAGAGGAACAGAGAGACAAATCTTATCAGACTAAACAAGACCTAATCTTTAACCTATTAAATATACAAAAATTATTACAAACTATTCTTGTTATTGGTATGAAGATATATAATTAATTTTGGAAAGTATATGTATTTACCTAATAGATAACCATTATTTAAGATATTAAAATGAGTGAGAGTAGCACCCTTTGGATTACCAGTAGTACCTGATGTAAATTAAATATTAGTTGCATCATCAGGTTCAGTTATTCTCATTGTTGTGTGGAGCTTTTAATAGTCTTTACTTCCTGCTAATTCATAAAGACTTTTAAAGCTCATCATTCCAGGGGTTTTTTCATCATCTATTCTTATTACGAATTTTAAGTTAGGGAGTTTAGCACTTTTAAGTTTTCCTATATCTGATGTTTGCAATTCTGGGACTATGTTATTAATAAATTTTACATAGTCACTCTTTCTATGGTGTGATGCCATAACGATGGCTTTAACTCCAACTTTTATAATTAAAAAAAGCTTAAGTAAAAAAATGAAAAATAGGAAATCCAATTAAATTTTTAGCAATATCAAAATTAATTTAGTAATTTTGGCATCTATTGATATTTAAGTTTCTGGATGTTAGCTTTGCTTATGAATTTTCTTTAAATTAGAATCAAAAATGAAAAAATGGAAATACCTTTTTTGAGACAATATTCTAGTTCGTGTTCTTAATAGGCAGGATTGATGTTAACTAAAATCAAGTCGGCCATAGATGCAGCATATTGAGTGATTACCCATTCGTAATTGTTAGGGGAATATATACCAATACGATCACCTTTTTTCAATCCTAAAGAAAGAAGACTTGCAGCTACCTTTTCACATGTTCTGTAGAGTTCAGAATATGTAAATTGCTTTTTTTAAAGGTGAGAGATGATTGCAACTTGATCGGAGATTTTGTATGCTTATTCTCTTAGCTTTTCACCTATAGTGATGTAACTCAAAGGCTTGCTAGAAACACCATGCACATAAGATAAAGAGATTGGTGCATTTGAGATGGATCTCTTTGTGAAGGAGTACTTTATAATATTTCTGATCATTGTCTGATTAAAGTGTGAAATATCCTTTTTTTTAATTAACTTTTTTATATTTGAAAATAGATCTTACTGCTATTTATTTTATTTATATTAATTATCAAATAAGTCAGTTTTTCAATTCGTAGCCTATTTAAAGCATGTTGCTATCTTGTAAATTAGTAGAGTGAACGAATGAATAAATAATTATTTTAGTGTTTGATAATTATGAATACATGTATCATTCTTACGTCACTATTGAGAGTTAGGTATTATTTATTATTTAATTTTTAATCTAAATTTTCTTCCTCCCATAAAATCCAAAAAAAATATGTTGTAAATAAATCTAAATAGTTTTTTAGAATTGACGAATTAATCTTAATTTATTCGACCAATTAAATCGTTATTTCCACAACTATCAAACGCAATCTCTTTAGATTAAAATAAGTCAAAAATAACAAAAACTTTGTTATACTTTTCAATTTTTATTTGTAAACAAGATATCCCATTTACATTCTACAATTTTAATCTTTTTTAACAAAAACCAAATTTGTAAATTTCCTCCTAGGTATAAAAAAACATGATAGCTATAAATAGTAAAAAAAAAACTGCATAAATATGAATAATTAATTATTAATAGATTAATTTTATGTGACATTCGTCCTTTTGGTTTATAATCTTAGTTTTCTTCTAGTAATTATAATAAATATACCATTTTATTATCAGGAAATAAAATTTTAACAAGTGTAATCTAATATTTTATAACAATCGATGCCAAAGTAATATAGAATTCTAATTATTAATTTTTTAAATGATATCAGAAGTCTCCAAAAATGTATTTATTGTTTAAACAAATAATAATATAATAGTCTTTAAGATAGTTATAAATCATCAGAGTTATAGATAACATAGAGTAAATTTTTTAAAAATTTACACTTTAGGGTATCTATTCATAATTATATTTAGCTAAATTAAATTTACTTAACTTTTCTATATGTATGGTATTAGACTGATTACAGATTTTTATTAAAAGTGATGATTCTGAGAAAAATTTGATCAAACATTTTATATTTTTAGTTCAATTCAAAAGTTTATAAAAATATTATTTTTTTTTGAAATATTTTTAAATTTCACTTTAAAAAAAGAATTAAAAAGAATTATTTTTGCTATCATTTTGCTTATTTTTGATTTCGAATATTACAAATTTAATTTTTAAATAAAAAATAATAAAATGCGTTTAAAATAATTAAGATTTTATAAATTAAAAGCTGTTTTAATTTCAAATATACTTAGAAAAATGTTTTAACTTTGAATGAAAAAGAAAATAATTTATTCTATTTTATAAAATAAATTAGAAAAATAAAAGATCTTTGTGTTTTTACAAAAATATCATGTCCTATTTTGTCTAAGAAATTTTTATTTATTTCTTTTATAAAAATAATAAATTAGAAAGATAAATAAAATTTGTTTTCAAGTTATTTAATTTATAGTCTTCTATTATAAAAAGATTAAAATTATTGTGGCTATGTTTATAATTGATAGGACATAATTTTATTAATTATAAAAATATTTTTTTTAAATTTTTTATCTCTTTAATGTAATAAAATAATTATTTTAGACAAAAAAAAATAATAAATAATTATATTTATAAAAAAAAAATGTTGAAATAAATAAGGAAATTTTTTAAAGAGAGATTTACTTACTTAATAAAAAAAGAGTAAGTTTGAGTTAATAGTAACAAAATAAATTAATTTTATTTAAAATGAGAATTCTTTTGATTATGAATCAATTATGTCTGTTTGGGATTATTGTGAATTTGTTTTCGTTTGAACGTTCAAATTTTATTTTGTTGTTTATTTTTGATAGATATTTGAATATTAATAGAGATAAGTATTTGAATACAATGAAATATTTACAAATAAAAAATAATCAAATAATTATTGATCGCATTTTTTGTTAGGAAATTTACCCATTTAGATTGCCAAAATATTTCAAATAATCATTCAAAAATGAATGGAATATGCAGATAAATTTTATACACACACTAAAAAAATGAAATAAAGATAAAGTTTGTTTGTTTGATAATTTGATTTTTAAACGATCACTAACAACTGTATTTTTCAATTCCCCACTGACATTTGAATGATTTATTGAATTTTTGTTAGATATGTTAAACATTCAAAATAATTTAAATAAATGCATTAAAAATTAATAAAAAAGACGATATTCATTCACTTTTAATTAATTACTAATTGCCCATTATAAATCAATTATAATGATTAATATAAAACCAAAGATAAACAAAACGCGCAGAATATTATAATAAACATAATAGATTTACAAACAAGAGAAACAGTACTCATAATCAAAAGACAAATAAAGAAAATTAACAAATAAATAAGTAACTTTTATTATGGACCCACATATAGACGACGAACTCAAAGAATACTTAAGACTCATAGACGCTACAGTAAAGTCTGCTTCTACTAACCATATTTCACCTGAAAAGGGGGCTTTTGTTTAATTTCCTCATCAATTTAAGACTAATGAGCTATTTTAAAATGGCATTAAATTGATAAGTAATTGCGATGAGAAAGAATAAAAAAGGTATTTACTTTCAAATTTATTATTTAACATACCCAAAATTTTATTTGATTTGCATGCATTTAACTATTTAAATAATGAAACAAAGCAGTCATTATCCAAAAAGAAAAAAGCCTGAAATACTCGATGATAGCATTGATTGGAATATTGGTTCACAATAGACTACATTGGAGTCACCTAAATCTTAAGATGATATTAAAGATCTTTGTTTAGGAATTCAAAGTTTACAGTGTGGAGGTAGTGTCTAATGTGCATAAAGCTAGCAAAGTCAACACTTTAGCTCGTTGAATTGCATCACAGCATCCTCTTAATTCTTTTAAAAGCTCTAACGCTTTTTCCCTGAATAGCAGCCAAACGATTAACTCAATTTAAGTTGCCTTTGTGTAAAAGATTTGCCTTTTTGATTGTTATTTCTTATATATTTGAAAATAAAGCAAAAAACACTCCCTTTCAAAAAAAAATAAACAAACCAAAATAAATGTTCTACTTTGCAAAATTAAATTATTAATTAATTAATTCATTTTATCATTTAAAATAGAGTCTTGATTCTTCTTCTAAGCCTTCAAGGAATATGGTTGTCTAGCTCAGCTAATAAGATGATATAGAATAATTCCTTGCCTTCGTTAGATCTTATGGAGATATACAAAACATAGATCGCCATAAATACCAGCTTGAAAAGTAATTGCGAAAATCATTTTTATTTGCAAAAAATTAACTACTGAAGAGTTCTTAATCCATTTCACAATTTATATAAATAGAATAATAGTATTAAGCTTCTACAACATTCAGTCCTCCCTGTCAGCTTTTCAGTCTATATCTTAATCGCATTCTAATAAAATGAAAGTTTCATATTTAAGTGATTTTAATGATTTTGATTATATAGATTACATGGTAATATTGATTAAACTATTTGAACTCTTTGTTTTTTATTTTTTTTCTACTTATTTAAAGCAATATAAAAGCATATCTAATTAATTAAAGTTTTTTTTTTTTCTTCTATCCAACTTTCTTTTTGTTAACTCTCTTTGATAATTGTTTGTCTGAACACTCACTAACATTTTTTTTATTTGAAAAATTAATAATTTCTACTAATAATTGCGCAATTTTTACTAAAAAGTTATCATTTTTCCATTTATTTTGCATTTTTTTATACAAATTAAATCTTTTCTTTGTTTTAGTGAAGTAAAATAAAATATTAGCTAAATTTCATAATAATTCATACTAAACAACATCCTTTTAAATTTTCCTTTATCATTTAAATCAATAAATTAAAAAACCCAGTTTATTTAATTAATTAAAATTATTTAATTTTTGTATCAACTAAAATTTAGTGACATTGTTAAATATTGCTCATAATTTTTTACCTCATCTATTCAAATTTATTTATATTTTCTTTAATCAGCTTCATATAAATTATTTTTGTTAATAAATAGCTCATTTCTAATGCTAATAGCTTTAATTAAAAATTGGTTCTTGATTACCTTGGATGCTTTGGTAAAATTCTTGAATACTCAAGTATAAACAGCAAACTTGTTGTAAGATATTTTGATGTGAGATCATTAAAAGAGGTTGATAGGATAATTAAGCTATAAGAGAAAGATAAAAAGTCCTTTATTTACTTGCATAGAACTCATTTCCCTGAGGTAGAAGAAAAGTTTATTTTAGAGCTACTTAAGAATATTTTAATATTTTCAAAAGAAAACACTACTGACATTATTTTGAAAAATGCAAGGGTAAAATCAGTTAAGCAAAGTGCTTCTTAAGTTCAATAACATTAATAATAACAGTCTAATCAACAAATAGTGAAATAACACGAAGTAGTTATATAATAGTTAGGATTGCTTCCTACCTCGCCTAATAGCACTTCGTCTCCAGCACTTCCTAATGCATTAGAAATAGGATATAATCAAAGATTAAATTCTCTATCTTTTTTCAGCTCTAATAATACACATCCTATCTAGCAATAAAATATGAATAATGTTTTCAACAGTTTCTTTAATTTTGAAGAAAACACAAATAATTAGTTCCCAGTAATATAATCTAGCAAGTAAGATAACATTTATTAGCACACTTACTCAAACTAGAATGTACTAGGAATGACCTAAAATTTAAATCAACAGCCTTAGTTGTATGGATATCAATAAAGAAGAGAACTTCAAGAAATAAGCGATTACTAAAACACATTTTAACAATCAATTTCTTAAAGCAATAAACAAAATTAATATTTATCTTCAAATTCATCGAATTCTCTAAGCAGCTAAATTGATAACTAGTCTTTCGCTAATAATGAAAATGAAAATATTCATATCAATAAATAATTACAACAAAAAAAATAAAAAAAGATGAACCCTAATGTAAATAACTTTAGTTCCCTTAATTATAATAGCAACGGAAGCAATCATAATAATAATAACAATAGCACCAACAGTAACAGCTCATCTCTTAAACTTCTTTAAAGCAGCTATTCAGTAAATGCAAATTGCTAACCTTAAATAAAATAAAACAATTGTTAACTGAATGTGAATTCCTTATAATAACCTATTTGCAATTTGTAAATGAGCTAAGAAATAGGTTCTTCTCAACAATAGATTCAATACTTGCAGCAAATTTCACAATCTTCTTCATCTTCTCTTTCTTCTACAAACTTCCCTCAATACAGTTAGGGACACTTCAATACTAACTTCAATTAAATGAGAAAAAGCTAAGATGAAAATCCCTTTTCAGCTTCCTCTTTGAGAATGAGTTTTGACAATAACCAAATCTATCAAATAAATAACAGCTTTTACCAAAATAACAACACTAACAATACCTCATAAACTAATATAAGTAATATTAGTAATACTTAAAACTTAAATAACTAAATGCTCAACAGCTAAAATAATTCAGTGGCTAATTCAATGCAAGTCCGCTTATAAAATAACTAGCAAGCATAATTTATGAATTTATTGAATAACAATAGCTAATTTTTAAATGAAATGTGTTTCAACAACCCTCAAAATCCAAGTATCATTGAGCAATACGAAGCCACGTAAATTCAAAATAATTTAAGCAACTCTTCTAGCAATAGACAATACGCAAACACAATTAACCTACAGAATAACTATCAAACATCTCAGACTTCAAACAAGGTGAGCACAATACTTGGAAGCAATGGAGCTAAACAATAAAATAACAACTAAAACTTCTAAGTAAATTTAGAAAATATTGCTTCTTTTAAAGACAGACGAGCAACAGTCATGGTGAGAAATATCCCAAACAGATATAACTAAGAAGATTTCCTAAGAATCATAGATATTAATTACAAAGGTCTTTACGATTTCGTATACCTTCCCATGGACTTCAAAGTAATTATTTATTTATTTGTATTTATTCTTAATTTTAAGAATTCTTTAACTTTTTTCTTAATTTAATTCCTACTTAGTAATTTCTATCAATAAAAATAAACATTAAAAATTTATTAAAATAAACAAACAATATCAACAATATTTAAATAATAGAATCATTGCAACATCGGCTATGCTTTCATCAATTTTATTGATCCGAAACATATAATTCCTTTCTACAATGAATTCAACGGTAAAAGGTGGGAGATGATAAGAAGTGAAAAGGTAATAAATTTTTAATATTAAAAATATTAAAAAATTAAATTATAAATTATAAAATTTAGGTTTGCTATATTTGCTATGCAAGGATACAAGGAAGAAACGAGTTAATTGCTCACTTTAAAAAATCAGGAGTGATGAGCGCTTTAGTTGTAATAAAAATAAATATTTTTAAATATTATTTTAATTTATTTTTATAATTTAATTAAAAGGACAAATCATTTAAACCTCTAATCTTGCCAAATCCTTAGTTAGATCTCCAAATTCTTTAACAATGAATTCATTAAGCTTATGCCAAAAGAGATTGAAGACTAAATAATAAAATCTAAAAAAACTCTAAACAAAATTAATATATAAATTAAACATATCACCAAAAACTAATTTTAAATAGCACTCTAAAATAGAATTAATTAAAATCTATCAAACACTTATTTACGATGAGTCTTCTTTATTCATCAAATAAGCTTCAGATTTTAATTATAAAGCAACTACTTAATAAACAAGAAAATTCAAAATTCCTTCTTTATACTATCTAAAAAATAAATAAATAAAACTATGAATTTTATATTTTATCTATACAATTCTGAATCAAACTTCAAAATCCCTCTCTCCTAATCAAATTTTGATATTATTTGTGAATCAATCTATATTGAAAATCAAATTATTCAAATAAATTTTAAGGAGGCTGAAATAAATTCAGATTAATAAATAGACTTTGTCATATAAATGGTTAAATAATATAATAGTTATTTTGAATATATATATATATTCTATCATATTTTGTATGAATCATATTTCCATTAAATTTATTACTACCAAGTTCTTTATTCAACTTTAAAAAAAACATTTTTATAAATCATATTTTAAATTATTAAATATTCTTTTTACATACAAACCACTTAAATTTTTGATAATTTATTTGTTGTAAATTAAATTAAATTAAATATTTAATTTAATTAAATACAATTTTTTTAAATGATTGATTTTACTTTTTTTTAAGCATATAAAATAAAGTATTTTATTTGCTTGTATAATTTTAATTTGTTATAAAATAAATATAACGAATAAATAAATAACTTTAATATATTTTATATAAAAAAAACATTTAAAAAATCTATCAACTATATTTCATAGGTGACCACATGTTGTAAGCTTGCTCAATCCTGCTTAAGAGCTCACTCCAACCTACTTAGTTACAATTCTGATAGAACTCAGTTATATTTATTTCGGAGTCATTAAATACATTTTTAAAGGAGAGAATAATCATAAGATAATAAATAAGTATTATATTTATTTTGTATTATTCTAAAATCTGTTTTTATTTAAATTAAAATTTTATATTTTCAAAAAATTAAATTTTTTAATGATTACCTCGTCATTTTTTTTCCCAATAATTTTTTCTTCTGTTCTAAGATTTATTGCCTTTTCAGCAAGCATTTAAAAGAGTTTTAAAAAATTATCATTAAATTCTTATATCAAGCATGGATTTTCTTCAAATACCTGCATATAGGCATCTTCTCTTTGAAAATATTCAAAATTTTCTAGTTGTTTATAAGCTCTATCTAGTTCATTATGATAATATGAGAATTTCTTATCACTATTAGTGTTTTCTTTCATAATTTTCTCTTATAAAGAGGTATCCTTATATTGTTAATTGAACACTATTACTTAAGATGCAAATTGCTAAAAAATTTGAAAAACCTACCTTGTTGCAAAGAAACGACTTCCATAATTCTTCTTCTATATAAACACTTCCATAACTATTTACTTCAAAAGCTATCATTCTGTGCAGATCACTCAATATGATGCAAGCACGTTTTATAAGTAAAAACTAACATTTTAAATATATGTCTTTCGGGATAAGTGAAGGATATTTCTAACTTTATTCTTTGAGTAAGATAGAAACTTGATCTAGGAATTTAGCCTTTTACAACTCAAATTCTATTCTTCGTTTTGCTTTTTATGATAATTCTTTTTGCTTATTTAACTCGTCAATTTAATGGTTCCATTATTCTCCATATTTTTTTAATTCCTCTTAATTTTCACCTGATTCCTGAATAAGAAATGTTTACAAATAAATAAATTTTATTATTTTAAATTTACATCTTGAGTAACAATCAATGATTCTGGAGTAAGTTCTTCTATTGATTTCTTTTTTTAAAGTGCTTTTTCGTCTTTTTTATGATAATGATTAAGAAACTCATGGATAGATGGAATAGAAAAGAGTTCTTCCCAGCCTATTCTCTTTTCTATATCTACTTAAAGCATAGAGTCTAATAATCTGAGTGTTTTTTCTGAAACTTGAATAGATTCAGAATTGTTTTTATCTTTTGGTAGTAAATATTTTAATTTTTCATCTATTTAATCATAAACCTTTTTTTTATTGGATTTTTAATCTTTAAGCAAATCCAAACTTCCATGAGGATTTTTAATTGTATTTTTCTAGTTTTTAATTGATGCCTCTAACATGGATCTTTGCATGTCTTACTAAGTAATTTGATTCTCATTTTGGCTTACCTTTTTATCATTCTAATTTTAAGGATCATTTCTTTCATTTGAATTATTTTCTTATAAAGAAGGTTCTTGAGAAATTTATTTTTCTAATATTTATTATTATTCTCCTTATTTGTTTATCTAAGGCGATGATGAAACAGGTTAAGTAGGAGGAGAAACTCCTGCAGCAGATGCTTGTGGTATTCCAAATATTCTTTCAATTTATTCTAAAATTGCCATGCTGCTAGTGGAATATTAATCCCAAGGTAGCTCCTTAAAAATCATATAATACAAGGTAGAACCTAAAGACCAAATATCGCTTTTTTCTTGCCAGCCAATACCTTTAAGCATTTCAGGTGCCATAAACTAAGGAGTACCAACACAAGTATTAAAACCTTAAGTAATATTTATATTTTAATCAGCTATGATTTTACTTAAACCAAAATCAACTAACTTAATTTCACCATTATGAAGAAGTATATTCTTAGGCTTAATATCTCTATGGAATATTTTTTTAGAGTATAAATATTTAAGAGCATAAACAATCTAATTAAAATATGTTAAAATTTAATCTTCATTTAATTATTTATGTCTAACTAAATCTTCTAGCGTTCCTTCGGAACAGTATTCCATTATTAAATAAAAATGATTTTCTGTCTTTTTAGCATCAATAAACTATATTATATGTCTATTTTTTAGATGTCTAAGCATATTTATTTCTCTAATTAGAGAGTTTGTAATTTCAAATTCATTATTTATTGATATCTCTTTAATCGCAAAAAGCTAGTTCATTTCTTCACTAGAGTTTGATTTACCTTTTGCATAGTACCCCAAATAAACAGAAGCAAATCCTCCTGTCCCTAAAATTTTATTTCTATCTATTTAGTAGTTATCAATTTAAAGATAAGAGTTGCAACCTTAATTCATTTTCAAATATCTATAACGAGTAAATTTATGAATAAATAAATCAATTTATATATATTTTAATATTCTATGATTTGTAATCATGAAATCAATAATTATTATTTAAAGTAGTGTTTTTTAATTAAAATCAAAACCCTAATTTAATAGAGACATATATATAAACAAGTAAACAATTTTTATTATTTTTTAAGCCAAAAATTTAAAAACAAATTACGAATAATTTTATTTAATTCAAATATTCGTTTACTCAAAACAAAATTATAAAAATTGCTTGAATTATAAAACAAACAAACAAACAAATAAAAATTTATTTATTTCATTTTTTGAATTAATATTAAATATAGAAATTATTAAAAATTAATTGAAATTTTGTATTTTATATTTATAGTTTTATTTTAATTTAATATGAGAGTGAGCTAAATTAAATCAGTTAGTAGGATAATTTTTCTTTATAATCCACTCATTATAAGCTATCTCGATTCTGAACATTAGTTCATCTGTATCACATTTTCTCTTTTCTTCATAATACTAGGAGAGCTTGATATTAATATCTTAATACTTATAAAATTGCCTAAATAGAATACAGGAAATAAGATCATATACTAAGTGAATGTCTATACCAGTTTACTATTAAATAAATTATTTAGTTAAAATTGTTGATCCTTTTTTCTTTTCTTCCAAAATTTTTTCTGTGAGTAGTTTAAATAGTTAAATTAAATTGTCATTAAATGCTAATATTAACGATTCGTTTTCTTCCAAATGCTTTTCATCGTAGGCATTACCTCTTAAAGTTTGATGAAAATCAGGGAGATTTTAAAAAGCATACTCTAATTCATCTTTGCTTTTCTAAAATACTAAATAAAAATAGAATTATTAACATTTTTCTTATAAATTAATATTAAAATAATAATGTAAATACTTTTATAAACTCTCAATAATTAACTACCATTAAAGCTCTGTAATTGTATCCTGCATTTTTTTGCAAGTCCATAATTTAAAATTTATAAAAGAGACTTATTTGAAAAAGATATTTTAGAATTTCATATTTGGAGGCCAGAAGTTTTATGGTAGTTATTTTTATTGGAGTAAATTAAAATTTATATTTTTTTATCAAATTGAATGAGAAATAATTTTTCAAATTTAAATAAAATTAAATTTATTAAAATTGAAATAAAAATTTGTTTTTTAATACATTTTTTTATTTCTGTGGATTTTTGGAAGATTTAGTTTTAGAATGATTTAACTTAGTACTACCAATCAGGTAATTTATGTAAGGAATCAAAGAGCTCCTCATCTATTTCTATATTTCCACTCTTGTGAGTATTAAATGAAACCATTTACTATAAGTTAACAAAATGAATATAACATCTTTTTCTCAACAGAAACATGCATTAAGAATACAAACCACCTGGAAATTTTTCTATTATTTCTCTTTACAGCTCTATTTATCTGGCAACCTATTTTTATGCAGATAAACTGTTTAAATTTTGTTCAAAAAATTTATAGTTTCAAATATTACGTTTTTAAAAAATTCAGCCTTTTGTATTTCTAACTCTAATTGATTTTTTGCTTCCTTTGCTTTCAAAGTTTATTCATTTTTGTAATAATATTTTTAAAATACATTATCAGCTTAATTTTAAAGCTCTTAATCATTTTCATTATTAAGTGAAATGTCTAAATCATTGTCACCTTTTTTAAAGTCTACAGTTTGTCTTGTTATTTAATCCAAATATTAAGAATTTTAGTAGCTAAAACTTTCATTGATAGATTTATCTTTATAAATTTATTCATCTATATCATCACTGGGGATAACTAATTTAAAGAGTTCTTCCCAAGAGATTCTTTTTTCTTCATCTACTACAATCATTCTCTTTAATAGGCTCAGAGTAAATTCAGATATTCTAAATAAATAAATAAATTTAAATGAAATTAGAATTATAAATAATAAAAAATTACACATTAGTGCAATGAGAAAAAAATTTATCAGGATCATATTCATTTGTAATAAATTATCTAAGTTAATGCTATTTTTAAACTTTTTCATCCCAAGGTAATCTCTTGAAAAGCATAAAAAACAAAGTAATTCCTAAAGACCAGATATCACTTTTAGTAGTGTATGGCTAATTATTTAGGAGCTGAGGAGCCATAAAAAATGGAGTTCCTCTCATTGTAGTATTTTCTGATTTCTTATCAATTGTTTTACTAACACCAAAGTCAGCTAGCTTACATTATGAGTTATGTAAAAGAATATTACTAGGCTTTACATCCCCATGCAATATATTCTTATTATTCAACTCTCTAAATGCCTTGCAAATTTGCTTAAAATAATCTTTTAGAATTAAAAAAAATATTTTATTCATAATAAAATTTTTAAAATAAATTGAAGATTTTTTTTATTTGCAAATTTTCTAAATTCTAAATAAGCTTTTGCAATAATTTTTAGCACATTTTGGTGTAGCTTCAACAAATAAATTTATTTGTATCCTCAAAAGCTTATTAAGAAAAATTTTATTAGTTATTTTGATAAATGAGACAAATCATTTTATGGATTTATATTTATAATAATAATTTTAACATTAATAAGAATATTTTATCAAAGAAATTATCATTTTATTCATTTTAATATAAGTTTATTATTAATAGTCTACCTAAAACTTCATTTTCAGATACTTTTTAATTTATTATAAGGTCTTCAATGCTGCCTTCATTGCAAAACTCCATTATCAAGTACATAAAATCTTTAGTTTTTTTTGCATCAATGAATTTAACAATATTTGGATGATCTAATCTTCTTAAAAGATTAATCTCAATCAGCATAGAATCAGTAATTTCAAATTTAGAATTGATTGGAATTTATTTTATGGCTAAATACTACTCAGTATTATCTGTTTTCCACCCAAAATAAACAGAACCGCAATTACCCGAACCCAAAAGTTTGGATTCGTCTACTACATATTTATTATCTAACTTCTTTAAAGAATGTCTATTCATTACTTCTGATTTTTCAAACAAATACCCTAATTAGAAATAAAGTCTTTTTATTTCTAATGAACTTTACAAATAATCATAATAAATTAAATACTAAAGCAAGCTAACTAAAAATTAATTAATCAATCAATCAAATAAATAAGCAAATAAATATATTATTTATTTATTTTTCTATGAAATCCTCAAAGTTATTTTCATAGCATAATGATTTTTAATGAAAAAATAATAAATAATAATTTATTTTTTAAAGTAATTTGGTTTAAAATAAAAATTATTTTTGTTCAAATAGATGGATGAAAGAATTAATTTTTATAAAAAATAATACGATTAAAACATCCCACTATTGATTATAAATAATAATATTTTTATCTTTCTATTTTTAAGATCTTTCTGAATCATTTATTGTTATTGCGCTAAAGTTAAATATCTGTTTAGAATCAAACAAAAATTTTGAAATAATAAATTAATATTAAAAAAATTTGTAGATCTTTGTAAAAAGCAATCTTTAAAAATAAAAATGAATTTTGTTGTTTTGATTTAAATATTGTTATTTTTTAGCGTTTTATTTGTAATATCTGATGCTAAACAGGAAAAAAAATAGAAAATAGCAATTATTGGAGGAGGTTTAAATTATTTTATTTTAATTTTATTTTTTAACTTAAAGATTATTCTACTAAATTAGGAATTGGAGGAGCATTTTTACAAATTCAGCTGAGATAAATTTTTGGCGAAAATGCTGAGATTAGTGTCTTCGAAAAATAAGATAGGCTTGGGGGAAGATGTATGAGTTTCTAATACGAAGGAAAATATTATGAATTAGGTAAATAGAGATTCACTGATTATGACAAACTATTTTTAGATTATGTTAAAACTGTGAATATGACAATCAGCAAATCTTCATCAACGACATTAGGAATTTACAATGAAGAAGGCTATGTATTTCTATTAAATACCTTTTTTTTGTTCAAACCTATCACTTTTCTGTTCAATTTTCCTGTTTCTAGTTCATCTTATATGTTTGCATATAATAGTAATTGGGAAAAAATAAATAGGATTTATGATTAAATAGATTAAAATTAGTACTAAAATTTTAGATAGCTTTTATAGGCTTGCAGTTTAGATGATATGCTAGATTATGCTTTTGATGAATATGTTTAGTCTGAATCGTATTATTTGATTAGAAAATCTTTCACAAATTCTTTTTTGCGTTCTATAAGCGTTTTGGTACTAGACTAAAAAGAAAATATAAATGCTCTTGCAGGTTTCTAAAGCTAATTCACTGGCTCTGGTTAAATTAGGAATATGGAAGAAGGATTAGAGTAGTTTGTCAATAAACTTTTTAATATAAAGCTTGATATTAAGAGTTAAATCAAAATAAATTTAAATACAAATGTAAATTTTATAGAAAAACTTCATCCAATAAATGATTCTGATTATTAATTCAGACTCCATTTCAATGAAACCTTTTAAGATTTTGATCAAGTTGTAATAGCATTTCCTCTAGAATAAAATGAAAATCCTAACCTATTTTTTAAGAATTTTTCTGAAAACTAGAGTATTTTCTAATAAAATTTGAAAAGTGGTTATTACTCTAATTATGTAATAACCTATGTTAAAGCTATAAATCCTTTGTATTCTTATTTTGGTTTTAACATTACAGATAATTACCCTGAGTTAATGGTCCCTTATGATTAAGATAAAAGTGAATTTTACAAAATTTTGAAAGTTTGTAATAAATGTTTATAAGATAGATCTTCTCTTTTTTAAATAACTAGCAAGTAAAAATTAAATTAAGCTTAAATTAATAATATTTTTGGAGAATCAAGCAAAATAATTAAGTAAAAGGAATGGGATGCTTTAATACCTAATGTTAAAAATTATGAAACAAATGAGATTGCAGATTATTAACTTTTAAATGGTCTTTATTATCTTCATTCAGCTGAATAAGCTGTTCCTTTTCTTGCCTTTGAAGCTATTTCTGCTAAAATTGTTTCAAATCTCATGAATCCTTCCTTTTAAAATAAAAAAACTTAACAACAAACATCTGATTTATGAGTATTTTTTATATAGTTACTTATTTATAAACATGTTATTTGTTAATTAATTTTACATTTATGTTTTTTTTTTTTAAATACCTCTTTTTATAATAAGTTTTAATTAAATAAATTTTTTAATAAGTTTTGTTGATTGATATATCTAAAAATAATAATAATATTTTAAATCAAATATAAAAAAAATATTCTAAAAATAGTTTTTATATAATTTAAAATAGTTTTTTATTTTTGCAATAATTGTAATAGTAATAACTTAAATTATAGGGAATTTCAGGAATTGCTGTTAGATTTTTATCTTCTAACCTAAAATGTAAAGTTGTTTGGAGTATTAAATCTGTTGGACTGGTCACTATCATAAATATTTTCGTTTTTGGTAGAATTATAATGAGAATAAACTAAATTTTGTTGATCTTTCAAAGATTAGATGTATTAATAATCTGTATCTGACTTTTAATTATCAAATGTATTAGTCTCCTGATCTACCTACTAATTATCATCGTATGTACCATTATCTAAGGTTTTATTTTTAATGTTAAAATGACTTGTAATTGCATTAGCATCGCTTTTTCTCCTGTCTTTGCTGAGGCCTAAAGGCTTGCTAAAAGAATATTGAGATTCGACGAATTTAAGTTCTCTACTTTTTTAATTATTATATGGAATATTATTGTTTGATAAAAATTCACTTTATTGATCTTAGTTATTGTCTTAATTGTTGTTATTTTTCCCAACTAGATCCTCATGGAACTCCTTCATCTTAGGTTTAAAATCAGTCGGTATTTTTTATATTGGATTAACTACTTTATGAAATTGATTTGAGAATGAATTCGATTGTTTTCTAACAGCTGTGCTGCTCAATATGTTGGTTTTTCAAATGCGAGTTCTTATAATGAAAGCTGTACTGAATTTATTAAGGTTGAGGGTATTAAATATTTTATATCACCATTTATTGTTAAGGGTTTTCCCAATTTATTGTTTATGAATTAGATGACTGTTTTCCTATATCAAAGGACATGTTAAAATAATTAGATTAAAGTGGTAAATTAGATATATCATTATAGTTAGCTAACATAGACTAGCCATTAATAGCTAGATTTTGTTCAAAACCTGATTTTAAATTGCATTGAACTATTTTTGTGTTCTTTTTATTTTTTGAATGAAGTTAATAAAATGAACACACAAGCTAGGGTTGTTTTATATTAGAATTTCTTTTTCCTTAACTTGAGTATTTTTTATTATGGATATTATCATCTCTATTAAGATTATTTTAAGTATTAGCAAGGTAATTTGAATTTATAAGCTCAATAACAAATTCATGATTCCAATATGGATAGTAATACTAAAAGTCGCATATTGAGCAATCATCATATTAGTATTATAATTCTTAACTTATTTATTCTGTGTTATGACCAATTTTTAGAGCTATCGAAGGCATTTTTCTGCCAGTTTACTCTCCTAATTCACTTTAATCTTCCATTAGTTGATTATGCTATTGGTTACTCTAACAAGTTTGGTTTGTTATTGCATTATTAAAATTATGCATAGTATTGGTATTGCCTACTTATTATATAGCAGGCATATTCTACAAAACAGTCTACGTAAAAATGTTATCGTAAATTTAGGTCCCATTTTCGTTAAACTTATTTGTAGGGTAGAGTAATTTCATCAAGTTCGAATCTAAACTATGTCTGGAATCATATTGCAAGTAAGAGTTTTTTCTTTTTTCAAAATTTGAAGTTTAATTTATTGTCAAGTGATTCTGCTAAAGTTATGGTGACTAGCATTATTGTATCTGAGATGGTATTTAAGAAGAAGATCTTTAATTATGAGGATATAGCTTTATTTTTTATATTTTTTTCTAATTCTTATTGTTATCCATTTCCCCTTTTGTTCTCTCAAATAGGTTATTATAGCTCGACGGTTTTAATTCTAAAATCATTGAATCTGCTATACTACTATTTTACTGTTAAAGTTCTTTTTTAGACTCTTAATTCTACTTATTTTAATGAAGCAAATAAGCATCTTACTTATCAGATTATGAAGGATCATCAATAAAAGAATCTGACTAGTATTAATCTTAAGTAGCTTGTTGGTTTGAGCTTGTAAACTACTAGAAGTTTATAGACTAAGATGATGCTGAACTAATTTACTTTTTATATTGGGATTCCTGTTTATGTTGCAAATGCTGCTAAGAAGAAGGTTAGCTACCACCAACTTTGATAGAAGTTTGCTGATCTAAAGTCTTACTTTTATAATTAATCTTTTTTTTAGATTGATCAAGCTATTTTATTTCACTTTCCAAAAGTGGATCTTCCAAATCAGACATAGAGCTTTATGTATTCAACTTGAAATGGTATGAGTATTGATTTAGAGCAATTAATTTTTTCATTTTGAACTTTTAATATTTAATCATTTCTTCTTCATTTAATTTTATTCTTTTATTTTTAATCTTACGTAAGCGCTAATAACTAACTCTTTGTAGTTGAAAACTGCTTTGATAAAACATATTTTTTTTTTGTTCAAAATTTAATTCGTAATGAATTTAATTACAATTTCTTATTAAGTGACTATCGTCTCCACAAAAATAGCATGTCTATCCTATAATGCTATAATTTTTATTGATTGTAATTTCGTCTCTAATATAGCAAAACTTTTCATAATCATTAGGAAATTGTTACAGTAAATCAATAAACGATTTATAATTTATGAAAAGTAATTCAGTAAAAGTAGTTGCTTTAGCTCTCAAAATTCTACCAGAATAAGGATAAAAAAACAAGCTAAATCCTAACATATCATTTTTCTTTAAAGTTTTAGTGACTAAAAAGCATTCACTGCTTTCATTATTCTTTTTTTAATAATTGCAATATTTAGAAGAGCCTTAAGAAATATGACAATCACATTAATACTAAATGTCTACTTCTCCTTGCTGTACAATGTACAAATTGTTATCATTTAAATTAACATAATTATCTCTATAAATAATTTCTCCAGGATCAACTCTAAGTTCTAAGTTAATAAAAATAAGTTCATTATCAAGTTATTTTATTAAAATTAAAAAATTTTCAAAATAAAAATTATTTTTTATTTTTTTTTAATTTAAAATATTTTCAGCAAAAAAATTGGTATTTATTTTTTGTTTGTTTTTTATTTCTTTGAAATTTTTTACAAAGTGGAAACGAAATTTAAATTAATATAACTAGTTTAAATTATGATTTTATGGTACTTAAATATTAAAAATAAACTAACTCACTTTAAGAGAATATATTAAAAATTTGAAATAATTAATCTATAAAAAATAAATATTTGTTTTAAATATAGTGATGAATAATATTTTAGTGTTTGGTATATTTTATAATTAAATATTAGTAATTTACCTTAAATGATAGAGGGTAGCTTATATATAAAAGATGGCGAAAATATTTCAGATAAGAAGTGTGAGTTTTGTATAAAAGAAGTATGAGACTCAAATAGTAACTATTAACGAAGAGGTGGAGTTAATAAATTTAAGATAGTTTATTCTTAAAATATATTTCTTGGAGCGAATTAAGTTGATCTGTAGTTTAAATATGAAAATATGCTGTATTATGTTTAGGTACTAACTTGCTTTAGCTGCATGTAATTCAGAATTGAAAGTATATTTTTTTTATGAGACTTAGTGTTTTTTAAAATCTATTTAGCCTGAATTTGTAAATGAATTAAAAAGACTACAGCCATAGAAATTCCTAGAATTATAATTAGAATTGTTATTATTTTTTCATAATAATTTTGTGGAGTATAGCCATTGTAGCCCAAAGGCATTATAGTAGTGAAAACAAAAAATAAACTATGTAAATACTTTTCGAATGAATTTTGAAATAATTTTTGGTTTTAAATGTTCTGAACTTGTAAATACTCTTCAAATAAATTATTTTGAGGGTCAATTTTATCACTCAAAGCTAAAAGACAAGATGATAAGTGAAGAAAAGCAAAAAAACCAAAAGAAAATTTAATTATTTTAATTATCAAACTTCTACCTTAACTAAAGAATAAAAGAATTCTGTCCTCTAAGCTGTTTACCTGACTAAATAGTCTAAATAGCTTGATAAAAAAAAGATATTATACCAACTTTATTTAGCTAAATGCAGCTGCAATACTTATAATACTAACTAAGTCAATTACAAATCCCATTTCAATAATATACTTTTTTGCAATTAATTTTCGATCTTAAATAATTAATCCTTTTTCAATGTAAGTTTTATTAAAATTAAACACCATATCTAATAAAAGTAGTGCTAGAACAATGAAAATAAAAGTATCACCTTGAAAACAATCAATTATATTTAAATCAAGAGAAAAACAAATGCAGAGCTCGAATAAAATACCATAGTTAACAAGAGCCAATAAAGTATCCCATAAAATAATATATGTAGATATCATTTGAAATGTCTCAATTTTTAAATAACCTTGAAGATTTTCTATGAGTTAAGTAAATCTTGAATTATTCATATTTGAAGTATCAAAAATGTGTTTTTAGTACCAGTTGCTATCTAGTTTCTTTTGAATTTGCACTGTGCTTCTAAGTTCTTAGTGCAAAGATCCTACAATTTTCTTCCTTCTCTCTACTTCTACTTTTTCTTAATTACATAAAGATGCCTTATCACAAATAAAATTAATTATCTTATCATTTTTAATATTTTTTTATCCAACCACACTCATTTTACTAGTATCCAAAATAATAGATCTAATTATTTCAGAATTATTTTATTTTATTTTGAGTTTTTTTCTTTATAATTTTACTTTCTATTTACTTCTATTTACTTTATTTTTGTAATTATTTACTGATTTTTAATTAATAAACAATAAAAATTTAGTTATGACAAATCTCATCAATCTTATATTTATATTTTAAATGAAAAGTCAGCTATATAAACAAGTAAACAATTTGTGGTTCTTCATATAAAAGCTTGTCCTCTATTATTTATTAATTATAAAATATTAATTAAATAACTTTATATTTGTTTCACTACTCACCTTATTCAATGTTCCCTAAAAAAAAAACATATGTTAGTTATTCTTAAATTTAATTAATCTAAAAATCAATTAGGAAATAAAAGGTGTATTGAACTAGATGATAATTAACATCCATTTTATCTTTTCGTCAACGATTTAAATAAATAAAAATTTTCAGAAGTATTTGAAAAAAGAATATTTATTATTTTTTAAGATGATAATTTAAAAAAATAAAAGTTTTCAGAAGTATTTGAAAAAAAGAATGGTTTCAATAAATCAAAATATTAAATATATTTATATTAAGATATTTTCATTGACAATTAATACAGATAAAAGTTTTTAGAAATATTTTTTAAAAATAATGGTGTTAATATGGCTCTAAATATCATTCATAGTTATATTAGGGATTTTTATAAACTAATTTATTAATAAAAATATTTTGAAACTTCGAAATGAATTATAAAATTTTTAATTTACAACTTTTCAATTAAATATAATTCAAGTTTAGCATGTTTGTTTCTTGCTCGAATTTTAAAATATTTAGTGCGTTTAAAAAAAAAAACAGTATATTTTGGTATTTCTCAATTATATTTTTTATAGACAACCAAGATTATTTATTTCTATAAATTAAATTAAAATTCAAATACAAAAATTTCTGGAATTTAACTTCTTTTAACTCTCTTAACTCGAATTTAATTTTTTCAAAAATTCTTCTTTTTTTATATTATTTGTTTTTTCAATATAAGTAATTAGCATATATTTTAGTGTAATTTGTTTTTCTTAGGCATTACTATTTGATAATAATAATAAAACAAACCAAATTAAAAATAAGAATTTACAGATTCATAACCAAACAATTCGAAGATAAGAATTGCTTATATGATTAGAAAAATTGGGGAAAATATTACTGCTCTTAAGGTGAAAATATTTCATAATGACAAAAATAATGGAAATCCTGCATAGAATGAGCAAAATTCAATTCAATAAAATGATAATACAATCATTTTAAACCCTGAAAACTAATCCAATAATGTTTAAGCATCAAATGATAATCAGAAAGAAATAAATTAATCGTTTAAATAAGAAAATATAAAACAAGGAGATTAAAAAAATGTTTAACCAAAAGATAATCTTGATCAATAAGCTAATCAGGTATAAGACTAAACAGTCAGCAAGAATTTAAAATTGAGTTTTTCAGAGTAAATATAAAAAAAGATTGGAATGGGAGTAAGTTGAATACACACAAAAACTAATGTTAAATTTATATATATTTATAATTCTATAGAACGATGCTCTCAAAAATGCAATAAAAAAGGCTTCAGGATAAATAAATGAAATTAAAAATACAGTCTCAAACGAGTACTCTGCTATGGATTAAAAATATAAAGATATTATGAGATAATAAAAAGACAAATTTAATATATGGATAAGATTGAAAGTAGAAAATGCAATATTAAAAATTCTTGAAAAGTAGAAGCCTAAAGTAAAACGACTTGTTACAGATCCTTATATGGTAATCATTTAAAACTATTAAAATTAAAAAAGATCTAATTAGCATCCTCTTTAGACAAATAATTATTTTAATAATTTTACAGTTACAAAAAATGAATTTAGTATTCATAATCTATTTAGTTAAATGCCAATAAGATTCATCGAAGTTAAAAATAAATATATTACCAAATATTCATTGTTCAAATTTATAGTTAATTATGATAAATAAATATTGCTTTTTTGGAAAATAAATACTTTTAATAAAAATAGAGAGATATTAATATTTTATTTGATTAATAAAAATACGAATAAATTACAATCAATATTCATGTTATTTTAATATATTACAAAAGACTACACCTCAATACGAAAATCAAAGGATTATATGAGGATGCATTTATTCAAATTTATCAAAATAAATTTTTCAATGAGAATTTGTGATTTATTTGAAAAACTGATTGTAAAATTAATTTTTTTAAGAAAAGAAAGAAAAACATTTTAAAAGATTAAATGGATTTTAAATATGGATAATTATTTTTTAACAAAAAACTTAAAATTTTACAAAAGCATTATTTGTTAATAAATATATTTTTAATTGGTATATAAATATGATTTAATTTACTAAATTTCCTATTTTATTTTATAATTAGTTTAAGTCAATTAAGTAAGTCATTCATGATATGGTTGATGAGATATGGCCTAGTATAGAGGAGTCAATTAAAGATGCTTTAAAGTAATTATCTTAAATTTTTTTTTTTTTTTTATAAGTTTACAATAAAATTTAACTAAAAGACCAGAAGGATATGAAAGAATGCCTATCAATATTGTGGAGGAAAAGCCAAAGATCAATTGTTTATTATATCCTTGGTATTTACTTAAGAGTTGGTATTTATACACAACAACAGCATGTATGTATTTTTTTGTTTGTTTGTTTAAATGTAGATTTAACACAATTTGAAACTATATTTACTTTAAAATAGATAATAGAACAATATGGCAAAAGATTAGGAGATTTTCATGGTGGTTTATACTGCTTATAAATCTTTTTCCACTTTATGGTGCTTCAAGCTTTCTTTATGGTTTTTACTTTCTCTTGATCGATAAATAAGATGAATGGCAACTTCTTCTTTATATTGTTTCGTTTAAAAAAATGTAATTCTTTAGTGTGGGTGTAACTGGATCTCTTCTTGGCTATGCCTTGTTTTTCTTTTGTTCAACTGTAAACGACTATAATTCTGTTTCGGATTACTATAAATGTAAAAACAATGGCCCTGGTTCAAAAATAAACATCGTTAGTGATATAGTTGGATTTTTGCTACAGATAGTACTATGCTGGATTGCTTTTTTACTTCTGCCTTGCTCCAAACAAAAAGGACAAATTCTCTATGCTACTATGAAAAAGAATTTCTAAAATAAATAGCTTTTGGACAACATTAGGAAGAGTGAATTAGATTTATCAAAAAATTAGTCATAAAACTAAGCTGTCATAGATGAATAAAATTAGACTAAAATATACAACATCAACTACAATAACTCTTAAATACAAAATGAAGAGGATGAAAATTAAGAAACTGATTTCTGTTGTTTAAAGCTATCACAAAAAAAGTAATTTTTTAATTGCATAAATCACATTCATATTTATTTTATTTTATTGTTGTTATTATTTTTAAATAGAGGAGGAAGAATCAAATTCTTTATGATTTATGATATTTTTATTTTTGCAATTTGCTTAGCTTTAATAATACTTGCATTAATATTTTATGATGACTCAGAAGATTGGTAAAAATATCAATTTGTTTACCTGATGAAGACAGTATATGGATTTTTTAACTTCCCATGGCTTGTTTTTCTTTTCTCTCCAATGATGAAGCTTTTGACTAAAGCTAAAGAAACAGGAGTAAATTATTATAAATAGTTAAAAAATGGAAATTAATTTAATTTTTTTTAAGTATGATAGATATGGAGTTATTCAGCTCATGTACATAAACAAAGCTGAAAATAAGAAGAAGAGGTAAGAAGAGTTGCAAAAAGAAAAATCAAAGAAGTTACCTAGTCAATAGCATTTGTAAGACATATAAAAAGGAGACAATAATTAGAGTAATATTTCTAATAACAATCAAAACGATCTAGAAAAGTAAGGATTGCTAAAAGAAGAACTGAATATAGAAGAACTTATACAACAATGAAATTAATGAATAAAATATATAATTTAAGAATAATCTTATAGCAGTTAGCTTTTCTAAATTAAAATTTGGAATAATTTTAAACGTATAGATTAATTTCTATTTGTTCTTAATCAAAAATTGATCTATTATTCTTAATTGTATCTGTCGTCTATGAATTTAAATGGATTTGTTTTAAGGAGAGAATAAGCATTAAAATGTTAATTGTCTATTTATTTATTATATTATTTGAAATTTAAAATAAAACTTTTAGAAATTAGAAAAAAATTATTTTTTTCTAATAAGTTTTTTAATTGTAAGCAAATGAATTGATATAATGTATTTATTATTGTTTAGAATATAGAAAATCCAATAGAATTTTGAATTATTATTGATCGGAAATGAAATAAGTTAAGATATCAAAAATTATATATTTGCAAATTTATTATTTTTTAGAAATTTAAGAGTTTTGATTGATTATTGGGGAAAGATATTTTTGAAGAAAAAAGAAAAATAGAACAACTAACTAAACAGTTAAAATTGTAAAAAAAAATAAAAGCAATTAGAACTCAAAAATTAAATTAATTGTTATAAATTCTTTGTGTTTTTATTTGATTATTATAACCTTAGTATCTTTCTAATTTCTCATTTTTCTTTATTTTTGATTATTTGATTCTCTTGAAGATCATTTAAGTTTTAGAATTCATCAAATTTTTAAATTGCTTTCAAAATCGTCTCTCTTCAAAAAATCCATTTCTAGATTTCAGTTTATAAAATTGGTAATGAATGAAAAATGAATCTTAATAATTTCAAGTATTTAAAATGTTTTTTTGAATTTTACTCAATAAAATTATCTGTCAATTTTATTATATATTTGAATTTAAATTATACAAGCAAGACATAGTTAATGCATTGCTTAATACTTTATTTTACTAAGTAACAGCACAAATTTTAAAATAAAAATCTAATGAATGCTGTTCATAATATAAAAACAATTTAAGTCTGATTTTATTTATTATTCTATGGCGTATCTTGTTTTACAATATAAAAAAGACGCTAACAAACTTTTAAATTAAGTCAACATTTTTAATCTATTTATAATTATTTTTTATAACTAATCTGTAATGAAAAATGCAATAAACATTCAAATTATGTAGATAAAGGGAGAATAATCTAATTATGAACTAGCTTATTAACTTTAAGTGATAGATTTTGTGCATGTTTTTCAAAATTTTGGTAAAAATAATGAATAAGATGTAGTTTTTTTGATTTTGCATAAATTTAAAACTATGAGGTAGTTTAAATCCTTATAATAGCAATCTAAAATAACTCAAAAATTAAGTGTATTTGTTATTCGAGTTAAAATATTTTTGCTAAACTTATTCTTTTAAAAGTATTTTTGTTTGAGAAAAAATAAATATTTTAAAAGAATTTTTAGATACCACAGAAGCTATGGATTATAAAAAGATAATAAGATTTTTAAATATTTCTGTCTATCTTAGATTCCAAAAACTACACGCTTTTTGATATCTCGCTGATTAGAATATTAGTAAAGATATTAGTATAAAAGCAATGAATTTATGATAATTATAATCAGATAAGGCGGATCTCATGTATTTTTTTCTAATTTCGTACAAATTATTTTATTTCCATGAAAATTTGCTTTCATTCTTTTGTATTGCTAAAATTCATTTTAATTTAACGTTAAAATCATTTTGAATGATTTTGTGTTTTAAAAAAATTTACCGCTAACTTCATTTAGTGAATGATTTTCTCAAAATTTAGAATAAAATATGAAATAATGACAAAACAAAACTTAAAAGTAATATTTTTTAACAATTCATATCATAAACAAGTAGATTTTGATATAGTTTGTAATGTTTGAAATAAGAAATTATATATTCTAGATACATTTTCGAATATTTGTTGAACCTAAAAAATATTTTTAAATAATAAAACAAAATAGAAAGGCTCTTCAACTGAAATTCTAAATTTATAAATTTCCCTATCGCTTTTTTGAAAAAAATGATCATGCATAGAAACTAATTCAATTTTGGCTATTATTTATATATGTGGTTTTATATAATTGATATTTTTAGCATGCTTTTTCATGTACTATTCCTAACTATAGCTTAATGCTTTATACATCAAAGTATGAAGAAGACAGGTTTTAAAAAACCAAAAAATATGTTTTTTATTTGAAAAGTATTATATAGGAATAATAAATGCTGCATAAATACTCTAAGTAGTTGATAAAAAATCTATTTATGCAAAGAAAAATTTAGAAAAATTTAGAAAAACAAAGAAAATAATTGTTATTATAAAGCATTTTGTTTACTAAGCAAAAGATATAAAATTTGAGATAGAAATATACATACAAGATTAACGTTTTGTTTGTGCTTTGAAAATTGAAATATTTAATTATTAAATCTGCTAACTTTTTTAGATATTTATTTGCTTTATTTTATTTTTTAAATTTTTGCAAAGTGGAGAAAAATGAAACAATCAATCTTTTTTTTATAAATAATATAAATGGTATTAAGCCTAATTTTTATTGCTGGAGAGTGTTATTCAAATATATTGCTGAATGTGGCTAGATGGAATTCGCTTTGGAAGGAAAGTGTTTATAAAATAAGTGATGTATTATAGCACATTGCTAATTATTATAAAGAATGTATTGGATATTTAAAAATTAGAAAATAAAATTTAGCTGAAAAGTAAGAAAGCAAGCAAAGATATATATATATATATGGAGATGATAAAAAGATAAATTCGAAAAAAGAAAATTTCTAAAGTGAAAAGAATTATGGATTTGATTAAATAAAAATATTTTTAGAATGGGCTGATTAAAGAGGGATCTTCGAGAATGAAATGATTTAGAAAAAAAGAAAGAAAGATTATAACATCTACAAAGAGTTGAAGATTCTAGAAGAGGAGGAATAATTAGCTATCAGTCTTATTAAAAGATATCGCAAAACAAGAAATATTTTTGAAATTAATTAAAAAATTTAAAAAACAAAAGATAAAAATTTTGCACAAAAAAGCAATTAATTAAAAAAAAAGATATATCATAAGAAATGTCTCAACAAGCTGAACACTTTGCTTTCGAAGCCGATATCCAACAATTGATGGGTTTGATCATCAACACTTTCTACTCCAACAAGGAAATTTTCTTGAGAGAATTGATTTCCAATGCCTCCGATGCTTTGGATAAGATTAGATACATTTCCATCACCGACAGCGAAAAAGCCAAGTTAGAAGTTGAACCTAACTTCAGAATTAGAATCATTCCCGATAAGGCCAACAATACCCTTACCCTCTGGGATACCGGTATTGGTATGACCAAGAAGGAATTGATCAACAACTTGGGTACTATCGCTAAGTCTGGTACCAAGGCCTTCATGGAAGCCCTCTCCAGTGGTGCTGATATTTCTATGATTGGTCAATTCGGTGTCGGTTTTTACTCTGCTTACTTGGTTGCCGAAAAGGTCGAAGTTATCTCCAAGTCCAACGATGATGAATCCCAATGGAGATGGGAATCCTCTGCTGGTGGTACTTTCACCGTCGTCAACGATGATGAAAACCCTGAAAAGCTCACCAGAGGTACCAAGATCATCCTCCACATGAAGAACGATAACTTAGAATTCTTAGAAGAAAGAAGAATCAAGGACTTGATCAAGAAGCACTCTGAATTCATTGCTTTCCCCATCGAATTATAAGTTGAAAAGACCGAAGAAAAGGAAGAAACCGACGAAGAAGATGAAGAAAAGGAAAAGGAAGATAAGGAAAAGACCGATGAACCCGAAATTAAGGAAGAAACCGAAAAGAAGGACAAGAAGAAAAAGAAAGTTAAAGTTGTCCACACTGAATTCGAAGAATAAAACAAGAACAAGCCTCTTTGGATGAGAAAGCCCGAAGAAATCACCAAGGAAGAATACGTTAACTTCTACAAGTCCCTCACCAACGATTGGGAAGAACACTAAGCTGTCAAGCAATTCTCCGTTGAAGGTCAACTCGAATTCAGAGCTATCCTCTTCATCCCCAAGAGAGCTCCCTTCGACTTATTCGAAACCAAGAAGAAGAAAAACAACATCAAGCTCTACGTCAGAAGAGTCTTCATTATGGATGACTGCGAAGAACTCATCCCCGAATATCTTAACTTCATTAAGGGTGTTGTTGATTCTGAAGATCTCCCTCTTAACATCTCCAGAGAATTCCTCCAACACAACAAGATCCTCAAGGTCATCAAGAAGAACATCGTCAAGAAGTGCCTCGACCTTATCCAAGAAGTTGCTGATAACGAAGAAGACTTCAAGAAGTTCTACGAACAATTCGGTAAGAACCTCAAGCTCGGTATCCACGAAGACTCTGCCAACAGAGAAAAGCTCTCTTCCTTCCTCAGATATCACTCCTCCAAGTCTGGTGAAGAATTAACCACCCTCAAGGACTACGTCTCCAGAATGAAAGAAGGTCAAAAGGACATTTTCTTCATTACTGGTGAATCCAGAGCTGCTGTTGCTGCTTCTCCCTTCGTTGAAAGCCTTAGAAAGAGAGGTTATGAAGTCCTTTACATGGTTGACCCCATCGATGAATACGTCATCCAACAATTAAAGGAATACGACGGTAAGAAACTCAAGAACTGCTCCAAGGAAGGTCTTGAACTCGAATAAACTGAAGATGAAAAGAAGAAGTTCGAAGAAAAGAAGGCTGCCTACGAACCTCTTTGCAAGCAAATCAAGGAAGTCCTCGGTGACAAGGTCGAAAAGGTCGTCGTTGGTCAAAGACTCGACGAATCTCCTTGCGTCCTCGTTACTGGTGAATACGGCTGGTCCGCCAATATGGAAAGAATCATGAAGGCTCAAGCTCTCAGAGATGCTTCCATGTCCACATATATGATCTCCAAGAAGACCATGGAAATCAATCCCGATAACGCCATCGTCTAAGAACTCAAGACCAGATCCGACAAGGACAAGGCTGACAAGACCGTCAAGGATCTCATCTGGTTACTCTTCGAAACCTCCCTCCTCACTTCTGGTTTCTCCCTCGATGACCCCTCTTCTTTCGCTAACAGAATCCACAGAATGATTAAGCTTGGTCTCCAATTGGACGACTCTCACATTGATGAAGAAGTTCCCGGACTTAGCGTAAGCTTTTTGAATTTTTTAAATATTTCTCAAATTTCTCAATTAATTAATTTGTAATATTCTAATTCTAAATCCTATTTTTTATTAAATAATAGCAAGAAGCTGAAAAGACTGAAAACACCAACAACGCTATGGAAGATGTTGATTGAACAAATTAATAAACTTTTTCAAATAAACATAATCTAATCTGATAGGAATTTAAATTATTCCAATCAGATATAGAACCATTTTATTAAAATTCATAAATTTATGCATCTATCATTAATTTCTCCTTGTAATTTTATGTATTCTATATATGACTATTAAAATATAATATTTTGCAATGGCTCCACTCCAATTCAATTCAATTCAAATCTAATCTCTCTTCTTTTTTTCATTTATTATTTAAGCTATCAATTAACAAATTAACAAAAATCTTATTTAAATTCAATTTCATTGTGAGTTCAGTTAAAACTAAAGCTGACATCCGTAAATATATTTCCATATTAATTTCAAAAAAAGAAAACAAAACTAACTAACTAATATCTTAATATTTTTTTCAGATAAAATATTTTAATTTTATAAAAACAAACAAACAAACAAACAAAAAGTTATTAGTTACTTAAAAAAATATAAAAATAAATAAATAATCATTTAGTTTAATATTTATAAAAAATGAAATATTAATAATTAAAAATAATAAAAAAATTTATTTTATTTTTAATAAAGGTTACAATTTTAAATATAAAAACATAATAAAAATATTATTGATAATAAAACTCCATTTTCACTGATATAAAAGTGAATTTATTTGCTTCTAATCATTTATACAATTATAATTTGTGAAGTTTTTTGATATTATCACACTTATTATATCTTTAAGGATTTAAAGTAAGAAATATCAACAAAATTTATTTTATTTTTATAAAGATTACAATTTTAACTTTGAAGAATTCTTTTTAATAATTTTTACAATTATAATTTGTAAAGTTTTATATAATTATCTATGATTATTTTAATATCTTTTTTCTTTTTAATTAAAAAAAAAATGTATTTTATTTTTAGTAAAAATTAAAGTTTTAGCTATAAAACATAATTTTAATGTAATTTATAATAAAAAATTAATAAACTGTATTTTTACTGATAGAAAAATATATTTATCTGTTTTCATTTATGCAATTATAATAATAATTTGTAATGTTGTTTGTGTATATCCATATTTATTTAATAATTATTTTGAATATAAAAGCCAATAGAAATTATCCTAAATTTAAACATAATTTTTAATTTATCCTATGAATTTTTCTAGTTACTTAGTAGTTTACATCCTAATATTAGAGTTCTCACTTCACTACTCACTTAGTATTTAATATTTTTGAAATAGTAAAATTTCTTATTTTTTTGGATTTTAAATTTCAAAATATTTATTTACTTAACTTATGAAATAATTTAAAAACATTTCAAATTGTTAAGCTAGTTTATTTTATATTTGATGAAATGATTCTAAATTTTTATTCACAAATGTATATAATGTGCTATTTTTGATTCGGAATAACTATTTTTAGAAAATTAATTGTATATTTTATAATCTAATAAAATAACTATGTAATATTGAATATATTTTCAACTGTACAAAATAAATAAAATATTAAATATAAAAAAGATGTTTTATAAATATTTATCAATTTAATTTGCCTTTTAAAAAGAATAAATGGATAGAATTTTTATATATCAATTGTTTGCTATTAATAATATAAATTTCATATTATGTTTATTATAAATCAGAACAGAGAGATTTATTTGATTATAAATTGAAAATATAATTATAAAGTTTTTATTTAAAACGAATAGTACTTTATTCAATTTAATTAAAATTTTCATTCATTATTCATAAAAAATATCTACATTGAGTCACTTGTAATATTATCCTGATGTTATAATAATAAATTAATATCATTATTGAAATTTTTCTATTTTAATTTATTTATTTCTTTTATTTTTTTTGTATAATCTAAAGAGAGATGATCATAAAAAATTAAAAAATAAAAATATCAATAATTTATTTTATTCTTAAAAATTATAATAGTAAAATATTATATTAGCTACTGCTTGACTTTGAAAGGCATGCAATAAATTAATATTTTTAAATAACATTAGTACTTTTTCTAAAGCCTACTTAAATTTCAATAAAATTTCAGTTATCCTAAACAGATGCAATTATAGAAGTATATATTAAATAGTTTGTTAAAAATACTGATTTAGTTTGAGGTATTTAAAATCATTTTATACATAGCTATTAATTAGTCGCATAAATAAAATATATTTTTTATATAATAATTTTTTAAAAGAAGGTATTGATTGATTAGTTAGTTAGTTAGTTAAATATTGATTTTATTATGATTGAATAATTAATTAAAATTAGTACAATTTATCAGTAAAATGGTTTTCCTTTTTTATAGTAGTGAATGTCATTAATTTTACCATGATCACTGCAACATTCTTTTAAATAATTAATAAGTTCAGAGTATTCATCAACATTTTATACTCTGCTCTTTGCTAGGCCATCTAATACTTCAAAGGTTAAAAAATATTCGAACCCTTTTCCATAGTTTTCGTGTTTTATAATCTTTATTAAAGTGTAGTTATTATAATTAATTTTGTCAAAATACTTTTTGATCAATTTTATTGAATATTTTATTGGTTTGTTAGTTATAAAATCTGAAACTAAGTCAGAATTCTTTTTGTTTATTAGGAATTTAAAGTATTGCTTAATTATGTTTTTTGTCATATTGTTGTTAGACTTTGAGTCCTTTTTATAATTCAGAGCAGACTTCTTCACATCAAAGCTGATTTTTAAGAAATAATATTTTAATCTTTAATAATTTACTAGCGAAATATTAGAAGAAATTTCAATATTTATGTAAGATTTTTTACTTTCCTTAAGAGTATTGAAGTTGATCTGAATGAATACCATCATTAGTATTAGCATTAGAAAAGTCAGATTATAGAAGAATTTCTGGTGAATCTTCAGTCATCTCCTGCTCAAACTGTGTTCTTTTTTGATAAAGTGATTAAAGTTAGATATTGAAATATTTTTTTAATATTTACTTATATTAAAATTAGTTTGTCACAATTTATTATAAAGTGCTCATTTTGTTTGTTTGATGATTGTTTATATTTATTTATTTATTAATTTGTTTTTTTATTTATTTATCAAGTAAGATTTTTATTTTGTTAATTTGTTTTATTATAAAGATGCGTGTATAATAAAATTAGGTTTTTAATAGATTACTAAATAAACAACCAACACGCATTTATTATGTGACAGATAGATAAGAATTGTTAGAATAGAACAATTTTTTAAAAGTTGAACTAATTGAGTTTGATAAAGCACTTTAGCTGGCAGTTTGTAAAATGAATTCATATTTAATATCTATTATTGCCATAAAAATTGCTACTCATTTTTATTGATACTTCTAAAAAATTATATTCAATAAATCATGTTTTATAAACATAGCTTATTATAAATGTGATAATAATATAAATATTTTATGCTTGATTTAAATTAGATTTAAACTTAATTATGATAAATTAGAATTGTAAAAGGGAGTCACATATAAAGTATATATTTCAAAGATACATAGCTTTTATCTCTCTCAGCTCAAATAATAAGATTAATAGAAGGTATTTTATAAAGAAAAAACATGAAATCTTTACTATTATGTTATTTTAAAGACACTTGAAGTTATGCAAAGTAAATATTAAATAAATTTAGATTAAATAATACTTGATTTTACTTCTATTTATTTTAAACAAATTAACAAGTAAACAATTTGATAGTTGAAAAAGTAATCAAATCATTCTTCTATAATTTAACTCTTTTAATTCAATAAAACTTTGTCTTAATTTTGGGGATTAAATAAATATCTTCTCATTATATTTTATTATATTATCGATTTAAAAAAAATATTATAATTTCATTAAAATATTTTGTAAAGATGTTAACTTTTATCAAATATTCTCAATATTTACAAATTTTCTTTTATTTACATTTTATTTGATTTTATCAAATATGTAAAAGGTAATCAATAAATGTTTATTTATACAAAAAAATAACTTCTGATTGTAAAATCTGTACCAGTCTTTTATTGTATAAATTATATGCATATAGTCTAACTCTACTGACTGATTTTTCTACCATTTTGAAAAAAAATATTTATAAAAACGCCATTTTTTCATTCAGTGGAATTTTAATTTATTTTTATAATGCAGGTGTTATATTGAAATATAATTAGTATCATTAATTCTTATATAATTTATCTATTTTAATTAAAAATAAATAGTCAAATTTCATTTTAAATCAATAAAATAGATTATTTTTTCAGAAATCAATCATAAATTTGTGTTTCAAGTAGGGTATTATAACTAGCTAACATTCGCAAAAGGATACTATTAAAAAAATTATTAGATTAAAATATTTTTTAAAATAAAATTGTTTGAACTTTATGCCAAATTAACTTTTCGTCTCTATTTTCTTTGCTATCTTTTTATTGATATGTAAATCTAATAGAGATTTAAAGAAAAGTTTTGCGTATATTTACAGGATTTTTTTTAAGACATCTAGCTAAAATAAACAATTAACAATAGATTTACTACTTCTTATATATATATAAAAATTTCAAAGAGAATAACAATATCATTTATTCTATTTAAGAAAATAGAAGCTAATTAATATTTAAAAATAGACATTTATATAAAAAAATATTTTAGTCTATTATAGAATTTTTAAAAATTATAAATTTTTTTAAAATAAAAAACAACCCTCTTTATTTAAAAATACTTTTACACATAAAAATCGCCTTTAAAAAGAAAGAATTTTTTTGGAATAAATATCTTCTATTATTTAAATATTGTTTGGGAGAAATAGTTTTTGCATTTTGAATATTTTGAAGAAAGGAAAGTTTTAAGTAATATTTGAAAAAAGAAAGAGATAACGTTATTTATTTGGTATCGATTTAAACATTTCAAGAATTATATTTGATAAACAAAAATGAATTATTTTCTAAATTTCCTTTCTATCACTATTTTATTTAAATAGAATAATATATTATATAGTTAGAGTAGAAAAAATTTAGTAAAATCTAATTGAGCAGAATATAAATAAATATACAATATTCAAGAATCACTTTTAGGGAGTTTATATTTATGAATCAATTAAGCAATTTAAATGTACTAAAAAAGTAAATTAGTCTTTAATACTAATAATCCAACTATAGCAAGCAATACAATAATAATATTACTATTTGTAAAAAATTACATTCATTTTTAAAAAAAATATTATGCAATTAGTTTGATAATGAATTCTAATAAACAAAGTCTTATACAATAAATAAATACTTATTATTTAAATTATAATAGAAAATATTATTTGTAATTAAAAAAACATGCTTCAAAACTAGAAGCATTTATTTTTTTTATAAAAGTTTATTTCATTTATTTGTTCTTGATTTACACAGCATTCTTTGAGGTATTAAATACAATCTATATGCTACTACATATTCTTCACTTTACTTGATTATAGTACATCAAGCGCTTCAAATGTTAAAAAATATTCAAAACCCCTGCCATAATTTTAATGCTTTATTATTTTAATAAGGGAAAAGTTATTATAATTGAATTTGTCAAAATATTTCTTAACGAGTTTGATTGAATATGGCGCAGGTTTTTCGAAAATAAATTCAGAAACCAGTTAAATATTTTATTTTTTTATCAAAAACTTATAGAATTGTTTAAGAATGTTTTTAATCAGATTATTTGTTTTAAGTGTATATTGGTTGTGCTTATTGATGTTTTCGTTTTCTTCTATGCTTTCAGAGAAGGCTTCGCCATTAATTTTAATTATTGTTTATGTTTTTACGCATTTGTTATTATAATTTTATCCCCATAGCTTTGTCACTTTCATTTCATAGCTTCTGGTTGAAATCGAACTGTTTTCATCCTCTTATTCTGATTTACTAAAAGCATGCTCTTTCATAAATATACTATTTGCATCCTTTAAATAATATTATTATTATTTTCCTACTTCCATCCTTTTCTAAACTTTATTTCTATTAAATAAATGCACTTAAGCAGTTTTTAATTGATTATTGATATCAATTATTTTTATTTTATTTTCAAAATTGAATTATCTCTAGAATAAATAAATCAAAAAAAATCAATCTATCTTCAATTTAATTATTACAATATTAAAAGTATCCAATTGCAGTAGATATTGAGAAATAAGGATTAAGCTTTTATTTTCCTAGTACTTTTTGATTTATTATTTTGATTGCTTTCTGTTATTTTTATAAAACCATTAAATAAATTTTTGGCTTTTTACTCTAAAATATATTTAGAGATTTTCATATTATTTAATAATTTATAAAATATTTTACCAAAGTTGTTCTTTCAAGTAGAAAATTAACATATAGTGCATCAATTTTTTTGATCGCTAATTAAAAATTAAACTGAATTTAATCAAATTAATAAGATAATTAATTAATTATTGATAACTAAAAATAAAATTTAAAAAATTGTTCTTCCTTACGAAAAATTCTAATGATGATTTAAAAAAGATGATTTAATAAATAACTTTCGTTAAATAAATTCAATTATTTAAATTAAATCCTCTTCAGTAAATTATATCGATTATAAAAATAAATAAATTTACCAGTTATCATTTTCTAAACAATTAATTGATGTAATTTCAATTTCTAACAAAAAGTAATCAATAAAATTTTCATTAAGACTTGATATTTAGAAGCAATAATAGATAAATACTTAAAGTTTTTATAATATAAACAAATAGATTAATAAAATATTTTTGGTATCTATATACTCATAACCATTTTTATTTTAATTGAATTTATATTTTTATTCTCATTTTTAAAGAAAACAATCATAAATAGTAAACTTCTATAAATATGGTAGATTCTTTTTATTTTTCTTTTGACATAATTTGATAAAATATATTAAAAAACTTAATATCACTATTGAAATTCAGTTTATACTGAATTTTTTAATGCATTATTCAATAAACTAAAATAATTTATTAAAAACTAATTTGTTTTATTTGTAATTATTTTGCTGCATTCATAATACTTTAAATTAATATAATTGTTTTTCTTTCAAAGGTGAGAGATTTTCAGTGTTACAACAGTTAATTACACTAATTTTATTGAAGAAATGTTTAATTTTCTGGATGATTGATTTCATTTACAGTTAATTAATTGATTGAAAATAAAAATTAAAGACTAAAAATTTTAATATTATTACTGGTTTATTGTTTTTCCTCCTTTTGAATTAACTGTGATGAAAAAAACATAAGAAAAGAAATTATTTATCTAATAAATTGAACAACTAAAATAAATTAATATTTAAAAATATAATAAAAATATTGTTGTCTGTCTGGCTTTCAATAAAACACAATTTAAATTTTCTAATTTATTTTATACACTTAGGAATCATGAATTTAAAATCTAACTATTTGAACAAGCAATCAAATGTTTACTAAAATAAATTTTTCAGTTTTTCATAAATATTTGAATTTTACATGGTTTTAAATTAAGAAGGTACAATTGACATTCATAAAAAACTTTTAAAAACAACTTCATTTTCTATTAAAAATTAAAATTTTTACTAAATAGGCAATCTATCTTCTTCGAGATATTTTCTTTTTACTTGCGATTTATTTTCTTTTTATTTAAAAATAATCTTATATATGGAATTGAATGATTATAAATAAATTAAAAAAATATTACTATTTTTAGAAAATTTGTTTTACAAATTTAAAGAAATGATAATTTAGTTTAAATTTATTCTTTCTTGTAATTTAATAAATACTTTATTCTTTTGTAATATTTATTGAGAATTATTTTGAATTAGAGCTGATTGAATTAATAATAAAAATTTATCAACACATCCTTTGCATTTGTAAATATTAATGAATTTTATGATGAAAAATTTTAACAAATATGTTTAATCAAGCTATTTGATATAAATGAATTTGATTGATCTATTTTCATTTAAAAAAATTTATTTCTTGGGTTTTAATTTATTGGTAAGGGTGATATTTCCATATTGTATCTAATTATTAATTTATTTAAAAAACACTTGTTTAGTTTGTTATTAACTTTTTACTATTTTTAAATTACAATAAAAAAGAATTATTCTTGATCAATTTTAATAAACTCAATTAGATATATGACTTATTTATGAGAACTAAAAAATTTCTTGAATTATGAGTTTTGATTATTCATCACAAAATTAATTTTAACACTTTATTACAATTTTTTGGTTGGGTTTCTACAACATAATATTGGTTGGGTTTCTACAAAATAATATTGTGCGAGTTTCTACAAAATTTAATTGGATAAGTTTCTACAAATTGAATTAGAAGAGTTTTTGCTATTAAACATACAAACCGTATAGAATTTAAAAAAAATAATGTATTTTAAAATAAAAACTAAGTTTTAAACTATTATCATTTTTATGGTTAATAACTAGAAAGTCAGAAAGCAAAATATTTTTTATTAATTAATAAAATTATGAGCATACCCAAAATCAAAACCAAAAAGCAATTATTTTATTGCTTAATTAAATAAATAGAAAAGTATTTCTTCAATAAATAAACAAGTTTTTTTCAAATTTTCTTTAGAATACCATAGCTAATTATAAAATTTGCTTTTTATCTATATCTAATTCTTACTGCATTACATGACAATAAGATTTTAGTTTTGAAGGCGACAATAATAAAAATATCTTAATAGCATTGTATTTTCTTAAAACAGGTTATATAAAATTATTATTTAAGTAGAATACGTATTAATGCAAGTTCATTTATTTTATCAATAACATAAAAGTTCGTTTTTTTGGTAATTATTTTTATTCTTTTAGTATTAATTATTCACTTCATTTTATAATATGAGTTTTATTTTAGTATTAAAATATTTAATAAGCAAAATAAAATTTATTGCAAGATATTTTATTACTATAAAAACATCATTTTTTTAATATTTTTCTATTTCAATTTAAAAGAATTTTATACAATTTACAAATTTCTTTTTTTTATTTTCTTAGCTGTAAGGCTATAACTTTTTTTTGAAATTAATACCTACTCTGAAATTTAAAAAAAAGTGAATAAATAAAGTATAATTTTATTTGTTTTTTAAATTTTGGTTGGTTTTTTATGATATTATTTTAAATTGGTTTTAAGGTGTAAAATGTATTATTTTAATAAAATAACTTCATATTTTTTGTTATAAAAGAGATTTTTAACTGTAATAACTCATATTTTTAAATAAGTCTATGAATAATACTTGTAATATTTAACAATTACTTTTATATTATGAAATAATATAAAATCACCTTAGGTATTTTATCTAAAATTATATTTATGAGATGAATTTCTCATTTAAAAATGTTTTACAAACATATATTTTGATAAGATTTAGTTTTTATTTTCATTTTTATCTCTATTTGAAACAAAAATTTGATAAAATCAACTAAATCTGGATTTTATACCTAATGTTCTATTTTTTATTAAAAAAGTTAACTTTCAAATATTTCTATTTATGTTTCATCTAATAGCTTCAATAATCCTTTCGAAAGAATAATTTAATCTAAAAACTTGAAAAATAAAAAATTTTTTTTGTTAATCATAAAAACCATCCATCCATCATCATCTATTGATTTGTTTTAGAAGAATATTTTTGTACAAAATTGAAGTTATTAAATCAACGAAAATAATTTATGGAATAACATTTACTTGATTAATTGCATATAACTTAAATTTTTTTATTAAAAATAAAACGTAAAGCATTTTAATTTAACCAGTATTAGTAAGACAGACATTTAAGAATGTAAAAATTTTTACACAATGTTTTCAAAAATAAAATAGAAATATAAATAAATATTTTTAAAAAACATGAATAATAAATATATAAATAAAAGAAGAAATTTTAATATCTGGTTTATTTTCTTCTGTTAATCAGTCAATATATTCATTTTTTTGCTATTTATACCTTCTTTTGTAAAAATTAATATCACCTAATAGTTTTCTATTTACACAGCACTTTTTAATAAACTGAATGGACTACAAGTGCTGGTTTAAATTTTAGACTTTGCTAATTAGCAATTCATTGTAAGCATCAAATGTAAGAAAATACTCTAATCCTTTTCCATATTACTTATGTTAAACAAGTTTTACTAAGCATTGGTTATTATATTTTATATTTTTGAAGTATTTTTTTATCAATCTTTTGCAATAAGAATAAGGCTTTTAAAATATAAAATCAGAAACAAGAGATTCATTCTATTCTCTCAAAAGGTAATTTAAAAATTACTTAACAATATTCTTTAATATATTATTATTTGTCCCACATTTTAAAAGGTTTTCATCATTTTATTAATATTTATCTAATAATTAACTGCTGTTTTCCTCTATTTCTTCTAATTCATTTGCTATCACATTACACAACTTTGGCTAGTCATTCATTAAGGAATTTAAACATTAAGATTTTATTTCACTGTATAATTATTAAAAAAATTTCAATTAAATATATTAGCAAATAAATGGTTTTTTATTACTTTTCAATTTGTAATTAAAAAATATTGATTTTAACAAAAGTTATTTTATTTTTTTTGAGCAAAAAATGGTTTTTTGAGAGTAAAGTATTTCTGAGTTTTCTTTCAAATGCAGCCAAATTAAGTAAATATATTAATTTATTAGTTTACTGTATGAAAAAGTATAATTTCAATACTTAAAAAAAACTGTTAGCTTGCTAAAAATGAGAAATAGAAAAGATGATAAAAGAGTTATGCGATATCAAATTTTACCTTTTATTTGTTTTTTATTTTTGATCATTTGAGTTCTAGTCCTTTAAATTTAAAGTGTTGTTTTCTAATAAATTCACTATTATCATATAAAAAATAATTTTAACTAGTAATAATTGAGTGCTTGTGAAATTTAAAGCTTTTTTTGGCTTAATTTTATTTTAATAATTATAAAAAAATTATAAGGGAAGGAATTTTATTACTACTTTTAAAGACCAAATTAGTTTATTTAAAATGTATTTAATAAATTATATTACAGCTAATCTAATACAAATTAAAAGACTTACAAATTAATTAATAAATAGTCAGTTGAAAAAAAAATAGTGAACAAAATAATTATTGATTTCGTTATCAGTTATTCGATATTAAAATAGGCTTTATTGTAATTTTATTTAATAGAAGGAAAGATACAAAATAATACTTAACTTTACAAAAATAAATGAATTAATATTTAAAATTTAATACTTTAATAGTTAAAAAATAAAAAATGTTTTAGTATTTCTAATTTGCAATTTTAAATTTCTTCAATTTTCTGCTTCTTTTCTTTATCTACTTACAAACGCAAAAGTAATTAATAGTCTCTTTACATTCTTTCTTTATTATTATTTTTGTAATCTCTATCATTGATAAATACTGAAGACAGTTAATTAGCATGTGTCAGTAAATAATAATTGCTCATATTTTATTATATCATCCTGATACTTCTTTTTAAAAAATGATATTTCTTTATTTTAGTTTATTATCTTAATACTTGTATAAAATTATATTTTTCTAACCAAAAAGTTATTATCTACTCAAAAGATGATACCACTTAAATTTTCTCAATCTAAAACATAAATATTACTTAATTATAGTTATCTAAGACAAGTTTTGATTTTTATCTAGACAATTTGATCATAAGCTAGTATTGATTCTAACGGTTATTTATTATCTTATCTTATTTTTAATCTTTTTTCAAAATGCTTTAAGTAAAGGGATTACCATTAAAATACCTTATATACATCTCTTAGAGAAAAATTTTTCTTTTAAAAAAATAAATTTATTGTAAGGATTTGTATTAAAATCGTTATAAAAATAATTTATTTAAAAGACATTTTTAAATAATTATGTTAAATGGAAAATTCACTAATAAATAATCTTATAAAAATTAAAAAGAATTTATTTTAAATTTACTGCAAACATTCTTGCCTTATTAAATCAATAATTAGTATTCGAAATTTGAATAAAATAAATTAAAAAAAGTGTTTTTAAAAGAATTTTGAGAAAGAATCAACCTTAAAAGAGCAAAATTTACAAAACATATTATTTTTAAAGAATAATTTTAAAAGGAGGAAATAAAAGAAGTAAAAAGGATTAAAAAAGTTAATGCATATATTTAGTAAAAGGATTCAGTATTTAAAATTTACTTTTCATATTTTATTTTTTAATATTTAAAATTGCATTTTCTTAAATTTAATTAACTAAATTTATAAATTTAAAGGTTTTTAAACTTTACATATAAATGATTAAACAAAATAAGAACTAAAAAACACATGCAAATAGTGTTATTTAATAAAATGAAAACAAATTTAATCTAATAAAAGTAATTCTAAAATAATTAGTAGAATGATTTATTTTATCATTTTACATTATGTTGACTTTTTATTTATTTATAATATCTTAAGATTACAAGAAATTATGTAAAAAATTTGAAGAATGTAAGATATTAACATATTTAGATGTAATTAAATTTGATAGAAAATCATCTTACTTTGAATTCAGTAAATAAGAGGTGGAGAAATGTAATTTGAAATGAGTTAATTTGTAAAGCGAATGAATCAATTTAATTTAGATCTAAGAAAACTGTAATGTTTTCCATAAAAAATAGTATGAAAAAAAGTATCAGAACAGAAAATAAATTTGAATGCAAATTGATGTATGTGTATATTTAAAAAATAGCTCTTTAATTCGGTATTAATTGAATCTTCAAAACTTAAAGCAAATATTACTAAAATAAATAAATTATTTTAAAAATTAAGCTAATATTTATAAATAAAAATTTATTTTACTCATATTTTTAAGAATAATTTTATTTACAATCATATAGAATTTTTACATTTTTATTTATTTTTCTTTCTTTTTGATATTTCTTATTTAGTAAAGTTTTGTGTGTATATAACCAATTAATTAATTAATTGTTATTATTATTAAATTTTTGTATATGTTAACATTTTAGATCATTGATTTTACCAATTTTTATTTGTTTATTAACAAAATAAAATCTGAATTAGTTAAAGCTGAAAGGAATTCTTTGTGGAACATTACTTGTAATAATTAAAGACTATAAAAAGAACTTAGAACTCTTTTTTTATTTTCTTAGAAACAATTTATTATATCAGTTAATAAATAAAAACGTATGTGTGTATGCATCTGTATGAAGGTGAAGAAGCCCATTTCAAACTATTTAATTTAAACAGATTATTTAGTCATTCACATTTAGAAAGATTTATTTTTTCTATAAAAATTTATTTCATTGATTTGTTCTTGATTAGCACAGCATTCTTTTAAATATGAAATACAATCTATGTGCTCCTAGATGTTCTTTACTTTACTTTTGTAGAGTTCATCAATTGCATCAAATGTTAAGAAGTACTCAAAGCCTTTACCATAGTTTTAGTGCTTGATTATCTTGATAAGACAAAAATTGTTATAATTCACCCTCTCAAAGTATCTCTTTATGAGCTTGACTGAATAAGGTGCAGGTTTCTCAATAATAAACTCAGACACTAGCTAAATATTTTTTTTATCAATTAGAAACTTGTAAAATTTTTTTAATATGTTTTTTATGAGGTTGTTAGTTTTAAGTGTATATTATAAGCTTTTATCAAGATCCTAATTTTTATTATTATAATTTTAGAAGAGATTGTTGTCAATTTCGATGTCACCATTTATTGTCTGGCTTTTTAAATTTTTGATAGTTAACTTTCGAGAAGGTTTTTTATATTAGTCGGAATTTTTAATAGAACACGAATCCATTTCATCTTCTTACTCATAGCAACTATTATCCTTGATACTAATAAGGTTGTCATGAACAAGATTGGCAATTAATTGTTGCTCCATTTTTTATAAATATGATTTTTTAAATGCACTCAAGTAATTAATTAATTAATTAATTTGATTATTTTTAAAACCTTATGAAAAATTATTTATTTATTTGTTTTTTGATAACTATTTATTTATCACTCACTTTGATATTATTTAAATCACAAAAGTCACTTAACTTCTCTAAAGGTTATTTGAAGAGAGAAATAAAATAATTTCTAATACTTAAACTTAAAATATTAAATGTATTCAAATATTGTTCTTAAGCTAGCAAATAGGTTTTAAGTATAAATTTATTTATTTTTTTACACTAATCAGTCATTTATTTTGATAGATTAACTAGAAAATTATAAAGCTATAGTAATAGTTATTTAAACGGCATTCAATGATTAACCAATTATTTTCTTTCTTCATTGAATGTAGTATTATTTATACTTTATTTTTGAAGTCTGATTGATGCATTGAGATGGGTAGAAAATATAAAAGCAAGTCCTAATATTTTTTTAATTAAATGCTTATTAGTAAAAAGGAAATAATTAAAGGAGTATCAACTTTTCTCTCATGAAATATAAAATTTTCTTTTTTACTCAATGAGTTTAATATAAACAAAATGGAAGAGAAAAGAGCTTACAAAAAATCATTTAGAAAGAATATTTTTTTAAAAAATTCTTTATTAGATTATTATTGAAAAATCTTACCAAATATTTGTATCATGATCCTATTAAGTAAATATACACATTTATCTTTAGCTATTTTTAAACAATATGTATAAAACTGTAAGCCAGCTCTTCCTCCTTAAGTCTCTCATTAGGTCAATTATTTTTTTAGTAAAATGTAACAAAATAGATTTTATACGAACTTAAATTTGTATTGAATTATATTTTTACTGATCGCTGATTAAGTGTAAGCTATATAATTATAATTTTGATTTTATTTACATCAATTTATTAAAAAAAATGAAATAATAAATTGATTACTCATTTTTTATTTTGTTTTACAAATATTTGTAATTATCAAAATAATAATATTTATATTTTTTAGTGTTTAATATAAATAATAAGTAATTGTCTACTCTATTTTGTTGTAATATTAATTTTAATTATTATACATATTGAAACATACAGTAATGCATTAATAAATTGAATAATTAATTAATTAAAAATGCTTTTAAAAAATTGAAGAATAATTTGAAATGTCACATGAAATAAAAATAGAATGAAATTTAATATTTATAATTTTGATTTGTTAAGGTTTAACTTTTTTATTTATTTTTTATGATTTTTTAATTTATCTATAAAAATAAAGCTCAATCATTTATAACAAGAATAAAAACAAGCTGATGAGTTTGCTTGTAGCTTCATTTTGTTAAGTGGAAAAATTATTAAAAATCTAATAATATAATATTTATTATAATACTTTTAAGATAGCAAAATTGTAGAAATCTTAAGAATAAATTAAGTGTTAAATATTTACTAGATAAATCTTTGATTGAATTAAAGTCATCTATTTTTAAAGCATAAATCTAAATTGCTATTTTTAATCATTTATTTAAATAAGATTTTTCAAAGATGTAGCTATTTACTTATATGTGCTATGATTATAGTACATACATTTTTGTAAAGTTGCTAAAAATAAAATAGTTATATTGAAATAAACAAGAATTTTTTAATTTTGAAATAAAGCAGATAATTTATATTTTCCAAATATCTGAATTTAAATAAATAAAGGATTATATTTTTTTCTTTCTAATTATAGTTTTTTAAAAGCCATATTTTTATTCAACAAAAATAATTCTATCTTTAAAACTTTTAAAATAATTTCTGAACATGAGCAAAATATAATATATAAATGTATTTATTTAAATATCTTGTTGCTATGTATAGAAAATTTTTATTTATTATTAAATACTTATATTAAGAAACATAATTTTATTTTTAAATAAAAAACAACACGAAATGTTGAAAATGTTGATATGATTAAAGAAACGTTGAGAGATTTAAATAAAATAGAATTCATCCCTCATGATTTTAGGTTATTAAGAGAAAGTAATATAAAATTAGGAATATTTATGAACTAATTCATATGAAAACAGCATATTTTGTTCTTGAATTTGTATGGAATATTATCATTATAATTCATTTAATTTTTTTATTTTTCATTTCAAACTCTAGATGACCATTACAATACTCTCTAGATCTTATTAACATATGTAATTATAAATAAAAAATAGTAGATACATGCATTCAGCTATCTAATATATAAAATGCCTATTGTAAACCTTGGAAATTGTACTATAAATTTGCTATTTTTAGAGTAAAATTCGCTTTATTTTTAAATCTTCAAGAAGCATAAAAAATAAAAATGATGCCAGTAAAATTTTAGAAATCTGAATAATCAATACATATATCTAGTTAGAATTCAACTATATAAATGATTTAACTCGCTGATATCATATTTTACTCAATCTCATTTATTTTTAAATTCATTTTTTTAAAAATATTTCAAAAATACTCGAGTATATATTGGTAAGAAATATCATCATTTTAAGATAAAATAAAATAAAATTAAGAGAAGAGTTGATTGCTCTTACTCAATTAATTAAAAACAAAAATAAATATAGAAAAAATATTGATTTATTAACAAATTACTCTTGATATTAATTTTTTTAAATTCATTCAATTTAATTAAAAGTGATAGATCGATTACCAGCTCAGCTGTATTACTAGTTTTGATCATAATTATTTGGTCTTTATAATTTCATAAAAGAATTGAATCAAAATTTTGTTCTTAAATCGCCATGTAAAAATCAATTCAAATTTCTTAATCAAAGGTTTTTTCTAATATTTTATTATGACTTTTTCATAAAAACAAACCTCTTTATTATTTATTATTATTATATTACATATAAAAATACAAAGAAAATCAAATACAAGATAATTTATTTGAGAGATTTTACCATTAGAAGAAATAAAAAAATAGTTTTTTAAGTCTTAGCATTAATATTTAGGCTGAAAATTTTATTTTTTAAGTTAACTATATCATAGATAAACATTAATTCATGATGATTATTGGTTTATTAAATATTTATCACTAAGTTGTTGAGTCAAAATCTGTTCGCTCACTTATATTTTTTTTTATAAAAATGAATGTCTTCTAAGAGCTCTTATTTTGCACAATACTTTTTAAATAAACTAATCATAGTTAGGTGTTCTTCGAATTTTTATACTTTACTTAATTTTAGTTGTTCTGCAGCATCAAAAGTTAAAAAATATTCTAAGCCTTTTCCATAATGTTCATGCTTGATCAATCTAATTAGGCTCGAATTATTATATGTCATTTATTTGAAATACTTTTTTATTAATTTTATGCAATAAGGATAAGGCTTATGAAAAATGAAATCCTAAACAAGGCTTTCATTCTATTTCTTTAAGAGGTAATTATAGAACTGCTTAACTAAATTTTTTACCACATTGTTGTTATTTATGAGTTTAAAATCTTACAATTTGTTAAATTTTTAATCATTTTATTATATCTAATCTGCTTAGTATATTATATTGATATCTTAATTAATTTTTTCTTATTATTCAAGACTTGTTTCATCTTCAATATTATATTATATAATTGATAGGTGATTTTATAATTCTGGTTTTTTTTAATTCTCAAATTGAATCGCTCTAAATTATTTTAATAAATTAGATTTATGTGTGTATTCCTTAAATAATTATTTTATTAATTTTTTTTAATACTTAAATAATTTATTTTTATCGTTTTTTATCATTTAAACTTTTTCTAACTTAAATGAAAAATAAAATACCTTATTTAATTAAATTAAATTGTTTGAAGTGTATAATATTAACATATATTTTTCTTTTTGTCTATAAAAAATGTTATTCGTGTTTGATTGGAAAATATAGTAAAATATTTTGCTATTTTATTTATTATTAAAAGGATAAAATGAATTAAAATTTATATGCTTATTTTTATATTAACGAATTACATGAATAAGCATATTAAAAAATAAATTAATAAAGATTACTTATTATTTGAGAATTTCGTAAGTGATTAGTGCCTAATATTGCATTATGTAAATGAATAATCATGATTAGTTATAATCATTGTTTTTTTAACAAAAAATTAATATTTAATAAATTTTATTTATTTTAAATTATATCAATTTTTTCATAAACCTCTTAATAATTTTAAGAGATAATTATTAAGATAAATACCTTTTATTGCTTATGCATGTATATAAATTTATTGAATTGCAATTACCCACATTTAACGCAAACCAATTTTTGTCTTTAGTTAAGTTTGATAGAATAAATATGTAAAAAAAACTTTTGGAGCAACCCATAATTTCTTCCATAATTAAAAAATGCAAACATAAAAACTATTTTGTTTTTAATTACTTGATGTGAAGATTCATATAAAAGATTTTAATTTTTAAAATGTTAATAAATTTCTATATATCAACACACAAATACTTCTTTAAATTAATTCTATGAGTCCACAAATTGAAGAGTGAAATAAAATTGATGCTAATAAAATTCTTAAATAAATCAATAGTAATAATATAAATCAATCTACTAGCAATCAAGATTAGTGTTAACTTTACGATCAGATAACTCCTATAGGGATAGAAATATTCTCTAGGTAAAAATAATTTTTTATTCAATAAAATAATTGTTTGAAATAGCTTTTGTTCTTATAGAATAATTCAAATTTTATTTTTTTAAAATCTCTTCTTAAATTAATAAACTCATTTACTCAACTCAAAAATATATTTTATAAATAACTTTATTTTTTTAAAGAAAAAGTCATTTGTTTAGTATAAATAACATTTTTTAACATCTTTATTACATTTAATTGTAAATCATTTGTAATCAAATATTCTGTAATCATATTTTCTACAAAAATTTAAATATTGATTAGTTAATTTTTTATTGAAAATAATATTTAAGTAAACCATTCAAATAAATAAAATTGATGCTAATTGATATAAAATTTGTATTTTTCTCAAATATTTAGTAGGGATTATAAGTTTTTGGTATTTAAGGTTATCAAAAAAATTAAAATACTAAAATATCAACAACTCAGAAATAGCATCTAAAAAGTTTAGCTAGTTTTGGTTTTAATAGTTTATTCAAAATAGGGGATAATTTAATTAAATTGCAAATTTAATGTTTTTGTGCACAATTTTGATTGAATTTAGAGTCTCCTTTGTATTAAAAAAATACGAAACAGTAAAATTAAGTCACGAACCTTATTTCTTATTAATAGAGTAAAACTAAAATTTACATTACTTTAACACTCAGAATTATTTTACCACTTCAAATTACTTTTTTCTCTTTATAAGTAATGTTATATTAATTATTACATCACTGCTATAAATTAAATTATTACCATTCACCTTATATTAGCTATTTTCTTTCAAAAATTAAAAATTTTCATTTCTTGTTCTATCTTAATTAAATTATTTTAAATCGTAATTTCCGATATTTTTTTCTCATTAACTTTCAAATAAACAATATTTTCTTTAAAATTTTCACTCATTTTTTACATAATTATAAAATCTATATTTGTATTATCTTTAAATGGAAGATTATCATTACTTTTTATTTAAAATTAAAAATATTTTATCTAGCTTTATAAAAAATTTATAAAGTTTTTTCAGTTAATTTCTAAAATTTCTTATTTGATCTGTTTTAAATGCTAAAAAGTGTTCTTTCTGAAAAATTGGATTTTAATGAATGAAAAAAGTTCATTTGATTTGTCATAAAAAATGCAAAATTTTAAAATTCATAATTGCTTTAAAAATGCATTACTTGTAATCAGATAGAATTTAACATATTTATCGTATTAATACTTGCAAAAAATTATTTACATTAAAATATGAAAATAGTAACTCCATTTAAAATCTGATATAGATTATAAATATGCTTTCTATTTAAACACCAATCAAATTATTAATAGTTAAAAGTTATCAGCCATCATTTGTAATTTATTTAATAAAAGATAAATTTTTTTGTAATGTTTTAATTAAAAAGAAAATAAGAGTAAACTCAATTTAAAAAATCTTCTGAAAAATCTGATACCTTTTATATTTATTAAAAATTGTATCATTTTAACAAAAGAAAACAATTCCTCTGTTAACTTAAAAACTCATTTAAAAAAAGTATTAATGCATGTAATTAATCTATTATTTTTAACCTCTTATCTTAGTTTATATATATTTATAGGGTTGTTTGAGAATGCATCAATAACAAGAAGAGTTTTTTAAAAATTTTAAACATTTTTACCCAACATATTAAGAGCACATAGAAAATACATACATATCTAACATATTCAGATTTTATTATATGCATAATCATAAATTCAAAAGAAAAATATTTAAATTAAATTCATTTTGTAAAAATAGAATAACTATATTTTTCATTCATTTAAAATTTTTTTTTTAAAAACAAAAAAAAAAAATCTTTAATTGATTCAAGAAAGCTTATTCTTCTTTAAATTTATTGAAATGAATGACTATTCGCATTTTTTTTTCAAAAAAAAAATAAAGCAACAGCTAGAGAGAGTTTAATAAATTCAAAAGAAATATTTACTTAATTAAAATTTATCCTACATTTAAAAGATGCTTGTTTTTAATATTTAATGCAAAAATAACAATAATATGAAAATAAATTTATATTTTTTTGAGATATAACCTTAGTAATTATTTTATATAACAAAATCAAATTTCAGTTAACAAACTTCTTTCTCTAAGCCATACTTGCAGCATCAGAAAATTGAAGAGAACCTTCTTCGTTTTCTTGCTCCTTTATTCCTTCTAATTTAGATCTGAATGAAAATTCAAGCTATTCATCATTGTCTTATGAATGAGATTTAGGCTTTTCTTCGTGCTAAATTTAATACCTTTATGCACTACTTAAATCATCACCATCGTTTGATTATTCGTCAATAATATCAAATTATCTGGTGTTAAATTGTTAATTTTGAGAGGTGTTAATTAGCTTATTGTTATAGGATAAACTCATATCTTGCTAAGACTATAACTAAATACTATGCGAGTTGTTTAGAACAGTCATATTACTTTAATCTTAATTAGTTTTTAAAGGCGTTTGTGTTGCGTGTTATTGAGTTATAGACAAATCTGAAAGCTAATCGTCTTCTTTATAGCTGATTTTACTTTAGTTATCTTACTTTTTTTAACTTGCCATATCTCTTTAAGTGCTTTTGACACCTTAGTAAGGATGAATCTTAGCTATTTGGTAATGTCTTTGTTTGTAGTTTTTGATTTTTATGTAAATTGAACAAATTATTGCTAAAGAACCTAAAACTGAGCTAATAATCAATGTAGTTATTATCAAAATAAGCAAAACATCAGTGATTCCTATTAGATCATTAATACTATAACTAACACTTAAAGTTACAAAATATAAATGGCAAAAGAGCATACAAGATTCTGTGATAACAGACGAAATCCTTGCATAGTTATTAGCAAATGGGTTTTTGCTGATCATAAATGCCCAAAAAGGTAAATATAAGAATATCATTAGGATTCCTTAAGCTTCTTGATAAGGATAGGCAAAAGCATATATAGCACTTGCAATTATTTTACGCATGATTAAAATAATTGGATAATATTTATTTATAGAATATTTTTCATTGAGTATTCCAAATAAGATATAAAACTTTTCTTCATTAATATTTTATTCTCTCTATTTAATTGTAATATTTATTAATAATGTAATAATTCCTATCATGTAAAGTAAGCTAGCTATTGAGAGTAACGAACTTAAAATTTCTAAATTAGTCTACCAACTAGCAATAGTAAAGTGATAAAAGGTTAATAAACTAAGTTCACTCATTGTCACATATATTACAACTATAATAGCATTGTATCTAAAAATATTAATGATCTTTGTCCCTAAAGGAGTAAGAACCTATTTGATTTAAAATATAAATTAAAAAAATTGTATTTTTTAATGTCAAAATATAAAAGGAGTAATTAAGTATAAAAACATATATAAAAGAATTAAATTACCTTATATTTAACAACCAGAGACATAACCCAACAGATCAACCAAAAAACAGCTTGGAAAATAATAATAACGAAAGCGTTTATCAAAAAGAACGGATACTAATTAATAATTTTTATTAATTTAAATAAAATAAATTAATTAATTGAATTTAAAAAAATGAATAAATTGTTAGATAAAATAAATAATTTTAAAAATTTTAATGAAACAATTTGAAAGTATTTTTACCTTTTGGTTATCGCTGATTCTGTTATTTCCTTAACTTAGAGAATATTAATTATCAGTTTTAATATTTTATTAAGATGTGTTTTACAAATTTCTTGTGTTTGAAACATTATTTTTAGAGTTACTAGGTGTGACAACACTAGGAAGCCAATCCTTTGATACATTTGGGAAGAAAGGAATCATGTGTGAATAATAAAGAGGCTTTATTTGCTAATCAAAGTTTAAAGGTTTATTCATATTTAAGTATCTGAAATAGCTTAATGTTTATTGAGCATCTATTAGAAAGAGAAATGCAGCAGGAGAAGAATAAGCAGCTGCAGCTACTGCATTCAGCACAGCAGATGATATAGCTGTACTTTCTATTAAGCTAGGTTCTTTTTCAACTTTTATTTTTTTAAACAAAAGTTTTAACGTGTTTAGAAGCAATATTGATAAATAAATATAAAGAAATAATTTTACATTTGCAGGGAGGTTAGAAATAATCAACAGTATTGCTAATACAAACGCAGGATCCAATTTATTTTCCATAAAAAGGATTTAACTGCCTATTTTAATTGCATGTTATGCACTAATCAAATCCTGGCCCAGAACATGATAGACAAGATTAATGACAAGTGAATGAGCTGTTTTAATTTTTTGTTGGAGGAACATAATTTGTACAATCAACTTAGTTTGGACCAGTGCATTTATCACATCCTTTAAAACTGAATTTAAAAAAATATAAAATTAATTTCAAATTAAAATTTTTAAGCTGTTTTTATGGTTAAATTTTCATTTAATTATACTTTCTAATTTAAATAAATATTTATTAAATCATTTTTTATTTTTTTTACCATGGATTACAAAGACCTGCTACAGGTATTTTGTAATATCCTGACGAGCAATCAGAAACGCAAACTTTTCCTTAAATGTATTATCCGTCTGGACACTAAATACAATTTCCTTTCTAATCACATTTAATGCATGAATTATCACAACTTCCATTTGGAATACAAATACCAAAATGATTTGAAAACCCTGGAGGGCATGATGGAATGCATTAGCTATTAAAAAATAGCATAGGTGGTAAGCAACTAGTACAGTTTAGAGGATTTGTGCAAGCAGCACAGAAAGGAGGACAAGGTATACATTTTATATTGCCTGAATCAGCATATTAGCTGGCAGGGCAGATTAAGATACAAAGTCCACTTTAATTAAGCTGATAACCAGGTGCACAATTGATACAGGAACCTGAACCACTGCTTCTACAATTCAAACACGAAATATCACAAGTATCACATGTCATTTTATCATTATTTCTAAAAGTACCAGGTGGACAACTATCATAACATTTTCCTAAATCAAAATAAAATTAAATATTTTCTTCATTTTTGTTAAAAAAATACCATCTTTCATATATAATCCGTTCCCACATACGCAAGTACCGCCTTAAGCTACAAGTGGTGGGATACAAGAAGTACATGCAGTGCTAGTCCCTTAGCATTGTAGGCAACTAGGGTTGCATTATTAGCATGTTTTAGAAACTGAATCGTAGTACCTTTTATATTAATCAATTAAAAAATAATTAGGAGAAACTAATTTTAAAAATAATCTTAAAATTCATAATAAAATAAAATTTTTAAAAAAGTAATTATCTTGATTTTTTAGGAAATTTATTTTTTATTTATGCTCCTGTGCTGTTTTTTAATTGAAAAAAGAAATATACATTTATGATGGGCAAGAAGAAAGGCATTATGAATTATATAATATCAAAGGTGTTTAACAGCTTAAGCAGGTATTAAGCTAACTACCTAAGCCCTAGCAAGTTAAGCAAGACGGATTACAGTTTACACAACTTTAGTTACTTGGATCATAAATTTGATTGGAAGCACAAGTCTTACAAGTTTTTGTTTAAGGATCATAAACAGAGTTAAGGCAGACACATTTATTAATTTATAAGGTGAACGTAGGATTACAGCTTTAACAATTAGTGCTTGATGTTTAACAACTTAAACAGTTAGGATCACAATTTTGGCAAACTTAATTAGGATCAGTATATCTTATATAAAATTTTGTTATTATTTAAATAAAAGTTTACATTAAAATAAATTACTAGTGATCAGGACATTAAGCAACACAAGATCCATTTGATAAAACTAAAGGATTTTTACAACTTGTGCATTTATTTGTGTTATCTTTATCCTAGCATGTCAAACAGGTTGGATTGCAATTTACACATTAATAATGGACACTGTCATAAACTTAACTTTATGAACATACAATACATGTATTACTATTTGGATTATAGTTACCCTAAGAACACTAACAAGATTTTCCTATTACTTGTAATGGGCTATTACATGAGGTGCATTAGGTATCTTAAACTTCACATGTTTTGCAATTCAAGCTACAAGGAAGACATTTGTTATTTGATAAATATCTAAAATATATATTTTAAAAATAATTATTTTTGAAGATTTAAAATTTTTACGTCTAATCAGGGCATTTATCAATGCATGTTTGATTATAGAGTATTTTGCCAGCTGGACAGCTAGTACAAATATTTAAATGATTGAGATCTTAACATGTTAAACAACTAGGACTACAATCTACACACTTATTATTTGTTTGGTCAAATATTTATTTGAAAGTGCATTGAACACAAGTATTATTTAAACTATCATATACAGAATTTAAGCAAACACATTTATTATCTTATGAAAGGGTAAACGTGTTATCTGGACATGCAGTACAGTAGTTGCTATTATTTCTGCAAGTTAGACAATTTGTGCTACAAGGTTGACAAATCTAGTTTTAGTCTGAGTAGCTGTTTTATTTAAGGAATTATTTTTATTTAGAATAAAAAAACAAAAAACAGTAAATTAAATTAAAATAAAATAAAAAACCATACTATTTATTTGGGCAAGGATTTTAGCATTTTGATTAATATAAAGAATATGGATTTTAACAGCTTGTACAAACAGCTAAATTGTTAACATCTTAACAACTTAAACAATTTGGATCACAAGTTACACATTACTGTCTAATGTTATCTGGTACTTCGTGTACTGTGCACGCTACACATTTATTTGTTTGTGAATTATAAAAACCTGAAGAACATTAGCAGGAACTACCATTTAATGTCAGAGGACTGTTACAAGATGTGCATTAATTACTTGTGTTAAAACATGTTGCACAAATAGGATCACAAGGTTTGCAAACATTGTTTGAATCTTTGTATCTAAAAAATTATAAAAGCTATTAAAAGATAAAACCTACAAATAAAAAATATGGTACGTTTTATCTGGACATTTATCAATACAAGTAGAATTGTAAAGAACAAAACCAGTATTACATGACGTGCATGCTTATAAATTATCTTTATCTTTGCAAGTTCTACAGCTTGGGTCGCAGTTTACACATATTTTATTAATAGTATCTATCACTTAGTTCAATTAACAAGATTTACAAGTTTTTGAACCTGAATCATAGACTGTGTTACTTGGGCAAATACATGAGCCACTTGACAATTAGAATGTACTAGGACAATCTGTACAATTATCTTTATTAGTTAAGCACTTTAAGCAAGAAGGATTGCAAGGTTGGCAAACTTAATTAGTGTCAGCATAACTATTATTTTTTATCAATTTAATTAGTATAAATTTATAATTAACTAACAAAAAATAAATTAAATTAGAATGTTATTTTCTTCAAATGTCAACAATTTGCAAATTAAAATTAGTCATTTTAAATTAAAATAATTTATTAATACTATCCAGTTGGACATGGGTCATAGCAATAGCTTTAATATAATGCTTTAGGCGCTTTACAACTTGTACATATACTAATGTTATTACTGTCTTAACAAGTATTACAATTTACATCACAGTTTTTACATTACTAATTAGGAATATCAGGAACTTAATTTGTATTGCAAACCACGCATTAATTTAAATTTGAGCTGTAAAACCCAACTTTACAAACACAAGTAGTTCCAGATAATTATAAACCATCATTACAATCAATGCAGTTCGTATTAGAAGTTTAACAATTTTTACATATTGGATTGCAAGGCTAGCACACTTTATTTGCATCTGCAAAACTTTTGAATTAAAATAATTAATAAATATTGTGAGTAATTTAATTTTATATTACTATGATTGTGGACAGGAATCTTAACAGTTACCATTATAAAGCACTTTACCAGTAGGACAACTAGTACAAGTATTTAGATTACTAGCATCTTTACAAGTACTACAAGATGGGTTGCAATTTTAACATATTTTATTAATTGGATCATAAACTTAGTTAGGAGCACAAGATATGCATTTATTAGTACTAGGATCATATACCTAATTCACACAAGCGCAACTATTGTCTGGTTGTAATTAAAATGTGTCATAACAAGAAGTGCAAGTTGTACTTGTTGAATTACAAGTCTTGCAATTACTACTACATTATTAGCACATTTTAAGTGGATCTGAGTAGCTTTTTTAAAAAATAAAATACTTAAAATTTAAAATTAGATAATTATATGTAAATAAGCTCAGAGAATTCGATTGGAAAAGTAATTAATTTATAATTATTACTATCCTGGAGGGCATTGGTCAAGACAAGTAAATTAGTAAAAAACTTTAGGAGTATTACAAGAAGTGCATTAAGTAGAAGTATTTTAGCATGTTTTACAAGAAGGATCACAAGGCTAGCATGAACTACTATTAATATCAAAATATTAATTAGAGTTACAACTAATACATGTTTTAGTTTTTGGATCGTAAGTACCAATCTAACAATAGCATAAATTATCATTATTATTCAATACATACCCAAATTTGCATTTTGTACAAAAATTAGCACTTGTACATGCCTAACATTAATAAGGGCATTAAAGACATTAAGTTTGTCCAGGTATTCTATATTATCCCTCTGGGCAATCATCTAGGCAATTTTCTTTTACATTTCAAAAAATTATTTTAATTTTTGTTTTAAATGTGTGAAAATATGTAAAGTAAAATTGATTTGATTTCATATTAAAATAAATTAAATGATAAGTACTGACTACTTACTTACTTTCTATAAGTAAATGTTTGTTATATTTAAATATTGAAACTAATTTTATTTTTTATTCAAATATAAAACTATATTTTTATAATTTTAATGAAATTTTTCTTCTTTAAAAATCTAAAATTTAATAAAATTGCTACATCATTTTGTAGTTCCTAGATAATTAAGTTCAAAATTTCTTTAAATTTTTTAGAATTTAAATTTGTATTCTATTTTAAAATTAGAGTGATAAAAGAAAATAACTTACATGTTTTGCATAAAATACATTATCTATTTTAAGAAATATTTCCATAGTAACCACTAGGACATTAATCTACACAGGCATTATTGTTTGCATCATACCACTGTTAAGGTCCACATGACTTTTAGCAATAAAGACCAATATAAGTAGGCTAACATTAACAAAAGTTATGTATACATATTCCATTTTATGTGCAATTATTCTAGCAAGGCATTTCAGAAGTACAAAAAAGATTAAAATTATTAGGACAAGTCAAATCATAGGTTTAACTCATTGAACTGATAGGTTTAATCCCTGTAACAACTTACCCAGCTATTTTTACAAAATATTTTTCTAAATCTATTATGAAACTTAATTTATTTATTTACCAGTGCTACAAGTTGGTGTAACTTCTTAAACTATAACTGAAATCAATAAATTAGAAGAAGTACAACTTCTTGGCAAGCAAATTTATTTTTATGAGGCACTTGGAAAAGTTGATATAAAGCAACCACTTGATGGTTAGTATACAGAATATTGTGATCCAATAATTCCATCAGATCTCTGGCATAATTGCTTATAAAGCCTTTTTTATGTATATTTAAATATACTTTAAAAATTTTAATTGATATATAAGTTTAATTACAATAGATTTTAGGGCAGATATACTGTTGAGCGACTGTTAACAACTTCCAACTTACCATATGCAAAATAACATTAATCAGGAGATGGAGTAGTCAAAGCAAATAAACTGGGATATTTTTAGATAATATTAACGTTTAATGATTAAACATCACTTAGAAAATCTGTAGAAACAGAACTGGCAAACGTTAAAGGTTATTAAACATTTTAATTAACTTGATACCAACCTTTAAAAATTAGTTTAAAAAAAGCATTAATATTTATTTTTTGTTGTTATTGTCATTTATTTTTAATAAAAAATTATTTTTTATAATTACCCATGTCAGTAATAGCAGCAAGTGTGAAACCACTGACAACATAGAAGAATGAAAGCTAATTAAATTCTGATAGGAGATCTTCAGGAGCTAAATGCATTTCCATTGTTACATATTAAAGATCGGGATGTGTGTAAGTACCTAAGAGTAAAAAAGTAGCAGGTGTTTTTGGTTTAAAATAGGAGTTCGCATATGCCAATAAAGAGGGAGTTTTAATAGAATAATGAGTAATTCCGTCAGATGAAACTAAAACCTGTTAAATTGGATTACTTTGATAAGCAGTTCCAGTGTTATCAAGCCAATATTATGTTGAATTAAGATTGAGTCCCATTATCTAAAGAATAGCTTTCGCTGCTAGTTTTGTATATGAATCAATGTTAAAAATGGACCCACCATTCAAGAAGTTAGGGCCGAAAACATTTGCATAGCTAAAAAATATAATTCCAACCTATGGGCGATTCAAATCAAATCCTGAATCTGATTAGGAATAAGCACAAGTAACTGCCTGCATGTATTCTTAGCCTGTACCAAGTTATCCATTAAAATATGATGAGTAGGTGTATAATGAAGGATCAATAACATAGTAGATTACTAAGTCTTAGGTGTATGTTTTTGGAGTTTAAACTAAATCAATTAGTAAATTACAGTTATCGTTACTTATCAGATTATTAACTGTTATTCCGCTTTTTCCTGATTTTCTTTATAAAATATTTCCCACTAATAAAGCTCCTAAATTTAATATTTTATTAATTGCAGCCATATATTAATCATGTGAATCAGCTGCAGTTATACCATTTACTTCATTAATCTTGCTGGTGAGAGGTTATATCAAGTCTGCTGTAGTTGGAATTTTATCAATATAAACTGAAAACATTTTAGAAAATTGAACAAAAGTGAAGAGTAGAAGGCTACAAATCAACTATTTTAGCCTCATTTTTTATCTAAATTATTATTGTTATTATTACTTAGCTATATATCTATATACCTATCTTTTTATTAATTTTTTGATTTTATTTAATTGCTTTAGAATCTTCAATTAAATTGCTACAAAACTTAATTATTTGCTTTCAAAAATTTAATATAATTAAAATATTTACGAAATGGTTTTGTCTTCTAAAAAATTGTATTACATCGCTAAAATATCTAGCTATCTTTAATTTTACAAAAGAGTGGTTATAGTTTCTTTTATTGTTCATATTTTTGTGGTCATTTTTAATCATTATAATAATAATTATCAAAACTTTTATCATATTTTATAGATTATTATTTATAATATATTGATTAATTAATTAATTGAATTCATAATTAGATTTTGTTTAAAATTAGCCTGAAACATTTATCAATTTTAACTAAAATTATAGCAGGTATTTGTTATGTCTACCCTAATTTTAATTAAATAATGGTAAAGAAAGATAATTTATTTAAACATCTCTTTACCTTCTTTACTATATTAAATCATGATTTTGCTTTTTTTTTATTTTAGTAATATGAATTACAAATCCCTTATAATGTGGATAACATTTATTCGACTAATATTTTTATTTTCAATAGCAAAAAAGATAAAGCAAGTAAGTAGTCTTTTAATTTAGGAATCTTTTTATTTCTGATATTCTCTTATTTGAATCTTTTTCTGATTTAAAATATCATATTTTTAATAAAGTTTTTCATTATTAAAGGAATAAAATTTAATATGTTTAATTTTTACTTGTATTATTTACTTGTACAAATCCAAATTATTTTGATTCTTACCAAATAAATCATATTATATTGATCTAAAAAACAATTTAATTTATTTAAATATTTAATCTTAATTAGTATAAAAGGTCTATTCATTAAGTAAAAAAAATATTTTTTTTATAATAAGCATATATATTATATAAATAAAATATAAAAATATACTATTTTAGTAAATTCTTTACAATTATTTAAGTTTAATATTAAAATCAAATCTAATTTTTATCATTTTTTCTTCAATATACAAAGTATTAGAGTTTAATTTTTTAAAAAATTAATTTTCATAGTTAATAAATGATGTATTTATTGATTAAATTAGATACCATAAATCCTTATTAATTAACATTAGGATTAATTTAGACTAGATTTCAAAAATTGGTTTATATTTATAAAATCATTTAATATGTATGCAGAGGAATAAGGTATAAAATGAAGATTTGTGATATTATAAATATTAAGATAAAATATATTTATTTTTTAATGTAAAGTAGAATAGTAATAAATAAATAAGATAATAATTAGTTTATTGATTGACTAATCAATAAATAAATAAATACGTTTCTTAAATCTTTCAATCCAATATACTTAGAATTTTGTATGTATAATAATTTATTTATATATTGATTTATTCAATGCTTTATAATTAATTATTAGTTTTTATTATAATAAAAGTAATAAATTAATTAATAATTGTTAAAGATTAGAGAGATGAGTTTCATTAAGAAAATAATTTCTATATTTGATTTTTCAGATGATTTTTAGAATGAATATTTATTATTAGATTACAAAATACTAGGGTGTTCTATTCTTTCAGCGGGTCTACCTCTTTTAGGTAGGTTTTATATAGAGCAATCTAAAAAAAATTATTTTGGAGCTAGTTCTACTCTGATTAATGACATAATTAGTCATGTAAAAGAATCACCTCTTCTCTACTTTGATGAGCTTAAGGAAAAATCATATCCTATAATAAGAGCTACTATAGAAGACCCATAGGGAGAGTTAAAATAGTCATGGATACAGTCATATGTAGCAAATAATCCAGATTAAGCTAGCAAGGTGTTAAATAAGATTTTTAAAGCTTAAAATCCTCTCGATTCTTCTAAGGCTGTCAATATTGTTTTCAACGACTTAAATGTATTTAATAGAGAAATATCAGGATATTAGCTATTGGCGCAAAATTAAGTAAACCCATTTATAGATATTCTTTCATATCTTGATATTAAAAACTCATTTAAAGGCGTTACTCCAAGTTCAAAATAATTTTTTGATTTTTCTGATGTCTTAATACAAGGAATAAAACTAAAAGACAAATAAAATGGTGAATATCTACAAGTAACTCATGTCTTCAAAGATGCTAGGCTTAATTTTACAGATGAAGAAATTAAATTCCTCTCTAAAACTCAAAAAATTTTTTTGTATGTCTCAGCTGGATTGGGAATATTCGCTTTAATTATGCTTATTAGAATTTTAATAAAAAAATACAAACTCAAAAAGTAAAAATCTTATTGAAATAAGTAAACTAATAAAAGTTGATTATTTTATGTTAAATATTTCATACATCTTTTCATATTTATAAGTTAGTTCTTTAATAGTATAAATTGCATCCTTTTCATAGTAATTAAATTAAAATGACCAAGATTTAGCATTTTACAATTATAATTTTTATTTCATTATTATTACAATTATAGAACAATATTTATTCTCTATCAGTATAAAAACCATAATATAAAAACTACAATTAGTTATTTGAAAGAATTAATTAATTAATTTTTATATTTTCTTAGAGGAAAAAAAATATTTTATTTCATATTTCCTTTTTTTACTTAGTTTAAACTTTAAACTTGAATTTAGTTGAGAATTATTAATTTTAACAATAATAAAAAATAAGATATTTCTTTAAGAAAAAATAATTTGATAATTAAAAAGATTGAAAGCTATTTAAAGATTAGCAATAATCTAAAAAATATAAAATTAATTTTGATATTGAAAATATGTCAATTTATTATTATTTTAAAGATTAAAAAGTTTCTAAAAACTAAAAGATATCTTTAAAGCGTTAAATTAATTTTGGGTAATTTTAAGAACAGAAATTTTTATTTATTTTAAATATTAAAAGGTACCAAAAAAAGAAAAGTAAATCTCAAAAATATAAAATTAATTTTAGATAACTTTAAAGATAGAAATCACTATCTAAATAAAGAGTATTTATTTATTTTTAATAAAGAATTTTTATTATTTATTTTTCTATTATTTACAAAAAGATTTAATTTATTACAAATAAAAATTCAATTTTCTTCTTCGTTGCTATTTTTAATTTGCTCAAATAATCGTTTTTAGGTTGGAATATATTTGTCATCATCTTAATTTGCTTAGATATACTAATCTATTGTAGATTCCTTCTTTTCTTTCTTCTCTTATTCTTTAAGTAGTTCTGAAGGATTTGGCTCAAGTTAATTTTATTTGAGCATTTAGAATATTTTAGAAGTGTAAATAGGACCTTTCGACCAAATTATTTTAACATTATCGAATTAAGAGACGAGGAGAGGCAAATAAAAAGTAATGGTGTTTGTTTTTGGTTATTTGTTATTGAAATTTTGCTGCTCTTAGTAAGAAAGCTAGTTTTCATTATTGTAATTAATTGACTCTAAGCTAAAAGGCATTTATTCTGAAAATTCTATAAGTAAGTAACATTTCTTATAATTTTTAGACATTGCCAATAGCTGCTAATAAAGTCTACCGTTTCTTAAACTGTTTACTAAATCTGGAGTTTCCACTGATTTTCTTTCTACAGCTATATCTTTTGATAATATATAATCTCCAGTAGTTAATTAAATAGGTATAACTTTAAAACCTTCATGAAATAGTATTGAAGGTAAATCACTTCTAAACTCTCTTTTATCAATGATAACTCTTTTTTATTATTTAATATTTTAATATTTCAGTTAAATAAAATATATCATAAAAAATTAATTACGCTGGTTGAACTTGCAACATAGAGCCACCTATTCTAGTATTTGCTTTTTTTGTAATATTTTTTACTCTTAATACTGGCTCATCAATACTGCTTAGCATCTCATTTTTTTCTTTCACTATTCTCTCAGTTGCTTAATTCTCTTGAAGACTATTATAAAGAATTTTCTCACTTTCAGCAGACTTATTGAACATGATTGTCCTAATTTCATAGATTGGATTTACTCCGTTTAATTAGATTAGATGCTGCCCTACACTAATTTCTCTTATGATGCTCAAATTAGGTTCAAATAATATGACCTTTTTCAAAGTAAAAGGGAATTTTATTTTTGTTTAAGAAGTAAAATATTTACAAAATTTGGACGATAAGTTCTTAAGAAATGTTATCTAATAACTGATTTATTTGTGCTGTTTACAATAAATTCGAAGTTTTTCATAATTTATTTAGACAAAAACTAAACGAATCCTGTCTGATCAATTTCATCAATAATATTAACATTCATTGAATTTACATCTATCATTTTAAATCTTTTTTGTAGTTTTTCATCAATTTATAATTTTCTCTTTTTCACTTCTAGCAATTCTTTTTCATTATCTGCAAGCATCCTATCGCTTTTTCTTATTTTTTTTATATTATTTTTTTCTTCATCACTTGCAATTTCTAGATTCTAATCATTCTAAGATTATTTTTTTGAGTCCTCTTATGAGTTTTCTTTTATTTTCTTTTATTCTTCCTTTTCCATTTCATCTAGTTTTTGTTTATTTTCTTAGTTTAGCTGTCTTTAAGAACCTTTTATTTTTGTTTTTAGAATTATGCTCAGCATTAAAATATAAATAATTACCAAATAAAATATTATCGTCTGGATTAAGTTAATTATTTTGATTTTTATTCAATTCCAATTGCTCAAATTCAATTATTTACTAAAAGTATTCCAACTCTTTAAATAGCTATTCAAGCAACACATTTTCACACTCTTTCTTTTCTTCAAGGATTTAATTTTTTTTTCTTTTGATTAATTCTTTGAGATAAGAGTGTCTCCTATGTGTCTATTCTTCTAAAAACTATCTAAACTTTTTCATCAAGCTTAGTTTGTTTGAAGGATCATTTTTGAGAAAAGTGTTTTAAATGTACTCTTAAATCGATGACACTCTCTGTTTATCATTAGTATGAATCCAAATCAAAAATTTGTCTCCATTAATTGGCATGGCATTTTAATATTTTTCGTTTATTTCATTTAAAATAACATTCAGGCACCTAAATTTAGGATCTATATCCAAATTTAACTTTACTTTTTGATTGAGTTCAAATTTAATTGCATCTTTATTGTCAGTGTCGAAATCTTCAAATATCTAAAATATAAAAATATTTCTTTATTTATTTAATAAAAAAATAAAATTTAATATTTACATTCTATTTCAAACCTACTTTAGGCATGTCTTAAGCTAATGAAATTGAATCTTGATTAATAATGTTTCTCATAAATTCCATCTGTTACATAAACTTATCTTGAGAGTTTTCATTTAAATGTTTGTCCTCCACATCAAGCATATCTTATTTTAGTAATTAATTTTCATTTTTACTTTCTTCAAATGTTTCATCTTCTTTGATATTTTCTTTAATTGAAGTCATTTAAATAGACTATGTTAGATTTATTTAATCAGCAGACCTATCAAGAAAGCCTTAGGAGTTTAAACCATTTTATGAATTTTCTTATGAACTAGTTTTCCCCTTTAAATTTTCATCTGCCATTTCAATTGAATTTAAAGAGGCTCTTTTCAAATCATTTTACTCTGCTAAGTCTTTATCAGCATCATTTTACAATTACTCTACATTTTTACCTGTGTTTTAGAGAAGGCTGGCATCAAAGTAACCATTTAAATTAAATTTTTATCTAAATTAAAAACTATCTCTATCAGAATTATTTAATTGAGACTCCAACAATGGCAGCTCCAATGTTTCATCGCTTTTTTGAATTTCATAAACTCTTTTTTATGCATTTTCAAAAAGCTCTTTAATTACTTTTTGAGTACTTTTATCGGTTGCTGTCCTATTTATGAAGCTGTCTTCATTTGAATTTTAATCAATATAGAGTAATTTTTTATAGAAGGAAACACAATTTAGCTAAAAGAGATCTTTTTGTAACTGCTTAAATTCAAAAGCATCTTTAAAGTACTGTGTGTTATTCATAAAGGCTTTTAAGTAGAATTTATTGGATTTGATTTTATCCTCCAAAATGTATTAATGAGAGTTTAAGAATTCTTCCTAATTGAATATAGGTAATTCTGTTGTGTCACTTGCATTTCTCTTAGATTTGAGTTCTTTCAGTATTAAAATTATGATAACTTTAATACAATTATCAATATTTCTCATTCTTTTATTCATATCCACAAACGTATCCAAGTGCTCGCATTGATTTGGCTATTTTAGAATCTTTATCGACAAAATAAAAAATATCATTTTTAGATTTATTTTTGATAATCTCATACATCACTTTGAACTTCTGCTCTAATCATGTTCCATACAAAGCATCTAGGTAAATAGAACCATCTCATTATATTTTCTAACCCTCTACTTGCTATTTAATATATATATTTTCAAAAAAATTAGTTAGAAACATTTATAAATAATGCTGATACCTAATGTCTACTCACACTCAGAAATCCCTAAAATTATAGAAGAAGGATTGTTTGTCTTTAGAAGAGTACACAACCAGACTAGATTCTCTTAGTGGTTTCTAACACTTTATATTTTATTAATAATAAACCCAGTAATTCTTTCTGAGTGGATGATGCTGCCACTTAGCAAATCAAATAGGAGAACTATTTCTGATATTGAAAATATTCCTCCTTTGCTATAAATTTCACTTCTTTTAGATGAAATCATATTTGTTACATCAACAATTTTGTGCTGTTTGCAGTAATATTAAATTTCATTGATTTCAGATTTTAGGCTATCCCTTTCATCAAAATTAAGCAAAAAAAAGACTGTTTGTGGTCCTTATTAAAACGTATCTAAATATTCCCCAATCACTTTATAGACACCAGTACCTTAAGACATAATTAACAACCCTCCAGTAGGACTATAAATAAGGTCCTTTTGTATCAAATCGAAATAATCTAACTTGCTCTCTTCAGGCTAGTTTAAAATATTTTATTACATTAAATCTTCATCATCTACTTCATTTTTGATAATCTGATTGTTATTTTAAATATTATCCTAATTAATAGATTCGCTCATGTAAATAAAGATTTTTGATATCTAAATATTGCATTTGATTTTTAACGATGAATTAAATATCTTATTTATATTGCTAACCTAAAAGAAAGAATTGCTTTCTTTCTTTATTAATGTATTTATTTATTACGTTGTCTATAAGTTTAATTAAAAAATTGGTTTTTTCGCGCAATTTAATTAAAAGAACTTAAAATAGGAAAAATTAAATAAGTTTTTGTAAATACAATCAGATTTTATTAATTTTTTTCATACTTTGAAATTTAATCAATGCTCATTATAAATTTAAATACTGTGTAATTTATTTTTTTAATCTTAGCAAACATTTAGTAATTACAAGAAAAATTTAGAGAATAACTAAATTAATTTCAAATTTTAATAATCCAAATCAAAATTTGTTTAAATTAATCTAACAAAATTAAAGCAAAATTTATTTCATTTTCTTCTTTTACATATTTTTTCATGCTAATTAATCATCTGAAATAAATTCATTTTATCTGCATTAAAAAAAGCCTATAAAAAATCTAAAATTGAATAATGCAGTAATATTTAAATCAATGGAAAAGTAAATTTAACTCTCTTTTAAAATTAATTGTTTTACTGTATTAAATTTGAAGATTTTTATATCTTTAGAATCATACTATCATAGAGATTAATGGCAAAGATAAATTAAGAAATAAAAATTATTATGATACAAATACATTGATAAATTTGGAATAGGAAAAATAATAAAATGTAAACAAGCTTTTTACGTAGTTTCGAACTACTCGTATCAAGATGATGTTTTTTATTAAACTTGCTAAAAAGTTATTGATTACATTAGTAAACGAATAGTTTAGATTATTTTATACCATATATAATGATAATAATTAATAAAAAAATTATATTTACTATACTAATAGAAGTAATTAATACTAGAATGCTTAATAAATTTTCAGCTTTCGTTAAGGATTATGACTTATTTAGTAGATAAATAGGACTTCACATGAACAAAAATAACTTCTATAAGACTTCGCTAGGAGGATTCTGCTCATGGCTAGTTATTCTATTTATATTTGCATTTTTTTGGTCAAGTAAAAATTCTTTTTAGAAATTTTAATCAACATAATAATTCTATCACTTCAGCTAGTAAACAATAAAGAAAATTAGCAAAAAAGAAAAGAGAATTCCACTTTGGATTCATCAAAATCATTAATCTAATTTAAAATAGGAATCGCATCATTTTTAAATAAAGAGGAAGTGAAAGTTATAAAAAATCGCACGTTTAATCCAGATCCTCCTTACTCAAGTCTTAATACTGAAAGATTTATGTTTGCAGTGAATATAGATTAGCCTAACTAGGATTTTTTAACTCATCCATACTTCAACATAACAGTTAAATAAATGTAAAATTAAAAGCAAATTTATTTTTTAATTAAGCAGTTAGTTGTATTTTTCGTTTAACTAATAATAAAACATACATTTTTATAGAGTTAATATAAGCAAATCTATCTATTAACTAGAGAAGAGACCAAATGTTAAAAATAGATATTATTTAATTTTCTTAATTAGTAAAAATATATAATATATTTTTATATAGCGTCAAATAGAAAGTAGGCAACACTCAAGTATTTACAAGGACAGATATTTAACTTGAACCTTGTACTCCTGATCATTGGAATAGTATGTCATAGGCTTTAGCAAATTTCACTACATTATTCAAATCTTTTGGAACTGATTTTTTATGTCCAGTGTAAGTAAATCTTCATTCAATTTATTACTGACCACTTTGTAAATAATGATAAAGAATTTTCAAAGCAATAATATAAAATTTGTAAATCAATTTGTGATTAATAAATAAGAATTAAAAATTTATAATTTAAGAAAAATCGATAAGAGAAATCATTATCATCCTAAAAAAGTTAATTATGGATTTTAAAACCAATCCTTTTGAATTTAAAAAAAATTTTATGAAATTTAAGGAGAGTCAAATAATTTAAATAATGCAGAAGGATTTATTAACTAAGAATGTTAACATTTTTCATAAAAAAGAGCTATTAAGAATATTTGAATGAATAAAACTAGAAGGAATTCAATAAATTTTAAAATAAATAAAGTTTTAATTGATGCTGGCTTAATAAATAGCATGAAAATTTATTATTTTTAACCTAAAAAATAAAAAAAATAAATGATTTTATAAAAAAAAATAATAAGATTAGGATAAAAAATGTAGCTCCAAGGAATGTGGGGAAGTGACGTATTTTAATATATAGAAGTGCAGGTAGAACCGTGTGTTTCTCCGAATGACCCAAATTAAAAGTGGAATCCAGTGTGTGCTACCTAAGAAGAGGTAAATAATATATAATTTTTAAATATTGATGATATAAAATGAATATAATTTTCTGCTTACTATCTACTTCATTCAGAATAATATGAATTATTGATTATTCTTACTATAACTTATGACATATAAGCTATTAGTACGTTTACCTCAAAATATTTTTCATACAATATTTATTGATAATATTATTTATAGAACCTAAATATATAGGTTATATAACAATTAATTAATTTTAATTAAATTTTTATAGAAAATAATTTATACAAATGAATTACTTGCTAACAAAATAATATACTTACTAATTTTTTCTCTAAAAATTTAAGATAAGAAAAGACTTTTGAAATATTTTATTTATTTGCTTTTTAATGTTAGAGGATTAGTCCTTGTTATTTATTCTTCATTTTTTTTTGATTTTTCTTTATTTAAGAAAAAAAAAATTATTAATAAAAGGTTTAAGAACAAACAAAAAAGTTGGGATTTCATGGAATAAATTTTTATCACTCAAATTATGTTTTAAATGCTGATCAGCCTACCAATTATTTTACTCCATACATTAATGATAAGCTTTATTTCATGTTTGTACCTAATAAATAAGCTCAAAACTGTGATATATATTTTTAAGACATTCAAGTAATAACTGATCAGTCATTACTTCCAATTTCGGATTTTGATGATATCAAATTTCTTACTTAGGAGAATAATGATGTAAGAGAAACTACTTAGCTTTTTAGGATTGACGATAAATTCGTTACTTTGACTCTAAGAATGAGTCCTTATGTTTCAGTCATAAACAGATAATACAAAAAAGCTTCTTAGTTATTAAGTGAATTAGGAGGCTTTATCTAGATTGTGTTTACTTGTGTAGGGATTTTACTAATCAAATATAACAATTTTAGATTTACTATCGATTTGGCAAATAATCTATATTAATTTAACTCAGAAATTAAGTAGCAACAAACTACTTAAAGAAATAAAAAAGAAAAAACGTAATAATCTAATAATTATGTTTGTTAGTCTTTAGGAGTAAGTCCATCGAAATAATAAAATTCCTAATTTTTTAAGGATATGTCAAGTATTAAAAATGGGATCGATAGCTAGGGAGTGAAGGTGTAAAAAGACTTAGCACTTTCTTCTAGCATACACTTTATAAGCAATCAGAATAATGAAGTAATTGCTTAAAAATGTTAAGATAATCTCAATCAGAATAAAATTAATAAAAGTATTCCTTGTATTAACAATAACAATACAGTAAAAAGCTAGACATAAATTGAATTAATAAGCAACTAATCATTAGGAAAAAAATTTTCTATAAACTAAAATCCTACATCTATTTAGAATTTAGGAAATAAGGAAAAAATAATGGTGGTAGATATCAAACTTGATATAGATAGACCTATCGATAAATTTAAGAGAGCAGTATTTAAAATTATAAAAAAAAGCAAAATATTTTTGGATTTCTTAAAAAATGATAAAAATATTTTTGTAAAGCAATTTACACAAACCCAACAAGAAAGAATTACAAAAGAAAACTATTTAATAGCTTAATTTCATAAAATACTTGAGAAACCGTATCGTTTTGATGTTGGAATATAGTATTTGCTTCATAAATTATCTTTTGGATACTTTTACAATAACGATTACAATCACTACATCACTAAGGCAACTGATATGATACACTCAGATCTTGACATCTGTAATATTCTTGAAAAGCTCTAGTAAATAGATAAAATAAAAACAATCATTTTTAACTAGTCGCAACAAACTATCTTTAATTTTTATTAGAAGCCAAAAATAAATTTGGAAAAAAATTAAAACTAGCGTAGTCCTGTATAAATCAGTCCAACAGAACATAAAAAAAGTTCAAAAGATTTAAAGAAAAACTGCTTTAAAAGCCTATTTAACTAAAAATCCGAGGAAAAAATAATTGATCAAGGTATATTATCTCCTAAAATAAACTATGATACAGTTAATTCATATAAAGTAAGTTTATACTAATTTCATTTTAGAAATATTTAATCAAAAAAAAGATGATGTTTAAATTCTACTAAAAAGTAAAAAAATATGTTAAATACAAAAGTTCTAATTTAAATAGTAAATAAATAAAATGATAAAAAAGTAAAAAAGTAAATAAATGAATTAATAATCAAAATATTTAATTATAAAATGAAAATTTTCTTCTTAAAATTATTTATTTATTTCTTTAATTAAATTTTTTTTTTTTAAATTAAAGCTATTATACAACTCTTTTTTGAAGCTAAATAGTAACTTAAGCTGCTCATTTAATTCTTCTAGGTAAAATAATTTATAAATTTGAGAATTTTGTTTTGCTATTTTTTGATTTACATAAAATTTATTTTTTATTAGCATAAACAAAAAACTTATTAAATATTTGGGACCTGAACTGCTAAATATTTTCCTGTAATCTTAATCGCTGGATAGCTAACCGAAAGTAAATTAAACATCTGAAATTAAGAGGTTATATGAAGGAAGAAGTTAGAATATTTCCTCTTTCTAAAAATAACAAGCTTTAAGATAATTTAAGCAAATTTAAGCTTAAAAAAATAACGAAATTTCAGTAGATTTATCATTAATCAACAATCGAAAATCATTGAGTTACGAAAGTTCATTTAGAAATTAAAACACTATCTAGATGCTCAAATAGAAAGAAACTCCTCAAGCAGCTGTAGAATAGCTTTCAGAATCTACAAACAGCCACAATTACCCGATAATTGCTCTTGGAGAAATAAAAAATATTAAAACAATATCGAACATTACTTATTTGAATCCAGATGAAACAAAATCCCCTTTTAAAAAAATAGATATCTCAAACTAATAATTTTCATTTCATCAGTACTCCCAAGAGCTAGGTTCTGAAGAAGAAATTCCAGAAGTAGAGCCTTAGTCTCGAAATATAAAAAAATTATAACTCAAAATAGATAATAAATGAGAAATAATAATTTAAAAAATTTATGAAAATAATAATTAAAATTATCATATTTTCTTTCTATTTTAAAAAAATATTATTAATTAATTAATTTATCACAAAGAAAGTTTCTACTTACCACACATTTTAAAAATTCAAAAAAAAATTATGAAATTGATAAAAAATAATTTTTTACCTTCCTTTAAATACGATAAAAAACTATAATTCAAATAATAGAATGATAAAAAAATGATAAATAGATATATTTTTAATGCTCTTATTTTTAATTCTCTCTGTTACAGTTAATTCTTTTTTATAGTCAAATCATAAAAAATCAGAGTCGATTTTATTTAAAAAATATATGTATGATTGTTTATGTCACTTATTTCTAAACTTATTTAATTTAAAATATATTTAATTAATTATTGCTTTCTTTTAAAAAAAAATTATGAAAGGATGATCAATTGATAAAATTTACATTTGTATTCGTTCTCTTATAATATCACTCAGAATTATTTACTAATATTCCTAATTATTATTCAGCTTTCAACAAAAAAATTACCATTTAAAACTATAATTAGAATGATGATAAATTATAACAAATAAAAAAAGAATTTTTTAATGCTCTTAATTTTAAATATTTAATTATTATTTTCTTAAAAAAAACAAATTAAGAAAGTAAGAAATATAAATAAAGAAATTTAAGTAACATAAATGCATATTTTTTTTTAATAACTACTCAGAATTATTTACTTATATTCCAAAATAATAATATCCAGCTTCCAATCAAAAAATTATCCTTTAAAACTATAATTAGTACAATAAAATTATAAATAATTGATAAATAATATTTTTAAATCTCTTATTTTTCAAAAAGATGGCTTTACTAATTAATATTCAACTTTTAATGTAAAAATTATTATCTTTTTGATATGATTATCCTTAATAAACATGGTTATATTTATTCTTTAATTTGGCAATCATCTTTTAATGAAAATTATAATGTAAAACTATAATTTGAGTAATAAAATAATAAATAATCGATAATCTATATTTTTTATGCTCTTATCTTGAATATTGATTATTTTATTTAATTTTTATCTATATTATTCAACTTCTAACACAATTATTCTCTCTTTTTCATAAATAATATAAAAAAATCGCTTAAAAAATAACAAGAAGAACTAAAAAACAAATTTTATTCACTCATTTTAGCTTACATATATTCTTTTTTTTTATTACTGGATTAACTTTATTTTATAAATATTTTGATTAGAAGTTCGCAATATAATAAAATTCATAGCTATTATTAATACAACAAAAATAAATTGAAAATTAGTCCAAAAAATATTAATATATTTAAAGCAACTTAAAACATAAATTTATGATCACTTAACCCAATAAAAACATAAAATATATTAAAAACTTTATCTATTATTATGATGTTAAATTTGTTTGACACATCCCATTCAATAATTAATGAAGATCTAAAAACTTTTTATTAAGCAAAGATTGGTTCAATATAAAAACTTATATAAGATTAATTAGTAAAGTAAAAAAAGAAAGAAACTTATTTAAAGATAAATAGATAGATATAATGATGATAAAAGTTAAATCTTTTATTAAAGGGATAGACTAATTTAGCAATGAAATTGGATTACATATGAATAATTCATATTAATATAGAACAACTTTGGGGGGATGTTTAACAATTTTATCCTTTACTTTTATTTTACTTTTCTTTCTATCAAGTAAACATTAACGCTATCTTCATTAAACTATTTGATTTCTTACAATGTTAATATTTAAAAATAGAAATGACTTCATTCTACTTAAAAGAGTCAGTTAATGTTGTAGTAAATAGTAGATACAACCCAAATCCTCCTCGATCTTACATGAACTCAAATAGATTTATGTTTGCTGTTTAGATAGAACAAAAAGATTTCCTTACTAATCCTTTTTTTAACATAACTGTTTATTAGAAGTAAGTTGATAACTTTTTGTTTACTCAATTAAATACTTATTCAAAAATTTATAATTGAAAAAATATAAAATATTTTCTAAAGTATCTCAGTAAATATGCAAGAAATAATTTGCATCCTTATTATTATTATAACATTCGCAACATAACAACCCACCCACCTAGCTATTTATTTTAATTTAATTCTTATTTTTAATCAAGTTTAATTAATTAAATTAAAGGATTTTTAAAAACCAGCCAAATACTTCTACTAAAACAATTTAAGAGTATGAAATAGAATTGGAACCTTGTACTCCTGCACATTGGAGATTAATAGATTCCTATGCAAATTTCACTCAACTTTATTTACCTTTTGGATTTGATTACTTATGCCCTTCGTAAATATATATAAAGAAATCATTTAATGCTAGTAATTTTATTAAATTTATACAGTATGGACTCAGTTATGTTTGTAGAAGGAATGTACGGAAGTGATGTTTTTTCTTTTTTTTAAGTAGTAGTATCTCAATGTGTGACACCTAATGATCCAAAACGAAAATGGAATCCTGTGTGTGCTCCTTAAGACATTGTAATTAATTATTAAAAATATTTTTATACCTCAATTTAAATTATTGCTTTGATAAATATTTTGTTGGATTATATTACAAATTTTTTTATAAAATCATCAATATGAAATTGCTTTATTATTATTTTGCTTTTTAGTGCAAAAAATAATTTTAATTAATATTTTAAATAGAAAAATAGTTTAAATATTTATTTAATTCAATTCAATTTTTTGTCTTTAAGAAATAATAAATAATATTAATAGATAGATACTTATACAAATGAAAATGGCTATTAAGGTGTGAGCTTTTATCACTCTAACTATGCTCTGAATGTGGATTAGCCTTAAGATTTTTTTACTCCATTTATTAATGATAGACTTTTTTTCACTTTTGTGCCATATAAAATGACAAGAAACTGTGATATTTATTTTCAAGATATTACAGTTGCGAATGAAGAATCTATTTATTTTGGTAGTGATAGAAAAGTTTTCTAATTTCCTATTTAATAAAGCAATGATTACAGAGAAATTACTGAATTAGGAAGATCTGATGGTCGTTTTGCAGTTTTAACTGTTAGATTAAATCCATATGTTACAGAAATTAATAGATCCTATAAAAAATTCACTGAATTGTTAAGTGAATTAGGAGGCTTTACACATTTAATTATGGCTTCTTTAGGAATTATAGTTAGAAGATATAATTTGTTTCAATTAACTATAGAATTAGCCAATAAGCTTTATTAATCTGATAAAAATAATAGTGGAATTAAAACGAACACAAGCAGAGAAAATAAGAAGAATCGAAATAGGAAATCTTTATTATCTAAGAATTAGAGCTAACATGAAAATCTATAATAAGGCGATCCTTCATCTATTTTTAGTGAGATCAATAAGTTTAATTTTTAGAATCCGTCATAAATATAATAAAATGAATTAAAGGGTTAAAACCTACAAGCAGATTTAACACTTAAAACTACATAAAAAGAATCATACAGTCCAGAACTAACAACAAACATCAATTTAAAAAGTAAGAATGCTTTTGAATAATTTAACATAAAACTCAATAAAAATCCATCAAATGATAATTATGTTTAAGATATTGTGCTAGAATAAAAAGATAATAAAACTTAAGAAGAGAAATAACAAGTAAAAAAACAAAAATAATGTTTTAAATGTTTTAACTTTAATTGGTTTTAAAAAGATAAAAATTACGATGAATAAAAGAGTGATAAATAAATTTCAATCTTTAAATACATGATATATTATTTGTTTTCAAAGTATAAAATATTTTCTAAAGAAGGTCAATTAGTAACTTAAGCTGTCAAAATGGTAAATCAAAGTTTAGACGTCATAAATATCCATAAGAAAATGTAAGAGGTAGATAAATTAAAAAATGTTATCTTTGATAAGCATTAGAAAAGATTATTTGAATTTATACCTGCACCTTAAATAAGCTGTAAAGATTCTTAAAATAGTGATGATTATTTACCTATTTAAGGAAAATCACCATTGATAAATGAAAAAACCTAAATATAACCAAAATCTTTTAAAGATCCATTTGTTGAGAACGAGAATTCTCAATTAGTAAGTTTCTTAAATTCATAATTGATTCAATCAAATAATTTAATTGCTTTAAAAATAGTTTTTATATGACTCTTACTTGCAAGTTAAACGCCTTTAAGACTTAGCTGAGAAGTAGAATTCTAGGTAATAAATATAATTATATTATAAATTTTTGTTTTAATTTTAAAATTAATTATAGTGTGAACTAAAGGCTTATTAACCATCTTGGTAAAGAAATACTCTAAGACTTTTAATCAAAAGAAGCAGATTTGACTTAAAATGCTTAATAATTAAATTTATTTTCAGAAAGTCCTTTAACAAAATTTAATAGTTTAAATTAAACACCTTTGAATAACTTTTAAAAGAGGTCTCTTACATTTTTGTAAAATAGACCAACTACTGATAAAAAAAATCATTCATTTTCTCAATTCAATTTAAACACAAATTATTCTTAAAATTTTTAAGCGAAGAAGATTAAGAATTAAAAAAGCATAAACTCAGTCACCTAAGCAGAGGTTGAAACATAAAGTATGGACTAAGACTCTGAAGTCGAATAAATAAGAAATGAGTTCATATTTAAGAGGCAAATTCCAGAAGAAAATACTGATAACGGTTAAATATTTTAATAACTCTAAAATTACCAAAAACAAAGAATACTTATCAATAAAGAATAAAATATTTGATTAATTATTTTCAAATTCAAATAAAAAAGATTTCTTTCTAAATAAATCAATCAATAAAATAACTTTTGTAATTTTATTCATATTTTATGTTTTATGCCTTTTATTAGATTAATAAAATTAATTTATAATACTGGAAAAAGGGTTCTTACTCCCATAGGTATTTTGAAAAGTTTCTAATTTGGTAATATAATTTTATATTATTTGGTCATCCTTAGTTTATAATTATAGTTAAATGCCTTTTTAACTTTTGAAAGGCTATCTATACTAATGAATATTTAATTAAAATAAATTTAGAAAAATATTTATCTTAAAAAAAAATTAGATTAAATTTAGAAAATCTTTATTAATTTTTTCTTGAAAAATTGATGGAATCTTTGAAAATATCAGCAAAAAAAAATGAGGAAAATTTACCGCTTAATAAATATTTTTATCAAAAAATTATTTTTATTTATTTTAGCATTAAAAAAAATCCTGAAAAGTTTTAAAAACTAATCAGTTTCTAACTAAAAATCGAAAAAATAAAAACTAATCAGTTTCTAACTAAAAATCGAAAAAATAAAAATAAAACCAAACTAAATACTAAAATGATTAAATTTAAAGCAATTTGATAACTAAATTTATTAAAAAATCAAAAAAATATAATAAAATTTAAGATCAAAAATGTAAAATTAGATATTAAAAATAAAGTTAAATACTTTGTTTTAAATAAGTACTTTTAAGAAGATTATTATTTGAATAGCATTATTAGGTGTTGTAAATAGAACTCCAATAAACTGTTTTAAATTATAAAAAATTAAATTAAAATTTTTCATGAATAATATATAAAGAGTAAAATTAAATACTTTATCTTGCTTTAAATAACATTTTTGATATTTATTATTTTCATCTCATCTTATTTATACATATTTCTTTAAATTTAAGCAAGTCTTAGTGTCCATTCATCTAATTTTAGTGTAATAGTAGAAGATTTTATCAGCTTAGTTAGCTTATTGGTAATATTAATAAAAACCAAAAGTTTTAAATTAAAATCCACAGAAAAATATTAAAGTAAATTGCTAAAATCTATAAAATCTAGCATTAAAAATATCAGCAAAAATGTTAAAAATAAAGCAATATATCAAGGAAGTAGATTAATTTAGTAATTCAATAGGCTTACATATGAATAATTCTTTTTACTACAAAACTACTTTTGGAGGATTAATCACTATTTTTGCTTATACTTTTATACTTCTTTTTTTTTAGTCAAGTAATCTCTCATTAATCATTTTTTTAGCTCATAAAATTTTCACCTTATTAAAACAAACAAACAAATAGGTATTTCTTCATTCTTTGAGAAAGAATAAGTCAAGGTTGTTACAGACAGTAAATACAATCCTAATCCGCCTATTTCTTTCCTTAACCCAAGCAGATTTATGTTTGCAGTATAAATATATCAAAAAAATTTTTTAACTAATCCTTACTTTAACATAACTGTGATTCAGAAGTAATATATTATTAATTTGTATGATAAAAAGCAAATATATATCTTAAAAAATATTTTTATTGTTAAATACACTTTATCATTCATCCATAAATCTTTTTAGTTGATAAAATCATTTTTAAATAATTTTGTAATAATATAAAAAGAACTTAAATAAATGAACCAAGTAGTTCTACTAAAAAAATTTAATAGTATGAAATTTAATTAGAGCCTTGCACTCTTTCTCATTGGGAGCTAATTGATTCATATGCAAACTTTACTGAATTATTTTTGCCTTATGGATTGGATTATTTATGCCCTACGTAAAAAAAAACATTTTCTTAATTTTAAATAGTTAAATTATATACAAATTAAATTAAGAATGGATTCGGTGATTTTTATTGAAGGAATGTATGGAAGTAAGGTGTTTTCTTATTTTGAAATACTTGTTACACCATGTGTGACACCCAATGATCCAAAGAGAAAATGGAATCCTATTTGTGCTCCTTAAGAAGAGGTAATTAAAAATATTTTTAATAAAAATAAAAAACTAATTTTTCTTATTTCTGTTATTATTTACTCAAAATATATCTTACTTAATCAAAAAAATTACTTACAGGTAGATGCAGCAACAACAGACAAAGGGAATTAAGGAATAAGTTTTTATCACTCTAATTATGTGTTAAATGTTGATCAATCTTAAAAATTTTTTACTCCTTTTATTAATGATAGACTTTTTTTTACCTTTGTGCCGCATAAAATGGCTAGAAATTGTGATATTTATTTGTAGGATATTTCAGTTGTGAATGATGAATCTATTTTTTTTAATCATGATTTCAGTCTTTTCAAATTCCCAATTTAGTAAAACAATGATTATAGAGAAATCACTGAGTTAGGAAGAAAGGATGATACTTATGTTGTTTTAACGATAAGATTAAATCCGTAAGTAACTCAGATTAACAGATCCTACTAAAAATTTACAGAATTGTTAAGTAAATTAGGAGGTTTGGCTCATTTAGTTATGGCTTCATTAGCAGTTGTCATAAAAAAATATAATTTATTTTAATTTACCATTGAATTAGCAAATAAGCTCTATTAATCTGATTACAACTTTAAAATTAAATCCAGTAAAGGTAAAAAAAATAATAAAAATAGTAAAAAAAAATATTTATAACAAGATAAATAGAATTGTAATGAAAATGAGAGCAATCAAAACTCATAAATGAATATATAATCATTTGTAATAAAGGATATTAACAATTTCAGTTAGCTAATTCAACCATAACCAGTTGAAAACTAGCAGAATAATTAAAGCTATCATACCTGTTTATTTAAAAATACACTCTAATTAGAATCATTAAATCATGTTTAAATAAATAATATTAGTTCAAAAAATAAGAATGGCTCTTAAAAACTACTTATTAACTTGAATAAAAATTTAGATTAAAATTCAGCTAATAAATAAAAAATTGATATTCCTTCAATCTAATAAGAAGGAGGAAAGAAGCATAAAAAGTGCATTTAGTTTTTTAAATGTAAAAAAAAGTAAGCAAAAACAAAATCTGATCAATAGGATCACAATAGTAATGAATAAATTTCAGTATTTAAATATTTAATTTACTATTTATTACCTAGATTCAAAATGTTCTATAGAGAGGGTACGTATGTAACTTAAGCTATTTAATTAGTAAACAGTGATTTAGACGTTTTAAATATAATTAAGAAAACTTAATAAATAGATAAATTAAAGAATATAATTTTTGATAAGCATTAGAAAAGACTATTTGATTTTGCTTATCGCCAAAAATCTTAATCTATTGATGAATAAATATATCCTCAAGCAGAGATAAATTAATTCAAGCCTTAAAGCCAATAAATTTTCTAAAATTCTAATGAATTCATTACTAAATAAGACTAATTAAGTCAAGTAATTAATTTTATTTCAATAATATATAAAACTGAGAAAATTATTTTTAAAATAATTAGATTTTATATGATTCCTATTCACAAGTTAAGAATCAACTAACAAAAAATCATCCATTTTAAAAGTAAATTATTTTTTAGAAAAAGAAATTTTAACTTTTTAAAAGTGTAAACTAAAGGCTTATAGATCATATTGACAAAGAAGTTCTGAAAGAATTTTAATTTAAAGATGCTTGCTATACTCTTAATTAAACGTAATCGAGCTCATCCTAATAACCGTCTCATTTCCCTACATAAACAGTCCTTTAGTTGAATTTAACTTCCCAAAATGGTTTATAAAAAAAATCAAATTCAGATAAAAGAAATTATTCATTTTCTCAAATTAATCTAAATGCAAATACCTCATAAAATTCTTAATAAAAATCTAATTAAATAAAAAAAAGTATAAAATCAGTGAGTGCGCTTACAAATAATTTAGAATATAAAAGCTAAGAATTTAAGTAAGAGAAAGACTTTAATAAAAAATAAATTCCTGAAGAAAATACTGAGGCATGTTAAATATTAATAAAACTAGAAAAGTATCAAAAAGATCAAAAGATTTTAAAAATATAATCTAAATGATAAAAAAAAGTATTTATTTTAATTAGATTTCAAAAAAATATTATAATATTCTTCTTCTAATCAATATAAAATTAGTTTGTTTGGATGTATGTATGTTGATTGATTTGCCTTTAATTAAAATTATTTTTTTTAATTTACTTTCCATTTATTTTAAATGCTTAAATGTAAGAAAAAATGACTGTTATTTTTATAATATTTGCTTTTTATATTAGTCTTTTATTTATTAGGTTAGCCTATTAATTAAAAATGTAAGATTATATTTAAGTCAATATAAAGTATAAAACATTCAAGCTTTCTACAATATAATTTCAATTAAAAAAAATTCAACCTAAAAATTTTCAAAAAACAAAATAATCCATAAATAAGTAATTTTAAAGCAAATATAATTATATAACTAAAGCTTAAATGAGTAAGTTTGGAAATGTTTTAAGAGAAATGGATTTGTTTAGTAGCCAAGTAGGGCTATAGGTAAACAATTCTTTTTTTTATAAGACTAGATTTGGGGGATTAGCTTCTATTTTATCTATTACAATGATCTTAATTTTCATTTGGCCAAGTAAATTTAGTATTACATTATTTTTGGATAAGAATGATTGATTGATGAATTGATAAAAAGGAGTAATATCTTTCTCTGGAAAGGATGAAGTGAAAGTAGTTATTAACCGCGTTTACTCGCCAAGTCCTCCAGAATCATCAATAAGTCCAGACAGATTTATGTTTGCCCTTAGAGTATACCAAAATAATAGAGACTTTTTGACTAATCCATACTTTAATATTACTGTTCAATAAGGGTAATTATATTAATTAGTAGAAGAAATTATTTGTTCATTTAATTACTAAATATATTTATGTGTTCTAAAATAACTCAAAATATATAACAAATTACATATAATTAATTTATTTAAAGAGTGTATTAAATAGAGGGAAATCAGTAAATTAGAAAATTTTATGACATTGAATTAGAGCCATGTACGCCTAATCATTGGGAAAGTATGAAAAGTTATTCCAATTTTACTAAACTTTTCGAGTCCTATGGAAGCGACTATCTGTGCCCAACGTAAAATTAGACATTCTTTATTAAAAATCAATTATTATGCTTTGTGGTTTTAAAAAATAATAATATTGTAAAACTGAGCATTAAGACTAATGATTGATTTTTATTTGATTTCTAAAAATCTGTATTTTCAAATGAATGTTTAAGTATTAGAAAGAAATATGAACTTAAAATTGTTTTAAATTTAAACTTAAAATAAAATATTTTTATAAAGATTTGATTCTTAGCTGTTTATTTAAGGCATGTTTGGCAGCGAGACATTTGCTTTCATTTAAATCAATGTAGTACCCTGTATAACACCAAATAATCCCAAGCTAAAATGGAATCCTGTATGTGCTCCATAAGAGGAGGTATTAAAAATTTTCTAGCGTCTTTAATTATTTTAATTAAAAAAAACTAATGATAAAATTTTTAAATTCATAGAATAAAAATTAAAAAGCTTGCCGCAATACCACAAAAAAACGATTAATTTTATTATATTTATTTTACTGGCTTTCTTTTTATTATCATTATAATACTAATACCACCAGAATAAAAAATTTTTTAAAATTAATCAAGCTAACAAATTTGTAATCCAAAAAATATAAAATGAAGTAAAAAATTATGTTTGATACAATAAATAAATATAAATAAGTATTTATCTACTAAAAATACTAAACATTTTATTTCAATATTTTAATTGTTTAAATATTAAGTTATTTAATTCAAATGATATAAAATGCTTTTTTTATTTTACACCACAAATATTTAATTTTTAATAAATAGGTTGACTAAGTGACTCAATAAGTTGGATTTCATGGAATGAACATCTACCACTCAAACTATGTTCTTAACGTTGATTAACCATAAAACTTTTTCACACCATACATAAACGATAAACTATATTTTACATTTGTTCCTTATAAAATGACTAAATTGTGCGATATTTACTTCTAAGATATAAGTGTTGTAAATGATATGTCTCTTTTACCAACCACAGATAATAAATATTTTAAATTTTTAACCCAAGAAAATAATGATATCTTATAAACAACTGAATTATCTAGATAAGACGGTGTTTTTGTTAGTCTCACAATAAGGCTAAGTCCTTATGTTACATCTATCGATAGATCATATCAAAAATTGACTCAATTTTTGAGTGAGCTTGGTGGATTAGCTTAAATAGTATTTGTTTGTGCTGGATTTATTTTAAAAAAGTATAACAACTTTAGGTTTGTACTTGATCTAGCTAATACTCTCTACTCATTTGAGAAGAGTAATAAATAAGAAATATCAGATAATGTTGCATCTTAGTTTGATAATCCAAATAAATAAGATACCAATATTGCTCCTTCTCCTGTTCTTTAGCCTTAGAGAGGTACATAATAAAATATTTAAGTGTATGCTAGTGGCTATAGTAACCAAAATAGCTTTAATTTAAAGAACCAAGTAAAAGAAGGTAATAACAGTAGAGCATTTAATAATAACTAGAACTTTATACTTTCTTAAGATATTCTTTCAGAAAATAAATTCTTCTCGAGTAATTAAATTGGTGAAGTAAATCCGCTTTCATCTCCATTATAAATACCAAAATCTAGTGCAAATAGAACCAAATAGAAAACTTTTGAGTAAAATGTTATGAGTGAAAACGAATATTAAGAAATAGATAAAAAGGAGAAAGAAAAAGAAGATGGTAAATCCTACCTAATTAAGCAATTTAATAAAATATTATAACAAAAACAAAATTTAAAAATAGGGTTTTAATACATAATTTCAAAAATTACAATTAACAAGTTTTTTAATTCAGAGTATAACTAATATATAAATAAAGCTACCAAAATGATAAACAATGACTTAGATATTTACAACATTCTTGAAAAAATTCAATAAATTGATAAAATTAAAAATATCATTTTTGATAAATATCAAAGTCTCATCTTTTAGTATCACCCAAAACCTATTATTACCCTTGATTAATAACCAAAAATAGATTAAGTAAAGTAAAGAAAAAAATCTATTTTCTAACCACAAAAAGGAATTTTATTAGAAAAATAAGAATTCTAAACAGTTGAATAATTCGAAGTAAACAAATAAATAAATAAAATATTTAAATAAATTATATAATTTTTTAATAATTTAGAAACTATTCGATTCTTATTAGACAATAAAATAAAATTAAGAATACACAAATCATGACAAAAAGTAATTTATTTTTTTATTTCATTTTAAATTCTTTCATTATTTTTTTTATAGTATAAATCACAGACTCATAAGACAATTAGGATCTGACTTACTGCATATATTTTAAGTTTCAGAAAATTTGGATATTGTAGACACATCAAAGTATAAATCATTTTAGAGATTTAACAGTATAGAAATGGAAAAAAGCAAGTACTTTAAATCATAACATTTATAGTCAAAAACTAATTAAACCAAATAGTTATAATAACTAAATTTAAATGATGAATTCAAATAAAATTCAGCCTAATAAATAACTTTTGATAAAATAAAAAAATCAGTTTAATTAAATGTTTAAGTAACCAAGCCAAGGATGAGCCTTCACTATGAAAATTAGCATAAAAATATAGAATGCAATAATGATGACTATAATTCTGAGAAAGAATAGCATAATATTGAATATGATCACAAAAATGTTTTGTAATAGGAATAAAGCTAAAATATGTATAACGATCAAGATATTTTACCAAATAGCATAGACCTTTCAAGTTGTAGAGACCAAAATGATGTTCCAGATGAAAATGAAAAAGGAGGCATGGATAAATACAAAGTGACAAATTATGCTCATTCATAAGATAGTTGATTAAATATATATCTATAATATCGAAAAATTATACATATTTTTTTTGCATTTACTTAATTTTACATTTTTTACTTTAATTTATTTTTTACAAGAGAAATTATTTAAGTTTTTATATAAAATAATAAAAAAAGTAAGGTAGAAATAAAAAAATTTGTTTATAAAATGGAAAAAGTATCAACAAATTATTTATTCAAACAATATAAAATATTATTGTATTTCATTATATATGTAAATCCAAAAAATTCATCTATAAATGAATAGATTGGCATTAAATTTAGGATAATATAATGTCCTTGCTCATTTTATTATAGACTGTTAACCTTATTAACTCTGTCATTTTAAAATTATAATGTCTTTAAACGATTAAATACGATATCAATTTATGGTTTGTTAAATTAGTATCATGCTAAAACTCATTATCCATATCTTTATTTTAGCTATCTAAGTTCTCTTCATTAGCTTCTACAGATTCATTATTACTTTCATATGAACCTCCATTACCAACATACTGCTCAGAGAGTTTTTAAATGCATTGATGAAAATCTTGCTTTTATTTAAAATCATCAAGTGTATAACAAACTTAACTCACTAAAAAAGGATCGATGAAGTACCTATAAGACCACTCCTATTAAAAAAACTAAGAGTACCACAATAAATCTAATTTTGTAACACATTCATCATATTTAGCATATTCAAATTATAATAAATATTAAATGTCTAAAACTATCTTAAAATAAGTAATAGCTTAACTAAGCGAACAGCTTAATAATTCTGAAAATTAAGAAGTGATTGCTAATCTTAATAAATTTGGGCATTTTTTCATTTCTTCAAAAAAATCACATGCTGAGCTGTATGATTATTTAGAATGAAACTAGATGAAGAGATTTTCTAATTTAATCATTTAGTTCATGTCTTTAAAAGTATCTTTGATTTTGTTACATTATTATTCTTAATCTGAATTATTTTATTATCTCAAGAAATTAATTATTAATGTTTTTAATGTTTTACTATTATTAAGTAAAATTGTGTTTAATCCAATTGCAATTTCCTCAGTGAAAAGAAATTTATTTATTCCAAAACTTAATTTTGTTAAATTAGTGAACAAACTGAAAGATTTAATTAATTTGATAGGCTATTTTAAAACTGTATTCGGCGTGTCAGCAAATATTCTAACTTCTTTAAGACTTTAACATGCTTTAGAATCTTTTAAAATATCATAAATGTCTTCATACGCATCATCATTTGATTCGTTGCCCCAAAAGTCTATTTACAAACTTTCCAAATTTTAAAGCTGAGAAATCATTTCAAATATCTATTTAAAGCTATCATTTCCCAATTAATTATTTTCTAAACCTAATACTAATTCTTTCAATTGAGTAAGTTTCGATATAGCATAAGTTATTTTATAGCATCCTTCGTCTTATATATTGCTATGACCTAATTCTAATCTGAAAGATTCCAAGTTTTACATTTAAGCAATATTTTTAGATAATTGATCAATCTAATTGATCTTTAACTCATTTGACTCTAAATCTATGTATAATTTGGAGAGCTTTTTTAGTTTATTTAGTTTTTAAAATACTAAATCAAAAAATGTGTCCTCTGCTTCAGAAGGTATCCCACTAAAATCGCTAATAATTGACAACTTTTTCAAATTTTAAAAATCATTTAAATCAAATTATCCTTTTTATGCAAAAGAATTTAATGATTCTAAACTTTTGAATATTAAATATTAGATGCTATGAGCTACTGATTTGATAATATTTTAAAATTTTATATCTTCTTTCAGTAGATTAAAATCCCTTTTACTCAATATCAGCCTTTCTACTTTGCTATAATCTTCATTTTATAACTTTAAAAGACTATTTTGCAGAAATTTTTCACTTTGCTACATTTTATATTTACTATTATTAGTTAGTTAATATTATTGAATATTTTTATTAATCTTTTATTTTTTTGTAGTCTTTTTTAGATGATTAAAAATGAATTATTATTAAATATTACTCTTACTATAATAGATAGATAAAACAATACATTTTTTAAATATTCTTCTTTAACATTTTCTGAATAAATATTAAAATTACTTCTAAATTAAAATTTATTTTATAAGGATAAAAATAAATAAATTTATTAAATAAAGTAGAAAATAAATAAACTTTGAATTTTAGAATTAATTATTTGAACATATAAAATTATTTTCATTATATTTGATTTCTTATATTTTACAAAAATTAATAAAAATACAGAAACTTTTTTTTCAAATTATAAAATTTCTTTTTCATATTTTTTTTAAAAATGCTAAAAACTCTTATTTTTCAATAATAACGATTAATATTAATACTGAATATGTTTTTCTTAAATAAAATGATTCTACACGTTTTAATACCTGCTATAATTAAATTTAAAATAAACTTCTTTTAATTCTTAAGTTTTGCAGCAACTTTTCTTCTCTACTAAATAAGAAAAAATATTTTATTTCTTTTATAAAGAAGATTTATTTTTTTTTTAAATAAGAAATATTTTCTCAAATTATTATTTTTTACAAGAGAAATTATTTATGTTTTATTATAAAATAATAAAATAATCAAGTCAGAAATAAAAAGATTTGTTTTCTAAAATGGAAAAACGCACCAATAAATTTTTTTTTCAGACAATATAAAATATTATTGAATTTCATTACATATGTAAATCCAAAAAATTCATATTGATATGAATAGATTGGCATTATAATTAGGATAATATAATGTCTTTGATCATTTTATTATAGACTGTTAACCTTATTAACTCTGTCATTTTAAAATTATAATGTCTTTAAACAATTAAATACGATATCAATTTATGCTTTCTTAAATTAGTATCATACTAAAACTTATTATCCAACATTTTTTGTTATTCTTCAAAGCTTTTTAATTCATTTTAGTTTCGTTCTTTTATAATTGTATCATTATCTGCTTGCTCTTCATTATCGTATTCATTTTCTTCTTCATCATTGTTATTTTCATCATTTTCTTAAACGTTATCCAAAAATTGAACATCTTCTTCATTTTCTTCATCACTATAATCTTCATTCTAGCTATCTTCATATTCTTGATCATCTTCTACAGATTCATTATTACTTTCATATGAACCACCATCACCAACATACTGCTCAGAGAGTTCTTAAATGTATTCATGAAAATCTTGCTTTTATTTAAAATCATCTAGTGTATTACAAACTTAATTCACTAAAAAAGGATCGATGAAGTGCCTATAAGACCACTCCTTTTAAAAAAATTAATCGTACCACAAGAAATCTAATTCTGAAGTATATTTAGCATATTCAAATTGTAATAAATACTAAATGTCTAAAACTCTCTTAAAATAAGTAATAGTTTAACTAAGCGAACAGCTTAATAATTCTGAAAATTAAGTAGGGATTGCTAATCTTAATAAATTTGGGCATTTTTTCATTTCCTCAAAAAAATCGCATGCTGAGCTGTATGATTATTTAGAATGAAACTAGATGAAGATATTTTCCAATTTAATCATTTAGTTCATGTCTTTAAAAGTACTTTTGATGTTATTACTTTATTCTATTATATAATCTTAATATTTCAAGAAATCAATTATGACGGTTTTTAGTGTTTTACTATTATTAAGTAAAATTGTGTTTAATCCTTCAGCAATATCTTCAGTGAAACGATATTAATCTACTGTAAAACTTAGATTTGTTAAGTTAGTGAACAAACTAAAAGATTGAATTAATTTGATGGGATTTTTTTAAATTCTCATTGGCGTGTCAGCAAACATTCTAACTTCTTTAAGACTCTAACATACTTTAGAATTTTTTAAAATATCATAAATGTCTTCATATGCATCATCATTTGATCCGTTGCCCCAAAAGTCTATTTACAAACTTTCCAAATTTTAAAGCTGAGAAATCATTTCAAATATCTATTTAAAGCCATCATTTCCCAATTAATTATTTTCTAAACCTAATATCAATTCTTTCAATTGAGTAAGTTTCGATATAGCTTAAGTTATTTTATAGCATCCTTCGTCTTATATATTGTTATGACCTAATTCTAATCTGAAAGAATCCAAGTTTTTCATTTAAGCAATATTTTTAGATAATTGATCAATCTAATTGATCTTTAACTCATTTGACTCTAAATCTATGTATAATTTGGAGAGCTTTTTTGGTTTATTTAGTTCTTAAAATACTAAATCAAAAAATTTGTCCTCTGCTTCAGAAGGTATACCACTAAAATCGCTACTAATTGACAACTTTTTCAAATTTTAAAAATCATTTAAATCAAATTATCCTTTTTATGCAAAAGAATTTAATGATTCTAAACTTTTGAATCGTAAATATTAGATGCTATGAGCGACTGATTTGATAATATTTTAAAATTTTATATCTTCTTTCAGTAGATTAAAATCCCTTTTGCTCAATATCAGCCTTTCTACTTTGCTAAATTCTTCATTTTATAAATTAAAAAGACTATTTTGCAGCAATTTTGCTCTTTGTTACATTTTTATATTACTATTATTAGTTAGTTAATATTATCAAAAATTTTATTAATTTTTTTTTTTTTGAAGTCTATTTTTGATGATCAAAGAATCAATTAATTCTTAAATATTAATCTTATTTGGATAGATAGACAAAACAATAACTTTTATAAATATTCTTCTTTAACATTTTCTGATGAAATATTAAAAGAATTTCTTATACAAATTTTAATTTTATTTATTTAAGAAATTAAACTTTATTTTATAAGGATAAATATAAATTTATTATTTATAGTAGAAAATAAACAAACTTTGAATTATTTATTATTTTTAGAAAGGTTTAAAAACACATCAATAAATCTTAGAATTAATTATTTGAATATTTAAATATAAAAAAATATTTTACAAATTATAAATAAAATTTATAAAATCTCATTTCTAGTCATTTAATTCTTAAAATTTTTTAATTTAGCTTTCAAAACAAAATTCCTATGTTCAATTTAATATAATTAAATTCAAACTTACTTAAATTAAAAAAAATTATATTTATAAATTAATAGACTTATATTAAAATTATATATTTGAATAACAGATAAGCATAAATAAAGACAGATTTAAAAAAAAATATTTTCTGTTTAAATATGAAAACAAAATTTATAAAAAATCTAGTAAGTTAATTCTTTAAATCGTTAGCTTTGGCTTCAAATTAAATAGTTAAATTCTACTTAATACTCATAAGTTATTATGTATTAGTATTAATATATATAATTATATTAAAAATTTAACAATAAAATATGTATAAATAATTTTATATTCACTACTTGCATAACTGATGAATGAATGAAAGTAAATAAATAAATTAATTGCTTGATTTAAACTAATGTTTTTCAAATAATATTTTAATTTAATTTAATATAAAGTAATTTTTAATACAATTTTAATATTTATTGTTAATATCTTTATTTTTTATATTTTAAACATTTACTAAAAAATTGTTACTGTTTGTTGTAGTTAGATTATTTTGTTAATTTTGTCAAGTTAGATTTATTTCACGTGAATTTGCACTTGGATTTTTATTACTAGAACTGCTATGAACTGAAGAAAGATCACTTAAGCGAGCTATCCTATTAATTCCTTTATCATAAATTTTAGAAGTAGGGTGAGAGTCATATTGGTAAAGATCATTGCCTAAGTTTTATCTCATCTCTTTTTATACACTTGAGCCAAACTCGTCCTCTGCTGTGATACTGCTTTCGATACTAGATGTTACTTACCTGGAGCCATTCTATCTATTTTCATCAATACTGCTTTTGCTTGAATATTCAACTACATCTTTTTCTTCTTATTCTTTAGATTTTTTCTTTTAAGTTATGCATGATTTACATATTTTACTTTTAATTTACTTATTGAAGCCATAGACTAAAGAATTGAAAAATCCTTAAAGTCCTGCTAAGCATATATGCAAGTACGCTATAGCTTCAACCTCATTTTCTTCAAAAAATTGATATACACGATTTATTGTAGCAAATAAATAACAAATAACCATAATCAATGGATATAGTGTAAGCTTTCTAATTATTTGTTTGTGCTATTTAGAGGCTTCAGTGTTATCGACAAATAAGGAGTAGACAAATTTTCTAATCCTGAAATAATTTATGGAATTATATATTACAGAGAGCCAAAGAGGTATGTAAAATAAGAATAGCCTCCAAAGCATAGTTCTAATGCCATAAGGCTTATCATCGTGGCCATATATCCAACAAGAAATACCAGAAACTCCATAATCTCCAGTTGCCAAGGGTACGATGGAGATAATTAATGGGAATAAAAATATAGCAATATAATAATATTTACTGTAGTCATTTAAATTATTTATTCCATAGATAACACTTTGACACAGACTCCAGCTTATTGCCATAGTAGTTACTATTGTAGATAGACCCCCAAAAGTGACTAAAAAGCTTTACACTTAGCATGTAACTCCATTTTCTGGAGTGAAATCTTGAGTGATAATAGATTAAAAGTTAAACATTCTTCCAAATCCAAGAATAATATCTGAAATTGAAAGTAAAAAAACTAGCTTAAAAGCAAACGTGTGGAGATCTTTGTTACATAAGTACATTAAAACAATAAAAGTGCTTCCTATCAAAGAGAGGCTATTAGTAGTAATCTCAATAATCAGCAAATTCTCTTCATATCCATGAGTTTAATTTCCAAATGATTGGTCCATTTTATCATAAATATAAATTTATTATCTGGTTTTTATCAATCCTAAATGTATTTAGTTAAGAGTACTTCAAAATTCTATATCTTATGCTCTATCTAAATATTATATTGTATATTTAAGAACTTTTGCTGAAGAAAGCTCTACCAGTGTGTTTATATTTCTTTGTTTTTTTTGAAACTTTTGCTAGATATTTAATTATGATTGAAGACGCGTATCTTCCTTCACTAATTAGCTTGAACTTTAGAAAACTTGAACAAATTTGATTTTAAATAAGTTGCGGTGTATGGCTAAATATGAAAAATTATTAGGCTATTTTTAAGTTATTTTTAAATTTAAATGTTAGATCTGAAGTTTATGTTAATAGTTTGCTAAAAAGTAAGCTTGCTTGATATATTTGTTGTATGTTGACTATATTTAGGCTATATTTAAAGACTTATTTTTATAAATATTACTAATATTTATTTTATCTTAAGTAACACTTCTCCCAATTATCAAAAATACTAGAAATCAATCAATTAATCAATCACCCTGGTTTAAAGCTTTAATTAAATTCGCTTCTTAAAATGAATAATTGATATAATTTGTTTGGATTATAATATCTATTCTTTATTAGAATCTCCTGTTTTCGCTTACAAAAAAAAGTATATTTCGCTGTTTCTTTCTTTTGGGAATTTATTTTCATTAATTACACGTAAAAACAATACATTGGCTTTTACAACAACTATTACTTACTTCAATAAATCTTTTAATAAATTTTCCAGTTTATTCTTTTTAAACAGAATTTTTTTTTTTCGCTTTAAGTTATAATGATTTTTACTCAGTAAATTAAAAGAAATGGTAATTAGTAGATCTAGAATTATTTTGCAATTTACAATACACTCTTATAAATAATTAAATACAAGATAAATTTATAAAATTAATCCCTCTAATTGTATTCAATTTAAGCTAGTTTAGTAATTGGGAAGTTAATAAATATTCAGATAATCTATCTATTTTACTATTTAGATAGTATTTAAGCACACAAAAGAAATTAAATTAATTATAATTAACTAAATTCAAAAACTCACATCAAAATATTTAAAAGGAAAAAATATAAAGCAAAACTTTCATTTCTGAGCTCTGCTTTTGCAATAATGAAGAATTATAAAAGAAATATATATTTTTTCCATTATTTAAATGATTATTAATGATTAAATTTTAGATTACTTTTCAAAAGCTATATTTATTTATTTCATTTTAAATTTAGATTTATAAAAAAGAAATCTATTTTATTTTGTAATAAATTTATTTTTATATTTATTTTAATAACCAATATGAAAATGGTTTTCTAAATTTAATATTTTAATTAATTAAAATAAATATTTTTTTACTTCAAAATTTTCTAAATAAATATTATAAGAGGTATTTTTAGAGAATAACAGTAAACCAATTTAATTTTCACTAACTTAACAAAGACTGCTCCATATTGCTTATGGTGTTTTTTAAAGTTTATGTGAGATATAGATATTTCAACTAAACTTTATTTTATAATTTGTTTGTTTGTTTATTAATTATAATTTATGCAAATACAGCAATCACAAAATATTTAAAAAATTGATAAAATGTGTGAAATTTATCATAAGAATATATTAAAAAATTAAGTATAATATATTTATTAAAGTAATTTATTTAAGCAATGGTAAAAAATAATTTTTCAATCATTATGGACTTTAGGGGTTAACATCCACGTCAATGAATAAGCTAATTTTTATTTTTAAAAATAGAGAATTAAGTAAAATAATTTGCTATTAAAATAAGTTACCAGAAATAATATTAGCTATTGAAGAGCCTGCTACTATTATTGAAAATGAATACATAAATCTAAGCTAATCATATATTTTAGTTTTAAAGCTAAACAACCAATAATATAGATAATTATGTATATAGATTTATATTAACAAATTTAGTTTGTAAACTAAAAATGCAAAAGTATAATTTAAATTTTTAAAAATGCTATGCTTTTAATAAAAGTACATTAATTATTAATAATATAAAGTAAATATAAATTGAAAGGATTAAAATGTAAATAAATTATAATTGATTAAATAATAAATTTTGTTTTATTAAAAATTTATCAACTTATATCATCATTCAATTCTTTCTGAGGTAATAATAATTATTATTATGGTTTAACTTAAATTGTTTTAAATTAACAAAATTAAGTCTTTGGTAGTGTAAATAAATAATTTTTATGTCAATCAAATATGAAAATTGATATCATTCTATCTCTTTATTGTGTATTCTTTGAGCATTGTTGTATTTTTGTTTGTTTCTCTTATCTATCCAAAAATTTATAAAAGCTATTTTTTAATAATATAATTTAAATTAAGTAAAATAAAATTATACTAATTTTACTAAATATTGTGCTTGCTAATTCTATGCTAAAAGCTATAATTGAATATATATGGCATAAACCCAACCAATGGAAGATAAAATCACGAATCTATATATAGCATCCTTATGTTGTGTCAGTAGGGCCTCTATTAATATCTGAAAAGTAGTAAATAATATCTCCTTTGCAAATTCCTGTGCACTCAAATGTTTCTTCAATAAGTTTTAAAAACTGAACTTCATCAGAATTGCCATTCAACTCTTGCTAGAATATAACGCAATCATCAACACTATTTGTTCCTGTAGAAGATATACCATTATAAGTTGACAATATTTCTTGATCTGCTGGAGACCACTAAGATTTGTTTTAAATGTTGCAAGGACATCCAACTGTTTATCCCTATAAATCAATATTTTTACACCAGTATTATTAGGCTGTATCGAAAACATCGTTTGCTACCTTAAGAGGACCTGTAGTACAATTTTAATCAGATAATTCTTTGCTCACATAGTTATCTGCATACATAGTGAACAAGAATATACCTAGGAAGAGTAAAAAAAAGATTAAATTTAAAATGGTAAAGAGAACTTATAGAAATCTTATGTCAAAAAAAAATCCAATCATAGCAGAAAAAGTTGAAACCACCAGCAAAGAGCCAAAAATGTACAAGATAATAGCAACAACTTGTTAAGCATCCTTGTATTCTCCTATAACTAAGAAATCGCTATTAAAATTTTTAATATTACTACCAATTAAAAAGCAGGCCACTCCAATAACACAATTTATAATAGCTCCAATTATCAAATAAAATCTAACTACAAAAGAGCAAAAACCCATTTTATGAAGAATATTTAGAATTTAGTGTTTCCAGTTATTTCTAATTTTATGTTTTTTTAAATCTTAATTTTTTTATTTAATATTTAAAAAATTAATTGTAAATTATTCCTTTTTAAAATATTTAACTGAAACAAGTTAAAATAGATAAGTTGAAATTATTTAAAAAGTTATTATCCAGCTAATTGAATTTATTAAAAGCTGTATGTTTTTATTGAGTATCTACACTTAAGATTAAAGATATATTTACACTTATAATATATTATCTAATATTTAAACTATTTTAATTGCAAAATTTACAATTAAAGAACGTTAAATTCAAATAACATTCATTTACCTATTTTAAAATGTTTAATGTTTGCTATTTTTAGTACAATTAAGTATTAAAATAAAAAAACAAATTCCCCAGTAAAATGTTAAACGATTTGCACAGTATTTTACATTTAGTATTAATAAAAACTCAGGTTTAAAAATCGTTTATTAGAATTAATTGTCCTTATGATTTTACTTTCTATTTTACAAATTAAATTTTTGCGAGAAATAGAAAAACCCAAGACTTCAATTTTATTTTTGTTGTTACTTATAAGCATTTATAATAAAAATCAATATTAATTTTTAAGAAAAAGCAATAAGGAGATTATTATCTAATCTTTTCTTTTTGATAAGAAATCAAATTTAATTTAAATCATTTTATAATAGCTTATTGAAAATTAAAAAAAAGAATAAAAATAATTATTTACTAATAAATATATAAAATATATGTCACATATGTCCACGCCTCTTCTGATATAATTATTGTTAAAAACTAGCTAAATATCATTTTTTTGTAGACTTTTTTAAATGTTTTTCTTTATAAATACAGTTTACATCTCCTATTCTGGAGAGTTCACTTTTTTATTTTCATGATCAAGCTCATTTTAAATAAATAATTGATGTTAAAAATTTTATATAAGGTAAATTATCATCAAAAATTTAAATTAAAATAAATAAATAATTGTATTAATTTTAAATATTATTTTAGTTAAATTATTTTACAAATTTATTGAATCCATAAAAGATTTTAATTTGAATTATATATCTTATTTGATAACTCCAAAAAATTTATCAAGTGTAATTAAAAATTCGCATATTTTTTTTTAACTATTTTAATTGAAAGTTAAGTTTGTTTTTGAATTTTGGATTAATTTTATATATTAATTGAAAAACACTAAATATATTTCTACTTGAAATACAAATAATTAAGTTTAATTTAATATTTATTATGAATAATGAATAAATTATAATTTAGTTTTTTTAAATTTTTTAAAGGTTTATTATTTTTTTGAAATGAGTTGTATGGAGTAGTAATTAATTATTTCATACTAGCTTGTTAAGAGTGAAGTTTTCAATTCGTTACTAATTTCTTATGTTTTACAATTCTGCGTCAGACAGAACAGTGGCATTTTAGTAAAGGTTAAGTCTGAAGAATTTATTTAGATTGTCTATGTTAAGAAAAGTTAAAAATATTTTAAAATAGAATTTAAAGAATTTACATATGAGAATATTAATTATATTAATTGAGAAGGATATCGCTGAATATGTTAGGATTATGAGGATCCACTCTAAGATATTTACAATTATTGATTCGAAACAAGAATTTTGCTAAGGTGGTACTTAATTAACATTAGTAAAGTAATATAAAAGATCACCTGGATCACAAATTCCATTGCAATTATAAGTAGATTCTATTGATTTTAGCAATTAAAGATATTCTGATAAGTTAGGAATTACACTTTAAATATTATAGCAATTTTACAAATTTTTATTTCCATTTGGCTTTATTTAACCATATTTCTTTAAAAGTAAAATTTATTATTGCTGATTCCAGCTAGAAAAATTATAGATTGAACAAGGGCATGATTCATATTCTGACGCACCATCTTTACACCAAATTTATTTCGCCTTGTTAAAAATTGTATTAACTTCTTTTAAAATACCAGTTTAGCAATTAGAGTATTACAATTGTGCTTGAATAAAATTATACTTATTGAGAAACAAAATAAAGATAACTAAGAAGCTAATACAGAGAACAAAATTTATTATTTAAAATGCTATTATGAAAGGCTTAATCATTTTAGAATAAACCATAATTCCCAGTATTCCAGTAAATATGAATACAGAGGCTAAAAAGTAGAACAAATTAGGGATAAACGCTTTATAGCTCTTAAGACTTTCGTCCACCAGTAGTGAGTCTTCATAACTCTTTGCCACAGAAGAAACTACAATTCCACAAACTCCGTTGAGGACACTGACAATACAGAAAGTTTTACCAAATATTTTTAATGGTTTCCTAATTTTAACTTGCATTTTACCAACTAAATAACTAACGAACTTGTAAAATGGGCAAGCAAAATATATAAATATTTTTGTTCTAAAGAGATATCTTTTAGTTTTAGTTTATTTTTTCTCTTTCTTCCCTTTCGTCAGAATAATCTATTCTGAATTTTAATTAAAAATTTCAAAAAAAAAATTAATTTTTATTAATTCTCATTTATCATATAAGTAAATAGTATTTCTGCAGATTACTTTTTATAATAGCTGTATCCAAAAACTAAATACCAAGGATACTGATATCTATCTATCTATAAGTGTTATTATTGTTAAATTACAATATTAATTTAATAATCTGTTTAAGATGCTTATAAATTTTTTAGTTTGGGTCAACTTGTAGACTTTGATTAAATCTGATAGCCTTGCAATCACTTTTCTTCATTTGATATTTCTAAATTTAGTCAATTAGCAATTAATAATATATAAGATAGATTTTGATTTTAAACCATAAGAAAACTTCGAAGATAAATTGCTTCTAATCAAATTAATTAATCGACTTAATGCTCTTAAAATTAGAGAAAATTTAATATTTGAAAAATTAACATTATTAGATAAATATGCTTCTCTTGTCGAAATTTGAATTTAGAGAGAATTATAATTTTTTTCAAATAGATAATTGCCTGAATTTTTTATAAAAGATATTATGTAAGATGAAATTTATTGTCACCTGCCCTGAAAATTTTTTAATTTAATCCTGATTACAATTTTCGAAAAAATACAATAAATTACTGCAGATAGCATTAGGTATGAAATAAAATGAAATTTATATTTTTTACATAAATTAAATTATTTTTTTTTATTTTGATAAAATAGAGTCTGTCCTAAGTTTTTGGTTAAAATAATAATAATAATAATTTATTTTGATAGATTTATTCACAAAACATCTTTTTGTGCTTTATTCTTAATATATGATTCATCATGATTACTTTTAGGCAGAGAAACAGATTTATTATTTTACACATTTACTTTGTTTTTCTTGTAACCAATTAAGTGCATCAGCTCTATAATTTAAAATATTAATAGATTTTTTTATAATTTGAATTTTAAATTTTAATTATTATAAATTTTTCGGTATTTATCAAAATAAATTGAATTTAGTTTGCTTTTTCATTTTAAATTATTGTGATAGATGAATTATTTCAAAAAATTTTTTAATTTTAAGAATAATTCGCCTAAGATTACATTTTTTCAAAATTAATTAATTTTATGATTATATTACTATTAATGAGTATGCTTCAATATATAAAATAGTAAGAAATTACATAAAAACAACTAAACGGTGCTCAAAGATGTGCCAAAAGCTCCTATAAGACTAAAAGATCCAACAAAACTATTTATGAAATCTAGATATGATTTGTAACAAGGTTCATCTTAATTTGGCTTTCCATTACTGACATCGCTAAATGTAAAAATTGAAGAAACACTACACATTTATGAACATTAGAATTTAGATTCAACGGCTATTAAAAAATTTGTATAATATGTGAAATCTGAATCAGATAGTCCTGATGACTATTTATATAATGTATCAAAAGCTCCGCATTATTAAAATGTGTTTACTGGATTGCCCGTGTTAGTGACATAGTTATTCCAAAAAAATGGATCCCATTTAGTAGGATCCTTTATAATACAAGGACAAGTATGTTAGCACCAATAAGCTAAAGATTTAGTATACATTGACTAACACTGTGCAAAAAATGGTTAATTCATACAGTCATTAAGACTACTTCCTATATATGTCTATATACTTGATGATGTTAAAGTCTTAGCTGCGATTAGCGTTGAAAAAAATCCTATTAGTACTAGATTTAATATTATTGTAATAAAAACTAACCATTTACATTTAGCGAATGAAAAAGCATAAATCAATCCAATTAACCCAAAAAAGAAGCATACAAAGAATAAACTGATATAAATTATCCATCCATTAGACTTAAAATGATTTAGCCCATTTATAAATAAAGAATCTTCATACTAAGAACATTATATTGACTTCGCAAGACAAATAACAGCTAAAATAAAGGACAGCAAGCATGATAGTTTAAAGAAATTGATAAAAAATCTTTAGCTACAACACATTTACTGAATCAATAATGGCCTTTGATTATTTTTAGTGATTACTGTTCAATTATTATTATAAAATTATTTAAATTTATTCGTTTATTTAGGAATGTTATTTTTGAGCTTTTCTTTATTGAATAGGTTTTGAAATTTGTGTTAAAAGGATATATTCGTAATTATTCAAATATAGATATTTACTTTTATTTATTTGTTTGTGTGGTTTGTATTCTTGTATTCTTTACAATATTTATTAATAGTAAAAATTTTTTATAATGTGGTTGGTTATTGTATTAACTTTCAACAGACTAATTTCTAAAAAATCAAAAAATCTTAAAAGTAAAAAACAAAATAGCAATCAGACATAAATTCTATTTACTCAAAAGATAAATTTATTTTAAAATATCCAAAAAACTAAATTAGTTAAAAATTACATTTTTTTTAATTAATAAATAATGAAAATTAGATAAAAATATATATTAAGTTTGAATATTTTAACATACTTCATACAATATTTATTAAATTATAAAAATTAAACTCTTTATTGCAAATTTTTTTTTCTTTATTTTATAAATATTTTTGAGAGTAAATAAATTTGTTATAATAAATTAATGAAAACTAATTTGAACAATAAATATTTAATTTAATTTAAGAACAAACTATTTAATTATTTTATTTATTTTTAAATTTTAATTGTTTAAATAAGATTCAAAATAATTTATTTTATTTGTTATGAGAAATTTAAGGTAAGTAGTGATTGAGCTAGTTGAAAGCACTACCTACATTTTTTTGAACAGCATTGATATTTTGTTAGTTAATAGGAATATGGGCAGCTATGTTTTGTAAGTTATATCCTGATTGTTATGCCTATGGTTAAGGATTTAAAGGTTTACGTACAGACATTTAGATACTACTTATGTCTTGTTAATTTTATGCATTTTAGTCTTAGTTTTAGTTTTGGGGAGTATCGTATTTTGCACAACAACAATTAACAAATCCTTTTTATATTATTAAGAAAATGTAAGCAAAAAGATTAAATAAATAAATTAGAAATGAAAGTAATTACCGAATAAGACATTCAAAAAAGAGAATACTGTTGATATCACCACAAAAATAAAAACTCCTCCTATTATCTTAAGTAATAAATCTTTTAAAGGTTTATAACAACCACTAGTAGAGCTTGGAGGACCGCGATTAATATCAGAAAAATAATAAATGACATCGCTTGAGCAAATTCCTGTGCAGTTAAATTATTCTTCTACTGCTTTTAGGAGATCAATTTCAGTTTAACTATTTTATATTTAGTTTGATACATATGAGCACTCAGTTACTGCTTTTACATCTTTGCTTGAAGAAGAAGGTTAGAATACTATTTAAGAAGTATCTACTGAGCTCCATTTACTTTTATCAGTTACATAACAAGGGCAAACTGAGCTTGTTTATAACTTACAAAAATATGGTTTCATTTATCGTGTAAATAAATCATCAGCCTCTTTTAATTCTGTTATTTAATCACAGCTTTAGTTTTTAAGCTTGTTTAAAAATGGTTAAGAGTATATTAATCCAGCCAAAACTGCAGCAAATATTACTAAAAATAGGGTATTAAATAATATAAACAAAAACTAGAAGCATTTTATTCTTTTCCAGAACGCTATTATGCCTAGTAGACCTATTAAACAGCAAACACCTCCTAGCGCAAACAGTCCAATTACTCCATACTTTTTACCTGCAGAAACTCCACCATTTACTAAAAATGATTGGTTAAGATTGTTTAGATAAGCAGCTGCAACAAAGGCACCTATGCCTAAACCAATGTTAAATATACATCCCAAGACTAGATAGCCTTTTAAAAAATTTAAGCAAACTGACATATTAAGGAACTATGTCTAAATAGATTTATTATGCTTATAAAATGAGCTTTTTGAAAAGCGATTTGGGTTTGTTTCTTTTGTAAATTTTTTATCAAATTTTAGAAAATATTTACACCTTTTATATATAAAAAACAAATAAAGAAAAAAACCTCAGTTTACAATTTTAATTAACTCTTTAATTATTTCAGATAATTAATATTGGTAGTAATAAAAACAATCTATCCATATTTAATTTATAATCATCAGTTTAGCTAACTAACTAAAATGGGTTATCTAAAATTGTTTGATTCTCTTGATTTCTATCATATTTTAATTATTTACTTCCATAACAATCTTAAAACAAATCTTTTATATAGATCGAAATACAAATAATAATTCTGAGAACTAGAAAAGCAATTTGTTTGTCTATATTCTTTTAGCTTTTGTTAAAAAATAAAAGTATTTAATTTACCACTTAAAAAGGTTTTAGGTCATCGAAATTAAAAAAGAAATTAATCAAATTTCTGAAAATAAAAAGATCAAATTAAAATAGTGCACCAAATATCATCAATTTTTTTGTTATCAAATTAATTTAGACCAAATATTTATTAATTTTAAAAGAAATAGAAAGTAAAAAATAATTATTCTATCTTCAAAAACTGAGCGGAAGTAAGCTTATATTCCTATTATCATCTTAGCTACTAAAAAATACTTGGGACTAATTTTATTTTATTTGTTACTAAAGAAGATAATATATGAATTTTTTAATCTAAAATTATTTAAATAAGTTTTCATAAAATCTGTAAATCTTCAAATCTTAAATCAAACATAAACTATGCATAACTTTGAAGCTTTTTTTACATAAAAAATCCATAAAAAATATTAATGTAATTTAGCTGATCTAATGGTTTTTTAAGTCATTTTTAGCCAATTTAAATCTTTTTTTCAAAAACAAATTTTTTACTATAAAATTAAAAAATTTCATGTGATCTTTATGAAAAAAAAAGGTTTATTTTTTAAATTAGATGCCAGATTAAAAATTTGAATTTCTATATGAAAAAATGAAATTTTGATTACACTCTGTTTATTTTTTTTCATTTGCTAAGATTGAACAAATTTCGAAACCTTTTTTTATTTCATGTAAGTAATTATTTCAAAATATATTCATATTTTAACTTAATAAAATTCTGCAATTATAAATATACATTTAGTTCCATGAAATCAACAATTTGGTGTTATACAGTAATAATATTAATAATTAGTAGTATGACTGTTTTATAAATTAAACTATTAAAATATCAAACAGTTTAAATATTTACACAACAAAATTAAATATTTTATTTATCATTTTAATTAATTAATATGAAATTACATATAAAAGTCAAAAAAATAAATATCAATAATTGTAACCAATTTTTTTATTTAATATTCCTAATTAAAAGCAAATATTTAAAAGGTAACATAAACATTTGAAATATTTATTTGATTAGTTGATGGAAAATTTATTAGAAATTGTGTAAATTTTGTTAAAAAAATAACTGTGAAAAAATATTAACATTGAAAACTATTTAATTTTAAAATTATTTATTAATTATTTTATCATTTCTTTTTGTTGAATTTCTTATTGAAGCTTCTATTTCCTCCAAATTTAGGCAAGCTTTATTCTGACTCTCTTTTTTGTTTTTTTTGAATTTTTTTTTCAAAGGTTTCTTTATTTTTCTTTTCCTTTCTTATAAGTTTAATTTTTTCAAACTTATCATTTTTTAATTATTTTTGTTATATTTTCTTTTGTTTTAATTCGTACTTTTTAGCCTTGTCTTCTTCCATACCTAAGAGTTATTTATTTTCTGCTTCTATTTCTTCAACTTCAGCATCTTTCAATTTTTATCTAACTTGTCTACCTTTTTCACTAGGATGAGCACGGATATAAGCTTCATCGTTTTTATTTACAACGAATTTTTCATCTTCAAACATATTTTTAAATCTATCATCCTCTACCAAACTAAAGAATGGATCAATATCTTTCTTTCCTTTATTGCTTTTTTCTTTTAAATCTTGTAAAAATTCCTAGTTAACTTTGACTTTCTTAGGTTCAGCAATTAATCTGCTCTTATTTGATTCTTCATATTTTTTAGCAACTTCATTCTTTTAATATTCCTAAATATTAAATACGTCAGCCTTAGTTTTGAGTTTATTGTAAAGCTTCATGTGCATCAAGTAACCTTTTCAAATTATTTTAAAACATAAAATCCTCTTATATTAATAATAATAATCAGTTTATTACCATGAAGATGGGGCTTAAGCATGGGAGTTCCTAATAAATTAGTAGCCTTGAGAGTTTCTAAATCTTCGTAACTAAGGAATTTAAATTCATCATAAACTAAAGTGCTTTGAGTTTCTTCTAATTCTTCAGTAATATTTTCTAAGAAATTACACCATTTAGGAGCATTGTCTAATTGAGGTAAAAAGTAAGTTCCGATTCTGGGTTCTTCCTATGCTACAAGAATTAAACCGCTATTTGGTACAATAGTAAATCTATTGATACCTGAATTAGGTTCAATAGAGGTGTATACTTTACCATTATCCTTATTGTTAACTTTAATTACTCTTTCATTACTACTCAAAACATTTCTTGTTTTTTCATGGAATTTAATTGTATTAATAGGCATCTTGTAGTGGTGCTTTATTTCAATTACTATATTTATTTTTATTATTTAAATATTTTTTATAAAATATATTAAGAAAATAAATAATTTTATCTTTTAATAAAATTAATTAATTGTATTACGAGGAGCATCATAACGAATATCATAAAGTCTAACGAGACCCTTTTCACTACCAACACCCATAACTAATCCAGAGCTATCAAAATTAATGTGAGTGATATCCTAACCATTATTAACAATTCTGCTTGTTGCTTTAGCTCTTTATCTATAATCCCAAATTTCAAGTATACCTCCATTGCCACCAGATGTTAAGAAATTTAGTTGCTTATTAAAGTGTAAAGTATTTATATCTGAAGCAGCACTTTCAAAGCTCTTTAAAAACTATCCTTCTTCCAAAGAAATTCTATTATTTTTAATTTATTGCTTAATATTTACTTTCTTTAGAATTTTTTAATTGCAATCTAAAATAAGAAAATTTCTATTGATTTTCATAACAAATTTTGATTTATTTAACGATAAATTTTAACTAATATTTATTCCATTTTTACGCTTAATTTTATAAAAGGTTTTCAATTTAATCATTTTTATTTTTTTATAAATTTCCAATAAAGTTTTTTGAAAATTTCATTTCTTTAAAACTCAATAATAAATTCTTGCCTTTTATGTTTGTCTTTATGATTGATTGTCTTTGTAATAAATGATTGAAATATATAAGAAAAAAATACCTGTAGATTTCATTGCATGAAGCGCTAATAAGTAAATCACAAGTAAAGGGATTGTATGTTATGTCACGAGGGAATTTGGGAATTCTTGTTTTGTAATGCTTTCCATATTGAGCATGAAATTCAATGTTACGATCAGATTCAGCAAATGCTATTTTAGTGTAATCATCATCAAGAATTGTAAATTTCACAATTTCTGAATCAACACCACGCAAACACTTCATTGATAATTCTTAAGTTTCATAGATTTTAATGGTTGGTGCATAAACACCAGTTGCTATAATATATTGCTCGTCATTAGTGATTTCTACTTAATTGCATGCAACAGGGAAATCAAAATCCTAAATAAGTTCTATACGCTTTCTGAAATCCTAATTATATTTAAGTGAAGCATTCTTCTTTTTGGCTTCCTCAAGGAACTGAGGAAGAGTTTTACCAGCGGAAAGATTGTAAATCTTAACACCGTTAACTTCTGAAATAGTATATGACATTAATAAATTAGCTTTTTAATTAGAAGATATTTATTTGATTAATTTATTTTAATTTGTGCTATTGTTTGATAACTACACTAACTAAAATTATAAGATAGAAACATAATCATTAAATATAAACTAAAATTTCATTTTCATTCATTAAGCAAGAAACCAAGATTTTGCATTCAAAATAATAGCTTCTTAAATTTATCTTCTTTTAAATAGAACTTTCAATGCTTGTAAATTGTAATAAGTAGCAATTATGTTCATTATCAGTAATTTTTTTTATGTAGAATTACTTATTCCAAGACCAACTTAATATTTATTAATATAAAATCATATCAAAGCAAATTATTTTATTATCGATTTTTCGTAAACAAATTTTATTTATTTCTAAAATTTTATTATTTTATTGAGAAAACAACTTAACTAAAATTTTAATATTAACAGTATCTTGTTTCATAAAAATTATTTTATCTCCTAAAATAAAATTAATGATAAGTTGAAAATAAATAATGTTTGGTCATTACACCAATATATTAAAGTAAATTGCAAAAAATAGTGATATTAAAATAAATTAATCATAAACTATTTTTGTCTTATGAAATTTTTAAAAATTTCAATCTTAATAAAATATTAAAAAATAATTATTATTTTAATTTTAATTTTTGTAAAAAAATATTTAAATTTAAATTTTAATATAGAAATTATTATTATTTCACTAAAAGACATCTTTATAACAATTAATGAAAAATATAAATCTATTTTTGATAACATTTCATGAATGAAAGAATGAATGAATGATCCTTTTGCCTCAAATATAAATATTTTAGCAACAAAACAATATTCTAATAATTTAATAAGCAATAAATATGAAAGCATTCAAATAAGTAAATAATTAAATATATACCGTTTAACTTATTAGTTCAACCAAATTGGTATTAGAAAAGTAATTCGGCAGTGGATATATTTATATAAATATTAAATATAATTTATTATAAATCGAAATGGTATTTTACTCTACTAAAATTATAGTATATATTTTTATGAAAGAATTTGAGATTAAAAAAAATATGGTGTTAAGAGAAAATTAGATTTAATAAAGTATTTAATTTTTGATACAGAAAGTATGAATTAAATTTCATTTTATTAATTTTATTAGGAATATTTGATATAATTATAAAATAGTTTTATAAAAAAGATATTTTTATTTATTTTATACTTGAAAATAACTTATTTTAAGCTCAGTTATTATAATCAATCTTCATTTCATTTTATTAGGAATATTTGATATAATTATAAAATAGTTTAATAAAAAAGATATTTTTATTTATTTTATACTTGAAAATAACTTATTTTGAGCTCAGTTATTTTAATCAATCTTTCTTCTCCAATTTTTTTCAATCATATGGAAGACTTTTTGTTCTATTCCGGAATAGGGAATTTATCCTTAACATTTAGTGAATTCCTCTGTGAGAGCTTATGTAGAAAGACAAAGGAGATTTTAGGTGTAGTCTGAAGGAGCTTAGTAGAGAGTTAAGTAGTTCATATTCATAAGGTCATAAACATCATTTTTGGATGTTAAGTATTAAGCTAAATTGTCTAAGCTTTGTAATGACATATCAGTCAAGTTGTAGGTTTGTTTGAATGAATATTGCAAATCCCACTCTAAGTTCTAAGCTGAAGCACCTAGTTCATTGTATTTTGTTAAATTAAGTCTATACTGATCGAAATCTAAAACTTCATAAGTTTCTGCATCTACATGATAAACTCTGAAAGATGGATTCTTTTTATAGTTTGGAGTTAGGGAAGGAGTAATTAATTGAACACCAATAGTTTCATTCACGTTTAAGGCTGATCTTTATAAAGTAAAGTAATCAGAATGTGTGTGACCAAAAAGTTAGGCTTTAATGATTGATTAATATCTCTCTGCTAAGGCTTTATAAACTTTTCCCCAATTTTCAGAACAAAAGTTGTTTGGAATATGGCCGAGAATGTAAACATTTTCTCCTTTTTCTTCACTTTCTGAAAGCTCTTGGTTTAGCCATTCTATTTTTTTAAATTAAAAAACACATTTTGATCAACTAAATAAAAATTTCTTTCATCTGATTAAAATAAGGAAATACTTTAATTTATTCTTGAATAAAAATAAAAACATTTCTTCTCAATTAAATAATTTTAAAAAAAATAAATTTGAAATTAATTACATAATTATTTGCCAGGATCAGTAGAATCTCTCAAAAGAACATAGTTCTTTTCAGTGCAAGCAAATGTATTCAAGCTAATAATTTTAAGATTAGGAAGATGTGGTACTCTGGTTGCAAAGTAACCATGCTAGCTTAAAGTCTATTGAGCTTTTTCGTCAAGCCATTATTTCCATATTTCTGCAGTATCTCTTTACAATTTGGAATCAAGGTTTCCTTAAAATTCATAAATATAATCAGGAGCAGCATCGTTATTGCCATATGAACCTATTACTGTGAAATTCCAATTTTCTCTAAGCTATCAAAATAATTTAGTTTGTAAATTAATTATAAAATATAAAATTAATTTTAATCTTACTTTTTCAGTGACTAATTTTGTTATGTTAAAGTTTCTGTTTATTTCTGAATTTTCTTCATCATGACCTACATTATCTCCAGTCCAAATTACAAGATCGATATCTGTTAAATTTTTCTTGACGAATTGAACAAATTAATCAAATGTTCTTAGAGGCAAATCACAAATTCCTAGTGTTCCCCAGTAACCACTAAGTTCACCTTGCTATAGGAATCTATCTTCTTTGTTCAAAGTGAATGTATTATTTCTGCAGCAAATAGGATAATTGCATGTTGTTGGAAATCCTTCTTGATATTCTAAATCGATATGAACATCAGCCAACTAAAGCACTTTCAAAGTTTTACCACTAGATTGCTTAATTTAAGTTATTTTTGGTTTTTCTTTTATAATATCATAAACCAAAGCGTCAATATCAATGTCTTCATAAACTTTAGGACACACTTTTTTCAGAAATAATAAAAAAGTTCAAAATAAGAACACTCTCAATAAATAAGAAATTTTACCTTTGATAAAAGGACATGCATAGTCAGGATCAAAGAAATGTTACTAAATAGATTCAACAATAAATGGACTCATCTCCTGAGCATATTATCTGCAAACATCTTCAGTATAATGGTAAGATACTAAGCATTCTTTGGTAGCGACATCGTTTAAAAGTTTTTCTAATGCTCTCACTAGAGGTTAGTCTATTTCTTGAAGTAAATTAAAGAAAAGCTTACAGCCTTTACAAAGTAAAGAAGTGTTATCTTTCTAATTGCTGTTTGTTGAATTGGAATCTGATGATCCTCCAAAATAAGATTCCATAAAAAATTAAACAGATTGCATAAGATTCTTATCATCCCTGGCTTAGTAAGCAAAGTTGCTCATTAAAATATCGTATTCCTTTTTGGATTAATAAGCATAAGCAGCGCTTATTAATAGAATCAACGACAGACAGAAAACTAGTTTCATCTTAGTTTTTTTGTTATCAATTTACAGTATTAGTAATTACTAATTAATTTGTTTATTAAAGATTCTTATTAAATTAATTAATTTGAATGATCCGAATTTTATATATTTTTGATCTAGTTAATTAACCAAAAAATTATGGATGGATTAGTCATACTTTATATTTTTAAGAAAAGAGAATAAAAATATAAAAATTTAGAAATCTAATCTGCAGAATTGAAGAAAAATATTAATTTATTATAAGTCTTTTAAGTAATTAAAACAATTTTAAGAAAATTTATTAAATAGATTTAATTCAAAATTCTTAATAGATGTAAATAAATTTGTTTAATTAGTTTGGATAAAAATTAAATGTAAGCTAAACATGAATTTTCTGCTATTTGATTAAGACATAAAAAATAATTCTTAATAAATTTTTTATTTGACATAAATATTTTTAATTTTTAATTTTTAAAAAATATGGATCAACATAAGTGGAAGAATCACAATCTTTTTCATTAGATTTATCAACATGAGTAACTATTTTCTCTTTTTTCTTAGCTTGAGCAGAAGATTAATAATATTGTTAACAAAACAAATTAAAATAATTGAATTATTTTTAAATTTTATAAATAAAACATTTCATTTATTTTAAAATTTCACAAATATTATCTTGTTACATCACGTTTTGGTTAAAAAACTATTTCTAACTTTATGAAAAAATTAATTGTAAATCTTCAGGTTTTTTTCTTTTAATTTAATTAATATTTAAAAGAATTTAAATAATATAAAAACAAACAAATACAAATTAAATTAACTCCCAAGATATTTTATTAAATCCATCAAATTTAATTCAAATATCAAAAATTATTATTTTAAATTCATTTTTTAAAATTCATAAATTAATTAAAATAAATTTTACACTCTAATTTTATTTTATAAATTCCTATCAAAAGTTTTTAAAATGTATCTTAAAAAATAGTTTAAAATATTCAAAACTCATTTTTTAAGAATCAGTCACAACAAGCAAAAATCCATTTTAAATAATAAAATTAATTAAATTTAAATTATTCTAAAATAAATGAATAAAATAGTTTTAACTTTTGTATGCTTAATGAATGATAGCTATTTAAAACATGCAATTTGAATTGTATAACATGAAAGCACGATAAATATCAAATTAAATTTAATGCTATCTGTGTAAGAAATCAAATATTGTTTTTTTGAACAGCATGCTCGAAGAAAGATTCTCTATAGGCATCGCTTAATTCTTCTCCAATTTTTAATGATTGTAGCTTAGCTCTAATTTCTATTATAAAAAATTAATAGATTAATTTAAATCTAAATATTTTAAATATAAAATATATCTTTTTGAAGGCATATCTATCTTACAATAAGCAATTTATTTATTTTTATATATCTAACTCATATTATTATTTGTTTCAATTTATTTTACTAATAAATTAAATTAAACTATTTTTATTTATTTTCTATTACTTTAACATTACTTTTACTTTTTTTCAACCTAAAAAAATTTTAAATCCAATAAATTATAATATAAATTACAATATCTTTCTAACTTTTCTTCATTGTAACATAACTATTCAAGAGCCATTCTTCTGTACCAGTCCTATTTTATTTACAATATTAATTAATTATTTTAAAAATTGATGCTAAAATGAATAATATTCTCTTATTCATTTGAATAAAAGCATTTTAATTTAATTTTTATTACAAAATAGTAGAAGGTAACAGCAGAAACAATCATATACTTAGGATATTTCCAAGGGCCTATTATTTAATAATAATTATTATATAAACAATGTAGCAAATAATTTCAGATTTATTGTTCTTATTCTTGAAATGCTTTATTTTTGAATTAATCCTATAAAAATGTTTTATTATTTTTTTATCTTTAGCTAAATAACTATTTTAATTTCTAATCTTTCATTTCGCTTTTTTAAATTTGAGATCTATGTAAACAATTCATTATCTTAATGCTTTATTTATGATATTAATGACTAATTTAGTGAATTTATAAACTAAATACTGTATATTCTCTCATATTTCATTTAAATATTTATTTAAACAAATTAATATTCTATCTTTACTAGTAGTTAAAGGAATCATAGAGGCTTTGCAAGCAGCAGCTCTAGTAAATAAGCCAAAGCAGGCACCCCAAATTAACATAGAACTCATCTTATCTAAGTTTTTGTATAGATTTTATAATTAACTTATAATATTAATTTTCTTTCTTTTTCTTTGATTAAGATTTTCCTCTTAAATTAAGTAAAAGATAATTAATGCAAATATAAATGATTTCACTTAATAAATAAAAAATAAAGGAATAGCAATAGATTGTATTTTTAATTTATCAATCATTCAATCATTATTTTATAATCATTTCATTCATTTTATATTTAGATATTAAATAAATAAGCTGATATACAAACAAAAATTATACTCAAAAAATGATTGTTTTTCTGAAATTTAAAAATTCAGATAAAATAATATTAAATAAATAATTTAAATTCAAAATATTTTTGCAAAATAAAATAAAATGTTTAAATTTCAAAAAATAAAAAATTATAAATCAAATTTTTTTTGTGCTTAAAGAATAAATTTATTTATTTATCTTTGTCAAAAAACTTAATTAATAAAATTATTATTTAGATTATTTAAATTTGTTTTTACTTAAATTAATGATACACTTAAATTAATTGAAGTAATATTTAAGTTGACTATTTTTTTTAGTCATTTATTAATTTAAAATTGCTATTTTTCTCTGAAAATTTATAAATATTTTAATATTATGTTTGTGTTTTCTTAAACTTAAATTTAAATATATTCTATTAACTTTTTAATTAGTAATATACTTAATATAGAAACATTTAATATTTAAATTTAAATTTATCAATCTTTATAAAATTTTAATGTTATTTTATTTAAATCTACTACTTTGAAGTTTCTTTGATGTATTATCTTTTATTTTGGGTTCTTTATAAATAAAATATTTTTTTCTATTATATTTCTTTATTTTAATCGCTTTTCTTGTAATATAAATTATTATTATTTTTATTTATCATAAGCATTTTACACCTGTTAACATGATTAAGTTCTACATAGATCTGGTAATTATTTATATATTTTATTATTTATCTTTAATTTTAAAATAAATTTCTCACAAAAATAATTTTATTAAAATGGTTATTATCATCTTAAATTAATTTTAGCTAGCAATTAACTCAGAGAGCATGCTGAAAGATTTATTAACAATAAGAAAATAAAATTTAAAGAGAATTTTGCAAATAAAATAAAATTACTAAATAAAAGCTTTGAAATTCGCATGCAAATTAAAAGATTCTTAATTTTAACAACTTTGAAATAATTAAATATAAATAAAAAAAACTATAATTTCATTTTTATAAATATGAATTAGCATTTAATAGATATTTTTAATATAAGTTGTGATAAAATGGTTTTATTTTAAATATATTCTTTTAGTTTTAGAGTATTTAAACAAAATTAATTTATGTCATTAATTAGGAGAAGCTTTTATGCTAAAAAGCTTAGCATAACGAATTAGAGAATATTTCATAGAAATGTATAGGAAAACATAGTCAATAGCAAATTAATCAATCAGCAAATATAAAATAGGCCAGTAGAATAACCTAGAACTATCTTACTAGGTGCGAGTATAGTTTGAAGTCACGTAAAGGAGGTTAAGAACATATATTAAGAAAATGATGAAATATTTAGAGCATTTGTTATTTTCTCTATCTTATGGACTAATTATGTAAAATATCAAGTAAAATATGCCTGAATATAGATAAACTCCTAACCAAGTCAAAGCATTTACTATAATAAAGAGATATATATTTTATGAAAACTTCTACTACAAGAATATTGATAGAATCATTTAAAAGATGCTCATGTAAACAAAAATAAAGAATATTCTCATCCATCTAGGTGTGTTTTCAATTTTTTTATAATAAGCGTATCTTGCATGAAGGAAGATTATTTTAGAGTTGTATTTGATTCGGATGTCAGCTAATTATTTATTTATAAAATATAATTAATTAATTAATTCATTTTAATAATTTAATTAATATAATAAATTAATAATTTTTTCAATTTTTATTCATATTTTCTGAAATAAATTAATTAAATTTTTACGATTATTTTGATTTTATTAAGCTGGAAAGACTCTATTTTAGTTGTATTAGGAATTGTTTCGCTAAATACTTCTATTATTTTCTAAGTCAATCTAAATCTAATTATTATTGTTGTTGTTGTTGATGTTGATATTGTTATTATTATCAATTATAATATTATTGTTGAGATTATTTAGATTAATTTCTACTAATTATTACTATTGGTTTTAAGCTTAATTATTATGATTTTCAATATGGTTATTAATATTATTTTGAATTATCTCAGAACTTATTCTATTGTGAACATTTGAAAATTAATTTAGTTAATGCAATTACTCGTCTTAATTTTAGTTTGGGACATTATTACCTATTAAAAATAGAAAATAATTCATATTAGAATGTTAATAATAAAATAAGTTTACTATTTTGTATGTTAGGACGATTGTCTTAGCCATTCTATTTTTTATTAAAATAATTAATATATAATAATTTAATTAATTAATTATCAAATTACCTCTTAGATTTGGCTTTGTTATCTACTAAAGCTTAGATAAGGTTAGTCAAAAATTGATTCCTTCTTGATTGGAATGTCTTTATCATCACCTTGTAAGGCGAAATACATTACAGTATGACTCACGAAAAGCAAAATACCAAGATTACCTAGACATGTTCTGAAATGCTATTAGACAAATATGTCGCTGCTGTCATCTTGATCTTTTGCATTTTTAAATATACTTCCACTGTTACTTGCTGTATCTTGCAATATTCTTTCTATTTTTTTTTATTTAAAACAAAATTTAGCATCTAAACCTCAAAAAAAAAATTACTATCAAGATCTTGCTCAAAAATTTTATTATTTTTGCTTATTTCTAAATCAATTTAATCTATATTAATAGTAGTATATTATTAATTAGTTTAATCTAACTATATATAATAGTTATTGTCCCTTAATGAGTACCCTAAAAAAGATAAATATTACTCAGCTCTCAAGCTTTTTAAGTAATTTTTAGCTTCATTTTTAGCAACTTAACAAATTTCGCTATTGTTTTTTGTATTTATCAATTTTTTATTTTTATTTTATTGGTCAAAAGCTAAGTAGCATTTGTTATCAAAAGTTGCTTTTGGTGTAATTTTTATTTGCTAATTTTAAGTCTACATTTCTAGAAAAGTATTAAGCTAAGATACAAACTCCTAACAAATATCTTAAATACCTTTGAAACTCTCATTTTAAACATTAAACTGTATTTTTAATTATAATTCAGAGCAGTTCTAATCATTTTTATCGATTATATTGATCACTGCTACGCGTTCAATCTCATTTAATTTATTTAGCATTATTTACTTCTAATTTGAACTTTCATGATTAATTGTATTGTTTTAATTCTACTAACTTTACTAAAGAAATTCTGCTTGAGTAGCTGAGGAAACAGCTAGCAACATCAGAATCGTAATTATAAATTTATTCATAAATTTCTTAAAATTCTAGGCTAGAGTTTACTAAAGATTTTATGTTGTTTATATGAAATGATAATTTGTTTGATTTATTTATTAATTTTTTTTGATTCTTTTATATAATATCAAATGAATGAGCGAGCTATTTATTAATTAATTAATTTATAAAAAAAAAAAATATTTAAGAATGTTTATGATGTATATGAATGAATATAAATTACACTACTTATTTTGCAGTCTTACTTTGAATTTAGATTTATATAATTTAAATTTATGGTGTAAATTAATTAATTTGGTATGTTCTTCAATATAATTATTTAATGTAAACATCAGATACGCAAAAATATAATCTTTGCTAGCGAATATAAACTTATACATATATTTTACATTGAATACTTTAAATATTAAAATATTTAGTTCTAAACTTCCTAGTAACAATTAAATTTTTTAAAAAGCATTCTAAATAAAAATGAGCTAGCTATTCAACTAATTCAGTTACATACTAAATTCATACGCTCATTCATTCATTTTTCGTCTTCAACTTCATCTTTCTCTTCATTATCATCATTTTGGTGGTCTTTTTTGGCTTTCTTTTTTTCTTTTTTTTGTTTTGCTTTAGCAATCATTTGATCTAATTACTTATATTTCTTATTTTTTAGCTTATTATCGCCTTTTTAGCTTTCTTTTTCATGATCCTATTCATCTTTTGCATTTACATTTCCAGTGGTAATAGTTTTTTCTTATAATTTTAACTCTTGCTTTGCTTCAATTATTTCTTCAGTATCTTACACTTGAATATCTTCTTTAGCATGCTTGTGCTTATCTTATTTATTTTAATTTTTATCTTTTTTATTATGTCTCTTTTGTTTCTTTTTTCTCTCCTCCTCACTATCTTCTTTCATAAATTCTTTCACTAATTATATTTCTGAGAATCTTACTGATTTTTTCTTCTCTTCCATCAATTCTTTTTATTTTTTCTCTTCTTCTTCGTTCAATATGTCATCTTCTCCTTCATCATCTGTAACTTAATTTTTCTGCTATTCTTAAAGGTTGTTTTGCTAGTCAGTATTAGCATTGTTAGTAGATTTTTTTTTTATTATACTTTTTACATCTGCTCTATTAATATGATTAGGAGACTTATCTTCAACGACTACTACAGATTATATTTCTTTTTCTTATTTAACTTAATTAGTTACATTTTATGTATTTTCATTTTCTTCTTCATTCTCATCATCTTTGTTGTCTTTGTTTCTTTTTTTACCCTTTCCTTTAGTTTATTTTTTGTCATCTTAGTTTTTTTTTGCTTTTCTTAGTCTCTTTCTTTCCTCTAAATCGTCTTCATCTTCTTGATCCTAAACTTCTGTTTTTTCTTGTTCTGTCTAAATTGTATCTTTTTATTATTTAGCTTTACTAGATTCATTTTCTTCTACTTTTTTACTCTTTGAGCTTTTCTTTGTTTTCTTAGAAGTCTCTCCATCAGAATCATCCTCACATTTTTCATTGCTTTCTTTGGCTTTGCTTATAAACTACTTGACATTAGATTCAAATTTTTTTTTATTCTTTTCTTTTTTGCTTAAAACCTAATTCTACTTTTCCTAAACAGTTTGTTGATTATTTTCTTATACTGCTTCATTCTTTTAAGCATTTTCTTCATCTTCTTCGTCGTCATCAGAAGAAGGTAAATCATATTTTCTAACTTGGTTTGTTGACTATCTATTAGCTTCACAGTCTTGTAAATATCTCTAAGCAGCACCCTCAAATTCTTTAGCAGTAAAGCACCCCTAGTAATACTAAAATACTTCTTCATTTACCTTGAAAAAGTTAATACCCCATTTAAATTTAGAAAGAATAAAATCAGCTTGCTCCTCATATCCAGTTATCATAAGACCTGCTGCAAAAGCTTCAACACAAGATAACTTAAATGGCTTGCCATAATTAACAGGATTGCAAGCAACCATATGTGGTAATAATCTCTCATTAGCATAATTAGTCTCAATTCCCATAGCCTTAGCCCAAGAGCAATCTAAACAGCACAATCCGTGCTTTTCAATAATAGGAAGATCTTCCTTTGAAATTGTTTTAGTTGCTGTACCACTTAAAACTATACCTAAATACTTTTATCTATGTCCAATCGATTTCAAAAGTCTATGACGTTGCATTTTTCTACCAGTACATTTTTTTGAATCACACTGCTTGAAATCAATCATAAACAAATTTGCCCATTTCTATACAATAAACAAAAGTAGAATTAATATTTGTTTTAAACAAAAATCTTTTATTCATTTATTGTGATATATTTATAATATTTATTTTTCTAAGTAGAATCATATTTTATGTATTGATCAATATTGCTAAAATGCACTAAAACTATCTAAAGTATAATAAAATTTAAATTAACTCTATCTATGAATTGATCAAAAGGAATAATTGCTATGATTATTAACTTTCTTAAAATTTAAATTATTTATAAATTAGATTATTACTTCTGGCTTTTTTATCTCCTCATCATCAGAATTTAGATTTTATATATCGTCATCATTATCTTCATCATCCATTCCTCCATCATCATCTCCACTATTTTATTAGAATGAGTCATCTGAATTGCTTCCAGATTCTGAATTATCGTTTTCATTTCTTTCTACTTGATTTTATTCGCTTTAATCTTCTTATTCATCTTGATACTAATCGTTTTCATCTTATTAATCATTTTTTTTGCCCTTTTTTTTTAATTTTATATTTTTTCCATTGTTATCCATCAAGGCATTTAACTACTAATCTTCTAACCCTTATTGTTGTAAAATCCTTAAATTTTTTTAATCTGTTGATTTATTTTTTGAGTATTTGTCTCCTTTTTGCTATGACTTCATTTTGAACTTTTAGTATTAAAAATCTACAATCTTTTTCTAATTGTTATTAAACTTAGATAATAATCAATCTATTAATAAATTAGAATCTTTTTATATTTATTAATTTTGATACTTCTTCTTATTTTTTTATATCGTTATTCTATTTTCATAACAAAAATATTAATATGTATCATATAGCAAATTTTTTTACTAAAGAGACCATGTGAATCAATCAATCAGTAATTGATTGATAAAATCATTTCTTCTTTATTTTTATATTTAAAGCTATTTTTAAAAATAAAAATAATCCAAAATCAAATTTCTTTTAAATTTTATTAAATCAAAATACTTTTGATAAACATATTTTCAACTACAATAAATAAATAAATGATAAATTTTCATATTATTTAAAAAAAATATTCTTAAATCCCTAATATATATCTCAAAAAAAGTACATATTATATTTTAATAAATTTTAAAAAGATAATTATAATTAATGTCTGTATACTAGCAGGGGATTAAAGTTTAACAATTTTGATCTTAAAATAAAATCTATAATTTTTAGCTATTTAGCATTTCTAAAATTTTAACTTTTTTCAAAAATTTGATTCCCTCTTTATAGTATTTTAAAATACAAATTTTCTTTCAAATTAATTTTAAAATTTATCTTATTTATTAAGATAAAAATAGGTGAAAAGACTTTTCTTATTATTATTTTTGATAAATAAGCATTTTTATTCTTTAATTGATCATATTTTTTGATATATTAAATCATAATCTATTTGTTCATGTGAAGATACTTTTTCAAGTTAATATTTTGTTAATAAACAAAAAAGTAGAATTATTAATTGGCAATAATTTGCATTTAATTTTATTTTCCCCTTAGCTTTAATAATATTTTTGCTAATCTGGTGAATTTTGTTTTCAAAATATTTAGTTTATAAGTTTTGTTTGCTTAATTGTTTTTTTAAAAAACAATATCTAAAGAAAATCTAGAATATTTTGGTTGATGTTTAATAATTATACGTCAAATAAATGATTTGAACTTATATTGTATCGTTATATTGACGAATGTTGCGCAAATTAAATTAAATTATTTACTTATTAAGAAATCTTCTAAGATTCTAAACAGCTTAATAAAACTAATCATTTAATTAGTTAAATTTTTATATTTTATATTTAATATTATAGTAAGTTCGTGTAAAAAGCAAATGGCGCATAAACTCTAAGTTCGTTTTGTTGAAAAAAAGGATTGTTATATCAGTCTTCCTTTGAGAATAGGAAGCTTGACTGATTAAAACTATAGTGAATAGGCTATTTGCAGATAAGTTAGACTTACCAGATTCAATAAGGAAAAAATATATGTAGGATATGCTGCTGGAGTTTCTAAACAAGAAAATGAAATAGAAATTTCAAGAGTATTTGCATAGTGTTTAGGTTTAGAGGAGGGAGAGCCAGTTGATATTGAAATATTAGGAGCTTCTAATACAGAAGTTAGATTAGAGCTATATGTCACAAATGCAGATTATTATGAAATGGTTTGCTCGATGCAAGATAAATTTGAGCAAAATTTACTAAATTAAATTAGCGTCATTTATCCTGGTTTGAAGTTTCCTGCATATTATAGTGATAGTTAGTATGTTTTGTTTGAATTCAAAGGGAATGGCGATGATCACTCTGGTAAAATGATTAGTCCTTAAGCGGAATTAATTATTTTATCTCCTGCTGAAGAGATTTCAAAATCTAAACAATCTAAGTAGCAGAAAAATAAAAAATAAAATGAAGATTAGGAAAATGATAACCAATTTTAAGATATAGCAGATAGTGATGAAGACATAGATGATGTTGAATTCCTCCGTTTGCGCACTTGCTAAATTTATGGAGAAAACGATTACAGGTTGTATATTTCTAAAAGGGTTTTCACAAAATATAAAATAGCAGAAAATAAATTATACCGCTTAAGTATGGAGAAGATTATAAAAGAAAGCGACTATACAGATTTTAAGACATTTCTTAATAAGCAACAAAGAGCATAAAAGGTAAAAAACCCAGAAGATAAGCAACCCAACTCCAATAACTAGCAAAAGCTTAAAAAGAGTGAGTAGTGTATGATTTTGATAGGCTACAAAGAAGAAATAGAAGATGATAATCTAATATACTTTAATGAGTTTATGCAAAAAGCACTTGGTATCAATACTAAAAGCATAGGTATCTATTATTTTATTGTGTTTTCAGCTGTTAATAAAAGCTTGATTTGTTAAATTCAATTATTTTTTAAAATAATTTTTTACTTAAATTATTGATTGTAAATTGTAATAATTTAATAAAATATAAAGTTTAGTCAAAATTTTACCCCAACAACAAAAAATAAATACATTTTATAGTATTAGTGCTCAATTTAATTTATTATGAAACTATTTTTTAAAATAAAATTTAGTTTTTAAAAATATTTTTATTAAAAAAGTTTAAATAGATCTGAAATACGAATTAGATAATATCAAAGATAATAGAATACTGTCGTTGCATGATTTTATGTCTCCATCTAACAAAATAAAGCTGATATTTAGGTAGATTTATGGTTAGAATGGGAAAGAAGATTTACCAGTAGATCATAGCTTAATATTAGCCTAAATTATTAACAGATTTTAAAGAGCATAGCAAGATATATATTATACAAATTAAATTTATGTTATTAATGGAAATTACTACATTCTAAAGATCTTAGAAATAATGCAAGAATCAAAAGAAACTCTCAAGATGATTTTATTTGAGAATAATTCATCTTCCTTGCAATCTTCTTTAAATAAATCTTCTCTCAATTTGGATTCTTCTCAACAAGGATAGGCTTTGATTTCAGATACTGCAAGAGCAGCTTAAATTATATAAGAAAATCCTCAACATGCCCAAAGCATAACGAATAATTTGATTTTTGTAAGTTAGCAAGATTTCTTTTAAGATTTTCATGACAAAGATATAGTTAACATAAACAAGCTTGTCAAATCTAAACTTTCTGTGGATCCATTTTAGAAAGTGAAACTTGGTATTTATGATGTTTTATATTCAAGTGAATTAAAAAAGCTATCAGAGTTTTTAGCTTAAAAGCACTCAGACTGCAACTTAGAATAAAAAAACTAAAACTAATCAGTCATGTGTATTTAAGGCAAATCCTAAAACGGAAAAACATATACTTGTGAATATATAAAGCAAAAATACCCTGAATACTACATAGAATATCTTGATTTTGCAGAGTTATAAGAATAAGTTCTTCTCGATTATGCAAAAAATTATATCGCAACAAAAATATAAATTGCTTGCATTAAAAAGCCCTCTATATTTATATGTGATAACATAGAAAGGATGTGTAAAAATTTAGACAGAATTGACTTCTAACAATTTTAATTGATTTTAGTTAGTGAAATCATTTCAAAATACCTTAAAGATTAAATCAAAAAATATTCTCATGCAAATCCCAGAGTTAAATTTATATTCCTCACAGAGTCAAAAGAAATAATTAATTCGAACCTACCAAGTAACTAAAATTTTATAAAATAAAAATATATTTATTCAATTATTGATAAATCTCAATTAATCTATTTAAAAATTAATTATAAATTTTTCAAAATAAATTGTTTAAAAATGAAAATAAATCTTTGGAAAATTTAATTTGCTTTAAAAATTCTAAAAACATTTATAATTTTAAAAATGTATAGAAATTATTGATGTTTACATGAATCTGGAAATAGCCAACTATGCAAAAAGAAAATAACTCTTTGAATATATTCATAATACTTGCAAGATTGAAATGAACGTTGATGAATTAGGTTCATCAACAGAAAACTTCACTTTGAATGAATTCTTCATTCTGGCATAAAAAATCTACCAAGAACAAACAGATATCAACCATAATTAAATACTATAAAAAATTTCAGATCTTTCAAATAAAAGTTTTAAAAGCTCAAAGTAATAACTAAATAAATAAATCTTAAATAAAATTAAATTTTTTAAATCTTTATTTTTTTAATACAAAAAAATAGAAATTTCCCTAAATTTGAACATGTAGGAGGTTTGTTAGAAGTAAAGGACACCATTAGAGAAACCTTTGAAGTCCCAATAAAATATGACTTTTTATTTAAAAATATACCTATCAAATTACCTCGTGGTGTACTATTGTACGGTCCTCCTGGCTGTGGAAAAACATACCTAGCAAAAGCAACAGCTAATGAATTAGGTTTGAACTTTTTTAGTGTAAAAGGTCCAGAAATTTTAAATAAATACATTGGTGCATCAGAATAGGCTGTTAGAGATGTATTTGAAAAAGGTTTTTAATTTAATGATTTTTATTTCTTAAATAAATATTTTATGATTTTATATATCAAAAATAGCATATTCTGTAAGACCAAGCATTGTATTTTTTGATGAATTTGATGCTATAGTGCCTAGAAGAAACTCAGGCTCAACAGGGGTTACAGATAGAGTGGTTAATCAATTTTTATGTTACCTTGATGGTGTCGCTTCATTAGAAGGAGTTTGTATACTAGCAGCCTCAAGTAGACCAGATTTAATTGATCCTGCTCTACTTCGTCCAGTAATATAATTCAAAATATAAAATTTGCAAAGTTTTAATTATTGATTATTATTTTATTCCAATTAAATTTAATTTTTTTTGATATGAATTTTTTATTCTTTCAAATAAAATATTTTAATAATTCATAAAATTCTCATTAAATCTCAATAAAAATATTTCTAAAAATATGAATTGAATTCAAAAATAATTTATATTAATAAATAACTATTAGGGTCGTATAGATAGACATGTTTATTTAGGATTTCCAAGCGTAGAAGAAAGAAAGGACATTTTATAGATTTATGGTAAAAACTTGAAAATGGGTGATGATTTGAGCTTTGAGGATTTAATAAAAGTAACTGAAAACTTTACTTCTTCAGATATTGTTGCTTTCTTAAAAGAAATAAGAATAAAAATGGCTCATGACATGATTGAAGAAAAGAAGCAAAATGAAAACTTTGAATTTGATTTCACTTTAACTAAGTAGTTCTTTGAAAAAACATTTAAGTCTTTTAGGCCTTCTCTAAACCTAAAAGATGTTTAAAAGTTTGAGTCTATGTACAAAAAATTCTCTGATCCTAAGGCAGTCCAGGATATTTCTAAACAAAAATAGACTTTAAACTGATAAAAAGATTACTATTTAATTTTATATCTATTAATTATTTTCAATTTAAAAGCCAAATTATTTTGTAAATATGTTATTTTTCATTCTAAAACTACAAATTATCAATAAATTAAAATCTTTTAAAAATATTTAACAATTATTTTTAATTTAAAGATAAGTTTTATAAGAAAAGTTATTTCTTATTTCACTTAAAATTAATTAGTTGGTTTTATATTTTAACACTAAATTATGTAATAAATCTCAGCTTCTCTAAATCAGCTAAAAGTAGGAGCTAAGAGGGAGCACTTTTAAAATTTTTAGTTAAATGAAAGTTTTAACTTAATTTATTTTTTTTAAAAAAAGACATACTTTTTATTTAATTTTATATAATAAATAAACAAAATTTAATCTTCTATTAGTTGTTGAAAAAACTCTTGAAATAATTTTTAAGTTTTATATAAATGTTAGATACTAAAGTAAATGCATATAAAACAATGAAATAATAAATAAGAAATAATATTTAATTATATCTGTATATTTTTTAATATTATTAATAAATATGATTAAAAAATCAATTATTTTATTTTATATCATTAACATTTACATTATTTGAGCTTATTTACTAATTTTTCATTTTATTTATTAAGTTAAATTTTTTCTTTTTCCAATTTTCTAATTGTTTCATTCGCAAGATCTAATTGTTACTATAATTTTATATTTTCATCCTTAAGTTCATTAACTTAAGATATAATTAAATCTGTTTTATCTAAAAAGCCTTAATTTAAAATATTTGATTATTATGATTTATTATAACTTTCATCATCATTGTCATTATCATTGTCACTATTATATTCTTAATTTGAATCATGATAAGGAGTTGAATCTGCTTCAGCTTCTTCTTCATCGCTATCTAAAAAGTTTGCTTTTTCAATTTGAACTTTATCATTTTACTATTTTAATTAATTTTTCTTTAGAATTCCATTCTATTGATAATTTGGATTTTATTTATCTTTTTATTAGTCTTTAAAAGTTTGATTTTATTGATGATTTAGATTTTATTTAACCTTTTACTACTCATTTTTTTATCTATTATCTTAAATAATCTCATTTTGATTCTATTTTAAATGATATTAAAAAGTATTTTGATATTTTTAATTTTCTAGGTTGCTATCATTCTTTTAAAAGCCATTTTTATTAAATATATTTCTATCATCTTAGATAGGTTAATTTTTTTTTTATTCTACTTACTATTCTGATTCATCAAATATTTTATTGCCAAATCTTAAAATTTTAACAATTGACTCTACATTTTTAGCATGATATAAATTTTCGCTTTGAATTAATTCCTCAAGGAACTTTTAAAGTTCTTAATAGTTTCTAAATCTGTTTTATTAGAAATAAATATCTTGTTTCGTTGTGCTACATTTACAACCAATATAGGGCTCAGATTATTATTTTATCTCTTTCATGAAAATATAATTTTTTTTAAGCACATCTTCTAAAATATGTAAGTAATTTTTCAAACCGTCATTAAATTTCAATTAGGATTCAGGAAATATACCAACCTTTTTTTCAAATTTGTTTTTAACAAAAAAAAACTCAACTTTTGCGCTTATTTCTTTAATCATATTCTTAGCTTTTTATTAATTGTGATTTGTGTTTTATTTATTTAATTTAATGATAAACAAAAATATGAATTATTTATATTTATATGCATAAAAAACACTTTTATTAATGAATAAAATAAAATAAATTTGTTGATTTTTATACAAAATAAAATAAAAGTATTTTACTAAAATAAATTAAATTAAAAGTATTTTTTTTTAATTATTTAAAATAATTAAATAATTGTCTTCTCAAAACATTATTTATAATTTTAATAAATGTTTATATTTAGAAATTAAATAAAGTTTGTTAAATAAAGAAATATTATTAAATCATAATATAATCTATTTATGTTCAAAAAGATTTTAAAATAATGAAAATAATTTCTATTCAATTTTTAATTTAGATTTTTAAGGGAAATTTTATTTTAAATTAAAAATAAACTATTTTTAAAGTCTGCTAAATGAAGAAAGATTTTTTTGAAAATAATAAATAATGAAAACGTATTTAGTTATCTTTCAAATACTAATAAAATAATTTAAGGTAGTTCATTCCTAAATTTTATTTAGAATTTTAATGGGTATTTTGTTACGTTTTAAAATAAAACTAATTTTATAGTTTATGAAATTGAAAAAAGTTTTTTTTTTTTTTGAATACCCGAATCATGAATGTAATTTATTTGTTTATCGTTAAAAAGTATTTGTGAAGAAATGAACGAATGAATGAATTTTAAGAATCTCTACTTTGATTAATTTATGAAAAATAAATAAGTCAATAAATAAACAAATTACAAAAGTCTTTAGCGCAAATTTTACATTAACATAATATAAATATTGTTAGCTACTTACTGTTAATTTCTTACCTTAAAAATTAATAATCTAAATATTTTAACTAACTTCTATAAAAATGATGAGAGATAAATTGCAATATTTCTCAGTAGAATCGTAGTAGATACAATAACCGGGAGAAACATTTAGTAGGAGTAGAAGCTCTTAAAGTCACCACAATCGCAGTACGAGTGGGGGAAAAAAGAAAGCTCATTCTGAAGTACAAATTATAACTCCCACGAAAAAAGAAGAAAATGATATTAAACAAAATATATCTCAAATTCTTAGCCAAATTTTATAACGATCAAATAACATTCCAATAGAAACATAATAATATTTCAAAGAAAGATTCAATTTAAATTCCTCGTAGAACAACAGCTAATCTCATTAGATCAGTATTCAAGATTTATCTTCTTAGAACTAAACATAAGCATATTCATAAAATCAAGACAAATGCCATATGAAATAAAATTCGTTAGCAGAACTTTAGTAAAGAAAGGTTGCATAGTTGCAACAAATTTAATATTTAGATGAATTAATTAAGCAAGAAATTGAATAATAAAATGAAGATTAAGAACTATATGAAGTTAATTATTCTCCTTCATTTCATAAACCTGACTAGAAGCTCCAAGTACAAGACATTTTAAATAATAAAGAAAAGTTTTAAAATACTTAGTAAGAAGAGGATATTTAGAACAAAATGCATAAGAATTCTTCTTAAAAACTTAACACCAGCTCTTCTTAATCAACATCTGTATTAAATAATTCACAGATATTCAAGAAGAGAGCAGAATCAGAAGGAACATAAAGTGAAACAAAGCTAAGATATAAGTAGGAAAAGATATCTGACAGATAAATTTATAATAAAAAAGATTTAACAAGCATCAATCAAGAGAGTATTTCTCTGTAAGATGGTTTAGGAAGTGATATTAAAAGAATTAAAAAGTAAACTTAAAAAAATAAACCATTGACAGAAAAAAAAATGAATAGCCAGTAATAAGAAAGCAAAAAGACTTTCAATGAGTCTAATCAAAAGCTTACATCAACTTCAAATAGAAAATCTATATATTCTTCCACAAGTAAAGCATCTACGTCTACAAAAAGAAATATGAATTCAACAATAAGCTATTAAGAGGATGTTACTATTTATTAGAAGGTATTAAGGTAAAGACACTCATCACTAACAAGTGAAAAGTGTTCTTCAAAAAATAATAGCTCCTAAAATAGATAGTCTTAATCTACAGTGCATTTCTAATCTGTAAATAGCTAACCTAAACAAAATGGAGGTCGTTAGTATCATTATGAATCAATTAAAAAAGAGTAATTAAATAATTCATAAAAATCAATATTTTAATCATTAAAATTTTATGATAAATAGATTATTTAAAGATTTCTAGAGCTTTTCCGATTAGTTTATTTCATAAAGTGCTTCAAAAAATTAGAATAGCACAAGTAAAAATAAAAATTCTGATCAAAAAGAGAATTTGCAGCATTTGAAGGAGTATAAAAAAGTCATTTTGCAATAACAAGAATTATAAAACAAAAATTAAATAAAAAAATAACAACTTTAAAAGCAATAAGAGAAACTCAACAAAGTAATAATATAAATTATTTAAAAACTGACTTAAAAAAGATAAAACTTAAATTCATTTTTATTCAAAACAGGATATAAATTATTACAAGAAATTGAAGGATCTCGTTGAATCATTAAAAAAAGATAACAAAAGATTAGTTGAACCCCTCAACAACTAGGTATAAAAGCAAGAAGAGCAGTAAAAATTAGGTAAAATTAATATTTTTATAATTTTATTGTACTAAATTGAATAATTTATTTAGCAAAATCTATTTAATATTTATTGTTATTTTTTAAGTAATTTAAATTTATTTTTGGATTTAAAAAATATTACAAATGTTATGATAATATTTACTGGATTATTTATCAAAAAACTTTTTTTATTAATAGAAATAAACTTAAAAAAGTAAGAATTTTAAGTAAAGTAGTTAGAAAGGGAAAATCTTAGCTATTAAACTCAAATAAAAAAAGCTTTAAAAGAGCTTTAATACTGGTAAAGTAAAGATAAACCTAAAGAAGTGAGAGTTAGTCTGAATGGATCTGCATAGTCTTCTGTTTTTAGTTGTGATTAACCTTAAATTAATATAAAAATTAGTTAATCTGACATTTACAGTGCTTTAACCAGTAATATTTATAATGGTTAAACTTATAACTAATGAATGAGTGAATAAATATATTTTGTTATAAAATAAATTAAAAATATAATTATATATATAAATAAGCAGTTTCTCACACCAAGATCCAGTAAAAATTATTGAATATAGCTTTGTAAAAATTCAATTTAGTAAATACTAACATCATAAGTTATTTAAGGATCAATTTATTTTGTGAGAAAACACAGTAATTAATTAAAAGTTGAAAGTTTGTAAATATAAACTAAATGTTATGTAAATAAAATAAAAATTTTCTTTCTAAAAAACTTAAACTTTAAAACGAAATTAGAGATTTAAAATCAATAAATAAGCTCGATTAATTTAAAAAAACGATTTAAAATTCTTATGAAAATATTTAATATCTATTCTAAAATATTTATTTAACAATATCATATTAATTTTTAGTTGATTTAATAATTTTTAGATTTTAAGTTCTACTAAATTACTTTTTTATTTATTTATTTTAGTTGATATTTATTTCCTTTATAGCTTATTTATGAAAATATCCACTAAATCTATTTTTAAAAGATGAAATGTAATAACTTAAATTTGTATTAATAATCAATCAATCATAATATAATACTAAATTAGACCAATTTTTGGATTTAATTTAAAAAAATACCTACATACATACACAAGTTATTCTATTAAAGTTGCTAATTATTAAACTACTTACTTTCATTGATAGATAGATTGATACTTTGGCAAAAAACCTTATATTTGATTATTATCTATGATTCCTAGTTTTAAATAATTTTATCAATTATCTTCAGCTTATTGATTATTTTACTTATTGTTATATAAAAAGCACTGCAATTTTCATATTCTTAGCTTATTTAGGATTGATTGATTCACTTAATCATATGTTTTAAATTGAACTTTGTATATAAACTTCGAATATTGCTTTAAAGTTTTAAATAATTTATTTGATCTTTAAATATATCATTTTCAATTTTAAGTTTGAGAAGAAGAAGAATTAGCAACAATATCTTATTATTATGATTTTAAAACTTCACGCTTTCTTTCAACTTCCTTTTCAGTGTTTAACTTGAATTTTCTCTTACGAGAAACGAGATGAGGATTTTCCCAATGTTCCTTTTTAATAAATTTAATAGCTGCAGAGCTGATAGAGAATCTTTTGAAAGTAGGAGGAGGACCATCAAAGAAGACCAATCCGAGATTGCTTTAACATTTGGAGCAGCAAACTCTTTATTTTTGGGCATTTTGATTTATTTAGCTAGGAGTTGATTCTAAATTGATAAAACTTTCCTAAATTCCGTTAGTGTTTTCAACAACTTTAACTGCATTCTTTTCATGGTGCCAAAAAGATGTCATACCATTAGGGGTTTGGAATTTATGATCCCAAGTAAATAATTTAGTGCTACAAACAGTGCAGTGATAATAACCAACATCTTTTTCAAACCATTTATCACCAGTAAAAGGTCTCTCCATTCCCATACCTTAAGTAATCCAATATTCATGAGGAGTGTAATTTAATCTATTAATCTTAAACTCTTTTTAAACTACTTCTTTAATTGGCTAATCTGCATTCTTATTTGATTTTTTCTCCTAATTATTAGCTGATTGAGTTGTAGCAATAGGCTCAGCATGAACAGCAGAAGAGAAGTTATATCTCATATACTTGCTGACTAAGCTTTAGTATTTCCAAGTTTATTGAATGACGCTGCGCATAAATTCTAGCTTTATTCTATTATATTTTATAATACTTTTATATTTTTAATCTTTTGATTGACTTTACAATCCTTGCTAATATTGTGTTAAAATCAATAGAAATTTAATATTTTTTATTTATGATTATTTTTTATCCTTCTTTTTCTTTTTTTTGATTCTAAGAAGTTTCTACTTAATATCTTTCCTCATTCATTATATTCATTAAAACATATTTTTATAAAGATGTTAGTTAGTTAATTATTCTTTTCAATATAAGGATAAATCATTTATGAAAAAAAAGAAAATTTTAAATTACCTGTTGAGTATGTCAGTCATTTTATTTAAAAATTTATAAAATATTTAATAATTAAAATTTTTTTTAATACAATTTTCAAATATTAATTAATTATAGCAAATAAAATATTTAATATTTAAGAATAATGTCAACATAATTCATTTCAATATAGCAAAAAAATATAAATTTGCATAGAATTTATTTTTAATACCAAATGAAATTTTAATAAGTGCGCATTCAAGTATAATTCATCTCATTTATATACTTCAAATATTTTACAAATAAATGTAAAAATAATTTAAATTAAATTCTTTCTAAGAAAATATTTAATAATAATTTTTATTTATTTATTTATTGGCTGCTAAATCAATAGTAATTTAACTATAAAATAAAAATTTCTTTTGATTCTCTTTTTAAAAACTGTAAAATTATAAATGAATTAACAACTTTTATTCTAAACTTATGAAATACTTTATAAATAAACCTTTTGAATTTAGTAAAAATAAAAAATAAAATTTATTATAAATGAGTTAAAAATGTAATTAATTTTAATTTTTTTTCCATAACATTATTGTTAATTTTGATCAAATTGAAAATGGCTTATTAATACCTTTTGGTATTTTTATACTTTTTGTTTTTATATAATTAAAAAAAATAAGTAATTAAGTTACCCTTGATTTTGATGTGTTTTAAATAATCTTGTTAATCTGTATATCAAATTATAATTCATTTTAAGTTGAAATCTTTATAAAGTTTTAAAATTTAATTTCGGTATCACTTGAAAATAAGAAAAAAGGAAGATTTTATTTGATTAATTTATATAAATCAATATAGAAATAATAATATATTTATATATTTATAATAATAATAAAAATAACTATTAATAATAAACTTCAGCAAAGTAATAAAAATTAATACACATCAAATGCTTGTTGTGTTACTTACTATCTATCTATCCTCAGTATTTTGCTGATTATCAATTATATCTATTACACTTTTATTTTGAATACAATTAGAAACTATTTATATAACGTAATACCTCACTACTTCTTACAATTAGACTTTTGGTTATTTGATAATGCCTAATGTGGTATAGTTTATATTCTAAAATATTAATTTCCTATTTATGAGTTCCTAATAACGGAGTAGCTAAGGTGCATAATATAGTTTAATAATGGTATCTTAATATACAGTGGAAACTTTTGATGAAAAGGAAATCAAATCATTATTATATTTAAATTAATTGTTGGAAATTAAAAAGATATATGTTTTAATTGAGTATATCACTGTTTTCAGATATTCTCTACTTAAACACCATCATCTTCACCATTCTCATAGGCTGTCCAGAGTGTGATGTTATCTCTGAGAAGTTGCATAATGGAGGTGGCAACTCTGTACTAGTCTTCTTCGATGTGTTCAATGTCAGCGAAGGCGTCATTGAAAGCTTGCTTAGCTAAGTTGCAGGCCTTAGTGGGGTCGTTCATAATTTCGTAGTAGAAGACCGAGAGTTAGAGAGCCAAACTTAATCTAGTATGGTTAGTAGGATTTAATTCCTTAATGGCAATATCATAAGCTTGCCTGTAAGTTTAGAGGGAGAAGTTGGTAGCTTCATCATAGGCTTAGGTGTTGCAAGGTTAACATTCAACGATATATCTGTATTAGTTACCTTTTTTCGTTAAGAAATAGACCTTAGCTTCAGTAGACTATATATTATAAATAGAAAAGTTTTAATATATTTTATTTATATATAAGATAGATACACTTTTACTGATAAGGATATCCAAAAGTTCAAGAGAGTCATAGCAGAAGTTGCAGATTTGATCTTAAAGCTTTTTCTTGTAGTCTTTAATGAGATTTATGTGCTTAGAACCATTAGATTCTTCCTTTTGTTCAATATAAGAGAGGACTCTGTTGGTAATTCTTAAATCGGCATCTAAGACATAATTAATAGCAATAGAGAGTAATCTTCTTTCTTCAACAGAAAGTTCTTATTCAAAATTAACAACCTATTTCATGTATTCAAGCATATCTTTGAATCTTTCAGTTTATTCAGAGATCTTGGCCAAGTAGATGAGCTCTTCTCTGGTATATTTGGACATTTCTTTTGTATTTTATTTTAGTTTGAATTTTTCTTTTTATTTTTTATTTATTTTTTTATTTTTTTGATTTAAAATATATTTAAAATTTTATAAATTTCTTATTTGCCTACTCACTTTGTGCTCCTTATTTACTATTAGATTAAACAACATATTCATTTTTAATAAAATAAATAAATAGATTATTCATTCTCCATCCATTTAGATTATGATTAAAATAAATATATAAGCCAAACAAAAACAATACTTACTTATCACAAAAAAAAAATGTAATATCATAATTACTAAAAAAAGGTTAAACCACAAATAAAAAATAACTGACGATCAAAAAATCAATTAAATATGTAAATTAAATATCTTATCAAAGTTTTAATTTGCTTTCATGACAAATCTACTAAAGCATTTTTTTCAATTTGAAAAATATTTTGTTTATTTCAATCATAAAAGTTAAGGGTAATAGAAATTTTTATAGATAAAATAGCTAAATATATTATATAGTTTTAGAAAATATTACAATTTTAATATTTATTTTTAAATCAGTTATTTATTGAAAGCTATATAGAGATTTAGTTTTAGTTTTTCTCCATATTAGAAACACTTTTTAACATATTATACGTCTTCTATTACAAATTTAATTTGTTAGTTAGAGAAAAAATAAATTTGAGTATATTTAAATATAAATGAAGTAGAAGTCTAATCCTAATAATTTAATGATAATCTAATAAAATCCAATTTGGTCTTTTTTTTTCTATATAATTAAAAACAGAAGTATTTTTAAATTTTTTATGCTTTTTATAATAAATATAATTCTAATTTGTAATCTTAAGAAATAAGCATTTAAATTTAAGTATTAGCAAGTTATATAAATTTCATATTCATTTTTAATAGAATCTTTTTTATAATTTTCAATAGTAAATTTTAGCTTGTAATATAATTTAAGAATTATTAAATTGCGAAATATCCCAAAACAATGGTATGTAAATAATATTTAAGACATTTTACATATATCTTAAGCAAAATTTATTTTAAATATTATTTTTATATTAATTTTTAATGAAAAAAAACTAAATATATAACATAGTTATAACAAAAAATATGATTATTTACATAAAGGAAGTAATTAGGGGATTGATTGCTATAAAAATCAATCAATAAATTAAAATACCAATAATTAATACCTATTTATGTGATAAAAATTTATAAATTAAAAAAATTACTTAATAAAGATTTTGAGGATTCATTTGATGATTTTAATTGATTTGAATTTCCCTTTAAAAGTCTTTTGAGTATTTTTAAATAATTATAAAAATTTTAGATATATTTCAAAAATTATTTGTAAAATCAATTAAATTAAAACTTAATTGAAATTAAACTTGATATTAATTTATACTAATTATATGTTAAGCCAATTTGTTTTCATTTGATTTATGAAATGATAATTTCATTTAATTTAAGATAAATATAAATTTTTTTTTTCAATCAAGATTAAAGTGAATTTTGATCAACTTAATTATTACATACAATTTCTATTGAAGTTTTTATTTTTTTTCTTTCTAAAATTGAAATAAATAATTAAGTTACACTTTGATATTGATGTAGTTTAAAAATTCTTATTTATTAATAACCAAAACAAAATCCATTTAAATTTGGTTTTGCAATCAAAAAGTTTTTGAAATGAAATTTGGATTTGGTTTGAAAATAGAAAAGAAAGGGAGTTTTTGATTTTTTATTAATTTATATAAATTAATATAGATAAATATATATAAATTTAGATATATGTATATAATACTGATAAAAATAATTATTATAATAATAATAAACTTATGCAAAATAATAACATCTTTACACACTTCAAGCTCTTTGTTACTTACTATCTATCCTTATTGTTTGTTTTGCTGATTGTTAATTATGTTTGTAGCACTTTTATTTTGAATATTAAAATCATTTATTTGTCTTTGCTTAAATAATTTTTCAAGTGCTTCATGCTTTACTATATGAGTGATAGACGATTGAGTGATTATGAATTAGCAAAACTACTTTGGATTTTAATTTTTTGGAAGTTGATTTAAGTGCTTAATGTCTAGAAAGGTAAAAAGTGTGAACAATTTGTTATTCAATCATAATTTGAAATGGAGAAATTTGAATGGTAGTAGACAAATGACACATGTTTGATTAATTGATGGTAAAAATAAAAGTATTTATTAAGAATGGTGCTTTTATTTTAACTTTAAATGAAAGAATAATTGCTTAATTGGCTTGTTTGTTTGTTTTTTCTACCATGCGTTTGAGAGTCTGAAATAAGAATATTTGTATCAATTAGTTGCAAAGTGAAATAGTTTATTATTGTTGTTAAATATAATTTGAGTTTAATGCTAATTTTAAATTGTATTTATTTACTTATAGATAATCATATATGAGTGTTAAAAAGTTGCTCTTGGTTGGAGTTGATTGAGGTTAGTTATATTAAAATATGAAATTGACTTTTTTCTGTTTAATTGAGAAGAGCTAGTTGAATCATGAAATTGTATTTATTGATAGTTAATAATATTGGTTGATTATTGTTTGTAATTAATGATAGAATGATGATTAAATGATTCAAAGAGAGAGGTAAAGAGATAGAAGGTGAAAAAAAATAAATAATTAGATAGATAGATATCTTATGAAATGCATCTCTTTATTATAACGAATTAGACAGATATAAATGATATAGTTTAATATAGCTATCGTCATCCACAGAGGCAACATTAGATGAAGAAGAAATAATATGATTATTAATTTTAATTTAATTGCTAGAAATGAGAGAATTATATTATGGATATATGGGATATATGTTATAATTGAATATATCAGTGTTTTTTTCAGATGTTTTCAACTTGAGCATCACCACCTTCGTCGTCATTTTGGAGTTCAGAGGTCCAGAGGGTGAGGTTATCTCTGATTAATTGCATAATGGTGGTGGCATCCTTGTACTAGTCTTCTTCGATGTGTTCAATGTCAGCGATGGCATCATCGAAAGCTTGCTTAGCTAAGTTGCAGGCCTTGGTGGGGTCGTTCATAACTTCGTAGTAGAAGACGGAGAAGTTAAGAGCCAAACCTAATCTGATGGGGTGAGTGGTATTTAATTCCTTGGTGGCAATATCGGAAGCTTGCTTGTAAGCTTGGAGGGCACCGTTGGCAGCTTCGTCGTGGGTGTTGCCAGAAGCGTATTCAGCGATGTATCTGTAGTAATCACCCTTCATCTTTAAGAAGAAGACCTTAGCTTCGTTAGACTATTTATTTTAAATATAAAAGTTTTAATATATTTTGTCTATTCACATATTTTTAAAATATGATATCTGTTTAATCATGAGATATTTTGCGATTATGAAGATATTTTATATCTATTTGAAAAAAATTTTATTTGATTTTTATATTTTAGTTTTGTTAGTCCTTTTTATATAATTTATTTGTTTGTTTGAGTATCTTAGGTAGACTGATAAACTAACTAACTGACTGACTGATTAATTTGAATATTTTATTTTTTCCTTCTTGCTACTTGGTATTTCTAATTTAGAGTTATTTATTCTAAATATATTCGCTAAAAAGCTATTTGCTTTATAAAAATTGATGTAAAAATAATTGCTTAATTAGCTATCAGTCATTTGTAAGTAGCTTTGGTCTTCATTTACAATGACTGAATACTTATAACCTTAATTGAGTTATTTATTATTGGTAAAGCTTTAAGTTAGGATTTAATTTCTTTTTTTTTGTTTATCTTTTTATGTTTAATATAAATATGGATGAATAGAATTCTGTTCTTAAATCAGTTCCTATTCAAAGGATAGATACCTTTAAATGTCTTATGTACCTATTTAAAGCTAATGAGATTGTTAGTCAGTCAAACAGTCAGCTTTTGATATTATTTTTGTTATTTTCTACATCTCTAACTTGATTTGAAAAAGGTTTATCGCGGCAAAAGTATGTTTGTAATGAATGGGATACATTAAAGAAATGATGTTTTTGAAATTGAAAAATGGGTTTACGTTGCTCTTGCTAATGAGGTGGTTGTCCAAAAGTTCAAGAATATCGTTACAGAAGTTGGAGAGTTCACCTTCAATCTTTTTCTTGTAGTCCTTAAGGAGGCTGATGTGCTTAGAACCCTTAGATTCTTCCTTTTGTTCAATGGAAGAGATGGCTCTCCAGGCAGTTCTTCTGGAACCAACGGTGTTCTTATAAGCAACAGAGAGTAAGTTTCTTTCTTCAACGGAAAGTTCTTATTCAATTTTAACAACCTATTTCATGTTTTCAAGCATATCTTCGAATCTTTCAGTTTATTCGGAGATCTTGGCCAAGTAGATGAGTTCTTCTCTGGTATGGTTGGACATTTCTTTTGTATTTTATTTATTTATTTAGTTAGAGTTTTTCTTTTTCTTTTTAAATTCTTTTGATTTTTTATTTATTTTTTATTTTATTTTTCTTCCTTCAAAAAATATTTAAAATTTTTAAAATGTCTTTATTGCCTACTTGCTTTATGCCACTTATTCGCTTTTAAATTAAACCCCCTATATAACTTCTTATTAAATTAAATAAATAAATAAATAAATTATTCATCTTCCTTCATTCATTCATTTATCTATCTATCTATTTATTTCGTTCATGGAAAGCTTTCAATCATTTTTCATTGTGATTCTAATTCATAATCAATCAATCAATCAATCAAGTGATTGATTTTCAAACCAATTTGACATGTGCTGATATGATTTTTTCCCCCTGCAATTACTTCAATTTTTTTATTGCTTTCCATTTTATAAATTTCCCTCTTCCCAACCAACTCTATTTTACAGCCATTGTAAGATTTATATTAATTAATAATAACAATATACTTCCTCTTTTATAATTTGCTTGTTTAATGATTACTATTTTTGCTTGTTTGCTTATTTCTTTTCTCAATCCTTAATTATTTTTAGTATTATGCAACATGCATTCATTCATTCAGAAAACACGAGAATTTCCCCTTCTAAATTTTTCTTATGAAAGTTGAAAGTGTTCTAATATTCTTTTTATTCAAATTTACTGCTTTTTAGATTAGAATGATTAAATTTTTCTTTTCTTTCTTAAAATTCTTTTTTGTCATATTATTCAATTTCACTATATCCTGCCACCGTTTTAATTTCAAACTTACTTATTTCATTTTCCCATCTTATCAACTTCTTTAGTAAATTTAAATTTAGAAGCCACATCCTTCCTCTTGATATTTTTTCTACTTTTAATTGTTCCATAAAATATTATTGAACGCTATTAATATACCACAATCCATTCTGAACACTATTCTTAAAACCTACTGAAGCATATTTGCTATTTTATATATCAAAAATAATCCTATTAGAACTATTCTCATAAAGATACAAATCTTTCTGTAGGTTTAAATATTGAAATTGAAGATAGATAAGGTTCATAAAAATATCATTGTATGCAATTGACTAAAAAATTCTCCCATGTTACTTCCACAAATAAAAAAATCTATTTTTAGCTAATTTATTCTACTATTGAAATAGCAAAAAGATTATTTAACTACTTGACTATAATTGTAATACTTTCCTACTATTTATTCACAATTGAAATTACTGGAGAGTTTTTATTTGTTTCAAACAAATCCTAAGGAAACTGCTTTTGAATTCTTCACAAACAAAAATCAGTAAGAAATAAGAAGCACTGATTTTCAACTAAAAATTCTTTTAACTAAAAATAAATATTCTACACATCAAAGCTGACTTACTACCAAAATCATTCTACCAGATTGCATTTAATACCTAAGGATAAGCATAAATTTCAAATTACATCTACTTTACATCCGTTTAGCTTAAAGTATGATCTTAAAATGAATAATCTAAAAAAAAAAATAAAAAAAAGTTGCCATTACAAAAAAACAAAAATTTAATATGGAAATTACTAAAATAAGCTATGCAACTGATAAAGAGATAATCTAAAAATGAAGTAAGCATTTAAATATGTAAACAAAATATCTTTTAAGAATGTAAATTTGTTTAAATGAAGATACTATTTTAAAAATATCATTTTGATTTCAAAAATATTTTGTTCTACATTTAATTTCAATCATAAAAGTTAAGTGTAATAGATATTTTTATAGATAAAATAGCTAAATATAGTTTTAGAAATAGAAAATGTAATAATTTTAATATTTGTTTATGAATCAGCAATTTAAAATGATCTCAATAAATTTAATTTTATTTTTTCTTTTTGAAACACTAATAAACATATTATACTTCTCCTTATAAAAAATTAATTTGTCAGTTAAGGGTAAACTGATGATTTAATTTAAATAATTAGAGCTATCCATAGTAAATTTAAGTGCATTTACATATAAACTGAATATAAATCTAATTTTAATAATTCAATGAGAATCTTATTAAAGCCAATACTAATAACAATTTTATGTTTTTGCTATATAATCTATACCAGAAGTGTTTTAAATGTTTAAAGCTTCTGAGAAGATAACTCTAATTTGTCATCATTAGAAGAAATAATAATATTTGAATATTGGTTGTTATTCATTTTTGACTTAATTAAATGTCTTATTTAAATATTTCAGAAATTATATTTCAAATGCGAATAGATGAATTTGCATGCTTTTTATTTGAATTTTATTTATTTGTGATCAAAAACAAAAAGATACTAAAAAAAAAGCTAATATCTTAACTTTTTTTTGAATTTTTAAAATTCATTTAAAAGGATTTTTTTCAAATTAAATACTTGTAAACATAATCAAAACCATAAATTATTAAAATAAAAGTACAAATAAATTTACCTTTCATCTACTAATTATCAAAAAATATTAATAATAACCATTCATAAAAATGATACATCTGCAGTAATATTATTTATAATAACTTTTACTTTTTCTTCGAGAATTCTTAAAACAAATAATCACTATCATTTATTCATTCAAAAATATTTCAATTTTATCCAAAATCTAAATTTTTACACAGAAAATATATTTTATGAGAGAAAAGTTAAAATTTTGAATAATATGAAATGATTTTGAATTATTCTTACTCAAATTATGCAATTTTAGAAAAGTTCGTAATAATTTACTTATTAATTAATCAATCAAAGAATATTTGATTTTTTCAAAAAATATATGCGTAATTCTGTAAATTTTTTGAATTGAAATGTATAAATTGAATTTAAAAATAATCCAATATTTTGAATCTTTCCTTTCAAATATCAAAATACTCCATCAATAATTAAACAAATAGCATGAATATTACACAGAAAATTGCATTAAATTAACATTTTATATTTTAAATCATTATGGATAATATCTTTTTTAGAATCTCTAAATTATCGAATAGCTAATGTTATTCTCCATTTTTTAAAATTTAGAGAGCAATGTTATTAATTAATTAATAAAATAATTTGACTCATGTTTTTAAATTAGATAAATTTGAATTTCTTTTAAATAATCTATTCACTTAAACTATTTTTTTCAGTGAATATCCAAGTTAAATATGTAAGTTAGTAAAATAAATCAAAATATACGAATTATATATAAATGAAAATAATTAGCCAAAAATAGATGGCATTAAATGAATCTTTTAAAAATAAAAATTAATAGATATAATAATTAATATTATTAGTAATATATGCTATTAAATTAAATAAATATATAACTATAAATGTTAGTAAGCAATAAATCAGTATAGGATATCCAAAAAAGGAGTCAGTTAGTTTGTTACCATACTTTTAAATCGAAATAATCAAATTATAATATAAAAGATATCAACTAGAAATTTATTTAAATTTGAAATTAAACCTTAAAAATAGAAAGTTTTTCTTTTAATTAAATTTTTTGATTTTAAATTGTAAATTAAATATTTTTTTTGTGAACATCAAAAATGATCTTGTTAATTTAATCATAAAAAAATTATTATTTGTAAGATATATCTATTTTATTAGGTTAATTTTAGAAATAGAATAATTCTTAAAAATCTTTTATTTATTTCTTAAAATATTTTGATTTTAAAAAAAATTGTCTTATTTATTATATATTCCTTGTTCATTTTATTTAACACAATATTAGATACCATCCCAGAATAAAAAATCATGAATTAAATTGTGACTAACCAAGAATAATAAACAGTTTTGTTAACAAAAACAAACAAATATTATAATTATATATATTTTAAAGTTTTTAGTATATTATTAATAGCTTTCATAGATAAAGATCGCAGAATATTTATATGGGGTCAAATAACATTTCTGGAGTGACTAATATTGAGAATAATATTCCTGCCAAACGAGCAGTTTTAATTTCGTTGAAGATTTTTTCTAATATTGGTTTTTATGGTACTGTGATTATATGATTTATAGTTTCTTATAGTGCAAGAGAATATCCTAGATTCATTAGTTCAAAGTCAGTATAAAGAACTCCTTCCATGAATTATAGAGAAATCCAATTTAATTCTGTGCTTTTAACTACTTTGCTTCTCTTTGGTGGTTCAACATCATCAATTTAAAGCAATGCAGGGAGTATTGGAGGTTTTTCAGAGATAGAATTCTCAGATTAGATGCTAGGTTAGGGAATCAAATTGGCATTTTCATCCAAAGGTGATGGGATGTCTTCAATCTAAAATGGGATCTCAAATTAAGAGAAATACTAATTCTAGCACTATTTCATATATTTTGAGAGGTCTTACATTGGTTGATAGCCAAATTCTACATCATGAGCTAGCACTTAATAAATTTTTGGTATCACTCTTTATACTTAAAGCTTTTGTCTAGGATTTCTACGAGATACTGCTGTTTTAGTATTGAATTTATTAAAAATATGCTAATAGGAGTTTATTGTTGGGTTTAGGTGCAACTCATGTGACTCGCATATTATGTCAAGCTAATCTAAGATAGGGAACCTTTAAAGAGCTTTGGCTAACTTTATGAGACTGTTTGAAGTAATATACTCGTTATTGGTAAAAGTTAATCTCAGCTATTTGAGAGTAATGTCAATATTATTCAAACCATTACAGAAGAAGACAATGTCGTTAAATGTTAAGAAGCATGAATTGAAATTTAAATCTAATTTTTCTATTCTAGGGAATCTTCCTAAACTTTAACAAAGACGCAAGAGAGAGTCTCCTCTTAAGCCATAATTGAAGAAAAATTTCATTTGAATATCTTTGAGGTTTAAAAGTGGGCAATTGTCAAGAGCGAGACAAAAATTTTGCATATCAAGTATGTTATTGATTTTACTCCTTCTGAAGGGACCTTTGAAATTAAGTTTAAGCTACTCGCTCGTCAGATCTAAAAGTCTAGATTTCTCAAAATCATGAAGAATTTCCATGTCTGGTATTCTTTTTACAAGGAAGTAAAGAGTGATAAATTCGACTTCGTAAATGTAGATGCTTTTTATGTTTAACCTAATACGCTTTAGTCTATCAAAATAAACCAACTTATCAAACATTTTTTTAATGTCGTTGTAAGATATTTGCCAATTGCCACTTAGATCTAACTCCATATCTGTAATGTCTTCCAAGAAATTTAAAGACCTCTATATATCGACTAATTGATATGCAGATATTCCACAGTTAGATGCATTTATTTTTATAGACTTGGTATTCTTATCATGGTAGTAGATAATTTAGCTTTATGAAACAGCTATTTGAATGCAATTAAAATAGTCTTTTATTGTTTCACCCAAACAAAAAGCTTAAATTTATTTATCAAATTAGAGTTTTACTTATTTGTCTATATCAACAAACAATTTTAAAGTGTTTGCAGATGTGAATCTCCTAAATATCTTCATGAATTTTTAATTTATTTCTTGCTTGTTAGATCTGAAATCTATCGATAGCTTTTAGATTATTTCATTTTCCTGTTTAGTTTATTCCATAGAAATATTTGTTTAATTATTATTATTTTTTTAATTAGTATTTATTCCTTTTTTAATAAAAAAACTTATTGGCTTGCTAGCCAAAATATCTTCATCGTTTTCATCATAAATAATTTTATCTGGGTCTTATTGTAATTATTAATTTTTTGTTGAATTTTAAGATAATTGGTTTGTAGGAATAACATTTATTGCTGAACGAGTATTTATATATGTGAGTCCATCAATAAATTATGTTAAATCGTCTAATGTCATATTGCAGTTTTAAAATGAAATATGCAACTCAACTACTTCTTAGATGCATCTCCCTAGTATTTTGAGTTTTTCTTCATTTAGATCTGTTACACCGTCAAGTATAACTGAAAGGAATTTGTGGTTTGACTTAAAAACAGAATCAGATAAACTTAAAATTTCTGATCTGCTAATCGTTTTTTGGTCAGAGAAATCAATTGCTATGTATTTCTCTTCATGAGTGTATCTGTGAACTTTTTCATGGGAGATGTCTCCCACAATAATTTCCACATGAGGAACATAGTTGAAATCAAACAGCAAGAAATTTGCTCCTATTCTAGAGCAATTAGTGGAAACTAAATTAATCTTAACTCTTTCTAGCTAAGATAACTTAATAGCGCTTAAAAATAGAAGTGATTAATCATTGAAATATTTGTTCTCCTTGAAATTTAAGTTAAGATATTTTAAACATCTCATTTGATTATTAAAAATAAGACCATCATAAATCTCAACAATAATGTCATGAAAAGACAAATGAATTTCTACATATTGAGTTTATTATAAATAGCTTCTAAGCAGATCTCTCCAGTTATGCTTTTTTGTATTAAATTACAATCTAAGAATATTATTCTATTGAGGCTTAATACTTATTGTGTTTTCTGCATTAACATAATCATCTCCCCTTTACACTTCACCATTTTTTAAGATCAATGTACCCTTCCTATTGTTATTGTTATTGCTACTCATACTTAAAGAATTAGAAAAGGTTGACCTTCTTTTTGAAGAGTTAGAGCGAATTTTTTTATTCCTGCTGTTAGGAAGATCATCTCCCAGTCTGCTTCCTTGAATAACTTCAGTATTATTGTTCTGCCTTTATGTAGGGTGCAACTAGTTGGTGAAATTAAGTTTGTTAAGACTACCTTGTGTATTTTAAATACTGTTAAGAGCAGCAGAAGAGTTATTGTAATTATCGAAGAGATTATAGTTCTCATCTTGATCATCATTGTAATTGTAGTTGAATTGAGTGTATTGAATAGAATTTATATTTTCTTAACCTTCTTCTTCTACTCTGAAAATATTGACACTTCTTTCATTCCTATCAACAATTCTTTCGCCAGTCTTTTATTAGCTATTTTAAAGAGAACTTAATTCACTGAGCTGATTTACAAGCTTGTTGCTTGAATTTTAGTTTTAAGAGGAGGTTCCAACTATAGAGCTATTCAATATCTTTCCGCTTCTTATTCTGATAGAGGCCTAAGGTTTGAGACCATAGTTGTTTGAATTATTTAATTCTTGTGTAACATTCTAATTAATTGATTGTGATTATTCCAAGCTAATTAAGCTCTTTTTCCTTTAACCTCCATTAATGCTCTTAGATATTTTAAAATTACTAGCTGTTTTGTTTGTTTTCAAGCCTTAGCTTTTATTGGTACCTTCGTAAGGCGAATTATTGCCTTTGACGTTGTTTAATTAATTAGAGGTTGTTGTCTTAATGAGAGGAGAGCTATTACCATTATTGCTTTAACTCAAGCTAATTTAAAGATTCAATTAATTATTTGAGTTACTTTTTAATGAGTTAACAAGACTTCGCTTTAAAATTAATGAATTATTATTATTGATGCTACCTATTTGTTGTAAAGTGTTATTAGCATCTGCCTAAGAACCTATATTAAATGAACTAAATGGAACAGGAGATGTAGCTCTCGCTTTTGAAGATTTACTAACACTTCTCTTTTTCTTATGACTTCCTTTCTATTTAGTTGATGATGGTATTGTTGTTAAATTTTAGTTCGAATACATTTCATGTGGGTACTGCCCATTTCTAGAATTTGAAGTAGGAATTAAGTTAACTGAATAAGTGTTTTCACGATTCTTTTTTTTATCTTCTTATAAAATAAATTTATTAGTTCCACTTCCTCCTCCTGTCTACTTTTTGAAGGTATTTGGATTTTTAGGAGGTAGCTGCGGTATGTTATTAGAAAGTGTATTTATATCCTTTGACTAAAGTACAGATGTCTTCATTGAAAAATATATTAAAAATGTTAACTAGTTTCTATTGTTTTTAGTTTATTTTAATCCTAACGTTCAACTTATTGAATTGATTAAAATATTGAAGAGAGCGTTTATCAAATTAAAAATACAATAAGATATTGAATAAGTATATATATTTTTTAAAAGATCTTTACTTTTGAAGAATATTTAATTATTTAATTCTGTTGGAAAGTTTCTTTTACTGTGTTCATTTAATTGAAAATGCTTTGTATTTTTGATTATCTCATGTTCATAACTCTCATATTTATTTTACTAAAACTCAAAAATCACAAAAATTTTAAAAATAGTATTTGTTCATTTTTAAACGAATATGTTTGACATTCATTGTTCGAAATTTAAATAAACAATTTCAAAATTTCTTACATGTTTTAAATTTTTTCAAAAATAAATTTCACCTAAAATATTTTTATGTTTTTTACTGAACAAAACTTTTGTATTTTTTAAAAAACTAAACCAAAAAAAAGAAAATTAAGTTGATTATCTTTTTAAAGTTTTGTTTTACTTTTCTATATTCCGCCATATCAGATAAATAATTATAATTTCAGACAGATCGGATAATTTCCTACCACAAATCACCTTGTAAAGATGATTCTCGAATTTTTCTATAAAATGAACAAAAAATTTAAATATTTTTTGATAACTATTATTGACTACTATTAAAAAATAGTTCTATTACACATTTTAAAATAAGAGCATTCACTATGTTAGATAAAGTGATAAATGCATAATTAGTTTAATATTTAGTTTATTGAAAAAATAGTAATAAAATAAAAGTCAATCTAAAATTAGTTTGAACAATTTTTTTCAAATTTCTAAACAATTTTATAATTTCCACTTTGTTAAAAATGTTTTTATTTAAAAAATAAAATTAAAAAATATTTTCCAAATCAAATTTATTAGTCAATTAGCAATCTAACCAAACTAAAAAATATTATAGTGGAAGTATTAAAGAATTATATACAATGTTAATCCATAAAAAAAATCTAATTTTGCATTTTTTGCTAACAAATTTTATTTAAAAATTACATTGATAAATCATATAAATTCTAATATTAGAAGTAGAAAATCAAAAATAAATTTAATAACTAATATTAATATACATTAACTTATTGAAGGAAAAATAGATAAAAAAAAGAGAGGCATCATATGGAGAAGAGGATCCATAAATTAAATTCATAAATTTATTTTTTTTATATTTTTTAAAAAATTTGGTTAATTAATAAAAACTTGAAATGCATTTTTAATAAATTTACTACAAAATTTTCCTGCTTTTTTATTTATTTTTCATATAAATTGTTGTAACTGATTAATTTTAGAATATAATTTTAAAAATTGTATAAAATAATAATTTATAAAATATGTAATTTTGATAATTACAGATAATTCATTAGACTCTAAAAATATTTTTTTATTTGAATTTTATTTCATTCACTCTTCATAAATATATTTAAAAGACATTACTGTTTGGATGGATATAATAAATATATTATTAATTTCTTATTGATTTTGATAAAAATAATTTTTTATTTTTAATATTTCTTCTTTATGCTTGTAAGAGAATTTATCAAACCATTTTTCTTTATATAACTAATCATGATTAATAACTTTATTAAATTATATATTTGCTATCAGAGATTTATAATAAAAACAAGGAGACTAGCAAGCATTTGTTTTGAAGAGTTTAAAAGTATTATTTAATATAGGAGATAAACATATCCTTATTAATTAAAGTAGTATTTTGATATATTGATAAATAATGAGTTGCTTGTAAAGTGAAAATATTAACTCTAAAAAGGTTGATAACTTATTCAAGTGGTTAAATGAAAATGGAGCCACTGGGTTAGATTAGGTAGAAATAAAACCTTCTCCAGAATGCAATGGATCAATAGGTTGCTTTGCAAAAATAGAATTTAAGAAAGGTGATATATTAGCTAAAATTCCTAAAAAATGCATTTTAGGTTTGGGTTAGGCAGTTAAGAGTCCTTTGATAAGTAAATTAAATGAATATGCTTAATAGGAATATGGAAAAAAATTAGATAAATAAGTTTTTTCTAATGAGTTTATGCTTTGGATTTATGAGGGTTAGTGCTTGATTGAAGAAAAAGACAATCACTGGAAAGCATACTTGGAAAGTCTACCTTCTGAATCACCTATTGTATGCAGCTGGGATAACAATATCTTATAGAAAATATCTAAAACTAATTTAGGAAGTGCAGTAGAAAAGGAATTAGCTATATTTCAAAAATAAATTGAATTTTTATAGAGTATTTAATCCAAGTTTCCTGATTTACTTCATCCAGAAATAACAAAATATATTGAATGGAGTAAAGGCAATTATTTATCTAGAAGATTTGTTGGTAAATTAGCTATTGATGGAGAAGGTAGTGGTTTAGAGTAATATGGAGGAAAGATGGGTTGCATGGTCCCATTCTTTGATCTTTTAAATCATAAAAATGACCATAAAGTAAATTTTTAGCATGATGAAGAATATGTTTGGTATGTTTGTGAATATGATATCAAAGCAGGAGAAGAAGTCTTTAATAATTATTGTAAAGCTAGTAATGAAGAATTACTATTTACCTATGGATTTGCAGTAGAAAATAATTAATTAGATGTGTTGCCATTAAAGTTGATGGCTTGCGACAAGAAAGGAAAACCAAAAGAAATCGGTGTATTCAAAGTACAAAGATAAAGCAAAGGAGGAATCCCTAAGGAGTTATTTTAGGCTATGACTGGTGAAGAAGATATTTCTTAGTTGTATCCTGAAGAAGTCGATATGCTTCTTAAAATGGTTAAATAAAAGCAAATAGCTATAGAAGACGCTATTCTGTAAGTCTAATCTCTATTAGTCGATGGAAAACCCACTGATGTTAAGATAGAATACTTAATACATTACTTAAATGGCTAATAAGAAATAATAACTGAATCAATCACTTAATTAAAAAGCATTTAATTTGAAGAAGATGAATAGTATGAGTATCATTGATTATTCAAATATATTCTTTTTATAAAATTAATTAATTTTCATATATGAAAGGCAATTTTATCAAAAATAATTAAAAAAATTCAGTTCATGATAAGTAGTTAGAAATATATATTATGTATATTCACTCTAAGAAATATTTTAGTTTAAAAACCTTTATGAATATTTTATTTTTTTTCACCTCATTGATGAATATTTTTAAATAAATAAATAATTAAATCAACATTTAAGATAGGTTGTATTAGTAATTAGAATAAATACATTTAATTTATGTTTTAAATCTCAAACCTTTAAATAGCTTAAAAAACATACTTATAAAATAAATTTAATGATGACATTTTTATTTTCATTCATAAATTTTAATGCTATTTAAAATATTTTATATTCTAAAATACAAAGTATTGTTTGTTTATGAAGTAGTTATTTTATACTAAATAATTTTAACTATAAAAAGGATATATTTATATCTAACTTTACTAATATCTCAATAAAAAACATTTTACAATAAATCAATATAAAATAAATAATTAATATTTTTATTTTCATTGTTAAATTAATGATACAAATTTTAGTAATATAAAATATCTTTGCTTATTATATTTATAAAACCAGTAAATTGTTAAATATTATAATATGAAATGATATTGTTTTTATCATAATAAATAACAATTTAGTGTTAATTTTATTTTATTGTTTTAAAATTAAATTTATTTTAAATTATTTTTATTATATTTAAAGATTTGTTTACCTATTAACATATATCAATCTATTGAATTTAATGTTGATTATATCTTATTTAATTCTTTATTAGATTAAGGAAGCAAGTTTTACATATCATAAATCCTCATATATTACTCTAAAACCTCTATCAAAGCTCCAGTTCCCCTTATAGTCATAAAAAAAAGAAAATTTCTAGAATTAATATTATCAGACCTAAATATATGAGGATACGGCATATTCAAATATATTAGTAATAAAAAAATTTCATAAAAATCAAGATAAAATGTAGTAATTTACAAATAAAGCTAAGTCATTTAAACTTATTTATATTTTAAAACGATATTCATGATGAGCGAGTGGATGAATGAGTAGGAATATGAATCTTTTTTATTTATGGAAAAATAGAACTAGTTTCAGAAGAATCTAAAATTTTTCTTTAAAAGTTCTTTTTCTTGATAAGAAAGCTTCTATTTTATTATTAATTAAATTGTTAAATTTACAATTTACACTCATAAACAAGAAAAGAATAAATTTTTAATATTAATTAAATTAAAAATCTATTTAAGTTACTGAGAACTTAATTGATTTTCTTCTTTGAAACTACCAATACAGCACATTCTTAGCATTTCTGATTAATTTATATAAATTTAAAGATAATAAAATTATTAAAAAAAAAATTCATTGTAAAAGTGCTTGTAATCCTTTTTACTTTTTTTTTTGTGGGATTTAATTAATAAATTTATTATTTTGAACTTTTTTTAAAAAATGATAAATTTTTTTAAATATCAACTACCTTAGATATGGCGAATTTATTGAGACATAAATATTTAAGTAAATAAGTGAATTATTTAAAACATAGGAATTTTAAAAATATTTTTCGATATCAAAAAAATATTATACATTTGTTATACATGTTATTTGTTATATTTTGCTTCTTTAAACTATTACTGTTTATTAGGATATAAATAAAAGAGTAAATTAATTAAAAAACATTCTATATCATTCTTTGGATTTTCTTTTTTATTTCCATAGAACTCTTCAAAAAAAATTTAGTATAAATTGTTAATTAAGGATCATTTGTTCTTAAGAAATTTTATCTCTATTTGTATCAAATAAATTTCAAAGTTGTAAACTGATTATTATTTGGTTATTCGACTTTAAATATTTTGATTGAATTATAGTTAAAATAATTCATAATTCATAAAAAAAATTAAATAAAACAAATTAATAAAAAGTAAAAGTACATTCAAAATAGTTATAAATGGGTTGCACATCATCTAATGAAGTTGTTGAAGCTGATATTAAAAATGATTTATCACTTTACTTCCAGACAGGAAAAATTGGTTCTATTCAAGTTAAAAATAGATTTGTAATGGCTGCTCTCACTAGATGCAGAGCTAATCCTGCTACTGGTATTGCCAACGATATTATGGTTGACTATTATTCATAAAGAGCCAGTTTTGGAATGATTCTTACTGAATGCAGTTAAATTTCTCCTTTGTCTAATGCATTCCCTGGGTCTGCTGGTATCTACTCGAAAGAATAAGTTGAAGGATGGAAGAAAGTCACCCAAAAGGTCCATGAAAAAGGTGGTAAAATAGTTCTTCAAATTTGGCATTCTGGCAGAGCTGTCCTCAAGGAATTTATTGGAGGCGCTGATCCTTTAGCTCCTTCTGCTATTGCTATTAGAACTCCCCATGCTTACACAAAAGGTCCTCACCCTGTCCCCAAAGAAATGACCAAAGAAGACATAAAGAAAGTAGTTGAAGAATTCAGATAAGGAGCTTTAAATGCTAAAGAAGCTGGTTTTGATGGCGTTTAACTTCATGGAGCTAATGGATATTTGGTTGACTAGTTCTTAAGAGATGGAACAAATAAGAGAACTGATGAATACGGTGGAAGTATAGCTAACAGAACAAGATTCCTTTTAGAATGTTTAGATGCATTGATTTCAGTATTTGGTGCCGATAAAGTAGGTATCAAACTTTCACCTACTGGTAGATATAATGATATGTATGACTCTAATCCTAAGGAACTTATGAAATATGTTCTTGCTGAATTAGAAAAAAAGAAAATTGCTTTTGTTGAAGTTAAAAGACATGGATTTCTTGAAAGTTCTAAGGATCCTAACTAAGAAAATGATGATTTCGGATAAACTTAACCCAAAAAATAATGGCCTGATATTTTCTAATAAATTAGAAATCTTTATAAGGGTACCCTTATATTAAATGATGGAATCACAAAAGAAGAAGGTTTGGATTTACTTAAAAATAGATAGGCTGATTTTATTAGCTTTGGTTAGTTTGCTATTAGTAACCCTGACTTGCCTTATAGATTTAAATAAGGTTTAGAGTTGGCCAAAGCTGACTATACAACCTTTTTCACTCCTGGTGCTAAAGGTTATTCTGATTATCCAACTGCTTAAACATAAAAGTCATGATTAAGCAAAAACGGATTAGTAAAAGATAAAATTTTCTTTAAATTAACTTACATTTATATAAATAATAAAAAAATCAAACTAAACAAATAATTAATCAAATAAATTGTGTAGTTTTATGAAAATACATACGAATACTGTTTAATTCATATCATCTTAAAAATCTTTTGTTCATCTTAAAAAAATAATATTGATAATTATTTAACATATTTATGTGGATTCAATTAAATATGAAAGTTTTATTACTATTTATTCAATAAAGCAAGTTTATTTCAATGTATATTACTATTATAAAATGGAGATAAATTAGATTTTGATTTTTCCTTAAAAAGTGTAGACAGACAAAAATTGTATTTTTATTGAGTTATTTGCCAAGCATAGACCAAAATTTTTAAAAAAAGTGTAATAAAGTTGGTTTTTAATTTATAAAACTGAGTAGATTTTCAAAATCTACACGATTTCTTATCATCTATTTTTTTCACTATAAAATATTTTTTAAAAAAGACAAACAATAGATTTATAATATTTACCCCTTTATATAGCTAAATTTTTAAATAATTATTAGATTTCTTGTAAAAGTATTATAAAATTTTATTTTTCATTTAAGGATGTTAAATAAAGATAATTATCAACTTATTTACTATTAGCATTAACTATATTTATAGTACATTATAATATTTAAAATTTATTAAAAATTAAATTCATCACCATCAATATAGTAGGATATATCAAACTTAATTTTACATATAAAAAACATAAAGATTTTTTTAATGATGATATTTTTATTTTCATTCATAAAGGAACTTATGAAATATGTACTTGCTGAATTAGAAAAAAAGAAAATAGCTTTTGTTAAACTTAAAAGACATGAATAACTTCAACAATCTAAGGATTAAAATGAAGAAAAAGATTAGTTCGGATAAACTTAACCCAAAAAATAATGGCCTTATATTTTCTAATAAATTAGAAATCTTTATAAGAATACCCTTATATTAAATGAGGGAATCACAAAAGAAGAAGGTTTGGATTTACTTAAAAATAAATAGGCTGACTTTATTAGCTTTGGTTTACTTACTATTAGTAATCCTGACTTGCCTAATAGATTTAAATAAGGTTTAGAGTTGACCAAAGCTGACCATGCAACCTTTTTCACTCCTGGTACTAAAGGTTATACTGATTATCCACTGCTATTACATAAAAGTCAAGATTAAGCAAAAACGGATTAGTAAAAGATAAAAATCTTCTTTAAATTAACTTACAATTAAAAAAATAATAAAAAAATCAAATTAAACAAATAATTAATCAAATAATTTTTGCAGTTTTATTAATATATATACGAATACTGTTAACTCATTTCATCTTAAAAGTCTTTTATTCATCTTAAATAAATAATATTAATAATTATTTAAATTATTTAAGTTATTTAGATTGATTGTAATAACAGTTTTATTACTATTTAATCTATAAAGCAAGTTTGTTTCAAAATGTACGGCTATTATAAAATGGTGATAAATCAGATTTTTATTTTATCTTAAAAAGTGTAGACAGATAAAAAATGGTATTTTTATTTAGCAATTTAACTAGAATAAACCCAAATTATAAAAAAAATTTGTAATAAAGATGGTAGTTAATTTATAAAAATGCACAGTATTAAGTATTTACTAATTTTAGTTAATTTAAAATATACAATTAAATTTTTAAGAATTTATTAAATTTGAGTGATTTTCAAATCTACATTATTTTTTATGATCAATTTTTTTAATTGATAAAGCTATAAAATATTTACAAAAATAAGACAAACAAAAGATTTGTCATATTTCGCCTTTATATAGCTAAAATTTTAAAGAGTTATTAGAATAGAAAAAAAAAATGTATTTAGGAAATAAAAAGATAAATAGTAAAAGATTAACTAAATAAATATTTAAATAAAATCAATAGTGAAATTATTATTTTATTCTATTTAAAAATATAATGAATATTTATGCTTCTTTTCTTTTTTTCTTTGTGATTTCTAAGATTGTTCTAAAAGATTTTTAATTAGAAATTTTATTCGATTATTTACTTTTGGAATAAAAATTTAAAAATAAGTTTATATTTTTTTTATGTTTAATTTTTATTTATCTTTGTTATCTAATTTTGGTTTTTTGCTTTATTGCATGATTTAAATAATTCAGAAGATAGTATAATACATCGAATAAACTCACATTATAATTGACTTTATTTTATTAAAGCTAATTTTCTAGCCTGAATTAATTTAAGGATACAAGATTTAATTAGTAATTATATTAAGAATTTTCTTTGATACTTTTTTTATTCTTTAATTTTTCGAATAGAAAACTTTCAAGTGGGTAAACAGCGATGTAATTTTTAAATAAATTTTATTGTTTTTCTATCTTTTTTCCATTATTAATATTTTTTTTTTGTCATTTAAAAATTTTTATTCAGTTTTTGAATCCAAAATAATTTATTTATTATAAAATTTTTAAATAGCTAACTAAAAAACTAAATCAATCAAAAAACTAACAATAAAAAAAACAATATTTTCAAGATATTAATAATGGGTTGTTCTTCTTCAAGCTCAAGTGCAGTTTAAGAAATTAAAAAAAATGGTGCAACATTTTTCGATTCTGGAAAATTAGGTTCTATTGAAGTCAAAAACAGATTAGTTATGGCAGCAATGACCAGATGCAGAGGTGATCCAACTACTGGTATCCCCAATGACTTAATGGCTGACTACTATGCTTAAAGAGCAGATTTTGGACTCATTCTTACTGAATGCAGTCAGATTTCTCCTTTATCAAACGCCTTCCCTGGATCAGGTGGTATTTATTCAAAAGAATAGGTTGAAGGATGGAAGAAAGTTACTTAAAAGGTTCATGAAAAGGGTGGTAAAATAGTTTTACAAATTTGGCACTCTGGTAGAGCTGTTCTTAAGGAATTCATTGGCGGCTCTGATCCTTTGGCTCCTTCTGCTATTGCAATCAGAACTCCTCATGCATACACTAAGGGACCTCACCCTGTTCCTAAAGAAATGACCAAAGAAGATATTAAAACTGTCATTGAAGAATTTAGATAAGGTGCTGTTAATGCTAAAGAAGCTGGCTTTGATGGAATTCAACTCCACGGAGCTAATGGTTATCTAGTAGACTAATTCTTAAAGGATGGAACAAACCACAGAACTGATGAATATGGTGGAAGCATTGAAAATCGTGCTAGATTCTTATTCGAAGCTCTTGATGCTTTGATTTCTGTTTTTGGAGCTGATAAAGTAGGTATTAAACTTTCTCCTACTGGAAGATATAACGATATGTATGACTCTAATCCTCTTGAATCACTTAAGTATGTCCTTAAGGAACTAGAAAAAAGAAAAATTGCCTTCGTTGAAGTCAAAAGACACAATAAAACTGAAGTAAGCTCAAGCGAAAATGGTAAGGATGAACACGGTTAGACTTTACCTGAAGTTCAAATTCCTAACTTCTTTGATTAAATCAGACCTCTCTACTCTGGTACCTTAATTTTGAATGATGGTGTTGACTAAAAGTTGGGAGAGGAATTGCTTGCTACAGGAAAGGCTGACTTTATCAGTTTTGCTAAGCTCGCTATTGCAAATCCTGATCTTCCTAACAGATTTAAAAACGGTTGGGAAGTCGCTATGCCCGATTTCAGTCTTCTTTTCTCTGGTGGTGAAAAAGGTTACAATGACTATCACAGACATGAAGCAAAAAAATAAGAATGATATATATAGATTGATAAATATGTATTAAATATAATTAGTTAATTGATAATTTATTTTGAATTTTTCGTATTTTTGTATAACTTTTACAGATCTTCTTTACTTATTTGATTAAGAGATTCATTTAAGATTTTTTTTATTCTTCATTTGATTTTTATTTCTTTCAATTAAAATTTATTTTTATGGTGAATTTTTCCAAAACTGCCTATTTAAAAATTGAATCAGCCCATAAAGAATTAAGAATTATTTGCCAAAAAGTCATTACTAAGATTAAAAATAGCTCTCATTTATTAATAAATAATAAATTTATTGCCAGATTTTTTTATAAAAAATTTATAAATTTTAGGTAAAATATGATAAAAAAGTTAATGATTTATAATGGAAAAACTAAAAGCTATCAACATATTATGATCAAATAAATAAAATATAAGCTGAGTTGAAATTTATTTTAAATACTTAATGAATATAATTACATCATTTATTTCATATGACCGATTTCAATTTAGAATTGTTTATATATTTTTATTCAAATAAAATTAATTAATTAATTCCCTCAAATATTTCAAAAGAAAATCCCAAATTAAGCAAAAAATATTCTTTTTCTTTCTTACTTTCCTTTATTAAACTTTTGAGATGATTTAAATAAAAATTAGTTTTTCTTAAAGTTAGATAGATAAGATTATCTATTAACAAAATATTAGCTTATTTCTGTATTTTTTGTAGTTTAAATTTTTTGATTTTAACTAAAAGAAATCTGTAACAATTAATATTTATTTTTATAATTTTTATTCAATCTTTCATTTTGTTTGATATATAATTTTTTAGAATATAACTATTCTCAGATAATTATTTCTTGAGTAAGAAATTATATATTTAGTAGAATAATAAAAATTATTTTATAAAATATATTTTAAAAAAATTAAAGAAATTAAAAAAGGTTTTGATACAGGTTTTATTACCTGATAGAAAAAAAAAATAACTAAAAAATGTTTAATCAAACATTTAATTTTTTGATGAGGAAATTTAAATTTTTTTATCTTTAATTAATTTTTTTTATTCACATATAAAATGAATGAAAAAAATGCTTAACTCTAAAAATTAAATATTTGATTAAAAATTTAGTATTCTTCATTAAAAAATTAAATCCTTGATTAAACATTTTTTACTTATTTATTTTGTTTGTTCAGTTTCGAAACCTATTTTGATACCTTTTTTTGTTTTTTTTAATTTTCTTTAAATTATTATTCTAAATATTTATTTCCTACTATAAAAATAATTATTAGAGAGTAGAAATATATAGTTACAATATTATAGTTACAAAAATGAGTATTAACAAATTTAATTTATTATATCATAAAAAATAAAGATTAAATAAAAATAGAATCTAAAACTATAAAAATGAATTTATATGTTTGCTACCTAATAAGTATTTTTAAAATAAATTTAAATTAAAACCTAAGTTTTTTTGTTTACTTATTGTTCAACTAATTAATGTTAATTTACAAATTTTATAAACTTACTGAAATGTAAATAAATAATTTTATTATTATAAGCTAATAATAAAGATTATTTAGTCAAAGATAAAAAATAAAATAAATATTTATTTTATTATTTTTATATTTTCTAGAAATGTTATTGAATTTTAAATTCAATTTTTATAAGTTTAATTGTTATTCTTATTTTTCTATTTGTCAGTATTTATGTTCATATCCTTTTATTCTAGTTCTAATAAGATATTTTTTTCTATTTGCTACAAAATATTGTATATACATACACTAATTATAAAAGTAATTTTATATTAATTTTATAAATTTAAAAGAATAATTGAAGGTATTTTATTAATTTTAAATTTAAAAAAATTAATATGATTAATATAATAACCATATTTGTTAATTTGTTTAATTAATCATTAAAATTTAAATATTTTAGCTCGAATTTATTTATATTTTCTAAAAATAAATATCGATTTAAGATTTCAAATTTTAAGTTTAATAACTTTATTATGTTATTACTATTCTTATTTATTTATTTTCTAATTTTTAGATTCGAATTCTTTAATCCTAGTTCTGATTATATTTTTAATTTTGTTCTAGCTCATTATATTTTACCATATTTAGAGGGGAAAAAACTTATTTCAAAATTTTTATAGCTGAAATTGAATAAAATGAATGATTATTTTGATAAATCAATAGAATTTTCAATAATATATTACTAATTTAATATTTTCATAATTAGGTATAGACTACTTACTTCCTTACTATGTGTTAATAATTATTGATTAAAAATAAATATGATTTAATTTAAATTTTTTTTTTGTATTTGGTATTTTTTAAAAGTTCTAGTTAAATATGATTGAGGACATTAATCTTTTAATTGCTAAATTATTAATAGCAAAATTATTATTTATAAACTCACTCAGTCCATCCATAGGTATTTTGGTAATTAAAAATATAAATTAGTTGCTTAACTTAATTTACACTTAACATTTATCAATAGAACTAAATTGTTCCTTGTTTGTAAATATTTTAGCTTAGATATTTGTAGACTTACTTTTTAACTTTGGCAAAAAATCTCATAGGCTGAAAAGTTTAAAAAAATGAAAATACATTTATTTGTAAAAACGATAAGAGAACTTACGCTTTTTGAATAGCTAATAAATTCTTTGAATTAGCTAATAATTCAAAATTTGTCTATTTTTCTAGTACTAATCTATCAAAATTCTATTGGAAAATATCCTAAAAATAGATTGATTGATTGATCTTCTTTTGATCATAATTTCATTCAATTTTAGTGTAAATAAAGAAAATAAGATGAAAATTAAAATAGATTTGGCAAAAAAAACTAATTGAAGACAACTAAAGATATTTGATTTAATCAATTTTGTAAAAAGTAAATAATTGTAAATTATATTTTGTTACAAAAAATAATAAAAAACAAAAAGTAGATCTTAATTTGTTTATTAAAAATGGGTTGCGGTTCTTCTTAGTAGACAAATTAAGTAGTACCGATTGTTAAAAAAGTCAACAACTTATTTCAAGCTACTAAGGTAGGTTCTATAGAAGTTAAGAATAGATTCGTTATGACTGCTATTTCAAAGCTATAAATTGAACCATAAGCTGATTAGTAAGAAGATTATTTGACTGATTACTATACTGAGAGATCAGGCTTTGGATTAATTTTTGCTGAATACGATTAAATAACGCCTCTCGCTAGTTCATTTTATGGCTCTGAACATATGGACGAATAAGAAGAATAGATAGAAGAGTGGAGACGCTTAATTGATATTGTTCATTAGAAAGGTGCTAAAATTGTGCTATAATTATGGCATCCTGGTAGAGCTGTACTAAGAAAATTTAATGGAGGAGATTAACCTATTGCGCCAAGTCCTATTGCAATAAGAACAAGAAATCAAGAAATTTTAGAAAGCTACCCTATTCCAAAAGAAATGGATATTTAAGATATATAAGAAGTTGTATAATAGTTTAGAGAAGGAGCTATCCATGCAAAGAAAGCTGGCTTTGATGGTGTTTTATTAAATGCAGCTGATGGATATTTAGTAGACCAATTCATAAAAGATGGAACAAATTCCAGAAATGATGAATATGGTGGAAATATATAGAAAAGATGTAAATTTTTATTTGAATGCTTAGATGCATTGACAGGTGTTTATGGTGCAGATAAGGTGGGAGTAAAATTTTCTCCAACTGGCCGTGCAAACGATATGTACGATTCTAATCCTTTACAGTTAATGAAATACATACTCAGTGAATGTGAGAGAAAAAAAATAGCATTTGTAGAAATAAAAAAGCATTCCTAGTTAGAATTGGTTAAGAATAGTGGGGAATAAGTTGACTAATTTGGTTAAATTTCCCCAAATAAATAAATTCCTAATTTTTTTGAAGAAATGAGAAATGCTTATAGTGGTACCATAATAGCTAACGATTCCTTATCTTATGAGCAAGGAACTCAATATTTAGCATAAAGGACTTTTGATTTGATAAACTTTGTTTAATATACAATTGTTAATCCAGATTTAGTAGACAGATTCAAACATGGCTGGGAAGTGGCTAAATCTGATTATAGTCCTCAGATTTAGATTCGCAACAAGCGTCGCTCACAACGTTCAAGTATATTTGGCTTTGAAAAAGTCATCACAATTAATCAATGAATAAATATTTTTCAATTCAATATAACTAATTAACTAACTTAATAATTATTTATTTGTACATAATAAAATTAAATTATTTGAATTATATATTTTAATCAATCATCAATGTTTATATATATTTTATTACCTATTGAAAATATTCATTCCTAATTATTTTAAATTTGACTAAGAACCTAAGTTTTTTTTTGTTTTGATTTCATACCTAATAATTATATTTTTTATTTTGAAATGTAAATTTGATTAATAACCTTTTATAAAATTTGTTTTTAATTTGATCAGAATTATTTTTGATTCATAAAATTTAATTTAATGATTTAAATGATCAATTTGTGCAAGTTAGAAATATTTAAAAAGTTAATATTTAGGAATTTAATTCACAGAAATAAAATTGCTCTAAAATGTATTTTTTAAATCTATTAAACAAGTATTAAATATTTTTTAAAAATTTTAATGAAGCAAAAAAATACTTTTAAGTGTGAAGTAGATAGATAAATGTTATACAAATACCTAAAAATATAGAAACAAATCAATAAATTTTAGTTTTTTTTAAAGTAGGATTTATATAAGTAAGAGAAGACAAAATTTTTAGGAAAATATTATTGTTCATTTTTTAAGTTTTTTTGTTGAAGAATGTAATTCTTCTAATTCGTTAGCATATGTTTCACACAGAACTAAAACTTGTTCATATGGGTGGTTTTTAGCTAATTCTTTGATATTTTTTTGAAGGGAAACTTGAGATATTGCTGGATTTTCATGTTCGTATGTAATAATTCCTATTGGTTTAACTGTAGATTGAAGTACTTTTTTCACACGAGGAGGTACATTTAGGTCAAATAGCTTTGGCATAAGCATGCTTTATGTCATCTCTTCACCATCTATATTTTCTTCTTAGTCCATTTCATCTTTTTCAGGCATTATTCTTTTGGCTACATAGAGTTTCTTAGCCACGAGCTAAATGTCTTAAAGCTTGTTAATTTTGAGGTTAGCTGCATTTATAGTTAAGTTTTAAACAACAATTGGTTTTTGGTTAAGCTTTTCAATAAAGTATTAGTCAGTAATTATTTATAAACCTTGTAATTAAGGTATAACTCTTAAGAATTTTTTGAAAACAGCCATTAAGTTTTCAAGGGACACTTAATGGTTATTTAAGAAGCTTAATTTTATTAAAGTAAAAGGTTTTTACTCTTGTTAGTTTACTTATAGACTACTAAGAACAGTTTCTATGAGTTATAAAACCTAATCAGGTTAGAAGCAGCAGTAATTAAAATCAAGATTAAGAGAAACAAGCTCATTGTGTTAAATTAAGAAAGGCTTAAATTGTTCTTCAAAGAGTTCAGGTGTAAGACCATAGTTGTAATAGAAATTTATAGCTGCGTGTGTGAAAGAATAGGGGTTTTGTTTAAGCAAGTTAAGCAAGTAAGTAAATTTAATTCTGTACATTTCTTTGTCAAGAATGTTTTCACCTAAATGGTGAAGGAAGAGTCTAGAATATGAATCAGTTATTCTAAGTAAATTGGAGAGTTCAAAATCGTATTTGACTGTCAAATGAGGAATGTGGGAAACAGAAAGGTAGAGGCAAATAAACTCAACTTCAGAAATATTTGAGTTTTAGAGATTGAAATGCAACCTTTTAACGCTATTTTTTAAGCACTAAAGCTCATTGAAAAAGCTTTTAATGATTTTATAAGGTAGTTTGTAGTTGTTTGACATATCAAGAGTTAAATCGATTGTGTTCTTGAAGAAGTTTATTGCTTTTTGAATATCTACAAGCTAGAAAGGAGATATGTCTAAATAAGAAATAGACAAATAAACCTTGCTATAAGAAAGATTATGTTCATAAATGACTTGGTCAAAGTTTGTGATAAATTTCACATGATTGACATGTTTCAAGTAAGAAATGAAGTGGAAAGCATTATACTGTTCATATTATCTAAGTATTTGATTACTCTTGTCAAAAATTAATGTTAAGCTGTTGAGCTTCTTGAAATTTTGTGCTTTGAACATTTAGAAAAATCCTTCCTAAATTGCATGATTGCCTTCCAAATTTATTTCTAAGGTTTCAAGGAAATTGTTACCAAACACACCTACTAGTTATTCTCCCTCATTAGAATTTGTTTCAAGCAAACCGGTAACAAAACTGTGAACGTTTACTTCAGCTAAATTGCAATTTTTAAAGCTAATTTTGATGTTCTTTAATTTTGCAAAAATATGGCCTATTTCTTTTAATATTTGTTCATTCTGAAGAGTAGGAATTTAGTGAATTGGGGTAACGGCTTTTATTTGATGAGGCATGGTGTACAGCTAGCTCTATCTACGATGGACAGTACGGCGCTTATTTGGATTGCGTATTAAACTTGCATCTTCGGTGGCAGTAGATAGATAAGTATTTTCATTTAATTTGAATGATAAATGTGTTGTTTAGAACTCAATCAGGTGACGATTTAATTTTTGCAAATCACGAACTGAGATTTAAAAGTTTGAATAATCGATAGGGATGTATTGCTCTTGCTTATAGTATATGAGCTAATCGTTAGGAGAGAAGTTTATTTCTACTCTGGGAATGTAAGCAAGGTTGAACAAAGAGTAGTTAATCATTTATTTAGTATTTCTACTTCTTGCAAAGTTCAATATTAAATTTTGTAAATTTCTAAGCTTAATGTATTTGACAGCACCTAGTGTTTCCTCATTGAAATTATTAGCATTTGAGAAGCTCAGCTTGAGTTGTTTCAAAGAATCATTTTAAGATTCAAAGAGTACGCAATCAGTGAGCTAGACTTCATCATCTTCAAAGATAATGTCAATATTAGTGTATTTATTGTTAGCAAACTTATCACGTAGAATGTTACGGAAGTTCATTTCATTACGTAAGAAGGTGATTGAAAAAGTCTTTTCTTGAACTTCTCCTTATAGTTCTCTGAGCTACTTTTCTCTAAGTAAACGCAATTATTCCTTTTTTTATTCTAATTCTTGTATTTCTTCTAAAGTTTTATTTTAATTTCTAACCTCTTCCATAGCATTAATCATCTTAAGTAATTCTTCTTGTTCACCGAAACCATCAACTGGTTTTTAGCGAAGACCTCCAACCTATCTAGGATTCATAGGAGTCTCAATGCCTTCATATACTTCATCGATTTCATTAAGGTCATTAAGAGATTTGATTGAATTTTCCTGATCCTGTGACTCCATTGTGCTGTTTCCAAGGATGCTATTTTATCCAGATCCACACAAATTAGTATCAGAATAAACTTTTGGTTGGTTAACCTATTAAGGTTTAATAAGCTTTACATTTTTTTGATTCTAAGAAAATTCTATTTTAGCCTTCTAATCCTCAATGAAGCCTTCTATTTTATTGATTTCGCTCAACGATTTTTACTTCAATTAAATTGGATCAATTTTATTGGCACTGCTAGCTCTGTTCTTAGTGAGACCATCATTTCCATCAGATATTTTTTAGACTTGAGCATTACCTTTTACTTAAATAGGAGCTTTGTTATTAATTGTCTTTACAGGTGATATATTTAAGCCGTTTGACTTTTAGGAGCTACTACTTAATTCTCTGCTGTTTCCTCCTGAGACAGAATTGACTTTTAATACGTGCAAATTTCTCTACTAAGGAGGCTTAAGTCCTAAAGGATTACCCTTAACAGTAGTAGGAGCCCAATTGAATTCAGTAGTAGATAAAGATTTTGAGGTTGAGGTAGGCTAAATTACCTTGGCCTTATTGATAACTTAAGCCTTGCCATTAGACACATTCATATTAGTGAGTGTTTATCTTTCAATACTTTGTGATTTGATAACTCTTCTATTCATTTTGGTAGGATTTTAGAGCTTGTTTGAGTTAATTTGTTTTTAATATTATCAATGAATTAAATTATGATGTTATTTATTTATTGTTTAATTTAATAGAAGGTATGATTCTACTTTTATTAATTTACTTTTTTGAGTTATGAATGATATGAATAATAGTACCTATCTATTTTTTATCTTTGCTATCTAAATTAATTATTTCTTTGGTTAATTAAATTATTTATATATTTATTAATTAGCAAAGTCTGTTTAACCTTTGGATTTTTTGGTTCAGCGATTGACTGCTAATTCAGCATAAATCAAATCAAAATACTACTTGATTAATAATTGATTTTATGTCATTTTCATTATAAAATTGCTACTATTTAACTCAAATCTTATTTTACTTTTCTATATACTGACCTTGTATTTAAAATAGTAAAACAAATTTAAATCTCCTTAAATTTTCTAGATATTAATCCTGATAACATTTTCATCCTGATAAGCACAAATAAAATTATTTTTGGCTACAATTTATAAAGCTCATCATAACATTTATAAATAATTATCTATCACTTATCATATAATAAATAATTATATTAATAATCTCCTTCTAAACGGAGTCTCACTTAGCGTTGATAAATAAATAAATTATTGCACACACAACTCATACACTGGACTAAAAAAATTATTAAAATTTTATTTAATAGAACATAAATAATATATAATAATTATTTGATAATTGAAATTCAAGCATTTATAATAATAATTTAAAGGCTAAGGACTTTTGATAGGGATGCTATAAGTACCCAGCAAGGATGAATTCAATATAAATAAATAAATATTAGCAACAATAAAACTAATTCATAAAATAATATCAAAGCAAGATTTTCAAATGAAGCATCTCTCTTTTTAGATGTTGGACATTAAGAATTTTATAAATATTTTTTAAGAAATTGCTACTTAATTCAAGTGTGCATTTAAAAATACCAAAAAAATATCAATATAAATAGAATAATATTGACAATTCCAAGTAAACAAAAAGTCTAAAGACGAAAAGACAATTTTTGAAAAAGTTCATAAAAAATGCCAATAGTTTAAAAATGAATTTAAAAAATGCATAGATTTCATTTAAAATATAAAATATTTAGGTTTTAACATAAATTCAAGCAATATACTAAAAAAATTGAAAAGAATTTTCCTCAATATCTTTTCTAAATTTACTCTATTCTTTATATAAAAGTGAATAGTATTCTTTGAAAATTTAAAAAAGGAAGATTCTCTTTAATTAAATTTATGCTAATTAATAAGTTTAATTAGATATTATGAAATTTTATAATATATTTCAAAAAAAAAAACAATAGAAATATTTTACATCTTGAAACATTTATTGTAATATTTATTTTTAAAAATAAATAAAGCAATTTTTCTAAATATAATAATCCTTTATTCATTATTAGTGAAACAATAAATCAATTTTTTAAGTTCAGTGCAAAAAATAAGCAAATTGACTAACTAAAATTCAATTTTTTTATTTATATAAATATCTTCTTTTCTAAAAAAACCAATAAAAAAAATAATTAATAATGTAGATATGGAATCGAAAGTATTGATATCATCAAAATTTTCCATTCATTTTTATGATTTAGATGTTTGATTCACACATTACCTATAGAATAATGTATGAAAGATTACACTGTTGGTTGAGATATTTATGAAAAAAAAAACTATCCTAAAAAAATGTTTAAGTTTCAATGTAGTATAAAATGTTGAAAGTAATTTGTGGAAGTCAGATAAATATTATAAGCTGTTTATTTTTTTAAATAAATATGATAAAATGTATAGTTTTTTACTCCATAAGAATTAATTTAAATAATTAACAGATTAAAAACAACAAACTTTTACTAAAAAATACTAAAAATAAAATTAACATCAAAATTACCAAAATAATATTGATATTATTCTAGATATTTTTTATTTTATTAATTTTTATTAAATTAAAAAAAAAATAAATTCACCTTTATTTTTAATTAGATTATTTTATATTAAGGATTCTATCTTTTTCTTATTAATTTTTAGATATAATAATCTTAAAATCAGAGTTAATTTTACTATTTTTTTCAAATTTCTTGAAAAGTAATTAAATTTAAATGTAGATTCTTTATTTGTTTATTAAAAATATTTCATGGTAAACATTTTTTATTTTTGATGTGATAATATAAAATAAAAAGAGGGCTACAAAAATATAAATTATTCATTGAAAACTCAAAACTTCAAACTTAAATGAAATAATCCCTAATACAAATTTCATTATTTATATAACTAACCTCCTATCCTAAAATAATTTTAAATATTTATTTGATGTCAAACAAATCTTTTTTTACAAAGTGATTTTTTTATTACTTCTATCTTTTAATTTCTTCTTACTAAAATTAATAATATAAAAACGATCTTTGGAAATAATTTTCTGACTAACTTTTCAAATAAATAAATTGGAATAATTTGTTTCTTGAGTTGGTTTTGAGATTGTTTAATAAGAAAAATTATAAATGTAATTTGTAAATTGGCTTAGACTTTAATTTATATTGTTGATATTAGAAAAGATAAAATGAATATTCTTCTTGTAGGTTTTTTTTATTTTGTGAAAAAAGAGGGCGAAAATCTATTTTCAGAGTTGATGAATAAATAAATAAATAAATAAATAAATAGCAGATTTATAAATTAATTTTTATTATTTTAGAAACTAAAATATTACTCATGCTAATCCTTATTATTTATTAAGTGAAGAAACAATTTAGGAAATATTATAATTTATAAATATTTGTTAGTATTTTTTTAATTTGAATGTTAAATGAATGAAAATAAATAAAAAAAAATCTAATAAATTAATTTTTTAAAGTAAATGAAAGAAGGAAGATGTTTAAAATAAAATATAAGTTAATAATTTATTTAATAAAATGAAATTATCATTATACAATTAATTAAATATATTTATATCGGTAAAATATACTTGCTTGCTTTCACTTTAAATTAAATAATAGTGAATTTTGGCATTTGATTGGATCACCATCAATATGTGATATAGTAAGCTTTGTTAAGTTTTCTGATAAAAATTTCTTTTCTCTTTTTATTTCTTCTGCTTTCTAATCATTTTAATTCTCAAAAAGGAGACTATTTAAATGCTTAAATTTCATCTTACCAAATAGATCATAAAATTAATTTTCAACTTTTTCCAATTTTGTTGATTTATCTAATTAGCAAATAATTTAATCCAAAAGAAAATTTAAATTTCTCAAAAGAGATTTAATATAATCTTTTCTTTCTTATTCAATTTTTTTTAATATCAAGTTTTCATTTGATCTAATCTCATTTTAATTATTTATTTTCACATGAGATATTTATTTTTAAATTATTTTCATGAAATCGTCATTTTTACACTCATTAATGGTTTTTAATTTGTTATGAAGTTTTTCAAAGTTCTGACATGAGTTAAATAAAAGCTTTCTTTCATCTTCAGATTTGGTCTATTTATTCAAGAAAATCAATGCAATAGCATAAAATTTATACATTTTACAAAAGTAAAATATCTTAGTATCATGCATAATTTTGGACATGCAGCTTACACCAATTGAAGAGTTTAATTCTTTTATTTTTTGTTAATGATTACTTCCTTTGAATTATATTGATTCATATGTTTCATCATTTGCATAGTTTTAGTTGAGTTGATTACTATTCTTGTCATTATTATTTTATTCTACTATTAATATGCCTTAATGAATCATATGATCGAATGACTCAAAATCGCCTATTATACCTTACACTGAATTTCCAAAAGAGTCATAATACTAACTATCAGACTCAGATCCTGAAGTTTCTGTTGTGGTATTTCCTTCCATTTTAATTGTTTATGTATTGATTTCACTAACTTATTTTATTTCTGTTAATTTTTCAATTTACTTTTTAATTATGCCAATATATTATTTAATTATTATTTCTTTTTGTAAATATTTAATAAAACCAGGTCTTTGAAAATTTTTTAAGCTCCTAAACAAAAAATTGCAATTTGATAGCTCTCTTTTCACTTTAGGTGTTTATTTCAAATGGTTTTCATCTTCCGAAAGAAAATTTTAAATTCTATTTCATTCTACCTTCAATAAGTCTACAAATATTATTAAAATAGAAACTGATTTAAGAAATATTTTAATCAATTCAAAATAAAACCAATAAGCATGTAATAAATTTATCAATTAATTAATAAATTTTTAAAATACAAATTAACAAAAAAAATTAATTTTTTTATTGTTTATAAAATATTGATTTATTATTTATATTATTGCTAATTTATTTCTACTAATTTTTTATAAATTTTAAAACATAATAATAAGCTATTTTTACCATTCATTTTTAATATTAAAATGAATTAAAATGCAAATGAATCACCTAAAAACTAAATGAAAAATGAAGAATAAAATTTCAAAAATTAAAATTTGATATAAAATACCACTTTACCTTAACCAAGAAACTCTATCTATGTAAATCAAGCTTAATTTTATAGAATTTTTCTTACTATTTTACCTAAATTATTGCAATTTATTTTTGTGATTATCTGTATTTATTATTTCAAACTTTTAAAAAGAAATGCAGTACCTTATATAAAATGACAGAAACACTAAAGGCAGCTTCAAAATCATTAAAGGATGGTAAGGTAAACAAAAAGAACAAATGATTCATTTGTTATCTTTTGTTAGAAAGATAAATCAATGAATTCTTTGACTAGAACTGAATTACTTTTTATTCTACTTTAATATTTACTTTTTAAAATAAAAAGTTTATATTTGACAACATAGTGAACTTTGGTTTCATCTAAAAGTTTTTTGGAGAAAACATAGAGGATGAAAATATGGCTGTTTAGGTATTTATTGAATTTGATTTATAACTCAATCTCATTTTAAAAAAATGATGACATAGTTCAGATTTTTTAGATATTATTAATGTTAATAAACTATATAAAAAAATAGCTTTGTAGATAAATGGGATGCGAGGAATTTAAAAAAGGAGTTTGCATAATGAAACAAGGTGATGAGTCTAATGATAAACTGTATGTAATCATTAAAGGAAAGGTAGGAATAGTTATAGCAAAGGATACTAATATTTTTAAGAAGGTTAAATTGTCAGAGAGAAGAGAAAGGACAATAAGCTTAGATTTAGATTATTAAGATATTTAATAAGTGGTTGACCTATACGGTACAAAAGTCAATGAGCTCTCAAAAGGAGACGGGTTTGGAGAAAAAGCTTTGCTTCTAAAGCCTTAAGTAATATTAAAATATTTTGATAATAAATATGAATTTTTTAAACTAAAAATATCATCACTAGGATGCAAAAAGAAATGCTACTATTATAGCTTTAGAAGATACTACTTGTATTACTGTATTGAGAAATGATTTTTTAAAAATATTAGAAAATTTTAATAAAGAAAATTAACTTAAAGAGCAGCTTCTATACGCTTAAATGCCTTTTTTAAAATTAATAACATCTACAAGTACAAAAGAAGCTTTGATGCTTTATTTTAAGAACCAGTCAACTACTAGGGGGAAGTGTTTAACTGAGGAAGGTAAGCAAGGTGAAGATATATTTATTTTATAGTAAGGTAAAGTAGTCATAGAAAAAAAATTTAAGAACTGTAATAATATTTACTATTCTGAGTATTAATCAGTTAAGCTTACAGAAATCTCTGAACCAACTTTTTTGGGTGAGGAAATACTTTTTATTGACTAAGAAATACAGGAAGTATTAAGTAGCAGTAATAATAATAAACGTGGCAAAAACCGTCAAAAAAATTTAAGTAATAGTGACTTAGAAAATCAAAAAAACTTATCTCAATCAACTGAAGATCTCACTCAATAAAGCTATAAGTATACTATAAGAGTAGATTCATTATTGTGTAAATTCCTAATCATTTCAAAGCATTTCTTTTTAACTAAGTTTCCAAAAGAAATTCTTTTAGAAATAAAGTAAAATTATATCAAAAAAGAGTAAATAAGGTAAAAATATTTTTTATAAATCAAGAGAGCAATTAAAAGTTTATTTTTAAATTACAATAATTTTTTTTATTCAAAATTTAACAATAATAGATCATTAATTAATAAAATTTAAATACAATTATGTAATTATGACTAAATATTTCAATTTAAAAAATATATACCATAAAAATTTTAACCTCTCTCTTCACAGTTAGCAAAAATAAAGGAGAGGTTGAGTGATATGATAAAATAAATGTTTTTATTTGTTTTTTTAATTAAATTTTATTGTACTATGAAATAAAGTATATAGTTTTATGATTTAAGAGTTTATAACATTAAAGATAATCAAATTTAAAAATATTTTAAATTTATATGATGAAAATTTATTTTTATTAGATAAAAGGTTTTTAATTAGATGAAGGACCATAAAGCAGCAATTTCAAATATTGCTAAGTATAACATTGAACCAACATTCCATATGATGAATGCCATATCTAACAAAGATATTTTTTCTTAAATGTAACCTTAAATGATTGAAAGTTACAATAAAACACTTCTTAAAAAGTAAGAAATTATAGAGAGTAATATTCATAAATAAAAAATTGATAATATCGAAGAAGAATTCAGAAGTGTTTATAGGCCAGATTAAGAGAAAAAAACTGAAATTATCGAAAAGAAAAAGGTGCTCTTATAATAAAAATTAAAGTAATAAAATCGTTAAAAATCAGAAGAGAAATAGCACAGAGACTCATTAAACCAAAGACCCCAAAGCAATCCATCGTCTTAACGTTCTAGTCCTTTATAGTCTCCAAGAAGCAATAGAAGTCCAAGATATAGCACCACCTCTCAAGAAGAAAGAATAAAAAAAAGAGTATTATCAAGCCATTCAAAAAATGAAAGTGTGTTGACAGAATGCTAAACACCTTTGGAGAAACTAAAATAGAAAGTAGAAAATTTTCAATTTACAATAAATTTAATTTGAATACATAAATTATTAGAAAAATAATGATGGATCACTTAACATTGTAGAACTAGCTTAAAATTTGAAATATAACAAAATTTAAATTGATGAGGTATCTGTTACAGACATAATGGGAGAAAACTACGATATCTATGAAAATCTTGAGGCTAGTAGATTACTTACAATAAAATCTTAACAGTCAAAAGAAAAGTAAATGCAAATAGAGCAGTTGAAAGAAGAGTACGAGACTAAAAAGGTTCAGCAAATTTTTCAAAAGATCTAAAAAGGAGAAGTTTAGAATTTAGATTTAGGTTATTTGAATTCTTTTAAAAAGTAACAACATTACAAGCTTGTTCAGCTAGGAAAATTGAAAGTAGAAACAAAAAGCAATATCAAAAATACAATAAATTCTTTGAAACTAAGTTAGGATTTAAAATAAAAGATAATTAAGATGAAAAATAAACAAAAAGAAGATCTCCAGCAGGAAACATCTAATCTAATTTAGAATATGTCCTACTTAACACCTTCAAGTTAGTTGACAAAAAAATATTAAAACTTTTTATTTTCATCAGATGTTTCTAATTGTGACAACTTTTCAGAATATATAAGCAGCATTAACAAATCCAATCGTCAATTATCAAGTGCATTTTCAAACAAAAGCAGGATTAGCTATTCCCCATAGCAAAATTCAAACAGAAGTTCCTTTACATTAGCAGTATTCAATCATTTATCAGATAGTTAAAAAGATTCAGTTAAAACAAGTGAAACACCTAGATAAAATTAGCCTGACTTAGAAGGGTTAAATCAGCTGATAAATAGCTCTCTAAATAAAGCAAAGACACTGAATTCAGTATTACAAAATCCTAAAATACAATTTTCCGCATATCCAAGGACATCAATATTTTCTAGGGATTTAAAATCGAGATAAGTTATAAGAGCTTAATCATAATCGAGTAAATTATCATTATATAAAAAGCTAATCTTAACTATTATTTTAAAATTTTCAGGTATCAAAAGGCCAGCAACTTCTATAAATTAGAAAGATTCTTTAAACACTATTTTAACCAAAGACACTATGCTTGAAAGCCCAACTCGAACTGAAGAATATAGTTTATTCTTTTAAACAAATACGTCTAATTAGAATTATAAAAACACTGAAGAGTCTATCAATAACACACAATAATCTCCTTTTCTTATCAAAACAAATAGCTCAAATTCACACCGTTTTACCTTTGAAAATATGGGGTTATTTAAAGGCGATAAAATTAACAACTAGCAATCACAGGGTGGCTATTTTTAACCATAGCTTAAACATACCCGTTAAGTCTCTTGTTTAACACAGATTGGATAGTCGAGCCCATCTTAATAAAATTTTTATACTACAACTATAAAAGAAAAGGAATAAAAAATAGCATAATCTCCAACTATACTCAATAAAAAAAGATTGCCATTAACTTAAAGCAGTTAATTTAAGCATAATGACTTTTTAGCTTTGAAATTTAAGTAAAGATAATAGCTACATCGCAGTCACGAATAATTAAAGAAAAATTAATAGCTTATTAACTAAAATTCTAACAGTAGTAAAATTAACCAATTACAAAACGAATACATATTAATTACTAAATGACTTATTAAATCTTTTAATGATTAAAACAAGAGTGAAACAAAGACCTTAATAAAATTTTTTGCTAAATTTTAATGATTTAAATTAAAAAAATATTTTCTTTTGATTGATTTTTTTTTAAAAATATTTTTCAAAATTTATATTTCTCATTTAAAAATAAATATCCTATTTTCTTAAATGTGTATTAAATAATTACTTTTACTTTTTATATAATTTGCTACTTTTCTTTTATTTCATTTTTTAAGATTTCAATACAAATATTTTAACTAATATAACTTTGTATTTTGTTAAAGATTGATTAAAAAAATTTAAAATAGTGTAGAAAAATTAATATACTTTGAAATTTAAATTTATTATAAAGTTTAGGACAAATATTTTTAGCATACCTACCTATATTTATACAAATACTAATTTTTATAGAAAGTTATTTTCATAATTTTTATCATCTTAAAAATATTTATTTGTCTTTAATTCCAATTAATTACTAAAATATATATGAGCTTTCATTTTTGTTTTAAATTAAAATTTTATTATGGCTATTAAAATTTAATAAAATATTTCTTACATATTATTTTACTTAAGTTTTTAATACTTTTACTGACCTTTTAATAAATCTTAATTGGACTATTCATTCATGCTTTTATGCTTTATAAATATCTATTTTAGGAAATTAAGTACTGACCACTAATTTATTGATTACTAATATATGGATAATATTAGATATAACAAAGATAATTTACCAATTGCTAACTAATACCCTATATTTGAATAGATAAAGGATTATATCCGTGAAGTTAGATCTTATTATTTTCAATTCCATTATAGCTAATTCGTATTCTTCGCGAAATTATAAAAAAATTAATCAAGCAATCAATAAATTAATAATTATTTAAAATACAAGTAAAATATAATTTAGCTATACTTTTTAATAATTTTTTCAAGCAAGCTTTTTAGAAATAAAATAGTAAGCCCAAATAAATGCACAATTACACTAATTCATTTGGAGGTGTAGGAGGAATAGGAAAATCAGGAAGCAATTCTATGCTTCCATGCACAAACTGCTTTAGAACGTGATAACTTTTTTTAAAATGCTTAATACTAATGAATGTAATTTACTTAAATAATTTAGATTTAATCCTGCTACTCTAGCGCAGCACGAAAAAGTATGTAGGCCAGTTCCTACAAGCGCAAAAGGAGGACATAAAGGTTTAGGGATGACCTAATCAAAAGGTTTTATAGAAAAGAATTATAATTCCAATCCATAAATACCTGATTTTTCAAACGGTAGATCCTCTGCATTTGGTTCATACCAAACAAAGGATACAAACATCTTTTCCTAAGGTGGAGGAGGTGGATATGGTGCCTCAAAAGAAAAAACTATTCCATGCGGATGTTGCTTCTAAAAAATTCCTTCAAGCTAATTTTAAAAACATGAAATCGAATGCAGATAGGTTTCAATGAATAAAAAAAAAGGAGGGAACAAAGTAGTTGGTGGTGGTGGTGCAATGAACAGAACTACTGCAATCTCAAGTAATAGAGTAACAAAAAAAGAACCTGAGCCTGAACCTCCTAAAATGATGTAGAGGCCAATCTCTCTCATGTGTAAGCTTAAATTAAATAGAATAATTTTATTATTAAATTAATCTAAATGTTATTCAAAAATTTCTTTTACTCTAGGTTACATTTGTGGCAGAGAATATGGAACTAAAAGTTTGCCAATTCACTTAAAAACTTGCTAAGAAAAATGGGAAGTAGAGTAGTCAAATAAATCATATAAAGACAGGAGACCTATGCCTAGAGCTCCTCCTGGCTTTGACCAATTACTTGCCAAAGATAAAATTACTAGAAAAGATATTGATAACTATAATAATAGAGCATTTGATCAGTATAACTATGATGTTCTTGTTCCTTGCGAGGTAAATAGATATTTTTAATCAACAAATTTTCATAAAAATATAATTTCTTTCAAATTTAAAAATATTTCAAAATAAAATAATTTATTTGTTTAAATAAAAATAATTAGAATTGCGGTAGAACATTTAAACCTGAAAGTTTAATTCCTCATTAGAAAAGTTGCAAGCCAAATAATCCTTTAAAACCAATGTCAAATGCATAGAAGTAGTACTAAGAAGAGAAAACGTATGCTATGAATGGTGATTTAGACTTAGTTCCATGCCGTAAATGTAATAGAAAATTTGCGTCAGATAGAATTAGTAAGCATGAGTCTGTATGTAAACCTGGACCCACTAAGTAAGCTTTGAGGAAGTAAAAAGCACTAGAATTAAAGAAACAAAAGTTAGAAAAGAATGATAGATTCTATGAATAAAAACTAGCCAACAATAACTGGAGACAGCAACATGAAGAGTTTTAGAATTAATTAAAATATATGAGAAAAGTTGGAAATGTTGAAAAAAATGGTGGTGATATACGCTCACTTCCTCCACCACCTAAATCTAATGCTATGAGAAGTAACATGAAGCAGTGTCCACACTGTCTACGTAACTTTAGTGATGAAGCAGCAGCTCGTCACATCCCTAAATGCAAAACTACAATCAATAAACCTAAACCTCCACCAAGTTATTAAGCTAAATAGGAGTAATCTTATTCATCAAAGCCTAGTTATGGTAATTCATATGGTGGCGGTGCAGCCAATAAAAGAGCAGTAAGTTACAACAGACCAAGTTATGAAGATTTTGGTGGAGATGATTATGAAGATTAATATGGTGGTGGTGGAGCTAGCTATAGCAGTAATAAATATACTAGTCCCTAAAGTAAATACTTAGGAAGCTCTAAATAATAATAATACAAAATAGTGAATTCAAATACTAGTAGTGTAAATATCTTTAAAGGATCTAGTGGAGGTGGTGGAAGCCAGTTTGGAGGAAATGGTGGTACAGGAAGAGATTCATTCTAAAAATACCAAAATATGGGATCAAAATATTAAAAAACTCATGACATGCTCTATGGGATTGGAGCATTTAGTGGATAAAACGGTGCAAATTAAATAATTACAAATTCTTCTGCCTTCCCAGCTCCTAAAGGTTTAGGAGGAGGAGGTTTTAGATGACCAAATAAACTAGAAAAAATAAAAATTTATAATTAAAATAAAAATATATAAAATGTATGAAGAAATTATATTAAATTTGAAAAAGCTAAATAAATGTTTTTTCTTAAAAACAAACATAACCTGTAGTTATTATTTATTTTATATTGAAATTGTCATTCATATTCACTGCTTATAATTAAATTTCTTAAATTGATTTGGTATGAATTATTTATCATATTTACAAATAGTAATTATCTTACAATAATAAGAATTAAATAATTTAATTAACTTATTAGTTGGCTATCTTACAAATGTTGTAAAAAAATTCAACATATTATAAAAAATTAAGACTTAGGTCATGATTAATCTAAAATAAAAATTTATAATATACTGTAAATCTGTAAATGCTGATTAATTATGGCATTTTTTTCTTAAATTTTTTTTTTTTTTCGATTAAATAAAACTATTTTTTTTAAAAAAAGGTTTGGGAGAAAGGTAGTAGTGCTAATTAATGAGAATATATAATATTCTTATGAAGATTTAAAAAAATGACTAAAGATAAATATTTTATTAACATTTTATTGAACATTAATATTTGCACTTAATTTGATAAATGTAATTTTAACTATGTAAACTAATGTAATTTTGTTTTTAATTTAAAATTGAAAATAATATACTGATACAACGTATGATTTGCTTCTTATGTTTAAAAAATAATTAAGATGCTTGAATAAAAATTCTTAAAAAATAAAAAAATAGATTTTTTTTTAAAACAATTTTATTGATAAAATATTTGAAAGAGTAAATAAATAATTTGATTTTGCTTAAAATTCAAGAAAATTTCAATGAAGAGTTATTAAATGTTATTCAAAAAATACTAAGATTATAAAGTTTATGAGTAGAGGTCATTTTATATAAGGAAAAAAAAAGAAGCAATAAAATTGCCAAATAAAGTAAACTTCTATTGAAGACATTTAATGAAAATTAATTAGTTCTTGCATTTTGTTAATAAAAACCAAAAGTGAAAAAAAATAATAAAAAGAGTGTCGTATTAATAGAAGAAGTATATAAACAATATTTAATAATTAAAGCTCTAGTCAGTAAATAGGTGAAGAAGGGTATAAATAAATAAATAAAATAAATAGGAGGAAAGTGGAGGAGATTCTAATAATTGGAAATAATAATTTAAAATATTTTTAGTGAGCAAAACACTAAAGGAAGTGCAAACAAAATTAGCAAATATCTATCTGAAAATTTAGAGAATTCATTTTTATAAAAAATTTCAATTAAACTGCAAACATTAACATTCAAATATAGTTAGTTAGATAGTTAGACATTTAGATTCTATTGCAATTACATTCAAAAAAATTTGTTTGAGCTAATTTGATGGTAATCAACAAGCGAATTTTACTTTTAGCATGTCCTATTTTTATAGTTATAGCGATATGTCTTTCTGCAGTAGGCTACTCTTCCTTTAAATCCTTACCTGATTTACAGCAGTTCATTTAATAAGGCCATATTTAGTAACAATTAGGTAGTAAATCGCGAGATATTTAGTTTCTTGATTTCTCTTTAGAAGCAGGGTATTAGGAAAATTTCAAATAAGTATTTGCTCTCCGCTCTTATTACTATCAAATATTAGAAAATAATGTAACTCCAAAAAACCCAGACATAAGTTAGATTCAAGCTCTATATGTGAGCCTTTTGCAAGACCAAGATCCTAACTTTCAATAGAATAATTAATCCATTTATAATAAGATAAACAACGCTTCCTTATAAGAAATACTGCAAGTAAAATAAGATTTTAAATAACTATTTTCAAAAGAAAGTTTTAACTCAATTTTAATATCTAACAAAATATTTCGAAAAATATACAAAAGTAAAATTAATATGCTATTTTTGAAAGAAAATTAACTTTTATAAATTTTTTATGACAAATATTTTTAGCATATTAGAAACAAAAATTTGAAAAAAGTTGGTTAGTCTCTCTCCTTGTCTCTTTCTATTATCTAACCAAAAATTCTAAATGATAAATTAATACATTTTCTTAAAGAAAAATATTTTAAGTGTTTAAGTTTAAATTTTTCAAAAGAGTTTATCTGCCTTTTAGATGAAAAAATTTATGTTTTTGGGGCATGTAAAGAATTAATGAATGATTATTAATTAATTAATAAATAAATAAGTAATTTGATCAATAATAAAATTAAAAGTTAAAGGCTATTTTTTTATAATTCAAATACCTTATTTTGTTTAAAATTCTACATTTTTGTCAAGACATACAGACGACAAACAAATTCTTTAATTTCATTTTTATTCAAAATATTTTTTATCTTGTAAAGGTTACTGGATGGGACAATTTATAAGAAACAGTATTTGATAATGCATCTAAAAAATACTCAGCACAGTATTCTACTCTAGCTAAAGATGTCCTTCTCTTCGGGGTTCTTATGAAAGGTATTTTAGCTCCATATTACCTTTAGTAGTAATTATAAGACACTAGCGATGGGTCTTCTTATGATCTCATTTATACAGTTGGTATAACATATCCAGGATTAAATTTTACAGTTTTTTTACCTCTTCCAAACAGCACTTAACTTACAAATATTAATTAGCCTGTACAAACAACTAAATCTAATTCATGTCCTTCTATGCTCACTGGAAAATATAACTTTAATAATGTATGTACTGGCTAAGATGCTTCTCTTTATGTTATAAAAGATTCTTATTAAAATTATCAAGGCGCTGGTGGTATAAGCTAAAAATTTAAGGTGAATGATAATGTTGATGCAATAATATATGCATAATTTTAATTACAACAAAAACAATCTGCCTTAAAATAATCACTAATAAACAAAGATTATGGTGACTTGTTCTTAATACTTGACGATGATGAATTGACGTTGCTAGCTTTTGATGATACAACGCATTAAATGGATTAAAGTTTTAGTTAGAATCTCGTTCTTTAGATATTTGGTTAAAATCCAAATCCAAATGAAGTAAATGAATTTTAAGTAAAATTATTTATTATGCAAGAAATTGTTGAATTACCTCATTCATTCATTCATATTTACTTTTCTATTTGTTAATATTTTTTTTAAAATCAATTAGCAAAACTTCTATTAAGTTAAAAATGGCATAAAAGATTCAAAATTAAAAAATTAAAATGAAAAATATTCAGATCCTCCATAATAGTTTTCATATAAAGTAAATGGAAAAGTCTATTACATAATATTTACACCTATCGAAGTTTATCCAGGTTAAATGGGCTCTGATGGGTAATTGGTTATAAATTATGCAGAAATACTTTTCTATCTTGGTTATATTGTTTCAGAAAGTGATTTGATCCAAGGATTTTAAGAAACAAACGATCGATTAAACTATATTGAATTAGTCTCATTTATTGTTATCAGTGTCATATCTTTTATTTCAATTTGCATTGTAGGCAGATACAGCTATATGATATCTTACTCTTTCCAAAACCCTATTATAACTATGTCACGTCTTATGTCAGAAATCGACCCTGAATAAATAGACTAAGAAGACTAATACGAAAGCTATTAAAATTACTTTACATCTGATGAAATCAAATCTTTATTCGAAGCTATGGTTACGCTTCTTAAAAATTTTAAGTACTCAAATCAAAGGTAATTCTAAAATATTTTATCTTTATCTATTTAAGAGATAAGCTCAACAAATAGCTCATTAAATTTAATTAATTGTTGATTAAAATATCTCAACAAATAAATTAATCTTTTATAAATAAAGTAGATCATTTCTATAAATAGATCTACTTAATAATTAAAAATAAATAAACAAATTGACCAACAAAAACATAAAAATAAACTAATTTAAAAATGTTTAATAATTAAATTAATGATTGATTGATTTATAAATGCAATTAATTTAAATTTTATTTTTTTTTAATATATTTTTTAAGCCACAATTTTTATAAATATTTTTAGATTTCATGATGATGATGCTTTAACTCTATTAGAGCTCTCTAGGGCTAAATAATTTTATATAAAATTTGGTAATTAAAATGGTGTTGGTATTTGCTGTAATAACATAGGGAATATCCATTTAAAGAATAATCGTTATTTAGAAGCTATATCTGAGTACCAAGAAGCAATTTTAATGGCTACCATGGAATATAATATTACTAAAGAAGAAATGGATAAGGAAAATATAGAATATAGAAAGAAACCTCAATAAATTATTGATGTTATTAACTAAAATAGCCCAAATAGATCGTAAAGAATGAATGGGAAAAAAAAGAAGTAAATTTACTTATTTAGTTAAAAATATATTTTATTTAGCTAATTAATATTTAAGGACATTTTTAGCTGGAAGCAATCAAAATCCTTCTTCACCACTTAAGAAACCAAATATGCTTTCTTCTTAAGCCAGCTCTATGAAGCAGTAAAAGAGGAATTCTAAAGATGGTACTGTCATGAAACCCTCTCATTTCCAGAATGATGAAGATATTTAAGAAGATGATGGAGATATAGAAAACTCTCAAATCGCAAAGAAGAGAATGCCCGAACAATTTAATTAAGATAACACAAATGACAATACTATTTATAGAAAGAAGAAAGATGATCTTCTCATGAAATATGACCTTTCTAAGACAAGACTTTTAAACAGAAAATATTAATTAGGAGTTGCTTTATTTGAATATTCGACATAATAAAAGGATGATCTCTATCATGAAGCAATAAGAGTGTTCGAAAAATGTATTTCCCTTTCTGATTCAGCAGATCCAAGAGATTTTGATGATGATTTAGGCTATAGAAGACCCTCAAACACAACTATAATTAGAAAAATACTTATTTTAACTAAAAAATCATATTGTCACCTGCGTCTTGGAGAATATAAAAGAGCAGAGCTACACATTTAAGAAGTAATTTTATTTGAAATTTCAGAAAACATTTAAATACGATAATATAAGTTAAACTCTTAAAATTAAATTTAAATCATTTTTAAAAACAGGCTTAATAGTTATATGAAGAATTGCTGCTAGTTCTTTAAGAAGAAGATTTTCATGAAGAAAATACTTCTTTGTTCTTAAATATCTTTGCTTAAATTCCTCCAGAAATTCTCTTATCAAAAATTAAGCTGTAATAAGCAATTCTTGAATTGGCTAAGTTTAACTTTAGGAAGGCTGCTGACATACTAACCAGAATTATAGAAGAGGGACAAGTATATGACTCATAAATTAGAAAATATGCTATGATGCTTTTAAAGAATATTATGGAAAAGTTTAACTTAGAAATACCTACTTTGATACCAAAGCTTTAAAAGTTCAATTTAAGAATAATAGAATTAATAATGCTAATTGATTACTCTAAAGATATGACAGTTGATCAAATTAAATATTCCCATGCAAGATGCAGAAGTATCTTTGATAAAATAGATAAAAAGGATAAAATTGGATTTGTGCAATTTAACGAGCTAGTCCATGAAAATTTCCCTTTGTAAGAAAAAGAACTTTATAATGATTTGTTAGAAAAGAAAATTCGTTCCATTCCTATGAGTACAGGGTAATTAATTAATTATTATTGATTTACATACAATAGAAACATTTATTTTTTAAGTTAAAATTACTTTTTAAAGAGTTCTTTTTTAGGAATGCTCATGTGAATTGCCAAAAATATTTGAAATTTAATTATATTTAATTTTATTTGTTTGAATAATTTATTATTATATAATTTACGTTTTATTTATTTCAATATTTATTTTGAAAAATTTTCTAATCGAATATTTTAAATAAAAGAGGTAAATCTAATTTGTACAAAGCTCTTGATGTGACTACAGGTTTGTTTGATAAATGCTAATAAATGAATAATATTGAAGATAATTAAAAGAAGAGCACACTTGATTAAGAAAATAATGAAAGACTGAGATTCATTTGTCTTTTCACAGAAGGAAATAATTAAATAAAAGAGGATTAATTAGAAGCTATTAAAGAAAAAATGAAGAAAAAATAAGTAAATCTAATTATAATCAATATCTGTAATTAAAATGCTAACATGCTCTATTTGCGTTACTTAGCTAAAGAAATTTCTGAGCTTGGGTAGTTCTTCCAATAAGGAGATGATGATGTTGAAGAATATTTAAATAAGCAAAGAGAAAAATAAATAAAACGCTAACTAATTTGTGAATATTTCTGATTTTTTGCTCTAAATCTCTGGGATCAAAATAATAATTTCAATAATCTTAGAATAGCTTGTATATAGAAAGCTTGCTAAAAAAAACATTTGATAATATATATTTAAATATAAAAATTTAAATAGATAAACTGATTCAATCACTCGCTCACCTACTTATACTACCCATAATTAAATGATTTAAATAATAAAGTAAATACTAATAGAAATAAATAGCTTTAATAAACATCTTTCATTTATCTATAAAAATCAAAATATTGTAAATAATTTGATAATGAATTCAAGAATTAATTATAAAATAATCAAATGAATAAATAAATCAATAAATAAATAAATATCTTAGTTTTGATAGAAAATCCACAAAATAGAAAATTGTAAAATAATTCATAATTTAATAATAAAATTAATCAAACTAAAATTAATTCATTCCTCCAAAGTTATTCATAAATTCCCTTTTATAAATTTCTAAAAGCAAAAAGTGATAGAAAAATATCTATTTGTATTCAAATTTATAAGAATTAAATTATTTTTTTACTGTTTTTACTTCATACTAAATACTAAATATATTAATAAAATAATCAATTTATTTATTGATTTATTCATAATTCTTTGTTATATTTATTTTTGTTTACTATAATTATCATTAAAGATTCTTTAAATTGCTAATTTAACTTTATACTAAAATCAAAATTTCAAACCTTTTTAAAGTTATTAGTAAATTTTTTAATTAGAAAATAAAATCCATATATTAACTTATAATTCTATTCTTCACAAATTTGAAAATTAAAAAAGATTAATAATTTTATAAGATTTGTATAAAGCTATTCTCGAGTAATTATTTTACTCGTAGGAAATATATTTTTAATAGAATAATAAATATACTTTTATAAATTAAAGAAAATTTGAAAGAAATAAAAAAAGGTTTTAAAATAAGTTAGAAGAATAAAATAACTTAAAAATATTATATCAAAGATTTAATTTTTTAAAAAATCAAAAATTTTTATATCAAGCATTTAATTTCTTTTAATAAAAAAATAATATTTATTACTCTACTAAATATATATTTCCTGTTTAAGAAATAATTAATTATTCGAGAATTGTAATATTTTCTTCCTTGAAAAAATTATTAAAAAATAAAGGACTTTGTAAAAAATAGTGATGTCATTTCACTAGATTTTATAAAGGTATTTAGCTATTTTTGTTTATATATTTATATTGCTAAGAGTATACCTAATTTAAAAATTTAATTTTTACTTATTTATAAGTGAGTTCGTTAATAAAAAGATATTTTAATTAATTTTAACATAATAGAAATTTAAATAAAAATATTTTTAATTGAAGCGAACATAAAAATTTTATGTTTAATTAAAATTTATATAATTCTTTATTTATATAAAAGTATGATTACATCAAAACTGTAGTATAATAAAAAATTTAAATCTATCAATAGAATTAAATTTTAACTTACTTAGAAATTGAAAATATATTTCAGAAAAGAAAAATAGAAGTATTTATTTATATAATAATTCATTCATTGTTATTAGGTATTTTTATTATTTGATTAAATTAACTAAACTTATCTTAATACATTCTCAAGCTGTTAAACATCAATTGGTTTAGTTATGTAAAATTTCATACCACTTTATTATGCTTTTTTTCTTTCTGCATCTTAGCTATAGGCTGTACACGCTGATATAATAGGTGGTTTAACAATTTATGATGAGAACAAACTCAAAATTTCTTTAGTTGTTTAGTGACCATTTTTTACAGGCATATCGATATCCATAAATATAAGTTTATAAGTTTAGCAACATTCTAAATTTGTCAACTTTTTTTAAACTAAATTAATAGCTACAAAACCACTATTAGCTTTATCTACCTTAAGGTGATATTATCTAAGAAGCCTCATTTCTAGCGAAATCAAATTAAAATCATTATCATCTACTATGAGAATTTAATTACATGAGCACTATTTTTGTTTCCCTGAGAATTCTTATTCTTAAGAAACAATTATTTTTTTATTTTCACCTTTAGGTGAGAGTTAAATATTTTTATTTTCTGGAGTAAAATATTTTTAATGGCTTAGACTTACTAAGCTAACAATTTATTCATTAGCTGTTTCTTATGGCTTTTAAATTTGTTGATATGAACCTTCTGAAATAATGGCTACTGAAATTTGGCTATCTTTATTTGATAAATTATTTTATGATTATATACTTTTAGCATTGTCTTTTTTTTAATTTTAATCAGTTGGCACCATAGAAATTGTATAAGAGTTCCTTTTTTATTTTTTGTGTGATTATTTTTTATGCATTTGATTAAATTGCGGGCTAGGAGGAATGACACCGCTTCCTAAATCATTCATATTAATTTTACAGATGCTGTTTGAATTGATTTGATTCATAGACTAATTTTAGGCAACATTGCAATAAACATTTTATATAGCGAATGAAGTTTTAAGAAAGTTTCTTAAACTCTCTTGAATATTTATTATTTCTTAATCATAGCCAGATCCTTAACGATTAAAATTAGAGTATCTCTTTAGGTCATTAATCGAATAAATATTTTCATCGTATTTAATTTAATTTTTTATATCTTATTATGCAGAGTTTCGATCTTTATTTTAATTATTTTTGGCTTCATTAGTAACGAAATGATCATCATAAAAAGGTTCTTCAAACTTCTTGTAAGCCACTTCTATTTACATTGTTTATGGATTTTATGGAATTCGTTGTTCGGATTTATCAATAATGACGTTGCAAGAATCTGAATGAATAGAATTGCTTATTAAGTCTCTATGATCTTCGTTTTTATAATTACAATTATATCCTGCAATCTCTTCATATTCTTTAACATCTGTTTCATTTTCTTCTTCATTCTCTTCATCAAGCTCATCTTCTTCCTCTTCTTAAACTTAATTTTGATCTTAATAAATTAGCTAAAAGCCTTACTACTACTATTATTCTAAAATATTAGCAGTTTATTCTAAATTTATAGTTTCATTTTATCTTGCTAGGAATGAATTGGGATTCTAATTTGATTGCAAAGACTGCAAAGAATGTGTTTAATTTTATTCTGATTATATTGTTTTCCAAGCTTAATAACTTTTTTCAAATGCATGACCCTAATTTTGCTTAATTCCTTTTGATTTGCTTGGTTGATTAATAAAAAAAAATCTAAAAGATGATCCTTTGTTTATCTCGCTTTCTACAATTATCGATCTATTTCCTCCTAGTCCTTGTGCTAAGTGATTCGCTATAGTCAATCCTATTCCAGCATTTTATGATAAACATGAGCTTTTATTTATATTTGTGTTGTTTTACTCCTCTGCTTCACCAAAAGACATGCTATTTAGCTTAGCAAATATTGTATTCACTTCTTTTCTTGTGATGTTCTCACTTATTTCTATATTTTCTTCACCAAATATTGATGAACGGTAATTCTAAGAGGATCTTTGATTTGTAAATTGTTAGGACTTTTTCATAGTCAACGATGCATTTTGCATTAAGTTAGCTTTAATTGTTTAAATTGACAGGCTTCGATTTTTCCCTAAATTATGAGACATCTTACTCTATCTACTGCTGCTTTTAATACTGTTTGAGTTTTAAAATCCTTTAAATAATTAAGACTTCACTTCTGGCGTTATACCATTTCCTGTATCTTCCACTGAAATCCTGATGAGATCTTATTAATAATTTTCTGCTGTTATAGAAACAAATCCTTTATCGGTAAATTTGATAGCATTACTTAGTAGAGCGAGTAATACTTATTTTATCCTATTTTGATCTGAATGCACTAGCTGAGGGATTAGTGGATCAATATTTACTAATATTTCTAAATTTTTTATTGTGGCTTAAAGAGTAAAAAGTTATACACAATCTTTTATTAAATCTCTAATGTTAAAGGAAGAGAAATACAGTCTAAGCTTACCTGAGTTTATTTGAGCAAAATCAATTATATCATTTATCATGCTAAGAAGTAGATAGCTTGAATTAAGAGCAGGATAAATAAACATTTTCTTAACTTCGTCAGATATCTAAAAATTGTGCTATGAGACAAGAGTTTTTGTAGAGACACTTTAGTTTTCACTATGTAAGAGTAGCTCTAACATCTAAATAGAGCAATTCAAGGGTGTTCTCAATTCATGTGAAAGTGAAGAAATTACTTTGTTCTTGAAGTTGTTTAGTTCAGATTCCTACAAAGAAGTTAAAATATTTTTTAAAGGAATTATTTCAATTAGCAAAACCATTTTAATTTTTTGGCGATTCAATCCTTTTTGCTAATAAGCTTTTTATGTTAAAAATGAGCTCAATTTTAAATAAAATGGCCTTTCTTTAGACTTCTTGTCTGTTTTCATATTTATCTAAAAAGAAATACTATTGCCTTAAAGGATATAATTCTGTTTTTATTCTAATTAAGGATCTCTCTTTTAATCACTTTCGTTATTTGCACAAATATCTGTATCAGTATGAATAACATGTCTTTTCCAAAAGTCTTTCCAATAATTTTTTTCTAATAATATATCAATTATAGTTTACAAAGTGCTGTCTTACCTATTCAGCGCCTCTAGCAGTATTTTACACTCAGATATGTTACCATTTTTAACAAGTTTACCATAATTTGAAAGACCAGATGATGGTTACTTTTTCAATTTGTTCTAAAATAACTTTTTATTCTAATCCTCTTCAAAAAAATTATTTTTACTAAAAGCCCCATTTTCGGAACTTTGGATCTTGCTACTATCATAAATATCTTGCAACTCAGAGTCAAAAGATTCTGATGATGATTTATTTTATTTAGTATTAGTAATATTTTCAAGTAGGCTGGTATTCCTTGATCTTATCATAGATTATGGTTATTAACGAGTGTTGCTGCCACCTATACTTTTGGTATTTATTTTTTTCTAAAATGATTGCTAATTTTTAATCCTTTAATTAAATGTTTCCAAAAAATTTTTAAATTATTAATTTTGATCATCTAATTTGGCGCATTCTTCATTTTGATATTCATCTAATTGAGATCTGGAGAAATCTATATGCTTATTATTATTATTATTGCTATTTTTTTAAGCTTTATTATCTTAATTTGATAGGTTTAAACCAAGAATGATTTCAAAAATTTATTAGCTCTTACAATTTTAAATTAATTATTCAATTTAATCATTTTAATAAATGATTTTTTTTTTGTAGTCTATCATAAGCACGCCTGCAAAAAGAAAGTTTAAAATGTCCTTTTCTAAACTTGTTTTTACAGACTATTTTAATAAAAGAGTTGTTAAATTTCTTTAAGAATTCCTTTTTTATCTCTAAAAAAATGTGAGATTTCTCTTTTGAAAGTTTTTTTATCCAAAACTTCGTGAGTGAATTTGTTCTTACTAAATTAATTATTCGTTCATTTCAATAGATTAGCATATTCCATGATTTTATGAACCACTAATATCTAATTTTTTAGTAAGTAAAAGTGTATTTTTAACTAGAGGTTTAAACTCTATTCCACTTTTGGCCAAACTTTAGTCATTTTAAGCCATTGGATATCCTGAAAAATCTTAAATTTTGATTGTATCTTCCAAATTAATTGTATGTGAATCTTGTTGCTTCATCATTTATTGGCTTTAATTTTACTAATTATTAATTTTTTCATTTAACGAACATGATCTATACTCAAAAAAAAGTATAAATAGAATACAGAAGCATATTTCAGAAACTAAAAACATTTAAGATAAAGAAAAATCTGAAGAATATAAACTTCTTACAAGAAAGTAAAGCAAAACTAATATTTTGATAGCATTCTTAAAAACTTTTTTAAAGTTAGTCTCATCTATGCTAAATGATATTTTATGTAGAACTAATATGTAGGCAATTAAAAATTAAATAGTTTAGAATTAGCTTTAAAAGCAATTTTCTATTAGTATTGAGGAAAAAAGTATATCAATAGTGAGCAAAATATATTATTTTTTAGATTTTAACAGCAAAGCAATAATACTTAGAGCTAATTAAATACAAATAAGATAAACTTCTACTAAATTTGACATATCATCGAAATAAAATACCTGGAAAAGCATTTTCCACAAGCTTATTATATTTCCTAATAAAAGAAAAATATATAATTTGTTACCATTTCCTATATATGGCAAACTGCCTTTTTTATCACTCTTTAATTCTAACTTAATTTGCTATTACTTACTCTCCTGCATACTCAAACAATGTGTTAAATAAATCAAAAATGTTTTTAGTTTATTTGTTAATTAACAAATCATTATAATTTTATTTATATATTTATAATTGAAAAGTGGCAGAAACAATTCATAAAATTAATCAGAATTTTTGCAATATAATTCACTAATTTTTGATCAATAAAATTATTAACAATTATTTTTATATTCCATTTTAGTAATTATTTCTTAGTCATTTTTATGCTATGGTTCAATAATAAGCTTGCTAACAAAATTTACTTAGCTTATAAAAATTAATTTTTTTTTCTTAAATCATTATAAAAATCTAAAAAAAGAAGGGATTTTCATTTTATAAATATTATTTCTAACAAAATTATTTTTTACTTATTCATAAATTTTTGAAGAAAAAAAAAAATTATTCTTATTATACTTTCCTACCTAATTCATAAATATTATAAAATGAATCAAGAAATTAAATTGAAATATTTTATTAATTTTGTAAAAAAACATTAATTTATTATATATTTTAAAATATTTAGATTTAAATTCATTTTAATTAGTTGAATTATGTTAAAAAATTAAATAGTTAATATTGTTGTTTAGATATATTCAACAAGGTAAATTTAAACTTTACTTAAAATTATAAATTATTTTTATTTATTTATTTATTGTAAGTTTCTTAATGTGAAATATATATTTACAGTCTTTTGGAAAACATAATTTTAGGATAAAAACCTAATGCAATATATTATATTTATGTTAATTTAAATAAAAAAATTAAGTTATTAAATTTGAATCAGGAATCGTTTAAAAAAAAATAATTTTAAGTATTTTAAACTCTTAAAATAAACATTCTCTTTATTAATTAGAGTAAAAAAAATATATTTTTTTTAAAATGAATAATGACTTTGCTTTTATAGAGAAATTAATAATAAAGATAAATTATCAGCCTTGAAATTAATCAAAATCATATAAGTAATTTAGTTTCTGAATAATTTAAATAGTTAATATATTAGGTAATGAAAATGATAGATAGATAATTGATGAAACTTGAAATAATATAGCATAATAAATATAATAAATGAATGAAATAAAAAATAAAACAGTGAGTGTCTTTCTTTATTTTTTTCTTCTACGTTTTAAAAGAAAGAAATGAATTTTTTTATTTATTTTTAAGAAATGTATTTGAATGAATAAAAATAAGAAAAAATAGATAGATATTTGTTTGATTTATAAGAACCATGAAAGGAAAGGCGTATCATTCGTTCAGCCTCATGCTTATTTAATACATATTAGATTGTTTGTTAGTTAGTTAGATATATAGATAGATAACTAGTAATTAAATAAATAAAAAAGAAAGAAATAATATTTATTTCTAATTAAAAATAAATAAAAGATTTGATAACAATTATCTAAAAAATAAATAAATACCATATTTATAAAAATAATTAATTGAATAGTTTTAGATAAAAATTATTTGAAATCTAGGATAGCAAAACAATTTTAAAAAATCAAGGAGAAGGATAAAAGAAATGAGTCAAAGCAATATTTATTAATCTCCATAGAGAGGAGGAGGTGGAATAACTGATTCTGCATACACAGGTTATCCTGCAAATACTGGGTTTAATTATGGAAATATATCTCCCAATAAAAATACTATTTCTAGATTGTAAAACTAGAATTTGATCACAGATGGCGATCAAGCATAGTTAACAGTGAATCCTCGTATTGTTTACCTTCGTAAACTTTATTTTGCCCTTTTCATGTAATTATTAATCATCGGTATCTTTGCTTTCTTCGTACATCTTTACGAAAATCTTCGTGTTCACTTATAATAAAATTATGTTTATTTCTGGGTATCTTTAGCTGGAGCAGCTATTATTGGTATTTTAGGACTTTTCTTCCGTCAAGCCATTCGCAAGTCTCCTATAAATTACATTTGCATGTTCCTTTGGACAATATTCTTTGGTACTATTCTCGTATATGCAGTTTCTATCAACAAAGATTCTATTGTTGGTTTGATGGTATTCGTTTTATTAGCCTCACTCATGCTCAGTTAATTCCTTTATACTTTGACTGTAAGATATGAGCTCACTTACTAAGGAACTACATTGTTTGTATTTGGTGCTTAAATCCTTAACTTCCATATATTCACTCTTTTCACTAATCTCAGTTTCTATTAAATGGTCATTATATCATTCTTTGGATTTATCTTTGCTTTCTACTTAATTTTTGATACTTAATCAAGAGTAGCTGGACCAGACTATGACTTTAATAAGGAGGAATGGAGATCAGGAACTGTCTTGGTATATATGGATGTCTTCCTCTTAATTCTTCGTATAGGAGACCTTCTCAGAACAATGTTAACTAAAAAGCAAGACTGATTGTAGATTAAATAATCTTAAATCTATCCTATCTTTACATTAAAAATGTATGTATATCTTCATATTAGATTTGGTAAATAGATAGCCGTTGCTATTATTTTAAAAGGATTTGCAAGCAAAATGCGCTTTTATTTTTTCAAATAATGTGTAATTATTTTGAATTTGCTTAATATATATTGAAAAATAGTCAATTAAATATTCATTCTAATAAACTGGATGAATGAACGTCACTGTATGTTATCTTTATTGTATAACAAGTAAATTTTTATAATAAAACAATCAATTTGTCTTATCCCTTTTCGTTTCTATTTAGTTTATTGACTATAAAAAAATGTTACTAAAAGAATCAAAAAATTTCATTATTAGATTTCCTTAATATGCATTTCGAAAATTAATAATTTCAATCAAACAAAACAAACACATAACTAACAATTCAAAATTTCAAATTTTAATAATTGACCTTGTGATAAAATAAATAATTATTTTGATTGAATTATTTTTAATTTTTAATTAATTTTTTTTAAGGAAAAAATTATTTTAAATTAATTCACTCAAATTTTAGTTAAAAAATTAAATTTGAAGTTGCATTAAAGTAACTAATTTAGGATTATTTCTATTTGAAAATAATTATCATTGTTTTATCAAAAATATTTTTTTCGAACTTTGTATTTTTTAGATTTGAAATAGCATCAAGATTAATAAAGTTTTTTAATTTAAAATAATTAACAATAGATTTAAATAAGAATTTAAATTTTAAATATTTATTTATTAAAAACAAAAAATATTTTAAAACTCGATTAACTTAATGAATGAAATGAGCTTACTTTTAAATAATTATTAAATATTTTAATTAAGTTTTATAATTTTAGGCGGTGTGAAAGAAAATAATTAATTATCAAACTATTTTAATATGAGTGCAATTAAAATAAATATCATTTTATATATAAAAATTTAATACTTATTTGAATTCAATTTAAATAATGTGCAAGATTGATAAACTATTTTTATTTTAAAATTATCAAAAAATGAATTTAAATAAAAATTTTAATTTATTAATCAATTTTTATCAAAAATAAAATATTATTTTAATTCTAGATTAACTTTATTATATTAGAACTTTTAAATAATTGTTAAATAAATACTTTATTTGAACATATTTTAATTTTAGATTAACTTTATTATATTGGAACTTTTAAATAATTATTAAATAAATACTTTATTTGTACATAAAAAATTTTAATTTTAATAAAAATAATTTATTTTTTTTTTGAGCAAAATCAAAATCAATAACACTGCAAATATATTTTATAAATTTAGTATCCTTTTTTGAATTCAGCAATTATCATTTGTAAGATTGTAAAAGTTTTTATTATAAAATAACCAATAATGAATTTTAATAATTATTCAGTCAGTTTTCTTAATTAAATATACTAAAAACTTAATATTTTATTTATATATGCTAATTATTTTGCTTATAGACTTATGAATACATATGATTATTATTTATATATCAATTTTAAGCTTGAAAAATATATTATGATAGCTAATTAATTAATTAAATTAATAAGTATATTTTTGAAATAATTTTGTTTTTATAATTATGCTTTTTCTATTTATCTACATATTTAAAATACTTCACTCCACTTTTGCACAATAATGATTAGAGAGTTTATTATATCACATTTTAAGTTGAGTAATTTAGGGGAAATTCTTCTTTTTTGCTTATTCTTTTTCATCTTCCTCATCAAAGAAAATCTACTGATATTTACTTTTTTCGTTATTTTAAACTTGCTAAGATTGTTCTGACTTTAGTCTTAATAATTATAAATCCTTCTTTCTTTTTTATTCCTATTATTTAAAGAAATCAATAAAGAGCTATATAATAATTAAGCAGTAATTACAGCATTATCAATTTCTTCTTTTACAGCTAATTGTGCGTTTCTTCTTAAATTTTATTGATTTTTCATAGGAAGATAAGCTGGTTTTATATAAAAAAATTTTTAATGAAAGATATGTATGATTTTATAAATATATCTACCTTTATATATTTCTTTATCTTTTTCCTTTTCAGGATCTTCAAATGGAAAATCTCTTGCATGGTGGTTTTCTAGTTTTTTTAAAATCATAGCTTCTGAATCATTAGTTCTTAAATCATCCATAATCCATCTATTTAATGTATTTTAAATGTATTTTTTAAGCTTTTAAACCTAAACTTGCTTAAAATGAAAAAATTTAAATATCATCTAACCGCACATCCTCTTTTCTAAGCGCTCTTTTTGATTGATTCTTTTATATGACTTCCATAGTTTCCATTAATTCATGAGATACTCTAATTGTAAATTCGCTTAATTTCTCAATCACATCTGAATTATATTCGACATTGAATTCTTTTTTGAGAATTTGTATAATTTATTAACTATTCATTGTACTTTCTTACTCAAAGAAAAGCTGTAATTTAATTCTCCAATATTATATACAATTATTTTTTTATTTTAGATATGATTCTTAGTATAAATTCTATTATTTTTCTTGTTTACTTGAGCTACCTTTAAAAAATTAAATCTATTAAAAACAAAAGTAATTACTTAAATTATTTGAAAAAATCTTTATAATAAAACAATAAATACTCTGAAATTAAAATAAGAAAGTTAAGGATATAAGATTAGTTAGTGCATTTGGCGCAATTTGGCCATATTTATTATTAAATAAAGCTATGAAAAAATAAATATTATTTTACAAGTTTAGAAGAAAGTTAGTTGAAATAGTCAGACAATTTTTAAACAGAAATGAATGAACATATTTAGGTATTTACAAATTTAGATTTATAACTTTTATATAATAAATTATGTCTACTTAATTTAAATTGAATTAATTATTTATTTATTTTTAAATTAAATAATCTGTGTGCGTTTATTTTCGATTGATAAATTGTTGTAGTCTTTAGAATATTTTGTAAAAGTTGTAGGAATTCCATTTTTAATATTTAATTTTAATTAGTGAATTTTCTATTATTTATTTATTAAGTTTGTTTGTTTTGCATATTTTTTATTTAAATTAAAATTGAAATTAGCTCATACAATTAATTTAGCTGCTCCTAATTGCTTGCTTAGACATCTATCTATTGGTAACTTTAATAAACTTGTATCAAGTATTATTTTTTTGAAGTTATAATTAATAAAAGCTCATTCATAATCATCATCTTCCTCTACTGCAGGTTTTGTATATGTTTGAACAGGTTACTAATTACCAAATCTTACTTCTTCTTTAAAAATATCTGGATTATCTTTTTTCTCCTATTAAATTTTTTTATTTTCTATCTTTCTTCTCTCTATTTCTTCACGCTTTTTTAAGTTTGATCAAAAAATATTTACATTATTGAATTGGCAATAAATAAAAATTTTATACCATTTCCTCAGAAATTTCAGTTTTTAATTACCATTTAAGAAGGGCATTCTCATCATATTAAAATATTTGGTTGTATATTGATGTTTTTTAAATATCTTCCTCTAAATTTTGAGTAGACATCTGCTTGAAAATAGATTACATTTCATCAAAAGCTACACCTTTATTTTCTTTCATTAACTTAATTGCTTGTCTATTAAAAATGTAAAAATGTTAGTTAGATAAATTAACAAAAATTATTTTAAAGCTTAATAAAATAAATCTTATTTAAAAGCATATATATGTTTATTTACCTAACTTCAATTAAAGAAAAAGTATCTTTTTATTCAAAAATTGAATAATTTTTAGCTAATCGCAAAATATCAATTGTATATCTAATCATAAACTCATTAAGTTTGCCAGAAACTGTGGAATCAAATTCAACTCCATAAGTTTTTAAAATTCTATCAACTATTTCTTAACCACTGGCCATTGTACAAATGCTATTACTAAGTTGGAATAATATCTAATTTTTAAGCTTCAAATTTGTTTATTTTCTAATATTTAGAAATATCAGCCCTAAATCTTTTTAATTAAAAATAAGAACGTTTGGTGTGAATTTATTAATTAATTATAGAATATTTAATAATATCCAAACCATATTTTAATTTAAAAATTAATTCTTTAAAATCAAAAAATTATTTTTCATTTGTTTTTATTTAAAAAATAAAATAATATTTAATTGACTATAATTGACTATTAAAGCATATAAAAATCAACATTAAAAATAATCCTATAAATTTAAGTTTATTTTAATTAGATTTAATCTCACATCTTAGACAATAGCAATATTAATTTTTATGTTTTGTTTTCCAAATATTATCCAAATAAAAATTATTTTTTATTTATTAATTTAATTTATTTTCCAAATATTAATTTAACAATTTAAATAAAGAATAGTAATTTTCCTGCATTTATTTATTTAAGAAAAAATATATAAAATTTATTTGATTTAAAATTCAATTATTGATTTAATAAATACATTTAATATAATTTCTAAAAGTTTTAGTTAAATAATTCAAATTTTTAAATTTATTTCATATAAAATTTATATTACAACAAATAGATATAATATTTTATAAAGTATAATTTTCTTTTTAATTAAATATAAATAAGTTAGTGAGTTAAAGTGCAAATTATATTAATAATTTAATTTATAAAACATAAACTTAAAGCTTAGTTGCACATAAAATGAAGATACTTTTAATTAATTAACAAAAAATTGATAAACAGTTTAGAAAGAGGTATTGATATTTATTTATTCTCACAAATATAAAACATAAAATCGTTTTATTCACATTTAATATTTATTATTGTCTTTTTATATTATTTATCCATTATATTTTTCTGCAATAATTTTTATAATTTATTCTTCTTCTTTATTCTAAGTTTCAATCTCTTTTCCTTTAAAAGTTTAGAAAGAGGTATTTAATTATAAAATCATGGCTCTTTTTTTTTGGATATTGAAAACTTTTATAATAGAATACGATCAAAAAATTATTTTCAATTTTAGTTTTACACTTTTAGCGAGAGTATATCATAAATTTTAAAAAAGAAGTAATAATAAATTACTGACTTTGTAAAAAGAGTTAAAAAATTAAAACTAGGTTTATTAAAATTATTTAAATTATCTTTTTTAAATTTGAAAATTAGTTTTCTATTTGTGATCAATAAAAATTAATTATTTAATTTTATACTCAAAAAGTTATATAAAATATATAAAATTAAATAAATAAATGAATTAATTAATTAAATGTTTTTATCAATTACTATAGTGTTATTGTTAGTTAAAATTAGATTAATTGAAACTGTTTTCATAAGGACCTACTTGTTGAGATTACATTTCATTGTTATTGATATTTTAATAGTTTTTATCTGAATTATTTATAATTATTTATGGGAAATTCTAATTAAATTACTATTGTTAGGGTTAGTAGATATTCTAGTCATTAAATTAGTCTAAATAATTTTAATTCTAAAAGTTATTTATTTATTACTGACTATATTAGTCAGAGTTTCTTAAATATTATCTATTTTCTTATTGCAAACCATGCTGAGAGTTTTACATATTTTGATCATCATTTTGCTATTCATACTCATTTTTCTAAAGCCTACTGTCATATTCTTCATAATGGAGATTTTATTTATTCATTGAATCGTGCTATTGCTATTCATTTTATTATTCACCATTATTGTAATGTTCATCATATCCCTATTATTCTTGATATTGATAATAATTATCATATTGTTATTGACCAGTTCCAGCTGCAGAATATTTCTATTTTCTTGTTGGACTTCTAATTGGGGACATTTTGAGTTCAACTTGAGCTGAATTTAAATCCAAAGAAAGAGAAAGTATTTTCTTTTTATACTCTTCAATTTCTCTTTGCTTTATCTTGCAGCTTCTCTCCCACTCTTCTTTTTCTTTTTGAGTTTTCTATAGATTTTTTTGTAATTCAATGACTTTGTCAACAAATTTGAGAATTTTATCTTCGTAGATAATTTTCTCACTCTTGAACTAACTGAATATTTCTTCTAAATTCTTTAAATTAAAAAAATTAAATCTAAATTATCTAAATCAATCAATCAAACAAGCAAAAGTTATATTAAATAATTACAAATATTTGTTCTTTTAATTCCCTTAACTACTGCTAATCTTCATCATGAGTCACCTGATATTGTTAAATTTATTCTTAGTAGAATTGTATTTCAGATTGCTTCTCATTTATTAACATATCTTATTTTTCTATGCTCTACTCTAAAGATTCTAAATATTTATCTTATTCCCTAATAGTTTCAAGCTATTTCTTTTATTGGCTTTACATCTTTTCTTGTTCTTGTTTCATAATTTCTTCTAATTCATTAACTTTTTCTACTTATATCTTTATTTCTTGTTCCTTTTTATTAATAATTTATTCTTTCTCTAATTGCAGTTGGTTAATTTATCCTTGTAATTATGCACACTTTTTCTCTACTTCTAATTTTTCTTGTGATGCTTCCATTTTAATTTTTGCTTGCTCTGATTCCTTTTGAGGTAAATATAAATATATATTTTTTCACATTAAATTAATAAATTCTTCATAATTAATTAATTACAATTTTTTATTTGAGAATCAATTAGATTTCAGAAACTGTTTCTTAAAGCTTTTACTCTAGTGATTCTACTTTTTCAACTAATTCTTCTTTTTCTTTCTCTAATTAAGTAATTACTTGTTATTATTTTATGTTTGAATCTTCCTACTCATCTCTTATTTGCTCTGCTCTCTAAAGCTGCTGAGTGGTATGCATCAGCTATGCTTCCAATTGGGCTTGCTTTTAAAGAGATTATTTTTTTTCTAAAAGCTATTATTTTTCCTTTAAATCCAAAAAAAAAGAAATAAATATTTATTCAAAAATTATACTTTATATAAAATAAAATTTTACCATCTCTGTCGTGTTTACACTAAGCCTATCCATTAATTCATTTTTTTCGTTAATTTGCTAAGCTATTTCTTCTTGGAGGCTAAGAATTTACTTAGTTAGTGCTTCGATCTTTAAGGATTATGTTTCAACTTACTTTTTAATGAGGTTTATTTACTTGAGATTAGCATCTTTATCTGATTCTAATTCTAAATTTGTTTATTTAAGTTCATTTTATTTCAATTCATAAGACCTAATAAGTTCTTCGTATTTTTCAATTTTAGTGCTTTATTAAACATCTTTCATTTGCAGCTCAGTGTTTTCAGTTGATAATGATGTATTCTACTGTTCAAGAGCAATATATTTTTCATGTAAATCTTTAATATTTTTGTCTTTCAAAGCTATTTCTGAGCTTTTAATTTGTATTTCTTCTTCTTAACTTTAAGCGATTTCTTTAAACCTTTCATTTTTTTATTTTTCTTCATATAACTGTTCTTCAAGCTATTTCATTAATTCATCGTTTGCTTCATTATTTGCATCTTTTTTTATTTTATAAAAATTTAATTCTAAAATCTAAAAATTCCTTTTTTTTTTACACTTTGATTGATCATTCTGTAAAATTCTTAATTTCAAAGAATCAAGCTATCTTTATAAATCATCTATTTCCTATTCTTTAGAGTGAAGTATTTATTCATAATTTTCTCTCTCTTTATTCCTTAAATTATTGACTGCGTTTTCCATTTGCTGCATCTTTTATTCATAGTCATTGACTTGTTAAAGCCCAACAGTGAGCTTTTAGTACTCTTTTTCTTTTTTTTCTAATTTATCCTTAATATAAAAATATAAAAAATATATTTTAATCTTTTGTAAAATTTTAACATACCATCAAAGAGATATTCTCTTTCAAGACTCTTTTATGCTCATCTATAACATATTAAAATATAATAGATAGATAAATAAATAAATCAATCAATCATTTTTTAGTTTAAGTATGTTTTAATAAAATATTAAATTTTACCTAACGAAACTGAATTTAACTTTAAATTTTCGAAGCTTTTCTATTTTTATTCTGACAAATTTTTGAAAAAGCTCAGTTCCTAAGCAAGTTATTATTATGAGTGACATTGCTATTCAAGCTAAGCATTAGCCTTGCTTAAATCTTAAATTAAATTTTCTTTATCCTTCAAAATAAGATTTAGATTTTCAATTTATTTTTCATTCATATTAGCCTTTTCCTCAAAATTTCTCATAATTGGTAAATAATCAGCTACTTCTTGTTCAATCTAGGCAATTTTCTGCATTTCCTGCTCTAGCTGATAATACTTTTTTTTCCAATTTTCATTTTCTACATTTCTCTACAAAAAACAATATGTATTTAAACAAATTTCTAAAAATATTCCAAAATAATTTTACTTAATTATCTCTTTTCAAAATCTCATATTCATCTGTTTTTAATTTAAGCATTTAGTTTAATGTTTCATTAGTCTTTATCAGTGATCCTATTTTTTCTTATATTTCCTCCCATTTTTCTTGAGATATTTTTAGAGGAGTCTAATAAATTCAGATCAAAAATTAATTAAAAAATGCATTAAAGAACAAAAGATTTTAACTTACTCTTGGTCTCTAAAGTACTTAAGCCGATTATTGCATATTTAACTAAACAAAAGAATCTTCCCTATAACCTATTTATCTATTAGATATAAATCTATCTATTTCTACTAGTTTTTTAAATATGAAATGCTAAAAGTTTTATCTCTGAAAAAAAGCAAAAAGCGCAAATACTTATTTCTTACTATATTTATTAATTTTAATTAATTATACAATCTTAATTCTTAAAATTTCAAAAATTTATTCGTTGGTAATTTGATTTATTTATTTAATTTGATGTTCTAACTACTCTTTATTAGTAAATAATTCATTAATAAATGATTGATTATTTTAATCAGAATTTATCTCAAACAGATAAATTTGATAGATTATTTACCTTAAATAAGTATTTTATCTAATTCTTTTCGTTAAATAAGCCAATTTATTGAAACTCAAATCTTTGATTTGTTTCTATTATTGAACAAATATCTACTTATTGTGCAATTATTTTTTTCTTAAAAAACTACATTTTTAATTAATTAATTATCTATTATAAATCTTTAATTTATATTAATTTTTTAATATAAAGATGTAACAAATTTAATAATTATTAAATTAATAAATATATCTATCTAGATATTGACAATTTTAATTTAAATACTTATTTAAATTAAGAATTAGAATAAGTAATAAAAATTAATTTTAAAAGATTAGTTTATTAAAAATAAATACATAAATTTTACAGATGAAAATATTTTTTAATTTTGATTATATAAAATAATTAATTTATAATGTTAATAATCAGTTAATGTCAACTAAAAAACGTATTTCTTAATATTAAGATATTTTAAGTAAATGTTAATTAAATCTAATATTAGAACTTCTGAGAGATAAATTAAATTGAAATAAATACAGTAAATTCAAAAGGTTCCGGCATTTTCAAGGTTTATTATGAATACTTTTTTATTCCTTTTTTTTAAATCTGCTAATAATAAGATAGTACCCATATTATTAAGATATTCAAAAACTAATAATGGACTGAACTAATTAAATTGATTCTTTTAAATTAACTAAAATATTAATCGAAATTATAAAAATGAATAACTATTTATAATAATTAAATTAATATTGGATAAAATTGATTTAGTGTTAAGATAAAAATATTTTTTTTTAAATATTAATTAAGGTTAATATGTATTATTTCTTGTTAAATAAAAGATTAATAATTAACTTAAGATAGATTACCTAAATAAATATTAATAAGAATAATTAATTATTTAAGTTATTTATTTCAATTTCTTTGAAAATCCTGAATAATAAATAAAAAACTATTCACATAAAAAAATTTACTTTATTAATTATAAAATAAATAAATAAAATAATAAAAACTGTTAAATTTAAGAGATGATGAAATTAATCTTGAGTTTTAAAATCAAAACATCTAATAATATATAGTAATAATTATAATGAACAATTAACATATAATAAATCTATTTTAAATTTTAATGATAGTGAGAAAATTATTGCTCTATTTTAATGCAAAAAAATTATTTTGCCACATGATAAATTTAATTAATGTCTTAAAAATGCTTCTTAGATTCAATTAATAAACTTTTTTATTATAAATAGATAATTTTTTCTATTAAATCAATCAGCTAGAACCAGCAGCAGATGGATCTATTAATTTAAGCATCATTTCTTTAAACTCTTTATATGATATCTATTTTTTAAAGAATGTTTGGTTTATTAATAAGAAAATAAAATTAATTATTACCTAGCCATCTCCGTTGTCATCAACTTCGTTTAGTAATTACTTCCATACTTTATCATCTACATTACCCATACCTTAAAACATTTGCTTAAGCTCATCCTTGGTCACTGTACCACTACCATCCTAAATTAATATATTAAGAATTGTTTTAATATTATTAACACATCTATTTGTTTACTTGATCAAACATTTTAAATGCTAACTCTAAACGTTGCTTCGAAAGTAGGTTTTCACGATTAATAGTTGCTGCTACCCATTCTATTTTTTAAAAATTAAATATATTTATTTCACTATTAAGCTATATTTTTACCTGAATAATCAATCTCACCAGACTAGTTTTTATCTACAACTGTAAGAATTTTATCTACTTCTTCTTATGGGTTTGGGTGATTGAATATCTTTTTATATCCTTAGATTAATTCCTCTCTTTGGAGTTTACCATCATCTATAATTATAAATAATAGTACAAGTTATTAAAAAATTTAAACTCTTAAATTATTTATTTATTTACTGTTTGTGTCTAATGATTAGAAAACTTTGAGTAATTCGTTTTTCTCTTCTTTTGAGGCAAGGTAATTGACTAAATACATCCAAGTAGCTTCTTGTAATTTCTTACCAGCCTATTTAAATAATTTTATGAAGTTTTATCATAATAAATTTATTAATTAACAAAAAAATTAGGTTTTTATTTATTTATATTTTACGTATTTAAATAAAGAAAATTCAATTAAAAGAAATTAATATTTACTCTAAAGGTCTGCATGTTGTTTAGAGCTCTCTTCAGAGTGGGCTTATCAACTACATCTATGCCTGATGCTTGCTTAAGCCAAGGGTCATTCAAAACATCTTAAGCTGATAATCTTTTTGTTGGATCTTTCTCTAACATTTTAGCAATTAAACTTTTAGCTCCATCAGAAATTCCAGCCCAATCTTCACTATCAAATGAAAATCTATTTTATTATTATAAAATCTTATTTTGATATCATTAATAGGCAGTATAAATTTATAATTTTTTTGTTTTCATTCGATTCTAGCCAATATTACAATTGCTAGAAAATTAAAAAATAAAGACTTTTTTTTAGTAGAATGTTGGTCAATTTTTATCTTTGTTTTTTTTGTTTTTGGTATTTAAAAATTTTTTTACAAAAATTAATTAGTATTACTTTCCGATTTTAACTCTATTCATAATTTATTCGTCGTTTTCACCGTTGAATGGTGGAGACCCGCATAACAAAATATACAAAATAACGCCACAACTCCATATATCGCACTTTTCATCATACTTTTTGGATAACACTTCTGGTGCTATATAATATGGAGTACCTAGTTTTTGATTCATTTTTACATTGGGATCATAAGCAAGTGAAGTACCAAAATCAACGACCTTAAGTAAAGCACCTGGTTTGTTAGACTCATAAAGAATGTTTTCTGGTTTTAAGTCTCTGTGGACTATATTATTTTTATGGCAATAATTGACAGCCTGAAGAATTTATCTCATAGTTTCAGCAGTTTTGCGCTCGTCAAACGATCTTTCTTCTATAATTTTATCGAATAACTCTCCACCAGTACATAATTCAGTCACAATATAAAAATACTTCTAGTCTTAATAAAACTCATAAATCTTAATGATATTTGGGTGATCCTATTAAATATTTTTATAATAAAATGTAAAAATATCTCATTATGTATGAAATTCTTTTCAAAAATAACTCTATTAAGTTATTTCATAGAATTTATTTAAGAAAAATTATTTCAAAAGTTTTTAATTGGTATTTAAATTTTCTATTATATTTTTAAAACAGGCTATGATAAGTAGCTATTTATTTACTGCTATTTAAAATCCATATTTTTATGGTTTGTAATCAAATAAACTTTAATTTACTAGCTATTTAAGAATCTCTACTTCTTGTTTAAGACGGTCCTGTTCCGCTTTAGGTGTTTAGGCTTTACTAATAATCTTAACTGCTCTCGTTAAATTTGTAGCTTTATGAACACATTTTCTAACTTCACCAAAAGCACCTATTTGTATTAAAATCAAAAATTTAAACACTTATTGACAAATTGTTCAAACCCTGCATTTAAAATATAACTATTTAGGTATCTCATATTGAGTTAAATTCATTTATTTTAAGGATAAATTGTGGCACTTAAAAAATAATTGCATCCTCCTTTTCTGATTTATCTTGCTTTAATCAATCATTTAATTGCAGCAGATGGTTATTTTAAAATTATTTGTAAATAAAATTTGAATGTAAGTGTAAGTATGTATACCTTTTCCTAAAGGGGGATTCAGCAGCTAATAATCTTTGCTGATTTTTCCGTACTTTTCCTAAACAAGACTGGATGATGTGACGTTAAATTTTTCAATAGTGTCAATATGCACAGCTTTTTATATAAAATAATTTGGTTTAGAGTTGTAAAAGAATGCAAACTACCTCCTAAAAAGGAGACAGAATAAAATCTAGTGATTTTATTATGTTTTCTTTTAAAAAAATGGATTATAAACTATTGAAAAAAGATTAATGTCAGTGCTTTTTGTTTTACCAGAGTTATCCTTTGTGTTTTTTTTTGAAGGCTACTCTCCATTTACTAACTTGTCTTATGAATTTGTGCAACCCATTTGCAGTTATCTATCTATCTATCTATTTATTTATATTGATTGATTTATGTTTAACTTTATTTATAAACTGCTATTACTTAATTACTATCTACAGTTTTAGTTATGTATTTATTTGGAATTAAGGCAACCAGTTTTTATTAAAAAAAATTTTATTTGTTTTCTTTAAAAAGCAAATACAATAACATAATAAGTGGATTTATAGTCTAATACATCTATTTTGCGAATGAATTTAGTATTATAAATAATATTGCTCGAATGAAAATTCTATCTTTTAATTGATAGAAGTAAAATCAGCTGTTTTCTTAATTAAAAATAAGTCAGCTCTTATATTATATTTATAAGTTTAAATATATGTAACAATTAATTATGGTATTTTTAAATTATATTGACTGCGATTAATTATGGTATTTTTAATTTGTATTGACTGTCATGAACTAATGTATTTTTAATATATATTTACTGTATTGAATTATTTTTAATTTATATTGACTACCACTTCTAAGTCATTTATTATTTTCATTTCGTTTTAAATAATATGAATTTTATCATTACGGGTTAATAATTTATCTAAATTAACTTAATCAAATTCTAATAAAATTTTAAAAATAAGAATATAACAAAACTCAATTTTAATTACCAAAATATTCAAAAATGAGTAAATAATAATAAAATTCATATGCCAAAAACATAATACCCAAAATAAATATTTTAAATTTAAAATTTGATAAAAAATAAAATCAATAAAACCAAATTTTGATAATAATTGCTTAAATTTTAAAGAGAGCAGCTTTAATAGAATAACCTAATTCTGAAGCTCCGTGTATTCTAATTTAACTATAGCTTTTCATGAATACCAAGTATTGAATTTTAAATTGTTTAAAAGAAAGTAAATAAATATATTCTTTTCTTGTATTGAAATAAAAAATTTAATAAATTGAAATTTAATTTTCTTTCTTTAATAATTTCTAAAAATTTTAAAATGCATAATAGAGTTTGTTTGTTTGTTTGATAGTATGACATAAAAAAATTAAATTTAAAATTGAATATCTATTTTAAAATCCAAATAAAGTAACTCAAAATCAAATTTTTAGTTTAAATATTTATTATTTTTACTAGGCATTCATATGATAAAGTATTTCTTTTATAATATAAAGTGTTATTTGTGAATTACTTTTAAACATTAAAATAACGATTTTTTTTTTAATTCGAAGATTTGATTAAAAAATATATATTAAAAAGAATAAAGAAATTATTCTTTATTACTCACTATATAGTCTTAAATATGAAAGATTTTTAATTTTTGCTAAAGAAGATCCTAATATTTTGGCATCTCTTTCACCAATTTTATTTCTACTAATTATTATTTTACAAAATTTTAAATTGTATAATTAAATTTTAATTTAACAATTTTTATTTTTTATTATTATCCTAATAATGCATCCACTTCTTCAAATACTCTTATGAGATTTAACTTTTAAGTATTTGTAAAAAAAATGTTATCAAGAAAAAATTAAAATTTAATATTAAAATCATAAATAAATTCTAAAAAAATAATTAAAGCAAACAAGATAAAAAGATAAAAATTAATTAAAAAATTAAATTTATTTTTCAAAATTATTTTACTCTAAATTAAGAATTAGTTTTGAGAGATTTGTACAATTTCATACACCTTTACATAAATTAGACACTTTAATAACTCCAATATTATTATCTCTATTAAGTTTGAAGGAATAAATTAAAAAATACTTTAAAAGTTCAAAGATTACTTAAAATAAAAATTTTAAGATAATAATAAAAAAATTATAATATATTTTGAATGTTTATTTTAATTAATATCATCAGAATTTTACAAAAAAATTCTTATGCATCATTTTCAGCAGAAAAAATAATTATCAACAGACAACAAGTAGAAAATACAATTTTATATTTTAACTTCAAAAAGACTTTTAAGATTAATTTTGTATTAAAAATGAAAATGAAGAATAAATAATTATTTTAAAAACTAAACGCATAAATGAGATAATTTATTGATACATAATACAATAGTTTTTCAAGATTATGAATTATACAATTTAAAAAACTTAGAATTTTAATTAGAAAGCAAACTTTTTGGTGAACCATCTTCAGTTATCTAACCATTTTCTAAATATATTATTCTGTCAAACTTGCTTACATGTTTTATTTTATGAGCTATAAATATCATCTACATATTAATTTTATAAAATGTTTATTTTTTTATAAAATAAAGTTTAATTTAATTTACAGTAGAGTTTCTTCCTAAAAGGATATCTTACATCAGATTTTCATTTTGCTCATCTAGATTTGAATTAGCTTCATCAAACAGAATAATATTTTTATCCTAGATTAACGCTCTCACTAAAGAAACTATTTACTTTTATCCAGCACTAAGATTCTTACCTTATTCTTCAATCTTCATTGACAGAATGAGTTAATTTTATTCTAGTATTTAAGATAAATTTAATTAAAGTATTTTTTTCCACAAATCTTCTTCAGAAGAAAATAAATTAAATGTGTCAATGTTTTCTTTAAGTGTTCCTTTCATGACTATATTTTCTTGCTAAATAGCTGATATATTGTCTCTGATAGTTTTTCCATCTATTTTTTTCCCATCAAATTAGATTTCCTAAAAAAAAATTTGATTTTTATTAAATTAAAAATTTTTAATTTGAATTACTCCATCTTTATAGTGAATAAGGTTCAAAATAGATAAAGTGAGAGAAGTTTTTCCAGAACCAGTTCTACCAACCACACATACTTTTTATCCTTTACTTATTTCTAAGTTAATATTCTTTAAGGCTGCTTTATTTTGGTCTTTTTCAGAAGAGTAATAGGCTGAATAGTTAATGAATTTTATTTCTCCCTCTATCTTCTTCACTTATTTTTCTGCCTTCTGATTTTGTTAGCTTTATTCAATGGAATTGAATTCTTAAATTTTTTAAAGGAAATCTACTACGTATTGGAAAGATATCAATTAGACAAAGATATTATTAAAACATTTAACTGCTTGCATTGTATTGTAATCAATTTATGAATTGGATGTAGCTTTTGGAAGAGATGCTAGAGGATTACTTCCTATCAAGCATGAGAGGAGAGAAACAAAGTTAAGAATGAAAGTAAATGTGGAAAATTTTAAATCATTAACAAAAGCATTCTTATAAGCTAGCTAAGCCCAAATTATACTTTTCTATTGCAAATGTTTAAATTAATCTAAAATATAAGATTCTAAATCATAAATTCTGATATATTCTAGCCCAGAAAGACATTCATTTACGTATCCTATTATTGGTTGGTTTGTCTCTTTTATTTTCATTTGAATTTATTAAGAATTGCTAATTCTTTATTTTGCCATTTTAATTCCTTAATTTAAAAATAAACCTATTCCAATCAAAGTAATTGGATCATTCAAGCTTCCCCATAGTGTTAAACAAATTGCATCTAAAATATATTTTTTAAATTAAAACTTTAAAATGTTCAAAAATAAATAATTAAAATTGTAATTCAAAAGAGAAATATTTATATATTTTATTACTTATAATTTAAAACGATGCATAAAAGATTCTTGTCATTTCTGTAGATAAATCGAAGTCGATCCCCTAAATTTAAGTTGTTAATAAATCTTAAAATTTGTGAGGAGTTATTGTTTCTTCTAAGTAAAGCTAATAGTCTGCGTTAAGCAAAGTTGAGCTGGTTAGTTTATGAATTCGCTTTGAAGCATATAACCCTTGCTTCTTTGAGAAATATATTCTAAACCCCTGCACTATGTTATCCATATAGCAAAAGACAAGGTATAGTAGAATCTTTATATTTTATGATATTGAAAGTATATTCCAATTCATAAGCACATACTGTTATCCGAAATAAAACAAACTATAAAGAGATATAGAAACTAAAGCTAGCACTAAATAAACTCCTATAATTTTATCTATGGTTACATATTTTTTAAAGCAAGTTATAAACAATGAAAATCCTTATTCTTGCTTATTTGCTTTCTTGTCAATATTTAAGAGTTTTGCATTTTCCAATTTAAACTCTATGAATCTTTTTCCGATTGGTTTTTTAAGACTTTTAATATCTTTTTAAATGAGTTTATCATCAACAAATACGTTTTATTGCTTATCATTTTTTCTTTTTATTTATAATATTTAGTGATCCTAAGATATTTCAATTAAAATGTCTGCACAATTCTCAATAAGTTCATTTTCATTGATAGTAAAAACGATATTTTTGTTTGGTTTAAAATACATTAAAATGTTAGTGATTATTTGCTTCATGACTTTTTTATCTAGAGAGCAGAAGCTATCATCAAGCAAAACTAGATTTGAGTTGTTGGCGTAAAAAGCACGTGCTAGATTAATTCTTTGCTTTTATCCTCCGCTGATGTTATCAACACTAGAGGTGATAACATAATCAAAGTCTTAGAAATCTTTATCTAACTCAAAACACTTCACAACGAAATCAAACAAATCCTAATCATATTCTTTATCAAGAATAATATTTTCTTTAATTGATTTATTTTAAAGCCAATTATCCTGACCTACATAAGATATTTTTCTTTCACTATGAATAGTGCCTCCAAATTCTCCCAAAAGACATTTTAGCAAATAGCTTTTACCTGATCCTGTAGGTCCCTTAATTACAATTATATCACCTAATTTAATATCTATATCAAGTTAAACTCCATCCTTATATTTTGGTATTAAACTGGTTGCAGTTAATATATTATCTGATGAATCTTCTAATTATTTAGTTTTGAGATCTTACTTATTTGTTGTAGTTTTTATAAATATCTTTTATGAATCTTAAGAGATTTAAGACTTGTCTAATTCTTTTATATTTAGAAATTCCTGAATCTATTACAAAATGATTGTTTGATCTTAAAAAGAAGATAAAAATTTAGGAAATTGTCCGAGTCCTTATCTGACAGCCCAAAAAGATTATTCAAGAGCAAAGATTATAGCTATATCAATAGTTTAAACATCTATAAAAATATAATAAAGCAAAATAACAGTCATAGTAATGGGTTGTGAGAATTTTACAAGATAGTGCTTTATGTTTATCATTTCAGCCATTCGATCTATAAAAAAGAGTTCTTTTTCTCTTATCTGATCTAACTTATTGTAAAAGACATCCTCATAATTTTAGCCTTTTATCAATCTCATGCTTTCACTAGTACTCTGTACTAAGCTAGCTCTTAAATGAGTTTACTCTTATCCCTTTTTACGATAAATCAAGTTATATTTACTAAGTTAAAAGCTTATAACAAAGACTATTAACTAAGAAGAAGCTACTACAATCCAATACCACCCTAAATTTTTGTATCTATTTTTATTTATGAAATATTTATAGAAAATACTTTCTATCTTTCATTTATTAAAGGTATTTTTAAAATAAAAATTTATTCTTAATTTAATATTTAATTTACTATTTTGATGATTTTATTTATTTATTTATTTTTGATAATTTACTAATTTACCAAAAATTAAATTCACAAGTTGATACTTTAATGAATCAAACACAATAAAATCAAAATATTTTAATTTTAATAAAATCAATTTTTAAAATAGTTAACAAAGAAAATAATTAAAAGTATGGAAGTTAAATCTTACAGTATATAGATTGAGTGAAGTATTTAAATGGGTATAACAATGACAAAAGCTAAGTTAAGATAGTAGACATCAAATTTTTTACACTCTTGATTAATCATCTAGCTTATTCTTGAACGAGTAAATTTCTATTAAGATGATAAGTTCACTTTAATACTCTTTTTTAGAATTCTTTTTTGAAGGTTTTGAATCATTTTAGATCCTTCTATAAGCTAAAGAAAATCTCCAAAGCTTAAGAAAGCAGTCATTAAGTATTGGCATATTGATATCATTGAAGCCATTATCAATCCACTTTAAAATGTGTTATCGTTAGATTTAGTATAAAGAATGAGATTATTTAAGACGTTTTCTCTAAAATATACTTTTATACCAAAGCTCATAAGTATCGGGAGGATGCTTTTTAGCAAAGGAACAAGTTTAAAATAAAGCATCTCAAAATATATTTTAGCTGAGATTGGAATTATTTGGTTACTTATTCAATTTTGTTTAATTTTAATTTATTTTTGTAATTTATTTAATAAACAAAACAAGTTTTAAAGATTTTTAATTTGACAATCATCTATTTAATAAAATCTAGAAATATCATATGGAATTGTCAATTTAATCCTAAAACTTCTATTCATTGTTTTTTTTTCTATTCCCATATTTACAAAATTGATATTTTAAATTCAAAGATTACATCTTTAATAGATAAGTATTTACATTTACTTTTAATTAGATATTTTCACAAATTAATATATCGTTTTTTATCAATTAGCTTTTAATGAAATAGAAATTTAATACCCTCTTAAGTATTTCAGAATGTGTAAACTTTTTATATAAAATGTATGCTTAGCTCGAAGGGGGTATTATAAATCATTCTAAGTCGTGATAGAAGTATATTGTAAATTTTATCACAGAAAAGCAATAAGACTTTACTCAAAAAATAGGTGATGAAAGAATTGTTCACAAATTATAAAATAAATTTTAAGTATATAATATATTTGAGAAACTTAATTTTATGAACCAATAATTAAAATTAAATCATTAAAATGTTTAATGTATAAAACATAATTAAAAGTTCATAAATAATCTTTAAATGTATTAAGATTCATAGTATAAAGTATGAAATCCATATTATTTAAATATTGCAGAATTAAGTTAAACTTTTAACATTTATTTTAAGATTTAAGAACTAAAATTAAATTTAAGGAATGTTTATTTAAACATTTTGATACCACTTTTGTAATTCAAAGTTTTGTTAATAGTATATATAAATATTACAGATAGTGTGAATATTAAAAGAATATAATATTAATTTAATTTGAAGTAGATTAAGTACACCATTTGAAGTTTATTAAGATATATTTGAATTAAGGAATTGTGCTTAGACAAAGTAGAATAAAATTATTAAATTTTAATTTAAGGGAAAATTTGTATCCTTAATTATATTAATAAAATAAGTAGGTAGGTAGGTAGTATGTATGTATGAATGCATGTAGGTATACTTGTAGATTCTTTTTGAATACAAATATGAATGCAAATGAGAGGACTAAATAAGCTTTTTTAGCTACTATTTGAATATGAATGAAAAGTCGAAGATTTTGTTATGTTTAGAATTGAATTAAACCACTGAATTATTCATTGATTAATTGATAGATTCTAAATAGAAACTAAAAGAAAAGTTAAGAAATAAGATAAAGAGAGAAATAAATATATATTTTTTTTGTATTTCAATTATATAATATCTTCTTTTTAGTATTTAACTAATAATTTGTCAAGATAATGAATTTCTTATTTAGGTAGACTTTTAATTCTATTAAAACATCTTTCTAAGCAACCAGATCTAATACATAGCTTGCTGCATTCACTGATCTTCTCAATAAAAAGCAAGCTGATGAAAAGAACCAAAAAGTCGCTTCAGGTATTGCTTCGTTGTTTAAATAAGTTAAATTATAATTAAATAAATGAAACAAGTATAATAGCAATTTCATCATAAAAAATAATTTTCTTTAATTGCATTTCATGCTTCTTCGATTAGATACAAAGAAAGCTAAAATATTTACATTTAATCAGTTATTAAATATTTTATTGAAAATAAATTTAATTTTTTATTTAGGTAGAGCTTGGTATGCTGCTGAATTGAGATTTAAATCAAATGAAGAACTTCATAAGTTGTGGTAATTTAATATTTCATTGTTATAAAATGAGAAATATACAAACAAATGGCAAAAAATTATAGCATTATGAAATTAGCATAGAATTAAATATAGTTTGATTGAAGGGTTTGATTTTTAAAAAATATATAAATAAATAAGGTATGTTTTATTGAGAGAAAAGAATGCATTGAAATCAGATAATCAATATAAGTTTAAAGTCTATGATAAGATTGGTTAATAAGGAAGACTCGGCAAGGTTAAACGCTCCATGGCTAGATTGCTAACTGTCGTAAATGAAAGAAAGTAAATTAGAGAAAATTATAGAAAGCACCTTGAAGAAGAATATGTTGCTAAGTAACGCGAACAATATGAAAAGCTTTTATAGGAAGAATAAGAAAAGAATAAATACTAAGCTTATGTTCCTGAATTGACTCAAAAGGTTTTACGTGCTAAGTATCGTGATTTAAAGAGAGGTATTGATAATACCGATTATATTAAGCAAGCTGCTGAAATTGAGTAGTCTAGAGCTTAATTAAAGTAGGAATTGGAAGAAAAGTATGATTATAAGAATAAAAAGTTGGTTGATGCCAATTAAGAGGTAGAAGATGAAAATAGCGTTATAAGATCTTTCTCTTCTGGTTTCCTTAAACAATTAGAAGAAGGTCGTGTTAAAATCTCTTAAGAAGAAGTTCTTCGCTCTCACGTTAAAAACTGGAAAATGCTTAACATGAAATAACGTAGAGTTGTTCTCAACTTCATTAATGCTAGACGTGCCAGAGATGCTAAGTCTGAATTCCTTAAAGAATTAAATGTTTTTGCCCAAAAGGTAGCTCACGATAACCTCCTTTCTCGTATCACAAAGGAATCTACTGGAAAGATTTGATTTAAGCATTTTAACTTTCCACAGCAACAATTATAACATTGAATCTAAAATAAAAAATATAAACTAGATTGATTCACTTAAGCTCGAAATTATAGTTTAACTTAGAAAATAATACATGAAATTACCAAAAATTTATAATTCATTTAAAATATTTAAAACAAAAAAGCAATCAAGCAAGCAAGCAAGAAATAAACTAAGCAATTCTAGTAGATTTTATATATCACAATCAAAAAATAGATGTGTATTTTTATTTCTAATTTTTAACAATTTCTGCTTAAATTACATATTTGTGAATGATAAATCTATTTATAAATACATATAATAACTATTTCTATTGTTTTTTATTTTTTTTGGGAAAATTATATTATTCAAAAAACAAAAAACGTCAAATATTATCAAAATTCCTCACAAATAAAACAGTAATATTCAATATTAAATTTTTGCAAAAAATTATTAAAAAAAGATTTTATCAAATAAAATGAATAAAGAGTTTAATAAGTCGAGTCTCTTAAACATATTAAAAATGAAATTTAGAATTAAATCAATTTTTTTTTATTAAAGAAGTGAGTAAGTAAGTAAGCAACATTAATCTAATTATATAGTTACATTACTCTAAATTACTAAAAAATGTAAATATTCTAATTTGAAATTATATTTTTTTACAACATAAACAAGAAATTATCATTCTGAGATTTTTACTTTTATCATATTTTCTATAAAATATTTTTTTATAATTCTATCAGATACTACCGTAAGTACTATTGATTTAGGAGGGAAACTAATTTATTTTTCTTACTAATTGAAAGATAATAGGTTAATTTAAAGTTCAGTATATAATAGTAAATATATAGTAAATCTATCTTAAAATTGTTAAAATAATTATTTTATTTAAATTTTGAATAGTTTTGTTGCTTAAATATTGTTGTTTGAGTGATAAAATTTAAATATGAAAAATGAATAAAATAAACAAAAAATATTCTAAATAAATCAAAGAAAAAAATAATTAATTTAAAATTGATAAGCAAATACTTTTACTTGGTTTCGATTTATATTACTATTTTAGAAATACTGTTAAATATTAAATGCATAAACCATAAATAATAGATCAATCGATCGATCGTTTGCATTAATAAAATAATATTTTGTGATCAAAATTTGAAGCGATATTTTTGTATATTTTTTGTAGAATTGATAAAATCTAATTTTCTATAAATTAAGCTAATAAGATAAAGTTGAAAAATGAAAAAGAAATAAACAAATAAAATTATTAAAAAGGCATTTATCTTGTTTTTATTATCAGCAATTTTTGGACTGGTAATCCATTTTATTTAATCTTATGAAGATTAAAATCAAATTAGTGATAAAAGTAGTAAAAAGCGCATATTATTATCATCTTCTGGGATTGAAGCATGTCAATTTATTAATTATGATATTAACGATGGCTCAGTTAAGACAAAAGGTACTGATAATGCTCTTTCTTATTTAAAATAGGTAAGGCCTGTAAATAAAATGATTACACCTTTGCAATCAGGTTCAAATGTAAAATTTTTGTGTATAAAAAATTTGTAAAATTTATTTTTATTTTTTTAAAAAAAAGGATGATTGGGACTCATATTTAGTTAGTTTAGTCCCTATGATTTTACCATTTTTTTTAGTAAGTGTACTTTGCTTTTTTACTTGGATAGGTTGTCTCAGCTAAATAATTTTTAAAAGCTGCTGCAGATGCTGCAAAAGAGATCTGTATCGTAATCCTTATACAAAACGATCTATATTTTGGTATATGCTCCTAACAATTGTTTTTTTAGTTTTATGCATTATGAGTGCTACTGTTAGTATTATTTAGCTTGAATACACATTCTAAGGTAATAAAATTATTTATTTATAAATTAATTTAATAAACTTATAAGTATGTTAGAAGTAAATATAAACTTTTTCATTTTAATTTATTCCCTTTAATAAATATTTATTTTTTCAAATATTAAAAATAACATCAAATGAAAATAGATTACTAGTAACTACACTGTTAAGGTTATTTATTGTTTGACCATTTTCTTAACGGAGATCCATCGGCTAAAAATTGGATTGGCATAAATTAATTAACTAACAATCTTGTTACAGTGTAAAGTTAAATTGCTTCTTAAATTAAAGGTTTTATACCTTCTAAATCTCAGGCAAGTGATGATTTGAAATAAAAGCTATAAAATGAAATAAATACTATGTTCGATTCATTTAAAAATGTTTAAATACCTGACCCTTCTAGTGTTGGCAAAAAACTAAATTTAGATTCATATATTGTAAACAATTAATAAAACAATTAATTTATCTTATTAATAAACAATTATTTTTTAAAAAGACACTTGAAGCTCAAGGATTTAATAACATCCAAAGCCTAGTTTTAAACGATTTTCAGTAAATAATAGCTAAAATATCAGATAACTTAAACTCTCTATAAAGTACTGCAACTAATCTTGATAACAACTCTGCACAAAACACATAATTTATATAATAAAAAAAAACTTAAATTGACCAATTCACAGTCTTAATGTAATAAGCTCAATCACACGTTAGCAGTCAGTTTGAAAAAGTAATTTTTATTAAAAATTAAAATTTCATCCTTTTTTTAAATATTCAGTTAATTTTTTTAAAATAACAATTAATTTTGTATTTAATTATAGGGTTATAATTTTTTTTTCTGGTACCGAGTATCTATGTATGTCATTTTAGGAATTTTGCTATTTTGCTGTCTTTTTACGTTTATTAGCTTTATTATTATTTATGTTAACAAAATAAAATGTCTTGAACCATTTGTTAACTTTGTTTGGTCCTTTACCTCTTTACTAGCTATCATAGGTTTTTTTGGCTCTGGAGTTATTTATACTTTAACAATAGTATTTTATGAAGCCTCCCTTTCATTTAATAGCTTTACAACAGACTAAGCAACATTTACCTCTATGCAATATTTACTAGGTATTTATTTATTTATAAATTTTTTTTATATTATATTTTAATTATATGACTTTTTAGATCCTAGTGCTGCTAAATACTTGCAAGACTGTGTTTTTGGGAGTAATACTTCAATGATAGATGTATTCGGGCTTAGGGATTACTTAACATAAGTAAATAGTATAACATTGTATATCTAATAGCTAGACTAGTCCTTCGGAGGATTAAAAATCCCTAATTTAGCTATCACAAATTAAATATAAGACTGTGCAAATTACATTAACAACATAGGATCTTTAGTGCCAAACTAATCTAGTAGCACTCTCTAATTATTGAACAATTGCATCAACAAAAATTAATGTATATGCGATTCTACTTAGCCAACTGACATAGTTAGCTGCAAGTAAGTACTTTTAAGTGATACATTTGTCTTTACAAGTTCTTAGTGCTACGCAGATGGAGTAAAAAGGTTTATATTGAGTTAAGGTCAAGAAAATTAAAATTTGAGTACTTAGAATTGTATTTTAATTGCTATGAATACACTCGACAATAACTTATAAACTACTTAAGTAAACAATTTAGATTATGCAGCTAGATTAAAAAATGTTGACTCAATTGATCAAAGTCCATAATGCTAAAAGCTTAAGTAATGCTCCCAATAAAATTATATTTAACAGCTGATAAATTATGCGTAATAAATTAATTTAGTATTTCTATATTTATAATACAAATTTATTTTGATAAAATTAGGTCTTAATCTGGATATCAAATTCAGTAAGTCAAACAAACATTGAAACTTGTTTAATCTGATTTCATAGATTTATATTAGCAGTATTATAAATTATTTTATGTAAACGTTAAAGGCGTATACACTTAGAATCTGGAAGCTCAAATCTTGCTTGTTTCAGATAGTAATACAGGCATGTACTCAAATCTTTAGTGCACAGCATTTGGCGATGATTTAAAGTAGATGAATAGGTTTCTTACTAATTAATTCTTGTTTGATTTATATGCTTTAGACTGGTGGACCATATCTACATTTGTAGGGATGATAACTGGATTAACCTTAATGTATTTTTCTATGAGTAGATTATAGTATTGGGCCTACCTTGATGGATAGATATAGGAAAAACCTATAAATACAGATGAGAATAAAACAAATAAACCTCTACTTTAATAAAGTAATACTATTGCTACCCCTAAAAAGCAAGTTTAAGAAATCTAAAATACAAGTATAGTAAACTCCTCTATGCTCAAAAGCTATCTAATAAATTAATCTACATATAATAAAAAATATTTACCCAAAACATCATCATTTACTAATTTTCAATACTAAGAAAGTTTACCTAATTTTTAAGATACCTCAATGCCATAAAATATAACAATCACATAATAAAATGAGGTAACTAAAGATATTGAAATGGAGTACTATAAAAATTGAACAAAACATATTGGTTAGTAGATCAATTTAAAAACTTATTAATTTTTCTAAAATATAATTTAAGCATGAAAATAAATAGCTAGCTATTCTCTTATACATAATGCTTAATTATATAGACAACAAAATATCTTTAAAATAAATCAGAAATCAAATGAAATTAAGGATAACTAAATATCATAATAAACTATTTCAAAAATGATATCATAACTTTTTTATGAAAAAAAGAAAGAATAAATTATTTATTTGCATAATTTATTAATTTATTTAATTATTTTTATTTAATATATATTTATTTGTATGTAGATTATAACTTTTTAAAATACAGTAAATGCTCGTTAATTAAGGCATACTTTAATTAAGGCATTTTTTTCTTAAATTTTTTTTAAAAATAAACCGCTTTCTTTTTTTTTTTGATAATATAATTTTAAATTATAAAAAAAATACAGTAATTCTAAATCTTTATAATCATTCAAGCAATAAGCTTTATTTTTACTTTATAATTTTTAAACTATATTTTTTTTAACTCTTTATTTAAAAAAAAAGAAATTAAATTTAATAAATTTTATTTTAAATATTTAAAGAAGTTATTTGATCTATTTAATAATCTTTTAAATTTGTTACAATAAACATTTATGTGATAATTATTTACTTGTAATATTAAACGTTTCTCTTTTTTAAGAATTTTTGTTAAAAATTCACTTTTTAGTTAGATTTTTTGAGAGTTTTTTGGTATTTTAGTTTTAAATATCGTTTTCTGATAAGTTCATGCTTATATTAATAGATTAGGATTAAGAATTTTATTGGTCATTTACTGATAACTCTTAGTTATCAGAAGGTTTTTCAGATTAATTTGCATCTTATTCAGTCTTTTCTTTTTTGGAACTTGTACTTATTCTTTTAAAAAAATTTGACACTTTTCTAAATACATTTTCATCACTTTTTTTATCTTCTGAATTGTTGTTTGAATCTTTTTGTTAATATTGGGAAACAGATATACGAACATTTTAGCCAAGTTCTTCAAATTATTATTTATCTTGAGGTAAATCTAATTCAGTTGAATCTTTAATTTCTTAAATTTACTCTGCTTGCTTTTTTCTCTGCCATTCCTGAAGTATATATAATTCACCTTTTAAAATTAAATCTTCTTCTATTTCAGTTTGCATTTGAATTTTGTTTTAAGAAAATTTTTGGATAAGCTTTTGAGTTTTTTTAAAGGAAGAAACTATTGCTATTACAGATATTAGGAAACATACAACTGCATTATAGTAATAACCAAAAAAGGGGATTTCTTTCATTGGATCATAAAATTTATCAAATCCTGATTAATATACTTTTCCATCATCTTCAGTATTTTAATCAATAATGCCAAATAAGAGCATGACATTATAGCATATAGGAAACTGTTAATAAAAATAATTTTTTAAATTAGATATGAAAACTTTTAAATCTAAATACAGTCAAAAATAAGCACATTGATAAGTTCTAAATAAAAACATCTCTATGAGTAAAATAAATGAATAATTCAAATGAGCCAAAAACTTTTAGCTTCCCTAGTGCAAAGTAGGTGCAAAATATCACATAAAGCAGCACTAAGATAATCAAAGATATTATCCCTGGAATGTTATTTGTACTTTTTATCATCTATTTTATTTTTCATAAAACACTTTTAATATACTAAATAAATAAGCAAATATGTTTTTACCTAATAAAATGCCAACGCCTTATTTTAGCTTCCAAAAACAATAGTAGCTTCACAGAAAATAATTAATATTGAAAATAGGCCTGCTATTATTGCAGCCAGCTTAAATCCAGCACTTAGAAAAATATTCATTTTTATCGCTTTTACCTTCACAGGTTTTGCATTTTAGTGTACTTCTTCTCTGCTTGAGTTTCTTGAAGAGACAGATGTAGATGAGCGAGGAATGTTTAAACTTTAATCAATTTCTTCAATGCTTTCTTTCGTGATTATTGAAAATACACTTGTCGATATCTATATCAAAAGTTATTAAATAAATAAATATAAAAAAGTAAAATTATCATAGGAGTTTTTTTTTAATGAAACAAGAAACTATTTTACTCTCTTCCATTTTTAAATATGCCTTTCATAATTGAATTTTCTTATTCTGATTTCTTGCCTTAAGCTAGCCAGCACTTATTCACTAATCTGTTATATTTTAAAAAGTATTTACTTTAAATTATGAATCATTTTTAGCATACTTACTTGTCCATTAGTTTTAAGCTTTATAACAAATTCTGTAATCTTTTCATCTGGTTTATAGAGAATATTTTTTTAAAACCTATAGCCAATAGGTTCGTTAAGATTAGGTGTTTCTTTTTAAATTAACTTAAGATAATCTAAATAAATAGGTATATTTGCTATTTTTTTTTGATAACTTGAAGATATATAGCAGATATCTGAATATTTCCACTGATTAAGATAAAAAAATTGATTTTATTCTTTTATAATTAATTTAGCATTAAAATACGTAAGAGGATTAATATTCTTTAAAGAGTTCATGAGTTTTGCACAATAGCTCTATTAAATAATCTTCTCTTTAGGACTTATTCCATAAGTAGAAGGGAACTTTTACTAATCCATACCCAAACAAGAAAGCTAAGACACTAATACCATATACATTCGAGATAACAACTATCACGGCCTATTGAATTAAAATTTTTACTTTTAGACTTAAAAAAATTTCTATTTATTTATTTTACTAATATATTATCAAAGCCTTTGATCTTAAACCAAAATAAACATATTATAGAAAGGATTATAAAGAGAGCAACACAAGCAATTACTAGCTTAAAAAATTACTATTTAAAAAATTTTTTTAAAAATATTTCATTTCAATCTTAAATTTTTAATCTACTTTAAATGCAGCTCTCATTTTTTGCTTAAAACCTATGTAGCCATTATTGTGGAAAAAAGACTATAAAGTATAGACTAAATTAGATAAAAAAAATATGGTCCAATATATCACAATCCAGTAAGTCTTAAAACTATCAGTAGAAGAATCTATTTTAGACAAATTTATGTTTCTACTGTTTTTATCATAAGTAATAAGAGCAGCATCTAAGGGAATTATACAACTTTAAAAATAAATAAATTTTAATAGCTTGCATAAAAACTATTTTAATTGTAATTGTTTTACATTGTGCTAAAAGAAATAAAGTAACCCAAAAAAACAGTAAGGTATGTATCCCACTCAAAGCTTTGAATTGAACAAAAGCTAACAAGCATAATCAAGCTACCTGAGAAACTTACTAGTTTAAAAATTAGCTTTGTTATATTAGAAAGAGCAAAATATAATACTACTTACAAATGACTGAAGAAGCGATGTAAGATTAATAATTCTAAGCTATTGTCAAAGACAATATGACAATCAAAAAAGTGACTGACGAAATAATATAATTGACATTTTTTCTTTTCTTGATAAGCGATTGAAATATTTAAATTGCTTGTTGCTATTTCATTTATCTACAAATAATCTAAATTATTACAATTCTTATTGCAAAAAATTACTATAATAGCACTTACAGTAACAATAAAATTATTTAATAATAGAAACTTTAATAAGATTACAATTGATAAGTGAATAGAAAAAAACTAATTGAAGAAATACCATAAATAATAAATTAATTACAAATCAAGTGTATAATTTAATTCAAAAATATCTAATTTGTTTGCTATTTGATTGATTATTTAAACACCAAATATAATTGAAATATATATAATATAAATAGATGTTCCAAAATAGATAGATATCGATGTATTTATTTATTTATTATTTACAAAAGATGTTAGACAGATTTGAAGCTAGGTAGAATTTTCTATTTTTATTTTTTTAAATGTTTATTTATAAGTTGATAAATTATTTATTATTTTTCATTTTTTAATTAATTAATTGTGACTTATTTTTTATAGAAGTAGTTCTTAATTAATATTTATTTTCTTTTTAAGTCAACAAATGTACTCAGATTCTTTAGTGAATTGCAATACTAATTAAATTTAATATTTGAAAGAGGGAGATAATCTTATAAACTGATAAAATAATTTATTTAAGGATTTTATATTGATCAAAATTTAGCATCTAAATCGTTTATAACATTCATGCACTGTCTCAATACCTTCAATTATTATTTTGTTTCTTCTCTGTTTTGCAAGATGTAAGTATTTTCAGAAAGCAAGTTATCAAATAACTCTTCGTGATAGATTGAGTTAACTAGCTCTCTTTCACAAATATTTAATGCCTTTTTTTAATTAATTAATAAATTAATAAATCATAAAATACTATTCTATCTGTTTTACTCTGTTGACCAAAAAGCTGATAATTGTTTTGGGAATTGAATCATTAATATTTTTCTTAACAACGTTAAAGTATGAAACGATAAGACTCTTAATCATATCGGTTTAAGTTGCTTCTTTTTTTGATGGCTTTTCAGAAACTCTGATCACATTAGGAACCTTGATTTATTATAATAATAAAAGAGTTAATTTACATTTTAAAAATAAAATTCTATTAATTACTGGTGGGAGATTTTAACGAGGGATATACATTCCAAAATTAGTGATAGAATAATCTAAATTTAATTCTTTATTGATATCGTAATTTCTTTTTCTTTATTGGTCTGGAATACTTTATGTTTCACTAAGAGAATTTTAGCTTTTAAGATCCTATTTTAATATTAATTTCATGATAAACAGCAGTAAATTAATTGTTATTTACCTCATTCTTTTTCTTTAAGTTCATCATTTTCAACTTGCTATCAAGCATTTCTGTTTGCTTATTTGATTTTTAGAAAGGAAGCCAAGACCAAAAACTCTCAGATTCTTCAGATTCCTCTTCAATTTTCGAAGAATTTACATTATTTTATTTGTTTTTATCTTGATTTTGTTAACCATTGTTAGATTTTTGAACTGCTTTTTCTTCATTTACTATCATGTTATCAGACTGAGTTTATATTAAACTCATTCCTCCAACAAAATCAGGATGATTTGTGTTAATATATCCTAATTCTATTTCGATCAAATTTTTAATCATTTAATCAGTTGGGGTAAGGCATCTGCTGAGAACATCTTCCATGACTTCAAAAATCTAAAATTAAATATATGTGATGAATAATTTGTTAAATATATAAGCAAACTTTACCTTATTACTAAGATTATCGAATCTTTCTATTTCTGGAATGTTAATTAAGTTTATTACTCTCCTTAATTCTAATTATATTTATTATTTAAAAATTATAAAACATTTTAAATACTAAAATAATAAATTACCTTCGTAAACAAGGTGAGAACACTAAATAGAGGGTGAGTATAAACGAGATACCTATTGTTTAACTAAATTTTCAAATGCCCCTTCTGGAACAAAAAGAGAGGATCTTATACCGTTAGAAGATTTGATAGCAGTTCTAATATCTTCATCTGAAAGCTAATCAAAAGGATCAACTTCAAGCACACATTTTTTAAAGATATTATTGAATATATAATTTATTCTTGCTCCACCAATAAGTTCATCATTATTTGACTTTAGATACTTACCATCTTTATTTAGTTTAAATAAGATATTATTTATTTATTTATTTATTTTAATTTCAATAAACCTAAAAAAAATTATATTTTATTTTTATTAATAAAATGAACTATTGTTCCTTATTAAACTTATTTAATAAATCACCTCACTCATATTATATTTATCTTTTTTTTGGTTATGCTTTTGAAAATTTAATTTGATAATTTCAAGCAAATCAATTTCTATTTAATTAGTTAATTTTGAAGTTTATATTTTAAAATTATTTTATTTCAATTTATAAATTTTATACTCTCATTTAAATTTATTATGGATAATGTTTTTTAAAAATGATAATTGAAAATATCAAAAAATTACGAATCAAGTCATTAAAATTGTTAGCAAATTTGGAAACCAAGTTAAGTAACAAATATCCCTTAGATGTTTTATCTTCCAAATATGTAAAATCACCGTATTATCTGATCTCATCTTCTTTTATCTTTATTTTATAAAAAATCCTTTTTATATTTATGCTATTTATTTAAATTATGATTTTACCTAAATTAATCTGATAATGTTTTCTCTTATTTTTGGCAGGCATTTTTTAATGTGGTTCATAAAGATTAGATTGAGAGTCTTTATAAGATATGGAATACCCATTTTATCAGCAACCTTTCTGTAGACGCTGTGATTTTCAAAAAAGGCTGCTTCATCAACAATCTACTCTTGGATTGTTTTGGTCTTTAATTAGTTTTATCCTCTCATAACGACTCCAACATATCCTAATTGTTTAATTTAATTATATGAATTTAACTCATATTATTTTAAATATATACCTAGTCTAAGAGGATATGTTTTATTCGTAATATCATTTAGGGCATTCTCACTTTCGAAATCTTATAAATCAATTTATGTTATAACTCCTATTGTCCTCTAACCATTAATATCAAATTCTCTTGCCAACTTCAAAGATTCTGAGTTTGCTAAATCATCAGTTCCTTTCGAAATAGCCAAAATAATTGAATTTGGATTAGCTATGTAAGGATTAACAATTTCAAGCAATTTTTATTCAATATCAGCTGGCTAGTCTCCAACGGGATTCTATTTCATTTTGATACATTTAAAATACTTTAGATTAAGCTAATTAATATTACCTTTGTTATACCAGGAAGATCAACTAGAAGTAAATCTACAACGTTTTTACTATAAAATCTAATTTTTAAAGGTACTCCAGAAACACCTTTTTGTTTACCTGCAACTTTTTCTGTTTCATCTTCTATAATTTTAGTCAGTACTTCCATGTCTGTTACTTTTTCTCCTTTACGATCCAATATTTCAGCATACTCTTCTCCACTAGAAATATTAGTCAACTAAATTTCGATAGGACGACGTGTTACAATTCCTTTACCTCTAGGCAAGAAATCTTTGCCTATAATGCTTTCTAAAACTGAACTTTTACCAGATGATTAAGAACCAATAACAACAATCTGAGGTAATCTCAGTTCATTTGAAAGATTTGTTCTGTGTAAAATATTCTATTTATATAAAAAATATAAATTACATTCTGTTAAATAATGCTTATCTCTACTACTAATTATCCCCATAATTTTTGGGTAAAAATTATACCTCATTTTTATTATTTTTTAATTTTCAAAAATAAAAACAAAGCTCGTTACTAAATAGAAACGCAAATTTAGAAAAGAATATCCATATTTTATAAGCTTAATTAGTATTTTACGTGAATTTCGTTGATAAGAGGAATTAGTTGATCCATAGTTCAATAAAATTAGCTATATGTCAGATGTTTAATTGCTTTACCTAAGTATCAAGTCTTTTTACTTTTAAAATAATCTAGCTCTATTTATTTGATATTTTTTTTTGTACAATCTACAAAGTTCTTAATTTGATAAAATTTTAAATAATTGTTTTGTTTGTTTATATATTTTGATTAATATAAGTAATATTTTTTTCAATTAAAGATAAATCAATTATTTATTGGCTGAATGTATTTTAAAGAAATATCTTTCACTTCTAGAATTATCGGTAAAATAATTAATTAATCAATTTTTTAATTCGCTATTTTATTAAGAATCTATATCTTCATATCACTATTCTATTTTAAATATTATTAATACTTCCAGAAATTGCTATTAAACTTTATTTTTAAACTCATAAATTATTTTAATTTATTTTAAATTAATTGCTAGAAAGTACTTTTTTTTGAAAGAAATGCCAATTTTCCTATGAGACATTTTGCACTTTATTAAATTATTTTTGTATTTGTTTGGTGCTTTCTTTAAAAATTTTGTAATTTAAACAATTATTTTAACTTATTTTGAAAAAAAAAATATTATTTTAAAAAAATTAATTTTAGATTTTCTAATAAAAGGAACTATTGAAAAATAAATGGTATCATTAATTCAAAAAAAAATTCTCAGATTGATTATTTATCAATTTATTAAAAAAAATAAAAATTTTATATTTTGAGATCAAACTTTATGACAGCATTAATTATGAATTTAATCAATTACATTTAAATGGATGCAAATCCTTCATTTTATATTTAATTTAACTGAAACAACTTTAAAACTTATAAAATAATTTAATTAAAACTTTTAAGTTTGAATTCTTATTAATTAAATTAGAAATCTTTTAAAAACTGTAAATACCAAATAATAAATATTAAACGGTTGACTAGATTATTGATAAATACTTAAATATTTGCAATATACGAATGAGTTTGAAGTATTAAATTTAAAAATAGTTTGTATAAATAATAGAAAGTTTTATGATGTAAGTGAGTTTGGAATTATCCTTTTTAAGATAATAGAATAAGTACATATAGGTAATGTATACATAAATCAGTTTAAGACATATAAGTCCCTATCAAATTATTTATGCAATTTTATAGCCTAGCAGTACTTCTAAATTTAAAATGAAAGAAAAAGCTATATATATTTTAATATTAATCCCTTTTCTTCAAACCCAGAGCTTGCAGTGTTGACCGTGATATACAACAAATCTTTGGTAAGCAGCGAAAGCTATTGATATGTTAAAGAAATATTAGTTTTAAAAAATATTTTATTTCAAATTGTTTGAGTTAATATATTTTATGTCTCTAATTATTTTAAAAGATACATATATCTTTGAAATTATAAAAATTTATAAATTATTTTAATGTTAACAACAAACTCCCTAGCTTAAAGTTCAGTATTATTTTTTCAATAAAAAGCTTCGTTATTTTAAAATAGTTTATTTTTTGAAGAAAATGTTTTTTGGTACAAAGATATATCCATTCAATTTTGCTAATTTTTTTATCATGTTTATGTATGTATGTACATATGAACTTTTTAAGATTGTGAAATAGTAGCTAAATTAGTGTAATGTTTATTTTTTTATTAACTTTATAAAAAATTATAATGTTTGTTCAAATGAATTAATTACTCTTTAACCAACGTAATTCTTCTTAGGTATTTTTACCCCATGTGTAGCAGTATAAGAAGGGAAGAACACCAATAACTGATCTTCTGATAATAGGGAGGTTTCTATATTTTATAAATACTTTTGTAGTGAAATCGAGATTGTGAATGTGAAGTTAAATCAATTAAAAATGAATTTTTTAATAGATACCTAACGATAGGGAAGTTAAAGAAAAGAGCACTAATAACACCACCAGCAAGAGCACCAGCCTTACCGAAATAAGCAGATTCTCTGTTATATAAATATTAAATTTAAATTGAATTTTTTGCATAAGTTTGTCTGAGTTAAAGCTTAAAATGAGAATATCATTTTGATTGAATGGAAAAAGATGCAGTTAATGAATGCTATTACACTTCAGCTGAGTAAACCATTTCAGCAGTTTTAAGGTTGACGTGCTTGTCGTATTTAAGGAATCTAGTAATCTATTTGCATATAAATTAAGAAAAGTTAGCTATCTTTACAATTTTTTATGCTATGAATAAGGAAAAGAAGAGGAGACGAAGGTCTGTCTATGTATTATTTGCTTTCCTTAGTATTTACTTATATTTTGAAAGAAAATTGAATAAGCGAATCAAACGTTTAAGCAATGAAATAATTCCAATATCAAACAAAATAAATTTCCAAACACTCCTCAAATCAAATCAAAATTTCTGAGAGTGTGTCTGCAAAAAGACGCTATCCTTCATCTCCTCCTCTTCAACGAATAAATCCTGCTAAATTTTATACAATATCCTTTTCTTCGTGAGTCCAATTTCTTTCGTCAGTTCCAAAGGGTTCCATTTTATATCAATATCCTTTAATTACTTGTTTTATATCTATTTATAAAATTTTTATTTAATTTCTTTTCTTTTTTTGTTTGTTTGTATTTTACTTCCTCACACAAACAAATTTTACTTCTTGTTATCTTAATTAAAATTTCTGTCTTTTGTATATCTATTGCTTGCTAGCAATTATCTTTCTTTTTCCTTGTTAAAAGCAAAGATAAAATGATTGAATTATTTATTTATTTCATTCATTTTTTTTTGATTTATTTTTCATTATTTTATTCAATCATTTATTTCTTGTAGCTTAAAGAAACAATTTATTAAATAAATATCAAGCAAGCAAGCAAGCGAGCAAAATAAAACAAAAATCAATAGATTTTTCATGTTTTATTTATTTATTATCGAAGTATTCATTTTATAGATAAAGATTATTAAAAATGAATGAATAAATAAATAATTGATTTATCTAACTATATTTTAAATTAAAATTTTGATATGCATCAAATATATAGTTCTCTAAATCAACATATCTTCCACTGATATATTTTTATTTTCAAAATATAAAAAAAACAATTAATAAATCAAATTGATCTCACTTTAATTTTCAAAAATAAAGTGTAAATAAAATATTTTTTTTATTTTAAAATTATTTTTTAACAAATTCAAACAAATTAGAAAAATTATTTAACTGGAATTCATTTATTTTTTATTTTTAGAATAAAGGGGTTTAATTAGAATTTTGAGAAAATAATTAATTGTAAATTAAGAATAGTGTGTTATTTAATTTATTGTCTTTATTTAAATATTATAAAAACTTTTGCAGATTCTTTTTTCTCTAATTAAAAAAAAAATTATTATTGTAAAATAAAAATGTCTTCAAAGCCAGCAAATTTCTTTTTGGTAGCAGAAGCAAAGTTTAATATTTTATTTGTTTGTTTCATTTTTGTTTAAAAAAGATGAAATATTATAGATTTATTGATTGATTGATGCCCGCGTAGGGATTTGAGAAGAAAGTAAACCATAACAGATATATAATTAAAAAAGATACATTCGAAAAATAGATAGATAGGTATTTATTTAATTGATGAGAAGAAAGGAATCTTCCTTCTTTGCTTAATATTAATTTAAAAGATCTATTTATTTATTTAACATTTTGAAATGCTTTTGTGTTTTATTTGTATATGGATGAAGCTTATTCAAAGTGCTACGCGAGGAATTTAATTACTCAATTAAGAATTATCTATTCACTCATAGACCCATTCGTGGGTGGAGGACTTCCATTGGGTGAGTTCGGTTTCCTTGAACCAGAGGGCGATTTCCTTTTGAGCAGATTCAACGGAGTCAGAACCGTGGCAGATGTTTCTACCGATATCGATGGAGAAATCACCTCTGATGGAACCGGGGAGAGAAGCCAAGGGGTTGGTTTGACCGAGCATTTGTCTACCTTGCTTGACGACGTCCTTACCTTCCCAAACCATGGGAACGACGGGACCAGAGAGCATGTAAGCAATCAAGGAGGGGAAGAAACCCTTTTGCTTTAAGTCAGCGTAGTGTTCTTCTAATAATTCCTTGGTGGGTTGGGTGAACTTCATGGAGACTAACTTGTAACCTCTTTGTTCGAATCTTTGGACGATTTGACCGACGAGACCTCTTTGGACACCATCGGGCTTGATCATAATGAAGGTTCTTTCAGCTGACATTTCTTTAATTCTTTGTTTTTTATTATTTTTAGATATTTTGTTATTTTTTGTTATTTAAATTTTTATAAAAATTACAATTTTTGCTGGGGTTTTCTATCAGTTCTCGATTGATATCCATGAATGACACTACAAATTAATAAAAAGGATAAACCTAAAACAAATGGATAAAACTAAAACAAAATTTTCATTTAATTCCTTAACGATTCCATTCATTTTTTCTATTGAAAAATAAAAATTTATTGTCTCTTTTCTATTTCTCATTCCTTTTTTATTTAAATTATTATAATAAAAAATTATATCGCTATAGCTGATTCGTTTTTCTAATATGATTTTATCTCAAATATTCCACATCTTAATGCCTCATTTTTTACAAATAATCATTGATTATGCTAACCTTTACTTCATACTATTTAGTTTGTGCACATTTCGTAAATTTCTACCTTTATTTTATTTTAACTTCTTTTTTTGTAAAATATCTTTCGTTTTTTTTTTTCTCTCTATCAATTTAAATGCTGTCAAGAAGATTGATAAATTTTTTGATTAACAAATCAGGCAAATCTTTTCATAAAAAATTTAAGTTCATTGAAGTTATTATCTAAAAATATATCTTTTTTTCGCGTAATTTTAAATATGTTTTTTTTAAATTCCTTGTTTATTTTTGAACAAACTTCTCTAAAGAATATAAAATGGAATTGTTTGTTTTAGCCTTAAATCTAAATTAATATCTTATTGAGTAAACATGAGAGTCCATTTTATTTATAAGCTTATTTAAGAGAAATAAACTGCTTTTTGCTTTTGAAAACCCCCTAATGGTAAAGTTAAGCATTTCTTAGCAACTGTTCTAAATTAAGTAATATTTAGTGCCTAAATATAAGATTGGTGATTGCTTGGATTCCCCACCTTATTCAAGCAGTTAACAGATGAACAATTGCTAAAATCATAACTTATGAATTGATTGAGTCGTTTCTAGAAATAAAATTTCAATTATAACTTAAATATAAAAGAGATCGCTTTAATGCTGCAAGCATCTACAATCATTATTTAAATAAACTTTAATTTATTTCATTTTGATTTCTTACAATTTTACAAAAATTATTTATAGCGATATTTCAAAAATGGAATTAATTTTTTCAAATTTTACTAAAACCAAGGCTACTCAGCAAGTAAAACACTCAAAACTATAAATTTTGATAAGATGGTTCATCAAATTACTTGGCAAATCACTATTTTATTATTTTAATATTGTAAAAATTATGAAAATTTTGTTTTTTATTTGAATATCATCTAGATATTCTGGTATTATTGTAAAAGAGCAAATAAATGTTAGTAGAATTCTTGAAGAACGAAAAATATGGCTTTATTTTTTATCATTTCTTACAATCATATAGCAAATCAAATATATTTATAATTCAATTTGTTAAAAGTTATAAAATATTAGCCATAAATAAACAAGCAACCAAAAAATTTCAAATTCTTAAAACCTTTTCCCTTTATTTTAATGGTAGAATAAATAAAAAAAAGTATTTATTTACCCATAAAAACTAAAAAATATTTTAAATATTTTGCAAAATAACAAATATATAGCAAATAAGATTACAATGAACTTGCTCTTCAAAACTATCGGGGAAATAAATATGATATTAAAATGAAATATTATTAAAGATATATATTAATTTACATTTTTGTAATATAAATTGTCGATTCAGATACACTTATAATGGCTAAAAAAATATGCATAAATTTATTATATAAAGATTGTAATTTAAATGAAAAAATCTTTTAAGAATAGTTAAGAACTCAAAACAATATATAAAAATGTTTTAACATTTTAATAGTTTTAAGTATTTTTTAATATAAATTTGAAGTATAATTTATTTTATATAAACCAAGACTGTCTAGTATATTTAGTGTAAATTTATTATTGAGGATAAAAAAATTTTCTAAGGATTATTAATTTTTTTTAATTTGTTCAGTTTTTTTAAATCTATGGACAAGCGTGATTATATATTTTGTTATGTTATGGATTTCTTGTATAGCAATTTACACCATACCAGCAATCTGGCTTGTCTTTTACATTTTTTGGTAGTTAATCTTTAATAGCTATCCTATACTTAAGGACCATCTAGTTCCAAATGTTAGGCCAGCAGTTAGTACATAATGGAGTATCAGAATTGATATCAAATGATTTATTTTCAGTAGTTTTCATATACTTTTAGCATATTTCATATTTAAATTTACCTTGCTTTACAAAATTTTCATTTACATAATCATAAATCATTAGAGTTCTCATCTCATCATCTTCGATAAAATCCTATACAAATTTAAATATTTATTTTAGTTTATTTTAGTGAAATAAAATCATTTATAAATGAAAAAAGTGTATACTTTTAATACTTATATCTCCTCTTCTCTGCCTGAGAGAACATTATTGTTTAAAACTTGCGGTATTGGTATATCTTAAAATAATCTCAAGTGATGGCTAATTGAAGAATTATATTTAGAGCTGCAATCTTATTTAAAATATAAATTGCAGAATGATCTTTCACATATTGTACAATTTTGAGGATATAAATTATTATCATTTCTTTAAGGCATCATTTTATCACAGTTAATACATTTAATATGTTATTAATATGGAGAACATTTAAAATTATCATCCTATCTAGCGTTTTGGCACTCTACACATCTATCTTTTATAAAAATTGAAAAATAAATTTAATGAATTTTATGAAAATTTAACAAAAAATAAATGAAAGAATTGATTGATATTCAATTAATTAATTTAAAATATTTCATTATTAGTTACGATTATTAAATAAGATTCTATGTAAATTAAATAATACGTATACTATAAAAATAAAAATTAAGTGTAATGTACTTAAATGAGCAGGCATGATAAAGTTATAGTTGTATCCAAATTATTAAAATGGCTAATTATTATTATATTAATATTCTTCTTCTTCTTCATCCTCATCAAATTCTTCTTCATCTTCCTCTGAATAGTTACGATTATTGTTTCTATCACTACTTTCACTATCAGAGTAACTTCGCTATCTTTTATAAATACCAACTTTTTTAGTTTTATTTGATAGTTTTTCATTTATTTAGTCAAGAAAATCTTTATTGAGTAAATTTGATTCGTTTTTTTTCTTGATAACATCTTCTTGCCATTTTTTATCAGGATTTCTTTTAATGAAAGCTTCAATTAAGTTATTTAATTAATAATTTTTCTACACACTAATTGGTTTTTCTCTACATTAAGGACAAGCTATATCTTTATTCTTTAAAAGTTCACACATACAATCACAACAGTAATTATGCAAGCAAGGTGTCATTAAATAAGGGTTATATAATAAATCAATACATACGACACAGGTTTAATCTTTTTCAAAATGTTCATCCTATTTATTTTAAATAAATACTTTAAATTCAGTATTTTTGCTTTGAAATATGCTTATAAGATTCCATAAATAATGCTTAATAAAAGCTATCTAATTATGAAGCAAATAAAATAAAAATATTTTACATCTTCTTTAACCTTTTTTAACCTTTCTTCCAGCTCATTTTACATTTTTTTAATTTATTCATTTTGTTCTTGTTGTTCCTTTTCATTTTATTTGTACTATTCTAAAGATTACTCCAATTATTTTTGATCAGTATTATTTTTAGTGGCAGTATCTTATTAATCCTTGTTAAAACTATCAACGTTATCTACTAACTTAAATATGTATCCAATCCATTAACTTTTATCTTAAAGTAAGTTAACAAGATCGCCATTTTCTAGCTCTACTTCTTTATTTTTTTCAAGTTTTTTGTTAAACAAAGATGTTCCATTTGAAGAAACATCAATAATATACGCTTTCTTTTAGGCATAATCATATTTCAATACACAATGTTATCCACTGACTTTAGGGTTGTCAACCTTTAGATCACCTCTTCTACCTAAAATATGTTCTTTTTAGTTAAGTACAAAAGTTTCTTAAACTAATCCTCCTTTAGGAATGAGTTCTCCCCATTTTTATTATATATCAGTTGAACTCATAATTCAAAAGCTTAATTAATTGAAATTTATTTGTAGAAGATATAAATGTTAATAATAAATATATATTTTATTCGCAAAAAGTACCAACAATTAAAAGTTCTAGATACAAAAAAAACATGATTTATTGTACAAAAAGCGCGAAATTAGATATAATTTATTGGACAAGCATATTCTAATCAAATTAACTAAATTATCATATTTATTTTTTTCATTAATAAAATAGTTTTAATTCAAAAAAAATTAAAATTAAAAACTTAAACTAACATATAAATAAATAGTTAGCATCACTATAATTTAGACAGACATATTCAGGGAATATAATTTATTGGTGTGATTTTATGTTTTTTTATCAATTTTTAATTTTTAGATTATAGTAAAGGTTTTTTTAAAATAAAAAAAAAATTAATTTGCAAATTCAAAATTTTTTTTAATTAAAATATTTTTCAAGAGTAAGTTGTTATTTTTGAATAATTTTGATCAATTTTCTAAAAAAGATTAAAAATATTAACAAGATAATTTATTTAAATTAACTAGATTAAATTGATGGATAATACTACTGATGGAAAATTTATTTGAAATTTTTTTCCTAATTTTTGTTTCAATCCAAAATATTTTTTGGAGTTTTTAATAAAAATTAATATTTTAATATATTCATGTTTGAAGCCTCTTTTATTACAATAATTAAAATAATTATAAATATTTAAAGAAAAATTTTTGGATAGAATCATAAATAAACAAATATTTCAGTTTTCAAAAATTTAATTTATTTATTTGTTTCTACATAATCTTTTATACATTTTTAATATTTAAGATTCTTTTTTGTGTGAATAAAAATAATATTTTAAACTATCAATCAATTTTTTAAAAGTATCTGAAATTTAGTTAAAAAAATTAATTGGTAAAATTAGTTAGAATCATATTAATTTAATCCTTATCTTAATTGATAGTAGATTAACTTATAAAAATAAAATATGCAATAAAATGAGGATTTTTTAGTCGAATTAAGAAAGAAATTAATTTAAATAATTTAGCAAATTTATTTTTTTATGTTGCTAATTAAATATAAATATATATTAAATTCCAAATAATGTTTAATATAAACAAAAAAATATTACTATATTCTTTATCTTACTTAGGTACATATGACTCAATATTGCTTAAAATAATTTGCAAAATAAATATAAAATGATAAACAAATTTATAAATTTATGAATAAATATTGCTTAAGATTTTATCCGCAATACTTATAAAATATTAAAAAAAAACAGGAAAAGGTATAAAAATATCAATTTTTATGTAAAATTTTAGTGAATGGGAGTAAGTTTTACATTTAAATATAGAGTTAAGTGATATAACTTAAATTTTCAATTTAAAAATGCATGATGTTATTTTACTTTTTTGCTACTTTTAAACTTTAAAAAGGAAGGAATGAACATAATAATTAATATAAAATTTAATAATTACTAATAATAAATATGATGAATATTTAAATATAAAGAGAGTTTTATTTGGTTAATTTAATAATTTAGATTTATAATGAGAAGGAGAGGGATTAAGAGTAAATTTAATTTTTCAAATTGAGCTTGATTTCTTTTGTTTGTTTATTTATTTTTAAAGCCAATATAGAAAAAAATTAATTACAAATCAACTTTGTTTATTCTCTTAAACTTCTATCTATTTTTCACTTATCAATTGCATGTTTTCATTACAGATTTTCTATTAAAATTTTTCTTGTTCTTGGAAACGCTATAGAGAATACTCTGTGGCTTCTTTTTAGAAAACAGCATATTTTTTAGGGTCACAATAAGATTTCATAATTTCATAGCAGTCTTTTCCTTTAGTTTCTTTGATATTGATTTAAAAGTAAATGAATGCAGCTATAGTAAAACCAGCGAAAATAAAGAATGTTCCATATAAATTGCAATAGATAATTAAATAAGGGAAAACAAGACCAATTATCATAGCAGAGGTCCATCTTATTGAAGTACTTATCGAAATTTAAAATGAATCTAGAATTTCTGGGCTGATGATCCAAGTTACAGCGCCAAGACCAATTTACCATCCAAACTAGAAGAAATATATGAGAAAAACATTAACTTTTCCTAGTGCATCATTTTATGGTAAAGTATTAAGTATACCAATAAGTAATTAGGTAATTATAATAATTATTGTTCCTAATTGCATTAAAAATTTTCTACCATACCTTCCTTGTAAAAAGAAAGAAATAAAGTTATAACCAACCATAGATGCACCCATACCGATTGTAGAATAACGAGCGTACTACTCACCAACTGCACCAGATTCACCAGAAGTTTTTAAAAAAATAGAGTTAGAATAGAAATTTATACCATTAACACCACAAAATTAAGTTGTAAAAGAGATAATACAACCTAGAAGTAATCTCGATTTATATGATGAAGTAGTGCACAAGTCATATATTTTTTCCTTGAAATAATCGTCTAGAGATTTCTGTTTGATTTCTTTTACATTATTAGACTAGGGAACTAAAACAATTTCATCTTTTTTATCATCCGATTAGGCTTGTTATATTTTCATAAGTTCAGTTTCTTTTTAATGATTTTTTTTACTAAGGGCTTGTTTTTTTCTAATAGCCTATTCCTATTCACTAATTACTTTGTCTTCAATGTCATGGAAGACATCTTCACAGTCTTATTCCTCGTAAATAATATGGATGTACTCTTTTAATTCAGAGTATTTGTGCTACTTCATTAGTACTGTAGGTGTTTCTATTTTGAAAAGGAAAGTGAAAAGTGTAAGCCTGATGATGGGAGCAAGCATTGGAGCACCCATAGCTATTCTCCAAGGAATTTAGTCACTATAACCGTCACTCAAATTCGAAGGCAAAGGTAGAACAAGACTAAATAAATAGCTACTGAATACACCAAATGCTTGGAAAAATTAATTAATTGAACCTACTCTTCCACTGATTTCCTTTGGAGCAAAATCTATTATATACATTGGAACAAGCGCTGTATTCTATCCTACACAAAATCCTGATATAAATCTACCAATAATTAAATTAACTACTGATGTTTGTAAAATTAGTATAATTGTTCCAATGATAGCAACATAGTCAAAAAAAATTAAAGATCTTCTCACACCTTTTAGAAGTGATATTGTGTATTTAACACAAAAGGCTCCTACTAAAGCTCCAAAAGGCATGGCTGCAGTGATCAGTGCTGTGTATAAAGTAAACTCATTAGAACTCCAGCTATTAGTTTTTTACATAATTTTTTGCACTGCATTGAACGCGCCTAAATTAAAACCGTAGAACCAAGTACCTAGACAAGCGTTTATTGTAAGTAAATAAATATACCACTAATGTATAACGTGATAATGTCGATGTTTTAAATCTTTTAGCTATGTCTAATCAGTTTATTGTTGCTAATAATTGTTGTTTATTATCATTTTACTTATCTTCTAACTTTGCTTAAAAAGATTTATAGATAAATATCTGTACTTATTAATCAAAAATTTGTTTAATTTAAATAAATATTATAAAAAATAAACGAATCTCTTGGTTGATCAATTTTAATAATTACTAAGATAGAGTAGATAAGCAAACAATCAAAACGTAATTATTAGCATTAAATTAAATATCTTTTTTATTAAGATAATCAATCAGCTCGAATTTATTAATTGAGCAATCTGATAAATGAAGCTTTAAATTATCTAATTATATGTTTGAAAATAAAAATTTATTCTCTATTACTTACATTAAATTTTTAGTCTATTTAATTTCATAATATTCCGTATCAAAAATATGCATAATTGTCAATATTTTCATGGTAGAGATTAAATTAAAATCATCAAAATAACTTTTTTAAGAAAAAATTTATTTACTCTGAACTTGTTTGTTTGTCTGTGTAAATCAAAAGTGTGTGATTATATAATTTTTTTTTGTTTTAAAATCACTGAATTTTTTAACAAAATTTAATTTATCTTTAGAAACAAAGAAAATTTTTTTAATTTCACAGAAAATACTTTGCAAAATATTATTGTAAGTAATTTTATTAACATAACTTCAATATATATTCCTTCATAAAAATATTTCGTATTATTAGTCAAAACGCACTGACATATACCTTACATAAATCAAAATGATATTATTCATTCATATCAAAAAATGCTTGATTGATAGCTTTCTAAAATTCAGAAGAAGAAAAAATTTACATTTTCTCTTCTTGTTAAATTGTATTCTTTAAAAATTAATCTTAGCTATAAAATTGATTAAATATGATATTTATGTGCATTTATCTTTTCTAGCTATTTTAATTAATAATACATATTAAATTAATCTTTATATGATTATTTTATCGCACTTTATAATAATAAATATAATTATTTAATTATTATACAATATAATAATGTAATTATTACATTATAACTTTTTATAATCCATCAGATTTTATGAAAATTATATTTATTTATTAGCTAAATAAAAATAAAAAACAGTACTTTAAATGAACTTTTATCTAATTTTTAGGTTGAACATTCTTAAATATATATCATTTTGGTCTCTTTTTAATTGTAAATATAATTTTTTATATATTTTCATTGGTAGAAAAATAAAAAGTAGCTTTAATTCTCAACTAAACAGCTAGCAAAAAAAATTATAATTAAAGAAACAAACTTTTTATTTTTGAGTAATGAATTTAATATTATTTACTACTTTAAACAAAGTTGTTTGGAAAATTAAAAAGATAATAAATCTTTATACCTTTTATGTGTTATCAAGATATTTCTTAACTAAATTGTTAATTATTTAGATAATTTTTTTCTTTTAATTAATATATTTCTTGATTTAGGATAACCTCTGTTTTTGTAAATTAAATAATGCAAACAATCATATTTTTATAATATTGTCTAATCTATTTGTTATTTATACATGAATAAACAAAACAAGTTACTAATTATTTTCTAAATTAATTGTTCTAAGTTTACATTGAAAATGAAATTTTATAAATAAATTATGTTAATTTATTTTTTCAAAAACTTTTAAATGCAAGTAAATAAAATATTTTAAAATTTTATTCTTAAATATAATGTTTATGAATTATATTTTTATTTTAAATTATACTTGCTAAAAAATAATTAAAAATAAAGATGCTAATTATTATTTAAATGCTTTAAGATAATTAATATAGCAGACTCTAATGCTAATAATTAAATGAAGCTAGAATGAAGCGCATTTCAATATAATAATTTTACTTAAGGATTAAGCACAATACTTCGAAAAAGAAAACAGAAAATATAATTAACTAAAATTTGATTGATTATTAGTAAATTTTAATTCTAAGTAAGATTATAAAATTATATTAAAATTGAAAAAATTATTATTAACACATAAATATATTAAAAATTGATTATTTTTTTAAATAAAATCTAAAAGAAAAAAGAAATCAGATATAAGTTTATAAATAAAATATAAATATTTCTAAGAAATAGAATATTTAAAGAAACAAAAATCAATTCAATAATTTATGATTAAAAGTCAGTTAGGGTTTATATAAAATTAATTGATAAAATAATTATTTTAAATATTTAATTTGGAATTCAAAAAATGTTATTATTTTGTAAAAAATATATTTTCAAATAATTTTATTATTTTTTATATAAATTTTACATTAATCAAAAAATATTTATATTGCTTTTAATCATTATTTAACTTAATCTAATAAATATTTATTTTTTAACTTAAATACTAATTATATGTTAGGCAATCATGAATTAAGAGTTATTTACTAACTTAATAGAGTAATTAATTATAATAGGATCAATAGTTCCATATCTTATTAAATTAAAAATTTATATAATTTATAGTTAATTTACAGTTATTTAATTTAAACTAATAAATTAAAATATAAATTTGAACTAAAAATTGTTAAACTCAATAACATATTAATAAATATTTTATCAATTTAATTAACTTAAATATATTTTTAAATTTTAATTGAATAATATGTTATTTATTAAAAAATAATTTGACTTAAAATATCAAAAATAATAATTTTTAAATATTATAATTTAAATTTTATCAATCAAAAAGTTATAAAATTTAATTAAAATTTCAAATTAAAATAAAATAAAATTTAAATAAAAAAAGTAAAATTAACTTAAATTATAAAAAATTTTAAGTACTTCAAAAATAAATTAAAATTAATAATTAATTTCTAAAAAGTAATTTTATCTTAATTAATTGATTTTAAATTTAAATTTCAAAGTTTATATATTTTTAATTTATTTAGCTATTTATTTTTAATTTTTTTATCTAATAATTTATAAATTTATTTTGAATAAAATTATTTTATAAAAATACTAATTAAAAATAAAGGAAAAAAATCTTTATTTTATCTTATTTAAAAGAGTTTAATTTGTTCGATTTATAAAAATTTATAAAGAATATAATTATTTTAACAACTTTCAAACCAAAAACCAAATGAATAACGATCCCTACTTTTAAAAATATATTAATTTTAATTTTGTTTTTTAATTTATTGCTTAATAAATTTAATACAAAACTTAAATATTTTCTTTTCTTAAGTATTTTTTTCATGTAGCTTTAATGTTAGTAGTAAAACATTTTTTAGGAAAATAAAATGATTTTTACTATAGAATAAGCATGTGAAGATAAATATACAAAAGATATCTTATATTAAATGGAATGCGTCTAGACAGATATAGAGATTTGGTTAATTTTCAAATTAAATAAAAAGTATCCATCATAAAAGTTATTATATTTAGTGAATGAAGGTACTTGTTAATAAAGCTTGATAAAATAAAGAGAAGAGCAATAAGTAAATAAATATATTTATATATCTTATTAGCAATAAAATTAATTAATCATATTAAAGCTTTTAAAAATCAAATAGTTAATTACTTATCAAAATGTCTTGGAATTATTGTGCTATAACTGGAGAATAGCTTCATGAACCCGTAGTTTCAAAAAAGAGCGGTCATGTTTTTGAAAAAAGAGTTATTGAAAAACATATTTAATCAACTGGTTAATGCCCAATTACTGGCTAAGCCTTAAGCAACGATGATTTGATTCCAGTTTAATGTAATTATTTATCAATAGTCTAGCTTAATTTACAATTAAAATATATAGCATAAGTTTACAATTTTGATTCTTTCAATCAAGTTGAAAAGAAGACATTTATATTATCAATTTGATATAATTTTGCATTTATAATAAATTTATTATTAATAAAAAAATTAGTAAATGTCTAAACTAAACCTAGATCTGTCACTTCAAATTCTATTCCTGGAATATTAAAAACATTTTAGAACGAATGGGATGCATTAATGCTCGAAACTTATAATTTAAAATAACATTTGGAAACAGTTCGTTAAGAGCTCTCCCATGCTCTTTACTAGCATGATGCTGCCTGTAGAGTTATTGCTCGTTTGATCAAAGAAAGAGATGAAGCTAGATTGTAAACAAACAAATATATTATTATTATTTCTCAATTAAACATTTAAGTGAAGATCTGCTTAAATATCAAAACAATAGAATTTAAATTTATTTTAATAAGCCTTGAAGCTATTGTGGATTAATATTAATTTATTTTTATTCAAAATTAGTGAAGTTGCCTAGCTTTAAGAAAAGTTAAGATAAGGTAAAATGGAATTAGAAGAAGCAGATGCTTAAAATGAATAATAACAAGAGCAAACAAACAATAAGCTTCCTTAAAATATTATTGATTCAATTAATGAAACAGCTTTAAAGTTAAACTAAATAAGAAAAGATAGAAAGAAAGATGCTGAATACAATAGCAAGTTTGCAGCTACTGAGGTAAATAATATATACATATATGATATGAATTTAGCTTTTATAGCTTGAAATATAGATTAATGTTTTCTAATAAATGTAAATTTTAGGTCATTTCGAGCTATGGTCCTAAGGAAACTGTTGGCTTACATAGTACTACAAACCCTGGAATTAATGCTTTAGATTATAATCGTTAGAGAAATTTAGTTATTAGTGGTGGTAAAGACGGATCTGTTATCCTTTACAATACTGTTTAAAATGTTATTGAAGGAACAGTGGAATTAAATAAACATATTGTTGCCTTGACATTTTTAGGAAACGATGAAAATCCCCACTTTGTTGCTGTTACTGAACACGCAGCTCATCTCTACTAATTCTAAGCTGAAAATAAATAATTTAATAGTTTATATACCTACAACACTAATTCTTCATTTACCTCTGTTTCTGCTCATCCTAACGGATCTCTATTCGTACTTTCTGCCAAAGACGGTTCAGTAACATACCATGATGCAATTTCTGTAAAATTTTAAATGAGATAATTTTTTACTAATTTTAAATGTAAATATCAAATAGGCTTCTCTCGTTTTAGAAGTTAATGATTTAGTTGGAAAGCTCAGTGTTAACAGTATTTAAGTACATCCTGATGGTAACCTTCTTGGTATCGGATGTAGTGATGGCTCAGTTAAATTGTGGAATATATCTTCTAACGAAATAATGACATCTTTGGAAGACAATGTCAATGTATAAAAATTTTTAAATAGTATTATTGTATTAAATTATTCTTAAAAATTGAAATAGGGAGCAATAGACTTGATCAGTTTTAGTGAAAACGGTTATATTTTATCAGTAGGTAGTACAGTTAGTAAAGTAGTAAAGATCTACGATTTAAGAAAAGCTAAGTGCATTAAAACTTTGTTTGGTGAAGGAGATGAATTTTCTTTGTCAAGCATTGAATTTGACCTTTCTGGTAATGTATTTGCTGCTGGTTCTACTACAGGATAAATAAAACTCTACGAAACTAAGAAATGGAACCACCTTTCAACATTCTCTTATCATACAGCTGCCGTTAAATCTTTGAAGTAAAATACTTGTTTATCAAAAAAATTTAAATTAATTAATTGTTATTAATGTATTAAAGGTTTGGTAATTTCTCAAAAGAATTAGTTTCTGGTTCTTTGGATAGAAATTTAATTATTTCTTCGTAATGAGCGAGAGATAAAATTGAAAGCTGAAAGTATTTAAAAAAGTAAAAAAATTAAATGTTAGAATTAAATTCATAAAAATTAACTTAAAATGAATAAATCTTCTATTGAGTAGTCACCATCATTATCATATTTAAAATTTGTATTATTATTACATATTGAAAAATTTTTATGTATATACATACTTTGTGTATTTTGTTTTTTAACTGTCATTCAAATTTACCACCTAGCTAGCTCATTCTTTCATTCACTCATTCTTTAATACTACCTTAAATTTCAATTTTGAATGATTTTATAATTAGCTTTTTAACAGTTAATCAAATTGTTTTTATTAAAACAAATTTTTTTTTAAATTGTAGATAATTAATTTATTTTGTTGATTGAGGTTTTATAATTTATTTTTTATTTGTAATTTTTTAAAAATGAAGTTGATATAAAGTTGAGATTTTTATCTGATTTAAAAAAAAATATTTAAAATAAAATAATTGCCTTAAAAATAATTTTAAGAAAATATTTAGATGAAAATATTTAAATATAAAAAATGAAGGAAGGATGATTTGATTGATAGAGAGAGATTAATAGATAGATAGATAACAGATATTTAGTAAATTTGAAAAGATAGAAATGATTTAATTGGCTTGTATGGATACAGAAAAAGAAAGAGTGACTTGTTATAATATAGAGTGAATGAATAGAATATGCAAGCGATTAATTGAATAAATGAGCAAGCGAGAGGGATAGATGGAGTGAATTTGATAAAAAGGGAAGATGGAGAAAGAAGAAAATATAAAATAAGAGAATGAAAAAGGATGAAAGGAGAATGAAATTAAATTTAATAGGGGAATGAATCAATATACATGAGAAAAATACAAGGGACATTTATATGATGGAAAGTAATAAAATTGAATATAGTTAAGAAAGGAAAAACTAAAATAAAAGAAACCAAAAAAAAGATTAAAAATCAAAAAAGAATCAAAAATAAATATTTGATAAAAGAAAAGGAATATTATTAAAATGGCTGATCAAAACTAATAATTAAACGAAGTTTTAGCTAAGGTTATCAAGAGCTCTAACTGCCAAGATGCCATCTCCAAGGGTCTCCACGAAGTCTTGAGAACTATTGAAGCCAAGCAAGCTCTTTTCGTTTGTGTTGCTGAAGATTGCGATTAAGGTAATTACGTCAAGTTAGTTAAGGCTCTCTGCGCCAAGAACGAAATTAAGTATGTCTCTGTTCCCAAGAGAGCTAGTTTGGGTGAATACTTGGGTCACTTCACCGCTAACGCTAAGGGTGAAATCAAGAAGGTTAAGGGTTGCTCTTCTCTTGCCATTAGAAAGTACGCTCCCGAAATCACTGAAGATGAAAAGAAGATCATCGAAGGTGCTCTTAAGGCTTGATTTGATTGATCATTTCTTACAAATATAATATATTAATAACTACTAAACATAATGTATAATAGCAAATTAATATAAGATTATAAAGTATTTGCATTAATTAGTTAATAAGGGATTGTATTTTTTATTTAAATTGAGATTTTCTTAAAAACGTTCTTGTTATTAGCTCTAATTGTTCACTCTAAATCAAACTTACACACATTTCACAGCAATAAGTATTCTGCATTATCTTATAAATAAATAAGTATATAAAATAAGCAAGCAAGCAAGTAATCATAAAATAGCCGAAAGCAAAGCAAATTTAAAAAGCAGTGCACATTCAAGATAGATTCTCGCGTTAAATAAATATGCCCGTTGTATTTATATTAATAAATTTCTCAAAGCAGCAGATCTAAATTTAGTTAGCATGTAATATTGGCTGGAAATTATTTTTGCATATTCTACAAATCTTTTTTCAGTCAATCTTATTACTATAATATTTTTGTTGGTTTGAAGATAATTTTAGGGCTATCAAATTATTTAAAGTGATTACAAACAAACAAACAAAATCTTTTAGTTTCTGCAAAATATTTAACAAAATAAATTTATTTATTTATTTATTTTCTTAAATCTCAGCACTAAAAGTTTTAATTTTTCTATCAATAAATAAACATTTTAAGAGTAGAATAATAAACAAATATTTTTTTTTTGAGAATCTTTTCTTAATTGCAAAAAAAAATTTAATTTTTTTGAATGAAAAAACGAATTTTTATATTTTTAAAACTAAAAAAACAAAGAAAAAAAAATAAATAAATAAAGATATTCCATATCTTATTATTTTCAGCAAAAAAGATAAATAAAGGAATATATTAAATTTAAAGCTTTCTTGGCAATCATTCAAACAAAACTTCTATCCAATAATCAAGCAGACAGAATAACTTAATAAATTAAATATTTACTTTTCATTTTAAGTAAAAAAATCTTATTCAATTTCTATTTTTCATATTAATAATAAAATAATGAAGCTCACTCACTCATTCATCACATGTCAAACAAAACTTTCAAAAAATATTTATAATTTTCTTCTCAAATATTCTTCATAATAATTTTAATATTAGTGATTTTTTATTTAAAATATATTTTTAAAAAACTTAATTTCAAATAATCTTTATTATATATCCTAAAAATATTATTGAATTTTCTCAAATAAATTTATTTGTTTTTTAAACAGTTATTTTACCTATTTTAAATTTTTTTTAAATATTCCAACTTCTTCAAAAATATTTTTGAATCAACCAAGATAAAATTGTAATATTTAAATTACTTTTAAATTATCTACAATTCTCTTAAATGGTTAATCAAAAATTAATTTTTTCAGTTAATAATTTGTAAATTTAGAAAATATTTTAATGATAATAAAGATGTTTAATATTCAAAATTTATTGAGAAAAGATATTTCAAAAATAATCAATATTTTTATAAAAAATATATTTCCTAAGAAAAAAAAACTAAAGTATGTGATGCTTAAATTTTATTTAAATGATTTTTATGATTTTAAATGAGCAAAACTTATATTTATCATAAAATATTTAATAAAATAGCTTATTTATTAATTAATTTTAATTATAGTATTAACTCTATTATTATAGTTATGCAAACAAAGATGAAACAATAAAATTTGAGATGATTAAAGGCTTGTTATGAGATTTAATTATAAAAATGTTGGTTGATAAATTGAGTTCTTTTGATAAGCAGATAATATATAAAAGTAGAATAAGTAAAGATAAAAGTATTAATTGATAGTTTTTTATACCATCGATTCGCTACTAACTACAGTAAAGAGGGTTTTTCTTAGTTTATTTAGGGTTAGCAAATCATTTTTATTAATTTAAATATATCTTTTCATTTAGAATGGGCAATTATTTAGAAAAGCTAATTAGTTAACTATCTATAAATGAGTTTTATTTCTTAGTTTGTTTTTGCAAGCACAGAATTGATGATCAGACTTTTAATTCATCTTCCAAATATGTATATTTGAAATTAAAGTCTACTTTCTTTCTCTAGATCCAGCCCTTTTCATAATCAAAAATTACATATGTTCCCTGTTCATATTCTTCTTCTTAAATCTTTTGTTTTTTAAAAATTATTATTTCTTTTTGTCAATATCTGAATAAATATAATTCTGTTTTAATATCTTTTTCTTTATTAAATGTAAATTTATTTTACTTTTGGAGCTTCTAATCTTTGGAACCAAGTCATATACTTCTTGTGATATCTCCAGCTCTTATTTTTAAGAGTTTTAGCTGCATTGTATTGTTCATAAGTATTCTTATTAAATTATTAATACATTAAAATTTTATTTTCATAAATTTTCTAATCAAACTTACTTTCTAAAAGTAGAAAATAAAGAAAAGAGTTTCTAGATCAAATTTGCTAAAGACATCCTCTGAAAGCATTTTATACTTTGGAAACAAGCTTTTATTTGATGTACTGACTTTGGTCAATTCAGAAGGATAGAAATCTGACTATTGAATTGAGTTGTTAAAGCTTGTTTGGAGCATGTTTGTCAAGTATGAAAAGTCTTTTTTTCTTTCTTATTAAGACGCTAATAACTTGCTTTTATTGAAAAGAGTAAATGAACTGTTAGTGCCAGCAGTTTAAGGGACTTCTTATTTAGTTGTTGAAGTTGAATCACTTTCATAAACACTCTCAATAGTATCATAATGCTTTATTAAATAGTTAAAAGTAATTTATTTCAATTTTTAGCAATAGTAATTATATTTACGAATTTTATATTTTCATTGTTAATGAGCTCATCTTAACTGTCAGAATTGAAAATATCTTTAAGAGCTTATTTGACAGCTGTTAACGAGTCGATCTATTTAATAATTAAAAAGATAGTAAAGTGCTTATTTTTTAATTTGTAAATACAGGAATGGAAATGTTTATATGAGATTCCAAGAACATTTTTATTTCATCTAGCTTTTGTTGATGGAATTCAATGGCTTCAATAAGCTGATCATTTTTGTCGTTTTGCTTCTAGTTTAATGGTTTTTTGACCTTTTTATTTAAACGATACAATAAATTTACTTATTTTATAAAAATATTAATTACCTTCTTGTTATTTGGTTATTGTTGCTTTTGCTTAAGTTCCTTTATTCTATGATTCATTATTTCTCTGAAATCTTAATACCTAATTACAATTTTAGTTTGAATAAACCTCTTCTTTCATTAATTATTTTACCATTATAAGAATTCGTCCTTTTGTGCATTTGGGAAATTCTATTCTACTTTTCTAATCACCTTTTCATAAAATTAAATTGGATTTGTTGCTTTTCAATAATGTAAATAATACTAGATAAAACAAAAAATGTTTATTACATTGTCAGCGTGGTTAACAATATTCTAAAGAGTGTAGATTGCTTCTTTATTGAATTAGAATTAGAATGAGCCGTGCTATTTTAAAACGACATCAGTAAGCTAATTTTTCCTTATGCTTTTAAGTAATATTTGAATAATATATAGAACTTTATTTAAATATTAGCAATTAGATATAAATTAATTCTAATTTAGAATTGAATTTTTACCTTTTCAGATTGCTCAAATCTCTGCTTATTGCCTTAACTATTGAATCTCTTTAATCATTTGAGTGCTAATCTTGTTTAAGACTTTTTATTTAATTTTCTACACTTTCGCATAACTATTATGATTGAAAAATTTGAAAATTTTAATTAAATGAAACATAATCAATTTTATAAAATAGCTAATTACTTTAAGGACATTTTTAGCTGCTTCTTCAACCTCTTCAGGAGTTCTTTTTTTAGACATTCCTTATATATTTGTGCTTACACTATTTTAATTCTATAAGTAAATATTGATATTTATATGTTATTTCTAAATTTATGAATTACTGTCTAAAATTCTTACAATTCTATCTTAATCCTTTTATTTGTTTATTCATCAAATTTTATTTTATATTTCACTCAATTATTCATTCATTCACACACACACGCAAACACATGAAAAATTATTAAGTAATTTATTTATTGTATCAATCAATCAATCTATTTTATTTGAATTAAATGTTAAAATTTTAAAATAATATCTATCAATTAAAAACTAGATTCAATTACTAATCTTTTTTCAATTTAAAAAAACATAGCGCTAGAAATAATTATAAACTTAAAAAAATTTTTTTCTTTTTATTTTTTTCTAAAATCATTTTTTAAATTAGAGAAAACAATTTTTCAATAAAAAATTTAAAAATATTTCTATTAAAATAAGATTTCAATTTGATTAAATAAATTTCTCTTTTTACTTTTGTTTTTTTTAATAGACTCAAAAGGAAACCCATTTTTCTCTTTTATTTGAGCTTTAAGAGTCATAAATATTTATTTTACAAAAATAGAAAAATAAATAAAACCTTTGCTCGCAATATCAATCAATCAGCATATTTATTTAAAATTAATAATTTATTTTTTTAAAATATATTTTAAAGTTTGATTAAAATGTTTTATTATATTTTTTTAAAGCATAAAAGAAAGCATTTTATTATATTTTTTATAATTTCAATTTAAGAGAGATTCATTAAAATATAAATTTATTATTTTATTTACACCTTCATTTTTTATGCATAAGAAATATTAGATAATTTTCTTCTTTTTCTCTATATAAAAACTCCTATGTTTGGTTGTTAAATTAAATTTTTTTCTTTTTAAAGACATAGCTAAAGTGTCTAGAGCCATCTATTTATTCTACAACTAAAAAAGATGTTAATAAAATTCAATAAATATTTACTACTCTTTATTGAATAAGCAGTATGAATGATTGATTTCCATTTCATTTTTGGTTATTGTTGGGTTATTAATTTTTGCTGGAGATATTCTAATTTCTAATTTTTTTCTAGAAAAGTAATTTGATATTAAATGATAGATGATGAAATTTTTTGATTTTTCGGAATAGATATTATGCAGAAAGGTATGTAACTTCATTTAAAGATCAAAAACTTAACTTCTACATTTTTTAGAAATTCCCATAAAATCAAAGATAAATAAAATAGTGATTTGTTCATAATGTAAATTTTTGTAAGCATGTATGATAAAAATCTACTTCACAAATGATAAAATAAATATTTTCAAGCGTGTGAAATTAAAAATGGAATTTTATGAAGACTTTGTTTGCTTATAATTTTATTTTTTGTTGGAATTATCCGCGTTTAATTAAGGATATGTTACGATCAGAAATAAAAGATTGATAATTACAGTCTATATCATATTCACATACAAATTTCTAATTAAAACGGAATCCCTTTAAAATCTTACAAATCTGCTACAACAAAATTGATATAAATCCAAAACAATTACAAAATTAAACAAAAATATTAAAAATATTAAAAAAGCAAAACAAAACATAATTTAATAAATTATAAATAAATATCAAAACAAGCAAATAAATATCTCAGATCTAGCATGACTACAAATATTCCTCAAACAGCTCACAACGATGTGATTACTCCCCTTCTTACCGATCACTATTAAATAACCATGTGTTATTCATATTTTTCAAACAATAGACATAACCAAGAAGCTGCTTTTGAAATGTTCTTTAGAAAATGCCCCTTCCAAGGATAAGTATGAATACATTCTATTTTTAGCATCATCTTACAAATTTAATTTTATTAACTATTTTAATCAATTTAACCAATTCATTTTTATGTATTTAGTACGCCATTTTTGCAGGTTTGCATGAAGTCCTCTCCTTTATAGCCCATTTTAAAATTCCTAAGGAGCATATTGAATATCTAAAGTAAAAAACTAATAATTTTAGCAATAAATAAAATATTTTATTCAAATTTACCATTAAAATAACTAGAACTCAATTGCCTAATGATAAGCCAGAATTCTTCGAATGGCTCTAAAATTTAGATTGTTCAAAAATAAAGCTTTTTGGTAAATTTTATTTGATAGCATTTATTAATTGCATGCTTTTAATGATAGCAAATTTAAGTATGATAATTGTAAAAACTATTTTAAACAAAATAAAATAGCAATGGAAGAAGGTTCTATCGTATTCCCAAGAGAACCTTTAATTAGATTGTAAGGACCTATAGGCATTCTTTAGCTTTTAGAAACTCCTTTACTCAACATAATCAACTTTGCTACCTTGTTAGCTACTAATGCAGCAAGAATGAAATAAGAAGCTGGTGAAAAGGCTGTTTTACTTGAATTTGGTTTGAGAAGAGCTCAAGGTCCAGATGGTGGACTTATGGCTAGCCAATATGCCTACCTTGGTGGATTCCATGGAACTTCTAATGTTCTAGCTGGCTACAAATTTGGAATTCCCATTAGTGGTACTATGGCTCATTCATTTGTAACTTCTTACAATTCGCTAGAATAAATAAAAGAATTTGAAATAAATGGAGTTCAAATTAAGTAAACTGCTCTTGAATACAGAAACGAATTAGGAGTAAATATGATTCAATCATTCATTAATTTTATCATCAAATATTATATTATAAAATTTTTTGTCTACAATAAGTCTAAAAATAAATGCTAAAAAATTATAAAAGTAATAATGTAGACTTAATGATAAAAGAAATTAATAAAAAAATTTATTTATGCTAAATAATTTTTAATAAAAAAGTATGACCACTCTAATGAATCAGAACTTGCAGCCTTTTTAGACTATGCAAGAACTATGCCAAACAATTTTTTAGCACTTGTGGATACATATGATACCCTTCATAGTGGTGTTCCTAACTTTTTAGTTGTATCATTAGCTCTCATAAAAGCAGGTATATAACCTAAGGGTATCAGATTAGACTCAGGCGATCTTGCTAAGCTTTCTTTGTAATTAAATTAATTTTAATTTATTCTATTTATATAATTCTATTATTTTATTTAGGGAAACAAGAAAATTATTTGACTTCGTTGGATAAAAGTACTAATTACCTTAAGTAAAAAACTTTAAGATTGCTGCTTCAAATGACATCAACGAAGATTCTTTGAAAGAACTTAACAAAAAAGTATGCATTCATTCAAATCATTAAAATAATATTTAAATAAAATATTAATTTATAAAAAGGGTCACTCAATCGACGTTTTTGGAATTGGTACAAATTTAGTTACTTGCCAAAAGCAACCAGCATTAGGAGGAGTTTACAAATTAATTGATTTAGAGGGAGTACCTAAACACAAATTATCATAAGAATCTGAAAAATCTACACTACCTGGTAAGAAAACCATTTACAGAGTATGGAATAATGGTGATCCTCATCCTTCTGCAGATATTATAGCAAAAGAAGATGAAGTGATAAAAGTAGGCTAATCGATAACAGCAGTAAATATTAACAATGGAAATGAAAGGTTTAACATAAAAGTTAGTCGTGTTGAATAAATCTCTTTATTATTTTGGAATGAAGGTAAACTAGAAGTTCCTTACCGTTCATTATTAGTAAAATAATATTTTTTTAATGCAATATAATAGATTAATTAAATTTATTTAAATAAAAATTAGGAATTAAGAGAATATAGTGAAAAATAAAAATAGATTTTTAATAAAAGCATATTAACTGATAAAGCTAAATACCCAGTTTTAGCAAGTTTACAATACTACAAATTCTTCTAAGAATGTAATGAAAAAATAGTAGTTTCTAAGCCTTTCTAATGAAGAAAAGTATATGATAATCTTAAAATAAATTTTAAAATTGTAATAAAACACAATAATAATTTAAAAAAAACAATAAATAAATAAAATATATTAAATGTGAATGGATTTATATTATAAATATGTAATTAAAAATTATAACTTTAAAATATTTCTCTTTATTAGAAAAAATAAATTACAATCCTTAATTCTCTTTTTGTATTATAAAATATTGTCTCTAAGTTTCAAATTTAAATAAAGATATTTTCTTTACTTGTAAATTTAAACAAAATATAACTTTTTTAATGGATTATTTAAAAAAACAATTTATAAATTTATTTGTTTTTCCCCTATTTAAATAAAAAAATTCAACAAATTTTTGGAGTTTTTATCTAAAAATGGTTCATTTTATTATCAATCAAAAAGTAATAATATAAATAAATGCATAATTATTTAATATTTAAAAACTTTGTTTTTAAAATAATTAATTAACATTGAGTCAGAAGTTAAAACTGTGTTTTAATTTTACTAAGTTGATAGCTAACAATGATATCTAATGATACATGTTTAATATAAAATTACATCATTAATTTGTAAATAAGTTAGGAAATAGTGAAAATAAAAATATTTAACCATTCAAAAAATAAAAAATGAATGATTAATAAATTTGTATTTTTAATTGTCACATATAAAATAGGATTAGCAATTAAAATTTTACTCTAATAAAAATATTTGTAATTTTTTATCAAAACAAATAAGCATCCATTTTGTTTTTCCAATATTTCTAAAAAAAAATAATTTAAATATTTCTTCTTATATATTATGTTTTTTAATATAATAAATTATTTTCAGATCTTATCTTAATATCCTTTAAAAAGAGAATTTAAAAAGGTGCAAAAAACTGAATTAAATAATATCTTAAAATAGAAAAAATATTTGAAATTATTAATTTGATTTAGATAGCAACCCATTATTAAAAAAGTTTTAATAATATGAATGTATAACAAAATACTTAATATAATTGTTTGTGTTCATCATTTTTTGGAGGATTAGTTAATTTTAAAAAGTTTTGATCAAAAATTTAAAAATTAACATTCAAAACTTGACTTTGTTAGTTTTTTGCTTGTTAATAAGTCTGCCTGGACACACACAATAAGTAAATTTCTTTATGGTTTAAACAAAAAGCTAATAGCTTTTTAACATTGAAATCAATTAAAATCAAAGAAAATTAAACAAAAAGTAATTAATATTGGTAAGTAAATACGTAAATCACAAAGAAAGTTAGATACAATTTGAAGAATAATTAAATCAATCAATCAATCTCAACGCGCAAATAATTAATAAAAAGCAGATAGGAAAGATTGAAATATTGAATAGTTTTTTTCAGGTAAGAGGATAGTAAGAAGAGGTGATAATAGATATCAAATTAGAAAATGTCTGCTTTAAATGGAAATAATAATTAGCCTCATGACAATGAGCGTTACAAGCAGATAAAACTGCTTGGAGAGGGTTCTTTTGGAAAAGCATATTTAGTAGAGTGTCAAAGCGATGGAAGCCTCTGTGTTATCAAAAAAATGGACACAAAAAGCATGACAGAGGCTGAGAAGTAAGAGACGGTTCGTGAAGCTCATATTTTAGAAGCTTTGAACCATCCTTGCATTGTAAAGTTTAGAGAAGTATATAAAACTAAGAAGGCTCTTTGCATTGTGATGGATTTTTGCGATGGTGGAGATTTAGCTAAAAAAATTTAAGATTATAAAGGGAAGTTCATACCAGAAAATTAAATATTAGATTGGTTTACATAAATATGTTTGGCGTTAAAGCACATCCACGATAGAAAAATTGTGCATAGAGACTTAAAAACATAAAATATTTTCTTAATGAAAGATAATGCCTTGAAAGTTGGTGATTTTGGTATTGCTAAAGTTTTAAGACACACTAGAGAAAACTGCAAAACTATGGTGGGAACACCATATTATATATCTCCTGAAATATTGGAAGCAAAACCATATTCTTTTCGCTCAGATATATGGTCACTTGGTAAGAATTAAAATTAATTTAAATTAGAGCAGTTTTACAAATTCTATTGCTTGTTTATTTATTTCCACATAAAAGCACTCACACAAAGTGCTACTTACTTTGATAAAACTTCACTTGACTTTAATATTTGAATAATGCTACTGAAACAAATGCTATCTATTTATTTATTACTAAAAAGTTATTAAATTTTTTTCAAATTAAATTTTCAAATTTTTTGAAATATTTTATAAAATGATATGCATGTAAATGTAAAGCTAACTGATTCAGCCATTTTTTTATTAATTTAAATTTATTGATATTAATATAAAATAGGTGTTATACTTTACGAAATGTGTGCTTAGAAGCCACCTTTTGATGGTATTGGTTTATCTAACCTTGCCTTAAAAATTGTGAAAGGAGTGTATGCTCCAATTTCTTCTTATTACTCAAAAGATATGACCCAGCTTATTTCTCTTTTGTTGAATGTTGATCCTTCTAAAAGACCTCAAGTTAATCAAATTCTAAAGCTACCCATTATTTAGCACAGAATCAAAAAATTTTTAAGTGAAACTATACGCTAAAATGAATTTTCTCATACTATTTTGCACAATCGTAACTTCGTAAGCAACAACTTGAATTTAGATAATATTCCCTCTCCTATGCCTTTTCAGTAGCAAGTAAGACCATCAATTCAGCAAAATCAATAAGGTTTGTAATAGCAATAGTAATAATAACAATAATAAATTTCATAAATTCCTATGTAATAACCTGTGGTTAGATAAAATATGCAGCCTTTAAATAATATGAATAACAACAATAATAATGGATTAGGTGCTTTTCTTTCTCCTCAAAATAGAAATCCATAAATACCTCCTTAAAAGCCATCTCAGTAAATTTTATAACAGCAGTAACCATAAAATATACTTGGTTACTTACCTTAAAATTAGCAATAAATTTAATAGCAAAATAACTATTAATTGTTCTAAAATCAAAAGCAGTAGCAACCATAAATATTACAGAATGGAAATAATTTAATGAAAAACAATAACAACATAAATAATAATATTAAAAATGAAGTTCCTCTTGCTGCTGTACCAGGTGCATAAAATGGAAATATAGTTGGATATAAAATAAACAATAACAACTATATATAAAATAACATTAACCAGGCTCCAACTCCTGCTTTATATATGAAAATCTAAACAGAATAGCCTCCCCAATCTGTTTAGTAGCAGTAAATGCCATAATAGTAATAATAGTAGAAACCAGTTCCAAATTAGGTCAATAACAATCAGAATGGATAAAACCCAAATCAAAGAGGACCATAGCAACTTTTAAATTAATAGAAAATTCAATTTTTTGAAAACAACAATGATATTAAGAGATAAAATAACGTAAATGCTCAAGATTTTATGCCTAATCCTATGGATAAACTTAGAAGAGAAGTATCAGAACCAACTTTTGTTGGAAAATCAAAGCCTCTTTTTGATAATCTTGAGTAAAAAAAGTAGTAAATGATACAAAGAGAAAAAGCTCTAGAAAAGAAAATTGAAGAAATAAAGGAAAACAAAAAAGAGTAACAGTATAAGAAGATATACGAAAATATAAAAAATGATGATTTATCACCAAATTTAAATAATTACAATCCTAATAATTATAAATAGAATAATGTAAATAATATTGCTCCTCAATCTAAACGTGACTCTTAGAGCACGCCTTCGAATAACTTAGGTAACAGCAAAAAAAATTTAAAGAACCAATTAGCATAGCCTTCAGAAGATAAAGAAAAAAGAAAGCAAAAGTATGAAGAGGAAAGAAAAAAAATGTTTGAAGATATCAAGTAGATAAGACAAAAAAAATTAATGGAATCTCAATCAGAGTAAAAATTAGAGTTTTTCATGAATTTAAAACCTCCAAAAGACGATGTTGCAAACAACAACGAAAACCTTCTAAAAGGGTAACCAGAAAATGAAATTAAAAAATCAAGTAAAAAATTCAGCTCAAGAGATATTCCTGTAGAGATTTATGAGTCTAAGAAGTCACCAAATGTAATTCAATAGCAGTAATTATAATAATAATAGCAATAGCAGTAACAATAATAAAATTAGTAGCTAAATTTCTTCTAAAATAATCCTCAATAGTAAAATAATAATGCTAAGTAGAGATATAATTAATAAGATTACAATTCTTCACCTACTAAGTAGCAAAATCAATAACAAAAAAACTAGAATCAAAAAGATTAATAGCAGTAGAATCTTTCTGGGGAACGCCAAAATTCTTAAGGGAGTAAAGATTTAAGTGACGACATTTCCTATATTCCACATACAAATTAAGATATACTTCAAAAACTTTTAGAGTGTGTAGGAGATGGAGAAGAAGTTAATGATTTTGATTTCAATAGCTCAAATAGCGACAATTCTGATTTAAGAGAAAAATAAAATAAATTATAAGAAGAGTTAAATAAGTCAGTTAATGAAATTGAGAAAAAATATGTAAATAATTTAGAAAGAGATGATGATGAAGAAGAAATAGAATCAGATGAAAGTTCTAAGAACTTAATGCTAAAGTTAAAAGGTATTAGAGAGACAAATGATAATGAGTTTGATGATATTAAATCTTCTAGCGATGAAGATGAGAGAGACTATGTAGATAAAGAGTGGGAAGAGTGCACAAGCAGAGAAGACAGTGATTATGATGAAGAATACTTGAAATCAGAAAAAGATTACAATAAAATTAAAAATAAAGTTCAATTAGAGAAAAATTAAGAGGAGAAGAACTATTCCTAAAAGCAAAAGTAAGCAGAAAATAAGTAAGATATTTAAAAATAAAACGAAGTTACTGAATATGATACTAATAGTGGATAAAAAGAAAATATTTCAGGCTGTATCAACAGTGCTGCACCTTCAACATAAGCATCATCAAATAGATCAGAGACTCAAACTGAATCTTAGTTAGATTCATTAAAGTTTATTATTGAAGAGAAGGTAGGGAGATTATCTTTCTAATAATGCATAAAGTAATTAAAAACCTATCTTAGCGACCAGAGCAATAGAGGCAGTTAAAAAAGTGAGGAGGATGATTTGGATTACTTTTTATTTAACGACTTGAGTAAACTCTTTGTGACAATACCTTAACAAACAGCAAATGAATTTGGCCCTCTTATAATTATGTACTATAATATGTCTTAAGACTAATTTGCATGAAAAAATTAGATAAAATTATATACAATAAAAATAGTAAGTAGCTTTGCTTAACTTACAATAAGTTGATTAAAATATAATTAAGTAAATAAATAAATAAATAAATTAAAACATGTTAAAATTATTATTAAGCTTTCAGAATTATTTATGTGCAAATTTCTATCTAATAAATAATTTTCGATAATTCTGAAAGTTAATTAATTGATATTTATCATATTAATCAATAAAATTATATAAATAATAATACTCATAAAACAAATAAAATTCATTATATGCATGCCATGCAGAATAAAAAAACCTAACTTCATTACTATAGTTTACATGTAGGATGTATGTATGTATATATAAAAGTTGTTTTTTTTATTGCTGGGATTGTCTTATTTCAAAAAAATTTTTATAATTTAAAAAAAAATAGTTTTTCTAAAAATTAAGTAGAAAAAATTTTTAAAATTTAAGAACTCTTATTTCTGTTGTCTAAGGAGTTACTGTATATAAATTAAGTTTCAAAGTTTATAATTAAATGATCTAGATAATCTAGTCATTCATTAAGCCAAATTCACCATTTCAATCAAATTTATTTACTACTTACTTCAAAATTAATAAACTAGAATATTATTTTAATATTTAAGAATGAGACTTGATAAATTCTCAGCATTTATTCAATTGTCAATTAATACTTCAAATTTTTTATTATTTAAGTAAAGTATCCTAACATTTTAATTTACATTTTTTTTAGTTGCTAATTTTGTAAAAAAATTTAATAAAAATACATGTCTAAATAAAAGTAATGATTCCTAATAAATAATCGATTATAATCATGGATTTCTTAGAAAAGCTAAAAATTCAACTGAAAAAAAAAGAGTTAATTAAGTTACAAAAAAATTTAGTCTGTATGTGCTCAAGTTTTAAATTTATGGAGATTTTATTCTATCAAAAAAAATTTTAAAATAAATTAATTATAAATTAAAATATCTAAAGATGTTAAAAGTGTTTATTAAAATTTACGAACAAAAATGACATAGATGTATTAACAAAAAATAATTTTTTTCACATTAATATTTATGAATAAGATGATTATTTCAATTAAATTAGCAAGCTTGCTTTTGAGTTATAATCAATTTTAGAATTCTAATTTATCTTTCATATATAGTTCATATAATCTCTTTCCTTGATTCTGAATATAATTGTTGAGATTTGATGCCTTTTTTATAAAATTTTATCAAAAAATACAACTTATTTTAAAGTAAAATTTACCTCATGGAATATTCCCTTTATTTTAATAAAAGATTATTTCTTTAATAGTCGAAATAATTAAATAAAGTAAATTTACTGAAGTCTTTTTTATAAGAAAAAAAAAATTTAGGAAATCAAATGATAACTTAAATAAATATTACAATCGACTTTTTGTAAATAAATTATATTATTATTAACCCCATTTATTCCAAATAAATTTTTACTTTCTGTAAATTAAAACATTAATGACTTGTTTTCTTCTTATCAAATTAAATTTTACATTCTTTTTTAAAAAGTATATTAATATTAAGTTTGGCTAATAACAATTACATTGCTCTTTTATGTTACAAGAAAAGAATTAAAAATTCAATTAAACAAGGTAGTAAGTACATCGTGTTATTTCTTATTTATTTTTTAAAATTTTTATTTATTAAAGGATTTAATAGTAAAATTAAATATACTTTCAACTATTTATTAGATACCAATAATAGCTTGCATATAAATTCATCCACTTATAAATTGAAATTTTACATACTATATATTTCATAATATAGTTGCTTTAAAAAATTGAATTCACCTAATAATTTTACTTTCTAAAAAAATTTTTTTTATTAATTTAACTTTTTTTTGAATATAAATTTTACCAGCTTTATTTATTTATTTAGTTTGAAGAAAAAATTATAATGAGTCTCTTTACATTTAGTATTAGTGATTAAAATTGAAAAGGAATTACATTCTTTTAAATAAAGAAATTAGCTTATACATCCTCTAAATCAATCCAAAATAAATTACATCCTATTTTTTGTTTAAAATATCATCAAAATAAATAAATAAATAAATTTTTATATTTTACATGATGCTGGATTATTAAAAACAAGTTTAATTAATCATATTTTTTTGAATATTCTAATGAATTTTACTGACTTTATAATAATTAAAATATTAATATGATATGTTTATTAAAATTAATAAATTACTATCTATTAATTTAATAAAATGAAATATTAGCCTTTATTGTTTAACTTATCTATCTACCTCCTTTTAAGTATAAATTAAAATGTTAATATTTATTTATTTATTAATTATCTTACTCCTTGATCTTCTGCATTCTATTTAATATAATAAATATTTAAATATTAATTTGCTATCAACTTATTTTGCCATACTTCACCCAACTAAATTTAATTTTTTTAAATTTTTTTTAGGAAAAAGAACTTAAATTGTTTTTTAATCACCTTCTATTTTATTGAAAATTTTAATTAATTTTTAACTATGCACTTTAATCTAGCAAATTTACCGAAATCTATTTTTACATCAAATTGAACTGATTTTTTTTAATCAAAAAGAACTATTTTACATTCTAATTTTAATATGAAAATTTAATAAAGAACATAAAATAAAAAATAATTATTACAATCTGTTGATAATTATTATGAAAAATGATATCAAAATCAATTTATTCAATAATAGAATTGAAGTAAATCTTTTCTAAAATTATCTGAAATGCCATATTACCCACTACAATTATTTGTAATAAATCAATTTCAATTTTTTTTTATCTAAAAAAATGCTTATTAATTTACCCATATTCCCTAATAATATAAAAAAAAATATTTAAAAAAGAATAATTGTTTTATTTTATAAGAACTACCTTTGCATTTTCAATTTATTTTCCAAAATTTATAAATTTCTGCAAATCCTTTTTTAGTTTAAAAAAATATTTTAAGTTAAAGTAAAATTGGATACATTCATACCATTCTTGATTCACCCATCTAAAATTAGTTAGTTAATTAATTAATTAATTATATATTCAATAATATCTTAGATTAATGTAATTACTTTGCCTTCTTCAATATCCTTTTATTTTTACTTCAATAAAAATAGTTATAATTAAATTTAAAGTTGGTAAAATAGTTATTTACTAATTAATTTTTAGATATAAGAATAGTTGCTAATATTTCACATTTTTTTACCTAAAACTATATATTAAATAGTTAAATTATATAGTTAATCTTAAATTAAATATTTACTTCTTTGAATCCCTTTTAAGATAAATAAAGAATACATATTTTACTAAATTTCAGCTATCAAAATATTTTTTACTTTCTATTATTGTTATAAATTAATTTCAGCAAGGTCAATATCATTTATTTATTAAGAAAATCTTACGAACTTATAAAATTTATGAGTGAGTAATTTCATTTTAAGAAAATTCAATTTACAAACTTTTTAATTTAAAATTTATTTTGAATTTTTATTCATTTTAAATAAATTTACGACCTAATTTATTTTTTTAAATGAAATTTTAAAAAAAGCTTTTGATGAAACTAATATTATTATTTTACAAACTATTTTTATTTTTAAAAAGAAAGAATGATTAATCAGTCAGTCAGCCATTTATCCTTAATAAATTATGATCTTCAATATTTTACTCTCTAATTAATTATAAAAAATTCAAATTAATTTAAAAATTATCAATCTATAATGATTAAAATTTATAAATCATTAATAAAAACTTTTATATATTTTAAATAAATATTTATTGCAATAAATAATAAAAAAATTACAAGTTTTTCCTTAAGATATATTTTTAAAAATGTTAAGTTATTGTGTGATGCTGATGATAAAAATTTACTGTGATCTTAATTTATTTTAAGACAAATATTAATTTATTTATTTTAATCTATTTTTATATTACATTTCCCTATTTATAAAAATATTTATATTAAAGTTATTAATATTAATTATTTTTAATCAAAAGAAAATCTTTACCCACTATTTTGATTTAAAATATTTAATCATGTTAATATGCTAAAAACTAGTTTTATTTTACTATAATTTGTTCCTTTTAATAATGAAAAAAAATAAGCACTCTTTCTGTAAATATCATAATTTTTACTAATGTTTCCCACTATTTTATAAAATATTAAGCTTTTTAAATGTTTTTCATATTAAATTTAAATACTTTGTATTCGCATCTATCTAAAATATTTTAAAGATAATAATTACACTGGTTGATAAAAATTTCTATTTATCCTCTCAAATCTTTTTTTGCTATAATTTCTCCCTAATTTATTTTAAAATTTTCTGAATTTAAACATTCATCATTTTAATAATCTTATCCTTCTAAATTATTAATCTATTCTTTATTCTCTTCATCATTATTGTCATCGTCAACATTGTCCTCTTTAGAATCATAATTTTCATAAATTTAATATGTAAAATGTTAACTATTCATGCCTTCATTGTTATGATTTAACATGTTTTGCACTTATTCTTCTTAATATAAGTCATTAATTTATTACTATCCAATTGGATTTTCTTTAAAATTTTAATTTATCTCATTATTTTCTTATTTATTTTCAATTTATTTCTCCACAACCTATTCCACTTAAAATTCAAGTTAGTTTTCCAATTGACTTTAAAGATTATTACTAATCTAACTGATTGACTACAAATGAACTTATTCTGAATGATTAGTGATATCTTCATTTTCAATTTTTTAAATTTCATTCTTAAATACTATTTTAAATTAATTATTTAATTTTTTTAACTAAAATATTTATTTTTTAATTTTATTTTTGCAAAGATATTATTCATAAAAAAAATTCTATTAAGCTAAGGTTTATTTTTATAATTTGAAACTAAAATTTCAACAAATTAATAAAAAAAGATAAAATCAATACCCTTGGTTAGATTTAACTCTTCTTATTTATCTATTAATGAAAATTCTTTAAGTTCAGAATTTAATATTTTTTGATTAACGTTTCTAGTTGTTTCCTAGATACTATCCATTTTATCTTCTTTAGTATCTAAAAAGGACTTTAGATTTTAGCATAAATGTTCTAATTAGAGTATATTTTAATTGATATCATTAAAATCCATGCTCTTACCAACTAGTTTTTAATACTCATTAATCTTATCTTTCAAAACAGCTTCTTTATTTTCTAAGTTTTAAAATTATTTCTTGAAAAAATCTTATAATTTTTAATCGACATTTAAGTTTTCAGAAACTAAACTTATCAGTTCATCTCTTTACTACATTTAATATATTTCATTTTAATAACTTAAGGATTGTTTTATGCAATCTTCATATTGCTTGAAAAATTACATTTCAATACTTTCAAGTTTTTATATAACTTCTTATTTGATTGCCTAAAATTTTTGTTTAATCTCTTCTAATGATTCTTACTATATCTATGAGTTATAATTTATTTTTTCATAATAAGCTTTCAAAAATTCATCATCTTTAAAGGGAGGAAATCCGTAAATCATTTCGTTTTTATTGTTTTAAAATAGCTAGGATAGTACAACATAAATCCAATCAGTCTATTTTTATTTAGATGCTCTACATGTTTGGCACTCTATTTCTATTTGAGGCTACTAGTTTTATTAGCGATAAGATAAAAATATGATCTTATCTTTATGTTCTTAGCAATAAATTTCTATGCTTTTATTGGACATTTTATTATCTAAAAGGCTTGACATTTTTTACTTTTTTTTCTTATTTTTTTTACTAAAATTCAAATTTTAAAAAAATTAATTAATTTCTTTTTAAAATTACTAAATTAAAAATTGTTTCAAAGATATTTCACTAATTTTTATCTATAAGCTTTTCTTAAAAAACAAAAAGTATTTTTTTTTACAACAATATAAATATTCTTAATATTAAATTTTTTATTTTGATACATTTATTTTTACCTTTTCTTCCTTCTACTTATGGTTTAGTTATATTATTTCCTAATTATCACGATATAATATTCTAAAATAAATTATTCAAATCATTTAAGTAAATTTTAATTGTAAATTAATTGCTATAACTATTCTAATTAATTAAATACTCTATTTTAATGTTTTTATTTAATAATTAAAAGAAATTTATTTTTTATAATAATTTAAATGTTCCTTTTTCTATCAAATTGTATTGCTTGATACATATTATTTTTATTTTATTTTCTTACTTCGTTTACATTTTTTGCATATAATTTAGTTATATTATTTTCTTATAAATATTGAAATAAATTATTTAAATCACTTAAGCAAACACATAAACACATATAATTTGTACTATCCTTTAAAAAAAAAACATTTTGTTTAAAAATATTTTTTTAATTAAACTCAATCTAATTTAAAAAAACTTTTTATTTATTTCTGTTATAAAATTAAAATTGTAATACTTTATTTATTTACATAAAATAACTGTACATTTACAAATCGTTAAAATTTGCTTTTTATTATGAATAAAATATTTATAATTTTACACGTTTCGAAAATAATTTATCTGATTTTTGTCCGTTTTGAAAATATAAGCTTTTTGATGAAAGATAAATTTATTTAAATTTGGCAAAAATAAAAATGTCAAGTAATTTATTTAGCAAATATTTAGTATTATTTTTTAGATATATTTGTATAATTTAGATAACTTGAATAGTTTTGGAATGGAAAGGTCCTAGGTTGATAGCTAGCTTAACTTGCTTTAACGCAATTTATTTGATGATATTATTTTAGCTTCAATTAATTTCATTCAATGTAATTCATTTAAGGAGTTCATGAATTGAAAAATATTTAGTATTTTCTATGATGAAAATTCTTTGATTACTAAATTATAAATCAAAAAAAAATACTCAAATTTGTTGATAATAATGTAAGAAGAGATAAGCATTAAAATGCATCTTGCATCAATTTAAATAATAAAATTAATTAAAAAACAAGTTCTATTAATAAATGATGAATTAAGAGAAATTGCTAAATAACTAAGAGTCTCAGTAGGATGATTCGAAATATGAATACGAAGATCCTAATCACTCATAGACTACCTCTCAATAGCAAAATGAGGCATAGCAAGGTGATAATAAATATCATGAGTCAAACGCATAGTTGAATGATATTGAATCTAAAAGAGGTTATTATGATAATATTTAAGAAAAAAAAGGATCAGAAACAGATCGCGGTGAGTTTTTTAATCCAATTTTACCATTTTTTTCTATGGAAATTGCTTTAAGACATGCTAAAGCAAACAGAGTCTTTAGAGAATCTATAGATAGGTCGACAATGTCTGATTCATTGAATGTTAATCCTAATGACATTTGCCCTTGCTGCTCCAATGTTATATAACCAGATAGCGAATTAATTCCTATTTGGAAAAGTACTTACCAAGATTTATCATACTTGGGTCCTACTTATCCTATGTACTTTTAGTTTATGAGATACTCTATAGCTTTTATATCGATTATTTTCCTTATATCTGGAATTTATAATTTGATTGCAAATAGCTAAGGTGATTACTGTAATAAACTTTCAAAATAGTTCCCAAATAACTTGACTAAGATTTGCTAAGATAGCGTTTTTGAAACCACAGCAGGATCAAATAGAGACAGAAACGATCCAGATTTTGGTAATGCTATCTTGAACTTAATTACTTGCATAGTGATGATGATATTTAGCACAGCTTTTAGGGTTAGGTAGATTAAATTCGAAAAAGAGATAGACAAATCTGACATCTCTGTTTCTGATTACACTGTTTTTATTAATAAGATTCCTCTTAACAAAACGCGCTAAGATATAATTAATTTTTTATAGAGCTAAGTTCCAGGCATTAAAGTAGAGAAAGTAGTGTAAGCATTCAAATTAAAAAAATTCTAAGAATTGAATTAAAGAATGCTTTAAGCAAAATCAGAATAAGAAAGAAAATAATTTTTAAAAGAAATTAAGCTGTACGAGAAGCAATGCTTCGATGAAGATGGAATTAGTGATACTTTCTGTGGAGCTGCATTTGTCAGCTTTGAGAAAGAAGAATAAAAAGTAAAGGTAGTTGATCATTTTGATTATAATTACTGGAAACAAATTCTGAAGCTTGAAAAGGTAGATGAGACAAAATTATTTGATGGATTCTAAATTCATGTAGAGTAAGCTAAAGAGCCTGGCGATACCAACTGGGAAAATATTGAATTTGATGCTCAGACTAAGTTCAAAAGGAGAACTTTTACATTTATTTTGACTCTCTGCTTCTTGGCACTTTCTTTTTGGGCAATTCTTGAAATCGGTGATGAATAAGGCAGAACAAGAAGCGAAACAAATGATTAAGTTAAATTGACTATTGTATCAACAATTTCATCAATCTTAACAGTTTTGGTTAACTTAATTTTACAGACCCTTATTTAATACTTTTCTAGCTTCGAAGCATACAATTTTAAAACAGATACAATTATTAGTGTTGCTAAAAAATCTGGTATTGCATAATTTATTAATACAACTATTGTTTCCTTTTTCGTAATGATCATCTTGAATGGTCGTTAGATATGGATTAATGGTGGCTTAGTAAGTAGTGTAACCTCTATTGCTGTTACAAACGCACTACTGCCTGCTGTTATAGCTTTTGTAAGTCCAGAAAATATTGTAAAGTAGATTGAACAAAAAATCTTTTTGAAGCTAAGCGATAAGAAGAAGAAAATGGTATCACAACAATTTGTCCATTCTTTGTTTGAGCTACCATAGTTCAACCCTGCTGCATGTTTTGCAGCTGCTGCAAATGCTTTACTATTCTCAGCTTTTTATGCTTGGATCATACCTATTTCTCTTCCTTTCTGCATTATTTCTTTATCTCTTTAATTCTTCGTTAATAAATACAAATTGTTAAGAAGATAAAGTGTTCCTGTTCCTCTTGGAACAGAATTACCTGAAGAAATGGTTGATTTCTATTTTGAAATCATCATAGTTTTTTACTCGTTAGGTTGCTTAGCTTTTGAAATAGTTCTCTACTCTGAAACTCATGTGTGCACAATATTAATGGTAGTCCTAAGCGGAGTGTTTTATTTTGCACCAATAAACGAATACATAGATTCAAAACTTTAGGCTGAGAGTAACTACATTGAAGAGTTACCCTATAAAGAAGCAAAATCATAGGGTCACTTTTCTTCAGACTACGATAGACATAATCCTGTTTTGAAATCTAGATCTATATAAAAATACATTAACAAATTAATAGATAAGGAGCAAAGTGCTTAAAAAAAGGAAACATTAATCTAAGTTTTTTATGTATAGCCTTCATAACTTGGATTGCTAGATATTTTAAGTTCAACTAAATAAGATATAGCTAAAGAAGAACTTGCTATGAAGCACTAATCCATAAACATAGAAACCAGTAGTTGATAAGTTTATAAATAAAAAATCTAAAAAATATTAATTAATTAATTATTCACATATTTCTATAATTTATTCTGATATTTTTCTCTTCAAAACAAATAAAATATTTTTAATAAATGAATAAGTTTTTTCAAAAAGCTTATCAAGAAATAATTAAATAATTGAATCAAATATCATTATCCAATTTTTACAGTTTAAATTTATAAATTTAATTAATGATGTTTAATAATTAAAAGTTATTAAAAATATTTTTGTTTTTGTTTTTTTTGAATAAATTCATTAAATTAGAATTTCATATCTTAATATTTTATTTATTTAATCAGCTCTTAACAAATAAATTATAATTATTTAATTAATTAATAAGCTTTAAAGTAAATTAAGGCAGGTATTTTTCTCTTCAAAAGAAATAAAATATTTACAAAACAAAAATTAATTATCAAGAAATAAGTTGAAATTAAATGGATGATAATTTATTTAAATTATATATTTTTCTACAAAGAAAAGTTTAATAACCCAATTTCGACTATTTAAATTTAGAATTTTATTCAATTTTTTTAGCAATTAAAAGAGGAAATAAAATTATTTTTTTGGTATTTTTTTAATAAATTTGTCGAGTTAGAATTTCATTCATCTCTTCAGATTTTATTGATTAGCTACTTTGCAAATAAATTACATTAATTTATTTAGATTTAAATCTTAACTAAAAAGGTGTAAGTAAATCAAGGTGGGCAGAAATAATTCATGGTTTTTATGATTGTTTAAACAATAAATTTAACAAAGATTTAGATAAAATAAAAATGGATTATTAATTTGGTGTTTCAGTTGAAGTAGATTAAAATATTTCTTATAAAATATGAAAATCACAATTTTATATAGTTATATTTATTTTGTTATTGAGTGAATTATTGTTTTCAGTAGATAGGATAAACGGGTTCTTCGTAGATACCGCAGACACCAGGACCCTTAGCGGTGGTTCTAGCAATTCTAACGTAACCGTTTTCACCCCAACTGGCACCCCAAGAGTTCTTGACAATCCAAGAGTCAGCATCATAACCAACAGCGAGGACGCAGTGATCCAAATTAGTACCGCAACCACTGGAAATGATACCAGAGGTGTAGAATTAGAAAGCCTTTTGGTCAGCTTCGATACAAATTGGAACGGGTTCCTTGTTAAGAGCAATAGCCAATTAGTCGGGGCTGTTAGGAGTAACCTAAACGAAGCTCTTGGGTTTGAAGACAACCTTAGAAGCATCATATGCACACTTTTAGTTAACACCCTTGTAAGGATAGTCAGCTTCAGTTTCAATACCGTTTTAGACGACGTATTTGTAAGCAGGAGGTAAATCACCACCATTGCAACCAGCATTAGCCTTAGAGCAGTCGACAATTTGTTATTCAGAGAAGGAAGTCAAGTTTCCTAATTTATTTAATTTTTGTTTAGAAATTAAATATAATTGTATTAAACTTGATAAAAAAAAGATTCTTTTATTGAATATGTGTACTTCATACCAGATAAAATCAATCAAAATATAAATTATAACTATGTCAGACAATATGTTATTTAAAGTTAATAAATGTTAATTCTTACCAGTAGCGATGGCGTAAGCACCTTCAAGACCACCAACAGTGGAGAAAGCCCAGCATGAACCGCATTGACCTTAGTTCTTGACAGGGGTAACAGCATTCTTTTAATTTTAAAAATAATTAGCAGTGAAGAAGAGAAAATAAAATGATATAGGAAAATAAAATAAATAATTTCTAAGGTTTTTACCTTTTATCTCCAATCAATAGAGGGAGCAACATCACCCTTCAAGGAGTAGATTAAGTGACTCTTTTATCTCTTTTAGTAACCCTTGAATAATTGGTTGAATTCGTCCTTAGTGTAAATGGCGAAAGCATTCAAAGTGTGGAAGGTACCGTTGTTTTCGGAATTGAGTTATTCAACAAGATCCTTGTTTTAGTAGAAGATAGATCTTCTGTATTATAATTGAACTTCGTCAGCGAACTTGAATCCGTACTTGTGCATCCAAGCTTGGAATTCATCAACTTCCTAATTATTTATAAAGTTAGAAGTTAATTAAATGTTTAAAACTTAATGTAGTGTTTAATAATAAGTATATAGACAAATTTCTTAAAGTCTACTCAGTCCTTATTTTTTATGTCTCCAACATAAATAAAATCATCGAAAACAATTAAAATACTAAACTAGAATTAACAATAATAATCGAAATAATTACAGCTCTTAAACCGTTGTTTTGTTTTTCAACCAAAAAGACAGTGGTCAAACCCAAAAGAAGCAAGACAGAGACTCCTAAAAGAATTTTGTTCATTTTATTTTTTGAGAACTTTTACTAATATTTAATTATTTAATTAATTGAATATATAATTTATAAGTTTGTATCAAAGCTGTAATTTAAACGATTTCTTTTCGAAGAAAAAATCTTTTACAATTCAAACACAATCAATATATGTAAATCTTTCTAATCAAAAGCTTCACTAATTTAAAGAAATTCGTACTATAGATATTCTTTTATAAAAATAAATCATATAATTATGAATATAACTCATGACGCTAAAGGTGTTAATTTGTTTTGATTGATGGTAAAAGGTAATCAATATACTGTAATTATTAATGGTAAATTCTAAATTAAAAACATATTTTAGAAAAGATTTTTCTCTATATTCAAAGCAAAGTAAAGCTTGATAATTATTTTAGATATAATATAGTTATTTATGCTCCTATCTAAAATTTAAATAAAGACTTCAACTATCTCCATTTTTCTATTGAATAATTTTCTTCATATTTAAAAGATACAAAAGAATATTAATTAATTCTTTTATAATTATTTATATGAAATAATGAGTTTGTATGATTTCTAATTTTTAATTAGAACACCACAAGTATAAAGATTAATACTGTTTTACATCATTAATTTATATACAAAGCAAATACCTTAAAATAAATATTTCTTCTAATCTTTTAAGAATTTAATTTTTTTGCATTCCATTGAAGGACTACTTACAAATAGAACTCCATCATTTCATACTTCTTTCTGCTCATATTTTATTTTTTGTTTTCTTTAATAAAAATATTTGGTTTACATTTATTATTTTAAAAATTTAAATGGGTAAAAAAAATAATAAATTAAAATAAAAGAATAAATAACAAACAAGCAGGTTTATACTCAACCTTTTGTGAAAGTAAAATACATAATATATATCAGCTTAATTAAAGTAAAATTTATTTTATTCATTTTATTTAAACTTTTAAATTTATATATTGCTAATCCTGTAATTAAAATATCACCAACTGTGTAGGTAGGGATGGTGATATTTCATTTGAATTTGGAAAAACTCCTCACTATATTAGTCCCATCTTCTTCACTCACCATAGATATTACAGTATTTAAATAATGTAAAAATTAATAAAAATTGTTCTGTTGGTTGGATTTTTATGTTTCTAATATTTTTTTAATGGATGATTAGGTTATTATGATTCATTTGAATTTATAACTACACTATTTATTGCTTTAATTTTATATTGAATAATTTTCTTGTTTCTGAAAAAATTTTTCAACAAATATTTCTGCTTACATAACATATTCAAGGTTGTATTCGTAATTTGGTAGGCATTCGTTTTATTATTAATCTAAATTTTAATTCTCCTAGAATTATTATCTTAAAGTTATTATTTATCTAAGAGTAGATGGAGATATATCTAATATTAGAACTCCACAATAAAAATCTATGATAGTGTTATTATCTTTGATGAAATCACTCATCTTATGAAGTTTAATTTGAGCATTTGTGTAAAATTAGATATCATCAAATGTATAAATTTTGAATTATTTGGTAAATTGCATATTTTTTTCAATATCTTCAAAAAATTCTGAGGAATTTTTTTGATTTTAGAATAGTTAAAATATGCTATTGATTTTACTTTTTATAACTTCAAGGTAAGAATCAAATTCTAAAAATTCATAAGCCCCATTTCTTCTAGTTAGATCTTGCAATTCCTATAGTGATTTACCTAGAATCAAAGCAAGAGATTCGCTAAAAACAATTTTATAAATTTAAAAATCATTAGATACTATATCTGGTCCCATATGGCTTGTAAAATAAATTAAACCTTTGTTATTATATTCTTAATATATATATTTCTCCATATAATAATCAAACTACTATCTTCTCTAAAAGAACTGATTAAAAAAATTTGGAGTTTATTTTAATAGAGAAAAGTAATTGCTGATATACTGAACTAGAAGCTTACTCAATTCGTTATACTTTTCCATTTCTAATACGATAGAATGAATGTTCTAGTTAGGGTATTCTTTTAATATCTGAATTAGTTGTTTATTTTGATCTTCATTAGTAACTTTTTTGCTCTCCAAATAAATATTTAGTGTGTTGGAAATTTTGCATAATTCTGTCTTTGGCCAAGTTTTACAAAGATTCCAAACAGAAAATCTATCGTCCTCATTATTAATTTTAGACAAATCAATTATTATGTCTCCATAAGTATGCAGTATTACATTGTTGAATTAAATTCCAATATTATGAATGTTTTAGTAAGAAAATTCTACTATCTTTAAGATTTTTCTTTTTTTCACAACTTTTGTTATCAAATTGCATTTATCTTCTTTAATTTTTTAGCTCTCATTATCATGCGAGCTTCCTTCTTATGTACTTTCATGATATTTTTTATTATTTTAATCTTCTTATTCTTACTATTCTAAAATAATTTATTCATCCATTTTGGATTATTTTACATAAAAATTTATCTCACAACTCAAAACAAAAATTAATAACTTTTAATTAAAAAATAGAACTTTCTGATGAGAGATAAAAAATAATCTGATATTTTTGTAACAAAATTTTGAAAATGATATTTGATTCCTGGTTTTAAAAAATACTTTTTATCCAGCTCAACATTATATTTATTCTATTTCTTCTTAAATTAGATATTTTTAATAAAACAATTTTAATTTAAAGCCTTCAAATTAAATAATTTGTTTTTTTCTTAATTTTAAATTAAGAATTTTATTAAACAATGCTAAAAAAATAAATAATAATTAAATTTATTTAGTAAGGAATAGATAGATAGATATATATATATTGTATAGAGCTCATATATACCTATACTTGCATATTTTATTGTTACTGCCATTTTACTCTGTTTACAAAAAACTATTATTATTATAATTGTCAATATATTTTTCTTTAAATAATTCTGCTTTAGCCATATATTCAATGTTATACAGGTATTCTGCTTACTCTTCTTTAGTTTCACTTACTTCTTTTAGCTACATACCTTATTATCGTAATGTAATAATCTACTATAGCATACTAGGTGATACATCAAATATTATAACACTACTATAGAAATCTAAAAAGTGTTTACTATCATCAATGAAATCGCTCATTTTAAAAACTTTAAGTTCTACATTCGTGTAAAACTCTAAATCATCATAGGTATATATTTTGAATTGTTTTTTAAAATTTAGATTTTGATTCATTTTATATGTTATATTTCCTCTCTATCTTGATATTTCATCGAATAGCGATATTTTAAATTCAACCAATAATTTTACCATTTCCAAAGAAGATTCAAAGTCAAAAAAATCATAAACACCAGTTCTTCTAAAAATTTCTTCCAATTCAGAGAGCTCCTTGCCTAATATAAACCCAAGAGATTCACTATAAATAGTTTTGTAAAATTGGAAATCGTTTGTCTCCATATCAGGACCTGAATGAGTAGAGAAATAAATTAAGCCCTAGTCATTGAAATTTTAATATATTTAATCCATTTATTTGTCAAATAAATTTCTTCGCGTATAGAATTAATCAACCAATACAGGTTTTTATTTCATTAAGAGAAAGTAACTGTATAAGTAGGAAATCAAAGCTTTGCTTATTTCAAAATACTATTCAATTGCTTGCATAACATGATAGACATTTTAATCTGGAAAAGATTTAAATTATTAAATTTACTTTTTATTTTATTCTTCATCTATAAAATATCTATTCTCTAAATGTATAGCGAGAACCTTTGAATTTTTACAAATTTCTGTCCTTGGCCATTTCTTGTAAAAATTCCATGCAGAAAATATCATTTCATTTTTTCTTTACTATAAATCCAATATTAAATCTCCGTAAGTATGTAAAATATATTTTTCATTTGGTAGTAATAAGTTTTAGATATTAATCAATTAAAACTCTACTTTCTTTTAAAAATTCTTCTTTTTTTATTATTTATTTCTTTCAACTTCTTTAGTTGACAAGCACCTAACTTTATCATCTACAAGCTGTGTTTATGAGCAAATTATTTAATTTGAAGATTTAATATTTGTGCTTTATAATTCAATTAAAGTATTTATATTACTTTATTCTATATCCATTTAACAGATTAGATTTATTGTATAGCTTATAATCTAATATTAATTAGCTTTTTTAGTTAATTTTGATAAATAATAAAGTTAATTAATTGTTAAGTTAATCTTTATTCTAAAAAAATAGAGATAATTTATGGTTAAAAAAGATTTTGTTTATTGTTTTATTAAATCTTTTCATTTACATATTGCAATACTAATTTAGAAAAGTCTCTTTCTCTTCCCACCTTAAAATGTAAATATAAAAATCATTTTTAAAAATCAAATATTTTCTAAAATTAATCATTTTAAATAAACCTAAAATTTAAATAAATATTTTATAAAAATAAATAATTATATATAATTAAACCAGCTATGAAATGATAAGTTTATTAACTTTATTGATTAAAAATTAATAGAATAACTACAATAACATGTAATGATTAGCTAAAATTAATTCTAAATAATTTGATTTACTAATTTAATAAAAAAACATTATGAGCTGTAAATTAAATCTTTCATTTTTAATGAATGATTCTCATAATCAGTATAAAATTACGTCATATGCTTTGCATTAATAAATCCCAAAAAACTTGATTCATTAATTTTATATTAAGAGGGATTATAATTTAAAATTAAAAGTAATCTATTTTAATCTTTATTATCGAAAATGAGTTCATAAATTTAACATTTCTATGATAATAAATAATTAGAAAATATTTTTACTAAAAAAATAAAATGAATGAATTAGTATGATTTGCTCAATTTAATATCAAAAAAGATTCGTATAGTTTTAAAAAAAAGAATAATTAAGAAAAATAACTAAAAATATTTTTAATGATATTGAAAAGTTTTGTTGCATCTATTTTATCCACCTTTGGCATATAAATCAAATCTTTTTTATTTGATAAATAGTTCATTTTCTTACTAAAAAAATAAGTTAGTATATTTTTAAAATAAATATTAAAAAAGGCTTTATTTATTTAATAAAAAAATAATTATAATTAAAAATAATAACAAATAATTATATTATTGATTCTCATTAACTAAGAGTCTCTCTCTCCTCCCTCTCATAATTTTTACACAACTTTTACCATAATATCTAAAATATCAGTGTATAACCTTGAAAAAGGCAGTATCCAAGAGTAAATACATAGATACATTATTATTATTAAATGATTGTTTTTGAATTTATGTTTTCTATGATGAGTATATTAATTATAATTTTAATGAATTCTTAAACTAATTTTATTTGAATATTAGCTTTTCAATCTTTATTATCCAATTTAAGAATAAATTGAAAGATGAAAAAAGATTAATTTAATTGATGATTATAAAAAATTATATTATCTACTTAATCTATATAATGAGCACAAAATTAATTAATATATTTTAATAAATATATTTTTTTAAAACTGAACAGAAGAAATTAAGCAATTATTTTAATATAGTAATTTTAATTAATATTTATTGTTTGTTTACACTCATTTTATTTTCATAAAAGATCTTGTTAAGATATCAAATTTTTTGGTAACTGATACTTCTTGCTAATTAATAATTTAAAATACTTCATCTCTTGTTTAGTTTAAGAAATCCTCAACCTGGTTAAGCTTTTTCAAACAAAACTTATTGTCAGTATGAATTTCTTTAATTGATCTTTCAAAATCGTTAATGATTTATTTAGCAGAATCTTTATATATCATAGCTAATTCTTTGAACCCATCTTACATTTCTGATTGCAATTTTTCATTCTCAAAGGCATTTTTTTCTATTTGTATTTCGATATCTTTATTTCTTTCTATTAACTATTAAAATATTCTATCATTTTCAAGGTGGTTTTGCATTTACTTTTGACTAAATATCTCGCTTTGCTTTGACACAATACTTTGTAATTCGTTTTACAAATCATTCTTAAAGGCAACAAATTCCTTTTAAAAGTCAATAAATTTTTTATTATTTTCTGTCAACTAAAATTTAACATCTTCTTACAAGGCTACTTTTTCTTAAAAATCTACTGTGTTAACCTTTAATTCGTTTATTTGTTATTGCATATTTTGTCTTTCTTTTGCTAATATATCAATCCTATTTGAATTATTACTAATGATTACTTTAAGCTTTTCTAAAAAAAGATTATTTTCATCTTTCAGCTGCACAGCAAGCTATTCAAAATATTGTGTTTATTATTGTTACTCTTTTTCGTAACTCCTGAATTTCATTTCGACAATTTGTTCTACTTGCTAGTAATTCAATTTATCATTTTATTCTTACTCAGTCTGAACAATTCTATTTTCTAGCTGTTTAACTCTATCTTCCAAAACCATATTTTGATCTTGCAGTTCCTAAAACATATCGACTTTTACAGTTTCTATTTCTTCCATGACCACATCAGCTAGCATATTAAAAGCCTTCCTCAAAGCATTTATCTAAGAAGAGAGAACAGTATGATTTTTTTAATTTAATTTGTCCATATTTTCTAAAAGTTAATCCTCGCTATTTAAATTCTTTCTTAATTCTTAAATTTGATCTGATAGCTTTTCAATTTTACTCTTCATCCCTTTTTCTTAGAGTTTAGCTGGACCACCACTAATTGAAGTGTTTCCTAGAGCACTTTACTAAAATGTTACTTGATTCCCAAAATTATTTGATTTATTTAAATTACTTATAGTTTATGTCTAATAATTGTTTTTCATTTGCAAAATTCTTACTGACTATTTTATATTTATAACTAACTTTAAATATTACGTTAAAAATTAATTATCTTTGAATTTATAGATAAATAAATAAATCAATAATTTTTATTCAACTAATAAATTCAAAAAAGTTATATGGTTTAATTTAAAAATAAAGATATTTTTGAAAAATTAATGTAAAAAAAATCAATTTTATCATTTAAATTTTGTAGGATTTATGTTTTTTTATTATTCAATATGAAATTAAATTAAAATTATTTTATTTTTATCTAACAAAAGTATAATCTAATCATTTATTTTACAATCTAAATAAATAAACAAATGCTACTTACTTTTTCTTAACAATTTAATTTATTATTTTAAATTCATAATCTCATTTATTCATATTTGTTGGTAAGTATTGAATCATAAAATTTTAAAAATTAGGTTTTATGTATTTTAAATCTATCTATTTAAAACAATTAATTACTATAACTTCATTAAAATGGTTATTGCGTATAGTTTAGTTTAATCTTTAAATCAAGCATAATTAATTTTTGACATTGGATAGATAGATATAATCTTAAAGTTTAATTAAGAGTTCTGAATAACATGAAAAATGAATATCATAAAAGGAAAAAAGAATTAGTTAGCTGTATAAAAAATTTATAAATAATTTTAGATTAATAAAGTATGTATTAAGAAATTATAATTATTAATTTGTGATAAGAATTATTCTTTTTTAAAATATAATCAATAAATTATACTCTAAATCCTAATTAATTAAGGAGATAAAAACAACTTATTTTAGAAAAAAATTGGCATTAAATTTGTTTACTTTTACTATTTTTTAATTTTTTTTGGCATTAATTAATGAGGATTTATAGTATATTTTATTTTTTCTAAAATCATAAAATTCGTATTCTTGTGATTAAAATCGAATTAATTGTTGCTAAATAAAGATTTTTTAGAATTTAATTTCTAAAATTAGAATAAAAAAATCATAAATAGAATAATTTGATAATTAAACTTAGATTAATTTCATTAATTTTTAACATTAAAATTGTATTTTAGACAGTAAATTTTAATTATTCAAAGAATAAAGTAATTAAAAATTGTATAGTAGTAACCATTTAAATATTTAATTTAAATAATTAATTTAAAACATAGAAATGATAACAATAAAAAATAAATTTTATAAAACTATTATTAAAATTTTCTTTTTTAATGATTAATCATAAATTTTAATTTTTAAAAAAGCATAAAATCAGCATTATTTATTTTTATGTTTAAAAGTGAATTAGTTAAATCTAAATAAAAATTAAATATAATTTGTAAAATTAGAATTAAGAAATAGATAAAAGAGAAGAGTTTATACTATAACTAAGATTTAAGATTAAAATTTAATTTTAGTCAATGTATTTTAATTCTGAATTGGAATAAATTAAAGAGTGAAATTTATTTTTGTAAAACAGGTCATCAAATAATTAAGAAACTATGGATACACCTATTAAAATATTTAAATTATAAAAATAAAGGAATGTTAATTGTAAAAAAGAAATTTAACTAAGAATTAAGTATTTACTGAATCAAATTTAAAATAAATTAAAACAGGTGTTTATTTTATTTGCTTCTTTGCAAATTAAATTAATTTTTGTAATAGTAGTTGTTAAATATAATTTGTGTTTTAATATTTACTGATATTAATTTTAGGGAATACAAACAAAATATTAATTTAATAAAAGATTTGTTTTTTAAAAGAAACTATGTAAATTAAAAAATAATGAAGCTTTGGGGAAAATATTTAATCCTTTGACTATTCCTTTAATATGAAAATTCTAAATTATTTTGATATTATTTACTTTCATTGACAAAAGTTTGATTTTTTTTTAATGTTAAATACTTAAATAAATTTTAAGGTAAATAAAACTTTAAACATTTAACATTAATTTTAGTAAAATAATTTACTTACAGTAGCTCATATAATTATTTCATTTGATATTAGATGATTAGTCTGTTTAAACTATGTATGTAATATGTCTTGCAAATTATATTTTAATTATAAAAAATGTAATTCCTTCAAAGGTTTAGTTATTATTTCAAATTCAGTAACTGATCTATTTTATGTAATTTTATAAGTTAACACTGGAGTTAATTAAAAAATCAATCATCAAAATCAATGTATTTTTTAGTAAAAAGTAAAATGAAATAAATTTTTATCTATTTTCATATAAAAGCGAGGTAAAAAAGTAAAATGAACGAATTTTTTTATCTATCTATCTTTATATTCATATATAAGCAAGTAATTCTTGATTTTATTAAAATGCTTTTCATCAAAATAAAATATTAATCCCATTAAGAGCTAGTTAGTAATGAAGAGTCTTCTAGAATAAATTTATGAAAGAAAAGAACTCTTAATTAGATTTGAAATATTAAAATTACATTAAGTTAAAGGAGATAATCTTTTTCTAAGATTAATATAAATAAAAGAATTGAAAGTATAAGTAAGTAATTAAAACTTATCAAAATAAGAAAAGTATCAAGTAGACTCATTTCTAAATCTTTTTCTATTTTAATATTAAATCTTCTAAATTTTTAAAATATTCACTTTATTTTATCAGTAGTTTATTATTTTTATTAATATTCTGTAATTAAATTGAACAAAATTTGTTAGCTAATAAAGTAATTGAGCTTCTAAAATAAAAATGTCTACGTACCATATTAACTTCTTTGTATAGCGAGAAGTATATTTATAAAATAATAAATTTTTATGTTTGTAATTTTTGATAATCTTAAAATCTGGTTGGTTAATGTAATTTTTTAAGTAATTATTTTTAATTCTGAATATAGATGTAAGGAATGGGATTTTATTAGAACAATCTCTTAAATTTGATATGTTTTCAAAGAAAAAGCTTATATAAATAAAGATACAAAGGAGATACTTTATATTAAAATAAAAGAAAGTATTCCTTAATTTAAAAAAGTGAATTTCACTATATATTTTATAATTAATTTTAACTGCTGTTGTAATTCAAGTAAAATTAAATTGCATATTATTTGCAAAGAATTAAATTTAAAAACAAAGGACTGAATACAAAAAATATAAAATGAATCGTGTTTGTATTTAAAATATCTAAATATTTATATAAAATCGCAAGTGTTTTTTTATTTATTAAGTTTAGATAATAATAATTTAAATAAGGAAAAGTGAAGTTTTAAAAAATTGTTAAATATTTAAATTCTTTTTTACAAATAATAAAATTTGTGAATTCATAGTTAACTTATAAATAGGTAGATGTTGGTTAAATCTATTCACTAAGTGGTTAATACAAAAATATGCAATTTATATTTTTAATAAGTCAATTTTAAGGTATTTATGATTGGTAAATTTAGATTTCAATAAATTTGTATTTAGAAAATTGCATTATTACTTGATACATTTTAAATTTCTTCTTTATAGTTTACACAAAATAAACCTGATCTGATATCATCTTACTTTAATTTTCTTTAAAAATTTTAAAATCTAATTTGAATTTTCACCTAAATTCTTTGTAATTCTTGAATTATTTATTATATGCAAATTTAGTTTTATTATCAGGTATAATTTTTTGCAATATTAGTTTTCTTTTTTGATTATTATTTTAGTATTTATAAAATAAACTTAAAGCTTATTCTAAGGAGATAGCCTTTATTTATCTAAAATGGTTTTAAAATCAATATTTTTACTTCAAAGAAAAATTTGGCTAGTAAAAAAATCAAAATTTATAATTTTAATATTTTATTATAATGATCAGATTAAAAGCTTGAAACTTGGATTAAAAGAAAGAAAGATAGAATGACAAAAGAGATGAGAGAAATGGAAATTAAGTTAAGTTACATAAAAGTTAAAATAAGTTGAAAAAGTAAAAATAAAAAAAGTAAAATTGAAAAAGGTAAAGATTTAATGAATTAGATAAGAATTTTTTCTATTTTGAAAAATATTTCATAGGTATGTAATTCTTTTATTTCTATCAGATGTATCTTCCGAATTTAAACAATTTGAAAAAATCTTAGAAAGGAAAAAGAAAAAAGTTATAGTTGAAAGCCTAACAAAATATGACAATGTAAGTGAATGGCTGTCTTTTAGATCGCGATTGAATGTGTATATAAAGGAATTTAATTAAAAATAGATGTTCTATTCCAATTAATAGTATCTAAATAATAAATTATTTATTATTAACCTGGTAAATTAGCAATAAAAGCTAATAAAAATTGCATTTAACTTTTTGTTTAAGTGGATGTTTAAAACATAAATTAAGAAAGCTTTCTAATAATCAAATTATTATTAAATTAAAAAAATTACATTAAACAAAAAAAAAGAAAAAACAAAAAGAATTTCTAATTAATCATAAAATAAAATGAATACAACTGAAATGCTTTTAAATATCTTGAATAACATTACAGTGTCAAGAGAATTGATGTTTGACATAACTGAAATACCTCACTGCATGGAAATGCTCAATTAAACCTTCTTTACTCTAGATATGCAGAGGATTAAATCTGCTCATTAATATATGAAAGGAAATATTCCTCAAAAAATGTACTTACAAATTAAATAGTCTTTGTAAAAGTACCTATACGTTCTCTTATAATGCCACAAAGAGCTAATCAAAATAGATCCTGAGAATATCGAAGACGAGGAGACTCTCCAAATCTACCTATACATTAAACAATATTTTTCTCCTAAACAAAAGAGCACAGAATAAATGATTGATTCAAGAGTCTTAAGAGAAGATGATCTAGATTTTGATCGCTCCTACTGATAGAAAGAAAGATTAATTACTAAAAAAAATAAACACACGAATAAACAAACAAATAAATAAATATCTGATTTTAATAAATTTCTATCAAGCTATTAATTGGCATCTACTTAAATTACTTTTAAAATGAATACAAATACTACAAAACAAATAGTAACCACTTAAATGCAAACTTAAATAATTCTAAAAAACTCTTTAACAAAAAAATTTATTTTCAAAACCAATCTCTTAAAAACAAACAATGTAATAACTTCTTTTCAAAACAACTCTCATTATCAATTTAAATATTAAAACCATTTCATTCTTATAAATAAATATAACTCTATAAATACATTTAAATAATTTATACTATAATCTAAATTCAAGTATGCGATCTATCTATTTACTTTATCTTATATTGTTCTTATTATTCAATTTAATTTTCATTCTGATTACAATTTACTTCTAAATTAGAAATATGTTATAATAACTAACATTTGAAAAAGAAATAATATATTTATTTATCAATTAACTTACATTTAGCTAATCAATTTAATAGAAATAATAATAAAAGTTATTTTTCTTCTATTATATAATTTATAAATTATGATTTTCTTTTAAATTAGAAAATTATAATATATTAGACTGGTTTTGTTACCCATAACAAACAAAACAAATCAATTATTTATTTATTTATTTATTTACTTCCTTACTTGCTAGTTTGACAAACCAATTTAATAGAAATATTTAGATCAATAAATATTAAAGCCTACTCTTACTCTATCATATAATTTAGAAATAAATATTTGCTTATCCAATTAATTTTTATAGTAAAATAGAGTATAATTATTTTTCTCTCTTCTGAATAAATAAAGACTAGTGTTGTGATTCTCTAAAATTTAAAAATTTTTTATTTTTTATTAATAGATTACTTTCAGAAATTAACTAGTTGAAAAGGTTTATTTACACCAAAAATTCGTTTATTGATATATATATTAGATTATTATGCTTTTATTGCTTAAATTTAGGTTCAATTAATAAATTGTGAAACATAAAAAATAGTTCTTTGAATTATTTCTTGCTAAAACATATTTTTTTTCTATTAATAATTGGTTTGGTACAAATAATTGACAATGTTATAAAAGACAAAAGTAAAATGCTGTAAGTAGTGTTGACAATAGAAAAAAGCTATTAAAATCTTAATAGAGATAAATTAAGGGGATAAAAAATTTAGCAAAAGAAATATTTGTTTGACTTTAATAAAAATTAATTAAATTTTTCCTAATTAAAATAATAATAGAAACATCAGATATTTTGAGTAATTAATTAGCTTTTTTCTATCTATTACTTTCTAATTTAATAATAATTATCAATTCACTTGAATTAAAAATCTTATGAATATAAATCCAAATAGAAATTAAGAGAAGTAGGTTCATAGGAAATTTCATCGATTAATACAAAATCTAATTTAACTTCCAAACTAATTCGAATTTAGGTCGATATTTATAAATTACTAAAAATTTAATTGAAATATTTGAAAAAAACGCAATTAGTCTAACTAAGATAAATATGTTTTGTGCAAATATTTGCTTATTTAAGAGCATGTACTTCGAATAGAAATATAAATTGAAAAAATATGTGGTTTTAGCAAATTTTAGATGTATTCTTACTGGATTAAAATTAATTTTCTTAATAAAATTAAAAAAAAATAATCTTATGATTATTTTCATCTATGTTACTTTTTATAGTACTTTTATAGTCATATCGAATACTTGGTTAGTTATACCCATTTTATTTCAATTATTTGTTCTAATATGATAAAAATCACATAAATTCTTATATAGCAAATTCTATGATATTTCTAATAATAGCACCAATAAAATAATTCGAGTTTTAAGATTAAAAATGACGTTGAACACAAATTATAATAAAAATTTTAAATTTGTAATATTTTTTTTACTATCAAACATGATAAATCACTGACTCATGAATTTATTTTTCTATTTTCACAAGGTGTTTTCAATAAAGATATCAAATAAATTAAAAGTATTTGTTGGGTGGGGAAAGAATGATAAATTTTTGAGTTTTTAAATTTAACATCACAATCAATCAATCTATTAATCTATCAATCTCATATCAAAAAGATAAAAAGTCTATTGAATTGAAGTTAGTTTTTTAGCCAGCATCTAAAATTGATTCAACATTTTTAATTTTCTTTTTATTTATATTACCTATATTAGTAAAATAATACAAATTTTTGTTAATCTTAAACAAGTATTTGCAATGATTGTGAGATAATATTGGTAATAAACTACACAAAACCAAACAATTTTATTTCATTAAATATAAAATAATATTTTTAAGTCTAACTCTATCAAAAAAATGCATACTATTATGGACACAATAAATTTAAATTTCTATATATATGTATATACTAAAATTTTTATTCTTCCAATCAAATTCAATCTTTTAATTTTAATATAGATTTCTTGTAGCTTAGCATGCACTATGCAGCAAATGCTTCTAAGTGGAAGACAGGCTTTGATCCCATATTCATCAAATTCTCATGGTGAGCAGCATAGTATATGATTTCTTATTTAGTATGTACATCATTTTGGTCAATTAAATCAAGAAGACTGTACATCAAATTCTTTATAATTATATCTCCTGGTATGCAATTTACCAATAAGTCATAAAATTTACTTCTAATTTCTTTTAACCTAATTTATTTAGATAAAACTCATATAAAAAGTGTCAATATTTTATTTTTTTAAATCAAAAGTAAGTTAAGCTTGATCAAATTTTATTTACTCTGACGTCTTGCTTTAAATTAAATATTACATTTCAACAGTAAATGTGTATGAGAGTGATTGAATGAGTGAACAATAAAAATTTTTGATTTAGTGTTTTTCAAGTTTGAAATTAAGTTAAGATGATTAAAAATTGATCAATATATATTGGCTGATGTTGATAATAAAATAACTAACTATGTGTTGATAATAAGCAAAATTTTATTTTGATCAAACAAAGATTGAATTAATCTATGTAATTCATTAACTTTATCGAATTAAATTAAATAGCTCAATCAATTTATCTAATAATGGTCTAATATCTAAAGGTTTAAGGTTTCTCTAAAAATATATCTGTTACTTTTTTGAAGAATACTTAATACGAAATATTTTTTATGATTCCGATTAAAATTAAATGATCAAAATATTTATTTTATGGAAATATTTTAGCAAATAAGTTTCTTTCTTAATAAAATATGAATTGAAACTTTGTGTTTGTTTAAAACTAGAAATTATATTAATAGATATGATGAAATTACTTTGCTGGATTTTAATGCTCTTTGATAATTCCTGCGATATTTTTAATTTCTTTCTTCCATTCAGGCTCTTATACCTCCATAGAATTGTTGTAAGTACTTTTGAGTAGCTTTTGTGTTTGCAAATTTAAAATGACTGCTCTTAAATTATAATCACATGATTTTGCGAATTTGCAAGCTAGATCATCAGGTATATTTAAATTCTTTTCATTATTAAGCTTTCTAACAACAGCTTTAACATCTTGCTCTGAGGGTGCAGCAACTCTAATTAATAGGCATCTACTTCTAAGTGGTAAAATAACTCTTCCAATATTTTCAGCTATCAAAATTAATCTATATATAAAAAATCAATACATTAATTAAGTAAGTAATCGCACGTTAGTTATTTACTCTTACATTTTAAACTGTAAATTAATCAATATTATAAAAAATTGATAAGTTACTTGTTTTAAATTCAGTGTAAAAGTATTAATTTTATTTAGAATTTGTAAGTTATAGAAAATATCTGATTAAAATTTGTTATAGAAAAAAATCCTATATAAAAAAGAACAATTATGCAATTTTATTTTACTCAAATAATTGTTTTATGAATCAAAAAGATAAATTATATTTTTGCTTAAAACTATCAAATAATTGCTCATAAAATATTTTATAAAAAAAAATTATCTTTTTAAATTATAATTATCATTGAATTTATTATTAAAAATAATATTTTTTGATTTGAATTGATTGAATTATTATTGAATTATAGATTTATGTTTTAGGACTCATAAAAAATTGATTTTTAATTTGATAAATAATCTAAATTATATTTTCTATGTTATTTTATTTATTGTTCAAAAACAAGGGGTTATATCTTTATATAATTATGATAACTCTTCAAAATTATTTAAAAAAATATTTAACTTCTTAATATTTTTATCACTATTTTTTATGTAGCTAATAATAACTCAGATAATTATTTTAAACTTCTATTTATTGTTTTTCTCGATATCTATTATTATTTACAAATTTAAAATATCCAAATAAATTTAGTTTATAAATCTCAGCTAAGTTTTTGTTGACTTTAAAATATCTTTATTATTCTCAAAATGACATAATGGGATGACTATAAAATATCTAATTTAAATGTTTTTTAATATTTTTTATTTCTACTTTTCTGATCAAAATATTTGCTAGTATTTTTGTGTTAATAAAGTTATTTGATTTAGGATTTATTTTACTTTTATCTAAAACAAATAACCTTTTATTTTTATCATAACTCTCAAAACTTGAAAATTAAAAAATTATTTTTTTAATCTAGTTTCTTTTTAATTTTATACAAATCAAATAGTAATTCAGATAATTATTTATACTTCTATTTATATTATTTGTTGATATCATTATTATTGACTTCATAGAATATCTAATTTTATTTTATTTAGAAATCTCATCTAAGTTTTTGATTGACTTTATAAAATATTTATTATGCTAAGTATTATATAATGGGAATTATTTTAAGATAGATATCTAATTTGTTTAATATTTTGTATTTCTACTTTTCTGATCAAAATATTTGTAATTACTTTTATGTCAATAAAGAAATTTGTTTTAGGATTTATTTAGTTATAAAATAAATAATTTTAATAAAATAAATTTTAGGAAATGAAAAATAAAATTATTCTTTTTAGATTTTTAGGATTGAATTTTTTTGTTTGAGTTTTTGTATTGTGCAAAATATTTTAGAAAATTTCATTTTTAAATAATGATTGGTATATTATTTTACCTGCATCTGCCAATATATTTTTCCATAGTTCTTCTTAGAGAGGCTTAAGCTTCAAGAGTAAGACGATCTACTTCGTTTATAATAATAACTTTAAAACGTCTTTGAGAATTTGGATCTAACTAATGTGTTGAAGCAACTTCTTTAATCAACTTCTAAATGACTGCTCTATCTTAATTCTCTGCATCAGCAGGTGTGACATCTAAATGATAATTAGATGAAATTATATTAACTTCAACTGTAGTGCTTGTATTTGGATTAACTTTAAATTCTCTTTCTTCAGATTTGACTTTATGCACACCATTTCCATAAACTTCTTGCAAGAAAGCCATAGCTCTTGTTTTTTTACCTGCACCATTAGGTCCATATAATAACAAATGAGGGAAATCTTCAGAATGAGCTAGCTTTTATAATTTTTCAGTTAACAAAGGATGATAATCTAACTTATCAAGTGATTTTGGTCTAATTTCGTCTACCCAAAGCTTTTCCATTTATAATATCTTTTTATTGATAAACCTTTTTTTAAACTGTTTTGTACTGATTGAAATAAATTATTTTTTTGCAAAAAATTTTGAATAGCTAATATTTATATATCTTTCTGTTTGCCTGTCTCTAGCTTTCAAAACTTAGATTTTAAGAAGTATAATTCTAATTATTTATATTTTTTGGAATTAACCGCGTAACATTCAAAGTAAATTAAACTATTCTAGATTTGAGGGAAACAAACAGTGCATTTAATAATTATTTTAACTGATTTCAAAATATTTTTTATATTTTATGTTTTATGAATTTTAAATTGTTTTACTAAAATCAATTTTATCATCTGAAAATTTTAAAATCTAATTTATTTAAAATTATTGAATTGAAATTAAAAAAATAAATTATCTAAAAAATAATTTAAACTTAGTTTAAGAAAATTGAAAATAATTTTAGGAATAAATTGAAAGTATTTTTAATAAAATTTAGCTAATTTAAAAATACCACAAATTATAAAATTAAAATTGTAAAATAAATTCATAAAAAACTTAAAAATTTTAATTTCTTTATATCTTTGGTTAAGATTTTTAATTTATAAATTATAAGATGGAATGGAATACGATGGATATTCTTGGAAAGATTGAAGTTTTTATTTATGCAAATAAAAAAATAGCCTTTTAATAAGAATAATAAATAAATAAATAAATTAATAGTATTCAATAAATTTAATAAACACTAATTTATGCATTTATTTTACAAAAGCTGAAATGGATATGCATATAATAATGCATGCATTAATATATTTGTTTGTTTTTTTGTTAAAGGTGTTAATTGATATTGGAGCTGAGTATTTTATTAATTTTTGAAAGGAAAATTAAAGAGAAGAAGGAAAGAAAGAAAATTAAGGAAAGAGAAATTAAAGGGAAAAAAATATAAATTAAAAATAATACAACAAAAAAGAAGAGAATCTAAAAAAGCAAAATAAAAACAAGAAGAATTTAAAAGAAATGGAAAGCAGATCATATATGTTCTCCTTGGCTAAGAAGAGATCAACTCTTCTTGAAAACAAGCTTATCACGTATAATTTCTAAATATAAAATAGCAGTTGCTTGAAGCATAGTGTAGAATGAAAGATTTTAAAAAAGAAGAGATATTTCATTATTTTTTGCTTTTATCGGATTAGCTAATTCTTAAAATTAACCAATGAAAGATTGATCGTCCATCCACAAAATGCAAATAATTGCTAATCTTTCTTAATAAAATAAATAGGGAAATTAAAAAGAATATAATAAATTAATTTTGCGAATTAGTTTTTAATGAAAAGGGAAATATTATGATTTAATTAAAATGCACTATGCTTGAAAGCAATCAATCTATCATATTTTTTTATAGTTACTCAACTTTGTTTTATAAATTTGATGAATAGTTTTGCTAGAGAAGATGATAACGCTCCCAGAACTAAAATCTTGAAAAAGGAATGCACTGAATAATTTGTTGCTTTCAAGGAAGTAATTATTTGCTAACAAACAAACAATATTTATTATGCATAGATTAAATAATTAAAATGTTTTCACAATTATTTAACAGAAGCATCTATTTTTTAACCTTTACAGCACATATCAAATTTTGTAAATTTAATCAAATAAAAAAATTAGTGTATGAAGAGATTAAACGATGAAACCAAATGCGGTAACTTCAAGGATGCTTTGATGGAGTGCGGTGTTGGTGCTTTCAAAAAGGCTAACTCTGAACCTGGTTATCAATTCGAGTGAGAACTTTATGACCAAAGCTCATTATAAAATACAAATTAACTATAAATGAAACAAGAATATTTTGATTTGATTAAGCTATATCAAAACAAATCTAATTCTTTTCATTCTTTCTATTTTCTTAGCAGTATTAACAAAGAAAAAATCTTTTAAGCGTACAAGCAATTCTTATCCAAAATAGAAAAGATATAATTCGTTCACTGAGGTTTAAGGAGCAGTAAAAAATGCTTCTGCAAAGATAAAATCAATTTATTACTTGTATAATTAATCCGTACTTTTCCATTCTTCTTTGTACAAATTAAGAGAATAACATTTGTTAAATGCTATCCTTTTCTAATGCATCTTCAAATATTCCATTCATATATTAATTTAAATGTTTACTTATTTAATTAATTATTTATTTATTTAACTTTTATTTATTCTAAAAAGATTAAAAAAATAATATTAAAAAGAAATAATTTTAGTTATTTTAATCAATCAAACATTCAACTTTATATTTTCTTAAAATGGTCAATTTTTTAATCATTTAATGGTTATTTGAAATGTAAATTGAAGCTAAAACAAAATATTTAAAAAATTAATTTTATTTTAAAGTTTTTTAGCAAGTTACCAGAAATAAATAAATGCTTAATTTAATAGAGTGAATAAATATTTTAATTTGATTTTACACATTTATTTGTTTTTAAATTAGAATCTTTTTTGAGATAGATACAAAATTGTTTTTTAAATATTTTGTTTTCTTTTGCTTATTTTTAAAATATTTCCTTTGCTTATTTAATAGCATATTGGACAAAATTAAATAAAAAACAATTTTTATTTTTCTATATTTTTTTTTAATTTAATTTAAAAAAATATCCAAATTTAAATTTACTCTTTTCTAAAATAAAAAAAATGAAATTAAAAAATGGTATTTATTTTTGATTGAATTGTTTAATTAGAAACATCCAATGCAATAAATGAGTAGAGACTAACTTAAACTAATTCTTATGACATAAAATATAAAATCAATAAGAATAAAAGTTATCATCTTTAATGACAAGAGTTGCACTCCAAATTAAAAAGTTCTTATAATATTCAATCACATATTGTCTTCATAAACAGAGTTAGGATTTTGAGGAATGGAAATAATCATTTCGTTCATCCACTTTTCAACTAAGATACAGCAAGCTAATCTAGAGCTATATATTTTATTTAGTTTTAAATAGGTTAATTAGATTTTTTTAATAATTTTCTTCAATTAGTTGCTAATTGATAGAATGAATTAATTTATGAATTAATAAATTGATACTTTTCTGTGGTAGGATAACTGCTTCTAACGAGATTTCTTTCTTCGAGGTAGTGTAAGTTACCCATTTTATTTCTCCAAGGATTGGAGACAACAACTTAACAGGAACTGCAGAAAGGACCATAAGTAACGGGATCAATTGGCTTTTCTAACATAGTATTAATATCTTCACCACCTTCACAAGTAGCTATTATTTTATTAATAGATACGTTAATTAATTTATTTTTTAATTGCATAATATTCTTTAAAAAAATTTATTTATTTTATTTAAAAGGTTTATTTAATATGTTTTTTTTTTATTTGGATATCTCATTAATTTTGCTTTGCAATTTAAGAAGTTTCCTTATATGAAATATAAATATCTAACAGGATAGATATCATTTATTTAGTTTAAAATTAATTTAATTAAAATATTATTTCATCAACATTTTACCTACAATACCAGCAACTTTATTTCTTTGTAAAGCTTCCAAAAGAGATTCACCTTCAAAAGCAGAAATTCTTTCAAACTATCCAATACGATTTTAGATGTTGATCCAAATACTATTTTTAAAATATTGTAATCATAAATTCACTCACATTTAAAATTGATTTATTTTTATTTTATGTTTATAAAATGAGCATTTTATCCTATCAAAATATATTTATCAATAAGACGAATAAACCTCCAAAATAAATTTATGCGTTTGATAAACTGCTATTTTTATAAAAATATAAAATAGTAATTATGAAATCACATTTTATCAGCAACTCTATCAGCTTGATCACCAGCGTGATGATGGTGGTTACCAGCAAATCTTCTAATGCTATCTATAATTTATATTTAAAATAATGTTAGCTATCTCATTCTATTTTATACATTTTATTTGAATCTTAGGGATTAAAAATACAATCTGAGGCATTTCCATTTTTTTACTAATCGCAAAATCAACATTTCAATTAAACATATCATTTTAATAACATTAAAATGGAAAATGATAATATTAAACTAGCTTAAATTTATAATTTTAAACGCCTTTATTAGCTCAGCCTTACAGAAATGTTTTTCCCCTAAATATTTCTTAATTGAATTCAAAAAGCGATTTAAATACTTGTGAGTTGTTTATTTGAAAACTTTGCAAACTTTGACAATAAGCCCTACATTCTTATTCGATATTTTTCCTAATGTATTTTATTTATAAATTAGTTTGATTTGCTTTATTTATTATTCAAATCTAATAAATTATTATGTATCTAAATAGTATTTATTCTTCATTTCACATACCCATTTATCTATACATTTGATATTTATTAATCTTCTTTTCAATCCAATCTTTAATTTATTTATTTATTAATTTATTTCATTCTCCAACAATACGCTCCATATCTTAATTATATGGCTGTCTATAAACACTTAATAACTGTAATTATTTTCTTATTCATATTCTATTATAAAAATAATCAAATACTATCAAAACTATAATAAAATATAAAAAATATAAAAAAAATACCCTTATTTTAAATTGTTCTTTCTTGTATTTAACTTTTAAATTAATTCAATATTTATTCTGAAAATTCTTATGAGTGTAAACATAACTTTGAAAAAATGTTCAAAGCTATCTTTATCCTCATTAATTGTTTTATGTAAAATCTCATCAGTGTTAATAAGTTTAATATCTTAGGGTTTTCCTTTTTTATATCTTATTTGACTTAGTGACATGTTTTTGGATTACTATAAAAACAAAAAAATGTATAAATCCTCAAATAAATTTAATTTCCAAATTAAAAATATTATTTACTCTTTACTATCGAACAATATAGTTAATAAATACATAATTTTAGTTTTCTATTATAAAAATGATCTCCTAAATTTATTTACTTTTAATTTTAAATAATTTAAATCCTCATAAATTAATACCCTAATATATTAGCACCTTCAAGATAAAAAATTACAATTATAATACCTACCAAAAAGGTGAACATTTCAGAGAGATGTATGCTAATATATGAAGATTTATAATATTTTTGTAATTTTTAAGTTAATTTTTATAGTTTTTATATTTATTTTTTGTCTGAAATGCATTAATTTTATTTTTTTTAAAATAAAATGAAATATTAATAAAATTTTAGGAATTTCTAATATTAGACATTTCATTAATAAAAAAATGAAATCAAACTATAATTGTTGAACCAAGCTTATTAGTTTGATTTGAACTAAATTAATAACAGAACATTAATTTACTTTTAATATTATCATTTTAATTATTTTAAAATTTTTTATGTGCCAAAATTTAATAGTATTATAAATTACATCAATAAATATAATTAATCCTAAAATTTTGTTTGAATGAGAGTTAATTATAACCAATAAAAATAAAATTTATTTTGACAGATATATTTTTTCTTTCTATTAAATTTGATGATATTCTATTCTTTTTATTTAATATTATTTTTGAGGATTTTTTTATTTTTTTTAATATTTTGAAATAAATTTAATTTATATTTTTAAAATTAAAAATTATGAAAAAGTGTAATTATTAATAGTAAAGCTAGCTATTACTAACTTTATGAAAATAAAATTTTTAATTCAGTTTATCGTTCATTAAATTTTATCATATAAAATGGTTCAAAAATAAGAAATTGATTTTGGATTTGTAGTGATTATAAAAGAAAAATATTAGCTTCATTAGAAGTTATAACTAGATAAATAAATAAAGATAAATATTTTTTTAACTAGTAAAATTAGGTAGTAGACCTAAAATAAAATGTAAATCTATCTATAAATACAGCCAGCAAAAATTTATTTAAATTTTAAAGGTACTTTAATATTATTGATATTCATAGATTCATAGGAGTGCGATTTTAATCCAAAAGAAATTAAGAAAAAATTAGAAAAAATTGTTTAAAAATTAAGAGATTTTATATTACGAAGATTAGGTAAGAAAATAAGATAAATCATCTATCTATATTTAATTATAAGTAATTAAAGATTGGTTTTAAATCTACTTTTCAGCTTTAACTTTAGCAGCCAGGATAAATAATTAAATAAGTAATTTACTAAATAACTATCTAACAAACTTAGCAAGTAAATAATTAGTGCAAACAGTTTACCTAGCTCTCAAGGTGCTACAAATAGACATATTGAGTTATTTATTTTTCACACTGCATTTACATGAATGAAGATGATGATGAATATGATTTAAGGGAAAAGCTATTGCTCACCGATTAGATGAACAACAGATCTAATAAAAAAGATAATAAAAGATTTAGCTTGGGCAAATAAGATATAGAAATGCAACATGTCCATGAATTTGATTATAATTATAGCTCTAATCACAAAAAGAATAATTCATTTTCCATTTTATTGGAAGACAATCCTGAAAAGCCTACACACACTTCAAATAACCCACAACCACCAGTTTAAAATAATAGTATAAATTCTCCTGAAAAATCAAAACTTATCAAATAAACTAGTTACACGATTAACACAAATGCTTATAGAAATCAATTTATTTTGAGAAGGTTAATTTAAGATATTAGCTAAGGAATCAACTTGGCCTGTTTTAGCTACTTTTACTGCACCACTGTAACTAACTCGATTTAAAAACTACCCTTCGCAGGGTTAGTTGGATACATGATTGCTTCTTTAACCAATCTATTTTTGGGAAGCTCACGCTACGTTGTTTATGCTCCTTCATTTTTAGCAATTTCTTTCATAAGGACTTTGTCCAAAACATATGATTATGGATAAATCAGCATTGTAACTGCGTTAAGTGGTGTTTACCTTTTGATTTTTTCGAGATATCTTGATATTCAGAGATTAATATTTTTTGTTCCTGCAGCTGTTTTATTAGGATATGTTTATAGTATGGTTTTCTAGTTTATTTTTAACTACTTAGATTTCACTCTTGGGTTTCGTACCTTTAATGATACTGGCGATTTCTTTGAAAGAATTTAAAGCATATTTGATCATGTTAGTTGGTATTCGTTTGTAACTTTAGGTATAACTACTTTTTTGGTAGTTTTATATTTGATTCCCTAGATAAAATACACAAAATATCCATGGCTTTTAGTCCTTCTTGTGGCAAGTATTCTTCTAGGAATATTCGTAATTGATCCATCTCAGAATGTGAATATCGTAAGTTTGCTTTATAAAGATAGTGAGCCTTAGTGGTTTGATTTCCTAAAGTATTTAAAAAGGCCAATAATTTCGATATCTTCATTCCGTCTTTTCTTGCTTGTTGAATCTTTTTAACTGGCAATTTTAATTTACTTAGAAAGTCTATTTACTCTTAATTTTGCTGAGAAAGAATGTTCAGATAAAAATATTTAGCCATAAAGAGAAGCATTTGTCCTTTCAATAGCTAATGTAATTAGTGGCTTGTTTTGCGGAATTCCAGTCAGCGCAGGAATATTTTCTACCACTCTTAATGGAGTTTTGATTCGTAGAACCTCTAAATACCCTCGATTTATTTCCCTTTCTATTACAATTATATCTGAATTCATTGTAATCTATTTTAATATATCTATCCCTTATATTTGCTTTGCTGCTATACTTATTGGAGTACCTATTTTCACCCTAAAAATGAATTTGCATTTTCATGAGAATGCCACTTCAAAAAATATAGAGGTGTGGACTTAAGCTTTTGTTGGCTTTTTTTACAATCCAGTAATATCTGCGATTCTAGGTACATCATATAGTCTTCTACAAAAAGAATTGAGCCGATACACACTTCGCAGAAGATCTTAAAACTAATAGTTAACACCTAATACAAGTTAATTACAAAAAAGTTCATAAAAGGAGAGAGCTCAACAAAAACAAAAGTAGCAATAAGAAATGGTTGCTTTAAATATAAAATAGAATGAAGTACAAGACGATTAGGAAAACGATTTACTTAAAAAATTGAGCTTTGACATCTAACAATCAAAAATATAGAGTTTTATGCAATAAAGGTAGACAGACCAGTAAATATCACAAAACGCAAATGATGAAATGAAATTTATTTCAAGAAAAAAGCAAAAAACTATTGAAAAATATAACTTGATGAATGACTAACTTGTTTAGCTTCCTGATAACACTGAAGCTCACCCTGAAAATTTCGAAGACTCCTATTTGAAAGACTTATAATCAGAAGAATTTGAGGACAACAAATTCTTTATTTCTAGGTACAATGAAAATAATTAGCTATATTAGGAATATTAACAATAAGGGATTGAATCGTTTCTTCGCACTGACTCTCAGTTTATAATACAAGAAATAGATGGAGAAGTCTCAGTGGAACTAGTTAAATATGTTTAAGAATAAATTTGCTCTAAACTTTATTTATTTAACACATTTCGTGGAATTATTATTAAATTTAAAAATGTAACATTTTACGATATGAACTCTTTATTTTAAATTAAAATTTTGCTCTGTTACCTAAGTAAAAAATATCTTCCTGTACTCGTAACTGGAATGCCAGAATAACTAGCTGAAGATCTCTATCAAATAAATCCTTAGCTTTTCAAAGGAGATACATTAATCCTAGAGCTAAAAAGATGACAATAATAAATAACTTAAATATTTTTATTTTTCAAAAATTCAAAAATTTTGCTAAAAATCCATATAAATTATATGGAAATTAAAAATGTATAAATTAAAATATATCAACAAAAAATAAATTGTAATTATATAAATAAAATCTTCAATTTTGCTATATATCTATCTATCTATTTTTATAAGTACATTCTTAATAAAATTAATCAAAAATATATTTTTTGATATAAAAACAAATAATTTCTCAAAAAATTGTTAAATCAAAATAAAATTTCTTATTTTGATATAATAAATAATATTTTAGTTTAATTTAAAAATTTTTGAATAAATCCATAATTCTAAATATCTAGAAAATAAAGAAATTTTTTCACAAATAAATTAAATGATAATTTGAAAATATTATATTACCTTTAGCTATAATTAACTCTATGAACTTATTAATATTTAAAGACTTGTTATACAATTTTTGTTATTATCAAATTGCGAGTTAAAAACTAAATTGGGGTTTAAATTAGTGAGAATTTTTAGTGTATAAAATAAAATATATTAACTTTTAATTCAAAAAAAAAAATAATAAGAATATTTTAAATAAAAAAGAATAAAGAATTAGAAATAAAAAACAAAATTTAGAAAATAATTGAAGTTTAAATTGTAATTGTATTTTTTAAAAACTTAACAAAACAAGTTGGATTAAAAAACAATTATTTGAGAGTTATTTTAAAAATTTAGAATGTATGTAAACTTATGTAAAATTAAATTTAAAAATTAAAAATGATTGAGTTTTTTATTGAATGTATGTATTTATATGAAACATGAAAACAGGTGATTATTTCATTATTTCACTATATTAGTATTATATATTGATTTATTTATTTAAGAATATAATTTATAAAGTTTTCAATAATCAAAAAATTTAAAATCTATTTGAAACATAGAGTTAAGTTAGGTAGATAACTTATTAGTATCATAGTTAGCATTCCATATTGTACGAGAGAAGAAAGGAACAGAGGAAGGACGTAAGAAAAATCTTCCTAGGTTCTTTGTTACTTAAAAGCTAAATTTTTTTGAAAGGAGATTATTTAGATAGTATTGAAATTATATAACTATAAGTGTTTCTATTATATTTATAAACATTTTGCATAGAGGAAAAACAACTGCAAATCCTAATTAAAAATAAGCATTCTTATCATTTAGAATGACAAGGAGATTTAAGTATTTATGCATTAATATTTGCAAGTAGATAAATTTGCATCATTTTATTTTTAATTGAACTAATTAAACTAGACAGACTTAGTTTCGATTTGCAAATTTATTGTCTTTTGTATATAATTATAATTTCTTCACAATAGTTATATCTTCTGTTATATGATAGATTTTTTAATGTTATAATTTCAAATTATATATTTATAATTATCATTAATCAATAATTAAAAGCTGTTATTAATCAAATAAATGTCAAAAATGACTCTTGGTTGATGAAAATTTAAATGGTGTTTGAGAGAAAAATAGTTACTTATTGTTTTGACTTTTTATTTATAATTACATTTCAATTTGTGGTTTGGAAAATTAGTTTTAATAATTTAAATTATTAGTTTGTTTGTTGGTTGGTTTATTTTTGTATGTGTGTGTAACTTAAATTATTATAGTTGTAGCCTCATTTATTTTTATTTTATTTAAATTATTATTATTATTGTTATTATTTTAGTTATTAATAATATTATTATATTTATTTGTTAGCTTTTTTTGTTGTGGAATGGTTGGTTATTAGATTTATATATATATATTTATTTATGTTATTGTTGATGATGAAAATGCCTAATATCCAAATTGAATGGCTCTATAGATAGATATATAGATAAGGTATTGAAATATATTTGAAAATAATTATTTATATAATTAATGTCTAAGGAAAAGCTATTTATGAATTAGGAACTCAAAATTGAATAAACTAATCTAAGAGACTGTTCAAACGGAAATTAAAAACTTCAAACCACTTTTGAAATGAGAAAAAGGTTGGAAAACATCAATTAATGATATGATATGGAATTGAATTATATTGAATGGTGATATTTATTGAGGGTTAAAAATTTATGATTATGTTTGTGATTTTTATTATAATAATTTGATGACTAGGTAGATTGTTTGGTAAGTACATATGTTTGTATGTATGTAAGTAATTCTGAAGATAAGCAGTTGTTTCAATCAACTAAATTATCATTATTAAAAAATTTAGTTAGATATCAGAAAGTAATTTCATCAAAAATTTTACCAAGCTTTTGAATATCTTTATAATCTTATTCTTCGTAGTAATAACTAATGATATTCTTAAGGGTATTGCTTTGGTTATCGTTTAAGAAGGGTAGCAAGTAATTATCAGTATCAGCTAATTTCAATATCTATTCATCATTAAAATAATTAAGTAAGAGCGTTTCATACAACTCTGTTTAAGATTTCTTTTCAAAACATTTTCGAAGCTCTGAACTATATTTTAATTTTGGTTCATTGAATTAGAAAAATATATCCTCCTGGTTGATTTGTATGGTTCTTCTATCACTATCATTTATGATTGTTTGTTATTCGGAATCATTTTTTCCTAAAGAAGAATCTCTAGACTACTGCTGAGATTGCGATTTGCTGGAAGTTGTTTGATCAATGTCACCTAATTAATTATTTTATTGAAAAAAATTATTTAATTATGAAATTCTTTTTAAAAAAATATGTTTACTTTAATTTTAACTTTTAGCACAGTAAGGAATGTAATTATTTTAATAATTGGTATTAAAATAATTTAAGTTATTGATATTGTTCATATTAGACTAGTTATAAATAGCGTTTTGTTATTACCTATTATTGCTTTGGTTATTTTAATATAGATTCTTTTGATAGTTATCTACAAAATAATTATTGCTATTACTATTGTTGTAATTATTGTTATTATTATTATTACTATTATTGGCAAAATTTTAGTAAATGTTATTGCTGTTGTTTTACTACTTTTGATGGTGGTAGTTGTTATTATTGTTGTTGTTGTTGTTGTTATTGCTATTATTTTAATTGAAATTAGGTTGTTTTTTATCATAAGTCCTTTAGTGGTTAACAGCTTTATCATGATTTTTTTAATTATGGTTGTAATAATTTTACTACTATCCATATTAGCTGTTTGATTATTGCCTGTTTTGAGGGTAAGAATTGTTTTAAATATTCACAGTATTAGATTTAAATCTATTTTTTTAATTATTGCTGTTTGGATTATAATTTAAGTTATTTTGATTATTTAAATCTGTATTTGAGCTATTTTTGCTGTGGCTACTATTTGAATTGCTATTATTATTGTTGTTGCTGTTGTTATGATAAGACATATTCTGGTTAAGATTTGCATTTGATCCATTGCTTGAATTATTCATTTCTTCCTCTTGTTCAGTATAAAAAACATCAATAGGAGCTCCTAGTTTGACATCGTAGGGAATATTTGAGCTAAATTAAATAAACAAAATTTTAATTGCTAAATTTTAAAATATATATTATTAATATTACTTAATTAAACTTTTAAGCTTTTCTTTTGCCTCTTTTTCTTCTTTTTTCAGCAACTCTTCAGTAACAATTCTATAAAAGTAAATAAATAAATAATTAAAATAAATTTAAAGTGAATTAATTGTTATTATATTTCATTTAAAAAGCTTAAAATAAAATTTTTAATGTAAAAAATTTTTATTTTTAGTTTTTTAATATTTTATTCAATATGTATTTTGAATTAATTTTATTATTAATAAATGATACCTTCTTTCTTATTCAGAATGATAGTGCACGCATTCTTGATTTTAACAGTTTTGAGTGTCGCAAGACTTTGTTTTATAAAATTTAGGATGATAGTCGTATTCTTTCCAGCCATGGCAATTTTTACACTTAAGCTGCAAAGGACATTCTCCTTCGGAATATTTTTGTATATTAGATTTCTTCCATTGATCGCATTACTTTGGTTCAATCTAAAATTATTTAGGATCTCTTCTAAAATCTTATACATTGTGCATATAAGGACAATATGCGCGCTCATGTCTAATTTAAAATATATGAAAATTTATTTATAATCTAATACATAAATTTATTAATTTATCTTGTAAAATGTTAAAACTGTTGCATCTTTAATAAAAAATATTTGAATTTAAATTTTTATTGAAGATATTTATTAATTAACTAAGGACTTTCCTTATCTAAATAAATTTTTGATGATTACTTAAACAAGGAAGGAAGAAAGAAAAAAAGAATAGAGAGATGAATGTTTTTTAAACAGGTAGAACAGTTATATTTAGATTTTGTATTTTAGAGTAATGTTTGTTTAGATAAATGTGTTAATATAAACTGTCCTAAAATTGTTCACTTAATAAAGCAAAATAGAAAGCGAAAAGCTATTTTAAAATATTTGGATTGCTAATTGGTCTTATTAGAACTAAAAAAGATAAATTTTATTTTCACTTTTTATTTGTTTCAAATTTGATATTCATCAAATCAAATAAAAGATAAAAAATAAATAAATAAATAAAATCACACTAGAATTTTCATAATATATGATGAAACGGGGGAAAAAGGAAGTAATTATTCTTAAATGAAATTTAAATATAATTTTATCTGGTGATGATACTTCCTTAAATTTAAAATCAAAATTTAGCAGAGCAAAAATTAATTGTGCTGCTAATTATTTTAATAATGTGACGTGATGCTGGAAATTTTATTTTTGTAAAAAAATTAAAGTTTCTACTTTGTTTTCTATAACTAAATACTTAATAAATTAATTAAACTAAACTCTATCATTATTATTGTAATTCAAAGATAGTATATCAATTTTTACATTTACTGGAATTTTTACTTTTATAAGAGGAGTTTTTACACTCACTAATTTGTATTAGTTTCTTTTATACTTTATCAAAGCTCCTCTTAACCGATTTTTAATTTGCAAAGTTATTTTTTATTTTTAATATAGCTCCTTTATTATTGGTTTTTTGTTTTTTATTATTTGCTTTTTCAAATTAATTTTTGAATCTATCTATCTATTGATAAATCTATCTAAATGTGTATATTATGTATCTATTTTTGCCTTTCAAAATAATTTAAATTTAAAATATTCAAAATTTTGGTACAAATAAGCTTTCATTAAATATGAATGAATTTTTTTTCAAAGGCACTGTTCTCACTTTGTATACACTAAAATCAAATTTTGTGAGCGAAATTATTTATTGGTTACAAAAAATGACTACTTAGAACTCGCTTATTGAAATGTGTTTGTTATTTATTCACTACCAAATTTTTTTCTCTCTCTCTTTTTATGCATAATTTTTGGAATATTAATTTTAAATGTGCAATTAATTGAAATTGTTTTGAATTTCAAATGGCTTAGTCAAAAATTTGAAGGGAACCAAAATTGAATGAAATTAAATTAGAATTTTGAAGAAATAAATTTATTACTTTTAAGTGTTGGGACACCAAACAGTTTTGTAGAAATACATGTAGAAAATAGCATCTTTAGGAAGTTTGCATATCATGGGAATGACTATTTCGTTTTCGTCATGAGCGAAAGAGCAGAAACTACCGTACTCGCATTTCTAGTTGTTTTCTTTAAATGATTCACAAAATTTTGCTTTGTACCTGAGAGGGTGGTAGAGTTATTCTACTTTATTATGGACTTATGGACAATTGTCTTTGAGGGGACATTTATCTTTTTTTTTACATTCATTAAATGAATATTAGTATTTTTCAGGACATCTTCTCCTATCACCCTAGTTATGAAAGTATGGGCATTTTTTCTTTTCATGCTTATCTCTTTTTGTGCACTCGTGCACTTTAAAGTCCTAAATTTTAAGTCTTCTTTAGTCTATCGAATATGATTGAGAAGAAGGGGCTTGAGGTTACAGGGAGTTAATGTTGTTGTTATTGTTATTGTTATAATTACTTTTTGATTGGGTATTTTACGAGGGATTGTTTGAGTTTAAGTTTAAGTTTATCTAAGACTCTAACGAATGCACACTTGAATGGTTCTTTGAAGGATGGTCTCCCATTTAAATAGCACTATATTGACTTGGGTAAATGCAAGGAGAATTTAACTGAGAAATTTTTTCGCTGGATGCTCTATTAATTTGTAATTAATTGTAATTTAATAAATGTTTTTAGTCATTGTTTGTCTCAGTAGATTTTTGCTATTAAGAACCGTTTTGAGGATGTCTTACTGAAGATTTTCCAACAGGAGAAGTAAATTGGTTGACATTGTTATTATTCTGAGGATTATAATTAGATTACTATTATTCAAGATTAAACACTCCCTGAGGCAGATAAAATTATTATTGCTACTGATTTACCAATAAGTGTTAATTTAAATCTTGATAATGAGGATGTTTACTCAAAGGAATTCCGAAGTAAGTTGAATCATTTGGTTGGAAATTATTCATAGGCATCTTTAAGTTATAATTATTTTACTGATAATTTATCTAATACTAATTTTGTTGTCCTATATAATTTGGAGTAACTTAAGGGGAGGAGATGCCAGAAGAATCAATTCTTATTTACTGCTAATTAAGTAAAAAATCTCTCACTTATTGAGCCATTTATTTTTGAAAATGTTTGATGACAAATTGTGTGCGTAAATTTGAATTTATGTTAAAATATTTATTGATTTATTAATAATTTTGCAACTCAATAAATCAATTAATCAATCTCTCTGCTTTCTGTGCCTATCTAGGACTTTCTCAATCTCAATGAGTATCTCTTTCAACCCTGGGAAGGCCCTTCTCTCAGTAAAGTCTAATATCTATTGACAATATGGGAATTTATAATGTTCTGTCTTTAAATATAGTATATAATCCCAAATTTTTTTTCAATCGATTGTTTGTACCCTCGTTATAATTTCTCTCTTTTTTCACTCTTTAATTATAAATAATTTTTTCTTGTTCGCTGTCTTTAAACTCTTCAATGCTTGCTTTATTAATTAACTTTTAAAGCTGATTATAGCCTTGTAATAATTATTATTATTATTTTTTTTTGTTTTTTTTTTTGATGTTTTTACTTTATTATTTTACTTGCTTTTCTTTTAATAATTATAATAATATTTTTTTTATTTCATTACTTAATCAAAATTTTTCTTTCACTTTGACTCTAACTCTCTTGGTTTGGGGGTACAAAAAGCTAATCTATTTTGTATTTGCAATTTAATTTAATTAAAATTTGTTTGCATTTTCAAGTCTGTTTTTATTGATCCTCTCAAACAAATTTCTTTTACCATCCCTTTATCCTTCTACATACCCATAAAAATCAGCATTAAATTATCATATCAAGTAAATGAATGAATATTCACACAAAGACCTGTCAACTTTTCACATCATTCATTCAACAATTTTAAAAGTGTTATAAACCTTTACTGATCTTTCTAAGGTAAGACTTTCTTCGCATGTTTAAAATTTACATAAAAACTTAACTAACAAAAAATTAGCAAAAATATCAAATCAAGCATTAATTACTTGCTATTTATTTTGCTTGCTTGTGTATTTCAAAATTATATTCATTTTATTTTAATTAGAAAAACACTTCTTTAAATTACTTTAATACATTCAATAAATTTTCTATTATGCACGAATTATTATTTAAAAAAACTTTCTTAATAGTCGCAATATCTATTTTTTCTCTTCTTTTTTATATTCTCTTTTCCTAAAATTCATGCATATATTAACAAAAAATTTAATTAATAAATAAATAGATAGATAGATAAACTATATAGTTTGTTAGTTTTTTTGACAACTCATTTTTTACTGAAATTAGCTAAATTCTTTTTTAGAATCAAGCTCCAATTAATTGATTTCTTTGCAAAATTTTTATTCATTTTAAAATTCTAAATACCTCCTCCTAAATTTCTTTTAAAAATCATTCATTTTTAAATGATTGCAAAACGAAATAGATACTTTTTTAATGGAAAATATATTAACTGTTTATATTGTATGAATATTTCTTTTAGTCCAGGCAAATTATATGTCAAAAAATTTCGGCCTAGGGCTCAAATTTTCATAACTTTATTTATTTACTTTTGTATGTATGGGTAAAAGTAATCAAATTTTGAAATAAAAAGAAAAAATTAAAAAAAGAAACGAAATCTTAATATTGCTAATTGAGTTAATAAAATTTATTAAAATATTTAAAGGATGATATTAAAATTTAATTATCTTTTCGCGTAATTTTCAATAAGATAGATAGATAGATACATTCTATATATCTATCTTCATATTATTAATTCTAATTCATATTAATAAAATCAACAAATCTCAATAAAATAAAAGATATCTAACCTTTTTTTATGCTTTTTATAATACGCTACAATTTAACTTTTCTTTTTTGCATTCTTATAATAACAAATGATATTCCAAATTATTTAGTCGTTCTTTAACACTAATCTTCTTTAGAGAAAATTATCAAAGTATTAAAATTACTTTAATTTTAAAAATCTTTATTGTCTTTGATTTCTATTAAAAATACTTAAAGTTTTGCTCAAAAGAATTAAATACCTGTTTTTATTTAAAAATAAACTTAATTACTAACCTATAACAAATTAAAAAAATAATTTAAACAGTTTATCTTAGAAAGTAAATTAATTATTTTTGAAATTCAATAATGTTTATCAAAATATTAAAACAATTCTTTCAATAGAATTTAGATTTTAAAAAAAATAATTATGAAATTAATTTCATCAATAGTTATAATTTTAACTTTTTCTTAAGTATTTTAAGATGTGATAATAAATTATTTAATTTATTTTATTGTAGATTATGAGATATTTAATTATTTTTTATACAAAATCTGTGTGTAATCGATGTTTTAATTTTTGCTCGCAAATAAAAATTAAGTCATTTTAATTGAGAAAATCTAAATCATAAATATATGTTAAAAAGATATTGTATGTATAAAGTAGGCATAGTGAAAGATAATAACAAGAGTCAGCAGCATTTGCAAAAGCACGAAGATGAATAAGTCTGCTTTCTTTGTGTATCATTCAATTAATAGTAATATATATGATGAATTGGTTTTGAGCAGAGATTCTATTTTGTGCAATAAAATAAAATCCTTTATTAATTACGAATAATAAAAAAGATAAATTAAACTAAATAGTTTATAAAGCAACGAAGTAAATTAAGGAATTAAATAAAAAATAGATAGATATAATAGAAATGAAGAGAAAGTATCTTAATTATTCTTTTGTTTTCTACGAGCACGAAGCTTCTTTAAGGGAAATTTAAGAAAGAACAAATGACATAGTTAACTTGCAAAACTAAGGAAGTTTGGTCAGGCCAGAAAATCAAGCTTTGTTCAAGAAATTTGTCGAAGCTGATATCAACCAATAGCGTGACATGATTACCAAATCTGAAGGAATAGGTTACGTTAATATGCTTTTCGATATTACAAATTAATGCAATCACAATTCTGCAATCATGATGTATGTTCTTCCAACAATCGATGGCATCATTTTAGGTAAATTTTTTACAATTAATTATATTAAATGATAGCGAATTACAGATATAATTTCTTTTATAAATTTTGAAAGCTATGCTTTGCATAGGTTCATGTCTCAAAGCTTTGAATAAAAACAGAATAAAATGAAACTAACGCCAAAAAATTAATGCAAATAAGAAATTAAAAGAAAGCATGATGACATTTTTAAAAATTTCTTCAACAAAAATTTAGCATAAAAAGAATATTTTCAATTCTAAATCAAATAATTTTTAATTTAAAGATGACAGAAGAAATATCTAAAAGTTCTTGCAAAGCTTTTAAGATCAACCTGATAACAAGAACTGGTTAACTGTTTTAAATTAAATTTTATAGCTTCCCAGCTTTGATAAGATTGTTTATGAAGCTGCTGCTAGAGTTAGAAGTTAGATTCTTGCTGAATTAGATAAGAAGAGTTTCTTAAATGAATAAAAGTAATTCCTCTAATGGCTCATCAGATCTAAGGAGTAAATATTTTATTTATTTGCTTATTTCTTTATTTAAATTCTTCAGAATGGAGTCTCATATCCAATACCTTTATGTCTGGTTAAGTGTATTCACTCTATCGAAAAGTTTTGAAAGTACACCTAATAAGATAAATGGAAATAAAGAGTAGTTCTTGACTATTAAAATTATTAAATGATATTGAAAAAAGATACATAAAAATTTGATATAAAAAATTTTTTATTTCTGAATAAAAAGTGAAGCATTAATCCATCAAAATTATATTTAAGTCAAGTCACAACTATTTTTTATTTTTATTTATCTGACATCTAACAAACTCACTCATTATTTGCATTTTTATTTACTAACTAATCCCTTAAATTTTTACTTTATAGTGTCAGTCATAGCTCTAACCATTTGGATGATTTCTGTTTAACTACTTGCTTCGCTTTCCTCCTTAAGCATGAACATCTCGTTAAAGTTTTCCTTGACAACAATGGTGCTTAATTGTAAATAATAAATATTGCCTCTAATCTATTTTAAAAATTGTCAAAATAATAATTTACAGCCTCCACGAAAACATGAAAAAGAATCCCTCTGATCTTTAGAAAATGTACTACACTCTTCTTATTCTCTGGTTAATTTCATTCTCTGAAAAATCAGTTCCCTTCTTCACTGATCCTAAAGTAAATTTTATAAGAGATTCAAAAGAAAAGTATTTTTAACGATTGCATACTAAATAAAAAGTTAAGACTCATTGGACAATCAATCGAAGTTATTCAAAAAATATCTAGAGAAAAGCTTGTTAGAGTTGCTTTCGCTTGCTACAAGGTAAATGAGCAATTAATAATAAATAATAGAAATTTTAATATTGTTTTTCATATTATTAAAGAACTTATCTCAATACAACAACTGCATTGAAGTTATTGTTGACAATGATTTACTTAAGGTCTGTGAAACTTTATTGAAAGGCAACATTAAGGAAAAGGAAGTTTTAGATGACATTTAGTTTATGGGAGAAATCCTTGAAAAGAATATAAGAATTCTTACGTAAAACTAATTTATAAATTTAGGATTAATATCAATAGCATTTTTTAAAAAAGTTCATACGAAAAATACGAAAAAGAAATTAATATGCAATTACTTGAATGGAGTCCAGTTCACACTGAAAAATTCTGGAAGGAGAATGTCAAGAAATTTGAAAATTAAGATTATTGTAAATAAATTAAAAAAGCAAATTATAATCTAATGAAATTTAATTTAAATAATTAGAAATGATTAAAAAGCTTTGCGATTTACTCAACAGTGATAGATAAAAGAATGTTGCTATTGCTTGCTACGATATTGGTGAGTTTTGCAGATTCCATCCTTTTGGTAGAAAGTAATTTTGTTTGGATAATATTGTACAAGCAGATTTTTAATTAATTTTTTAAATAAAATAAAGTGTTATAGAGGGATTAGGAAAGAAGAGTGTTATTATGAAATTAGCAAATGATGCTGACCCTGTAATAAAAGAAAACGCCTTATTAGCTTTGCAAAAAATTATGCTTCACAATTGGAATGCTCTTCAAAAGTGATCTTAATCTATCAATATTAGTTCTCTCTCAACAAATTAAATATTAATAAGAATTAAGATAATTTTTTATTAAATTTATATTCTATTTGTCTTCATTTTAAGTATCACAATATTAGCAGTTTTGTAAAGTTAGTTTAGTAAACTATTATTAGTGTTTCTTCTACCAAAAATTATTTCCAAATTTAATAAAAATGCTTTTTATTTTATCCATCAACAAGCTAGCTTTTTATATATAAAATTAAAATTATTGTTGAATAAATTTGATTGAATGTGAATATAGAAGAAATTTTATTTCTACTTGTGTTTTTTATGTAAATAGAAGAATTAGAAATTGTATAGGATAAGGGAATATATCAAATAGATTGATAAATAGACTCACTTGATAGTAAAATTCATAATAAAATTCTGTCTGCTAAATAAATTTTTTATCTTTTACAAAAAGCTATAAAAAATAAATAAAATATCAAAAATAAAATATCTATCCAATATTAAATTTCATTTTGTTAAGCCAAATAAACGAATAAATAAAGAACCAAACACCATGAAGAGAAAATACTTTAACTACTCCTTAGTCTTCTATAATAGAGATGAGCCTCTAAAGTAATTGCAATAAGACGTTGAATATGGAATTCAACTTTCTCACTTAAACTAGCAAATTTCAAACGAAACATCCACTCTTTTTAAGAAATTTAATGAGAGCGATATCTCAGCATAAAGAGAACTTATCAAAAATAGTGCAGCAGTCTATTTCTCAACATTTTTTGAAATTCTTACAGAAGCTTATGAAGATTAAAAAATTATGAGGTACTTATTACCTACTATTGATGGAATCATTATGGGTAAATCTTCTAATAAAATTGATTTAAAATTCTAGCTTTTAATAAATGATTTCTTTTTTCATGATTGTGAAATATGAATCTAGCTTAAAATTATAATTGATATTTATATCATTTATTGAAAGAACTAACTTGCCATTTTTTTGAAAATTTATTTTAAAATATTTATTTTAGATAATAGAAGAGTTTTGTAATACATTGTACAAAGCCTTTCTGATTAAGAACCATAAAAAAATTGGTTGACTGCTTTAAATGTCATAATTCATAATGATAATAATCACATCACTGTGACTGAAGCTGCTCTCAGAATTAAAGCTTGCATAATTGGTGAGCTAGATAAGAAAATTTATCTCAAAGAACAACAAGAATTCCTCTTAAAACTGCTTAACTTATAAAATGAAAAGTAAATCTTAGCTTTAATTAAAAAATACTTAATAAATATAATTGATTGACCAAAATAAATTAAAAAAGAAATATTTTAATTGAGTTTTAACTTAGAAATTTAAAGTAGGATTTTGCTTAATATTTATAAAGTGTTAAAACAGATAAGATCTTAATATAAATCTTTATTTGATCTATTTAATGATATATTTTACATAAAATAATAGCAATAAATGTGGATAAGTAGAAGATTATTGCTTGATTACAAGTCTTGCCTTTATCCTTAAGTAAGCTCATCTAGTAAATAAATTTATTGACAACAGAGGTTAGGAGAGGTAAAATAAATTTGAAAGTATAGTCATTATAATTTTAGTTAATAATTAATAGAATTTACTAAATCCTAAAGAAGAATAAAAACGATCTATAAATTATGTATTATACATTATTGGTTTTATGGCTTTTATCCTTCTGTGAAAAATCTATTGAAAGTTTCCTTTAACCTAATGTATTCAAATTTTCTAATTATTATTTTTAAATTCTATTTAATTCTTTTAAAAATAATAGCTAAGATTTATTTCTTCAATGGTCGAAACTATTTAAAAACTATCTAGAGAAAAGCTAATCCGTGTTGCATTCTAATGCTTAAAAGTATTAAATTTTTATTTTCAAAATGATGATTAATCTCATTTTATTTAAATGCAGAATTTAGCTGAGAAATCTTAATAATGCATTGAAGTAATGGTAGACTGTGATTTATTGAAATTATGCGAAACTTTACTCAAAGGAAATATAAAAGATAAAGAAGTCATTGATGATGTTACCTTTTTGGGAGAAATTCTTGAGAAAAACATTAAAATTTTAACGTAAATTATAACTAGTTTATCTAAATAAGATATTTATTTATTTATTTAATTAATCAAATAAGTTCATTTGAGAAGTATGTCAAAGAAATTAATCTTTAATAACTTGAATGGAGTCCTGTTCACACCGAAAAGTTCTGGAAAGAAAATGTCAAGAAATTTGAGGATAATGATTATAGTAAAATATATCTAATGAAAAAAGAAACTTAATAAAATATTTCATTAAAAATTAGATTTAATTAGTAAGTTATGTGATTTGTTAGATAGTGATATTCCTAAAAATGTCGCTATTGCTTGCTATGACATTGGTGAATTTTGCCGTTTCCATCCTTTTGGTAGAAAGTAAGTTAATTTTTTTGCTTTTAAAGACCTTAAAAAAAATAATTTATATTAATAATAATAAATTTTTCTTTTAGCGTAATAGAAAGATTAAATAAAAAAAATATCATCATGCAAAAAGCCAGAGATTAAAAAGTGGATCCCTCAATAAGAGAAAATGCTCTGTTAGCCTTATAGAAAATCATGTTGCACAACTGGTCAGCTATAAATAAATGAATAAGAAATAATATTTTTAATATAAGAATACATTTATTCAATTTGTATTAATTTATAAAATTATTTTCACATGTAAAAATGTCAAATTTTAGAATAATTTGTTTAAACTAAAAGAAAAATTAATTTCTTATTAATTTCATGAGTAATTGCATAAAAATAAATATTTTTGTTAAATTTTAAAAAAAGAAACTTTTTAAACTTGGCAATCAATTTATTGTAATGAAAATTTATTTGATGAGCCATTAAATTATTTTAGCTAGAATGTTACAATAAAATTTGTTAATTTAAATACAATTACATATGAATGATGATATCATTCAAGAAATTTTATATCATAATAGCATTTTATTAATTTGATTTTTGTAAATTTTAATAAAAATAAGTATTAGAGTATAAATAAATTAATAACAGAAATATGATTTTTTAATGAATGGATTTCGAAAATTAAAATTTCTTAATTAAATAGTGTGATAATTTATCAACCATATAATTACTTACTGGCTTTATAGGTATAAATTTTAACAAATGATTTATTGGATAAAATCAAATGAAAGAATGATAATTTTATAAAAATACTACGAAGATTCTTGCATATTGATAAAATATAAATGTATATATAAACAAAAAATATGTGAAATTTATGTATAGTGAATTGTTAATCAAATCTATGTTAGCTAATTTATTGGTACTAACTAACTAGCAAGATTGGTGAGTGAGTCGAGTAGAGGTGAATTAGTTGTAAATTATATTGGTTAAGAGAAATTTAATAAAGAAGGGATTGTCTTAATTATTACTACACGATATGTCAAACTTCTCAGACAGCTTATTATATTTATTTTCAAATCAATATAGGCCATGTTCAGCCATTCTATTTTAAAGAGTTGCTATTTTATTATCTTTTAATTTTATTAAATCTTCTAATTTCTTCATCTTTAGCTCTAAAATCTATTTTTTAATAAGCAAGGAATTTAAATAATTAAAGCAAGAATTTAAATTTTAATATATAATAAACTGATAAACATTGATAATTTTTCATTGAAATGATTAGAGAGAAGTTTAGTTTGATTTGATTTGATGGTTTTATCAATTTATTTTATTAGATGTTTAGGATATCTTGCAAAATATTTATTTATTTACCTCTATGGTTTCTCTAAGTTCGCTTATAGTTTAATCCTTTTCCCAAATGATTTCATCTTACTATGATTGCTAATACTGGTTATCCTAATTCTAAAATCTATTTTTAAATTAAAAATTATTTATGTCGCTAGAAATATATTTATTGCAGTTATTAGAACATAAATAAAAATTTATTGAGGAACAAACAAACTTTTATGTATTTTCTATGAGTATTTAAATAATTACCTTTACTTGTTATTTCCTCTATCCATAAGAGCACCACCACGCTTTATTTGGTTGAAAGACTTTTGAGATTTTTCAGGTGAAAAATTTTAAGGATCGCTATTAAAAGCTTCTATGTGATTCTTGACAAGCTTTAATACTCTTTCAATCACTTCTGGCTTGCATTCAACGATATTTGTTATATCAGTTTTACAAACTAGCAAGCCAAGCTTAGAAAATACTTTCTCTAATTAATAGTTAAAGACAAATAGTTAATATAAATGCATGTTTAGCTAAAAATATTTTTCAGTTTCTTTCTAAAATATCTTTGAATTAATTTGAGAAAAGAAGCTCATGCTAATTAATTGCACTGAAAATTAATTGATATTGGTTGAGCAACTATCTGTAGAAATTAAAATATCCTAAAATATAATAACAATTGTGTTTTTTGTAAATCAAGCTGCCTTTGCAAGCTAATGATTGATTATCCATAATAAAAACTTAACGAATAACTTACTGTTGAGAGTTTCCCAATTGTAATATTTTTGTTTAACTGAATTAGCTGCTGAATAATTGTGTAATTCAACTAATCTGGGGATGCAGTGAGCTACTACTTCTGCCATTAGAACTCCATCTGAAAAATCTCTTGCTATATTCTTCTTTGGGCGGGAGAGTGGGATAGAATCTACCCAACTATAAATTTCATTCAATTAATCTTCGTTTAAATGAGGAGCTTCTTCCATTTTACTTATTTATCTAATTTTACTTACTTAATTTATAGTTTGTTTCTTTTATCTCTTATTCTTTCTTTAATTTTTAATTATTTTCTTTATACAACAGTATACATTTGATTCCTTTTATCGTTATTATTTAATAGATATTACATCAGCTCAAAAAAAACAAACAATCAAACACTCACAATCATTCACAAATTTTAATTCATTTTGTTTGATTTTAAACTATTTCCCAATTTAAATTAAAAATAATTTGTTTTTTTTCTTTTTCTTTCATTCGATCAGCAACCTTGGTAGCTCAATTATTTACATAGAGAAGCAAATATACACAATAAAATCAAAAATTTAAGACATTCTGTCATTGAGATAGTAATTAAAATTTTACATGTTTAAGATCTATTAAGAAAAATATTCAAGATAATTTAATTTATTTTTATTTTATTTTTATTGCTTAAGTTTTATTTAATAATTCAATTAATCCCTGGCTAGACAAGCATATCTTTTTACTTAATTTTTTTCAGCCAGTCACATTTCCAGTATTGTATAAATCACAAGTTATTTGTAAAAATATATTATTCCCAGCATTTATCAAATTTTGTTCAATTCTTATTCCATAATTTGTTGTAAAATTAAAATAAAATTTGAAAATATTTTTAAAATTACACAATAATTAAAAAAACTCTATAAAGTGAACTCACTTTATACACGTTTAAAAAATCTATTATTCATTCCAAACTATTTTTTTTTTCTTTCAAATAATATTTTTTTTAAATTAAAATTTCATTTTTTTTTTTAAATAAAAAAAAACATAATTTAAAAAAAATTAATGTTTAAAAATTTAATATTTTTTACATTCATTTAAGCATTTTATTAAATTTATTTATACATTTTTGAATTGAAAAATTGAATTTTTGTGTTAAAAATTAAAAGATAAATATATCAAAGTTAAAATATTGAAGATAAAAATTAAAAAATAATATTATTTAGTTAAAACAATTTGTTAATTTTTTCAAATTTATGACTGTAAAAATTAATAAATATTTAGCTTACTTCGAAATTTTATTATTGATTAGTTATTTTCTAAGATTAAATATGTTAACGCTAATATCATTTTAGGATTTAATCAATATTAGCTTTATAACAAAATATTCTTTTACCTTTACTTAAAAATTTCTTAAGTTTAAATTAAGTACTGTTTGATGGAATAACAATCATAGTATAACAGGAGACTAAATTTTTGTGAAATCCAAGTTGTTTGTCAGCAACATGAGATTATTGTTAAATTTAAGGATATCGCTGAAGAGCAGTACATTTCTCTGCTTGAAAATTGCTTGAAGCAGCAGGAAATTAGTTTTTATAAGAGTGAATGTTAAATTGAATCTGATTAGCAACTCTCTAAAAAATATAATTTAACTGTGAGCAAAAAGATTTATTATGATTTTGTTCCAATGAAATTCTCAAATGAAAACACTTAAAATTCATTACATTTACAAAAATATTTATAGTAGCTGCAGAAGTATTTATCGCTTGCATGTTTAAGCTAATACATTTTGTGCAAAGAGCTATTTTTTAACGATTTTGCAATTATTTTACCTTCAATGTTTTTTGGTGAATCAAAACTAAATCAAGTTAGAGAATTCTTTAGAATTTTTTTTGATGAAGGCAGCTTCGAATAAAATAAAGAAAGTATCCAATAGCAATTTATCATTAATGAATACCAATTCTGTATTGACATTATTAAGCAATAACACTTCACAAAAACTTTAAACTGGAAAAATATTAAAAAGTTTATTTAATAAGTAGATGATAATTAAGAATTTTTTATTGACCGCACATAAAATTTAATAGTAGATTATATCAAAAGTCCAAATATAATATCTAAAGTGCTCAATAATTTACCATAGGAAATCACATTTTTAAGACTAAATACATGCTCGATATCGAAATTAGAATCGTTCTTTCCTAATAAATACATACAGCAGGTAGAGAACCTTGAATTGATTTCTCTTAACTAAGATCAATATTTGTTCGCTAATTCTAGATTAAAGGTTCATCAAATTAATTAATTTTAAGAACATTTTTGCTGTTTAAAGAGATTAGTTTTGGTAGATTTGGTAGCAGATGTTATAAAAGCTAACAAATTAGAATAGCTCACCGTTATAAATAATTACAGTGATGTTTTTTACATAGAATTAGACTCTAACTGCGCTTTGTAATCTTTAATTGTTTAAAGAGTTAATGCGTTTCAAATTAATGAAGTATAATTTTTGTAAAATTTGTAAAAACTAATTTTATTTGATGTTGATATCTTAGAAAAGGATCTTTAAATGATTCTTGATATATCATTTAACTTGAGGTATCTCAAAATGAAAGATATTCATTTTATCAATTGGTAGCTACAAATTAAAAACTAGAATTTAGAATACATAAGTTTGGATACTATGGAATTCGAATAAGAAATATCAGATATTTTTTGTTGTGAAGCTTATCCCACTGTGAAATACTTTGCTTACATTAATTGTAGGATGCACACTGATATAACCTTAAATTGTTTTAATAAATTTAAAAATGCCTAGGAGTTATGCTTGATTGATAACACACTTGGCGATCACTTTAAGTTAGATATTTCTGAAATGACTGAGCTTAGAAAGTTAACTCTTTTGTGCAAATAATGCAAATTGTATATCAGCGATGAATCGAAACTTTAAATCTTAGACTTTAAAAATACAAATGTGATAAACTTTGAAAAGATAGCTAGCCTACTTAGCTCTAGTGCACAATAAATTAATATTTCTCAACAAGTATTTGCAGCAAGCTTTGTAAATGAAGTTAAGAAACTTTCCTTCAGCAATTTAGTATAAATAAATTTATCTAATTCAAAGTTAAGTGGAGCTCTAGATTTTTCATAATTGTGTTGCAGTGCAAGTAATTTAAAGCAAATAGATCTTTCAAATAATTAAATTACTGAGTTTAGCTTATTAAGTGAAAATTCAAATTTAAATACTTTAAATTTATCTTATAATGCATTATAGAATGTACTGCTAAATATTAATTCAGTAAATAATTTACTCTTAAACAATAATTCACTCAACAAAATAGAGTAAATTAGTATACAAAGAGCATCATTCATTTGTTTACATAAAAACAAGCTAGATAATGTTTAAAATTTATTAGAATAAGCCAATTAAGTAGAAGAACTAGACATTTCATGCAATAACATTGAAGATTTAACCATTTTAAGTATATGTAAATTGAAAAAGCTTGATGCCTCTTGTAATAAAATCAAATAAGTTCATTTAATAGGAGAAATAGATAATCTCGATTTGACAAATAACTAACTTCAACAACTTATTTTGAGTGAGGAAGAATAAAACATTATAAAAATCAAGCATTTAACAGCGAAAAAAAATAAATTAGAAGAAATTCCTAAAATTTCTAATAAAAGTTTGTTAAGGCTAGATATTTCTTATAATTAAATAAAAACTATTAAATAGCAGCAACTGACTTATGATCTACTTGAAAATTTAAATTTAAGCAATAACTTGATGTAAAGCTGTGATGATCTATTCTAAAGCAAGTCTTTTCCTAAATTAGAGATTTTAAACCTCAGCTCAAACTTAATCGAATCCATAGATGAGAATGTTGATAATTTATAAAGCTTAAAAGACTTAAATCTCTCTAAAAATAGCATTGATAGTGCTGACCCTCTATTTGTCTAACCTAATAATTTAGAAAAAATTGATTTGTCGTTCAATAATTTGATTTCTTTGACTCGTTATCAAATAAATTCATAAAATAAAATCAAAATTCTTAAGTTAAAGAAAAACACTTTAACTGATTCTTCTTTAAACAAATTTGCTAATTTGAATAATCTTGAAATCTTAGACATATCAATGAATTTATTCACTGACTGCATTAAGTTTTATCATCAGTTACCAAAATTAAATTCATTAACATTAGCTCTAAATAACTTAACTAACGAAGGAATAAAAAATATTTTTGAGTGTATTTAAGATATTTTTCCTTCACTTGAATAGATAGATATCATGCACACGTAGGGAAATACACTACCTTAATTGAAAAGTAAATATTAATTTATTCTATTTTTATATATTTATATCTTTTAAATACTCTAAGGTACCAAAATTAGTTACATATACTAAGACAATAACTTTTTCTTTGACAATTTAGAACAAAATAAATAGTTATACATCAAAGGAATCCTTTTTTAATCTTGATCAATTTTCTTTAAAATATATTTATGTTGCTTATTATTTGTTATAATATTTATTTGTAAAACTATGGACAAAAGAATTTTAGCATTTAATAATTTTAAAAGATTCATTTTTATAAAAATTAATAAGAGATGTTAAAATAAACTAACTCCTCATTAATTAAGAGCCATTTAAACGAAGGCCAAAAAAATTTTAAAATTAAAACTTGGACTTAATAATTTTTTTTAAAGTGGATTTTATTAATTCATGAATATATAGGTTGTAAAAATTTAACTTTTACCCTTATCAATTATTTTTTGAGGTTATACCTATTTTACGCAGTTTAATATTAAAAGAAATTTAAATTTAATAAATTTTAATTAAATAAATCTCAAAAAATAATTTTAAATAAATATTCAATTTATAAAAACAAAGTTAAATAAAAATTAAAAAAAAACAGAATTAATTTCAAAAATAAATAGAAATAATTAAGTAAGGTTAATAAACAAGGTTTTAAATTAAAGTTTTCCAAACAATAAAAATACTAATAGCATAAAGAAAGCACCACAGATAAAAAGTGATATTATTGAAAAAACAAAAGGTATCCTTAATGATTATATAGTATTATAATTAGCAATTAATTTACACATATAAGCTCTTATTCGTATTTTAAATTTATAAAAAAATTTTTGAAAATAATATTCTATTCAAAAATGAGATAATTTTATAATTTTTGGTACTAACAAATTATTGTAGTAATTTAAAATAACTTTTATAAAAAGGAGATTTTTTTAACTTAATTTATCCATCAAAATCTACAGTTTTATATTCTTTTTGATTAAATATTTTTGGTAATTAAAAAAATAATAAACATAAATGATAATTGATAATTTTATGTAAAAATAAAAACTATTTAGAATACTAATATAAAAATATTTATCTCTCTTTACATAAACAATAAAACAATATTAAATTTAATAAAGGTTAAACATATTTAATTAATAAATTAGATATGATTTTTGTAATTTATTAATTAAAATATCACTCAAATAATATTCAAATATATTATTATTTTATTTTAAAGAAATCCAAATTCTAATTTTAAAATGAAAATATAAATTTGCTAGATATTGTTATTATATTTATTTGCAAGTAAAGTATATGAGCATTACTTATTAATACATTATGTTTATATATTTTTAATTTTCTTTTTTTAAAATTTTAAAACTGTTTTAAGAGTAAAATTAAGCAGAAAAGCATAATTTCTCTAAAATGATATTTATGTATGAAAAGAATTTAGCTGGCTTTGAAGTTTGAACAAAAGTAAACAAAATCAAATGAACAAGTAAGAGTAAACATTTCATAATGCAAATTAAATATATAGTAAAATCAATGAAAAATATTTAAACAATATATTTATTTATTTTTGCAAAAATTTTATTGATTATTTAGTTGCAATTTTGATATTTATTTAATTTAAGAAGATTGATTGATTTATAGTTATCTATCAGATTACCAAATAACAGAAATGAGATAATTAAAAACAAGTATAAGTTAGCGAAGACAACAAAGTGTTGATACTTACTAATTAGAACTACAGACTCCAACTAAAAATAAATAGGCTTCATATACATCAAAAAATTTCTTTTAGCCAAATACGTTTCACAGTAGTAAAGGGTTTACTTCAACACATTATAGATCTCCAGGATCTGCTTTTGGTGGTTCTACAATTAACAATAATGGAAAAATATAGGATGAAGTTAATTGCGATACAATCCTCCTTTCTTCATAACAAAAATTGAATGCCCTTTAACATTTATAAGGTTTTTCTTCTTCATAAAAAGCAGAAAATAACTCAAATCATAAGTTAAACTTTTTAAGCTCAAATAGTAAAAACGATTATGTAGGCATTAAAACAAAAAGAATCAATGATTTAAATACATTATACACTGAAGGCGACAACACAGATTTCAACTCTCAGAATGTTTTCATGAATAAATTAGTGTATTAACCTAATTCTGCAGCTGCAACTAGTATATCTTAAGCTACAACATAGCCATTACAATTAAATACCAAGTCATATAGAAATTCAGAATCTTATTTTAATGCAGATTAATAAATCATAAATACCAAAAATGATATTTTATATTAAAAAAATGCCTCGTAAGGTTCTTTAAATCCATTAAAATTTGAAGGAAAGTACCTAAACTCTAGTTAAAAAGCAGAACCCTAATTTTAGGGTCTTGAAAATTTTGTCAAAACTATGTACAAAACAGGTGAGAGTGGTTTTTATAAAAGTAGATCAAGCCTAAATTTTAATAGTTTAGGTAAGACCTTTTATTCTGCAGCAGGTTCTTAAAGAGAATCAGATCACACTTTTACAAATGCAACTGGATTTCTTGACGAATAAGAAGGGAAAATAGTTAAACCAAATACATATAAAACGAAAGATCTTTTTATCACTAAAATTAATAACACATTTATCACTCCTAAATACATATATTTCTAAAGTCAACCTCAAAGCACGTAAATAGTTATGATAATTCAATCATTCAAATATAATATGATAAATAATTGCTATCATTCCATTTAAATAATATCGAATTTGCATTCAACTCTCCCTTAAAATCTTTTAAAAAAATTTAATCTAAGATTATGTTTAAAATTTTCATATCAGGGGAGTGAATAAAAATGAATTTTTTGATAATCTGATTAAAAACAAATAAATTTATTATTTTTTAGTAAATTTTAAAAAAGGAATAGCTTGCTAGATAAAAATGCTACTAATTAGTTTAATTAATTGCAGTAATCAAAATATATAGAAAAATAGGGCTATTTACCATCTTACTTAAATACAAATGAGTCAAAACTAAAGTCTCAAAAATCTCAAGAGAGTTAATAGACCTTAAGTTAAAAAAATGATGACAGTACACTTCAAAAGATAGCTTCTTAAAGCCATATTTAAATTAATTAATAGGTTAATTATATCTAAGATGATAAAGAGGAATAAGAGGTATAACAAAAATAATTACAAAGGTCTAAATCTTAAAAAAATAACAGAAATATAAGTATGTAGTCTTCAATTTTAACTGAGTTTTACTTACACGAAAATCTCTATTGGGACTTCGAATATCTTTTTATATTTATAAATAATTTAAGTCAAGTGAAGAGGAAAAACAATTTAAAATACACCTTTATGGCTCTTCCTTAAGTAAATTCAAATAAAAAATTATATATTTAGATTAAATTTTTTTTAAATAAAAAGATGTAGAACATGATGAGCTAGGCAAAACTTTAAAATGATTTTATGGGATTAAAAGAATAACTTAAAACTAAATTATAGATTAATTCTAAGGATATATACCTTTTTCTTGATGATGGCACTCCTGTAAACAGCCATATGGATATTTTAAAATCCGATAATAAAGAAAGAAGGGCTGTATTTTTAGGAGGTAGTGGAGGATTTTGTGGTGTTAGTAATCTCTTTATTTCACTTGAACAAAAGGCAAATTTAGTTAAAGTAATTAATGGTCTAATAGAACACAGCTTGATCATTCAAGAAAAGAAATTCTCAAAATAAGAAGATCCTGCTAAAAGCCAAGGTCACATAGGTTAGACTAGACCTAGCACTTAAAATTCAGAACTCAAGCCTTACAACAAATAAAATTAGAAATCGTCCTCTTAAAAAGATTTGGAAGAGTTAAAATCAGAAGAGTTCTAAACAAAAGAGTAATTCTTAAAAAAATAAAATAAGGAAGTTGTAGATAGAGTGGTGAATATTCTAACCCATAATCCTTATGCTAAAATTAAGCGCTTTGAATAAGGCGTGGATAATCCAAGAATAAGATAGCTTTAAAAAATTGAAGATCTCTATGAGAAATAAATCAGGGAATTTAAAAAATCTGGTCTTGAAGTTGAAGCTTCTTCTTCTCTTGGTGATAATCCAGAAAAGCAATAAACTAAAAGTAATTAACTCTCTAATAAATAATTGAGTAATCGTTTTCATTTTAAATAGATTTACGACAAATTGCAGAGTTCATAGATGAGTTTTTAGAAAAAAATTTCCCAGAATCAAATAAACCGCTAAAACATGCTGTAGATCATTACAGTTCTTTGATAAACAATATGCAATAAAAGCCGTCCACCAAAAGAAACTTTGTCTAAGAAAATATTTAAAAGTAAATTGATTGATTTTCAACTTTTTTATGAAAAATATTTTGAATAAAAAAATATGTTTTTTTTATAAATAAATTCAATCTAATTTCGTTAAACTCTTCATTAATTCTTCGATTGTTAAATTTCATTATTGATTTATTATTTTTTACAATGGTAAAATAAAGAACTGATATTTTTTTTAATTTAATTGATTTTAAGATTTAAATTCGTTAATTTTTTGTTATATTTTTTTAGTTTATATTTTTCATTTTAATTTTAAAAAAATATTTATTATAATGAAAGGTTTAATAGCCCTCAAATGGCTATGAAGTATATTTAAAATATAAACAGAGAATTGTTTGTAAAAAATATTCCTAAAGTATTATCTAAATATGAGCTCTCAAGGCATGATTTACATAGTATATATATTCTTTATAAAGCTTTACTTACAGTTTCTATTCAGAGGATTGATTGGAAAGAAGTTGCTAAAGGTGGTATAGACTTCAAGACTTTTGAGCATGGTATTGACAAAATATCTTCTTAAAGTGAAGAAATTATTAGAAGAATGTGTAACTATGAAAATTTCATTGATTGGAAATAATTTATAGATATACTTTATGCAGTTTCTGGCAAAACACTTGAATCTAAAATTGATATTTTCATAAAAGTATTATTTTAATAATTTTAAGTAAATTTGTTCCATTAAGCTTTATTTTAATTCTAGGTAGCTGATACAGATAGAGGTGGTACTCTTTCAAAAGAAGAAATCAGCGAATTATGCTACATTTGTTTAGATAAAATCCTACCAAAAGAAGGAGAAGACGACAGTATGGTATAAGGATTAGTAGAGTACTTCACACGCCTTCTCTTTACAAGTTTGGATGTAGACCCAGAAGAAGATATACCTCTGCACAAGCTAAAAAATGCAATTATAGAAGTAAGATAAATCAATTATTATTATTGTAATTTTAGCTTTAAAATATAAATTTAATAGGGACATCCAGAAAACGACTTATTATGCTTTTTCTGTGGTGTAGAGTACACCAAGTGATTTAAAATATTTTTTTTAATGCATCATTATATTTAAATGCTATCAAAAGCAGTCAATTATTTTAATTAATCAGGTCATTAAAAGATGCTCACATAAATAATAAATAAATAAAACTAAATTTATTTATCTTTATATTAATTATAACTTGTAGATTATATTGTAATGTATTTGTTTTAACAAAATTTCAATAAATAAATAAATAAGTATTTTACTTTGTTTTTATTTCATTTAAACTTTTGATTATTGAATTAGAGTCATTATTAAATAATGGAATTGAATTTAATATATTAAATTTATTTGTAATCAGCCTACATGCAATATTTTATTTGAAAAAAAACTACAAATCTCAGAATAATATAAATGTAAATTAATCTTATAAAAAAATTTCAAATGAAAGGATCATAACGATTGTAACTTCACAGTAGAGCTTAATCCCAAGGAAATATAAAATAAGCTTACAACTAAATAGCATAAGAAAGAGAGTTAAATAGCAGAAATAGGCAACTAAGAAATAAACTTAGAGATGATTTCCACTAGCCAGTGGAGAGCACATAGTCAATTACTCCTTAATAATCATTTTCGTCTGGGTTTTTTAACAATTCATAATCTTATTTTTCAAATAATTCTTCTCCTTAAATAAAAAAAATTGGACTTAACTTTAAAGTTAATCGAAGTAATGAAATAGAGGAAATTATACAGTAAAAGCTAACTATGTTGAGAAACACTAATGCAAAATCTTTTTATGAGTCTAATTAATCTAAAGATGCAAATGGAGGTTTGATTCTTAATAGCACTTTTGTTGCTACTCCATTAAATAATCAGCTCAAAACAACAGACTATTTTGCAAAAAACATTGTCTCTAATTAAATCGTTTTTAAATAATTTTCATCATTCAAAAACAAAAGCGCTTTAAGAGAAATGAGTGAAAAATCTTTGCTGCAATAAAAGCTTCTCAATGAGAGTAATGAAAAAATCAATTAGCAGTAACAAGCTCAGAATATTGAAAAATTTGTCAAAGATTTGTTTAAACCTGATTCATAGTAATTCTAACAAGCATAAGATACAAAGAACAAAATAAAATTGGAACCTAGAGATGACAAATCAAATACTTTTAAATTTTACAATTACGAGCAAGCTTACAGGACAAATACTCCTAAAAAAAAGGATTTTTTTGTAACAAAAGTAAGCAATTAGTAATTTTCCTCAAATAATTACTCTACGATTCTCAAAGATAAATAGTAAAATAATTAATTAACAATTACTATTAGCTTATATTTCTACAAGTAATATATTAATGTAGTGTTGTTAAATCTACTTAAATTTTTTTCATCACCTGTAATGAGTAAATCAAAATCTTCATAAAAAATGTGAAGTTAAAACTGCATAATATATTTAGAATTTATCTCAATCTAATCCTTGAAAAAAAATAATTCATTAACAATTGATAATTTATGGTGAAAATAGATTTTTAACAACAAACTACATAGATATAAATAAATTTATTTTAAAATTAAACAGAATTATTACATTTGATTGTAAATGTCAATAAAACGCACATAATTCTGGAGAGCTTTTTTAATTTTACATCTAATTAAATATATTTTATCTTTAAATTTTTAGTTAAAAATTCGAACAAGATCATAGGTAATTAAGGAACAAGTTCAGTTAATTATAGATATCACCTAATTCTACTGCTCTTTAAAAGAGCTCTGAATTAAATGTAAGTAAATACAACGAAAGTGTAGATACTAATTAAGCTAAAGACAATAATTGCAGGAAAAATAGCTCTGATTTAGAAATGATATAGCTGGTGATACCATCATTTAATAAAATAAACGATGCTGCTAGAGCAAAAATTCATACTGCATTTAAAAAAACAGGAGAAATCGATAAAAATAATTACTTAAATTTTAAAAACTCATCACCTAAAAATTAAAAAATTAATGAATTGCAAAAGCAAAATGAACTTTAATAAACACAAAGCGGATTATCGTAATATAAATCTCAAAAAAGTTAAAGTTTAGAAATTGAAAGATTGCCATCTTAAGTTTAGAAACAAAGAATAAAAGTAGTTGATAAATAAAAATTGAGTTTCTTCGTTTTGCTAATATTTATTGATAATCTCAGCAATGTTAAAAGGAAAAACAATCTAAAATACAAAATTTATTAAATTCCTTATGTAAGTTTTAATTTAAAAAAATTAAATTCATCAAAATAAGTTCTTTCAAGTTAAATCTTTAAATTATATACCTTTTATGATTAGGGAAACGAGGTAGATTTATCTCAACAAATAAATAAATATATGAATACCTCAAAAAATATATCTAATTGATAAAAACCTTAAAAAATAAAATATATTAGATAAACTAAAAATGTTTTACTTCACATATCTCTAAAATAAAACTAATAAATAATATATTGATATTTAGGTTTATCTAAATTGCTTTGAAAATAAAATTTTTTACCTAAATAATTGGTTGAAGTATAAAAATTTGATAATTATAATAAAAGAATAAAACAAACATTGTAAATTAAAAAATTTTTACTAGATTATAAATGAAGGTTTTTTCACTTGAATATAAAAATAACAACTCAGTCCATTTAAAATATTAATATAAAACGAATTATAAATTAAAGGTTAACCTCAATAATATATGATTAAATGAGTTTATTTTTTAAAGAAAATAAAGAATTTTTTAATTTATTTCTTTAAAGAAAGAAATTTTATAATTATTAAAACGATTTGAATAAATTTTTTAAAAGACATTTAATTAGATTAAACTTAAAGAGCTTTTAAATATTTGAAATATATTTGATGAAATATTTAAATTTGTTGAAAAGATATATAGTTAAATTCCTTAAAAATAAATTGAAGATGACTTTGAAGATATGAAATGCACTTTGAAAAAATTGCTTGGTTTAAACATGAAATACTTATATTTTTTCAAATAAAACGGAACGCCACTATCTACACATTTAAATTTTTAATATGTTGACTATAACAACGAAGCTATTTTTTTTGGGTCTTAAGGAGTATTTTAAGGCATTTAAAATATATTCTGTTCTTAAGAAACACAAAAAAACCTATAAAATTCTATTTAAAGTCTTTTAGATAAGGTTAAGTTGCTCAATAAAAATTATGTTTTTTAAAATCAAGTAAATAATATTAATTAAGACTAAATAGAAGAAAACAGTAATTTTGGAAATCAAAATGATTTAAGCAAGTATAAGATATTAACTCGAGAGTAGCTATCTTAAATGAGAAATAGAAGACATGTTGATAAAATAGCATCTACTTTAATGCACAACCCAAATGCAATTATCAAAGAATATCATCCTAATAGAAAACAAGAGCTCAAATTTTAAAACATTGAAAATAATTATCAAAATTAAATTAACTAAATCAAAAAAATTATCACAGAATAACCTAATGAATTCGAAATACCTGCTGATAAATTGCAAATAAAAAGTATTTCAAAATAAATTACTAAATTTTAATTTTTTTCAATATAAAAAGATCTCAGGGAAATTGCTAAGTACGTTGATACCTTTTTGGAAGATGTGGAAAATAATAAAATTTCAAAAGAATAAAAAAAATTATAAAAAGAAAAAGATCTTCTCGCCTAAGAATATCATGGCTTAGATGATCTTTGGAGCAGCTAAAAGGAATCTAAGAAAACTAATTACATTCAATAAAATATAGAAAAGTAATTTAAATTTAATATTTACTAAATGAAATAAAATATTATCAAAATTACAGATTCCATAATAAAAGCACACTTATGAGAGAGCTTTTAAATTAAAATAGGGAACTATTTATACAAAATATCCCTAAGCTACTCAACAAATACGAGTTATCAAGGCATGACCTCCACAGTATTTATATCTTATATAAAGCTCTGTTGAGTGTATCCATTTAAAGAATAGGCTATAAAGAAGTTTTTGAAAAAGGTATTGATTTTAAAACTTTTGAATTAGGAGTAGATCGTCTATCTTCTTAAGCTGAAGAAATTATTTAAAGAATGTGTAGTTATAAATCCTTTATCAACTGGTAATCCTTCTTATAAATACTCAGTAGTATTTAGGGCAAAGACTTAGAAAGTAAAATCAACATATTCATTAGGGTAAGCACTTTACTTTGATGCATTTTTTAAATACGAAAATTTATTTAAATAAAATAAATTTATTAAATTTTTCATAAATCTTAAAAAATTGAATTTAAAAAATGTAAAATTTTTAAATTATTTACTAATTAATTAATTATCAAGTAAATTTTACGTTTAATAAAAAATGTGATTGTTAAAAAATAAAATTAAAATGTTAAATTAATAAAAAAATTGTAAAAAATATTAGGTTTGTGATGCAGATAAAAGTGGAAACCTATCTAGAATAGAAATAGAAGAACTTTGCAGAATATGTTTGTAGAAATTTTTAGTTGCTGGCCAGGATAATATTTTAGATTAGTTGGTAGAATACTTTACAAGATTGCTCTTCACTAGTCTAAATGTTGACTTAGAAAAAGAAATTCCACTTGATAAAATAAAATAAGCTATAATTTAAGTAATTTCAATTTAAATATCTAATTATCAGTTAAATTGTATAATTTGGCTGCTTTATAATGAATAAAATGTAAAATTTGGGAAAAAAAATATTTCCTTAAAATTAGTGATCATTTGTTGATTTAATTAATTAATTATACAATCACAATATTTTCACGTTTATCAAAAATTTAGGTTTATTTCAAGTGCCAAATTTATACAAATTAATTTGAATATTTTTAATACAAAAATATCTCTAAAATCTATGTTAACAAAATAATTGTATTTTAATAATATTTTTATAATTATTTAATAGGGACATCCGGAAAGTGATTTACTTTGCTTCTTTTGCGGAATAAACTGATCTAATTTAGATTTTTTGAGAATAAAGGGTTATAATAATAATAATTGAATATATAGATACATATAAATATTTAAAATACTAATTTAATAATGTAACTAGCTAAATTTACAATTAATTTATTTGTGTATGTTTGTTTTGTTTCAAATATTCATGTTTATACTTAACTTAGTTTTAAAGATATTTTTCATTTAACAAAATTAGCTCTGAAAATAATATATTTTTTTGTTAAATATAAAATTGAATCTATCTTTTTATTTGATTCAAATTTTAAAGCAATCACTACATTTGAATGAATGGTTGATTCAAGCTTATCAATTTTAATACTTTAGAATTAGTAAAATCATTTGGCTATTTCTTATATTTATTTTTTTATATTATTATTCACTATAAGACCAAGCTACTTAACTTATTATATGACTTCAATTACCTATTACAAAGTAAAGTTTTAATAATTTGTAGCTATTTAAAAAATTTACCTGGTTTTATTCAGCACAATCTTGAGATTGTATTTATTTTTTATAGAACTCTTGTAAATCTGTGCAACATTTTTTAAAAATGGTATTCATTTGTGAAAATTAATAAACTGGATCTCCTATTTGTTAGAGCTCATCAAATACTCCTTGGATATATCCTACACTTTATTAATAATACTAAAAACATAATTAGTATTTTTATTTTTGCTATTGCAATAAATTAAATTACATTTTTATACTCTGTCAATTCCGTTTCTAACGTTTCTATGGTTTATTTAAGAGTTTTAATTTTGATTTCTTCAAAATTGTATTATAATAAACTATTGACAACTTTTTCTACATTTTGTTTTATTTTTTTAAGTTCTTCCAAAATAAATCTTATATTTCTTTAATCCTCATTCTCAATACGACTGACGCTTTACCTCATCCCATCAAAACTAGTTAGGTTATTAAAATTATTGAATTGAAATTTATCTTAAATATCTAATTACTTAGTCATAGACTCCCTGAGTGGAGATATCTTACCAAGGGAAGTATTAGATGAAGTTCCTCCTTCATTCTAAAAAGCTAGAGCTATAGCAGATGCTGATGATACTCTTTTATCATCTTACTTTTTTTAAGGTGATTGTAAAGTACTCAAGTTCTGTAAACTTGTAATTTCTTTACTTTAAATTTGACTCTAGTCTGAATCCTCAATTAAATTTTCTTAGAATTTTTTGAAATCTTCATCATCATCCTCAATTTCTGATATTGCATTTTCTTCATTTTCCTCTTAATATTTATTTGTAAATTCTCGTTAATTTTTCTAATAAAAAAAATTAATTTCTTACGTTTTTCATCAACTTTTTCGAACTTCTGTTATAAAATTTAGCTCTTTCTTGATCCAAAGAGATTAATCTGATTTCCATTTTTAATAAATGGATTTGATGATGATCTTACAACATCTCCATCGCTATTCTAATTAAACCTAAAAATAATTTTTTTAATTAAAATTTAAATAAATTTTATTCTAATTTATTTTTCTAATTTTTAAATATAAAAATAATAATTTAGCATTAAAAAATTAAACATTCATAATAAAAATTAGATTTAATCTTTGATTTCTTGTTAAATAAATTATTATAAATAACTTAAATTTTTTGAAATATTTTTTGATTTAAATTATGAATTTTACAAGTCAACATTGTAAGAAGACCTAACTGGACTAAATTGTGTTACATGGAGTCCTTCGATGATAGTTTAAAATTTATTAAGTTAGTTAACTAAATTCTTAGATATTTAGTTAAAGCTATCAAGGTCTTGCATTTCTTTTTTTCTTAATTGCATTTTCATAGAAAATTATCCTTCTCTCATTTTCTTAACTTCTTCATAGATATCAATAAGTTTCCTTTCTAATAATCTGTTTTCTTTTCCATAGTCCCAATATGTTCCCTAAGCTTGGGTTGTTACTTGCTTAAAATCGTTTTCGAACTTACTAAAAATCTAATTTAAGTTTTGATTTAAATTTTCAAATTAAGATTAATCAGGAATTCCTCCAATAAAGATTTTTTTTTAAACTTTATCCACTTTCTCAAGAGTTTGATTTTAGATCTTGAAAACTTCTAGTTCAATATCATGCTACAATTGCATTAGCTTTAAACACAATTCTTGTTACTCATCTTTTATTTAAAAATAAATTATAAAACTAAAATTAATATTTGCTCCAAATACCTGTTATTTCTTTGAAGTATTTTTTATTAAGATTTTCTTCATTTTCTACTAATTTTTGCAACCTTTCAAAGTATGATTTAAAATCTTTAATTTGCAAATTTTTCTAAACAGCTTGCTAGATATTTGAATCTAATAACTGATCTTTTTAGTTATCTATTTATTTGGAGAATTCTATAACTTTCTTTTTGAGTTTAAATGTTTCTGATTAGATTGTATCGAGTTTTCTAAAAAGCTAATTATAATCAATTGAAAATAAATTATCTTATTTCTGTTCAATACTAGTTAACTTTTCAATTTTATTCTTATTTTCTTATATTAACCCTTCAATAAGTGTGTAGAAAGTATTTATAGAATCAATTATTTTGTGATTAAACTTATTTTCTGTTTCAATCAATTAATTAGATTTATCTTTAAGAAAAATAATTATATCACTTTACAGAGTACAATCTTCTCCTATTTATTCTATTTAAATTAAAATTTTGTAATTAATAAATATAAAACAAGTGAATCTATTTATTTTTTAATTACTTTATAATTGCTAGTTCTAATTTTCTAAAGTACTAATCTATTGTTTTAATTCTGATATAATTTTCTTTTGATTTGATGCATCATTTTGCTAATCTATCATAGTTTTATGCTCGTTTTCTAATTATTCTTTATTTATTTATATATTATTAAGAACCTTATATTTTATTTTAAATAAATCAATTACTTAAAAGAGCTAGCTTTTTATTTTCCTAATCTTATATCTATGATTTGAGTTCATTTACAATCATTTTCTGGTTAACTATCTCTTTTTCACTTTAAACTAAAGCCTTTTGCTATAAGTCTATTTATCCTTTTTTAAAAAATTAAAAATAATTCAATAAATTTAATTAAATATTTCAAAAAGAGTACTTAGATGTTAACTTTTTTATTAGTCTGCTGTTTTAATTTATTCTTAAAGTGACTCTATCAATTTTTTTTAGTCCAAATTGTCTTTATTAGTTTTAGTGATATTCTATTTCAAATTATCTGCATCTTCTATTTTAGAAATAATAATAAAAAATTAAAATAAAGAAATTATTTTTATTTTTCCAAGTTACATTGAAGTAAAGCATTTTATGATTACAATTAAGATAATTGTTATTTTATATTTTCTACCTATTATTAAAGTTAAGCATTTTCTTATTAGGATTATTTTAGGATATTTTAGCAATTTGTAAAATCAATGTTCTTTTAAATTTCAATTTCTTTCTCTTTAATTAAATTATTAATATTTTGTTCTTTATCTTTTAAAATTTCTACAAAATCTTAAATTTTTTTATTTAAATCTTTATTTAAAATTTCTAATTCATTTATTCTATTATTGGTATTTTATCTTAATTCTTCGTTTTCATGTTTTTGTGTTTACTTTTATTATATAATTTCATCATTAAGTTTTTAATTTTAAATTTCAAGCTTCTTAATACTCAATGATAATTACTCCTTTTCTTAAATAACACTTGCAATTTTTTAATCTTTAATAAAAATTTCCTTTTAAAACTCACTGCATTTTGATAATTCAGATTATAATTTTTACTTAGTAATTAGATCTTCTTTATTTTATTCTTCAATTTTTTACTACACAGAGCGAATCTATTGATCATGCTCTTTTAGTATTTTTTATATTTCTTATTATTTATTATTTTCTTATTATTCCAAAAGTTTTTCTATTTCTAATTTATTCTTCTTTTATATTTCTTTAGATGTAATTTCTACTGTTTATTTCATTAAATCTTCTTTTTCTGTAATTATATCTTTTATCTTTTATTCGCACTCCTGTTCTTTGAGTCTTTGTATGATTTGAATTTATTCTACAGCAGTTCTTTATAAATTTTCAATTTTTTCTTTTTACTACTAATTAAATTATTTCAACTAATCAAACTCTTGCTATAATTTGCTATATTTTTATTTTATTAAATTTATTTGCTCTTTTAACTATTCTTCTTGTAATTTACTAGAGTTAGCTTTCATATTTAAATCATCTATTTCCTATTAAAGTTAATTTATTTTCTCATTATACAAACTTTCATTATTTTGTAATTCTATTAAATTTTATTACAGTGACTAGCACCTATGTGAATATTATTTAACTTCTGACTTTAGTTCATTTTAATTTTTTTCATTGATTTCCTTTAATTAATTAATTTCTTAATTTAAAAATTCAATATTCTCTAAATCTTAAGAATTTATTTTTTATAATTTCTCATTTTCTTAATGTAATTTTTATTGAATATTTCTTTGATTTTGCAATTCTTGTTCAAACTCAATTTAAAGATTTTTATTTTTTTAATTTAATTCCTCAGTTTTGGATTTAAATTATTCAGTTTATCTTAGATAATTAGTTTACTCATTTTGCAGCTCTATTTTTAATTTATCATATTATATTTGTTAGCTTTCTAATTCTTTTCTCAATTAGTTTAGCTAAATTTTATATTCTTCAATAACTTAATTAATTTTTTATTGTTGCAAAATATTTTAGTTTTGCTATTGCTCTATTAAACTTTCTTAATTTTTTAATTTATCTTTCTCTAAATTTACTTGTTTTTCTGAATGTAAAATTTATTCTTTTACTTTTTCTTGATTAATTTTAAGTTCTTAATTTAAGCAGTTAATATGTTTCATCAGATTTTCCATTTATAATTTATGCTCTTCTTTTAAATTTTGTATAGCTATTTATTTTTCTTCTCTAAGATTTATTTCTAATTACTGTTTTATGTTTTATTCTTCTATAAATTTATTTTAGATTATTTAATGATTATTATTTTATTCTTTTATTATATTTTCAAGCTATTCTATTTATTTTTTTTATTAAATTTATATTTTTTCCAACTCCTTTTATTTATCATCTTAAACTTATAATTTATATTCTTCAAGTTAAGCAGAATACATTTTATCAATTTCCTTCTCTCTTATCCTAACTTATTTTTAGATTTCTTCTTCCATTTTTATAGTATTAACTTTATCATCAGAAATATCATTTTGATTCATTTCATCTTTCCTTATATCCTACTAAGGCCTGTTTAAAATTTCTTTTTGCTAATCCTTAATTTCAAGTATACTTTTTTTTAATTCTTGGCACTTTAAATTCTCTTAATTAAATAGACTTTCTAATTTTTAACACTACTCTTTAAGGTGCATTATTTATTACTCTTACTAATTTATTTATTGTTCTTATTGAATTATTTATTACTAGTATAGCCTATTTTACTAATCTTATTTATCCAATAAATTTTAAATTTCCTATTTCTAATTCTACTCAAGCTCAGATTTATGTTTTTCTAAAATTTCTTAATAAAATCTTTAAGAGAAAGGTGAAATATCATCTATTTTTAGTCCTTAAATTTAGCAACAGCTTTCTAATTATAATAAATTATGCTCCTTTATTATAGCCTCTGCTTGATTATCCATGCTTTAATTTTCTAAATTAGGCAATGATCTAATCTATTTTTCATCACTATTTTCTTTTTCTTATTGAGATAAGAACTCCTCTTGTTTTAAAAATTGATAAAAAACTTAATTCAAAATCTTTGCTATTTATTAATTATTTAACATATTAGATTCTTTTAAATACTTCAATTTTTCTGAGCAATCTTTTAGTATTTCTTAAACTTCTTAAATGTTAACAGAATAGCTTTGAATACTTTCATTAATATCTTAGCTCATTAAAGCCTTTTAAGAATCTTTAATATCTTGCTAAATTTCACTCAACTCGTCTAAAGTCTAATCAACATTTTAATTTTTTTTAAAGTAATCTTAATACTACTACTACTAACCATCTTTTTGAAAATTTTTATTATAATTTGTAGAAGATATTTATGACATACTTAAAATATCTGAAATGACACCTTCCGCTTCACTTAAATCATTAACAAAATTTTATTTGTCCTATTATACTTTTTTATCAAAAGACTAATTTATTTTGAGTTATTACTTGAGATTATTCTAAGCAGCTTCTGAAGATTCATATAAATCTCCATCAACACTGTAACTCCTTTTATCATTTCCATTTTTATTTGAATCAGAATCTTTTTCTAATTGTTTACTGTCCTAAAGTGTCTATTTCCTAGAGTCTCTAGAAAATGGATGTAATTAAGCTATTCTCATGTTGATCATTTAAACACAAATATTTTAAAGCAACTAAATTTCTTCTTATAATTTTTGCATAATCAATTTATATTGTACTTCGTTCTACCTCTTTTTCAAGTAGGCCTTGTCTAATACTAAAATTTTTCTTTCTAATAGTTCAACTAATTTCTAAATAGACTGATAGTCCTTTTCCAATTCCTGCAAATTCTTCCCATTTTAATACTTCTCAAATAAAAATTTACTGACTGTATCACTTTATGGCTGTCTCTATTAAATCATCTATTCTAAAATTGTATTTTAAAGCTTTGAATTTTAGTGTAATTTATTATATTTAGCTATCAAATGTTAAACTTTTTTCAGATATTCTAATGGAATTTAGCAATCTTAAGGTAATTTTATTGCTTCAATTTATGATTAATCTTTATTTTATAGTATAATCTATTCATTTTTGTTTTTATTATGTCTCTATATAATATTTTAATCTTCGATTCTTATAGGGCTATCTTAAAAATTGCTGCTAAATTAATCATTCTAATTGCTCATTTATTAGTTTTTTTATAAATTTTGTTACTAGCTTTTGCTTAGAAATGTCTATTGACTTTACTTTTATTTATTTTAAACTTTGTTAATAGTTGTTAGTTTCTTGAGCAATCCCTAAACATAAGTGGGTTCTTTCTGTTTGCTTTTCTTTTGAGCCTTTTCAAGAAATGTGCTTGCTTCGCTCATAAATAACTAAAATAAAAAATTTGTTAGTATAAATGAATGAATATATTATGTATAATAATATATTAATAATAATGTAAATAACAAAGAAAGAAACAAAAAATAAATTCTTCTTTCTTTTCTACTAGTTATTAAATATATCTTAATATCAAAAATTAACTAATTAATACTGTTCAACTTATTAAAATTTGTATTGATTTAATAGCCATTAAAATATTACCTCTTTTATATATTATATCAAATTAATAGCAACTTTTAACTGCAGTATAAAACTTTATTTTTTATCTTTCTCAAAATAAATATCAATTTTTTAGCTAAAATTATAGACGACAAAAATTTATGATAGAATAAAATAAAAATAAATTTGATTATTTAAAAATTAGATTCTCATAACAAATAGAATTTTATAAGCCAGTTTTAAAGAAAATAATTCAATTTTACTTCTTCAATTTCAATTAATTAAATTTAAAAAATAGGGAGTTTTTTTATTCCAAAAGAAGATTATTTAATTTAAAAGAAATAAGAAACAACAATAATAGAATAAATAAATATCTAAGCAATTTAATTAATTTCTTGGTTTATTTAAAAATGAAATTCAAAACAGATTTATTAAAAATAAATAATCTTAACTCACATAAAGCTTTTATAACAAGTAAAATAAATTATAATCATTAGTTTTTTAGTAAGTATATAAATTATAGAGTAATAAAATTATTTTTATGTTCAGCATTATGTAAATTTAAACTTAATTCATTCATACTTAATTTTACTAGTTTTGCTCATTTTGAATATCAATTTAAGAATTAGAAAATATGTTTTACTCAAATATTTTTTGTTATTCTAGCCTATTATTTAGTAGAGTTTTATCATTAGATATTCAAAAATAGTATAAAAATATTAATTTAATTTACTGTTCCAGCATTTGCTATTCTTATATAATTTATATTTTTTTGATATACTAAAGTTCGCTGTAATTTTGTTTGCATCTTTTAGACTTTTTAAAAGAATAAATGTAATAAATACTAGTCCTAAAAGAAAAGTTTTAAATAAAGTTGATAGTTACAAACTCTAAAACAAACTGAGTGAAGAAACACATGCAACTAACGACTATTGTTGAAATGATTGAAATGACCAACGCTCTAGGATAACTTGAGCCACTTTTACCTAATAATACTTTTACTTATTTTAAATAAATTTCTTAACTTTTTAATGAATTTCTACTTATATTTTAATAATTTTCAGCTGCTACTTCTTCATCCTAATTTTAAGTCAAGTGCTTGTTCCTAACTGTAGACTATTCTATACGCATTTTAAAATTAACACTTTAACAAAACATTTAGAATTATTATATTTTTTACAGTTTGATTCTTCTCTTTAGATATTAATTTAAACATTCTATCTAGTTAATTTTTCGCTTTCATAATTAGTTTTTTGAGCATTATAAATATGCCTAGCCTCAACAGGATATGTTACTTAATTTTTATAAATCTTAAGTTAGAATATTTTTAAAGTGTTTGATTACATAATATTATTGAAAGAAAAAGAATTGAGATCACATGTTTTCCCATTCTTTATATAAAGTGTGCAGATATTTAGGTAGATTACTTTATTAAAAGTTGCCTATTTTTTTCTTAAAAATAATGATTATAACTTGGTTTTAATAAACCAAATAGTAGGAATTATAATTACAAATTATGTTGTTTTCTGTTTAAATTTATAATAAAAAATGGGAATCTAATATAATAATAATTAAATTTATAGGTATTTTATTGCTTGATAGTAGCTTCAAGATTAAAACAGTAAATTAAATTCAAAGCAAATTTTCAAACGCATTTCAAATTGTATTAATTCTGTTAGCATTTTTATGAATGAATATTCATCATTAATTTTATGAAATTCGAACATTAAAAAAATATTTTTTTAAACCAAAATTATTCAATTTAGTTTAATATAATATAATCTTAAAAAAAACAAAACCATTCATTAGTTAAATTAAATTAATTCCTTTTTAAATAAATTCTTTATAATTAGTTAAAATTAATAAATTTTCTAAAATTTTAATCTAGTTAAAATTTAATATTTTTGTAAATATTATACTAAAAACTAATTTTTTTACACTTAGATAGTGTAAGTAAATAGTTTATAAATAAATAAAAGCTAAATTGGCTCATATTTTTTATGCATAAACAGAATCCATAATAAATAAATCCATAAATATTAAATCCAAACTAAAATACAAGCAAAAATTTTAATTAAAAATTTATATAAATAAATTTACTTACAAATTCAGTAAATTATTTAAATGTATCAAGTATAAATTCATTCTTTAAAATAATATTTTTTTAAAAGTCAATAAATAAATATCTAATAAACTATTTAAAATATTATTTTTCATTTCTTTATTTATTTAATTATTTATTAATTTATTTGTTTATATAATTTTATTTTAAAAAGTAATATTTGTTAAAAATTTATAATTTAATTATTTTTTTGATATTAATTCAATCAATCTATTTATTCTGAATTAAGTAGTAAAAAGACATCATTTTTATATTCTTTGAACTTTAATGCTATTTCCTCCATTTAACTTTTCTTTTCATTCATATACATTTAATGAGAACTTTCTTCTTCAGATATCTATTAAATAAATAATGAATAAATTAAAAAATAAATATATTTATGGTTTCATGAAATAGATTCATGCGTTATAAATGTCACAACAGTAAATATTTTCTAAAATTAATGCGTTTAAAAATTGTTTGACTATAAAAAGTATATTTATATTAAAGATTACTTTTTGCTCTAAATTTGCTTGCATTTGTTAAATTTCATAGATAGTTTTCTAAACTTCACTCAGCTCTTCTTTCAATTTTTACTATTCTTTTAGCATGTTATTTATTTCATCTTCATATGTTTTCTTTTTTTCTTCAGCGAGTTTATTTTTTTAGTCCAGCTAGGCAATCAAATCCATGTGGTAATCCGATATTTTCTATGTATTTAAAATTTTAAATCAGTTAAACTTTACCAAATAACAACATCAAAAAATTATTTTTAAAAAAAAATCGACTAATAAATTTTTAAAAACGTAAAAATCCAATATTTTATGCTTTTACAAATTTTTAAAAAGATCTAATCATATATATTGCTTAACCTGTTTATCTTTATTGATTAAATTTCAATATAAGTTTAATCTTGGTTACTTATTTTCAAAGTCATTAATAAGAGTAAATAATTATAAAAATATCACTTGTAAATTAAAATATTTCACTTATATTTATTTCATCCTAAATATTATACAATCTCGTAGAGAAGAAATATCATACATATATTGTCTCTCCAAGAAAAATAGGTCAATTTAATTCTTACAAAAAAATTGTAGATAATAACTTAGGATAACGGAAAACATTATTGAATTAATTGTCAAATAAATATATTATTATTATTATACTTGATAGGATTAATGAGAGACTTCTTCTTTTAGTTGCAGCTCTTTGATTTCATTTTTAGCATTTTTTAAAATTTTATTTGCTTCACTCTCTTTTTTGATCATTTCCTCTAACGTAAGAGATGGGAGAGTAAGATGTTTACGAATTTTCTAAAGAAGTTTATCGTTGTAATTATTTTTCATGCAAATAAATAAGTAATCTTTTTTTATAAGATCTAACTCCTTCATTTGTTATTCTATTTCATTTTATAAAGATAGGCACTAATCTTTTAATTTAAAAGGAGATTTAACTATTTTCATTTTTTCTTTTTAATTATTTTCGATTAATTTTTGAATGTCTTCCTATGCTTAGTGAATCGATTTTTCCATTTAAAGCTTTGAGTTTTAATACTCAGATTTTTATTTTATCAAAATCTACTTTTGCTTTAGCAAGTCCTGGTACTCAGCAGTTAATTTTTCGTAGAACTACATCTTTTCTTAAAAAGAATTTTTTTCTGCTTCTTTTCTGTCTTTCAGCTAATCACTATGAAACTTGAGCACTTCTAACTCATCTGCATATCTTTTTATTTTTTACTCGTCAGCTCTCTTTCTTATAATTAAAATTAATAAATTAGTTAATAAGTTTTTAGCATAAATAAACTCAAATTTATTTATACATTTTTATCAAGTATTTAAGTGTGGGAACTTATGATAGTTTCTTAATATAAAATATATTGAGTTATTGCAACTAGCGTTCTACGAACTTTCTTTTTATCAGGTTTGATGATATCATATGAACAAAAATCTTCAATTCCTACTAGATCTAGCATTTGCTTTATATATTTCATTTTTTAATATATTTGAAAAGCTTTTACTCCGTTTTCCATTTCCAAATCTAGCTGATTACACATTTCTGACTAATTTATTTCTTCCAAAGGCACTCTCAATATCAGAAAAGCACTCTATTTTTTTCATTTTAAATTAATTTACAATTTAAATTTTTAATTTTAGCAAACAAAATTGCAATTAGACTATTATTTACATAAACTAAAATGTTGTTAAAGAACTCTTAAGTGGGTTCTGAAATGGCTTTTTCAGAGTCTATGTTAAAGCCCTTGTTTTTAAATATTGTAAAAATTTCTTGGTTACTTAAAGTAATATCTTGCTGACAATTGCTATGTTGCTAATATTATGACTATGGAGTTTATTAACTCATATTTTTCTATATTTTGTATTAGCTAGTTTTAGTAATTTAAATTATGATAAATTTCAAATTTAATTGTTAGATTTTAGCGCAATAATTAAAATTATAATTCAGCAAGGAATATCTTTTAGAATGAGTGAGTGATTTAGCTACAATCTTAATTAAAACGAAACAGCTAGAATATTACTGGTATTTTAAAGCACCAAAGAATTAATAATAATTTAAGAGATTTCTTTCACTTATTTTAAGAAACTAAAAAACAAAAAAAACTAAATTAGCTTTTAAATAATTAAAAATTAAATATTTATAAAAAGTAGAATTTAATATAAATTTAAGTGATGGCTGAACTTAGAGAATTATTAAAGGATGATCATAAAGTAAAATAAATTGCAATAGCTGCATTTAATACAGTAGATACTGATAAAAGTGGATATATAGATTTAGATGAGTTAGAAGCACTTATGAAGGATATGGCTGGATAACTTAACATTCAAGCACCTACAAAACACGAAGTAAGTAACGCTTTCAAAGAAATAGATGCAGATAAAGATAAGAGAATAAGTTTAGAAGAATTTACAGTTATGGTTAGGGAAATTCTGAGACTGATGGCAGGTTTATGAGAAAAGAAACATAATTTGATTTATTTAAATATCAGCATTTTTTATAAAAAAATATGAAAAGCAAAAATGGAAACTAATTGAAATTTATATTTTTTTATTAGTTTACATGGTTAAAGTGTAAAGTGACAAAATAGCATTCTAAATAAAATCTAATTTATTCATTAAAACACATTTATAAAGATAATTTGTGTTTTGAATATATCAAAAGTATATTTTCAATAAATCGTTAGAAAATAAATTAATCTGTAGTTACAATAAATCATAAAAATAATATAGATTTTTATTTTTCTAAAAAATGTTTACTTTTAAATAATAAATACTTACAAATTTCAGAATATCAACAATAAAAATCAAAAATGTATATTGGTGTCTCTCTTTCTTAAATATATTTTAAACATTAACTTATCTTTATTAAAAATGGATATAAGGTTTTATAGTTTAATCTAAAACTTAGAATGGTAAAGCAAATTAGTATTGTATTATAAATAAAAGAATTGTTTAACAATTAATACTTTGTTTCATAGATCTTATGTCTAAATATTTAAGTATTTTTTAGCAAAGAATTCAAATAGACAATAGGCTAATTTCAAAAATATAGTTGTTGTAATTTTTATTCCAAATGTAAAAAAAAGTATTAATAGAATAGCGTAAGGATGCTATAAAATTGTAATATTTTGAATTAAAATGAAAAATGTCTAAACTGCTTATTAAGTAGATTTTTTTTTGTTTTTACCTAAAAGAGTTTTTATAATAATTATTACAAGAAAATAAATAATATAATTATAAAGAATAGGTTTGTTTGATTGTGGTTTTATTAAAGTTTTGAATATATTAAAACGATTTTATCAAACATTTATCTTAAATTTAATAAATAAGCCTAATAAAAAAATAAATTTTCTTTAAATGAAGAAATAAATGTTTGTAATAATTATTTTCAAAAATTATTTTACATGAAGATTAACCAAAAATAATTTTAAATTTTTTTAGCTTTTATAAAAATTGACTCAATTAATTTGTTGTAATATATCGTTTAAATTTTTGAATTTTAATAACTAATGTTAAATAGGTATTGAATAGTAAAAAAAATTAAAAATAAACAAACAAATATTGCAATAATCACACAAACGCTATTTAATGTCAGTTTTGAATGGAAATAATTAAATAAATAGATCTATAGATTTCATTAATTGAGAATTGATTGATTAATGAAAGATATTCAAAATTTAATTAAATCTTGAAATTTTCTTAATTTTTAATAATTTTTTACAATTCAATAGTAGCAGTAAAACAAGAAAATACATCTATTCATTCATATTATATATATTACTTTTGTATTAATTATTCATTAAATAGTTCAGTGAAAACTTAGTAGAGAAATACAATCAATTCAAAAAATGAATAATATTTAGAGACATACTCAAGCTTATAACAATATTTAAAATCAAAGAAGCCAAGTTAATTCATTGCAGATTGCTAATAATTAGGATAGTGTTTATAACTAGATGTTAAAGGAGACACAAATTTTAGCCAACGAAAATATTTAGCAAGGTACATTGATTTTAAATTAACAACAACAAATTTAAGGTTAGCAGTTTCAAAGTTAAGCAAGTATCAACTAGTAAATATAGCTATAGCAACAGCAACAACAATTGCCAAATAATACAATCCAAACTAACTCTAATAATCGTTCAGGTACTGACAGGATAAGATTAAGTATGCAATCTCCTAGATAGGGCATATTTTCTGTTTTAAACGGGAATAATCATCAAATCGTTTCATAGCATTAAAGTTAGATGAGCGCTAATAACGCAAACGGAAACAGTTAAGTCTAAAACTAAAATATAAATTCTTCGAATCAAAGTAGCTCTACCCAAACTAATAGCAAAAAAACAACTCAAATAGTTAGTTCTAATCCAAATTAGTAAATATAAAACATTCGGAGTTTAGAAGAAAAAGACTCAAATCGTTAACCTAACAACTAAACAAATAATTAAAACTAAAATTCCTAGCCCTATTCTAATCAAACAAGCAATAATACTTAAAAATCTCTATTTGAATCTTAGCTAATTTAGAATAATACTCACGGCTAAAAATTATCTCAACAGAGGAAGAGTTTAATTTTTATTCCATCTATTAACTAACAACAATCATAGAATGATAATTTTATTAATTCTTCTTAATAATAAACAGCGAATAACTAAAGCAGCCTCTCAAATAGTACTCTTCAAGTTAATTAAGAAGGCTAAATTCAATAGGTTCATATTCATCGCAGCTACTAGCAGCTACCTGCAATTCCTAATTAAGCACAAGTATAGATCCTAGCTCAAAATTCTAATTCCACAATGCTCCCACTACAAAATATGACAAACCTCATCTAAAATAATTAGCAAGTTAGCTAGCAGTAATCAAATCTTTAGCTCTAACAACAACAGCAACAACAATAAAACTTACAGATCTAGTAATAATAGTAGTCAAATCTTCAATAATAGCAGCCAATTATAATTTAGTTAGAAGATGGCAGCCAATTAGTAAATTAGGGTTACATATTATAACCAAATTAAAGTGTTTTCATATAGTCAAGCAATGCTAATAATGCCTCTCTTAGGTAAAGCTAAATATTTTAAAACTTAAAATAACATTAATAGCAGTAGTAATAATAGATTATTCATTAGCAACAAAATAATATTAATTAGCAATAATTACTAGTTTAATAGCAATAAAACCCCGTCATTTAGATTTTAAATAACCCGATAAATACGTTAGAAGTAGATGTTGCTCAGCTTGAGTTTGAATAATAGTAATAATAAGCATAATAGTAATAGCTCTACTTGAGTTAGTTATAACCTTAGTAAATATCTTTATAATAGTAGCAGTTTCAATAGTAACCTGTTTACATTTTGCAGTAAAATTAGCAAAATAATTAACCCAACTCAAATTTTGTCTCTTAAAATATACCTCCGTTAAGTAGTCCGTCAAGTTCTGCATCACAGAAAGGCTCCAAGTTCTCAAATTCATAAGTTGTTGCATCGAATTAATAAATGACTCAATCTTAAATAAATTTTATTCAACAAAATAGCACTGGTAATAGTAGAATTAAGCAAATTTATAACAGCCCCTAAACAAGCAATGTGAATTCTATATAATCTAATCATAATGTTTTGCATAATTCTAGGTATATTTTGTCTCAACCTCAGCAAGCAGCTTCTCTTCAATTAAACATTTCACAATAACCGCTTAACTCTTAAATAACTCTATTGAATGATCAATCCAATTAATGGAATACTTAGAACTTGCCATAAACATAATTAGTATAAGAAAAACTGCAAATTTAAGGCTCAGCTGAGTAGCTTGAATTAGAGAATAGATAATTAAAAAATAAAATTATCTAGTTAGAAGAGTAATAAAAAGAAACAACCTAACAATACTCTTCATAGAAAAATTATCTGTAAGATCTTGAGAAAAAAATAAAAATGTTAATTTAACAGAATGAAAAATTATAATCTGCTTAAGAGGATAGTTAGTAGCCATAACAAGATGAATCAAAAGCTATAAAATAGTTGAAACAAGAAAATACTTAACTCAAAGAAGAAGTCAGCTAGTTATAAAAAGCATAGAAAGTTTAAACTCAACAGAACGAAGAATAAATTAAAATATTGGTTTCTAATTTAGAATCCAAAATGCAAGAACTCATAGTAGAAAATTAAAGAATCAATTAGATTTTACAAACTAAGCAATAATAAATCGAACAATTCTCTAAATTACAAGAGTCTTACAATCAGCTTTAAAGATAAAATAATATTTTTAACACCTTAATTAATGTAAATTATTTATTCTCATTTCAATCTAAAATATTTATTTAATTAATTAAAGCTTTTTTCTTAAAAATATTTTTTTAATTTGAAAACTTACTCAACTTTCTTTCTGAACAAAATGTTCAATTTTATCATAAAGAGGGCATTTTATTTTATTTCTGAAACTTACTTTTTTATTTTTAAAAGTTAATTTTTCTAAAAATAAACTAAAATATTTACAATGTAAAAAATAAAAAATAGGAAGGTTAGAATGAATATAAATTAAAGATTCAAAACTTAGAAGGAGAAAATAGTGAACTGAAATTGACAGTGAAAGAATTAAGGGCAAGGGTTAAGCAAACAGAAGGTATTCCTGATTTAGAAGTTGTAGTTAAAGATTTTGAATAGAAAATAAATTAGTTAGTTGATGAGAACAACAGATTAAATAGTATTATAGAAAACTTAGAAGCTAGAGTATGCTCTTAGCAAAATTCGCCAGTTAAAATCGATTAATAAAATCTTTAAGAATAAAAAGAAAAAATGCAAGAATTGATATTATTAAATAAGGTAAATTTGTCAATATTTTATTTGTATATTAATTTTCTAATTAATAATTTAGGATCTTAAGGAACAGAGTGAATATTGGAAGAAAAAATGTGTTGAGTTAGAGAGAAAAAAGCTTAATGAGAGTATTCCATAAAAAGATTCTAACCCTTCTTCTTAACAGAATTCAGCTAGTAAAATAAATAATAATAATAATACAAATTTGGCTAACATAGAAGTAAATACTTAAAAAAGTGAGCTGTAAACAAATGATAAGATCCTAAATATTTAAAATAGTAAAATAATAGACTTAGAAACTAAATTAAATTATGTTCTTCAAGAAAATGAAAAACTAAATAATATACTCACAGAGCAGATAAGTATCACACAATCGCTAGCCAAAAACCTAATGAACCACAAACAACATAAGTCATAAAAGTAGCAAAATGGCAACTAAATATAAAACAATAATGTTGAGAACAAATAAAGTGCAAGCTCTACCAAAAAAAATGATAGCAAGAGTGAGTAATGAAATTATCTCTTTAGTAAACAAACTAAATAACTAACTAACTAAATAATAAACAAAAAAATCTAATTGCAATTTTAATTAAATAATTAATTTAAGTAAAATCTATTAAAAAAATATATAAATTATTAAAAAATTAAGTAAAATGTAAACAAACAAACAAAAAAATTTATTTTTTCATACATATTGTTTATAAAATTTAAATGTGCTTAGTTGTTAAATTTGCTTCTGATAGTATATTTATTTTTATAGGCTTAAATTTTAAATTTTAATTATCATTTATTGTGTTATATTATTGAATTAAATAATTTTTAAAAAAATTTTTCTTAAAATCAAAAAATTTTTACAAACTCCGCTGATTAAATATATCCAATCAGCGGAATTTTAAAACTAGGAACAGCTATATATAAAAATTATTAAAAATTAAGTAAAATCTAAATAAATTAATTTTTGATAAATATTGTTTATGAATTTAAATTTAGTTAGTTGCATAATTTGCTTGCATAAGTATATTTATTTAATTAAGATATAATTATTAAATTAAAATTTACTGTCTTTTTATCAAAATTAAAAAGTTTTATTAATAGAATAAAAGTTGAATGAAGTAAATTTAAACATTTTTGTTTTAAAATATAAATAATATCTATATATTCACTTTCATTACTAAATAAAATATTAATCAAGTAAATTTAAACTTTTTTCGAATAATATTTTAATTTCATAGATATTATCACTATTAAAACTTAATCAAGCAACTATTTTTATTTGAATTATAGTTTAATTAATCAAATATAAACTTTCTATTTTAAAAAATAAATAACACCTAAGTTATCATATACAATATTTGTATGTTTCTATTCAGAGTTTTTCTTTTTAATAAATAAACATAAATTGTAGATAGCATAATATGCTTTAAATAATTATCCTGAAAAATATTAATAATTTTGATTTTGTTGAATTATCAATAATTTTAAATTTAGATTTCATTTTTAGAAGTAATCCTTTAAAAAAGAAATTCCTTCTTAATTTTGTTTTAAAATTTACATGTGAAATAAAAAATTAAATAATCAATTAAATCTTTAATAATTTTAAATTAAAATTTTTTTTTTTCATACTTTAAGATAATAAGCAAAAATAAATTAAAATTTTTTTAATTTTTATGGAATATATTCTTTGTATTGTATAGATTGATTCATAATAATTTATCTATTAATCATTCTTATTTATTACTTTTTTAGTATTCTTACAATGATTACAAAAGTATTTATTACATTATGTCATCGTCGTAATCGTAATCTTCTTCTTTGAAATAGCTTTTTGATGCGTCTTCAAAGCGAACTGTTTTTATTATTGGGTTATCAGAAGGTTAAGATGCTTCTTATATAGATTTTCCTTCATTTTAGTTTGATTCTTTATGTAATTCTGCATCTTCATTTTAATTTTTTTCTTTTTCACATGAAAAAGTTTATATTTCTTTTTCAGTGTTTTACTCATTTTGAGCATTTTATGAATTAGATTCAGTTTTTAATTCTTATTCTTGCTCATTTTCTAGTTTTTATTCTTCTTATTTTTCAGTGTTATTGTCTTGATCATTTTCTTTATTTTCTTCTGCTTAATTTGGCTCATCTGTCTCTTAAACTTTTCTTTATTTAAAATTTTTAAAATTGCTTAGTTTTATTTTTCAAATGTTACTTTTTCAAATTAATTTTGAGAGCTGTCTCTGTGGGTTTATACAATAGCTTTCCTTTATTATCTATAATGATAACTTATATATTAATTTTGATTGATATTATATAAATTACCAGCAGAAGCATTTGGATCTACATACCTTTGTTTTGAGTCTACTCCAATCATTGAATCAGATACTTACCCCTTTAAGTAACTCTGTATTTCTGACTTATTTTTACTAAAAAGACTTTTATCCCTTACTCTTTTGTAAATTAAAAAAATTACAATATTAATTTACATTTAAAAATTTAGATTATTTATTTTGTTACATAAAAGTTTCACCATCTCTCGATAAGAACCAAGGGACTAATGAAATAGAGAACTAATCAGCTTAAGATTTCCAATTATTTAGTTCGTACGAGATACTTTCAAGTGATAAATTTTTTATAGATTGAATATAATATACTTCAACATCCGAAGGATCAATGTTAAAATAAACACCAACCATGTGCATAAAATCTTAGGAATCATAGTATTACTTCATAACTAACTCAACAGTGTTCATAAGTTCCATAGATTTCCAATCCCAGAATTTAAAGTAAATTAATATGTCATCATGCTTCAATTCTTCTTCCTTTTCTAAAATTGTAATTCCAATAACTTTACTATCATAAGGTTAGTAAAAGCTGAAAGGTTTATCGTTTTACAAAACAGTTTTATAATCACCAAATTTTTCCTATAAACGAAGGCATTTAGGAGATTTAACATCTATGTTTCTCAACTCTTTTAATTTTTACATAATTATTTATTTAAGCTCCAACACTGTTAGTGAAGTTTTTGTGGGCATAAGAGTAAGATGCTCAGTTTCGTAATTTGCTACCAAACTATTTTTTGTTTCAAACTTCCTACAAATTCTATACTCAATTAAATATTCATCTATCGACTAAGGAATACCTTCTGCTATAAAAAGACTTCCTCTATGTTTAATATTTAATGTATTTAACACGATTGATAAATCTTTAAGTTCTGGTATGTTTCTAAGTTGATTTCTTTTGATGATAAACTTATTCACATCCATACCTATCTATTTTTTATTTTAAAAATAAGTTAATCAATCGATTTAATAGAGCAAATTCTCTAATTACTTTCTTGGCTATAAGGTTTTTTGCATCTCTTAGTGTGCACCTATTATCTATCGTAATTGAAAGATTTTAGTCTGAGTAAGTTTTCTTCGTAACTTCTTTGGGATCATTAAATGTAATGATGCAAGAATAGGATTCCTTTTCAATTTATTTTTCCCATGCAAATTTAATATTTATATCAGTTTTCAACTGCTGTGGTTCGCGACTATCTGAGAGTCTTTCTACATAAATATCAGAATTATTATTTACATCAAGTTGTTAAAGAGTATAACTTAAAGTGCTCTAAACATCATTAAGTAGCATAACCTTAAAATTACTGGATCTGTTGCTCTTTTTTAGCACTCTAAATATTTGCCAATAAAAAATTTAAATCAAAATTAGTTTTAAACTTATTTTACATTATCTCTTCTTAGGAAATGCTTAGCTTTTCGACTAAAATATCAACAAATTGCTATAAAGTGTCAGTATTTCTAATTAACAATCTTTTAATTATACATTTTTTGTTATTTAATAAAAAGAAAAATTATTAAAAATGATCAATCAACAAATTTACCAAAATATTTTTTAATTAAAGAAAAAAATAAAATTTTTCAAAACAAAAAAAAATAAATTTTATTATAAAAATAAGAATTCTGCTTTTTTAAATCTTATTAAGTCGCTAATTAAACAATTTTTTAAAAAATATTGAATTAAAAATCTTTAAATTTTTAAAAATCTAAATGAAAGAAAATAATCTCAGGAATTTAATGGTGGAATATCTCAGAATTTAATGGTGGAATAATAAAATGATTTCTTTAAAAATAGAAAAATATGATTAAAAGAAAGTTTATAGCCACTTTCTATTATTAAAATAAATAAATTAATTAAGAAATTGCATGTTTTTTTATCTGATAACAAACGATTTTATCTTAACAACAACTCTATAAAATTAAACTACTAAAGATAAATGAAATAAATTGGTTACTTTAAATTTGGACTAAGTTTAGCTCCAAAATTCTCTAGCATGCCTATTGATGGTTCCCATAAATAAACGTTTATATTTATTTTAGAAGGATCATATTCTTCAAATTTCTCTCCTTCCTTTTTGAATTCTATGGTTATATCTTTCCAATCTTTTAAATTCAAATCAACCAAAGGAATGTCAAGCTAGTCAGAAAAAGTCTCTTACATAATTTTTTCATAGCAAGAATATGCTCTTAGTCTCCAATTAGATAAATCCTCTTTAATTTCAAATTACTCCATAACTTTTAGTTTAACATCATTGAGCGTGTTAGTATATTTATCGAATGTTAGCTATATTGATTATTCTTCATTTTTATATATTTTTAAATTAATTTATCTTTCTCTCTGCATTTACAAAATTTTTTGCTGTTCTATTCTTTTCTTTTCTTATTCCGTCTCTTCTTCTAATTATTTTTATATTTACTAAGGTACTTCAGGTACACTTACTTCTTTTAAATCGTCTAGTCCTACCTATCTATACATAAGCATATATGCTGAAGTATTTTAATTGCCTTTTAATGTTTATAATATTTAAAAATTTTATCAAATAATTTCTCAGCCAGAAATATCAAGTTTACTCTTTGGATTTTCTTAACCCTAGACATGATCTAAGGCAGATGGTCTAATTTTACATACAGAACTATCATTGAAATTATACCAAATTCCATTTTCAAATGACTTAATATATGAAAAATAGTGTCCACCTAGAGCACCACCAGAATGAACATTAACTGCATATAACTCATAAACATAAGGTCCCTCAACTAGATATTTAGAAATAAGCTCTTAATTTTATTTATTTATGTCTATATTTTCATTAATAATTTATTTTGTTCTTTCAGATTCTTTTTTCTAATTAACTTCTGCAAATTTATTCAACATTTATTCTTCTTGCTTTACTTTTGGAACTGAAGTTGACCAAAAATCGTCCTTAATAAAAAAAAATCTTAGAATCAATAGTAAATATTTTATTTTACTTCTCCTTCTTCTTCATTTTCATCAAATCCTTAAAGTCCATCGGTTTTCAGATCATAAACTTCATCTGCAGATGTTTTTGTGCCATGCCCTATTTTGATATTTTTTTTAGCAAACCCTTCTTACTTCTACTATTAAATTAACTTTTAGTGCTTTTCTTCTTATTTTATGCACGGGATATCTCCAAAAAGAGCTAAGTTGTCTAACTAAACATACTATTTTTGTGTAAAATTTTAAATTAGTGCTTGCCCATAATTTATTTAAAACTCTTTTAAAAGTTTATTTTAATAATTTTTTGTCAATTTTGTATACTTCGTCAGCTCGTGTAATTAAAGCTGGATGATTTGCTTGCATTTTAGGTTATTCTGACTGTTACTAATAACTTTCCTTTTTGCTACATCTTTTATTTATTTCTTCTTCCAAAAAGTTGATTGTTTCTTTCTATGCTAATGAATTACCATAACAAAAAAGTTTTATTTTTAATATTTAATTAAATAAAAAAATAGATACATTCTTTATCTTTATCTCCAAGCTCGCTTCCATACTTTTTATTTGAAACAAAATCATCTTCAAATAATGGTTTACAATCTTATCCTTAACCCTCATCAAAAGATGCCTTTCTGGTACTTAAAATTTTTCTGTTCTTTTAACTTTAATATCCTTCAGCTTCTTAAGTTTCTTATAACTTTGGAGGGTCTTCAACTATGATGTCCTCGTATTTTTTAAAGAATTCATTCATATTTAAGATATGAGGAAAGTAAACTCTATCACATATTTTCTTCCTTTAAAAGGTAGTATAATCTAGATCAAACCTATTCAGTTACAGCATTAGAATTGGAGGAAGAGCTTTGAATCTTACACCTTTAATAGCGTCAACCTGTTAAAATTTATTCAAAAAAAATATATCTCCCTCTATTTATAAATCTTTTATTTTACTTTTTGGTTACACTTTTCACAGAAATACTAATTGTCTTGCTGCAATTCTACGCTTTTCACAAAATGTTTCATACACTTTTCTATGGAGTTGTTTAGAATCTTTTATAAAATATTATATTTTTATTCAAATTAAATTTATTTTCTAAGTTTGTTAGAAAAAATTAACAAAAATTTCATCGCTTTAAAAGAAATTGAGATTACATCATCAAAATCGCTTCTTATAATCAGCTGTAAATCTAAAAAGTTGTCATTCCTAATTGAATCAGTCTTACACTATTTGCAAAATACGAAATTTTCTGTTTGCCCTTCATATAAATCTCTAATCCACTAAGATTCCTTGTTGTTATCAAATGACTATTCTATCGCATCAAATAAAACTCTGCAGAATTCTTGAACATCCTACTGCTAAAACATTTAGCTGTTAGTCCAACCAAATGTATTTATTAGTGGTTTTGTATCAATAAAAGATCTATTGGTGCATAATTAAAGACGAGAAAATAATATTTATAGCTATAAAGGAAGACAATCTTCCTCTTTGTTATGCTTTTTAGGATTATACCTAATAATTAATAAAATACCAAATTAATTCAACAAATATTTTCATTTTCTATTGATATTTAATTCATTACTTCCACTCATAAAGTTTTTATCTAAATTGATGAGTCATAAAAAGAGATTGCAAAAGACTGTTCATGTAACATGTCGCTCCTTAGTTAGATAGACCTAAATATTTTTTTGAGCTTAACCTTTGATATTCATGATCTTCCTTTTATTCTTTTTCGTTTTGCTATTGTGACTATTCTTCACTTTATAACTTACTTTCCTCTGTATTGCTCATTCCTTATTGATACTTACTTGCTTATCCGAAATTTAAAATTCTATCGATTCTACAAGATTTTTTGATGAAAATTAGTTATTTGTATTTATATTTATTTATTAGATCGATCGATTATATATTTGTGAAAAACGAATGTTGCCTTATTAGATAGATAAATTAATTAAGAATTTTTATTATAGATACTATTCAATTCCTATAAAAAATTGATTATTCTATTAAAGTTAAAAAGATATTCTTACAAGATCACTAAATATATTTTTATGTAGGCTGTCCTTTTCTGATCTCTTTTTTTGATGTCTATAAAATTGTTTCTTGAACATTACCAGTTAAAATTGATTTAAGCCTCACTTTGTTATTTATATTAGTTTTCAAAAAATCAGTAAAAATAAAAAACGACAACTGCAGGATTCGAACCTGCGCGGGTAAACCCAAAAGATTTCTAGTCTTCCTCCTTAACCACTCGGACAAATTGTCTTGATGAAATTTATTGTTTTAAAAACTAATCTATTTTGTTTTTTCATAAAAAATTAGCTTAGTCTTTCTCAAACAAAATTCTATCAAATAAGTAAATCAAATTAATGACTATGTTAAAAAGCACAAATATTAAATAATTTTACTTTATCATAAATTTTATTTTAGTTCTTATCACAAAATTTTCAATTAAAATTATACAATACATTTTAAATAATTATAAAGCTTTGAATAATTTTATTATGATTTAAATTCAATATTGAAAACTCTTTTGAAATTTTTAGTGGAAAAATATTTTATTATTGCTTTTTAATTTTGTTAAATTAATTCACTTTATGCTTTTAAAAAGAAATTCTATTAAAAAAATAAAAAAATCGACAACTGCAGGATTCGAACCTGCGCGGGTAAACCCAAAAGATTTCTAGTCTTCCTCCTTAACCACTCGGACAAATTGTCTTATTGATGTTTAAGCAGAAGATTAGAGTAGAATATTTTAAAAATATTTATTGAATTCAATTTATATTAATAACATAATATTACAAGATAATTTCATTAAAAATGAATAAAAGAAATATATAATTTTTAAACTATCTCATATTATTTGTAAGTGAAAATTTCTGTCTGTTTATAAATAAATAATGACACTACAATTAAATTTATTTTATTTGAAATTTAAAACAAAGTTTGATATGAACACTTTCTTTAAATAACAAAAAGTGTTAAATTATTTTTTTAAAGGCTATCAATCTTCGTTTCTCCTCATGTACTCTTCAGGATCGAATTCGTTTTGAAAAGAATCTTAGTTTTATTCTTAATTTTAATTTTAGTTTTATTAAGGATGATTATTTAGATCTATTTCAACATTTTCTGGATTTTCATTATCTTTTAACAAACTATCTTCATCTTCTTCAGGCATCTCAAATTTATATTAGTCGAGATACTCATTAACAATTCTTTCATAAGTTTGGTTGTTATTAAAGATTCCATACACAGTGTTCTTTTCAGATTAAGAATAGGAGTTATAATTTTAATACTATAATTCTTATTCAGAAGAACCACCAATATAGTTTTAGTGGAAGCAGCACTTTAATTAACGGAGGAAAGTAGCTATTTCAGGCATCTAAGAGGTGATTTCGATACCAAGAAATATTACTATTATAATTAAAATAAAAAGAATTGCTACTTTAAATAACCATCCTGCTATGATCATTTAACTCGCTGACGATAAAGCAAACATAAGCAAGAAGCAATTTACTATTATTTTTGATAAATTTACCAATATTAAATATATTTGAAGTCTTTTTTTCTTCAGTTTAATTTTTAGCATTACCAGTAATGCAAACATTATTTAAATTATTGCAACCGAGATGATTTAAGCACCATATGTTCCTATAAAGATAACAGTAAATAGCACTACTAAGTATTTGTTAATAATTTAAATTAGATAGAAATTTCTGTTTATTTTGTCATTTTTCTTTAATTTATTAAAGAGTACTTAATTTTCTTTATCCTCGAATTTAGCCTTACTCATATTTATCAAGTAAAATGCGAAAGCAAATCCAAGCCATAAAAACAAAAACGTAATTACAGCAAGGATAAATCCAGTACTGGCTAATGGTGTAGTGAAAACTATATTAGTACATTAAATTGCTGCCAATAAAAATAAATCTCCTGCAAAAAATTAGTAGACTCTGAGTATGAATGTCTTTCTAGCAGAATAAGTCTTATATAAAAAGCTATATTTTTGCTGAGGAAAATTATAATAAAGCAATAATACCAAACCAAATACTGCATTAATTGAAAATAAAACGATAAAGTGAATAGTTCCATTATAAATAAAATTTGATGGTAATTCGTAATAAGTGTAAATTGGTTCATTAATTTGTTATTAATCGATTATGACATATTATTATTACTATGTTTAAGTGATGTTATAATTAGTCAAAAATGCTGATCTCATTATATTGTTTAAGTTAACAAATGAATAGTATCGCAGTTAATATAAAGTATTGTGCATTGTGTCAGGTAGAGGATAACTTATGTAATATGAATAACCCAGAGTTTAAATAAAATCTATGCTATTCATGCCAAGAAATTGATTTCCAAAAGCGCTAGTTAATATTGAAGCAGGAAATATTGCCCACAAAAATATTGTATTAAATACATCTAAAGCTTGATTTGTTTTATCTTAAGGATCACATTATGGCTGATAAGATTCTGAATAATCTCCTAAGCAGTAGCATGTATTTTTGTAGCCAGGAATTCCATTATAACCTCTGCTCACATCTAATTATAAGTTGAAATAATTTAATATGTAAATTTGTTGAAATTTTTATACCTGAGCATTCAATACAAATAAATGGAGAAGAAGAAACGCAGGAATTACAAGAAAAATGACAATTTTATGTATCTAAACTGTTGTTGATAGACTAATTGTCTAAGCATAAATGTTACTTTACAATAAAGTAAGCAATAATAAATTACAGGTAAAATCTCATAATTTATAAAATTCTTTGATTGAAAATTAACCTAATTTTTATAAGTTTACAACTATTTTTTAATTTTGAGAATAAAAGTATTTAAATTAATAAATGTCTTAAATAAAATATATTTTTTTACCTATCTTATTTGCAGCTCAAATTTCATAAATTAATTTATATATTATAGTTAGTGTTATTTAAATTTAAAGAAATACTTTATTTAAAATTTTGCTGATTTTCATGAAAAGTCAAGAAATACTAAGCAAATTATCTAAAATTTGTATTTTATTATATTTTTTTTAAATGAAGTAGAATCTATATGTATTCGGCACTATTCGTTAAAGAATAAATTGCCATACAATTACACAAACATATTTTTAGCAACATTACTTGTTTATATATAATTTTAGAAAACTCTCAACTTATAATGATAAAAAAATTAAATATTTCAAGCATTAATATTTCTAATTTTAATTGGCTAGATTTATTTTAGTTATTTTTTTTTAGATAAAATAAATTGATTGGACTAAAATTATTAAAAAATTATAATAAATTAATTAAAATTTTTTATTAAATAAATAATTTTGGATGATATTAATATTTTTAAACTCTTTTTCAATTTATTTTATAAATTTCATTTTTTTTGTTATTTTATGATTCAATTTTTATGCTCAGATATATCAACCTAATTTACAATTTGTTTGGTTTTAATATTTAAAGTTAGAAAACACATTTTTTTTATTTTATAATTTATTAATAATAAGATAATTATTTTAATAATATGATCAAATAAATATTCTATTACTTTCAGATTTATTATTTGATAATAATTACATTACTTTGACAGAAAATAGTAAAATATAGTTTATATATAAAAATATAAAAATAATGATGAAGGTTAGATGTTTATTACAGTTACCACTATATATATTGAGATTACAATTTTTAATTTATAAAGAAATGTATTGATTTATTTATCATTTATTTTGATGCTAATAATTATACTTTAGGAAAATAAAATTTATGGCTAATTTAATCTTTTAAAATTATTTGTAAAATAAATTGAGATAATAAAAATAAATTGATAGAATAATAGATCTAACTTTTCACTAAACAGATAGATCTCTTCCAATTAAATTTTAATTAGTTATAAAAACAAACTTAAAAAAAGAATAGAAATTTTACATATTTGTAACTAATAGAAAAGAATAGGACAATTTAATTATTAGCAGGCAGTCTCCTAATACTAGCAAATACTAATCACATAAAAAAAGAATATACTAAAATCGATCACACAATTTAAAATTATAGTTTAAAAAATTAATATGGGAGCAAATCAATCAGTCGATTTATTGGTCGGCGAAAAATTTGAAGAAACATCTTTTAATTTAAGGAATGATACTCATTTAGTTAGAGAAATGAACACTGATTTATACGGAGAATCGCAGTTAATGTAATACAAGGAATCTCTACATCATCCTTATTTAGTCTTGAAATCGCGCTTGCTTGCTAGTAAATCTGAATATGAAGAATTCATCAAAGAACCTTAAAAGCGCAAAAATATGAGATCTCCTTATTTAATTCCTCTTTTAAATATTTATCAGATAAAATAATAAGACTATTGCAGTAAATACTTCAAGGTATATATGCTCTATGCATATTGCGAAAAAACACTTTTTGATGCCATGATTGAAATGAATGAGTTGTAGTAGACTTTCAAGGAATAAGAAATTATTCAAATGATTGAAAATGTCCTTCAGGGATTAATTTTTTTGAAATAAAATGGAATTTCTCATGACACAATTAAAGCTAGTACTATTGCTATAGCTAATAACTCAGATAGTTAAAATGTTAGTGGTATTGCAGATTATCTTTGTAATAGCTATAAAAAAGTAAATACAAGTAATTCTGCTAACAAGTAAGCTAACATAAATCAAGATCTTGAGAACACTAACTTTTTAAGTTTAGCAAATGTGAAATATTAAATAGCTGATTCAAAATTCATGCACAATGGAAAAGATGCATATACTTCAGCTATTTTAGGGGAGAATTAAGATTTCTATTTATCACCTTAGCTTTTTACCAGATTGAAGCACAGATATGTTTAAGGATTCAATGCAAATAAGCCAGAAGAACAGCGTTCAAACGAAGTTTCATAGGTTTTCAGCTTAGGTCTTGTTGCAATAGAGATGGCAACTCTAAAAAGCGTTAGAAAAATTTATGATTTCGATTATTATAGTTTGAATAAGGGAAAGCTGCTTGATAAATTAGGCCTTATTTCCAACCTTTATTCTCCTTAGCTTGCTTACATTATCGCTAAAATGATAACATTCAGTGAAAAAGATCGCTTTACTTTCAATTAGACTCTTGATTACATACATAACTATTAACAAAATCCTCAATAATTTCATGATATTGACTTTATACCTTCAATGATTTTAGAAAATTATAATGCTGGTCATACAGAAGCAGATTTTCATGGAAATGCATCTCAAAATTCTTAAGTGTAAATAAAAACTTTAGAAGATGAAGATGATTTAATAAAAAGAGCTCGCTAAAATGCCTTAATTAATAAATAAGGTGATAAAAATTTTGATTAGCAGGAAGATGCAGCTAACAACATAAATATTATAAGAAATAGTAATTTGTCAGATGAACAAATTAAAAGCAGAAGTAAATCTCCAAGTATTACCCCATCAGCAAAAGAAAATTATTAAAAAGATTTTGCAACTCCAAACAAAAATATTAACAATGTTTTTACCCCAGGCTAAACCAATTCAAGCTAACACTAAAGAGGTTTAAGCACAGCATTGCATAACTAAAACTCATATACAAATTAAAAGAATACTTTTCTTTCCCCATCAGAAAATTTGTAGAGAAGCATTAAAAATAGCAATCCATAATATTCTATTTCAGAATATAATAATATTAATACTCCTTAATAATATTAGCCAGAAAGTGACTCTTAGCTTCGCTTTCATAGAGATGAAGTACTCAATTCTGCTTACCAAAGCTAAAATCTTATCAGCAGCTCAAAGAATATAGGAAGACACTCTTAGAAACCATCTAACCCTCAATCTAAAATAGCCTCTTAAGATTTAAGTAGCTATGATCAACCTGATTTTAAGTTAGATAAAGAATACGAAAAAAGCGTTGACTTTTAAAACACAGTTTACTACAATAAGATGAGACCTACTGAGCCACTAGATTAAAAAAAATACAGCCATTAATACTCTTAATCCTTGATTGCAAGCTCATTAAATAACACAATTAAAGCATAAAGTAACCCTTATACTTCTCAAAATTAAAAAGTAGAGTATTAGATTAACCAAAATAAGATTGATCAAAACTTAATTAATTAATAAGAGCGTATTAAATAGAGTAGTTAATCGCACAATCTCTACAGCAAGAATTTAAGTGAAATATTAAACGAAAGTAACAACATACAATTCAATAACAAATTCCCTAATAACTCCAAATCTTAATTTATCTCTCCACAAATACATAATGATAATTCAAAGTAATTTTTTATTTTAAATTTCAAATTTATATAACAATTTTTATTTACTTTTAATTTTGATAAAGAAATAAATATTTTTTAATTTTTAAGATATAAAATTTTAATTTTGAATAAAATTATCAAAATAATTTTAATCAACTTTTTTTTGATTATATGATGAATTTATATTTTAATTTTTTTATTTTAAAACTATTAGCATAAAAATAAATCCACCATAAGTTAATTTATCACCTAAGCAGAATAATTAAGAATAGAAATACCAAATGCGTTTGCCTTCTCAAAAAAGTCTTAGAAGTGAAAGTTTGATTGGAAGTCATTTAGATATAGATTAATAAAATTAAAAATATTCATTAAAATTCTCTCCTAAAAATATATCTCATGCACAATAATCTCCAAACTTCTTTAAGAGTCAAAATTAAACATCTGAATTAAAAAGATCTGCCCCTTCTAAATCAGTTCATGTATCAAACCCTTCTGAATTATTTAATTAGAATGGTTAAATTTTAAACTCTGACTAATTTAACAGAAATAGATAGCATATTAACAAATTTATTTAACAACCTTTAAACTAAAATATGCTTCAAGTTCCTTAGAAGCAGCAATACTACTTCAAAAATTAAAATTCTCATAATTCATCTGCCCAGCAAAATGAAGATTCTGTTCAAATATCTGTGGCAAATGAAACAGATATGAATAAATAAGAATATCCTTAATAAATGATATATAATTTTGATGCAAAGTTGATTTAAGATACAAAAGATAGATAGTTGTTTGTCCCTCAACAATCGCAATATTTACAAATGAGTAATGGATAAATTTAGGGTATTCAAAGTAATGGTAATAAGATGAATATGCAAAATTTTGAGAGGAGAAGTAATATGTCAGAATAAAACAATAGTTAGGTAAATTTGAGTTAAAATTTGCAAAATGTGGTTGAGTCAAGCTAGCCAAATCACATCCAAAGCACTAGTTACAACTAATTGTAAAAAAAAGAAAACCAAAATATTTATTAAAGCAAATCGAATACCCCTATTTAGCAATCATAGAATCAATTAAATGTTTTAAAATATTCTTAAAGACTTTAAAATTAAGATATTCCTATCTAATAATTAAAGAGCTAGAATTTAAATAATAATTATCTATTTTAGTCTTCAAATTCAATCGCCATAGCTCATAACTTGATAAACGGAAGTGGCCAAATAGACTAAAGCAACAGCATAAAGGAGTAGCCATTTATTTAACCACCAGTTTAGAACGTGTATTAATTTTATTAGGATAAATCAAACAATGTGAGCTAGACCGATAGAGTTAACATTAAAAGTATTATAAAAGAAAAAAATACTGAAAACATGCTTGATAACTCGCTGATAGATTAAAATTTGCTAATAAATGGTCCACCAACTCCTCGCAAATCAATTAGAGGTAGCAAAAACATGTACCGTTTATATGAAAAATCACCAAATAAAGATGATCTGCACTATAAATTAGAGAAAGTTTCAATACCCGAAGAAGAATATAGCAAAGATGTTTAATAAACAATTAAAGAGTTAGAATAAAAAATTAAAGACTTTGATAATAAAATGTAAAAGTAAAAAATGGGAACTAGTTAGTAAGAAATGTATAAAAATAGTCAAGAAGAACAACAATCTGCTTTCTAAAAGTTTTTAAGTTCTTTCAGCTGTAAGACAAATTAAAATGTCATTTAAGATTAATAAAAATAAAATACTGATAATATGCCTACTTAGAAAACACCACTCAAGTATCTCTTTACTGAAGATAGAATTTCTCCTGAAAGATTCCCTATATCAGAAGATGAATACTATAATCATTTTGAAAACCGTAATTCTAATTCTCAATAGAGATTATCACCAAATCCATACAGCAACAGCAGGCAAAATAGCTTCTATAATACCTCAATGAACCAAAGATAAAATATTAGTAATAGCAAATCTCCTGTATAAAATTCAAGGGACATGAAAGCCTTCTTCCAAAAAACAGCTCCATTTGCAGAAAATTATAATTGATTAAAAAATTTTCCATTAATAAGAAAAACATAAAACATGTATAAAGAATTAAAATAAATCATAGAATATTTAGATGTAAATTAAAATCAAAATAACAAATAAAAAAACTAACTAACTACTAAATTAGTGTATAAACAATGAATATTTAGAAAAAACAAACTCAAAAATTATTAAATATTTTAAATTTGTATAAATATAAAAACAATACTTAATCTTAGCTAAGCTTGCAAGTCCTAAATTTTATTTATACTAAAATATAGTTAATTTATATTGTAAATAATATCTTAGTATTTTACTTAATTTTTCAAATTTCATTTAAATTTCATCAATCTTTCATTGATTCTTTCATTTATTTTTTACGTTTTTTCATTCATTGATTCAAAGACTAATGCACAGTGAATCCTTATTGTGCATTTTTTTTATTTTAGGAAAAAAAATTAAATAAACATCTTTAATTGAGATATAAATAATTTTATTTCTTTAAATTATAGGTTTCAATTTAAAATTTAATTTAATTTTTCCTTTAAATGTATTAAAAATAATAACATTTTATAAAATATTTAAAATTGATTAATCTTTGAACAAAAGTATTTTTATTTTATTTTGATAATTTATTTTTAATATTTATAATAAGCAGGTTAAAAGTTTTTATATCACCAATAACTGCCTTAAATCTTAATGTTTCTATTTTAGTCTTTTTCTTATTTAGTAAGTAAGATGAATCTGCATTTCATATTTTAGGTAGACTTAAGCAATATTTTTTTGTATCTGTACCATCATCTGTAACTTCTTCAAGATATATTAATGCATCTCTAGTTATTTAATCAATAATTACAATATTTATAACAAAATAAATAAAATTCTTATTAAAATAAATAGTTTTAAATGCTAAAAATAAAATTTTTATCTATATCAAAAGTATGATAGCTTTTTCTTCATTATAATGGAGATTATGAATAACTATTTCTCTTAAGAATATAACATGATTTTATCAAAAAAACTCAAAACCAATTAAAAATAATTGAATGTTGAAAAATCCAAAAGTAATTTGTTTTAAATTTACTAAATTCTAATATAAACTGTTGTATTATTTAAATTTAAATCTGCAAACAACAAACAAATTAATTATGTTTCTTAATAATAATATAAATAAATTGCAGCAATAAATTTTTTTTCAATCAAAATAGAAATTTTGGATAATTTGAAATTAAAAAAATTTGTTCAAACAATTAATTATTTTTGATACTTTTTTAAGGTTTTAGATACTTTAGATTGACTAATTGATTAACAGCTATAAATAAATTAATAAGATAATCATAGTATCACTCACTAAATAGAATTTGATAAAAATTAATACATTAATGCAGGTTTTGGATTAGGCCATAACAAATGTTAAGTATAGAAATACTCCATTTTTTAAATTTGTAGACGACTAAGTTCATGCTCATAAAGAAGAAAACAATTTTACTTAAAAAAAGCGCAAGAAATCTATTTTTTCAAGATTAACTTAACTAGTTATTTCTATGATCCTACAATTGATATTAACTATTTTAGTAGTCTTTCCCTATATAATATTTTCAGCATTTTTGTAGATATTAGCTTACTTTTGCAAATTTTGGAAATAGGAATCTAGTTTCTCAAAGCATTTTATTAATCCACTTTTGAAGATTATATTTATAACATCCTCTCTTTTTCTTTTCTTTAGATGCGCATATGATTTTAAGCATTTCAATGAAGTCTAACATTTATGGTTCTTAAATGCATTCTACTTATTTGCCACATAGATGCTTATATCAACTTATATCAAGAGCATTAAGCACGATAGCAAACTTAAGCAGATTTTTAGCTTGAAAAACCTGTTCTCTGAGGATAATATTGCTATCAATGTATTTGATATTGAAAATAAATCAACAAAGTATGTTTTTGATATTAGGACAAATAGTAAGTTGTGGAAGAAGGAGTATGAGAATATTTTACTAAAACTAGAAGTTGATTTAAATGCACAGGTTTTTAATAATTTCTTTAGCTCAAATTACAACCCATAAATATATGAACAAAAAGGTTTTTAGTTTGTTAAAAATTAAAATGAAGAGTTACTCATTGGTAGATGGCTTTATCCTGTATTAAGCTTGATGGCTTTTATAAAAATGACCTTGACAGCTGTTTATTTTTATTAATAAAATAAATTTCAAGACTTAAAGGATATTTTTTATTTGGTTATCCTTTCGTTATTTTATATAAATCTTACATGGATTTTGAGTAAGACTTTAGGAAACTACGATTTGAGGCGTAAAACAGTCATGCTAAGACTATTGAATGATTAACTAGTTATGAGTGGTGCAGAGATAGACTATCACTAAAAGTTAGATGTACTTTCAGTCAGGAGCTTAGAAACTTGGGATAACGTAAGAAGGGCTGTTTTGGAATTTTTTAAATTCAAATAATAAAGTTTAGAAGCTTGCTATGTGTGTTTATTTTTCTATTATTTATTTGTTGGCATAGCATGTTTAACAGCTTATGGAGATATTTACATTTTCCTATCCAAAAATTCTATCTATCTAGATCCCATAATGATTATATCGAATACAATGGATTTTATTATCCTGAACATCATTCTATTTACAAGAATATATAATGGATAAAAATTTAATAATACTTTTTCAGAAACAGATGACCAACTAGATTCAATAATTGGAGTAGTAGAAGACCTTCTATAGATATATGATTATTATTTCAATAAATCCCTAGATGGTGAACCTATTGATGAAAAGTTGTACTTTGAATTAGCATTTCGATCAGATTAAAAACTGAATGTGAGCTATCTACCTTTATAGTCCCCTAAAAAACCTAGCTCACCTAACCCATTTAATGTTCCTTCTTAGAGCTATATAGATTAAGTCATTGATTTAAATAAGGTAGAGTCTTCTAATATAGATGCACTACAGATACTAGCACCTAAAATCAAATCAAATGTTTCAGAAGTCAGAAGTGAATATGGATCTCGTCCATCACATAATACAGAAAAAACTGAAAGATAATAAAATGATAGTTTTTAATCATTTGATAATCCTCCTGATTTTTATACAATTTATGACATTTTTGTAGCTAAGATTAAGTACAATGCCAAGTTTACCATTGATGAAAAAATAGATTTTATGGGTAAACCATATGAATTGAATTTTATAAAATAACTCCAAATTGAAATGCTATAAAGTGCATATAAGACTCTCAAGAGAATAAAATAATAAGTTGAAATAGACTCAAAAACTTTTTGCTATAAATTCTTAGGATTGATTAAAGTAGAGTATCAAGAAACTCTTATAACAGTAGTTTTAGCAATTCTAACTGTGATGCCATAAATTTTAACTAAACTTATTAATATTTTTAAATAAAATGAGTGAAATTATAAATTACCTTAATTTTCCTGCTTTTAAATTTTATTTATCCTATATTCGTAATAATATGAGTTTATTTTCAACTGATTTTTGATAAAAATAAATTGTTATATATGGCTATTAATTTTATTATGTATAATCTAAATAATATCATAGCTTTATAATACAAAATAAAGTTTTAAAATATTAATTTTTGTTTATATTTATTATTGATTTTTGTAATATAATTTAAATATAAATGAATAATTTATAAAAAAATAATAATAATTAAGAAATATCTAAAAATGAAAAAGCAGAAATAACTGCATTGAAAATATCATAATCTTAAAATAAGATATAATTTTGGATATCTCTTCTTATCATGAAACATTTTTGAAAAGAATAAGAATAATTAATCAATCAACAAAACATTTTTAATAAATCAAAAATAAAATGAATATTTTAGAAAAATTTCTTTAAGTTTTTTTTAAATGACTGAATCTAACAAGTTTTTTAAAACGAATGAATCTAAATTTATATAATGATTGATATTACTTAAGCTAATTACAACTTCATCACAAAATAAACTTAATTTGTTAACTAAATTCTAATTTGAGTTGTTTCATTTTTGATGCGATTATTGTTTTTATTGAAAGCAATTTATTTGTACTAAAATAAAATAATGAGTTATTTTATTTATTATAATTGAAAAAAGAAACATTTATATACAAAAATAAATAAATTTCATATTTAGAAATTCATGAAATGTAAATTAGAATCGTTAAAATGTTTCATAAGAGCTATGAATCTGTGGATAGATGAAATGAAGATTTTCAATTATTTTTATTTTATGCTTTATCTTCATTTGTTTCTTCTCCTTCAGATTCGGATAGATCGCTTAAGAATTCAATATTATCAGGAAGTCTTGGCTTTGGTCCAACAGTGACACCAAATATATTGCCAGTTTATACGTCATGTAATTTTTCAGCTAAGGAGATAATTTATTCATGTAAATTTTCTTAGATAATTATATTTTTATTTTAAGAAAAAACTTTAGAGCATATTTAAAGATACTCTTCATAATCAACTCCAGTTAAAGCCATTTGTCTATAAATAATAAGAAGCTACTTGTAAGATATTGCTTCTACCTTTTGCTTTAAGAAGAAGGCTTCAAAAAGTTAGAAGAAGTCACACAAGTCGTGAGGACAGAAGTCTAAGAATTCTGATATGTAATTAGTAAAAGTATTAGATAGCTATGCTCTACCTGCTGTATGGTTAATTATTTCTGAAGCAATTTGGTTTAAAAGTGACGTAAGAGCATTTTAGTCTGCAAATTATCTATATTTCACTGCCAATTTAGTTTAGTTCAGTAATACGTCATTATAAATTTTAAAGTTTTATGCTTGAATCATTGAGTTTTCAATAATTTAAGAAATTAAATATAAAATAATATCTCTATGCAAATCCTTAGAATCTGTTCTTTTATGTTTAATTAACTCAGATATCAGCTGATCGATCTCTTCAAGAGATAATTTCTGTAAGATGTCATTCATATTGAACTTGACGAAAAAGTTTACATCTATTCCTTATACTTTATTTTTTAAGTCAAATAAAAAGAGAGAAAGGGTTAACGAATCGAGATGAATTTGAAGTGGGTTAACTAAATCGAATGTTCCACTCTATTCGCAGCCAACTATTTCTTCTCCTCTTTAAACCAACTCGTTTATGCCAAGTCTGATAATGAACTTGCCCAATGAGTAATTTATTTGCTTATTGCTAATGCACTAAACTATACTTTCAAGTTCTCCTTCAAATATATTTGGAAGTTCTTCAAATCTAGGATTATTACTTAATATTTGAAGAATAAGAGTCATTTGCTCTGCAGTGACTTTTTATCTTTCCACTTAGTTGTATGCTTCTATGAAAAAATGATAGTCAGATGAAGAAGATAAGTCCAATCCCAAATCAATCAATTTATTTAATTGTTTATTCATAAAAATATGATATAAAAATATATTCAAGCGACCTGAGTGCATATTTTCAATTTACCAAATAACTTATTCTAATTCTTTTTTTTATTTATATAAAATGCTTAAAACTGCTTAGATTGATCTGTCCTTTTTTTAATTATCAACATATGATTTTTAATCTTCTTATTTCTGAAAAGCTTCTCCTTCTTCGTCAAATTCATCTAATCTATCATCTTCTTTTTAGTTTTTTTCACTCATACTTTCATTTTTATTTCTTATTTCTTCTTATTTTTGCTTTTGATCTGCTATTTTTATAGTAGTTGAAACTGCTTGCATACGGATTCTATGAAAATCTTGATATTTTCTGCGCTAAGCCTGATACAGCTAATCTAATTAATCATTAGTAAGTCTGAATAGCTTAAATAATCTGAATAAGAAAATCAAATTCTAGCTGTTATGGATGCTAAATATCTTATCAGAGAACTAATCGATTTGTTTCTAGTTCATGTAGATATCCTAATTAAACTTATGCAAATTTCCTAAAATCTAATTGTCTACAACATCTTAAAATGGCCTATAGTTATATTTGTTCTTAGCAGTTAAACTATGTAAGCTAAGTGAACAATTTTTTTTATTTTAGATAAACCTCTACAAGATATTCATATTAGTCAAATAAATTTGTATTTACTATTTTTAATTAAAATTTTAAGATTTTTCAAGAAATATCTTTTGTTTTTGCATACTAAAATAACATATACATACAGCTGAATATAAATAATCCAAAATTTAAAAATTCATTTGATTACTTGTTAAGCATAAATAAATAAATACAAATTTTACTATTTAATTTTAAGTTAAAACAATAACTAAAAATACTTTAAAATGTTTTCATTTTATCATACTATTTTCTATTAAATAGCAAACTGCTCCTCCTGATTTTATCTGATTATTCAACAAAAAAAAAAATCATTAAAAGTTTAAATTAAAGCTTTTTACTTAGTTTATTTATTTGTAATTTTAAAAATCTAACAAAGTAGGCTAATTTAGATTTTAAAGCTATCCATTACCTAGATTGCCATGCTCATTCCTATATAATTTAAAATTTAAAATAAAATAAACAAATTTCACAATAATAATTACCATCCCCAGACGTAGATTCCCTTATCTGACTTGACATAATTAGCCTCTGAACCACATTGAATTAATTCTATATCTCCTTCTACTCCCTATAAATAAATGCTACTCAACATAATAGTTTTTTTTATAATATTACTTGAATTTATGTGAAGGAATTCGAGTTTTTTAGCTATCCATCTCCTATTTACCCCATATCTCCTCTTCCAGCAGAATATAACTTTTTATCACCTATATTTAGTTATTTAGATTTAATTAAGTTTATTTAAAAGTTAATTATCAACTTTTAAGAATCAATAAATGGTTCCATCCAGCAGATACTTTAAGCACATCGTTAGAGATGCAAAATACCTTTTCATAATTTGCTTCATTTCCAGTTAATTGACCATATTTATTATCTCCCCAGCTATTAAAATAATATTTCGAATAAAAAAAAATAAAAAATAAATTTTTTTTGATTGATGACTTATTTTATTAAGTAATTACCCATATAACTGGTTACTGTTATTAAGAATACAACCAAATTTATATCCGCAAACAAAAGTTTAAATAGACCCTACTGTATCAAGAAGAGATTGGTTTTATTTAAAATTGTAAATGATATTTTCTCCTTTAAAGCCTCCTAGTTCAAAGCTTTTATTTTAACCTGTACAGTAAAATTTATATGAATATTAAGAAGTATCACTCTCAGTATTTTATTGTTTTGTAATAATAAAACTTTATCTAAAGGTGCACTTAATATCCATAATTTCATGATGCACTACATCTTCTAATTAGGTTTCTGTGAAAGGAATTATTTAAGGAACTACAGACAATTTTTTAGAATTCCCTAAGCCTATTTCTCCAAATTTATTTGACCCAACTCCATAAATTTGGTGATTAGCTTTATTTTATTTTCAAAATAAACTTAAGATATAACTTATATAAATTACCATCAACAAACATAGCATGAGACCATCCACATGATATTTTAATAACAGGGACACTAAATGATTTAATTTACTTTGGAATAGGATTAACAACAGGCTGTTAATTTATAATTTAATTTAAATAATCCAACTTTAAATAAAAATTTAATACTTTATTCTTTTCATCATATTCACATTCTCCAAATTTAAATACTTCTCCTTTAGAATTTAAGTAGAATCCCATCATTCCGTCTATTTCTAGTGAAGTAATCTATAAATTATCTCCAAAAACTGACTTAACATCAATTTATTTAAAAGTATAAATGTCTTCTAATGATCCATTCAATAGCAAACCAGAGCTTCCTGAACCAACAGCCCAAAATTATTAATAATTTGAACCTTGACTGATATCTTCCATTAAATAATTATTATTTAGAAATAAAATAAGATTGTTTTACTAATAAAAATAAAGGTATTTTTCAAACCAAATATAAAGAGAAATTATTAATAATAGATTGATTAATAATTAATTTTTATATATTAAAACTAATTATAAAAAATATTTTATTTCTTTTAATTATATCATTTTATTTAATAGGATAAACATTTAATAATAAATATCTTTATATCCCAATACATTTAAAATTTAATATTATTAGATTTTTTCAATTGATTGATTAATAGATATTTTAGTTTTAATCTTTTAACAAAAACTATTTTATACAGATAAATAATATCAACATACTTAAAAAATAAATATTTTATAAAAACTATTAAATTATAATTTCGATATACCTAAGCTTTCAGACCTAAAGATATTTATGATTTAAACTTTGATTGGTATCTGATATTAATTATCATAAATAAAAGTAGAATACTTTATAATTTTAAAATAAAAAATAGCCTTTAATTAAAAAATTTATTGATTGATATATGGATTTATTCTAAAAACAAAAATATTTACTGTAATAAATAATAAAAACTATTTAATAAAATAAATATTTTATAACAAGTACCGTATTTTTTATTTTTGTAATAATTTTCTCAAAAAAGTATATATGATTTTATACTAATAGAGGAATTATAGTTGCTAAATATCAATGATGAGCTTCCTGAGTTAACAGTAGTAAAATATTTTAAAAAAACTTTGATTGATTGATGTCTTCCTGAAATTTATTATTATGAATAAAATAAGAATGATTTATGAATTTTAAAATGAAATATATTTTCAAATTATATAAAAATAAATAAATAAATGTGATAAATTGATTGATTAATAGTTATTTTAGGTTCAATCTATAAACAAAAACTATTTTATATAACTAAATAAATAAATAAACAAATTTAATTTATAATTTATTATTCATTAATAAATTTTTATTATTATAAAAATGCACAATTGTTCAATTTAATTTTCTCTATTTTATATTTCATTAATTTTAATATAGGCTTATCAATTTGTTGTATAGTTAATTGTTATCAGTATCTAATACTTTCTTTTTAAACTTCTCTATTTCTATTTATTTCTATAAATATTTTAATTTAGCTTGCAAGATAATGAAAAAATTTACTTATAAAATATTTAAATTTTCTTTGTTATCTAAATACTCACTTTCTAAAGTCTACAGACTAAAATTAGAAAATATATTTTAAACACTTCCTTTTTATTTTTTGTATCTTTATAGCTATTTTTATCAATAAATTATTTTGAATACTTTTTAGTTTTAAAGAAAGTTATTTACTTAGTCTAGCTAAAGGAAACAATTCATGTTTTTTTTCAGATAGCTAATTGGTCTTTCTTCATCTTTCATGAATTTATTAGCTAAATATTTAACCTCTCTTATGTTGTTAAATACTTTATTATTTAATTCCAATTAGCTTTGTTCTGAGAATAAAATATTATTTTTGTAACAACTTTCAGATTCTGTTACCTAAGTTAACTTTTAGTACTCATTTAAATCATCTGGCATAGTCTCTTAAGTTGCTTAAATTTTAATCTATTCTATTATTAAAAAGTAATTAACTTGTAGAATTTTAAATGCTGTTAATCATACGCTATAGACTTTCATATTTTTGCTTGTATTCAATTAGCTGCTTCTGTAATTCATTAATTTTGCTAAGATTATCATCTTTATTTTCTACTTTTTTTGGATCTTTACTATTTTCTAGTATTTCATTTAATTTTTAAATCTATTTTTTGTACTACGATTAAGAGATTTTTGCCATTTTTAACTCTGTGGTAAGCTCTTAAACTTAAAATTAAAGTTCTTTTTATTATGTTTCTTGTGATTTAAGCTTTTCTAGTACTTACACATATTGATTATTGCTAAAATTACTAATGCTATTTGAACTAATATTTTAAGAATTTCTTGATTAGCCTTCTAAGCTTCTAACATTATTATTTCCAATACTTTAGCGCATTTCAGAAATATAATCTATTTAATTTTTGACTTGCAATTGTAGCTTTTTTTCTAAAATAGCTTTCTCTATTTTAGTTTGGTTTAGCTCTTCAATTAAATTTTAAATTTAAATTGTGTATTGCTGCTCAATAAGCTCCTTTAGTTTATTTTTGACATTTATTGAGCTACAGTTCTCTTAAAGTGATGAAAACTATTTGAATAAATTTTTAATTAATATGAAAATTTGTTTTAATTGTGTATTATGAAAAATAAGAAATTACATACACGCTACAAGTTCTTTTCAACTTCAATGCTCATCTTGAAATCTTATTTATTTAAAAACTCTTAAAATATTTACTAAAATTGTAATAAAAAAGCATTTTATATAGAATAGTTAATCAATGTTTACTTGTTGGTGTTTTTTATTCTACTGATAGATCTAACCCACTTTAAGAAACTCTCTTCTGTTTTTGATAAATCGATCCTCCTGCATCGCTACTCTTAACTTCTGAATCAGTGTAGTTGCTTCCTACACTTGAGTATTGGCTTAAAGTGTCAATTAATTATTCACTCATCAAAATTTTTGTGTTTTTGTATTGTAAACACTCCAAAAAAGTTAATGAAAAATATTAAAAATAACAAATTATTACAAGCCATAAATTAATTATTTAAATGCTAATTGATTATTTTTGAATTTTTGCATCAAAAATTTTTTTGTTATAAACTGTAAATTTATTAGATAGATTCATCAAATTGTTTATTTTTAAATTGATTAATTTTTAAAAATAAAGCAAAAATTCATTTAAATTAACAGCATTATTAATATTTCACTATAAAAATAATTTTAATTAATAAATTCTTATTTAATATTCATTTTTATGCTTGAAATAAGTTCTTATTTTTTATTTCACTAATAATTTAAAAAAAATAAATCCTTTTTATATTAAGATAGCTAGCTATCTATATCTTTTCCTTTCATAAAAGATTATTCCTTTCTTAATTAATTAATTCAATCTTATGACGGATATTTAGATCTAATAATATTTTCATTTTAGTCAATTTATTGTTTTTAAAAAAATAAAGAACCTTAAACAATATTTTTCAATTATTTTTATTATTTTATTTGTTTAAATAATTTAGAGTAATTTACTAAATTATTGTTTAGTGATTTGTAAAGTATTTTATGACTTTATCTAAAAGCAATATTAAATTAATTTTAATAGGTTTATAAATTTAATATTTTTTAAAATGCACAACTAAATATAGTGAAATTAATAAAAGAAATAATAATAATAATTATATATATATATATATTAAATTTATAAGCCAAATACCTAACTGAAAGAAGGCATATCATACCTTTTAAATCAAAATTATCCTGACTTTTTTTGTAAAAAAATATTATAAATAAAGTAGAAAACTTGCAATTATTCTGTCAGATATGTATGTAAATATAGTTTTTGATTAAACAAATGCATTTGTTTTATAATTGTAAATCCAAACTAATTAATTAATTCATTAATTAATTAAAGGATTATTGTTAAACAAACAAATATAATCAGATAATGCAAAGTTGAATTGAAAAATTAAAGCTTAGCAAATCAAACCAAAAGAATTAAATTCGAATTAAGTAGAAGGTAATTAATTGTTCTTTGAAAAATATACTAACTATTCAATAAGAAGTGAATAAAGTTATCATTTGTAAAACGGATAGGACTAGATTATTATTGGATGAGTAGACAACTCCTTTCTGAGTTGGTTGTCTCACATAATAAATAAACTTAAGAAATATAGCCAAGCTTTAGTGAGTTAGATAACAATAAACAGTTAAAATCTAAGTAATACATTATAGATACAAATAATATACAGTTAAAAAATAGACTTTCTAGTTAAGAGATTATTAATTTTAATGAATCTGAGTAATTAGAGGCCAATAATATCAAGAATTTTGTTAATCAATCAAATAAATATTGGAAGTAGGAAAGGGAAATGTTTGCTTCAAGCAAAAAATTGTCATTGAGCTTTTAGTCAGAAAATATTGATAACTCAAGCTGTGGTGGAAACAGTCAAAATAATTAAATAAATAATTTCAACAGCAATAACCAAAATGAAATAAAAATAGGTATTTAAGATATTTAGCTGGAAGAAAATAGCAACAATCAAGATAATACTCCATTTACTGAAATGAATCTTGATTATAATAATGTTGATTGGGGTAATAAAAACTAACTCAATTTGAATTAGTACAGCTTTATTGACTTTTAACTAAATGCTTCATAGCAGGAATATATGAAAACTTCAAATAGAAAAAGAATAAACAATAGCTACCATAGCAACACGAATAAAGATTAAAAAAATACTTCTAATTTGGAAAATATACTTTCAAATATTGACAATACTGAAGAAATCTAAAGACCGTCGGATTTTGTTTAGTTGGGTAATATTAATAAAATAGATAATGATATGAATAGCTAGAAAACAAAAAATACTTTAAATGAAATTAAGGCTGAAAAGCAGAAGGAAGAATATTAGTTTGCATAGAGAAGGTCTATTAGTATAGATTCAGCAACACCTAATACAGCTTAGTTTAAAGAAAACCACAATTATATTGCAAAATAGAACTAAAATAAAAACTATTTACAATTAGAATTTGCTTCGAAATCTAATTTTAACTCTGCTGAGTGCATGAGTCAGGATTAATTCATCAAAGAAATTGACACTTAGAGTAACTTTTCTCAGCCAATAAAAGATAAAACTGAATATACAGGAGCGATCAACACTTAAATTAACAATTCTTTATCTTTGTCTGACTACAATTCTAAAAATGGTAAAAAAGAGGTCACTCCTGTAAATAAATCACCTAACAAATACACTGCACTTTCTATCAACTAGTAAGGGAACACTTCAAATGCTTAATTTGTCTTTTCATACACTAATAAATAAGCTACTTCTTTCCCTAAATAATTTAAATTAAATGAATACTTTTTAGAAGTGCTAGAACTGAGTAACAATAAATTTAAATAACTTCCTGAAGAAATTTATCAATTTAAATAACTGAAAAGGTTAAAATTGGATAATAACTTTATTAGATAAATTCCTTAAATGCTCTTTAGCTTAATATTTTTGTAGGATTTCTCTATTTCAAATAATTTGATTTCTGAGTTACCAATAAATATTTCAAATTAGTAGAGCTTGGTTACTTTAGATATCTCTAAAAATAGAATTACCCATTTGCCAGAGCAAATTTGTAAACTTAAATAACTTTAATCTTTAAATATATCTAATAATGAGTTCACCTCTCTTCCAATTTAGTTAAAGTAGCTTATTGATGGGAATTTAAGAGAGCTCATCTTAGATTGGTTCAAATATTGTAATCCGCCTTTATCTATTTAGTAAATAAATACTGATAATAAAGTTTAGTTAAATAAATAATCTCAAGAAACCTATCAGCAAATAGGAATAGCTAGCTATTCCAATTAAATAGCAAATCACTTGAAACATGGAGGGGATGTTATCAGCCCTTTGAAGAAGCTAAGTCAGCTATTGTTTCGACAAGAATAGCAGCTTTATTACTCAAATTAATTCAATTAAAAATAAGAAAATGTAATAAAATTAAGCTATTATTAAGTAAACAAATCTTTAGGAAATCAATACAGCTTTAGCTAATTTGTAAATGAAATGTCAAGCAATGGATTTATTATAAATATAAGAAATTTCAAAGGATAAAATATGATGCATCTAGCAGCTGCTAATGAAGATATAGGAGTTATAGATAGTTTAAATTAAATAGATTTGACATTAAAGAATCATTGTGATTCAAATTAACATTCACCACTATCTCTCTCTATTTATGAAGAGAAGTACTTTTCAGCTAAGAAATTGCTACAACTTAATGCTGATCCAAATGTAGGAGGAAGTATCTATGGATCTCCTCTAAATATAGCTACCATAAAGGGGCAAATATATTTGATCCAAGACATAACATCGAAAAAGGCTAACTTAAATTTATAAGATGTAGATGGAAATACAAGTTTACATTATATAATGACAATATTTTCAAGAGATATAAGTAATTCAGCAAAAATAGCTGAAATTTTATTAGAGCATGGTGCTGATCCAAATATAAAAAATAAGGATGGATGGACTCCGTTGCATTTGGCAGTCAGGAGATCTTAATACAGTGCGGTTAATTTTGCGATTGACTACAATAAGTTAGTCTAAATGAAAAAGAATTCAGAAAATTGTTAGCAATAATAATAGGAGTATAAAAGCTTCTCAAGCTATTGCAAGCCTCCTTTTAAAGTTGGATAAAACAGTGAAAATTCAAATTAAATTTAAAACTAAATAAAAAATAGAAATTTATAAGAATTTGATTTTACTATGAAAGGGGGAGTAGATAAATGGTCTTGTTTACACATAAGTTGTTATAACAATGATGTCAAAATGACGAAACTACTTTTGGCTTTAAAAGAAATTGATTTTTTTGCTCTCAACAGAAAGAACCAAACACCTCTTTTTTTATCTTCGAAAGGTAATTCTTTATCAAAATTGATGAGGCTTTAACTACAGAAAAGGATTTATTCAGATCTGTAAGTAAGCTTTGGAAATCAAAAGCAGTAAGATTAAATTAAAAAAGCTGATGAAAATTAAAAAGACTTGCAAATAAAATTAATTACTGATGGATGTAGCAGTCCAATTAATGCTCCCTTTATTATTTAAAGCTCAGAAATAAATACAAAAAATTAATAAAACAATAATGATAAATATCCTTTATAAATAAAGCACAACTAATAGCTTTCAAACATAGGATTTTCCTTGTAGAATAATAGCATTGTTAAGCAGTCTATTCTCCCTGACCATTCTAGTATTGGGAGCATTTTAGCAAATATAACTTCTCCTTAAGAAAAATAGCTGCCATTTCAAATCCAAAAGAAGTTTGTACATAAGATATAGTCAAAAAAAGCAATTAGTTACGATTTAATAAATTTTGATGAAGATGATGAAGACAACAATGATATTTGTGAAATTTCTAATTAGCATGACGATTTTAATCTAAGAGAGTTAGATGAAAATAATCAGATCAAAGAAATTAGAAAATCAAAGGAGGGAAACATCACTGTGATGGGGAAAAAATATAATTAAAACAAATCAGTGGATAATTCATGTAAAAACTACAGCACAATAAATGATTTTGATAACTCGCCCATGGCCCTTAAAATTACTGATAGAAATTCTGAATAAAAAAAAATACAAAATTATTACTCTATTTAAAAAAGGCAAAAGTGTCCAATACCTCCTTATTAATCATCCAACACGAATAAGCATTACGACTCAAAGAGTAACTAATCAACAAACTAAATAGAGTTGTTTACTCAAAGAATATGTAAGGTGCAGCAAAAACAATTTGTTGATGAAGAGCAAAGCGAAATTCAAACAAGTAATAGTATATAAGAGCTAAGTAATCAGCGAATTAGTAGCAACTATTATTTGGGATGTAATAGCCAAAGAGATTCAATAAATAAAGTAAACATTAACAAAGGGATATATTGCAGTGATTCTAAAAACACTCCTATAAAAGATAACAATTTTGAAAATTTGAAAAATAAAATCAATAAAACAGATATTCAATAAACAAATAAGTCTCATAATTCCCAATTTGAAAATGAATTATTTGCCAAAGCTAATCAATCTATAAATAACTTAGATTTTGATAGTATTAGCTTAAATGCTGGTCAGAATATTAAAATATCTATGAAAGAATAAAAGAAGCTTAGTCATAATCTGTTGAGATATTCTCATGATGACTAGGAAGGAAATATTTTTAGTATCCCCAAGTTGTATTCGGGGGATAATCGTTAATAAATAGTTTTCCAAACAATTTAAAACATTTTTAGCTTATTTATCAGTGGAACAGTTTAATATAAAAAATCTTTAACAGAAACAATTTAATGCTTATCAGATTAATATAAATAAATTGTTATCATATTGAAGTTGTCTATAGAATCTTATTTGAGAATGTAGTAGTTTATATCAGAAAATTGCAACTATCTACCATAATCATTCAATAACAATTAAACATCATCCCTTTCCTTGAACCATATACGAACTCATACAGCTCTTCTTTTATCTGATCTTTTATTTAGCATAAACACAACTCCTATCAATTTTAAAACTTTAATGCGCTTTGTTGAAGATAAAAATGAAGAATTTTAAGAAAATCTAATTTTATAAAGACAATCTAAAGATAAATCTACTTGTCAGACTACCAGATAAAACTAACCTATCCCAGCATCTTAAGGGGATGCTGCTAGTGGATCTTAATCAGGCTAGTCCTCAGCTCGCTCATTCAGATCTAATAGTTAAAGCCAAACTTTTACTTAGTATTATTCATAACTAGTCCATTAAAAAAATTAGAACTCTAAAAAATCCTGTCTCACATAAAAAACGAATAGCTCTATTAGCGTTATTTCAAATAATTCTTCAGCTAATTAGTAAAAAGTAAAAGAAGAAAATAATAGTGATGATTAATCATAAATTAATTCATGTGAAAGTAATTCAAATAATTCATTTTTAATTAAGGAATACCTAATTTCCTCATTAGCAAAAGTTGATATATCTCCTGAATTTAATTATTCTAATCTTGAGAAGTTGCAGAAAGAGGATCAAAATATATTAATCTAATATGAATCATTCTAAACAAAAGCTTATTTTCAAACAAGAAAAAATTTACAAGATAAGAGTATAGAATTATAGAATACACCTTAAAATACTTAAAATTAAAATACATTTTAGAATACCTAGCAAAGTTCAAGTGAACGTTCTAGAAACACTCCTATATTTAAACCACCCTCTTACAAAAAAACTACTACTGCTGCTGCTACTGTTTCAAGTAGTTTAAATAGTGGTGTTAATTAAGTCAAAATTATAAGCCACAAAGAGCTAATTTCATAAAAATTATCTTAAACCACTGAAAATAACAACAAAAATTAGCATAATTAAGTTTTCACGAATTAAAGAACAGCTTTGAATACTTCTTAATAAGGTTCTTCCATAAATACCTCTAATTATAATAATAATAATTTTTACTTTGATACAACAACTTCAAACAAATAAAATTCTAATTTATCAACTATAAATTACTCTAATCAAAATCATACATCTTAGCAATCTCAACTCATTTCTAATGCATCAAACAAAAAAAATTAAAATTTATCAATAAACTCTTCAAATGTAAATATAACTCTGCAAACTTAAGTTGATACTTGTTCATAAAGAGATTCTTAACCCTAAAAATAAAATAATACATCAACAACAACAACAACAACAATAATAAATGCAAATCAGATATTTTAGTATTAAAATAAAAGCTAAAGTAGCTATAATGGATATTTTAATAGCCAAGTATTGCAAGATGTATCAAAAGATAATAAATAAATTCCTTAAAGATTATTTTTAAAACAAGAATCTTCAACTAAGACTAATATCTAGTAAAATACTTTCCATCAACCCAAAATACTAAACTTTAACAGCTCAAGTTAACTTAGTAACCCGTCTGAAAATTCAGTCATAAAGCTTATAACTAGTGAGTCATCAGAAACACTAAATATGAATGAAAACTTAGAAAATCAATTCTTAAATGATGAAGCAAAAATTACAAATAAATACTTAAATAACCAAATAAATAAGTTGCCAAAATACAAATGAAATAATTAGCAGAAAAATTATAAATTGAAACTTAAAAAAATAAACTAATAAGAAGTTTTAATAAATTTCTACAAAATGAAATAAAATGAAATTTAAATTTGTAAGTTAGTTATTTAACTGAAGTAAGCAAAACTACAAACTGATTTAAGCTTGTGTGAAACACGCATATATTTTTAATATATATAAATTGACATATAAATTAATTTAGATAACTCTTTAAAACTACCTACTTCTTTAGACAATTTCACTTTATTGCCGCCATTTAGAAGCAGGCACCATCGCTAATTGCACGCGTGATACGATTAACTACAGCTACTTCGCAGCTCTATTTTAATTAATAAATATATTTTTAGCAACAGCTGCTTTGAATCATATTATTTGCTGATTGAAGATTGGCTGATTGATTCATTATCAGCACTTTTAAAATTTAATTAAAACAATAAAAATTAACTATTTAAAAAAATATTTTCAATTTAATAAATAAATTAACAAGCATAAAATATTTCTCACAAACAAAAATTGAATGAATTTTTATGTAAATATTTCTACACTTTATTCATACAAAAATTTTATTACTTTTACATTAATTAATTTCTCTTCTCTTTTAAAAATTGAAATTCTATGAATACCAATCAACCATATAATTTAAAATTATATTAGTTTTATTATTATTTAATTTAAATGGTCTTTCTAAATATTTATTTGTTAAACTTTTGAGAATTTTTACTACAAATATTTATTTATTCATTCGTTTTAATTTTTAGTATATTAGCTTTTCTACTCTTCTTTTGGTTCGTTTTGATCCTCTAAATTTCTACTTTACAAACTTAAATTTTCTATTTTTTTAATTGAATTTAAATAATCTTCATTTGAAGTGAGTTAATATTAATCTTATTCATCTTCGAATATATCATCAGACTCTTCTTGTTCGTTATCTTCTTGCTCATATTCGTTTTCAAATTAAGTTTATATTTTATCTTTTAAAGCTTGGTTTTCTTTTTTTTGTTTTTTGTTATTTGATTTTTAAAATATCTTATCAGTTTTTTGATCTTATTCGAAATCTTCAAAAAAGTTGAGCTTCTAATTTGCTTCTGTTAACTCTTATTGAGATGGATTTATAATTAGCTAGGTAACTTCGTTTAGTTTTGCACTGGTCAATTCATCCAGCAATTTGAAGTCTTCAGAAGCTTTAGAAGAATTTATTTTTTTGTATTCCTTAACTATATCCTCCCAATATTCGAGCTACTTTAAGAAGCCTGGATTAGGATAAGCAAATTTATGTAGCTTTCTAACTTTTGTTATTGATTCTTAAGCAGTTATGTTTTCTTTAAAAACAACATAGGCCATAACTGTGCTAGCTGACCTACTTTTTCCTCCCTAGCAATGCACTAGAGTATTCCCTACAACTGTGCTTAAAAATTACACGCTTTCAGGCCAATATTTTAAAATTATTGTGGTAGGGTTATCACTAATTTAAAGTTAATGATATTTACATTAATTTATAAAAGATCTTTTCAGATTTTTTCCCGCTACAAGAACATTTTTAATATTGTTCTTTTTAAAAAATGCTTAATCCCTGGAGGTAGTTATATTTCCAAGATAAAGGTTATCGTATATTTGAGACATCCTTAAGTTTTTTTTGTATGACTTATTTATGTAAACAAAACTCTCTAAAATTGATTATACTTTTTTAATTAAGATTTGTTTAAATTAGATTATAAGTTTTATTCACGTATTAATAAAAACTTTAAATAGCACTTAAGTAAATGTTAAATCAATAAAAAATTTCCTTTCTAAATCTAGTTAAAAATGTAGAATATTCATTCAACATATAAAACATAATACATTTTTATTTATATTATTAGCTTTAATTTTTTCATAAATTTTATTTTTCTTTAATCTTCTAAACAAATTTCATAAAAGGTTGATGTCCTTCAACTAGCTATGGATATTCAGCAGTAAGTCTTTACATCCACTTAAGAATGTTAGGATAAGGAGAGAAATCAAAATCAATTAAATTAACTTAGGTAATTTCGCAATAGCAGGAGAGATCAGCGATAGTTGCTTTTTCCTTTGAAGCAATATATGGCTTATCAGCTAAAAATATTGTATCAATCATTTTCAAGGATTAGATAAACAATTTGTAAATAGTTTCTTTATTCTACTTAGACTAAATACCTAAACTTGGAAGCACAAAGTAGTTGAAAATATACATTCCTGCGTTTCTGATATTTGTGTGGTGCCAGTCTAAATATTAATCTACTAATGCACGTTCTTTTATATCCTTAGGATACCAATGTTCAGGAATATATTATGCCCTTGAAGCTATCAAATATTTAAGTATTGCATGAGACTCATAAAGCACGAATTTACCGTCTTTAATAGTAGGAACTCTCATATTAGGATTGATTCTTTTGTATTCTTGACTTCTGAGCTATCCTTTGAGAATTTTTACCTCTGAGATATCAACAGGGATTTTATTTATCATGCAAAAAATTGCAACGCATCTAGAAGGCTAAGACATCCAGTCCATATAAAGACTTAGGGTTTGTTGTTAATCTTACATATTTATTACTTTTTTGTTTGTGAATACTTGCTTGTTTATTATTAATTGAAATCTATTTATCAATCTATCTACTTTTTATCAAAATATATTATTTTTATTATTAACTATGAAAACAATCTTAATCTTTTCTTTGATGTCATTCTAATTTTTAATGATGTCTGATGGTATCTAAATATGTAAATTAAAACAATCATCTTGTTCTCGAATATTGCATCCTTTAAGTGCCTTAATTTGATATTTGTGATGCATAAATAATCACACAAATGATGTCAAAAATTATTATCATAAAATTTATGATTTAACAATAATAATACAATTTTATCATAATAATCTGTATAAAAAAATGGTATTTATCTGAAATAAAAAATAAAAACTAATTAAAATAAATTTATTAACCAAACCAAAGAGAATTTAAAATATGATAAATTTATTAATTAAAATGAAAAGTTTATTAAACATAAAAATTTATCATCCTTAAAATTAATTTAAATGAATTTTGACTTAAAAAGTCAAGATATTTTTCAGAATTCATATAGAATTAAAAAATTTATTAATTGCAAATGAAATAAAATTGCCTACTTTAAAAATCAGCAAACAAAATATTAAATTCTACAAATAATTATTTTTAATTTGTATGTGCTCAATTTTGATATTTTTTATAAATTAAAATTAATATAAAATAAATAATTTTAAATTAAGAAAATAAATTAGAATGAATGAATAGTTCAAATATTTTAGGAGAAATTTCATCTTTATTTTTAATAATATTTTTTTATATTGATTGAATTTTAAAACTTGTTTTAAGATATTGAGATTAATATTTGGAGGGAAATAAATAATTAGAAATTTTTTTTAGATTTACCATTGAATTTTTGTTGCTTGGATTAAATTTTTAAAATAAAAAAAAGCATATTTAAGTTTTAAAATTATCTAATTATTTTAAATTTTTTTGATTTTTAAAAAAATAAGCATGTTTGTTTGTTTATTTATTTATTTGCTTGTTTGTTTGTTTATTTATTTTTTTTCAATTAATTTTTTTTCTGGCTTTCAAATTTTTATCGATGATTCTAAAAAATTAAAAAAATTAAAAATCTAAATTTCTCATTATCAATAAAAAAAGATTAAAAGTAAAAGAAAATAGAGATGTGCAAACATATTTTAAACGTTTAAGTCGCAATTAGAGCCCCATGCTGTAAAAAGTGGTTTGACTGTGCTGAATGCCACAATGAAACTCAAGATCATGAATTAAAAAAGGCTTTAGAAATGGTTTTTGCTTGCAAAGTTTGCAAAAAAGTCTTTAGAAAAGATTTGAAGGACTTCGATGAATGCGATGAATATTGCCCTCAGTAAGACATTTAAAATTCTTTAAAATTTATTCACTTTTCTTTCTTTAGAAACTCTTCAAAGCTTTCATTTTTAATCCTAAACTTTTTTACAATCAAGTCATCTGATTTTTAACTTAATTATAAAATTAGTTGTGATAATAAATATATTCTCGATGCAGTTACTAAGGAAGATAAAGATTCTTGAGCAAGCAAATATGAAGCATACTAAATAATAATTAATTTAAATTATATACAAACAAAGTTAATTAATTACTCTAAAAAAATTTTAAAGGCAACTAATAAAATATAAAATATTCATTTTCTTCTGAAAAAACTAGGAATATTTATTTATTTATTTGAAATGAGAAGTAGATAAAAAGTAAGTAAATAAACACTTTAGTTAAAACGAAATAAATGCAGACAATTTAGCTAATTATTTAGGTAGAAATAAACAAAAATAAAATAATTATATGCTTAAAACAAAAAATATGTCAGAAATAATAACAATCTTTATACTTAACCACAAAAATGAATCAGAGTATAATTAATTATTAATTATAAATTCAAATCTTAACTACAAAAATATAAAATATCTCTCTAAATTTCTTGATATATTTAATTTAAAACATGCATTAAAGTGTATTTTTCTTTTATATATTTGTATTATTTTTCCTAGACTGCAGCAAGGTATTCATTCGCTCATTAATTCATTCTTTTATACAATCGTTTCATAAAATTTATTAAATATATAACTTTTATTTAATTGTTCCTATGATAATTTGTATTTAAAGATTAAATAGTTTTCTAGCTGGAAAAATTAAAATCCAACTATGAGTAAATCTTGTTTTTCTATTTGGATCATTCATTTATTTTTGTTAACATTTTAAGGTTAAGAAACATAGTTAGGATTGACTTGGACATCTGCTTTCTATTAATTATTTTTAAAAATAAAACAACTTTAAACAAATTAAATTGCATAGTTTACATCCTCTTTTTTGTGAATTATCCAAATATAAATAGAATAGAAGACAAGTCCACCAAAGAATAAAAAGTACACTACCAAATTCATTACAGCGATTCCATAATATTTTGTACTTTTCTATATTAATATGAAAATAATTTATCTATTTTAAATATATTCTAAATTTTACGCAGTAAGACTTAGAAACTAAAGTAGCTCCTATTATATTCCATATAAAAGATCCTATAGACCAAACAAAAAGTAATAAAAAACTAGCTACTACTCCTTTTAGCTTAGGGATTATTTCTAATAATATGTTCGAATATATTGCCAAGAATATATAACCTACAATAATGGATCCTAAGACGTATTCCTATATATAATCACTTGAATTTGGGTTCTACAAAACGCAACTTTGATGGTCACCTTTCTTTGTTATGTATACTGATGCACTAATAATGCTAACTATAAATATTATGAAGCAAGGCAAAGCAGGATATACGTATACTATCTATAATTTGATAAAATATAAATGAATTAGCTATTTAGTTCAAATAATCAAAGCTAATTGAAATACTTACCTCACTTTTATTAGAGAGTGAGCTTTAAATTCTCTAAGATAACTTATCTAAACTCTACATTATTTAATAACACAAACACAATTTCAAAGTTAAAATTAATTAAATTATATGAAAATAACTAATACTTAGGATCTAACTTAAAGCCATTCAAATAGAAATCCTTATAATTAATCATATATTTATAAGTAAATATTGAAATAAATTAAGCAAAAATAATAATTTTTTTACTAAAAATGATTTTAATTGCTTATAAAAAGGAGAAAAATAGAAGATATACATAGCAAGTTATAATTCTTTTAAGTAGGAGTTTTTTCGAAATTTGCAATTTCATTCTCGAATTTCCTACTTGTTTGAATCTAATTTTGAAATTATACATATATTGAAGAAGTAAAAATTGAAAAAAATAAAACAATTTATGTTTCATGCATGAAAATAAAGCATTTAAAATTGATTTAAGATCTAACTTTCTTTTAAATCCTGAGTATTTTTTAAATATTATATAAATAGTAAGCTTTTTTTCAAATAAAAAATATTAATTTTTTATTTCATCAAGCAAAAAAATATTTTTTTTATTAAAAATAAGATCAAAAAGTAATAATTTGGAAGGTTAAAAGAAACTGCATGAACTTTTTCAATAAATATTTAATAAATTTATACATTAAAATAACTAGAATTATAAAAATTATCATTAGTTGAAATCTTTTGTAAATTTGAGATATGATTCTCTTATTTCCTTGTTTGAATTAAATATTCAAATTATACAGGCATGAAAATAGTTAAAATTTAAATAAATAAAATATTTTAAATTGCTAACATGCAAATAAATCATTTGAATTTGATTCAAGATTTGACTTTCTTTTGTATCTTGAGTATTTTTTAAATATTTAATAATCATTTTTTCAATAACAGTTTTCTTTTAAAAGTTGATAATTAATAATTTTCAAATTATTTCTTAATTTGACTGTTAACTTTTATTTTTCTCAAAGATTAACAAAATAATTTTTTTTTTGAGACAATTTTTAAAATGATTATAATTCATTTTTGTAATAATTTTTACCTTTTTAATTTTTAAAACATATATTTTTATAAGATAAAGAAACTCTTATGATTTATATTAAACGAATCTTTCTAATTGAGGTTAATTACAAAATTTTATAAATACATATAGTTGAAAGCAAAGAAAGTTTTAAGAAATATTTTTAAGATTAAGCTAAAATTCGATGGAAGGATAGGACATGTTTGTTACGCAAACCTTATAGAATTTGCAAGAAAATGACTCGTTGGGAGTAACTGTAAAATAATTTATGTTTTTCAGTTAATTAGATGAAATATTTAATAAATTATGTCTAGATGAATCAATAGAGCAGCTAATCATTTCATGGAAATTTTCAAACAAATCCTTAATATTTTATACGATTATATGAAAATAAAGTGAAAGAATGTTAGCTAAAAATTAATATGGACTCACCTCGCACGAGAAGCGCTATCATAATTTTAAAAATGCCTACAGATAAATATACTTTGAAGTAATTTTATCATTTATTTGCATAAATAATTACCTAATAATGATTGATATAATCAAACAGAAAAAAATGTATTTTTTTAAAAATTCAATAGAAACTACGCTTACTTTGAAAAAATGCATAACTACGAGGAAAAATAAGCTAAAATAAAGTAAAGTATTTAAAGTAGTAACTCAATTAAATCTAATCCATAAAACGATTACATGTAACATTTGATTAACGTTCATGGTAAGTTTTGCAATTTAATTTATATAACATAAAAAAAATTTTGTATTCTTTATTAAAATCATTCATTATAAATAATTAACTTGAAAGTTACTTTTAAATAAATTAAAGCTAATCTAGAATAAATTATACATGAAAGACACAGATTAGTAAAATAAGAAAATGCTCGACTCAGGAAAACAGCAGAAGGATGGTAAATAAAATTTAATTTAATTTATGTTTATAAATTTTTATTTTACAATTTAAGTTCAAGATAGAGTTTGTAAAGATAGGCTTTTTCAGGAGATTTGGAATAAAAGAATTCTAAATACCAATTAAGTAAACTAAATATAGAGCATCAATTTGATAAAGTTAACTTGAGAAATGATAAAGAATATAATATCTAAGAAGTAAATTATTTACTTATTTGAAAAATGGTATTTATTAGTTTTATTAAAAAAAAAAATAGTTTGAAATGAATAACGAACTCAAAAAGGAGCTTTTAATGAGAAAAACAATGATTGATTCTTAAATGTCTCTTGAAAGGGCAAATAGTAAAAAACAAAAATTTTTAAATGAGAAAGTAAAGAATGATCAATTTTTTTTATCAAATGAGATTATTTACTTTAATTTAAAAAAAAAAAACAGATTGCAATTTTTATGTTCTTATTTTTTAGTTGAACACTTTAACCAAAATTTTAGTATAATTATAAATGGATTTATATGATATTAATTTTTGTATTACAATAAAGCTGATGCAAGTTAAAAGACAAAATTAGAAGGTGGCTTACAAACAAAAGAAAATAAAAATTGAAAATTCAAGGAAGATTAAAGATCAGATGGGCAAAATTGTAAAAATGTATTAAGAATAAGATGATATTTAAAAGAAGGTTGAAGAAATAAAATTTAAGAGATTCTAAGACCTAGCAAACGCTTCTTTCCATGAGAAAGGCATGATGGCAAAATAAAAAAATTAGCTAGTTCAAGAAAAACTACATCAAAGAAGTTAAGAGTTACAGAACTATTTTCAGTTGAGAGACCAACATGTACTCAATTTGATGAGTGACTACTGGAGTAGAAAAACAACGTAAATTTAAGATTAGAACTAGTAAAAGCAAGAAAAATCGGAGATAGCCTAGAAAATATAAAAAGAAAGAGAATCTTTAATATTATAAAAGGTTATATAGAACTATGAATCTCATAGCCACAACAAAGAAACAAAACCCAAAAAATAAGTAATTGTTTATCATTTCCATTTTGATGACATTTTTTCTTAAATTAGCACAATTTTTAAAATATTAACTAAATAAATAAGCCAAAAAATAATAGCTCATAAAATTAAGAAGAAGAAAAACCTCTAACTTTTTAAGAAAAAGTGAAACAGAATCTAGAGAAACAGAAATAAAATAAGAGCTTGTTGATGAAAAGTGAAATGTAACATTTTTCAAGACTACATTTTTTTAAAACATTAGTAAAAATAAAAAAGATAACAAATTGAATAGTTAAATAGCTAATGGAATAAAAAAATTGACCAGGCTGCGAAACGTTAAGTAAAATATTAATTTATTTACTCCTTAAATAAAATAAGTAAAAATGATACAAAAAATATATTTTAATAAACAGGAAGAACTTTAAGATTATATCAAAGAAAGACAAAATATTAAGAGCTAGTCAATGCAAAGAAATAATTTTAACTTCTAGAGCATCTTCCAATCTACTGTAAGATATTTTATATATTTTTTTAATAAAGTCATATTTTTACTCATTTAAAATAAAAAGTAAGAAAAATGGGACAAGCTCTTAGATAAACAGAAAAAAGCATAGGAAAAGATTTAAAAAGAAAAGCAAGAAAAAGAGTTGCTTCGCACTTTCTCAATGTAAATACTGATTTTCTTTCTTCTGCTTTTTATAGTGCAACAATATATATGCTTGAATTAAGTTTTAAATCTTGATTTTGTTTAAGCTGGCTGTTCTCAATTTTCAGCTATTACATTTAAACAAGTGAACACTACCTACTTTTTTTTTTTTAAAAAAAGTGAAGTTAAATGTTTTTCAATTTTCAAAAAATTATTTTAAATCTTAGGCAAAGCACACTACAGATTTAGTATGAAAAAGAAAAGAGGTCAAAATAACTATAAAAACTTTAGAAATTAACACCGAAATAATTTATTTAGTAAAATTTTCCATTTTTTAAGAAAAACAATTAGATAAAATTTATATTTTATTAAATGCAGGTAACTAAAAATGAAAAAATTTGAAGTAAGTTAAGAAGAAATGGCTAAATACTTTCCAGAGGCAGTTGTTAAAGAAAATTAAAACAACGAAGACGCAGAATGACAATTAATTAACTACTAAGAATATTTAAATTCATATTTTGGTTTCTAAAATTTTACTTCATAGTCCTAAATTTGTGTTAACTCATGATTTTATTTATAAAATAAGTTTACTCAAAAATATAATATTCATCTATAGCATTGGCTATTAATTGATTCATTGAAAGAGATTAAAATATTTTTAGATATTTAAAATTTGTTAGTTAAAATTTATTAATATGGATTTGCTTTTATGTTTTAAAAATGGTTTTTAAACCAAAGTGCTTTTATCGTTTTTATATAGTATTCATTAGATTAAACTAAAAAGAAGCTATTAATTACTATCAGTATTATTCAAAATAAAAATCAAAGCCAGCTGTTTACATACGTTTTAAAGTAACATAATAAAAATCAGCATCATATATATAATTTATTGAATTAAAACTATACCTACAATCACATAAAAAACGATATTATTATAAAAAAATAGAGTACATATACTACATATTTTCACTTTTTTTGAATTAGCATATAATTTTTTTGAAAACTGCTTTAAAGTTTTTGATTTTAAGTTATTCTTAATATTGATTAATAAATTTATGGTTAAAAAATAAATTGATTAAAACTTAAATTTAAGTAAAACAAAGAATTGTATAAAAGACTATTTATTAAAATTTATATATATTTATTAATATAGATTAGTTTTTTAATTGTTTTTTGTTTATATTTGTTTGGTTAGAAAGTATTATTTGCTTAAAATAGTTAATGTTGTTATTATACAGAATGTTTTTATTCAAAAATTGAAAACTTCTTGTCTCACTTTACAAGGAGAGTCACAGTCTTCCAATGAATAGAAATAATTTTGGATTTATATTTTCTTTTAAATGATTATTTCATATATTTTGTGGTTTGTAGAAAAGCTTCTAAGCTTTTTTGAAAATTCTCCTAAGTTGAGGTCTATTAAATCACATAGCTATTCGTATTCACATTTATAGATGGAGAAGGTCTTAATAGTTTGCTGAAAAATTATTTATTATTGAATGCTCTAGCTCTTCTAAATCATTTTTTAGATAAATTTCAGATCGTCTTGGAAATAACTATCAATAAGAGGCTTTTCCTTCTTTTGTGAGCATTAGAAAAGAGCTTTTCTCAAGTTTTAGAGTTTCTCCAAAAATTTGTCAACCATTTAGTTTATTGTGCTGCATTTTTCTCTAAAGACCTCACTTTCGTTTTTCTTAATGAAGTTAAAGTTTTGCATCATTCTAATTGTTTAATTGTTGATATGGTTATTTTTTATTATTTAGGTTTTTATTTTTTTTCTTTGATTATTAATTATAAAACTTATTTATCAATTCTACTTATTAACGAGCAAATAATTAACCTAAATATCAATTAATGGCTAGTATGTGATTTTTTAGTTAATTTTCTTTTGAGCCAGCTATTTGCAGTTGGCAAATAAAAAAAACTTAAAGATAATAATTTCTGACTTGAGGGTAAATTCTGATAAATTAAAATTGGTAACAATTTAACATTTCAATGTTATTTACAATAGCGAATGGGTTTTTTTTTAAATTATGTTTTTTCTATCTCACTAACTCTGATTAATCATCCCAATCAAATTTTATATTTTAATTTATAATTTAAAGGTACTCTCCTAACAACACAATTTTAGTTTATCTTGACTCTAAATTACTCATAAAATGTTTTAAATTTTTGTTTTATATAATTTATTTTTGCAATTTATTAAGATAAATATCTTTATTTAAAACATTCTACTATTATATATTATTTCATATTGATATTTTTCTAAAAACTTCAAATTTTTAAATAGAAATGTTTAAATCACTTTGAAAATGGATTAATTCTTAAAGTTTCTTTTATGGTAATAGAAAAGTTTTATAAATGAAAGCTTTAAATCAAATTTAACAAAAAAAAATAGACTGATAAGCAAGATAGAGAGTATACACAGATAGATAAGGGCGAAAGATTTTAAAATAAATTTTGTTTTACCAACAGCAGATTAATATTAATAGATTTAAAATAAAACACTGCCTATTACTTAATTTGTAACTAGTATACTAAAATAAAAATCGGGTACGTAAATGAATAATACATTCTACAATTTTGTTATTTATAGATACATATTTATATATACATATACTTTCTACAAGCCTATTTTAAGGATATGATTACTTACCAATACACTATTTTAATTTTTATGTTTTTTAGAAAAAATTTAAATGATACTTTTTTAAATATTTTCTTAAATTTTGAATAAAAAAATGAATATAAATGTTGCTCTATCTATATTTATAAGATAGCTAGAATTAATTTTTAAAAGATATAAGTGCTCATCTAAAAATTATTCAAAACTAGATTAATATTTTATTAATATTAATTAGTTTTACATATTGTGATATACATAATTCAAAAAATTCTATAATATCTTTAAATATTATTGAATCAAAACAAATATTGCAAGTTTTTAGAAAAAATTATAATTATGCATAGACTCTAATAAATCAAAAAATTTCCTTATTTTTAGTAATAAAAGCAGCTAGTAATTTAACAAAAAAAGACAAGCTATCAATTACTGGCACTTTTTATTATAATCTTATTTTTTCAAAATAATTACACATCATTTAAATTTAATCTGTGTTTTACTTTTGAAATATATTACTTATTTTATTAATTTCCTTCTATTCTTGTTTACATTTTTTAAAAATTTTAAATAAAAGTCAATACAAATTTATTTTAGTTAGTATATTTTTTCTAAATTTAACAATTTCTCATAATAAAAAATATTTTTTAAGCTTAAAATTTATTTAAAAATAAAATTCATTCAAAGATAATAATAAATTGATACTTTACTTATTATGCATGGTCAATTCTTATATAATTTCATTTTATGTATGTATATATATATTTACTTTTAAATTTTGAAAGTAAAGTTGATTTCAGAATATTTGAAATAAAGGTAAAATTACTGTAGAAGTAATATGATATTTTGTTTAATTATACTAAAATAACTGTTAGAAAAGAAAAAATATGCAAACATTTCACTAAAAATATATTTCATTAAATAAAATAGCAAATAATTTAATAGAATTGATCATAAAGAAAAAATAGACATCTGATAAGATAAGTCCTGTATAAAAAAAATTGTAAAAATACAAAAAATTTTAAAATGAAATTTATTCTAAGAATAAATTGTATTTAGTTTTGATAATTTTGAAAAGTAGATATAAAAAATGATTGATTTATAAATCAAATATGAATAAAAGTACATAATAATAAGATGAATTATTCTATACTTAAACTAATTTTTATTAAATATTCTTAAATATTAACATTTTTAGATAACTTTTCCAGACAGAAAATGTTTTTTATATTTAATAATTCAATAAATTGAAATTGAGATTATATATTTTTATAGATCTCTCTTTAAAAATTAATAATTTTAAAAATAATATGAAGTTTCTCAAGAGGAATTACTTAGATTCCATAAGCTAATTCATAAATATTTTAAAATTATAATATTTTTCATATTCAACGAACTTATGAAAATAATTTTAATTTTTTAAAGTTAAATTCAAAATATTTATTCAAAATTTTGACATTCTATCAATCTTTCTTTAGTTTATGCCAAAAAAGAACTTTTTTAAAGATTCATGATAACAATAATAAATTATTAAAATCAATAAAATCTGCCAAAAATAAGATAATCTATTTAAATTGCATATTTTTCAATATAAATTTTAAACATAACTAATTATATTTAATTTATTTTTTTTTCTTTGCTTATTTACAAATAAAATTAATTAATTATCAGAAGCTTTTCTTATAATTTTTTTAAATGCTTACTATTTATTAATTTATGGGTAGGGAGTGATAAATGACTAAATTAAATATTTAAAATGATACAGTGATGATAAAAATAAATAATATAATTTCAAAAATTTATAATTTTTTTTAAACCTCTCTTATAATTAATTATAATATTAAAAAATGAAACCATCCAAAAATAAATATTCGATCTTATGAAAAACAAATTCTTGGATTGACTAAAAAAGCTTTGTAATTATATTAATAAACATAATCACAAATAAATGCATATTAATTTAAATGTTTTGTTAAGAATCAATTTTTAAAGTTATTTGTTAATCTCAAAAATCGAAGTATGGAGATAGAAAATTTTTTAGGGAATTAGATGAATAAAAAATAAATATAAATTAAATAAAAAAATGAACATAAATATTGTTTTTAAGACATCATTTTATTAATATATTCAAAAAGTGAAAATCTCAGATCTGATTTTACATGGAGAATCAGAGTCTTCTAATGAGCTGAAATAAATTTAAATTTTTATCCTAGTTTCTTTGATATTTTCATACATTTTATGGTTGGCTGATAAATTTCTAATATTAATGTTTTAGACATATTTTTTGAGATTTTTGTCGACTGTTTGGCAAATAAGCTGAAATTCTTGTTTATAAAGAAATAGTGCTTAGATTGTTTTTTTGAAGGTTTATCTCTACTCATTATTTTTAATTTTTCTTCTTAGATTTTAGATAAGTCTTACATCCTCATCTAAAGAACTATCTTCTAAAGGTTTTAATGTCTTTTGTCCACATTTATATAAAATAATTCTGAGATTTTAAAGTTTTTCTTAAAAGTTTTTTATCGTTTTAGTCAAATAGCTGCATTATTCTCTAAAAATTTCATGGCTGTTCTTTTTTAAAAAATCATAGTTTGAAATCATTAGTCTATTTTCTTTTTTAATTGTATTCAATATTTATTTATTATATATTACAAAGTGCGTTAGAATAAATAAAGTTAAATTACTCTTAATCACTTTTGTGTTGTAAAATTTAAGCCAGTGATTGTTGACTGACTTTAGATTATGAAAGAAAGTCGAAAGTTAGTTTTATGATTTAAATTAAATATTATTGGTTATTTCTAGATTATTAAAAATTGTTATAATAGCAGCACTATAAAAATTAACTAAATCGCAGAAAAAATAATTTGTGCCCAAAACAAACTTCAATTTAATTAACTTTAATTTGTATATTTAATAATTAATTAATATGAACTAAATATTTAATTAAATAAAATAGGATCATATTTTTTTTACATTTTAGAAAAATAAACATTTAAATATAGAAATTCTTAATTGTTTTTATTCACAGCTCAATATAAATGATATATTTATTTATAAAAGCTGGAATTGTTTTTAATACAAGTAGGGATTATCATTGAATTTTTTAAATTATAGGCAAAAGTTGAAAGTAAAAATAGATAGTAAGAGAAAATTAATTTTAAGGATTTCTATCATTAAAGGCTTAAAATTCAAATGAATTGTTGCTTCTTAAAACAAAAAATCTGTCGAATTTAATGACTATATTGAAAACTTTCAGCATAACTCAAGTGTTTATTAAAACTCTTCTAACTGTACTTATATTAAGTATAATCCATTTTTCTTAATTGTTTATTGAAAATAATAAAAAGTTTTGAATAATTTAAATAAAAATATTATATTTCAGCAAAAATATCAAGTATTCTTTATATTTTTATACAATATTCTCGTATATAGTTGGCTATTAAAGGCACTAATAAATTTATTCTAAATATCTTTTATTTTATTTATTTATTTATTTATTTAATTATTTTGATCTATATCAAACTTATTAATTAAAAAAAAAATTTAGAATCAGATTATCTAAAATGAAAAGTAAATTTAATTAGTATTTATCTAAAGCTTACAAAATATTGAGGCTAACTTTATATAAAAAATAATATATAATCGATATACTCATAAATTGATTCATGAAAATCATATAAAACTGAATCAATTTCGAATCAACAAAAGTTTATTAATTTTTCTAACATAAAAAAAAAAATTAAAATACTTTAAGACATTCATATTTTTTATAATATTTTGTATAAAATTGCATATTCTTTTTTATTACTAATAAATAAACTTTCTAATTAACAATTCTAAAGATAGAAATGAAATAAATTATTGGAACTGTATTAGGAGGAGGGTTAGGTATAGCGACTTACTATGCTTATAATGCAGGGTTTTTTTAAGAAGTTAAAATAGAAGAAAAGAAGCTAAGTCCAAAAACAATAGTTTACTTTTAACATGAAGGAAGCTACCAAGATTTAGGACCTGTTTTTAAAAAACTGATCAAAGAAAGTTAGAAATACATGAAAGCTAAAAACATATATAGAATAATGTATGATGATCCATACACAATTCAGGATATCAATAAATTGAGATCAATTATTGGTAATTGTTTATTTTGCATTTACTATCTATTATTTCATAAGTATTTGGAGTAAATGACTTATCAATTAAATATTTTATTTGGTTTTAATAGGATTAGAATTTGATAATGTTAATGATGAAAACGGGGCTAAGTTATTGGTTAAAGATAAAAAAGAATATCAAATAGCAACTTTAGCTGAAACAGAATCTATAAACACTAACTTTTAAATGAAACAAAAGAACTTTAGCGTTGTATTTTTCTTAATAAAGCTTAAAATTCAACCCGCTATTTAGAAATATTTGGCAGAAAAAGCCCAATCAGATAAAAAATTTAAACTTAATGAAGGCCACAGGATAGTAGAAATATATAAATTTGACGATTAAAAAAATCCAGTTGAAATTGAGTTTAATGTACCATATGGGGAAGACTCTAAATCATATAATTTGCATTCAAAGCCTTCTCCTTAGCACTAAAGAGTTGCTAAATGATAATTAAATGAAATAAAATCTATTTTTATTTGTTACATAGAATACACAGTTTAAGAATATTCTAATTTATAACTAAGAAAAAAAACTTACATTCAAATAATTTGTATAATTAGATGAATTATATTTTTTATTCAGAGCATTGACTTCATAAAACAAAATAATTTTTATAATTATGAGAAAATATTAAGATTTTGTGAAATTGCTTTAATTATTTATATTATTTTTATATTGCTGTAATAAAAGGATTGTTTTAAGTAAAACAATAGTTTTAAATTAATTCAGAACAAAAATATTCAAAAATATAAATGGAATTAGCTCTATGACAGATAATGAAAGATAAAAAGCAAGTTTAATTTGTTAAGTAAAGTAAAATATTTCTTATTTTAGTGTAATAAATAAATAAAACTTTGCAGATTGACAGATAAAAAAATTTATTATTTATAATTTTACTAAATAGAATTATGTATTCAATTATTTTATTTAAGTTTATCAGAATCTTTCAAGAGAAAGATTAGTTCATATATCAATCAATATTTAGATATAGAAGAATTTTGAAGTTTCTTGAGAAGATATTTTTAGTTAAAGTAAAATTTAATTATCTTAAAATATTTAGAAAACAAACATCTATTTTTTAAAACTTGAATAATTTCTAAATTATTTTGCAAATGAAAGCATTTTTATCAAGCTTAGTTATCAGTGGTGGACTTTATTTTGGATATTAACTTAAATTAGGACCATATTCAGGAAAAGGAGAAATTTTAGAAGTTAAAGTTCCTGCAAAAAGATTTCTTTACTATGAAACTTAATAATCATATTATAAATCAGAAATTGAAGTTTCAAAGTTTATAGAAGAGTTGAAATAAAAAAACATTTTTGGTACTTTCCATAAAGTACAACTTACTGGAAAAGATGATTAGAGTGGGCTGCAGAATTATTTGATTGGTAATTTATTTATTTAATTTATGTTTTTTTAATTTTTTATCTAATATAATGTGCGCAATTTCATTTTGAAGTTAGAGCTAATCAACAGAAATAATTTCTGTTAGTAAAAATTAATAGGCTGAATTAGCTTTCTAGCTTAATAAAAATTTCTTACTTTTCAATTTACAGTATGATTATTATTTTTAGGTATTGAAGAAACTATGGAGAATATGAACACACTGAAACAGTACCATGAAAAACTTAAAGTAGCAGATATTCCTTCTTATCCTGCAGTAGAAGTTTCCCTTAATTATGATAAAAAGAGCTTCTTACTGGTTGCTATGCAAATGACTTTCAATGTTCAAAGTTCTATATTGAATTTTGTTAAATAAAATGAGTAAAAATTTAAAGGAATAAACCCAGAAGTTTATCTCAAATCAGTCACAATAGGTACAAATAAAAAATTATTATAAACATCTATATCTTATCCATTTGGAGAAGGTATGGAGATTTATAATGAAATAAATAAAAAAGGATTTTAATCTATTGACACAAGCTAACAAAAAGATCAAAATATATAAAATAATTAAAGTAAATCATAATGATATCGAATATACTAACTATCATCAATAAATGTATTTTTTAATATATTTCTGCCTACCTATATGTTTATCAATCTTCTATTAATAAATGAACTATGTTAATCTGCTGGTATTTTTTTATTACCATCATTTACTAATTCTCATTTTAACTTTATATTTCAGTAATTCAACTGTTAACATACCTTAAATCTACACTTTGTACCTAAGGTATAAAAAATACACTAGGTACCAAATTCATTACAAAGTTTTTGATTAATAAATTTATTATGAATCTCATTAACCTGGGAATAAGTAAATAAACGATGTTTGTTTTAGTAAATTTAAATCAATAATATCATATTAATAATAAATAATGATTTGATTTGATATAAATGTCTGAGATAAAATGTAAATAAAATTAAAGTGTAATTTACCTGACATCCAAGCCTTCATAAAATAAAAAATATCCATGATCAGAATTGATAAGAACCAGCTGAAAATTAAATAAAATTAAGTAAAGCATGATTTATTAGATTTTGGTTGAAAATTAATTGACGTAAACAGAGTATTGGCTGTTCCACTATTATAAGTTTTATAATTTATATTTTTTTACATAGACTCCTTGTAAATTAAAAAAATCAATTAGTTTAAAAAGATTATTTATTACTGAATGCAATTGTGTAAAATAAAATAATTGAAGGCAAGAAAAATTTGGAATTGTTATAACTCAGATTTTTTACCAATATTTATTATTGATATTATTAGTTAACTATTTGGCACTAATATATAAATTTCTTTTTGATGCTTAGCACTTTGCGATAAAAACGATAAATTCATTTTAATAGAATTAAAATTAAATACTAATAATTTTTTATAAAAAAAAGCCGTAATATTTTACTTAAATAAATTAAAACAAAAAATTTGTAAGCTTATAAATTTTTCTTAAAAATGATTCATTCATTTTATAGTTTTTAATGAAGTAATGAAGTAATAACCAATTTAAATGATAGGAAATTAATTTGCAGTTTTTATTTATTTATTGCTTGCTATTTAGTTATTAACTTAATATTCTCTGTCTAAGTCTAAATGGAGTGATAATTTATTTAGTTGGTTGTTATTTTATTTAATTACCCTTTAAATTTAAAAACAAAAATTAATTATGATTAAAAGTAAATTAACTCAATTTAATATAGTTTTTAATTATTAAAAATAATTAAGAAATATTCTGGCCATTAACTTTTAAAATGCATTCTACCAAGTAAAATTAACCTAGTAGAATATTAATTTCCTAATATAATACAAAATGGGAGTTTTGAAGTAGAAGACTTGAAATTTCTTTGCTAGAAAAAATTATTTATTTTCTAAAGATTTTTATTTTGGTGCTTTAGATTTTGCTAGAAAAATATTTGTGATAGAAAAATATAGAGATTATAAAAAAAACTTGTTTCATTAAGTTTTTTGAGAATAATAAAAATAGATTTATAAAAGATAATGATAAATAAACTAGAGAAGAGCAGTTTTATACGGACTCTATAAATTAACTAGAAAGATAGAAGTGGTTTTATATTGATGATTAATTCTTTAGAAGAGACCAAATGTTGTCAAATTAATATTAAAAATTTTTAATAGTGTCTTTACTAATTTTGATAAAAAAATTATCACAAATTAAAAAAAATAATTAAATAACTTTTTGATATAAGCAAAAATTAAGAGAAAGAATAAGAATTTTCCGATTTCTGATTAGTATTTAAGAAAAGTTAAGGAGCAATACAAATAAGGGATACAAATTTATTAATTAAAACATGCTTGGCTATCTTCTTGGAGGTACATCTGTAGGTTTTTTATCCTTCTAAGCATATAAAAAGAGGCAGGCAAAAAAGAAGGCTGATGAAATTAGCGAATAAGTATAAGAAAATATTCTCTCTCCACATGAATGGAGTGAAGGAGAAGATGTTTACTTTCTCCAAAGTTAGCTTTTTAGTAAATAGTTGGAAGCTAATAACATCTCGGATTACTAAAGGAAACCTTACTTCTAGAAAACGAGAGAGATTATTTCAAAGACATTCTTGTAGTTTAAAACAAACTAAATGAATCTATTCTAAAAAAAAACTAATGAAAATAATAGCATGTAAGATCAAAATCATATTCTTAATGATTAAAAGGAATTAGGAGAAGATTAAAAGTCAAAAAACCAAACCGAAAACCTGATGGAACAAACAATAAGGTCAACCGGTTTGTAAAATATTTACTTGAAGTTTTTGCATAGCTATAAGAAAAAAAATGATGAGAAGTAACTTGAGTAGTTTAAAAAATAAATTATTTCTCCTAGCTAAACAAGAAAAGAGTCAAGTCCTTAAAAAATAAAAAGATCGCCTTCTCCTAAGTCATCTCCAAACCATTTAGCCACTTTTGAGGAGAATGACTTGATATCGAAATAAAATTCTCTTTTTTCATATATAGAAGGTTCATAATAACATGAAGTAGACAATAACAATCAAGTATTGATCCCTATAAAACAGTTTGAAAATAACTTTAATGAATCTAAAATTGGAAAAAAATCGATTCTATATACTGAATATAAAGGAAATAAGCCTTCTGAAGCTCTTAAAGAGTTTCTCAGTAAGTGTGAGAAACATTTACCTATTAAAAATGCCATGATAATTAGTTATTACTTTGGTTAAGGAGATCCTACCTCTTACGTAATTGGTAATATTTATATGATGAAAGATTAAAAATAAAAATTATTTCAGTAGATTCTTACTAATTTAAAATTATCTCTCCAGTCTATTTAATAAATTCTTCTTCCCACTAACATTAATTTATTCTATATAAAAATCTTTTTCAACATTCACTTATCATTGAGTATTATTTTTCTATTTAATCAGATTTTTAAGTATCTTTAATAAAAATAAATTTACTCTCAATTTACTAAATTTTTTGATATTTTAAATCACATTTTAAAAAAATCTTTGATATGAAAATTAACAAAAGCAAAATATTTATCCCATAAAAATAGAAAAATAACTATGAAATTTTATTGAATTACTTTTATAAATTTTGTGAAAATATTAAAAAAAATAAATTAAAATATTTATGATAATTTAATTTAGCTGTTGAATATAACCCTGCGGAGAATGATGCATTATCAAATATTTATAGCCAAATAGATGGAGCAAAAAAAGCCGAGTTAAAAAAAACTGATGCTTTTAAATTTGATTATAACCTATAAAAATAAAACTATAGCATGGATTCTTAGACAAAAGAGCACAAAATTTAACTAAACAACTGGCTTGAATTTGGTGCTAACTAAAATTTAAGAAATATTTTAGAGCAAGAAATAGAAAGTAAGATTCATATCAGTGGCGTGAGACAAATGAAATATATAGAAGTATTCTCTTTAGATGAAAATAAAAATATAACAAGCTATCAAGTTTAAGTCCCATATGGGTAAAACGAATCTGCTTATGATTTGAGATCTAAAAGTTAAGCCCAAGATATTTAGTATCATGACTCTTTCAGACAATATGATATATACTCTAATAAGGCTTAATGATTTTAAAAATATATGATGAATTGATAATTAGATAGATTACTAATATTAAAAGCTAATTAGTAAATGAATAGATAAATATAAAATCAATAATCAATTCAATTGAAGATTTAATTAAATAAACAAAAAATTATATAAAAAAGTATATAAAGAAACATTTCCTCAATTTCCAATTAATTTATTATTTTGTAAATTTTATAATATATATTATATATGAAGCTGTAAATAAATAAATATTAATAAAATGGATTATTTATTTTGCAAATATCATTATCAAATAAATATTTGCCTATTTGATTTAATTTAATTTTATTTGGGTTATTTTTAAAATTAGAACTAATGTTTTACATTTACTTTTATAATTCAAAAATATCTGGATTACAGCTTAACCTTTAAGAAAGTAACATCTTCAAAAATATTCTTTTATACTTCTTGTAAAAATATGTGTAGAATATATATCAATTTAAAACAAAAAAATAAAAAAATTAATATCAAATAAGTTAAGTATAACATATAGTAGCATTTTTTAAATTAGAAGAATGATAAAAGTCAAATTTAAAGCTTAGGAGATTCGTATTATTAAAAGAATGATTGATTAATCATTCAATATTAACAAAAAATAGTTAAAATCAGAAATATTCATCAATCTTTAAATGAGAAAGTTAAACCCCTTTAACAATCATTAGATGGCATATTCTAAAGCATAATTTGCTAAATTTCAAGAATCTTGTTATAATTTGGGCTTATTATGCTTTGTATATTTATTTTTTAAATCTTCTTGATTACACTTCAAAACTATTAAAATATTAATTTAACATAGCTATAATGAGAAAGTACTCATAAAATTTTAAAGGAAGAATTAAATACTTCTAGTACTCAAACGAAAAAAAAGTATTAAGCAATGCTTACTAAAATAGAATAATTTTTTAAAATTCTTCGCTTAGGATCAGATGATATATTATTTTTTAAAAACTTTTGATTACACTTCAAACTCTTAAAAATTTTATCGAATCTAGTGAATATAAAAAAAATATATTCATTAGTATAATAAAGAGTCTGAATTCAAAATAAATTTTAAACCCACCCTCAAAAATGTAATATTGTTTTTGAATATTTTCACTTTTTTAATGATTTGCAAATTTTTTATTTAAGATTTAAATAAATGACGCTCTATTTTGCAAGCACTTTTAAGTGAAAATAAATCAATCAATCAAGAAAAATAAAATCAAATAGTTTGTAAAAGCTTTTTAAACTATATCAAAATTTGGTTGTGGTAACATTACTTTTAAATTGTTTTATTAGAATGTAATAGGTTGAATTTCAGATTTTTAATTTGACAAAGTTTGTGTAATATTTTTTCTCTTTGTTATATGATTTCTTTCATACATTATTGTACTACTACTCAAATTTACTATTTGATAGCTTCTTCAATTATTGAATCACACAAATGATTCGATTACATTAATTTGTGTAAAAAATGACGTAACTAATAAAAACAATATCAATATACTTTCTTAAGACTGATTTTGTTAATTTACACTAATATGTTATGAGTATTAAAAAAATTCAGTAATATAAAAGTTAAACTCGATTAGATATCTAATTAACTATCAATCTATATCTACATATATATCTATTGATATCTTAAACAAAATTAATTTTTTAGAGATTCTTATAGAGTTAGTTAATTGATCAAAATCATAAACTTATATTTAAAAAAAAATTTTTTTAGTCCTTAAAAGCAAAAATAACTTTCTCAGCAATCATTTTAAATGGATTTCCATCTAAGCGAAGAATCTAAATTCTATTCATAATAATACTAAATACCTCTCGAAGTACCTTAATTGGATACTGAGTAGGATTTTTCAGATAAGCCTATTATTTTGATACGTCATGGATTCAGTATGTAGAATTTTTAAGAAAAGGAAATAACTTATAAAAATCCAAGCTGGGAATATAGCAAAACTGAGGGATTAGAAGAGATGTTCACTAGCGAAAAATATATAGACTCAAGTCTTCATGAAATAGGAATCTTTTAATGCATCTAATAATAAAAAAGTATTAATAAATTTAAATTTTACACTGTGTTTATATCTCCCTTGCGTAGGACTATTTAGACTTGTATATATTTATTTGCAACTCATCCAGATAGATAAAATATTAAATTTGTTCTCTTACCTCAGTTAGCAGAATGTCTCTGCTCTAGTGGCTGTTTCTCTGCATTTACCCTCTCTTAAACCAGAAAAGAAATGGAAGCATTAGCTTAAAAATATCAAATTTCACTTGATTACTCAAGAGTAAGCGAGTTAGGGGAATCATGGTAGATTAAAGTGTTGGAGAACGATTAAATAGTTAAAAATATATTAGAAAAACTAGAGAGAAATGGAGAGTGTGGCTACAGATAACCATACCACAAAATTATACTTGATGAAATAAAGTAAACCAAAAACTACCTAATTGAATCATGGGAGATGCTTTATAAAAAATCTAAAAGGGCTTAAGAAATAATTAAACATTTTTTAGAATCAGCAAAATAATAACAAATTTAAAACGGCTAAGACGATTCTGAGTATAAAGTAGGTATTGTTTCCCATGGATACTTGATGAAATGCATGACTGCATCAAGAATTGAAGACAATGGATCAGTTTAAGAAGGTATTGTCTTACAAAACGTATAAATACTTCCTTATAGTTTTGATTGAGTAAATTATTAAGTAATAATTTAAATTAAATTCAGCAAATTTTATCTGATTTTGCGAATTTTGTTATGAAGAGTAATTAATTATTTGTAAATATTAAATGTAAAAAAATATTGACAAGTAACTTTATTTATGTAAAATTAGTGTAAATTCTTAAATTCTAAATAGTTGATATTAAAAAATTCATATTATTTCTTCAATTAGCAAAATGAATCAAAATCTACTTAAATTATTTTGATATATTTATAAAATCTATATACCAATCAAATAATTATGTGTTTATCATATTTTTCATTTTTTCAAATTAATTTAAATATAATTATTTCAATTCTATTTTATTTGATATTTTTAATTCAACATATCAAAAATTTTATTAGGTTTTAATTAAATAAATCGAAATTAAAGTAAGTAAATATTTTAATAAAGTATTAATTAAAGTTGATAGTTTTTAAAATTTCAATTTCGCATTCAAATTAATATGCAATTTATAGATTTCGAATATTATTTGACTAATAAATAATAATTAAATAAATAAAACATTTGTTAGTTATGTGTAAATTATAATTAATAAATAAAATATTTTTTTAATTGCAAAAGCTCAAAATAAATAAAAGAAAAAATAAGAATTGAAATGAGAAATTACTTTTTATTAGCTAAATATTATTTATGTTATTTTAAAATATATTAATATAGAAACTTTTAATATTTCTTTGCTTAATTAAAAATTGATATTAAATTTTTATTTATTTTTAGAATCAAGAATACTATTTGAATAATTAGATAATTATTAAATGATGGAGTGAAAGATTATTAAGGATGATAAAATGTAAGAAAATTTAGATTACTTGAATATATATCATATTAATATAAAATGAAAATATCAAAGAAACACTCTGAATCGGCTATTACAACTTCAGAAATTGATTGATTTGAAGATTTATTAATTTGAAGAATAACAAACAATTAGTTTGCATAATTTATACTTTCAAAAACAAAAAATTAGCAAATAGATATCTGATAATAGTTAACGAATCTAATTAACAATTTAATTAATAAACAAAATCAGTAAAACAAAATGGATTTTGGTGACCATCATGAGATAGCTTTTGATAAAAGAGTAAAAATTTATTTCATTTTAATTTTTTTATGTTTCATATTATAAAAATTTTTGTTTTTTACCTTATAATAGCTCACCTTATATCAAAAAAAATACTTCTACCTAATAAATATAAACTAATTCATTATTATTAAGAGATATTTTTTGCAAATGGACTATCTTTTGTTTTATTGCAATAAATTTTTTCCAATCAATTATAAAAATTATTCATATTACTATATAAAGAAAAAAATTAAGTTCGTGTTGAATGGAAATCCTACTATTGTGAGCAGTTAAAGTATAGCTGGAATACCTAGATTAAATGAGCTAGTTAAAATAAGCTGCTAAGCTTTAAATATTAAGTACATTCATAATGAGGAGAGCAATATTAGGATTTTCAGAAGTGAAGGAGTAGAACTTTTTGAAGAAGATCTTAAGTATCTTAAGCAGAATGAAATACTTTATATTTCACCAAACAAAGAAGATTTCGACGATTCAAATAATTTTGCGATGTACAAGATCTTATAAAAAGTAGGAAAAGGTGGATATGGATCAGTATATGAGGCAAGGCATAGGATTACAAAAGAAAGGATTGCTATTAAAATGATAAATGGATCAAGTATAAGTAAAAAAATTCTTTTTTGACATTTATAAAACTTAAAAATTTAAAGGATATTTTTAAAAATTGGAGTATTTATTTAAAAAACATAATAAAACTATTGAAAAAATAATACTTTAAGTTTAAAATTTAACAGCTACTATTTTTTATTTGCTTTAATAGTAATTTTAACAAGACAAAGAATTATTTTTTAGGAAATAAAAGCAAAAGAATTTAAAAATACTCAAAAATGAATTAATTTATTTCCCTTTTTAAAAAATTAATTAATTTATAATTATTTGATTAAAATTTAATTATTCTATTATTCAAATTTTATACAGGATCTGCTAAAGATATTGAAATGATGTTCAAAGAGATAGGTCTATTAAAAAATTTAAATCACAAGAATATCATTAAAGTGCTGAATTGTTACACATTGAAAAGCGAAATGAAATTAGCAATTGTTTTTGAATATTTAGAAGGAGGTGATTTGAGAGAATATTTGGATAAATAGCCAGGTTAGGTAAGAATTTTATATTTTATCAAATTAATTTAAAATAAATCTATATTGCACATTTATACATCATAAAATTTAAAATTAACTTTGATGAATATGTGTTTTATATAAATTACTTTTAAATATAATACAAAATATTTCAAAGCTTGAATGAAAAAAATATTTAGTATAAATTCTTCATTGTTTATTTTTAGATTTTTTTTGATTAATATAAATAAAAAATATCTCAAATGCATTTATAAATAAATAAACAAACAAATAGTGTGTGGATGAAGAAGTTGCTAGAAAAATATTTCTTTAATTATTTAATGCCATCTAATATTGCCATAGAGAGAAGATCATTCATAGAGATTTAAAATTAGAAAATATAATGTTTACTAGCAAAAATTATGATGTGATCAAAGTTGTTGATTTTGGTATATCTGCTCAATAAAGCTTGATTAATATTGATTACACTTAAGCTGGCTCAGCCAGATATTTTGCACCAGAAGTACTCTCTTCAAAAGCACCTGCTCATCCTTCTATAGATGTTTGGGCTATGGGATGCATTCTATTTTGGGTGATTGTTGGAAAATCTCCTTTCCCTTAAAGCACGAAAGAAGAGGTTTTCAATAATATCTTAAAAGGCAATTATTCTATTCCTGTAGAAGCAAAGCAGAGAATGACAAAATCTGTTCAGGATTTGATAACAAAAATGCTTTAAGTTGATGTAAATAGTAGAATCACAATGAATGAAATTGCTCAACATTAATGGCTTAAAAATTCTGTGGAAGAAATGTAAATATTTTTAGCATAAAAAATTTAATTAAAAAATAAGAAATTTGATTAAATTTAAATATTTGAATGTAAATAAATTGTCATAGTTACAGTTGATTTTTTTCAAATCAATAGAAGAAATAGACATATTATTCTATTTAAAATTAATTATTTTTAATATAGAAAAATAATTGAACAAAAAGAAAGACTAGCTCAAATGCAGCTGCTTAAAAGCTAAAAAACAGCATTAAATGAAAGAAAATCTTTCTGCAATAATATTAAATCAACACAAAAGATATCTTTAAGCAATTAGGATTTTTAAATTAATATGACTAAAAATGGAATTATCAAAAGAAAAGAACCCTCAAAGACTGTTATAAGTCAAACACCTTAAAAATTTAATTAAATGCTATTCTTAAGAAAGAGTTCTTTAAATTCGATTGAGTAAGATAGATAAATTTAAGAAGATATTAACCAGAACAAAGACGCATTAAAATACTAGATTGTCCTAGAATCTTACCAGAAAAAGCTTTTAAATAAAAAACTACCTTCTATCAAGGAGTAATAAAATAGTAATTTAAGAAAAATAAATAGCTAAAGAGTCCTTAAAGCACACAATAAGGATAAACCTCAAAGTTTTTCTTGTGTAGACTAGCCAGCTTAAGGTAATCCTAACAATTATGGTTTGGATTCTCCATCTTACTTAAATCAGACTAATGGAATCATATCACCAAAGCAAATGAACACTCCTTTTAATTTTAAAAATCAACAAAACTCAAGTAATAATCAAACTCAAGTTTAATACAAAACCCCTAAACAAAACTTGAAAGAAGTTTTTATTAATGAAAATTAATACTGTGTTAGTAAATCATATTAATCTTAAACTAATTTATAAAATAAATTTAATCAAAGCTAATAACAAATAGAAAACCCTCTTAAGATAAACAATAATTTTAACAACACTTTATCTAAACAAAAATAATACATTATTGAAAAAATAACTCCTCTGTAATCACCAAATGCAAATAAAAATATATAGCTTTCACAGTAATAGAAAGAATCTCTCATTCCTAATTTTAATCGTAAAAGCGACTCCAAATTTACTTAATAAAAATTGATCCAAATTACCAATAATAACACTCAATCTTAGGCATCATTCTCGGATTTAGAAAATGTTCCTTCTTTTAAATAAAATGTTCAAAATTTATCTAATATAAATGCAAACGGTAGCAATTAAAATTCTTCTAAAGGTAAAAATAGCAACTTATTAACTGGAACTGTTTTATTCTATTAAAATGCATTAATGTATGACCAAGACTAAGAAAACAAAATATAAAAAATAAATAGTTCTAAAAGAATTCTTACATACAACTGAGTTACTTAGTAAAAAATATCTATAAAATGACATTAATTTAAACGACAAAAAAGGATTTATGAATAAAAAAAATAAAAGATTAATGATAAATTTAGATAAAAATCTTTTTAAAACAAACTGTAAAATAATAATAAAGAATGTAATACACATTTATTAGAATTTTTAATTAATATTATTATTCTATTTATATTAATTTTGGTATATTACACATTTCTGAAAGATAACTCAAACTATAAAATATATCTATCTATTTTATATTTTTCAATATTGTAAATAAATTAAATTTTAATTAATTCCATTTATTAAACTTATGTATTGTATAATCTGTCTAAACTTTGCAGTCGTATACTCAAGCTTGTAATAAAATTTTTTGCTTAAGGTAGCAAAATAATAATTATTGTTTGGGAGAGGGGTGATCTTAATTTTTGGAGAATAACAGTAATTTCACATTATTTCAAATTTATTTCATATAAGTAATTATATTTTCTTCAAAATTTAATTTTTTATTTTTCAAATATTATTAATTTTTGTGAAATTTAAAAAAGGAAATTTTGCATTGATTTTATTTTAAAATTAAAAAAAATAAAAATTAAAACTTGTAGACAAAATTTGAAAACTTTTTAAATTATATATTTATTTATTAATGAATACTTAATACTTGATTCTATCAATATCATGTAAAGTTTATTAGAAACCTTATTCAGCTATTTTTTTTTAGTTGGAAATTTATTAATTTAGAGAAAAATAAATAATATTTGAAATTAAAACAATAAATAAGAAGGTATATATATATATAATTGACTAGTAAATTTAATTAGTTAGATAGATTACTAACAATATAATTATTTTATTTCATTTATTAATTAATTTAGGAATTTAGTTGACAAAAAAATATTGCTTTTAAAACTTTATACAAATTAATCTCAAATTCTAAAAATAGAACAATCTAAATTGTTAAGCACTGCTAAATGCAGATTTTTTGTTTAATTGTAAACAATGTGTTACAGTTTCAATGATGTTTTTGTTAGATGTTGTAAAATTTCAAATTTTAAACATTTAACTCTCAAACATTTCAGCTTCTCTCATCTTATTCTGGACTAAATTAACTTACTTCAAAATTATTTGAAGACTACTTTCTTCCCTATATCCACAGTGTTCTTAATTTATTTATTTAAGGATTTAAAAGCATGAATCTTTAATTCAATAATTATTAAAATTTACATAATAAAAAGGTGTTAATTTCATCCCATAAATTACATTAAGTTTAAGTTTAGAACAATAAATTTAAATGAGTGTTTTCTATATTTTCGTAGCAAAAGGCTCCTAAAATATCCTAATTTATGATTTATACAAAAACAATTAATTATTTTTTATTAAAAATATTTACTAATTTTGAAAATATCTTTTTTTGACCAATCTTATCAACACACTCAAATTTAATATCACTCATTTATCTAAAATGCATTTATGCATATTTCATGCTTTCTTCTTGTTTTCCGTCCTTGTACATTTTTAGGAATTATAGACTAACTAGTTTTCCTTCCAGTTATGGATTTGTTAAAAATATATTTGGGAAATTCTTTTACAAAATTTCTATAATTTTAGCATAATTCAGTTACTGTAAATAACCTAATATTTCTATATAAAATTGTAAATTAAAAATAAATAATTAAATTTATAATTTTTTAAATTATTTTATTATATCAAAAGGTATAGGATCAATTAACCTAAATCAATTAATTGAAAACAAATTTTTTTACTAAACAAATTCAAAAACACCTAATAAGATAAGATTGACTTGAATAATTTAACATTAAATTATAAAATTTGAATAGTTTAAAATTATAATAAAACTCACCTTTTCTTATGTTATCAAAGATTGCATATTTACCATTTTAAATATAATCAGAGTTTTTGTTTTGAGTTATATTATTTATTTATTTTGATTTTTAATTGGTTTTCATTTCATCATTTTTTTCTTCAAGAAGATGATTCATTTCTATCTCTTTTTGATCTTTAAAATATAAAAAATAGAAAATTAAACTTCCAATTTAATATTAATTAAAAATTTTGAAGATCAACCTTTACATAGAAAATATGTTAATTTATTTATCACTTGAAAAATTTTGAAAATTTATTTTATGAAAAGTAAGTAATATCAACTTACCAATATTTTTGTGGTCAATATTTTTGGAAGACTCTACACTTCCACCATTATTAAGCTCTGTTTAAATCTTTTCTTGAACAAAATCTTCTTCTAAACTTTCTTGATATTTATTGCTAAAATCCAAAATATCATCATAAGCATCATAAATATTTTAAATTTCTAATTAATTTTCCTCCTGCATTTACAAGATTTCTTTTTCTTCCCTCCTTAAATCATTTTCTATTTTAAAATCTTTATTTAAAAATTAATCCTCTTTATTTGATTTTTAAGATTAGTTTATGGGAGATTTGTCTTAGTTCAAGTATTTATCTAAAAATGAGGCTTCTAAGTTATTTTAATTGGAGTTTTCTTCACATTCCATCAAGTTGTTTATTGGACTCAAGAGACTTAAATTCTCAAAAGACTAAAGAGAATCGAAGTACCCATTTAAATAAAGATATTATTAAACAAGTTTATGCACTTCAAATAAATCACATTTTTAAGTGCTAATCTACTTTTGTATTTAAGCTTTATAATCAGCTATTAATGATCTAATATCAAACTTAAATGGCCTCTGCCCAAAATTAATTCTAACCTTATCCCTAAAATAGCTGAGACTAATTATCCCAATAAATTAATAATTTCTCACAATAGTAAAAGCAGCTTTTTTATAAAATTATTTTTTTATTAAATAACTTAAAAATCCCAATAAATAAATTGAGAAACAAAATCTTTTATAAAGCTATCAATGTTACCTTTATATTCACCATCATTTGTAAAAAATATCTCATTCGTAATGTAATTATACCCACACCCAATTACGTTGCCCTAACCCCATGGTTTAACTTTTTGTGTAGACTATTTATTTTTAATGTATTAAGGTTAATTTGCTCAAATCATCTCAGAAAATTAAAATTCTTAATCTTTACTTTTATTTTTGAGCATCTTATTTCACCATTCTTTTTACACCCAAAAGAACACTTTGCCCTTAGTTAATTTAGAAAAAAAATAAGATTATTACAATAGACAGACATGCAAGGAAATACAATGAAATGTTTACTTCTTTGAAAATCCTGGCTATTTATGAACAGGAAACGTGCTAATACCCAATCCAACACATATATCACTGTATTAATTATTTAATAAATAAATAAGATTAGTGATTTGAATAAAATTAAACTTTATTCTAACCTTTAATCGCTCATTTCTATCATTTCAACTTCATAGTAAAAGATAATATCCTCCCTTGAACTTACATAATCTGTCTGAAAATTCTAATAGAATTAAAATTATTATGAAAGGATTGCTTATTTCAAGCAAAAAAACATTAAATAACTTAAAAACATTCATTTCTTCAAACAAACATCCTTTATCAAACAAATCAAAAATGTAATGAATAACTAATACTGAATAAACAAAAGATGTGTCAATCGGTTTTCTAATATATTTAACAGACTCACCGTCATTACAGAATTTTAAATTAGGCGAGTATTTTCTTTTTATAGTAGGAACCCGAATCTTTGTATTTTACTTATTAGGCAGATATTCAGGATTCAATAAAATTTGTTGGTAGTGATTTAAATTTTGACTAATGCTACTACTAATATTGTAATCAATATTCTTCATAATAATAATAACAATAATAAGTTTTCTTTAATTTATTTAATATTCTTTTAAGCAAATTAATGACTCGCGAAAATAGTGCATATATAAAATATTTGCTAGCCACATAAAAAAGCTTCACGAAAAAGCAAATTCAGAATTTGGATGTTTAAACAATCTCCTTTTATTCAACCAATTCTTAGCTTTCATTAAAAGTCCAAGTTATTAAAAAGATTCTATCTTTTGGAATTTCTAACCAAATAAATAACTTTAATTTAAATAGGGTTGTTCAAAAATTATGTTGTTAAAATCACCATATTTTTAATTTAATATTTTTATTCATGTTTGTTAAAAATATTTTAATAAAAACAAAAATCAATTTAAATTAAAATTAAATTTATAATTTTTGTTTTTATTTTTATTTTTATTTTTATTTTTATTTTTAATAGAAAGTAATTAAATTCAAAATAATTTAACTCTTTATTTATTATAAAAGAGTTATTTATGAACAATTTATATTTTACTAAATCTTTAAGCAAAAAAAACTCTTAATTTTAAGGAATTCTTCCAGAGTTATAAAATTAAATTTCATTTTTTTTTATTCAACTCTCTTTCAAAAAAATATTTTCATTTACTTTATTTATTTTAAAATATAATAATAATGTATCAATGTTAATCCTTTAAAAAATAAAGTCATTTACATTTTTAGTTTACAATTAAAATCAAATTATTAGATTTTGATGACATTTTAATATAAAATAAAATTTAGATATGATAGGTAATTCAACTATGTATATTATTGAAATTACTCATATTACTAACAAGTATTTAATTTTTTAGTTAAAAAAATATTAAATTGAAATTATTAAAAAATACTTGATTATCTATGTGAATAATCATTAATATTTATAGAGATGATATAACTTACATCATCATGTTTTTTGCCATTAGTGTTAATTAATAAAGTTGTATAGAATTTATCTGGATGAATTCAAAATTATATTGATCATTAATAAATTTATTAAAGAAAAAAACTTAATAAGTAAATTTTAATTAATTTTGATTATTTCAAGAAGTAACCAAATTTTTTGTTTATTTATAAAAGTTTCAAAAATAAAAATAATTTTAATTCAAATATATTTTATTGAAGAGCTCTCAAAATTATATTTAATTCCCAAACAAATTTTTTATTTTTGCATTAAAGCTACTATTTATTTTTTATATTTCTAACAGTTTATAAATTCCCTTAAAAAAATAAATAAGTTCAATTAATGTATTATAGTTATGGAAAGGTTTATTGCTTGTAAAAATTTCTTTTATTAAATAATTTTAATATCAATTATTATTGAATTGCAATGATTTTTTGAGTAAAGATTAATTATTTTTTGGTTATTTGATTAAAGTTAAAGACAATTAATAAAAATAAAAATGTATTTCTTTTACTTTATAAAATTAAATACAAATAATATGATAAAAAATGTATTACTTTAACTTTATAATATTAAGTTTACTTAAATTAAATACTTAAAATTTATTTGTCTGCTTTTCTTTCCAATTTAATATAAATATTTTTCATTTTTTAGTGTTTACATATTTTACTTAGAAAAATATTCAAAAAATTTTTTTATGTTTTAAAATTTAATTAAAATAAATGTTATTTTTGAACTGTTAATAATAAAGATATTTAAGATTTCTATAAGGTTAATTATAAAATAAAAATTAGATATTTTCTATCCATTCAAATAATCTCCATGAATATAGTATACTAGCTGAATATAAATTTATCTAGGACAACATAATTTTTAATAATTACAGCGCTAAAAATCAAATTAAAGGGTTTTTTTATTTTAAGCTTGATGAAAATATAATTCTGACTCTCTTTCTTTTTGATAGTGTAAATCTAAAGTTAAAAACTGAGGATACTATTATACCTACCAACCAACAATCTCTATACCAAATGACTTTAATTATTATTTAAACCTCTGATTGTATCAACTTCTCATCAAAAATTTAAATATTTCAAATTTTTATAGATTTTTTTAGATTTTTTTAGTGTTATTTTTCTATATTTAGGTTTTAAATAACATAGTTAGATCTATAGAATGAGAAATATATTAAGTAGTACAGTAATGAAAAGATTTCTATTAACTGGAATTAAATAATAGTAATCATTTTTAAATTTAGCTCTTTTGTTTAACAAAAGATGTAACATTACAGTTCTTTCTTTCTACGATTAATCAATTTAAAGAATTCAATAACCTTTAATGATAAATATTTAAAATTTATAAAAATCTATCTTTTGTTTGATTTTAAATTAAAAATATTAGTTAAATATTTTAAACTTAATACATTTTCAAATATATTTGTATTTATTTTTATCATAAGTTAAATAGAAAAATGAATTCTTTCCTCTTTTTGTGAGAGAACATATTTATTTTATAACTTCAAACTCAATATACTTTTTATTAATTATTTTTATTTTAATTTTAATTTTTTGTTATTTAATCATAAAAAAAACAAAAACATTTATAAATAATCCACAAAAAATGGTATTTCGTAGGATATTTTGTCTATTAAAATAGGAAAATATTTTTTTATTTTCAAAAAGAGACTTTTATTTGAATAAAATACCTCTGAAATTATTGCAATTAATTTTTAATAAATTAATTCATAAACCTTCATTTTTAATTATAAAAATTAGAATTATTATTCATAATAAGTATTTATCTCTATTTAATAAAAAAAGATTATTAATATATTTTAACTATTTTATTTCAAAAACAAGTATTAATTTTGCAAATCTACTTTACTTCGTTTTAATTGAAAAAAATTGTAAGATAATTAATAAATTAATTAACTTATCTTATAATAGATACTAAGAATGAAGAAATTACGCATTTAGAACTAGCAATTTTTATTAATATGATAGTCCAAACTTTTAATTAACAAAGAAATGTCAAAATAGTACAGTAATAAATAATATAGACTATTTACATGGTATGCTTCACAAACAAGCAATCAAGCATTGAAAAAACTCTAAATCAAAAATTAATTATTGATTTTTTAATAATAATTTATAAATTAAGATTTACTAATAAACCAAAAAATAGATATTAAAACTTAACTTTTTTTGGAAAAGTATTAAATTTACATAATTAATAGATAAAAAAACAAACAAACAATTATATAAATGGGCTGTATCGCAACTAGAAATAAATTTTTGAAAGACAGCGACGATAAGGATGTTACTAGCGTGATAACTAATAAAAAGAAAATTGTCCTTGCTGGTTTAAAGGGATCTGGAAAAACTAGTATATTACAGAGGTTGAAACATAACACTTTCATACAAGTTGCTCCTGAGGGTTCAAGCATGTCAATTGAATAAATATCAATAAAAGATGATTTAGATTTTCTTATTTATGATATTGATCACTAGAATAAAAAATAATAAAATTGTCATCTCACAGAAGCAGATGCTGTAATTTATGTTATAGATTCTACAGATATTTAAAATATGTGGAGAGTTAAGGAAGATCTAACCAGAATTAGCAATGAAATGAGATACTCTGAATCTGTAGTACTTGTTTTGTTTAATAAGTTTGACCTCGAAGAAGCTTTGGATGCCAATACAATAATATAAGAAACAGGAGTTCATAGCGAATTAGATTTGGATGTTTTTATTCAAAAATGTTCAGCCAAGAGTGGACAAGGCTTGTAGGAAGGTTTAGAAAAGCTAATAAATTATTTTGTGCGAGAACAAAAGAGTGGATTTTGATGCAAGGCATGTAAATCCACCACAAAAATTAGTTTAATTAACAATATATTGTAAATAAAGTAAATTATAACTCACTCAAAAGTATTACTTTTTAAATCCTACTAATAAATAAATAATAAGCAAGTAAGTATTCTTGTACATTAATTCGTACTTCAATATAAACTATAATAAAATAAAATCAATTATTACTTCAATTATAGAAATTTTCAAGCATATTACTGAATAAAAAAGTTTTACTTGCTAATTATCCACTAAAATAAGTCTGCTAAATAATTTTAAGAAAATTAAATTGTAAGATTGCCTTATTATTTTAGAGATTAATTAAGAATGAATAGAAAATTGACAGTAAAGTAATTAAGATTGAATAAAAAAGACTTTCATGAATGAAGAAATGATGAACGGAAATAAAAACTTATTAATTACTTAGAAAAAAGATCTTTATGGTAAAATGTGTAATTAATTATTAGAAGTATAATTTAAAAATATTTTGTAATATAAAAAAATTTGTACATATATATAATTTTATCAACAAGTAAAACCATGATAGAAATAGTTAATAAAAGAATTATCTAAACTCCTTGACTTTTTTAAAAAATTATCACTTTCTCTTAAATTAATAAAAATTTTATCTAACTAATTAGTATCTACACGTTTGATTTACTTTTTTTTTAGTCTACTTACGATTATTTAAAATAAATAATAAAGAAATACAAGAGTAACTCTCTAATATTTTTTTTAACTTGATGTTTATGTGCTTGAATAAATATAATCATTTATTAAGTTCTATGCATTAGCGCAAACTATAAAAGAAAAACTAAATTTAATATTCGCAGTCTTTGTTTTACAATAAATAGTATTTCTTCGGTTCTAATAACATAATTTAAAATGATTTACATAAATTCAGAAAACATAAAATATTTAAATTGTTTGTCAATTGTATTTATTATTAATGTATTTATTTGGAGTCTAATTGAACTACTTCACTTTTTGTTGTTGACTATAGTACATTAAATTGTTAATTTAGTCAGAATCTAAATTGTATTTAACTGGGGTATTTTTGTGGCTTTTATAGCTTTAAGCAATTTTTTGAATATTTTATCCCTAAAATTCATTTTCATTTTCATCTTAAATACTTGAATAGCAATTCTTAAGCTAACTATTTGGTAAAGCCTAAATTTGTTCAATTTACTGACCTGATTATTTAAATTATTAAAAATTTTAATGTTCCTCTTAATTAGCATCATGGATCTAGCTATGCCTCCTCTATTTTTAGTTCTGTCTTTGATAGAAGAAAATTTACTGCTGAGCTTATCTCATCTTAGAAGTAGTTAAAGGACTGTAGGTTGAATTGAACATCCTCACTTATTTAGAATTTTCAGAGAATTTGGAGTTATTAGAAATCTCATTTTCTGTCAAATAGAAATTTTAATTTAATTAATTATTGCTTGCATTAAAATCATCATCTTCGTCGTTATCTTCTTTATTTACATAAATAACAATTTATAATAAGTTAATTAACTTAATAAATTGATTTCATCATAAAAAAGTTATTGTTTAATTAGAAAGATAATATGTTAAAAAAATAAACAAATAATGTGTTATCTTGAATTTTAAAGCTTAAAAAATTATTTTTTTGATTATATAAAAATAACATTAAAAATTGCCTCAATTACTGATAATAGGTTTAAAAAAATGGAATAGAGAAGAGGTTGTAAGGTATTTGAATTAAAAAAATGTGAGGGGTTGTATGTAAATTAAAATGTAAGATTGAGTAATATTTGTCTTTATTTCAACTTAGTAAAAAATAAATTAAACAAATAATTTACCACATTCATCCTATTGTTTAAAATACCTTTTTTCGTGCTTTTCTTTATTTGAGGGCTGAGGTGAATAAGAAGCAAGCTTTGATTTTTTAGATTTTAATTAAGATTCTGCTTGATAGATATCTGCTAATTTTATATCTGATTGCATATTTGATTAGCGTTTGTTAGCAATCTTTGAATGACTGTAGTCTTAAAAGCTTTAAAATGAAGAAATTTATTTTTTTTAAGAATTAAAAGCAGGTTTTTGACTTATATTTGATAAATTTATAAAGCTTCTAGCTCTATTTATGAAAGGACTTTAGTCTTCACTACCTTCCTCATTGCTGTTTTAGTAAAGGAAATTAGCAGATTTTCTTCTTCTTTTTTCTTTTTCAATCTGTTCGTCATTTTCTTGTTGTCTTTACTTTTTATTAAAGTTAAATCTAAACACCAATGTATTTTCATAGCTCTACACAGCTTGCTTAGATTGCTGCTCTAGATTGCTTAGAATTTCATTTTTAACAAAATTGTGCAATCCTGAAAAATGTTTATTTATGCTTTTAAAAAGCTCTTTCTGATTGAATTACATAAACTCAATACTCTCTTTAAATTCTTCAAAGATAGCTTTTGCTTGCTCCGCTGCATGATCATCTAGCTCATCTTAAGCATTTTGTATCTGTTTAAGATTCTTTTCTAAGATTTTTCTTTGCTTATCATAGAATATAGCTTCTGAAAGATAAGATTCTCCTCCTTGTTTCTAATTACCTTTTGGATTCTTATTAGTTTTTTTAATCTCCTTCAAAGACACCTTGTATTGATCATTTGCTATTTTCACTAGGTTCTACTTATTTTTGTACACTTTCATATACTTTTTGTTAAAATTGAAAACATCATTTTTATCTATTTATTTATATATCTATCTATCAGGAATTTGATCAAAAATCAATAATAAATTTAATAATCAACAATAAGCTACTACCTCTTTTCTTTGCTTATACAAATAAACTTCTTTTTCTTTCATTTTAGTATATTGGTTCTAAAACAAAGAACTGACATCAACAACCTTATTAAATATTAAAAAAGCAATCAAACTTTATTTCCATCAATACAAAAATATCCATTACCATATCCGAAAACTCTTACACACTAGACTTGATGTTTTCCTTGAATATATTCATAATGTGTTAGCTTTATTTGTCTTTACAGGCATCTTATAATTTGTTTCCAAACTCCTTAAAAATGATTTGTAGTTTCTAATAAAAGCAAAACAATGTCAAGATTATTCACTTACCATATTAATTTTACTTTATATTGCTCCTTCATTTCATAAGTGAATTGCTCAAACTCTTCAAGGCTACCTAGATTGAATTCCATTTCGCTTTAATTATAGAATTGAGTAAAATTTAATGTCAACTTTATAATGAAAATGAAGTGATCGCCAAGTGTATATTTAAAATGATTACATTTTAGAGAAATTATAAGAGATAATGTGTTAAGTTTTTTTCAACTATTTTTCTTTTGGAAGTAGAAATGCTTTTAATTTATAAATTTAATATTTTTATGAGAAAACTTAATTGAATTTTATTTTTAAAAGATTTGCTACAACCTTAGTTAGCTAAGTAGGTTTTTAAAAATTAAAAATATCTTAATAGAAGAAACTATTGCTAAGCTTTAACTTTAATCATCTGATTAAGAAATTTCTACAAATTTTGTAAAAGTATGAGTAAAAAGGAAGATACCACATTATAGCAGTAATTAAAAAATTTAAGTTAAAATGAGCTGATAGATTTAACCAAAATAGCAATTAAGTCAGATAATGTGGTATTATTAAAGCTGATTGATAAATAAAAAAAATCCATTATGCAAACAAATTCTCCATTTGCGAATAATTCTGAAAATATTTTCAATATCTGCAAATATGGCTCTAGTGATTTATTTAATTACTTTAGCGATAAAAAGTATGACTTCTCTATCAAGGATACTGCTACAGGAAATAAATGCCAACACTTTGCTTCTATATATGGAAACCTCTAAGTATTTAAAATGATTTTTGTTTACACTTTATCAATAAATATATTGACATATTTTTATCTAGGTTTTAAATGAGTTAATCAAAAGAAAAAATATTTTTAACATGAATGACTAAAACAATAAATAAGAAACAGCTCTTCACGTAGCCTTAAAATATGGATGTAAATTAAAATCAGTTCTTCATTAATACCTAAAATTAATTAATTTATAATTAATATAAACTTGTAGAATATAGATATGAAAAAACAACAATGCTTCTAACAAGTAATTTCCTACAAATTAAATAAATAAATTTATTAATCTAAATAAATTTCTAAATATTTATAAAGGATTCACAGATTTAACACTAAAAGATAGCGAATTAAAAGAGCCTCATAGAATTAGAATGAAAAATTTCAAATAAAACGTTAGGTTATCTGAATTTCTCCACTAAAAATATATTAAACAAAAGCAGAGATAGTAGAATTAATTCTTTTAACAATTGGATTAAAATGAATCAAATTAAAAACAATGAATTTATAAATTATTCTTTAATTACCAAACTATAAATATATTTCTTATACATATTACTTCAATTTAGTTATAAATTTAACTTAATATAAAAGAAATGCACATTCTATTAAATTATTTTTAACATACAAGTTTTTATAATTAATCAATAAGTCCATATAATCAATTGTTTCTTATTAGATTACCTGGTTAGTTAATATATTAGTTCTTTTGCTATTAATTTATTTAGTTACTAAGTTAGATAATTAGTTTGAGTGAATTGTTAATAATTTAATACAAATAAAAATTATTTTTTTTCATTAAAATTAAACAAATGATAAAATTTGTTGTTAAATTCCTTCAAATTTTCACAATTCAACATCAAGAAAATTTTATATTATTGTAATTAATTTTAGTGTTTATTAAATAACAAATAGTATTACTAATTAAAGAAGTTTACTTTTTTACATTGAACTTTTATTTAGGATAATTTAAAAATAATAAGGTTTTTATTGCAATTTAAAAGATATTTTATTCCTGATTCAGCAGTATTTGTTTTTACAGCAATAAACAATTTATTTAAAAACTAAAATAATATTATAATTTGCATCACTTATTTATTATTGGCCTTTTACCTTTTTTAATTCAATTTCCTTTAGTTTATTTCTTAAATAAGAAAGAAATTGCTTTTTTTATCAATCTAAATTTTTCAAAAACAACCAAGAAATAAATAAGTAACTAAAAATTAATCTGCCAATAATAAACTAAGATATCAAAGATTACTCAAAAATTAAAAATATTATGATTTATTTTTCCAAAAATTAATATGCAAAGTAATTGGTTAAAAAGATGTTTAATTAAAGTATATTTGTATACAATGATAATCTTTACATTTTTATTTTTAAATGGAATACACATTATTTTTTTGTTTAGAGCATAGTTCTATTTAAATAATATTTTAATTAATATTCTTTTTTGTGAATAATTTTGTAAATTTAATTATATTTTTATTCTTTTTTATCATTTTTAGCGGTTAAAAATCTTTTAGAAATTAAAAAAAGATTTGTTTATTTAATAAAAATGTAGCTATAATCTGATTACTTAAGATTAAAATAATTAACTATTACTATAGTTATATGAATATTTTGGAAGTATTAATTTTGATTTCTTTTTATTTTAGATAGGATATTATTTTAATAAGAAAATCTTTAACAAAGAAATTAATTTTTATATAACAAGAAGAAATATTTTAATTTAAATTTATAAGTTAAGATTAAGTTTATTTATTTGATTTTTGTTGGATATATACATATTAAACTATAAATTAAAGCTAATATTAAGGATTATTATTATTAATAATAATACAATATTTCACTATTTTTTATTTTTTTTAACTCGAATTAATAAATATTTCAATTAAATATTTAAAATAAGATTTTTATTGTTATTAAATTTGAGATGTTGTGAATATTTTATTTATTTATTTTAATTTATTACTTAGTATTAATTATTAATCAATTAATAAATATAAGCAAATATTTTGATTAAATAGGTAGTATGTTGCTTGGAAATAAATAACCACTTTTTGAAAGTGGATAATCGTAAGCCTTAATTATATTAACTTATTTAGGTATTTATTTTTAAGATTTTTGTTAGTGTTATTGAAATATTTTATAAATAGTTTTTATTCATTCATTCATTATTATTATTTTTTTTTGTTGTATCACTAGATAGATCTTAATTATTATAAATATTTTTTTTGTTCATTTTTATTTGATTTCAATTTTTTATTAAAATTGACTAAGAAGCAATACTTTAAATTTATTTAGACAAATTCTAGAGTTTTTTATTGAGCCTCTTCGAAAATTAAAAATTTGAACACTTTGAAGCAATTTCGAGTAAAATTTTCTTCAGAAAAGGGGTATGACTGCATAAAGTACAATTGAAATAATCACTATAGCTACAATAATTTTTATTTTTAAGTTTCTTACTGCAACAGCATTTTTTAATTGCTTTTGTTAAAGTTACTGATTTTCTTATTGATTTTATTCTTTGGTTTTTGCCTTTTGATCTTCTTTGTTACTTTCTTGTTGCTGCCTTAATTTCTCAAGCTCTGGACTTAGCTTTTAATCAGCAGTCTACATTTTCAAAAAATATTTTAGTAAATTAATTCATAAAATAACAAAAATACAGAAAAATTAGAGGGATTAGAATGGTCTGTGTTGATTTGCTTAAGGTTTTGCTCAATTTATGCATGAATGTCTTCTATTTCAATTTGCTTGTGCGAAAATATTTTTATTGCATCTTGAACAATTTACTCAGAATCAAATTTATCAATTATTTAAACAATAAAACCCTTAGCAAAGTTTTAGATTGTCTTATCGCTCTGCTTTTCGTAGTTAGGCATATTCTTTAGTTCCTTTTTTATATTCTTTAAATATAAACGTATAAATTAAATTTCGCTCAATCTCAAAAACAATTATAAGTTTTTACATTTAACATAAGTTAGGCTTGATCAAATGGATATATTTCATTCACAAGAGCTTTTTTTTATATAAAAAATATATTTTCTAAGATGTTTTAAAAATATTATTTTTAAGCTTTTCAAATAGAAAATATCTTATTCAATTTATGTTTTTATTAAATGAGAGACATTTATGTTTGAAAAAATAAAGTTAGAAATGATAATGAATCTTCGTATTACTTGTATACACAATTTTTTTATCATCAATAAGAGTGCAGTACACGCCTTCGTTGGCAACAATTTAATGAGTTTTATTTATTTCATATGACTTTTGTTCTTCATCATTTTTAAGGTAATTCTAAATATGTTAAGATATTTCCTTTTCATTTTATTCCTTTTTTATAAAAAAGAGATGAATATTTTTTTCTTAGATAGATTACATAATAAAATGGGTTGCTAGTGATTTTGTTGGCACAAAGATAATTTATATATGCTATGAAAATAATCATAATAGTACTGTATTTTCAGAAGGCACTCTACTTATTTAAAAAAGAATTTTGCAATCTGTCTGTCTTCCTATGCAGAATCCTTTGATGTACTTTATCGTACTCATTGTAGATTCTTTAATAGTATATGGGTGTCAAAACAATAATTTCTTACTATTTCTAGAGTCTTTATTATTCTTTAAGTTTATTAATATTTATAGATGTTATTGAAGAATTTCTATGTAATTTTAAAAAATCCGTCAATAATTCAATGTAAAAAACCATAATAAGGAATTTAATTAATTTCAATCAATAATGTTAGCAGGCAGATTATTAATCAATCAACCAATCAGTCAGTATTAAATAATCGATAGATTTTACATAAAAAAATCATATGAAGATTAATAAATTTATTATTTAATTAGCTTTGTTTCATAAATAATTCAAAATAGACCTAATTATTAATTAATTGAATTATTTTCAATGAGTTCATATAAATCTATCTAATTAATTACAGCTTTTTTCCCCTTAATTTTTATACAGTTTACTCCATTTCATTTTAATTTCTATTTATCCAACATAATTTATTTATAAGTAAAAATAAGTAAAAAAAGAGCAAAATAGATAAAAAGACAAAAGTGATTTTTCTTAAAAATCAATCATTTATTAATTCCAAATATTCTTTAAAATGTAAAATTTCAAATAAATACTTAAAAAAATAGATTGATTCTTACACTATTTTAACTAAATTAGGGTTTAAAAAATTTCAATTTTTCAATCTATTTTCATAGGATTATTTTTTAAAAATCGTATGCCTAAATTTTGAAAATACTTTGAATAAATAAACCAATAAAATGAATTATAATCTAAAAAGAATTTTATATATAAAAACAACAAGATCTAAAATATTTTATTTACTATCATTTTCATCTAATATTTCTTTGCTTACTAATAACACAAAAAAATAGTTAAAATATTATTTTTTATTGAATATTTTGATCCATATCTTTTCTAAACAAAGTCTTCATCTTTCATGATTCTTGATAATTTTGTAATAGATAGTTTATTTAAATGCGATTTTAAAAAGTAATTCAATAGATTATGTAATAGAAATATAAACTTTTTCTAGCATTTTTTATTTTAATAGAATTTTTTAAGATATCTAAGTATCAGATAATTTAACTTACAAATGTAATTTTTTCTATGTTATTTTATACAAACTATATGATATACATTAGTTTAATAGCTATTTACTCTATTTTTTTTTGTGAAATAAAACAAATATTATCTAAAAAATTAAATTGTAGGCTCAATTAAAACACAAAGTTTTTTGTTAGCTTATCAATGTGTGTGTGGATTAAAAGAAAATATGATTTAATAATCTTTTGAAAAGCTAAAAATCTAATTTAATTATTTGATTTGCTTAATTTCTGTATATAAAAAAATAGATTGTTTTTTTATATTTTTCAGTAATCTAAATGATACAAAGAAATAATTTACTTGATTTCTAAAAAGTTAAGTATATTTTTTAAATATAAATATAGACTAAGCATATCATATAATTTTATTAATTATTTAATAATCAGATTCTATATAAATTAATCTTGAATTAAAATTTTTTATATTGAGCCATTAAGCATTCTAGCTAAGTTTTACTAGTCAAATATATAGTTTGATCTTAAATTAATTTTAAATACCTTTCAATTATTATTTTATTTTCTGTTAGATAATCATAAATGTTTATTTCCATTGTTTAAATCTTAGTTCTAACCATCATCATCATTGTCATCTTAATCGCTTTCGTTTTCTTCTTAACTCTCATTATTTATCTTTTCATTTTCTTCTTAGTATTGTTATTCCATTTCTTCTTCTACTTCATCTACAATATAAGACTGGGCAAGAAGCTTTTCTGAAATTCTTTTTAAATCCTTATTTTAACTTTCAGCAAGCCCCTAAACCCTTTCTCGACCTCCGTACTAATTAAATTTTTTTGCATAAATATTATAAAAGTAGTTTTTCTTATTTTTTATTTTTTCTCCAATCTTTATAATCCTGTAAAGAGCTTTAACAATACTGATATTTAAATCAACATCTACATACTTAATTTAATCTACAAGCAGCTATATTCCGTTATAATCAGTTAGAAACTCTTCTATTTATTTCATTTTGATAACCATAAAAATATTGCAAAATGCAATAGTTGCTTCTTTTTTTAACTTTCATTATAAAAAAAATTAAAATAAACAAGTTTTCAAATTAAAATTGCTGAATTATTACAATGAATTCTCCACTTTCCATGATATTTATCATATCCATAATAATTATTTTATGCTACATTATGTAATCTATAACAAATGCTCCTGATGCACATACATTCGATAGAGTATGCAGAATAAGATTTCTTATTTAAGTAGATCTATGCTTTACAAACATGCTAATCATATCCAACAATCCAAATTGTATTAAATTCTTTATATATTAATAATTAAAATTATTCGATAAGCTTTAATTAAATTTAATGAAATTGATTTTATTTAAATTCTTCATTTTAACTCTAAATTTTTTTTAGATCAAATAAATATTAATTTTTAATAAGAATTTTTAAAAAACATGGATTTTAGTTAAGAAGAATTTAAATTTTCTAATAATTTTTTTATTATTGATTTTAGAAGAATTTATAAAAATAGTTACTTCTGTAATATCATCATAGCTATTAGTAAGATTTTAGATTATTCTTAAAGGAGTAATCAAATATTATCTTGCTGATTTTTAGTTGTCTTTAATATAATGTAAAGTTTTTAATATAATTCCATTGCAAGTTTAATAGAAATGGTCAATATCGTCATCATCTCTTTATGTAATTTTTTATATAGTTTCAAATAAGTCATCTGTAAGTTCTTCATCTTATTTCACATACTAAAAAAGAGGGAGAATCACTTCAATTATTGGCATCAACTAAATTTTTTGTAATTATTAAAAATATTTTAATTTACAAAAAATAATAATAAAATACATTTTCTATAGGAATCTATGAGCCATCACTCTGTTATGAATAGCTTATCAAAGTATTTATTATTCTGATTGTGCTCTAAACTAGATTTTAATTATTTGGTAGGAAATTTAATACGAGATTTCTAACAATTTAAATAATTCCATTTTCAACAAGCAATTTAACACCTATAGGATTCTCATCCATTATGTTATTAATTGAAAGCAATGCATATTCTTTGATAGTTTTTTGACCTTATTCCAAGAGCCTAAAGAATGTTTACAGAGGGACATTTTCCAAAATATAAAGAATGTGTCTTAAATTTTATTCACTCAAAAAGTGAGCGATAATCCATATAGCATCTCTTTGCAGTTCATAATCATCGTCATATTAAGGAGATAAATAGGTAATTAAAAATTGCATCAATCCTTTTTCAAAAATAACTTTATTAGAGAATTCTAAATCTTTTATCTTGTGTTCAAGTGTAACACAGTGACGTATGCATAAAACTTAAAATTTAATCAACTCAAAGTTGTTTGTATGATAAGCTTAAATAAATCCATCTATGCATTAATTTATATTTAATGAATCAACATCTAATTTGTCTTTTTCACTAAAATCCTTGAGTTTTTACTAATCTTAAATATAACTCACTTATATTCTATTCATTTTAAATTTTTCCTAATTTTGCTTCCTTCTTATCTCTACTCTGTGCTATTCTTTTTTCTTAGACATCAGCTACTTAAATCCCGCATCCTCTTCCTCTTAATTTTGCTGATTTTCTTATGACATTTAAGGGTTTTGGCCATTAATTTATTGCTAATAATCTACATAATTATAATCCTAATTAACATTTTGACTGCCAATAATCTATAAATTCTAATTATATTATTCTTAAATCATTTTGTTTCTTCTAATTCAAAATAATTTCTAATTCTTTTAAATGCTATTTTTTTTTTTGCTTCTTTAACAAAGTAATTTAATTATTTTTAACTATTTAATTTAAAAATTTTTTAATTGTTTTGACAAAAGTTGAGCTAATATTCTAGATTTGTTTGAATTTCTGTGATTTTGATAATAACTATTTAGTTTCCCGCTCAAACAAAAAACATATAATTAATTGATCCACATAATTGAAATGTTAAACTGGCTTATAAACAAATTAATATTATATACAATTATATATAAAATACCTTCTGCTATAAAAATATAATTCATTTTATTTGATTTGTAAATTTATTTATTTATTACACACTAAATATTAATTTGGTATTTTAAAATCTTAAAATATTTTGATTTATTGTTTAAATTTAATTAATTAATCATTAAATAGAATCTTTAAGTGCTTAATAGAGTTCTTCTACATCAGCATATCCACTGTCTGATATTTCCATTAATTTATTCCTTGACTTTCCACCCTTATCTAAAGAAAGCGAACTTTTCTTAACTCCTAATACTTAACTTATATAATCAATTAATTCAGCATTAGCTTCACCGTCTTTAGGTGGTGCTGCTATGTTAATATCTACTCCTTCATCTGAAATTCCTAATTTTATAAATGTAGAATAATCATTTACATTATTACTATATGAACATAAAAGTAACTATAAGTCAATTAATACCTGATATTTAGCTAATTTTGGAATTAGGCTTTGCATGTATTGAAATAAAAAATTTTCCTCCTTTTTCATAAATTGATGCAGGAACATTTGATACAGCTTTTGGTTTTTCTTCTTTTTAATTATCAGAAGCTCCTTTTTTTGTTTATTTCTTTTTGTCCATTGAGGAAAACTTAACAAAAGTTATAAATTAAAGATTTTTTACTTGTTTCTATAATTGAAGTGTTAAAGAATTAATATTATTTTATTAAAATGTTAAATTAGTGGCTTTTAATTGCTATTTTAAAAATCGTTAATTTTGCTTTGATAAATAATAAAAGCTATTTTTAATCATTAAATAAATTTAAGAGTTTCTGTCTATCTAATTTTGGGTTTTATTCTCCAGTATTCTTAATTTGTATGAAGCTTGATGCTTTTTGACAAAAAAAAATTGCAATCAATTTTTATTTGTCCATAAAGTTTCTAAAAGGCATAATAAAGAACCATTTGTCTGTTTATATTGTTTTTTATTAATTATGCTAATCATCATGCACTTGAACAAAATGACCATATGTTTTGGTAATATAATTTCATTAAATAAAAAAAAACAGTCTTAATTATTAATAAAAAAAATAGTTATAAATTATTCTTAAAAAATTATTAAATACTCTAAATTCGATTGAGAAAGAATAAGTAAAAGCAAGAAAGCTAGTTTAGGGAAAAGCCAAGCTGAAATTTCAAATTTAATACTAGAATTTAAATATAAAAGTCTGAAAATTATATATAGAGCTACCAATATAAATGGCTTAAGAAGCTGGACATAAATTTGTAAAAAATGCAGATGCAGTTGCTGATGATCGTAACTGGATTGCTCGTATCTAAAATGAATTAAATTGTGTATCTGCATGGTAAAAAGATTGGGGTTTTTTGGCAGGAGGAGCTGAAAATCTAGATTTGAAAGATGCCACTAAAGAATACTCTATTGATGAATAAATTTCTAAACTTTAAAATGTATTTAAATATATTTTTTTATTCATTTTCATAGCTACTAGAAACATAATTTTGATGGTTATCTTAATAAAACTAACTAACTATCATATATAAATCAACATTATAAAAAGTAAATAAGTGTTAATAAATATAAATATTAATAAAAGCAAGTTAACGGATTGCAAAAAACTAAAAAAGAAACATAAAATTAACTCTATGGCACAGGAAAAACATTGGAAACTCTAAAATTAGCTGAAAATAATATTTAAAAGAATCCTGACCTTAGAGCACTGGAAAGAAAATTGCCAAAAGAATGGAAAAAGAAAAAATGGACTGCACGTAAGTACTTTTTAGTTATTGTAAATATTAAAAATGTGTTATTTATATAGCCGAGGATCCATATGACCCTCTTAAAGATTTGTTTAAGAAGAAGAAATGAGGAAAAATAAACCAATATAAATGAAATACAATTTATTAATTTATATTGTAACTTGTTATTCTTTTTTATATAAAAATTTAATAAAATAGCTTAAAAATAAATAAATTTATAACAAATTATATTTTAAAATATTCCTAGAAATGAATGAGTAATAAATAGTTTGTTATTTTCAAAATTTGTTCTTCTATAAGAAAAATTATATTTTGCAAAACAAAAATATATTTTATTTTTTGATATTAATTGAACAGAATAACAAAATCAACAAAAAAATTAAAATTGCAATCTTTAAAAAACAAACAAAAATTAATAAAATTGTAATTTTTTAATAAATAAAATGCATTTGATAAAATAAATAATTTGCATCTTAAAATAATTTATATTTTTTTATTTTTTATAAATTTTAAAAATAATTCATTTGATTAAGCTATATTATTTATATTTAATTTAAATATATTTGTTAAACTAGCTTAGAAATAAATTTATAAAAATAATATTTTAAAATATTTCTATAAATGAATGAGTAGATTGTTATTTTCAAAATTTGTTCTTCTTTATAAAAAATCATATTTTGCAAAACAAAAATATATTTTATTTTGGATATTTATTCAACAGAATAACAAAATCAACAAAAATATTAAAATTTAAATCTTTAAAAAACAAACAAAAATTAATAAAATTGTAATTTTTTAATAAATAAAATGTAATTGATAAAATAAATAATTTGCATAGATATGTATTTAAGATAATTTATAATTTTTTATTTTTAATAAATTTTAAAAATAATTTATTTGATTAAGCTATATTATTTAATTTAAATATATTTGTTAAACTAAGTAATAATAGAATTTTTTATGAGAATGGGTTTGTTATTTATTAAGTTAGTTATTTACTTAATTAGTCAATTATGAAATGGATAATTCAATGTTAAATTTTAGTATCTTAAAACATTTTTACGATCCTTTTTTTCTTTATAACTTATCTTGTTATAGTTTGCATTTTAGATTTACCATTTCTATTTTTAAAGTTAACAGACCTTAAATATTTTTTGTGCTCTCTAACAACTATTGACTAATTGTTATGGGGTTAAAAATAGACCCATTCCTTTCCAACTTCAAAATCAAAAATAAAAAGCTCCTCTTAATTATTCTAAAGGGAAGAATATTCAGGATATAGATTTTAGGATTGGTAATTTTAGCCACTTTTTGCTTAATTATTTTAATTAAGTTATTCATCAAGAATAATTGAATTTAATTTTTTATTATAAAGTTGGTTATTATTAAATTATGAGTTAGGGTTATTCTAGCTATTTTAAGATAGCAAATTATTTAAAAGATTATTGCTGATTGTTGAACTGTTTCTATTCAAATTAGGTATATTTGAAATATTAATTGAATTTAAATTATTATTTTAATTCTAAGGATATGGTTTCACAGCATATTAGTTTTAATTGCTGCTATCTCTTTTTTAAATTGTTAAGTTTTCATCATTTTAGGATTTAAAAATAATACTTCCCGTGCCATAATAAATATTTTGATTCTGTTATTACTCAGCTTCATTCTCTAATTTAAACGATTATCTGATTTTTAATTATGAATTTATAAAATTAGCTTTTTTTTCTTTATTTGTCAATGAATTTTCTTTTTTAAAAATACCTTTTCCATCTGAATCAGAAATTTACTATTAAATAATTAAATAAAATTTGATTAAATTAATTTCATTTCAATAAAAAATTTTAAAAATTAATTGATACTTTTTTTCAAAATAATTTCTAAATTAAACACTTATTAATTAAATTAAATTTTAAATAATATTTGCACTTATTTTTGTGATTTATTTTTAAGTTTTATTTTTCTTAAAGATATTCAATTAATTTATCATATACTGTCCACTCTACTATTAGGTTTAATATTAAAAAAAATTTTTCTCCACTTTTATATAAATTTTATCCATTTTTATATAAAATTTATCTAAATTAAAGACGCCTTATTAAAGAGAACGGATGGTAAATATATTAAATAATTAATTATTGATAATGTATATTAAATTACCTAAATTTTTTTATCATCTGGCTATTTTTTTAAAAGTTCTCTGTTGGCTTTATCGATTTATTTTAACTTGGATTCTTGGCTTTCTTATTTGGCTAGATTTAATTAAATTGATACTTAGCTTTCACTGTAATTTAATTCATCTCTCTCGGTCTAAAATGATTAATCTTTATGATTATCAAAATTATTGTTTTAATGAACCTCTTGTATTTATTCTAATTGATTGAAATCATCTTAATAAGTTGGAAGAGTGGTTTTCATTTCTGTTTCTAAATTTTTGAGTCTGTTATTTAAATTTACACTTTTATTTGAAGTTTTCTTTTCTTTTTGTATTGTTTTTTGATCAAAATCATTAGTTTAAATGATATTTTCTATTTTTGAGCTTATTACCAAAATGCTTTCTTTTCTCTTTTTAATTTAGTTTTAATTTATATCAAACTAAAACTATTAAGCATCTTCATCAAATATTTTTGAGTTATTATATTTGGTTTATTTATTTTGATATTATGATTAATTAAATAGTTATTTATCAGATTAGTTTTAATTTTAACTTTTTTAAGCATAATGCTATTAGGAATAATATGACAACATACTGCTTCTTTGTAGAGATTTTGATTTGAGCCTAAATTAATCATTCGATTGTGATTATAATTAATTATGTTAAGGAATTTGCAGCATATGATTTTAAGGAATTTAAAGTAAATTATTATTTTGAATTTAAAACTAGTTAAATGGTTTTTTATTTTACATGTCTAGTTAAGTGTATGACGGATATTAATTATAAGTATTATTATTTAGTTAACTGAATGAAGAAACTCTGTTTTATTAGTTTTACTTTTCAAAAAGAGACTGCCTTGGTTAAGATTTTATCATAATTTATTTATCATAGTTTGATTCTTTTGGTTAGTAATTTTTTATATTAGAATAACTTGTGATAGAGAAATTATCAGATTTTTTCATAAATTAAGGATCATCCTATATTTATTCAAGAGAAATTGGTTGAGATAGTTAAATCGAATATCTTTTCTGACTGTAATTATTATTAAATTATCCATATTAATTATCTTCTAACAATATTGAATTCTTTTTTTATTCAATGTTTTACTACAAGCTTTTTTTTTTTGAACTTTTTACAAAAATCAATGAACGACTGAAGTTATCATCTTTGTTATGCTCTTCGTCTAATTCTTCAATCAACGAATTATTTTAATCTTTAATCCTATCAGCACCGTTATTGTTAACATCTAAATAGCTATTATCTGAGCTTGAATAAGAGATAGAATTGCTTGAATCGATTCCTGTATCATTTAAGTCTTAAATAGTTTTGATTACATTTTGAGAAATTCTTACTTAGGCCACTCTTATAAAAAAGTTCTTATCGCTTTCATAATTAATATCATCTGTTTCAAAAGGTGTACTTACCTCTTCATGTCCTCTTGATTAAAGAACCAAATTTGATCTAAGGAGTCTGATATCCTTTTTTATTTGTCTATTTATTGAATATGTGTTTATACCTTGTTCTCTTCTTCTTTTCTTTGAAGGATCTCTATTTAGCTAGCTTTATGAATATTAATATTTCATTTTAATTAGTTGGCTATTTAATGATAAGTGTATTAAACTGCATTGTTATATCGAATGACTGAATAAACCACAGCTTTAGCATGCTTCCAATCTACTTGAATTTTATAAGATTTATTGTTTTATGTTGTGATACTTTTCCTATTAAATTATTTAAATATAAAAATAGAATTTTTATTTTTAAAAAATACCAAATCGTTCGGATAGCTTTTAAGACAACTTAAAAAATCTTTGTATTGCAAACTTACTATTAAGGATGTTTCTATTGTTTTGTAAGTTGTATTTTCTTCCTTTTGCTACGAAATGAAATTTGTCAAACCAATAAATTACTTCTTCTAATTATAAAAGATCATTTAAAATATTTTTCTTTAATTATTCTCTCCAAAATAAATTTTACAGAAATAGATTGAATCATTTTTGTTTAATTTGAACTGTTGTGCTGAAACTTTCCTATGTTGCCGTCCACTAAAAAGTATAGAGCACTCTCTGTTGTTTCGTCTGAATTAAAAATGACTTCATCAGGGCTGTAGAGAGCTTCATTCATGTACACCATGAGCTCTTCCAAAAACATTTAGCTGAAAGTGGCTGTAAGCAACTTGCATTGTTATAAAATAGTTCCAAAATATTCTTCTTAGACTTTTTTTTTAAGAGTTTTTGAGATCTTCTTCAAAATTAGTTATCCATTGATAGGATTCTCTTTCTCTTTTTCTTATACATGTTCAATGTACTTCAACACTTTAATTTAGGTTTACTGACTTATTTGTCTGTTATCCATATAATTAATTATTTCATATTGCTCTTGTCTTTTAAAAATTATTAAAAGAAATAAAATAATAAATCTTTAAAAATTTTTTACTTTTGAGAATATTATTTTTAAGCTAACTCATTTATCACTGAGCTTATTTTATTAATAGCATACCCAAAGATACCACATGTTATGCAAGTCATTCCGATAACATATATTTTTTCATATACTGACACAGGAAATATATCCCCATACCCCACAGTGATCATAGTGATAAAAGAAAAATAAAGAGAAAATATGTATTTAATTATCCAATTTTATCCATCCAAGTTAGAGCAGCTTACCCAATTATTGCACATTTCTTGCTATCCTCCTCTTGAATCTGCAATATAATAATTTGACTAGACTTAAGATAAAGAATAAAAAAAGCAACCAGAAAGATGAGCAACAGTTAAAATAACAATAAGCAATAGTATAACCAATCTAATAATCGGATGTTTTTGCTATATTTACCAATGCTGATCTATAGGTTTAGAATTTTTGCTCATTGAATATAAATGCAAGAAACACAGTAAGTAAGAAGTTATTGTAGATTAAGTATCTGTAAAGTAGTAAAACTATAAAAATATTTTGAGAGAATGAACCCAAAAATCAAACATAAGACTATTCTTAAGTATATTTACTCTACTATGCTAGACAACACCTTCTAAATAGTATCCAGTGTTGAGATCAATCACCATATCAATAACGAAAAATATATTAAAGATGTAAAAGAAGATAGAAAGCCAAATATAATTATCCGCTATATCTTCTAAACTTATAGCAAAAGCACCTTGCAAAGAGTAATAATAAAAGCTCCAGAATGAAATCAAAATATAAATACTTTTCCAGATTATTAGTGAGAATGTATTAGGTTAGATAGCATCAAATTGAGAAATAAAAGTACCAATTTAGTTTAAAATTTAAATAGTTTTATATAAAAAGAGAGAAAATTTGCTTAAAACTGTGTATTTTAAAAAATTGTATTATTTCTTCTCAACAAAATAAGATTTATCATCCAATAAGTTTAATTAATTCTAATTCAAAGAGTGGTTAAGCTTGTATTAAATTTACCCTAGAAGTATTTTTTTGAACTAGTGAACCTTTATTATATTAAGAGCTGTTCTCCAATTCTAATGAATCGAATAACCTAATTATTAATTTAATTTTAATTGTTTCTAATTTTACTAAATATTTATTTAAATTATGTTTTATTTTTTTAATTATTTAATGTAAGTTTTAATTTATCTTTAAATAATCTAACACCATTTTAGTACTATTAAATAAATTTTTTTTAATTCTTATAACTATCCTAGGCTTCCAAAAAATTAGAGGGATTTAAGTATAAATCACATTAATACACCAAAGAAAAAAAATTGAATAAGTAATTATTGTAATTTTTTATAATATCTGCTTCTACCTATCAAAAATTATAAGCTTAAATTTGAAATGTAAAATAATTATGGTGCTTTAAATTTAATTAAAATAGTAATAAATCTAATTTGTTTCTTTATTTGTTGAATTATTATTAAATTATTTTATTTGGTATTAAAATAAATATTTATGTGGGTGAAGATAATTAATAAATAAATGTATTGATACTTTTCATCATATTAGAGAATTTTGTTACTCCTGCTGTAGTAACTACCTAATTCTTCATGCTGGAGGTATTATTTGGAGTATTTTGATAAAAAGACTAGTTTAGTAAGTTGGTAAGCTTATATGAAGAGCTATTCATATTATTTCCATTAACATCCATAGAACTTGTGAAATTGAAAGTATTTATAAATTGATTAACTTTAGTTTTTAACTTAGGACTTTAGTTATTAGTATTTCTTTTACCTGTAGGACTAGGCTTGCTTTAACTATTATTAGATTGCTTGAAGGTTGAAAACTAAGGTAAGTTTAAATGAAAAGAGGAGCGATGTGATACTTAAAAAGTTTAAACAGAATTAGAAAGCTCATTTGATACATTTTAGATAGCATGACAAGATTTTATTTACTATTCTGACTCTCCTTCACCTTAAGATAATTATTCCTCTTTATTTTTTTATTTATCTTCTGTATCAGAATCATCTCCTTACTTATTATCATTTTTTAGCTATAAACTGAAAGAATCTCTCTTTTTTTTTTGCTAAATGGCTTAGCTTACTTTATCATAAGGATACACTTTTTTTGAGTAATTAGTTATAAGATTATTAAGCTAGTTATCTAAATTTACAGCATTGTTCCTTCTTTTTGAATAAGGAGTAGAAGCGTGTGAAGGACTATGTTATGGTGTCGAAGGTTCCTTATTTCTTGTGGTATTTGAATTTTTTTCTACTTTCATTTCTCTGTGATTATAATAGCTTATGCTATCATAATTACTATTTTAATCCAAATTATTTAGGTTAATATGAAGATGAGGACTTTTAGGAGATTAAAAATCACTGTTTATTTCTAAAGAATTCCTATTTCCCAAAGTATCATTAAGTTTTTGATTTTCAAGATCTTCTTAGCTTATTCGCTTCTCTAAATTAGATGTCTTATTTTATTAAAACTGACTTGCATTTATTTTTTAGAATCTGTCAAAATGTAGCTATGGAATATTTTGAAAATTCTACTATTTCACTGTCTAATCATCTAACTTTGACTGATCATCATTTTTCTCTAAAATTTCTTGACCAATCATTTAATATAAAGGTTATGGAAAGAGAAAACTTTGTTTTGCTTTCACAATTATTACTAACTATTACTGAATAAAAGTTTATCTAACTTATTTCTACTTATTTTGTTAAAACCTAAAAATCAAATAATCTTGAAACAAACTAAATATATTTTTCATGTTTCAGTAGACCAGTAATTCTCATTTCTAATAAATTAACTAAAAATATTAATAAAAAATTAACAAGTAAAAGTGATTAATTTCAAGCATGCATAATTAATTTATTTAGTTCTATGTTAAAGTACTACCAATACAAGAATGTGCTTTATGAGAATGCACTGTATAAAATCAATTTTTATTTTTAAATAATCAAATTTTTTGGTATTTATTACAAAGTATTTTGAAATATTAAAATTGTTTTCTGTGTTTCTTTGTTAAGTTAATAAAATCAGTTTTTTTAACTTTATTTTAATAAAGTCTCACAACCTTATTTAAGATAGCCAAATATCTAAAATCATAATTTCTTATTTTAGCAAATAATTTACAAATAAATCAGTATTAAATTCAAAATAATTAATATTAAATTTAAATCAAAAGCATTAATTTCAAATCAATTAATACTAATATAGAAATAAAATAATTAGTTGTATTTTACTTTAATAATAGATAACTTTAACTAAAAAAAATACTAATTCCTGTAGTTATATAATATTTGATTTTTTTGATAAAAAATTTAATTTATATTATGAATTAAAAAAAGCTTTAAATAGCATTCATAAATTTTATTGATCTTCTTGTAAAATAAAAATTAGTTTGGATTTAATAAATTTTAAATGATAAATTTTCTAATAAGAAATAGTAAAGTTAATTGTATAATTTTAACACCTATTGTTTTATAAACAAATTTATTACTGTTTACTATGATAATATTCATATTTTAATTTTATGACTGAATTTCTTGTTTAATATTTAAATAATAACTTAAAATTTACATGTTTTAAGATTTTTGCGTTTAAAAAAATATATCAACCATTTTATTTTATTTCTTGATATATTTCATGAATTTTTTTTGTTAATTTTTTGCATTTGTTTAAAAAACTATCACTTAATGGTAACTAAATATATTATTTCATTATTAGATCAATACCAAATTAATTTTAATTATTTATTTTATTATTTTGCTCGATAATTTAAATTTTTTTTAATGGCTTTTAAACTTTGATTTTCCTTTTTTTCTTATTTGAAACATACTGTTACCTCTCTAATTAAGCTGAAGATTTTAAAAAAATTTAAAATATTCTCTTGCATTTTTTACAATAAAAAAAATTCATATTTTTTACCTACTCATTTTTATATAAAATTAATAAATACCAAATATATATTTTTTAATTATGCAAATTATAAACTAAAAATTAAATAATTAGTTTATTTTTATTATTATGGCTATTTTTTAATTTTTTTTTTTCCTTAAAAGTTAAACAAGCATTAAATTATCCATTCATATTTTGTTATTATAAATTTGATTTTATTAATTGATTAAATTTTTTTTATACACACAAAAGAAATATTTACATTTTATCAAATAAATTTTAAAAATATAAGGTTTAATTAGTCAGAATCGAAATTAATCTGTTTCTTCTATATAATTAGTTTGAATTGATATTTGGTTCAACTTGGCTTTAATGCTGTTTAATTTTTCTACAGGTAAATTTTTTACTTTTTTTGATAGTTCTAAAAATTTATCTATTTTTTTCTCTAAAATTTTTTATGGAGAAACATCTTTTAGCTTAATTGACTTCATATTTGCCTTGACTTTAATATTATTTTATTGCTAAATTAATCTGTTTTCTTATAGGGCTTTTTCATAATCGAGTTCTGTTTAATAAATAAAATCAGTTTAAGGATTCAATTAATACTATTTGTAATAATCCTCTAAGCTCATTAGACCTAATTTCTATAATATACGAGTCTAATCTATAAAATGGTTCTTTCTCTCATTTGCTGCTTTATCACTTTCATTCATGATTTTATTTCTTTGAAGAGCCAAAAGCATTTCATCATCAATAACAACATTTTCTTTTTTCAGCTCTGATATAAAATCTCTTTCTCTGTTCATTTTAATTTACTCTTCAAATTTCATAATGTATTTCTATTTTTTTCATGTTTAACATTTTATATATGATTGATGTTTAATAAATTAATGAATTTTTACAGGGTCGTTGATTTTGTTTTATTTCATTTTTTAGAAATAATCTAGATCTTCGTTAATAATAGGAACATTACTCATGATTTCTTCAAAATATTTTTCATCTGTTTGCTTTTCATAATCCAACTCTTCATTTATAGCTTAAACTGTTAAAATGATTTTTTTAAGCTTTATTTTTACTTAATATTTAAATTATTTTTACTTAAGTTCTAAGTATTTTTTTTATCTTAGGTGCTGACCTTAACATTGATTTTCTCAATTTCTTTGATGAGCTTTCTCATTTTTAATTTTTTCTGATCTAACTTAAGTCCCTCTATTTTAAATTCTTTATGAAGATTTTCAATCCTTTATTTAAGCAGATGCATTTCGTTTTTTCTTACATTTCTGAGCTCAAAATTGTTTGATGGAGTCCTATCAAATACTTTAGTCTTCAATTACTGTAACTTTCTAATTATTTATAAATATATTAAAATTTAATAATAAAATATTTATTTACTAATTCTTATTGATCGGCATAGTTACAAGAGATTTCTTAGTCATTAATTTATGCAAAATATTCTTCCTATTTTTATTGTTACCTGTTCCTTCTCCGATGTTGCTACCATTATCCATTTATTCTAAATCATTAAAATTATCAGCAAGTGACTAGATTATAAATGAACCTGGTGTTTAAGAATCTTGATCATATTCTTCACAATAATCATTAAAGTTAGATTAACTCCCATCCTTTTTATTTGTGCTTTTCAACATGCTTAAATTTTCTAAATCAGAACATGAACTCATTTCAATCTCGTTAATACGAATTGGCTCAGCTGGTTAACTTTTTAAATGAATTAAAGCTCTTTTTTTAGCTTTATGTAACTTCATAAAGAGCGATGCAATTGATCCTATCGACAGAGCGTGCTATTGCTCCATTTCAACAAATTCAGCTAAATCATTTATTTAAACAGAGTATCTTTTACTCTTTTTTTTTCTAAATATTTCATCTTAGTTTATGTCTGTTTATGAACTCTCATTGTTGGCATCATTATTTACCATATTTTCATATAGACTTTCTATGTCATCGTCATCAAAATCTTCTGACGAACTACCCTTCAGTTAATTTTTAGATTTACTTTTTTCATTCTTATTAAAATTTTTCTTTTTCTTCATCTAAATGCTTTTCATACTTTGAATGTTTCCAGCTGATTTTCTTTGCAAATTGTACTCATTCAAAATATCATCTTCCTCTATTTTTTGATGTGATTTGTATTTCTTATAATTACCTTTAAATTTATTTTGTTTATAATTTGGAGAATAATCCTCAATTGAAACATCAGACTTCTAATTTGTTTCTGATCTTTTGTAGCCCTTCTTTATCTTTACATCTAATTTTGAAAAAGAAGTATTTTCTGATATATTTGATTCAGATCTATCTTTGAATTCATCATCTGCATACTCTGAAGAAGGAGGATGAACTTATTTTTATTTCTATTTTTTCTTATCTTTTATATTCTGATCTGATTTCTATTTATAAACATGAATATCGTCTTCATCGTTTTAACTATTTTGACTGTTACTATCATTTATAGCTTAAGAAAAGCTTTTGAAGTATGATTTTCTAGGAGATTGTTTTGTATTAACAGTTTTTTATCTCTAAATATTACTAAATTTTATTTTATTTTATTTATTTGTAGCAGTCAAATCAGATTCAGATTAATCAGTTCCATCTACTGAAAGCAGAGTTTTCTTTTTAAGAATTCCTTAAATTTGAACTGATTTAACTGAATTAGCAGGAGTATTATCTTGTTTCTATACATCCTGGCTTAAATCAAACAAAACGTTTTTATCACTATGTCTTGAAGCAGGTGTTCTCGACTAATAATAAGGAGATATAGAATTGCTATCTTCTTTTTCATCTTTTCTTTTTAAATCTTCTTCCAATTTAAGGCTATTTTATTCACTTAATTCAGTTTTTATTGGAATTTTTAAAATGCTTAAGTGTTGATTCTCTGTTTCTTAATTGAGTTATTTTGGACTTATCACTGTAACTGTTAAGAAGTCTTAGTCTTTAGCCTTAAAGACGCTCGTTTTTCTATCCTAATTTTGACTTTCATACTAACTAATTCTTTTTTATAATTTCATATTTTTTTTGAATAAATATTTTTAAATAAACTTACTTGATTTCACTATTATTATCAGATAAGTATTAATCATTTTTAAGATAAAAGCTGTCCCTTTTATAGTTATCATTTGATTATTTAAAAGAATTGAGTTCTTAAATTGGTGAGAGAAGAGATTCGTATTTAATGTTTTTTTCAGTTTGATTTTCCTGTTCTTTTTACTAAAATTAGAATTTATTTAAAAATTTACTAAACTAAAAAAAATAACTTACTTCATCGACTACAACATTTTATTCTTCTTTCTACTCCGTTTCTGATATTATTTCTACTCTAGGTGATATCTCTGAAATTTTGGCATTGCTTTGCTATAAAGCTTCAAATTAAATATCTTACTATTATTATAATTCTTATTTAATATAATTTTCACTATTTTAATAGGTATCGTTGTCTGTTATTTAATTATGTTCAATAATATTTTTTTCGTGGTTTTCACATTAACTTTAATCATTTTATATTGCTACATTATTTTCTTTTTAAGTTGTTTATATTACATCAATAAAAGATTTTTTTGGACTGATATTTTATCTTTTCTTAACTTTATTTTACTCATTACACTTTACATTTTTTAACAATCTATGGGCAGAAGTATCTAAAATGGAAAAACTAACATAAAAATTTTTTTCTTCACATTTAACCTTCTCTACAATACTATCAGCTGACTGCCTAATTTATCCAACTTAACTTTTGGTTAATTTTTCTTTTCTATCTTTATTAATTAATTATACTATCTTTTATTTATCCTTTAAGACATCAATTTTTAAAATTTAAGGTTATCTTATTGATTATCTTGATAAGTTAAAATAGTTTTAACTTTGTTGATTTTTCTATTTATTTAGCTCCTAATGTTTATCTAAGCTCCTTGCATTTTACTTACTTATCTCAGCTGGAAGACTCAATATATTTTAAGAGTTACCATAAAAATTCAATTCAGTTAGATTGCTCAAAGAAATTTAATTATTTGAAGATAATTATGGGTTAAAACTATATTATGAGTTATTTTTTCTATCTTATTTTTCTGGAGAAGGAGGAGCTTAAGTCTATAGTTAACTGAAAAACCCACCACTTTTTTTTGTTGATAAAAAGTAAGATTATAATTGATTATCGAATTTTTGGATGTTTGAAACTCTTTTAACACTTGTGCTAGGACTAACTCTACTTTTAAAGCTTTATGGAAAAGCATCTAAGCTGGGCAAAGTAACATTTTTATTTGGATCTTTAATACTCTAATCAATATCTGCAAAGCTTTTAGCTCCAGACTCAATCAAAGAAGCTTTAGTAACCGTTAAAGTGAGATTACCTATGCTACTTTTTTTATCTTAAAATGGATTTTTACTATTATTATAAATATAAAATCGATTAAACACATTGTTACGGAAGCAATAAAATTACCTGTTTAAATAAACACTATCTAAGTGCGTAAATGAAGAAGGCTTTGTATAGCTCATTGTTATTTTAAACAGCCAGTTATTTATAAATAAGTTTATTATTTAAAAACGTTTTAAAGTTCAAATAATATTTGTAACTCAATTGAAAATATCTTTAAGCTATTCAATTTTTCTAAATATTATGATATAAGTCAAAAATTCTAAGTATAATAAGTAAATTTAATTATATAAAAACCACTAACACACTAAATGACTTTCTTTTCTTTTACTGAAAAAAAGTGTTAGTGTGAGATCTATTTACTTTTTTCACCAACCAATTTAGATGCAATCTTAATTAGCCATTAAATATTAAAACTATAAATTTTTTAGCAATAATCTAAGAATTTTTAGAAGCTAAAATGCATTTTTATTTTAGACATAGAATAAATGACAAAATATAAATCAAAATCAAATTTTAATTGGGTAGATTAGATATTTTTTAGAATTTCTTTTTATTTTATAATATTAAGCAAACAAATACGAAATCTGCTTAAATCATAAAAATTGAAAGATAATTATTTATTTAATCTATTAAAATTAACACAAATTAAAAAAAAACATCTTTTTTGAAAGAGATCAGAAATTATTTTACATTAATAAATAGAAAATTTAATTAAAACCAAAACAATATATTAATTCAATGAATTTCAAAACAAAGTAGCAAATTTATTTCTCAATAAAAATATTAAAAAATGGTTAAAATTAAAATAAAAAGAATAAGTTTCAAAAATTATAAATAAAAAAAACTAGTAAAAAGATAAAATTATTGTAAAAAGAAATAAGTATTTTGAACTATCAAAAAAAATTTATATAGAATAGTATAAAAATTGCCATAGTTGCATTCTATAAATGCTTAAGAATTAGATATTTTTTTTAAAAAAAAGATTTGAATACATATTTATTTATGAATTCTAATAAAAAACAATGAATTTAAAATAAGATAATTAATAAATTATAAAATTTTAGATTATTTATTTTTCATTAAATTAGCATTGAATATTCATTTTTTAGCAAAATTTAATACTTATTTTGAATTTAATTTTATTGAGATAATTAAAAATTTAATTAAATCCATTTAAAGCTTTTTTTATTTAGTAGCTCATTTTGTGTATTTGCTGATAATTTCAATCATTTTTTTGAGTTGCTCTTCTTGGGTTAGATTGATCCAGTCAAAAGTAGGAATAATTTCTATTTTATATCCTTTAGATTAAATGTATTTATTTCTAGCTTATTCACTGTAGTATATGCTCTACTAAACGAAATGCTAAAATCCATGACACTCAATTATCAAATTCAACTCTTATATATAGTTATCGACAAAGAAAATATTTTCTATCCTTTGTTCTTCTAAGTTATGATAATTTAGATTCAATTCCTTTAGGGCCTTTTTAATAACTACACTAATGCTGTACTCAGTATTCGAAGAGTGCTTTACAGTCTGAGCTCTTTAATAATTTTAGATAACACTGTTTTGGTTAATAATTTCTTATATTCTTTAAATTTCTTCATGTAGATAAGGATTTTTTTTATATAAAGATTCATTGACTTGATAGTAATACAATGATTGATAGAGCTAAATAATTGTGATTTCTTGAACTTGATTAACCATGCTTTGTTTATATTATTTTAGCTTAACTGATTAATTTAACTAATTATTTAATTCATGTTTAGCAACTGTAATTATATTCTCTTTTATTAAATTGTATAAATTCACATACTGATCTATATTATTACAAATTAAAGACTATTACCAAAAAATCCAAATACTCAATCCATAATCTTAGTCTACCTTGTAAATTTAAAGTGTCTTTTAATAAATTTATGACAAGAAGCTCTTCCTTTGGTTATCTAATAAGTGAAATACTTTGCTTAATTCATGCATTACTTTAACAACCTAGTTAAACTTAATGGATTAGTACCTATTGCCAGAATTCAAATTCTTGAGGATTTATTTTTCATATCTTTCTATTAACTAAGTGTTATCTTTTATATTAAATCAATTTAAATATTTTTAATTCAGATTTATATTTAGAAAATTAAAATTTTACTTGAATTTTGTATAATAAAGGAAGCCTAAATGACGCTAATGTACATATAAGCTAATTACTCAGATTTAACTTTATCAAAGTATTTGTTTGCTTATTCTAAAAAGAATTTATTTATAACCTAAGAATTTTCGTCATAACTAAATTTGTTTGTAGCTTAAACTAAAAGAGCTAAACTTAGCAAATCTAAATCAAATTTAGTGATATCCTTATTCTATATTAGTTCAGCTATTTGCTTTATCTGATTTTAAGCATACTTAGACTGTAGTCCTTGCTTTAAGATCTTGTGTTAGAATAGATTAAATAGCATATTTGCATATTTAGGCTCTTAATTTATTCTTTGATTTGAAATATTTTCAATTATATCCTATATTATATATAATTGAGCTTCCATTTTTATAAATTAACAGCATTTCAAGAGCAAATTAAGTTCTTCATATTATAATTTATCTTTCATATTATTAATATCTTTAATTATCTTCACAATCAATTCTTAGGCATCTAATTTTAATAAAATAAAATATTAATTAATAATTATTAGTATATTTTATCATTATAATTTTGTTTGATATTTCTAACAAAATAAGTATTAGAAATATTTTATGAAATAATAAAAATATTGCAATTAATGAATTAAATTTAATTTTTTATTTATTTATTTATTTGTTTACCATAATTTCTCTAAGTGTTGGAGCTGGAGATTAAATAAAGTGTCTATGTTAACAGAAGAGGAGAAAAATTTTGATAATTCTTCTAGATATACTAAATCATAAGCTCTATAGGGATATCTAAGACTCTATTATTGAGTGCAATTAATTTAGAGAAGGAAGATTAATTCATGAATATAACATTTTCACAAATGAGTGCTAAAATGTCTGGCTAGACTAATAATTTAGCAGCTTGTCTATTAGATTTGGAAACGGTTAAGAGCAGTTAAATTATGTCAGATATTTTAACACATTTATTCATAATCTCTTGAATTTATTAAAATTCCTTATGATTTTTAATGTGTTCTTAATCTTCAACTCCCTAAATCTTTTGACTAAGCTCTGCTATTATATAATTTTATTGGTCATTATGTGCTTTGAGTTATGAACTTGCTAATGTTTCTAAAAGTTTGCTTTTTTAGCTATCTAAGTAATCTAGAATTTCCTACTTATCTTCTTCCAAGAATGAGAGAGTTTCTAAGTGTTAAATTATATCTAAAATAATGTGCTGAGATGAGGAATTTGTTTCTTCAGCTTTGGAAAATATTTTTTCAAGTGTAAAAATTTATTATTTACTAACCTAAAACTTGCTCATTTAAATCATTTGTAAGAAGGATTTTATTTTAGAAATCTAAGTGTTCAAATTCTTTTACACGGTTAAATTCTTAAAGAATACATCTATAGCTTCTAAGCATCTGAGCTAGGCACTTTCTGACTCCATAGAAGAAACTTATTAATTATTTAATACTACTTATAAATTAAAATCAAAGTATTGCATTAAATAGTTAAGAGAAGAGAACTTTTAGGGATGTATGAAAGTTAAATATTCTGATTATAGCTAATTTTTATGTTCTACACTTAAGTATTGAGTAGGTGTGTTGACTATTTTAATTATCAAGTCAGCTTAATTAGTTTAAAGAAGTATGCTGCAGCATTCTTTTAATTCTTCAAAAGAAAGATAAGGAATTACTTCAGACATAAAGCTAGGTACAGGAATCTTATCTGATAAAAGTGTTTACAAAAATAATGTATCATTCTAAATATTTTTTTCCAATGAAATATTCTTTTTCTTCAGTAAGATCTAAGCTTTAAAAAGAGCAATGCAGAAATTATTAAAAATTCTATCGTTCTTATATTGTGTTTAGCTTTTCATTTTAGCCAGGTTTTAAATTGCAGAATTGTGCAATTTTACAAAAACTTCAAATAAATTATCTTGCAGATCTTCTACCTAGCTTAAATTAAAAATAGCAGTGTATAACTACATTTGTTAAACGTAAAAGTATTTTTGATCACCTACTACAGTAGGAATTTTAAACTTATTTAATACTCCGTAAATAGCTTTTGCTGATAAAACTTTATCCCATCTGATTAAAGGTGTTTCACCTACGCTATTTATATGAGGGTTTTTATTTTGTATTGTATTAGTTACTTAACTAAATTAAAATGAAGGAATACTAGAAAAACTATTTTTAAAATGATTCTATCTATTTAAAACAATATCTAAATATGAAAATCTTTATTTTCTGCCTAAACTACCATTTAAAAGCTTAAAGCAAATATCTTTGTAGAACATTCTTTTTTAAAGTGTATCTTTACTTAATTTCAATTAATTTTGCAGTAAATAAAAGCCAATCTTATTAAATCAAATTAATTGTATATATTTTTTAATCAATATCATATCTATGATCAATTTATTTTTTATTATTTTTTTAAAAATTTTATAATGATTTTTTATTTTTAAAGATAATTATTGATTTTTATTTACTAAAATTTATTTCATAAAGGAGCTATTTAAAATATTTTTCTCAGTTTTATTTACTTTAATTTTTTAAAATTTAAATAAAAATTTAATAAGTAAACATCATAAAAGCTACAACCTAATTATTTAAATATCTAAAAAGCAAATCATCATTTTTATCTTAAAATTATAATTTATTAATTTTAATTTAGAATTTTTTTATAATATATTTTATACTTAAATTTCTCTTAAATCTAAATTAATAGATTGTTTTGTTGACTAGTTAATTATAAATATATTCAATCAAATAATTTCTTATTTTTTTATACTGTATTAATTTTTTGATCAATAATACTTAAAGAATGTGATCTAAAAAATAACTTTCATAAAAAAAGAATAAAAATGAAAAATAAATTTTAAATTAAGATTGTTTAATAAATAAGAATTACATTACATTTATTAACAAAAATTGATTTCAGAATGAAAATATTTATAAATTTATACATAAAAGTTTGCTTATAATGAGTATTTTATTACTAACTCAAATTTATGATTAAATATAGAATATAGTTAAATTAGTTAATTAAAATTGAATATTCCATTTTGGAAGATTTTAAACAAAAAAATAAAATATTTAAATAAATAACCCTTTTAAAATTTTATTTTTTTTATAAAAATATTTGTAATCACGAATAGCCAAATAAAAAGCTATGCAATTCTAATTAAATAATTGATGCATTTAGTAATAGAATACTTGCTAATTATATTTTGGTTGTGAACTAAATAAATATAGATACATTTTAAGGTAAAATCCATCTCTTATTTTAAAATAAAAAAATTTTAAATTAATAAAAGAAAAATTTGGTTTCTATTAATATCCCTTGATAAATATAATCTCACATTATAAATCATACAAATTTCTCTTTTTTTATGAAAAAGTATATTTTATGTTGTCTATTGAATGGGAATATTATCTTTATCAATCAACTAAAGTTAATAAAATATGTTAGAGCACTTTCATCAAGCTTTCTATTAGCAATTATGATTTGAAATAGATTGTAAAATTTATGCTTGATTTACGTTTTATTAGTAATGTTAATATTTTCTTCCTTTCAAACTAGAAAATAAGGATATTAATCTTGGGTTTTTATTGCTACAATAAGAAACAATTAAATTAAGTAATAATTTGGTGAATAACAAGACAGATTGATTGATATACGCTGGCATATTTTAATGCACTTAAATAATTTTTAAATTTTTTGATATTATTTTTATTATTCGATTAATCTTTTAGTACTTAAATTTTGTCATGTTTTTTAGTAAGAAAATAATATAAAATCTATAAATTAGGTGAAAATATTTTAAATCTTTATAAAATCAGATGTGAAGAATATTAAAAGTTTCATATTCTCATTTTATTTACAATCAATACAAAAGAAATTTAAAATTTGTAAATTAATTAATTTATTCCAGTAAAATAAAGTGCATTTATAATTTATTGTTTTTAATAACAACTAACTGTTTGTCTTTTTCTTGATAATAAGTTATATCTAAAAAATATAATTCGTTGATAGCTAAATTTATAGTTTTTCAGAATTTACCAAATAAAATATAGTATAAAATAGTTCTAAAATTTAAAACTGTAAGTTAAAAGCATTCTGTAATAAAATCTACACAACAAATACTTTATTTATTTTAAAGCTAAATATATACTATTGCATTTTAAGAAAATAATATTTAAAAAAGACAAGTAATAGAAAAATAGTATGCGTTATTGGTATCTTTGAAGAATAATAAATATATAAAAGTGCTTAATAAAATTGGTGATAATTAAAGTAACTTGAAATTCCAAGATAATTTATTTTGCAACCAAAAATTTTAATATTTCGAAAATTGAATAAAAGTGATTTAAATTATTAACTATAAATTGAAATTTTTAATCATAAACAATATTAAAAAGAGTAATCAATTAAAAAATGAATAAATTTAAAAAATTAATTGAATATATACATCAATAAAAGAAATAAACATAAAGTTAAAAAAATACGCTCTTCTTAAAAGAAGACTTTATTAACATAGGGAGATTTAGATTTTATTTTATTTTAAAATTATAAATTAAATATAAAATATGAGTAACATATAGATTTTATATATATAGTATTAGTATTTATTTATTACATTTAGATAAGTTATTTGTTGAGTCTTCTTGTAGTTATTTAATCTTAAAAAAAAATTCAATTAAGACTTTGTGTGCTGAGAGTTGAGTAATGAGTTATTATTAAATAGTAAGTAAGTAAGTATTCGATTAGAAAGTTTTTTGTTTGTGATTAGATAAATAAATATAGATAATAAATGAAATCTCTATGACTTGTCTACTTGCTTTTTTTGTTATTTATTTATTGACACAATCAAATGTGGTATTTTAGAATTAATAAATTACAATTTATTTATTTAAATTATAGCTTTTTTATAAAGTAAGATTTTTACATGGTAAATTATTAATGCATTTTATTATAAATATTATTAATTTGATTTAGAGTTGGAGATTAAAAGAGTATAATGAGAGAAAATTAAGTGTTTGTTAAGCTAAGTTAGATGTATTTTAAATTAATAGATATATTATTTGATTATTAAGGGGGAAAATTATCTTTTTTAAATTGATTGAAATATTGAGTCTGATTGTTTTTTATTTTGTGATGAATTGTTTATTTATCTGATTTTAATTGTTTATAGTATATCTCTCTGTCTGTCTATCTATCTATCTGTCTATTTGTCTCCCCAATATAATTATAAATTAAAAAACACAACAAAAATTTGTTGGTTGCTTTGTCTATATTCTTAGAAATATCTTAAGTCTAACTCCTAACTTAACTTTTTTTACTATTTCATTTTAAATCTTGTTTAAAAATCTTAATTAAAAAAAGCAAAATCTTTTAATCTTGCTTTTTAAATCATCAAATGCGAATTTTCTCTTTGATTAAATTAGTTGAGGGAATGGATATTTACTTATTTATTTATTAGTCTTTTTTTTCAATAGTATTTAGTTTATTTGTAATTTAAATATTTTATTGTTATTTTTATTGTATTTATTTATTTATTATTTCACCTTAGCTCTTAAGCGCTACTTAGTATTGAATAACTTGAGCTCTCTTATTGTGGCTCTTTGAATACCTTCCATTATTTAAGCAAGTTTTCTTTCGTTAAGGTGTATATGTTAGATCCATCATGAGAAAGAATGCCTTAGCAAGCTCTCTTGTCTCCTACTGAGACATGATGTATTTTATTGATTTGAGGGTAACTCAAGACAAGCATGCTGCCTTGCTGAGATGCAAGGTTATCGTTGATGATTTCTTGGTTACTTAAATTTTATTGAAGATTATTTAGATTACTTTGAGAAATAGCGCTACGGATCTGATTATTACTATTATTAATTTCTGGTTAATGGCCTGTTAGACAAACGAACCTGTCACTTTAATTGGGTGAAAATATAATTTTGTAAATATGATTAAGAATTTTCTTTTTTTGTTATATCAGCTTTTATTCAAGGTCAATCACGAATAAAAATCCATCTAATGATCCTGCAAGTAAAATTCCTCTTTTGGAAGGATGCCAAGAGAAAGTCTTTATGCTGGATAATTTAAGTTGAAATTCTTTGTAAGCATTCTTGTTATCTTTCAGAATATTGTAAAGATTAATATGTCCGGATTCGGTTGATGCGGCTAGTGTATTTTCAGATAAAGGATTCCACTCTAAGCAGAGGATGCTTGAACAATTTCTAGAAGATAAGAATGCGCTCAAAGAAATATTATGCAAATCTTTAATATCAAATATAACTACTTTTGAGTCTTTGGAAGCAGTAGCTACGAAAGTCTTATTAATGGAAATAGAAGTAACAATGTTTGAGTGGCATCTAGCTACGAAAATAGATTGCTTTTTATCAACATCAAAGATTTCAATGACTCCGTCGCTTCTTCCAGCAACTAGAATATGGCCTGAAGGAGAAAATTTTAAAACAGAATAAAAGTTTTTATCATTTGGAATAATAGGTGAAATAGGATTTGGGAAAAAAGATTAAATATTTATGTGATTGGTTAGTTAATTGCAAGATTATTACTATTTTATTTCTTAGTTATCTGGTGAAGGTGTATTTAAATTAAAGCATGAAATGTTAATAGATTACCCATCAACTTCTGTTTCTGTATTATTTTCTAAAACGTGATCCTTCAAACCGCTATTTTTTGTAGATGTCTCATTTCTCTTGCATTCTTCATAATCATTTTGGTTGCTTATTTCAGATATTTCTGTTTCTTCATTTTACGATTAGGTTTCCTCATTTTGGATGCAGTTGAGATTATTTAATGATTAAAGAGCAAGTGAGTGGGTCTGCAAACTGTTTGAGCTGAGCACTTAAAGAGTATCGTAGCGTGAAGATGAGTTCCTGTAGTTTCGCTTTTTTTATGATGAGAGAAAGTGAGTAGAAGAATTGATGCTCCAACTTTAGGTTTAATTGCAATTGTTGCAGCCAATTTGTTAATTTAGGAGCTTATCGAAAAGTGGGAGATAGTCAATATGGCAAACTTGCATTGAATTTGATAAAAGGGAGTCTTTTTGCTAAGTTTTGAAATCTGTCAAGTGGATAATCTATTTTTCAGCCATTGCTGCAATACTCATTTATCTATTCCAGTCTAAAATATTCTAGTAGAAGTCATCTTCAATTATATTTTCTACAAGTTAAATTGTGCCTATAAGTTAAGGGGGTTAGCTCATGCTGTAGTTTTGAAGATTGCCTCGAGAGTTACTAGTATTGTTTGTTTTCGCACAAATACTTTCGTGCTACACCATTTCAGCAGTTTCATTAATTGTAGAATAAATAAAATTACTTCCTTATTCATTTAGATTAGATAATGAGTGCATGGAGAAAACCTTCTTCATGTCATCGCTGATTTCGTTTGTAGAAAAATTAAGTATTTTTCTTTTTACAGCTGTTTCACATCCTCTGTTGAAAAATGGAGAGTTTTTTGACAGCGGTGATTCTTCAAATTTTTTTAAAAGTTAAATGTACTAATAGTTTTGTTCATTTTAGAGTTCCTCTTGCAATTCCTTTGACTCTATTATACTGTCCTCTTCATATAAGTCTTCTTAATCCATATTTGTACAAGAGTAGTAATTAGATTTAGAAATTCTTTAGGCAGTTCTTATCTATAGATTTGAGCTTTAGAGATTAGATGAAGAGTATGATTAGGCGCTTTAAAAGTTATTCTGCTATTACTATGATGTAGTAACTGAAAGATTAGTTTGAGATAGTACAGTGGAGAATTCAATTTACAAAGGAGTTAGAGCAGTAGCAGGGTTTTAAGAAGTCTAATTGTTTTAAGTTATTTGAAGTTGCTATGGGCGGGAGCGAGTACCTCTTGGGTTTTGAGGAGATTAGAATCTTCTGTGATTCGTATTTTAGTTATTTGTATAAGTTAAATTATATAAAAGTTAGTTTTAAATTGGGGTCTTATGTGATTTAGATTAATTCTTCTGTTTGCTTATAGTTGGCTTAGGAATATTAAAAGTGAGAGAGTTAAAATATTGCCTTTAATTAATAGTTCCTATGTAGCGATCTCTATCTTTATTTGCTTTATCTTTCTTTTTTATCTGGTGATGGGGATTATTAAGGCCTTGATAGCTGCCTTGGAACTGATTCTAACTACAAGGTAGAAAATATGTTGAGTCAAAGTTCTGAGATTAGATGGAATTATGAAGAGAATTTCCCTCGTAATTTAATGAATTTTCATACATTTAATATTAATAAGGAAATATATCTCAATAACTATTTTTTAATTATGTTTTGTTTTTTTCTATTTTCTTTTTGTTAATTTATTTGTATTGTTTGTTTTATTAATTATTATCAATTATTAATTTGATTCAGTTTCTGTAAGTCAGTCACTTTATCAATTTCTCTTTGTCGCTCTCTTTGTTGCAAACTTTCAATTAAAAATTATAACAAAATTAAATTTCTAAGAATTTTTTTATAGCCAGGATTTAAATAAATGTTAATATTTTTTTAAATAATTAAGTATTTATTTATTTATTTTGTTGCTTGATTATTAGAATCAATCAATCAATCAATTAAAAAAATTTGATATCCTTTATTTATTTTAAGTTTTTTTTTTTTGTGATTTGATTATTGTTAATATTTATTATTTCTTAAATTTTCCCAATCCTCATGCCTTGCTATAACAATACAAATGTTTTGTTTGATCAATCTTAAATATCAAATGTGAAAAATCACTTTAACATACTTTACATTGTTAATTTGTACTACGATTCTAAATAGAAATACACCAATTAATCTAATCCAGTTGTATTTATTTGCTTGATGATTTAAAATTTTCACTAAATTTCATTTAAAGTTAATTAAGATTTTTACTTCTTTTTTTTTTAATTCCCCAACTCGATCGAACAACCTATCCATAAATTTTAAATCTTTATCTATCTGTTTCTATTTTTAAATTTTTATTAAGATATTACCTGACTATTTAGTAGAGCTTTTTCACTACCCCCACACCTATCTCTGTTTGATTTTACATTTTTCGTACAACAAAATTGAAAGCAAGATAAAAAAAAGTTGAAAATCTAATAAAGAAAAAAACTTAAGATATTTCTTCTGACTTATATATGAAAGAACTTACCCCTTTTTGAAACTTAATTGAATAGAACAAATTATCAATAAAAGTGATCTAAACAAGGTTATCAATCTTTCTTTCAAAAAATCAAGTAATGAATACAACTTTTAGAATAAAGCAATGAATAAATCCTCAAATTTATGCAAATTTTTTGTTATAAACAATTTTGAATGCTTTATGTTGTGTCAGATTTCTCAAATTTTCAAAATTGAGTATAAGCATTTTATTTTTATCAAAAAATATTTTTTAAAGAAAATTGAATACTACGTGATTGTTAATATTGGCGCTTTATCAAAACAATCTAACTCCAAAATAAGAGTAAATTTTGTATAAAATTCTAATGCTATTTTAAAATTGGTATCAAGAAAAAGGGACTATTTTGTTATTAGAAAATAGTTTATCTTAAGCATAAATTGTTAATAATTTTTAACAAATTGTATTATATTGTTAATAATTTTACTGAAAAAATATTTATTTGAGATTTTTAAAGTTTTTTCTTTTGGTTTTTAAACATAATTTGATTAGACATTTTTAATCAATTTGTTCTTTATAATATCTGATTTTTGTTTCTTATTATATGTTGCATGCTAGATCAATAATTTTCATGTTTAGCATAGATTTATTTTTACTCAAACTAAATGTTTTTTTCTATATTAAATTATAAAAAAAAACATCAGTATAGAGAAAAGTATTTTTGTTTAAAATTTACTAATCAACCAAAGATTAAATTAATTCATAAATAATATAAATAAAGCATTACATTAACTTTTGTCTTTTAATTATAAAAATATTAAGGTCATATCAAGCCCAATAATATATTTTTAGGGTAAATGCAATACTTTATTTAAATAAAACTTTGATTCATTAATTTCCCTATAAAGCAGATAACAAACTGTAACCAACCACCTTTATTTTGATAACAGATATTTTTTTAAATTTTATATTTTAATAATCTGAAAGAGCGGCTTTTTAATTAAGAGATTCTCCAAAAGATAATAAAATCTGCCAATCTAAAAACGTTGAAAGACCTAATGAATATTATTAAAAGTACGATACGCGAAAGCAATCTATCAATTTAAGTTCTATTAAAAGCAAAAAAATAGTCAGACAAATTATAGATTTTTTTTGCAAAAGTTTTTGGGTACACAATCAAATTGAATTTGGTATTTGTTGAGCTTAACTTCCTAAGTATTTCTTCTATATTTAAAGTAGAAATAAATAAATAGTCAGTCATTTAATTAAATTATATTAATTCCTTTTTGAAATATAAATATAAGTATATATTTTTATTGAATTTTTTAAATTAGATTTAATTATGTCCATAAACTTTTTCTTAAATCAAAAATAAAATTTAAATTCTGTCCACTCTTTCAAGCAACAATTAAAAAGAATAATAAGAATTTTGCAATTTAAGAAAACTATTTGTTTTTTTATGTGCTTAATATATATTTCAATTAATTATATAAATTTGCAGCTAAAAGTGTAATTACTTGTAACCATTATTGCAAGAATCTAAATAATTGCTATTTAACATAAAATATGCTATTTCAATTTTGAATAGATTTTTTTAAAAAATCACACATTTGCTTTTCTTGATTTCCATTAAGTGTTTTTTTGTAAACTGTAAATTTTCTGATACCCTATAAATTAGCAATCAATCTTAATTAGTATTAATAATGCTAATTTCTCTACTCTCTGTAATTATTAAAATTACTTTCTTGCATCCTTCCAATAAAAATATATTTCAAAAGAATTGCAATAAATTTTTAAAAAGCTAGACAAAAATGTAGAAACTTTAAAAAAAAATATCATCAACTTAAGAAAATTCTTTCAAAAAAATAAAAATTTTGTTTACTCTTTTTAGATTGAATTTTAAAAAACGAAATTCAAGAATTGTTATTTTTTCTAGGTTTTTTTATTAATAGATAGATCTCAATAAGATGAATCAATTTATAAATTAAATTTTATTAATATTTTATGAAGAAGAAACCACTTGAATTTTCAACAAGATAATAAAAACTTGAAAATTTTTTCTTTTTCAAAAGAAATTATTTTACAAACTAATTTTGAAAATCTTTTTTGTTAATCTGTTTGTAAATAGTAATTTACCCCATAATAAATAATGCTTTATTTTTATTTAATCATAAAAAAAATTTTAATTATTTTAACTAATAAACATTTTTTGTGGAATATTAACAAAAAAATAATTTATTCTTTTAAATTTCATTTCTTAAAAGGTAGAGAGAGTATGACTTTGTTTTTAAAGTATAAAATGATAAAAGTAAATTCATAATATCAATTAATAGTCCAGATTAAAATCTTTCAGATAAGATCTTATATTAAGATCTTCAATACATTAAATTATTAATTAAAATCTGATCTATCTATTTATTTCTTCTAAATAAAATGATGAATACTAATTAAATAAATAATAAAAATAATCCATTTTTATTATCATAAAATATTTATTTTAAAAAAGTAAATTTTCTACTTTTAAATTTTTTTTTATTTAAATGCTTTTATTTATTTTAATAATAGTTCTTAATGGTAAGTAAAATAATCTATTTCTCTTCTCCTTGATAAATTTTTCTTAAAATAAATGAAATTTAAACTAGTGAAACATTAGTAATAGTAATAGAATATACTTTGATTACTTTGGTATCTTTTAAATATTTAAAAAAATTTATATTTAAATAAAAAAGGTATTCATATTTAAACGAAATGCATGAATCAATAAAAGCTTAGAACTATTTTTTGCTATCTAGTAATAACCAAGCTTGAATCTAAATTCATTAACTTATTTACACAAGGAGGACATATAAAAGTAAAAAATCTCTTGATAAGATTTTATTATCTTACTTATTAATTTATCTATTGTTTTAATTATTTAAAAAAAGTAAAATTCTTCTACAAAATCAAATTTTTAAAAATCTATATTACTGGATCTAACATATATTTCAAAAGCATAAAAGTAATTTAAATAGAACACTCTTTTCAATAAATCCATTTAATTAGTTTTTCTATTTTTATAAATTTGAATAGTGAAAAGGGATTTTTTAATTAGAATAAATGTTTGCAAAAAATTCTTCTTGATTTCTCTCACTAATTTGTGATGATTTATTTATTTATTTTTTATAAATTTCCATGAAATAGAAAGAATCTCTTAGCTTGCTTAGTTTCCTTTTAATGTTTCTCTGTCTTTTCTCAAATATTTATCTGCAATTTTTAAAAAATATATGATAAATCTTGAATTAATTTAAAACTTATTTGAAATATTTGATTATTGTTTTTTAATCATTTTACACATGGATAATCTATGAATAGAATTAGCTTTTTTTCTTTAAAAATGAATTCCATTTTACAATTATCAGTAAAAAATTATAATGTTCCTGGTCTTGAAGCTTGTAATCTAAAATTTTTGTGTGGTTTTTGATGTTTGAATTACTCGATTTTATATAGAATCTGCCAGGTATTATCATTTTATGTTAGATTTACTTTTTAACGGATGAAATCTATTATAAAAAATATAAATAAGGAATATTCAAAAAGATAAAAACTAAAATTAATATTTATCTCAATTATTGTTTATACTATATAAATCATATTATGGTTTATTAAAGTAAACTCTTGATGATGAATTTATTCATTTGAATAAAAAGTACTAAGATCGAGTGAAAAATGTTTAAAGTTTTTTCTGTCTTCCTAATATGTGTCTTTAGTTTATTACATATAGACTTAAATAAAATAAAATAAACATGATGGTTTTTTACTTAAATAGCAAAATATTTTGCTACTTAAAAATATTTTTTCTTATTAAATTAATTATTTATATTATTTTAATATTTTAATGAATTTTTAAAAATTTTGAAAGATTTTTAAAAAAAATTAGATTTTTATTAAAAAAACAAAAGCTTGAATTCATACTTTTTAACCTTAATACAAGCTTACAAATGAAGTATTAGTTAATAAAAGCTAAATAATTTTTTAACAGATTAAAAAATATAAAATTGAGGATTTTAAATATGTACATTTTTTACTAATTTAGAATCCTATATTTATTAGCTAAAAATGCTAAATTTTTAAATAAAAGCGCGTTAGAATTAAGGAAAATAACTTGTTTGTCTTTTTTTTAAATTTGCAATTATAGTATATGAATGTAATTAATGTTAGGATCACTAAAACTTTGATATATAATTGTTTTTTTTTAATGACTGGGTAGAACAAAATATTTGAAAATTATAAAATTTGGCAAATCTTAATCTTAATGTAAAATTTGGTTTACTTTCCTTATTGTTTACCCCTCGATAGCTAAATAAGTGATAAAAATTGTTATTAATATTTTAAGTGCTTACTTACTCGTAAAGAATTACTAAATATTTCAAAATTTTTGCAATTTCTAACTAAGAGTAAAGCATATTTGACAAATTCTGAAGTCATTAAAAAAAATTTTACACTATATTACTTTTACTTATTTTTGATAAAAATAACATAATTTTTAGAATGAGATATTTAGAATCAAATTAAGGAGAAGAACTCTCTTTGACTGAAAATCTAATTAAATATATCTTAAAATTGTATTTAAGTAAATTCAAAAGAATAGAATAGCTTATTTAGTATAGTTTATTACCAAATCTAATGGACTAAATATTTAAAAAAGTTTAAAAATAAATTTAAAGTGTACAAGTAAAGTATTTTAATAGATAGATCTAAAGTATTTGTCTGAATAATTAAAATCACGTATTGAAAATAAAAAAATATAAAATAGATTTACTACATTAAGTATTATTTAAAATATTATTTAGATCGAATCGAAATAAAAATCCATTTTTTTAAAAAAATTTTGTAATGAATATTTTTTTATAATAAAGAACAATCGATTATCTCAAATTATAAATTATTATTTTGTTTCTCTAACTACAGAAATAATTATTTTAGTTATTTTTTTAGATTTTATAAATACAAGTTTTGGCTGAAGTATTTTATTTATTGACTTTTTAAGTGAAAATACCAGTAATTATTTATTTATTTATTAATTGATTAATTGATGAATTGCTTTCACTTTTTATCACTAGTTTATCCATAGTAAAGTGAAATTAATTTCAATGATGGCTCGACACACCCTTTTACATTATTTAGAACTGCGTCATAAAGAGTTTTTATAACACCTTGCTTGGAGTTGCAGAATTTCAACCAATTTTAACGTCTTTCTTGGGCTATGTTTAATATTTTTTGAAGCGACTGTACTGTCACTAGAAGTTAGTCGTAGTTAATCTCTTTAAATTATTTAGATGAGTTGTGAATTCTTAGAACAGTTTCAAAGTCCTTGTGTAAACCGATACGATCAATTGTATCATAGTAATTTGTACTGGTTTTCATCAGCAATTATAGTAAGCGTTAGGTGCGGGGTTGGGAAATTTAAGAAGTGGTTGGGGAAACAAGTATTTCGCTTAATAGAATGCTCCACTTTTAAAGAGTTTTTTAGTCCATAATATTTTTATCAATTAGCAATAGGTAGAAGAGTAAGCTCATAAGATTTCCAAATTATATTTAATCAACGATTTACATCAACATAGGTAGTTTCTGGTTAAATTCATCAAGGTTTTTAAAGCAGGATTAGAAAATCTCTGAAGTTGAAGGCTTCAAGTTAACTTTAGAAACGACTTAGACAACTTCACCATTAGCGTATTCTATTTTCAAAGAGCTTCTGTTACTCTCAAAATGTTTGAGCATCAGCTTAAAGTTTTCATATATTTTTTCTACAAAAGACACTTTGTTCTTCTCTTCATAAATTTAAAATTGTCTATTTATTTATAGATTAAAAAGCATGAATAATGAATCGATTAATTAGATACTTGCTTAAAAGAAAGTTTTAGCAAAAGAGGGTAAATAAAAAAATTAACACTCAGAAACGAATTATCCACCAAAATTTATTTAAATAGTTAGTGTTGATAAATTTAAATTAAGCAAATTGAATGATTTACATTACCACATAATTTATTTACTTTCAAATTGTAAAATAAAAAATTTAATTTAAAGCTACAAATTATACAGACAGAATCGAAGTATTATTTCAGATTATTAAATTTTATGTTTTTAAAAAAGAAATTAATTTCTCGCTTACTTGTTTCAATTTTAAAAATAATCTTTCTATTTCATAAACTTTTACTACTCTAGCTATATTTAGATATTAATTTATTTTTATAAACATAATTTTAAAATCAAAGTCTAAAAAATCCTTAATAGACGGTGTAAAAAATTATTTGTGTCAAAGTAGATTTTTTTAATATTTGCTAAAATTTTGAATATTAGTTCATTATTGATTTATATTTGTTGGTGCAAAGCATTGCAAGGTATTAATTTTTTGATTTAAAATTTTAAAAAAATGCCATCTAGGATTTAATAAGAAAATATCATCCAATTTTTATATAGAAAATTGAGTTACTTAAAAAAAAAAATTACTTGATCTATTATTTAATTATTTATGTTTTTAAAAAAAAAAAAACACACAAAATATTGATGGGGTGAGTGAGTTTTTGTGAGTGTGAGAAAGAAGCAATTGATTTATAAAATTCTTCAAATTGATAGATAATAAATATTTAGAATGATTTACTTTTTAAATTCTTCTCTTAGATTTTTATAAGCTTCAAGCATCTATTTGTGGTTTTTCTTAATTTATTCTTTTTCTTTCTATCTACTTGCCTCCGTTGCAGATTAAGTAGAACCAGGCACATTAGGATTTGAAATTTCTTAACCTGATTATAAACTTGCTTATTCTTTTGATTTTTGTTCAGAGCTTACTGCAGATGGAGTTTTTATAACATCACTGAGGATTTTCAATGAAACTATCATCACCTTAGCTTCTTCAGAATTTTAGTTTGTGAGAGTATTAGCATTGACCATTGATATGATTTAGTAGAAAGTATGCACTAATTGGTAAGCTATTTAAGGAGATTAACAAGAGTTGATTTTTAGAGTTTAAGTTATTAAATATAAATAAATTAACAAAATTTCATTTCCTATAGGTTACTTGTTACAATTTATTAACTTATCAAGCATTGATTTCAAGAAATCACTTGAAATATCAAAAGTTAAAATACTAATTTTCTAAGGATTGATTTTCACAATGTCATCTTCATTTTCTTCATTTTCGTCGATCATATCCTTATTTTTAACAATTTCATTTTGTTCTTCATTCATCTATTAATTTTATACAAAAAATTTATGATAAAAGAATTAAAAGCTACTAATTAACTTGGCATTTTAATGTTTTTAATCATTAAGTAAGTAAATAAAATATAAGATATTTTTTATAATAATAGAAATTAATTACACTCTTTCTCTCTTCTGAATTTTCATTTTCTGTAGCATTTCTTATTCTAATACTTTCAGAATCCTCTCCACTTGCAATTTGCATATGTTCTTCCTCCATTCTCTTGCTATTACTGTTAGATTCATCAGCCTTGCTATTGCTTTCAGATTCATCCTAGTTAGCAAGGTTATTATTCTTTTCTTATAAACTCATTTCTATTGCTAACTTCATCATTTCCTCTTCGTTCATGTTATCTATACCAGCATATAAAAAGTTGTTGGCATCATTTGCGTTCTATATATCCATATCTCCATTATATCCATAAACCATATTGAGATCAATATCCTATTATAATTTTAAAGAAAAAGTTATAATATTTAGAAATATTGTCTTATCAAGCTTTAACGCTATTATTTAGTCATGTAATTCTTAGTTTAAACGCGTTAATTATTTATTTTAAAAATTAGTAATTTTGAAAAGATATTTTTTAAGCTTATAGAAAGAAAAATACTCTTTGTTTTTGATTTTCAAATTAATAAGTATCGCCTTCCAAATGTAACATTAAAAAGAAAAAATATATCCAATATTAAAAATAATAGAAAAAATTTATAATTTTGAAAAGAGAAAATAATCTTTAATTATCACTTCTTAAATTTTACATTTTTTGATAAGAAATTTATTATCATTTTCAAAAGATATTAAGAAGAGCTTAGCCAGAGTAAAATTGTAAGGTTTTAGATAAAATTTTTATTATAATAAGAAGAATTTAAATGAAAATTATAAATAGAAATTTTAATTATAATTTTGCATAATTCTAAAAATAGCTCAAAAATAATTTAGGCTTGGAATTGATTATTATTATAACATAATTAATAAAGTGAAGTTAATAAATATTACTTGTTGTTCAGAAATATCTTCCATGAATTGATCAGAGAATTATCTGTAAGCAGCTGAGCTTGAAGGTTAATTTAATTTAGGCTTTTCTTCCTTCTTCTCTATGATTAGTTTGTCTTCTTTCTGAGTTTTCAATTTAGGCATAAAGGTAAACAAATCGAAAGCAAAATCAAATTTTCTGATCTATCCTTTCTATAGTTCATCTCTGAAAATTTAGCTTTCACTTTTGAGGAAATTTTAGAATTCTTTTGTAGGACTCATTAATTTCTATCTTAAATTTGTAGATTATAAACCATATAAAAATTAATCAAAGATCTCAAATGCTTCTTTGCCTGCATCCTTAAGGGACTCACTTTATAAAACCTCCTATATATAAAATAAAAAATAAAAATATGTTCTTATTGTTATATATAAGATTAATTTTAATGTAATCTTATATTTAAATATTTTATTTGGGTAAAATAATTTTTAATCATTATTTTTAGAATTTAAATGTTATCATAATTACGTGTGCTTTGTTTTTGAGATTTAAATTTTAGTAATTTAATTTTTATTATGCAAAAATAGAAGCAAATTTCAATTTGAACAACATTCAAAAAATAAAAGAATTTAATTAAGCAATAAATGAATCAATGAATACCTCTAAACTAAGGACTGAAGATAATGGAGCTGCTGCTTTATTTTTAAGATACTGATAATAAAGAATAATAATCTTCAATATTGAATTGATTGTGACCTCGCAAGTTTTCTAATCATAATCTCCCTTTATAATCTGTAAGAATTTCTTTATTATTTGCTATAGTAATTGTGGATAAATTGAAAAAATCATGAAAAGTAATGGTAGTCTGTTGAATGCTAATTTTTCTAGTCTCTAAAGGAAAACATAAATATCATTCAATGTGATTGAGTCTTCAGTAAGTTAATTATAAAAATATTCTGCTCTAGCAAGGGTCTTGAAAGTAGTGTATTCCATGGGGTGACTAACAATAATCTTTTCAGAGGTATAAATTTAGTAAGTAGAGAGTATGCATTTAAGAGTTCTCTTAACAGAAGACAAAAGATACTCATTAACTTGACCATTTATTTTTGGGTTTACAAGCATTACCTTAAGTTACTTAGCAATCTCTTTTAGTCTATTGGCATTCAAGAAAGTTTCACTTTGACTCTTTGAAGCAAGTTATTGAGAGCTAAGTAAAATTTAAATTGTTAGCATATCTAGTTCATTTATTAAGTCTCTCACCTCACTTTAATCAATATGCTAAAGGAGGTGATTTCTCCTCTTCTAAAAGTCAACTGGCAATATTTTTTGAGTGTTTACGAGAATATTTTCAACTTCTTTTGGATTTTCTTTGTCTTCTTACTTTGATTCTTATTTATCTGATAATGCCTTAATCTTTAAGATAGTCTTGAGCTATTCAATTTTCTCCTTAAGCTAGTATTGCTAAATAGTAGCTCCGTATGGCTCAATGCTTATCAGTTTAATATCGTGAGTTGAGATTTTCATAGAATTACCTTTATATTTGTGAAATAAAAATTAAAAAAATACTTTATTTATTTAGCTTATTTACTTATTGGGTTCTAAGAAGAAATAGTGAATGTCAAGTTATTTTGGATATACGAGTATATCGATTCAAGATTTGATAGCGAAAGGTCAATGATTTTTTTATCTTCTTGGGAGGCATTTAATAGCTTAATTTCTCTATTAAATAACTTGATTTTGTAAATACCTTGACCAGTGTTAGGAGGCATTTACATTTTGATTCTAACACCAACAATTATATATTGCTTATTTTGGCACTTCAAACTTATCTATTTTAATTTAAATATTAAAAAAAATTTGTTTTATTGTTTAAAACAACTACGAAAATGAATGAATTAATTAATTAATTAATTAATTACTTCTTAAGGTTCGTTCTTTGAGATTAACACACTATTTTTTTCATTGTTTAAAACAACTTCATTCTTTGTTTTGTTAATTTCCAATTTTATGTCTGCTTCTTGTCGTAAAGGCTAGAATTTTTCCATAAAATCAACCAAAAGAGTTGAATTCTTGCTTAAATCTGTCAGTTTAAATTCATTCTTCAAAATTTTGTAGGTTGGATCGTTGACAAAAGGATGATTTTAAGATTGTTTTTTATTGCCAGTAGGGTCATCTTAATCCTCGTCACTTAGGTATTTCAAACTGTTGCTATCACCATCGTCTTCTCCATCATTAGCGTCACCATCTAAATGATTTTTAAAATTTGGTTAAGAAAAAAACACAAAAATTTTTAATGTTTTACTCTTTTTTGCATTTTTATCTTTAGGATCAACAATAAGTTATTCTCTAATATATTTATGAATATTGTGTATGCTTTATCCGTCGTTTTAAACTCCAAATAGATTTAATGTTCCATCTTCATGGACTGACATAATTAGCTTAATACCTTCTAACTTATCTGTTTTAATAATGCAATAACCTTCACACTTTTTATCATCATTTATCTTATTTTAGTATTAAAATTTTTATTTTTTTCTATTTTTTGTTTAAATAAAATTTGTTTACCTTAACTAAGCTTGTTGCCAATGGCTAAGTTACAATTTAATTTGGAGAAAGCTTAACTACAGTAAGATATCCACTGTGGATTGAGTAGTTTGATTAATTATTAGGATCTCTCAAAGCAGTTATATAAATACACTAGTTATCATCGACATAAATTTCGTTTGAGTTTGCCATTATTTCACCACTTCTTTCAATAAATGAAAGCAAGCCATTTTTATTTTAAGACTGAAGTGGCCTATAAGTAAAGCAGTTTGTGAGTCTGTGAGTCTTAATATCGAGCTTACCAAAGATATTAACTCCATTTTTATAGGAAAGAGTCATAATATTTGAATAAGGAGAGTAACTTATACCCATGCACACCTATCCCTTTGGAACATATTCTTATGGTATACCAATATAGGTAGTAAATATAATATCTTCTCTTTACTAAGTGCCGAATTCCTAATAATAAACTCTTCCATCTGCACAGGCAACTAAGACAATAAACTCTGTTCAAAAAAAAAAAAATCATATTAATTAAAACCAGTTTTTACGAAATAAAAAATAAATTCTTACCATTTTGACGAACTGGATTTTCAGCAATAATAAAGTCTTTAAATATACCACTCTAATCATTAGCATTAAATTTCATAATAAGAGGGCTATTTCCTTCAAAATTAACTTGATATAATCTGATGCTCTTTAAATTCATAATCATTAAGTATTGCTATAATTATTTAAATTTATTTAAGAAGTTAATTAATTAAAAATAAACTAATTAAAACAAATAAGGAGTTTCATTTAAATAAAAATTAATAATAAATTAATTATTATACCTCACTATTTGGAAGCCATAAGATTTTGTTGATGTATTCTCCATAATTCTTTTATTGTATGCTAATTGACTTTAGTATTTTAGCTTCATTGCTAATTTTCCAAATTTGAATTTAATTAAGTCCACAAATAGCTATAACTTAAGAGTTTTTAGGAGAAAATCTAACGTGCATAACTGTAAAGTCAAGAGGATATTGTTGGATGATTGAAATGTCAGTCTGAGAAAGTTATAGTAATCTGTTACCCTAAAATAGGTCTTCATTGTTTGAGGCAATTTAAGATTTAATGTTTTCAGCTAATCTCATGAGAAGTTTTGACCTATCTATGACTACCACTTTAGAACCGCTAGTAACTACAATTAAATTGTCATTATTATAGTCTATTGGCTTTCTTATTATCATAGGAGCAACTGGTTGTGCTCCGTATCCGTTTTACATCAAGAAATATTAATTGTCAGAAAATTAATCTTCTCTCACTCTCATATCAAGTAACCCATTTTTGTATAATCTACAAACTATTTTTCCCAAAGTATTATCCATTTAACTTGTTAGTGTACTTCCTGCAACAATATTAGAAATGAAATCAATAATCTGAACAGCATTGTTTGATTTTTATTTCTCTCTATTTGATGAAATTGATTCCCAATTAGAAATTATTGCTGTTAACTATTACTCGCAAAGCTGCATTATTGCATTTATCATATTAAATTGTGGTTATTATTTTTGTTATGTATCTATTAAATTTAATAAGAAGGCATCCATATCACTAATATCCTTCAAACTAAAATTGTTTACTATAGATTTTTAATTATCAGCATAATTTAATACTTAGCTGTCTTCAGCTTAGCCCTAATTGCCCATATCTGAGAATGGATTATTTATAGAATTTTCTAGACTTTAGTTGTTTGTCTCAACCTCACACAAATTGTTGTTATGATTAATTAAACGCTGAATACTGTGATTGAATTTATTCAAATCACCAAAACGGAAATTATAATTTTAATCTGCTTAACGTTCCTTGTTGCCATTAGTTACTTATTTTTCAAGCATGTAAGTTCTTTGACTTCCTGCAAATGCTTATATATTTTACTCACTTTATTTTAATTCAATTTCTTTATCTGATTCACTTGAGAACATTTCATCTTCATTTTTCTCTTCTTCTTCGATAAATTACTCTTCATTTACTTCTTCATACTACTCATCTTCTATATTATCATTTATATTATTAAAAAGAATATTGTCAATTAATTAATTTATGTATACATTCGTCCTAAATTTAGCTAAAAGGATTCAGTGACCCAATTTTTTTCTCAAAGTTAAATTGTGATCTTTCTTCTTGCAATGCCTATGATAATATCTTGATATAAATTTATAATTGGTAAAAATAATTTTGATTTACTCTTAATTTCTCTTCCTTCTCCTTTCCTTTTAGATAGTAGGAGAGTAATTCAGCAGGAATTTCAGAGCTATCTATTTGGCTAAGAACTTGGTCGTATTGAGTCTTATTGTTAAAATCATATCTCTCAAACTTATAGCTTTTTTAGCTCTATTGCTATTATTATACAAAAGAAGGTCCCTGATCTTTCTTATAAAGCTTAACTTTACATCCTCCTAATTAAAATAAAGATAATCAGAATACTTTTGAGTTGATCAAATAAAATAAATTATTAAATTGTCTCCATACCTTGAGGTCCTTTTTCTACACAATCGCAAGTTCCACTTGATTATCTGTAATACATAACATCATGACCATTATGACAAACATTAGCACACCAAGAACATATAACATAGCTTTATTCAGCTATATTGCAAGTATGGCACTTTTAATTAATTTAATATTTATTAGTAATTTTTATAATTTAATTTGATTTGAAAAACTAACTCAAAATTGATTTATTTTTATAAGTTTACTTTATGAAATAAAAAGAAATTATGATTTTGATGAAACTTATGCTTAAAAATTTTTAAATAAATTACTTTATAGAATATTTGTTGTTCATGTCTTCCTTAGTATTTTTCTAGAGTGCAAATATTTGTAGTTACTTCCTTTGGAAGTGAATTAAACTTCTTATCTAAGTCTTCTACGAGCTATTCTCTTGTCACTTCTGTTTCCATTTTGTCATTCTATTAAGCTTATTGTAATTACATCTACTATTATTATAACACCTAAATATCTTTGATTTATTAATCAGATTAAGCTCTCTTTTTCTTTTCTTGCATAATCTATTCTTGTTCAGCTTATTTAATGTGTAGAATGAGAAGTAGGAGTATATCGATAAAATATTTCTTAGATTTTAAGTTATCTAACTTATCCAAAAAGAGAGAGTAATTAAATAACTCCTTAATAAGTTCTTAATGATCTTTAATATCGATAGAGTTAATTGAATTAGTAAAAATGAAGTGGGACACCTAAATTATACGTTCGGTGTTATAGCCTATAATTCCTATTTCAATATTTTATATTTTATAAGTCTCGCTTGTTATAGTATAAATAATTTCGCTGGCTAATAGCAAAACTTTTTTGACAAATTATTTATCAAAATCTCTTCCTTCTGTTATGATTGCCTCAAAGAAATTCATTAACTCAGCAAAGCATATTTTCATGACCTAAAAATAAATAAAAACGCAATTTAATATGTTTAATGTTATATTTTATATGAAAAATTACTTTATTTTTGTCTTCAGACTCAGAAATAGTGATTTTGGAAGGACTAATTTCACAGTCTCTGATGAACTATTAAATTAAAGGACGATTTTATGTCAATAAGCTATTGAAATGTTAAAGAAAGTTTTAGGTAAATGCAGCTCTCAAAGTTTTGAAATTAGCTATATTGTCTGTGTTGTAGTACAAATTTTTATCCATTTCGTAGCTAAACTTTTGAACTTAGCAATCAAATTTTATGAATTATTCAGGATTCATTTTTTCAATTGCCTGTATTATTTTATGATCTTTATAATTTCCTCTGGCACTTTCTTTCTTTAAGTTACTTAAAGCTTTTTCCATTTTGGCTCTAGATTTAGTTTTATTGTTGTAATCGTAATCAGAATCTAGATCATAAAGCAGATCAACATTAGATGACTAGAAGCATGTCTTTATTAAGTCAGAAATAGGGAACCAAAGCTTTTCCTTTAAATTGACACCTTTCTAACCAACAAAAGGCAAGAGCAGATCAGCTTACCTATTAGGATATCTAAGCAAGATATCCAGTAAAATGTTATTAGACTCTAATGTTTAGATGTTATGTAAATCAAGATTCTTTCTCAACTCAAAGCAGAGCCTAAGAAGGTTAGGATCGACTGAATCTTTAGGAATAATATTCAAGTTAAAGGCTATGCAAAATGCTTTTAAATTCAGTGGAGAAGATTTTATTTCTGCCAATATCAATAAAATGATCTAATTCAATACGCTCATAGAAAAATCGCTGATAGAAGGTGATTTCATGATCACATTAAATAACTCTACTTAAAGCGAGTACTTCTAAAATTTATTTATTATCAAAAGGAAAGCAAGTCTCTCATACTCTTATATAGTTGAACCCATACTACTTTTGAAGTATTAAGTGAATTTCTGTGCTTAAGAATTAAAAAGAGTATCAATACTTTCAATAGCAGATTTTCCTACTACATTCGCATTTAACACGCTCAAAATTAAGACTTCTTCACAAAGCTACTTTGATGTAGGATATTTGTCGAAGTTGTAAAAGTCTTTTAATTTACCTATTAATTATTAAGGAAATAATTATTAATTTAATAGTTAAAAGTTAAAAATATGTTTTATTTAGAAATATGATAATAAGAAATTATTAATTAACCTACCTGAAATATTTTTAGTGATATAGTTAAATAAGACATCTATGAATTGGAGAAGCTCTTTTACATACATGCGAGAGAAAACATACTAGTTCAAATCTTGTTAGAGTTTAGTGTGAGATTAAGTAAAGCGGGAAGATAAGTCCTTATCTAGATATTTAAGAGGTTGGGATATTATTGATAATAGCTCGGTTATATAGACAGCGTTCAAATTTTTCTTGAGATGGTCGATAATTTTATCTATTTCAGTATCTATGGATGTATTACAGTGAAGTAAAATAAACTTCAAGACATCGATATAGATAGCTTCTGAGAGATTTAATTTGTCAAATACGTCAGATGTTTTTAAGTTATCTTATTTCAATATGCACATCATAATATCTCTTTCTATCTATTGAGTTTCATTCATTATAGAATGAATTACTTGCTTGAGTTACTCTTATGAGTCCTTCTAATACAACTTTAAGCGATTAATAGCGTTAGTAAGTGCCAAATGGATTATGTGTATTTCTTAGGCGTCATCTTCGATATTCATTTTGCTTTATGAGCCCATTTCTTATGAATTATTTTGAGATTTATTGCTGTTTTCAGAACCAACTATTTATTCAACTTCCATTTTATCACTATTAGATTAATTTTGGCTTTTCTTGTTTGTCTAGCTTGCACCTAATGCGGAAGAGTCATTAGAACGTATCAGATGATTAGTCCTTAAAAGTAAGGCAAAGATTTAACTATCTCTCGTGGAATTCATGCTATCAAGTGCTATTGTTTCATTAAATATAGAGATTGCTCCTTCATAATTTTTAATAGCATTTATCTATTAAATTTGCTCAAAGTTAGTTATAAGAATAGACTTTTAGAAAGTAGGATCCATCAGCTAAGCGATTTGATTGAGTTCAATCATTAATGAATAAAAAACTTGCAAGTTATTAACATTTTAGAGCACTTATTAAATATTTTAGTTTAATTTCTTAATTAATTAAATTAAGTTTGATTTATTTTCAAAGGAGATTTAAAGGGAAATGTTAGAAGCTATAATAGAAGTGGTCGATTAGCCAGATAATGAAGGTAATTTTAGCTTTTTAACATTTTAATTACTTATTTATAAGAAATTATTTATATTCAGTGGATCACACATATCAATCATTCCTCCTGAAGTGTCATTAGATTGATTTTGGTTGCTGTAGGAATTTTAGTTAGATAATGAACCATTTTATGAATTAAGCTGGCCTTATTAGTTTGAATCGTCTGAGTTTTAAGATAATGTAATTGCCTTTTATTGAAGCAAATTCATAAGTATATTTTTGAATTTGTTTTCGAAAATGTTGTAGCTACTGCTAACAAGTAAGTTGTAGAGTAAAAGAATAAGAATGAGAATGTTTTAATTCATGACAGTAATATTGCTCAAAATACTTTTAATCATTTTCTCCTTTTCAGCAGGAGTGTTCAAGTTTAAGTAAACCAAATTTAGAAGAAGCATGTGATAATTTTTCACATCAAACAAACCTTCAATGAAAAAATCTAAAATATTTTTGTTGACCTGCTCTATGTCTTCCTTAAAACTATCCTTCTTTTATGATGTTAAACTCAAGTATATTTTAACATAAATGCTAATGACCTAAAAAAAATAAGAATAAGGTTAAATTTTGTCTGAATTAATAACATAAATATATTATCTTACATGATTATTTATCTAGTTATTTGATTTCTCAATTTTATATCTTAATAAGAAGTGAGACAATGAAGAGCAATAACTCTTTACAAACTCTTCATTGAAATGAGAATTCGAATTAATAAAAAGAAGAATTATTTTAGTGAGCTGTGATGAAATTTATTTATAATGAACATAAAATTAATTTATTTATTAAATGAGTTTGGTAAGAATGTCATAATTTAATTTTGTGCTCATTCTCTTATTTAAAAATTCTACATCGCTGATCGCTTTCTGTTTATTAAAAATAATTAACAGTTTTAAATTAAAAGCATTAAATAAGAATCATTACATAAATGGTAAACAAAAACGAAGACAATTTAGCAATCAATTCAAACTATTTTTGTAAAATATCTTCACAAGATTCGCTGATATTTGGCTTGATAGATTAAATAGTTTTATTTGAGTCTTCATTTTATTTTTAGCTAGATTCTTTAAAAATAATTGTAAGACATATTGGAAATTACTTTAATTTATTTAAATTACCTTTTTTGACTGAAGACTATATTCTCATGATCATATTTTCCATTTGATATGAGTAATTTGATGCAGAATTAGATTTCTCATCAACGTAAGAGTCTTCAAGGAAGGAGTCGCTGTTCAAGGGTTTAAGAGCTGCTTAAAATTAATTTTTGGAGTTAGAAGCTATGTTTAAAGCAGGTGCAGGTGGTACCATCACATTTTAGGCTTCTACTTCCATTTTCTTCTCTTAAGAATTAATTTGTTCCATTTTCTTAATCTAATTATGATGTAATTCAGCTTCTTATATTTTCTTCATGTTGCTCATAAACTAATAAGAAACTTCAAAAAGATTGTCTAAAAATTTAAAATCAGTGTTTCCTTTTTCTAAATTTTGGAGCTTCATATTTTCTGAATAAACCTTGAAGATAGTGTTAATTTTTTAGAGGAGCTATTCAAACTTTGTATCTGTTTTTTCTATTGAAACATTTCCTAATCCGACTATCAAATTGTAAAATAACTCAAGCTGTATTTGTATTTATCATAAATATATTAATACAATTTTTACTATAAACTTAACTTACTCTTTGTTCTTTGCCTATTTATTCATTAATGATAGAGCCTTTCATCAAGAGAATGATTATATCAAAATTCTCACAAGTTGGATTTTAAATTACTTCTGGTAGAATTCTGTCACTTAAATTTTTAATAATGCTTGCATTTCCTACTTTTTTGTTGCCTGTAATAATTAAATAAAAAGATAATTAAATTTCTCCATTAGAATTTTATTTTTTGAATTTGCTAGAATTTGTTCAAATAATTACTTATTAAGTCTGAGAGCAAAATAATAAGCTATTAATTATACTCAGATAGAATACTGTTTTTGACCAAATTTACTATCAAATTGGTATATTCTTTCATAAATTCGCTATTAGGTGATAAGAATCTTCTGAAAACCCTTTAAACTTTTTATGCATTTGCGTCCTCAGCAAAGATCCTAAGGAAAATTAAAATATAAAATAGTTAGATTTAACTTTTATTGCATATTTATAGAAGCTAGTTTCTATGATTGTGATTGTGATTGTGATCGTATCTGATCTCAAATATCACAGATTAAATATAATTAAAATCAGCTTGAAACTAAATTTCAAATAAAAATCATACAGTTCATCACTTAAGTCTATAACTCTGTTGCTAAAGCTTTGGTCTTCAACTAAAATAGCACTCTCATAAGAAGTATCTTCTGATTTCTACTAAGCTAATTTCTCACATAAAGGTGAACGCTCAATTTTCTAAAATATTTTTAAATAAATATATAAATTATTACCCATCAGAAGAATAAAATCCAAATAAATGTATGAATATATAAATTACATTTATAACTTAATCAACAGTAGCATATTCTAAAAAGCTGTCTTTCTATATTTTAAATATCTTTTTGAAAACTATTAAAACGCTTTCTATGAATCTTTTGATTTATTGACTGTTTTCTGATATTTACTAAATTTTAATAAAATAAACATTTAAAACTTGTACTATCATTTCATATTATCTAGTGTTTTAAATCACTAATATACATATATTTAACTATTATTTAAAAACTTACTGATTAAATGATGTAGTCAAATGCTATTTTAATAAATTATAGTATGTTTGAAAAGCTAATTTTGAGGTTTGGCCATAGCTCTATTTGTTTTGAAAAAATATATTTTAATTGTGAAAGGCAACTAAATAACATAAATAAAAAATTATAAATACCTTCATATTGGGCAAGATTCTCAAAATTATTTGAATATATCTCAATGACTTCCATTAGCGTAACTAAATCTTCCACTGTCAAAGTTATAGACTTCACTTTTTTACATAAACAAATAAATTTTAAATCTCTTGATTAGAATAAATAAGCTAAGCAATTATAAAATAATAGCTTGAAAATGTTCAATTTAGTACCTTAATAAAGTAAAATGTTAAATCTATTTATTGACACTTCTGATAAAGTTTTGTTTTTCTAATTTTTCTTTATGAATCTATTTAAGAAAACCTATTTAAATGTAAAAGAAATCCTTAACTCAAAAGTTTTTGCAATCAGTTAAGAAGTGTTAAATATCAAAAATGTAAATCTGTAATTGAGAGTCATACTTTAACAGAATTTTCTGAAGATTCTTCAGAGCCCTATTGAATTAAAAAGGATAATAATTTAGTATTAAATTAAAACTAGGATTTAATTAACATACATTTATTTGCTTCGAAATTGCTATTGCCATCAGCATTTAAGGATCATCGTGCTAAGAATAAATAGTATTAATAGAATCTTGATTATTTCCGCTCATTAAACTAGAAGGACTTCTTTTTGTTTTAATCTATTATTTTCTCTTTTGAAAATTTGTCTTATTGTATTAGTTTGCTTGCTTGCTACTCTCTGGTTTCTGCCTCTAAATCTTTCCTTACTATATAATTACTTTCTTTATGATGGCTTTCAATCAGAATTAATTTAATATCTATTTATCTTCTTATATTTTTTCTATGTTTTTGATTATATTTATTTGGTAAGCTTTGCCTTTATTATCTATATAAAATTGAATGAATAAATGAATAGATAAATGCCTCTATAATATAATATACTGATTTTTCTTAAATCCTTTTAAAAATTAGATCTTCTTTCACCCAACTTTAAAAGAATTTCTCATAAAAGCATTCAATTGTGAATTCAAAGAAATAATTTGCATGCATAGATACATATATACATACATATTGTTTCTCTTCATTTTATTTAAGTTTAATAATTTTTTAATTAATTGGCAACCAAGTTAGTAAATATTTTATTTGATAAAAAATTCATATAAAAATTAGAAGCAAATACTCATATTGCATCTACTTTTTTGATAATAAATTATCTAATAAAAATAAAAGCAAGATAGATATATCGCATAATAAATCCGCCTAGCTTCTGATCTTCAAACTATTCTCTTCTAGCAGAACTTATCAAAATTTATTAAGTTAAAGCATCTTTTAAATTCTAATATTTTCCAACCCAATAAAATATATTTTTCAATGAAATCTCAATTAAAGATATAGTTGATATCTATTAAGTTCCTAAATTATAAGAAAGTGAATTGAATTATATATATTTATTTATATTAAATAAAATAAATTAAATATAAAAATAAACTAAATAAAATATATCAAAACTAAAAATAAAAATTTTTAGTTTAAATTATTCAATTTTAATTAAACAAGTATTAAAATGTTTTAATGAGCAGAAAGTTAAACTCTTTCATTATCAATTATTTAGGAAAATATTTTTTTTATCAATTATTTATAAAAGTGTTGTTTTTATTGATTATTCTATCTGCGTTTTTAAACATCTAATTTTACTAAAAACTTTTGTTTTAATTTCTAAAATTTATTCTAAAAAAAAATTTTAATTAACTTATAAAAACAAAAATATTTTTTTTATTATTATTTAACAAATTAAAGATTAGCAAAAAAAATCATTTTTTAATTAAAAATAGAATTTATCTTAATTTGTTTTACTAATTTCCACTTTAATAGAATTAATTATTTATTTAAATTGAAGTTGATAAATTGATCTGATTGATGCTGTTAGTTTGATTTATTCACCCATAATAATTAATTTTTAAAGAGTTTCTTCTAGAAGTGTTTTTTGATAAAAATATAATTAATAGACGATATTTTGTATATAAAAACAATATAAATCAAATATTTGGTAATCAATTAGCAGAAACATTAAAAAATAAACTGAGCGGAAAGAAAGATAAAAAATAAATTAAAAATAATTTACTTACAAATAATATTTTTAGGAAAAAAATATTTGAATAAAAACTTTATTGAGATTGTCCTGTTTAAACAAAATTTAAATATTATAACTTTATAATATAGAGCATAAGACTGACTTGATTCGACTCTGAAATATTTGAATAACTCAATTAGCGCAGATTACTTTGAAAATTTAGAAATTTACTTGCAAAGACATATTTAATTCACAGAAGAAATCAATTGATATTAAATTAAATAAACAATTTTTTGAAGTAACAAACATAGATAAAAAGAAAGAGTTAGAGGGAATACATTCAGCCAAACAAACAAAGATCAAGAGAAATGACAACATTAGAGACATCAGTTTTAAGCGACGAGCAACAGCAGTAGATTTTGCATAACTAAACAAGTAATAGTAACTACAATAACGAAGGAGCTCTGAAAGGTTAAAATATATAATAGGATACCCCAGCTAATGAAAACGATCAAAAAGAGAGGAAGCGATCACCTAGTAATAGAAAACATAAGAAGGAGAAGGATCACAAGAAAAAAGACAGAAAAAGTGAGAAGGATAGAAGAAGTCGCAGTAACTCAGAAAAAAAGAAAAGAGATGAAAAATCTAAAAAAAGAAGGTCTTCTTCTCGCGATCAAAGAAAGTCAAAGAGTGACAAAGATAGAAGTAGCTCTCGTCACCGTAGCAAAAGAGAAAAAGATAGAAAGAAAAGCTCTAGTAGAAAGAGACATTCATCAAGAAGCAAGAGAGATAAATCAAGGAAAAGACATGATAGCAGCAAAAGAAAAAGAAGACATCACTCTTCGTCTTCATCTTCTTCTTCATCCTCTTAATCTTCTTCGGATAGGTCCAGATCTCGCAGAAGAAGACGTTCTTCATCTTTAAATAAAAAGAAACTGAGCGAAGCTGAACTGAGAAGACTTGAAAGAGAAAAAAGAAATTTAGGAGAATATTACTCATAGCTTAAAAATTCAAGTAGGAGCAAGGAAAGAAAGAAAAAAAACAAAGAAAACGATAAATTCTGTGATAGTAATAATATGCAAGTAGACACTGAGAAATTCTTTTATGATGGATTTTAATGGTTGCCTAGAATATCTAAAAATAATAGGCCTGATGAAATTACTCTAAAGCAAACAGAAAAGCAGCGTAAGATTTAACTTCAAAATGTTCCTCTTGAGTTAGGATTAGATAAATTAGATATTATAAGTTATATCAATCACTTTATGAAGGAAAAGCATTTAGCCAATGATGGTAATGACAATCCTGTCATAGATTGTGAAATAAATGAAGAAAATAAAACTGCAAATATTGAATTTTCTTCTGTTGAGGAAACTAATTTAATGTATAAACTTGGCTCATTTTAATTCTTTTAAACAGAATGCAAGCTTTTCAGAATTTGTGATAATCATTTAACTTAACCAAGTGTAGCAGCTCTTACTCAGCTAGCTATAAGAGAAGCCGAAGTCGCAGCATAGCTTATCAAAGTCACTGAAAATTTATTCTAAGACAGTGGTGATGATAAAAATAAAAATAAAAAAACTGATTTAATATCTACAATTATTAAAGTAACTAACACAATCAAATTAGGAACTGAGGGCGAATTAACTGAAGAAAATTGGTAAGATTTGCATGCTGATTTACTTGAAGAATTTGAAAGATATGGCACAATTGAATTCCATTTTATTATTAGGCCATATTAAGCAACTGTAGGAGGTAAATTTATTTTAATTTTTATTAAAATTAATCATTTTTTTTTATAAAAACAGCAAAAGCAGGTACTTTATTTGTATAGTATGCTACTAAAGAAGCAGTATAATTAGCGATTTAAACAAACTAAGGCAGATTATTTAATGGATAGAGCTTAAAAATATACAACATCCCAGAATAAGGATTTAATTTAAACTTTAGACCCTTGTTACAAGTTCGTTGAAGCATATGCAATTCGAAATGTGTAAGTGAATTTTTATATCAAAACAAAAACAATAAAAAAAATTATTAATTTAAATGAAACAAAAAAGTATTATTAAAATTTATAAAATATTGTCTATAATATGATTTTTATTAATCATGCTAACTATTTTTATATCTTATCATTCGTTTAATTCAACTTTTTAATAGAATGCAAACAAATTCAAAATTTTTAATCTTTTAATAAAAATTTAATAAAAATTTGAAACTATATTTTTTAAAATTAGAAAGAAGAAAATTATCAATTTTTTATAATTTCATCAAAGATTTGTTTTTTCCATTAAAAAATAAGTAAAGTATTCTAATTGAATTTAATTGATTAAAAAAATAATTTAAAATTAAACCAAATTTAATAAGGTTTTTTTATATTTCAATTAAAAAATAAATAAATAATTTTAATTAAATTTTCAATTAAAAACAATTATCAAAAATTAAAAGAAAATTTAATTAGACTTTTTTTTATTTAATTTCAATAAAAATTTTAGTTGAATTGAGTTTATCTAAAAATAATCTTTTAAAATTAAAAAAAATTATTTAGATTATTTTATTTAATTTTATTATTTAAAGAAATATTAAGATTTGGCTTTGATTGAATTAATTTAATCAATAAATGCACAACTAACTGATCAATCAAAATTTATTTTATTCTTTTTTAAAACATTAATAACTATTTTAGTAATTTTTTACATTTAATAATTTATTGGTGACTAATTTATTTATTTATTTGGAGTTTTTAAATTTTAATTAAATGATTAAAATTAAATATTTAATAAATATAAATTTATATTATTTTTGCATCTAGTAAATGTTTGAAGTTCTACTCATTATGATTTTTTTAAAGCGATATTCAAATTCACATAATATTCCCTCCATTCCGCCAAATTTCAATAACTCTACAAAAATTTTAATAATTTGAGATTAAAAAAGAAAACTTGATGCAAATATAATATTTAAAAGTGCATAATTGATAAATCATAATTTTTATACTTAAAAAACTAGTAAATAGAAATAAAAAATTTATAGGTATTTAGAACAAATTTGTAAAATGTCATTGAAAAAAGGGAAATTTTAGCACAATTAATCCAAATCTTTATGGAATTACACTCTTTCTCCTGGATGGAGAGAAGAAGAAGTCAAAATTCTTAAAAGCGCATTATAATTATTCGGTATTGGAAAATGGAAAAAAATCATGGAAAGTGGTTGTTTGCCTGGTAAGAGTATTGGTCAAATTTACATGCAAACTCAACGTCTTTTAGGGTAGCAATCTTTGGGTGATTTTATGGGATTGCAGATAGATTTAGAGGCTGTTTTTAACCAAAATATGAAGAAATAAGATGTTCTAAGAAAGAATAATTGTATCATTAATACAGGAGACAACCCAACAAAAGAAGAAAGAAAAAGAAGAATAGAATAAAATAGGTAAAAAAAATAATAAACAAATGAATAATAAATATTTTTTTTTACATTCTTTCTTTTATATCTAACAAACAAACAAATAAATAAATATTTAAATTTACTAAATATCTGGATTTAAATTAATTTTTTTTACTACTAATTTATATAGAAAAATATATGGACTTTCTGCAAAATAAATTGCTGAAATTAAATTACCAAAGGTGAAGAAACATGCACCTTAATATATGACTTTAGAAGATATTGAAAATGAAAAGTTTACTAATTTAGAAATTTTAACTCATTTGTACAACTTGAAGGCTGAAATAGTGAGACGTTTAGCTGAATAAGGTGAAACAATAGCTTAGCCTAGTATTATCAAAAGCTTAAATAATTTAAATCATAATCTTGAATAAAATTAAAATTCTAATTCTTCAACTGAAACAAAAGTAACTTTAGAGTAATCAGGCAAAAAGAAATATAAGGTGTTAGCCATCGAGGAAACTGAATTATAAAATGGCCCAATAGCCACTAACTCCTAAAAGAAATCAATTAATGGTAAAAGAAAAAATAACAGGAAAATAAATTCTGATTCCGAAGGCAATGAAGAAGATATTTCATTGGAAGACATCGACAGTTAGGAATCTGAAATAAATAGTGAAGAAATTGTAGAAGATGATGAAGAAGATGAACAAATAGAAGAGCCTTCTAAAATTAAAAAGAGAAAGAAAAATCCTGAACAAGAAAGTGAAGAAGATGATATAGAAGAAGATCAAGAAGAAGATGAATTAGTTGTAAATGAAGAGGAAATATTTGAAGATGATGACGATGATGAAGATAATTAAGACAGTTCTGAGGATGATGACGACGATGAAGACTGATTATTAGTCTAAATACTAATTAATTATTTAAATAAAATAATGCTTTAAATTAATTTAAGATTTTTGATTTATTAAAAGTAATAGACTAATTTTATCCTTTAGTATATATTTATTCATGATATTCATTCATTATTTTTAAAATAGTAAGTCAAACTATAAATATCAATTAATTTATTAATATTATAAATGAAGAGTAAATCTTTTTATATTTTATAGTACTACTAAATCTAAATACGTATTTCTCTCCTAATTATATTGGTTGGAATATTATTTTTATTTTTTGGATGGTATTATGCTAGTTAACTAAAGTTGGCACAAAGTATTTTTTTAAAACGAAACATTGCTAAATTTTCTGTCAACAAGTAAATTAAAAAATTTACAGTTTGCGTTGAAGTGTAAAATTATATAAGAAACTAATAAAATTCTCTTCAATAAATACCATGTAATTAAATTTGATTTTGATTCAAAGCAATCGAACAAACAAAAGGAAATTTCATCTTTTTATAATCTGTTCTAGCAAAATAAAGGATTATATATTACAGAAATTTTGGTTATTCATAATTTGTATAAAGTTATTAATTTGTTAATTTTGGAGCCTATTCTAAATAATTTTGATAGTTCTTTAAGAATTTTATTTGGATTACTTTTTTTTCAAAAAGCAAATATTAAATAGAGTTGAAGATATTTTTCTATTTAAAATGCACCAGTAAATATCTTAATAACGTTAAATTTTCTGCTTAAGCTAATTTAATGTAAATTGAAAGATTTAGCATTTTTTAATGTTAATACATACTGAATGAATTTTTGTTGTGGGATTACAAACAGTGTTTGTTTTGTAAATTCCGTTGAAGCAAAATAATTTACTGATTTTAGTATTAAAAGTGAAAATATGTTCAATATTTAATCATTTTTAAAGCGCATGGTAATTTATTCAAAGAATTTTATTTTGTAGAAAAATAGAAATAGAAATTAACTTTTTTCACATTACAAAAATTAATATTTTAAATTTCCTTTAGAAACTTTTTTCTCATAAAAAATAATTGTTGCTTCTAAAATTAAATAAAAATAGACAAAGCATATATGAGATATAAAGAAATGTATTTCTATTCTTAAATACCATCAACTAAGAGGATACATTTTTATATTTATCATGTTAGAATTTTCTTTGATTGTTTAATGATGAAAAACTCTTTGAAATTAATAATTATTCATTCGCTTAATATCGCCAAATTTTTAAAAAATTTGTTGCTATGTTTTTTTAAAGCTATTTGATTTTATTATAGAATTTGCAAGTGTATTTTATGTTTTTAAAATTATAATAAATTCATTAATGTAAATCTAATTGGTGAGGCTGAGGAAACTGTAAACTGACTACCTGATCTAATTAGAAACAACAAAAATAAAAATTGAAATATAATATATTTAAAAATTTATTTGTGATTGGATGTAACTACCTTTAAAGCATCCAAAAATTAATTTGTGAGTAACTGAATATTTCTAAATTTGTAAACAAACACAATAAAGAGTTGAGAGCTAGGCCTAATCAAACTAAAAATAGGAATCTTAGCTTCTTACTTATATTTTATTATAGATAATATAGTAAAAGTTAATGTAAATACTTAATGGACTATAATTTTAGTTTACAACCTTTCTATCTATGATTTATATGAATCCTTACTTGACTTATAAATTACAGGAAATAATTAATTTTAATACTGATGGATATGTGAATTCTATAAGTAATTATGTTCTATTGTATTAAGTAAATGTTTTATGTTATTAATATTTCAATGAATGTAATATTTGCTTTCACTTGTTAAATGCTTATTTATGAACTTTTTATTAAAATATCTCAGTAATACTAAAATGAATGAATACCTAGGATTATTTATTGATAGTAATAATAAATAACATTCTCTGAATTAATATTTTTAAAAAAAGTAATTATACTTACTTTTTCAAAATTTTGTATTTACAGTATTTACATGAAATTAATTTTTTATTATTCAAGTACTTGATTTACCATAGTATAATTCAATTTAATATATTCATGCTTAAAATAAAAAAATATTTAGTATATTATTAGAGTAAATAAACAGCTTAATGATAAAATAGCAGTATTTTTGATTAACTTTTAGCTGCGCTCAAAAAGAATTATATTAAAATTAATTGGAATTATGAATGCTCACATACTCCTTTTCATATTAATTATGTTTAACAAATTTATAATTTTAAAAGATAAATGTAAATTTAATGTAGTATCATCACATTTTTATAAAAAAAATACCAATAATTTTAATTAAAACCATTGAATCTTGATAAATCAATTATTTTTTTCTTCTTCTTTAATTCCTGAAAGTAATTAAATAAGCAAGAAAGCTATCAAGCTAGCAAATTAAGATTATTCATACAAAATTCAATTAATTTAAAAATTCTATTCATGCGTTTATTTTCACAAATCCATACATCCAGTAATTATAATAAATTCTTAAGCCATTATCAGATGAGCCAGCAGTATTTTGATTTTTATAAAAAGACATATATGATACTTTAGTATGGTCCTTAAAGTACAGGTTGAGACAAATTTATTAAAATTAGCCAATTATAAAAGAATTAATCAATTTTAAGGTTACTACTGTTCTTAAGTTATTTTATGAATTTTTAATTGTATGATTGGTTAAATATTTTGAAACAAAAAATAAAAATAATAATCTTAATTTTGAAATAAATGATTTATTATTATGTAAGCATATCTATTAATAATTATTGATGATAAGAATGTAATTCGAATATACTTACACCACTCAATATCAAATGAAATTCAGCCCTATATTATTAATTTATTTATTTTATTTCTTAATTTTTGATTCCAGCAATATAAAAAATACGATTAATTGATAGTTAAAGCTGTATTCTATTTGAATAGAATGACATAAAAAATGCATATGATAAAACCATTAGAATCGTAAAAAAGATAATAAAATATATCGTGCTTATTCATTTAGTAATAAAAAGAAATGCAACATAATATTAATAATATTAATTTGAGATATAATAGTTGAGATGTGTTTTTTGTAAAATTAGTAAGTAATGTGATTGATTGATTTCATACATTAGTACATACAAAATAAAATGGAAGTAAACATTCAAATTTATAAATTAAAATTGTTTAGTAATTAGTTGGTTGGTTAAGTAGTAATTTGAGAATTTTATGTAAAATTTTATAAAATAATTTTGAAAATAATTTTTTTGTTTATTTAATGGGTTTTGGTTTGGTTTTTCGTTGTTCCTTTTTTTCTTCCTTTCTTTTGTTTTTTAAAAAATTGGTCAGGAATACTCTTGAGATTATTAATTACAAATATTTTTATTATTTTGGTAATCATAGCTGCTGGGTGTTATCGGATTGCGTTAGAAATTAGTTATTTATTTATTTAGTTAGTTAGTTAGTTAGTTAATTAATTATTATTAAAAATGAAGATTTTATTATAATGTTTAAATTGGATAGTTTTTATTGATTATAATTACTGAGTTGTTTTTTTGTGTTCAAGCTAATTTAAACCAACAAGCTAAGAAGTCTTTCAAGGACTGAATTCATCTGGAATATCGAGTACTTCGTAGTTAAAATATTAACGAAGTTTTTAGTGAATTTTGCTTGTTTGTCTAAAGGTTTTTGATGATAGAGTCTCTTTATTTTCTAAGCTCAATATTTCTTGGAAAACAAGAGAAAATATTTCAAACTTTGTTTTAACTTATTGTAAGTAAAGTACATATGCATTGGTCTTTTTGCCCTAAGTCAAATCATTGCAAAGGACTAGCAAGTCTTGCTCGTAGAAATAGTCTTCTATAGATTCTTTTTCACCGTAGATGTATTAGCGAATTTATTCTATTTCCTTCATTGTTTAAGTGAGGGATTCTTAAAGGAGGATCACTCTTTGCTTGATGCGTTGAGTATTCTTTTTTTCGGAAGCAGTCATAGGAGAATTCATTTATTAATTATGTAAATATGTCTAAAGATTATTTATTATTTTATTTATTTATTTATTTATTTTCTTTAAAAATACTTAATGTCTGTTTTAAGTGTTATAAATTGTTCTTTTATTTTTATTTTTGTTTTTATTATTTATTTATTATTGATTAAATATTTATATGAAGTTAAATAGGACATAATTTAATTAGGTTAATTTCATGAGCGAATCTTGAGTAATTAATCTTTTCTAGTATCTTATTTTACTAATCAAATTCCTACCCACTCTTTTTTTATCATTTCTTTCGATCAATTCTAATTACCAACTTTAAAAAACTATAATCAGATATAATTTGGTCTTCCCTTTTCCTGCCACTCAAAGATTTAAAATCCTATTTTTTAAGTATCCCCAATTTGAAATTTAAATGTTTAAGGTAATTTTTTTCTCAATTTTCTCATATTTTTGTCCCTTAAAGTTATTTATCTGAAAGCTCTACGGGTAGGTTTGCGTAAGTGTGTTTGCTATGTTTTTATTATAAGTTAAGATTTACAGTAGGAAAATAAGATAGTTTTCCTTACATTTTTCTAGTTATATATTATTCTGAAGAAAATAGATATTTTCGGACTTCAAAATGTGTAAAATAATAACAACAAGAAATGCTTCACCCTTCAATTATTAATTAGTAACTAGAAGTAGTTAAAATATTAATAATTACAGGTTCTAATATTTTATTTCAAAGTGATTCAAATTTTTCTTAGATTAATTGGTAAATGCTAATAATATTTAGCGGACCAATAAATTTTGCGAAACAGATTAATTAATAAGCTAAATCAAAAGAACCTGTCATTTAGTCACTAACTCATTCAAAATTTATTTATTTTATTTCATATTTACTAAGGCTGCTCTTTTTTTCATCGAGTTTTGGCTAGTAACACTATTAATTATTATTGTCTGTTAGTTATATAGCAATCTAAAACCTTCTTAATTCATACATCTAAAAGCCACTAGATTTGTAAATATTTTTGAAATAATCAAAAAGCCAGTGAATTATTTTTAAAATAAGGAAAGGACCACATTAAAAAATACAAAACCGCATCATATAAGAGTAGTAGAACAAATGTGATGATTTATACCCTAATTTTATTATTTCTTATCTTTATTCAAATTTCACCGCAAATAATTTTATAAAGAAAAGTATTTATTTGAATTAAACCAAACTTGTTAATAATATGGCCTTGCAACTTTTACGGAATCTTTTTCTTTTGAATATTTTCAGGTTGTAGATTTAAATTAATTCTTGGAAGAGTAAATAAGATCGAGTAAAAATTAATCGATATTATTATTCTACAATTTATTTTTTAAAAGCCTACTTTACAAATAATTTAAAATCCTTTAAAGTAAGAGATCTTAATTAGAATATTTTTCTTAAAATATGTGAAAACTTGTTTTATTAAAATAAGAAAAACTTTTATAATAATATTGTAGAACTAAAAATAATTCTTCAATACAATTTTAAAAGAATTGCTATGAAATTGATATATTATAGAATTTAACATAATTAAAATATCTAAAAGAATAATAAATAATTAAAAATAATAGACTTAATTACCTTAATTCTTTATATATCACTAATCAACTATTATATTTTATACCTAGGTATTAACATTTTTTAAAAAATATTCATTTGGTACCTTACCTTGGACTTAATTAAGATCCTTTTCACGAGGAATTGTATTTATTATAAAAGTTATGTACGAGATTATTTTTTATTTGTCTTATTATTTTAAAATTTAATAATTTATTCTTATCAAGAAGTATTACAAAATTTTTCAATTCGAAATATGTGAAGAAGCGTGAGTGAGATCGATACTTAAGATATTTTTCACTTAAGGATTTTTAGAAACAGATTCAAGTGAACTAGAAAAGAATATCATTAATTTTAAACAGTAGATCATAAAGAGTCTGATATTGTACAAGTATCGAGAGATTTTATTTAAATTATGATTAATTAGAAAAGATAGCAAGCGCATATAAAAAACTTTAATGAATATAAGCTGTATGCATTTGTCCAGCTAATTTTTAGAATTTAAATAAACAACTAGTTATTTTTTTAAAACTCTTAAGAATATATTTGTTCAGTAAAAATATTCTTATAAAATATAATATGAGCTTGCTTCTTAAATTAAAAAACAAATAAACATAAAAAATAATACATGCATCATTTATATTTTAAATCAAATAGTGATGAATTTTATTCTGTTACTTGAAAGTCCTTAAAAAAATAAATAAATAGATATTTCTGAAAAATACACATTTTTTTTATAAAAAAAATACAATACATAAACTTATATACTATTATTATTTATTTTTTTATAGCTAGTATATAACAGCAATAATGTAATTTTTAATAATTATCATTATTCTCTGATTTCTTATTGATTTAAATAGTTATTGATAATAAATTATTCTTTTTTTGTTTAAATTTTTTTAAATTCTTATAATATTTTTTTTCCATAGAAATAAATACTTCACTTTTTTTACATGTTTTCTTTTTTTATTTTTCTTCTTGAAACAGTTTTACTCAATCCAGTGAATTTGTGGCTATCCCTACTGCTCATTGATTATTGATTTCTAGTACCTTTACCTCCTTCCCAGTATCCACTATTAGAATTTATCCTAACAAGTAATTTTTAGCAACCACTGCATTCTTATTTGATGCTTTGCTCTTTGCTGCAATACCCACAAATCATTGTTTTTGCCAAAATTTATTCATGCTTTTCAGACTAGTCATGGCATATATCACAAGGGAAAGCTTTACCACAGCAAGGGAAACGGAAGAAACGACAAGAATGTCTGTAGTGAGAGCATGCTCCGTTTTTAGGAAGAGGTTCTCCTTATTTGAAGGTTCCAACTTTCTTAGGACGAATTGAGGTAGTTGTAGATGGCTCCTTTACTTTGTTAGATTTTTTCTTAGCTAAATATTCATGGTCTATCTTCTTTTCTATGTTAAAGCCAAAGTAAATAAATGAGAGATTTTTAAAGCATGAGTGGCAATCACTGGAGTGATTAGTTCCTGTAACATAGTTTTCAACAACTTTAGTACTGTTACAACCTTCACAAGTAACGACATAGCTGACTTGCCTTATATCGAGAATGTGCCATGTAAAGCTGCCAACACGGAATGCTAAATTTAAATCTGGACTGCAAACGAATTCCCTGCTGCAGTAGATAGCAGCCATTCTATTGCAAGAGACACATATTAAATTATTTACTAGAACACTCTCTCCAGAACCATCTAAGTAATTACAAAGAGTTAGTTCAGTATCATATTTACATGACTTGCATTTAACTTAGACAACTAAACTTTAAACCCTAAGGTGAGCAATCTAATAGTTTATATTAATATTGAGTAAGCTCAGTTTAAATAAGTGAAATAATACAGTAAAAAAATTAATTCATTTATAAGTATATTTATAATATTAGAAAAAATATATTGAGATTAAAATGGAAAAAATTAGCATCTTCATAGAAAAAAAAAGTACTCTTCTCATTTAGAGATCTTTTAGAGAGCAATGCATGTTTAAATCTAAATCAGCTGTTGGGTCTTTCTTCTCTTCTTCCTCTTCTTTTTCATCATTACTGTCATCGTTGTTTTCTTCATCCTTTTGTTAACAATTAGGACATTTATATTTAGGTTAAATGAATAATCAAAAAATAATCTATGAAAAACTCATTTAATTTAAGTTTGAATATTCAAAAAACTCTTTTTGCAATTACGATACATTCTTTTTGATTAAAATATAACCAAAATATGAAACTTTGTAATTTGATAAATGTATGATTATCTTTTTAAATCAAATTAAGTATGTTAGTTTCTATGGAAAAAATTAGTCCAGCATTAATCTTACTAAAAATGTGGAATTAAAAACTAAATTATGGACAGCGCTAATCTTATTTGCATATAAAACATGAGCAGCCAGCATTTAATCTTCTAGTCAAATTGATTTCTTCTAATCAAATTTTTGTGTCTATTTTAAGTGTTTTTAGATATATTATTAACCAGAAATTTGCTTTTTGAACTGAATTCGATAGGCTATTAATTAATTAGCAAGCCAAACAACCAACTAACAAACCAAACAGACAATTAGTCAATCTTATTCTTTTGGTTAATAAATTGGTTTTAAATTGTATAAAAAATTGGTTCATTTCTTCTTACTCAATTTTTTATTTATTTTAATGTATATTACATATCTAAAAGATAACCTAAAATTTAAATTTATTTAAAGGCATTTTTTTTAGCAAGACTATAGAAACAAATAAGGTTTTTAGTAATTGATAAAATTTTTTTTTAGTTGAGATTACTAAATATTATTTATAATGTCTTATACTTTCATTTTTATTCATAAAAAATTAAGAAAATTATTTTAAAATGTCTCCTTATAGAGAGTATTCTGACTTTTATCTATTTCATTTCGAATAATTTTATGCTGTTTTTTTTGATTGAATACTAGTAAAAGATAAGATAGAAAATTTGAGAAGCTTCGAAATTTTTGAGATTTCAAATATATTTTAAAGTAAAGTTAATTAAACGAGTAAAAATCTAAATTTAATTTCTTTTACCTAAAAATTTTTTAATTAGCTTTCATTAATGCAGAGTAACAAAATTGTTTTTTATTCAATAGAATTTGTATGATATAGTGAAAATACTAACATTAGATAGTTGAAATAGTAAAAAAATTTTCTTTCTAATTTTATTATTTAAAAATATGATCTGAGTTGTAAAAATTTCTACAGTTATGGATTTAGAATGGTATCCTTTGCAATTTATTACATTAGTTAACATTTTTCAAATCTATAAATTACCAACAACTAATGAAATTAATAAATTTTAATGTAAAACTTACTTTCTAATTTGAAAAAATTTTTAATTTTAAGGAAAGAATTTCCTTATTTAACCTGAAAAAAAATCTATTTACACCTTTAAAAATTTATAATAATAAAACTTACATTTTAATTAAAGTAAGGATCTTCTTCTTCTTCATCATAGTCCTCCCCTTCATAATAATCTCCTTCTTCGCCTTCATCTTCATTATCATCTTCCCCTTCTCCATTATTTTCTTAGTCGTCTCCTTCTTCCAATTTCTTCTATTCTCGTAATTTCTATTTTTCTTCTTCTTCTTTTTTTAATCTTTCTTCCTCTTCTTCTCTATCTTTTTATAGCTTTATCAAATCATAAGCGCCAACAAATACTTTCTCCATGTTATTATCAAAATATTTAAGAGTTCTGAAGATGCTTTTTCCTTAAGATTAATGGATGTTATTTAAAAGATCATCTAGCTAATCTGTGATTTCTCCAGGGATACTTGTATTAAGTATTTGATATTAAGTGTTAGCACCAGCTCCCTTCACATCCAATGCTATGCGTAAACGGAAGTAGCCTTCAATTAAATCAAAATTAATAGGAAGATTCTCTTTTTTGCATGTTGGAGTGAAAAAGATTTCAAACATGTGATTTTTTTAAATCCATTTGAAGGAACTCATATACTATCTCATGATTTGCCCAAGGTCTCTTGAGTATGTATCGTTTAAAGATTTCACAAAACCGGCATAGTCGTTTTTAAATAATAATCTATTATTCAACTCAGCTGTTAACTTGCCTTGCTCTGTCCTAGAGTAGTCTATCCAGGATTTAAATTTACGAGGATTTTAAACTTCTTTTTTCTGTTTCAAAGCTTCTATCATTTCCATATCGAACCAAGGCTTTTCTTTCTTTTCTGCTTCTACTTCATTAGAAGCCTGAGAGGCTTGTTACATCATTTTAAGATCCTTATCAAAGTCATCAGGATCAAAGTATTCTACTCCTGGAACTTTTGTATCTTTAACTTAAACAGGCTAATTATTTACGAAAGTAACATTTTTCTTAGTTGAGTTCTTGTCAATATTAGCTACAAATTCTTTATGGGCTTTGTGCTCTTGAGCTAAGCGCTCTGCTTTTTCTTTTTTAATTTGCATCTTACTTTTGTATTCAAACTTTTCCTTCTCTTCATCAGAAACATCATCATCATCACCACTACTGCTGATATTCTTATTATTGCTTTCATCCTGCTATTCGTTGGGATTTTTGCTATAGCGATACTTTTATTCCCACTCTTCCATAGCCATGTGCACAAAATGACATTTTTTATCATATTTGCATTTTCCCTAATCTAAAAAGAGCTTACATAGTTTTTCAAGACCTACTTTAACTTTTCCATGACGAAATTTGCATTTATCACCATAAAAACATTTACCAGCTTTATATAACCTACATATTCCCTAAGGTTTTCCATCTTTTTTCTCTTTATTTTAATTCTATTGTTAGCTTTCCCCCTCATCTTTAGCTTCTTTTTTAAAGTTTTGCTTATTCTCTTTCTTTTCTCCTTTTTAATTCTATTATTGATTATCTATGGACTCGCTGGAATTTTCTACTTGCTATCTCTGAGTCTGCTAAACTTGTTTCTTTTCAACAGGATTTTTTTCATTGGTAACCTTAGTGTTTTTGATTTTTTCTGTTTCAGAATCTTAAGAAGAAATCTATTATTCCTAAATCTAGGGATTTTTATCATATTTTTACAATTTATTTCCACCTTAGTGGCCTTGTTTATTTTGATTTTGTTGGCGATTGTTGTTATTATTATTACTATTATTATTCTTTTAACCTTTGTTACCCTCATAGCTTTTACCAACCTATTTTTTATTTTTATTTTAAGCTTACTATTAAGCTCTGTCTGAATCACTGATATCGTCTTCCATTGAATTTAAGTTTAATTGTTCAAACTTTATATCTTTTGATGGTATTGTATAGAATATTTGTATTTTGTTAAATTTTTATGTTTTATTAAATATAATGTGTCTTTGATATCAAATCAGTCTGAAATTTAATATGTCTAATTTCCTTTTAATATTTCAATTTTTGTGAAAGATTTCAAATAAAAATGCAAGAAACAAAGCTAACTAATAAAGAAAGACTAATTCTTTAAGAATTATTATAACACTTAAATTCTGATCAACAAACCAAGATTTTAATTAGAAAATAAATTAATTCTTATTATTATTTCTTTAGAAGTAAAAAATCTATATTAAATATCATCTAATTAAGCTACAAAAAATGCTAGAGTAGAACTTTTGTTAGATGCTGCAAAAATTATTTATTGCTCTATTCTAAAGTACATAAATATATAAATAAAAGATAAATATTTATAAATATCTTATGCTAATGTAATCAAAAAAAATTATAATCTGCTTCATTCAATCAATTAATCAATCATTTTAATTATTTTTAGAATTTCAGTAATAATAGGATTAAACTTTATAAAAAACAATTTTCAATAATAAAAACGATAATTTATAATAATATTTTTGATGAAATTTTCTAGAACTCCAAGAGAATAAGGGAGCATTTTCTTTGAAAATTATAACCCTGGACCTGGATTCTATCTAGGAAACGACTAAAGATATTCAAGTATTTTAAAATACTCTCATCCTAATTATGGAGGGCAAGACTAAACTGTTCCTTTCCCAAGAGAGATGAGATTTAGAAAACTTAAAAATTAAAATGATGTTAAAGTAGGCCCAGGTTCTTATAATTTCAAATCTTAATTCCTAAACAGAAAAGAATACTTTGAAAAATTCAACATAAATCCAACTATTTAAAAGCTTAACTATAGCAACACTTAATCATCTTTTAAAGTAAATGCTGTCCCATCCATACCTAGTGGAAATATCTCAAGTGGATATCAAGACATAGGAGATGGTCTTGTTATTTAATTAAAAGATAACAACAAAAATTTACTAAAAAATAGAGTGGGGCCAGGCTCTTATGACCCAAAAATTGAAATGATAAAGCCACGCAAACAAGTTCCTTTCATTAGAAGTCAATCTAATTTTTCTAAAGTAAAAGAGCTACCTTAATTAAATTAGAATGATTTTTTTGTGTTTTCACATAAATCTTATGCAAAAAGGTGAATTATAAAATTTATATTAATGTTGTTGCAAACTATTTTGAAATCTTCATCTGTCTATAAATTTCAAGATTAAGTAAATAAATCAAAAGTAAATACATCTATTTAAAATATAACTTAAAAAATCTTAACATATTAAGAATATATATACATATGCACATATACCCTTTAAAAAACTTTATATTAATAGTTCTTTAATTATTACTAAATAACTTTATCAAAATATTGATAACTAAACTAAAAAATAATTCAATAATAAAATTATTTTTATGTTTTTTTTTATAACAGCAACATTTTTTTTCAAATTAAAAAATTAAATATATTTCAAATACAAATATTTCTAACCAATCCTTTTTTGATTAATTTTATAGATTTAGTAATTAATAAAATTATGAATTATTTTATTAATCGTAAAAATATATTCAAAAAAAGTTTAATTTTAAAATGAATATTCATTCTTTAATAATGAATTAAATTACTATCATAAAAATAAGCTTTACAAACCTCGTTATTGTTTTAATTTAAATACTTTAGTCAAGAGGATATGAATGGCTTTATTATATTACGTTTTACCTACAAACTTTTATAGTTATTTTTAAATTATGTTAAAGAATTAAGTTTAAATAATATTCTAAATTTCTATTCATTATGTTTCAACTAATTTTTTGACTAGTTGCCATTAAATTTTAATATTTTAGAAGAAACTGTAGTAGTAGTACTTTTTTTAAGCCTGATCCTGGTTTTAGCTCCAAAATTTTTAGGTACTCACCTCACTATGTATTTTTAATTTTGCAAATGTATTAATCAAATTTATGATTTAATTATTTTTAAATTTGATATATTATTCATTAATATAGAAGATTAATCAGGTGAAAGAAAATAAAAATATATTATTCTTAATGTAACTAAAAAATAATCAAATAAATAATATTAATTAAATGAATAAAAATGATTGTTGTTAAAATAAAATAAATAACAAACTGAATGAATGAATATTTAAAGACTATAAATGTTTTTTATTTATTATTCAATTTTGTGTGGTTTCAATTTGATGAATAAGATTTATTACTAACCATGAATTGGATTGTATAAATTAATTGAAAATATTATGATTCTTTATTTAACACAAAAGCAAATAATATTTAGAAAGATATCTTAAAGTAATTATATTTATTTATATTTCAAGTATATTTTAGTAAGAAATGAGCAACTAATAGAATAAAGCATAACAACCATCTGGTTAATAAAATGGAATTTAATAAATACCATAGTAAGTACAGAATGTAATACAGAATGCAGTAAATGGATAATTATAAAATTAGCACAATCCTAATTAAAGTAATGCTGCTTAGGCAGGTTAATAGCAGAATCATCAGTAATAAATACCACCATAATAGAATTAATAATAACCAGTAAATGCAGTAAATGACTAAAATAATAATTAATAGAATGCAAGTAGTAAGATTTAGCTAGCAAATCTGAATTTAAAATGCTAGGAGCATGAATAAAATCCTATTGTTGGTATTTGCTTTGCCCATAATTGTGAGTATTAAAGCAGATTATTGTGCTTATAATGCATTTTTTCTTCCCATGCAGAGCATGTAAAGCATTCTGTGCAACTTAAAGAAATAGATGAATCAGATAAGAATGGTGTGTTTATGGACAACTGGCCAACTTAGTCTGTTTGCAAAGATATCAGAAAATTTATTAAAAAATCTTAACAAGGATCTTATAACAACTTAGAGCAGAAAGTAGAAAATCTTAAGCAATAAGCTGCTAAAAACTTTCAAGATATATAAAATATTATCAAAGAGAGGACAAAAAATGTAAATTTATCAAAAGAAACAGAAATAGCTAAAATAAATCAGTAAGCAGCCAAGATGTACAAATTGGGAGGTTTAAAACAACATTTAAAAGATTATAGTGATAAAAAGATAAACGGAATAGAATTAAACCATAAAATAAAGGAGTTTTCATTAGAGAAGCCAAACGATGAAGATTTGCACTTGCTGAGCAACACATTTATGCAGATTAAATAAAATTAAGAGTTGATATTTTTGCCTCATGAGTTCGATAGAATCTAAAACGAAATACTTAAATTAATAAATTCTATTCCATCATAAACTCTTCTTGCAAATACAATAAATTTTCATGCTGCTCCTTACAAAGATTCCTCTGAGTTTTTCAAAGTAGGAGACAAGGGTACTCTTCTTTCTTTTGAGAAAGACTCTAATACTGCTTATACTATTTGTGTAAGCGATAATCTAAGAAAAAATTCATTCTATGAGTTAGAAATCAAAATAGAAGGTGATTATGCAAATAATAAAATACGTTTTTCTATTGTGAAAGAAGAATTTATAGATGAACTGCCTTAAAATTTATACTACTGTGTTGTAAGAGGTTCCAATGATATGCAAGGAGAATTTTACATGCATGGATAAGAGTGGCTGCATGTAAAAAATCTTAAAAATACTATAAAAATAAAGATATGTATAGCATAAAATGTTTTCATAATGTAAAGTGCTGATGAAAGAGGTGGAGTCAAATTAATGAACTATAAGTTTAACTGTTCAAATGGCACAAATTGGAGATTAATGATAATTAATTCAGGCAAACCAATTAAAATATATAAAATATCTTCATCAGTAGATCACTCTTGATGCATGACTTATTATATTTATGAGCAAGAAAATTATTGTAAAATTTTAAAGTGTTTAATCAATGTTTTATATTATATATTTTAATATTATGTTATTGCTACTCTAAATAATTCTTTTATTCATTAAATTGATACTAGTATTAACTCAAGAATGGATATATCCAAAATATTCAATAAAAATTGAGAAAAGTATAAAATAATATATGAAAAAATAAGAAAAAGTTAACTTATTCAATAAAAATATATATTTGATGTTTTACTGTTTATGTATTCCCTATCTGTTTTAAGTCATATACTGTAAATGCTCATTAATTATGGTATATTTTAATTAAGGCATTGATTATGGCATGTTTTTTAAGGCACTTTTTTTTGGGCAAAAAAGATACTTAGGGAATGCCTTAATTAATGAGCATTTACAGTATATATTTTATATAATGCTTATTTATTTTAAAAAACTATTTGATTTTGTATCTCAAAAATTATTTGTCAGTCAATCTTAGTTAAAAATATGTTCTCGTTAATACTGCTCATTTTTTCAATTAATTTATTTTATAAATTGAATTTAGCATAATCAAAATGAGAGACAGAGCTGTTTAAGGATAATAATTTAATATCTCGAAATAAAAAGTAATTTCTTTGTTTGTTATTTTTTTATTTTAATTTTCTAGATAAATTGATTTTTAGGAATACATTTAGAGAAATATATGAGCGAATAAAATAAAATAGAAAACGATATAAAAGTAGATTAATTACAAATTTATTTTTTATAAGCTAAATTTACTTTTTTCTGTAATAAAAAGGAACTAGAAGATTTTTCGCAAGTAACTGAGATTGAATTTAGCTATGTGTAATTTTTTTATTTAAAATTATAATTTTATTCAGTATTTTAAATTTACAAAGAGAAAAATCAATTGGACCTTTCGGAGCTGAAAATTTGGGAAAAGAAATTTCAAAATATTTTAATCTAAAATCTTTGGTAATCTTTTTAGAGTAATAAAAAACATTTATAGCAAAGATACTTATAATTGAATTTTGTTTTGTAGTTGGAATTAAATTGGACCTGAAGGAGCAAAATATCTATTAACTGAGTTATAAAACTGCAAAGGCCTTCAATCTTTAAAGCTCTATCTATCGTAAATATTTTTTAAGTTTTATAATTACTACAGTTTTAAGTTTAAATTAATTAGGAGATGAAGGTGTGATTAATGTAGGTAATGGAGTATCAGTATTGAATAGATTAAATCAATTAACTCTATACCTTTCGTAATTTTTAATTTTTATTAATATTCAATTAAAAAAATTAATAAATTAAACAGTAGAAATAATGTTACTACTAAATCCTCTTTATATCTAATCGATTAATTAATAAAATGCTCTAAACTTAGGTATCTAAAACTATCACTCTCGTAATATTCTTAACTTTGCTAAATTCTAAAAGTTAATCTTATATAAATAATATAAAAGGGGAAATGGAAATGCAATAAGATAGCTTAATTAAAAAATATATTAAAGACTAATAAAAAATTTAAAATATTTAGTTGTGAAAATAATTTATTTTTGAACTAATTACTTTTTAGTAGTTAAAAAGTTTTTAACTCTCTTTCATACTAATTTAATTTATTTAAATTTTTTTTTTCAATAAACAAAATTTCTTAAATTTTTAATATATTCCATAAATCATGTTAAGTATTATTAAATTAATTAAAAAAAATTTCAAAAATTTTGAATTAAGATATATTTATTTTTTAATTCCAATATTTTTTATTTCAAATTTAAAATTAAGAATTTTTAAAGTGTTTCTATTGATTAAATAATTTAGTTAATTAAATAATTTTAAACATTTTATTTGATTTTTTGGTTCAAATAAATTTTTTAAAAGTAATTTTTGATTTACTTTATAAGATATTTTTTTATATTTAGTGCACATAATTTAATCCACATAGAAAAATTTGGTAAAATATTTTAAATAAATCACTCTCTAAGATCATAATATTTTTATCTCTTATTAGATTATAGTTCTAAATTATTAATTTGCATTATATCTTTGGAAGTTTCTTCAAAATAATTGTATTAACTAGTATTTTATGTAATTGATAGATTAGTCATGTTACAGTCTTATCCATTGTTTACTTTTTCGTTGCAAGATGTAATTACCTAGTTGCTTTTGGTGGCTTTTTAGTTCTTAGAAATATCAATTTTTATTTAATGTTATTCAAACTGATCGGAAATACTTTTTGCTTTGCTTTTACGATTAAAATCTTTATTTTAGGGTATTTCTTCTTTTTTAAGTGGATTTGTTTTGTTTGTTGGTTTTTTCAAAAATTTCTTGCTAACATATTATTGGTCCTTTGTTTTCTATTATTAAATCAATTAAGATTATTTTAGTTTCTCCAAAATTTAAGAAAAATTATGCTTAGGATAATAAACTTTAAATTCCTTTAATGTATCTGTTTCAATGTCAATACAAAAATTTTCTTAAAAACCTTTGATTTGTTGTAGTTGTTGGCTTAAAAATTATTAAATTAACACACCTTCAACTTCATTCTAACTTTTAGCTTTCGATGAATTTCTTGCTCTTACATTTTACATTAAATTTGTTAGTGTATTTTCCAGCAGCTAAACTGACTGCCTAGCTCTTTAATAGGTTATACTGTGAATACCATTGTTACCACTTTTAGCTGTGTTTAATTAACTATGTCGTTTTATCATCAAAATTTAATTAGTTAAGCTATTTGTATTTTGTTTAGCAAAATTACTTTTACTATCTTAAGATTAAAAAAAATTATTGTTATTGACATGTAATTTATTTTCCTACAAGTTTGTATCATTAACATAGTTGGCTGAATCTTAAATATGTGAATATTTTTTTTTATTTCTAATAATTTCTTCTTTATCTTTATCAATTTAGTTCTATCCAGCACAACCTAATAAATTTTAACTGAACTGAATTAACTTAAACTAGCTTGATCTTCTGACATCTAATGGCTAATTTTGGTTAGAAAGCTCCTTTTATTAATTATTGCTTATAGAATCATCTTGTAAGTTAGTATCCTTAAAAGATTTATCATTTATTGAAATATTTGTAGGTGTTTTTGGAAATAGTTATTAAAATATATTTGTTTAAGATAGTTATGATCCTTCTTGAGATAATTTTTATTTACCTTACTCTGCTTTCTATCTACTTTTTTAGCTCTGAGTTTGAAAATCATTGCTATCTGCATTATTGTTCTAATTAACTATTGAGGTTAGGGAATCAGATTTACTGTTTTATTCCTAATTTGATAAATCATTGTGTTTATTATCATGGCCATTTTTTTGAGATAATTTATCAATTTCAAATTTTTTACTTTCCTCACTTTCGCTTTCGCTTATATCTGAGTCTTAAAGATGTTCATCACAATATTATTCTAACAAACTTGGGTTCTTTTCACTAAAAATTGTTTATTTTTCTTCCAATTTTAATCTGATATATTTTTATTTAGAATTCTTTCTTTAAAACTCCTGTCTATCATGCTACTTTATGCATGTAAAATCTCTTATTATTTTTTCTTTTTTTGGTATAAAATGTATAATAGGACATTCTCCAATACTATGAGTTTCTTTACCGCAAGCATAGCAACTAAATCCAATAGTACGATATTCTTGATATATGTTTATTTAATCTCTGATCATACAAAATTTTTCATAATCATCAGGAAATTCTTATAATAATTGAATAAAATCGCTCCTTTTTATTGATAAAATAGTGGAAAATTCCAAACTTCTAATTGTAAATTTTCTTGGTTTCCCAGTAAAAAAACTTATTTCACCAAAACTTTGCCCTTTTTGTAGCTTCTGTAAGCAATTTATCATTTTTTATTTTTTAACTACAGGGTGAGCATAAAAACTTTGTACTTCGACCTTTCCTTATTCAATGAAATAAATATTATTGTCATCAATGTCATCTTAAGAGAATATTTTCTCTTCAGGATTAAATCTAATTTCCTTAATTAAAGGAACAGTCTTTGCAATTACAGTCTTACTAAAATTATCTCTAAAAATAGGTGAATCAATCAGAGCTATTTTGTTAGCTTCCATAAGAAGTGTTTCCTTTAATCCATCTGAAAGTTAATTAATTATTTTCATCTAAACCTCAAAGTTATTGCAATACTCTTCCCTCCAATAAAAATCCAAGTATTATCTAATTTAATATTACAATCTTTAAGAAACCTTTTTTGTCCTCATATAGCTATTTATTGTATTCATATTTTTTCTTAGCTCTGTTTCCAGTTAAAAAAATGAGTCAAATATACTACCTATTTTTTAAATCAAGTAAATAACATCTAAAATAAATTAATTAGTTATTTTTAAACTTAATAATTTAAAATAACTCCATTTTTAATTTATTTGATAAAATATTTATTTCTGATCAATTTCTTTCAATTATGAAAATATTTTGACTTAAACTAAATTAAAGTTTTTATAAAATTATGATTGAACAATTAAACACAATTTGATTTTGTTCAAAATTATTCAACTATTTTTAATGAAAATAAATGTATTTTTTTATCAAACTTTTATATTTTTATTCTTCAAATTTATGGGTAATTTTTGATTGAACAAATATATTTTACCAACTTAGTTAATTGAGTAAGCAAAAATACCACAGCAAACCATGATAGCGCTCACTGAAAAAATCATTTCTAAGTCATTTGTTGGAGTGATATCTCCATAACCTACTGTATTCATCGTTACTATTGCATAGTAGAAGGAATTAAGATATTATATTTTCCAATCTGCATTTTGCAATTATTTCTACAAAATCCATGTATTTTGATAAGAATTGCTTCCATTTAAACCTATGAAAAGCCATATTGAGGCAAATAAGTGAGATACAATTAATATCAATGTAAGCAATTATATTAGCTATATTATGTTAATAACAAGTCTTCCTAAAGATGTACTTTCCTCAAATTTCCTAAAAATTCTCCATATCGAATTCAGTTTTAAGAAAAAGAAGAATGCTAACAGTCTTAGTAAAGAATTTTGATTTTCAAATAATGTTAAAGCAAAATATATAATAACAGGAATAATATCTGAAAAAAAATAGTTCTAAAAGAAGTGTTTGATTATTCTTTGTCTTCGAAAAATGTGTCTACCTTTTTCATAGTAACTTGTGTTGCAGCTTATAAAAAAATCTATTACTAAAAATATAGGAATGATGTAATTTAAGCCATACTTAAGAAAATTATAAACAGGTATATTATAAATATAGCTAATAGGAATAAAAAACATCACAATTAATGATAATGAGTTTGTCATAATATCCCATATTAACTTAATAATGTTTGAAGGAGAAAATATAGGAAATTTTTTGTAAAAGTTAATCTTTTTCTTGTTAGAAAGCAGTTCTCTGAATTTGTCTACCAACAAATTTTCTCTTTTGTAATCTAATTCTACATAGCTTTGATCAGCATAAACAATCTACTAAAGTGGCTTGTCAGTGGATTTATCATTCAGATATTAATATTTTCCTTAGTTAAGTAACTAATATCTTCTGTTACTTGTTTGGTTTGCAATATTTTTTATTTATTTCTTTAGCTTCACCTTAAACACAACTTACTAAAGCTCATTTCCTTTCATTTTATTATTATTTTAAACAGATATTGTTTCCCTTTTCTGTTAATCAGTTGGACTTGCACAATCTGATTACTCAAAAGAATTAATCTTTGCAATAAACTAAGACATCAATCAATTTATATCTATGAAGATATTTATTATTTTTTTTAAATAAAACGTTTTTGCAAAGAAAAAAAGTTAAAATTTTATTGTTAATTTAGTAGGACTTACTAATTACTTTTACCAAAAAAATTGTTAACACTGTTTATAATAATTAATTAAAGATTGAGCAAATAATATTAGATTGTTATCAAATGTTATTTTAGTAAACAAATTATTATATTTACAAATAGAGTAAAATAATTAATGTTATATACTGATAAAATAGAATTTGTTTTACCCAGCTTTTTTTAATATTAATTTTTACTAAATGATGATATTAATTTCTTAAAAAACTATAATTATTTAACATCTTTATGATTTAATTTTAATTATTACTAATATTTTTTAAAAATTAATATTAGAGTATTTTTTATAACCTATAAATCATTTTTTAAATATTAGTTATATAAATAAAATATTTAATAAAACAATTGATATTCTCAAATACATACAAAGCAATTAAGGTAATCAATTCTGATTTAATATGAAAAGAAAAGGAACCTAATCATATTGTTTAGTAATTTAATCATTTATTTTATTACTTTTAAGTCATAAAAAACATATTAAGAAATTTATTTTTTAATTTAATCTTCTTCCACCATATCAAATAAATATTTTAAAAAGACTAATAAGAAAATGAAACAAAACGAAATAAACTAAATATATTATACCTAGTAAACAAAAAAAAAATAACAAAAATAATATATAAAAGAAATTAATAAAATTATTATTAGTTAAAATTCCTTCATATAAAATAAATATTATGAATATATATATATATACCAAGATAAAGACACCAGATGAATTAAATCAGTTATAATATGTATATAAACTAACCTCATCATATGCTTATTTGTCTATAACTTCTAATGCTAGACTGGATTGAAGTTTTACCTTTAAATTTGGCTTGTTTAAAACAAAAACCAAAAAAAATTATTCAGCCTTTTTCTAAAATATTGATTCGGTTTAGTCTTTATAATTTCATAAATTATTTTATTATTTTTAAATCAAAAATTTTAAGAAAAGATAGATATTCTTTTAATGTGTGTGTAAAAAAAAAATAATAAAATATTTTTTCAATTATATTTAATAATTAATATTTAATATTTGTTTTACATTCATTTAAATTTAATTTTGTAGCAAAAACATCAAAAAATAGAAAGAGATTAGGATTTATTTATATAATTTATTAATTAATTAATAATAAAAATAAAAAGTGTGAAAAACAAACAGGAGATAATTAGTATTTATTTATATATTAATTTTAAGAATTTTTAACTACATGAAATCATTAGAGGTATTTTTTACAATATTATTATAAAAAATAATTTATTTCTAATATAATCTGTTAAAAATAATCTAGTTACATTTTATTAATTATATCCTATATATACTTCATTTAAATCAGATTAGCTTAATAATTACTTTGTAGTATAAATCAAGCAAAACCGAATCCTTCTTTTCCTTCTTATATAGCGTAATTTAGCTTTTCTATTAATATTTCTTTGGTGGGATACTCAGGTAGATCGAGTTGATTAAAACTATTTATAATTTTTGTTTTAAAATATTATTCATTTTAATTAATTTTAAAAAGTACCATGTATGTGTTGTAGGAAGTTTTTCTGTGTTGTATGCTTTGTGAATTTAGAATTTTTAATAGCCTGATATACCTCTTAGTTGTGAAAATCCTTCGAGAGGAACTTTAGAAGTACCTTTTAAAATATTTAAATTTTTATTTTGTAAACTCAATATTTTAAATTTACCTGTAACAAATTAAATAAAGGCAGCTTTTTATGTCCTATCATATGTTGAAAGAATTTCCCAGAACCATTAAATAATTTTATCTGTCTGTGAATAATTGTGGTATTCTGTGTTTTCTTTGAGATCAGCAACTTTAAAAAATATATAAGTTAATTACTCAAATAAATAAACAATTAATTAATTGAATTACTATCTATATCAGGAAGACCAGATATCATAAGTTCAAGTTCGTGAGAGTCGAACACTGAAATAATATCTTTAGGAATAATATCATGGAAGCCCTTTAAGAAGAAGTTGATTTAGTATTCAATTCTAATAGCCATTCTATGCTTGCAAATTAATTGAACATATTCTTGTTTATTTTCATTTGTAACAGGTATGTTCTTTCCATTTGGTTTTAATTCAATTTCTTAAAGCTTGCCAAATTGATCACTTTCATATCTGTTTTTAATTTAAATTTATAAAATTCAATCATACTATTAATTAATTAATTAATTATTACACAAAGGTTAGATCTAAACCGGTTACATCGTTTTCTACAATCCATTTCATGTTCTTATAGAATTCATTATCTTAATCTTAGATGTCGTGATATGTGATTTCCTATCCTAGGATATGCTTATAGAAAGATCTAGTGAAATATGCATCAAGCATATATCCATCAAACAGAGCCTTTAAATAATTATTTATTAATTTAAAAATATTGAAGAGATATTCATTGAATTATTTACCTTTCCGACTATTCTACCTACGAATTCAAAGTATTACTTATCCTAACTGTTGATGTAGGAATTTGGATTAGGTTAGAAAGTGTTACCACTCTATGAAGGTAAAAACAAACAGTATCCAGGATTGAAAATTTCTTTAGACAAAATGATAAACCATTCTCTAGTTAATCCACCAGCATCAATACCTTCTTCTCCTTCGAATTAAATACGAAGTCTTTGTCTGAGATCTTGTGGTTTCATTTAGTTAATTGTATAGAAAGAGTCTACTAAAACTTCTTTTCTTCTAATTGTTAGGCTTATTTAGCTGCTTGGTGAGCTTGCTCTGATTTTATTTATTTCCAATTGGAAGAAGAGTTTCTTATTTTCGAAATCGATAATACGAGGAATATATTTGAAGACTAAACCAACAGGTTCCTTTAGGATTGTAGCATCTTCGATTCCTCTTGAATTTCTGTGCTAGATTTCCTAGTTTTGTCTACGGGCTATTTCGCTGAGCTTTGCTCTTATCAAAATATTGATAATAACTTTAGATTTTTCACAGACAAAGTAAAAAAGATGATGAGATCCCATGAATCTTTCTCTGACATCCTATTTTTTATTTAATTTAATATCATTTTCTTTAAAAATTATAAGTTACTTTGAAGTGAAGGTGACTGATTTAAAATTCTTCAGAGGGTTGCAATTACTATTTGTATCTGCTTGATTAGGGTGAAATATTAGGAATGGAAGGTAGTTATTGAACAAGAGGATCTACAGTTTGTTTATTTTGCATGTTGAATTAAATTATTAAGAAGCTTTCTAGTAGTGGTTAGAGAGTTTAAACTATCTATTAAGTTTTGGCTTAATCATTATTTTCGCCAATCAAAGAAAATAATTCTGATAAATTTATCCATAAATTCTATAGCTATTTATCTTATGCTAATTAGTTAAATTCAAGCTGAATCTTTTCACGGATGTTATTTAGCTTTATATTTTATTCTTTGTTGAACTTTTGTAAAGTTGTTTCTTTATCTTAATTTTGATCTTAATCCTTTTTGTTACTGTGACTCTACTCTTTTGATTCCTCTTCCTCTTCAGGCTCCTTTTGCTTTTGATCTACTTCTTTAACCTGTGATTTCTCAAATAATTCTTTAATAATCGAAAACATCTTCTAAACCTATATAATATAATATATTTTTTTAATATTAATTAAAATGTTTGCACTTCAAAATAAAGTAATGTTTTTACCTTAGAAACTCCTTAAACACTCTCTTGAATACTTTTCAAAGGTTTCTGGTCTTTAGAATTGACTCTTAGAGGAGGAAGATTTTCGTCTAGAATTAGATTAATTTCCTCAGCGAAAACCATAATAATGCTCTTGAGTTCAGCAATAAATTCTGCTAAATTCAATTCATCGATACACATGTAATTAATTATATCAGAAATTTTCTTAATTGATGATTTAGATAGATGATCACTTGATAGAACTTAGCAAATACTCTTAATTGATTGATTCTTCAATTATTTTCTTTCTTCATCTGTGCTAGTGCAAGATTTAAGTTTCAAGTTATCAAAAGCCTGAGTCTCTTTGCTTTCGTTGGACTAGTCAGAGAGAGTAGGTTAATTAAAGTAATAAGTGTAGTACTTTTTAGAAATGTTGTGGAGAAGCTTAATCAATAACTCAAGTAAAACAGTATTCTCAAAAATTACCTTTGAAGTTAATAACTAAGTTAAATCCTAGTATGGCATTTTTCTCAGTTTGTTGCCACTGGTTTGAGGGAGAGCAATATCTTTTAAATCAGATATACACTTAATGCTATCAAAACTTGACTCAGCTTTTTCCTTATCAATAAAGAAGAGAATATTCTTCTCTGTAATCTTGCAAAACAAAAATAATATTTTTTAAGCAATCTATTAATAAACTTCTTTAGAAGAAGTAACTGGTTCTTTATTTCTCTAAATTATTTCATTTGGTGGGAAAATCTTTCCATTTGATTGACTCTCTTTTGATTACTACTTTTGTTAGTTTTGAAGAATAAAAATAGATGGATTCCTCAAAATAAACATCATAGCATCTAAAATTTTATATTCAGAATATGGATTCTCTTGCAATGATGTCAACAAATTGAAAGGATAATTGATAAAGGATTCGCTTCCAACATAAAGTAACTCAATCACTCTTTCCATTACTTCTTCATCAGCTATTTCTGAAAGTAAAGGAGCAATAGTTGCATCCTCTACTATCTAGTCTCTTCTTTCCTTCATCTTTAAGAATTTTTATTTTAGTTCCTCTTTTTTACGTTATTACTCAAGAGCTTTTTTCTATTCTCTCTTTCTCAACTAGTTTAATTCTGCCTCTTAGTTGTCATAAGCTGCACCTCTTTATTAAAGCATAATAGCATGATATCTCATTTCCTAAGGGATTTACTAAAGAAATTCTTAAGTGGATGTCAAAAGAATTTCATCTCTTAAATGTGGTGGAAGAGAAGCTAAGAATGTAGCGGCATCCATTTCTTCTGCCTAAGGTTATTGTTATTGAGCTTATTACTACTATTATTGTTAAGCTTATTAATTAGCCTATTAATTATTGTTATTATTCCCTTATTAATTATTTTGTTAAGCTTACTGCTATCTCTGTTATTAAAGCAATTATTCTTAGTAAGCTTGCTCTGTAGGTTGATAAGTATAAATTGTTTCTAATTTTATATCATCTGGCAAAGAATCAAATATTATAGGATCAATAGAGTTTCTTTCGAAGAATCCTAAATCCATATTGAACTGTTGTAAAAGTGCTAATGATCTTTGTAAAAAGTCTGGAATTTCTTCCTACTCTTAAACTTATTAAGGATCTTCTTACTAAAGCTAAACTTGCTCTTACTATTGCTACTATTAAACAATTTCGGCGCTTTCTTATTCTTGCTATTGATGTTAGGAATTTTATTATTGTTATTAAGTCAATCCAATAACGTTCTATAAGTTAGTAAGAAGAGAATTGAAATTTGTTTGTTATAAGTTAATATTTGATGATCCTTATTAGATTTATTATTCTTAATTACTATTATTATTTCCTCCTTATTATTAAATCATTTAAAATGAATTTTGTAACTCTCTTAAAATTATATCAGATAATTAGCTTTCTTGTTAAGAAGGTTGTTATTATTACTAGTGTTGTAGTTATTATTGTTGGAGTAATTATTATGAATTAAGCTAATTAACAACTTCAACAGATGAAGAGTGTTGCTGATTTTACTATTATTACTATTGAGGTTATTAATTATTTGTATTAGAAATAGTAGAAATGCTGTTTAAAATTGAACTAAAATCTGCCATTTGTAAATTAAGTGCTTAGGTATTTTATTACAAAGTTTATTACTGTACATTCTATTACAAGCTTTAACTTAGAGCTTATTACAATATATCTTAAAGATTTTATTCCATTTAAGCAGCTTAAGATTCTTGTTGCTATTATTAATTTTATATTTGAGGACTTTATTCTTAAACTTATAACATATCTGGTTAATTAGGTTATGAATCTCTTAAAGGAGAGCTTTCCTATTACATTGGAGACAAAATAGGAGATTCTATAGAATTTGCATTTAGCTCACCTACCTAGTTACTTGATTCATTGTTATTGTTGTTATTGGCTTGGTTATTTATGCTTTAATTATTATTCTCTGCATTTAATTCTTACTAAGCAACGGCTTAATCTTGACCTTAAGAATTAGGTAGAACATCTTCAACAGCATCAGAAATAAGAATATCTCTCATGTTTCTCATCATTTAATTATATTCTCTCTCTTGCTATTCATTTGTTTGTGCCGCTTCATTTAACTTTTATTATTTGAAAATTAAAAAAAATTACATAAATTAAAAGATTTTTCATTTATTAGAAAATAATAAGTAAATAAATAAATAAATAAAAATAAATAATTTACATTTCTGCGATTATTGTTTAATTGATTTTGAAGTAAGTTGTTATAACTTTAAATACGACCCCAGAGAGGTTAGAAAATATTCTAAATATCGTTTTATTCATTATTCATAGCATCTAATTAACCTACATGATTGAATATGCTTCTACGGCCTTCTTCTATCTATCTAATTAGCTCTCTTAAGTTTGAATCTGAAGGATCTCTGTTTTATAAATGATTTTTACAAATTTAGTAAACTATGATAAGAAAAAATGAAAATACCTTTGCATAAGGTCATTAATTAAACCCTAATACTATTCTATGTAATTGGCTTCATCAACTCTCTATGGACGAGATTTTTACTATTTGTTGAGATTTTGATAATTATAATCTATATTTTTCCAGTCTTCTGCTGATTTTTAGAAGTAGCTATTGTAGCGACTCTCTAGATGTTAATATAAATCATAAAAAGTACTCAAATCCTTTCCTAGAAGCTTTTGCTTTATTAGCTTTTTAAGCAAGTCTAAAAGAGCGAGATTTATCTAATGTTGGCAAAATAGAGTCTTTTCATCAAATTTCAAATATTTTTTTATGTCTTTCTCCACTACTTAAGTCTCACTTGTTAAATTTGGATTTCTTATGCTTGAATTTTAAGTATTGGTTTTATTTTCTTCAAAGATTTAATCATAATCTCCTTCATCGTCAATGTCTTCAATATCTTGATCTTCATCTTCTTCATCTTCATCATCATTTTCTCCTTAGATATCTTCTTCTTACTCTAAAATGGCAACTTCTTAATCTTCATTTTCTCCACCAACTTAGACATTTTATTCATACAACTATTAGTTGATTCTATGACCTTGTACTTCTAACTCACTCATACCTTCTTCACTTTCTTCAAATTAATCGTCTTGCTTTTACTCTTCGTCTTCTTATTCATCAGCATCTTCGATATCAGGCTCAAGGATGTAACTTAAATTGTAAACATTTAAATATGAATTTGGTAGTAAATTTTATAAAATTTTTACCGATTAGGGTCTTATGAAAGGCTATTTTCTAAGATAAGCATTTAATTTTCAAATTAATTAATTCTTGGTTATATTTCAGCTTATTAGAAGGCCTCTTCATCTTCTTCTTCCTCCTATTCAATTTGTTCTTGATCTTAAAGCTCATTTCTTCTTAAAATATGTTCTACTTCTTCTTCTTCTTAGATTTAGAATTCAGGATTATCCATTTATAATTCTAATTCACCTGGGTCTTCATCTATTTCTATAAAGTCTCCAAATCTTCCAATGAAGTTTTGCTAATTAGAACAGAAATGTAAATAAAAAAATATAAATTTAAAGATTAAAATATGTTACTTAGCGCTCATCAAGAGGGTCAATTTAGTTATAACCTAACTATTGTTCATAGATTTGCTGATCATATTAATTTCCATTTAAGGTGTCACTAAGTTGAAGTATTTTCTACCACTCTGCAGCAAAGTTACTAGTTAAAAGGTGATTACCAAATTTAATTGGAATAAACTAAGCACTGACAGTTTGATATATATATTTAGCATCAGCAGATAAATTCTTTTTATCTTTAATTAATATATTCTAGAAGGCATAACGATTTAAAATTGAAAGAGGATGATAGATAAATGGAATAATATTCTCATATTGATAATACTGCTTGATTTTTAAAGCACTAAGAATGTTGTTATATACCTTTATGAAATTTAACTATTAAATATTTAGTTGCTTGTATGAAACCAAATCAGTGTTAGAAGAAATATTCATTTAGCTGTTAATTGAGTTGAAAGCAACGGCATTTTTAAATTGCTTTAAGTTTAGCAAAATGCAGTGCAATTAGCTATAAGTAATTAAATTATGAACACTTTGAGGTGATTCTAAGATATTTGGCTAATCCAAAAATGTGAAAATATCTAAGTAAACTTGCTTACGAATCTCATTTGCATATGTTTCATGGGATGAACGCATGACAAAAGAATCCATACATAGCTCTAACAAAAGATCTCTTGAAAAATTCTAGAAATATTTCATGACAACTCTTGTTAAGAAATGGACAAAATTCAATTGATTGAGATTTTAACATTATATTTAATTGATTTATCCCTTTTATTGCCAAGGAGTCAATAAAAGGCTATTGCAATCTTCTTCACTTTGGAGAGCTTTTTGTACTATTTTAGCAATTTTAAATTTACAAACAACAGGGGTGAGCACAGGGAATTTCTTTATGATGTAGTGAATAAGATATAATAATACACCTTCATCTATTTCTTATAAATCTTCTTTTTGTGAGTTTTACAAGTCAGCTTCATTTTCTTGTTTTTCTTATTATCCTTTGTTATCATTAGTAGGAGACTCGTTAAGCTTAGTTTTTTATTTACTCAAGTTCTTATGATTTGATATTTTTTATGTTACTTTTGTAATGAAAGTTTCAAGCAACAGGTTAAGGAAGTTAGATGTTTACTAATTCTTCAATGCAAAATTTGAGGTGTAATCCATTTTAGATGGGTTAAGCAACAAGCTTGATGGAATGATTTAGGTGGAAGACATTATTGAAGAGTTTTAAGAATTAGAGTTTGATTTTTTCTTTTATGTTGTTGTGCTAGTTTATTAATTAGTGGAAGATGTAGAAACTGGAATCTAGCATTTATAGATATCGATATCTTTATTTAGTTCAGTGTACTCTTTTCCTCCTATTTTTTTTGTTGTACAAATTCTGTTGTAGATGTTCTTGAAGCAAGATACTTATGAAAAGCTAGCAAACTTTTGCAAGAAGATATCAAGAGGAATTCTAATAGCATCTTCTTTGTTTTGAGACAGATTGCTTTCTTTCAATATTTGAACATTGCTGTCTTCAGTAGTTTTATTTGGCTTATTTTAGCTAGAATTTTAAGGTTAACTAGAGTGTTTATGATATAAGAAGAATTATTTGATTTATGCCTCTATAGATACGGTTTCAACTTCTTCATCATTCAAAGCCAAAGTATATAAATGGCATAATTTCTCTAATATTCCATCTAAACTGCCAATATTTTTCAACTTCAAAATATAATTTAAGATCTATGAATCATAGATTTCTTTAGAAAGTTGTTTCCAATCCCTCTACAATAATTAAGTAAGTATTGTTATTATTCCTAATATTTAAAAAAATTAAAATTAAATGAATAAAAAATTAAATATGAACAATAAATATAACATACCTTGAACAGTTTTATTGTTTAGTAGAGCTATTTTCTTGTTTTCATTTAAATTAACAGATATATCTAGAATCTTTTATAAAAATTTAATCAGCTCCTCAAAGATATCACCTTTTTATTTTTCTTTTTTGCTCTTCTTTTTAGAGTTCTTTGAAAGCATTGAATCATCTTTATTGCTGTTTGCTTAAAGTGAAGATATTGATTGATCATTTTTCTTGCTAACGCTTGCATTATTGCATATCTTTGAATTTTCTACAAATTTATGTGCATATACTATGCTTCTCAAAAAGAATAGTTAAACTACTTACTAATCTTATTCGCTTAAGTTTTCATTCTAAATCTTTTTTTCTGTTACCTCCCCACAGAATTTAAATATTTCCTGACCAAGAGACTATTCATTTTAAAATAAATATTACTTTTATCTTAAATCAATAAGGCAATCAAAATAGTAAAATTATTGGTTTACATAGACAAATGAATAAAAAAAATGAAAAATAATAAATTATTCTGAATAGGCAAATAATTTACATTCTTGTAGATGACTTATTTGAGAGACTTTTGACCTATTTTTGTGAGTATCAAGAGTATCCTAGATAAGTAAGAAATAAAAATGATGGGACTTTATCCGCTTTTTTAATCTATGTTAAGTATAATTTTAGGTTTGTAATCTATAGGAAGAACTTTATTTGATATTTTAATAGAATTTTTGGAGTCATTTAATTGATTTGCTAGATATCTGAAATTCCATAAAATAATTTGAACAACTTCGTAATTAGAGGTGGATGGAGCTACTTTGTTATCAGGGATGCTCATTAGAGGTTGCTGAGAAATATTCTTATCTTTTTCTTCTTCGTTTCCTCTATCACATAAATATTTTAATATAATATCAGAGACTAATAATTCTGATTTATCAAATTTTAAGATATTAGATAACAACAAATGCGAGGTACTTTCTCTAAATTCCTAAATTTTATTTTTTAGGCACTGCAAATTTTTAGTTTTTATTTTTTATTCATTTTAATGTTATTTATTAGATTCTAGAAGTGAAGTTAATTCGCTATGATCAGATGATTCTAAATCTAAACTCTTCTTTTATATTTCTTAAACAGCATTAGTTGAGAACCCTCTTGCCATTCTTCCTATATTTTAAAAGCTATCAAATTCAGAATCTTCTTCACCTTAATCTTAATTTCCATCAAAACCAAATCTTTAAGAAGCCAAGTTATCTATTGCTTCATCAATATTATTATTGCACCTTCTAAGAGCTTCGATAGCTCTTCTTCTTGGGAAACCCTTTTTTCAAAAAAATTTAATAATGAAATTTTAATTTTTTAACATTTTAAATAAATATTAAAGAATCTATTTTATCTACCATTTCTTCAAGCTATTTAACATCTGCGTTGAATTTTTTCTTTCTCTCTTCTTCTTCTAGTTTCTTTTTTTCTAGAAGGGACTGCTAAATATCGATGATCAATGGAGCATTTTTTCCTACAAGATTAAATACTTTTACTATTTTTTAGAATAAAACTTCTACTAAAGGAATGAATGTAGTTTCTTATTAAAGAGGAACTAAGCTTTCAGAAATAATTTATTCAAATTGTTCAATGAAATAATAATTAATTCCATTTAGGATATTTTCTATTCCTAAATCAGACAATTTATTAGAATTAATATAGACATCTTAGGATATATCAACATGAGTGATGAAAATGTTGCTAATAATATAAATGAGCTTTTCTGTTAATGAAACCATGGTGGAATTTATAAGTTTATCATGCAAATTGGATGCTTTATCCTTAGAGCGATATTATGAAAGTGCTTTTATAGCCATTTTAATATGGTCAACAAGTTTATCTAAAATTTTAAGCTCGTAAAGCTAAGCAAACAAATTTAAGTCAATAACATATTCTTATTAGAACACTCCTTTTTTCTTAGCATCGTCAATATAAACGTCTAAGAAAAGTATGATATGACCAAAGTTAACATTTAGCTCTGCTAATTTATTTAAATTATTTATTTCAGTTTCGTCTAAGTGATTAATATTTTGTATAACTTTTTAGATGGCCCTAGCATAAACTTCTTACTATGTGTTAGCCTTAATAATGTTGGTCTTTCCTTGCAAAAGTGCCTTAAAGATGCTTCTCATAGCAAAGTAAATATTTGCCTAATGGTTTTAATAATCCATTCCTTGTGTTTAATTATAGAGATCAATGCACTCACATTCTTCAGATTCAATTTTTTTTTTGTCAGTTAAATTCAAAGTTTACTCATATTTCTTTTAGAGATTGTACATGAGCTCATTGTTTTATTAATTGGTTAATATAACATATAATTACTGCATTTAGTTTACAGTTTTGGCAAAATCTTCTGGGTCGATTTCTATTAGATAATATATTAATTAATAAGTAAAAAATATAATAAAAATTTTTGAATTGCTAAAATTAATTACTAGATTCTTTATTTTATCTAAGACTTATGTAAATTATTCTTATAAGTCCCTCAACAAAGTTTAAGCTATTGAAGAGCTAGACAGGTAAAACTAATTCTGGATCGGGATTTTCAAATACCTTTTAGTGATCTAAAGTGCTTGTTTTGTAAAAAAGTTCATTTGGAATTACGCTTTATAAATCTCTAACCCCTTAAAAGCTACCACTTTCGCATCCTAACATTTTTTAAATCATTTAAAATTCTTTTTTTAAAATAGCATGCACTTCAATTAAAGATTTATGTCCCATAAACTGCCCAATATTAATCATATATCCAAGCAGTCCTTTTTTACTGTAGGTATCTACCATATCAAGAACTGGGAACTTGACTAGTTACAAGAACAAAGAATAAATTTAATAATGTTCAGAATGCTTTTGAAAATACTAATCTTTTTAGCATAAAGATTAGTAAAATTTACAAAAATTATCAATTAAAAAGGAGAATTGTGGATATTCTTAAATCTGTTTTTATTATTAAAAAATGTTAAAAATATTTAAAATATTTTTAAAAATTATTTTACACTAAATTCAAGATCATTTGTATCGTATGGTTGTTTGTTCATATGCTTTTAAAAGTTATCAAGGAATTTATCTTTTTGTTTAATTAAATTTTCAAAGGTCTTGATGATGAGATCAATAATAACAGGTTTTTCGTTTGGTGCGTTTTACTCCAAGTTACGAATATTTCTTGCCATGTACTCTGCGATTTAAAGTAAAGGATTTTGATTATTAGGATCACCTTAAACCCAAGCTATTGTGAGGCAATCAACATACTTCTTTTAAGTAAAAATGTTGAAAATTTTAGACATTATTTTAGAATTAGTTATGATGAGTTTGCCTTCCTCAGTTATACTTGAAATGATCATATATTAAATAATAGATTTAATTTGAGTAATATCTTGAGGAATTTCTTCTCTTTCAAGAATATCTACTTGCAGTTTGATAAGCCCTTTTTGAACGAGAGAGTTCATCAATTATGGCTATTCATTAATCAATCTATAGACAAACACAAGAGAATTAATGAAGAAATCTAAATTATGGAAGTAATTCAAAGTGTCTATCAAAATCTCAAATATATTTGTTTGCAATATTTTTCTTGAAAGTGTCTAGTTACCACGAAGATTTTAGGAGTTTCTAAAAATATTGTTAATACAATTTAAGTAGAGGCTGATTGTTGAGTAATAATCTTCTTTAGTAATATTTTTCCATTAATTCAACTTAGCATCAAAATATTGCAAGCTTTCAGCCATTTTGCAGTAAGTTAAATGAATTAAAAGCTGAGGCAAGATATATTTCTCAAAAATTTAGAACTGCCTGTTGACTTATTCATTTTTTATCAAATTTATTAAAGTCTATCTAGCCTTAGAAACAACTTAGAAACTATAAATTAGCTTGATATTTTTTCCTATTTCTTAAGCCTAATTACTTGAAATAGTTTCTGATGTGTTGCTAGCAATTTTAATAATATATTCAGCAATTTATTACTAATAGTTGATATTTTGTGCACTTTCATATTTCTCCCCAATCATGCTAATAAATTTCTTTTGAAAATCTTAATTCACAGCAGTTTCAATAGGTAATATATATTCTTCATGTTGCTCTTAATCAAATATTATTTTCTCTCCACTTTCATCAAACTTTAAAGTAGCTATTCCATTTAATATTTACCTGAAAAAATCAAAATTTTGAATAATATAGCTTTTAAAATAATATCTAATAAATCTAATAATTTTAGCATGAATTTTAGGACAGCTTTTTAAATAAAGTATGCTAACCAACTATTCAAGCAATTCATTTGAATTGAAAGCGCTCAGCTATTCAGAATTTTTATTTTTAACTTTATATTTTTAAAAAAATATTTGAACAAAGTTTTAATAAAAAAGTTAAAAAAGATTCAACAAATAAAATAATTTATCTTCTATTTTTCAAAATTTTATAATAATTTTGAATTAGTTAAACTGAATTTTCATATTTGTTCATTTTTAATTCAAAATGTTTTTCTTTTTTCAAATTATTGATAAAAATTCAACTTTGATTTATTTTCAATTTTAATATAAGATTTAAATTTTATTTAAGTTTCTACTGAATTTATTTCTAAATTTTAGACTATTTACTTATATTTAACATTAATTATCCTATCTATCTATTGATTGACTGATTGAAAATAATATTTCTTTAATTTAATCATTTTATAATACAACTGAATTGATTGTTTGAAAATGTTTAACTCCTTTTATAAAAATAAAATAATATTTTTTACTTAAAATTTTAAAAGAATTGATGAAATAATGAATCATTTGATTTCTCTCTTTGAGATTGTTTCTATGCTTTAAATACATAAGAGCTACTCTAATTCTAGAAAATTCAGAAGTGTTAATGTCTACTTTAAGAGAATTTTCTTTGATTAAATTCTAAGCTATCTCAGCACAATTTTTATTTTCAAAATCTAAAGCATCTATTCTTAACTCTATATCTTTAATTTCATTTTTGTCAGATTCTTTGCCTTATGTTTATTCGCTTTATAATTTTTGATTTGGCTATTATTCAAACAACTGGGCATATGTATTTTTATTATTATTATTTTCTGAATTTTCTTATTATTCATTGAAGTTGTAAGGCTACTCTCCTGAATAGGTAGAGAAGTATATAGATTTTAAATGGCTCTAAGTGAAAAAATTTTCATAGATAGTTTGATTGACTTCATCTTACACCATAGATTCCAAAGGGTTATTATTATTTTAAATTAATTCAGCAGTTACATCAGTACTTAATTTTAGAATTCTACCTTAGACAGAACTTTTTCTAAGGGCGCTTTCTTTGAATCCAGATTAAACATCTTTTCTGTTTTTAAGAATTTCTATCCTAGGATCATCATAATAAATCTCACTTAACTAGAAGCCTGTTTAATTAACTGTGCTATTATCCTTTTTTTATAAGGTTTTTATGCCTTTTCCATTTAAAATATTAACATGATGACAAGCAAACTTCACATAATCTAATAACTTTTCTTTATAAATGAATTTTTAAGGGATCATCTAGTAGCTAATATTGCTTTCGTCGCTGAAGCGGACTAAACTTTAGCAAATGCGAATGCAGAGCTACATGTTCTTGAATGTGTCAGTATTGTCTAAAATAAAAATCACATATTCTAAAGAGCAAAAGAGTTTATAGAAATTATTATATTCAAAAGACCACTCTAAAAATTTCAAAATTTAAGTATTTATTGATTCATCATTAATCTTCTTATTTTGCAAATCATTGTTTTTGGATAGGATAGAGTCACACCTATCAAGCAACATAGCTATTTAGTACATGCTATTACGATTCATATAATCTGTGTTTTTCTTTAAACTTTTCAGCGCTTTAATGAATTCACTATCTTCCTTCAGTTTAAGAATATCATCTAATTGCTATTATTTAAAATTATTTAATTATTTAATGTATTATTTCAAAATAGCTAAAATCTCTAATCAATTTATTCTGTATTGCATTATAATATTTTAGAATGCGATTTATTCTGTCGTACTTTTTTCAAGAACAATATCATTTTATGCTCATTTTGTTAAATTAAATTTTAGTCTAATCAAATCAAAATTTAAAAATGGGCTAATTAAAATGGTAGAAAAAATACCTTCAGATCATTTTTTGGATGATTCTTGTAGTATTTTTCTGGTATTTTCATTGCTGCTAAGCTTTACTTTCTTCCTTTAAATGGTTTATCTACTGAATATAATTAAAAACAATTAAATTTCTCTTGCTTTAAGTTTATTGATCTTTCAATCCTTTTGCTTTGCCTAAAGGTTCTTTTTCTTTTTTATTTTGCTTTTATCTGATCAATCTTTGTTTATTTCTGAAGATTTAGAAATAAGCAGTCAATTCTTATTTATATGCTTATTATAGATGCTAATTGAAATTTATTGTTATGTATTTATTAAATTCCTATATTTTTAATAAATTAAATAATACTTTATTCAATCTTAAATCAAATGAAAAAATCTTTTTTTGTTTAACTCTTTTATCAGAACAGAGAGACGAAACATATTTTTTAGGATAGAGTCTTTATTATTAGTTATAAATTTCAAAGCATTTGCTTATTCTCTCATTCATTCTCCCAAAAAAAATTTAAAAATGTTAAAATTAAAAATTTTAAATATGTTGAAAAAATCATCTCAGATTTAAACTGACTAAAAAACATTTGATTTTGAATGAACTAAACTTACTTTTAAGAATCAAATAAAATGGCTATTCGATTTCATAAAATAAATCCTGCATCAATTTCGACTAAATTTCCTAAAAATTAATTTACCATTACTTTTTAATTAAATATTTTTCTTTAAAACAAATAGATTACTTAGTAAAAAATTTAAAAAAACTATTTTATGATTATTTATTTTTTAAATTTTACATACAAAATAAATTTCTTAAATTTTAATTCATAATAAATAAGATTCTCATATACAAACAACTTAAAATAAATTCCTTTTACTTTTATAAATCTATAAATATGCTATTGTATTATTTAAGCTCATTATTAAACTTAAAATAATTACACAAATTATTCAAAATAATATATTTTTAATTGGTAAATTTATCAAATTTTAATTTTTATAAATTTGTTTTTGTTTTTTAATTTAATTTAGTATTTTACTTAATGATTAAATCCAAGCATTTTTTATGATAACAACTATTTTCTTAAAATAATTTTTGTTTTTAAAAGTATTTATTTTTTTTATTCAATATTTATTATCTGTTGATTTTTTTTATATCGTTTAAGTTTTGAAAATGAATAGGTAATTTTTAAAATAATAAATTTCATTTGAAATACCAATATACTAACAATCATCGAATATTGCAAAAATCAAAAAAAGAAGTTTGTCTAAGCAAAAATTTTTTCGGCGATGAATTTATTATATAATAGACACAAATTTGTTTAGAGCCACATTAATAAATCAAAGTTTTGCAAACATATACTGGTGCATTTAATATAGTAAACAAAAAATATATATTTTTATATTAGTTTTTATTTATATAGAGTTAGAAGTTTTCAAAATAAACGAGAAAGATGGGAATTATCTTGCATAGCTTGATAGTTTCTGACAGAGAAGTTAGTCATACCCTTACCAGAACCAGTAACACCTACTTTTCCTTCGATTGTTTCGGGGGATTAGAAAATAGATTGTTAGCTTTTCTTTGACTAGAAATGACCAGCTTTCTTGCTTGATGCATTGTTTTTAAAGTCATTCCACTTATTTTATTTTTCAGATTAATGCTTTTCAATTTAGGCTTGTTTGAATTATTATTTGAGAGCTTTCACTTTCTTTTTCTTTGTTTGACGCACTTGTTCATTATCGTTGGGAAGAATTTTTAAGTTATCAGGAACTTTGAATTCTGTAAGGTCATCAAAAGTACGCTTTTTTCTATGGTCTTGCTAAGTCTTTCTTGACTCTCTCAATAAATATATACTTAATTCTTCTTTGTTGTTATACTTTTTAAACTTAATAACATATCTGCCATCTTCTGTTATCTTTTCAATAATACAAGGATAGTATTTGCCATCATCAGGGTAAATTGCTTCGCAAGCAAAACCAGGCTAAAAGAGTTCAGGATCAGGTTTGGGTTTTAATTTAGTGTAGACTGAATTCACTGTAACAATGTCACTGTAACCAATAATTTAAACAATAACTTTTTGCTCATCGTTATCGACATAAGTAATTATTCCATGATACCACTTCAAGTCCTTTTCATAGAATACCTTGCACAATCTGTTAACATGTTCTGTTTAGATAGCTTCAGTGTTAAAGAAAAAGTATTCATTATTCTACTTAGTTTTAATTTCTTATTCTTATACTGAAATAGCATTTTCTAAATCTGCTTTTAAAGATCTCAGTTCTTCTAGTTATTCTTCATTAGATTCTATTTATATCAATGTATCTAACTTAACTAAATTATTTTTATATTCTATCAATTTTTAATACTCAGGAATCATAACCTCTCTGTCAATTTATTCAATAGGCTGCTTTTCTTAGCCCTTATCTTCTACTTCATCATTAACTTCCTACTACTCTTTTTCGACAGTATCTCCAGTACCATCATTCTTTTTTATTTTTTTAGTGGGATCCATTATTTAAATAGAAATTTACTATTTGCTTTTTATAATTAATTGAAAATTAAATTTGTAGACAAAAATTTTTATTAATAATTTTTCTGTGCTTGAACTCTTTAATAATCAATCAACTTTCTCAAAAAATAATAAAAGAAATCAGCTAGAAGAAGCAATAATAATTTTTATAAAAAATATTACTAAATTGTTTTTATTCCCAATTCTGTTTTTAGAATTATTAATTTAATTTTAAAATGATTTTTTAAAAATAAACTTCATTTTAAAATTTTTTAGTTTGAACTTTTAAAAGTAAATAAAAAGCTAAATATTAATACAGGCAACACATTAAATAAGAACCTTTTTCGCGAAATTTCATAAAATTTAGTAGCAATTATTAAAAGATATTGTTATTATTTTACTAAAAAAAGAATATCAAATTCCTTTTTAAAATATATTTAAAGAATAAACAATGATAGTTTCAAGATTATTCAATAAGCTTTCTTGTCAAAACTATTTTAAGCAAGTTAGAAACTTTAATTTAAGATAAACCAATTTCTAAAGCAAATAGCTAACAACAAGCATTTATTCCAATTTCGCTACTTCAGATGATAAAAAGATTTCTTTTTTCTTTGTGAATAAGGATGGAAAATAGGTTGAAGTAAAGGCAAAAGAAGGAGAGAATATTTTAGAGATAGCGCATGAAAATGAAATTGATTTAGAAGGAGCTTGCGAAATGTCATTAGCATGCTCCACATGCCATGTAATTTTAGAGGATAACATTTACAATAATATTGATCCTCCAACCATGGAAGAAGAGGATTTATTGGATTTAGCATATGGCTTAACAGATACTAGCAGACTTGGATGTCAAGTCAAAGTTTCTAAATAATTTTAAGGAACTAAAATTACTCTTCCAAAAGCTACAAGAAACTTTTATGTTGATGGCCATAAACCCAAGCCTCATTGAAACTACTAAAAAATTATATATTTTAATATTTATATCTATACTTTTATATATATTTGCAATACCTTAAAACTAGAAAGTATAAATTAAGCCAAAGTTAATCAATAACTAACTAGATTTTTGATAAAATTATATATAAAATAAGTGAGTTTTTTTATAAACTACAGATTATTCTTAATTTAATTATCAATAAGGATATAATTTTATTTATAAAAGCGTTATAATTTTTTATAATATTATCAAGATTTAAATATGCATAGCTTCGAAAAGTTAATAAAAAGTATTTTTTTTTTCTAAATAAATATAAATTTATGATAAATAAGAAAAAAAAATTAAATTAGCAAACAAAATTAGCAATTTCAGTAATGGTTGATAACAAATTTCATAAAATTCTTAAAAAAAAATAATTTTATTATTTTAAAAATATTTAATTAATTAATTTTAATTCCAAAAAATAAAAATGTAAAAAAGTTTTAATGAATTATTTTTAATTTATTCTTAAAAAATAAATACTGTAATTTTACAAATGTATTATTTTATTAAATAAAATCAACCCCAAGCTTCATTCATGCCCAAAAATAAAAAATTATAATTGTAGTATGAAAATAAGTGAGAGTCAATATATAAGGATTCACGGTATTTAATAGTTACAGTAATTAAGTACATTTAACTAAGTAATAATTATTTATATATTTCTAAAAATTTATTTTTGCATATTAATAAAAGGAAATATTATATTTTAACAAGTGAATGATAGAATTGTTTATAAATTATACTTATTATGTTACAAATATTATATATTTTATCATTTTATATTGTCAATTATTTATAAAGTAGTGTTTGTTTGTTTATATAATATAAATAGTAGTTTTAGTTTGTGATTGAGGGTTGGTATTTTTTTTCAAGAAGCAGCTTATTGGGTTTCTGCACTGACCACATTGTTTAACTATGGATCATTAATTTTTGCATCTTCTTCACAATTAGGTAAATCTATTGTGATAGCAGGTTTTTCTTAATACATTTTTTCTCTTTGAGCAATTTTTTCTTTGGTATAGTAATTCATATTGAAAACGGGAATATTTATTATTTCATTATAAATAAGTGAACCAATTGTGATAATGATATAACCAATCAGTTGTATGTAATTGAATTCTTCCCAACCAAGAGCAAGTGTTGCCATCCAGACAGCAAAAGGAACTACAGATGCTACAACGCTTCTAGTAAGTGCGCTCAAATATTTAGTGATAGATAAAGCAATACCGTTTAAGAAGAAAATAGCAAATATCGTTAATATAACTACAATTAAAAGGGTAGGTTAGTATTCACCTTCAATAGTAAAAACTTAATCAAAGAAGCCAGGAACTGATTCCATTTTACCATCAGGGCAGTCTGAAATAATACTGGGACAATCGATGTGAGTAAAAATGTTAAGTCCAGCCATAGTGATAATCAAACCCCAGAAACCTTCGTATCCTACAAACTCGAAAGGATTGAGATGATAATTTCTGAAAAACTTTTCTTCTACTACGCTCTAGGTAGAACTTGTAAAGAATGTGCAACATTAAAGTATGATACCAAGCAAGAGAGCACTGTTATCTCCATCACTAGAATTTTACATAGCACTTACACCGATAATAATCAAACCTACTATGTTTAAGAAGAGTCCCATGTAGTGATGACGATATAAAACTTTCTTCAAGAAGATAACGGAAAAAACTGAGATGACTATAAGATTACCACCATTAATCATATAGTTAATAGAAAGAGGCATCATATACATAGCAAAGAAACCAACAGTAGTTGTAGTGAAATCACAAAGGGTTGGAATAGCAAATAAGAATTTACTTGGATTTAATTTAAGACCTTCTTGTACAGCATCTTCGCACTCTTTCTTGTATTATTATGGATACATTTTTTTATAAACTAAGAATAAAGCAAAACACAAGGCTTCTCCGATAAACATGAGATAAGTTTACATAAAAGGGTGATTAAATTCAACACCATTAACAACACTTCTTTGTTATTACTTATAAAGGAGACCAGAAGAAAGACCGCACAAAATCTAAGCGACCAGCAAAAGCTTAATTTAGAGAGGAGTCATTTTAATTCAATCAATAAAACGATAAAACGAGATTGTAAAGTTGGGCTTAACTTGAAATATTTATCTGTCTGCAAATATTATTTTACTGTTTATAAAATTTTTTTTGAATTAATTAAATATAATTTGGAGATTTAGGAAAAGTCAATATATATACTAATTTAGATCATATAAAGACAATATAATAAGTAGAAATATCAGCATATAGATACTATTAACAGTTGTCAAATTTCTAGTTAATTATAAGTATTATCTATCCTAGATATTAAAATTATTAATCTGAATATTTTAAACTTATAAAAGAATTAATTTAATGTGTTCCAATCATCTTTATTTAAATAAATTGATATTTCTAGTAGTCTAATAGATTTAATTAAAAAAAATTTGCGGTCCAGCTAAAGTTTTTAATCAAATTAAATACTTCTAATTTAATTAGATAAGATTACTAGAAGTTTGCAAAATTGCTATTATTGCATTAGTAATCTTCAATATATTGTAATGTTTCTTAATATTAAAAAATGACAAATTTAAATTTATATGTTGTATATTTTATAATGTATTATTGCATTTAATTATTTTTATGACACAATATTTTAACAATTGTATTTACATATTCAAACTTATACTCTTTGTTTTTTCCTAATTTTGTTTTTTATTACTTTCTAAATGAGTAAATAAGAAATCAACAATAATTTATTTTCTGCCTTAAAATTTCTATTAAATTCTACAAAATTTATAATCTCTCAGTCAACTTGATTTTCAGCAAATATTATGATTTATTTGTGATATTTAATTAAGAGTTATTGAAATTATTAAAGTAATGGTTATCTGTAATGAATTTAAATTAATGAATATTAAAAGGGAAATAACTATTTAATTTAGTTATAAATAATGTTGGTAATAGTTTTAATTTTGATTCATATTGATCAAATATATTAATTTAAAGGTAATCAAAATGGTTATCACTATTTTATTTCATTTTCAATTCGAGTATCATAAACCTTCAATAAAGCATACAACTCATTTATTAAAAATTCGGTAAAATAATTTGACGTAAGTTTGGCCTATAATAGACATTTAACAAATTTTAGCCCATAAAAATTATTTAATTATAATATGAGTGTTTTAAATTGTTATTTAAATTATTTAATTTTTTTATTACAATTATTTTGCTTCAAATATTTATAATATATTAACTCAAAAATAATTCAAGAACATAATAAATGATAAAAAATTAATTTTATTCATAACCATATCTTATAATTTATGAAATTAGTTGAAAAACTCATAGAACAAATTGAAAAAATAATAAATTTTTAAAAATATGATATAAAGAGTAAAACCTATTGAAAATATTTATTTTAAAAATTTATTTAGCTTAAAACATAAAAAAGTAGTGGACAATATGATTAAATTAAAAGATTTAATCAATATATAGGATTTGTTAGAAAGATACAAAAATTTTAATTATATTAATTTAGTGAAATGGTCAAGAGAATTCTTAGTGGTTTGTTTTTAAATAATGACTCTTTGAAATTTCAAAAATAGCTTTACTATTATCTTCTCCTGTATGCTTAACTAATTTTGCAAAAAAGCCATTTTTTGTTATAGTAGTGCTGTTAACATCGTCGGCAAGCAATAAGAATGGGGACTCACATTCAACAACTTTACCTTTATCCATAACAATAACTTTATCGTAATCTGCGATTGTGTTTAAACGATGTGCAATTGTTAGGACAGAACAATTGTCAAACTTTTCTTTTATTGTTTTTTAAATAAAGTGATCAGTTACCATATCCATATTTGCAGTAGCTTCATCCATAATAATTAGCTTACTCTTTTTTAACAAAGCTCTAGCTAAGCAAATTAACTACTTTTAGCCAACACTAAAAACTGAGCTAACGTCACTCATATCAGTGTAAATTCCTTTGGATAAAGAATTAACCATATCATAAAGTTAAGTTTCTTTGAGGGCTGTTTATATTTTTTCATCATCATATTCATCTAAGGGGTCAAGGTTTTTACGTATACTTCCAGAGAATATAAAAGGTGTTTGAGGAATGATACTAATTTAATTACGAAGAGTATGAAGACCTAACTGATGAATTTCTTAGCCATCAAACTTAATAGCTTGTTCTATTAATTTACCGTCATGATCAAAATTTTTTTGATTTTCACCTTCTCTCATTCTAAAAAGGCATTCAATCATTGAACTTTTTCCTGCACCAGTTCTACCAACACAACCAACTTTTTTACCTGAATTAATTGTAAAGTTAACTCCTTTGAGTGTATACTCCAAATCTCTTCTATATTTCATATGCACATTTTATAATTGAAGTTCACCTGTAGTTAGTTAGTTAATTAATAAATTTATTTTATTTTAATTTAATTATATTTTTAAAGTATTTAATTAAATTTTTTACCAGAATGTGGCCATTTGCTATCAGTAACTTATTTGTCTGTGGGGAGAAGTAATTCTCTTTCAGACTCTAAATCGCACATTAAGAAAGATCTTTAAACTGAAGACATGGAGCTATCCATGTTAATAATTTAACGCATTGCCCATTAAATGTAATCTGTCATAAGAATTAAGTAAATAATAGATTGACCTGTTAAACCTGGATCGCCTTTAAAGACTTAGACAACCAAGAAAATACCAATAATAGATGAAATTGTGGTTATGAATTAAGTATAAGCACCAAACATTCTTGAAATATGCCAGTATTACAAGTTACAACGTATGTTAAGATTTGCGTGGCCACACATTACTTTATAAAAGCGACTATTTTATCCAAATACTTTAACAATTTCCATTCCTGAGAGAGTTGATGAGAAGAAAGAGAAAACAGGAGATTTGCTCAATAAATCCAAAGTTTTACTTTGCATGATAATTGTTTTATTGAATTTTAACCAATTATAAAGACCAATTAATTCAACAACACCAATAATTAAAAAATAAGGCTGAATGAAGCTGACTGTAATAAGAAGATTCAAGAAATTCAAAGGACCTTCGAGAGAATCTAAAAATCTGTAATAAAGTAAATTAGAATATAATAAAAACAAAATCTATTATTTTACGTAAAGTGAATCATAGTATCTAAGATACCCATATCATTAGAAAATCTATTTAAAATAACTCCACTTTAGGTTCTATCAAAAAAGATAACAGGAGAACGCACAACTCTTTCAATCATTTTTGAGTGTATAGCTGTATTTGTTTTAATGACTTATTATCCTAAAGTGACATACTTCACAAAAATACCAAGAAGAAAGACAACTGTTATAATGCCTTTTTAATAAATAAATAAAAATTGAGGTTCAAAAATAAAAAATAAATAAATTAATTTGTTTTGCTTACCTAATAAAGTAAAAAGTAGATATTTTTCCATTTCTTCTTCATTATCATAAAATGCAAGTATTCTATTGTAGGCGGTTAGAACAAGCTCATTCCAGATAAAAGCAAATAGGATAAAAATCCAAGTGCAAGACTTTCCTGAAAATTTAAAGTATCTGCTATAGCTATTTAAAGTGACTTATATATTTTCTTTATCTTCGCTAGAATAGAGAGAGGATTTTGGTTTTGCTTCTTTAGCTTTTTCAATGTTTCCTTATTATGCTTGGATTTGTTAATTTTCTTTTGCTGTAAGGCTTTTATCTTCTTCAGAGTGCACAGAAAAATTTTATTCCTAATCAGAATTTAGTTTAACTTAACCAGCAGACAAAAATTCAAGCTTTTTTTCTAATTAAATATGATTACCCTAATCATAAATAGAACCTTTCTCAAGGATAAGAATATGATCAAAGTATTTAGCCATTGAAAGTTGATGAGTAACTAAAATGATTAATTTATTTTTGAGCAAATTTTTGAAGACATTCTTAACTAATTTTTTTGCAACCTTTGAATCGACTGCACTTAAGGGATCATCAAAAAGGTAGATATCTGTATTTGAGTAAACAGCTCTTGCTAAACTAATTCTTGCCTTTTAACCACCACTCAAATTTGTACCTTTTAATGAAATTTAAATAATTAAAATAAATCAAAAAAGCAATGATTTGATAAGATTTTACCTTTTTCTCCAATTTCTGTATTATCAGCATCGCTAAATTAATCAAAGTCAGAAAGTAGACAACAAGCTTTAACTACCTTATTGTACCATTCTTCATGATATGGCTTTCCGAAAAGAATATTATCGCGGATAGTGCCAGAAAAAATGTAAGGCTCTTGCTTAGAATAAGAGCAGCTACCTTTAACTAAGAAATTTCCTCTATAAGCTGGAGTTTCTTAAATTAGAGAATACAAGAGAGAGGATTTTCCTGAACCAACCAAACCAACAACAGCGTATAGCTTAGGTGAATTAAAATCAATGTTTAAATTTTTTAGGACTGGTTCGCCAGTTCCTTCACTGTTCCACCATGCAGAGAAATTATTTAATTTTACTTATGTATCGTTTTTAATAGTGCTTAAACTTTTAGTGAAATCTTCTAAGCTTTGTTCTTTCTAATCCATATCAATGAAAAGCTTTTGAGGTTACTTCTTTGATTTGTTTTCTTATACTTCATCTAAGTTTGTCATAGAGTGATTTGAAACATTAATAATACTTATAAATCTTTCTAAAAGAATTTTAGATTCATGCATAAAACTGAATCCAAACCCTACAAAGAGCATGACTTGAATTCTTAAAAACATAATAATTTGCATAGTTGCAAAAATTTTTGCAGCACTTAGTTAATCTTTTTCTCCAAAATAATGTATTAAAGTAAAAGGTATAGTTGCAGCAAAGAGCGCAGAACCAAAACTAATACTTTATCCGATGTAATTATAAGCTGTTTGCTTTAACAAGCACTTCATTTCTTTAGATCTAATCGCTGTTACAAATTTAATAAAAGCAACTTCCCAAGCATACATCTTAATTAGTCTAATACCTTTAGATTTTTAAAAATTAAAATTGTTAAAAAATAAATGAAAATTTCTTTTTCTTGTGTAGAAATAATTTGTTGATTAAAATCTTAAAAATTATTTTTATGGTGTGTTTTTTGTGAAGTAGTTAGTAATTAATTAATATTTTACCTTCAATAATTTCATTAGTGAGTTTGATTCTATCATCTGAATATCTATTCTTTTCAGGAATATAGGAAGCAGCTTTTTTAGTGATAATATTTTGAATGGGTAAACATCCAATAAGGATAACAATTGTTAGGATTCCAAAAGGTCCATGACGGTCAATTAAAATCCAAGTAGAGAATATCAAAGCTAAGGGTGATACCATACTTATGAACATAAAGGGGAATCTCATTTCAGTAAGATTCATATCATTACTGACTATATTAACTATTTTGCTAAGTTCGGCTTGCTTAATAGAATAAGAACTTAAACTGTTAACTTTAGAAAATAAAGTTGCGACTAAGCTAAGACGAAGCTTACCAGATAAGTTTTAACTCTGATACCAACTTTTTTAGCCAACTATAACACTGCCAAATAAGCAACATGATAATACTATGCTCCACTTTATAATCAAATCCTATAATTATTATTATAAAATTAATCTATATTTTGTAATAGATACATTATTAAAATTTATGCAAATTGAGTGGAAAATTTTTGATTAAATTTTTTTATAATAATTAGAAAAAGTGTAAGGTTGAAATACTATTAATTATATCAAACATTGATTTTTGAATTTATCAGAACTTTTAATAAATGCTTTAAGTACTAAATTAAACATTAAAAAAGCTAATTGTATGAATTCATCAAATAAGTTTGTGGGGGATTATTTTTATTAAATCAAAGTAAGAAAAAAATTTATTCTTTTAATTATTTGAATTGATTGCATTTTCTAATAAATCTTTAAAATAAAAATTACATCTTCATCTGACTAGACATATTAGATGACATTTTGCATGCAGATTGAACTGAATAGTTTGAAAAAAATATCTATCATAAGGAAGACAATACAAGTGATGAAGTCGAAAGAGAATATTTGGAATATCATTCCAATCATTGCAAATGAGCTCAGAGGAAGATTTTTATCAAATCTTTGTTAAATCTTTTTTTGAAGCAGAACAGAGTTATACTCAACTTTATCAGTCTCTTCAATATGGGGAACATCTTTTAATGTAATTTTTCTTCCTGATTTAAGTATTTTATTGAGTTTATAACTAATTTTTAAAAGGTGAATATAAAACATTCTAAAAACAAATGGAATTCCTTGATTCAGATATTCTATTTTTTCATCTTGGGTTTTATTTTATTTATTGACTTCCTTATTTTATTTATCATCTATTTCGTCATAAATTTATGTTTTTGCTGTCTTCAAACCTTATTAAGCAATAAGTTCATTATCATCAAGCATATTTAATGTTGTTGTAATCTAATTAGGCTTAATGATTTATTAGTTGTTTTCATCGAAGCCATCTAATTAAATAATAGCCTAGTTTTCCTTTTACTTTTTCTCAATTTCTTCTTCTCTATTTTTTTCTTCCTCAGCTAATTCTTATTCATAGTTGCATATCGAGTAGACAGATTTATCTAAATCACCTTATAACTAGTGATTTTTTACAATTGAGAATTTATTAATCAATATTTCTTAATTCATGGTAATTTGATAATTCAAATTTTTCTTTGTAATAAATTAATTATATTATTAAAAATATTAGAGTTCTTACTTTTAAATTAAAATTGCTAATTAATTATTTTAGCTTTTAATTAATTTCATAAGTTTATGTAAATATTAAATTAGTCAATCAAAGTATATTTTTTATTTATTAACTATATCTTGAAATATGCTAAATTGATTAATTCCAAATAAAAATACTAAAAAAATTCATCTCATTTGAAATAATTGGAATAATATTTTAGATAATTTAATAGAATCGATGCGTTAACACAGAAATTTTCTAAATCAAATTTGTATTTTCAAACATTTAATGCAAAATCTATTCAAATTATCTAGAAAGTATATTACTAATGCAAATTTACATTTGAGTTCTAGAACTACAGCTTATTTTAGAACTGTTTGCTTATACCTTTAATTATGAATTAAAAAGATTAAATTGAGTAATTAATTATTTATTAAATAATTCAACATTTTCTTTTTTTTATTTAAATAAAATCGTTAATATCTTTTTAAATATAAAAATGTATTGAAATAGATTTAAATATCAAAATAAAAATATCAATAATAACTCTTTGATATTTCATAATTATTTACAGTTGAAAGAAATAATGATCTTTCTTTTTTGATAAAAGTATAAATAATTAGTTCTATTAGAACCATTTGGTAATTAGAAATGAATATCTTTTTACAAAAAGTATAATCAGTCATATGTAACAATAAATATGTCTAAAAAATTGTAAGCTTAATTAATTAAAGAATTATTGATTTCCTTACTAAATTTATTTTGAAAATTATGAATACATATTATTATTACTAAAGGGTGAATAAAATAAAATAAAATTTAAATTTAATTTTATTTATTTGCTTATTTTAAATACTAAAGTAACTTGTATAAAATTTAAACTACCATATTTATTTTACTTCTGTAAGCATTTTTAAAAGAAAATATATTTGACTTAATCAAATAAAAAGCATCGATTTTGTTTTTAATTCAATTAACATTTAGTTTCTATTTTTAGTATTTTTGCAAAAGATTAATTATCAAATTATTTTGATATCTTTGATAAAAAATAATTAATTAGCTATATAATACTTAGTAAATTATGCTTCATTTACATATTTAATTAATACATAAAAGAATATTTTACTTAGTAATAATTTGACATAATGAAATCAAATATATTTATTCATTAGCTTGTTAAATTCAACAAGTGATGAACTAAAATAATCTGATTGAATTTATTTTAGATTTTAATTATAAGCATGAAACCTATCATTTTATTCTACTTCTTGATTTAATTCGATCTATTTTACACCACTATTTAAATGATCTTGTTAATGGATTTAGTCCAGCAATTTATTTTCAAGGATTAATTTCCTCAACTCTCTTTATGTTGAAGAACATTAGTAATTTAAATATTAATCAGACCTATCATAATAATTTATATATTGATTTATATCGTGTTTGAATAAGTTATTTTTTTAATTTGTGATTAATCTACTCCCATTTTATGCTAATTTACTCTTTAAAAATAAATTATTCAATTACTTTCTTTTACAAAAAATAAAATAAACCATATCTGCAACATCATTTTATTACTGCTTCTATAATTGCTGATAAAATTGCCTTGATTACTTAAAAATTTTAATTTTATTTTTTTAAAATATTGATAAAAATAAATCTACATAACTCATTTCTGATTTTGATACTTTATATGTTTGATTAATATTATTCAGTGATCTAATCCAAGAGATATATTTATATTTATTTATTTACTAATTAAGTATTATCTATTTATTCATTATGTTAATTATAGATTTAAAAAAAAAAACTTTGATTAAAAAAATTCTTTATTTTTAAAAAAATAAAAAGAATAGTGTTATAAATTTTAAAAAGAATATTAAGTAAGTTTTATTATTGGGGTTGGGGTTGGGGTTGGGGTTGGGGTTGGGGTTGGGGTTGGGGTTGGGGTTGGGGTTGGGGTTGGGGTTGGGGTTGGGGTTGGGGTTGGGGTTGGGGTTGGGGTTGGGGTTGGGGTTGGGGTTGGGGTTGGGGTTGGGGTTGGGGTTGGGGTTGGGGTTGGGGTTGGGGTTGGGGTTGGGGTTGGGGTTGGGGTTGGGGTTGGGGTTGGGGTTGGGGTTGGGGTTGGGGTTGGGGTTGGGGTTGGGGTTGGGGTTGGGGTTGGGGTTGGGGTTGGGGTTGGGGTTGGGGTTGGGGTTGGGGTTGGGGT